AAAATTGCAGAGAAGAATGTGAATGTACAAAATCAGAGTCGAGGAAACAGTCCGTACAACCCGAATCCACCAGGGAGTCGAGGTCGATAGGCGAAGAAGTCGTCGAAGAGAGAATAGAGACCGAGAACGAGAGAGCATGAGGGTCGGAAAGAGCTGCAGCGTTAAGTCGGACCTCAGGCACTCCTGCTGTGAGGCTGCAGTCGACTGGAGGAGGCGAGGTCAGAGGACTGCTCAAGCTTTTCCCGCAGACGAGTCAGTGGCAGGCTGACCGGCGGAAGCAAAGCGAGCACGATGACGGGTTTTGGGGCAGTCAAACGCCTTGTGCTCTGCGCTGCCGCACACCATACAAAGGTTCTCTTTGATACGGCGGGCACGCTCCTCAGGCTTGAGCTTCCCGTTAGCATCAAGCTTGTCAGCGTAGGGACGAGGAGGGGCAGAGGATGACGAGGGTGTCGACGAAGAAGGCGTAGACGAGGAAGACGAGGTCTTGTTCGACTTTCCCTTGGCAGAGGAAGAGGTCGACGAAGACGAGGGGTTCCCGGCGGACTGAGACGAAGACTTGGTAGACGATGAGTTGTTGGAGGAAGTCGACGCCGGGGTGGCTAGAGAGCCAGACGAGAGAGAAGGAGTGGACGATGAACCCTTGCCAGAGAGCTTGGCTTGGAGTGTCTTGAGGAGAGCCTGGTCACGACGGATCTCCTCTTGGCGTTCGTGCCAACGTTCGTCCATGTCGAAGACGACGTTCTGTAACTCCAAGAGCGAAGAGGGGCGAGCACGCTTAGCCAACTCGTTCTTGATACGATCTGAGAGGCCGGCGTAGTACTGGGAACGCAAGGGAGCTTCGTTCCAGGTGATGCGTGCTGCGAGCTCGTTGAAGTCGAGGGTGTACTGGTAGGCACGACCAGTCATCGTTAACGCACGAATTTTACGTTCAGCGTCACCGACGGGGTTCTTGGGTCCAAAGACGAGAGTGAGCTCCTCGATGAAGAGGTCCAGATCATCGAACCAAGGTAACGTCGCGTCCGTAGTGCGAGCAACGTTGATACGAGACGCGAAGTACGTGTACGCCTTGCCCTTGAGGTAGGAGAGGGCAGTGGCCACGGCGTCCTTTGGATGCTTGAAGGTATGCTTGTAACGTCCAAGGTAGACCGTGAGCTGAGCGATGAAGGCGTCGAGTAGTTCGGGATCAGAACCGTCGAAGGGATCGGGAGCACGGAGTCGAGGGGCACTGGCGGATTGGGATTCGAGTTTTTCGAGGGCTTTGGCGAGAGTGCGAGAACTGTCGCGCTGGCCATCGATGAGGTGCTCGAGGATGCGTCGAAGGACTCCATTGAAGTCGTCTTCGGGTTCCTCTTGCCCTTGGCTACCTGAATCACCACCCGGCGGGCCTCCAGGAGGGCCACCCGATCCACCACCACCACCACCATGAGGGGGAGGGTCTCCACCACCGTTGCCAGACGGCGGGGGACCACCAGAGCCACCACCTGAGGGGCCACCACCACCACCTCCACCGCCCTGAGGGTCCGGCGGATCGCCAGGAGGTGTGCGCGGGGAGCCAAAAGGTAGGGGGTCGTCGTCTCCTTTGCCAGAGGAGGGTAGACCATCACGAAGAGGGTTGGGAGCTCGACCTGAGGACCCGCCAGGATTGCCAAACCCGGAGGTTGAGGTACGAACTCCACCAAACGCACTAGTGGTCAGACCACCAGGGAAGCCGAGGTGAGAGGCCACGAACTCTTCTTCACGACCGTCGTTGGACATATCGCGTCGAATGGTAGGTTGGCCGAAGGAACGAGGTTGGAGGTTGCCAAATCGCAGTAGCTGCTACGGCGGGAGATGTCGCGTTCGAAACGTAGAAGGGGTCGATGAGGGACTCGTGTCGAGAGTGAGAGAGGGGTCGACCGAGTGTAGAGGCAGAAGGAGGAGGGCGAGGACGGCGTAAGTTGTAAGGGTTGCCCTGCTCTGACATAGGTGTAGACAAGGAACGACGTGACGAAGTCGTATCCGGAATCTACTGTCAGGGTCGGATACAGAGAGAGAGGAGAGAAGGACGTAGGAGGGCGGAGGGTAGCCTTGGTCTCACGTTATAAGAACCGTGTACCCTTCGTCACGGCTCCAAAGGCTGGCTAGGCCGAAGGACCAGACGGAAACGCCTTCCGGCGGAGAGACGAGAGTAAGGGGCGACTGGAGCTAAGGCTCAACGGTCGAAGACGATGAAGAGAGGTTACTGAGGAATTTAGACTGAGAGATTTGAGGTGTATGAACCTAGTCGAGATTCCGGATGAGGTATCTACTACAAATCGAGATAGTACTTATAGTAAAATACCGGCGGAAGAATCTACGGAAGAATAGAGACGAAATGACGAAGTCCAAGAATAAAAGAATAAGTGGAAAACCAAAACAAGAGAGACGAGATCGTACACAAGAACACCTAGAGTACTCGAGAACAACTACAACGACCAATCGTAACCCGGCGGATAAAATCCAAGCAAGAACGTTTGTACGAAAGAGTCATCTGAGCGAACTAGAAATCAAGTGTCGAGGAATAGAAGCAAGAAAGAATAATGTCACGGCGGAATAAGAAATAGAAGAATGACAGAATAAGACGTACTTCGAATACACAATAACAAGAACCCGTTTGACAGCTCGCCAAGCGCGCGTCTAAAGTCCACAGGATTATCCGGCGGATCCGTGAGTTCCGACACAGCCGCGAGGCCGCGCGCGCGCGCCAGATCACGTGATTACGAAGTCACGAGAAGCTGGACGAATTCTGGCTCGAATTCTCGTGACCTTTCCCACGCTCTGAGGACGTCGCGCGTCAAAGTCAAGAGAGGAACCGGCGGGCTGAAATGAAGTGGGTGTAACAAATAAAATATATAAGAGAAAATGTGAATAATAATATCGAATGGTGTTGAGGGTAAAGGAAGGGTGTAGTTGTACGTATCGAGACCCGGCGGTTGCACGAGCCCTGACAAGTTGGCATTGACGCTGATTTGACATCCCGTCATGAAACCACACGCGCTTTGAGGGATCAATGTATCTCGCGACGAAGTGGTTGTTGTTGCCGTAAATTAAGCCCTTGAGATGGAACCTAGTGGTAGAGGTAGGTTCCAAATGAACAGACAAACTTATGCTTGGATCGGGTATTACCTGGGTATCGTCAATACTCAGTAGTATGAACGGAGGTATTTGAGTTACTTTCATTCTACGATTCATCCTACCGGGACAAGGGTATATGTTACAATAAAGGTTTCTAGTCAGTAAAGAGCCGAGGTAAAGAGCATGTCGCAGGCTGTATGCGGTACCGCACATATTTTGTTGGAATCTATTGCTCAAAACTGACGTAAGTTCTCGCAAATGTAAATGGTGCTCACTCCTTGATTCTCCGCAGGTGTCGCAAGTTAGAATCGTCTCGCCGTATACCCTGTCGTCGTCAAACAGCTCAGATACAAGATCGTGTATGTAAATAAAGGACGCCCCGTAGGGAAAGGATAAGGGATTAGAGCGGTGTAGTTCTGAACGAATTCTATCTCTAATATTTTCTATAGGGAACGTATCAGTTGTCACATTCGATATCGTCAGAGCCATATAACGCAGGTAGTTGCTTTTTGTGGCGAGCAATACTTTCCAAGCCTCAGTGTCTTCGAGAACTGTATTGACCAACACAGTGAACACAGCGTCATATGCGCAGCTGTAGTGATCGCTATCCCATATGAATCCTATAGGGGTGCCAGAACTTAGTAAAGGATGGGAAAACCGCACTCTCTTTGAAGATCTTGCCATATCTGGCAACAGTGATCTTTTTCGCTTTGGACTGGGTAATGGTTCAATTTTTGGTTCGGACTCGTAATCGCGTAGCGCGTGTACCTTTGTCGTATCTGACCCTTTCTCGCGTGTAATTGACGTCATCATAGTATCAAGCTTTGTTCCAATCACTTTGTTTACTCCACGAAACACACGATAATCGTCTAAGTCAGGCAGTATGCTCTCGTCCGGGAACAGGTCTAGCGACCTGTGCCATTTGATCTTGGCCTCACGTGTGTTACGGGTGTGTACGAAGAAGGAATGTATCAAGGGATATCGCAGGTCACCTGTAACTGCCTGGTGCAGCTTCTTCGAATGACGAAGTTCGGTGATTCTATCCAGTATAGAGAGTTCTCTGAACTCTTGTCTTAAGCGACCATCTTTGATTCCACCTGTTATTCTATTCTCGTCAAAATCAGTTAGAATGAGTGTTCCGTTGGCATCCGAGCTTCTAGACAGGCTGGTGTACATATGGTGGAAAGTTCTACTGTTGGACAAATCTATAACATTCTCTCTTCTAGTTTTACCCTGAGAAGCGTAATCGGTCATGGAAAAGTTGGGAAGTACGTTTACTTGTTCCCTTTCAATTCTTAGACGGGTATCATCAGGTAATAGGCAATTCACAGTGTTTTTGGTTCGCGGAATAGGAACCACGTCGTCTGGCAATCCTTTTATTCTAATCAATTTGGGAGGATTAATGAGGCGTACGAATAGGGTTTCCAAGACTAACGAATTATAAGGGCCTGGTTTAGCGTCCCACCCAACTACGATTCCTTCCTGTCCTTTGGTAATACATAGTTCGGTGGCATCGTTATGCCGTAGCATGATGGGCATTCCAATACATAGGGAGAGGACGCCTGGAATGTGTTCAGTGGCGTTTGGGTCTAACTTCCACAATACCTTTTGTAGCTCTTCTGTCATCCTATTTTTACCTGAACTGCGCTTTCCTTTCTGCCTGGTAGCGGTCGTTCCTGGAACTCGAGTCAAATAATCGACAGATCTGAAGTCAACAAGACTTTGTCCGGTGTCTGATGCGAATCTCCTAGCTCCGTCTTTGTTGTATTGGTCTTTGAAATTGTTCAAGGACGTGATGATAGACACGTTACGAAAGCGCGCGTTGCGAAGAAGATTGGCGTTTTCCTCGTTTACAATTTTGGACTTCAGGAATGCTATGTCTTGGGGTGTGCATGACGAGTACCTCATGTTTTCCAGTGCGACTCGAAGTTTGTTGTCTTCTTCAGACTGAGTTCGTTGTCTCATGTTTTGAGAGAGTATGACCACCGTGGTGACCTGATGCCAGAGGAACTTACCTATGATGGCGGTCTCCTGCCACTTCTTCTTCGCATCATCCCCTGTAGGACAGTGAGAATACAAGTACTGGCCACCAGTGGGAGGCAGCTGTGCAAAGTCACCTGCAAAGATCATATTGATACCCCCGAAAGGCTCGTCGCTAACGCCTGTTACCTTGGATAATCTGGTGCTGATATTGTACATATCGGTGCATGAAATCATCGACACCTCGTCCAGGAAGATGTAATCGACGCCTGTTAATCGTTCGCGAGCCTCTAACACCAGGGTGGCTTCGCTTCGAATAGGTATGTTGTCAGTTTCCGAATTAGAGTGGCTGAGGATCCCGAGAATGGAATGGTACGTCGATCCATTTAATAGAGCGGCAGCGGTACCCGTTGGAGCCACCACTATGAATCGATGGGACTCCCTACGAGAAGAGAACATGTCAATAAGCGCCTTTATCACTTGGGATTTGCCGGTCCCACCCATGCCTCCTAAGTACATCCTAAGCTGCTCGGGCGAGGGTGAGCAGGCGTGGTTAGCTACTATTTTGAATGCTCTGGTCTGCTCCTTGTTTAAGGAATACTTGGCGATCGTTGAGTCCACAATCTTTGCATCCGTCTTACACTGGGCTCGGTAGTCATGGTAAATGTATGATTTGTCCAATATTCTAACAACACCGTCTCTTGATTGACGCCACTGGGAGAAAGGCACGGTAACCGTCGACCCAGCATCGTCTTGACTACTCCTCGCAGTCGACATACTTTCCACCCTGCTTTGCTGTTTCAGATTGATCAACTCCTTCTTGGCGGTCTGAACCACCACCTTCCAGTGAGATCCACTAAGATTTGTGGATATGTGCTCATCAACGCAATACTTATGACCTCCGTACGCGTCTACATGCTTTGGTTGGTTAACCTTGTCCAACCAGTTCAACCTCTCTAATATGGCACGCGCCTTGAGTCTGTCACGATCGTTTCGACTCGATTTTTTTCCAGAGATCATGTGAATTTCCGAAAGGCTATCCTCGGAAATTCTTTCCATAAGTTCTTTCATCAGAGCATCGACCTCATTATCATCTTCTTCGCTCTCTTCGAACCCACGGAAAGGGTTAAATACGCGGTTACTGGCAGCCTCTTTCCTTTTTTGTTTCAGCAGCTTATGATAGTCATCTCGCTCGTCCAGGCACTCGTATCGGACATTGAAGTTCTTCATGATTCTCTTCTGCTCGTCAGTGAACACATGGGAGTCGTACGCCTCCTTCCAGGTCTGGTTAACCGACCTAAGGTCCCAAGAGGTTCGCCATGGTTTGAACAGTGTTAGCATTGTTGTGTAATAGTAGTCTATATCACCTTGATCTTTGCGAGGAAGTGCACCTCCCATAAACTTCGGAATTCTATAGGTGTTGGAGGGAAGATCGAATTTGACGTGGTGGGTATTGTATTGTGGGTGTTCTGGCAGGAATCTCAGCCACGTAGGTCGAAGGTAGTCGTAACTATTAATCGACGGGATTTCAGTATCATCTCCGCGGTTCTTCGCCCCTAACTTTCTCTTTTCAACGCATCTGACCCATTCAATAAGGTTGATATGTGATAGCTGTTGAGGACGGAATATGTAATCGTCCACATTTGTCCAAGGAACATACTCACCGTTTTTCTTTTTCAGTACGACCGTCTCATCCTCCGCATCTTCTCCTTCCTGTGTGAGACCTATATTTACAAGCGGTTTCTGTTCCCTGTCGTTTAGAGCTTCAGAGTTGACGATTATATGTCGCACGTAGCTACGCCACCAGAATGTGGCGAAGGTGTGGCTGGTATAGTGATCAGGATTGCCTAGAAGGTACATAGTTGCCATAGGGCTACCTATCTCTAATTTTGAAGTGATATTGTTGGAAAGTTTTAGTATGAGGCGTCTCGCCGTATCCCTTCGCGCTTCGGAACCGAACGAATGTCCTGTTAGATGGGGATTCTTCTGGTAAATATCGTAAGCGGCAGAAAATATCTGATGAGACTTCAGCATAGATTTAGTAATGTAATCAGTCACATAGGAGACTATAGCCTTTATCGCCGTTCCCGAAAGGAGGTTACCCACGTCGGTATTACATCTAAACAAATAAGTCAGGCAAGGACTGAAAGTATTCATAGTGCTCTCTAAGTGGCGAAGTGTAACGTGTCCGTCCGAGTCAACCACGGATTGGGGATGGACCTCTCTCGGAAACCTTGCCTTACAAATACCATCCTTGTCCAAACAAGCCTTCCTGTACACTATAACTTCCTCACTGGTCGCATCTTTCTTTTCGTACGAGTACCTGCAAGAGTGGACATTACAACGTACAAGCAGGTCGTCGACAGTTCTCTTATAAGTGGTCCACCAGCTACTACGTCGGTCACAAGGCACGCATTTTCCTTTGTCGCAAATAGGATCATGTGAAGACGTGTCCGACTCAGGAGGAGGGATAGGTAAAGTTAGAGTGGGGTCCTTGTATCCTTCTAAGTTCTTCCCAGACGGTTTCTTGTTTACGAAATGGATGCCATCAGCAGTGTTAGACGGTGCGGCAGGTACAAGTTCCTTTACTACTTCCAACGGGCCCTGGAACAATTCCCCTTGATGACAACCTTCTAAATACTCAATCAACTTCTTTTGAAATTCACCTTCTTTACTGAGGAGTCGATCACGTATCTCCTGGGGAGACAGACTCCCCGATATCCATATGAGGATATGAAGATGGAGGGTAAGCCGGCCTTGTTGTTCCACGGTACCGTAGTACGCGGAGGTTTTTCCATAGAGTCCCGTTTCCGTTTGAGAACCAACTCCGAGTACGTGTTTGATAAACATTCTGACCATGAAATCGAAGAATCTTGCGGCAGCAACAGGGTTAGATAAAACCAAAAGGTCTCGAGTGGCCGAAGGTAAAATTTTGTCTTCGAACGCGACCCTAGAGCCTGCGTAGTAAAGGCACAGAGGGTGACGTCCATCCGCAGGCGAAAGCGTTATAAACCACGTAGGAGCCCCTTTCCACGAAATTAGAGACCAAAGCTCGTTTCTTAATATTTTTTTACTCGATACCGACCCCATAGTAGCGCCTCCTATATGATCGAGGTCATCAATCAATTTGAAGCATGCCTTTTCCTGGTCCGTTTCGGGTCTGAACACCTCGCCAGCAACCAATCTGTCGCTTATTGACTTCAAAACGTTCTGATCTATACTCTTTATCCTTTTGGAAATGTCATTGAACTTACTTCGCTTTGCGATAAGATGGCTGCTCGTGGCGTTTGACTTGAGCTGTTCGTGATTGAATGCGATCATAGGGAAGTATACATCAGTTTGAAACCGTTTATCCCAGTACATCAGAAGCCACCTTTTGTGATCTAGTTCGGACACTCTCCCTTTCAGCGTTCCTTTACCTATCCCTCCCATGCCATAAGGAAACAACCAGGGGAACATCTGAGGGTACAACGTTGGATTTTTGTACATGCTCATCGGCTCTTCAGTCTTTCCGACTCCCAGCATTTTCCCTCCGGAAACGAGGTGTTCAAGTGCTTTAGCTTTCAGAGCTTTTATAGAAAGATCTGTGTATTCAGTGCCAGTTATACCGCTTACTATGAAAGGGCAAATACCTTCATCGGTGGCCACGTTCACTTCCGTTTCGTGCTTGCTCATCTGAGAAGGAAGCAACGCAGTTGGATCTTTGTCTTCGTCAATTTTTCGATAGTCCACGACCACGGGTATTCCATTCAACGGGTACCTGTCTAGATTTTCTTTAGAAATATCAAGATCAGCGTAGTTCACATGATTCAATTTCAGCCACTCCAACGCGTTTGCGACTGCGTTTCTTCTTACCAACATAGGAGTTCGTTTGAACTCCGCGTCTGTGGGCGCATGCGATCCGATAAATATGACGGCTAGGACCTCGTCTAACTCCTCAACGCTAGGCGGCAATCGATGATATACCTTTACAATCGGAGTGGCAAACATAATAGCATTAGCAATCAGCTTGGCTCGTCCAGAGGCTACACGCACCAGACAGCGGTTATGGCGGACTCGAGTGACAAGCATCTGCTCTGCAAAAGTAAGTTTCTTGAGTACATCCGGGACTTCTCCTAACCAGAAACCATTAGCAAGTGCGTACTTTGGTCTCTTACCCCGCTGGATAACAGATTTACATGTGACGCACAAGCTGCGACACCTTCGATCGAGTACAGGGCCCTCAACTGGACCAACAGGATCGTTGGATGTTAATCTCTCATTTCGCATGATGGTCGACGATACCAGGCACTGTAAATCGAGATCAGTCTCGTCTAGGGGTACCAGATGCGTAAGAGGTGTAAGTTGCCCGCAGCATGCACATCCATCCTCTTCAATCGACAACGGGCGAGAATCGTTGCAGAACCCGCGGACGATATCCTCCACAAGACGAGAAGAAGGAGGGGGAGGGGGAAAAGGAAACGGTTCCGATGGGCCGTTGATAAGATGGGAAGGCACGCGCCGAATTCGGTGGAACAAAGCCAGTTCGACTCGACACTGGTTAAGAGAACACACGTGAGTTGATAGATGTTGCTCGAGAGTGGACTTACTGTCTCTTGCATAAAATCTGATGTTATGATTATGCATTACGGATCGTAAGGCAATCAGAGACATGCAAGGAGCTATTAATGAAAGAGGGATGTTGGCAGCGAGTTTGTCGCCATCTTTGGAGACAGTTTCGAGGCACGGCATAACAGGTACAAGATCCACAAACTCGTACGTGTCGTCAGGTTGCACACCGGACTGTTTGGATGATACCACAGGGTGATTCTGTAGTTCCGAATACAAGAAATGACGTTTCGCGATATAACCACCACCAAGACGACTTGATACGGCATGCTGATCATCACTAGTACTGCTGAGCGGAAAGAACATAGATGCAGTGGTCGAAGGAGTTGAGACATACGCCGACGACGATGGCTGAAAACAATTGGCTGGCAATTGATGCTGAGGTTCACCTGCCGTACACAGCGACGAAAACAGTTCAGCTGCTGGAAGCAGGCGACAACACATATTCCCTGAGAAGTGCAAGGAGAGTTTCTCGGACCATGTATGCTGCAAATCGTGGCCAACACAAGTACTGTTGGCATGCTGCGCGTCGACGAGAGTGTTGGTTGGCAGTAACGAACTCATTGTTATTAGTCGAGTATGATTGCACGACCGAAATACAGCGAGCTGAATTGGTTGTTGAACCGAAGCAAAATAGTAGTTGGACAATAACAGCGAAAACAGCTTTTGACGAGATATTGACGAAAGTTTTAAGCAGGTGGAACAGAGCGAGCGGTTTGACTCACACAGATCTAATCTAACATCACAGTATGTATTATCTTATCAAGTAGGGGCGCGTTTGAGGCACGTGGGAATTTCGGCCAAAGGTTCCCCGAGCCTGCCCTAAACAACCAAGTACCCGAGGGAAGGATGCTGTGCCAGAGTCGTCTTGTCTCGTTTCCTATCCACAATTTTTTGGCAAGAATTTGAGAATACGACTCTAGGATACCATGATATAAATCAGAGTAGGATTTTCGAACAGGACAACTCTCGTACTGAAAGAAAGGAATAGAAGTGTATGCCATGGATCACACCTTTCTTCTACGTCGTCTATATCGGTAAGGGTCAGGTTTTCGGAAGGGCACTAAAAGGGTACGGGTGCCAATAACTGCGAGGACAACGAAGCGAAAATCACCAACCTGCTAAAAGGCGAGTGGCTCCGTCGCAAGGTATTTACTTTCGGTGCAACGCAATAGAAGCAGGAAACGCAAAGCGATGGTGCTGATGAATTCGAATCAAGCATGCATGGATTTTACGGGCGAACTCTGCAAAGTTTGGTGATACAACAAGACAGTTCCTTGATACCTATACTCTATTTTAACACTACGTACTGAATATGTAATTCTCTATAGTAACCCTATGTACTGAACGTGAAATGGTAAACGATTATGAAGAACCATTCAAAAATAGACAGTACGGAAGTACGGAGAGCGAGAGAAGGGGGAAAGAGGCGGAAGGAAAGAATAAACGGAAGTTAAAGGACAGAGTGAATAAAAGTAAAGGATGGGAAAGATCAAGAAAGTGTAACTGCATAAAGTGGCTTTATCTATTTTCGTATGTTAGGATTCGAATTATGAGTAGCAGGAACACCAAGAACGACGACCCAAAGCACATTGAAAGTTATTTTAGGAACACCATTTCTCTCAAACCAGGATGTGGTGTATGCGACCAGGCAACAGCTTCGCATCGGTACTTCACCATTCCATTTTGGCAAGATCGACGCGAGTCGGGGTAAGTCGGTATTGGGATTGAAGACGATGGTTCTAGCATCGTAAATCGGAACTAGAGCTCGAACAGTTAGACTCAGTAGGAGCAAGAATACGATTAGATCCTACCGTCTTCATCGTAATTATACGGCGCCATCCTCCTGACGCTGTTCTTCTGCTTCACAGGACTTTTGTACTTGCTGTCCTGAATGTCATGAAAGGGATTATCGGTCTGGTGAAAAGCTGCTATTCATAAAGGCGTCAGCACTGTTGTAGTCGTTGAAAGATTTCTAATGCTTACCGCCTCCTTTACTCTCCGAACTACCACCTTCGAATCGGGACTTGGTCTGGAACTGTATTTTGGTACCGACGACTTGCCCTTGGAGATTGTCGTGATTAAAAGCCGTAGCGTAAAAGCCATTCCACCGCTCCCAATGCCCCCTATTCATTATTCCACTTATGAAACGTGTGTCGACAGAAGCACGGAGCTTGGATTCGACGACACCAATTACCGACACGCCAGCTACAATGCCGACCTTGGGGCGATGAAGCTCGTAGCGGGTAAAATTGTACCGATAAATAACAATCGAACGGACCACGAACTCGGTAACATCTGCAAAACTGGGGTTATAATACTCCCCGCTGACGAAAAAGGTCAGGCATTGAACAAGGAGGCTGAGGAGAGTGTACGTTAGAACAGAGTTACGACGAGATGAATATGCATACTCCAAGTTAAAATTCTTAGGCATGATTCTCTGCCACGCATTCACAGACATAAGGGGTGTAGGATCATCCCCCGTGGTTTTCCAAGTCTTGATAGACCCCTCTCTAAGGATGCAGTTGTTACAACAAATAAAACATTGAGACGAAGAGGCGCACGCACCTGACAGGAACGACTCCGTTATACAAGTTGCGTCGAACAAGGAAGGGATCACGAACTTCGTCCAAAAGCATAGGGCATGTATCGGGAAGAGCACTAGGAAAAGTAAGCACGCGACGACAATACAAACAAAACGGAATTCAATAGCACACACCTTCTGTCGACGGTAAAACTATCGTATATATCATTACTCGAATCCTCCGTAACCAGTTGACTGAATGGATCCTCGAACTCTTCGCCTGTTTCTTCGAAGTCCTCTGATTTTGCAGGCTCGTTGGCTGGGTCCTTGTACTCGATAGCTTTCTGCTTCCCTTTGTCTTCGGGTAGCTTAAGCCGACTAAGGGGAATGTCGTCTTCATCGTCCTGCGTGTCGTCAACGCTTTTTACATCCTCGGTAAGCTCCTTGGTATCAGGCGTCTTTTGACTGCAAGGTAAACATTATTAGAAACTTCCGGAGAGCGCGTATATAGAGAGTACAAAGATACCGACCCCTTAGTCTTCTTGTTGGGCGTCGGGCTATCCGTCGCCTCGCGGGCACGTTTCCTGGTCTTTGGAGAAGGCAACGAAGACTTCTGTTCTTGTCTACAGCGGGTATCAGCACACGATTCATGGCACATCCTCCCAACTGGCTTACTTAGGCGATTCGCTGGTTGACGCGGCCTGCGCCTGCTCGTTTTTCTTCGCTGAAGACCTGGTGGCTCTGGACGACATGCTGGTAGTCGACCGGAGGTACTGAGCCAGGGAGGATGGACCAGACCGCGATGTTTTAAGACAAAGGAGGGAGGATGACAAAGAACAGGAGGGAGCAAAATGAGTCAATTCGCAGCAAATGAAATAAAGCGCAGCAGCAGGTCCCAACTTCAAGGGAAACAAGAAGGGGAAATGAGTAGGGCGAAGTCGATGGAGGAAGTTTCTTAACTATAATAGGCAATGGATGTCATGTGCAAGAACGGAGACTAGCTCAAAAACTGTCATATACGAGTCAAAAGCTGTCATCCGAGTCATTCCACAAGAGCCCGCAGCAAGTAACGAAGAAATGACGAGTCACATATTACAGCGCGGGGATCTGCCAGTCGTAATATACAATGTACGCCTATTGGACCGATGGAAATTCTAAGTCACGTGGGTTATGGAATCAGAGGATAAAAGGGCGAACAGAAGCAGACAGAAAGCGGTATACCGACCGACTATGAGCGGATATGATATCGACGAATTCTACGATAAAGACGAAGCAGCTGCTAAATTACAAGAGATAATTCACGAAAGCAGCACAAACGAGAAGACAAAACATTACCAGCTAACAGTAGGAAAAGTATGTCACTCAAAGCACGTCACTGTTCGCCAAGATCTGACTGCCCCTTGTATAGATTAAAGCCGCCTCCGTGAAAAGGATTTTACGTCCGGAATGTTGGAAGCTATACGAGATCATATCAGAAGAGCCGACGGAAATCGTATTCCGAATGCAAGGCATTCTACAGTCCAAAGATCTTCCTCCCGTTGGGCGCAACGCGTGAGTAGTATTCCGCCTTTCCATGTAGCATATGAGGGATTGGAAGGAAGCTAATATATTATCGACCAGTAACAGGAGCAACAGAGCTAAAAAGTACTTGCGACAACAAGTCACCCTATTCGGTTTTGGGGCACCTTCGTTCCAAAGCTTCGTAGATTCCATGGAGGCGATGTATATAAAATACGGCGACTTCATTGCGGACGGACGTCTGGACGATTGGAATCCTCCTACAGACGACAAGGGCATAGGGTTCGACATTGTCAATCGGTACTTTACCAACATCAGCTATTCAGCCGGGGAAATCGCCGTTCCGTTCCACGAATCTGTAGATCCATGTGACGTCTTGAAGCAAATGGGAGGAGGAAACTATATCCATACCCAAGACAACCACGTAGATTATATAGAGCGTGTACCTGCGGACAACTCCAAGCAGTACCAGTAAGAAGATTTTCGTTTGCTGCGTAAATTTCAGCTCACCCTTTATCCGGAACAAGGTACAGAAATGTTTCACCCACGGCCTTCAAGGTAGGGGACATAGTGGAATGCGCCCTTACTGCGAGATGCTATCCAACCGGAAAAGACACCTTCAAAATACGCCTGGTTCTCAAGGCGTTGGTGCTTATTGACCAGGGAACACGCGAAGTAAGTGTGATCCTCTTCAAATTACGACATAGATGTTGATATCACAACAGAAAGCATGTATACTGAGGATGCGAAACCGAATTAAAGCAAATCCGCCAATGCAATCACTCAAGCGACCTGCTCTATACGATATCGATGACGAGATAGACACAAGCGAAACTGCGATGTCTCGAATGAGGTTGGACTGAACGACAGGAGCTCGGTTAACACCATAGATATGCATGTAAAATATAATAAGCGCTCGTGAACACCATTTAGGAAAGTAACACAACCATATCCGGAAAGAGATCTTCTGTGCAAAGATCAGATCTACCGAATAGAGCGCCTGAGTCACGAACCGTCTGAGCGCGATCTAAATCGACCATACTTCCAGGGAAAGCAGGAGATATTGCCATATTGGAATGTAATGGGAAGACGGGGAACTCCATGAACGTACCGAAAGTGCCGACGAAAATTAGACACTGTAATAACAGTCAGGACCTCACAGGAAACACGTCAAGAAATGTACGGATAGTGAAGTACGACTTTGCACCAAATCTGATTACCAGGTATGTAGGAGCCGCGGGGGGACAAAGGTAGACTATGTGCAGGCAGTAGCGAAAGATTGAGAATGAGTAGACCCAAACGTGGTGGGCTACCAGCAATAATAAAAGTACCAGATTGCGATCCAATAAAAGCAATAGATCTTCGATAGATTGCACTTAGTATGTAAGTCAGGCACGCGGTATAGTCCGATTTGGTCAGTACCAGGTCCAGTATTCGAGTCAAGGAATACGAGGTGAGTCAGAAATAACACGCCACAACGATAGTGCATCATTATAATGGAAAAAAAAAAAAAAAAAGAAATGACAAAGACGGTACGCGGACCGCGGTCATCAGGAGAGGTATAAATAATGAGCTCGAAAGAACGAGTACAACACGCTCAGATTCCCCTCCAGAGTCCAGGCTCCAACTAAGGCTTAAACGAGAACGCTTGCATAGAACCCTTCCCTACCGACCAACAACCATCCAATTTCTTGCACTCGCACTCCTCGACACACGGCAGTAGTGCCATCTATATTGGTTTAATAGCCTGCCACACAGGTGCAACCCAACGGGGACTTCACTCGTTATCTCAAGTTCAGCGGCTGATTCTACTTAAACAGGAAATGATGGACGAACCCCCTAACATCACTGTACCCACTAACCGCAACCTCCTTCGCGTTCTTGTGAGAGCAACGGAAAACTGCAGCGTACACGACACACCATCTGCCTCGATCCGAACCGACCACGACAGCGCTCGAGGGGACGTCGACGTTAATCAGGAGGCCGAACTCGAACCTGAGGAAGATAATGCCGCCTCTGTTGATTCAGCAGGGAGTGCATTAGAACCCGGAGAGATTCCAAACCAACCCAATAACGTCGACACAGCACCAGCAACCACGCTGGAACCGCCTGCGCCTATAATAAATTCTCATGCTCAAAGCTCGTCAAACAACGAGGAAACGCGAATTTTTAATAACCAGTCTCCCCAAACAGTCCTGAATCAGAGCACGAGCTTTGACCTCAATCGATCCTTGGCAGTAGCACCGGCGAGCAACTACCGACACAAAGTACCGCGCTATCCCAACCTGCACTTCCGATGGACAAAATGTCACAAATGTACCAAAATCCATGGGTTATGCCACATATGTAACCAAATCCACGGTGGGTGCCCGACTCTTAGAGCTATCGCGATTCACGTGTACTGATGACTGGGCAGTGGCAGAAAGGGAAAGTAAGCTCGTGACGAAAATACCTTACGACATACTGGAAAGAATCATGATCAACATGAACCCCGCCCACCTCCTAGTACTAGCTAGTACATGCTGGCACTTTCGGCAAGCCGTGGCTACCTGGCTCAGACACAACACCACCAGGCTTTGTGCCAGTAGGGGTTTTTTGGACCCAAATCGACTTCTACACGCGATAGACCGATTCAGGTGCATTATAGCCGGTCCCGATATGCTCGGAATATGGTTCCCAGGCCTGGAATCCAATACAGGTCTACACATCTTTATTCCCAACAACCAAAAGGCAAAGAAGGAAATTCATTCTATGCTTATAGAAGACAAGTTTGTCGCCGACGACGCCCAGAGAGTACTAATGGACACCAGCCCGTACCGGGCAAAGGCGATTTACCCCGAGTTCGGAACCACAGTACACGGAGTGGAAATCTGGAAGAAAACGGGCGGGCTGAAGTGCTACCTCATCACGTCAAAATTCTCGGATCCTATGGTGTCGGTCACTGAACTCCCAAACACGGCATTCATGGTTGGTACTGACGGTAAAGATGCAATTATGTTGTACCCCAGATACACCTTGAGGTTAGAAGGCATTTCCAATTACGACTACTTCGGACACGAAATTATAGCGGAAAACGAGCACTACGCCCGACACGGTTTTATCATCTGGGACCACGACACCTTCCACCCAGTCACATCCCATTCGACTTGCGGATACCACATCGACTGTATGTTCACGATCAGGTCCTCCCACGACAATCAAGTACTGCGCACTAGACTCCGACCCCCCGACAGAATAGACAAAGCAATTAAACCCGTCAGATGGCCACGCCCGCTTTCTCTATGGAGGCTCCGATGTCACGATATATGTGGCAACCACCCTTTCCCTTACGACCTGAATGCCAACAAACCACTTTATCAGTGCAACACACAAATGATTGGTGAGTCTCCAGTTCAAGACTCAAGTATACGACGAGGCGCTAAGGTCATTCATCGACTTCACAAATAGCAGACTGATGGTCACATCCGACAGACTTGTGGAAACCAGGAAAAGAGCGGGGTCGGTGAGCTTCACAAGAAGATGAAAAGGATCCATATCGGTCCACGCCCGCAAAAGCAATAAAAGGGAGCTGTTGTACATATTTTCTTGAAAGGCACCCTAATACAAGTGTACATACCTACCTTATTCAAATGTAAACATGAATCGACCTTGCAATCTTCGTTTTTCCGACCGCGCATTTGAGAACCCACCTGCATGAAATGTATAGCATGAAGTGTATATTCTCGTCACCGGACGAACGATTGTTACAGGCAGAAAGCGCCAAGTAAATTCTCATAAGCGAATGTGCGAGCACCAGAATCTCCGTATTGAAACTTCAATAGGGCTAGTGACGGGACTATATCCAACGCTCGTTGCATCCGCTCAGCATTATCGCGAACCACCATAAATTGAAAAGGTAATGGCGAACAAGGATACATACGGATCGCGGTATGATAGGGGCTTTTTATCCGACTCGGGACGCAGGTAGATAAATAGCGACAAACGGACAACAAGGAATACAGTACAGGAAGCAGAGGATAGAGAGAATACGTGAATAAAAGACAAATAAGCAGGTAACAGTAACCGGAAAAGCGGAAGGGAAAAGAACGAGTTTCAGTAATAACAGGCGCGAAACACAAAGAAGGGAAGGGGAGACACAAGAATAAGGCAGGAAGCAAAAAAAAGAATAAGGAAGGCGACAGGAAATAGAATCAACTAAGAAATGATACGTGAGTAAAGGCGAAATCAAGAATAGTCTGAATAGAAGATAAAAACAGTAACTATATGGAAAGCAAAACGAAGAATCAATGCAAGAAACAATTTTTTTAAAAAAAGGGGGAGGGAAGCATGGGTCGGACCAGATTTCAAAAAACCAAAGCGAAAGTTGAATGAAAAGCTCTGCAAAACGAATGAAAGATCACTGAAAAACAGGAGAATACATGTACCACAATAAACAGCTCGAAAAGAAATGTCAAGCATACACGAGAAGCGACGAACAATCACGAAATACGTGCATTTGCGTCCCTGACCGAAGAGCTATCGTCAACGTCGGAGCTCTCGTCGTCTGCAAAGTAAGATGGCGAGTCCGTATGCGATCGATCTAGCCGCCAATCACTACTACCAGCAACTGACGACGTTGTGACGGCAGACGACTCGATGCAAGGGGAAGGGAGGGACTCCGACTCCGCAGATTTCGGCGATCCACGCCGACTAGCGACAGGGTCCGTTCGCCGTGAAAGCTTGAGGAGGGAATAGACCGGATAGGTGTGTCGATCTCTGCTGTAAATGCGGCGTACCACCAGATGGAAGGTAGACAAGGTGTCGAAATCGAAATTGAGGTCCCAATCAAGACATTGGCACAGCTCCCTCTCCATTTCGAGGACCAAAGCACGAGAAAAGGACCACTGTGCTGAATATCGCCACGACCGGACAGTCCATTCGGTGTCGGACAGAATCTTCGAGGCGAGCATAAATGCCGCGAAGTAGAGCCGATGTCCTGTTGCGCGGGCAGTCGGATATCGTTGCTTCAGCCGCTGGAGAAGAAGCAGGGCAGCATAGGGAATGCTGGGATCCAAAGCTGCGCGACGAATTAGGGTGGCGATGAAGTTGACGAGGGTTTTCGAAGGTGACGAGTCCTCAGGCATGGACATGGGCGACTTGAACTGGTGGATAAGAAAACACGCACAAACGGACGCGGTTTCGATGTATTGCAAGGAATCAATTGACGACCTGGGAGAATGTTCGTACTAGCCACGTTCAAGCTTTGACAAAGCCAGCAAAGAAAAAAACAAAAAAAGGACAAACCTTCACTCTTTTACGCGAAGCCATCATGCCAGCGTCACGGTTTTAGAGACAGATACAAGAGCAAGAAGCTCGAGACTATTCACGTAACGACGTGTGAGCCTTCTCGACGGTCGGAGTCAGAAGAAGAAGGAGAGGCTGCGTCGGTCAAAAATAGAAACTACAGCACGGGCATGAAAGCCATTACCAATCCTAAAATGTTATATGAGAGCGTTATAAATAGACAGGCACAAAGAGAAAACGACCACCTTTTTTTTTTTTTTGCTTTTAGTTTTAAACCCATTGATAGTCGCTTGTCCACTAGGAGAGAAAAAGTATGTACGACAGATAAGGACGTAAACCAAAGAGAACGAAGGGTTGCGCAGAGGGAGCGGAGAAAGGCCATCCAAAAGCAAACAACCGCCACGATGGCGCTGGAACACCAGCGTAAAAGAAAAAGAGGAATAAAGACGTAAAAAGGACAATACGAAGCAGAAGGTCAAGACAAAAGAAAACGAAACCATACAACCTCAAAAGGAAATACAATATCAATGAGACGCCCGAACAAACAACGCGTCACCAGAGCCCGCTACAGAAGGACTCAAGACACATTGACAAACAAACGTGATAATAACATGACCGTGGGAGCTCAATTACTTGGCATCAAAACCACCAAAAAGGCGCAAAATTGCGCTATAGGAACGAACATTTGCTGCGCAAATCCTCGTAACAGTGTGCGTTTTTGTTGAAATAAAAGCCTCAAGGAGGGGTTATTTCAATTCAGGATTGATTCAAGACCTTTCGGCTTCCATCTGAGTGCGAAAGTAGAAGAATTGTTGGTGAAACGCCCCGCCTGTGCCTTTCACAGCATTATCTCCTCCTCCAATGCCTCCTCGACGTTCTTCAGATACTGTGAGGGTCCATGGGGCAACCTAATTGAAGGGAATGAGGATATAATACATGGTCTATTAGTGAAAAAGGTTTCTGGTGTGGAAAAACGGTCTTCTTGTTTAAGACACTGGCCGGGATGATTCCGGGGAGGTAAAGGCCAAAAAACACTGGACTCTTATGACTGCTGCAAGGAAAATCTGAGGAATCCGGCCGCACAGAGTTCTGTGTATCGACATGGAGAACGTTGTAAGTCATGATATAGAATATTTCAAGGGGAACTGCAGGCGCTATTCAAGTTGTGGCACCCGTGACTGGCCCTCATGGACAAAGGGAGCGATCCCGGCCTTAACTCGGGGTATGGGACAAAAAGCAAGATTCTGGCCGCGCAGCCACCTTCGAAGTTTGTTGATCTATGATTCTGCCGACTCTCGCCCCCTTACACTCGGTTTTGCGAGCGCTATTCAAGTTTTATCGCCCTCCGCCAAAATGTGGGGGGTGTCACGCATGTCACGTGATGTACCTGGATCGCTCACTGGCCCTACCTTATGAATCATGAACTTTGTGATTCAGGCGTCAGTGACCCGCGTTCTCTCTCCGCGCATGCCAACCACGAGCTCGTTAGTAGACTCTTGACGAATCGAGACAACGAGTCGATACATAATATGCTTTGGGAAGATCAATGTCCAAGTGACCTCGCCATTTTCCCTTGCCTTTTTTTTTTTTTTTTCTTTTTTTTGGTGGTACCCCGTGTCCGAGGACACTGCTCAGCGACCTAGTCCATTGTCACAGTCGCTTTCGCGGGCGTATGTTAGAGTAAAGTCACCACCCCGGAGGAATGCTTTTACGCACACCGTCCCTTGCCTTTTATCCCACCAACTGTAGCAAGCAATTCAACGGGTCCTGAGGATAGCACGGGAGAGGACTAGTGAGATTGAATACATATATCTCTCCAATCCGTCCCTCAATCCTCTTGTACCCCTAGCGAGCGGTTTCGAATTCCTCGGGAAGATCGTCGAGGGAGGAAATGAGTCGGAGTCGGAGGACATTAAGGTGCGGAACAGCGCCATTGGTCCAAACGATTAAGACGTAAGTGGATAGGGGTGATACATTCCAGGACTAGACCTTGAGACGTCAATGACATCCTTGAATCGGTGCCTCCAGCCTACCTTTTCTTTTTCTTCCTCCCAGTAGGCCGTAGCAATGCACTCCAATCATCGTCGTCGTCGATCTTGGGCTGCTCGAGTTCCTCGAGTTCCTTCCTAAGCTGCTCCTCCTCTTCTTTCCTTAGCTGCGATTCGCCTTCCATCCGCTGGAGTTCCGCAAGGCGTGCCCTCTTTGCTTCTTTCAATTCCTTCAACCTGCGCTCTTCGGCCTCGCGTTCAATCCTCTCCTTCTTGACCCGTTCCCTCTCTGCCCGTTCCTCCCGCGTCAGGAACTGTTGTTGCCAAGCGCTGAGGTCCGCAAAGTCAGATTCGAAAGATGATAATATCGTCCTATGGAGGACAGGCGGTGGAGTTTGGGGTTCAGGTGGAAACGGTCGTGACACTGGAGATGGACTTCGGGAAGCGATTGAAGGTGGTTGGACGTGGATCATTGCCGGGGGCGGGGTCCATCGTACAGGCATATCCCCCAGAACTACTGCGATTGGAGGCGGAATGTCTCGAGAAGGCGGTACGGGCTTCGCCGGCATCATATCTCGCAAGTGATTAATGATGATATTGGTCAACTTGAAAGCAATGTCGATACCCAACTTTGCTGCCTCGTCCTGTGAGATGATTTCCTCTCACTCGACTAAAGAGGCGTAGCCCGAAAGGAGCCAGTCGTGAATGTGGTATTGCTTGGCCAGGCATACGAGCTCCACCGGGTCCACAAGCAAAGGTGTCAACGCCCGAATTGCCAACTTGCGAACATCGTTGAATCTCCACTGGGTTGACAGCTTCAGAACGGAAATCCATGCATCTTTGTCAAGGCGGGGTTTCATGTCGAAAACAGTTGGCCTACACTAACTGATCAAAAAGAATGTCCCACGGGTTTCGCGTCCACTCTTTCATGTTGCAAGTTCCATAGCTCAATATAAAATTGTCCGATAGTCTTTAAATTTTGGGATAACATTTTTCAAATAGTTGTACAGGTATTGTGGTAATTTGGTGGGAAATGGATCGCTAGGCACGTCGAAATTGGATGATCTTAACAGGTAGACGAGCACTGGCCATCATTCCCTGGTGGTACTTTACGAAAAAATGCTCAATTGTAAGATAGAAACAACACAAGTGGAAATTTCAATTAGTAGCGTGTATTGCCACCCCTTGCAGCCTTTACATCCCGAATTCTCTGCGGAAGAGACACGTAGAGTCTCTCGATATATGATTGGGGAATACTATACCATTCCTCCTGTAAAGCCTCCCACAACTCGTCCTCCGAGGTCGGTAAATGGTCCCTAGACCGAACCATATGTTCGAGATAGTCCCACAGATTCTCGATGATATTGAGATCCGGGCTGCTGGGTGGCCAATCGAGTACATCGATGTTGTGATTCCGGAACCATGTCTGGGTCATCTTGGCCGTGTGCTTCGGATCATTGTCTTGTTGGAAATAATAATCTTTCGCGCGGAGCCCGAGGTCGGAGAGTGTTCCAAGGAAGTCATCCTCCAATATTTCGCAGTACAGGGGCGCATTCATGTTTCCTTCAATGCGCACGAGACGTCCAACACCATACGGGGTGATCATTCCCCATACCGTGACCTTCCCTCCTCCATGCTTGACTTTCTTCTTCGTAAACCGTGGGTCTAATCCCTCGTTAGGCCTCCTCCAGCACCACTCTATACCATCTGACCCAAAAACCCGGAAAATTGACTCATCTGAGAAGAGAACAGCGTTCCAATTCTCTGTGGTCCATTCTGAATGATTGTTGGCATAGTTGAGGCGTTTCTTCTGGTTCTCGGTGCTGATAAATGGGACTGTTGCTTTGTGGTGGGACTCTAGACCCTGTTGACGTAGTGCACGTCGCATGGTTTGAGTCGAGACTTGCGGGAAGTATTTGCGCGAGAGGTCGGATGCATTACTGGCAGATCGGTCGCGGTCTGAGAGCTTCCTGGGACGCCCTGTCGAATGGCCCACATCGTAATAATTCTCTTTTCCGCCATATCTCTTGAAGATGTGATTAATGCTGCGGTTGGTGAGGTTGCTACGGTCGCCTAAAGCAGCTCGGATAGCATCATTGCTGGCTCCTTGTTTCTTCATTGTACAGATCTTGGCCTTCTTTGTTGGGGTCGTCCAGGGCGCCATATTGGTAGTAGAAATAGCAAAGAATCGCGCTTTAAAGCGCGAAGATGATAGGTGCAGTGGTGGTTGAGAAATTAGGTGTCCATTGTGATGTCACTTTAATTTGGCGCGCAACCATCACAGGTGCCACATCATGGTTGATGGCTACCAGAGCCATTTCTTCGTCATTCTCCTCCAGGTTTTTCCAGCACAGAATACGGTCATTAATACATCTATAGTTTGAATGTTATGTTATTTGGTCACGATAAAGACTAGCTATGAACATGGCGACGTGAAAAGATGGGCGCCAAACCCGTGGGACATTCTTTTTGATCAGTTAGTGTACATCAACGATTGGGTCAGCGACGCGACAGTGAAGGTCGGGCAAAGGTACACGGACCTAGAGAGGAAAGCGCTCAAAAAGCTTTCAAACTCTTCGAGTCCGACGTCGAGCTTGACAGGTTTTTGGTTGTTACCGCCGCCGGTTTGGATTCCATGCTGCTCAGCGAATGTATCCGAGTACTCCAGGAACGGCACTTTTGGAAGCTGCAGAAGAACGCCCTCTACCTATAGAAATACGACAATGGTCAGAACACGGATTTCCTGCAAAGGAAGGGTTTACAAGCAGTGCTCACCTCAATGTTCAAGACTTCCAGTGAGTACACCGGGTGGGTGCGAAAAGGGCTGGTGTTCCTATCACCGGGATAGGCTGGTGGGGACGACAAGTCTGTGAGCGATGTCGGAGCAGTGGAGGGCAAGGAGGGGGCCTGGAAGGGACCCGCACCAGAGTGCAATGACGACAGACCAACCAAGGTCGGTGGTGGTGTTGATGGAACCGATCGCATACCGGAGTTGTTATCCCTTCCAGCCATAGCGCTGTGAAGGGCAGGGATGAACAGATTCAAAGAACAGCCTCGAACTTTCCCATTCACTGTCATTTCGAACCTTTATGAGAATCAATCCTAGCGCCCACACAAAGTCACGGGTTAGGAACTTCGGCATATAACTGGCAGATTGTCCTTGTTCTTTGGAGGTTGTATCCCAAAAAAGAAAGGGCTTGACAACGGAGTCTGTGGCGATTTAAAGATGCACCTGATGGGGGTTAACCGTGGAGGATGTGGTCTACGTCTTGCATAGATAACAATGGTTGTATTCATGATCCAGAACATATGTCAGGGTACATACGATCTGCAGGGTCCTGTGGTATCCAACCCCCTTCCAACCCCCTCTGGTAACTCCATTCGTCCGCATTCTCAGCCTGTTGATACGTGACATATCAGACAAGTGGGAGAAAAAGGTACAAGATAGACTAAGGCTGGACGCGGGTGCACCTGTACGGGTACCCGCACCCTTGACACAGGTACCCATGCCCCCAAAATCCATACCTGCACCCTCACAGGTATTTTCCAACAGGTACCTGTTACCTGCGGGTCCTACCCATGGGTACCTGTTGGGCACAGGTCCTACAGGTACCCAAAGGTAAACCTGTAGGTACCTGCTAAAGGGATCAGTTAGAAGTCAATCACCTCAATGATCCTTGACTGTGGATCTCAATTAATAATAATTAATAAGTGCATTTATTCTCTACTATGATATACAGGGATTAGGTTCAATTCTGAGCAGTTTTGAAGCAGTATTATGCTGGACACTGTCACAAACAGGCTGGCGGGTACCTACCCACAGGTACCTGTGGGGCTAAAAGTGATACCTGCACCCTTGCAGGTATTTCAGCTACAGGTTACCTGGATCCACAGGTCACATACCCATGGGTTTCTTGGCAGGTCGGGTCACAGGCACCTGTGTACAACCTGCACCCGCGTACAGCCTTAAGATAGACACACCTTCCATGTCCAAAACACCCAGCCTTGGACGCTTTCTCCGATCTCGACTTGAACCTCCCAATACCTAAGAACGAGTGGTAACCAGGCGTAGATAGCAACAGGGATGTCGACACTTACCTTCTAAGAAATGCCATGTACTCTTCCGAGAAGTTATGGTAGCTCCCGGTGTACCCCTCGCAGGTGTCGTGATATTGGTCTGTGTCGTACCAGGTGCCATCCCACCGAGCACCAACTCCTCTTCCATTTAACCAGCGAGCGCAATCGGTTATCGCGTTCGACCATTCACCAACGACTGTCCATAGGTTCGACGACGCAAAGCTAGACAATCGGTCGATATATCCGCACGCAAAGTCGATATGTTCTTGTGGTGATCGTTCCAGCTCTCCGTGACTGAATATTTGGTATTCGTGCTGTGAAAGGGTCAGCATGGAGGGAATGAACAGAGAACGATGTACGCACGAAGTCCATCAAAACTCCATGTCCTCTTGGAGGTGTCAGGAAATCAGTCCATGACTATGGATACAGGGCATCAGCGATTGTTCAGCCGGGAAGGGGATCTAGACGATGTACCTCAACTCCCAGAAACGCATCCCCAATCATAACATGAATGTCCTCCCCAGCCGCATCCCTAACAGCATCATACCCTTCTATCCAAAACTCTCGTATCACTGCGGCCCAATCATCTCCTCTAAAGCCCGCGGGTTCGTTTAGGAGTTCTAGTACATCGATTAACCCGCCAACATTCGCCGCAATGAAGCGCACAACGTCGACGGTATGCGTCACAAAGTGCGGTTGGAGAGCCCATTGAGGACCGGAGGTCCGTTGTCCGGAGTTGTCATAGCCGTTCTGTGAGCCTGGAGCACCGTGCAGATCGACAATGACTCGCACGCCGTGTTTGCGTGCCCAGGTGAGGCCACGAAGGAAGTACGGCCACGCGCCTGGAATGTATGGGTCGGACGAAACTGAAGTGCGAACGTCGTCTTGCGTGAGGGGAACGGACCAGAAACCGAGGGGTATCCTGAGTGACTCCATGAGCAAGGTGGGTAACAGGGGAAATGATGGCGACTCACCGAACATGGGTAAGGCCTGCCGCACGAATGGCGATAAAGTCGTCTTCCGTTATCCACTAGAAAGCGGAACTTAGGCGGACAAACAGAGAGAAAGAGGGAGACACACCGTTTCCCAATGTTGTGTCAGCATTTCCAATGCAGCAGCACGGTCAACAAGAGCCCCAAGTGTATACTCGTCTATGACGTCCGTATTGTTCGTCCTTTCAAAGAAGCTGGGTGTTATCCAAGGCTACGAGTGGTTTAGCTGTGATCCGGAGGGGAAAGGCGCGGAGTTTCAGTACCTCTAGAACGAGCCATCCTCCCCTGGATTGAAGTTAATATCACTGCATAAAAAGCCAACCACATAGACATACAGATTGACTGCTCGGATTTTATCTCTTCCGTATTCGAAAGCGGGCAATTGGACCTCTGGTGCATCGGTGCTTGAAGGCGCTGGGAGCACTTCCATGGTTGGCATCGGTTGACCATCTTCTCCCGGCGCGTTTGAAGGTGAAGGTGGGTTCAGCGCCGCAGGTCCATTCGTTTGTCGATGAAGGCGTAGCCGGCACCGTTGACCTTCTGCAAGCACCCAGAGACCTTGAAGATAGCCCAATAGACAGAAATTTGTTGCCAAAATACCTAGTCGCATCTTAAAGCGACTGCCAAGCACCGGTAGATTGAAGGGAGAGAGCAAGGCTTTGCAGCGGAGACTCGTTGAAGCAAATATAACATCATAACGAACATCAGGTGGACCTTGGAGCTAATCGAGCTTCTCAAATGCCATGAGGCATCGGTGCGGAGATCCATAAAAGTCTTCATGCCCTGTCACAGTTTCAAGCCTCATCGACTGACCTGAGACCCAAGGCAATCTGGTGTCGTCGAGAACGATGAGGTCGAAGGAACGCGATGACGGCCAAAAGATTCGCGACTTGTTTGCATTAATTGCCTTCAGCTTTGGAAACAAACATTATCCCCGCGCGTCGCGGCGCTCTGCTCTTGGATTCTGACTTGACCTGGTCTTGACAATATCAGTCCCTTCAACAACTCAGCTCGGAATGACGTATCGATTCATTGATGTTGTGGGTGTCAGCCCTCAAGCTCAAGGCTGAACACGTTACAAGAGTCGCGTATGTGAATTGAAGGCTGCCACCCATTCCCTGCTCTTCAACCAGCAACCTGCACTATGCTCCAAGTGCCCCCTTCCAAGGAGATGCAGCTTTACGTTCGCGACCACGATTACCACTGGTATTTCTTGACCTTTATAGTGAGTTGCAGTCTCTTATCGTGTACGGCTCACAACGATTGACAATGCTCTCGTGGCCTAGGTTGAAAGCCATTTGTTTTGTGTCCCAAAGTACCGTTTTGTAGAGGACTCAGACGTCTTCTGTGAGCGATACCAAATTACCGATGGCGATGACGAACACGACGTGCAAAGTCGTATCCCACTCGACGTCGGCTTGGTGGACTTTCGAAATTTCCTCAAGGCGTTTTATCCTCGGTAAGAGCATGTGGTTGTAACTGATTGGTTTTGCCATATTTATTGGAGGCTTTGCCCATCTAGACAGCGAACTGGGACGCTTGAGCTTTCTGACGCGGAGTGGATCTCTGTGTTGAAGCTCTCTACCGAGTGGTTCTTCAACGACTTACGCATGGAAGCTATCATCCAACTCACCGATGCCGACATTGGAATCATTGAGCGATAAGGCATAACACGAGTACGGGTACGGGTATACCCGCACCCGTTTGGCGGGTACCTGTGATGTTCAAGAGCAATACCCGTATCCACGGGTATTTGTTCAAACGGGTACCCGTACCCGCGGGTTTTTGCCTGTGGGTCACCAAAAACCCGTTTGAGACAGGTACCCGCAGGTACCCATGGGTATACCCACGGGTTACCCGTTGCCAGAATACCCTTTCAATAGATTTTATGATATTCAATACATTATTTTCCATAGTTATCATGCTTCAAATACCCGTGGGTATACCTGTACCTGCGGCAAAAGTCCTAAATTCATACCTGTATCTGCGGGTACAGGTACAGACGGGTTTTCCCACGGATATACCCGCGGGTATACCCGTCTGTACCCGTACTCGTGTTATGCCTTATTGAGCGAATATGTCTCGCGAAGGAGTACAATATATCCTCTTGGCTACTATCCAGCTATACCGCGATTGTCGAGAAACACGACCCCATATCCATCGAGGATGCAGCAAAGATGGACCCTGCCAAGGAAACCGCCATTCTCCTCTGCGGTATCATTGTAGAGAATCTCAAGAAGCCAGTCTCAGAGAGCTCGTCCATCCAGCAAGATATCGAGAAGACATTCAGGAGCGAGCTCCAGAGAGTCCGTGAAGCTGAACACCGGCATCTCACCAGAGCGGAAAGGCGGAGGCTAGAGGCGGAGGCAAGGGCCCTGCAGGAGGCGAGTGCCGCAGAAATGAAATCTATCGACGAGGAGAGGGCCGTCGCTATTGAAGAAGCCCCAATTCCGCTCGAAGGGACGGTGTCAGAGGAGGTGGATGCCAGAAATATGGCGACGGCGCCCTCGGTTAACGACGCGGCTGAAGGAGTCGGTGTATGCCCAGAAGTGGAGGAAGGAGTCTCGGAGGAGGGGTGCATGGAACAAACACGAGTCGAGGGGGAGAGAATAGCACAGGTCCCAATTCCAGTCCAAGAACCAATACCAGCGGAGCAGCCGGCACCGGTTGAGGACCATCCGCATGTCCGAGAACCCCCGTCAGTTAAGGAGCCAGCGCCAATCGAGGAGTCCCCGTCAGTTGAGGATCCAGCGCCAATCAAGGACCCCCCGTCAGTTGAGGATCCAGCGCCAATCAAGGAGCCGGTATCAGTCGAGAAACCATCGCCAACCAAGAATCCAGCGTCAGTCGATGAGCCGGCGTCAGTAGAGAAACCAGCGCTGGAGGAGTCCATGTCAGTCGACAAACCCACGACAGTTGAGGAGCCACCCCTGTCAGCTATCCAGCCTATCCAACCCACAGCAGTCGAAGAGCCGACACCAGTGCAAGAACATACAGCAGCCGAGGAATTGGTGACCCAGGAAAAACCACTAATCGAGACACCAAAACCAACATTAGTCAACGAACCGGCCCATGTCCAAAAAGCGACAGCAAGAGAGGAGACGAAACCAGTGGGGATGAAAAGGAGGAAAAAGCGGCAACAGGCGACAGAGCCAGAAGCTGAAAAGGCGAACGAAGCGGAAGTTGGGCCTGAGGATGAGGGTCAGAAGACGAAGCGGGTGAAAGAGAGGGCGAGGTTGGAAGCGGAGACAAGCGCTGCCGTAGCTGCGGAGGAGAATGCGAGGGAGGCAGAAGAAAAGTCTTGGGTCGTAGAGGTGGAGGAGAAGGCTAGGGTTGCAGCTGAGGTGGAGGAGAATGTCAGGGCTGCGAGGGCTTCAGCAGAGGCGGAGAAGGCTAGGGTTGCAGCTGAGGTAGCAGAGAAGGCGGAGGAGGCGGAGGAGAAGGCTAGGACTTTACAGGAGGCTCAGAAGGCACATGTCATGAGAGCGGCGGTGGAAGCAAAGGCTGCGAAGGTCCAAGCCAGGTTGAAAGACCAGTCCAAGGTAGTAGATAGAACCCTCAAACCTTGGGAGCTATTTCCGACAGCAGGAAGCTTACTCGAGAATCCGTGGGAGGAGTCAGCAGTACCCAGGAAGGCGAACATTTCCGTGGCCCCCCGCCCATCCAAGGTCGTTCCGCCAGTCCAACCTCAGGCTGTTGCTGTTGCGGTTGCCCAGACACTGTGGAATCGGCTGGGAGGGCATTAATGACCGTACATATGTACTTATTGGATCATAACATAATATATACTAGCGGGATGCGGGCCGTTAAACGGCAATTTACCGAGGCCTGCCAGGACCCCAGGGTACAAAAATAAAACAAGAACCATAATCGACAAAAAGGAAAGGTGTTGAGGGGGATCGAACTTGGGACCTCGGCAAACATCACGTGGCTTGCGAGCGTCGCGTCTTGGCGCCTTCGAATCCCGCGCAAAAGAAACCCGAGTCCTGACAGGCCTCGGAACATATGCCTCACGGGAGCACGTAGTACGTGCTGATTGCTATGGAGTATTTAGTCGGGGATGAAAAAGTAACTGTATGGCAAAACTTCTTTAATGAATACATACTGGCCTTGTCGTCTGGATAAGTACGTATGAGATTGTAACCGACTTCAGCGTACAGAAACAGAAACGAGGGAGGGACAATGGAACTTCAAGCTTTGGAACTGAGATTCTTCGAGGGCTTCAATAGGGGTCGCTGAGTTGGGGGTTAAGACTTCCAACTTCTCCGTCCCAGGGAAGATGGTTAAGCACGCGAGTAACTCGCGTTTGTAGTTTCCACGTTGAATTTCTCCTCGCTGGGCTAGGAATTCGAGGGTGACTTTCTTGACCCCGGGCAAGCGCGTCCGAGAGCTCCTTGGAGCTCTAGTGAAGGACATGGGTTGGGCTGACCCTGTGGGTTGGTGGGTATGGGTCAGGTGGGTGTGGGTGTGGGTCACTTCTGCGGCACCCACACCTAACCCACCTGACCCACGGGTTACTGGAGTCTCAAGTGCCAATGGGAAAAATGCTTCTGTATGCAACTATTTTGACCTCAATTGCTCTTGTATTGATGCTATCTACTCTATTAAGTTAAATATTTATGTCCAATATCTATTTGTACTCCAATCACTCACAATTCCACTCTACCCATGCTTCCAAAACCCATGGGTTTCAGACCCACACCCACACCCACATAAACCCACATAAACCCACACCCACACTCATGGGTATGGGTTTTGGTGGGTATGGGTGAGGGTCAGACCTGAGTGAGCCATGGGTGACCCATGTCCTTCACTATGGAGCTCAGTGCGGGGGGTTTCCCCTGCTTCAAGGAATAGGTGAGGCCTTTAAACGAATGCTTGAATACGATACGGATGTCGAATGTGATAGGCTGGAGAGATTCTACGTCGTTGTCCGAGGCTGTTCCGTCTTTGAGGTTGCCCGAACCTCCACTTCTTCGTTGGAAGGCCTCCAGTCGTTGGGCGTCTCGTATCGCTCGTGCCACGGATTTGTGTCAGGGCTCGTGCAACCGCCGGGTCTCGATACGTATAACTACACTCTACCTTCACCCTCAAACACCATTCGATATTATTATTTATATTTTCTCTTATACATTTTATTTGTTATACCCACTTCATTTCAGCCCGCCGGTTCCTCTTTTGACTTTGACGCGCGACGTTCGCGGAGCGTGGGAAAGGTCACGACTGGCGCGCGCGCGCGGCCTCGCGGCTGTGCCGGAACTCTCGGGATCCGCCGGATAATCCTGTGGGACTTTAGACGCGCGCTTGGCGAGCTGTCAAACGGGTTCTTGTTATTGTGTATTCGAAGTACGTCTTATTCTGTCATTCTTCTATTTCTTATTCCGCCGTGCCATTATTCTTTCTTGCTTCTATTTCTCGACACTTGATTTCTAGTTCGCTCAGATGACTCTTTCGTACGAACGTTCTTGCTTGGATTTTATCCGCCGGGTTACGATTGGTAGTTGTAGTCGTTCTCGAGTACTCTAGATTTTCTTGTGTACGATTTCGTCTTTCTTGTTCTAGTTCTCGACTTGTTCTTTCCCTCTTGGACTTCGTCATTTCGTCTCGATTCGCCCGTAGATTCCCCGCCGGTATTTACTATAAGTACTATCTCAATTTGTAGTAGGTACCTCATCCGGGAATCTCGACTAGGTTCATACGCATCGAATCTCTTAGTCTAAGTTCCTCAGTAAAACTCTTTCTCTCATCGCCTTCGACCGTTGAGCCTTAGCTCCAGTCGTCCTTCACTCTCGTCGCTCCGCCGGAAGGCGTTTCCGTCTGGTCCTTCGGCCTAGCCAGCCTCTGGAGCCGTGACGAAGGGTACACGTTCTTATAACGTGAGACCAAGGCTAACCTCCTCCCTCCTACGTCCATCTCTCTCTCTCTCTCTGTATCCGACCCTGACAGTAGATTCCCGGATACGACTTCGTCACGTCGTTCCTCGTCTACACTTATGACAGAACAGGGGCAATCCTTACAACCTACGCCGTCCTCGCCCTCCTCCTTCTGCCTCTACGCTCGGTCGACCCCTCTCTCACTCTCGACACGAGTCTCTCATCGACCCCTTCTACGTCTCGAACGCGACATCTCCCGCCGTAGCAGCTACTGCGATTTGGCAACCTCCAACCTCGTTCCTTGGCCAACCTACCATTCGACGCGATATGTCCAACGACGGTCGTGAAGAAGAGTTCGTGGCCTCTCACCTCGGTTTCCCTGGTGGTCTGACCACTAGTGCGTTTGGTGGAGTTCGCACCTCAACCTCCGGGTTTGGCAACCCCGGCGGGTCCTCAGGTCGAGCTCCCAACCCTCTTCGTGACGGTCTACCCTCCTCTGGCAAAGGAGACGAAGACCCCCTACCTTTTGGCTCCCCACGCACACCTCCTGGCGATCCGCCGGACCCTCTGGGCGGTGGAGGTGGTGGTGGTGGCCCCTCAGGTGGTGGCTCTGGTGGTCCCCCGCCGTCTGGCAACGGTGGTGGTGACCCTCCCCCTCATGGTGGTGGTGGTGGATCTGGTGGCCCTCCTGGAGGACCGCCGGGTGGTGATTCAGGCAACCAAGGGCAAGAGGAACCCGAAGACGACTTCAATGGAGTCCTTCGACGCATCCTCGAGCACCTCATCGATGGCCAGCGTGACAGTTCTCGCACTCTCGCCAAAGCCCTCGAAAAACTCGAATCCCAATCCGCCAGTGCCCCCTCGAACTTCGCGCTCCCGATCCCTTCGATGGTTCCGATCCCGAACTACTTGGACGTCCTTCATCGCCCAGCTCACGGGTCTACCTTGGGGCGCTTACAAGCATACCCTTTCAAGGCACCCAAAGGACGCTGTGGCCACTGCCCTCTCGTACCTCAAGGGCAAGGCGTACACGTACTTCGCGTCTCGCATCAACGTTGCTCGTACCACGGACGCGACGTTACCTTGGTTCGATGATCTGGACCTCTTCATCGAGGAGCTCACTCTCGTTTTCGGACCCAAGAACCCCGTCGGTGACGCTGAACGTAAAATTCGCGCGTTAACGATGACTGGTCGTGCCTACCAATACACCCTCGACTTCAACGAGCTAACAGCACGCATCACCTGGAACGAAGCTCCCTTACGTTCCAAGGGTACGCCGGCCTCTCAGATCGTATCAAGAACGAGCTGGCCAAGCGTGCTCGCCCCTCTTCGCTCTTGGAGTTGCAAAACGTCGTCTTCGACATGGACGAACGTTGGCACGAACGCCAAGAGGAGATTCGTCGTGACCAGGCTCTCCTCAAGGCACTCCAAGCCAAGCTCTCTGGCAAGGGTTCATCGTCCACTCCTTCTCTCTCGTCTGGCTCTCTAGCCACCCCGGCGTCGACTTCCTCCAACAACTCATCGTCTACCAAGTCTTCGTCTCAGTCCGCCGGGAACCCCTCGTCTTCGTCGACCTCTTCCTCTGCCAAAGGAAAGTCGAACAAGACCTCGTCTACCTCGTCTACGCCTTCTTCGTCGACACCCTCGTCGTCCTCTGCCCCTCCTCGTCCCTACGCCGACAAGCTTGATGCTAACGGGAAGCTCAAGCCTGAGGAGCGTGCCCGCCGTATGAAAGAGAACCTTTGTATGGTGTGCGGCAGCGCAGAGCATAAGGCGTTTGACTGCCCCAAAACCCGTCATCGTGCTCGCTTCGCTTCCGCCGGTCAGCCTGCCACTGACTCGTCTGCGGGAAAAGCTTGAGCAGTCCTCTGACCTCGCCTCCTCCAGTCGACTGCAGCCTCACAGCAGGAGTGCCTGAGGTCCGACTTAACGCTGCAGCTCTTTCCGACCCTCATGCTCTCTCGTTCTCGGTCTCCATTCTCTCTTCGACGACTTCTTCGCCTATCGACCTCAACTCCCTGGTGGATTCGGGTTGTACGGACTGTTTTCTCGACTCTGATTTTGTACATTCACATCCTTCTCTGCAATTTTATGAAATTCCGCCAGTACCACTCAAACTCCTCGATGGATCAGTTCGTACATGGCTCACGTCCGCCGCGGACATCATCCTCCGCTTTCCGTCCGGTGATGAGTTCTATCTCAAGTGCTTCATCACCAAGCTGGATGCTCCGTATCCCCTGGTTCTAGGACACAACTGGCTCCGCCGTTACAATCCGTTGATTGACTGGCGTCGTGGTCAGATACTTTCGTTCGAATCGGCCGATAACCCCTCCTCCTTGAGCTCACTCGTCGCAGCAAACGTCGAGACCTCCGTTTCATCATCCAGCCTTCCGTCCAAACCATCCGTGGTCCCTTCATCGACCTGTCCTCTCGTTTCTTCTCCCCCTATCGACTTCGACTCACTCGACTCCGACAATTTATCCCCGCGGGAACCGATTGTTCCCTTACCTCAAGATTCGCCTCAAGACTCGTCGTCGTCGATCCCCTCTCCTTCTTTCTCTTCTTTTTACTTCTAACCCTGTGCCAATCGCTTTTGTGAACGCCTCTGCTTACCGCCGGGCTGTTCGCATGAGTGGTTCGCAGGCCTTTTCACTTTCCATTTCTTCATCGGACAACGTCTCTCGGGCTTGTGCTGCTTCAACCAGCCGCGACAACACTCCAGATCTCTCCAACGTTCCAGAAGAGTATCACGAATTCGCTGACGTCTTCAGTAACGCGAATGGCTTATTCGCTTGCGCCACATCGCCCCTATGATTTGCGCATTGATCTGGATGAGTCACAGCCCCTTCCTCCGAGTCGGCTTTACTCCCTCTCCCCGGCGGAAACCACAGCGCTACGCGAGTTCTTGGACGAGAATTTGCGCGCAGGTTTCATTCGCTCGTCGAACTCCCCGCTTGGTGCACCCATTCTCTTCGTCAAGAAGAAGGATGGTTCCCTTCGCCTCTGTGTGGATTATCGGGCTCTCAACCGCATCTCAAAGAAGGATCGCTATCCGTTACCTCTCATTTCGGACCTTCTTGCGGCCCCGGCGCGTGCTAAGATCTACTCCAAGATCGACCTCAAGCACGCGTACCACCTTGTGCGCATCGCGGATGGGGATGAGTGGAAGACAGCTTTTCGTACTCGTTATGGGTCTTTCGAGTGGTTGGTGATGCCTTTTGGCCTCACTAACGCACCATCGGCTTTCCAGCGCTTCATGAACGACATCTTCGCAGACATGACGGACGTCTCAGTCATTCGTCTACCTCGACGACATCCTCGTGTTCTCGGACGATATCACTCAGCATCGTCAGCACGTCAAGGAGGTACTCCGTCGACTTCGCAAACATGGTCTTTTCGCTTCCCCAAAGAAGTGCGAATTCCATGTCGATCGCGTTGAGTATCTCGGGTACATTCTGTCCCCCGACGGGCTCACCATGTCGTCTGAGAAGGTCCAAGTCATCCAGGACTGGCCCGAACCCCGTTCAGTGAAGGACATCCAGTCTTTCCTTGGGTTCGCGAACTTCTACCGCCGGTTCATCCATGGCTACTCGGACATCGTCGTTCCCCTTACGCGCCTCACTCGCAAGGACGTTCCCTTCGAGTTCTCCGCCGCCGCTCGAAAATCCTTCGAGACCCTCAAGTCCGCTTTTATTTCTGCTCCCATTCTCGTTCATTGGCAACCCGATCGACCGCTCATCGTTGAAACAGACGCATCCGATTACGCTTTGGCCGCCATTCTCTCGATTCAGCTCGAGTCGGGAGAAGTACACCCTGTCGCGTTCCACTCTCGCACATTCCAAGCTGCCGAAACTCAACTACGATGTCCACAACAAAGAACTCCTCGCCATCTTCGAGGCGTTCAAAGTCTGGCGTCATTATTTGGAAGGTGCAGGCGACCCGGTCAACGTCGTCACAGACCACAAGAACTTGGAGTATTTCTCCACCACCAAGGTTCTTACCCGCCCGGCAGGCGCGTTGGTCTGAATACCTCTCCCCAGTTTAACCTCATCGTTCGTTTTCGTCCTGGCAAATTGGGCACTAAGCCTGATGCGCTAACACGACGGTGGGACGTCTACCTTAAACAGGGGGGTAGTGACTTCGCCAGCGTTAATCCAGTCAACTTCCGTCCAATCTTCGCGTCTGAACAACTGGCTTCGTCATTAAGGGCTACCTCAGTCTATACCCCAGCCCTTCGAGCCTCGTTCGTGGTCGATTCCGCCGGTCTTCATGCAGACATCAAGGCTTCTTATTCTTCGGACACCCTCGCCTCTTCACAACTTCCTATTCCTTCAGACCCTCGTTGGGAGCTTCCATCCGACGGTCTTCTTCGACTCGATGGGCGTATCTACGTTCCAGATAGTCCTGGCCTTCGTCTTCGAGTCCTGCAGCTCAAGCACGATCACCCCCTTGCTGGTCACTTCGGTCGTAACAAAACGATCGAACTGGTCCGCCGTGATTATGTTTGGCCCAAACTGCGTTCGTTCGTCGCAGACTACGTCAACTCATGCACGACTTGTCGCCGTACGAAGACTCCTCGTCACAAGCCCTACGGTCTCCTGAAGCAGCTTCCCATTCCCCTTCGTCCTTGGGAGTCCATCTCCATGGACCTCATCGAGCAACTTCCCTCCTCTGGTGGGTTCACCGACATCCTCGTTATCGTCGACCGCCTGTCCAAGCAAGCCATTTTTATCCCGACGGACTCTCACCTCACGTCCGCTGAGCTTGCTCGCCTCTTCGTTATCCATGTCTTCTCCAAGCACGGCGTACCCTCAAACGTAACTTCTGATCGAGGTTCAGAGTTCGTTTCGCATTTTTTCCGTGCATTGGGTGAGGCCTTGGACATGAAGCTTCACTTCACGTCAGGATACCATCCTGAAGGCGACGGACAGACCGAACGGGTGAACCAGACCCTGGAGCAGTACCTTCGGGCTTACTGTTCTTACCAGCAGGACGATTGGCATCGACTCCTTCCTCTCGCAGAATTCGCGTATAACAACGCACCGTCGGCTACTACTGGCGTCTCCCCCTTCTTCGCGAACAAGGGTTATCATCCAGCTCTCAACATCCACCCTGAGCGCGACCTCGCCAGCTCTGCCGCACAAGAATTCGCCGTCGATCTCGCCTCGTTGCACGAACACCTCCGGGAATCCATCGCTATCGCCCAGAAGTCCTATCAGCACTACGCTGATCGCAAGCGTCTACCTCCGCCGGACTTCAAGGTTGGCGATCGCGTCTTCGTCAAGGCTGCCTTCTTCCGCATCACTCGTCCTACCAAGAAGTTGTCTGAACGGTATCTCGGTCCATACGAGATTATCGCTCATGGTTGGCACCCACTCTTTCACCCTTCGACTCCCTGATTCCATGCGTTCCGTCCATCCTGTTTTCCATGTCTCCATGCTCGAGCCACACCACGAGTCTAAAATTCCTCTTCGTCATGATCCTCCTCCCCCGCCGGTGGAAGTGGATGGCGAACTGGAGTACGAGATAGCTGAAATTCTCGACTCGAAAGTGGATCGTCGCCGCCGTACCTGCAAACTTCTCTACGAAGTGCGCTGGTTGGGCTACGAGAACACGGATGAAGAGCGTTCTTGGCTGCTTGCTACCGAGCTAGCCCATGCTCAGGAGTTGGTCCAGGACTTCCATCGTCGCTATCCCGATAAACCTGGCCCCGATTGGTGATACTGTTCCTCTTCAGCCTTGTCTCCCCGGCCTGCCTCTCCTCTTTTTTCTGTTCGACCCTCTTTCACTATTTCTCATTTTTCTATGCTTCAATTTTTCCATAATTTTCAAGTCACAACTTTTCTTTCACCTCATCGTTTGGCTTCGAGGGCTCAGCCGTAACAGGGGGGTACTGTCAGGGCTCGTGCAACCGCCGGGTCTCGATACGTATAACTACACTCTACCTTCACCCTCAACACCATTCGATATTATTATTTATATTTTCTCTTATACATTTTATTTGTTATACCCACTTCATTTCAGCCCGCCGGTTCCTCTTTTGACTTTGACGCGCGACGTTCGCGGAGCGTGGGAAAGGTCACGACTGGCGCGCGCGCGCGGCCTCGCGGCTGTGCCGGAACTCTCGGATCCGCCGGATAATCCTGTGGACTTTAGACGCGCGCTTGGCGAGCTGTCAAACGGGTTCTTGTTATTGTGTATTCGAAGTACGTCTTATTCTGTCATTCTTCTATTTCTTATTCCGCCGTGCCATTATTCTTTCATTGCTTCTATTTCTCGACACTTGATTTCTAGTTCGCTCAGATGACTCTTTCGTACGAACGTTCTTGCTTGGATTTTATCCGCCGGGTTACGATTGGTAGTTGTAGTCGTTCTCGAGTACTCTAGATTTTCTTGTGTACGATTTCGTCTTTCTTGTTCTAGTTCTCGACTTGTTCTTTCCCTCTTGGACTTCGTCATTTCGTCTCGATTCGCCCGTAGATTCCCCGCCGGTATTTACTATAAGTACTATCTCAATTTGTAGTAGGTACCTCATCCGGGAATCTCGACTAGGTTCATACGCATCGAATCTCTTAGTCTAAGTTCCTCAGTAAAACTCTTTCTCTCATCGCCTTCGACCGTTGAGCCTTAGCTCCAGTCGTCCTTCACTCTCGTCGCTCCGCCGGAAGGCGTTTCCGTCTGGTCCTTCGGCCTAGCCAGCCTCTGGAGCCGTGACGAAGGGTACACGTTCTTATAACGTGAGACCAAGGCTAACCTCCTCCCTCCTACGTCCATCTCTCTCTCTCTCTCTGTATCCGACCCTGACAATTTGGCATCGAGGTACTCGCATTCCTCGCAGTCTTCGCTTGACATGAGTGTGATTTCGGAAAGCTTCGGGAGTGAGATGCTGTGGACGGGTGGGGAGAAGAGAGCTCGCATTCCGACCGGCATGAGTTCGAGGGAGGTTAGCTCAGGGAGGCTGAGGGAGAAGTCGTCGGGTCGCTCCCCATCCCTCCATTCATACGGAGAGGCGTAAATTCGGAGCGACTTCAAAGTCTTGGAGAAGTGGTTGAGACAGGAAATAACTGGCCAGAAAATGCCTGGGCAATGGATCCCTACGAGCAGCGAGTCGATGGAGGTGCCCATAGTTGCACATCGGTGCATGATAAACTTGATCTCTTCCTCGTCCAATTCCAAGTCGTCCCAAATCGAGATGTAAAGCGTAGTTACTGAGGAATTGGCCAGGAGGGAAAACATCCACTCCGAAAAAGGAGGCCTGAGCATCCCAAGAGTGACGTTGATTTGTTGCACTTGTGCTGGTTCCGTCAGGCCGTATTTCAGCGACCGGTAAGAATAACGAGGAGGATGGCTGTCCCTGATGTATCGGAGTTCGTCTTGCAGGATCGAATTGGTTGAGAAAGGCCCTTCTCCCGAAGGTTCATATTCGAAGCCTCGAATGACCTCACCAGCGTAATCATTCATCTCGAAGTTTACGCAGGACCTTGCAACCACTGTGTTGAAAAGCGCCTCAAGCGCATCTTCCAGAGCACCGGGGTGGTTCCTACTCGGGGATCGGAGGGAGCCTTGGAACTTGACGTCCAGGCGAAAGTTGTCAACAGAAGTGATGACGGACTGCAGGAATTGTGTCACCCTGCGCAAACGACTCGCTAATTCTCGAGGGCAGGTGAATGCCGTCAAGGTGAGTGTCAGGTTTCCGAACGACTTGATGTGCGCTGATACAAGGACGAAAGCTAACGAGTCGAGCTCTGGGCCATCCTCGTCGAGCATTAAACTGCAGTACCGTGTTGGATCCCAGAGGCCCGTTTCATCCAAGACCTGCTGTACAGCCAGACGGTTGAACCTTCTACATACTTGTGCACAGGTGTAGAGGTCGTATTTGCTGAGGCCAGAAAACGCGAGCGACAGAATCTCTTCGGGCAGGGCCAATTCTTCCGCCCTGAACTTGTTCATTTAGCCTGGGTCCTAATATGAGATCTGAATTTAAACATCCCGGAGTACTAGTTGTGAATGTACGACTTACCACGTATCACTGTATTCGTTACTGGATGCGTGGCTGGCCGAATACAAATGGGAAGAATCGGGAAGAAACTGGGAGTGGCTACCTGCCAGTGGCCTATTTTTAAACATTGGTAGGGTAGGACCGCATGATCGGACGCAACGTGTTGATAATTAACGTTAATCACTGCACGAGTGGCTGCTCAACATAGTTTCGTCAAAGATTGAGCATTACTTATTGTATTGGCATTGCTATGGTCGTAGAAACATCAGACAGAAAGACATGAAATATAACCTAGAATATGCGAAAGAATCACCAAGCCCCAAGTTCGGCCCCTGCACCTAAATCATAAGAAACTAAAGCTGTTCGGTTCGTCTTGGATACATGCTTGCAAAATAATGGTAAATGACAGACCCAAAAAAGAGCGTTCAAGACAATCGTAACTATATGTCTATGCGATTAGTGTAAGTACGTTGGATATCATATAAATGTAAGGTAGGGAGGATTTCGGTTGGTGACAGCGCTTTCTGCTTCCAAAAAGATTACAGCGCGGCACTGTCGCCACTCGCCGATCATTTTTTGGCTTGACGGCGAGAATACTGTACATCAGCAGCGTAGCTGGATATGTCCTCCCCTTGCAGACAGCGGCGCCATGCCGCGGTCGTTACGTGCCACCAGCCCTATTAGCGGCGGAGATGTGTTGATAGACAGGATCATCTTGAGGCGTATCAGGGTGAATCTGTAGTTTGCCTTCCCAGAGGGCAGCAGACGATTTGGATGGGTCGGTGCCCGCAGGGTCGGAGAGTGAGCCAGATTGTTTATACGTAGCGCCTGCAACGGCGGCGGCCATAATCATCGTGGGTGCAATCGTCATGATGGAAGTGACAGGGGCGGGGTCTTGGTCAGGGCGGGCGTTGCGGGATTTCATAGCGAAAGACGAAGAGCGAAGGCGGGCGCCACGGATGTTGGCGAAGGTCTTGAGGTTGTCTTGGACCATGGAGAATGCGCCACCCCATCCTTCGCGACCAGGAGCAGTCGTGGGGAGGACTTCGGGCTTGCCGAACAAACCGAGAGCGTCGAAGAACTTGTAGTAGTACTTGTTGGGGAGGCATCGAATGACAGCGCCCCAAGGGATGGAGACGACACCCAAGGCGAGCGAGATACCCCATTCACGGCCACCGATCTTGGTGACGGAGAATGCGGCACCGAGGCCGGAAACTTCACCACCGACGACCATGATAACAACTTGAATTACGATCTCTGCAGCAACAGGTCAGTCACCTTTACTGGTAGAACAACAGGAGCTAAAAAGACATACCGAGAAGAGTGATTCCGATGAAATATGGGTTCTTCAAGATACCTTCGAAAATGTTGAGCTTGTTGTCAAGCCTGCGGCAATTGACAGAGTTGAAGATCTGAGCGAAGACGAAAGCGTTGAACACGAGGGACTTGAGCATGCGCTCATTCTGGACGGTGTGCTCAAGGTTCAGGAAGTCCAAGCCCTTGAAGTGGAAGAGCAGGATGATCAAGATCTGGTAAACGGACTGCATGAGAATCATCTTGTACATGTCGACCGAGAAAAGCGGCGCGGTCTTCTTGTCGGGTTTACGGTCGAGAAGGGACTCGGTAGCAGGATCGGTAGCCAAAGCAAGAGCGGCAAAAGTGTCCATGATAATGTTGATCCACAGCAACTGGACGGCACTCAAGACAGAAGTCTCCTCTTCAGAGGCGACGGCGGAGACAAACGTAATGACGACGGCGGTGACGTTGGTGGAGATTTGGAATTGCAGGAACTTGCGGACAGCATCATTGACACAGCGACCCCACATGATAGCCTTGACGATGGAAGTGAAATTGTCATCCATGAGGATGATGTCCGATGCCTCCTTTGCAACTTCGGTACCAGCGATACCCATTGAGAAACCGACGTTGGCAGTCTTGAGGGCGGGACCGTCGTTCGTACCGTCACCAGTGACGCCGACAACCTCTCCAATCGATTTAAGGGTTTCGACGAGAACCTTCTTGTCTTCCGGCGATGAGCGAGCGAGAACCTGCAGCCGGGGCACAATCTCGATGCGTTCAGGGGTGGTTAACTTGCGGAAGACAGGACCTTCCATGATGATGCCACCGGGAGTGAAAATACCGCATTGGTTGGCGATGGATCGAGCTGTAAGGACGTTGTCGCCGGTGCACATCTTGACAGAGACACCAGCGCGGTGACACTTGGTGACAGAGTCACGTACACCCTCTCGAAGGGGATCCTCAATACCAGTGATGCCAATGAGGGTAAGCTCTTGGGCGAGTTCTTCGTAGGGGACCTAGAGCGACAATGTAAGGCGATGCAGATGAAAGACCAGACCAAAAACTTACTTCGTGCTCCTCGTTGAGGTTAGAGCCTGCGGGGGGCCAGGATGGGAAGTCACGGTAGCACAGCGCAATGGTGCGAAGGGTCTGGTTGGCGTAAAAGATGATGGTGCGACTGATATTTTGTTGTGCAGCCTCGTCGATCTCTGTGACCTCTACAATGTCGGAATTTTCAGCGCCATTCTTCTGGACGACGATGTGGTTGACGCAACGCCGAGTCAAGATTTCGGAGGCACCCTTGGCGTAGAAGCGATAACCACCGTTGGGAAGCTTGATAACGACACCCATGGCTTTGCGTTCGCTGGAGAAGGGAACCATTTGAACAACTTCTGCGGCATCACGCGTTTGCTTGAAGTTGGCCCAGCCGAGTTCCTTAGCGAATTGAAGGAGAGCGGTTTCTGTCTTGCTACCAATGAAGACGGTCTCCCCAGATTCAGGATCAACGTCTTCGAAAGCCGTGGAGTTGACCGCAATGGCTTCATTGAAGAGATCGCGCACGGAAGGTGGGAGGGCTGTGTTAAGTTCTGCCTGGTCCAAGGAAAAGTCTTTCCGGGACTTGATAGCGACGGCGCCGGACGACGATTTCTCAACCTCATCGGCATTGGTTCGGGCAGCATTCTCTTCCAATCGCCGAACGAACTTGCAGTGGACACCGACGGATCCAGCCACGACCGTCATTGAGTTCGTGGTGAGGGTACCAGTTTTGTCAGTGCAGACGACGGATGCGTTAGCCATAGTTTCGCAGGAACCGAGGACTCGGACGAGCAGGTTTTCCTTTGTCATACGCTTGGTCGCAAAAGCGAGAGCCAGGGTAACAGCAAGGGGGAGACCTATGTGACAGGGTCAATATGGTGGGAGGCTTGAAGAGGATCGCTCCTACCTTCGGGAACGGCGACGACCACGAGAGTTACGGAAATGATCAGAATGTTGACGAATGCCATTCCCTTCTCGTCGGGAGTTCTAAGGAACGATGAGAAGTGCGAAAACGATATTAAAAAACAGAACTAACCTTTCCGGAATACCACGGCCCAGCTGAACAAAGAATCGAATCATGAGGGCGGTGAACATAATCAGGCCGCAGGCGGAACCGATTTTAGCGATCAACTCGGCGAGATTGTTGAGTTTCAGTTGCAAAGGTGTGTTCTCAGTGTCACCCCGAAGTGCTAGGCAATATTGTCAGCTAAAACCAATGAAGGAACGTAGATGCTGACATACCCATCATGATACGACCGTTGAAGCTTTTCGGACCAACAGCAACAACAACATACTTGCCAACACCTTCAAGGACTTTGCTTCCGGAGATCATGAAGCAATCGCTGTGCAAGAGATGGGGATCTTTGCCTTCCGCCCTGGCCTTCTGGTGAAGTTGGATGACTTCCTCGTAGGTGACCTTCTTGATTGCGTCGGATTCGCCGGTCGCACCCGATTCATCGCATTTGACATTGTGACCAGACAGGAAGATGCCATCGCAAGGAAGAATTTCTCCAGGCTCAACCAACGCGATATCACCAACAAGAACCTCCTATAAAAGCGCCCAGATCAGGAATGGTATAGCTAAGTCCAAAAATGGTACTTGCCTTGATGTCAATCACTTTCTCTTGGCCATCCCGAATAACTTTGACACCCCGCTCCTCTTTCCGTTCATTCAAGACTTTGAACTGTCGTTCCTTCTGCCAATCATTCAGAGAGCCAACAATAACCTGTTGAAGGCAATTAGCTGCCGTTGTTACAGACGCCGGGCTTGATACGCACCACAATGGACACAGCAATGATGATAGCGACACCTTCAACCCATTCGACAGCAGGTTCGTCATGACCTTCTGGTTTGGGCCTCAGCGCTTGGAAAATACCCAGGGCCAGAGAGATAGCAGCAGCGAAGCATAGAAGAATCTAGAAAATGACCGTTGAGCGGATGAATGGAGAAATGAAAAGTGCCGCTACTCACCAACACCTTGTCCTTGAGAGCCAGCCACATCAACTGGAGAAGGGTTTTGCTGGGACGGGTGGGCAATATATTCGATCCATAGACGCGCCTCCTGTCGTCGTAAGTTGCGACAACGGGTTGTGCTTTGGTCGGCCCTTCTGATGGAGATGGAGAGCTGACAGCGCCACTGGGAGCCGTTAGGGTTATCGCGGGAACGGCCTCCAACGCCTCTGAGTCGTGACGTTGGGCGGTACCCGCACCCGCACCCAAACTCTGTTTCGATGCAGATGCGGCGGGGTTTGAGGTGAAGTCGGGATGGGTTGACAGGCCACGATCTGCGTCCGTTCCAAGTCCGGAAATCAAGCCAGCGGGACCACCGAAACTAACAAGAGTATCCAAGTTCTTCGGGTCCAACATATGAGCAAGTTGGAACGGCTTGAAAGGGAATGGGGTCGGGTCGATAGCGGCGTCTTGCTCGAGTTCAAGCTGATGGTTCGTCTTCCCCTCGGATTCATCGTCCTTCTTAGATTTCTTCTTCTTCTTCTTTCCATCCGCGGACTCGTCATCGCTCTTGTCGATTTTACTGGAGCTGTTGTCAACATGAGTGACAGAGGTGGTGGTCGAGGGGACATGCCGAAGGTCAACATCAGACCGACCATGGTCCGAGCCCTCTACTTCCGTTACACTTGCAAACGTGGCGTTACTCGGTCGGCGAAGATGGGACCCGCTGGTTATTGACGCGTCCTCTGGGCTGAGGAGGGCAAGAGATGAAAGACCGGTCTTGGTTTCTGGCTTATTGTCCCGCAATACGAGGGTCGTGTTGAACTGCCCAGTGGAATGGCTGGAGAGGGTTGGGGACGGTGGTGCTGAAGACATCGACCCGGCGTCAGACTCTGCTGGTGACGCCGGTGCATCGTGCGTGTTGAATGTGGTTCGCGGGGACAGTAGAGCAGCATTGGAGGCAGTGCGCTGGCTGGTGTCCTGGTTGACCAGCGAGGTCGTCGACGCGAGGTCTGTCACGATGTTTATCGACGGGATAGATGGGGGCTCCTCATTATTCGAAGTTTCCATAAGTGTGAGGAGGCGTTGAAAAAGTGGGGGTGAAGGTCAGAACAGAAAAGCCGCTGCTGCTGGTATTTGAACTGCTGTGGTGGATCACTTGGCGCACAGCCTTGCTATCGAACCGAACCGAGCCGCGCGAGTTGAAGTTCTCTGCTAAGGTAGTGGGTGTGTATTCACTAACACCCCTCAGCTGTTTCTACAGTCTGTCGTCGTCAGGCTTGCGTTGAAAGATACGTCGTGGTGGTAAAAAAACAAGCTTTGCTAGGAGGCAAGCGCTCGCCTTTCGTCGCTATGGGGTGGGAATCTAAACAACACATGACATCTGTCCATTTTCGGTAATCCGAAGCCTGATCCCGCCCCTGTCGCCAAGCAATCACCCCCGCCCCAGGGCCAGCCATTATCCATCCGAAGGCAATGACTGGAAGCTAGACATTTTCCAGCACTGCTCTCCAGGTCGGCTACGTTTATCGTCCTTTCACTTGTCCTTGTCTGTAGTCCCACTACAAATCCACTCCATGACGACATGTCTCATCGGTAGGACCCTTGACGCGATGATGACGACTGCATACCCCAACTTCACTCTTGAATTTGATTTTGTGGTCGACAGGGCCAATTTGAAGGGTTCTGATGTTTCCGGGATGGCATCCGTGCTGTCTTGACTCCGGGCTCCTGTGTTTTACATATTTTCTTCCACAAAGCGAACGAAGCAGCGCCGCTCCATGGCACCCTGCCTCCGATCTGCACTCCATCCGCACCAATGTTGGAGTGAATATTCGAGCAGGCAGTGCCAGCGACTTGGTGGTGCGCAGTCCAAGTATCCATTCCGATTACATTTGATTCACCACCATTTTGAAGGGAAAACTGTTGTAGACCAGTCGAGAAGTGTCATAGTCGCCTAGAATCGCTGGGCCTGCATGCAGCGACACTGCCCATGACCTGTCAATAGGGCACCACCTTGCATTCCCGGTTTTTTGCAGTTCGCGATTGAATTCTCAAAATAGCGGTCCAAAGTTGGGTCAAACCGCTGCACGAATGAAAGAACATGACGATGCCGCGTTCCTTTAGCCCATCTGGTATAGAATCATTGGATGGTGGGATACTAACAGGCGCATATATTGGTGGTGCGACCTGCGAAGCGCGTTCCAGGCTAACCTCTAAAGGAGAGAAATATCGTAAGTTTGAACCGTGAACACGAAGTTTTCATCTTATCTTCCTACTCGTAGTTCATCGAGGACTCTTCCCACTGGCTATCGCTTGTACGGTGGTTTGAAAGAGATTTACACACCACGAGGCGTTCTTTCAATGAGCCGCCCTTCCTTTATCCCAACCTGTGACCGCCATTCTGATGATGATTGACAGACTCTACTCTTCGTGCGAGTTGGCCTCGAGGGAAAGGTGCGTGTTTTACTCATTGGGCTTGCATATCATCACTCAGATAACCGCTGAGCCCAGAATGCGCACGCGATGCTGATTGTGAGGAAAGGGCCTTCCGGTGTTTTAAAGACCGCACATAAACCCTTGTGGACATCCTTTCTCAACAGCAGGGCCCCCGTTACTGCCCTTTGGGCACGGTTAAAAACGTCCGCGACGTATGTTCCTCCTCACGCCGGTATTCGAACTTTGCAATTGCAGGAGATGAAGGAGTTATAGAGGTCCGCAGGTACGTGTTCGGGAAGTGGGAGCCGCACGCCGCACTCCAACACAAGTCTTCATTTGTCCCGGCGCTCATTCACGCCCATAGGATTGTGTGCGGGTAGCCTCAACCCGTAGGCACAAGGCGACGAGATGATCGCTTTCTCAGTCGCTCCCACCCATGATCCAGATTGACCTGAGCTACCGGCTGGAAGGAGACTGCCAATCTGAACCAGCTTGACGGAATACCTGTTGCACATCAGCGGAGTATCCCTTCTCTTCGTCATCCAAACCTACCCTGAGCCTGCGTGTTTCCATACTGCAGTGCTTCAGGCTTCTCTAGTCCTTCCTGGAGTTTCCTAGATCGCGGAAATCATTGTCTGGGCCGTTCTCGCGGTTCGAAATGGAACCTTCGGAAAGTAGGCTTGTTTAAGCCTGGACTAGGAGAATGCAGATACACCTCTATATTTAGTAGGCATTCAAACTCCAAGTCGTACTGAAATAAAGCCGCCTCAACCCATAGGTAATGGCGATATCATTTACAGAAGGCCCGAGGAAGTTGTCTGCTCCCACTTCCGGCGTGTTTCCGTCATTGACACTGCCTTATGCCGTGCGTAATCAACGATGAGTGTGGTGACGAGCCACCTGTCAGGTAGCTACTGCGGATAAACAGAAGCGAAATGGAGTTTCTTTGAAATGACCGGGCTAACAAGAAGCTCTAATGGACGAGCCTCTAAGCGACGGTTACCCCTGTATCCCTATAGTTGTCAATCTGCAACCCTTCGCCGATGGCGGGCTAGCGTAATGGTTAACGCGCCAGTTTCCGGTGGACTTCCCACTTAGCTGGAGATTCTGGGTTCGAGTCCCAGGTTCGTCGATCAATTACCTTTTTTCTTGTTTTTCGCTATTAATGCAATTGGGATGCCATAGTCGGACGTAAGGCTAAGATTGCGAAGACGACGAGCGAAGGTGAAAAGAAGAGCGTTCCTGTGAGAAAGAAGCATCGCTTGGGGGGATAACTCCCTACCCCTGGGCGCGAAGCAACCCTGACTCGCCCACAGCGCAACCCTTTTTGTTTCCCTTTCAAAAATCTCTTTGTTACAGTATTCAAGGTGCCTTGTTGCTCAGAGACAGAGAAGTCACGAAGGAGCACAAGAATGGAGAGCACAGGGAACGAGTACAACCTTTGCTGAAATAGCAATTGTTCCTTTCAGCAGGATGTTCAAGAGTCACCCTAAGTTTACCATTTCATGCCAGCTTCTCCACCTTAAATATCTACAGCACTTTTGTTGAACCAGTTCGACTATGTATCCGGGCGTGAGAAGAAGGGTCTCCTCGTTCCTAGAAGTCAACCAGATTACTGGGCCCCCGTGGCGCTTATACCAGTCATCACGGGTGCTCTTCTGAAGAGACACGCGTACGAAGCGTGGATTTTGGACGCCATGCTATCGATCCTATCCTCTTGTCGAGGAGCAGAACGGGAAATGTCTGCAAGGCAGTGTAGCATATGCGGCGTATGGAGGCCTGAACCTTTCGGGTCAGCTTCCACTCACTCCATCTGAATCGCGGTTTCCACGAGTTTGGAATGTATGTACATGAGCATCAGGACATACCTGGATCTGAATCTAAAGCTGCGAGGAACGATACTTCCCCATAGCGATCAGTTCTATCACCCTGGCTTTCAAATGCTGTAGAGATGAACGCCTTTCGCCTTACCAAGTGAGGCTAATGAAAGTTAAATCATATTTACCTTCTCTGGGTCAGAGTAACTTTCTTCGGCTTTCCGAAGAACCCGATGGTGAAGTGGAAAAGTGGTAAACGAACGTTGGTGTGACATCACGAATGCCAAGCTGGTCAAACAATCATCGGGGGCAGGGTAGGAAAGCGGAGAGGGGGAAGAAGTTGCTAGAAGACGTGCAAGCGACATAGCGAACGCATGATAAGGAATAAGGTTCCACGTCCCCTTTTCGTATCGCGACACGCTTGCTCATCGAGGTGATGACGTTATGACAGGAAAAGCTGTAAAATCAATGTCATCCTCCGATTTCACGCCAAGATGGCTTTGGACGTTACGGGAACTTCCTTAGTTCTGTTGGATAACGAGGGGCAAACTAATCCCCAGAGTATATACTGCAACTTTGACGAGTCTCCTTCATTTCACCCCTTTTCGAGGCTCACTGCAAGCTCAAAGTCATATTCATACATTTGCCAAGGTTCTGAATGGAGATAAACCCAAGCTAAGCGCCCGTGAACCGCGATCACAGGGTGACAGCGAAGCATGAGTCACGCGAACCTCTCGCGAGACCAAGTTCCTCCATAGCGCCAATGAACGGCGCCAAGTCGATCGTGAGGTAGTTAGTACCCGGCGCTTAATTAAAGCCATGACATTGTGTGATAGAACCCGAAGCAGCTGTCACTAGTGACCACTGACTTCAATCCCGCCCCCGGCGCACACCTCGCGTTCCAGAGCGTGGCTCAACGTGGCCGAATTGTATAGAACCGACTATGTACAAGGATAGGATAAGTACCGTAAAAGCTGTACATTGAGACCCTCGTGTATAAGGGAAAGCTCGGTACTCGACGACTTCCTGAAAAAGAATACTGATTGTCAGAATAGTCGGATAAAACAGCTTTGGTGCCGCGCTGACACGGGTCGACTCAAACCCAGTACACAGCGCTGTCAGGCGCTGACGGACAGCCCTGGACTGAGCCTAGCGTCTCGGCTGGGGCGGGAGCGCTCGACCCGATATTCGGCTTCTCGAGCATTCCGATTGAAGCATTGTAATCTGACCTCGTATCAGAGGCAGTGGAAACTAAGAGAACTTCGGAAGAATGGAAATTTTCGATGCGTTTGAGTCGTCGTGTGACTCTTACTTTGGTGCAGATGCTGTGAACGGGGAGAAGACCGCGGCGACACGAGCCCGACGGGTACGCGCAAGTGACTCTATCTATAGCCGGTGGGATGAAGCGGGACGACCCCACTCAACTAGCAGACATAACGCGTTTTCTCTATCTCGGTCTTAGACTTTCATAGTGACCATCAAGGGTCACCCTGGTGCCCGAATTCCATTGGCATTAGTCTGATGTTATCTTATGGCAGTCTGCTGTAGGGCGGCCCATCAGCGAAACCGACTTACCGTTGCCACTCATGGGAGTGGGCGGGGAGCACGCCCAGGTGAACGCGCTATCACCATGACGTTCCAATGACGTCACTCCCTTACAATCCTGTGCGTCACATCCCATCCGGCGCCCATCCTGCTCAAACCTGCCCATATAACTCCCAAAACGCCCATGCAGCTCGCCAAATGCCCATGAGGCTCCCAGGCTCTTCACCTATGACCATCTCATTTATCTACAGTTGTTCTTGTTCTTCGCCCTTCGCCAACTCGATCGCCGTCTCCTCTCCGTGTTGAAGCCCCTGGATCGAATACCGAGGAAGAGGACGATCAAGCGACTGCTGCCCTGTTTCGTCAAGGGCTTCCAGGTGCATCTTCCCAACGCTACGTTCGCTAAACGAAAAAAGAAAAGTTTTCTTACTCAGATCTCGGGTCTTGTTTTGCTATCGTCATTTTCGGACCTGCTGTCGTGTTCTCTCTGCTATGGGTTCTACTTGCTTTGGGTCGAGTCGCTCTGTCTGTCTCTGTCAAGTCTGGTCTCAATTTTACTGCACACTGTTACATAGTCGCACCTGTACAATAAGCAACTGCCCGTAATTTGGTCGTAATTATCATTTCTTACCGAGCAGTGTCCTATCGTCTCATGAGTCTGCATATTTCGACCGACTTCGTTTTGGCGCCATGCTTGGTCTCACGAAACAATTGAACGTTTGCTAGCGCCTAGAAACATCCTCGACACCCTACATCACAGCATAAGCTGGGCTACATGGGCAGAGTATGGGATATAAATGGAAATTTCGCCGTTACATGGGCATCGGGCGGGGTGCATGGGCATTGGGCGGAGTGCATGGGCGTTACATGGGGAGGTTTTCTCGCAGATGACCACGCATGGGTGCGAGCACCAATGCATGGGCCTACTTCCCATGCATCAGTCCGATGCCCATGTGACCTCCAGGCCTGGCAACGGTAAGTGGATTTCGCTGATGAGTGATCCCTTCACTCTTCCAATACAATGTTCTGAGGCTTCGCATCACAATCTAAGTGCTCGCGAATTCCAATCTACACTAAGCTGATGTGAGCCTGGCTCACCTCGAAAGTAGATGGCTCAAATTTGGCTCAAATGGGTCGGATTGGGCGGGACAGGACAGCCTATCAAATTCGAAATCAAGATTCTCCGTATGTCGCGGAGAATACATCTGACGTAGGGTACCGGGCTCTGAAATGGTATTAAATAGCAGTGATATTTATCAACCACTTGCTTCTATATTGACGACTTCGATTCCCCACTACAACGTCCCAGAGTAATTGACGCTGACGGCGCTTAAGTCATATCAATCTGCGAAATGAAGAGATAAGCGCCCGTCTCCCCAGAGTGATCTGATATAGAGTTATCTCAGGAACGTCTTCCGCAATCAATAACATCGAGGAAGTGGGAAGGACATATCAGTTGTACACATATTGGGACCCTTCGCAGCACACCCTGAAGGGCTTCGATAATCGCCTGGAAAACTGTGTTTCATTTGCTCATATCTGACTCCCAGTGCATTAGCCTGATACCTCAAACGCGCGTTCTTTTCGGACTGTCGGAGCGAAAGCTGCTTTAATTAGGAACAGTAAGCCTTTCTGTGGTCCCCAAAACCCTGCTGGTGCGATCTAGCCGGGCCCCAACAGTTCTCTTCAACTCGCAGCCCGTCCATATCTCGTAGCCGAGTCAGTCAAAGCAGTGCCAGGTATGAAGCGGTCTTTCGAACTCATGCGGAGGCCCTAGGGGTCAACATCTCGGCACTGTGCCAGCAACGCTTATTGTAACGCTCACAGCCTTACGACGTCCACTTTCCGAGCAATTTTGCCCGTTCCGATATCTCTCCGAGAGGTCGAGCTGGTATGGGCGTTAACCGTATCCGACTTGTCCACATACGCCCACAGGTTCACTTGATCGTCGCACAGGATCGAATGACTGCGCGCGAATGGGCTCCGCTCAGTCGAACGGAATACCTTGCCCTTCGTCTCACAGCACTACATCCCGCATTGTGCAAAAACGTCACGGAAAGCCAAATTGAATACCATATGTACAAGCGTTCCATCAAAACCCAAAGGCTGTCTATCAGTCTATCATACATACATACAACAGCTAGGCCACTGCATTTCATAAGACAACAACATGCGAGGGGAGAATACAGATCGAGGGGATATAATAAAGGTCTGTTTTGGGACATAGAGGGACTCACTCCACGCTGACTACCCTTCACCTCACGACGCCTCTTCAGACTTTCCATTGACTTCGGCAGGAGGGTTGTAGGGTGTAATCTTGCTCATCTCCCGAATGAAGCTGCTGCCCCAGAAGGAGGCACTGTATTTGTTAACGTACTTGAACAACTTGCGGTGGTTCTCGGCGCGAGTCGCTGCGTCCATCGTGACTGCCTCGTGGATTGCATCGGCGACTTGTTGAGAGTCCCAAGGGTTCACGACGATAGATCCGTTCAAACTCTGAGCGGCACCGGCGAATTCGGATAAGATCATCGCACCCTGGCGAGCTTGTTGGCAGGCGATGTACTCGTATGAGACCTGTGTGCGGGTGGATTAAAGGTTCTGTAAATTAAGCCGAGGTGACCGAAAAGGACACACCAGGTTCATGCCGTCACGGGTACTGGAGACAAGGCAAACGTCACTGACGGCATAAAGCGCGCAGAGCTCATCGAAGGTCAAGCTCTTGTGCATGAAGTGGATGGGCATAAACTCAACCGTGCCGAAGCGACCGTTGATGCGGCCAACGAGCTCGTTCACAGTGGATCGCAAGTTCTGATATTCTTCGACATCTTGACGCGAAGGAACAGCCAGTTGGACCAAAACGACCTGACCCCGATCGTAAGCGCGTTTGTTTCGTGTTTCAAGAATGTGGGCTGGTACGCACCTTTCCTATCCATTCCGGATGCTGTGTAAGGAAGAGCTCGAGGGCGTGAAGCTTCTGTGGGACACCCTTGATGTAGTCGAGCCGATCAACACCGACGATAACCTTGACGCCCCTAAATCGCTGTTCCAACTGGGTGATACGATCTTGAACGCTTTGCTTTTTCAAGTTCTAATAGAAGCATGTCAGTAGAGCACTTTTTCAGGCGAACTGCGGCGAACTGGCGTACGTCGATGAACGAAGAAGGTTCAATGCCGATAGGGAATGTTCCGACATGAGCGAGTCTGCCGCCAAACTCGACACCGTTGGGCATGGTGGGCAGGTTGAGGATACGGGTACACGACGAGAGGAAATGTCGAGCATAGTCGTATGTGTGGAATCCAATGAGGTCGCAGTAGAGTACGCCCAACAAGATTTCGCGGCGAACGGGCAAGATTCTGGGCTCGGCGCGATCAGTAATGACGACATGATTACAGAAACAGTGAACTCACCTGTAAATCTCGCTACTCGGGAAGGGTGTATGCAGGAAGAAGCCAATCTTGACGTCGGGGATCCTGGTGGGCGCGAGGTTGGCCTCTGCAGAGATTCCCTGTGTGATCTTTGAGAACTCTTCTGAAGCGAAGCTAGCGCTCTCGCCATCGATCAAATTGCGCAGGAGCATCGGCAGGAGCATCAAATGGTAGTCCTGGACCCAGACCATTGTCCCTGGCTTGACATGGGGACGAACGGCCTCTGCGAACTGGAGGTTGGCCTGTCGGTATGCCAGCCAGTTCTCCTCGTCAAAGTTCATTTCACCCGGGTGGTAGTGGAAGAGGGGCCAGAGGATAGAATTGGAGAAGCCATTGTAATGGCGGTCGGCGACATCATCGTCGAGGTAGACGGCCTGGCATGAATACTCCTCCTTGAGACGCCTGTCTACGATTTCGCGATCCTTGACTGGGATGAAGAAGCCAGGCCAGCCGATCCAGGTGAAGTTGAGCGACTTTTTGAAGCCTGAGAGGGCGGAAACGAGACCGCCCGATGACATCTTGAAGTGGTACTCGCCATTGGCGTCCTTGTTGATCGTCACTGGAAGACGATTGGAGACGATGATGAGGTCGCCGGTGCTATTGGAGGCCATGGTGGGCGATGACAGTGGCAGCGAGTTTGCTGGGGAGTTGGAAGCCATCTGAACAAGAACCGGGATTGGCGATGATATAAAGGATTTGAGAAACTAGAGGCAAAGGCCAAACTGGGATAGCGAGGCGTTAAGATATCTGATCGTGGTTAACTGCCTTTTCGCCGTTGCAGCCAACTTCGTCATCGCTCCTCGCAGAACATTCCACAATTGCTCCCGAGCTTATCCCGCTCATCTCTTCTTTCCAACTCTCCTTTTCCGAAATCTCACGACCATTGAACCCAGGATGCAAAATTCGTAACAGTCGTCCCATTATTGTACTGCAACATACATGAACTACACATGAGAGAATACAAGTACACGGTGGAATATCGGAACATGGCCGTTAACCGAAGAGGTCGAAGCCCTACAACGTGCGTCAGCCTCGATTCATTTTCATGAGCCATCACAAAACCTACCATATCCTCATCGGATTCTTCTTCTTCCTCAACCTTGGCCTCCTCAGCCTTGGGGGCATCGGCGGCAGCAGCAGCAGCAGGTGCAGCGGCAACGGCAAAGGCCTCAGGGTTGGCAATGTATTCCTTGATCTGGATGGACACCGTCAGGCTCTGAATCTTATCTTATCATAAGAAGCTGTTACTTGCCTTTTCGGAGCCCTCGAAGGTATAGTCGGTGGCAATGGAAACGGCCAACAAGTTCTTGTAGGCGTTGACCAAAGAGTGGGTGATGGAGGCGATGGTGGGGTAGTTGATCGCCAAAGAGATGGCAGCAATAGTTTTGATACCGGTCAAGAAGCGCTCAACGAGCTCAGACTCCTCGACATCAAGAACGGAGGCAGGGAAGGTGTTGCCCCGGTCGTAGATTTGGATGACGGTCATACCGTAGGTGAAGGGAGAAATGTTCAACATGTTGAGGAGAGCGGCTTCGGAGGGACCGACACGAGTACCGGCGAAGACGACCTTGACATCGGAAACAATTTCAATGGTACCACGAGCAATCTTGGTGGGGATACCAAGAGCCTGGAAGAAAGAGGTCTTGCCGGGTTCCATACCGGTGTTACCAGCAGGAACGGAGACATCGACAGGAGCGAGAGCACCAGCACGAGCGGGAGCAGCGACCTTGTTGGCAACGATGATCTCACGGACTTCCTTGAGATCCTCAGAGGTGAAGACGAAGCCGACGTTGCCCTTGACGTGGGGGAGGAGTCGTTCGTATTGGGGGTTCTCCGCAAGGATGGATCGCAAAGCGCGGCGAACCATGGTGTTCTTGCCCATCAGGACAACACCCTTGCCTCGGAGAGCAACACGAATCTGGTGCATTTGGTTCGAGCCAACGTTGTCGACATTGACGATGAAGATAGAGGCTGAGTTATCCTGTTAATTAACGCCATAGTCGCGAAAAAAATGTCGACTCACGGTAGGTAGCGAGGAGCTCCTTGAGCTTCTCGAAGTAGAGTTCCTTGTCAGCGCGTGAGGCTCCCATTTTTGACTGTGTGGTGTCTGGACAACGTTGGTCAGTTTTTCTTTGCGATGTCGATGAAGAAACAAGATCTACGCACTGATAGATTGCTGAAAAGTGCCTCCCTATTGACCTCTGCTCCTGTAGACCGTGTCAGCCATCGTCCACAACGTCGAGAACAGCTTTTCGTACCAGGTAGTGCCAATGGATGTTTAAAGGCGACTTGTCTTGAGCGTAAGGTTGCACGACGCCCACCACCCAACTTTCTGTGGATTCTGAGCGTGGGAACGACAAATAAGGTTCAAGGTCACGAGATGATGTCGGCGAAGTCCGATTTTACGGGACGCGCGCGCCGGAAGCCGCGGTGACAGCGAAGACTTTCCTGCTCGAACCAACGCGAACGTCAACAGTCTTCTGCTTCATTGTGGTCTGCGTCGACAACGACGAGGGACGCGGGCTGCATAGAGAACGACTCGGTGTCGCCTTTCGACCCCAGACGTCGCTCTAGGTGGTGCGGGCAATGGAATGTTGCGATGCTGCCAATCGTCGTTCCGCAAATGTTTTGGCAGAAACGGCGCGCATTTTCCAAGGTATGTTGCTGTTTCTCTGATTGAAATGTGCATGGAAACTCAAACAATGTACAGGGCCTCAGGGTTTCGTGACCACTCGATTTTACGGAATGTTTTGAGCCAACCCGACGCTCACCGGCCTTCACAGAATGAAGGCAACCATAGTTATGCGAAGGTCGCTTTAGACCGTGTACTATACAGCACCTCCCCGGCAACCTCAAATGAATCAGCATCGATGGACAAGCGCGCAGACTCGTCGAATGAACTACGGTCCCTCCAAGCTTTGCAAAGTCGGACGCGGCTGGAAACTGGTGAAGGAGGAAACGGTCGAGAGAGTAATGTCAGAGAATTTGGGGTTCAAGCAAATCCGACATCGCGACTTGTTCAGTCAATGTCCTGCCTGTTATCGAGAACCGTAGCATGCAATGACAGGCGACTGGAGGCGCTCGTTTCGTTGTATGATGCGGAAAAGGACAGCTTGACAGCACAGTTGACTCCGCAAGACCTGAGCAAACTTGTCGCCATTCTCGGCACCTGTTCTCTTCCCTCGGATACACCGGAATCAACGTTTCACGCGAACCTGCACGTCGACAGACCCTTTGAGCGAGAGTATTGGGAATTGGTGGATCGAGTTCTGGAGGACAAGGCTTGTGTACCGGGTTATGTGCCAACACTGGAGGACGACTACTGGCAAATGGAAGTTTATTTCCATTACCTCCAGCGGCGGAGATTCGCTTCTACAAGTACGTTTGTTGGCAAATCGCTCACTAAATATCCTGATTTCTTCTCCGGTACAGGTGAATCGCAAAATCTGCTGAAGGAGGTTACCCTGCTGTACCAGCGGATTCGGATGGGTTCCCGAGACCCAGCTGTCCACTACCCATATTTTCGAACAGCCCTGGTCGCCTCACGGGCACATCTCAACAAAGTTGCTACCGCCTTAACCGAGTTCATGAAAGCGTCGCCCAGCAACACCACTCCTCATATTGTCGATCTATTCTGGAGAATGATCGACGCGCTTGGTCCAGGCGCTTCCCTGCGGTTACAGGAACAGTTCCTCGACGTTACTTCCAAGATAGTCGGAGGAGGGTCAAGCGGCCAATCCAATCACAAAGGCCCCGTTCGCTCTTTAACCTCAACTTGCGATCAAGTCCACCTTGCCCTCGCCTCCTCTCTATTTCCCTTACTCAATCCAAGTTCCTCGACCTCATCCTCGTCCTGGGCGAGGCAATTGACAAGTCAAGCCCTTGACGACGACGTTCCCCATTCTCTTCGTTGGGAGAATCTCGTCCTGCTTGCCACCACCATAACCACTGGGAACCTCTCGCAGCCGGTGACCGTTTCCCAGCTCCGCGCGTGCCCCAAATCCCGGGCGTGGCGAACTCTTTTGTTTCTTTCCTTTCTACGAAAGACCCTCGGCACCATCGACCTTTCTTCAAAGGACCTCGTTTCAAAGGCACTCGAACTCCGACTAGTTCTTCGTCAAGTATGGGAAGCTTGGATATCCTTTCCACCAGAGTTGGTTCCTCCTCCTGACGTCCATCGCCAAGTTCTCTTGAACTTCTTCGAGGTTTCCGGGCGCATCAGGGATGAAGAGCAACTGCATCTCACCTACAACTACGCATTGGGAAAGGGCCTTTGCGACTGGTCGACGCCTTCAAAAGGCGGGTCAACCCAAGCGCTTGACATGGCCGCCAGCTACGCCACCGCACTTATTAGGTGCCGCGGTTACAGCTGGGAAGCTGTCATCCCGTACCTCCAGTCGGTCTTTCCGGACAAAGCTACCATGACCTCCCTCATCGCACCCATGGTAGATGCGCTCATCCTCGACGGACACCGACGAATCATCAGTCTATACGAATACCTCACTACCCATGGATTACAACCTTCAACTGATGCATACCTCAAGTTCGCCGTATCTCTCGTCAAGGAGCAGAGGTGGTCAACGGCGATTCCATTTCTCTCCGACCCCCGCTTCACACATGCGCACAAAGAAATGTTGTTAATTTCCTTTCTGCGGGTTCCCCAAACCGAGCGATGGGAAGTTATGAACTACAAGCTAGGCTCATACCTCGGTAATGCGTTACTCGCCCTTTACCGGACATCTCCACCCTCGCCGTACGCCAAGTACCCCATTCGATATTTTCTGAAACCGCTCATAGCTGCTGGCCACGGTCCCATCGCTGTCGACATCATGGCCCTCATGTTTCGCCACGACCAAGAGTTCTTCACGCAGCGTTCCATCCGACGTTATCTCGTCCAATTACTCCAGAGACGAAATGCCAAAGCCGCGATGAAACTGTTCTTCCTGGTCAAGGATGCCTTTCCCGGGCCAGGCATCGCAGACCTCAGTCGCAAATTCGCATTGGCGTTCAGCAACACCCGTTCACCGAGTCGAGCAGCACGCATTTTGCAAGCAAAGCCCATGCTTCGGTTCCAAACACCTCGAGAGGAAATGCTGAGAACGTCTGTTACACGGACTGTCCCCAGGGAGGCACTCTCCAAGCTCTACGTCATCTCGGTGTTGAAGAATACGGATCGGAATAGTCCCTCGTTTGCACCCGCTGTTCGCTTTGCGGTTTCGTTTTTGGTCAAGCATGGTCGGACTTTCGCGGCGAGGAAGCTTTATGGGTGGGCGTCGTCAGGTTTGGATCCCAAGACGCATACAGCCATTGGAAACATCATTCTCCATGGTTGTTATCGTCTGCGACAAGGTGAAGCTCGAACCATCCGACACCTCGTGCACACCAGGGATGTCTTGAGCAAGGCGTACCAGTTCACTCCGGACCGCGCGACTGTCAACATCATCGTCAAGATCATCCTCGGTCCACGGTCACAAAGGAGTTCAAGGCAGATAAGAGCGCTCTTTGATGAATTTGTTCGACGTGGATACCCAGCCGGCGAAGAATGGCGACGTGAACATGGCGTTCCATTCGGGACACCCCCAGCATCCAGTCCATTCGCGTCCCTCATCCCAGCCACCACTCAAACTATAGCATTCCGTAAACACCTCCAGCCGCTTTACAGGATGTTCATCAGCGCGTTCCGGAAACGGAAAGACTTCAACGCCATGAAGACCGTCGGTGCCATCTTGAGAGAGGAGCGACGAGTCTCGATCGCAGAGATTGAGAAACGAAATCAGGCGCGTCGGGAAGGAATCATGCGAAAAAAGGCGAGGCTTGTGGCGAGATCGCTTCCAACACCATAGAACTTGTCTCCTCGAGCAAAAAAATGTAATGTGTAGATGAATCAACCTGCTTTCGATACCTCCGCGAGTGGTCCATATCGTAGTCAACGCCACTTCTTGTGATATTATATGATATGATAACTAACTAATGCTGTACAAGATAGGAAGGAATTCAATACGAGAAACTGCGTCGCAAGTCGTTCTTCGTCACTGTCAGTAAGAAGCAGGAGGCTGGGAAGCTTGACCCTCTTGGTAAATAGGCTTCCCAGTCTTGGGATCGATAACATCGCCATGTTCATCATGCGTGGCATCCCACTCGGCGAGCTGGTCGTTGGGAACTTTGACAAGTCGGTTCGTTTGGGCACCATCAGGAAGACGCTCGAGAAGCTGGCGGATGGTGTAGTTGCCATACTTGGGCAAAATAATGATCACGAGCGCATAAACGGCTCCGGAAACACCAAGACTGAAAGTATAGAGAATATCACGGTGCGCAGGGGAGGGGAATAAGAAGTCAGCGTTGTCGGAGCAAGGCTAGATCTGAGAAGGGTGACCCACATGGCAAGACCGACGATACAGTATGTTGCATAGAAGAAGCTAACGTCACCAGCGTAGATGCCTCCTTCTGGGGGAACCCAGGGTAAGGCAAGCAGGTAAACGTTGACGGCCATAGTGAACACGAGAATGGCGTTCCATGCTACAAATTCTCCGCGAGGCGCTCCAATGGCCGCGCGACGCTTACGCACAAACCAAAGACCCAGGGTAAGCAAGAAGCTGAAAACATTGGCAGGGTAAGATTGGAGGTTGACGACTAGGCGATGTGACATGTCAGCTTCCTCCACTGTGATGTCCGCATCAAGGACCCGGGACTCACTGAAATTGAATGCGTCTCCAGGGGGAGGGGCGAGGATGACAATGACGGTCAACAACCACTTGATGAGGTAGGGGCCAAGGGGGGTGTTGAATGGACGAGTAGAGGCCCAGAATTGAGGATAAGGAATGACACCTTGCCTGTCTGACGGTAAGCCAAATGGAAAAGGGGTCGGTTCAATGACCATACCTTGCACATTCTCGGATAATTCGAGAAGATCCGATGACGACAGCCAACATGTTCCCGAAACTACTGACAGCAACCAGTGCACCAAGTGCCCTCACCGAGCTAGTGTTGCCGAAGACAGCTCTGAAGAATAGACTTGCTGTGAGTTCCTTGGATTCTCTGATTTCCTCCTTGGGCACTGAAAACCAGTCAGACCGTGCTCTGTGCAAATCGTATTTGCCGCATACCTGCCGCAAAATAGGCAACATTGGCAAACATATAAAGGACAAAAACAGCAGTGAGGGAGATGGGGGCATATCTCTTCATCGTTTTGATAGGGTTCTGGAATATTGTTAGCCTTGTGTTACTCGGATACGCGGCGTGAGGGGATGCGAACCTTGACTTCGTTCACAACGTTGAAAGCATTCTGCGCAGAATCAGCTCTTGCCCATCAGGAGTACGGTAGGTGTAGGGACCGACCTCGAATCCAGAATAGGCGAAGTTAACTTTCACAAGAGAAGTTGCAAGACCATTGCCGTTGCTCGAGGTTCCTTCAAAAGCGTTCCTAAAGTTTGCCTTCGGGTCTGCGACGGAGGTATGGCCTCCCAGTACGACAAAACCGGTTATGGCGATACTGGAAGCACATGAGCACCGGATAAAATTTTCGCATCGTAGAGCTTACAAGAGGAGGGTGACCACTTTGACGACACCGATTGCATTGGATATCCTAAGGGACCATTTTGTGCTTGCGATACCGACTTTCAGGGGAGATAAGCGAGACAAAGTAGACAAGCGAGACAAACCCACTTACTCAGAACAATGACGGTGTAGACACCCACCGCCAGTCCTCGAAGGTTCCATGTCGTTTCTGTGACACCTGCTGAAACGAGGACATATCGGGCGAAGACTAGGGGAGAGGTCAGGGATAGAAAAAAAAGGTCAAAGGGCGTTGGAGATTCACTTACCTATGGCATTACTGCTGCTAAAGGACAGAAGGACGGATTGGACAGCGAAGACGGTGGGCAGAAGGAACCGAGGCCGAGGATATGCCTGTACTCACGGTAGCCAGTTGAGGAATGGTAGTCATCGGTGAGACAGCATGAATACTGACCTTCTCAAGATAAGCCACATCGGCACCGGAGCGATGTGGGAAGTAGGCAACGTACTCCAGGTAGACCGCGAGTTGAGCTGCAGAAGTGCTGAAAATCAGGAAAGCGCCTGAAAAATTCTGAGGACCACTAACCCCCGGCAAAGAAGTAGCCTATCACCCAGAAGATGAAGCTAAGTCCAACAGATCCCACTCCCTTCAAAATGGATCCAGCTGGGTGCCATTGTCAGACCCTAGGCAACAGCTAAATGAGAGTAACATACGAGTTGTGAAGACACCAGTACCAATCATCTTGCTAATGTTCTGGGCAGTCGGTCAAGCATGGTGCGAGCAGGGAGATAGTGGAATACTGACCAGGAAGATGACACTTATAGCGTCGACATGATAACCTAGCGGGCTGACCTTTTCGGTGGGCGCGCCTGTGGTAACAGCTGCATCCTCATAGGACGGCAGGGAGTCTGAAGAGACTGTGCTGACCACACCCTTCTCATCAGAGTAATCGCGCTTTTCGTCTGTGGACGACATGACGAAGGAAGGTGCCTTGGGGCGAGAAGAGAAGGATTGGTAGGTTAAATGGGAACGGAATTCTCTTCTTGACCCGAAAGAGCATTCTTCTTCTACCGCATTTTAGCCTGGAGAAGCACCAGGTGAACTCCATTCACCAGCCCTATTGCGCCATTGCACACATAGATGGCTTCAGATTCTTTTGATCTGAAGCTGCCACGAATGGAGTGGGGTCAAGTGGTAACGGGGAGTAACAAGTCGTCTTGGAAAACTCGATTGGGTTATTACTTGCCTGAAGCGGATAAACCCATACTGCGAAGCGTGCTCCCCGAACGAAGATACGAGAGAGCATCCACACTGTGTCGAGAACGGCGGTGATACTAGAAGGCGCAGTCACGATGTGAGATGTAGCCGCCTATAGGGCCTCGAGAAAGATTATAGCTCCATGTTGATGGGCCTTAAATCGAGCATGCTAATGGCAAGCACGTCACATAGAGTTAACTACCTGTTCCATTGAGCAAGAGGAAGAATGACAGTGTGGTACTGAGACGGACCGTTGAGCCATAGCACATAGTCATGTCAAAAAATGGCGCAAAAGATAGCCGAGCATCTCGCCTCATCTGGAGGTCAACGAGGTCAATGGCGGAACTGAATGAGACTGATAGTAGGGCAGTGTCCTAGCCACACTGTAGCACATGGGACTGGACAAGAGTGGGACCAACTTCTTGATCTTCCATCGAGAGAACTCGGGGGGCAAAAAACATCCGGCGAAACACCGACAAAGGAGGTGTTGTAGGCTGTTTAAGGTTTTGTCAAGCCTGCGAGGTAGTCACGATCGCAGGCCCAGGAATGCGTCCCTGGACGGGCTGGGGGCGATCCATACCGTGATCTGGTCGTGTGGGCTGGCCGATTCGAGCCCCCATGCCTGGCTGAAGGATAGGAAGGACGATCAGTATACTGCCTGGGTCATCAGTGTCGTGTCGTGGCACAGAACTGGGAAACGGATGTCGTGATTGGTCGGAGAGCAGAGAGCGCGTCAATCGCCAATTGACGCGCCTCAGAATCCCGCCCTGGCTGATTCAGCAAATCCCACGATCGGGGGAAATGCTCCCGACTGTGCCTTGGACCGTTGGTCTTGTCCGTCATCGTCTGGTATGAACGTCGATCTCCCAATTACACATGGCTCAACGACTGAGAGCGCATCGGAGGAGTCTTTGAGAGTCAGAAAGGTGCGCAATAATCTCTGGAACTCACCCTGGTCCTGACATTCGTTGTAGCGGAAACTGGAAGATGCGTTCCATACTTTAGACAATGCTGTCCAAGGACCTCCAGCAGACCGTCCTTCCGCACCGAAGAAGACCTACATACCGCGTTCCCTATACTCTACCTTGGCAAAATATGGCATCAAAAACAAAGAACAACAAGCGCCAGAGTACGTTCAGAAGGCTGTCGCAATTGCAACTGGCTAACAAAACCTCACCTAGTCCTGCAATCCCAACTCTCTTCAGAAGTAACACAGCTCCAGAACTCGGAGAAGCAGCGAAGAAGACACCACATTTGACTGCAATCCTATCCCGTGCAGCGACACGAACCAAGAACGCGTTCTCCTTCAAATTCCCTTCAAATTCTTCCGCACCTCTGTTAAAGCCCGGTGCAGAATACCGGCCGTCCTCTCTGCAGTCCTTTTTGTCTCGTTTGGAGACCTTCAAGTTTACCACATACGCGAACAAACCTCCGTGCTTGGACGCTGTAGCGGCATCAAGGTGCGGATGGACGAACGATGGTAAAGACCGGCTTGTCTGCGGGCTTTGCAGTGCGTCATGGGTTGTAGCAGGAAGAGAGGGTATGGCTCGTGATGTTGGTGAGTGGCGACTACTCGAGAGCATTTACCTTTCCTAACCGCGTCGTATAGCGAATGCTTTACTGGAGAAACAACGTCAAGGATTGGTCGACAACCACAAGAACGGTTGCCCCTGGAGAACACGCCAATGCGATCGTATGTACTCGCTTAGCTCGCATACCGGCACCTTGGTTCTAATCACACTCACAGCTGGAATTTACTGTATACCACTCACCTCTCCGAGTAACACCGTCAAGGAGGTCAAGTCAAATGCCCTGGTACTGAATCCCTTGATGGAAGGAGTGGTGATCAAACATCCTCTGGTACGTCGTGTACACATATCCTCGCTCAACAACTGTATTTACACAAGACTTAGACTCCGAACCAACTAAACTCCCTCAAGAAAACTGTTGCATCCTACCGCCTTCCACCGACGAACGACTCCAAAGACCCGGAGAAGGAAAAAGATGCAGAAAAGCCCTCGAGTCCACCTCCGGCAAACGACGACGCAATGGACGTAGACGAGCCTCCCTCTGCAGAGCAAAGGCCACAAGCGCAAGAGCCTGAACCAGAACCAGAACCAGAGCTCTCGGAGGCAGCCATCGTCGCCTCTCTATTTGGATGGTCTTTCGTCCCTCCCGCACCACCCCCACTTATCGACCCTCGACTCCGTCGGTCCTCGACAACCATTGGCGTCAAGTCGGCGTCAGCAGGTCTCAATCTAACACCGTCTCGCCCTCTGCTATCCAGACCAGGGACCCCTGCAGGCACGCCTTCGCGGCCCACTTCCCGACCCTCAACACCGTCCTTATCACACCGTTCTCCTATGCCCCTCTCTCGACTAGCATCCCCTGCGCCGGATGGCGAAAACAGGGCTAGGACGCCGTTCCGTTTCCAGACGCCTTCCCTCAGCCTTTCCAATAAACGCGAAAACACCCTCCTCCAATGTAATCTGTGCCAGCGGAGACTCGGTCTCTGGGCATTTACCTCTTCGAAGGACGAGACATCCAAGACCGGAGAAGACACCTCCAACGGCCCGCCCTCAAGTCCCACAACTTCCCCATCATCCAGGCTAACGAGGCCTGGAAGGACAATGCCTCAGCGGCAGTTTGACTTGCTCAAGGAACATCGGTCGTACTGTCCGTATGTCGTGAAATCAACTGTCGTACCTACACTTCCTTCGTTCGACCCAAAGGCTCCGAGTTCAGGCAGCCGTGCTTCCTCGGATAGGCCTGCCGCCAACCCCGGCCTTTCAAGATCCCTATCGACACTTCATAATCCAAACGCAGCAATGGAAGGTTGGCGAGCGGTTCTTACTGTGCTACTGAGGTACGGGTTGGCACAGAGGCAGAGACAAGAATACGATGTCTTTGGGAGGGCGACGGCCAACGATGGGGATGCCAGTGCCAATGGGGAAGATGGCCAACAAGAGATGAATAATGTCAAGGCGATGGTGGCCGGTGTCAAGCAGCGGGGTGTAAGTTCACTTTTCGTCAGTCGAAGGCGTGTTCAGCTCTGACAAACTTTGTGCACAGGGACGGGACCTATTGAAGTATGTGAAGGGGCTGCTGGGGTAGTATGTACATAATTGCTCGGTCTGAGCCATATCACCTGGAATACACTTCTTTTAATTTTCCGAGGGCCGCCTGGAAGAAGAGGGAGGATATTCAGCGTCACCTACGGGCAGCGAATGGGTGCACCTACCTCGTAGAATGGCTCCAACGGGGCTGTCGCTGTCTCCGCTACCCGAAGTCTCTTGACACTATCAAGGTGGTCTGCTTCTTTCATCATCTTTTTGAAGTAATGTGCCTGGAAAAAAATCGGGTCAGGCAATTAGATCTCTGAACGGAACTTGCTGCACATACCTCCTGCTCTTCTACCAATGTCCAAGCATCACCCTCCCTTCCAGCTCGAGCAGTACGTCCAACTCGGTGGACATATTTTCGGATATCTACTGGAGCATCGTAACTAACGACGTGGTTAACGTGGCTGATATCGATTCCTCGAGAAATCAAGTCGGAGCAGATCAGACTTCCGTTGAGAGTACCAGTCAGTTGGACTTTCGCAAAGACAAGGTCGCCATAATGTTTGCACGCACATGTGGATCTTCTGGGCTTTGAAATCCTCCAAAATCGATTTACGTTCACTCGGCGGTGAGTCACTTGAATACGCTCTGGCCACGATGCGGCTAGAAGTATCTTCGCCGCCAGCTGCCATTCGAGCCTCTTCAAAGAATTCGAACAGGCGCAACAGCCTCGTCGTCGATTCCGCTGATTTCGTGAAGACCAAAGCATTCGTGACTTGATGAGAATACACAAGGTGGAACATGATAAGCGGTTTCTTCGACGGATTGACGACAATCATGTGCTCCTGTGGACCCAGTCAACCGAACCAATTCAAAAAACCATCGAAGCCCAATTGCCACACTTACTCTAAGCGTATCGGGTACAGCAAACTTCTCCAATACCACCTGCGTGACGTTCTCCTCGACAGACTGGTCCTTCCCACTCTGCACAATGATATACCTCGGATCGCGAAGGTCTAGTGCAGCAATCTTTCCTGGATCCCGGGTCAACGTGGCCGAGAACAGCAGTTTTTGACAGCTCGAGGCGCGGTCTTCGTTCAAGAAGGTCGGGATGTCGGGTATCGGGAGTTGATGAAGGGTATTCGGTGCTAGGCCGTCAGGTATAGGTTGGATAGTATATGGTGAAGTTGAAGAAGGGATGTTGTCGACCGTGGTGGAGTCAAGGAACGTCCCCTTTTTCGGCGTCCGGATCGCTGCGAGGACTTGTGCCAGCCAATCTTGGAACGACTGCGCGAGGAGTCGGTCGGCTTCGTCGATTACGAGGTAGCGGAGGTGTTGCAGGGAAAAGTTGGGAGTTCCGACGAGGTGGTCCATTAATCTTCCGGGAGTGCAGATGAGGATGTCGACTTTACTTGAACCTCCTGCGAGGCTGAAGACAGAAATTTAGCCATAGACTTGGGGGAAATTTGAGAACCATACTGTGACGTCCTGTCGTATACAAGCTGGCTCTGTTCATGAGCAAAAGAGTGCTGCCCGCTAGCCGAACCAATCTGGGCAAAAATCTCAGTACCCAGTCAAAAACTGTCAAACCGACAGCATACCTTCAACCCAGTCCCCTTGCTGATAGCTTCAAACGTCTCTCGTACTTGACCAACCAAGTCACGCGTAGGTAACACCACAAGTGCTCGAAGACGTGTTACAACCCTCGTTTGGAGCGTCTAGCATATCTGTTTAGCCTCAGGCGCAAGATAGATAGAAAAGCGCGCGCACCTCGACTATAGGCAACACATACGCCAGCGTCTTTCCACTTCCCGTTGGCGCAGATACACAAAGGTCGTATGGAGGATCGTAAGGGCGGTAAAGGCCACCTCCACTGGAACTCCCAGTCAACAAATGGGGGACTATCGCCGTTTGCACTAACACAAAAAACAGAATTCAGGCGACAGAACGATAACCACAGAGGATGCACGTACCAGCAAAGAGTTCTGTAATCCCCAACTCTGCTAGTCGCTTCCTCGTCTTCGAGCCTAGTCGTATCCGTATGTCGTCACCATCCTTGGTCTCGTCGTCGTCATCGTCGGGTCCAGGAAGAGGTAGCACAGTCGAAGGGTCGACAATCTCCGCTTCTATAAGTTTTCGGTCCAGTCCTTGGAGGGCAAGCGTCGCTTTTGAAGGGGCATTTGGGAGTTTTGGGAGGGGGAAGGAGGGAAGGAATCCAACAGGGATGTCGATATCTTTCTCGGGTACAGGTGGTTGTGTCGGTTCTGGCTCGTCAGGTTGAATTTCACCTTCGTCAACTTGGAAAACATCAGCGACGGGTCGATCGAGTTCCTCTGTTTCTACGCGTCTCCTTTTTGAAGGCCGCTCCTCTGTACGTTCAGGCGGTGGCGAAGAAACAACAGGTCGGACGTCCTCTACCACGGCATCGACGTCCTCTTCACTCTCCTCTTCACTCGAATCACCTCGAGCAGGAGTACCGCCAGGTTCTCTCGACACACCCCTGGCCTTGTTCGTTTTCGCCTTGAGCTTCCGTCGCTCCTTCTTCTTTTTCAAGTACCGTTGCTTGGCTTTTGTTTTCTGCTAGACTATGAGATCATGGTTCATAGATAGTGGTAACAATTCGATGAGGAGTCTTACCGTGCGAGGTACTGCCGGTGCTGCTGCAGTCTCCATGCTCTCTGCTATCAGCCCAACGCCTAGGGCTTCGACTCAAATAGAACAGAATCCGACCTCCAAGTAAGCAGCTGAGTTCAGAGATGACGGTAAGAGTACGAGTTCAAAATTTGCCCACGGATCAACACACGCGAGTGTCGAGACGGATCAGCAGTGATTCTTCAAACCCAAGTCCAATCATGTTGGGCGAAACGAAGGGATGGATGATATACAACAACAGAAAGCTATAGAAACAAACAAGATCCACAAATTAAAAGCTCCCAATCCACTATCCGATTACTTCAAAGCCTTCTTCATCGTCTCCTCCATCTCGTCCAAGTCGTTGGTCTCAATCCGCACAATCTTCCTTCCAAGAGCCTTTTCGATGGCATCCATCTGGGCAATTCAGTCAGTCTCACTGGATATCTTCCACTTTGTCAATACAGATAACGCACCTGCAACCATGTCTGCTTATCGTGCACGAAGTTGATGCTGATACCCTTCCTTCCAAAACGACCGGTACGACCGATACGGTGGATGTAAGTCTCAATGTCGGGCCTGCTGTCGTTTCCAGAGGCAGGACCTCGGTCATTCATCAGCGGCAGATCGTAGTTGACGACCATGTTGACCTAGATAATGGTCATTAAGGGGGAAAGAACAGAAAAGACGCGGCATGTCGTACCTGGAGAATATCGATACCACGAGCAATAACGTTGGTCGTGATGAGGACCTTCTCCTTGCCCTCCCTGAAGCGATCGATAATTGCATCACGCTCATTAGCGTTTTTAGCACCATGAAGCGAGGCGACTTTATGGCCTTCGGCAGTCATGCGTTGCGAGATGCGGTCAGCTGTATGTCGGTGCTATAGGGTGTCATACAGTGTCAGAATCAACTCAATTGGTGAAGAAGGGAGGTCACACCTTGCAGAAAATGATACTCTGACCAATGGTCAAGAGCGAGTAGAGTTGAACCAGGATATCGTATTTGTGCTCCTCGTTCTTGCAGTCCATGTAGAACTGCCTTATACTGTCGACGCTGAGCTCTTCCTTCTGCAACTCGATCTTGTTCGCCTTGGGTGCAAACTTGTTTGCGAAGGAGCGGACATGGTCGGGGAAAGTAGCGGAGAAGAGGATGATTTGAATGGGTTGAGTAGGGTTCTTGGGTAGGAGGCTGAAAGTCACTGAGCAACCACGAGTCAACCCTCGCCCAGAATGAAAACACTCACTTCTTCACCCGCAACGTCTGATCACCAAGCCCATCCTGATCAAGCATGTTATCCGCCTCGTCAAGCACAAACACCTTCACATGAGTCGTATCCAGCACTTTTCTGCGCATCAAATCAATCATCGTTCCAGGATTTCCGACGATAATTTGAGCGGTGATGTTGGAAGCGTCGCGGGGGAGGTTGTCCTTGATCGCGTATTCGGTTTGGACTGAGGTATATTTGCCCATCGTGATCACTACTGACATGATTTGGCGGGCGAGTTCTCGGGAGGGAGCAAGGCAGATTGCCTAGGAATGAACAGGAAAATCCAATTAGTGGTAGACGCTCAGGAGATACGGGGATTTCGTACTTGGGGTTTGTGCAAGTTGTAGTCGATTCTGCTCAACATGGTCAAGACGAATGCTGCGGTCTTTCCGGTTCCAGATTGAGATTGTCCAATCATGTTTGTGGGTCTGGGGAATGGTCAGCGCTTGGAAAGGGGAGGCCTTCTGTGATGCGTACGGATTGGCGAGTAGCAGGGGGAGGGCACGTTCTTGGATCTTGGATGGTTTTGAGAAACCCATATCGTAGATTCCCTTCAATAGATCCTCCGCCCTAATGTGTAATTAGAGAACGGAAGAGATGTAACGGTACGGGTTAGAACGCACAATCCGAGCTCCTCAAAAGTCTTCGCACTATACAGTGGCGAATTTGGATCCGCTTGCTGGTCAGCGAGCGTTACCTGAGCTAAATATGTTAGCTTCTGTTTTTCCGGGTATCGCGCAGAGTCCAATACGCACAGTGACTTCGAACGAGGACTTGATGAGGTCGTTTTCTTCAAATCAAACCGTAATTAATGCTTGAAGCAACTAGCAGCATCATCCAGATAATTACCAGGAGACTTTGGTCGCTCCGCCTCAGGTTTGGATTCAGTTGCTGTCTCAGCAGCAGGAGCAGCGTCCTTCGCTGTTGAATAAACCGCACACAACAGGTCGTTAGCCTCGTTCCCCACTCTACTTTGCGCAACACCAAAGTACGCACCTGGGTTGAAGAATCCATCAGCGTCCTTCTCCATGTCGTCGTGATCTATTCTTTTGCAGGGTTCAGAAGTGGTCTTAGTGTAAAATACCGTCCAGAGATTTCTAGGACGTTATTTAAAATGTCGTGAAGTGAGAGAGGTGGTGTGGCGAGAAACAAGAACAAGTGGCTCCTGCAATGACCAAAACGCGTCTAATCAGATCTCGGCCAGGCCCGAGTCGCGAGGCTCGGAGAGACGAAAAATGTTTTGCTCGAGTCAGGATTCGAACGCGTGCAATGCCGTGCACCGGCCACCTCACCCTGTCACCGGATCAAAGTCTTCGGGGTTGGCCCAGGTTGGTGAATTTCAATTTCTCTGTCTAACCTTGCCCTTGAAGTTGCTGGCTGCTCGCTCATACGACTCTGTGAGTCTGTGCTCTCTGAGCATCCGAAGACTGTAAGGTATCGTCTCAATGCACGAAAATGCTCCTTCACGTTTGACATGGATGATGACCGATTTATCGAAAGATATTGATTTGATGTTGCATAGTAGGAGAGCCAGGGCTGGCGAGGACGCTGCCTCATGCTTTTCAGCGCCTATAGTCATCGAACGGGGGTGTCTTTCACCGACACAACGCATTTCCAGTTTCGAATCTTTCAACTGTGGACAGCCCACGAAGCTTGCCTCGATGCGTCCCACATCTTCGCAGAACATTGTTGTTGCATTGGGATTTTTTACCCAAGTTCACCGTTTGAATGTGCTCACTGAGGCCTCGTGTGCCAGTAATTTAACTACCCAATCAAGTCAGTCTGACGGTGGCGGCTCCGACTTGGACAGTCACACCCAGGAGTGGGCGCTGCCAGTGGGAGAAGAACGTAACTGACTAATGGGAACTTGACGTGCGCCTGCCCCATCCATCCGAGGCTCTTACCATAACCACATCCTGCATCCAATCCAACACGTCCCGCCCACTTTAAACAACGCGTTATTTCACGGTAGACGATCAAAGCGCCCAACCTCACGACTTTGGCAAGGCGCCTACTAGACCTCGTCGAAGTTCAGAGCCCACTCTTTCGACTTCGAAAGCCCTACCTGAACCACAGACCATGTCGTTCTTTGGAGCGGGCAGTTCAACCACGGCGGGAACGAGCACTACGGCGCCGGTCGAAAAGGATGTCGAAGTTGCTGACCCGCCGACGGACTCCATCTCGTCGCTCTCGTTCTCACCACAGGCAGAGTACCTCGCTGTTGCAAGTTGGGATCAAAGTGTAAGTTGGTTTTCGAGTTTGAGGGTGTTCCTCGTATGTTGACCTTTTCGGCGTCCAGGTTCGGATATACGAAGTAGGACCTCAGGGACAGACGCAGGGCAAGGCCATGTATCAACATCAAGGCCCCGTGCTGGACGTCTGTTGGAACAACGTACGTCTTGTCGCGCTCCACATATCACAACTCGTGAACATGATATGCGGTTTGATAGGACGGCACGAAAATCTTCTCTGGAGGCGCTGACAATGCAGGGAGAATGTTCGACGTGACGACTGGCCAGGCTACACAGGTTGCTCAGCATGACGCCCCTGTAAAGGTCGTAGGCTGGGTCAACACCCCTCAGGCCGGAATTTTGGCGACTGGGAGTTGGGACAAAACGATCAAGGTACTGCCCATTGGCTTCGTTGTCCATTTCGAACCCTCATCAACCCCATTGCAGTATTGGGACTTGCGAACACCCAACCCTGTCGCGACAGTCACTCTCCCAGAGCGATGCTACACTTTCGACATCCAATTCCCTCTGATGGTTGTTGGAACGGCCGAACGACGCATTCAGATTTATAATCTCAGTAACCCTACCACTGTCTACAAGGTTTGTACGCACTCTCCTTCTTCAGAAGAAGTTATTTCCTGACGCAGACCTACATATATGGCATTTTAGGAGTTGCTGTCGCCGTTGAAATGGCAAACACGAGTGGTCTCGTGTATTACCGCATCAGAAAAGAGCGGATTTGCGGTTGGAAGTGTTGAAGGGCGAGTGGCTGTTCAGTAAGCGGTCTCCTTCCAGTTCGTCCCGATCCCGTGTTGATTCTGTACTTAGCTATGTCGAAGACAAAGACGCAGCGTACGTGATTTCTGCAAGGAAAACTCCTTGTCAGAATTCAGTTAATCTTTGTATAGGAATAACTTCTCGTTCAGATGCCATCGCCGAGACTCTACTCCCAACTCCAAAGACCAATCGCAGATATTCGCTGTAAATTCCATGGCTTTCCATCCCGTGCATGGGACGCTAGCGACATGCGGTACGTCACTTTCTACGAACGTTCTGTCGAGAGAAGACCCATTGTCTTCGTAGGTTCTGATGGTACCATGCACTTCTGGGACATCGAGGCAAGAACGAGATTGAAGAGTGAGTATCACCCTACCGTGACCTTTTCCCAGATCCAATCCTGAGGAACACCCCGCATTTTAGGCTTCGATCCTGCCCCTGGCCCGATTTCTACTGGAGGTTTCAATCGCAATGGTACATTGTTTGCCTATGCAATCTCGTACGATTGGTCCAAAGGACATTCTGGTATGACTCCAGGTCATCCTAACAAGCTGATGCTACACCCTTGCAAAGAAGAAGAGGTTAGGAAACGCAGCAGGAAGTAAACTCCATCGGCTATACAAAGTCTGTACATTCGATCTTGTAGCAGTACTACGAAGTGTTTGTTGAGATAGTAGGCAATGTCAATCATAGTTCTACGACATAGATCTCTTCTGTATGTAACGCTATACATATCTTCCCCGTGCACTCCTCAAAGTACATAGTTTGGATGGACTGGAGCTGGAATGGGAGGGCAACGTAGTTAGGCCAGACAGGCGCCACCGTTGCTCCCTTCGCCTTGTCAAAGCCCGCTTTCATTACCACAAACTCGGTGTTCAAATCGGGCGTATCGAACCTCCGCTCCAACCAAACTAATCGGTGTCCAGACTCTCCTGGACAAAGGGATACGGGGGCGGCACCAGTGGCCATTGGGATCTGGTAGTTAGGGGAGAGAGGCTGGACTTCGCTGCTGTCGGCCTTGACTGGGACAGAGTAGTGAGAAATAACACTTCTCATGGTTGGGCCAGAGTCGTGAAAGATGAAAAGGGGGAGGGGAGGGTTGCTGCGGTCCGTTGGTTCCTGGGACAATTGCCATTCAAAACCAGGTGATAGGTCGTCAACCCTGTAGCTTGAAAGCGTCCTGATCCCTTTATCCGAGGCTGATCCTGTGTCTTCAAGGTTCGGAAGGCCATGTGTCGTGATGGAGATCGCCTTGTAAGTGGCACGGATGACATACAAGATATCGCGGTACAGCTTTAATTGCACAAAGTCGTCCTGATGGAAAGGTATGTCGGAATAGGAATTGGCACCAGTTGCATGATTTACGATCAGAAGTTGATAGGACACGGTCGCTGTACCAGGGTTATCGGTCTCGTCTGGTAGCTTCGCCAAACCTGCAACGACGATGGAACCAGAGATATGAGGATCGAAGAATATTTCTCCGTAAAGCGGCCGCGTTTCGGAATATAAAACGGTCGGAACGGGAGGGTTGCTGTCATCTACCTCGTGGAGAGGGATAGAGAGAACCTGGAGGAGGCTATATTGGGAACGGAATTAGGAAACCCGTGTTCCTGGTGCGTACAAAGACGTTTTTGTAGTGCAGATTGCTTACGATTTAACGCGATGGTCTCCTGCCACATATGCGATTATCGCCGTATCGTTTGAATAAGACGCCGTAAATTCGGTGTGATTGGTGTGTGGCAACTCGATAGACAGGATAGATGTCGGGATTTGTGATTGGTCAGGACCGGGAACGCGCAGGATGGAGAGATTGGTCGAGGGACGGGTGCCCACAGCTTGTGACAGAACCACAATAAAAGAAGGACCTAGAAATTGAAGGTGCCGCACAGTGCCAACGTGTGGGATGCGTGTCAACCGCTTGACAATCGACTCTTTGCGGCTCCAGTTTGACTCGAGGCGCAGCGCGTCGACTGCGCGTTGCTGTATTTGACGCCCGGGAAGGTTGCGGTGATCGACGGGCAGGTCAACCGGCACGTTGAATTTCAGTGTACGCCAGATGAAATCTGCAGTGGCCAAATCGTGTAGTCCACGACATGTCTGCGTGTATCGCGTATTCGGATTCCTTTGTCTGAACGCTCAAGCAAGTGGAGCAACGACACCTGTTGAATAACCAATAAGTCGGGGGCTTCGAGGTTCTGGAGAATGGCCAGAATAATGTCGTCGGGGAGATTGAAGAGCATTAGTAGTCAAGTAATGAGAGGTTGGCGATAAGGGGTTCCGTGGAGATTGTAATTTGTGATGCAGTCAAGGGTGACACCAAGCAGAGCCAAACTAATGGGGTTTATAAGTTCCCCGCAGGCCTTTGATTGAGTTCCACCACCATTCCATGAATCCGAGCCCTGCTGAACCAACAAACGATTATCTGTCCTCAGGGATGTCAGAGTTAGATAGCTGGTCGGACTCCGACTGGCTCGACATTCCCAGTGGCAACGCCTCAGAAGACAACGACTCCATCAGCTCGCGCGACACACACTCAAGGCCCCTCTCTCGCAGGTCTTCCTTCAGCCTAGGCAGTTCACGGGAAGGCGACATCGAAGCATGGGAAGGCTATGCCTACGACAGCCATGACGAGGCCGCCGCAAACCTGGCGTCGGGCATGTACCCTTTGCCAAATGCCACACTGGCCGGGAGCACTGACTTGCAAAGGGTTCCCTTAGACCTCATCCCAAACATCGAGACAGAGCTCGATCGGGCAGAAGATGAGCGAGTCAAGGAGGCCCTCGAGCAGAGTCTTATCGGGACACTCAGCGCATCCAGGTCGAGCACCACAGGCGCCGCGGGTTTAGCCACGAGCGGGACGACTCACTCCCAGTCCACGAACAGCGCCCCCAATCTGCGCCTTTCCTTCCCCGACCCGTTGACCAGCTCCCGTAATGAATTGACGAGGTCTTATGACGATGTTTCGCCACCGCAATCCCCCAAGGACGATGGTCGCGAGCAGTTGCCAACGGAGTCGGTGTCTAAAGCAGGAGAAGACGCCGCTGCTGCTTCACCTGATCAGTCACCGGACCCGACCCAACCCTCTGCCACAATTACGGTCCGGGAGGATGAGGCCCAAGAGGTTGTCCCACCTAAGGTTGACCTCGAGATCCATCTCTATGGCTCCTCGACTGAGTATAAATGGGCCTTGGTCCAAGACCTGTTGCAGAAGGTGGCCGATGGCTCAGGGCAATTCCTCGGAAAGCCCCTCGACCCCGGTGCGGGCTTGGTGCAGACTGTCAGGCTGGAGAATGACGACGAGGACTCCAAGGGGTTGATCAATGTCGTGAAGATCTTTGATCGTACGGAAGATAATAAGCCCCCCATCGATGCAGTAGGTTTCCATGCTTTCATCCACCTTTCATTCTCGTTCCAACTTTCTTTTCGTTTCGTAGTATGACGATGATGCGCCATCTCTTGGCATCGTTTTCCTTCCCGCCCTTCGCTTGCCTCCATTGGCCCTCCACGACTTTTATCTGCCCGTTATGGCTCGCAACGAGCTCCTCGACCTGACCTACGAAGGTAGCATCCCCGCGATGCGACAAGCGGCCGAGGATGACTGGGAGCTGCTCTGCATCCCCTCCTTCAAGGCCTTCCCCATCAAGGATGGCAAGTACAGTGTCGCCACTCATGATGGTATCTGTGGGGCAGATTCTGCTCAGGTTCGTGAGGCTATGGAAGTACTCGTGACTGGTATCCCCAAGAAGCCTGTCAAATCAGAGCCCTCGACCCCGGTCAATGCTGTAACCATGTAAGCTCATCATCCTTTGCCGGACCTGCTATGTCGCCTAACGTAACCCTTTCCTTCCAGTTTCGCTCTTGTGTCGTTGATAGTGGGCTTCGCTTGCAACACGTCTTTCCATTCCAACTCGCCCATCCCTACCAAGACTGTCAACTTGACGACTCCCAACAACACCTGGATCGCCATCAGCCCTGGACCCAACAGGTCGAATAGTCACCCCCTTCACCACACCAATGTGAAGACTTCAGCCGCAATCACATCCCTCAAGGACGTGGCGCTTTCGGTCTACATTGCCGGCTCCACCTCCTTGTCTCTGACTTCCCAAATCAAGTCCCTTGTCCCGACTTCATCGCAATCCCCTGCGATCCTCCCCTGCATCAAGTGCAGCACTGAGGCGGCATTGGCGAAGCCTATTACCCGGGATGTAGTTGTTGCACCATCTTCCTCTGTGGCCTTGGCAGAATGTCCGATGCCACCCTCGCCTTCTCCTTCGAAGGCTCTTGCAGTCTCCGAGGTCGACTCGAACGACGACTCGGAGGACGTCCAAGAAGATGGGGAAGAGGATATTCTTCCCGAGCCGACAACCAAAGCCCTTGGATTGAAGTTTGTCGACTCTCTTTCCGAAGCTTTGGGTGTCACCAAGGCAGCGGTCATCAAGTCCGTGAACGATGAAACCAATGACCTCTTCGACAGCTTGGACGACCTCCTCTCCTCCATCCGCACCCAGACAGACGAACTCATCAAGAACTCCAAGGGCAAGGCTCGTGCATTCGGCGAACAGGTTCAGAACATGGGGGAGACTCTGCAGTATAGGAACGACAGGGCCCGGTCTCGCGCTAAGGAGTTGAAGAAGAAGGGCGAAGAATTTATCTGGACGGCGAGCGAGCGTGTCAAGCAACGCACTGACATCGCCAAGAAGAGAGCGTATCGTATTCGACGTTCGTTGGAGGAGTCAGATGCTTGGAAAGTGTATCAGGCGAGACGTATGGAGTGGGATGATGGCTATGAGGACGCCTGGAAGGACACTGGTACTTGGGGCATTCATTCCAGCCGCGGATGTGCAAAGGTCCACTCTGGTCGTGCTGGACGCCTCAGGTCTTTCTCTTGTGATTGATTATCTCTATCGTTTTGCCTACCGTTTTCGGCTCATTCTCTCTCTCATTTTACTCTGGACTTATTGCTTTGATAATGCTTTCTCGTCATGACTATATCTTGTAACTATCAAACCCAATAACATGTGTACTTCTCGCCGTTTAACTTGGGATGCAAGTTGGCGTGACTGGGATTCGAATCCACGAATTGACGCCGAGGTCAACGGCGCTTGATTCAAGCATGGCCAAACAACCAGGCTCGCGGCGTCAATTGGTTCCGACGAGTCAAGCTTTATTAATTACAGCCACCAACGAGCGACCTCAAGCCTCGTGCTATCTCATTGCAATGGCTACCGGTAATTTATTAAAGTCTTGAAACGTAACCAGAAGTGCTAACTGAAGGATTTACAGCAGCGAGACGTACTGGTCGACCCAAAATCGTGCGTTCTATCCCAATTGCTTTAAAGCTTGGTCCAACTTGACGCGTTCCTTTGGCTTCAGAAACCACCCAAAAAGGTGACTTCATCTGCAAGGGCTATCTCCTTCCTACTCTAACATATCCATGAAAGCATGGTCCAGAATTCTCAGCGGAGAAAACATGGAACGCACTATCCCAGAACATCAGGGAGATCCAGAACCACAACGCCGCCAGTCTTTCATTCGAGGAGAACTACCGATATGCGTACAATATGGTGCTGTACAAAGAGGGCGACATGTTGTACAGAGGAGTGTGCAACCTGATTGCATCCAACCTCGACCAACTGGCAGAGCAACATATCATACCTCGGTTCCCAGCCGGTTCAATCAACGATCGCTTGCAGCGGAGTCAGGCGGGGGAGTTGTTGCTCAAGGCGTTGAGAGAGGTGTGGGATGACCATGTTAGCAATATGACGAAGCTGGGGCAGTTGTTGAAGTACATGGTGAGTCAGTTGTCCGCGGAACTTTGGGGCTAATTAAGGAATCGTTCGTCATGTAGGACCGGATATATACGAAGAATGCGAACGTTCCGGAGACATGGGACAAAGGCGTCGAACTATTTTTGAAGCATGTTATCCGCTCCCCTATCAAGGACCACCTCGTATCAGGTATACTTGATCAAGTACAATGCGAGCGGGACGGTCATACCATCAATCGGTCCGCTGTGAAGGGATGTGTTGATGTGCTGTTGTGGCTCGAGACGGGGAATTCAATTACGGTGTACAAGAAGGAGCTGGAACCACCATTTTTGAAGGAAAGCGAGGCGTTCTACAAGGATGAATCCAGGCATCTGTTGGATACATGTGACGCCCCAGAGTACCTGCAGCGAGTGAGTCTGTGATCCACCGCATAACCAACCTGTTTCTGACTTAACGTGCAGGTGGAAGCGCGTTTTGAAAGCGAAGACTCGCGCATCCATCATTACCTTTCTCCACAGACTTCAGCCGCCATCAAGCAGATCCTACAAGACCATCTCCTAACACCCAATCTATCCGCAGTCATCTCGATGCCAAATTCTGGCCTTGACGTTATGATCGATGCCAACAAGCTGGACGACCTGTCTCGTCTTTATCGTCTGTTTATGCAAGTGCCCACAGGGTTGCCTGTACTCAGGAAGAGTTTGCGCGAGTCGATCATACGACGAGGGAAGGAACTTAATGATGCTTCGTTGGGTGCTGGGACTGCTGATGCAGAAGGTGATGGTCCACGGGAGGAAAAGGGCAAGGGGAAGGCCCGTCCTGTGAACACTGTGCTCCCTGCGGTCACTTGGGTACAGGACGTACTCGCTCTGAAGGACCGCTTTGACCAGGTGTGGAAAGAGGCGTTCCAAAGCGACCGTGATCTGGAGGCAGCCATTAACGAGGTAAGGAAACCTTCAGTCTTGTCTCACGAGTAATAGTTAACACTTCTCATAGGCATTCGAATCGTTCGTCAACGCACATGGAAAAGCACCAGAATACACCTCATTGTTCATCGACGACCACCTCAAACGCGGCCTCAAAGGCGTAAGTACATTTCTACAGATATCAGATATTTCGTTGTTGATGTTAGCAGAAATCAGACGATGAGGTCGACGTGGTGCTGGGGAAGACGATCACGGTATTCCGTTACATCACTGACAAAGATGTGTTTGAGCGTTACTACAAGTCGCATCTGGCGAAACGGTTACTCCATGGTCGATCAGTTAACGATGATGCCGAGCGAGGCATGCTGGCCAAGTTGAAGCTGGAATCCGGATTCCAGTTTACATCAAAGTTGGAAGGCATGTTCAACGATATCAAGCTTTCGAACGATGCAATGGTGGAGTACCGAGAGTATATTCAGTCACGGACGGTATGGTCGCCTTCTATCATCGCTGTTACTGGGCTGATCTATTTCGCCAAAAAGGCTCCCGCTATCGAACTTTCAGTTACAGTTATGACGACAACCTTCTGGCCAATATCACCTCCCGCTGTCCCATGCGCTGTCCCCGACATCCTAGCCGAAGCTTGCAAATCTTTCGAGGGCTTCTACTTCTCTCGGCATAGCGGTCGCCGGCTAACTTGGTCAATGGCTCTGGGCAATGCGGATGTGAGGACTCGGTTCAAGACACGGACTCACGACCTCAACGTCTCCACATATGCTCTCATTATCTTGCTGCTGTTCGAGAACCTGGCAGAGAGCGATTTCTTGACATACGAGGTCCGTTCTGATTTGTCTCCTTTTTTCAATTTCGCTCTAACCTTTACCCCAGGAAATCAAAGAAGGGACCGGGATCGAGGAGCATGAATTGAAGCGAAACCTGCAATCATTGGCTTGCGCCAAGTTTAGGATCCTCAAGAAGCACCCACCAGGCCGTGACATTCACGAAGAGGATTCGTTCTCATTCAACCACGATTTCTCAGAAAAGATGCAAAGGATCAAAATCAGCACCATCTCTTCGAAGCCAGAAACGACACGGGAGAGGCAAGAAACGAATGAACGTATTGACGAGGAGCGCAAATTCCAGATTGAAGTGGGTGTCTCCCAAGTTTCAGTGCTCTCTCCACACTAACTAGATATCTTCAGGCATGCATTGTCCGAGTTATGAAGGACCGCAAACACCTTGCTCACAACGCATTGGTGAACGAAGTGACGAAACAACTGTCGTCCCGATTCCACCCTGATCCTCTTGCGATTAAACGGAGAATCGAGGGTCTGATCGAGGTATGTACAATGAAAGTTGTCGTGTACTTGGGTGCTGACTTTCTTTCAGAAAGAGTATCTGGAGCGGTGCGAGGATCGCAAGTCTTACAATTATCTGGTAAGTTTGGGCTGGATTGATTGGCAAGTGAGCGGTGCACTGATGTGGATCTAGGCTTAATCTTCACGGAGTCGTTCAGCGCTTATGGCCCTCTTAACGAGCAAATTATCATGTGTATAATAGTCCCATTTCACCCATCATACCAATCTAATCCTCTTTTTGTTTCGCTCACGAACTCGTTTGAAGTGACGGATCCATTCACTGCGTTGCTGAAAAGACGATCTACGATTAGTGTCCATGCTACCCGGGTAATGGTAATACTACATATGAAGGTCCGTTGTACAACAAGGATCTAGCCCAAAAGGAAAGACAGTCCATCTCGTAGCTCGCTCAGAGCCTGAGGCCCGTGCTCAAGGCAATCTTGATGAGGTCGTCCAATTGAAGGATGGATCCAGGGGAGCGGTGATCATCCCAGTTGGAGCCGAGGGGGATGACGGTATGGAGGCCAATATCGAGACCGCCAAAGCCAAAGTCGATATCGCGGAACTTGCCATCGCCATCCAACAATTGGAGGATGAGTTGGGCGACTTCAAGGTCGAATCCAGGTGCCCGTCCCCTCCTACGCCTGATGTCTTCACCGAAGATGCTGAATCCTCCTCGGAGTTGCTCGAGGAGGAGCAGCTGGAGCTCGACTTCGCATGCTTGCTCAAGGATAATCCTGTGGATTACAGCGTTGGTAAGGATCTGAGCCTTCCTACTGCATGAGATAGCTGTACCTTTTAGTGAGTTCTTGCACGATTGCCAACTGTTGTTGGATCTGCCTGACTCCACGACCTGGAGCCCTGCAGGCGGCCCTGTTGTTGACGTCCAACACCTCGATTATGAGTTGTTCATTCCGGAGTCCGAAGATGTTGTCGACTCCGAAGAAATCGTCAAAGCCGTTGAAGGACTGGAAGCCTCCCCAGAGGTTAAAGGATACTGGGGTGATATCGCTTCGACGGCTTGGAGCTGTGATACCAGTTAGGATGACGATGTGGGCGAATGTATATCAACCAGCTGGAATGTCGTACCCTGGTTGATGGGGGAAGCAAACGCGGTTTGCAGAGCGAAAAGGCCAACAAAAAGCAAAGCAAATCGAGCAAAGAAAGACGACATGGTGGCAATGAGGGTCAAAAAGAAGATCGAAAGGGGTTTAAGTTTTGAAAATGTGGTCTGAAAGAAAGTCGAATGAACGTGTCAAATGAAAGTGCCGACCTGGGCAAGAAAGGAAGGGATGGGCTGAGACGAAAGGGCGAAGAACTGAAAGACGAAGGAAGAGAACGGGCTGCTGAACCTTCTAGCTGGAATTCTCCACTCTTTTATGGACGAGCTCTGGCGTTGCATACCCACGGTTTCCTCGATTCTACATTCGTAACTCACCCTCGAAGAACGTCCTGGACGACTTCTGATTCTGACGGTTACAGCGGTTTCGTACCAGTAGCTACCGTGGTGGCGCTAGAGACCATCGCGTTTCGTGCCAACATTGAATATTGACGCCCAAGGTAAGGGTACCTAGCTTCTACTGGGAAGCTGGAGGTCAAGAATAGACCACCCCGTTATTTCGGGTCATCCGAGCCCTCCGATAGGCGCCGAGACGAGAGTGAAAGCCTCCGTCCCCGGTTCGAGACAGTTTCCATTATGGAATTCGTCATGGGATAAAACGCTCCTCTGGGAGTACGTTAGTATCTTCGTTCCTTCATATATCCTATGGTGTACGGGATACACCTACGATCAACCTACGATGTGGCTTGGTGTGGGCGAAGTCGTCGCTGTTCACGAGTCAACTGACCTGAGTGCCCCTATTTCGGATTCTCGGATGATTTAACCCCATCACCCACTGTGGCTACTATGCGAAGCGCTTTCTGTTTTCACTGGCTGCTTGTACTTCATCGTGATTATTCATCGTCTCTCATTGATATGTGGCAAGGTAGAGGCTGTCCTGTGTCGAATTCAGCAGACGACGAGGTACATGATACTGGTACTAGCGAATTATATGTAAGGTACTACAGTGATCATCAGCAAAGTCACGAAGGACAATCAGAACAACAAGGTAAACACAAGGGTCAAGGCAAAGGAGGTAGAAGGATTACAGAGCTGAGTACTGTAGAGATACAATGTTCTAGGGCGCACGATACATGTAAGGGATTTACCAGAAGCGAGACCAGGCATTCCTGGCTCTGTGCCAAGCATTGCGAACAGTCTTGAAAGAGCGCTTGTCATCCCAGTTGTGGCCCTTGACGATGACGACGTTCTTGCCGAGGTCGTGGCCAGTGAAATCCCAGACATCATCAGTGAGGTCTCCCTTGTGGTCGAAGAACTTGTTGTAGTGGTCAACGATCTTCTCATCGTATCCGACTTGGTGGTGGCCCGGGAGGCGGAGAAGGTCTCGCTCGAATCCACGGAGACCGCCGTACCATTGCGAGAAGACGATGGCCTGGGTCTCGACGTCGCAAACCTTCTCAGTGATGACCCTAAAAGGTGGAAAGGAGAAGGTTAGTAAACATATTGAGATACTGTGGATACGGGTAGCTCACTTCTTGGCGAGCTCCTGAAGAACGAGCAAACGCTGTTGGATGACTTCAACCTTACGGACGCGGCAAACCAGTTCTTTCTTGGGCTTGACGATGATCTGCTTGTACTTGTGGCCGTCGAAGTTGTATTTGCCATAGAAGTTGTCGAAGCCCTTGAGAGACTCGAGTCCACCCCAACCGTCGAAAGTGGTGGCCGAGGGCACTGTCGAAGCGAACCTGTTAGTACAGCATTCAGTCAATCTCGATATAAATCTCCATACAGATCTCAGTCGTTGGGATGTCAACCTGAGCTTGGACGGGGGACTCGGACGACTCATCAACGGGCTCGTCCACCCCAACCGGGGTATCAGCGGGAGCAGGCTCCTCGGCGGAAGAAACGTCGACTGAAGTTAGAAATAATCAAGGTGAGCCAAATCCGGATTTCCGTTGGGCGCTAAACCACTGTACCTGATTCGGTGGGGGTGGGAGCTGGAACTGAGAGGATAGCATCAGGATGATCAGCAAATCACAGCACATGTGGAGTGAAATGACGAGAACGCACTCAGCTCAATGGGAGAGGAAGAAATGGCAGCCGCCCCTGCATCGCCCGCGTCAGTGGGGACGGGGCTGAGGGCTACAGTAAACGATGTGCATCAGTTACCAACTGGACCCGAAACGCAGTGATAATGGTACTGACCAGGATCGACAATGGGGGTGCCTTCATCCGAAGGGGCAGGCGAAGGGACAGCCTGAGGAGCGGCCACAGTAACAGCCAACACTGCCGAGAGAGTGGCGAAAAGAGTGAGGAGTTTAGCGACCATATTGACTAAAATATGCTAAAAGTGGTGTCTCTGAAAACCAAGTCTGATAGGTCAGTCGACATTCAGAGGCCAGACACTGACAGTCAACTCACGAATAAAGTGTTCGAAAGTTGGCCAAGGACTTGTGAAAAACTCAATCAAGATACGAACGAGGGATGAATGGGCAACCTGGCCTGAAAGGTTATGAAGAAGAACGAAGGGAAGATGAAAGTCGAAAGAAAGTCCTAACAGAGAGAAAGAAGGAACGAATTGATACTGAATCCGCACTCTTCAGCGTAGGGTTCTTATACCATTCATAAATCCTGTGTCGATCGACTTCTGAAAGGCTTATTCATAAAGACATGGAAAGCGGAGAGTAGAGCCATCTGTCAAGTCCAAAACTTGAAGCAGAATCCAGATGGCAATCGACAGTTTGTTCGCGCATGTACAAGGGTTCCGGTGTCTCCCCCTATTGACAGGAACCCGAAGCAAGGGTTCAGCTCCCTAACATGGTCAAGGAGCCAAAAATAATAGCAACGCACCACTGAAGAAGCCATCGCCACTCGACAATTTGTAGATAGTCATCGCCCGCAGAGGACGTAGGGCATGTCAAGATACTAGGAACCGCAAGTGTGGTCAGTGCAGTCTGTCTGTGGTTCCCTGTCGAAGACATGTCGACATGTACTTGGCTGACCGGGAGATCCTGTGCTGTGGGAACGAGTGCTATCATAGTTTAGCCTGCCTCGCTTTCGCTGCCCAGTGCTTGTCTTCAATTCCTGGCGAGGGTCGTTGTGGGCCTAAGGCCCGCCCGCGCCAGGGTGACACTGAAGGAGAGATAACCTCATTGATTCCATCAGATAATTGAAATGTGATCACCATCTTACACCCGACCCTCCACGACCGTTGTCAGTGCAGTGTCATGCGGACCACTCACTAGCCAACATCGATGTCGAGAGAGGATGATTGTTGCCAAGAGTTACTAGTAGCGATGTGGGCCAATGGCGTCACGAAGATAGTGACCTAGTCAGCGAATGAAATGCGGCAAGGGTGTTTCACAGTGACTGGAATCTGGGCGCTGACGGTCGCAATCGAACCCCAGGTGTTTCCAATATCCTCAGTGCTGCATTAAATAAATATGATATGCTAGTTCACAATTCGTCGCGATAAGCGGCTTCAGGTTGGAATGCTTCTAGGAGTTCTGTGAGGAGAATTAGATCACCGTCCAGGGTTGGGAGAATTTTCACGCACTTCTACGCTGTTGGGCCGAGAGTTCTAGTGGCATTACCACGTTGTACTCGATGTAGAGATCGCCTCGTCCAACACTATTCCATATTGGCATCCCTTCACCCTTGATGACTTGCACAAATCCTAGTGCACGGCTGATTAGCGGAAGACGCTAGGTCCGGATGAAATAGGTGACTTACCAGGCTGTGTGACGCCTTCGCGCTCAAGTGTCAGAGTTCGCCCATCCAGATGGGTAATGTTGCGCTTGAAGCCGAGAAGGGCCTGTATATGCGGTGCCATCATGTGAGTTATCACTCGAGAATTCGGCGGAATCCATTCTTACCTCGTCCACACCAATGGTTTCTTTCCAGTAAAGACTGGACTCCTTTCTCCTGAATCCACCCTTCTCCTTCTTGCTCCTGACCCTCAAGACGATGTCTCCGGGCTCCCAATCAGGACTCTCATCTGCCTGTCCCTCAAAGACAACTTCGTGACCTTCTGGCATGCCTGGTTGAACCTCCAAAGTGTATCGAGCGGTTTCGTCGAGGACCTTGTTAGCTTGGCAGTGGGAGCACTTCTTCTTGATGACCTTGCCGCGCCCGCCACAGTCGTTACAGGTTACTTGAGTCTGAGCGAACATTCCGGGGAATATCTGGCAGCGCAAATCGTCAGTATCGACATGCAGACTTTGGGTGTATCCCGCCGCACCTGTTGCTTGACGAGCTTCACACCATGTCCATTGCAGCCTGTGCAAGTGTGGATATCACCATCGCTTGCAGCACCAGTTCCCCGACAATGGTCGCAGAGAATCTTTTTCTTGACCATGAACTGTTACGACGGGGGGAAAACGTTGAGCAACTGCATTAGGTCGGGAAATTATTCGAACACGTACTTCAATACTCGCTCCATTGAAACTAGGCCCCCGAGTCAGGAAAAATCGCCAGACAACATTGGCGTTTAACACTCACACATCAGCCAAGGAAACTTCGAATTCTGTAACAGTCGAGGGTCCTCTACGGGCTTGTTGGTGGTCTGCGCATTGGAATTATGGTCAGCCTCAACAACGTCGAGTTCGGTGCGGGACACTCACGGCCACCAAAGAAATTTGCAAACATATCGAAGGGGTTGGCTCCTCCATGCTGCTGACCGCCTTCGTGTCCCTTGAGACCTTCCTCTCCATGTCTATCATAGATTTGGCGTTTCTATATGCACTTTTCAGTTGGCCTGGTACAGATGCAGCTCTTGTTCAAACTAACCGTAGAATCCGAGAGAACTTCGTAGGCTACATCGGTAGGTCAGTTTTGAGATTCCGTCAAGCAAGATGTGCGACAACTCGCCTCGGGCAATGTTTACGAATCTCTCCTCGGCTCCCGGATCCTTGTTCTTGTCAGGATGCCATTTCTTGCTCAGTCGTTTGTATGCAGCTCGAATATCCTTGTCAGACGCGCTCGGGTGGACTATATGAATCCAAAACTTGGTCAGAACCACACAGCGTTTCCAAGAAGTATTGGGGAACTCACCGTCTAGTACTTTATAGTAGTCGACTGCGCATGTTAAGACGGCTAAGAAAAGAAGTAAAAAGAATGAATAGAGCATTTGGAAGCTCAAGGACACACCGCAGAAGCGGGGACTAGGGAGGAATACGAAGAAACGCGGTTGAGACTTAATTCGATCATCTCCAATTTCGTGTAACATACGTGTCCGGATCAATTGCCCCCGGTGGCGGTGCTGAATCCTCACGTGTCGAGGTACGAGACGGGCGCTTAAGTGCGGGGGGTGTACAGGGGATCGAACAAGGAACCTGGTAAGCAGGCAAACAGGCTTATGAAGAGCCTTCAGGTCGATACTGTTAGAAGAAAAAGCATCTGAGACCTACTGGGTCAGGGGTTGGTGGCTTATAGAGTCCTTGTATTTCTCACCTTCTGTTAATAAGAAATCTACTCTAGTTGACAGAGGTGCATACAAATAATAGATGGAGACCTTCTGGGCTTTACCCAGGGGCTGCATGTCGACGCCTATGCATGACCATCTGTGGGCGCTTAATCAGCTTGAATTCCCTTGAGCATAGATAAGAGCTACGCAAATCATCCTCGACAGACATGCAGCCGCCGCATACCATACTACGCATGAAGGCCATTTTCTCCACCTTTACATGTAGGCCTAAGGCCAAGGGAGCTGGGTGTCTCCGCCCTCCCTTCACTCTGGGGAAGTGGGGAAGACTTCAAGGATTCTGAGAGTGATGGCATCAATGCCGTGGAACCTATCACGTGCGGATGAGACCGGCCGGAATCCGCGCTGGTCAGTAGTAGTGGTCATCGTCCCGTCGACCGACGACCATGTTTCCCTGTCGTGCGCGACTCAGAATAACAACACTTCAACGCTTCCACAGGTCATACTCCACACCCGCAAACCCATATACACGCTTTGAAAAGCTCAGAGGTGCGTATCTCCTTTTAACAAGCTGTATAAAACCACTTGTTTAGGACTCCAATACTGCTTTTTCGATACAGCGTATCCATTCGCGTTCAACGACTATGAAGCTGAACGGCTGATGGCGCCAGCCGCTGCTGCGCTATGCGGAAAGGCACTGGGAACCTCTGTCCTCCATCGATTCCTGCCCTGGATGGAACTGGAATATATCAAGCCTAAACGAATCTTGCCGATATATTTCCCTGCGTGGATAATAGACGCGGAAGTGCAGGCCACAGTTCGCTATCAAGGTTCCGAGGTCAGTCTTCATAACTTGAATGGACTGTGGTGATTGAACCGTGTTTCGTATGTCAGAGAGTCGCTTCAGCGCTTCTCCAAAACGGGTACGCCCAACCAACCCTTTCCTGTCCTACGGGTACTGACGTCAACGTTATAGGTACCTACCAGGTAACGCAACTATAATCTAGCAACAATATCCTAGGTCTCACCCGAACTCTACATCCAGGTGCCCACTTTGAAGCAGTCTCAAGCGTCCCACTCTTCGCTGGAGAAATGGCCGACGCACAACCATTGCCCTGGTCCGACGGCCTCCTTCAACAACAAGGCCACCAAATCACCTGTGTACCATACACCATCGACCCAATACACGGCCTGAAGGCATTCTCCGACTTGAAATTTGACGCCTTCCCTGACCTTTCCGCTTCACTGTCGACAATTCAACCGACGTTGGTGTGTACCCTTCAGTAAATCGATGCTTCAAGCGCGTTGAGCTAATGAAGACCTAGAGCGTATTCCGACCCGTCCTCCTCCCTCTCTACCTCGCCCAGTACGAAGTAACAGCAGACTCCAAAACACGAGGATGTACACTCTTCCTTGACGCTTCCCAATCCTCGGTAACTTCAACTCTCCTCACCACTCTTCTCCCTGCTCACAGCATCATCTCTACCCCAGGGAAGCGTATACGGTGTCCGATTAAACACGGGCCCCAAAGACGAATACGACGAAGGAATCGACCACGCCCTCCAATTCGTGGACGCCAACGTCTCACCCAACTCTGACATCCTCCGCCTCGGACTCGGGCATAACTGGGTCGACGTCGAAACAGTCTCTTTACCACCCCACCGCGACATCTCTGCACAACTGAAGAAATGGATAGAGTGGAGGATGTATGATGCGGAGACGGCGAAGGAGATGGCTGCTGCGACGGCTGAGGGGTTGAAGGAGACAAGTGGCGGGATTGTGGAGGATAAGGATGCGCGGATACGGGAATATGATGTGGAGGATAGAGGAGAGGTTGAGGAATGGATGGGGTTGAGTGCAGAGTTGATGCTTGTTCGCAGAATTCTCGAGGTGAGTCTCCAGCATCAGGCTCTTCTCCACTAGACTTAACAACAATTTAGCGCATCAACGAACAAATGGGCCTTATGGGCGAAGACGCACCTGCACACATGGCCGCCCCAATTGAAAACCTCAAGGAAAAGGAGAAGGAGCTTGTGGAAAAGCGCGACGAGTTTTTGGTTGAATGGGGCAAGTCGAACGAACCAGCGAAGCCCTCGGAGAACTAAGTCACCTAATATTTGGGACTACTAGTGCACACACACCCTACACATTTATAGTACATCGCTCATTCGCTTCACATAGACGCTCCGGTAATTCACGGTCTTTTATTCCAACCTATGTCCATGTGCATTATGAGACAAGATCGCCAATACAGTAAAACAAGAAAGCTAACGTCCAAGTCGGGAAGAAGGCGTAGAATGTCCAGAACGAATCAAGTCCTTGGCGAGTAGCCGACGAACTCCATCCAGGTGGAACGCCCAGAGTCGGAGCCGTCTCTATTTCCACAGTCGATGTGGAAACAGTAAGTTGGCCAGCCTCGTCAGTAAATGTCTGCGTAATCAAAGTCTGGTTCACAGAAATAGTGGGAATCGCAGAGGCATTGAAAGTGGTATGGATCCCAAACAAAGCGCTGTAGGTGCTGTTGGCGAGGTCAGAGGTGACTATAGCTCCGAGAGGAGCCGGTACGGAGGAGTTGAATGCATATGGCGGTGAAGAGTAACTCGGGGTCGGGAGTAGGACGTTGGGTAGAGTGGTAGGCACGGTCGCTGAATGAGCAGAGAAGAACGAAGCGAGCTCTTCTGGTGGTTGCGTAGTGTTCGCGAGAAGCGTTTCGTTGCGAATGGAATAGAAACCAATGAGAGGTGGTTCTTTGGTGTCAATGCCGTAGCTGTTGTGACTGGTTGTCAGTGGCCTAGAGACCGTCAAGGATGAGGAGACCCACCTAAAAATAGAATAAACAGTCCGCAGGAATGCAGCTCCTAAAGCAAGGATAAGTCATTTTCCAAGCGACTTTGACAGAAGCACTACGCACCGAATTGCCAATCAATGGCGTCAGAATGCGGAGGATGTGCTCTCGGCCAGGATAAGCACAAGTTGGGATTGCCTAACGCTGGTCCAATCATATAGTCTTCTGGGAGGAGCGTGTAGTTTTGAGAGCTGCAGCGGTACGTTAGGTCCCTCAGTTCCCTGTCTAACTCGGCGGTCTTACCCAAATGTGAACGTAATGGGAACGTCAGTGTCACACGGAATAACCCATTGGCCGTCTGTCACGAGAATCAGCAAGGTCCATCGCGTGCGTAGCCCGCTCTCACTCACCAGCATCGACGATTCTGGAACCGTCGATCATAGCGAAGATCTTGGAGACCTGGGGAGAGAAGCTTAGCACAGACTGGCATATTAGGAGACAGCTGCCGTACCTCCTGGGCTGGTCCATAGATCCCAGTCGCGCCACTAGACCACGCTAAGCCGCTATAACCAGAGCACCACAGAATTTACTCACATATCAACCAGAGCCAAAACCCTCCCTTCATTCCTTTCAGGGAAGACAGGATTAATCTCCAACGCCGTCCCATTCACCTGAACGAAACGAACAAGGTCAACCATCATGTCGCGTGTCAAAATAAATGAAACCTTACATAGACCTCCGCCAATGGAATCGCCCATTGCAAATACCCAGGTTCCCCGACGTCGCTCTCAGTTTCAGCGAACGGCGGGAAAGACGCGACTTGGTTCCAAGCGATCAAGCTGACATTTTTCACCACAGACGCGTCGATTGCACCTACAATCGCAGATTATTGATAAGAAAAAGAGATATACGTCAGGCATGCGCCCACCACGAGACATAGAGTATAGGTGATGTTACGCACCGAGAGCCAGAGACCCAGTGTTATTCCGCGTGAGGCTGAACGCGAACAGAGGGTATTCAAGCATTCCCTTTTGGGCGAGTCTAGGGAAGAAGGGCGCAACTGTATGCATAGGTATGACATGAACATGACCTCGGGGAATGAAGGCCTGAACGGGATGAACTGACCGTTGGTGACATTTGGGAAAGACGAGAGTCTAGGAAAGCCGAGTCCCAGGAGGCCACTGGTTTGGTCGACGAAGGAGAGGTTGGATTGGGATACGAGTCCTGATACGCTACTGTAAGCAGGGGTAACTCAGGATGGAGAGCAATTCTGCGCACCGAAAACTTGATCATCCAGCACGATATCATGCAGTGCTATCCTCTCCTTGGCCAAGAAACCCGACGCAGCTGTACATTGAAACGATCAGTAAACCCGCTCCACTAGCCATGTGACAGTCCCAAATTCCGCTTTGCACAACCCCGATCCTAACCGCAGCTGCCTGGTCCCCATTTTCCAACTCAAAAGCAGAACCATAAGCTTCACTTACCGGTCCCATCGGCATATCCAGCCTCGAATGTCGTCTCATTGCCATTAATCTCTCTAAACGTCTGACTCTGATACGCCAATGGAAACCTGGGGACCTTCTCGCATTCCTTGGTGTCGCAGTCTGAGGACACGACCCAAAGATCCGCAGAGGCCGTGTCCAGTGCAACGCGGAAGTTGATATCGCCTATCTTGATTATGGTAGTATAGGACCTGCAAGGAGGTAAATTTCGCAGACTGTGTCAGGAGCGAAATGTCTAGGAGCGAACTGGGGAATTGCGCACTGTCGGTCACTGGAAATTGACACCTGTGCCAATCCAGCCGCCGTATTCGGATTCCCATCGAAATCGCGTGCGTGTAACGTTGGGGTGTTGACTATAGGTAGGGTTGCGAGGTCCGAACGGGGTACAAGTCGAGGATGCGAGCTCGCAGATGCCTGGAGGAACAACCAACCCGAAGACAGAATCGCCGCTGCCGCCATTCTGAACAACATTGTGCGCTACGCGAGTCTCTCGACGTCGTGGTTACAGAACCAGAACGCCTTCAATTACCACATGCGTCGAGCAGCAAATTCGAGTTTCCAAACGAAGAATGCAACCGTTGGCGGTCGTTAGTTGGTGAAGGGGTAAAGAGCGTGCGGTGGTGGGAGGAGCAGAAGAAGGATTACAAGAAGTGAGCATGGAATTCGATTTAGGCAACAAGTCACCAATCAATTCTGATCCTGTGAACTTGGCCACTATTGCTCCCGGCATACCTCATCGCAGAGCAGCTCGACAGTCTCGACTCATGCTGGACACAAGCATACTCTTGCAACATTGATCCATTGGAAGGAGAATAAATATCGTGTCAAGGTCACTACAGCGTTCGCAAAAATGGCGAGGGGTATTACACAATGGTGGGGTGATTGATACATGGATCCGGTAGAGATGGATATTGGGGAGACGAGAGTGGAACGAGGGTACTATCATCATACCGAGAGGCAGAAAGAATGAGAGGAAACTAATAAACGAGTGAAACAGGCGGGCAATACAACAGAAGAGAGAAAGAAGATAACAGGGAAGAAGAGGTATAAACAGCCTTGATAAGCAACGATCACAGTTCGAACGAACGAAAGCAGACAGGGAATAAAAGAGTTTGGAGAAAAGCCGCTGGTTTTAATCTTATCGCTTGGCAAACACCTTCTTCAATAGACCGAGTACTTTGGGAACGTTGAGTTGGACGTATTCGAGGTCGAGTAAGTGCTTGTTGTCCTTTTGCTGATAGAAAGAGCAGTAACGTCAGCCAAGAAAGCATAGCATCAGCCAGCCAGACCAACCTTTTCCAGTAGGTCATCAATCTTGAGATCCATTTCAAGGATAGCCTTCTCCCGCCCTTTGTAATGGAGAGCAATGATGAAGGTTCCCGGACTAGGAGAGGTAATGTTGAAGTAGATATTCGGGCGTCTGCAAACGGTGGGTGAGCCTCGTCGAAAACATCACCCCTAAAAATGACGTACCGGTTGTCGGGAACATTACTTTCCACAATGATACCCTCCTTCTCCAGTTGAGCATGGGTGAACCGGTACGGACCCAGTACGACCGCCTTCTGGGGTTTCCGTTCCTTCCCGCCAACTGTCACGACACCGACCCCCGTGGTACTACCCTTGTCCTTCGACGCATTAAGCCGCACATTTTGCAGATACGCCTTGTACTGCTCCAGCTGTGAACGCAGGTAATTGTTGTGATCACAGATGGTCTTGTACACAGCATCCAGCGACTTGGTCTCTGCGATAACCTTTTCCCGAAGGTTTCCGAGGTGAACAAGCTCAGCAGAGATTTCTTCTTGCATCAGGTTGTAGTTGTCGGCGGCATCTACGACCTTGAGCTCTTCGAGTTCGCGAAGCATCTCTTTGACCTTGATACCTTTCCGAACAAGAACAGCGTCCTTCGTCGTGGCTGCGCGCTCGGCGATGGCGGGAAGGTTGTAGGGCTGCTTGTCGGCGACGCCGGGGAGGGATCGAATGAGCTGAACGAAAATGGACTTCGTTTCCATGTAAAGCATATCGCTCGATGATACTGAGTCCATCAATGCCGTCTGGATATCCTGGATCGGGGTTTCCCATCGACTGTAAAGAGGCAGTTCAATTGTCCTGTTCTCTTTTCGTGGTACTTGGGCTGGTGCAGGGCCCAATTCGTCGGTGAGGATTCGCAGGTGCTGTTTATCATTAGGCGACTGCGAAGCGCTCGTCAGTATATGCGCAATAACATGACGCAATCAACATACCAAAGTTTCAATATGCTGAAGAATTAATGAATGCGTGTTGTATAATTCGTTAAGAGTAATGTGAATCATTAAATCCTTCTTGGAAAGGGCCATGTATTGATCCATCTAATCCAAATGTCAGGGATCCAGTGCCTCGGCAAGATGAATTCATACAACTCACTTCGAGGGTGTCGTAAAAGTCTCCCACTTCGCAAAGGTTGTTCAAGAACTGGTTGATCCGGGCCTTGTTGTTCTCCACGAAAGGATTAAGGGTCATCATGTAGGCTTCTTTGGCGTACGACGGCTTGTTGGCCAAGTTTTGCAACATTTTGGCGATCTGGGTTGGACAGTTAGCGTCATGCAAGTCATCAGCGGTCATTTTCACAGACCAATGTCAGCGTTCGCCGAGGATGCTTGGCCGGGACTCCGTCGACAAGCATGTACGCTTGCGGCGTGACAATAGCAGGATTAATGAATCGCAAAAAGAAGAAACCGCCGATGAGCGAGCAGATGGCATAGTCAGTGGCTTCTGGGTATTTACGCTAAGATTCCAGCAGCTGTCAGAACATGGGTATATGCGCTGTGAAAGGTGACTCACCCTTGTCAGACTGCGAATCTGTTTGCAGATCCACCGAATACCATAGGGAACGCTCTCCATACTCTCAATGATGGTGACGAGGAAACTATTGGCGATCTCCATCAACATTGTCAACCTGGGTGCAATGATTGCTTGAACGTCGAGATTCTCCGCTGCGACCTCCGGAGGGACACCCCGGGGAAGGTTTGGAGGTAACGACCCGGTCTCCTCCTCAATCTGGTTGATCATTTGCTCGTAGACCTGGAAACTGCAATGAGGGGGTCTGTAACATTGTTGACGAACCAGGGGTGTGTACCTTCACAGGATTGATTTCCAAATTGAGATCCTTGTGCTCGATGAGACTGTTTATCCGCTCCGCAAGGACGCTCTTCAGATAGCTCTGGCCGGGACCGCGACGGGTGTAGGTGGTCATCATGCGCGACACTGGGGTATTGGCTCGCAACAGAGAACCGAACTCTGTTGCCGTCTCGAACTGCGCGGAAAGAACTGATTGGAACATGGTCAACAGCAGATGCTCTTCTCTGCTCTCGTACTGGTTTCCATAGAGCGTGAACATGACAGTCTGGAGGAGCGTGTCTATTTCAGACAGGGAAACGAGTCTGCAGAGTGCCGCGATATGTCGGGGTTCTGATTGCAACAGGAAGAAGAGGTTGGAGTATTGCTGCAGTTTGCGGTCGTCAGGATAATGGCCTTCGGTAGGATCGACTTCTTCCAAGGTCCTCTCGACTTCTCGTTGCTGTTCAAGTTAGCAACACGCATACGACAGACGAACGAGCGACTAACCTCGTCCAAGGCCATCCGGTTCTGAATCAACAGGGCGATTCTGGAGTCGAGGTATCGGACGTCTCGTTCGAGGACGAAATTCTTCTTGGACTGAGCAGAAATCTTGCCCTTGAGATCTCGTAACCGCTTTTGAGCTGTATGACGAGCGTCGGGTCAGAGCGTACTACTAAGCTCTTGAAGTACATACCTCTGGCCAAATCGTCCTCAACTTCGACATCCTGCTCGGCTGCCATGCTGAACAGGGCCGTGACACTGTAGCGGTTTGTGTTTCTGTTCGTAAGGCGGCGGGAGGACATGCCGCCCGGGGATGTTGGGGAATCTACGTAAGACATGGCTGCTTCGTTGTCGGGGGCGTTTAAGGTCGATTATTCAAAGTTTGAGGAAGACGCGGGCGAGCGGTGGGCAACGGGTTGTGGACAAGAAAAGAGACGGGCTCGTCGCTGTTGCGGACGACGAGGAGCGATTCCAGCGCTTGAAGAGGGAAAAGGTGAAAAGGGCGGGAATGAGGATAGAAAGGGAGAGGATGGGGTATCAGGCCGAATGCAGATCTGGTCGGGGTGAGCCTGAGTGCGCAACAAGCTCAGGTTCCCAAGAGGATAACAAAACCAATCAATGTCACAGCCACAACCCAAGGCCTTTCCCCCCTAGCGCGTCGCGTCCCACAGTGCTTTTGTTTTCGCGGCGCTATCATTCGCAACGATCAAAGACAGTTTGAAGCATATGATTTATCGTATTCAAGTAAAGCTACGTAGTTGCATATACCCCACATACTTCACCGCTCACGGGGAGGGTGATATGCAGGGGGAGCAGTCTGAGGAGCAGGAACACGAACGTCGTGTGCAGGGAAGACATCCACTTGGTTATCCCTAGTCCCCGGGATGGTGTACAATACTTGAAACCCGTAACCGGATATCTAAATACGAGTCGTCATCGACGCTGCACTACTCAGAATCTTGAAGCACGGCGAAACTCACAATCTCGAAAAACTTGACGCATGTGAGGGCGATACCGATAACCCAGCCACCGCCTCTCAGCTTCACTTCCACTTGTTGGTTCTAAGCCCAAAGGTTAGCAAAGAGAAGTAGTGAGTGACCCAGTGGCCTTTACGGTGACAATATCTCGCAGCTAGACGCATGTAGTGAGAGCTGTGACGAAGGGAGAGGAGACAAACGACTGACGATTCGCCAGTTCACACTGGATACGGCACGAGAAGGTGGAGGCACAAGGGCTTGCTGAGGGTGCGGCTGCGGATACGTTCGAGGTGGAACGTCAGGGGAATTGGCGAAAGGCATTGCTGGAGCTGAAGCCATGATTGAAAGAGAGGGCAGAGGTTGCAGGCCTAGGTTTTGAAGCTGAAGCCAGTCGTCTTTAAATAGCTCGCTAATTGGATGACAAGACTGCGCCGAAATGGGCACATCCCAGATAAGGATTAGAGGATTCAGAGAAGACGGTGGCAGGACTGGTGCTTCCGGAGAATTGAGTTTGCCCCGTGTTCTGGACATACAACACATGAGGCAGCTGTGAAATCAAGCACTGAGTGCCGAGAAGCAGTCGTGTTTTGGCGCCCATGCAATACAAGATCTTCCCTGTTTAGATCATGTAAATCGGGAGGGAAGAGACATCCTTTCTCAGTGCAAGGTCCAGGGCATTTCGGCGTTCGCGGACTGTTCTCCTCGAGGCGCCCAAAATGTCCATTTTCAGCTTCAGGGAGCCTCCAGATGCGTCAGAGTGGTTTCTTGGAAACTTCCGCAGCTTACATGTGCTGCGCAGATGAGCAAGAGTCTGTTTCTTGTCGTCGACTTGCCGCCCTAATCGACACATCCGAGTCGTGGTGGACCGAGAAAGATCGGTGCTGTGGAAACCGAACAGGGGCGATCCTGGGAAATTGATGCGATTATGCGGGTGCAATTTCCTAATTCTGACCACGACCTCCATCTCATCTCTGTTCCTCCAACGCGAAACGGAAATGTCTAATCTTCTTGCAATACCATTCAAGAAGACCTATGAAATAGACATCAAAGGCGCAGCTCGTAGCTACATCTCGAACCACACAGACGGGGCTCATCCAGACGAATTCCGAGACGACATAAAGTCCTGGCAAGACCTGAGGCGCGACGCTACCAGCACCATCGTTCATGTCAACCGTACAGACACTGCGCTGCTGTGTGTACTGCATCCCTGACTATGGTCTCACTGTTGGACTTTCTGATCGCTCCCTACAAGCTACCACGCCCAACTGGTCTCCATACTCGCAAAGTTTCCCACTGATGTTGGTTCTACCATGGACAATTGTGCTCAACGATATTTCTCAATGTTGTCCCCTTTCGCTTTAGATCCACCTGGAAATACCATATGCGACTATCTTCGATCCCGACAATTCAATTCCAGTTTCGTTGAACAATTTGCTGTTTGAGCGCGCGGCCGTCGTGTTTAATCTCGCGGCCCTGTTCTCTCAGTTGGCGAATGCAGAGGACAGATCTTCTCCAGATGGAATCAAACGGGCAGCTTCCTACTACCAGGTAAAACCGCGTTCTTCGGGCTCTGTGGCTTCCCAAGTTGACACAATCCATCAGCAAGCAGCAGGAACACTGTCCTATCTGCGATCAGACATTCTTCCCAAGTTGTCCTATTCAGAAAGCGACGACAGACCCCCTGACCTTACAGAAGGCGTGGCCGCGGGCTTGGAATATTTAATGCTAGCCCAAGCTCAGGAATGCTCGTGGCAAATGGCGAAACTCAGTCAATCCACCTCTTTCAATTTTCCTCTTTGGCCCGTGTTTAATTATACCTAACAGATCATTACAAGAACGGCCTTGTCTCCAAGATCGCCGCCAGGGTAAACAACCACCAGATACGCTATCAGTTGGAAAAAGTTGGACTGATCATTCGCTTTGCTAATCTAGGTTGGAACACTGTATGATTCGGCGTTTACCACTTTGAACGATGCTGCAAGAAGGCTCCTTCCCAAGGTTGCCATCCCATTCGTCTTTCTTCTGGAATCTCCCGCCTTGAGGCTTACTCCGAAATCTGGTATAGGACTGGCTGGCCCATGTTGAAGCAAAAAGCTATCATTTCAAAGCTGTTGCAGAATTCCGGAAGAGCATGGACGAAATTGAGAATGGAAACAAGTAGGTGTTATAAATAGCTTCGCATTGGACCACGACCCAAATCTCCTAGGTATGGATTCGAGTTAGCCAGACTTCAAAATGCTCAAATGCACGCTCAACAAGCGTATGATATTGCCCGCCGTGGCAAAGTTGCAGCCCCTGTTCTTCAGGACGCGCAGGTAAACATCGTCACCTGTCAGAACGGGGTTGCTGACAATTGACTCAAAAATCGCTCTAGTCTCTTATGGAAATCATCCAAAAGAATCTCATTAGGGCACAACGCGATAATGACTTGATCTACCACCAAGACGTCCCCACAGCCTCGGCGCTTCCTGCCATTCCGGAAACAAATCTCACCGCTTCAAAAACGCCACCAGGGCTGTTAAACCCAGAAAGCGTATTTGGCACCAGGCGGCCTCTTTTTGAGGGGTTAGTCAGTTGGGGAGCGAGGGAAGCTATCAGTCAGTATATTGAGCTGATTCTTGGTTGCGTCAACGTGGACTCACCTTGCACAGATATTTATAATGACCGTAAAAAGAACCTCCTCAAAGAACAGATTACCGATGTGTCGCAAGATCTTCAGAACACCGCCGATAGGTAAGGAAAATGTGAAAGTGTTTTCCCTCGCTGATGGTAGTTCGATAGGGAACTGCGGATTTTGAATCTTCCTGCTTCACTGGAGGCGCTGGAACGACCAATTGGCCTCCCGCCCAGCCTACTACGAAAGGCCGAAGAAATACGCCTTGAAGATGGGCCTGAACGAGTAGAAGCGTCGCTGGATAATATCGAGACCCTCGCTCAACGGGACCGCGCACTGCTGGATGAGGTAGGTCTTTAGGTTGCCACCATGTTCTCGTACCACCTGACCCTGAGCAAACATAGGCCATGGACATCTTGGACACTGAAGCATCGGAAGATGAAAGCACCCGCAAGGACTACCCTATCAACCGACCTCCGTCACACGAAGCTAACATCGAATTAACCAGCAAAGGCGAACGATACAGGCACCTCCTGGATCAAGCTCGGGAGAGTGACGAGACCGTGCGTCGAAAGTGGTATGAATGGGAGGACCACATTCAGCAGCTGACTCTCGACGAGGTGCGTGAAGTGCTTCTTGCTCCCCTAAGGACGAAAATGTCGTATGTGGCCCATACTTACGGTAATCTCTCCTTGTGGGCACTCCACACAGGCCACATTAGAGTCCCTTATCCCATCAACAACGGCATCGAGCGTTAATCAGGGCAGTCGAGAAGCTCGGGTAACGAGGCAGCATGCTCGGGCTCTCAGAGTGAAATTGGAAGATCTCGACACCCTCCATCGTGATCGCGAGGATCTGGTCCGAAGAGCTCGCACTTTGGCAGAAATCGACGATGTAAAGCCGAGAATCATGAAGGCTGCTGCTGGATTCGAAAAGTTGGCGGTGGTGCAGCCTGCTATGTTTGAGGACATCTCGGACGAGGAACTTGCGAAGTACGACAAGTATGTTCAAGAGTTGTCCGAGCTGGCGAAGCGGCAGGAACATATTCTTCATGAGATCAAGGTGGGTTCAGTGGCCAATCTTGTTCGGCGGTACTTTCTGAGCCAGCGGTGATAGGTGGAGAACGATTTATTCCTTGGTTCGCGTAAGGATGATCCCGCGGTCAAAGAAAGGGAGCGTGCACTTCAAGCGCTGGAATTGGCGTACCTGAAGTACAAGGAGATTACGAAGAACTTGGATGAAGGAAACAAGGTTGGGATTATTCCGCTATCCGCGAATCCATCTAATGACTGATAACCCTTTGAACCTAGTTCTATAATAGCCTTGCGGATATGCTCATCCAATTCAGAGCCGTGTGCAAAGCATGGGCGCAGCAAAGGAATCAAGAACTGCAGTAAATGCTGTTGCCTTTCCTCATGTCGTCATTCTCTGACATACCCCTCCCAAGCGCTTTGACTACAGGTTTCGAGAATCTATCGATTAGCCAGGAGTCCGCTCGACAGCAACCCCCAGCACGTACACCAGGTGCCAAGAAACCACCAGTGGGCAAATCATCTTTAGGCTTGCCGGCACTGACTTCTGAAGAATGGGGGTTCGAGGATGTTCCCATTCCTCCTGGACCCCCTTCACCAACTAAGAGTAAAAGATGATTTTGCGGATCCTTTCTAATGTTTGGATGTACTTGCTGTATCTTTAATTACCCCGGATTCCTGTACTTATGACCGATGGATGGAATGTCTGGAATTTGCCTAGTCTTCTTATGACGAAAGAGGCGGTGCACACGTTGATCGAAATGGGGTGCAAGTCCTTGGGTAGATTCAAATTTGTTAATTGGAGCACCTTACCCTCACAACTGCTGCCCATCTACTCTAAGTTTGAGATCCCTTTCCCGTTTCCATCCAACCATGCAACGTCGCCGAAGCATCGATTCGTCCAGTTCCTCCGATAGCGATAGTTCCAACTCTTCATCCTACAAGCACGGAAAGGTCAAGAAGGAGAAGAAAGACAAGAAAGACAAGAAAGACAAGAGCCATAAGGAAAAGAAAGACAAATCTGATAAAAAAGATAAAGATAAGAAGAAGGATAAAGTTAAAGATTCGGACAAGCCCAAGACGAAGGCGCCAGTATTTCCGCAAGCACCAAACTCTGCTCCGGAACCGCACTCAAGCTCTCCCTCGTTCCCCTCAGCAGCCGCAGCCACCACAGCAGCAACAGCAGCCTCCGCCATGTCCTTTGGATTCGATGATCCCAGTGCTCAATTCAGGAATCAAGGGGGTCCAGGTCGACATTCCAGTTCGAGCTACGGACAACCAGCGCCTCCGCCATCCGGGTACAGGATACCCCTAAGCGAAACAACGCCTTTCCCCAACGACCAACAGACCGGCTGGGCACCCTGCTATGACGCCGACGGCGTCTCGCCAGTCTTCATCGGCTCAGCGCTCTTCGAGAATTCGGTGCACCCGTGCAAGATCGGGCCTCATCTCGACCCGCCGGCGAGGGTGCCCTATGGCGGCACCGAGCACGAACATCGTGGGCGGTACGACCTCCTCCCGTTCGTGGCACAGCAGATGGAGTGGGTCCCTACTTCGCATGGCCAGATCCCGCCCGGAAGGCGACCGATCGAGGGCGGGTACGAGGATAATGGACATAAACTGTACCACGCCCTCGCCAACATTTCTGGAGTCAGGGTTCCCGGTAAGACTGGAGAGCATTTGTGCGTCGTTCTGTTTCTCATCTCTGGAGAAGGAGCTCACATTTCTATCTTATCTAGGCGAGGCGCCAATGTAGCCTTCGGTGGGAAGGAAGTCGCTGTTCATGAGAACTATGAGATCTTGTAAGTGGAATCTTCATCTCGGGAGATTACTCCGCGAGACACGCTAATGGCCCGGCCCCAACAGGTGCTGGAAGTATTAACAAGGAGCATTGGAGGAGCAAATCTAGCCTAACCGGACTAGCACTCATATACTTCGTGGAATTGGAAACTTCGAAGCACCGACACATTTGAAATGGAAGCGAAATCGTACCCTATCGTTGTAAAACCTTGCCGGTTCAATCGAATTCGGTGAAATGCACAGCAGGACAGGTGCAGGTGTGTCGATTTCTGGCCTACCAAGACCGATTGCGGGAAGGCAGCGAGGCTGCTGTTAACAAACATAACGAAAGTAACCGAATCGAGATTAAACTCTGACATGAGGAGGGTGTTATGGACTCGCGAGGGACTATATTTGTCCAGGTCAGCGTCAACATCAGGCAGGATGCCTCTAAGGGAACAAAGGAACGAGGCTGCCATTGCTAAACGGCGTAAGAAACCGGCAAGTCCCAACAGAAAATTGAATAGGTGCAAGTAATACACAGTGATTCAAATGACTCGATAGCTTCCGCAGCATCTAGCGGAAATCCCGTTGAGGGCTCCATCCTATACAAGGTATGTCATTCAGAGCATAGTCCTAGGAAAACTCAGGGATATCCCGCAAATCCCTCCTAAGATATATGACCGCTTGGATCGCCTGCAGCTACTGTTAGATCGTAACACAGTCCATCAACCAACACGCCAATATTATTGTCAAGGAGGAACGGTCTCCCCTCGTGGTGTCGCACACACCGAGCAGGCAAGATGCCGTGGTTGATTAATCCTAGGTGAGAGGCAAACATTCAGCTTTCCCTTCTCCCGGAGAATGATGAGATTCTACACTTACAGCGTACACACCTGACAACTCCAGCCATCTTCCACCGGCGGCGGCGAGGGAGAGCGAGGCTTGTTGCCGAGTGTTCTCCCTTTCCCTTTAGTCGATGCTAACCCCAAGGACTCCTTTTTGCGAAAGTCGATCTCGCTTTGAACGAGTTTGCCCAAACCGAGATTTGTGGGTGATTCTCGTAACCCTGTAGTTCATACGGTGAATCAGCAATTGACCGGGATAAGAGAGGAAGTAACTAGCGACATACGTGCGCTGCCAATCATTTGCTTCAAGGTACTTGCAGAGCCAGAAGACTGGCTATTACTCTCCTGTTTCGATGTGAACCCTCTCGAAGAAGGCTGCGTGCCCGTCGACTTCGAAAAGGTGAAATCGTCCTCGAACATGCGCCAGGACTTCCCCGAGCCAAGATACTCGATTTCGTCCTCGCTTTGCTTGGAATTGAGCAAGGCTTCTCTTCTTTCCGCGTCGGTCTCCGTTGTTATCTCAAATTCTTCATCACTTTCATCGCTCGAGTTGGGGTCCTCAGATTTGGCGCTTGATACAGACAGACTCCCAGTCAATGCTTGCAACCGCCTTTCAGCCGCCAGTGCCCTTTCTTCCCGTGCTCGATTGCTGGTTGAAACGCATCAGAACAGGTACCAGCGGCTGTCACAGAAATCTCACCTCGCCGCTCGCTTTCCTTTGCTCGTCTCACCCGAGCTCCCGCCCAGCGTGTTCCCCTCTCCGGTGAAAGCATACTTTGAAGTCACCCTGGACCCGGCCTTCCGTTTCTTTGCCGTCTGTCTCCCCGTATGTGGTGAAGGAACCACTTCCTTTCGCTTCCCTCTTGGACCACCAGCGCGCCGCCGCCGTGCAGTCGGACGAGAGCGCTGCTGAGCTCCACCACACTAGCGCAGGATTAGTTACCGTTCGAAAAGAGTCCCTTCTGAAACTCACCATATACTCTGGGAATTCACCTGCCGCGATTCCTTCTCCTGGTATCACGGCCGAGTCTGCCAAACGCTTTCCAGAGGACCAATAACCTGGTAAAGCGAGCATTCAGCAAGGGCATATCTTTTTCTGTGACAAGATGTGGACCGACCATCGCCGTAGTACCCTCTATTCTGCAACTGTCGCACTTCTTCCCGCAATTTCTTCCACAACGCTTGAAAAGCAGGACCATGATTCATATGCTTTCGGCCCGGTCAGAAAAGATGGCCACCATCAGAAGAGAACGGTATTCACTTTGATATGTGCCAGCTGTCCGAATTCCAATCAGGTCATTAACGAGCCTGGCGGTTTTGTGGTGAAAGGCGTTGACGCACTTCATGGCAGAGGGTGCTCATTAACCAAGAAGTCGGGTAGAAATCGCCTCCAGGTCGGCGAAGGACAATCTCTTGCGATGAAAAACGTGTTAGAAGATAGGACGTTGATGGTATGCCCGCTGCAACGCACCAACTGTTTCTCCATTGTTCCAATTCCTCCCAGCGAATACACTGTTATATTCGTACTGTAGAGTTCTGTTCAGTCCGCTGACAGCAGCGTTCCAGTCACATTTCCCACCTCTTCAAAGCTATTAATCACGAAACCATGACTCTTCATAACCGGGCGAACTTGGGCTGCCAGAGCGCGGAGAACATGCAGGGATTCTTGTTGAATCTCTGGAACAGACGGTAGTGCTGTTATGAAGTTGATGTGTGGATTCGGGTTGCTTTCGGTTTCATTTATACGGAGGTGCACCATTAGCCTAGGCAAGATGCAGTTCTAGGCTGTTCAAGGGTCGAGAAATAATGAGAAGGTCACGGCTGTAAGTGGGGAACTTGGTGAAAGGAATTTCAAGTCGCGGTCATTATTAGGATGTTCGCACGAGTCTGAAAGAAGGAATGCTAGCCCCTATTTTAGGGATACCCTTGCTCCTCGTTGCGAAGAGTTGCGCTCCATGGACAACTCATGGAAACAAGATAGTAATGCAGCGAACTTTAACAAACCACTCCGTGCAGGTAAGTAATAAACTAGCCCGCCAAGCATCAACGCTGTATACATTCGTGCTCAGCTTCGGCTAGGGTATCATCGACAGAAATCGATTTTGTCTTACAGCAAGCATTGATGGTGTAGCGGTAACATTGGGTCTTCCCATGGCCTAGCTCCGGGTTCGACTCCCGGTCAATGCATTTTTGTTTGATTCCTCAAGGAGGCCTGTTATGTAAAGCGGAAGTTCAGCTTTGAAAACAGAAAGTACAGAAAGGAGTCCAGCGAAGGAACCAAAGAAAATGAACAATGGAAATCGTTGAACCATGATTACGAAGTCCTTTGACAGCAGGAAAGGAATTAAAACGAATAACCATACGCACTATCGAAACAGACATAGTCACCGACACAAGATGCATAGCCCAGCATCGACGATCAACCCCGGATTTTCTTCACTCGCTTAGAGTCACCCTTCGCTCCAGCCGTTGCTGCTTTCATGGCTTTGGAACGCGCACTCCGCGCTCGTTCCGTAGCGCTTTTGGCGATGCTTTTAACCGTCACAGCGGGCGAAGGGGATGGTCCAATAGGCGGGTTGATAGTTTTGTGAACCTCACTGAGGAGGGCAGACGATTCAGCGAGGAGAGCTGCAACTTCTTTCGAAATTTGTTCAGAGGAATCCGAGGCCGGTTCTTCTGGTTCTGATTTCTTGGGTTTGGCACTGTCCGACGGTTTGGCCGTCTTTTTGGATACTGACTTCGAGTCCTCCTCCTCCTTCTCTACCCGACGTTTCTTCTTCGGTCTTGACGATTCGGGAGTGGGAGGTGCTTCAGGCGGCGCGTCCTTCGTCTTGGTCCTCTTCTCCTTCTTCTCCTTCTTCTCCTTGCCCGCCTTGCCTCCTTTCTCCTCTTGCATTTCCTTCTTCTCCTTCGAAGAGGATTTCGCAGGCGAATCAGAGGTGGGTTTTGAAGGCTTGGTTTTGTCGTCTCCAGCAGCGTTGGCTTTCTTTTGCCGCGCGCGTTCCTTAGCCTTCTCGCGTTTGGCTTTCCGTAGAGCTTTTGCTTTCTCCTGCCGAGGAAAATAAAATCAGGTTCAACCTTCATGTCGAGTAGAGAACTTAAGCGTACCCTCTTCAAAGCCCGGTTTGACTTGCCCAAGCTCTCTTCGTCAGTGGCGCCAGCCACTAATGTAGGTGGCTTCTCCTCCAGTGACTTTACCAGGAACGAGAACACATCGTCCTCAAGGTCCGGCTTCTCATCTTTAACACGCTTCGAAAACTGCTTGAAGCGACGTTCATGGGCCTACAAAAACACCGAATTCCAATGTCAGCAAACCCCAAGTACAACATGAACCAAGCGAAAGCGTACATGCATTGGAAGTACGGTGGATCTCCACCAATTTATCCGTTTTGAGTTTTTTTCCGATACACACTACGCATAGCCTGACGAGTGGGTCTTCGGGGTCATAAAAGATGGGGTCTTCGAGCGCTTTGGAAATGGAAAGTTTGAGGTCGAATTGGGGAGATGCAGGGTCTTCGTTTTCGGAATGTTCAGCGTCGTCGTACAATCCTTCTCCCTCTTCGTCGTCCTCCTCGCCTTCGTCCATGAACCCTTCATCATCCAATTCCATATCTCCCTCGCCATCAGACCCTCCAAAACCACCGCCCATAGACTCATCCCCAGAAGAATCCGAGTCGTCGTCTGAGGAAGACTCTTCAGAATCTGTATCGTGCATTCCAAGAACCTGTTTCATCTCCTCGTCCAGTCCGAGAGCTTCTTCTTCCTCTTTTTTTCTCCTTCGTTTCTCGACGCGTTTGAACATCTTTGTGTGGTTTTATAGAGCAATAGGACCTAAGCGAGAGTGGAGGTGGTTGAAAAGAGACGCGAGAGCCAAGGTATGCAAAATCAAAAATTGTAAGGGAGGCGCCCGCCCCTATCATCCTGTTTACCTATGTTAGCATCGGAGGGTGCCGAGGGCCAATTTACCGCGCCCTCAGCTTGTCTTACGCCTAACCTTTACCACTCCCAATGTCCATACACGCATAACACGTAGCTCCATAATACATCTTGGCCGTTCTCATTGCATGTTAGACATTCAGCCGCACACCAACCCTCACAAAATTTCTTCACGAACGGACCGGGGTGCCGCCGACTCGCCGATAAACTTCTCATCGTACCCTTCCGATTCAGCAGCACTCGGTTTCCTCAACTGATAGCACAACCCAACACAGACAAATAGCCCAAATCCCATAGAGAAGCAAGCCAAAAGCCCAATACCAAAACCCAGTAGAATCAGATGCTACATGTATAAACTGCTACGGTACAAATACTTTGGCAGAGGACGAAACAATCGACAGAAGGATGCATATACAGAGGAATAAATCACAGAGAAGGGTCAAAAGAAACGTCTTTGTAAGATAAAGAAAAAACGATAATCGAATGTGCCTGAGTACGTATATTTGTGGAGGATGTTCCAGAATCCAAACCCCATCGAACAACAGAATCGGATATAAAATCCAAAGAAAACGCCCGCTGACTCCTAACGAGTCGTTGGGCTCAATCTCCTCGATAGTGCCGGGGTAGTGTGAAGCGAGGCAGAAAGTGAAAACAGAAATATAAAGGAAAGACAGGGATCGTAAGTGTTCATGAAAATAACATAGATCATAAAATGTAACAGGGGAGGGAAAAAAACCGTCAACGTTCATTTCTACGAAGTCCGTTCCTTCTCGACGGCGTTAGAGCTGATTCGTCGATTCTTCTTCAACAGTAGGCCTCTTCGTTCTTTGCCTTCTTTGACAGTTCCAAGAAAGTTTTCCTTGCCTGTCCCTGTGGATGATGAGAGTACCAGCTCACCGCTTGCATTGTGGCTTTGTTGATCTTTCCGTCTTGAAGACGGTAGCGTACGGCTTCGTTGAACTGTCACACCGTTACCGTTAGGGCTATCCAATTCGGGGATGGGTGAAGTCATAACATCGCCTATGGAGCCATCCCGGTTCTGAAGGTCTGTCAAAAAGAACAAGGTCAGCAACGAACATCACGGATAAACAGAACCCATGTCAGAATGATAAAGAAACGGGGGGAACAACTGGAAATAGAAATGAGTAGCAGTAGAGAGAAAAAGAAGCTTGACAACAAAAACCGAAACGCGGCAACAAGGTTGAAAGGGAAATCGAGACACACCACTTCGCTCCATCGTTGTCCTCCGTCTCATCATCTTGATCCTTTCTTTTTCTTTTTCCCGCTCCTTATCTTTATCTTTGGACGACGATTTCGACCTCCAACCGCCCCCTCCCACCCCACTCGAGAATTCGCCGCCCTGTTCCTCCAATGCTCCACTGGGAATCACCATAACATCATCAACCTCAATCCCAACGTCCGATAGCGGCCGTCCACTACTCAATCCAAACCGTGATGGTGGCTGTCGAGATTGGCTCGGAGGATGATATGATGAAGGGGCAGCATGGATCGGGGAGAGTCCGAAACCATTCGAATGGCTCGAGTTACTCACAGTATGCTGTGTTGATGAGCCATGGCCTGCAGTTGCTGTTACGGAGTTCGGTGTCAGAGGCGGCTGGGTTTTCGACGCTCCATGGCTGGTCGACTGAAGCGAATTGGGGTTGGGTGCCGACGATGACGTTCCATGGTGCTGGTGTTGCTCACTCCCTCTCCGCTCATGCCCCGTGGGTTGTTGCTGTTGGCTTCCTCTTCTCGGAGGTGGTGGTGGAACGTCCAGCATGAACCAATCCTGATGTGCAATCAAAAACTCCAACACCTTCTGACTGAGCGCGTGTTCTTGTGGAACCATCTCATGCTCTGGATGAGAAAGTAGTCCCGGTCGGAAGATGACAGCGAGATCTGTGGTTGAATTAACGTTAGCACGAGCAGCCTGAAATGCTCGAGAAAGGTAGGTACGCACTGGTCGCGGTCATCAGATTAATATCGCTCTTTCTGGCGAACACAGAGAGCAAATCAAGAACGTAGAGCAAAAGGTATTGATTCCCCCGAGGCATTTGCCGGATCAGGGACTTGTACTTCGCGATCACTTCGTCCTGGTTGTAGGGTTCTTTGGCTATTTCAGAGGTAACGCGGTGGAGAGCGTAGCGGGGAGGACAAGGTGACGTCGTTAGCGTTTGGAGCGATGAATAGAGAACGCACAGATCACGAACCTAAAGCGTCCCGGAACTAAGGTAACAAGCAGAGCCAACCCCAAGGAAGGTAAAGCGGGAGAATGTCAATTCAAAGCACAGGCCTGGGTGAAAGTGCCGTACCTGATGATACAACTCGTAAGGTATCACGGGTTCCTGTATATCAATTAGAGTCACATTCAAGGCAGAGGTAAGAACAAAGCATACGCACGGGCATCTGAGTGAGGTATCTCCTGAACACGCTCGCAACGTCATGCGTATTGTATTTCCCCTCTGTCCACACCAGATCTTTCCCGTACTATGAACCACACAAGATAACAGGTTAGCAACCAGGAAACCCATCATGAAACAACACTACACACCCGTGGTGGCGTCTCGAACGCCTCTTGTAGTTCCCTCATACGCTTATTAGATCCGTTGACGCGAAACGTTCCTTGAACTTCAGTGGCTACCGAAGGCACGTCAGCACGAAAATCCCCATCTTCGCCACAGTCCAACGAATCAACTCACCATTCTCCTTTAGATATAGACCACTAATAGTAAAGGCCGGTTAGATGAAGATCCGCGAGGCGATTGCAGGGGACTACGTACCATTTAGCCACCACTACTGGTATGTGACCCCAAACATAGAGCTCCCCGTTCGAATTGGCCGTCGATATCTGCACGCTAGCATACTGCAGCGACTCCTTCAACGGTCTCCCAAACACGACTCCCTGCGGTGTCGCGTTGTCCGGGCCTACATACGCCGGCACGACAAATGGTGATTCGCCAGTGGGTGTTTTCGGTGTTTTGACGGATTTCATCGTATTGGAACGTTTGATACCGTTCAAATTCAGATTGAATGCGCCATTCGAGTTGGAGGATGATTTGACCATGACGGAGTTGTTTCGTCGAACAGGTGGGCGGGATGCGGAGAATTCGATCGGGCCAGTTGCAGTTGAGATGTCGGGTTGGTCGACATCGGCACCAGGGGACGAGAGTTGACGTTGTTTGCGATTGAGGGGGAGGGTTAATGACCGAGTTAGCGAAGCGAGAGTGGGGGGCATAGTGCAAGTCAGTAATAGAACAGAGAAAGGCAAAGGAAGATGAAGGTGGAGCGTAAATAAGTCCTGCAGCCCCCACTAGCCTTGGCCACTCGAGAGTGTATGACTAAGCACACCAAACGGGGATAGCCCGGAGCACGGAACGCGGGGTTACTAGCCCAAATCCAGTGGAAAAAAATAAATGGGGTCCGTTCTGGTGAACTGCAGCAGCTTCGACATCGACCCGACGACGAATGACGACAATCCCTTTCACTGCCTCAAGCAAAAGACAGGAAGAACCACTCACCGAATGAGCCCAGGTCTCCCGTTGCTGCGCCGTGGTTGGTGGCTGTTGTGTTTGCGGCGGCGTCCTTCTTGAAGAGGTTGAATGAGCTCCACCACGTCTTCCCGCTGGCTTTTGTTGTCGAGTGACTCTGCCCGTGTCCCTGATCCCGGGTCGCAACTTGCAACTGCCACGGGCTCTGTTGAACGCCCATCGGTGGGGGAGATGTGGCCCTCGCCTTCTGCGGTCGATGATGGTGTGGGATAACATTTGCAAACCCACTCCCGCTTCCGTGCCCGTGGTGTGAATGCGGTGCCCTCTGCTGGCGGGGTAGGTGGTGATGATGTCGCGACGAAGAGGCCTGTGGCTGTTGCTGTTGAGGGTAGAGGTGTGCATAGGGATACGGTGGGAAAGCCTTCTGCGTGCTGCTCGACGATGCAGCCCCTGTCGAGGCGGACTGGTGATGTGAAATCATCCCTAATGGTCTTTCGTCCGTAGTTGGCGTCGAGTTTTCCGTGTCTGGTCGGGATTTGGAGGTAAGTGGTTGTTGGCTAGTTGCAAGGTCGTGCTTCTGATTCAAATTTGCGGCAGACGAGCTCGACGGGCGTCTTGATGGTTTGACGGGTGAAGATGGCCGCACTACAGGTGGACTGGATGAACGTGATGAACGTGCTGGTCTACGTTGTGAGTCTATTAGATGAACGTCAGTAACCAAGAAGCCGCTGATGTCCAAATTCGAAACCGCAACGGAAGAGGATAATAGGTGGGTGAAGTGTGTCGTTGTCACGATAAAGGAATAGCGTAATAACAGCTTGCTGAATTAAAGTATAACCTTCTGTCTCAAGAACATACCACAAAAGAAGCAAACAGCGACCGAAGCGGAAGAAAGGGAAAAAGTAACCGCTGCACGAAGGCGCGTATATATAAAGAATGAAGCTTCGACAGGATGCCCAAATATGAAAACCTGACACTCACCGTAATGGTCTGGACGAGGCTGTACCGGTGTGACAGCCGTCCTGGTATCAGAGCCTGCAGAATATTGTGGTGATCCCTCGACCGATATTAATGGAACTACGTCAGGAGTCTGCTCAACTCGAGTTGTTTCGACTAATTCTGTAGCGCCAAGCTCCGTCGCCGACACTGGTGTCGATGTCGCTGTCCCCAAATCAACCGGTCCTGAACGCTGGCCGGGGGTACCCACACCGGATCCTGACTTCGAATTGCGGTCGGGGTGATGATTGTCGTGTTCAACGTTGTCTGCCAAATTTCGGGGAGCGCTGGAGATGATCTGTGCTGCTCCGCCTTCCGATGGAACCGTTAATGACGACTCTGACGTCTTTGGCGCCGTGGTGTTCGTCGTGTCTCCCTCCTGCGGGGAATCGTCTCCGTGTTGCGCTTGGACGCGGGGATTGATATCGGCGTCGCGGTTGTCGTCGTCGTTATTGACAGGAGACCCAGCAGTAAGCCCTTTGGCATGCAACGAGGCCTGGTTGATGGTCACGGTGTTATTGTTGTCGCCACATTTGGCGTTGTTGTCCGTGTCAGCCATTCTCCCCACTCCGAGTCGCTTGTCCGGATCCACCACCTCGCCATCCTTTTCGCTTGCGTTTCTATGCGCAGTAGGACCCCCAAGCTCGAACAAACCCTCTACAAATATTGACCCAGAGGAAGGAGAAGGCTGGAACAACAAATCTTTGGCTCCAATGGAAGAATGATCCAAAACGGTTTGAAGAATAGGCTCCACATCAGCCGCGAATACGGAATTCTTGTCCTCAGGGTCTGGCTCCTGTGGTCCCAGGGAGGCGATAGAGCTAGCCAGGGTTTGTTGGCGATTGGCCGCTCGCAAGACCTCGTTGCGAACCGTTTCATCCCTCCACGCCCTTTCAACCTTCAATCCCGTCCCGCCTTTATCGAGCATAAACTCTGAGTTTGCGATCGACCCTCGTTTTCCTCGTTGTTCGCGATGATTTCGTTGTCCGTCCTGCTGAGAGCTCGTCGTGGCTTCATCGTCTTGTAGATATCCGGATCCGGCGCTCGTTTCACGCGAATGGCCAGAGAGGTGACGTCGACTCTTCTTGCCTCCTCGCAGATGAAGTATCGCCCCCAACTTGGCTCCAATACCCGACCCACTCCTCCCTCGCGTCTTAGGCCCGGGTGAAAGGGAACGATCCTGCGGTGAATTGAGCGAGCCCGAACCCGAGGGCGTGGTTAACAATGTCCTCGGGCTGCCCATGTCCGGTGAAAACGTGGTCGAATTTATGCTGGACATGTCGTCGTCGTCGCTTGTCACATGTTCATTGTCGGTTGTCGCCGCTGCCGCTCGCTCTTTCGAGGAGAAGGGTTTGGACGAGGGTTGGAAAGCGTTGAAGCTGGAGAAGAAGAGTGAAAGGCGGCGGGGGCGGGACATGGTCCGAGCACCGGGCGTCGAATCGGGAGGCCGGGGCGCAGTTTGTTGTGACGGCGGCGGGGGCTCGGTTGACGCGTCTGGGGGTGTACTGTTCATGGTCTTCGTCTACAACGTGCACCGGTTCTTCTTAAGCGCTTCGTGGAACGATAATTCGCGCTTCGCGGAGTGTCGAATCCGAGGAGTAGTAGCGCGTTGGAAGGAGTGGTGCTAAAGTGACTGATGTAGCTGGTTCTGCGGGCCCCAGATGACGAAATGGGTCGAGCTAGCGCTGCGGGCGTCGACTGTGGTTATGAATCGAAAAGAAGGAAAGATTAACAATAATGGAAAGAAACGTGTTAAGGCCGTGGAAAGTTGAGAGATGGAGTCGTGGCGAGTCGTGAAAAATGGAGGGAGACGTCGAGGACGTCAAGGGCCCGATGTCAATGATGCAATTGGGGTCGAGTGGAAGTTGGGTTGCGGGCTCCAGTTTCCGGAATCAATACCCCTTCACTATATATGATGACCTTAAAAGCCGCGAGTAACAAGCTATAATTACTTACCAGTTGCCCTATCCCAGGAATATGCCAGACGGTGGTGGTAACACCCAGATCCGAATCCGACAACGGGGGGCGAAAAAGGCGATACCTGCGCGATGGGATGTGGTCAGATATAACTCCCAGCTCGAACTCAGCTGTCCTTCACGATCGGCCGTGTTGGTGGTGGTGGCACACGTCCCGGAGAAAGTTGCAGCCAATTCATCAATTCCATCCATCCCCAGTCGAACACCACCAGATCTTTCAAATCAAATAATACAAACGAGGCGTACCGTTTGACGTCGGGTCAAGCTCACTAGCTACCGGGAGACGGAAGGGGTAGATGTGGTAGGTGGGTGTGTACGACAGGCAGTTCTGCGAACGAATCATCTGCCCATATGTATGTTTTGTCTCCTCGGACCTCCTCTGACGTTATCCTCTGTTCGCGAGATGCCACTTGTACAGAAAAAGGTTTCATTATGATCGTCGGACGGCGATGACAGAATGAATGTACACTACAAACACTTGTTGACCACCAATAACATGATCCCCTTCTCCCGTTTGTCACGGCTCTAACTTCTACTGACCACAAGAGAATACCGTATCATCCTCGCAATCTAGCTCCGAACATTTAGCATAAAGAGTTTGAATTGAGATAGAATTGCTATCCTAGTCTGTTCGCATTGATCAATAGTCAGGTTTATAACACCACAAACCGTAAGCGTAACCTTCACTGTAACACCGCAGCAGAGGTGTCCTAAAAAAGACTGTCGACCCCGCTAAGCGCCAGAGCCCGACGAGAAAAAGGATGCGAGTTCGCGTACGGCCCTACACGGGGATCACGCGCAGCAGCAAGAGCCACTGGCGACGATGAAGATCTGGGGACGATGGATGCCAGGGTGCAAGGGGGGAGTGAGGAATGGATGAAGAGGAGACGATGTCATATCCGGAGATTGCCCCCTGGGTCACGCTCATTATGCAACTGATCCGGGCAATGGCGCTGGCAGCTGGGTGAAGGGGCTCGGGACCTGGGCCACGACGGGGAGGGGTGAAACGGCTTGGGCTCGGTTGATGATGACAAGGCTTGAGGCGGCGTGACGATGAGGGACGCAGAGATCATTGGTGGCGGCAGCGAGGCTGGCTCTTCGTCCATTGTTTTCCTTCATCTTTAGAAAGTGCTCCACCCGCCAATAATCATGTCAAAATTGGGAACAAGACGCCTCCCTTCCATTATCGCTGTTCCCCTCTTCGGTCAGAAATTTATAATCGTTTTCTGGGGTCTCGAGTATGTAACGAAGCCAACCAGTTGCAGACGCCGTGCCGAGCTAGGGATGTAGCCACATTGAACCCCTCTTTTGTGCCTCGACTGCAAAGCCAAGCTTCATTTCCACCTATGGGAGATGAAAATGTCGTCCAGCAATAATGATTGTCGATATCCGTCACAAATTGATCAACCCCGCCATCTGGTCAGGCCTAGAGTCCGTGGCCAGGAATTTAGAGTCTGCAACGAGGGAAAGGCAAAAACGAGTCTAGAACGGTGGTATGTCGAGTTTTTAGGATATGCGACCAGTTCGCAAGTACAGCTAGGAACAGATAGCTCGGCCTTCACGGTGCCAGAAATAGCGGGGGGAGAGCCTCGTAGCTGACTGCGGCAAGAGTCTGACGCACTATCAAGCGACGTCTGGAGAGTAGGACGGTCAGGGGTAGCCATAGCGGTCACAAGGTAGAGACCATGATACATCCACAGACCTATGCGTGGGCGATATTTATAAACTATATCGATCCGAATAGACCCTCGGGAAGGCCAGGTGAAGACGTGAAGACGGGGTGAAGCGGTGCGTTGCAGGGTGTGTCGAGATTAGGTTTACATCCGAGAGCCAGACTGAGGGAGAGGAATGACAGCGGGGGAGATTACAAGTCGAGTCTTCAAGGGTTCATGGCCAATTCGTAAATGGGAAATTGCTGTTTAAAGACAACGCAGAATGTTGACTAGCGGCGCACCAAGTAGACCAAGTGACTGCCAGAGGGATCGTTTAATCTAGGCAGAAGGGGGTTGTCAATTCGAGGGTGAGGGATTTGAAGGGATGTTGTAGGTGCGCCAAAGGGTACCAGTGTCGTTGCAGGGCTGGCCGATGGCATATATACGGAGTTTCTCATTGGGCGAGCAAACCCCGTGGTCGTAGGTGATCGCGAAAGCGGTCTGTCTTGAGATCTTCCACGTCATCGGTCAGGGACTTGCCCAAGTGGACCAACCACGCGAGGGGTACCACGCAGACCAAGCTGGGGTCAGCGACTGGTAGACCCTGCACCCCCAGACTGTATGATCGAGGTCTTGGGATGCGGATGCATCTTATCCGCAGATCTTCTTTGTCGGAAAGAACCTCGAGTCTTGGGCCTGTCAGAGGTAGGTTCCAAATCCTTGCCCCCACATCGTTGCCTATGAGGTTTCGAGTTTTGCAGGTCGGCAGCGCATTGGATCTGGGAGAGCCTTCATGATCATCACGGACGACGACGATGATCAAAGTCCAAGTGAGAAGAGAAGGATGAGGAGAATCACATGCGTCGTGGCCTCGTCTGATCTGTTGTCTCTTCGACGGCTTGGCCCCCTATATACTGATGCCCCGCATTTCGTGGAAGCGGAAGCAGAGTAAAGTTGTTCATATCGAGTCTGTAAAGACCTCCAGTTGTCTTCAGCGGTACTGGAAGAGAGGGGTCAATGTTTGAAATGGGAGACGAGCCAAGAAGCGCTCAACCACATGACAGCGTCAAACAAAGCTCGCGGGCGCTCATGATCGCCGCAAATGTACCTTATGACCAACACCCGCATCGCGATGAGACCTGTTCAAGTTGGTCACCAATGGGCAACTGACGCGACATACAACGGCTCCACGATATCTAGAATGCATTCTGGATTCAGAATCTCGAATGTTACGCCGTTGGGCGTTCGTAATCGACCCTCGAGGTCCAAAGGCGGCCGGTGTGAACGTCTTACGCCAGCTTCCCAAGATCTCATTTGGGCGCTCTTTTCGACTTGTTTCACTGCGTCCAACGGTTACGCGGCACTTTTCCTTGCCTCTTCCTTGTCGAGCAGGGGATCTTTAGGCTTTTCTGACAAACATCAACGTCGTGAGTAACGTATCTCAGTTCGAGCGGGTATATGAACCACCAACGTGTCTTTTTCCAGATCCCCGCTCATGGCCTCTAGCAACAACGCACTCGCCCCTGTCCCTGAGGCCCTTGTCGAGCTAGTCACCAAGCTACACGAAGTCGTTACCACTCATCCTACCGGCGTCCCATTCATCGACGCGCTCTCGCCTACCACCCGTGCACTTCTCGCATCTAGCTCTGTCCTCGCAGTTCTCGTCGAACTCCTCGTCCGCGGTCAACGCGTCAAATCTTTGAAAACCAAAGCTGAGAGCATGAACAAAGCGAAAGGAGGATCGGGCCAGTATGTCGACTCGGAGGATCTGGGAGCTGCGATAGAGGAGGCGAGGAGACTTGGAGGTCTTGCCGAGAAGGAATGGGAGTACGATGTCATTGTCGTTGGTGGAGGAACGAGTGGATGTGCATTGGCTGCGCGCCTTTCCGAGGATCCGAATTTGAAGGTTCTTCTCCTCGAGGCTGGAATCTCGTATGTCTTTTTGATTCTGCCTGTAGGTTGTGCGCTGATGAGGTTTGAATAGTGGAAAGACCCTTCCTCGGTCCGTTATGCCCTCAGGCTTCGGTGGTCTGTTCTGGGGTAAACACGTTCACCAGTTGAGAACCGAGCCTCAGCAGTACGCTGGAGGAAAGACAAACTTCTGGCCTCGTGCAAAGATGCTCGGAGGATGCTCTTCGATCAATGCTCAAATGTACGTCTTCCACTCCCTCTTGTTCACCACTATGAATTGACCCTCTACTTAGGGCTCAATATGGCGCCCCAGGAGACTTTGACGAATGGGCCACAGTCACAGGGGATGACTCTTGGGCATGGAAGAACTTCGCCGCGTACTTTAGGAAGTTTGAGAGGTTCAATCCTCATCCGGAGTACCCCGACGTGGATATGAAGAACAAGGGCACTGACGGACCTGTCGACGTTGGCTACTTTAACACTGTAACCCCGCCTAGCAAGGCCTTTATCAAGGCTTGCGTTGCTGTTGGAATTCCTTTCACCCCGGATTTCAACGGCCTTAATGGAACGCTTGGAGTTAGCAGGGTAAGTATCGACACGTTCCCACCAAGAAAGTGCCCTAACCATTTCCATTCACGTTTCTCTGATAGATCAGTAAGGTTCTTCCATCACTTTCGAAAGACTTATTTTGACGCGTTTCATTACAGTGACTTACGTTTCAAACCAATACAGGCGCGTATCGTCTGAGACAGCCTATCTCACCCCCGAGGTTCTCGGGCGCAAGAACCTTACTGTTGCCACCAATGCTACTGCCACCCGCATCATCTTTGACACCACCTCTCTCGGCTCAGCAGCCGAACCCAGGGCAGTCGGCGTTGAGTTTGCAAAGACCGAGCAAGGGAAGAGGTTCAAGGTCTATGCAAAGCGGGACGTTGTCGTTTCGTGAGTCGCGCCTTGCCCTCCCACTTCCACTTTGCCCTGACCTGGACTTTGTAGCGGAGGAGCTGTCCACACCCCTCACCTCCTCATGCTCTCAGGTGTAGGACCTCAGGCCCACCTAGAGAAACTCGGTATCCACGTTGTGAAGAACCATCCCAACGTCGGTCAGAACCTTGTCGACCACCCTGTCATCGACGTGTACTTCAAGGACAAGCATAACCAGAGTGCAAACTATTTGAAACCCAAGAGTCTCGGTGATGCCGTCAAGTTGTTCAAGGCTATCTGGCAGTACAAGATCGAGAAGACAGGCGGACCTTTGGCTATGAATGTGAGCTTTTTCAATGGATGCCAACGAGGATTGTGGTTGTGCTGATACGGCGGTATCATAGTTTGGTGAATCGGCCGCGTTTGTGAGGTCGGATGATAGGAGCTTGTTCCCGGCGGACAAGTTCCCTGAGCAGTTGAAGGATAGCACTTCTGCCGCCAACAGCCCTGATCTCGAGTTCTTCTCCACGCCATTTGCATACAAGGAGCATGGAAAGATTATGTTTGATGTGCACACTTACGCTTTACACTGCTACCTGCTACGGTACGTCCGATCCAGCTGGTCCTTTGGAACGGTTCTAATCTCTGGATCTTCATTAGCCCCACGAGCAAAGGAGAAGTCCTCCTCAAGTCCGCCAACCCCTTCGTCCAGCCGAGCGTGAACCCCAACTACCTCCAAACCACCGAAGACGTGAAGAAACTCGCTCGGGGCCTCTACCTCATGCTCAAGATCGCCCAAACCGAACCTCTCGCCTCGCATCTCGATGCTACCTTCACGCGTGAAGATCTCGATCACCAAACTCACCTCAAGTCGCCTCAGGAATTGGAGGAACTCGTGAGGGAGCGTGTCGAGACCGTGTATCACCCCACGACGACGTGCAAGATGGCACCAGAGGACAAGGGTGGTGTTGTTGATACCAAGTTGAGGGTGTATGGCATCAAGGGGTTGAGAGTGTGCGATGCTAGTATTTTCCCCTACATTATTTCTGGACACACGGTGAGTAGTTCTGTTGTCTGGCTGGAATCGTTGTGGGGATTACTGATATGTTGTTTGTTCCAATTTTAGGCTGGTGGATGCTTTGCTATTGCCGAGAAGCTGGCAGATGAGATGAAGGCTGAGTATCGCTCCTAAGGGTTTTGGGCTAGGGGATTTCTTGTGATTTATTCGCTTGTTTGTATCTACTGTACTCTCCTTGAACCTGTTGCATGTAATGATATCACTTCATTCTTTTCAGTTTGACTTATGTTACTGGCGCCTGTATGGACCCACAGGAATGAAACTGTATCCTGTTCTGATGCCCCGCTGGCTTTCTGTGTGTGTGGACTGGGAAATGACACCGAAGAATAGAGGATTGGCTTTTGATGGGAGAATTTGATGGGCGGGGTTGAAGTAGAGCGCGCGAGTTGCCCAGAAGATGGTAAATTAAGCTTCCCTCCGTCACGCAACAACGACATGCTCGCTACCACCCACTCACAGTCTCTATAGTCTTTCCACGCAGGCCGTTAATATCACTCCCCTTTTCTTCTATATTCACTTTCTCTAGTCCAAATTTACGACTCAATATAGTACACCCCAACCTCCCACCCGGCCGGCGCCCAACGACGACAACCGACACCCTGTGCGCACCTGAACATTGGGACAGGGATTTGATTTAATTATGGCTACCCCTTCGACAACGACGACAACGACGATACCTCCAACTGGAATGAGGACCTCTCCGACGGGTGAATCAACAGTCCCGGATGATTCTGTGGTCATCAAGACGCGGCAAGGTATGTTAAGGTATTGATTTTGCCCTGCACGTGTGCTAAATCCAGACATTATTCCTCTAGGACAAACTACAGTGCTGCAGCGCTTGGTAGGACTGTTCCCAATACCCTCGCCCTCGTCGACAAGTGCGCCTGGACATACACCACGGTCATCGAATGCCGCTCCGACAACAGCCAATGGCGAAACCAGTACCGGAGGAGCAGGGGCTGCGGCGAAGACAGGCGGGGTACGGTGGGACCAGTCGATCCCTGCTTCACCGCCCTCGGCACGGAAGACGACTGCTGCACCCAACGTCAAGGCGCTCAAGGTTAGAATGATCACATGGAATATGCATGATTCCCTGCCCAAGGTGCGTTTCTCCTCGGCTGGGAGCGTGGAGGACTGTGGCTGATGATTGCGTATAGGGTGAACTCGAAGAGCTGTTGGGCAAAGTCCCTGCGTATGATGGTCCAACGTGTCCTCCTGGGACGTTCCCGATGCTACCTATGGAGCCTGAGCATCCGTATCATTTCGTCGTTGTGTAGGTCCCATTGCTAGTCTTGAGGCGGTACGTTGGCTCATCATCGTGCTTTGCAGTGCTGGGCAGGAGTGCCCTTCTTCTTCCGGTTCGTGGCATGCATCTAATCTTACGTGCCTAATTAACGTGCTATCCATCGCACAGGACTACCCATGGCGTTAGGGGCGGGTATCAAGCAACTCATAGAGCGTGATAAGGAGAAGGAGAAAGAGAAAGACAAGGAGAAAGAGCGGGATAAGGATAAAGAGAAGGACAAGGATCGCAACGACAAGCTCTCTCCCAAAGAACCTACATCCGAATTTGACGCAGCAGCAGCCCAACTCCAACGTCTCAAGGAGCAGGACAGTCAACTCGACGATATCATCCTTCGGAATAAAAAGTCGAATGAAACCTCGGTGGATACCCCTCCCGTGGGCTGGACGAGCATTGTGGCGGACTGGCTTTGCAATGGAGGCAATTATGGGTTGATTAGGTCCAAGTCGTTCAAGTTGGGTTCGGCGCTGGATGTTACTTCGTCCTCAAAACCGGTTGCGAAACGGAGGGCCACGTCGCTGAAGGAACCGAATTCGAAACCAGGACCCTATCAACTGTTGGTGAAGGAGCGTCTTCTGGGGATATACCTCGCCATCTACGTTCACCGCGACTTGAAACCGCTCGTCAAAGGTTCGTTTCACTGCACAAGTCTCCAACTCCACAATGTGCATGCTCACCCTGGGTCTAGGGGTGTCCAAGTCCGCTGTAACCGCAGGGCTGATTGGAGGAAGGGTTGGTAACAAGGGTGGCGTTGGAATTTCCATCAACCTCGATGGAACCACGTTGCTTTTCCTGAATTCGCATTTGGCAGGTGCGTCTTTTTCCCTTAAGCGATCGACAACGGGCGTTTAATGTATTTCTCTAGCCCACGAGGGGCGGGTAAGCCACCGGCTGGCGAATTTGGAGAAAATCAAGGTGTTGTTGGTTTTAACTAGGCAAGACCTTTAACCTGACGGTGCTTCGTTGTAGACGGAACTTGAGGTCGATGACTTTTTGCCTGAGGATGACCCGCGGAAACGTGCGGAAGGTATATCGGCGATGTAAATTTGGTCTTTTTGCATCATTGACCCTGTCCCTGCAGACCTCACCGATCGCTTTGACTTTACCTTCCTGTGTGGGGACCTCAACTTTAGACTTGACATCACGCGCCTGCATGCCGACTGGCTCATCGCACGTCAAGGTATCCGTGGTCTGCCTCCATATGCGAATTGTTTCTTACTGTTTTCTCTATACAGACTATGCCCAAGCTCTCACGTTCGATCAGCTGCTCAAGTTGATGAATGCCGGAGCGAAAGAGTTCGCAGGCTTCAAAGAGGCCCCCATCAACTTCCCTCCAACGTTCAAATATGATGTATTGCGGACGTTGAAGCGACCGAAGCAGACGGGTGATGATAACGACGAGTACGATCCGGATGCGGAAGGAATGTCGGTATCATCCATGTCAACGGCCTACTCCCGAGCGACGCTGGATCTCCCTACTGTGCCGGCCTCTCCCGTGACCCCCACTGTCCCTACCTCAGCGAGCAAGGTCTCGTTAGGACAAGTCGCGCCGACCAGTAGAGCCAAGCTGAGGCTGTTGTCACTGAATTCCCCCAAGCTATCTCCCCTCTTTAAATTACCGAAGCGGAAACCCACTCTCGATAATATTCAGGTATATCCTGATACCCCAACCACGCCTGGCTACAGCCCATTGCCCTACACCCCGAGGACAGCCGAACCTCTTACGGCGGGCCCACGTACGGCCGAACCCACGAGCGTTTTGGGGGAGTCTCCGACGCTGATGCCGCCACCCAAGATACGGGTGGAGAGTATGACTTCGAATAATACCAATCAAAGTCAAGATGAAGTCTCCGGAATTGAAAAAGGTGTTTATGACAGCTCCAGCAAACAGCGGGTACCTAGCTGGTAAGTGGCCTGTTTTCCACTGCTATAGTTCTGAACTCAACCATCTTTCACAGGTGCGATCGCATCCTCTGGAAAACCACTGTTGAACGCGCTCCCACCCCGGCTGTAACTCCTGAACCTGTACTCGGAGATCCTCAACTTCTCAGCGCTCCAGTTCGCAAACGAAAGCGCAAGCTCAGCACTCTCCTCTCCCCATTCCTGTTCAAATCGAAAACTGCTCGAGAACCGGATGCTCCATACACAGCCAAGAGCACAGCAGATTCGATCCCCCATTACCTTCCCCCCTTGAAGTCTGCCCCTCCTCTGTCACAAAGCATATTCCCCTCTCAAACGCCACACTCTGCGGGGTATCGAACTGAATCTCCTGAGCCAGAAAGCCCGCCGCCACCTGCTTTGAGCTCCTCCGCGGCTCAGAAGAAACCATCACGAGGTGTTTCTGCCACTTTCCCTCCAGCTCCACCACCCTCGGCACCAGCTGTCCCCGACAAAGCAGCTAACAGACGGTCGACATTTGGGGTTTTGATGAGCCCTTTATCCGGCGGGGACTTTGCCACGCCTTCGCGATGGAGGTTCCTACCCAACTTCTTTTCGCCTAGTAGTGCTAATGGAGGGGGATTGACTATTGATGTCGAGGAGCCTGTGACGCCGCTTGCCACACCTGCAGTTGTGAATAGACGAGGTGATGTGGTCTGTCTTGATTATAATACCCTAGACGATCGCGGGATGAGGAGGTTAGAAGGGCGAAGTGACCATCGACCAGTTCTTGGGACATTTGTAGCATACCTTTGATCATACCCCATTACATTAGTACGTTCTACGTCTACACGTTCTGTCACATGTTTTTTATGTTATCTCACTGTCTGGTTTTGGCATCATCGTCGTCATTCTTTCATTTGTTTTCAGACATACTCAGCTCTTGAGCTTATCATTATCTCACTCTCTGGCATCACTTTTTGGTATTTAACTAGACATACACTCGTTCATGGACTGATTTGATTTCTTGTACCGCTTTGACCAACTTTAAACCCATGATCCTGGGCCGCTGCGCACATAAAGGTTTACGTCGGATTAGGATCGAACCCAGGAACCGACACCCGTCGGGCGGCGGCCTGCTGGCGGGGGATCCGTGCCCCTGTGGCGTTTTGCCCCTTTCTTCTCGACCACCACCATCGGAATCGTCGAAAATCATCCTACCGCGTTATTTCAGACCTTCAAGTCAGCTCACACACTGAAAACGAAACTTGAGACTGTAGCTGCACGCAAAACCTTCCCCTGACCCTTTCTTGATCCCGCAACGTGGGTTGACCCATCCGACTCAAGTTCGTCATCAGGGACATCTGTCGTCAAGCTCATGTCGCCGAAGGGATCTCTTCTTGCACCGCACGACAGGATCTTAACTTTGCACCCTCATTTCTGGAACCCTCTTTGCCTTCATGCGCGACTTCTTTCCTCACCAACACAAAAACAAACCTAGATGATTTGTCCCACTTGCTAAACCTAGTCAAGTTCTACCGCCTGCCATCGACTTCTGTAGCCTTTCCTTGGAAGGCCCCTCCCGAAAACTCTTCTCGCAGGTGTTCTTGCGGGAGTATTCAATTGAAAAGACCGCTCGGAGCTCGCACCTCGAATTGAAAATTTCCACTCTTTCTTGCTTCGAATTCTGCCAAGTTTTCTGGGTGGACTGGTTCTATCGTTAGATGAACGGCTCAATCTAGGATCTTTGGCGGTGTTCAAAAGGTTTTTTTCTGTAGTTCCTGGGTATGTGGTCTTATCGATCGGCTGTTTTGGCTCTGGGAAGGGCCATTGGTTGTAGTGGATGGGATTACAGTGGAGGTAGGCTATGGAGATATCGGACCTGCCTATGGAGTCGAAGAGTATGTTCGGGACAATCTTCGTGCCCTGAAGCACGAAACGGAAGAGAACAAATGACGTGTAGTGTAACGGATGTTGCAACATTCTCAAACAAATGCGGTTGAATGGATCGTGTAGTCCATTGTACGAAAATCTGATTCCCTGGTTAGAGCGGATGGTCACACTGGTCTCAGGAGTCAATTGAACCAACCCTTTTCCATTTCCCTTGTCATAGATTGGAAGGTGAGCTTTATCTCGCTTCGCTTGCTTGCGATACATCAGTAACCATTCTCCCGTCTCGGATTCCAGTAGTGCTTGCCGTGCGCGACGACATTAATTATCCTTTGTCCCTGTCACGGTGCCATAATAAGTCTCGTTCGACAGGAGCCTGGTACGCTTGGTTGTTCATGCTAAGAATTCATATCATAGAGTCTGATAATAACATTTAGGGGTGTAAAGGCTTTGGTCCAGAACTCCTTGAGCCAGAAGTCGGAACGATGTCGATGGCGATGCTCGGCCGTCCTTCACCGTCATTGTCACCCTCGATGTCCTGATACGTTGAAACGTAAAACTTCTTGGACAGAGGGTGTAATTTCGTGAAAGAATTGAATAGGTCAGTACGGCATTCCGTGAATATATGCGTCTGTTTGATCTCCCAGTTTGTAAAGGAGCGGCGGATTTGCCATTGAAATTTTGCCTCGATGTTTCTTTATTCACAAGTCCGTGGGGATTATCGTCTCCCTCTGGATACAGAAACACCCAGTTCTGCAGATTACGGCCCTCTACTCAAGCCGTTCAAAGTTGCTGTGAGTTAATCCCTATTGTGGATACATATTATTGTTGAAACTTTCGTCATCCTCAACCTTTTGCAGAAGTTATGAACGTTAACCTCGTATCTGTAGATGAATGTAGCATTTTCATGCCTCCCGAACATATGAAGAGCGTCCGTTCGGCCCCGTCCATTGAGCGAATGGATTCCATCCGGCTCGCTGCGCGCCGCGGCGGATGTTTTGCGCCTATGCAGTGTACCCTAGTTGCCTCTTTGGTGCGACCAGAAGGGAAAGTTGGCGGACAAACGTTGGAAAGGGCATATGTATTCTCCTGACTGATTATCGAAGGCAACGAGGTTTGGAAGTTGGAGGGTCGAGGATGCTGGCTAGGCGATCGACGGAATTGCAGCGGAAAAACGGGGGCCCAAGGCCTCTTCCGGGTTCTAATGACGCCTCAGCTTCGCGATTCTCTTCGTCTACCCCTTGCGAAGAGTCGCACACCAAACAGAACATATGGAGCAAATATCCGATATTATTGGTCTCCTGGGTGTACAGCTGATTACGCCTCCCGCTCAATTTCGGGTCGAAGCTTCTCTTACGAGGAAAGCGGATGTGGGTAATTGTGCCACCAGAGAACGCGCATTACCCATACTCAGCTAGGCTATCACATTCAAAGGTGTTACCTGCGCGCTCGTCCAGGCCTTGTGGGTCAAATCAACGTGCGGCAAAGGCGTTATCTTACGGTTATCTTAACCATCTCTTAATTCCCGTACTTCCGGAAGAGGAGAGACAAGCTCGGAGTGGGCACGAGGCTTGATGCATGATGTGTGTATGCTGTTTCTTCTGAGTGATCCCTTGTACTTACCAGGATCGGCAGATACTCTTGACTTCTATGGTTCTTGTGGGTTCTTGATATGGAACAGTTTGTGGAATTGATTGCTCCAAGGCGTTCGTGGGGGAGTGAAGGTATCGCGATATATAACGAGGATGAACCTCCTGGCACTGTCTCTCCAGGTTCCACCTCGTTCCACCTGCCATCCCCCTCTCCACGACGTTATGTCACGCCGCACCCCTCACCAAGTACTTGGTGTCCCAGACTATGCCACCAAAGACGAGATCAAGCATGCGTACAGAGCGCAGGTGTGTGGGTTTTGCGATAGTGCCCAGGACTTTGGCTGAATCGAGCATGTTCAGGTTTTACATTGGCATCCAGACCGCCTTCACGACGACAAGCATCTCGCCAATAGGTGCTTTGCCGAGGTAGGATCTTTCACTGTCATGACAATGAAAGGGGAATGACGTCGGTCCAGGTTAACCAGGCTTACAAGACCTTAACCCGCACGATGGACCTGGAATCTAATTTCGAAGAGCCATTGGTCATGAACCCTGGAAAGGACGGTCAGAAATCTACCCGTATGCAGCGCCGCCATTCCTCTTCAAGTTCAAGTTCGTCATTTTCCTATGATTCGGAGGACGATTCCTCGGACAGTCGACTCTCCCTCTCTACGCCGTCCTCAAGCTTCAAGGACTCTCCCACAACCTGCTCTTGGCCCTCGACTCCTTTCACCCCGTCTCCTTATCGTCCGGAGCATAAAGCACCGTCCTCGACCTACGAAAGCTGGAGAGCTGGTCCGGATTTACCAGAAGCGTTCAAGCACAAAGCCTACATCCCCCCTTCACATCTGTCACATTCCAAGCCGGGCATGACAGCATTCCCAAAGCCACCACGGCGTCCTCCGACACCAGCGCACCCCGGTGCTCCCAGTTCGCCGCACACTTCAATACAAAGGCATGTACAAAATTCATAACTGATTTAATCTCGCTTATTGATAATATCTGTTCTCAGGCCAGCGATCTCAGTGGTGGTACCTAAACCCATTCCCAACGCCAGAATTCCAGGATCAGAAAAGCAATACGTGAATCTTTACGGACAACTTGCCACCCCACCAAGTCATTCAGCTCCTTACGACCTTCCCTTGGTATCCATTGGGCTCGGACCGACCGGCGAATGGACGTATTCACTTCCTCTAACGCTAGAAGAGCTTTTTTCTGGCGTTCATCTCAAATTTCCCATTGTTCGTCGTGCACTTTCCGGCCGGTCTCGGACTGTGACATTGGATCTCGAAATTCCCTCGGGATGTCGACCAGGTTCTCGACTCTTTTGTCGACGGGTCGGTCATGAGATGAAGAGTGGGGTGCTGCAGGATATTGCGTTCATCATCGAAGAAAAGCCTCATGCAAGGTTTACGAGATTGGAGGAAAGGGATGATCTTGTTCTGGACATTCAGGTGCCATGGGCGGATAGCATGAGGCAGTTTGGCGCGGAAGCCTCATTTACGGGAATCGATGGGCAGCCTCTATCGGTATTCATCGACTACCCTCGAACCAAATCCACCAAAGGAAGAAATGTTATCAAGGGTGCGGGTATGCCTTCGAGACAGAGGGGAAAGCTTGTTGGAAGGGGTGACCTGATTGTGCAGTGCGTGAAATCTGCTAAAGCTTGAGGATTGACTAACGAGTCCTGTAGGTGGGAAATAATCTCAGAACCAGAGCAAGCAAAGAAAAAGCCTTTCGTGAAGAGGTTCTGGAAGAAGTAAATGGGCTCGGACAATGATTCTTGACACTAGTATACCAATAGCGACTCATTAGGTGAGGGATTAGCCCTCGTAATTAACTATCTTTATTACAACTTTGTATCAGTAGTACATGTACATGGCGAATGAAATTATGCTCTATGCTGTTTCTTGATCAGCGTACTTGCATCCGAGTCTATGGTTTGCCCTGTTGCCGCACCTTCACCTCGGAAATCGGTTCGTCTCTGATGTTCGAAGCTCGATGGTCAACGTCACCTCCGCCGCCCGCCCTTCTCTCCAAGACGTGCGACCTGGGGCTGGGGCTGGTATCAACATAATTGATTGCCCGTGGGGAAGCAGTGCTCGAACGGCGCCAATGAAGGCCTGTGATTCTGCTGGCTCGCGAACACGGAATCGACGCATCCGGAACCCAATAATGGTGGTTTGTCATGGCCAGATCGACGCGTCTGAACTTGGACGTTTGAACCCGCTTCCTCCATCCTTCGACACCCTCCTTCCATACTTAAGCCACCAGCTTGTCCCACCTTTGTTCAGCCAGCTCTCCTGTTTGGAGGCTACATAGTGAGCAGCCCACCCTGAAGCTTCATTCCAATTTCTCAGAGACGATCGAACAATGGGTCTCGTGGACCGCGACATTAGGGGGCCGAGACATAAAGAGGCGCCCAGCTTTGGTATCCACATGGTGTCAATTTGATTCCGACGGTTGAACGGTACCTCCATAAGAATTGGAAATGGCCTCTTGTCCCAGAACGGGTGTTACAAAAGTAACTTTCGCATCTAACGTGTGCCCTACAAATTTAACTTTAAGTAACGTTTTTCTGTAAAGTTACTTTTGTGAGTAAAGTAACGGCAAAGTAACTTCGACGTTCGCGAAAGTTACTTCTAAGTTAACAAAAGTAACGGTTTTGACGGCGAACGTGAATGAGAACGTAAGGTCTGAGCAACCATGGACAATGATGCCGTGCCGTCGGCTTCGTGCCGGAGTCGGGCTCCACAGACGGATTCCCAGGCAGTGTGTGTCCTGTCAGCGCGTCGCATTCCCTTGTACACCTCCGGGCCAGCGCTATCGTGAACACTCGTTATCTGACTTGATCTAGCAGTCTCGCCGTTGGACAAATCGACTCCAGAAGCGTTTTAAACATCAACTGTCGCGTATTTGGCCTTCGACCACTTTGTTTTTGGCACAACGGATGGAGGAAAGGGAAGGGGAGGAGAGGCTCTCAGCCGGGACATGTCTGATACGCAGAGTGAGGGTTATGGTACGTTTCTCTTTTAATTATGTTTGGTTGACTCTTGTAAGGCGAGGTCCCTACGTGTCTATGGCAGCCACGTGCATAAACCTGGCGCATTTCAACCAAGGAGCGCATTGGCTATGGCGGGTCTTGAGAGGTTTCACCTGGTGCGTCCGCCCGTTCGTTTTCCCTAAACCGTTGAAGCTAACAAAGGGACAGTTTCTTTATCTAGACAGATAGATACTACAGTACCAGTAACCTGTTGTTTAATTAGGAGAATGTCGATTTGCTTCCGCTCATTGCCCGCCCAGAATGGAAACCACCGCCGGAACGCAAAATTCAGAGGGCTTGTCGTTCCGTCGCTTTGTGAAAGGCCCTCCTGTTTCCACCATCTCTTCTGCGGTTGTCTTCTGCAATGTTTCGGCGCCTTGGACGGCTGGTGGGCTCATTGTTTGGACAGGTCGAAGACTCAGGTTCCATCCACGATGATGCGGACAGAGCCCGACAGCGGAAACGGCGGCGAAAAAGCAAACTGCAACGCGTTGACCCAATCGTAGATGGGCCTCCACCTCCGACGGTATGGCCAGGTTATGCCTATCCGCCACCGCCAGGCACAGTCTATCAGGGATCACCTTTCCCTTACACTCCTCGTAAGGGAATTCACACATTGCCTCCGATGTTGCGCTGACCAGTGGCACTGGCCGCAGACTTCCCGTACCCCAATCCTTGGGCGAGCTCTGACCATTCTTACCAGAACGGTCTTCAACAACGGAACGAGAATAGACCTCCCAGACCAGCCTTGTCCTCGAAAAAAGGTTCTGGTGCCAATCTCAAACCGAAACAAAAACGTCCGCGCACTCCCTCGGAATCATCAGTCTCGGAGAACTCGAGCACAGAACCTGACAGTAAAGGTGTGTACCACGGTACCTTGATGGGTGAATAAGCCTCTCACAGTTTTCAAATCACGCTAGGTTCTGCCATGGATGATTCCGATGAGCGCGACAATGAGGAGGATAAAAAATCCGATACGGGCTCTATTGACGACGATCCCGATTGGCCCAATGGGGACATCGAACGCAGGTGCATTGAAGCTGTGAAGCAAGAACTCCGCCTTGGAGAAACAAAATGGGCCTGGCGTTCGAATGGATGCCGACCAATTGGTGGAAGGATGACAGAGACGAGGAAGTGCCTTGGGGTATTGGTGTGCTCCAGGTCTTCTTGTCCACGTGCGGTGCGCCCGAAGACACAGACAGCCGCTCGGAACGTACAACTCATGATGCCATGTACCCTCTGCAAATCGCCACTTACCCACCACGCCTGCGACGTCAAATCTCTCCACTACACTGTGGTTGACGGGGGCGAGAGCTATGCAGTCTGGGAGCACATTGGGACACATGCACACAGGCGTCCGCCTGATCCACGCCGTCTGACACGCACTGAGCAAGGAAAGGTCGATGAACAGGTCGCCAGAGCGCCAAAGGCCACCGTCCATCAGCTACGGGTTGGCGAATCGACTCCGGGCTCTGTCCCACTCCATAGCATCAAGCCCACCCTTGCCCATCCGAAATCAGCTCACTACGCCGTTCAGCAGAGCCGAAAGCGACAAGGTCTGACATCCCTCGACGAGACCATCAAAGGAACCTACTCGTTGATCGAAGCATTCGCAACACTGAATGAGAAATTTGGGGAAGAGTTTCTGATTGAGTCCAGTCTCAGTTCGCCTGCGTATCTGATGTACCAGACGAAGTGGATGCGGTCGGTTCTAGGGGATGCAGTGGTTGGCTGGAGTAAAGGTTTGCCAGAGCTCGTCGGGCAGCACGGAGGTGTCACAGATGGAAATCACAGCTATTTCGACAACGGGACGTTGGTAGCAACTGCGGTTTACGACACTGTCATCCAATCCTGGGTTCCTATTCTCTACACATGGGTTCATAAGGTCGACACTCAGCACCACCTTCCCCACTTCCGTAAAGTTGCGCACCAAATTGTCGACACCTGTCAAGAGAAAGGAATGCAGCTCAAAGACGAATTCCTCCTGCACGTAAGGATCCTTCTTTCTGTGTATATGTATCGCAATGTTCCTGATATGTGCTTCCTTCAGGTCTTTGATTTCGCCCAGCCAGAACATGCTGCCCACGCTGAATCATTTGTAGAAGCCAAGATACGCGTCTTCAGTAATTGGCACCAGCTTACCCCGGAAGCCCAAGCAATTCAGAAAGCCGAGTGGCTCAAAACGGCCGAACGCTATCAGATTGGGTGTCGTGTTCACTTCAAGCGCTCTGCTAACCGCATTCAGTCGTCCCATAGCCTCGTACCGCCTGAAAACGGGGCCAGCTTCATGTCAAAGGTGCATCAGCTCGTATCCACAAAAACCTCCTTGGAATCATTCAACTCGATTGTCGATGAACTTGCGAAGACCTACCCTAGAATCGTCGGCTGGCTTGGGTGGTGGCTTCGCTCGCGAATCGCTTCGTTGATCTTTCCTGCCAAAAGCGCAGTCGATCCTGACCTTCGGAAGAAAGTACCGAACTCATCCAACGTCATTGAAAGCATACACCACCTCACAAACCACGCTGTTGGAAAAGGTCACGATATCATTGAAGGGGCGCAAGGTCTTCTTCTCCACAGCCGCGAGCTTCAGGCGCAGCACCAGGCCATTCTAGGTATGTGTTTATGTATATCCAATATGCTTGAGACGCTAACTCTCTTCCAGTGGGTCACAATGATCCACTTCCAGCTCGCGCTCCCAAACAGCCTACCCGCAGGGCAATTCCTGTTGATGATTCCGAGAATGGTCGCGCCCCAGACACTGTTGAGCGCTTGGGACTGGTCCCATCTGTTCCCCAACAAAGTGTGACTGGTTCAGAGGCGATCCCACCTCTGGAGCTTATCGCGTACCGATGGAATGGGAAGAACTCTTGCTTCTGGGACGTTGCGCTTGAACTCTGGTACAGAGCGTATTCCTGCTGGCCCGAACGCGAGGCAGAGAAGATCCGTCTGCTCCTCAAGGAAACCGCCAAAAACTCATTTCTGACCTGGCTAATCTTCCACTTCCACAACCGGAGGCAGTCACTCAAGAGCAACAACCGGAACTCGCTGAAGCGTGACCTCTTTACTGGACAAGGGATGACCGAATTTTACATCTTCGACAAGTGGAGGCTCCTGAATCCCGGTGACTATGGAACCCCTACTCTCTGGCTGACGCATGCTGTACAGGTTTGTCAAATTTTCCCATTCAATTAAGAGGATACTCATTCCATTATAGGACTCTTCGCCTCCCCTACCGACGCAACAACACTTTGGGATACAGCAAGTGATCTTCTCAAGATGCTCGCATGGGCATGCGCACACATTTTACGACCCGACAACACCAATCGTTCCCCACACCGTCTCTATTGCCTTCGTCCACGCTCTCACACTGGAGTATGGTCGTCAGATCTCGATCGGAGATTACCTTTCCCGGTGGATTCCTAATCGACACTCATACACGACTCCCCTCCATATACACCACTCGGTCTCGAAGTGCAATCATGAAGGATGCTCTAAGGACAGCCACTTTGTAGAGGCCGTGATATACTGGCCAATGATTCTTTCACTCTCAGTCGAAGGAGTCAGGGAACCGGGTACGACAGGTGCTAGTGCCACTGCCTATCCTTCCAGGCCTGTCTGGGACAACACCATCGAGATAGAGGACGACGACGGCAAGGTCACCTACGAGCTTGTTGGAAGAGCAATTTATGACAGGCGTCGTCAACATTATACCTCACAAGTTCGGTTCAGAAACAAGTGCTTCGAATACGACGATATATCTATGAATGGGAGCCACCCCTCTCTCGTAGAATCTCCCGACATGGGTCTTCTCCAGTCGAAGGTCCCTGAGGCTCCGTTATATGTCTACCATCGCACATCCACAAAGGCATCAGTACGTTTAACACTGCTCTCCCATGTGTATGATTATCTTACCTTAACTCTAATTTTAGACTTCCCGGTCAAAGGAGGCGATCCTTTCCGACTATTCCTTGCTCACAAAGCTTGAACGCCCAATTATGGTTGAGAAAGCTACCAAGGGTGGGGAAACAGTGATCGAATCGGCCTCCGAGTCGGAATCAGACGACGATTCCATTGACTCGTTGTTGCATGATATTCTCAACCATCCCGTGGCCAGCACCAGAGGGCCTTCAACATCTCCCAAGCCCTCCGAGCCCCTTGTACTACCAGCCCGAAACCCTAGTCGTCCACCATCCCCTGCTCCTTCATCAACAGCTGGTGATGAAATTCCGGAACCCATTGTATGCACCAACAGAGACTCACGCCTCTGGTGCGAGAAGGATGAAAGTAACGGATACTACACTGGAACATTTGACCTCGACTTCGTGTCCTGTCCTCTGTGTAACCAGGAGTATCATTTTGTCTGTGTCCGTGGTCTTCTTCCCTCAACCTGCGAATTTCCGTTCGACATTAAGGACCAGAAGGCTTGCTGGTGCTGTCTCCAATGCCAGTACGGTCCAAATTCGACGTTAGACCATGCCTTGTATGTTCTCTTTCTCTCTCTGTCGTGCTTTTAGTAATGGCTCCTTTTCCAGGATTGGACAGACTGTCCTAATTAACGCGCACTGGTTTTCCGTTTCGAACCCGCTCTATTATCCCGCGAAGATTTTGCGCAGGGACAGGGCGTCATTTATCCTGCAGTGGAGCGAATTCAACGTCTACAAGGCGAGTTACAAGCCGCAAACGATGCAATTTGCTCTCCCTCCGCTGGAATGTTATCGGGCCAAGATGCGTCCAGTACAGGAGTACAAGAGTAATGTGAGTGGTCATCATTGGCTTTATTATCGAGCTGGAAACTTACTATAGAGGTCTGCCTTCTTTCTAGTCTGTCTTGGGTACGATGAGGTGTCCTACATCGCTTCATCCAGACTCAAAGGTGTATCCGAACGTACTGGCGAAGAACACTATTGCAGATGCATACGACACGGTTCACAAGATCCTTATTTCGAAAGAAACGGTCCATCCTATCACCAAAATCTTCGCGCACTACATGAAGAATCGGACGAACGAAGCAGAACTCAAATCGGAGACCATGAGCTTCCTCGACGAGTTCTGGTTCCCCTTATTCCCCGGAGACGACGCACTGATTTCACAGGCCCTTGTCAGGCTAGAGGGCGCTGCTCGCAATGTTGCACCTGGCGATCTCGATCTCCACACCCACATTGCCGCCCAAGCAACGGTTCTATTCTCTGTGGTCCTTGCTCGTGTGGCTATCGGTGCTCAGCCCAAGCACGATGGCGAAATCTTCTACTTGGGGTACCGTGGTGCATGGCGGAAGGAGGAGGTCAGTGAGATGACGATTACCCAGGAGATAGCGCTCCACGGTGCACTCACACGCAAGCCCACGCCATACGAAGAAGCCATCCTCGCGTCGCAGGGTGCTGAGGATACAACCGTGCTTCCGACTTCACGCCTTGAAGCTAGATTTAGCTTTGTCGAAGATCCCACTCTCCCCAACGCCACCTACACCGACTTCCCAATTCGATCACTCCGAGAGTCTGGAAATCCGTTCGAGTTTGAAGGTAGTATCGGCCTCAGCCTACAATCCAGTGGATACACACCTGGTGCCCTCAAACAACCATTATCCTCGAGCAACGCGTCACCCCAGGATGCAAAGCCGAAGCGCCCAAGGCCCACCCCAGCTGTCAGACGTAATCGAGCTCAAGTAGAATTCCGAATATTGGAACCTAGCAAGGCATATTCACCAGAAGTCCGACCACCACTGTTACAAGGCCAGGAAGACGAAGACGGTCGACGTCGAAGTAAACGTCGACGGACTGATGTGGACTACTCAGGTACTTGCAATTAAGATTAGATTACAGTTTTGTAATGTCCATACCATATGGATCATGATGCTTCTATAGTAGACAACTCGAGACCTGGTACTGTACTGTAGTGTATAATGTGAAGTTCCATACAGTAATTGAAATTTGAATGTTATCCGAGCCTGAATGTTTGGAAAGTGACTAAAGACTTATACACGTTAGAAAAAGTTGGTATAGAGGACGTCGTCGCTCTAACCGCAGAACGACGACACCCTCTATGACTTGATCTCCGACATCGGAGACCAAGCCGAGCGGCTAAGCGCCCACACCAACACACACACACCACACATAACACCGTCGACGCAACGTCACGGCTTGTCCACCAACCACCACCTCGTCCTCTGGCCATCGCACACCCAACCGCGACCTCGATGCCCTGTTGACTCGGCCCCGGCTAGTCATCACGAGTCGAGATAACGGTGGGGCAAAGCTAGCCCAGACTCAAACACCAAAGCCCTTACACACCTCCTTCCGCTCGCACACCTGGCTACATCTCACAAGACCCGACGAAACACGCCCATCAACCCGGAACGACGACGCCCGGCCTCGGTCACCGTAGCACAACACACCGGCGAGGTCGATCGACCTTACCCGCGGCCATGAAGTTTAGCCGCCAGCCACCGACCTCATCGCCTGGCAGCCGACCAATCGACAACCAAGGAGCGCGGTCCAGGTCTCGCGGGGCGGATATGGCGTGATAGAGGAAAGGAGTCGAAGAGATAGGCAGGGAGAGATATAGAGAGGAGGTGCCCTCTCTTTTCTTTTTTTTTCTTAGCTACCCCTTCCCCCACTCCACTGTACTCAGAACCCGGACTTTATACCTCAGAAATAAAACGTATTATTGAACTTCTACCTTTCTATCGGAACTACGCACGGCACGCCGGTGTACGGACAGTCGACGCCTCCGCACCCACCAATCAACCTATACTACGCAAATCGCCTCTTTATTGGTAAAGTAACGTGCACGTTAGAAAAAGCTAGTAAAGTAACGTGCACGTTAGAAAAAGCTAGTAAAGTAACGTGCACGTTAGTAAAAGTTAGTAAAGTACCGTGCACGTTAGAAAAAGTTAGCAAAGTACCGTTGAAGTAACGTGCACGTTAACGAAAGTTAGTGAATCCTGAAGTTACGGTTTCTTCGATCCTACTACCAACGATGGCCACACGTTCAGTCCCCATCTTCAGGTTAATACACAGTGGCATGAGTTCGTGACTCGGGGCCTTTAGGCTTTTAGATGGTGGAACTAATAGACTTATACCGTCTCGACTCTCAACTACGACTTTCCAATTCGGATTTACCTTTTAACCTCATCACTACACATCTTGCAGAGGCCTATACCAAGACTCGTGGAAAGTTTGTGGCTGGAAAACAAGCAATACAAACCACAATTGAACCTCAGTTATGAATTCAGATCGCCGTCTCCCGGAAGACTGAATTATGAAGGAGCCACTTTGACTCCGAGCTCCATAAAAAGACACGATTCCTACTCTTCTGTCGGTGACTTACTAGGATAAAATGAAAAAACTGCAGAATACACAAGAGGAGGTGAAGATAGGGCCCGTAAGGGTGAAATTTAGTGTCTTAGTAAAATCCCTAGACACCGTGTGAGCACTTCAATATCCGCTACGCCCAACGCTCACTGCCATTACTTTACTGCTCCTTTTAACTGGTATCCGTCAAGTATACTCCCAAACGTCCCAACTAACTAAGGTTTGCAATGGAATCATATCATACGGAAGTCCCATCCGACCTGTAGTATTAAGGTGCACGGCGCTTACTTTATAACGCGTGGGAAAAAAGTTAGCCCAACTTGCGATGGGAGGGAAACGTTAACCAACGTTAACTTTTAAAGTTACTTTTTACGCACTCTCCCAGAACGACATTCATCTCGCCATGTCCCAAGCAAGTATTACTTTCAACAACCTCTCAACAAGGCTCGGAAACAACAGGTTTACATGGATAACCGCGTTTGCGTTTGCGCTGTTGCTCCGACAGGCTACCAAGGGACGCAAACCAAAGCTCATTGCAGACGCGCGCCGGGTTGCTCGTGAGGTCAAAGAGGGGGAGCTTGACTTTGACGAGTACGACGTTGTTATCATTGGAGGAGGTACGTGACAAGGCAGAGAATACCCCCAGGGCTTACCTCTGACCTACCTTCCTCAGGTACTGCTGGATGCGTTCTCGCTGCCCGCCTTTCGGAGGATCCGTCTTTGCGAGTACTCTTGCTCGAGGCGGGTGGAAGGTACACTTTGTGTATTCTCGCTTCCAGTATTTTGACTTCCGGTTCAATAGTGGTGTAGCACTCCGGGAGACTCGGATTCCAGTTGCCTACTCGCTCTTGTTCCATACCAAGCATGTGTACCAATTCTTCACTGAGCCCCAGGACTTTGCCAATGGGAAGAAGAGGTTCTGGCCGAGAGGTAATCTTACTTTGTCGCTTGCCTTAAGTATTTGCCCACACTCACCTGGAATCTAGCTAAGATGCTCGGGGGATGTTCTTCAATAAATGCTCAGATGTACGTCTCGGAGCCCCTAATTCCCATCGATTCGCCAACCTCATGCAATCAGGGCACAATGGGGTTCACCAGGGGATTTCGATCGCTGGGGCGACATCATCGGCGACGATTCTTGGAAATGGAGCAATCTGAAACGGTATGGGATGAGGGGCACCCATGTGTGTATCCTGCTAACTGCGATGCTGTGCCAGATACTTCAACAAGTTTGAGAAATACGTTCCTCACCCTGACTTCCCTGACGTCGATGTCAGCGTGAAAGGCCAGGAAGGCCCAATGAAAGTTGGTTATTTCAGCGAGGTGTCCGAAGGATCCAAGCTCTTCATCAAGGCATGCCAGAATGTCGGGATCCCATTCAGTCCTGACTTCAATACCTCCAAAGGTACCCTTGGTGTGAACAAGGTATGTTGTTCATTAATTTTACTAGGGTTCGTCAAGTTGACTTTTGTAGATCAGTGTGTACCCTCAGCTCTTAGACGGTCCCCAATTTCTGACATATTTCCTCAGTGACCTTCATTGACGAGACCAGGACTCGTGTCTCCAGCGAGTCAGCCTACTTTACCCCCGAGGTCCTTTCTCGGCCTAATCTGAAGGTAGTGGTCAACGCCACTGTCACCAAGATCCTGACGGAGCGAGTGGGCGGAGAAATCAGAACCGTCGGTGTTGAATTTGCGAAGAGCAAGGAGGGGCCACGCTATCGCGTCAGGGCTAGGAAAGAGGTCGTCCTCTCGTGCGTCCCTTCCCCCTTCTATTCAAGAACAACTCATGACCGTAGTTACAACGCAGAGCCGGTGCTGTCCACTCACCTCAGGTCGGCCTTTTCCCCGACCGTTCGTTCCCTCTTACTGATATAGAATGTAGATTCTTATGCTTTCTGGAATTGGTCCCTCTGGAGAACTCCGTAAACACCACATCCCTTCTGTTCTCGACCTTCCAGGTGTAGGAGACAACCTCATCGACCACCCCGTCGTCGACCTCTACTTCAAGAACAGATACGACGACTCTCCGAAACACGTCAAGCCCAGCTCTCTCGGAGACGTCGTCAAGTTCGTGACTTCCACTCTCAAATACTTTATAACTCGGTCCGGATCCATGGCTACCAACGTCAGTCCTTGTGCACATGTCTGCCGTCCACTTCGTGCTAACAGTCCTCTGTCGTTTCTAGTTTGGAGAGTCGGCCGCGTTCGTTCGAAGCGACGATCGTGCTTTGTTCCCAGAATCCGCGTACCCAGAAAAGCTTCATGATACGACCTCATCTGCCATCGGTCCCGACCTCGAGATCTTCACGACGCCGATGGCATACAAGGTACAGATATATCTGCTGGTACGCGTTCCATGATGTCGACGCACTGTACTTCCAGGAACACGGCGACTTCACCTTCCCGATGCACACCTTCGCGATCCACGTTGTGCTTTTGAGGTACTTCACAATCAAATGCCCTCCGATTGCTTTCGTTAACATTCACATTCCCTTAGACCGCGAAGCAAAGGTACTCTTCGTCTCAAGTCTGCTAGCCCTTGGGATGCGCCGGCTATGAATCCGACGTACGAATCTATTCTTCATCACCATTTCGCCATCTGACACCTTTTTCTAGCTACCTCGAACGGCCGGAAGACGTCCACAAACTCGTCCGGGGCGTCCGTCTCATTACCAAGATCGCGCGTCAAGAGCCCCTCGTCCAACGCCTCGACCACTCGGATAAAGACCCCCTCCTCGACTCTGACACCTACCTCAAGAGCGACAAAGAACTCGAAGAACTCGTCCGCGAACGTCTCGAGACTTTGTACCACCCCACTTCGACTTGTAGGATGGCTCCGCTGGAAGACGGCGGTGTTGTGGATTCTCGTCTGCGTGTGTATGGTGTCAAGGGTCTCCGCGTTTGTGACGCATCGATCTTCCCCGAGATCGTGTCTGGACATACCGTAAGTTTGGCTTTTGGTTTGCAGCGTGGCTTTTGACGCTGAAGTGAATCATGAACAGGCTGCTGCAGTTCTTGCCACCGCTGAACATCTCGCCGACATCATCAAGGCTGACTTGAAAGAGGGCCATTGAATGGACGGCCATAGGTAGATACAACAGGGGATATTCAGGTCGGACGGAGGAGGAATTAAATTAAGAGGTAGTACAGACAACACTGTATAACAACAATCTTTGATTCTGGATATGCATAGGAAACAAGAACGAAGTGAGAAAGCGTGCCCCTCCAGGCTGTTGGAGCCTTTGGAGGATTTGAATGGATGGAAAGCTGATGGTGATGGGGACGGAAATGAGGTCGGTGTAAGTTCTGTGTCTGTATCTGTGGTGGATTGATTATATATCGCCGGGGAAAGTGGTGAATTTCAAATAAGTAACTCGAAACGGACTGAGAGGAAAGCGAATAAAAAAGCGCGTTAACGAGGAGGAATAAGTATCGCAAGGTCGTATGAGTGTGATGGGATGTATATGTGAGTATGTATATATAGAGAAAACGTCAGATGAGAGAGGAGAGGCATGATTGAAAACAAGAGAAATCCGGGATCGTCATAAGTAAAAAGAAATCGAGTGTCGTCATCGTCGTTATACCGTTATACCGTGAAGTGTCGTAAGTTCTCTAGTCAAACTTGATTGGGTCTACCTTCCTTGGGGAAGGGAGAATGGGTTGGCCTTGACCGCGCTGTCTGGTAGGCGTGGTCGGCATTTCGGGCGCGGGCCCACGACGAGAGGAAGCAGCCGACCGCCCTGAAGACGCACTGGTGCCTGCCCCAGGATTCCTGAGGACAGACTGAGGAGGCAACCCGATCAAGCGGGAAACGGTATAGGGAAGTTCAAAGCCAGCCTTGATCGCATGGTTAATGTACCTCGAGATTTCGAGGTGAAGAGTGGGATAGTAAGTCGTCGAGGCCTTGCGTGAAATCTGTAGAAAGGCTCACTAAGCACCCAGGCTATTTAGGTTATAACAGAACAAGACATACCAATAGGATTCGTTCAAGGCCAGACAGGAACAAATCACAGTGGAAGCGATAAGCAGAGAGCTCATGTTCCTTGGGCATGTTTAGTTCCGCGACGGAAGTTGCTATGGAGTTGATAAACTTGAGGTGCGTAGTCTGGCAACGAGAGGCGGAATCAGACTAAAATTTCCCAAAGGAGAAAGAAGCAACGGGATACCCACAAAGTAACAGATGGCTTCAAATTCAACGCCACCAGTCATGCCGCTAGGGGCTTTGGGTTTTTCAACTCGGTTCTCATCCGTTTCAGCGAGGATCCAAATGGTGTTGTTCGGGTGACAGAAGACCCAGAAGTAATCCCTGCACACATCGGACATCTCTTGGAGATAGCTCTTGTAGATTCTTGGAACATGGAGGGATTCAATGAATTCGTGGGGGGATACGGGAACTTCTGGCGCTTCTGCCGGTCGAGGTGCAGGGGTCAAGAGGAGGGCCCGAATGAAGGAGAAAAGAGATTTATGTGGGGAAGGGAGTTTGATCACGTTCGAGGTCGGGATGGATGACGGGTGTTCCCAAGCCTCGCTATGTCTTCCCTCGCCGGAGAGTGAGGATGCTTGTCGCGTATGGGATGAATGTGAAGGCAAAGCAGAGGGCGGATACAATTCGAAGAGGATCAAGAACAGGTCAATGATGAGTTGTCGAGTAGCAACTTCACCCGGCTTCTTGTCGGAATAAAGTAAAGAGGCCAACTGCGTCCAGGGAGTTGGGCACGAACTCCGGAGAGCGAAGCAACCGATGGAAGATGTGGACAGTGCCTTGAAGCAACGCAGCAGCTCGTGAAGCACCTTGTCGTCGTGTTGTTCCTCTCTGATGAGACTGTGAGTATGCTGCCAAATTGCCTGGTTGCTTGCACTCACCTCCACTCGACCTCGAGAACTTCGTTCAACCTCGTCAGGAGAGCAGAATAACCGCCAAGAGTACAGAATTCCTCAGTCCAGCTAGGGAATAGTTCAGTACCGTGCACAGATCGGTACATCATTCCGCTAGTACTAACCTGGCCGATTCATTTCTAAGCATGAGGCGGAGTTTCTTGATGTCTTCCACGTCAATTTGAAGGCTTGATTGGCCCTGAAGCATACTGCAGAATCGCATAGGGGACAAGTTCTTCACAGTTCCGCTCTTGTCCTTGGCGGGTTTTCCGAGCGAGGTGAGATCGAGACTTGACATCGAAGCGAGGTTGGCGGCGAGGTTGCCCTGGCTCTTGGAGAAGAAGAGGGAGGCGCCCCTGGTGTGGCCGCTCGCTTGTCGCGGCCGTGGAGCGGCATAAGGCGAATTGTGGGTTGAAACGTAGCCTGAGGTCTTTGGGGTGTGGCTTCCGTATGCACCTTCGTTCATGAAAGGTGGTCGAGGCGATGCGAGTGATTCCGTGCTATGGACACGTCTCAACCCGGTACTCCTGGGTGGTGTCGACGGCGGAGCCTGGGCCGGAGCGCTGGGTGGTGGGTTCAGGGTCAAGACCTGCGACGATTTGATCATTTCTGCCTTGACTGTCGAGTCCATTCCGAGCAGTTTTGGTCTTAATGAAGGTGGGATCTGGAGCTCGTCCTAAAACGTGTCCTCGGTCGGCTTCCCCAATCTTTACAAGAGAGGATATCTGGCTTACCAGGAGCTTGTCAAATGCCTCGTCCGTCTCTGGAGGCTCTACTGGGCTCTCCTTAGGCTTCTTTGAGGCTGAACGCTTCTTCTTGGGGATCAGGCCAGCGGGACCTCGTTTCGTGCCCTGGGGAGCCAGAGCACCGTAGGGAACGTTCTCCTTGTTCTGTGGGACATTCGCGAGGGTTGTGAGGACTGTGAACTCTGCTGTAGGGTCCCTTTTTGAGGGCAAAATGCCTTTGAACATGGTGGATCTCGGTCGTCGTCGTGGTCGATGTTCAAGTTCCTAATTTGATGTGTGGTTCAATTTGATTAGCCACAAGCCAAGGCCAAGGCGCGTGTCTAGCCAACCGGCCGTCACGGGACCGCTTGAGTCACGTGCTAACCTTAGCACGTGACTCTGGACTCTCCTGCCCCTTTGAGCGACGAAAGATGGATTTGGTATTCCCTTTGTCCTCTGCTCATTCTTATACGCAGATTTCTGGGAAATTTCTGGGATTTATCTTGAATTCCGCCCTCTATCTCTCCTGTGCAAAGCATTTGTGCCTCTGGTCAGGAAAACTGACTTTTCTCGCTGCTAGAACTGGAGCAACGTACCTTGTGATGCCTCCGATCCACCACGGGCCATCATGGCAAAGTTCGACCTCCTTCAAATCCATGAAAGCGACTATAATAACAGTCCAAAAGCCTCTTGAAGACTCGACACACTTGCTCGAGTCTGTGAGGCACTCACCTTCAACAACCCCCGTCAGCCACCAATTATTGTCTTCAACACCTCGGATATTCCTTGGAAGACGGACGGCCGCTTCTCGACCCCGGACCTTGCGCAATGCTCTCTGGCCTTTCGTTCCTATCAATCACTCTCATCTCTTGCACAACGTTAACAACGATCCTTACCCCCTTTTCCAACCTCAAGTCTCCTCGTTAACACCATCAAGTGGCTGGTTCCCACCACCTCCCTAATCGGGGTCGACTCTTTTTGTTATAGGTGCGATGCCCCACCCTAAACAAGAAGGCGCCTGATATCACCCCTGCTCCGTTCCGCGTTTCTTATTGTTGTTACGTTTCCCTCTGACGAGTCATAACACTCGAAATCTCCCGACAATCTCACCGTCGTGCGCGAGTTCCTGGGGTCGGCCTATTGTTATTGTCTTCTGGCGGCTGCTCGACGTACGACTTCTGGACATCCCTACATCTCGTTATCGCTTTGAACAATTGGATAGAGTTTTTGGCATCAGGTATCTCGTCGCTCTTGCACGGTTCCCCTCGGAGGCTGAGAGGTTCGACGACGTATAAAAAGGACATCCGCATCGACTGGTTTTCCACAGGTTCTCCAGCCTTCCCAAGCTCCTCTCAACGGTTCTCTTCCAAACCGCACCAAACCCTCCCAACCCTTCCCTTTCTCTCAACCTAACTCAAATGGATTCCTTCACCACCGTCCTCTCCATCTTCACCACCTCCCAAGTCGAGGACGTCTTCGTCCCCGTCGAGGAAGAATCCGGCAAGAAGGGTGGCTCTGGCGCCTACTGCACGATCGCTTGATCGCCTCCGCCACGACTATACCGCTCCGGTGCATCCTTTCACCATTGTAAGTCGCATCTACATTGAACTCCATTCAATCCAGTTATCCTGATCCGTCATTTCCTTTCCTCTTCGACAGGTGCCCACAATCTGCATCTATTTTCTTGGAAACAACACCAACCAGCATCTGTACACACCATCCACTCATCATCATTTCACGACCACCACAACACTTCAAACAAATTTCAAGCATCGTCTCCAACACAATGCATCTTCGGTTTCAACAACACAATGAACGGTTTTCTTGCAATGTAGTACTTGCACTTGAGTGCTACCATTATTGTTATTTACTTCGACCTTCAAATTGTAATCGCCATTTGATTACTTCGACCTTTCTGCGGCAATCCTCTATCCTCTTCACCGACAGCGCCACCCTCACCGCTTCCACCCTGTCCTTTTGTATGTACACTGTTCTCTGAGGGAGCAAGTACCGTAATCGAACCTAATCGAAGTTTTGCAATTGGTTTTCTGGGTATTCAATTGCTTGTGAACGTCCCCCGCATTTTCTTCATCGCTCCTCACTCGCGCCATATCAATAGTGAGATCGTCAGAATCGGCGATGTACAATATCCAAGGGCATATGGCACCTGGACTACAGTTTAAAAATAAATGACAGTTCAAGCACGGCCAGTAACCAATAAGTATATATACGGGTATAGAAAGTTACAAAAGCCGGCTCCAAACTGAGGGAACGAATAGATAAAGAACGACAACCCAGGGACAAAATGCCACCTCTATAACCCCTACACCGCTTCTAGTTCGCTCTATTTCTGTACTTCGCAATCGCGAGGTGTCTAATGCAATTGATTTCAAGGAGCAGCGCAATCCGGTATCTTGATGGCCTTCAATGTTCGGCTATGCAAACATGTTAGTTCCCTCGAATGTAAAGATGACATGGGATGCTTACTCTGCGTTGAACAATCCCCACCAGCCCTGCAAGGGATAAAATCGACTTGTCAGTAAATTCATACGACCATTCTCCATAAAGCTAACCTCAACACCACCAAATTGCTGGTCCTTCCAAGGTTCGTCGAACAACTGTGGGGGAAAGATCATTGAGCTGCCATCGCGTCTTCCTGCCTATGGAAACACACCTCGAAGAAGAAATAAGGCGTTTCATTTGCATTCGCCTGACACACAAATGTATCCAGGAACTTTTGTAAATTCACAATGCTCGCAGTGGAAGGCCCATTGCTTTCATTGGCCGCATCGGACGATTTCTAGAGTAGGCGATGAACAGGGAATATTAGTACAGTTCCTGCCAGCACCGGCGCTAATAAAGAAGACGCGGATCTTAAAAGAGTATAGGTCAAGCTCACCGAAGGCCATCCAGTTTCAGCAATATACATCTTGGGACGATTTGGAAGCGCCTGAGCTTGGGCGACGTCTACCGTCTGGAAGAAGTCCTCCGTCCAGGATGCACTGGTGTCAATCGATACGTTGGCAAACCATGGGTGTACATTCGCCAGCTGCAGAGGGGAGGGAAAGAAAACTCGCTTAGTGTCAGGGAGCAGCATTGCCACGAGACGAAACGCGAACCCCGTAATCGACGACACCCAAAACTCGATCGTTGAAGTAACTCCCAGCATCTGATGTACCGACTGGTAACGTCTTGGGCAGACCCATTGAGTTCAGCATATCTCGAGTGTCGTTGATATTGCCAATGAGGATCTCGGCGCCTTGGTTGGCAACTGGGCCGTTGGGATCGACGCTAGCTCCGCCATGGGCCGTGACATAGCTGTCGCAGTAGTGTCAACTCAGCAGTACGGGTCAATTAGCCCTGTTACGGATACGCACTTGAGCATAAACTCGTTTCCAACAGTCACGCCTGCAATGTGGTCTGTGCCGTAGGTAGAGATAGCGTCCTTGATTATGTCCCGTTGACGTTTGTAGGCGTCGCCGTTGTCAGTGGCGACAGGGTAGTTCCCTAGCCATACTTGCATATCGACTTTGGTTCGCCTTATGGCTTCGAGCTATGAATAGGGTTAATCGAAATTAGCAAGGCCACCGTCGAAAGACATACTACAAGGGCGGTTTGATTGCAGTCTGCTCCATATAAACGAATGCGCTGAGAACAACCGGCGGTCAGCGCGATCCCAGAGGTATCATGCAAGGCAGCTTACTTTGGTTAATTGTGATAGAAGCTGGGGTGGAAAGATGAGTCCTACTTTAAGCGAGGATGGGGGACCCTACTTACCTGGATATCAGTGATAACATCCTTCAAAGAGTTTCCACAATTAGGAAGCTGCGAGTCTGCCGGGGTATAGGCGATCCCATAAAATGATTGGTGGAGATTCGGATCCTTGATAAAGGTGCTCGGATCGTTGGGGTTCGATTGTTTGACGACGTCGCCGCCGTTCTTTTTGCTTGTCGCCACTCCACTACCTGAAATATCGAACCATTTCAGTCTAAACCAAAACTAGCCGGGAATTGCAAGCACGCACCGCCAGTTGCCTTTCTGTTCCGCCCTAGGATGGCCCCCGTGATGATGCCTCCGATAATGAGACCAACGAGGGTGAAACCAATTCCAGCGATCTGGGGGGAAAGGACGAAGCGATGAGCCTGACATGCTTGGCGGACGTCTAGAACTCACCAGCCATCGTCTCTTTTTCGTCCTTTTCTGCCTTTCTTCAATTGACTGATTGAAGTCTTCCGAGGTGCTGGAGGTAACAGTTCCCTCTTCCGAAAGGCCTTTGGTAACGGCAAGGGCGGGATTGCTGTTTCTCATCATCCTTTTCGAACTGGGCAATGGTGTGTCTAGATCTGCAAATGGATTGTGATGGCCCGGGTCCATCGAACTGAAGGGCGTAGCGGAGGGTAGTCGACTACGAGAGCAAAGTAGTGACACCTGGCTTTGCGACTCGACGTAAGGCTGGGCGATATACCCCTTGAGACACTCGTTGGCACGGCGTTCTTGCAGACCAATGTCGTCTGCACTCGCAAAGGAGTCCTTGTTGGCGAGGCGCAGGGAAGGCGAATACGCGCGGATTGAGGCTACCTGGATCAGAGAGAAAGGAGGTGGTCAGAAACGGCGAGACAAGGAGCTCCTGGCTGGAAGATAAATGTTTTGGAAACGACGCCTGGTCGTTGGTTAGGAGATGGGGTTTGGACGGGACGGGCGAGTTGAGCGATCGATTGCCACGGTCTTCACGATGGTCAGCGAACGATCGAATCGCCGTCGTCGCAAAAACCGACTATGTTCATGGTCAGTCAATGTAGAGGTACTCACATACTCCATATGCTGGACCAGGGATTGGGGACATATGTATTCCTTGTATTCTTTGTCGGTGAGCGTGTCGTGTGGGCTTTCTGTGAAACGCGCGATCGAGGCCATGGTTGTAAGAAAGGGGGAGAAGGAGGTTCCCAGCCAGCAGAAAAACGACAAGCGAGAAGCACTACTCAGGCACCAGAATCTTTGAAACAGGTTCTCTAGCAACCTTGACAGGCTGGCACACGATCTGCAGCGAATCCATCGTCGAAGTTCGCCTTGTTTATACACATACTTATCTGGTTTTGGCACAACAAAGCCCTTATAGCCTGCCCTCAGCAATATCCTCTTCTAGTCTATAAGTTCAAGTATTTGAGTGTAAAGCTCTTCTCCAAGAAAGGAACCACGTACCCCACCATTCAGGGGCGCGTCGAAAGCCAGACTTCCGAATAATCAGGTAGTTCCGATTTAATAGACCCTGCTCACAACCTATCACCGCCGTCACAGTCCTGATCATCTTCTCCGAGGTTGAAGTTGCCGGGAAAGTAAGGGACAGGTAAGGGACAAAGGAGCTCCAACGACTCGGATTCGACTTCGTATTTGGTTGTTGCTTATCCTTATTTGTTTCATGTTTGTGTTGGGCGCTTAGCAACTTGGGCTCGAGGATCAAGGCAAGGAGCGTCTGTTGAAGGAGGAAGAAGAACGTGCCAGGACGCCAAGCTGGAAGGGTTATGCAAGCAAGTAGACGAGCTTGCTAGCCAATTGCAAAGTATCAGCCAGTGTCCGTGTGGGGAACTACCCTGGGGGTTGTACTGGTCAACCAGTTCCCGCAGTTCCGTGGTTCCATTTTTGTACTGCCGTTTGATGAAACTTGAATCCACTGAGATTCAACCTGACCTTTTCGTTTTCTCAAGTCAAGTTACTCGTTCATTCAAAAAGCCCTGAAATGAGCAGAGGTTATATCCAACTATGATTAAAGCAATAAAGTACATTAGCCCAAAGCGATGCACGTAAGTAAGTATCTACGTCACCTCCGTCCCAAGAAATGCCTTGCCTATTCACGCCTCTACAAAAGTAATCCTAGGCCTCATACCCAACCGGATATCCGAGACCTTGACCTTCACCTGCGACCCCACCGCAGGCGGTCTCCTCGTCTCCAAAATGCCCCTCAACCCATACTCCGGTAGCGAAACCTCACTCGCCGACACCCTGGTCCACTCATTCACCCGCGGCACGCTAACCACGTCCGCCATGAACGTGTCCGGAACAGGCGGTACCTCGCCTGTGCCACCCAACCCTCTGAACTGTCCATTCAGCCACCGCTTGAAGAACATCAGCCTCCAGAATTGCGCGTGCAATTCAAATGCCGATTTCTTGCTCCGTTCAGCAACGGTGTAGGAAGCCATGAATCTCTCGACCCATTCCTTGGTGAACATAGGACGCGCGGGGGAGTGAGAGGCCGTTTTACCGGAAAGGAGGGCATGGTGGAGCTGCCAGTGCGTGACGAGGTCGAGAGCACGACGGAGGGGGGAAGTGACGCGGCAGTATCCTTCGCCTTCGGTGACACCAAGTGCATAGTGCTGTTTGGGCTCCAAAGTGTATTCGGCTGGTAAGATGAAGCTGACCAAGGGCATGAGATTGCGGAGTGGCACAGCACCAGCTTCGCTCCGCAGAGAGAGAGCCTTCTCCTTCGCTGCATCATCCAAGAACACAGCAGGCTCCATCGCTCGTCGAATGAGAGGCAACTTGTGGTCTTGGCCGAACCTCGACGCCACCCTTGATCCAATCTTCATAACCTCTGCAACCAACGAACGGGCTCCGCCGATCTCAGCGAAGTCACTGCTGTAGACGCTGTACTTGGTGAACTCGGGGAACCCTTCGAACTCTCGAAGCGTGCATTTGGGTGTCATACTTCCAGCAGGGAACTCGCCGAATTGGATATCCCCTGTGTACATTGACATGACGACCGAACCCTCCTTGAGTCGTCGGCGTCGGAAAGCCCCCGCGACTTTGTCGAGTAGCCGTAATTCCTTCCGCTCTTGTTCTGTGAATGTCGGTGGCTCGCGGGTGAGCTGACCGGTAGGTGGGCCGAACGGGTGCGTGATTGCGACTGGGGAGACGTAGCCGAGCTGTTTATCCACCTCGTCGTAGCTAGCTACTTTGAGATTCTTGAGGAAGCCAGCGCGGACACGATAGTCGAGGATGTCGCCGTTATCATTGACCTTGGCGCTGAACGTCATGACGCGTGAAGGTTTGCCGTTTTTCAAACTCGACCCAAGCGACCATCCCGACGTAGAGTTGTGTGTCAGAGATTCTGGGAACAGTGGAATAGTACGGTGGGTGAGATACTGGCTAGTACCTTCCCGCATGGCACTGAGTGCAAATGCGTGTGTCGGAGGGAGAACTGAGGTAGGATTGGCAACATGCGCGTGTACCCAATAAGTTCCCTTTTCTCCCTTGACGGGTTCAATAGAGACGGCATCATCAAGTTCCTTCGCAGTAACATCATCGATGATATACGCTCGCATCTCGCCAAAGTCGTGACGGACGGACTCCAACGGGTCGGTGGGGTAGAAGTCCTCCGGTCCCAGTAAATCCGCGCTCGGCGAGATGGTGTTGGTAAGTGACCGCTGGACGAGCTCTTCCACCTTCCTGGCGTGCTTGCTGTCGGGACTCGGTTCTGGGTCGGGGACATGTCGCTTTTGCATCACGACCATGTCTTGCCAGGGTGATATCACGCCCAAGTCGATGAGGGCGTCATAGAGTTCGTCGCCTTTGATTACTTCCGCGTCCGGGTAGAGGAGTCGGAGGATTGCGATTTGGCCAATGGCGTATGGGTCGGATTGGGAAGAACGGGTAGGGCGCAGGGAATTAAGCAGGAACCTGATTATGACCTGGTCGTTTTGTGTCCAAGGGTTCTTCTTGACAGTCTGCATAGACGGAGGGTTTCCACTGGACTGTGCAAGGCGAGCTCGATTGGTTGCAAGGACCGGCATGGCCCTTCTCGCGAAATCCTCCAGAGGACCGTCCTTCATCCGTTTCCATTCCATCACCTGCTCGATTTCCCGTACTTCGCTTTTAGGCCGCACGTCGAAGGTTTGAGAGATAATGTAGGGGTCGCGCGCGACAAAGTGAAGGCTGTTGTTCATAAGGTAGCGGTGGGTGGCGTATATGGAGGAAGGCGTAGGGCTGTGTACGAGCATGTTGACTACCTCGGAGACAGATGTTTCTGACCACTGGTCAAGGATGGGAGACCGAACGCGAGAATAGATGTCGGAGTATTCTTTTGACATTTTGTTGTAGGTGCCTTCGAGGTGACGGATCATCTCCCGTAGACGTTTGAGGACCTGCATTCGCGCTTGGAGCTGACGGTCGTCTTCTGGCACTTCAGAGATACCGCATCTGTCGGCGAGGTTGGCTGGAATATAGGAGGGGATGATGAAGGAAACGTCGGCAGCTCTGTGTTGCCAGAGATCGCCGCTGGAGGTCATAGTCACCACAACGCGCTGGTTTCGCAGTGTTGAAGTACCAAGGACGATGCCGAGAGTTTCCATGTCGTTTCTGGAAACTAATGTTAGAAAAGGATATGCTGGAGACTGGTTCACACATACCGTCTCGTTTCAATGAACGACCCCGGTGGGATGTTCAAAAACGAGGCCAATTCATCTTCCCGAGCGCCAAGAGAGTCGGGCTGGGAGAAGTAAGCCAGTTTTTCTTTGGATTGGTACCCAGCCCTCGAGGTCTTCGCTGCCACCTTGATTGCGTCCTTCAACCTCATCTCCTCCCCGCGCAGAGTCCTGGTAGGCGTCAAGTCGCCTCTCTCTCCAAGTTGAACCAGCTTTTCGGCTAGGGACGTAGCATCGACCTTTTCTTTCTTCTCAAACACCCTGTCCCTCTTTCTGGTCTTCCTGCCTTTCTCTGGTACTGGCCCTGCTGGAGTCGAGGATGATGACCATAGCGCGGCCGGTATTGGCTTTTCCTGGGGTGCCTTCGAGGAGCGGGCGCGAATTTGGGAAGAGGCCCGTCCTGCGGGTTGTTTTATGCACCTGGAGGCGGAGGCGAAGAGGGGGTATGCGCCATGGCGATGCATGGCTGGCGACTACAACTGGGCGCTTGAGAGCAAACACCAGCACCTGTGACGGAAACATTTTCTGGCTACGGACCGCATGTGGTCCGGGATTCCCACGAGACCTCGAAATGAGCGCGTCGCGTTTCAGCGCGTTGAGTCTCGTTCAACTCGACGTCGTCACGGTGGTGCACTTGTGTTCCCTGCTGCGCCTGATAGACCGAGATGAAAGGGAATGGGAATCGTGAACACTGATGCTCTTCTTCACCTCCTGACATGACGGAGCTGCTGCTGCACAGCGCAGAAGAATCACGCTCGGAGGCTCCAAGATGCCACCATTCCTGGATCGTCACACCGTGCTGGAATGGAAACTGAAATAACTCTGTAACGTCGACGTCCTCCGTCTAAGCCAGCCTGGCGCTTATCAATTATCTATCAGGACCACCCTCTACGCCGACGGACCCCGCCGCTGTATTTGGCCCCTCCATAGAGACTGCCAGACGTCGGGATCAGTACTTCAAGGACGTGCGCGTGTTATATTACAGTACGCAGCAACTTCTTGTCGACCGGGAGCTGTGCCTCAGCGATGTGCTCGGGCTTTAATTCGGCGCGATGAGAAGTGAGGTTGACGACAATGACCGACAGTGGGGGTGGCAATTAGCCAGGACATCTTTATGCAAGAGCTTGGCCGTTTGCCGAAACGCCCGAGGCCCTTGCAAGCGCAGTCGTCTTGAGCGATTGAGCGTGTCATCGATGGAGTTCCTAAGTACTGGACGAGTCAGTATGACCTTTGAGGCCGGCAAAGTTTGACATCCGCGAATCCATTTTTAATGCAGATGTGGTCAAGATTTGGTTAGACTGGCTAGGTCAGGGCAAGGTCAGGGAGAGGAATTTCCAGATTGTCATCGTCATGACTTCATCCGGGGCCAGACATTCTCCCGAAAAGGACAGTTTACACAGCGGGACTGACGGAACGGGCCGAGTAATTGGGTATCCGATGCCAAGCACCAGGCAATTTTTGCGTCCGAACATCCACCATGCACTCATTTCGATCATAGCCCTGGGGTAAATCTATACTTGCTAGCAACATCCACAGGGTTACGCCCAGATTATCGTGCGCCGAGAGGATATTCTCTATCCGACCACTGACAGATTGATAATGGCTACTCCACCGAACATATATAAGCATCCTCCAATGCTTTCTCCGGTCATTTCCCCAATTTCCCTTTCATCAGAATGGCCGAGCACATACCCCTGGCCAATATCTCTGAGGAGGCTTCCTTGTCGCGAGCCACCAGCTTCAAGTGGTCCAAGAAGGCCGACCACCACGACGCCGACTTTGACGACGATGCCCCTCCAACCTCACCCAAGATCCAAGCAAAGCGTCGCAATTCGAGGCGCATGTCCACAGCCTCTCGAGTCTCCATCGATTTCTTCGACCCGCAGGGAGTGGAGGGTTTGAGACGCTCCATGACACGCGAGAAGCAGACCCAACCCTCAACCGTCCCCTTCCCAGCGCCTGCATCCTCTGATGCTAGCTCAGACGACTCGTTCGACATGGATTCCAAAGACTTTGACCTAGAGAAGTGGATTAGACAGATGATACAAAGGTGTGTTTCATCGTTCTGGTGCGCGTGCAATGACCCTAAGTGTGTAGGCGATCAAATAGCGAGGCCAAGCCTCGACAACTCGGTGTTGTCTTTCGCGACCTCCAGGTGCTAGGCATAGGTGCCTCTGCATCTTACCAGCCGACACTTGGATCAGTGCTCAACCCGTTGGATGCCATTCGCTCCTTCCAGACCGCTCGCCATCCTCCCATCAAGGAGATTTTGACCGGCTTTGAGGGTGTGGTTAGGCCCGGGGAAATGCTTCGTACGTGCTCGCGCGTCTGTTGCGTTATCCACGAAGTTCTCTGACGCGCCCTTCAGTCGTCCTCGGCAGCCCGGGCGCAGGTTGCAGTACCTTCCTCAAAACGCTCGCCAACCACCGCGCCGAATACCATGCCGTCAACGGCGAAGTTCATTACGACTCTATCTCGCCTGAAGAGCTGCACAAATACTTCCGCGGCGACGTGCAGTACTGCCCTGAAGACGACATCCACTTCCCGACCCTCACCGTCGATCAAACTATCAAGTTCGCTGCGCGCACGAGAACGCCCAGGCACCGTGAGGAGTTTACCCGTGCACAGTTCACGGAGATGCTCTCCACCGTCTTGACCACCGTATTCGGCCTCCGGCATGTGCGTAATACGATGGTTGGAGATGCCGCTATTCGCGGCGTCAGTGGTGGACAGAAGAAGCGAGTATCGATCGCGGAGTCGTTGGCTACTAGGGCATGCATGGCTTGCTGGGACAAGTGAGTCAGTTTATCTCGCCCGATCCATTCTATATTTACGATCGCTCTAGCTCTACTCGGGGTTTGGACGCGAGCACGGCACTTGAGTTCGTCCGCGCTTTGCGTATCGCTACGGATGCGATGCAACTGAGCACGGTCGTGTCTATCTATCAAGCTGGAGAGTCTCTCTACAAGCACTTTGACAAGGTCTGCGTCATCTACGAGGGCCGTATGGCCTATTTCGGTCCTGCGCACAAGGCGAGGGATTACTTCATTGAGATGGGGTAAGCCTTTTCCCTGGGGCAACTTGGTTCAGTCCTGATCCTGATCTCGCCTCAGATACCAACCTGCCAATCGTCAGACTACACCCGATTTCCTCGTCTCCGTTACGGATCCTGGAGGACGCCTCCCTGTATCCGGTGTTGCGAATCAACCTCGAACTGCCGATGAATTCGCTGCCTACTTCAAAGCATCACAGTTGGGACGAGAGAACCAGCGAGACATCGAGGATTACATTGCTGAACATGTCGGTAAACCCGACCGCGCTCTTGGCTATATGCAGAGCGCTCGTGCCGAGTTTGCGAAGAGGAGTGGCAAGAAGAAGTGAGCCTTCCTTTTTCCCAGTTGTTTGCAAATTTCTGACCGTCGTGGATAGCCCCTATATGCTCACCATACCGCAGCAAGTCGCTGCTGTGATGAGGAGGAAGGTTCAAATCCTGCGCGGAGACATGTTGGCAACGTTCTTCAACACATTGTGAGCACCTCTTGTTCAAGACTGAGGACTAAGCTAACTCTTTCCTTCAGCTCTTTCGTCTTCCAAGCTATCATCATGGGTTCTCTTTTCTTGAGGATGCCGGAGAGGACATCCGCTTTCTTCTCTCGCGGAGGTGTCCTCTTCTTGTAAGTACCACTGGAAATTCCCATTGTTTCGTCACTCATATTTAACTTTCATAGCTCCTTGCTTTTCTCGGCTCTGGCCACCATGGCTGAAATCCCCTCCTTGTATTCCCAACGACGCATAGTCCTTCGACACAAGAAGGCGGCTCTATACCACCCCTTCGTGGAAGCTCTCGCTCATACCCTGGTTGACATCCCTATCGCCTTCTGCATCATCTCTATATTCTCCGTCATTCTTTACTTTATGACTGGTCTCCAACGTAGCGCGGTAAGTCTCTGCCTTGATTACCTTTCGCTGATTTCGGTCTGACTTGATTTTGCAGGAGCAATTCTTGTGCGTCGACAATAGGGCTTTCGATTGGTGATTGCCTTACTGACCATTCTTCTACAGCACGTTCCTTTTATTCCTTTTGGTTATGGCTATGGCCATGAAGTCATGGTTCCGTGCCTTGGCCGCCGCTTTCAAATCAGAGGCCACTGCTCAGTCTGTGGCGGGTATCGCTGTCCTGGCTCTCTGTATCTACACCGGATACACTATCCCCAAACCGTCGATGATCGGCGCTTTGCGCTGGATCACGTACATTAACGTATGTCCGCCATCGTAACCTTCTTGTCCAATTTCACTGACCATTCATTAGCCCCTTCGTTATGGCTTCGAGTCTATCCTGGTCAACGAGTTCCGAACGCTTGTTGCCGAGTGCGACGCGTTGATCCCGCAAGGACCAGGCTACGAGAACATCACCTTGGAGAACCAAGTGTGTGCCGTTGTCGGTGCCCAGCCTGGTGAAAGCGTCGTCAATGGCGCTCGGTTCGCAGAGCTTTCGTATGGCTTCAAGTGGTCGAATGTCTGGATGGTCAGTCTCTTTTCATCGTCAGTGAATATCGGTGCTGACACGGGTTTCTTTTTTTCCCAAAGAACTTGGGCATCATCATCGCTTTCCTCGTCGGTTTCATGGCCCTCCTTCTCCTCTTCTCCGAATACAATACCAGCACCACCTTCGACTCCTCCGTCACCCTCTTCAAGCGCGGCACCAAGCGCGTCGTTCGTTCCAAATCCGACGAAGAAGAGAAGCGCAGTTTCGATGCCAGTTCCACCTCCGCCATGCTTTCCAGGAAGAAGGGCGACGCACCGCTCAAGATGAACGACACATTTACCTGGAAGAACCTTAACTACACTGTTCCCATCCCTGGAGAGGACGATAGGCAGTTGTTGTCGAACGTCTCAGGATATGTTGCCCCTGGAAAGTTGACGGCTTTGATGGGTGAATCTGGTGCGGGAAAGACGACCTTACTCAACGTGCTTGCGAGGCGAGTGGATACTGGCGTTGTCACTGGCGAGATGTTTGTAAATGGACAAGCGCTTCCTCGCGATTTCCAGTCACAGACGTACGTGTTCTCGGTCCTTCCCTCGCACTTGATACTGATGAGATGTGCTGTATAGTGGTTATTGTCAGCAGATGGATACCCATGTTGGAACTGCGACCGTTCGTGAAGCTTTATTGTTCTCCGCCAAGTTGCGCCAGCCGGCTTCTGTTCCTCTCAAGGAGAAGGAAGCTTAGTGAGTGGCGACGTTGGTCTTGTTTTCTTCCCGTTTCCTGACTTGACCTCTAGTGTCGAGCAATGCATCAAGATGTGCGGCCTTGACGAATATGCGGATGCTATTGTTGGTTCCTTGAACGTCGAGTATCGCAAGAGGACGACCATCGCTGTTGAGTTGGCTGCGAAGGTACAGTACCCGACTCTCTTCGATTGACAGTGTCTCATGATATGCGATTAGCCCAAACTTTTGTTGTTTTTGGACGAGCCTACATCTGGTCTTGACTCTCAGAGTGCCTGGGCTATCGTTTCGTTCCTTCGAAGTCTGGCTGACCAGGGACAGGCGATTCTTTGCACGTACGTTACCTTTTTCTATCTCCTCAGTTTCGCCAGCGTTGACGGTTTCATTCCACTCAGGATCCATCAACCTTCGGCTGAGCTGTTCCAAGTTTTCGATCGGATGCTCCTGCTCAAAAAGGGTGGTCAGACGGTCTACTTTGGCGATCTCGGTCCCAACTCTAGCACCTTGATTCAATACTTTGAGCGGAACGGTGCTAGGAAGTGCGACCCATCGGAGAATCCGTACGTTCTCCCCTTGCTACCCGCTGCTGTGTCTCCCTAACGGTGTTTCTATTTTAACAGTGCAGAGTATATGCTCGATGTGATCGGTGCTGGTGCAACAGCGACCACTTCTTTCGATTGGTACAGCATCTGGAAAATCTCGCCCGAAGCAGCCTGTGTGCAACAAGAGATCGAGGGTATCTATGCAGAAGGTCGAGGCCGTCCTGCCGTCGAAGCGACCCTCCAGAGCGAATTTGCGACCTCCTGGGGTTACCAAGTCAAGGAGCTCTTCTATCGCAATGTGCAGAGCTACTGGAGGGACCCGACGTACCTCATGGCCAAACTGGTTCTGAACGCTTTCGGTGGTCTCTTCGTTGGCTTCACGTTCTTCAACGCACCGAATACGCAGCAGGGAACCCAGAACAAGCTATTTGTGAGTACACAGTTGTAACCTTCCGTCGATTTTAGAGTTGACTCTAGGTTTTTCCTTGCACGAAAGGCTATCTTCATGATTACGATTCTGAGGTTGGTCGATATTTCCTTTCAGGTGTCTTTTAGTTGGCACTGACACACTGTGTTTGCTATGCAGTGTACCGCTTGCCAGTCAACTCCAAGTGCCCTTCATCAACCTACGGTCTGTTTACGAAATCCGGGAGCGACCTAGTCGGATGTACAGCTGGACTGCGCTTATCACTTCCCAAATCCTCATCGAAGTACCATGGAACATTTTGGGATCCATCATCCTCTTTGTCACTTGGTATTGGACTGTCGGTTTCGACTCGTCCCGAGCGGGATACAGTTTCCTTCTCCTTGGCATCATCTACCCGATTTATTACACCACGATTGGACAGGTGTGTTGCTTGGTTTCGCCTCGCCCCGAAAGTGGAATCTTTGCTGACTTCATTTATGTAAGGCTGTGGCGGCGATGTCTCCGAACGCTGAAATCGCGGCGATGTTGTTCTCGCTCCTTTTCTCTTTCGTCCTTTCTTTGTGCGTAGAGTTTCTTTCGCGCCCGGCTTAGCCTTGCTCATCATCGGATTATAGCAATGGTGTCATGCAACCCTACCGAGCGCTCGGGTGGTGGAAGTGGATGTAAGTGCATCTTGGTTATGTCGGGTTTCCACATCGAGTTTGACGCTGTTCCCCAGGTATCGACTTTCGCCTTTCACCTACTTGATCGAAGGTCTCCTTGGTCAGGCCATTGGTCGACAAGCGATCAGATGTTCGCCTGTCGAGTTTGTTCAGGTCAAGCCTCCCAGTGGTATGACCTGCGGCTCTTACCTGGACCCCTTCATTTCCATGGCTGGTGGATACTTGACGAACCCCGACGCCACCTCTGACTGCAACTACTGCAGCATGAGCACGACCGACCACTTCCTTATGTCGAGCTTCAACATCAGCTACGACAACAGGTGGAGGAATGTTGGTCTTATGGTCGTGTTTACCGTTTTTAATGTGCGTGTTTCCCTTCTGTGCGAGTGATGTTAGCGCTGACGGCGAATCTAGTTCGCGTGTGTTTACGCCCTTACATACCTATTCCGGATTCACAAGGGAAGCCTTCTCCCTAGTTTCAAGCGCTCGAAGAAGAAAAACTAGTTTTTATGTACACAGTCGTAGAATTTATATTACGCATCTATTTAATGATCTCGTACCATACCTTCGCATTACTTGGTTACAAACATGGCAATGAATAACGACGTACTTGTGCTCGTACGATTGACTGAAGCCCGTTCGAATTTCTATTCATCGAGACCCAATTGGTTGCATCTCCACGCCCGAGTGCATCAGACCAGAACCGACATTGGTGTTCTCGGCGGTCTCTAGAAACGAGAGATAATCTAAGCTATGACCTTTTTGGGCAGTCGGGATCAAACGCCCGTCACCGCGAATCGAACGATTTCAATTTCGTGATTTATTTCAGTTCGGGGGCTTTCAGGATATAAAATACTTGTTCGCTTGGGTGTTGGGAAAACAATCCACGTCTCCTTCCCCCCTTTTTCCAAAATGTCGACGTTGGCCGCTCAGCTGAACGGCACTCTCCCTTTGTCGGCGGACGCGTGGTCAGGATTCCTCGCACAGGCCAAGCAGCATGTGTCCGCCCTCGACTCGCGCACTTTCGTCCTGTTGCTCATTAACGCCCCCGTCATCGCCATCGTTCTCAATGTTTTGAGACAGTTGGTACGTGTTCTCGAGACTTTCAAAGTCGGTTTGCAGACTCACAACGGTGTACAGGTGATTCCCAAGAAAGCAACGGACCCGCCTGAGGTTTTCCACTGGATTCCCATCGTTGGATCGGCCATCCAGTACGGCAACGACCCTCTCAACTTTTTCTTCAAGTGCAGGGAGAAGGTGGGTAACAATCCGCATTGGCATTCGAAATGGTCACTGACGTGGAGAAATTTCAGTACGGCGATGTTTTCACTTTCGTTTTGCTCGGTCGACGTGTCACGGTTGCCTTGGGTCCCAAGGGCAACAACTTTATTCTCGGTGGCAAATCCATCGTATTTAATGCCGAGGATGCCTACACTGTGCGTACCCCCGTTTATCTAATCGCTTTAGTGCAGGGACGCGCAGCTGACCGCCGGATGACCGTTTCTAGCACCTTACGACCCCTGTGTTCGGCAAGGACGTCGTCTACGATGTTCCCAACGAGAAGTTCATGGAACAGAAGCGATTCGTCAAAGTCGGTATCTCAGCGGAGAACTTGCGTGCATACGTGGGCATGATCGAGGAAGAAGTCGAGGGCTTCTTGAACAACGATCCAGCCTTCTCCGTCTTCCAGCAGAACGATGTCAACGAATGGGGAACTTTCAACGCTGTCAAGGTCATGCAAGAGATCACCATTCTCACTGCCTCGAGGACCCTCCAGGGCAGGGAAATTCGCAACGGCCTCACCAAGGAGTTCGCTCAGATTTACAACGACTTGGACGGTGGATTCACCCCCCTCAACTTCCTCTTCCCCAACTTGCCTTTGGAGAGCTACCGCAAGCGTGACCGTGCTCACAAGAAGATGTCCGACTTCTACGTTGACATCATTAAGAGGCGCAGGGCTGGCCACAGCGATGAAGTGAGTTGCTATCATTCGTCTGCATTGGACCTTGTCTGATATATCTCTGGTAGACCGACCACGACATGATTTCTGCTTTGCTTGAACAACGCTACCGCAACGGTACCGCCCTCAAGGACCATGAAATTGCTCACATCATGATTGCCCTTCTCATGGCTGGTCAACACACCTCTTCCGCTACTGGTGCCTGGACTCTTCTCCACCTCGCCAACAACCCCGATGTTGCGTAAGTGTTGGCTGGACTCCTTAGCCCGCTATCATGCTAAAGAACCCTTCTAGTGAGGCTCTGTACAAGGAACAACTCGAACACTTCACCAACCCCGACGGCAGCTTCCGCGAGATGACCTATGACGAACTCCGTGCCCTCCCCATCCTCGACTCGGTCATCCGTGAAACCCTTCGCATGCACCCTCCCATCCACAGTATTATGCGCTACGTCCGTGACGATGTCGCCGTCCCCGGATCCCTCTCCGCCCCCTCCAAGGACAAGACCTACATCATCCCCAAGGGCCACTACGTCCTCGCTTCCCCCGTCGTCAGCCAAATGGACCCCCGCATCTGGAAGAACCCCGAAACCTGGGACCCCACCCGCTGGAGCGATCCCGAAGGTGTTGCTGCCGAGGCTTACAAGACCTATGTCGACGAGAACGGAGAGAAGATTGATTACGGTTTCGGTGCTGTCAGCAAGGGAACTGAGTCTCCATATCAACCCTTCGGTGCTGGCAAGCATAGGTGCATTGGTGAACAGGTGTGTATTCCCCCTTCTTCCCCTCGTCAACCTCATACTGATATTGTTCGTGCTCTAGTTTGCCTACCTGCAATTGGGTGTTCTCATCTCGACTGTCATCCGCAAGTTGGAGCTCAGAGTAGACATCATCCCAGAGCACAACTACCACGTAAGTCTGACTTTGTAGCCTCTCCATGGCCCATCTACTAAGTCCTGCCTCCTTTCCATAGACTATGATCATGATGCCCAAAACACCTCATACCATCTCCTACCGTCGCCGAAAGGCCGACTAGTTTTTATGTCACGACCATTAGACGTTAATTGATACATAATGTTATTTACTTACCATACTACACGGAACTGGATAGATAATCCAATCGAGAATGCTTTTGAATTGGATTGTTCGTTATTCCTGCCACAAATAAAGGTGGGGTGGTACATGGCAAACTGCAAGTGAAAACCCTATCGGTCAGTATACAAAAGCTTCTCTGAGTGAAGAGCAATGATGCTTCAATGTGTTGAATTGGTATTCGTCGAGGTCCTCCTTCACCGCTAGTGAACCATGGAGAGATACGACGTTAAGGGTCTCTGTGCCAGGAAACAGAGCGAGACTTCCGATGAGCTGGTGCTTAAACGCTCCGCTTTGAATCAGGTGTTTCGTGCGGCGTATCTCAATGGTGAGTGTCGTGACTCTTTTCAGAGCGTCGGAGCGTTCCTTGGAAGCCAAGGTCGGAGGAATGCCCTTCATTAAGGACGCAGTGAGGGCGCGGAAATCGGCATTCGCTATGCAAAAAACAAGGCGGGCCCCGAGTGAAATCGAGGAGTGGTCATCATGGTCCTCTCCGTCCTTGTTCTCTCCACAACCTTGTTTTGGACGTTGAAATTTGTCCAAACGCTGAACGTCCAAGACACTTTGTGCAACAGTCTCGATGTCGAAAGGCGGGATGGCCCCGTCGTTCTCGTTGTCGTTGTGCACCAAAGTAATCTGCTTGAGTCGCGGTAAACGGACCTTGTCGACTGGTCCAGAAAGAAGACCGCGTAGTCCGAGAGGCTGGAGTTCGATGGACTCCAAGTTGGGGAGGTGGAGGGTGAGGGAATCGGGCCACTGCGAGTGTCGAGGCGGAACCCCGTGGAGCCTGAGTTTGGTCAAGGTCTTGGAGAAGAAGTTAAGGCCAGGAAGTACTTGATAAAACTGGCAGCGCTCGAATCCGACGAACATCGAATCTATCAGAGGGCCCATCGTCGCACACCGGTGCATGATAAACTGCACTTCATCGGTGTCCCACGGATAGCTTCGAATTGGCATGACCAGACTCGTCACTGGAGAGTTGGCCAGGAGGGAGAAGGACCACTCCGAGAAAGGGGGCCGGAGAAGTTCCATGCTGACTTGGAAGTGGGTGATCTTGGGCGGGGCGGAGGGGTTGTACTTCAGAGATCGCCAACAGTATTTAGGAAGGCGTATGCTTCGAATGTATTGGCGCTCGTCCTGCAGAATCCAGCCAGATGAAAACGCCTTGCCCTCTATAGCGGGGTCCTGGTATCCCGCGACAATCTTGTCGGACCAGTCGTCGATCCGGAAGTCTGTACAGCCTTTAGAAACAAGGAGGTTGAAGAGCGCCTCGAGTGCGCCCTCCAGTGCACCAGGATCTGCGTCGTCATCCTCGCCGACGAGATAGGGGAACGCAAAGGCCAATATCGCACTTTTGACGGTCGTGGCTTTTTCCAGAAGCCTTCTGATCCTGTATAGTTGTGTCGCGAGACCTGAATGTGTTGTCCCTATACACAGGTCGACTTCGATACATTTAAACACCTTGATGGGGGGTGTCAAGGCGAGGAGGAAGTCGAGGGTGTCGGGCCTGCGATGTACATAAAACTCGTCGGGTAGTTTAATATTGCAGTGCTGTTCCGGGACGTAGATGCCCATTGTTTCCAGGCCTAGTCGGACGGCCAGACGGTGGAAGTCACGGCACACTTGAACACATGTGTAGAGGCTTTTCTTCGACAATCTCGACAAGATCATTGAAAGAATCTCTTCCGGGAGTGCAAGTACGTTCCTTGGGGGTGTCAGGATATCCGGACTGTTTGTCGGCTTCTGTAGCTCCATGATTGCAAGACTGGACATAGTATCTGCAGGTGAATGTTATAAAACGTCGTGGTGCAAGTGTCGACTAACAACTTACAATCGAGAAATGTGGGGAAAAGCAGGCTAGGGAGGGGTGCGACCGCCGGTCTCCCCAGAAGTGTATATATATGTGCTGACTCTGGACTTAATATACATTCGTCCTCGAGGCAACCTGCCGGCCGGGACCAAATCTCTGATCGACACCTGACCGGTCAACCCTTCTTGTTGCACCATAGCAGGGAACATGCAGGCGAACTTAGATAGGCAAAACGCACCACACATTTCGAGTGGTCAAGTTAATTACCCACCGTGCTCAATTGACAAGACGGTCGTTGTAGACCTATCGATACACTTGTCGGCCAGTTATCTCACCTCATTTTTGTGCTCGACGACGACGAGGAGGGCTGTTATAAGAACCAAAAGAGGTTGTCAGCGCGACGGAGGAAGGTCCAGATATTCAAGTTCTCAGTCCAGTGTGTGTGTGTGTGTTTCCAAGCCTCGTGGGCACCGTAACCCCCAGGCTGACTAATAGAGATCACTCGGTACCTTTTCCTTCCAGCACACCGGAACCAAATAAACCATCGCCTTCTGACCACTGCGCGATATGTAAACCAGACAACAACTGCCGTTATTCTCTGCAAGACAATCAAAATGAAAGGAAACATAGGTAAGTGCTCTACTCGTCGTCTGTGGCTCCGTGAGCGCAACAAATTAATGCACTTTGCAAGGTGCTGTCAACAGGGTATTGGGAATATCAGGGAAGGAACTAAGGACCTTTCAGGTATCCTCTACATACTCCGCTTAGCATGGCCGTCTAAACATTACATCCATAGGAATCATGTGTGGCTTCGACCACGATGCACCTGGATTTAGCGCACACTGCCTCAAGCCAACCGGACAGAGTTGACCAAGCTTTGCAAAAGGTATGTGGCTTTTTCAACTTCGTGGAAGACACACTTGCGGCTGTCCGCTAAAGATTGATAGGTCATCGCGGGGAACGCAAACATTAGCATCGACTGGGAGAAACACGCCTGCCAGGACGCTGTCAGGCGATACTTGTGCGAGGTTCACTCCAGACAGCGCCAGAAAGCAGGCGTAACCCCAGGAACACGGAAAGACCGGGACAGGATTCCAAAGGCATCGATCTCTGCCACTTCCAAGAACAAAAATGGTCAGTAATCGTCAATTCCAAATTTATTGACCGTCATCTGAGAGTCTGCCCAGGCGCTTCTCCAAATAGTAGGAGGTCATCCCAATCGGTTGGATCATTTGTAACACCTGTTACTCCGAGTCCAACTCGACGGCAGACTTGTAGAGTGCAGGATATAGCACCTCTCTTTTCCCACACCGAAGTCAAGCGCGAAGAGGGTTTGTTAAGGAAGACGAAGAGGTCATCCAGTCTCACTCCCTCCCTTTTCATCACTTCATCGTCTGGTAGGCGATATCGCCCAGCCTCAGCCCGACTTAGTTCGCGCTCTCTTTCCCCCGTAGTGGACAGAATCCAAGGACTTCTGGATTCCATGGCGCCTGCCCTCTCTTGGCTCCACCCTGCTCTATATAAATATGGGTTTAGTGACGACGCGGCTCTGGAAATTATCGCGCAACAGGACCGGGAACGAGTAACACGAATTGTACTCGATTTTCAGCGGGACTTCAATGACGATAACTCCAATTCGAGGCAGATGACTGGGGCGCATGTATCCCTGTTAGTTGAAGCCCTTCTAAGGACTACTGTTGCTAACAATGTTACTAGCAATACGGAAACATGATTGTACTATAGTATAGCTTGGCTGTGTCGAAAATGTATTCACACGTTGACCCTTGGGCGTGGGACCAGTGGCACGGTTTCTTTAGCGCTCGATTGGAAAGCGGCGTTTTTGAACAGGCCGCAGTCTATTACGGTACCTCATGCTCTTGTGCCAACATGGCGAGCAATTCGAAAACTTCGTTCAGTAAGCTAGATTTATCGATTCTTTACATGCAGTACACTGACGCTGGCGATTAACCTAGATGATGTTTGCTACGCTCTTGGCTTGTCAAAAGCGGACCCCAGAGCAAAGAAACTTCATGTGAGATTTCTGGGTTGACCGAGATCTTGCGCTATAATTTGACCGGTTCATGGGCAGGCTTCACTTACAAGTGGGATGGATCTGTACTTGGACCCGAATAAGACAGGGACGGAGCAATTATCTCACATTGGAAAAGTGATAAAAAAGGTATCCCACAACGCTGAATGACAAGGCAATGGAATGACCTGTTCTAGGCTGCCGCAGAGAATCCTGAAATCCTCATTAACCTTCAAAATCGGAACCACAGGGGTACTCTGGCAGGGTGGTTGTGCAAAGAACATTCGGTGATGCGATACAAGTACGGGTACATAAAACGAAACGTTAAGGACGAAAAAAGACCTGGAACAGATACGGGTTCGCCGAGCCAAACTGCCAGATCTTCAAACAGTGGTGCTCAGATTGGCTCGCTCACAGCGACGCCGCCACGATACGGTGATTTACAAGATCGGTCTGCTCAGAGTAGTCACTGTAATACTAATTTTTTATCTTGAACTCAGATCTACGCCGCAATGGAGCTCGCGAACATCGAGTCGCTCCTGTCACTCCAAGCCCGCGATACAGGCGTAGCCGTGCCCCTACGCTCACAGATTCCGAAAACATGGGACAAGCTTCACAACAGGCGAGAAGCAGCACTTCAAACGATGACCCCATTAGTTCCATTCTCGACTCAATGTCCCCAGCGGCCCTGTCCTGGCTCCGTCCCTCCATGCGTGAATTTGGCTTTGACGAGGTCGACATCCTGAACGTTATTACTCAACAAGACCGCGAGATGATCAAAAGGGTCGTAAACGACTTCCAGAAATTCCACAATCAGAAGCAAGAAAATGAAAGAAAAATCTCAGGGATACATGTCTCGCTGTTGGTAGAAGCTTTGGCTTCCGGGACGGAAAGTCGATCTGGGTGAGCAGCTGGCGGCGTCATTTTAAGTAGCATCTACCCTTTGATAGGTCTAAGGCAATCCCAGAGAGCGCAAACTTCAACGCTGACTGGGAGAGATCCGCAAACAAGGACACGTCAAGATATATATGCGATGTTTACTCCAGATGTCGAGACTAATGACCGGAACAGATGTCTCCTTATTAAGATTCCTTCTTATTGGTTGAAGCCCTTCTGGGAACCAGATGTGCCTGAGGTTACGGCAATGCAAATCGATGCCAATTTAGCTTGAACCCAAGGTCGAAAATGCATTCACAAGCTGACCTTTGAGTGTTGAGCGTGGGTATGAATTCGAGTCAGTAAGCGCCCGCGGCTCACGGCCGTGGACCCGCGGTGATGGCTTGGACCGGCAGGAAAGAAAGACGCGGGCGATATCGACAATCAGAGCACGCTGCAAGCTCTTACCCGGTGCCAACATGGCTAGATACAGTATCTCGTTCAGTGAGTTGGATCTACTTGTGTTATACATACATACTAACTCACTATCAACCGTGAAGGTGCGGTATGCGACGCTCTGGACTTGTCAACATTGGACCCAAGAGCGAAGCGACTCCAGGTGAGATCCATACACCAGAAACATAACTTCATGGGCCGACTGATTTGTAGGGTTCAATTGCATGTGCTATGGCAAGTCACCTAGACCTAAACAAGACAACCACGAGCCAGCTATTGGAGGTTGAAAGAGCGCTCAAACAGGTGAACTGTCCGTTGTGCAGGCAATCTTTGTATCATATTGACCGTGTTTGCCTGGCAGGTAGTCACAGGGAATCCCGACATCTTCATTGACTTGACAAAGCGGGGCCACACGTCTGTTCTCAAAAGATGGATATATAGGCAACACACGGTCAAGCGACAAAAGCGTGGCTATACGAGGTCCAAAGGGGTCGCCGGGAAAGAGGAAAGGGACTCTTTGTATATCCCTTCAGTAGGAGCACGCACCAGCACATTCAGGTCGTCGATGCTGATCGGTGAGGGCAGCTTCTATGTGTCTTTGGAGCAGGGCAACTGAGTGCTACCCCGCACCAGGTCTTCGAACCGTGTCAGTCGCTTCTTGCCGCCCATCCACTATCGGAAGGGACTCTAGCCCCACAGAAATACATTCCTCCGGGTCACTGTCGACTCTTCGAAGCTCGAGTTCGGTGGGCTCTAGTGGTCGTTCACGAGCGTATTCCATCACCACCGTCAGCTCTGGGCAGAGGCGCACATCACTACGTTCGGCTTCGTGGAAGAAGAAGAAAACCGGTTCCGTTGAAACCGCCGAAGACACCATCCGTTCTGTTCTAAGCTCAATGTCGCCGGCTTTGTCGTGGCTTTATCCTTCCATGCGTAGCTTCGGCTTTGACGAAGTTGAAACTCTCAACGTAATTTCTCAGCAAAGTCGAGAAAGGATTCAAAGGATCGTCAACGATTTCCGAAAATTCCACAACTTGAACGAAGTCAATGGGAGGAAGGTTTCAGGGGTGCAAGCCTCACTGTTGGTGGAAGCATTGCTATCTTGGACGAAAAGTTGAAACAAGTGCAAAGTGGGCATTGTCACAGTAGTATCCTCTCAATGCTCGTATCAATTGGACTCTGAGGTATTCGGTTACACCGGGGTCTCTCCCATGCTGCGAGCTTTGTCAGGGTTTATGTAATTAAGCGCCCGTCGGGCGAGCCCCGGTGGGTGGGAAGAAACCGGCCCTTGGATGCCCTGAGTGGCGACTTTTACAACGTCTTTGACTTTATATCCGTCTTGTTGGACCACCATGCCCACTGTCACGAGAGGTAGGCCATGAAATCACGCAAAGGCTTCCGTTTCTCATCTGGAGTTGCAGCGGAACTCAAAGAGGTGCTTGGGATAGCAGAGGGGGAGTGCATTGATCAGTTCAGAGTAAGTGGGACACATGTGCTCAAAAGCTATGCTCATTATCGCCTAAAGAGCCGCTGTGATGAAGCAGTGTCTCGATATCTCGACATTACAATCACAGGATATCAGCAACGAGAGCGGGTGGAGCGTGTTGTGGCGAAAGTAAGTGGATAAGGCGATGTTTCTTCCACTCACTTGCTGATGGGAGACCTCGCTGTCCTGCTGAAGATTGGTGCGCAGAACCCAGATCTGGTTGATCTGAACCTACCTGCACACGAGCACATACTAAAGAAACTTGTGCTTGATCGCCATGCAAAGCAGCGTGAAAAAAGAGGCCTGACTTGCTCGCGCTCTAAAGCACATACTCGTCGGGGTGCCAACAGAAGCAAACGTCCCAATGCAGTCACCAGCGCCCGAAGGTTAGACACCCGTCCAGCCCGCGACCATCCATGCAGTGAGTTGATCAGTGTCCTCCACTCCCACTGGCATAAGAGGCTTACTTGGTGTAGGTGAAGTTGAAGAAGCATCACCTCCAACGCCGGCCGAATCTCGATCACAGTCGCCCGAAGTACCCACCTCTTCCATGGTTACCCAAGAGGCCAGATCAACCAGATTGCCGCGCGCCTCTAGGCACCCAGGTTCACAGACATCCCCTGCTACCTCGCACGATTCCGTGCCCACACACAGGGAGTCCTCTTCAACAGAGAGAGATCACAGCGTTCTTCAATTTCTGGACACGGTTGTGCCGTCTCTACGCTGGCTCGCACAATCGTTTATTGCCTTCGGTTTTCATGACGAGGAAACAATAATTGGAGTGGCCCAACAGCCTCGAGACACGGTCGTCAGGATTATCGAGGACTTCCAAAAGCGCTACAACGGAGACCCCGAAAACGATACGAAGATTACGCCTTTGCAAGCCGTCATGCTCGTCGAAGCCTTCAAATTCTATAGGGATAAGGGTCGAGGGTAGGAAAGCCGACCTCTAATAGCCCCTGGGAAGGTATATACAATGGGACGCACTGGTATCTGGGCGACCGAGATAGGGGCACCGGGCAGTGATCGATGAACGCGCCAATGTACCAGGAAAGTTTTGTTCGTCTAGCTACCTGTCACGAATTCAATGCCCCTCGGAGATACTCTGACTCGGCCTGATCCGTGTGTTTCTATCAAGCCTTCTGTAGATTTGTCGAAGGCAGCTTATAATACTACCTGAATGGGTGATGAAGGCGCCGAAAAACAGTGGCTGATTCCTCCAACAAGACAGCGAGAACCAGAGGCAGGGCAACTTCTCTTGCGTCCGAGATGGCGAGTTTCGAGTTACAGGTCGAGGTGAAAAACTAACATGAGGCTGGCCGAGGAAGCAGAGTCCCCCTAATTCATAAGAGAAAAGGGTGCGACCAGCACCTGTAGTGTTAGTTCATTCTATCTGTTCTTGTTCGTCTGTCCAAGAGTCCCACAATCAGAGAATCCCCAACTGCGAAACTGAAACTAGCCCAATAAAGAAGAAAGTTACGGGACTGCGCCTCTAGTTTGCTTTTACCCTTTGGAGTCTTTTCCCAACTATAAACAAACATCGTTGCTTTAGGATACGCGAGAGACTCAGACATGCCTCGATAGGGGCCACATTTAATTGACGCGTCCGACGCGTCGACGCGCTGTCGGGGTCCTGGAATGAGACCTTCCGACCGATCGGCGGACCCGCTGGCCGAGATTCTTGGAGTACCTGCAGCAACAAGCCAACTCCCAGTCCTTGAAATGCCAATCTGTTGCAATCCTTTGGTCGTTTCTAGAACACCTACCGTGCGGAGACTAAGGCAAGAAGACTGAGGACCTCGAGACTGTCAAAAATCCACTGTTCAAGATTCCACCTTGTAACCGCCATGATGCAAAGACTGGGAAGACCCTTTTCATCCACAGCCCGTGCACCTTTAACCCCAGGGAGAATGGGAATTGGGGAAGGTAAGCCTAGTCAGTCCAACCCGGCATCTGAGGCTAGACACTGACCGTAACAAAAGTCGAGCGTCGCGTCAAAGCCATGGTTCGGAATCACAGACGAGATCGCCTTTCAGGAATTCAAAGTGAGTTGTGCGTTCGCCTTCTCAGTTACCGTCTTACCGAACGTACCTGAAGTCGAGCTCTAACCAAGCAGTAGAACGATGCCTGAACGTTTACCACACGGCAACGGAACAGCGCTACGCCATCCCCAGAGCGGTCGACACGGTGCGCAGCCATGAGGCCCCCTCCTTTGAAGTTTGCTGACATTCGTTTAGATCGTGTTGAACAACCCTACAATCAGAGCAGACGTTAATAACATCCAGCATACGACGTGGTTGGCGATGTACATACAACGCATTCAACAGAGGCGTCGTCGGAAACTTACTCGGTCGACGGTGAAAAGGCCCACCAGCGAGCTTTAATGCCGTATTATACTATGCGCAGTCCTCGAGCAATGTCAATATCCTTGGTATCGATCGTCCGTATGAATTTGCACATCGCGAAGCCTGTAGAATTGAATGAATCTATTGCTTTTTAATTTTAAAAACTTACAGGAGTCGTCGTATCTAGGTATCTATGACTGACTCCAGACACGGCGAGGCAAAAAGCTCGCCACATAGAGCGCCCCAAATACTATGCCTATAAGGGCGTAGTACACCATCCACCCTCCCAACAAGTTCCTAGACAACGAGAGGGAGTAGAGGGAGGTGGCAACTCCGGGACCGATTGCTCTCATCACACTAACCGTCATCTAGAGCGAACGTCAGTTTCGAGGTAGTGTTAAGAGATGATTTCACACTCTACCTGGCTGAGACCGTTGGTGGCCCCAAGGGACGCACGGTTAGGTGCTGCGGCAGCAATAAAGATGAAGACAGCCCCTGTAAAACATTATCAGTGACTGTTGGGCTACAACACCAATCCGAGTCCAACGCACCATAACACAAGCTCATTCCAATGGAGATGAGGATCTGGAACACTACAAGGCCATAGACCATCGGCGTGAGGCCCTGACTCCTAGCCATCATATTCAGCAAAGGGTATAAAGCAAAAGCGGGTATCGCAAAGGCCATCCCTGCTAAGAAGGTATTCCGAGACCCGAATCTATCATTGATCTTCGCAAAGAAGAACACTTGAAAGACTCCATTGAAGACTCCGTAGATGGAAAGCAGGTTGCCAATGATAGGTGGTGGCAGCCCGAGCCCACCCATCTCAATTGGGGTAGAGAGAAAGAGAGGTTGGATGGCTCGGAAGGCAATGTCGACTAACGAGATGGTGGCGTAGTTTCCGGCAGCGATGATAACGCGCCGAGTGAGTAGTGATCGCAGGGGTAGTTGCTTTTCGCTCGGTAAAGGTTTTGGTGAGGGATTTTGGGTAACTGAGGGGTCCTGCGAACCGACAACGCCTTGGAGGACAAGGTCCGATTTTTGGCCTCGTATTCTCAAGAGTTGCTTGATAGAGATAGGGTTGGGCAGTGTTTCTTTGAGGAAAAAGAGAGTCACAATGAGTGCTGTGAGCGAGAATGTCGCTGGAACAGCGCATGCAAGGAAGTAAGGATACGCTTTGAGGAATTCACTGTCGCCAAACCATCGCGGAAAGCGTTCCGCGGGTTTAGAGAGCGAACCGCCGATGATAGGACCGAGCTGGGAGGAAGGTAAGCAAGGATTCCGGAGAAATATCGTCCCATACTTACGGTGCTCCCAGTGGACCACGAGATGGGGAAATAAGCATAAGCCTAGAGAACGTCGCGTTAGGAAACGGAAACCACAGCAAGGTAGCCTGATTACGCACTCTTGAGATGTTTGTTTCGTCGGTCATCTCTGCCATCATACTACAGAACGATAAGTAACGCGTCAAGTAATGATTCACAGGCCTTACCTCTTGATGACGCCAATATTTCCATCTGCAGATGGTTGTCAGTAGCGATTCCCAATGGGGCGACAAGATAATTACGCACTGAGGGCGCCATTCAAGCTTCGACTGCAGCCAAAAGTTAGCCAAGGGCCCACGCTACAAAAAATACGACGCACCTGAGTACCAAGCCCCAGAACGTCTTCGAGAGACCAAACGAATACATCGAGAGCGAGAGACCGGTGAGTCCCATGATGATTACCGGTTTTCGTCCGATGGTATCGGAGAGTCTACTCCAATGCAGCACGGTCAAGGCTTGGGTCAAGAAGAATATAGAATGCTGTGCAAGATTGCAAGAAGAAGAGGTCAACTACAGGAACCAAGTAGACCCGGAAAGCCCCACTTACCATTATCCCGACATAATACCCAACGGCGGCTTCGTCGCCTCCTGTGATCCCCAACTCACGAATCAACTGCACGCCAATCATTCAGGACACGTTCTATACACATCGCACTCAACATTACGCACCTGAGGCATAAACGGCGAGATAACCTGCGAGGTCAACGGTTCCGCGAGTTGCAGGAGCAACACCAACGAGAACTGGAACCAGGGTAGGGGTGTAACCTGTTTCTTCTTCACATTTCCATCCTCTCCTCTCAACAACGGTGTTTCTTCGTCAATAATATTTTGCGTAGCGGTCATGGTTGTTCGTCGTTAGTCGTAGTTTGTCGTCGCAAAGGTCATGAGCAAGAGAACGATGGGTAGAGAGCTAGGGGGCTAGTACACCAATTGCTGGGACAAGGGTTTGGCCTTTCCTTGGGGTCAAGAGGAAGAAAGCCGAACAGGCAGGGAGCTCAGTCAATTTGTATGAGGGTCCTAACCCCTATAGCCGACAATGTCAAGTAAAGGAAGAAGGGCGAAGGTGAAAGAACGGTCCGAAATCGCGACTTCGCAAACCCTTCCGTCGGACTTTTAATCACAAGCGCCTCTGACTAAGCTGCCCGTCCAAGAAGAACGCCGAATGACTCGAGATGCTTACGTCTCCAACGGTAGACATATGGGCACGACAGCGGCAGCCGACAAGGCATTAATCGTCCATGTTCGTCGAACTGAGGCCATGGAAGGAAGACGTCTGATGGACCACCCTATTTGCCGTAACCACAGAACCCTGTGAGTGACATCTATCGCCGACCACCTGCATTGATTTCCTGAAGTAGATTTCATTTACTTCCTGATGCTTTCCGAGGTCTAAGTATAAACAGCTTTGCATTGACTGGAAAGGGGTACAGACTCGATAACGAAATGAGTGGCACAGACGACATAAAGAGCGGCGACGGGGACGAACATGAACAAAAATACTCTAGAACACAAACGAGGGGGAAAGGTAATTCACATAGCGAAAGGCGAAATCATGTAGAAAAACCATAACAAGTGAAGAAAACATGGTAAAGAATACATCAAGTGGAAGCGAGCAGTGGCCTACCATTTGATCACAGAGCATATCCACCAGCAAACCTCCCTTCGGCATCCATTTCCCCGAAGTCAACTCCACTCCACCTAGCATCTGACCACCGAGTTGAGGTTTCCGACAGGTAACTCGTTGGCCTCATATAAGCTAACGACGAGCGCGAGTTCTCGAGCGCATCCAAGATCGCCAAAATCCCGTTTACTCCTTGTGGGTGCGACGCAGCCGTGTTCAAAATGAATTCACATTCCAGAGCATCTGCATCATCGGTGCTACTGGATAGACCAATCGATGCGTCTGCTTTGGAATCGCTATCCACACTGAATTCCCGTACGATCGAGTCGGGAATGATAGGGGAATCGCCCGAGACGGACAGGTTAGAGTACACGGAAGAAACGGACGATCGCTTGGAGTGAACCGGCGAGGAGTGGCTGGAGGTCGATGATGATTGGGTATAGAGAGCCCAAGGCAGCAAGCCTTCCAAAATGGGTACATTTTCGAACGTGTCTGTGCAGGGGAACCTTTCGGGTGGTGGGGTGAGGGCGCAAGAGCCAGTGACGCCAGGACGAGCAAGGTCAGTAACAGATGGTCGAGAGGCTGATCTTGCAGGCAATACCAGAGGTCGAACAGCAGATTGACGTCTGGCCTTGTCGACAATGGACGTGAGCGACCCTGCCTCGGTTTCGTCCACGAAGGTCCAGTGAAGTCCACTTGCAGAGACAATGATGCCGCGAGGAGGGGCTGGGTTGAGCAAAGGCGCTGAAAGATGCCTCGTTTTCGTAGTCCGATTACCACCATTGCGGACGACGTCGGTGTCGATCATCGAAAACCATCGCCGCTTAGTGATAGTTGGCGCAGTCATGTCCAGGTTATCGATGATGGCCGAAGGTTCGAGACAGCTGCGTGGTGATTCGCTAAGGAGAGGGTGAGAACCACTGTCGCGTTCTTCCTCTTCAGCAATAGTAGAAAGGACCGAGCTGGGGTCTGGGAAGGATACCCCAGAGCGACGGGCATCGAGGTTGCTCAAAGGCGTTGGTCCGTAAAAGCCGTCTTCATCCTAAAGGTTATCGCGAAGTCAGCGAAATGTCAAGCGAGGCAGCCATGAGGTTACATACATCAGAAGAATCAGAGAACCTGGATTCCCATTGATCCCGGTCTCCGTCGTTGCTGCTTGTATCCTGTTCAGAAGCGACCTCGCCAACGCTTTCCCAGTCTGCGGAAGGGAACGAGGAGCCCGTTGACATCCCTTTAGGGTCTTCGAGACTCATCGTCGGAGAAGGACAGCGCGATTCAGGAAACACTTGGTCGAGGCCCGCCATTATGAGGTCGATGGACGACGTGTCGACTCGACAAGCGTTCCTCCTCCTTCGCTTCAAAGTGGCGCTATCAGTGGATTCCAGGCTCTCGGACCTATCGCATTCAGAGAGTTCGGCGTTTGGCGGTACCAAGAGGAGGCTTGGATTGAGGGCGTTGTCCAATGCAGCTGTGGGACGGTCTTCGGATACTCCAACATCCAAGTCAGAGGTCTCGCAGCCGTGGAAAGCTGATACAGCGTCCTCGTGCGCCGCGTTCGACGCCATTTCCGGAGTGGTGGGCTGGCTTGGAGGAGTCAAGGTGATTTCAGGAACCACAGATGCCTGTCGAGGGTCGAGTGGCTCAGTAATAGCAGGAGAGTTGGTCTTGCTTGGCGAGTACGATTCCAGGCTGTAAACCGAAACTTCATCCACCTCCAAGTTCAGGTTGCGCTTGGCTGCATGCCACCAACCGAGCGGGGTGTTTGACCGCCCTTTAGTCTCGCGCCCGGTCGCTTTGCTCGTGGAATCATCGCTTGGATCCCCGCTCACGGATGGACTGCTGGTGTTCGAGCTGTCTGGACTGTCAGGAGGAGTGTGGATGATGACTTCGAGAACTACGGAGGAGGTTTCGTCGCATGACCGCGACGGTCGAAGTCCGGAGAGCCACGATGGCCTGTCGCACTTGCTCCCTGCAAGGATGGGCCCAGACAAGGCGTGTCGTTTCGTCGCGTCGCGTACTCCGCGAATCATGAGTGCGGACAACGGCACATTATCCTCTTCATCAGGTTCGCTTTCCCAGACATTCTTTCGAAACTCGCCTTTGACTATTGTGGGTGACAGAATTGACGTAGGCGTGGTCGGTGCAGTCGAGATTGAGGGCGATTGCGACGTGTCACTGTCGAGGATGGGCGTGAATTGCGAATCGCTTCGACTGGTATCGGTGGGGGACTGAAGATAATCATCCGCGAACGAAATTGTCACATCTGACATTGAGGCAAGGTTAGTGGCCAGAGCGCCAGATGAACTATTGATCCCACCTGACGTTGGGGTTGCGAGCGAGGTGACGTCAAAGCTGCCTACGCGAGAGGGTGCTTTGAACGGATCGTGGAACAACGCTCTGGCCGCATGAGATCCCCTTTTGACATCTGCAGTTCGACAGGGCTGCTGCAAGGGGGGCGTACCCGCCCGCGGACATCGAGAAAGGGCGAGGTCGTCAAACGGGATTGGAGGGGAGATTTTGGCTACGAATGGGTGAGAACAGGAGCTTGACCGAGATATCAGTGCCAACTTACCAAAGGCGTTGCCTGCATCATCCTTGTTCAATGTGGCGGGCACAGGCACAAGGACAGGCGCGGTGCAGGGCTTCTGAGGACGAGCAATCGCCGCCACGCTTTGGACAAGGCGCGTCCATCCTGCCTTGAAGGCGACCTTGACCTGGGTGAACGCGGCTGTGAACCAAGACATTGCTGTCAAGCCACGCGAGGAAGGTAGCCGGTTGGCGAGATGCGGGATGAAGGAAGGCAGAGGCTGGCAAGAATGCCCTTCCTCCCAGTTGATATACCGGCAGTGATCGATAAGTTGGCGGACACCGACGATCGACGTAAATTTGGAAGTTGTCGAATTCCGCTATCGCTAGGAGACCGAGAGGGCTGTGACGGGCTCCGTTATGGTCAAAGCCCATTTGCAGGTGTCAAAATAAACCACGGGTGACAGTTTGGAAGCAACCGAGAAGTCATACATCGACACCGAAGTGCCGATATAGGACGACACAGGCGGCTATAGTGGAATGACGACTTTAGCGCTCAAAGCAGGTGAGTTCCATGCAGAAATACCTGAGAGTCCGCGCAACAGACAGAAGTGCGTTTGGAACGCACCGGACATTGAAATATACATCTTTTGGATGCGACGGCAACGAGACTGTACAGTGACTTCGAAGGACAACGGGGACCTCGATCACATTGCGAGTTTTCGTTTCAGTTGATGTAATCCACATTTTTGCAGCGCAGGGGATGACGAGGAGCGTTTAATCAAAGAAATCGAGAGAAGACTCAGGAGAGACATGGTCATGGAGTGAGTTATATGCGCGCGGGGGGCAAGTTCCCTGGTGTCCTCCGGTGAACATCGGTGGACGCTGGGGTTCGGTGTTTGTCACTATTTGCCAACGACCTCCGTTGGACCGGTGTGGGAACGCCCTGGAGACCGCTGAACACCTCTCACCTCGAGCGCCGGCCCCCACTGACCTCCACCGTACTCCTCGGTGGTCGCTGGATGCCGCCGACCTCCACTGGAACGTGGGGTCAAGCTCACTGAATCTCGCCGGAAGGGGACTTTTGTTAAATCACATCTTTTCTCTAGTTCTAGCCACGAACATTTGTCTCAGTCTGTATCTTGATCCTTAAAACTTTGCAGGATACCAATTAAGTTTACCTTTATATCGTTGATTGGAATAGCGCTTCTCAGAAGATATGAAGTTGGAACGACACCATTGCGGCCAGAAGAAGGGGCGCGCACAACTAAATAGACGCCCAAGGCTGTGTCTACTCAAAGGTGGCATTCGGAACCCATAAAACTTGTATCTTCACTATTGACATTACAAATACACTTGTAATTATGCCGCTTGGAGGGTACATACATGGTTTATTAAAAGCTCGAAGCGAAGGACCCCTGGCGATTGGTGGGGGTCACTGGATTCCACTGGGGGTGATACCATTAAGCGGGACGAAATCCATCGATCATGGCCCTTCGACCGCTGTCGTTCACGGGGGTCCGCTGGAAATTGCTATGGACATCAACGTTCACTGGACACCGGTGAACTCTGTGCCAGTTCCAACGGGGTTCACCGACCGTCGCTGGAAATTGTGGTGAGTTTTGGTGGAGTTCGGCAGGGGATGCCGGCCGTGGCTGGGCTTGCCCACGCCGCGCTTATTACAGGTCATGGCATGGTTCAAGAGAAGTTCAAACCCCGAAGACGTAACCTCACACAGACTTTGGTCGGAGACCAAATCCGGATTTGAGTCGCTACTCACACCAAGCTCGCACACTTCACCTCTTTGCAACACCACTGTGTATTCTCTACATATACTTGTACCTCATTCTTTGCACAAAGGAATAATTGGAGTCTTCTTACTGTTAGTAATGCTGCCCTGGAGTATACTTCTGAAGACCCATTCCTGAAGTGATTGGAAGATTAGACCGGGTGACGCAACATTCCGGAACGGTCGGACATACCTCGTCCAGCTTTCCAAAGCATGGCCTGAGGGGCGGACTTCAGAACGTCGTCGGAGACGCGCTTCTTGAGCTCTCGTAGCCTCTCCAGACAAACAGCGGCCGAAGGTGGGTCGTTGAAGTCAGATAGGATGTTGTCAAAGTATGGGCCAATTTCGGGGACCACATCTTCAATCACCTGAGGTATGTGTCAACATTTCATGACTCCGCCAGAGGACAGAAAAAGGAGCTTACTCGAACCCAGTTCTGCAGAGTGTGCGCTAAGACGAGAACATCGTCTTTGAAGGGATTCGCCCGACCCCCTGCGATGCCGAGATAATCGAACCCCATGCAACTTTCCCTCTCGAGGATTACAGTATCGATGTCGGTGTCCATGGGGAAGATCAACGATGCACCGAAGTCGATATAAGCATATCTAACCTCAGGCGGGTTGCGGAGGAGGTGTGCGTCAGGGCCATGGTATCTAAACTCTTGGTAGAGCACGTTCATGACCGTATTCTGACATGCAATGTCTCGGTGTGCAATTCTATTCTCGTGGAGAAAGACGAGTCCCTACAGAATTTGAACTGAATTAGGAGAGCATTGCCAGATAGGCCTCTGGCCACTTACCTCGAACAACACATCTGCAAGGTGGAACAACTGCCCGACAGTGCAGAACCTAAGTCCAACAAATGATGGTCCCCATCTACGAGTGAGTGGTTAGCACACCATCTCCCGAGCCAATGAAAAGAGTCTTCTATACACTCACCGTGGCATAACTGCGAAAACAACCGCTTCATGTTCAATATACCCGAGGGTGGGTAAAGTATGATTTCTGGGATCTGCCCGAGCTTCCGGAGTGTTCAAGCGCCTATGTACCTCAAGCTCGTTCGCGTCGGGCATGTCAGAGGTATGAATCATCCTAAGTAAACACGAGTTACAACTTTCCAGTTAAAACTTCGAGAGCGGAACTTACTTTATCATCACCTCCCGGCCGAACTTATCTTGAGCTGGCCAGACACGAAAACTCTAAAAATCTTTGGATTCACTGATGTTGTATGCGGTCAGGCGTGATTGGATCTACCTGAATGTCATGGAAAGGCACAACTTCTTCCCTGGCAATTACACGGCGTGCGTAAGGGTATTCTGGCTCGTTGATGTACTCTTGACACTCGAATGATTGTCGAGGCCTAGCAGCCAGGCTGAACTTGAGGGCCTTGTCGAGGCTCTCATAAAGATAGTACCCGTGGCTTTCAAAGAAAGGCGCGAGGGAGTTCCACTGATTATGAATTATGGGTACCTCTCGTTGAAGAACTTTGATGTCGCCGTTGAATTTCGTTGTCCAAGACTGTAAGTCTGTCCGAGGGTATTGCATGGCGGAGCGTCGTGGGTGGCGTGGTCAGTCGATATCGATGGTTGGGAGGCAAGCTGCGGCGGGGCCTTGCAAGGTTTCTCAAATATGAAGCAAAATCTGATGGAGTGGTTGCCAGCTGGGTGTGTCCTCTTTTAAGTAGATCTTGACCTCACCTTTGTTGGTCCAGAATGGGATATTCGCCATTGTGAGACGAAATGGGAACTACCCCCGGGGACACCACATGTGGTCTGCACACGGCCCCTAGCGATTCCTTGATGGACAAAGGAAACTCGGACGTCATCCTAATTTGGATAATCAAACCGAGGATGCCAAAGTGCGAGGGGATGACCTCGAGGCTCGGAGGAACTATACCCGTGGGATCTACCGCCATTGTACGACGCTTTTGGACAATTGCCACTGGACATGGCGGACCAGAGGTAGAATATAGTAATTAACGAGACAGAGATCGTTGGACTCACTTGTCCGCTCAGGACTTTGCCGAACCATAAGAGAGGAGTTCGCCTGTGTCCGTCATCTGACGACAACTTCATCTGCACGACCTCAGAGTCCTGCATAGTTTCATCCGCTAATCCTCCACCGTCAACAACGCGACTCGTCACAGCAATCCATAATGAGCACTGAACAGCGCGAGATCCCCAAACCACTTGTATGTATACGCCCTCCTACCGTCCACTTTTTGAATGAACTAACCACGGCATAATCCAGTACGCAGTCGGGGTCCAAGTCTTCTTTGCAGAGCCCACACCTACTGCGCTTGACAATGTATTTGTTCAACCCAATTCCACTGGAACCGTGATTTCAAGGACTTTCTGCCGGGTATGTACTTGAGCTCGCCTCTGCTAAATAGCGACTTACGCCCCATAACAGAAGGACTGGACCTGGGTCTATAAAGTCGATGTCACCATTAGCGATCTAAGTCCCTTAGGCCATTACCCTGGCATTCATGAAGACTTTCTCTACAAGCCCTGATCCTTAGCGCGGATGATCAGACTCTACGCCTCTGCTATACTTATGGTATGCTATTTCTTCTCACTGCCTCCCTCACTTCCTGACAGTCTCTGTGACAGGCCTTCACCGCCGCGGACGCGCTCGCGCGCCTATAATACGGTCGCGTCGGTTCCCACGCGAAAGACAGATGCTCGAGCATCCCTGGTTCAAGATCACCAATGCCACTACCCGATGTACCGTCTTTTACATATTAGAGTACAGCGCCTTACAATGTACTACTGTTTTTGCGTCTATCATATAGCCTATCCATGATTTTGTTGACCACCATATCTTGAGTTGCTTTGGCGCCCATCCGACTGAATAGCAGGCACCGACAGATTGCGCAACAATGCTTGCGGGAGGGTACACGGTAAGGTGAGCGAACCTTCATCATTAGTGAACAACTACCAATGGATCGATGTGCCTTTCTGTACAATGTCCTATACACTCGTCCCCCCGGCCAATTAGCGCCCGTGTGTATTCAGTACTTTGAACCCGCTTTCTCTGGCCTATGCCTTTTGTCCCATGAATTCTAGATTATTGGCTAATACAATACCTACCTTAATGTGCTAGACAAAACCCAGGATGCTAGGAGGCTTTGGTAACGATGACTTTGGAAGTTCTTCGTGAGTAGCACAAAAGAGCAGTCATGATGCCGTTCCCGGATCACGTCGGAGGCTGAAGAAAGCACAGCTTTTGGGAACCGTGCTTTGGCCAACACAACCAAACAATTAATCGGACGGTCGGTGCTTTGGACAACTGTTGTCTCTATATGAGCTGACCTTTTCTTTGTACCATCTCCTTTTACCCTTCTTCGACGACGACCCCAGCTCCTGCAGATAACGACGATGTCGGCATTTGCCAACCTTATGGCGCTGAGCGCCTCACAAACCAAGCAGCAGGAAAGTGCTGTGGAGATGGCACTGCGGGAACGGCAGCGCAAGGAAGCCCTACGGAGGAAGCAGCAGGAGGAAAAGGAGGCCAAGGAGCGGGAGATGGAGAAACAGCGTCGACTTAAACTTTTCGAGGAGCAAAAGAAGGAAGAGGAAAGGCGGAAACGGATGGAGGAGGCGAAGGCAGCCAAGGAGCGGGCTCTGCAGCGACGGGAGGAGGAGGAGCGGGACAGGTTACTTCATGGGCCCAAGAAGGCAGCGAAGATGGCTTCATCGTCTGGAGGCTCAAAATCTGCAGACGGTCGCGGGGGAAAGCGTCGAGGCTCAGACGAGTCAGACGACGATTCTGGTCCAGTGCCCCTGACCCGGGAGGAGCTACGTCAGCGGAAACAACAGATGGAGCTCAAGAGGTTATACGGTGCATCGAAGAAGGCGTCGTCTTCGATGTCGGGGGGATACCACAAACCTGGGCGCAAGCTACCCGGAGGCGCTGTTGACATGACGGCTCCCTCGACGTCCACCAGCCCAGGAGGCGGGTCTGTGAAGAACCGGCTGGCTGCGATGCCAAACGTACTGGTGAAGCTGAACCAGGTGAAGAGGGATACAAGGACTATCGATGAAATTCTGCAGGATCGGGCCCGGGCTAAGGAAGGGAAGGTCTTGGAAGGGGACCAAGCACTTGTCTTTGACGATTGGTTCGGAACGAAGAAGAAAGAGACTGGTAAGAAGCCAGATCAGAGCAGACCGTCTTCCATGACCCCCACCTCTGGAACCACCACTCCTTGTGAGCAGCCTCTTTTCCAAACCATTTTCCAGCTTAACCTTGGTAATTTCAGCTTCACAACCGCCCTCTTCTACCCTCCCTGTGCCTAAACGGGCCAACCCGGCTCCCAAGCAATATGTTACTTCGAAACCTGCTCCTCCACCTCGAACTATGGCATCTTCATCATCTTCACGCCCCTCCACATCGACTCGCCCACCGACAGCCGATAGGGCGGCGGACAGGGCGAAAACCGCTCAGTCCAAACCAAGCAAGAGCAGTGCTCATGGCAGTTCCTACTCTTCCGGGAAAGCTTCGTCGTCTGCTACGTCCAAGAAACGAGCTCGTTCTATGAGCCGATCGGAAACCCCTCCACCCAAACGTCGTCACAGGTCACCTGTCGACAGTGACGATCTGGACGAAGATTACAGCTCCGCTATCTGGAAGCTCTTCGGACGTGACCGAAGCAAGTACGTCAGCAAGGATGTGTTCAGTGACGACGAAGACATGGAGGCCGATGCCAGGGCCCTGGAACGCGAGGAGAAGATGAGGTGTGTATCACGTTCACCAAGCTTCTTTCCATCCTGGTGGGATCCAATCTTAACTCTTATCTTTCGCACTACAGCGCCCGCATTGCTGCTCGTGAAGAGCAACTCGCCCTTGAGGAAGAAAGGAGACACGAGGAGGAGAAGCGACGACGCAGGAAGGAGCGAGAACGAATGCTTGCTCGAGGTGGCGCTTGAATGGCATGTCTTCGCAGTCTTTTCTTCCGAAGGAGTTCGGGGTCATTTACAGGGCGGGGGACCTACCTCCGCTCATGGTATAGAACTTATCTCGTTTGGAATTCTTTTGCAGTGTTCATTCGGACGGAACAACTATACACTTTCATTCCCTCACGGTGCATCACGGCTAACGCTTGGTCTACATCCTCGGCGCATAGTCATTCGTCTCTTGTCGCTTTCGCATTCACAATCGCATTTAATACCATTACGGGCTAGGGTGCTGTAACGAAGTTACCAAGCTTCTGGTCACTCTGGTCTCATCCTGTGCCTTTCCATATAGTCTAAACCTGTATAGATCTACTTGTCGTGCTTTCAGCTCTGCTACTCTTCGTGTATCAATATGTACCTAATTCATGGACTTGGATCATCAGAGTCGTTCCATCGCCCTTAGTCAAACTCGGGGAATAGAGACGCCCGCCCGCGCGTCTCGAAGCTTGTCTCACACAGCACATGGCCGCTGATTAGGGTCATTGGACAACACGACGCCAAACTTCTGGAAGTGACGCTCCAAGCCCAGGTGAGGCAAGACTGTTCTATCACTGGCACCTTACCTGCAGGATATGGACACGTGGTGGACCCCTAAGGGTATGGGGGAATACAGAGCCTCAGGCCGCAACCTGAACTTTGATTCTTGAATCCCAACCAACACCAAGCCCTTTCCCATATCTTCACGATAACAAGACGACTCTACCTCGAGTATGGCTCCAATACGTGAGTAGGTTTTAGTCTCTCTCGTGCATAAATCATTGACTCTGGTACAGGAACAGGAGATGTCCAGGAGATTTCGACAACCAAGATGAGCAAAACTTTCAACAAGACCAATTTTATGAAGGTCATGGGGGTAGAGGAAGACGTTGCTGAATGCTTGAGGGTGAGCTGTCCGTGTTATTGGGTATTTATAGTGGAAACTGAGATGGGCACATGCTAGGGGGACATCCGTAATTTGGTCGAGGAATTATTGGACCTTACAGAAGTGCTGAGCCAACAAAGTGATCGCCTGGCGCGTTTGGACGAAAAGGTATGTTGATTCTATTCCATATAGATGACAAAAATGATCATTTATCATCACAAGTTATTAGAGGGCTATCCCGAGATTTTCGCTCGGGGAAAGGAGGAGAAGCTTCGATGGGTGCGCATTTATGTCCAAAAGCATCATGGTTCACTTCGGCACGCTTGGAAGGCTGCACTGGGAGTGAAGACAGAGGAGGTGGACGATCCCATACCCAACAGACCACCGCCGTCCGGCGATCTAACAGAACAAGTACGTCCATCCTGCTGTCATGAACACGGCTGTCTCTTGGACTCACGTCCCCCAGTCAATCACTGGCAGCCAGAGCCCGGACATGCGATTGTCGTCTCCAATAACGCCTGCTCGGTCATCTGTATCAGGCAGTCACCCTTCAACTAGTAGAAGGGTACCGCAGCAACGATCTCGCTGCCCGTCTTTGGAACAAGAACCAAGGTCTTTCTTGCAAACGCCGCCATCATCTCAGAGACCTTTCGCCGTGCAGACATCACGCTCCTCTGCATCAGAGCCCCAGATTCTGACGGGAGATACAGAACTGCCTCGGACTCCCAGAAACAGAACCCAACTCGATACCGCCCTTCCCTCCCCAGCGCTGTCAGATCGACCTCGACGTTCTCAAAGCCTCGTCAAACACTTCTCTGGAACGAACCTACGCGAGCTGGAAGGAGTGAGACACTTTCTGAAGACTTGCGACCCTCCGATGATGCACTTTTTTGACCGGTTCGTCAACTTTGGGTGTCACAGCCTCGCCCTCCTGCGGCCAGTGAGAACTTGGCCAACAAACATCATCGACTCCTTCCTGCAGCAATTACCAACTAACGGCGGGCGAGACATGACACCAATGGAGCTTCTAATTCTGCGAATGCATCTTCTGTCGTATCCTTTCGATGAAGATGCTGTTGATCACGTCGTTTCTTGATTATTGAGATACAAGAGGTGGATTTCTTTGTATTTTCGGCTGCTTCTCCGACTGTTCTCTCTTCTACATCATGAAACCAATCCAGTTCCTACTCCTTGCCATGCTTCATGGTTCAAGACGGGCAGAAGGCCCTTCATCCGTCAGATTCCCTGTTTTGGGGGAAATTGTTTTTTGGATGGCGATGCGGTGCCTTGTCATGATGGTTCAGCGGTGAGTGGTCTACGCCTACCAATCTATGACTGTCAGCTAAAATGCCCGCATCCTACACCAGGTTGTGGGATTCTCGCCGTTGCCGTCGCTGAAGGCGTGACCTTGTTTGGGACTCGGATTCATATTAGAACCAATGGTCTCTCAGTCATTCTTACACTGTTGTATGGGAATATTCTAGGCTTTTAATGGTCCTCACGGGTACAAGCGCTTAATGGGGCCCAGGCTCGACGTGATGCAAGTATCCGGAAGACAGTATGGCAGGCCTATACCGATCCTGAAGCGCAGTCTCCGCGGCGTTAGGACTCGGAGTGGCTGTCTCGACTGACAACTCGACCCGCTAGGTTTAGTCTTCTACTTTTTCATAGTCGGTGACTGGGAGAAGTTCCTTCCTCTAGATCGATGTGGGACTGAAGAGGCACTTCCGAGAAAGAAACGCATATGGTGATTCTCGGGCAGCCTGAGGGGGTAGAACCTGGGGAACGACATGTTTGATTCCGGAATTTGGATCCTGTGCGGCATGATACACGTTCTATCCCATGTAAATACAAGCTCCTCTCCTAATTCGGCGATGTACCTCGCTGATCCCGGAGATTTCGAACCCCAGGCTGACGCTACAGACAGAGGAACTCAAGGTTACATCGCTCTGGTGAACGCACACATTGCACTGGATTTCCGTGGTTGCTGATCAATTAGTTGATGGGTTGCAAAGGAGAGCAAAATCTCATGAAAATATTTCAAGAAAATCAAGGAAATTCGCCTCGGATTCAACATTCGAGGACAGATCCATGATGCACGGAACGAACTCTGATCCCACATCAACTCCTCACAGCCGTTCAAGGACGGATGCGGGGTTCTTTTAACAGAGATTAACCAGGCGCTCGTCTCTAGGTCGGTGACAGATCTGTTGATCATGATTCACGGGCGAAGCGCCCAGCCGAGTGGCGATGCGATAGCTATAAAACATACTGTCGTCATTGGAAGGTAATGACTCTGCCTCCCTCGCGAGACGATGGGCGCAGACTCAGACACCCGTTTAATCACTCTCCTAGTGCAGGCACATGTTTTCGAAGTGAGCGACAATTTGTGCTTTTTCGCATGCTTAGATGCTAATATTCCCGGGCCTGCGTTTTACAGTACTTTCATGGCAAGTATCTGATCGCCCAAAACTGATCATGAAATGAATGGAATTCCTGACCCTCGACGCAGTTGCATCTGTGGTGCTACTGGTACGTCGAAGCCACCCTTGCAAGACTTACTGACGAACGTGCGGTCAGTTCTATGATTATCTTCTTACTTTACATCTGGAAGTTCAGTTAATCTGGCAATCTCGGTGGTGCTCCGTCAAAGTTCTTTATCTGTTAACAAGATATCTACCCTTCCTGGACCTGACAATGCTTCTTATTTGTAAGTGTCCCTCTGGGTCCCACTCTTACTGGGACTTTTGCCTGATAGATAGAGTTTTAGATTTGAACGTATTTGGCGCATCAGCGGAGGCATGCAAACCCATCTATCGTTTCATGACTCGTACGTCGAATTTATTGTATCTACAAAGACGCATTGGCCCACCCGTCAACCTCGTGGACTCGGGTAGTGTGGGGAATCACGGGGTTCGCGATTGCGGAAGGTCGGTGGTGTCTCGATATCCAAGCCGAATGCAGGCACTGACCCTTGCCTTCACGTAGCGCTACTCACAATAAGGATATGGCCGCTTTGGGGAGACCATCCCAATGCAATCAAGACTTTTACAGGCCTGTTGCTAACGGGGACCTTTGCAACCATATGCGTCTTAACCGGTCAGTTCATGACGGACATAAAATGTACGTGGATGTTGGAATATGGCTAATTATTGAATGACTGACTCAGGGCAGTTAACTCCGAGCTCCTAAAAGCGCAAAATGTTTGCGTGAATATGGCACCGGCGCTGAGACTCAGAATCTCGTGGATCCTGGTGGGCGTGTACGACATAGGTAGGTGACTGTGCCTCCTCTCCACTCTGGATTTACCGATGCCAGTAATGGACACTGGATAGTTATAACCGTGTTATTGGCCATCAAGGCACTCCCTGCCAGTGAGACTAGCCATCGATGATCTCTCCCGTCGTGTTGACAACCCAATGTGTAGTCTACGACACCATTAAACAGGCAAAGCCGAAAAGCGTATCTTGGGTTGTATATTCTGACGGTAATCAAAGTCCTTCTTCGGTCGTACATGGAATTTACTGTGACTTCAGGTCTAAGGTTCTATGTCTGCCTCATCGGTGAGCTACCTACAGGATTCTCTGAGCTCGATCCTGAAGTCGGACAACGCCTCCTTAGCCCTTGCCTTCACGAATGGCAGCCTTCCGGTACGTCTTGAATGTGTATCTTCCTCACCTTCGCTCAATATTCTTCAAGGACGATTTAATTCAGCTTCTCAGCGCGTGAGTTCTTTAGGACGTTACCGTGTATCCACTGTGCTAACGAGAACAACCAGACTTCACCGAGTCGCGATATCCATATTGGCCTGTCGCGCTATCCTTCATATTCGGAGGCGTGGACAACAAGAGAAGGAAATGCTTTTACCGTGGCAGTTATCGGACTTCACATTCAATCACGCCTTCTGAAGATGCGGATACTCATTAGAATTCAATATTCAATACCAATTCATCATAAGCCTTGTATATGCTTGGTTGCATACCCACTCGTACCTACAGAAGAAGTCTAGACGCGTAAATGTCGGAATTCTGCATGGTGGGACATCTCACAGTTACAGCATGTATTACGATTCCGAGTCTTCCACACCCACCGTAGCGTACGTATAGGGACAGTTAGCGGTCCCAGACCAATGGAAGTTGAAAATTAAGACTTGCGAGCCAAAAATTTCGATCTCTGGCCACGAAATACCTGCAAAGCACTTGGTCTGTGCGGCAGCTCAAGTGGCCGCCAACGTCGGGTCAATCATTAAACTCTTTAATCGAGACTTCCACTTGCATCGGCCGGCACCTTACCCTTTTACTTCGAATCCATCACCTGTGCACCCACAATGACTTCGGTGGAAGTCCGTCACTAGGCATTGGGCAGATATGTCTGATCTTCCTTATGCGCCCCACTTACAGTGGCGAAGAATTGTATATAGCCAGCCCAACGAAGTGGGTCAGGGTCCCAGTGTACACCTTCGCGGGCGATGGATCCAACTGCGATGGAAAGCCGCACCATCGCTCTTCTAGGGCGAGCCAAAACCTTTGAGGCACGTTGTTGAGCCCTCTTTCCGATTTCTATTCTTGACTCAAACCTGTCACTGTGATATAGTACGCGCACAGTGAGTATCGAGACATCAGCCGCTTGAAACGGGGAAGAAATAATTGGTTTCAGTTGCGTCTGTAGTTCTGCTGGTACGAACCGTTCTCTTGCGCGGACAACGGGGAATGCTCATTATATTTCTAGGTCCACGACTATTTCCTTACTCTCGACTATGAGGTCCAGTTGATCTGGGACTCACCATGGCGTTTGACCAAGATCCTATACCTTATGACGAGATACCTTCCGTTCCTTGATCTGACGATACTCTTGATATGTGAGTTCCTGCACGGATCCGAAAGGTTGGGAGCTGAAGAAAGTTCTTCAGACCTAAATGTTTCGCGACCGGCAGTGGAAGACTGCCTGCCTATCTACCGCTTCATGGGGTGTACGTCGAGAGGTCTATCCGGGTCTTCAACCGAAAACTAATAGCTATGTCCGTCAGGGTGGGGTGTAGGAGGAATCGCTATTGCAGAAGGTCAGTTTCCGGCCCTCGCGATTCATTATCTCTACAAGGTGTTCGAGACTGAAGCTTCTTTAGTACTCCTGACGAAGCGTATATGGGCGGTTTGGGAGCACAGCAAAGTCATTATCGCCGCCACTGCCTTACTATTCACTGGTATCTTCTCCGCAATTCTTGTCCTCACATCCATGTTCATGGGTGAAATCGAATGTGAGATCATCCCTCTTTTACCGGCCTGCTCTGTTGACTATTCCTTTGAACAGTCTATCCGGGACTCGTTGGAACAACGTGCATAAACGTTGCTCCAGCATGGAAGCTGAAGCTTGCGTGGCTATTAGCCGGCGCTTATGACTTGGGTACGTTCTCTTCCTTCTGCATTTGATCCCCCCGATTCTCGAGCTCATCTAGAGAATGCCTAGCTTTGTTAATATTGCTTTCTGTCAAGGCTCTGCCAGCTCGTGAGTTCCTTTACAAAAGACAAAATCGGAGGAAGTTCACATCCCCTAGTCAAGCGTGCAACAAACGTAAGGACACTCTCGTGGGTGCTTTATACCGATGGTGAGATGTTCAGTTTCGTTGCCTACTAGTAGCCCGCAAGCTGACATTCACCTTCCAGGAGTTACATTCTATATAACCTTAATTGGTGAGGCCACTTGTTATGGAAAGCAAAATTCGTCGAACTGAACCCACTGCTCAAGTCCTGGCCGTCGTTAATGGTAGCCTTCCCGTGAGTAGCCCACGACGCTAACTGATCTCAACCTTACTGATGCCTGATGCTTCTGCTAGGATGATCTCGTACAATTACTCAGCGCGTACGTATTCTGACGACCACCACTTTACTGTTGAATTGACATAGTTTCAAGGCTACACCGGGTTTCGATTTCGATCTTGGCTTGTCGTGCCATACTTCACATCCGCAAGTGCGACCAAGACGAACTTGAAGAGCGAACCGTTCTTCCGACTCGGATGTCTGCTCTAATTTTCCGGCCACAGAGCGGGATAGATGACGATTTCGAGTTCGACTGGAAAGTCTAAATGAAGGTGAGAACTATGGGCATAAGGGGAGCAATTCTAAACCCGTCGACTTAACAGGTCTTGTCTTTGCATCTGTGAAGGTCTAGGTCTCTTTCGCGGGCTGAAGATACCTATTGTTCCATCCACTTTGATACCCGACATAAGTCAATCGTTAAATACTAACAAAAGCTTTTGAAACCTTTAACCCCTTAACCGTTAATCATAGTATACATTGTGCAGCCCATTACCCCAGCCGTTGACTCAGTTCTACGAGGTTAAATAATTCATACAACAACCGCGCAATTTATAGGAGTCAATCCCTTCAATCTGAATATCTGTCCCTTTGATGTTTAGTGCACGCATATGCCTCGTCTGTATAGAACATGTTCTCCTTTAAAGTACGGTATTACGTGCGGCGGGAGCCATTGAAGGTACTGACACTACGGAAATTGTAGCAATCGGGGGTCGTCGTGTGACATAGCAATTTAGTTTTTGTCACAGCAACCCACCCTCAATCTCGCGTGACATAGCAATTTTTGAGATAGGAATCGACCATTCAGGAAGCAAAAAAGTCCACTTAGGACGAGAATCGACTGCGCTCTCTACAACCAGAAGATAATCAGATCGGAAATGGAGCAAACACGCGCCTTAAACGCTAGCCCAGATTCAAAACAAAACTGTATACAGCCGTGACACTATCGTTTACTTCGTAGCAATTTAGCCCCGGTGTGACATGACAAAATGCGAGATAGCAATGCAATCGCAATTTGTGTCGTGACAAATTGCTACAATTTCCGTAGTGTCAGTATGTTCCCGGGACGGCGATGTGTCTGTACACTGGCCTAATCTCGTAAAAGACATAGAAGCGAAGTCTAACAGGCCCGCCTAGCTCAATCGGATAGAGCGTCAGACTTTTAGGGCCCGGTCAGTTTGACCAATCCATCTGAAGGCTGCGAGTTCGATCCTCGCGGTGGGCTATCAGTAAACCTTTTTTTTTTTTTTATTCTATTTTCTTCCTCCGAGACGCTTTTGAAGACAGGATATCAACTTGGTATTTCAGTTTCTACGTGCTGGGTTTGGGTACATCGGAAGCAGAGGCTACGAGGGCAATGACAGGCGTTCTACATCGTCCATAGCTGTTCAGAGAAAGGAGGAAAGGGATTCAAGGCAACAGGGAGCGGCGGGGAAGAAAGGAAAGAAGCGAATGTGAACCAAGTATCGAGGCATTCAGGAAGGGAGAGGGAAGGAATTAGCATAGGCCCGTCGCAGATTGAGGCAGGCCTTTCACGTAATTCCAGAGCACATAGTCACAAAAGATAAACAAGAGTAAATGAAGGACGACGATGCAGTAGTGACTGGTATTAACTTCATTTAAGCAGAAATGGGTAATAATAACACATGTCCGCAAGCATCGAATAGGAGAGGAAATCAAAACCGGAGTAGTGAGATGCGTTTCCTGAGTTTAGAAGCAAACTTCTTGTCCTCTGTTGGAGTGGCCCCCGAAGTGGTGACTGCGCTGGTGGCACTCGTGGGAGGAGATAGTATATCGTCTGGAACGGTTTTTTAGGTGGCTGGGGCACTTGAGGGTATAGAGGAAGGCGGGACAGGCGTGGCATTAGGATCACCGCCGTCACTGTGGAATTCACGGGAAGATAACAACGATGCCATGGATGCGGCAGAGTCCGAGAACCGCTTGGGATTGAGGTAACGACTACCAGAAGAGGTGTTGCGACTGGTTTCTGGATCTGACAAATCTAGATTGAAATCGAGGGAGAATGGACGGTCTTCTGGTATGACTAGGTCAATCGAGCTTCCTAGCCTGCTGGGTATCTGTGTTGAATGGATGATATAAGGAGACTGATTAAGAGAGCTGGAGGATGGCTGTCGCTTGGCAAAGAACCCGCTGAACCGCTTTGAGGGTACTTTGTGCAATGTTCGTCGACTGCGGGCCGGACTGGTTGGTGCACTCTTGGGCGACGCAAAGGATACACTTCCTCTGTGGGAGTGTGACGACACACTGCCATCATCACCCTTCGGAGAGAATAATGGCAGCGCCGGTACCGTCGATTGAGTGTCAAATTCCGAGAGAAGGTCTGCGACGTAATCTGGCATCGGTACGGGTGACAACTTGTCCTCTACCAACTTCTTGATCTCAGAAACTTCGGTTGGAGTTTCACGGCCTTCGTGGCCAATGACACTGGAAGGCGGGCGGCTGTCGAAGGCACTCGATCGATAGATTGTGACAGTGCCAGACGCAGACGGTCCGTTACCGTCCAACTCCGGTGGCTGAATGGGATCTATGTTATGAACGAAGGTGACTGGGGTTCGAAGTTCAGAGCTTGCGGACGAGGAAGACGTGGATGTCGAGGAGACTCGGTTAGTCTTTCGTGCTAGCGCAGCAGGATCTGCTTTACTGGCCAACATGAGGGGGAGCAAGCGAGTGCGGGAGTGAGGAACAGCTGGTGGTATGGGAAGGAAGGAACGGCCTTCGCTTGTTTGCGGCGAGTCGGTCGGTGGGCGAGGTTTCGTTCGGCGGAATGACTTTGACAGAGGGTAAAATCCACCTTGGTTCGATTCATCCGACGGTAGCGATGGCCCGTTCTCCAGCCTCTCCTCTTCCGCAAGCTTCTCGTACCACAGGCGACGACGTTGCTGTGCATTCCTTTGCTCCACAAAGAATGGCAGGTCTTGGTCGACTACGGCTTCGACATGCTGACACGCACTCCAAAGAGCTCTGGTAGCATCCAGTTCGCGCCGTTCTTCCAGCCATCTCTCCCGTTGCAGAGCACTGTATTGGGTAGATTCCGTTTCTAATTCGGAAGCCAACAAAGCCTTGAGCCTGATGAGGTTGGTGGCCGCCTCCGAAGCGTGAGCTTTGATGATGTCCATCGCCCGTTCCAGTAACTGAATCTGCATAGCAGCCAGTTCTTCCGCCTCAGGAACTGGTGCCGAGTCGGTGGAGCGGCTCTCGTTCGGCGCCAGTTCAAAGTCGTTCGACATGGTGGTGGTAGTTGGAAGAGGGGTTTTGGTCGGTCTTGCACCAAGGGCAGTGCGAGGAAGCTTATAACCGTCGCCATCCCTACCACCGCTAGCGGTTCAGTCAGTCTAGCTCCACGAGCCAAACGTCAAGCTACTGGGTTTACTCACTGGTTTCGAGGTTCCTTCGCACCAGCAAGCTCGTTGGACGTCAAAGTGTTCATTGTGGTTTCAGACAAGTTCGTTCTGTCCTGCAGACACACAAGGAAGTTTGCGTTAGAACGCCTGGATGCCCTTTATGGCCCAAACACACCTGAAGAGCCTGTTTCCGTTTGCTCCGAGCGAACAAACTCATGGAAGGCGATGTGACCTGGCCTTCCTCAGACCTTTTCTGCACAGAATATTCTTGTTCGTGGCGAATACCAGCGGGTTGCCTGTTACATTCGCTGTTGGTGAGTCTTCAGAGAGTCGACTGTGGCACGGCGCTGGGCGTTAGTTCCTGGTGTTGTAGATCGGTTTATACCCTATTTCTCGTGTAAATCTTGGAGAAATAAAACATACCTGGTTCTTAGATATCCAGTGTTCTGTCTGCGCTGTTGTATGGTCGCCGCCGCCGTCGTGGTTGGAGCCCAAACTGTGTCATCAAACTGAACCATTCATCATTGGAGCGGGCCGACCAAGGCCGGCATCACAGCATCCGACGCGTCGGCCGCTTTTGGGGGACTCTTGGCTTATGCTCTACCCCGCGACGCGACGCGTTTTCCTTGGTCCAAGTTCGAACCCTTGAATACGTCAAGCAATGCGGACACTTTCCGCTCTCTGACTTATCTGACGGGATGGTCTTTAATGAGCGGTGACTTCGCCCATCTTGTTCGGCTTTTCGCGAAGTTAGTGACTCCGCTGTCGGTTCCAGCAGAGAGCGAGTGGCGCAAGGGCGACGATTCAGATGAAGAGGCGCGATAGGGCTCGACAGCTACGTGCCAGACATTCCAATCAGAAGTGTAGGCCATTTTTCGGTAATAGTTGGTTGAATGAACGAGCAACAAGCGTCAGCTATGATGAACCATCCTCTGTGTCTACACGAATCTTTCGGTCTCCCACTTAAATTGTCTTAGCCTGTTCCTCAAATGACATGTCATTAAATTTGTATTGGAAAGAATCGTAACTAAGACGACAAGAGCGTATCGAAAGTGAGGATATGCCTGCAGGGATCCTCTTCCATTGAGCTTGCAACGGAAAGCTGAAAAGCGAGGGAGCGGCAACTAGGCTGATCGCAGCGCTTTCAGAAGGGAACGAAGGCACCGTCAAGGGCTCGTTTAAGGAAGGCACTGAGAGTACCATTCTAGGGCGAAAGTCAGTAAATCACGCATCGCAAGGTATGAAGAGCGAACGTACCGTTGGAGAACCTGCAAGTTCCTTCGCGGCAGGTCGTGGAGCCACTGTAAAGGAAAAGTTAGTAAGGGGGAAGAGCGAACATCCCTCTACAAAGGCACATACGTGTATCCGTTCTGGGGCAAGGCGGTCACATCAGCTCGAGTTCGAAATCACACGAAGGAAAGGAGCACTCACTCCACCACATTGTCCGTAGAGGGCGACACCAGGAACAGCATTGCCGGCACCAGGAGTAAGGTTGTTGTCGACGCCGCCGTTGCCGGCACCAGGGAGGCACTGAGAGTAGAAGGCTTTGGAAGGATCGTGTCAAAAATTGGGATTATACAAAAAATGGCCAACGACTTACCGTTGTTGAAGGTGCAGGTAGAGCCCGCGACACACTCAGTGGGACCGCTGGAAGAGAGGTAAGCAAAGAAAGGACGCCAATTGAATAGGCCTTACGTGTAGCCACGCTACAGGAAGGGAGACGTCAGGTCAAAAAGTGTTCGTAGAGAAAAATCGATGGTACTTACTCCACCACACTGGGCATAGAGGGCAGCCCTTCCAGCAGGGGGGTTCTGAACCTGAGGAGGGTTGACGGGAGCAGGGGCAGGAGAAGGAGCAGGGGCCGGAGCGGGGGCAGGGTTGACGGGAGCAACGGGGCCTTGTCCTGGGATACCAATTCGCTTGATAGAACCACCAGCAGCCTCAGACCAGACGGCGGGTCCAGGAGCCTTGTAGCTCGAGTGGGCAGGACCGTTGTAGAGGTTGAAGTGGATACCAGGGTCGGCGTCGGTGTAAGCACCAGGGAAGCGGGCACCACCGGGGAGAACCTTGTTGCCGTCGGAGGTGACGGTGATCTGGATGCAGCTGGGGTAGAGCTGGGCGCCACGGGCGGGGTTCTGGGAGAAGAGGGTGTCACTCTCGTGGTGGGCGATGATCTCGGCACGCAATAGGTAGTCGCCAGCAGGGACGTCGGGGACGATGATACTGTGTTGACCAGCCTCATCGACGAGTCGGTCGACTGCCCACTGGTTGCCATCGTGGTTGTCCTCGAAGATCTTGGTCCAGTCCTGGCCTGCGGAGTCGGCCATGTAGACAAGGACTAGGTCGATCTAGGTCAGGAAAGGGTAGAAGGCTTCGTGATAGCAACAAACATACCGGGTCCCTTGTGCGAGCGGTCGATGATATCATCGTTACGACTGAAATGACTGAGTCAATAATGCAGAATTGAGGGCGGTTCGACCGATGCTCACGTGTTGTGGTGCCACTCGAAGGTGAGCTGATCTCCAGCCTTGACCGAGACACTCTGGGGGACAACTGACGGAATCTGTCAGAACCTGCAAGATGTCGATGTAAAAGAGCTACTTACCTCGATCACCATTGACATTGCACCTCAAATCGGGAGAGGTCAAGTCCTTAACAGGACCGTTGTCAGGAGGAGATCGGATCTGGGGACCGCGTCAGTAAGCCATAGTCTGCTGGAAAGTCACTTGGACGCACATATCGATTTCGGCCATCGCCTTGGTCGACACCATTGACCCAGACACCGAAGATGGTGGAGTGCGCGACGGCACTGGTGGCTGCGGAAACCAGCGCGAACAAGCTTAGAGGAGCGATACGCATTGTAGTTCAGAGAGCGATCCGTAGGACGAAAGAGATAGAAGACGTTGAGGGTACAACGATTGACGATGGGCAAGCCCAAAAAAAAAAGAGGAAGGAAAGAATGAGAAAGAAGGAAAGGTAAGTTGTGACGAACACTGATTTCCTTGTCGACCTTTATACTCTGGAGGTGTTGTCGGGTGCTGATAAGCCAACTCCTTCCGGGCTGCCTAGAACGCGGAACAAGGGCCAACAAGGCCAGGAAAATGACATTCATTTTGCGTGTTTGAGCGTTGCAAGGGGTGGGTGATTGGATCAGGGCCCTACTGGTAACCAGCCCTGATTCAGCATGCACGGGAAGGTACCAAGCTGAGCCAAGTCGGACATTTCACGGCTACGACTCCATAAAGAGAAGCCTGATAACCTGATTAGGACCGTGCAAAAAAGCCCGAAACTGGCCATTGCATCCGGTCCTAGTCAGAAATTGCAAGCAGCCACGGTGAGAAAGCCTTGCAAGTGGAAATAGAGCACGGACGAAACGCGCAAATGTCACAGTGCTTTTACATGATCGCTTTTTGCAAGCGTCCAAAGGGCATCTAAGTTTGTTGAGCTGGTAATTGCCAATGGTGGTTTGCGTCATCGTTCGGAAATGTAAGCAAAATTGACTCAAACCTCTCGGAGAAATATGGCGGTGCTGATTCCTCTTGATTTCGACCCTCGGGGTCTGTTGCTAGATTGTAGCTAAGGGTCGGACACGCCAGTGCTGCGAAGGTAGACTGGCAACGCAGAATGGGCGGCCGTTCAAGATTCCACGAACCAGGGCGACAACAGGATTGCGGGACGAGGCTCAGGTTTGCACATTGTCAGCGCCGAGCGAGCCGAGCAATACGTGTGCTTTCCTGGGAAGAGCCTTCAAACTTCAACTTGTTAGTTGAACCCTGGGCCAGGCAGATCGATGTATTCCTCTGGGACACATTGCGAGAACCATTCTGCAGCCATAGAACGAATGAGAAATGAAACTAGTTTAAACATGTTACACCCACCGTTGGAGAAGACGCAGATACCTTCACTGCAATCGGTCGGTCCGCTATAAACGTATCAGCATCCTTGATTGTTTGCAAACGTTGGCCAGAAAGAACGTAAACCCTTTCTGCGTAGAATTGAAAGCATCAGTGTTACTTTAATCATAAGCAACCCAAGCTACACGCACCCCGCCACACTGGCTCCACAAAGGAGCACCCTGTTTTCGCGAAGAACCCCCATGCTTGGGGCGGCACTGCGAGAACCATGCTGAAGGAGACATCAGACCAAGAAATGCGGTCGAGGAACAAAAGCGCACTATTAGAGAATACACAAGAGGCACTGTCAACACAGGCTGTTGGTCCACTGCATGAAGAGATCGTGTCAGGATATGTGCTGCCACAGTCGACTCGAATCAATTACGCGTAGTAGCGCTGCGGTGCGCCAATCAGGCCAAATCAAGCACTTGAGGTATGTAAAAAACTCACTCCTCCGCACTGTCCCCAGAGCGCAACTCTAGGTCTTGACAATGAAATCGCTGGTCGTTTGCGAGGTTGAATGCGATTTATCATACGGCGACGCTTTTATTGAGGATCAGCTGAGTTAAGCAGTTTGGTTAGCCATACACACATCGCCGTTCTGATCAGCCCCTTCATCCGGGCCAAGAGTAACAGTTGCGTCTGCAAAAGAGCTCGAAGCTACGACAAGCGCGACCAGGGACCAGTGGAGGCGCATTGAACGTAAGGGTTGACACTTTCGAGTTGAGTGGTAGATTGGGAAGACGAGCAAGATCAGAAGGCAGGAGTATGCATAGCACCAAGTTCATATATGCATATACGCATCCGCTGTACGGACAGCGTTGCAGAGGAATGCGGAACATGCTAGGCGCATTCAAGAGTTCCGCTGATAGTCTGAGCGGGTGACTTCCTGGCATTTTAGCCCAGTCAGCCAATCGCAGTATGCAGTTGATCCTTCAGGATATCCGCAAGGCTAGTTGTTTTTTAACGATAAGAATGTGAAGTTGATTTCCTGGAACCAGGCAGGGCGTACATTTAGTGAACATGGTGGTCGGAGGTCAAGCAACAATCGTGAGAACCAGAACGTTCTCCGGGATGATGGCGCTAACCGGCGCCGCCCAATGCTTTCCTCCCGACTCCTACCTCGCCCAAGTCTCTATGGACGAAGACTCTTCTCTCGGGTCCACCATGCTGAAGAAAAACAACGCGTAGACCTGTCGTTCAATCTCTTAAAACCGTTAAACCCAGGTCAAGAAACCTCAAGCTCTGAAGGCCCTTTGGTCATATTGCACGGACTCTTGTGCGTTTCGCATCTTCCTGCAACATGGATCTTAATCTGAAGAGACAAACTTTGCAGCGGATCGAAACGAAACTGGAGCTCACTATGCAAAGCTTTCCATCGTGACCTTCCTGGTCGAGCTGTATATTCCCTAGACCTACGAAACCATGGTTCATCTCCCCATGCCAGACCCATGACGTACCAAACCATGGCTGAAGACGTTCGGCATTTCCTGGAGACGCATGGCCTCAATAACGTCTCTCTCCTCGGTCATTCCATGTAGGCTCGGTCATCCATGTGTGTTGAAATCCAACTGACAAGTCATATGAAGGGGCGCAAAGGTCGCAATGTCGATTGCACTCTCGCTGGCGGAGAAAAATCCCAAAGACGAAACCATCTCGCGTCTAATTGTGGCTGACATGGCCCCTGTCAAAGCAGAGCTATCCATTCGACTCTCACAATACATCTCAGCGATGCAGGACGTCAACGCCATGCCAGCTGGTATGATCAAATCACTCCCAGACGCCGATCGTATATTGGCGCACTTTGAGCAGGTACGCGCGACACGCCTCGCTCTACCTCACGAGATATGCTGAATAGGAGACAAAGAACCCAGCAGTCCGCCAATTCCTCCTGACCAACCTCCTACTCCCAAGCCATTCTCGCACGAGCCACACGCACGAGAAAGCCAAGTTCGCTCTTCCGCTTAGCATCCTGCAGGATGCGCTCCCAGATCTGGCAGAGTTCCCATACGACCACAAGGAGGCCACACATCCAACCTTTGACAGACCGACTCTCGTCATTTCCGGAACACACAGCGAATACCGGATATTGGACCACACAAAAGCGTTTAAGACGTTCTTCCCTCGGGCAAAACTGGAATCCTTGGATGCAGGTCATTGGGGTGAGTGTCAATCTTAAAATGTTACAAGGGATTTTACTGATTCACTATTGTCCATACAGTCCATGCAGAGCGTCCGAACGAATTCAAAAAGCTAGTGGTAGACTTTATCAAATCAACATAGACAGCCTGTTAGCTGGCCACATCTTACACACTTCACCCGCAATTGAAGTAATTTCCCTGTATGACCGCCGGACAGCCAGACGTATCTAACGGACGCATTCGTCAGCAACACCTGGTCCAGTCAGGAACCCTCATACCTCGGTCCAGAGGACAGTCCCAGTAATTGTCGCAGCACTTGATGCAAGCACGACGATCCGCTGGTTCGACCAGTTCGACGTAATGGTTGTAGCTGCGGAGCAAAGGTTCATTCCTTCAATGGACGATGGGCTAACCAATCGTCGACTCACCCCAGACAAACACTTCCAGCAGGATTCCCGTGTCTTCCATCCCCTCCACTCGAATCATACTGTCCTCCTCCATCATTCACATTCAGCCTGTCCACCAACTCAGGTCTGATGCACCCGGTCACTGTCGTGCAATTAATCGATGGCCACCAGCGCACAGTAGGGATGCTAACTTACGCTGGGCGAACCTCGCCCCACTCGCACTCCTCCCAGTCTTAAACTCGACGTTACTCCAGACATTTGCGGGTAAAGTACCCTGCGACGGATCATACTTTCCTTGGGGAGAGCAATACGTCGTCATCCCGCCAGGGTACTCGCTGTCCCCAATATTCGTATGCGGGTTCCTGATCAGGGGAAATATCTTCTGCACAGTGTCAAGGACGAACACACCGGACTGGTGACTCACTTGGGCATGATCATACTGCATCGACCCCACATCGTCAGTCTAAAAGTTCCACCACTCAGGAAAGACTCACCAATATTTCTGCGCATCAGTGATGTAGACGATGTTGTCCGGGGTAGCCCTAGCCTCCAACTCAACGGCTGGAGAAGCAGGTACGAGGCGAACCATCGATGTCAACCACAGCGACAACGAAAGAGTCTTGATCATAGTCGTAAATCCAGCGCGAGGAATGGGTCATCTACTCCTTTGCACCGGCACTTAAATGCCCCTCAAACCAATCAGGTGTTGCTGGAGCACATTGGGCGCTGGTCTATTCAAGGAATACCCATGTCTCAGGAACATGGGGTAACCACCAGAGCGTCATCGAGAGTACTGGCCAGCACCTGACCAGAAGGGTCTAAATATCACTCCCCAGCCCCATGCCGCCCAATTTATTCCAATGGCTACACCATCTTTAGCCACAACACACGAGACCGACCGGACTAGCACCAATGCCGTCCGACCTGCAAGGAACCACGAATAATCGAACCGAAATGCCTCACTTCCACCAACCCATATGGAATAGAGCATGCCCAAATGACCAAACCTTGCACCGGTGTACTAGTACGGACTAGCCCAGGGATAAGCTGCAGCATCTCCCTCGCCTTTAGCAAAGTTGCATGACCAAATCCCAAGCCCCTGGCATTATTAATAACAACACCCAGCATGTACCAATCGTGAAAAAGGGTGCTAGAAGGGGTCACCAAGAATAGAATACACCCCGACACTCCAAACCTCTAGTGCTACATACACTCCCCGAGTCCCACAGCACCCCAAAACTCTCCAAGCTGGCGCCTCCCAAAATCCCATTCCAGCAGGTACGGATTTAGAGAATGAAAGGGAAGAGAGCCTTCCTATTACGAGGATACTCCTTTCCGAACTGCTTCTTGTAGTTCCGGTGCCTCTGCAAGGCCCACATCGAGAGGATACCAATGCAGATCGTGATATAGAGGTAGGCTAACGGGAAAAAGGGGGGTTTAGCGTGGCATCGACGAAGATTGACGAAGAGAGAAACATGAACGCGAACGTGAACTTACAAGCAATGCTACCAGTCAAAACGACAGGAACGAGCCAAGCGAGGATCTCAAAGAGATAGTTCGGGCACGAAACAAGGCTGAACCCGTATCCGTAGGGGATTCCGCGCTTGCGGGTGCCGGGGGGACGCAAGTTGCGCAGGGTCATGTGGGTGTGGAAGTTGGATAGTTGAGCCCACTGTAATAATCGCACGCGTCAGTACATTGTTCGTCGTGGAATTGAAAGCCGGAGAGTGGAATTTAGAGAAGAGGGAGAGGACTTACAAGCCAGAATGCAGTAGCGGCATAGAGGACATTCTGGTTGTCGCGGTAGGTGCCGACGATAGCAGGGGAGCCGGCGCCGTATTTAGGTCGGTAGATGTCCAATGCGAGGAAGAGACCTAGGAAGGTGGTTGGCGACACATCACAAATGACGTAGCGGGCTCAATTACCATAGAAAATGTGATAATACGCAGAGCTGGAAACGAGGATCAGCTATAAGTCAACCAGATGCATTGAGGGATGGGCGCACTCACTTGCGGAAGACGAAGAGGAAGGGCATGGTTCCATGGGAGAAACGGTGCACGCTGGTGGGGAGAATTGGTGAGGCAGAAATTACAACCGAGAAAGAAAACGAGAACGACGTACAACACGGATTCCAACTCGCGCTTAATGAAATGGAGCATCACAAAAGCAAAGATATACCTGCCAATTCGTCAGGTTAACGTCCCTCAAAACCCATGGAATCCATCAGGAAAACAACACACTTTTGCAACTTGCTGTGCACAACTTCCTGCCCATAGAAGACTTTAGGGAAGTAATAAATGAGAGGATGGATGACCAGAGGTCCAGCCTAGCAACACGCCTCTTCAGTCACTAACCCACTGCATCAAAGAGAAGGGAGGAAAAACGCACGTATTCAATCAAGAAAACCGTCCTCCAGCTAATCTGAGGACCCAAATCCTTCACCTGCAACTCGGTCTTGCCTCCCAAAACAGCATCCAACTTGGCATCATCCTCGAGTGCCTTTTTCTCTCCCTTCAAAGTGAGCTTTTGGCGGACGACTTTGAACTGTGAAGTATACGATGAGCACCAGTACACAAGAACGCGTCGCATGGGATTCATACCTTGGGATAAGCCTGTGCGATTTTCCGCTTCACATCCAACACAGTCGCGTCGGCTGGTACGTCCACCGTCAGGTCGCTGCGTAGGAACGAGGACCTTGCAGTCGCAGAAGAGATGGTTAATTCAACCATGTCGTTTTTGGAACGAATGAAGGATGGGATCGACCGTTGTACGTAGGCGCTCAACCGAGGAACGCTTTGGAATTGCTGGCACTCGATACGCTCCGGCGGCGTTGAACCAAACCGAGAACAAACAAAGGAATTAATTGATCCGCGAAATCATATGCCATTTTGGAAGATAGGGGCGTGCTTTGATTACAGCGTTGGAATGACTACAAACTCTCTACTTGAGCACATGCTCTAGTTCTGTTGCCTCTCAACCTGGTTCGCAACAATGACACATCTCCCCGTCTCCTTCACAGTCTCATTCTCCATGTGACTCCCACTTCCCTTCCTACCCTCGGACGCAGCACCGGCGGCGCGTTCTGGACTCTCACCAGATCCAGCCTGAGCCGTATCCTGAACCTGCTGCAACACAATCCGCGCTCTGGACCCGATCCTGTACGGAGCCCATCGTGGCGACCGCGCAAGTTTGTGGGTGTTGGGATTACCCGTACGCACAAAGGATAACCAGTACGCGATGAGCTCGCTGGCAAAATTCTGTTCGGTCTCATTGAGCTCGGTGAAGGTGGTTGTTCCGTTCAACCTAAGGGCAGGGTTTATGTTAGAGGGACTGAATGCTGGTGAAAGGGATGTGAGCGCACCCAGTGTTCGTTCCCCGGAACATCATCCAGTTTTCGGCGGCGTGCCATACGCCCGTCCCTCCGTTGGTGGGGTTCCTCTGGTTGTACCGATAGGTGTAGGTGTCGAGGCCTCTTTGAGAGAATGCGGTGCCCATGATTGAGCGCTAGATGATCATCAGAAACGCAATTAAGAAAATGAGGTATTGGTAGTACGCACAGCACAAATCAACTGAGAGTCTCCAACCAGGGCTTGCAATCTGAGGTTCGGTGTCGCAAAGTCTTCAGGGTCATAAGCCTACAAAACCAAACGTCAGAGACTTAATGCCATGTCCGAACTATGGTCCACCCACAGCTTCCAATGCACCAACGTCGGCATCCGAGATTGAAGGGAAGAACCGCTTCAAAACATCTCTGATGACCTCTCCACCACCAAGCGTTTCGTTCGACGTTGCCCTGAACAGTTACACTCAGAATTTGGTTCCCATCAAAACACGCATTTTACGAACCCAACAATAAGAGGAACTCGGGCGAATTTGCCCTGGGTAATCAACCGTGTGGGATAGTCTTTGATGACTTTGCCATCGACAACAGGATGGAACTGGAAATAACCAGATTCCACACTTGAGGTTTCGTCAGAACTGTGTTGGTACCAAGTTAAGCAAGGACTACTCACAAGGTCGGAGGGCGAGCAGTGTCCTGGGCACGGGCAAGAGCGCTGACAGGTGCCTTCCTTAAGCAGGCCAGCTTCTCGGCAACAGTTCCTTCGCCACAACCAGCAGTCGTGGCGTAGTAGTTGAACAGTGGCTACAGCGAAGAACATGAATCATCATATGGAGCTTGGCGGGCACCACGAAAGCACTCACCACTTGCTGCTCAGGACTGGGCAAAGGCGTCCTATACACACTCTGCGCAATAGCACCGCTAAACAACCTCTCCCCAGCATCCGCCACAAGATGCAACTCGACCGACGAGCCACCAGCACTCTCACCATTAATCGTGACCCTGTTCGGGTTACCACCGAAATGCCTGATATTGCGTTTAACCCATTTGAGAGCTTCGATTTGGTCGAGGAAGCCGGCGTTGAGGTCACCGTTGGTCGAGTCGCGGAGTTCGGGGATGGAGAGGAAGCCGAATGAGGAGAGGCGGTAGTAGACGGAGACGATGACGACGTTGGGGTTTTGGTTGATCCAGTGCTCGAAGGGCCAGTTGGCGGGGTTGCCGTAGATGTAGCCTGGGTCAGCCGTAAGTATACGAGAAAAACTTGGAAGAGATTAATAGGAACCTCCTCCGTGGATGTATACAAGAACAGGGACTGTGTGTGGTTTGAGTTGGGTTGCTCCTGGGATGGATAGATTGCTACTCACGGTTGCTTCGTCTCGTTGCTCCCGCTGGAGCGTAGATGTTGACCTTGAGGCAGTCCTCGCTTCCGGCGCCCCCAGCGTCGCCGCCTGGAATAGGATTAAAACCAAGCTCTTAGAGTCGATAGGTGTGGGATGACCTACCACCGGTGGTTCCCTGGATACAAAAGTCAGGGTACTCGGTCGCATCCACGATCTCTCCCCTCGACTGCAGTCGAATTCTCGTCGTATTCAACGGGAGAGGTGCCCTAAATCTCCGTTCACCCAGTGGCGGTTCTGCATACGGGATCCCCAGATACGCAACGGTGTTGTGGTAGGCCCTATTGCCTCGATACCTGGCATATCCAGTGTCGACAACATCGCCTCTGCCAGAGCTCAATTCGCTCGGAGCAGCCAAGACGCTCCCATACCACACCCCAGCCAGCAAGACAGTAAACGCCGCAAACCACATCAGAGACGAACGAGCTTGCGTTCTAGGAGTGGGTTTCGAGGAAGAGGCCTTCTTCAGATGGACAGATTCAAGATTCCTGGTATTTAACGCGGTCATTGTCCATGTATTCCCGAGATACTGCCTTGTCGACGTCGAGCGGTTCTTAGAGTCGCGAACACGAGGTTTATTTTCAGAAGCTGCGTGAGAGTCCGATGTATATCCTGTCTAAGTAGGTCGTCTTCCGTTGGGCTTCCGAGGGGACAGGTATTTTGAAATTCGAGAAAACATGGTTGGTGGACGAGGACAAGAGCGAGGCCAGAGTCTTAGTCACTCGAGTGACGGCACCGAATGCTTGGCATCTGAGGATGGCCTCAGCTTATGACGCCTTTTTTCCCGACCACCACTCTCACTCACCTCGCCATGTTATCCGCAACACGCTCAACCTCACTCCTCGCCCACGCCAAATCACTCACTCCATCCCTCAACCAAATACGTGCGCCTCCCATCACAGTATCACAACAAATACCTTATACTTACGGTTCTTCAAGGTAGCCAGGGCATCAGCTTCTCGAATCCGCATTCACAAACGGGCTGCGTCGACTAAACCTGATGCTCTCCAACTCCAATACACAGTCCAAGCACCAGGAACCAACAAGCAGGACCGCGCAGTCGTCATTCTCCATGGATTCTTGTACGTTCTCTGCATATGAACATGCTTCCAGTCACTAACCCGGCCTAGTGGCTCTAAGCGAAATTGGGGGACCCTTTCAAAGACACTAATGGAACGACTCCAACGACCCGTATACGCCTTGGTAAGTTCCGTCCGAGCAACAGCAAGTAGCGTGGAAGCTAACCCCTCGCCAGGACCTCAGAAACCACGGCGAATCACCGCACTCTGAGGTTATGACATACGAAGCCATGGCAAACGACGTCTGGCGGTTCATAAACGAGAAAAACCTCTCAGAGGTATCACTTATTGGCCACTCCATGTACGTCTCCCTTCTCCAGGCACTTGGCTTCCGCTTACCCGGTATCTCAGGGGAGGGAAAGTAGCCATGTCAGTCGCACTCCAAGCCGGAAACGAACAACCACCACATACCCTAAACGACCTCATCGTAGTCGACGTCTCCCCAGTCAAAGGACGAATATCCCACCAGTTCCGGACATATGTTGATACCCTCAAGGAAATCCAGGACCTCGGTCTCAAAACTCGCAAAGAAGCCGCGGACCATCTTGCTCGAGTCGAACCAGTATGTTCAACCTGTCCCTCCAGTTTCATGGACTGACCCGTTTCGCAGGATCCGGCAGTTCGAGCATTCCTCCTTACCAACCTCCTCCCATTCGACAAAGAAGACCCTCGCGCCAAGTTTATGGTCCCTCTCAACACATTCAAAAACTCGATAGATGCTATTGGAGACTTCCCTTATACCCCCGGCGACCGTGATTGGAGTGGAAGGACATTATTCGTTAAGGGATCGCGCAGCCAGTGAGTTTTACAGTCCGCTTAGATGCTGCCATTCCTGACAACCGTGACAGATATATCAAAGAGGAAAAGCTCGGCACAATCTCCAAGTTCTTCCCCAATTTCCAACTCGAAGTGCTCGATGCAGGTCACTGGGTTCACGCCGAAAGGTGCGTTCCTTCCTCTCCCGGATCTTTCATACCTTGCTCACATTGGCGACAGGCCCAAGGAGTTCACAGATGTGGTTTGCAATTACATCGAAACATTCGACTAGGTCATGATACAGCAAATAATAGACACGCTACGGACCGACTGACTGATATACTGACTGATACATCGTGGATAGGCTGCTATAGAATCTACAGAAAAAAAAAACATCGAAAAAAAGACTAAAAACACAAGCAAGCAAGTACAGAGATATGACATACATGAGGCGCAGGAGCACGAAAAAAAGGTACATACATACATCATGGAGAAACGGAAATCGTCCATCTCGATGGGAGTGATAATGGGTTCTTTCACCCCTAGCCGGTGGTTCTCGCGATCATTCTAACATCGTCTATCGTCGTTCTTCATCGTTTCTGGCGGGTGGCGCAGGAGTATCGGGGGTGGAGGAAGGGGCAAGGAGGAATCCCAGGAACGGCAAGCAATCACGCGAACATCCCCCGTCTACCCCCCTTCCCCGCCGCGTTCACGGTCAAAAGCTGTTTAAACAGCGTGTAATCCAAATCGTCGCATTCTTGAGTGTCCCGATCGTCCACGATCGGGTAGGCGTAACTGTCGTCGTCGTGTTGGCGGTGGGGATGATAATGGGAGCCGCGGTCCCGCCGGGTGTGGGTGGCTTCATGGTCGCGCTGGTCGTCGTCGGAGGAGGATTGGGAGCTAGTCGTGCCGGTGCTGGCACGAGAACGATACGTGCCGTTATCTCGAGCGCGTGCCCGGGTGTGAGTGCGGGTGTACGGATCCGCCGCGGCGTGTCTTCTCTCCCGCTCCAATTCCTCTTCTTGGCTATCCTCACTTCCTTCTCCTTCTTCCTCCTCGTACGACCCGCTACCGCTGCTACTACTCTCACTGCTACTCCCCTGCCTCGTCCCCTTGGTCCACTGACAACTCCTCCGCTCTCTTTCCTCTCTCCTCCTTTCCTTCTCCTGCAACTTCAACAAAAATAGGTACTGCTCCATCTCGCTGGGGATCTCCCACCGCACTTCCTCGATGTAGTGCATCGTTCGCAGGTAGCTGGCTTTGTTCCTCAGCTCGGGTTTGGCAGTTGGTTGGGATTGGTTCTTTACTTCAGCACTATTGCGAGTAGCGGACGACGAGGAAGTGGAAGATGCGACTCGACGTTGAGCAGCAAGCCGACGCGCAACCTCGAGGCGGCGTCTCCAGAGTATCCTCGTTATCTCGGCGTTCTCGAGGACAGAATTGGAGAAGAAGGGGCAGACGGTTGGGGGTGGAACGGCTGGTTTGCGAGGACGACTCCGGGCGCCTCGCTGAGGCTGTTGCGCTGAGGATGATGACCTCTCCCTCTCCCGACGCGACGCTATGGATCTGGAAGACCGCGATTTGCGTATATCGGGTTTATCGTACGGTCCCACCCTCGATGTTGATGAGTATTGGGAGAAGAGTGAGCTGGAGCTCCCGCTGGGTTTGTGCCTCGTGGTGTTGGAAGTGGAAGTGGAGGTGGAACCCCGGATGTGCGTCGCGGGAGTGGATGTGACAAAGGACGATCCCGTCCCTGAGAAGAGCTGGGAGGACCACGATGCATGCAGGAGGAGTGGGTCGGGGCTCGTCGGTGCGACGTTGAAGTTGAACGAATTGGTAGAGTCGGAGTTGATGTTTGTCGATGAGGAACTCGTGGTGGTGGTTGTGGTGGTGACGTAGAAAGGATAAGAGTGGGGGTTCAGTTTATCGTTCACCATTTTGGTTCGTGGGTCGTTGGAATGGTCGTCGCGTTGGGAGTAGTCGTGTAGATCGTAATCGTTATCTTGGTTCGTGTTTCTCGTAGCTGACGTATATGAATGCGGGTACGTCGGCGATGGTGTGTTTTTGGTGGACGCAGAGTTCCTTCCCGTTTCACTCTTCTGATAAATCTCCGATGCGTCGAGCTCTCCTACGGCACCTGCACCTAAAAAAAGAACGAAGGAAAAAAAGGGGAAGGAGAAGGAAAAGGAAAAAGAAACGAACGCAGAGAACAATGGGAAATGGGATGGATGCGGAACAAAGGATGGATGGGGAAAAAGGGGGAACACGACATCATATCAACATTCATTCAAACATTTCTCCAAACGGACCCTTTGCCAAGGGATCCGGGGATTTAAACAGAGGGAGGTTTGTCATACACACCTTGAAATTGAAGGTTGGTCGACGGTACTGGAGGTTCAAGAACGGCCAGCTCGTGCTCCTCGACAGGATGTTGTCCTCTTGTTTCTGTGTCGCCTGGAATATGGAAATCGGCCGTCCCTTTTTCGAGGTCGGACGAAGATCCGAGTTGGAGGGTTGAGAGCCCTTTACAGACGAGGACGAGGAATTCTGGAAGAGGCATATTGGGTCACTCCTACGTCCCTCCCCCAACGATAACGAGGGTTTAAAAATCAAGAATGACGATGGTGCTTAAAAGGACGAGGAAGAATCTCTCGAACAGGCTCGGCGAAGAGAAGAAGAAAGAAGAACCCCGCACTTCGAAGAAGGGAGAAGGAAATAAAATTAAAAAAACAAACGATCGAGGACGAGTGGACGTACGATTTCAACAGGATTCCTCAATACCAGGCCGACTAGGATCGGGTATTGGCATACCACTAGGGACTGGGCGTACTCCTCGATCAGCTGGCTTCTTCTTGAATGATCAAACGGCTGCGACTAGATACCCAACTCTGGAATAGACGGTGGGGAAGGCAGCTAGTTGGGGTGGGAGTGGGTGCTTCTGGGGGCACTACGGCTGTCCGCTCATTCGATGGGCGTGCAACGCAGGGAGTGGGGTGGCCGGCTTCACTGACGGGTCCCGGGTTCTGGGACTACCAGACCTTCTAAATCCAATAACTTGAGATGCTTTGGGTTTAGGACGCGAATTCGAGGGTGATTGAGACGAGGCGTCGATGATGTATGATGAGAAACCGCCAGTCAGACGTTTTTGTTCTAGACTAGTTTCGATTCTAGTGTACGATACACACCTGCGGCGACGACCTCTCTCGTCGAGAGACACAGCAAAGGGGAGTCCAATGTGGAGTCCAACTTGTTGCCAGTAAAGTGCAGAGGCGCCAGATTTGCGAAGAGATATATACGACTTTTGAAGAAGCGCTCGTTAAGTTTAGAATCTGGGGTCGAAGAAGATCAAAGAAGAGTGATAGTGTTGGAAGAGGTAGAAGATCATCTTATATAGCTTCTCGAAGGACTATAGGAGAACCGCTAGAACCGACTCTCCCCCCTGATTGACAGCTCCTTTCCACTAGCGAGTCGTCATTGAAATCAGAAACTGCGGGTTCCAAGGTGATAAACAGGGAGAAACAGCATCTCTTTGACTCAAAGAATCTGCATATCATTTACAGGGTTTGAAGGACTGCGTACCTTGCCTCTGACCATAGGCTTTGCTCGTCCTGCAAACCCTCTTCCCCTTCAAAAAAGATGACAAAATAACGATTTGACGCTCATCACTGATGGGGTGCCCACGGTCGATCACTATTTTGGGCGGTGGCTGTGACCCTCGTGGAAGACCGAACCAATCGGCTTTCGTGTTCCCAGCCGCCCACGACGTCAAACGCCCACAAACCACGACGGGCAAGCTTGGACACAACCATGAAAGATGCCGATATGCATATTCTGCACAACAGCGACACCATATCTGTACACAACATACGAGTCCGAACATAACCTCCGCCTGGAGGAATGCGTACGTCTTCCACCACCATGGTGCTTGTTGAGAGTCTTGGAGATTGACGAATTGGATCAACCAGCGCAATTGCAAAGCTTTTGTAGACCCTTATGTCGAATTTGACGCTCTAACATTGTTCATCGACCTCATTCTGCTGAAGAGAGGCGTGTTCCGTCATTTGTTGTACAACCGCGGTTCAGAACCTAGGAGATTGAATGCTGGAGAACCCAAGAAGCCTCCGAAGAAGAGCGCGTGTCGAGAACGGGAGCTGGTGCGTGTCATGTTATGTTTTGCGATGTATGGGTTCTAAATCGTGTTGATAGAACCGAAAGGCACTGCTGCTGAAACTCGCTGGGGGTCTGGTCCTTTTGGATTCATGTACGTTCCTATTGTTTCTTCTCATTCAGCGGCCTGACGAGGTGGATAGACATTCGCTGGTGCTATTTAAGTGAGCTATTCAACAATGTTTCTTCCAATCTCATGCTAAACAACATGTCCCAGACCCAATCCCAGCCTCTGAACCAATCATCTGGACCGGCCCTCTCGTCACACAATTCTTCCTCATCTTCGCGGGAACGCTTATCGAATCACTCGCATTCCAACTCTCCATCCTGTTCCTCACATTCCTAGTCCTCAAGCTGGTCGATACCTATCGGCTCTGGAGATACAAGAAGGTCGCCCATTCAGATCCGAGACAGCAATTCACGTTCTCGCTCATACCGCTCTCACTATCCTATGCTTCTCTGACGAAGTACTTCCTGTTGTTCCTGTTGACGATCTGGCCACCCTCTTCGGCATATCCAACGTCCACACAAGCAACCCTCTCACCGACTTGGCTTGAAGCATTGTTTCCTAACAGCGTTTGGGTTAACAAGGTTTTACACCTGCTTGATGACGACAAGTTGGACAAAGAGTGGCTGGTCAGGAATGTCGTTGGGGGTATGTCTGCAGGGTTCGGTCTTCGAGGTTAGTTTCCATTCGAATTATCAAGCATAGCCAACCGCTAACCCCGTCATTTCAGTCGTACTTGACGATGTCCCTTCGCTTTTTACTACACTAATCATCCTTGTAGGATGGGTCGTCAAGACTGTCGTTTCAAACGCAGTTGGACGTCGTATAGGAGATGCGACCCTTCGACGCGCCTGGAGAACGTACAGTATACCCTAACGTTCACGCCCAACCCTGTACTTGTAACGTCTTTCGCCCGTGTATATACATTATGATCCAGTACCTAACCATTCCAGTCTAAACCCAATCAGTCAAGACCCGAGCCAGACCCAGAAGCTGGTGTTAGAGTGCGCCTGGCGGGTTGCGTGGGTGCAGCGGGGCCTCCGAAGAGAGAAGAAATCATGTCGCCCAGGGGGTTGGCGGCGTGATTTCGAGGTGGAGGAATGGCAAAGTACAACTGCGCAATCTCAGTCAAAGCCTGCGTTTAAGTTTTTTGGTTAGCATTTCGCTATATCAAAGTCAAGAGTTGGGGGTATGATGTAGAAGGACTGACCCTTCGAACTTCTGGTGCGACAAGGGGACCGCCCTTGCTCTGGTACGTCCCACACAACCGGACCCAGGCTTCTCGAGGTACTTTACTCTTGTCACCCTGCGCGCGTTGGCAAGTCAGGACGGCCATTTGGGAAAAGTTGATGAGCGAGTCTGAGGTCATGACAACTTCGTCGCTATCGCCTGCCGGGATCTTGGCCGAGTTAGATAACACTGAGTCTGGGAGGCCGGAGACGAAGTGGCGGATGAAGGCCTTCGCTGCGAGGACGTTGCCATTCTGGAGGTACCTAAGAGAGGGGTGTGAGTACTCCATTGTTTGGGTTGCGAGAGCCTGGGCTTACGGGATGACACCGCGGAGCGCGAATGGGCCGTATGTGGATGATGAAGCGCCCCATCGCAAGAACATCTCGGCGAGCAATCGCGCACTGTCGCGCGTCCCAGCCGCGAGCAGATAGGGCTCTGCAAGATCAAAGGATCCCTCTGGTTTCCTCGTTAAGTTCTCGAACCAATACCGCAAATAAAAGAATTCCGCACCTTTATCCAAGAGTTCACCGACATAGTAGTTCAATTCTGGATCACCGGCAGGGCAATCACCATGTTTCGCTGACCAACTGATATTCACTTAAGGGTTATCAGACACGTCAATGAGAGATAGACATACGCTATCGCTTTGTCGATAAGAGTCTTCCTCCAGGTATCTTCAGACCCAGTCAGCGCAATCAGCTGTGTAACCCTGCCTAACACCACATCGCCATTACATATTCACAATCACGTAGACCAACCGTACCGACTTACCTCTACTTTCCGGTGTAACAGTTTCACCCTTGGTATCATACACATCCAGCATAAACCCACCCAAGTCGACGCCAGAACCCGGTTGGCCCGTCTTGAGGAGTTCACGGGCACTCTGGAAGAGGACGTCGATCGCGGTGTCGTGTTGGCCTGACTTTACATATCTTGAGGCGAATGTGCGGGCTTTCTGGTGCGCCTCGTAGGGTGCAACGGGGATCTGCGGTAGGATTGCGTTTAGAGCTCGGGAACTTGACGCCATGGTGATGATGGACAAGGACAGAGATGAGTTCAGCGCTGCGGAGTTCTAATCACCGCTTTCCTCTTCACCACCATGATCGCGAGTCAAAATTCAAATGTAGAGTGAGTAGCGATTGGCATTGGATTGTAAGGCTATGATCCTGACACATGCATTGTAGATATTTAACATGATGTCTTGGGTTGGAACCTAATCTTCAGTTGGCCATTGTAGCCGTAAATGCCGTAGCCAGGCTCTTGGTTGTCGGAATAGATATGGGCGAACCAGCCGACTCCACCGCCTTTCATGTTCTTGAAATCGACACAGTGCGAGTCGAGAAGATCGTAATAGTCCTGGAAAATGGGATCAGCCAATCTATCGTCTCGGTGGCCTCCAACGAGCTGGACACCAACCTGTTCGTTCTGGATGTTGGCCACGGCATTGGGGCTATTTGGCTGGACTCCTTGGGATGTCACGGATGGCCAACCATTCTACTGTGCATCAGTTTCGGGATTCTTTGACGCGTGCGCTCGACGACTCACCTGGCTCAGGTAAATCTTCTTCCCCAACCCGTTGTTAAAGAACCAGTTGAGGTCTTCCATAACGATGGGCCACGACGCCTTGGCTGGGCAGACCTTTAATCTCTCTCTGATACCACTAGGACACACACTTACCCGTAGACGCCTTGTGCGAGAAGAAAGGCAGCATATGCGCGTCAATGAAGTCGACAGCTTGCAAGACCTCCTTCGAGCCATCGTTCTCTCGCTATGGATCGTGCGTATTAGCCACCGTTTTTTCCATCTTTAAATCACTGCTGGAGGAACTCACCGCTTGGTACCCGTAGGCCATCTCACTGACAGTAACCGGGATTTTCAAATTGGCCAGCCTCGACTTTGCATCGCGGACCTCTTGGGCAAGGCCCCGTGCAGAAATCGCCCAATCGAAGAGGGGCTCAGAGCCGAACTGGACGACCCGCGTAACGAATTTGGCCTTCGGGTTGGACTGGAGGACACTGAACAAGGCCTCTCGGCGGCTCTTGTAGATGTCTGTGCCATCAAAGCCGAACTGGAGTGGTGTCTTGGTGAGTGTATTTCCAAGTCAGCGAAGCGCTCGCTTACCCAGATCAAGGCGTGTACACCGACACCAGCAGACCAAGCCGCTTCGATCACGTTGTTACTGCCAGGAGTCGTCAGCACAACAAGGAAACTCGTGCAACCCAGAGCACATACTAGTAGCCCGGCTGGTCGCAAAAACCGTACAACCGGATGTAGCGTCCCTTGAATCTGTTTCGGACGTCGGTGAATTCCCTCCTGAGTTGATCCAAGCTTTGACCTAACGAATCATCTACCAGTTAGAGTCCATTAGAACGAGGAGAAGCAACACCGACAATGGGTAATCTCGTAGCTGACGCCTACGAAAGCGTATTCGGTGCTGTAATCACACCACCAGTTGTTCAAGGATGACGGGACGGAGCTGGGCATCTTGAACCCCAAGGCAGGGAAGCAGTTCGGAGGAGCGTTAGCTTGACGCGTGACCAAGGCGCTGGTGTTGCTAGCCGCAGGGGACGCGGACACCAGCGATACACCAATCGCCAGGGACAGGGCCAAGAATTTGGAGAGCAGAGAAGGCATCCTCGTCAATCAAAAACAGTGGAGACGTAGGCACGTCCTTGTTCACTACAACTCTCAAGTCCGACCACCCCAATTTATAGGTGATTGTCATGGAAGGCGGGCGAGCTAACAATACGTCTTTCCAACCTAACCTCCCTCGCTCCAAGTGCTTCTTGCCGCTGTATCAGGCATTTCCTCGGATACGGCGCATTTAACCTATCATGTAAGTCTGTTCGAAATAGGTCATGGAATTCGGAGAATAATCGCTTTTTATAGTGAACGACCCTTGGCAACCAGAATGGGCGTTGACAGAACAGATGTTTTTACGACATGCGGGGAGAACAAGACGCCTTCGCATTGTTGAGCTGGTGTGAGGGATTGGGATGGGATGGCATCTACCTTCGTTTCACATGTCTCCTGACTCGAAGGCTCTCACTGAGGCTTCGATGTCCATCCCCGTTGCTCAACGCCATAGAGTAACTCCCATTTCATTCCGCCCTGTCAGGCTTCAAAGTGTGGCTTGAAGCTTTGAGGCTTGGGTGATGCGCATCCAAGGAACTCTCAGGGGATGCGGCCTGACGGCAACTATGCGCTCTAGGAGCTTAAAATGAATTTGTTGGTAGGAGTAAAAGCTTGGCAAGCTTAGTGCAAATACCTCACGCCTTGAGCGTCGGTCGTGAGTTCGAGGATTACCAGGGCTGAGACTGAGGAAGTCCAGGGAGGTCGGCAGATCTATCCCGTTTTAGGAAATGGGTTGCTTCTTCAGCGGGGCCCCTGTGATTTTCACTCATGGCCTGTTTCTTCTTCCTCGCGTTGAACATGCATGTAGAACTTGGGATCCGCTCGGAGAGTTTTCGCGTGTGTGTGTGTGTGTTTCATACAGCACAAGACCGCTTGGATAAGTACCCTCGGCCCAGGGTTTTCATTCCTCTCCCATAGGTGTACATGTCTGAGCCCGAGGTGCTGTTACATCTACAGTACATGCTCCGTGGGCGGACTATGCAAAGGTCCGAACTCTTTTCTTCTGGAACGTTGGCGAGGGGCACCTCAGTACTCAGCTATACGGAGCCACAACAACCGGGCGTCATACCACAGCAGCTACGCTTGGATCATAGTACTCACAGATGAAACGCTGTGGCCGTGAAAGTCCCATAGTGTCTGGATGCTGTGAATGCCTAGTGCACCTACATACTAGTGCGCGCCCGCATAAGATATCGTTGTCCTTTGTTCAAGGTGGGAGCTCTAGACACGGAGGCATATAGGTGGACTGAAGCACCTCAATGGAGACTAGTATCAGTCGTGACAGGTCTTCCAAATCATTGTATCACTGTGCAACCATTCCAAGAATTCGGAATGTCAAAATCAAACCGCAATTGGACAATTGCAACTTGTCTGAGTCACCTACCGTTGCGGGTAAGACTCCCCGTGTACCTCTCCAAGTTTCCTCCGACGTGTGGTTTGAACATTGTTCTGTGGTACATAATTACCTGCAGTGTGCGAGTCTACAGTAGTGGCGAGCTTTCCATCCGCGCCTCGCAGCGACAAAGGACTCCGAGTGGCCGCGATCGCCTGTTCTATTTTTGGAAAGCGATCTACTCAAATAATCGATAAATTCGGATTTTATTCCCGCTGTGAACAGGCTGTCGATCCCGGTGCTGCGCTCATGTCGAAATGCACAGTTCTTTACGTTAGAGAGCGGTGGACTTTGTCCGACGACCCCTGCAACAAGGATGTCCTAGGCAGGAGCTCAAACACCAAACACAGAACAAGCCAGTCCACAGCTCAGCGGTGCCGCACCCACCGGCGGTACTGTAGCTGATTCCGCCATTCCAGGACCTTTGTGGACGGAAACAATCAAAGACTCATTGCTCAGCTGTGTCAAAGCACTATATTACTATTACGCTGTCTCGAATGAATATTCCCCGAATGGATGGAAAAATATTTTCATCATATCTTATCCAGCCCCAATGCATGTTGTCCGGTGGTGTATACTTTACTCGGGACCTTGATGAGACCATCCATCTTCTGCACAGACACGACAAAACTTTGCGTGAAAAGGTTTTGGAACGGAAAATGGGATGACATTACACATTAGTGAAGGGGTTCAGTGATACGCGTGCAATCTACATCTCTAAAGTCAGGGTGGCGGAGGCCCTGACGTTGAGTAGACAGTGCAGCATATCAAAAGCAAAAAGGGAGTAGAGTAAATCTAAGGGAACTAAACAGCGAAGTAAAGCAAGGGGATAACAATGGAGAAAGCGATAACAAGGATAGCGTTTCAAAACATCGAAAACAGAGGTAGAGAGACAAGGGGGGAGGGTTTCAAATATGAAGACACGGCGGAGAAGGGAAAAAGGAGGGAATGCCGTGGCAAGGTGAGCCCAAGGTACCTAGCACAAGGGACTGGTCCTTCGGCGGCAACGACATTGGTCGGAACCAACGATCTAGAGGACACTTGGGTTGAGCGTTCAGTTCGCCTGGATATTTTCTTGAGCAACCAGCCTGGCTGGATAAAGTTTTAAGAGATATCGGAGGGCGTCTTTTGCCGCACTGTCCTTAGCTGCCTGTAGGCTGGTGCCGTAACCGTGGCCGATGTTGAAAGGAGCCTCGGAAGGGGGCTCGACTGATACCACATCGTGAGTACATCGCCCACAGGAGGGTATGAAGGAATACCTATAACTAAACCCTGCCACTTTCCGGACTGTGCAGGCCATTCCTGGGCTAAGATCTTCCCGAGGCGTGAACCGAATAAATGCTGGATAACGTTGTTGACTTCGGTACAGGGGTCTGAGGGCAATATACTTATTAGAAAGCGAGATATGCGAACGAGTCACTAACGGTCGGGGTTGAGGTTGACGGGCTTCCTCTGATCGATAGATGACATGGCTGCTCTAAGGAATCCGGAGTGACGAGAAGAGATTAGTCTCAAGTCGGTTAGTGTACGAGGAGAATGCGAACAGCTCTATGGTCGAATGTTAAGTGAGAATGGACAGTGGTCGAGTGTCGAGAGCAAACGCAGATAACAAAACAACATACTCCCCACCCTGCCTTTATAGTATTCCCCCAGACCGTTCGAGTGATCCGTGTTACAGCTCTCGGTGGCAAGGCCGTTGCCTGGATAATACCCAATTATCACCAACTATGTACATTACAACAGCAGCTATCTAGTGCTGTGATCTGAGAAAAGCCAGTGAGACGAGTCAATGAAAGGTAGAAAAGGGCTACACACCATTGATTAAATAACCATTCGTTAGTGGTGGCCCATGGTTTTCCGCCGATGAGGGTAGCGCCATCGGAGCGTTCATGAGAGTGGGATCCAAGGGTATGTCCGCCGGCATGGTGACTAGGCGTCCCTCTTTCCTGAGACAGTCCTCGACGAGGTTGAGGAAGGACCGTCCTTCCCGCTCGACAACCTCGAGCATCCGCGTATCATCGAACTGGAGTTGATATTCCAGTCCGTCGCAAAAATCACGAATATTGGCGATGTGACTTCTCATGCGTTGATGGTACATTGCACGTTCTAGTGACAGCTGGGGAGGCGGTGGAGGTTGCATTGTCTGAGGCGGGAGCAGGGTCCCAGGTATCGGCATAGGCGGGTCCATGATTGGTTGTTCAACGATGTCCGATTGGTCGTCCTCCGAATCTTCTCCCTCTGGGTCGTGCTGTTGCTGGTCCCTTTCCAACGGATTAATCGAGTTGGATGCGATGCCTTCGTTATTTCCATTCGCCATTTGGTGAGTTCCATTGCTGGTACCCCCGACCATGTTTGGCGGCACGGTCTCGTTCGCCCGCTGGTTCGCCCAACCAAATGTCTCCCATATCGATTTAACCACCTCTGGCATCATTGACGAGTCGACATATGGCTCGTGGGCGAGGTGGTGACCCAACCTGACAGTGATAATACGCTGTCCTGGAACCCCGGAGTCACGAGAAGATATCAGTAGCCTGCTTTTGCAAGGATACCGGGTTTTGGCCATAACATCGCCCGTGCTCGTTAAACGTGGCTTGGGTCCTTGTGAATTCCGATTAGCCTTGAGTTTGTTTTTGTGCGTATCGTCCTGTGAGCACCAGAAACGGCTCTTATGGCCGTTGTTGATTCGTGGGTGGTCCTTGACGCTGTGATAGAACAACAGCTCTCTCTCGAGGGTACAGGGCTCTAGAAGAACGGAAACTCACGTAAATCGATACCCAGTTGTTCTCCAAATATCGTTCGTCATCGTCTGTACTCGTTGTCTATGCGACATGCCCGGGTCTTCCATTTGGCAGTATCCATGAAACTCGACATGAGGGCCCTGCTGAAACCGTTCTCGTAGGGCGTTCAACAGCTGTGGAATATCCCTATACGCTGTCGCTTTCTGTACAATTCGGTCAGTAATGTTCGGAATTGCATGGTATGGATGCTTCTTACCCTCGCTGAACTCCGCTTGTCCGTCTTCACCGTCTTTCCACCCACACTAGAGTCATCCTCGTCGTCGGATGTCCGTTTGCGTTTCTTACTGGGGGCCGAATCATTCCCTTGAGGATGTGTGGAAGTTCGAAGATATTCGGTGTTGATGACAGGCGGGCCAAACCCATCCCTGGGCGTGGCTGTTACGATTGCATGGAAGCGGGAAAAGGCTGGTGCTGAGGGAATTCCTGTCATTCCTTTGGGTTTTGTAAGGGAAGGCTGGGACGCCCAAATAAGCGCTGATGATAGAAGCTAGCTCTGAAACGCCTGAGCTTCCTGAAATATGACCATTAACGGTGGTCGTAGTTGAGTTGAACCTTGAGGTAGACGCTGAAGCCAAAAGATCAAATCCCTCCATAATGCGCCCGCTCGCGAAACATCACACATATTACAAACATTTCACGACAAATCCAGACTGAATTGGCCAATCCTCAACCATGGTTCAAACTTCAAACAACAGTTAGCTAGATCAGAACGGCTGTTCGATATCTAAGAATGAAACTTCTAGAATTAAACACGAGTACAAGAGCGCCAATCCTTATCTACCGCAGCACTGCGTTCCAATGACACCGTTGCGAAATCCCCCCGAATATGCCGTCCAGCCTTCCCCAAGGGAGGCAATGGACGATGTTATTCGCCACAGAATTCCAGAGCGACACGTCTCGTTTCGTTCAACTCTTGAGATCGCCGAACGTGCAGCGATCGTGGCAGGAGATTTCCTCCTTGCAGGGGGTTGACGGAATAACAGCCAAGTTGACAGATCGGACATGGAGGTGTGGAGCTCAAGCTGGTCACATCTCAGAGCTGTTGCGCAATAAATGTCCAGACTAACGGCAAAGTTTGCTGAGTACTCCTGTCTCAGTGGAAGCCGCTGTCATTTCGCTTCATTCCAGGTGTTCCTGGAACTGGCGAGGGAGAAGCGGGGATGTCGCCGTTGATAATGTCCTGGATAGACGCCTCTAAAGCATCCACTCGAGATGACATTTGGTTCACTGTTTATGCACCAAACCGTTAGAGCAAGTAGGAAATGCGAAATAAAGGCGCCGCACTTCGATCCAAGATCTGGTTGGACATTTCGTCGAATTTCGTGTCTAATTGTTCCAAGAGGTTTTCCACCTATCCAACGCTTAGCTAGGTAGCGGATACCTTGGATTCAGTACATACAAAGGCAGTCAATTCGTGAGGGCTTGAGATGTCCTTCGGGACGATCGCGCTAGGTTTGGTCGAAGTCGCCTGCTTTGAATTCACGACAGGCGTTTTATCTTTATCGGTTTCTGTAGATCGCGACGGTGTTGCTGGGACCTTTAATGGAAGCGCAGAGGACGACATAGTCGGCGCAGCGTTAAATCTCGTCCAGTGTAGTGAGCAAGGGGAACAAACAACGCGTTTGGCACCTGAGGCGGGGGCGGGACTGACAGTTTCAGCGGCGATCGAATTCAAATTCAATGACCGCCGCCGCACAGTCTGAGTTGCTCTTGACCAAACCTCAGAACTAAAGTTATAGCGGATCCTTTGACCAAACCTCAGATTTCTTTTTCTCTCTTGTGAAATCGAAAATTGCTCGCAAATTATCTGTACGTTAGCCCGAACTGGGGCGCCGTGTTGGGTATGTCGTCAGTCTTTTCTGTAAGATGTTTCCAGCTCACCAGCAACAAAGGCCCTACCTACCGCTTATGCTGTTCATTTAACACTTTACGGGGGCCATGAGGCCCAAAGGTCCTCGATTCTGCGCCTCAAAGGGCATAGGGCGTGTTCGCCGTTGACAGTGCTCCACCGCCTTGCCTCAACAGCAAGGTGACGATCGACTGCTCCCAGGACCTTGATATTACATTCGAGGTCACCGGAAAGAGAACGTTGAGAACTATCATCTTTAGATGGGCCGCCTGACATGTGTATCTTGTCACTTATTGTGCGTTCGGTACTTCAACCATTGAGGACCTTTCCCAACCTGGAAAAACCAGTGTTTGGGACGTGCAAATCCGTCTGACCACGATAGGCCATGATAATATCGCCTCGCAAAGATCTGGATTGCTATTCTTATCGGAACCTGCTTTTCTAAATCCCACGAGGCAGGTGGCTTTTCTTCATCTGTGCGATATATTGAAGCTCATAGAATTTCGAACCCAGGCCCTACGAGTGCCGCTTTTATCACAATGAAGAAACCTTTTGCTGGATGCAAGCCAACCCAAAGGTATCCCTGCCAGCTCGGAGAATTAGGTACCCCGAGCGCAGGGTATACCGGCCGGGCGCACGAATTTGAAATCAGTTGCTCCTTGTCATGGGCAACCTTTCGTACGTCACAATCCATGCCAAAGATCCTTTTTTTCGCGCATTCCTTTCGTTCATCACTTTTGAGAAAACCAGTTTGTAGGGAAGTCCCTTTTTCTGATGCAATGACGTCGGTCAACGCCCCAAAGCTGCCCTGTCTCGGGCGGCTGAAGCCAACGAGTCCGACACGCAGCATGCTGTCTGTCAGCGTGCGGCTCTGATACCAAACACCTTGGTTGTCGGCTTCAAGGGGGAATCGCTATGGGAGGGCGATCGACGTTGTGACGGTCTGGGAAGGCGCGTTGTCGTCGTTCAGATCTCCGACAATGTAGGCAACAGCATGGACATAATCTACCAAGTGGGCCGTCGCAATGCTCCATTTGTAATCTGGTCTGCGACAGCGCGAATGAAATGTCCTGTCTCAGTGACCCATGCACTCTCAGAGCTCAAGGTAGGGCATACCCATGGTCGAGGTCAGGTGCCACCTCCCTGTCACTATGTTTGGCCACAGGTTCCATTCACTCGGTTCTTTTGTGCTAGTGTTGGCCCAGCAGGTAGGCACTGTATCAGGCAAGTCTGATCAAACGGCGCTCACCTTCTTTTCTCAGGTCTATGTTACGGGTACACGGCCTCGATGTCGATGATACCGACGGAAAGCGAAGTGCCACTTACGATACACCCCCGGCCAATATACCAAGAGTAAGCATGCGAAGGCTCTTCCGACCGTTTGTAACAGTGCTAGTGCTCCAAAATGACCGATGTTCTCTTCTGTCTTGAGCTGGAGGTGTGTCGCTCTTCTCTTGGTCTGCACAGACCTTGGAGAAGCAGCCTGGATGTGTGGCTTCTTTAGGCGCGGCACCACCAACCAGATCTGGACTGGGTTGGAGCCTGGTTCACGGCTTCCACGAGTCAAAACTCCGGATCAAACGGCGCCTCATCTTTCAGTTTACGAATAAACGACCGGCCAGTTTCTCTAAACCCGCACTGCACCGTCGTCGTCAAGTCATCCCGGTATTCCAGGCAACGCAAAACACGAATCATTGGGCTTCCCCTCAAAGGGGTCTTACTACGTCCTCCTGTTTCCCCCGATCTCGTGGAATGGAATCACGAAGTTCATGTCACAAAATACATTGGGTTGGAACCTGGCCACTCCTGAGAAGCGTCGTATGTGTTATGTTATTCTTTTCCATAAGCGACGAAAGAGGCGTTCCTTTACTTCGGTTCTTAGAATCTCACCCCTTTCCAAACAGGACGATGCATTTCCTTTCCTTCGAATACGATTCGCACAGCATCGAGGTATTGGGGGGCGCGTTGCCTATCTCAGAGGCCCTCGTATTCCCTTCGACATTCTGACCTGTATATAAACAGTGGTCAAGTGACAACAATCCCTTCCCCGTTTATTCACTCGGGCCAAAGGGGGGCATTCTGGGTCGAAGAACACGAGTCAAGGAATCGATCCTCTTTGGACTACTTCACAATCTTGGAAGTGGTTCGAAGCATCCCAGTATGTCCCTACATTATCGTACTTATCTTTCCATTGTTCATCGATTCCATTCAGGTTCGGAACATCTGACCAATAGCGGTGCTTGGATTCATCTAACCCCTTCGATTCCTTATGAAGGACTTGGTTCGCTAAAGTCCACGGAATTGAAGGACTACGAGGGCCATATTCCCTGGCAAATATTGACAGCGACTCGTTCTGGGCTGACATCAGAGCCTGATAAACTTCATCACGAAATGAGGTTCGTACCGTTGCACCGTGACCGATGGCTGGGCAGAGGGCCCGCTGTCACATGGGCGCTCAGGCGTCCTCAGAGATGCGTTTGGATCATCGCCTGGATTATTATGGAGGTGGCTGGTGTAAAGTGAGTCGCAGGTCGCAGTTTTGGATATCATTCACTGATGATAATCTAAAGTAATGTTTCGGTTACATCGCTGCTAGAACGGTGAATACTAGGTCTACTTGAGCCTTTCTACGTTCCCCCTCCGAGATGAAGGGACTGGGACGACCGCAGCCGTTTCATGGATGGCTGATGATGTTCGCCACCTCATGATAGCGACATGAAACCCATTCACTACCTGGTCCCATGAATGTCTTCATTTGGTCCAGAATCAATGTATCTTGCCCACACGACATGTCTTATCACCAGGTACAACGTGGTCGACCTCTGACCTTGTGCTAGACCTGCGGTTGCACTTCGCGCTGTAAATTTCGGAGCTACCAGGTACTAGCAGCGACTTCTACGCTCACTTTCAGGTGCCGGAGCTCGTGTAGTTTGTGGGTCACGAGCTGACAAGATTACTCCGAACATGAGATCCCATCGTTTAGCCGTTCAGATTCGGTAATACCAAGGTCGCTGTTGCGTTGCTTTGCCAGAAATGACATATAAATTATACCAACAGCCCTTTGGTCCAAACCGCAAATGACGCTTCGGCCCTGGTTCCGGGTTTAGTCCAAAAGGACAATGAATAGCGTCATCAACAGGATGACATCGAGTTGAAACGATCGTGTGCCCTCCACCCATAGAAGATACTAGTGGTGATGTATTTATTTATTTATAACATTGGGTCTTCGGTTCGTCTGCCTGTCTGACGGTCCTCGTCCCCAACAATGCGATCAAACCCAACTTGATTGTCGCTTCCAACGCTTTTTTCTATGTGTATGGTGGTCTACCATGGTCATTGGGAAGAACAGCGAATGTGAACCCGACTCGGATACTCAGCCGAACAACTACGAACCCCGACAAGCCATTCCATGTCATGATGTGCACCACCACTGTGCCTAAGTGCTTCCTAATAAGCTCAGCCTCGGTAACATTTGTCTGGGCGAGCTTTAAACTTTCAATGAAATCATTTCTTCCGAACCAACGTGCTTGGTGTTGATCGTGTTTTTCCATCATGGAGGATCAAACGGATATCACTCAGTGGACCTTGACCTGTTTCCGATCGATAACCTAGTACATAGTAGGTTTCGAGAAACAACAGTCAGAACCTGAACGCTATTCACAATATAGGTCATTGCAACGGTTACTCTAACTCTACAAGGTATTTCTCCGGAATCGGGATCATTTGTCGGGGCATCAAGGGTCTGGATCGCTGGGTCTTTCCGAACCAAAGGTCAGTGCTCAAAAGACACATCTTAGAGAGAGGTAGGCAACATCGGCCCTAAACTGCTCTGAAGTATTTTTCGCCACTGTCCTGGATTTCAATATCTTCAGGAACTTCGGAACGACATCCTGGAAAATGTCGTTTCCGCGGTCTCCGGGCGTCATAACTGATTCGCGGAGAAACAAACGGATCTGGCCAAGGCGTTCCACCATCACCAACATTGAGAATCTGATGAACCTTCTTGCTATCAAGCTTTCGGGAAATTGTGAACGTCTGCTTCCACTCGAGATACTCTTTCATATGACCCATGACATCATTAACATGAATAGCAGCTCAAAGGTCACTGTTTTCTACTGTGGCCATTCGGTTATCGATTCTACCACTGCTTGCAAAGCGAAATCACCTCATCAGTGCCAATGACGTTGTAATCTGACTTCTCTCAAAGCTCAATGTGAGAAGGCTCATGGTTGCCGGTCAGTGTGTCTTTCAGTAGATATTTTATCCTGTTCTGGAGATAGAACTGGGATCATCGTCTGGAACCCGGACTGTCACGGATTCCGGTAAAAATGGCTGAGAGACACTCCTTCTCTCAGACATAGTTGCCGGAGAACATCATGAGTCCACAGGATAAGATTTCGTGAACCAGGCTCTGGCAGTTGAAGAATATGTGCCAGACGTGGTGGAATGAAATGTCAACTGATCACAAGCCAGTCGCTCCGCCAGGGTAGCAGTCAGTCGTGGCAGATTCTTTGCCTATGATACATTGGGTATCGTCTCCTTTTCGGAATTCCAGTTATCTCCTTGTCCACGCTTCTAGTAAGCACAGTGAGTACTGAAGGCGCTGCCATCATACCCCCCGCCGCAATTGCTTCTCACGGTCACGCACCCCCGACGGCTGTCCGGATTTGGATATGCGCTCATTGTCAAGATCAAGCCCAAGCCGCACATCGGCATCCTCGTTGTCCTGTCACTCGTTGGAACCGCTAGAGAAATAGTGAATATTCAAAATGATACACCCTGAATCACAATGTTAAGCGGCCTACTTGGGACTACTAGGTGGCCTTTCCTTGAATCCTGATTTGGGATCAAGGGGAGCAACCTGTCCGATGCAAGCGATTCTCTCCTGATTCTCTCCCAGGAGCGTGGCTCGCCCATGATTTCGATAGTAACTTCGAGAAGCGGTGCCTAATTTGGGCTGAATAAGGAGATTGCCGAGCGCCTCAGCGCCCGATCTGGGTGGAAGCACTCCTTGCTAGCAATCCCGATCCTCGTATTGATATGTCAGGCATCCTCGAAACCCCCTTGTCAGGTGGACAAGACGAGGATAAAGACAGGGAGCCTAGTTGTAGCAAGTACCATAGCAGATCAAAAGCGGTCGTCGGCGTGATGGTCCATAGGGAGGCGAGTTGTGTAGAATTTAATTTACTAGTCCATTTAACCCTTGCTACCACCATGTGTGGACTGGCATCTGGAGCAAAGCATTTCCCCGGGCGGCTAGGATCATGCACAAAACTCCGAACGGCTACCCCTAGGTGAGTGCCTCCTGGCTCGTTAGATCGCCGCCCTGTTTGCGCTCTTGGTGAACAACAACAAGCTAATATTAATGGATGTCAGTTGGGTCACCGTGATGGTGGGTGTGTATCAACCCTGTAAATTTTCGTGCAGGACCTTAACTCCCATACATGCACAGCGTTTGGGGCTCGTACTCTTCAATATCTCGTCATTGGCTTGCCTTGTCCAGCAGAGGACGACACCATGCATGGTCTCCGATTTCGCTGACTTTGAAATCCTCACGAAAACACAAATCGGTTACCTTTTTCGGATGTGACAAGGGGAAGTGTGAAGGAATTCTTGGAAGTGGCAAGCAGAATGAACCCTAAAAATGGGAGAAGCGCTGGACTATTACGACGATGAAGCAGACGTAGCAGCGTTCACGCCTCGGACTTCGTCAGGGATCCAATTGGACCCTGCGGCAATTGGAGGACTACAAATTCTTCAATTGATGATCATGGAAAGTGCAAGGCCGAACCAGGTGCGGAGATGTAAGTGCATTTCAAAGTTCCCGGTTCTTGGAAACCAAGCCACAGGGGAGAAGGTCGTGGTTTTACTCAATGTGTGTTTTCTTCCTCTAGAGGAGTGTCGTAAAGTGATCGTAAAGGTCGCGTCTTTGTCGCGTATCCGCTCAGGATCCAGTTGTTCGCGCAAAAGGCTTCGCATTCAGCGAATGATCTCTTCTCGCTTGACTTATCTCCTGCTGTCTGTCGTTGGAAGGTGTGTTGGGAAAGTGGCTTACCCGTTGCAGGTAACCGTAGCACAAGAGGAGACCACGGGATACCTAGACCTTAAACCCGGATGCATCTCTCGGTAAAACGCTATTGGAACCCCATAGAACCCTTGTGTACGAAGAAACCCGGATCTTCTATAGACTAAAGTGGAGAAAGCAGGGGTTACCGTAACGGGCCCAAGTTTGGGTGCAAAATGTGATAGAATCAGCATCGTGGACACGAAGACGAACTGTGATTAAAGAAGACATCTGACAAGGTGGCGCCAATGTATGTCAGGTAAACAGAGCTTCTGGGTAACGTAGTACTGCACATACCCAGGAAGGTTGTTGGACGCCAATGTAAGGCATCAACCGTTTGGATATTGTAGGCTTCTTGCCTCTATATGAATATCGATCCAGATTCGCGGAGCACTATCCTCCCGGCCCAATACTAAAGGAAGTGGATTCCACCTTCCTCCACTCCCCAATTGTCCAACAACCTCAAACTTCCACTATGACGAGCAACCCCGACGTCCCACCCTTCATCGGCTACGTTGAAACCACCGTCAACGCCCTACGACTCATCCATGCCGCTCGACAGGGCGTCATACCCCGTATTACTCGTCGGCTCAACGACACAGAGCGCCGTTCCATGATCAAGAGTGGCTCTGTCTTTGTCTTCAGCGTCGAGGAGAGCGGTATCAAGCGTTGGACAGGTATGCTTCAGCCTTTAGTATTTCAACATTACCTGCTCACACAACCCTAATTTAACTAGATGGTCTCCTTTGGTCACCATCTCGCATTGTCGGGAATTTCTTGGTGTGTTACGCGACGTTGAAGAGCCCTTCCTCGTTACTCAGACCCGATAGGTTTATCGCGAAATTCTTGAACGCAACAGCAGTCGCGGACACAAGAAGGCATTCCCGGCAGACGACCCTAACTCACGATCGTTGCAGAGGCGCAACTCCCCAGAACACATCGGCTATACAAAGCCCATCAGCAGCAGCGACCACGGAACCTTCAAGCCTGGAGGACTCATAAAAAAGGTGCGCCCCTCCTCGTTTACTTGTATGATGTCTAAAGTCGCTCTAGACGATTACTGTCACCATCGACGGCTCCGACCTCCACCTCATTTCGTACTATACCCCAGAAGACATCCGCTCGGGAAAACTAAAGGTATGTGCCCGCCCTGTGATTAATATCATTGCCTCTCATCCAACTTGGTTAGCGTCCTTCATCGAGGCCTGATATCATGAGCCTGTACATGCCCCCTCACCTGTTCCGCCTCACCAACTTCCGCGTTCCACCAAAGGTTGAAATCGGCCCAGATGGAAAGCCGAGGCTCGTGTACGTGCACATTTCCACTGTCACGGAAGAAGACCCTGACCCTAGTTTCAGCTGTGAACAAGAAGACATGCAGGAGATCCCCGTCGAGTGCAAAGTCGAAGACCAAATTTACCAGATTCCCGACTCGCCGTCGTCGTGGGGCAGCGCCAACTCGGCTTCTCCCGTCGACACGCAGTTTCCGAACAACTCCCTTTACCATGCCAATGGGGCCGTCGGTAATTACAGAGGCGCCAGCGACCGCTGGTCCGACGTTAATTCCCTCACTGGCCGCGGAGACCTTACATGGAACTCACATCTGATCAGACGCCGAGATTCCCAAGTCGTACAAGACTCCTGGCCATCTATCCATACCCAGTCCAACCGCTGGCAAGACTCTTCCGTTGTGTCTGTCGCGTCTAATGGTGGCGGCAACTATCCAGATCGCACTCGGGTGCGACCTGGACATCCGTACGAACAAGCAGATGGCCTCCGCCGCGATAACAACGGTGTCAGTCGTCGCTCGGAGTCGCATAGAATCGCTTGGCACCATCGAGACGGATCACACAGCTCCAGGGATCGACGCAGTCCCAACTCATCATTTACGCCTTCTCCGACTATCCCGTTCGCTGCGCAAGGATATCACACTAGCCCCTCATACACTTCAAGCTGGACCTCCGATAATACCTTGATGGGCTCTACTCCAACTCTTCATCCCATTTCCAACGGTTCGGCATACGACTCGTACTCCTCGAACGGCGGATCCTCGCTGTCAGGACCCGACGATTTTGGATCGGCCGTGGAGGAATTCGCCCAGGAGGCCTGAGCTCCATTGATCTCCTCCCATTATTTCTTGACGAGAGCCATCTCTTATTTCTTGCACGACTCATACACTGTAATTCTATATCATTGTCGTTGGATTGAGCCTGGAGAGGATGTAGTATACGCGCGATCTAATACCCAGATGGACTTTACTCAAATGTGTAATTTTACCATCAATACACACGAATTGGTTGGACGGACTTCACGCCCCTAGACTCTGTATCTTTTCTTAGTGGCACTTGTCTCTTGCCCGTGTATCTCGGTCCCTCAAATAGGAGGCTAGGCCCGAAAATAACAACCAACGCCTCGGAGAGGCCACTGGACAAATCGGCCTTGTCAAGTATTGGATGGGCACAAATTTGACATGCTTCCAGAAGGCATGTCTTCTGCATACCGACCAATTGGAAAGATCGACGGGCATGGCGGGGAAGGAAGATGGTACACCAGCAGGAATGGGGTACGACCAACCTCGACAGAGGCAGACCCAGCACACCTTTCATCACCGTAATTGCAGACCCTCAACGAAAATCGCGCTGGGATGTCGCGGTTTCCCGAAGGAATTCGTGTATAACAGGCAAAGGTTTGTACACGGATAGCTTGATTGAGAATTCCAGACGTTCGGCTAGAATCATTAGGGCCGCCGTGCGTACGGCATACGCTGAATCCAGTCCCAATGTTCACCGCTCGCCCATGGTCCTTCGCTCAATGAAGCCCTTGATGTTTGCGTGGCCCTCGAGACTCCCAAAGAAGCATCGCTTGGAGGCGTTCTCCCATAATACCACATCGAGTTCCTTGGCGTACTGCAAAACCAACTCGTAATCCGCTTGCGACGCAAAAGCGGTGTATAAAAAGCCTATACAACCACTTTATTAGTAAACTTTACGAAAAAGATAAAAATGGGGCACCTTCTCTGGACTTGAGGCGATTTTTCTCGAGTTCCCACAGTCGTATTTGGTCCTGGACGGTCACTGGAAGCAACGGGTTCTTGAAGAATCATCAGTAAAACAGGGGACGTGAAAGTGCGGGGTAGTTCCTCACATTCTTTCTCATGTTGGGATGCGCATGTGTGATAAGGTAACTGATTATCTATCTTGCGCGTTAAAGCCATTGGGCGCCAGGTGAAGGACGGGTACGCACCTGGTCGGCCGAAATTCCATTCAGAAGCGCCTTCTTCACACTTTCCCTGGTGATAGAACCAACGACAAGATTCGGGAAGCGATACTTCAAGGACGCAAAAAGGCTCAAGACGGCTGTTTGCAAGGGGTTGTCTGCGAAGAAGTCAGTGGGAGCAAGCGAGTAATATGGAGCGGATGACCTGTATACGCATAGATGCGGTAATTAGTCTCGAGAATGATAAAGCCTTCTTGTGGCCCAGAGCTAGCTCCTGATGTGGAAGGCAGAGGTGGAGAAGAAGAAGTTAGTGTGGTGGAAAGACGGGTGGGGCTGAAACGCTTGGATGTTTGCTAATTTGAACGAGGATAAGAAGCAAGGCTGGATTAGAATGATCGAAACAAGTACCTTGCGTTGCCAGATTAGGCCGTAGTCTCGCAAGTCTTCCAGCATAGCCGACTGGGTCTTCGTTAGGTTTTGGACGGAGTACTCCTGTTAATCGGCTCATCAGCGTACCCCGAGGTGCTAGGAGCGGTGCCACGAACCCGTCCAAGTTCCATCGTTGACAGCATGAAGAAGAAGCTCAGGACATCGACAAGGTCCATTCTCCGTTGCTAGAGTTATTCTTTAGTGGATGGATATTGAAAGATGGTCACGAGAGACAAACCTCTGCCAGTTGCAGGTACTGGAGCAAGAGATGCCACAGTTGCTCGTGCGGGGAATGCAGGAGAAATTGGAACCCAGCAGAGGAGATATGAAGAGCATCGCTGCGATTTGATCAGAAACAGGCAACAGACTACGCAAGAGACGTTTACTGTATTTCGTTCATGAGCCCGCTTGTTTTCAAGAGGAATCGTACACCTGGTGAGGGTTCCGTTGGGCGCTGTCCGCTTCCAGACGATACCATGTAGTGTAAAATTGTCTAGGGGAGGTAATTAGTCGTTCGAATCACCAGGAGGGGCAGAACGCATACCTCCCACCGTTCCAGGGCGTAGGCATCCAGAGCAGCTATACTTGGCGGACCCCGCTTGTCTTCTCTGTCTGGTGGTATTCTGCCGTCGTCCTTCTTCTCGTGATCTACGGCAGGAACGCCGAAGCTACCGCTTGATCCACTGTAACGGCGTTCAGCTCTTCGTTAGGCGACAATGGACCCTGACGATAGGTACCCTCCAGTAATGGCCTGTCTAAACCCCGATTTGAATGTCGAGTTGAGCGCCAACTTTCCCGTTGCAGTAGGCAATATGTGAAGACGGGAAAGCGTCGCTAGTGCCTCGTCATAGAGCCTGTGCCCTCGCATTGTTATTGTGATACATGCTAAGGATTCCAACAAAGAGCGTTACGGTTTCGCTTCTCGAACAACCCAAGCTGCCAGAGTAGATGTAGGTATGGCCGATTCCAGCCACAGAAGATTCAAGATTATCTGTCGTTCAAGCGATGACAACAGTCTACAAAGACGACATGTCAGAGTTTACAAGGTGTTCACCAGAGAAGTGGGGCGCAGGTTGACCGAAATATTGACAGACACGAGGATGGCTTCTGATACAGCCTCGTCAACGTATTTTGGGATTGAAGTTGCAGAAACGGGAGCAAAACATGTTCCTTCTTCACTTTGGTGGCATCGCCTGTGGGATTTTGGGCCTTCATCGTCGTCGCCGGTATCCAGAGAGAAGAGAAACAGAAACAAGCAGCGCGCACCGCCAGACCCTCGCGCGACAAGTATAAGGTTAGGGTTACTGCAAACCCCGTGGCAAACGGGACACGTGAGGCACCGACGCGTCATTAAGCGTGTTAGGGCCTCGAGGCCCGTGTTGCAAGGGCGGATCGGCAACCAGAATAGTAACTCTCATCATGTCGGGACTATCCGTTCACTCTGCGGCTCAGAACAGTGAGTAGTACTTTCAGCCGAGGTCGGAAAAGGTTCTAAAGTCTACCCAGACCAGCTGTCGTTGCTTAGGACGTTGCTTGCCGAGAACCCTGCTCTCGTAAACTCTGTAGACGTGGTATTTAAGCTCTCATTTATCTAAATATTTCGGATTCAACTCATGCGGAAGCTAGGATGAAAGGACGCCGTTGCACTGGGCGGCGTCTTCAGGTTCTCTGGATGTTGCGCGCTTCCTCATTGACCAGAAGGCAGAAGTCGATAAAGTGGACAACAGTGGTTGGACTCCGCTCCACATCGCAGGTAATAGTCTTCCGGTTTTGCTACACTGTTGCGCACTCATCGTCCTATACTATCGCACCTCAGTCAGTGCAGGGAATTACGATATCGTTCAGGAATTGATAGGCGGTGGTGCAGACGTAAACAGGCAAGTGGGATAGGCTTTACCATGTCACCGTTCAATGGGTCGAATTTCTTCTATGATCCAGAAAGAACGATAAAGGCATAACACCGCTGTAAGTCTCACCACAAGGCCTTCGTTGTAGCAGCTCCTTTATGCCATGCATCAGGCATTATGCAGCATCCAAGTCTCGAATCGACGTACGCTGTCAATCTGACAGTATCACGCGGCTTTCCTGATCCTTTATTTAGATTGGCAAGCTCTTGATTTCGCGAGGTGCAGACGTACGTGTTTTCGCAAACCATTCATGACCGAGGAGTTCTCATCCAAAAGCAAAAGTATAACGCGAGGGACAATGCCAACCAACTCCCTTTGTACGTAGCCTATCCATTTAACCTCTCTCGGAGTTCTTTTCTGACCTCTCAACTTCGCGATACAGACATCGTGCAGCGACCACAGGCTCGACTGGATTCATTCGACTCCTTCTCGAATCCTCCACGCCTTCAAACAAGCTTAGATTGAACACGGCCGATCGCGTTGGTAAATCACTCCCCATTCCGATTCTCTTGTTCCTTGAGCTCACTCGAGAAATTTCGCTGAATTTCGTGTCCTCTTATAGGCAATACTCCACTGCATCTTGCGATGGAGTCGGCGCATGCTGAAGCAGCTGTTCTCCTCATTAACGCAGGGGCTGACCGTACTCGAGTAAGTGTGATCGCCGCCGCTTCGACCATATTACTTAGATTTGTCGAAAGGAAAATTTGGATAGCGAAATCCCGGAGGCTGTACCCGGTGTTGGTGGCCAGGAGCAAAAGCAAGCTCGCCAATATGTCATTGACCATTGCGGCAAGCCATGAGAGGATGTTCAGCAGTCCTGATCTGATCCACCCCGTCGATTATCTGTTTGATGCAAACGGTGATCCTGACTACGCGAAAGTTCAATCGGATAGCTTTAACCCCTCACCATCTGTTCTGAGCAGTGGTCTCAAGAATTCCGAGCTCCTCTTCATCGAGTGTACAAGAATTCTCGCAATGTGGAGAAATTGGTGCTTCCATTTGGTTTAGTAGAAAATTTTACATTTCTGTTTATCAGGAGAAGCCTCACTGAAGCGAACGGAGCGGGTTTGAGGGAAGCTTTTCGACTCATCCAGGCCATCTGCAGACCTCTAGTGTTCCACATGGTGTCCCTGAATTGAAGTTATTCACTTGTCCTGACAGCCGACGAGAAAGGAACCGGGATCGTCGTGGAGAGCCTTGAATAACCTCCGGAAAAACTCGTTGATAATTTACGTTCAAAGAATTTCCCCCATTCCTGCGGTTGCGTTGCGCGTCCTCAAAAGGCCCACTCACTCCTACCGGTGATACACGTTTATCCGGATGGCCTATCTCTCCAAGCCAGCAATATTACCTTCCTCATTTGGCGACAAACCAAGGTCCGGAACTGTGAAAAAGAAGTCTTGTCGTCCATATTCCCGTATCGCGGTGCGATTTGGTACCCAACGATTGGCTACGATAAAACACGGTTCATAACCACTGCCCACTCTTCAAATGGCATAAACTGCCCAAATTCCCTCAACCTGATACGAAAAGGAACACCGACTTCTCGGATACCTCATCCAGTCTTCTGGATTCGGAAATTGGCATCCATGGTGATGAGTGGGTGTTCAATATGTTACTCCTTCAAGGAGATAAAGGACCAGATCCACGTTCACCTGAATCCGATACCCGGGAATTTTAAGGTCAGGACGAAAGGCAAGGGTCCTGCGGGGTTGGTGGATAGTTTAAGCTCTTCCACTTCGACCCCGATGGAAATCCCAATCATCATCCTCGGAAGGCCAAACAAGTTCGGAGTGATTGATGGCCCTGATGCGTGCTGACAAACAGCGGAGTCCAGCCCGATTGAGGCTTGGCATCGTGGCGGACGACATCGGAGGCAAAGTAAAACCCTCCTCGAAACCCGACGTGTCATGTTCAGCGCATAACTGGAGTCAGCGCTAGAGGCTTTTCGCGTCCCCAATGCCTATAGCTTGCTATCTCTGAAAGTGTAGCCTTGAGCTAAGCTACCATCCAGGGCGTTATCATACGTGATGCGCCAAGGTGAGTAAACCGAAAGGTATTTCGATGCAGCACATCTAACGGAATATTTCACAGAGCAGGTTCTGCTCAAGTTTCTGAAGTATTCCTATTCTTTATCTTTGGTCACGCTCTGTCAAGACCTAATGCCCCTGAGGCCCGAGTTGCACACGAGTGTTCCCTCGCACACTCCAGATCCCGCGGTGTGAAACCCGAGTTCTCCATCGGTCCTTGCTCTCGTTCCTGATCCTTGTGTCCCACACCTCGTAACCCCCATCCACGGCCTTGCATCTCCAAAGCTCGAACCTGAACAATCCGACCCCCACCTTGGTGGTTCTGAGTGCTATCTCTTTGTTCGCGCCTCCAAAGCTTCATTTCTGGGCCTCTCCGCCGCACCTTTGCCCGTACGAGAGTTAGCTTTCAGTAAATGCAAGGCTCACCAGCTCTACGGTGCAGTCTTCAGTTTGCCTTCTCATTTACCTATACCTGATGGTTCTCCAGCATCGGTGTTTCAGTCCCCATACTCCTGTCACAGCCGCATTTGTAGAACATTGTGGGCATAACTACACTTCTGATCATCTTATCGCCTGTGCCATGACAGGGGCGCATCTACAGACTGAAACCACTCGGGTGTTTGGGATCGATGAAGACCGGAGGTTTAGTGGACGTGTACGTTTGGTGTACGTGGTTATCTATCAAACCCTCTGAAATCATCTTGCGAGTCATCTCCTCCCCCTCGATCAAGACGGTCAACACGTTCTCAGCGATGACGAGAGGCAACACAATGCCATCGACGTTCATTTGACCTGTCGCGCCCATTCGTCCTCGTTGACTATCCCGAATGTCCGTTTCTTGGGAAACCCGTACTGACTCCCTTCAAGCCATCCGGAAAACATGCCCAATAAACGAGCTTCTACGTCAGACTTTTCGCCCGTATCGAAGCAGACAACATTGAATGAAAACGCAAACACGTGTATGAACGAAGGACATTCTACGTGCTGATATGCGCCATCACCGCCTGTGTAGGCCTGAGCGTCGCTCTATTGGCGTTACAGTGCTGGGAGCGGCTGTAGGCGCCGGCGGACCCATTGCTGGTCCCACACATTTATACGGCTGGGCCTTCAACCCTCTCCGCTGACATGTCCACAGTACCCGATAGTATGAAACCACAAGGTCTCTGCACTGCCGATGACGACCCGAAGCCAGCATTGATCTCGTATATGATGGCGAAGTGTTGGAGGAGACGGCACGACATTGGCCAAGGAACAAACGTCCGATCGCGTTGCGATGCGGGAGACTTGTGTGTCAATCTACCAGGCTTCCCCTAGTATGATTGTCCGCAGACAACTGACTCTAAAATTGTACGTCCACGTTATGTCCAACCCAGGGTTATCCCGGTGACATGTCCATTCCGGTGAGGCTCGTTTATTTCCTTTTCTGCGATCCAACATGGCTGAAGTTTCCTTTTCATTTGAGGCAGTAGTTCATCGTAAAGGTGTTCTGGAATAACGCGTTCCTGAAGGAGCTCTTCCTGGAGACCGGCATGGTTGCGCTCTCTCGTCATGAAGCGCTTAGGACGATCTCATCAGGGACTGTCAGGCTTGAACGAAACGGGAACACATTGTTTTTGATTCCAAGGACCAATTGAGGTGGGACCTCTTCTGTTAACTGGCCTCTCTTCAGCCTTCATTGTGTACTTATCGTTCTGACTTTGCTCACCACTTACTGATGGGGCAACTTCTGAGCGCCTCCACCTCACCCACCAGCGCTGGCGGGAGGGGGTTTGGCCGTTCCTGGCGCCAGCAGCATCTGATGGCATTGATCCCGGCCGGAACGTCAGAAACAGCAACTTCGATGTCCATTTTGGGTGTGCCGTTCGAGGGTTCCCAAATGATTTTGATCATTCCATTGGAGCTGCACACGCCTTCTGGATCTTCTGCAGAAATTTTCGTTGGAGCTAGGGAACTGGGCCCATTATCGCCAGGGAGTCGCTTTTCTTCAACTCGGGACGACTGGAACGGGCTGCAGAGAGGGTGGAGAGCGGGGACTGTAACGGAATGAATGGTAAAATTGGAAACTGACAAGCAATGAGAAACGGCCGGGGTGAACGTATAAACTGACTATCTCCGGTCCTTGTTGGGAGCAACCATCACACGGTGATGGCTACGTGACATTTCCTTTATAGATTTGTATTCATATCGCAAATCTACCCTTACGGCTTGTTCAACTTCTTCCTTCTTATCCCTCATCCCTGTGGTTGGTGGCCCCCCACACAGATCCCTTTTTCTCTCTCTCCTCGCCTCTGATTACGACCTCTACACACTCTCTCATAGACAACATTCTTTTCAGAACCACTTTCTTTCACTAGACTCAAACCATGGTTGGAGCCGCAAGAGCTTTGGCCGCAGCCCTCTCGCTGGCCACAGCAGCCAATGGATATTGGCTGATGGGCGCAGACTTCATCACCACAGAGCGTATCGACCCCATTGTAAACCCAGGGCAAGTCTCTGGCCACGTCCATTCAGTGGTCGGAGGCAGCAACTTTGGGTTCGAGGCTTCGACAGAACTGCTCACGCAGAGCCAGTGCACCTCTGTCCCCATCAAGGAGGACAAGTCCAACTACTGGTTCCCCCATCTGTACTTCCAGTGGGCCAACGGCAGCTTCTCCAGCGTCAATGGTGGCGCGGTCATCTACTACCTCTTCCCCGATAAGCCAGGCGCAACCAAGGCTTTCCCCCCTAATTTCCGCATGCTCAGCGGAAATCCAAGGAAGCGGAGCTACGATCCCAACAGTCACGCACAGCAAGCCGTTGATTTCCTTTGCCTCGATTTCAACGGACAGACGACTCGGCATACTGGTCTCCCCGACAAGGTCTGCCCTTCTGGCATTCGCTCCCAGGTCAATTTCCCGAGCTGCTGGAACGGCAAAGACGTCGACTCTCCCGATCACAAATCCCACGTCGCCTTCAGATCTGGAGGTCCTGACAAGGGAGAATGCACGGACCCGAACTTCCCTGTTAGCCTTCCTCGTATTTTCCTCGAGGTTTACTGGGGAACGGGAGAGTGGAATGCCTTGCGCTCTCAGGCAATGAACCCTTCTCAGCCTTTCGTGTGAGTACCACATTGTCTTAACATGTACGACCTCATGACTCAAGCTGCCAAATAGCTTCTCTTATGGTGACAGGACTGGATATGGAAACCACGCTGGTGAGTTAGCTTTTGGACAAGAAATAGTTTGCCGGATTCTGAACAACGCCTTTTCAGACTTCTTCAACGGATGGGAAGACGGTGTCCTTCAGCGCGCTGTCGACGGTTGCAACTGCAACATCTATGGTGATGTAAGCGCTTGTATGTCGCAACTAGTGCGGAACACATTCTTATCTTTGTTATTACAGCCCCAGTGTTGCGCCGACAGGGGCATCTTCACCCTTACCAAGGGTCAGCAATGCAGAATCACGAAACAGGTCGACGAAACCAGTATGTCTGAGGTCATACTTCACGTAGGGATATTGACCCACTGCTTCCCAAAGCCACCGGCATGCTTCCAAAACTCCCAGGCAACAACCCTGTCCAAGAGGGGCCCGGCGACGCTAACATGCTGATGTCCAATGTAATCCCTGGAAGGATTTCGCCGGTCTACGTTTACACCGGAGCCCAGCCCACCACCAGAGGCAATGTCGTGATTCCCGCCACCACTATCGGCGGTGGGGACTCCGCGCCTTCTAGCACCCCCGCTATCTCCAGCTCTAGCGCAGCTGCTGCTCCCTCTTCTGACGTTCCCGCACCCAGCAGTTCCCCTGCCGCCGGTCCATCACCATCGGACACACCTGCCTACCCTGCCCCCGGCGACGACGAAACCGAGCATCCTGCCCCAAGTGAGCCACCTACTTCTAGCCCTGCCATCACGATTTCTGTTCCCGACCATACTCCCCCCGCCACGCTACCACCATCCCCGGTCGTTCCTTCACCTTCTCCGGAAGAGCCCGCTCCTTCCCCCGAGGAACCAGCGCCTGAGGAGCCCACCCTTTTGCCCACCGAAGAACCAGCTCCCTTGCCTACTGAAGAGCCAACTCCTTTGCCCACCGAGGAACCAGCTCCTTCACCCACTGACCAGCCAGCTCATCCCGAGCCAGATCCTTCCACTGATGTCGTCGCACCCACCGATGCGCCCACCATCCCTGCCCCTCCTGCTTCACTCCCTCATGGCACCATTACCCTCGTTCCAGCACCTCCCGCAGGATCCCCAACTAGTGCAGGCCAGGCAACGAGCGTCCGAACGTACATCAGCACGATTAAGGTCAAGCCGACGGCTGGATGCAAGAAGAAGTCCCACCATGGTCACGGCCACCACCATGGGCACCTCAAGCCAAAGCCTGGCAAGCCCAAGCACCACTACCGCCGCAGGTTCTCTTCGTCCTCGAAACGACGATATGACTTTGCGGTTGATGATTATTATTACCTCAACTAACGGCCTTTTCTCCCTCTCTCGGCGATGGGAGATTAGGGAGCGGTGGAGGGAGATCGGATCCTCCATCTTCTCCTTCTCACCTATTGCCTTCGCCTCGTCTCCGCGTCCCTTCTTATGACGAACCCCCTACTCGATCCTGGCATCGAGGGATTCCCTTTGACGACGATACCATGGCCCGTTCTTTCTGTAACCCATTCAAGTTAGATATGCTCGGTCATTTCTATTAGGTGTTACTGTTTCTTTTGGTTGGCAGCCCAGCATCGCTTGCGAGTAGGGGCCATCCAATCTGCATATCTTTTCGCATTGGCTTCAACCATTTCTCATCTGCTACTGTCTAGCTTTCATCCCACTCTCGGTCATTCTCTCTCGCGCATTGCATCGCTTCCAATTCTCCTTGCATATATCCTGGTCTCTTCATTTCTCTGCCTCTCTCTCTCTTTCCACGTAGTTGGGATAACGGCAAGTCCGCCCCATCAGGTCTGCACATATTCATCTTGCTAGTTCAAGTGTCATCCATCGTAGTCAGTATCTCTGACAGTAGATCTGTCTCGCGTGTCGTGTAGATATCCAGTCTTATAGCTTGCTATTGCCAATGGATATCCTTATCGAGCCGCACACAAGCGTTAGAATGTAGAGATGAAGATCTTATTTAAGTATGTGAAAGACCACTCCAGTGTATGTACGTGCGAGTCAAGTAGATGTAGGGGAGGATGTGAATGGAAGGCGCAGAGAGCCGACAGTCAAGCAAGCAAGTGACCCCACATACGAGTCAGCGACAGCGACAGCATATCCACACGAGATTCGCCATCCGGCGTTAAGCGAATACCGGGATTGCACCTCTAGGGCCCTTCTCCAGTTCACTCAACACAGCGATCGAAGCAGCACCTCGTTTCATCGGTATCTGTCTCTCCTTCTCTGGACCCCACACCCCATTGATCTTGACGCTCACATGCAAATGTCCGCAGTTGGGCACGGGACAGCGCCATTCGAACTCTTCTTCCACCTTGTTCTTCTTGCCGGCTGCTGACTTGGCTGCGCCTCGTTTCCGCTTTCTGGAACCAGAAGGTGAAGGAGGTACAGCTGTAGATGGATCATGGCTTGGGGTAGGGTTATGGCTTCTGTGGCTGTTGGCGGGGGTAGAGCTCGATGAAGAAAGCTGGGTCTGGGATCTCAGTCGAGAACGGATCGTGTTCCCTTCGGGAGAAGGTTCGCGGGGGATATTGGTTTCGTCTTGGAGGAGTGATGAGGAAGAGGTGTTGGGTTCTTCGCCGTAGGGAATGAGCGTTGCTGGTTCGGCTTTAGCCTTGCCTTTTCCTTTCAGATCCAGGACCATAGGTGGTTGCCCAATTTCATGCAAGCATTTGCCATCGATTAGGTGTCCACAACGAAGGCCCCAGATGCGGCGTTCGGTGGCTTGGGAAGGGAAAAGACCAGAGTTTAGGACCAGAAGGTCTAAACAACGCGCACAAACCAGGGTCGTAACAGGTTTAGTACTCTCTCCAGCCGTTTCTGCGTTCGCTTCTTCTTCGTCATCATCTTTAATAACAATGGGATTTGATGAGGATGAGGTTGGGAACCCAGGGGGGCTCGATTCGGTTGGAGATGAAGGCGCAAAGCTGTATGTGAAACCTGCCTCTGCTTTGCAAGGATGTGTGTAGCCGGGGAGATAGTGTTCAGGCTCACGGAGAGGAGAGCGATATCTATCTTCAAGTCTTTGGCCAGGACCAGGCAGGTCTGCAAGCCGACCCCAGTCGTCGCCGAAATCGAAATCCAGGAAGTCTCCGTATGATGGGGGAGGATATATTCGACGGAGTGGATTGAAAGGGCGGTTCCGTCGTTCTGCCATCAGTCTTGCCCTATTGTGAGCGATCAATCCCCCTCCTAAACCAAGACTGGGAACATGGTTGGATCGTGGTGCTGCGCGGGGGGCCTGAATATCACGGGAAGCGTTGGAGGGCCCTGCCACAGGAGGTGAAGGCGGTCTAGTGGGCGCGAGACGTTCGAAGGGGAATTCGCGATCGACTGGAACGACCGGTGGTACGGAAGGGGCAGTGGCTCTAGCGGTGCGTGAGCGACCGACGAAACTTGTCTGGCTTGCGTATCGCCTGGGAACTCTGGGAACTGGAGGCGGATTTGAACCTATTCTCTGCATCTGAGGCGGTGGTGGCGAGAAAAGCCTTTCGCGTTCGACTTGGGAGACGGTCAGAAACCAGTTAGGAGAAACCAAAAAAGGATGCATACTTGGTCGTGTGGGGCGACGGACTTGGATAACTTGTACCTCATCGTCACTGTCGTCGTCGAGCAGGGAAATAGTATCCCTGGGCTGAGAATGTCGCTGGGAAGGCGCCCTTGAACCCGTTGGTCGCTGGCCGACGTCGTCATCAAGCAGGTCGACATCAATAACTTCGATGGAGCTGGTCTGTGGTGTTCGTTGTTGGTGGTGGGAGCCTGCGTCGCTCAGCGTCGATACAACTCTATTCACGACGGCTGCCATGGTTTGTGAGGGGCGGTGGAGAACGTCGTGGTCGATGTACAAAAGACTTTAGCCGCCGTCGCCGTTTCTGAGTCTCGCAAGGCATCCATCACTCGGCACGTGATGCCGAACTCGGGTGGCGGGAATTACCCGAAGTCGATGATGGCGGTCTTCCCGCGCCTTCGCTTCGTCGATGAACGCGGCGCAGGGTGAAGGGCGATGTTGATGGCGAGGCCGCCATAATGCGGGCTCACCTGATGAAAATTCTTGTCAGCTAGTCCAGCTTGGTCAAGCGGGCGGACTCTCTAGCGCTACATACAGCCTAAATAACATACCAGGGTTCTGAAGACTGACTTGAGGTGCACTCAATTCTTCGGTGAGGATGCGTTCTCTATTTCACTACTTGCGCAGTGCGAGCCATGGTGACCAATATTGACTAATTTTGTGGGAAAGTACTAATCTATGCCATCTTCCTCGTAGAAATTCCGGTCACATAGTCTGTGGACATGCACGGGAGTGCTTCTTTCCTCGCTGCCGCCGTCACCCTTTGACACTAGAAACTAATACCTACTACATTCCGCTATCCGACTGGAACGGCCACCGCTTGTAACGGTCTTTCTTGAAGCGAATGCTCACAAGGTATGATAAGTACTGTCATCTGAATGGACACCCCTCTCAGGCTCTCTATCCAACGCAGTTGCCACTGAATAATAAATGAATCATTTGTAGCTTGGCTCCCCGTGGGTCAAGTGGGTTGACAAACGCTATATCCGCTGTCGTCGAGCAGGTATTCCACCCGCATCCATCGGACTGTATCCTCCAATTTTGTGGTATCGAATGCAGAGTCCACTACCCCACACCAACATGGCTTGGATGATGCTGTGCATCCCGGCTTTTCAACGGTTATTCACTGCAAAGACTATCACCAGTACGGCCTATCAGTTTACCTTGTATAGTATATTTTTACTGAATTAGCGCCTAGTTGAGTTGTTGACCGCCAATTCCCGCGAGGCCTACAAGGATGCGCATATGCATGCTCTGCTGAGACCAAACAATCCCGCCCAGCGGAAATGTCCGCAAATTGAAAATTCTGACCACACCGGGATCCCCTGGAAGTGATGCTCGAGGACGTATCGACGACAGGTCCGACATGGCCTTGAACCAACTAAGCACCCGCTGCGGGTGGACTATCTGAGTGTTGGATTTCGCAACTGGAACAAAATTACTCTCGTATGTTGCTACTTGCTACCAGTTGGCCATGTCGAGCTTACCTCTTCACGATAGGGACAAATAGGCGATCCAACCCATCACCCACTTCTCCAGCTGAAGTATCTTCATTATTATGGCCTAGACGTAAAGCATCGCACGAGGTGACTTCCAATGCTGGTTCATCGCCACGACGCTCGACTGTGTTATTGGTGGTTCTCTTTCAAAGCTTAAAACTTATCTCGATCTTTGGGAGGATCACCTCCGGTCATTAACAGCCGTTTCCTCCTTGATGCTGTTCCCGCGTTCCTGGAGAAACAGTAGGTCGCCTACGAGGCGCCTCTATAAAACCATCTTCGAGCTTTATCCTGATAACACATAGAACAGGTTCTATCCGGAATTCACTAGTCCCGGACAGCGAATGCTACAGGAAAATTAGCGAGAAGTCCTGTCCGGCTGTCTGGGCTTATCAAATCGGTCTCTAGAAACTTACATCCGCTTTCATCTACACTGCTTCTTCGCTACTCCAGGGACCTTTTGTATGAAATGGGCGAACCTCCGTAACTATATAAATCCCTGTCAGTTCTTTGCCTGCCTTCAGATGCAAGGGTGCGCTGACTTCGCTTCTCGTCACACGGTTTCTGCCCTGCAGCCACTCTATCCTTGTTTAAAGCTTTGGCTTTCCTCGTTTCCTTCAGCCTCGTCCAGCGTCATGCCAAGTCCCGCGGGAGCGCTTCCCAAGTCCTTCATACTTCCCGACCTGGTCAACGACTGCCCATTCCCCCTTCGAGTCAACCCACTCTGCGACGAGGTTGGGAGACTATCCGAGCAATGGTTCCTCCGCCATGCAAATTATTCGCCCCCTCGGGCAGTGGCGTTTATGGCACTCAAAGCGGGCGAGCTCACTGCTGCATGCTACCCAGATGCCGATGCCTTCCATCTCCGAGTCAGCGACGACTTCATGAACTTCCTCTTCAATGCCGACGATTGGCTAGACGACTTCGACATTGAGGACACGTACGGGCTGGCCAATTGTACTGTTCGAGCCCTGCGCGACCCAGTCAACTTCATTACTGATAAACGCGCAGGACTAATGACGAAATCGTGAGTCGTTTTCATTTTAATTTCACCGTCGAGACTCGAGCTTTCCGTAGATATTTTTCTCGATTCCTGAAGACCGCTGGGCCTCGCTGTACAGAGCGCTTTATCCAAACGTTGGCGCTCTACTTTGAATCAGTAGTAACGCAAAAGCAAGCTCGTAACAATGGCACTTTGCCCGATTTAGAGAGCTACATCACCATTCGAAGGAATAACAGCGGCTGTAAACCTTGTTATGCACTCATCGAGTTCTGTGCTGGCATTGATTTGCCGGACGAGGTTATCAATCACCCAATTATTCAATCGCTCGAAGATGCTTCGAATGACCTTATTGCTTGGTCGAACGTAAGTGTTTCTTCGATGGTTCTTGGATCGTTCCTTACTGCTTGGTATTATTGATTGTGCTCACCCATTGTACCAGGATATCTTCTCTTTCAACAGGGAGCAATCTCGCCACGACAGCTTCAACATGGTTTCCATCGTTATGCACCAGAAGGGCTTTGCGCTTCAGGAAGCTGTCAACTTTGTTGGAGAGCTTTGTAAAAAGGCGATGGAACGTTTTCAGGCGGATAAGAGGAATCTCCCTTCATGGGGTCCAGAGATTGACGGGGAGGTCGCAATGTATGTTGATGGGCTGCAGAATTGGATAGTCGGTATGTTTCTACGACCAGACTTACGTCGTTGGCGGAAGGATATATACTTACCATTGAGCGATAGGGTCTCTAAATTGGTCCATCGACGGGACAGAGCGCTATTTCGGCAAAGACGGGCCTGGAATAAAGAAGCATAGAAAAGTCAAGCTATTCCCCAAGCGCCCATTGAAAACACCTGCTGTGCGGGTTTTGGCCTAACTTATCGAGGGTTGTGGACCCTTATAGTATATACGACGACGTATGTTTTAGACTTTGTAATTACGGATCTACTTAACAAAAGGTCTGGTCACCGGTCATTTATCATCTGCACAGTGGTGTAGATTTGGCTCCTCAAGCCCTCGATGCAAGTGCCGATAGATTGTCTATGATGGAGTGGCTCGTCCTAAGCGCTGCCACTAAGCTGGTTGGGGCAGAGAACCTGTGAGCCCCTTCCTCCCCGACGATTAGATTACTAACGGAATGGGAAAGCTTTCTCAGTCGTGTAGCAGCTTCCCATCGCTTCGAACACACACGAGGAGGACTGTGAGTTGATTCTTCCTACTTCTTCAATGGATACTTGTGTTCTGATAGCCATCTATACACAACACCACCCTTTCCTGTGATTTTGTTACCAGATCCCCCGGATCTAGTGGTCGCCAAATTCCCCTCTCAGTGATCCGCGCTCTTCTTCCAAATTTAGGTATCGCGTATCCGCCTTCGGTACGATCAATGGCCATGTTGCTCGTTACCCGCACCTTTGATGGGTCCAGGTCCCTTTTTTTCCAGTTCCACACCACCCCATGGTACCTCCAGTCGACGAGCAGACCAAACCACATATGAGGAAGGTAGGTCATATACACGTTCATTCCATTCTGAAAGAAACTAAAAGAAACAATGTACGATACAAGGTCGAATATCCGACACCACTGTGATAGATAACTAGATCCCATTCAATAATAGACTGTTTAATTCCACTGAGCAAAAGCATGAGTGTATGATCATATGGCAGGCCCCAACTTTATGCCAGGACCTGATCCACTAAACTTCATCGTTCGTCATAGCGAGCACGTTTGCGCGAACCCGAATCGTCTTCGCGATGGCTGGAATAGTTTGAATAGCCTTGCGATTGAGGTCTTCCCGCTGGCGGTTCAAGTTGCAGAAGCGAATCGTTATACACGTGTTTCATTTTGCGAATACAGGTTGTTGATACATGCAATATGATCGAGGCAGTGGAGAGCGCGATAGCGTGGCGACATGCGAAAGAAGAACAGAAAGAATAGTAAGCACAACATGCCGGGTGAATACAACAGAAAGGGCGAAAATAACAATAAAGAGAAGATCCGTGGATGCAGTGTCTGAGGATTGAATCCAATAATTGAGGTGTAAACGGCTCGAAAGCGAATGGGAGTTATCCAAGAAGGTGGATCAAAAATTCGTACCCATTCCGCCCATCATCCCGCCGCGTCCTCCACCCATCATCCCTCCCCTCGGTCCTTGATGGCCGACGCCGCGACCAGCGAAACCACCTCGCCCACCAGCAAAGTTCCCAGCAGCCATTCCCATGCCACCCATGTTAGCCATATTAGCCATCGCTGCCGCCACATTGATGTTATTCATCCCTGGCAATCCCATCGGCAGGCCCATAGGCATATTGGGCATGTTCATCCCGCCCATCATGCCCGGCAGTACTGGAGGTGTGTTGACACCACCACCCATCATACCGCCGCGGTTGCCAGCGTTGAGGTGACCTCCTCTATTGACGAACCCTCCGCGCACCTGGCCCGGTCTATTCTCTCTTGGAGGTGGATCTACAGAAAGCGTTAGTCACACCTTTGGGCAGTGGACGTATATCGCTGACCTTTCGGTAACGTTCGGAACGGATTGCCCTGAGATGAACTTGTCAGGGTTGCGGTCGCTCGTCGATTCTGGAATTCACTACGTTCATCAGCCATGGTTTACGGAGCATTCGACATTCGAGACTCACTTGTTATCAAACCACTGTTTCAACGTTGCTGCAGCTTGCGGACTGTGACATTCAATATAGGCAATGCTGTGCGAGATGACATCAGATGGAGAATCCGAAAATGTTAAAGCTTCGAAGATCAGGCTCACCCTTTGCTCTTTCCATTAACTTTGTGTTCGGAAAAGGTTATATCTTTATAGTCGATGTTAACACCGACACTTGCAGCAACCTTGCGCAAATCTTCATCCGTTGTCCACTGTTAAAAGAAGATAACAAATTGAGAACAAAATGCATTTAATTACGACAAGGCAAGAAGTACGGACCCATTGCAAATCTCCAAGGTAGACAGCGTCGTGAACCCCGCCCGAGCTGTCGGTATCCATAGACTGTTGCTGTTGCTGCGAGCTATAATTACCGTTCATTCCGGTGTTGGACCCGTCGGTCTTGCTCGTGGGACGGGACATGGGTGGCGGATGCTGATGGTGATCGTCGTCTTCTCTAGAACGTTTATCGCCAGTCAAGGGTTCGGGTTTGGTGGTGACAGCGGGGACCTTCTGGGGCTAGAGCAATGTTCGGTCAATCCATGCGGCTAGTGGTCAGTGGATTAGACGTACCTCATCGTGGCCTTCCTCGCTGTAGAAATCATAGTCGTCTTTATTCATTTTCCTTCAAACGGTTTCGAAGGGTGAGCGGGGGGGTTGAGATGGGTGTCTGCTGTTTATTGGGTTGATGACTCAAGTCTGGGAAGAGTTTCTGTAACACTGTAGAAGGAATACGACGATGGGTCGTGCGCAAGTCCTTCTGAGCAACCTTATGCTCTGTTAAGAAAGGGGTGAAGGGCGGTTGGTGGGAACCAAGTTTGAATGAGCACAAGACCAATGTTTGAGTATATCAACGACACAAATGACGACGATATTAATGACAGGCCGAGCGACAAACAACAGAGATTTCAGGCGTTTTCGTGTAGAGTCTACTCTCGTTTCTGGGAACAAGAGCCGGAAACGCGCGTATATGCGACGGACAAGGTATCTATATGACATACATTGAGGGGGAAACGTGGCCAACGACAGAGAAAAGCTCTTACAGGACGATTTAAGGAGATACAGGCGCGTTACAGGTCGTAAAGTACGGTCAAAGGAGAGCCTAGACGCTGTCGTTAACGGCGAGCACGAGGAAAAGGCGATGGAGCGATGGAGATGGTGGTGGTCGGAGATCAAGAAAGGTTCTCAGAACAATTTTGCTGTTCAACGGCATCCAGCAATTTGTCATTGTTTGGTTCCGAAATTCCGAACCCCAGAAAGCTTCCGTCCATCCCCAGGTGAGCCTACCCATCGCAAGGCTCAAAACCACCATGCAACTACATTACATCCCGAATTAGTATTATGCAAATTGAGTAAAATATCCATCTAATAAGGTAATGGCCGGTGGGCAGACCTGATAAGGCTGAGAGTACAGGCACATAGCGCATCTCAATATTTAATGTCGAGTAGTGCTAGTGAATATTTCATCCCTGATTAATATTATGTAGATTGGGTGAAAGATTCATTTAAAATAGTTTTAACGATGCTCTCCTGTTGCACCAGCCAAGTCGCGAATGCCGGTGACCGAAGCCATCTGGGGGAGTCAAATTCAATATCAGCAATGTGCGGCGCAAGGTAGCGAAACGACACCGCGCACCTCTCGTAGAACTCTGTACGCCGACTGGTCGACTTGAACGGAAGAGTGCTCCCATGAGCCTTCAGCGAAGCGAGGAAGTTGGCATTGTTGAATGGCTTGAGCCGGAGCGTGTTTGTTGAGCCTCGCCCGCGAGCACTCTTCACTTCTTGAGGTGTGGGTATCAAACTGTTGAGGTATCTTGCTAGTGGTGTGATTAGTTGGGTAGTCCTTGAGCAGAAGTGTCTTCGCAAATCTAGTGAAGCAGCAAGGCCTGGAGTTTCCTGTAAGTTGACCGGGTGGATTCAGGAGGTACATGTAACTCACGATCGCGGTCAGTCCCCCTGCATGCGGTTTCCAATTGTTTGAGAAGAGCGCGATCCTTCGAGATGTATCGCTTGTGTGTCTTCGTTCTCCATCCAGGAGGTGGACCAGTCGTGGCTCCCAAAGCAGGGCTATTGCCTGCAGCAGGTGTCCTGACAAAAAATGAGTCGAAAGGCCTGGAACCGCATGGAAACATTGAGCTTACGGCGTGTTTCTTCCTAAGCTCAGGACGTGGGGCCAGTGAGCGCACGACTTCTCGAAGAAAGGATTAGTCACTCCTAGAATGAGGCCAGGTTTCGGTGGTAGTTTGTTGACCATTAACGGATGGTCACCATCTTGCATTGTGAAGTAAGGCCTCATGTCGCCTGCCAGGGGGATCTGTCAAGGAATCAGATTTGCACACTGGATAACCATAAGAATACACACTGGTCGCAACAAATCACGAAGCCACCATACAGCCTGGCTAGTTTGCGCCGGTGAAGAACCGAAGATAAGGATCGGTTCACACAGCACCAAACACTCCCATATCGACCATAGGTTGGTCAGGCAAGCTTCGAACAAAAGTAGTGGTGGGGGATGGAAAGGAGCAGAAGTGGCCAGAATCTGTCGAGAAATGTCAGAGCTCTGTTGAAAGAAGGCCAGGATGTTCGTGAGCCTACATGATATCTGGGATTATACTTCTCATTGAATGAAGAGGTCTCGGCAAGCTGTTGAGCATCAATAGAATGGGGAATTTCGACATGGAGGACCGATCCCAAAAATCCGAGCTCTACGGTAGTACCAGGGGTAGGATCCGACCTTTGCTTTCCAGAATTGAAATTAGCAACGTTTCCTCAGCACTTGATACACAAGAAGCACTCACCATCCGGATATGTTGTGACACGCGGATTCTAGCATTGGAAGTCCGTGTGATTGGAAGAGAGGACCCAGTATGGAGACTAGTGAAGAGTATAGGGCCGGATATTGGTGTTGAGTGAGTAGGACGAGTGAGGCCTTTTAATTACGTTCAGTCGAATATCTTCGGCCACGGAGGATGGTCCCGACCTGTTGATAGCCACGTTTGGACGTCGGGTCTCTCTTCTGAGTGAAATGGGCAAACCCATAGATATAGCCATCACGAGTGGCAGGTCGCTTGCCTGATAGGGTTCCAGCGGAGAGATCTCTAATGCGAAACGAGTGTCCCTGTGATCCTTGGTCAAACTGTAGAGAATCCGGGAAGGCAGAGAAAGCTCTGCCGAGGTTACGTCAGATTGGGCTTGCGGATAGGGGAGAAACACGAACATATTCTCTTCCTCCGCCGGTAGGGTCTCCAGAGAGGGATAAACTCCAGAGATTATAGGACCCTCGTCTATATCAAACTCCACTAAGGTCGAGTTAGCATCAACTCGAGGATCATACGTTCGTGTAAAGCACACCTATAGCGATGCCCATAATCCACCTTTGGAGTTTCTGAACCACAGTTCCGTCGAGATTCAAATCGTTGGTTGGTCCTTTCCTGACCCTCCTGTCGCCACTACGTCGAGGTAAAGTTTGTGATCTGGCCAACTGCATCGAAGGTCGTACGGGCTTGGGCAGATTGAGGGAACTTGTGGACCCCGAAGGTGAATTGACCACTCCGAGTGCCGAACGTTGCCTCGAGGCGATCCCGTTCAGCGACGTCGTCGAGGACGTCGACGGGAACGTGTTCAACGAATCCAAGTACTTCATCGGCGTCCCGCCATAACTGCTGTTTGAGCTATGACCAGAATCGACCCTGTTCAACGATACAGATGGGGCAAGGCTGGATACCGTGGTCGTGCTGGCTTGAGAAGAGGCGGAATGTAAAGGTTGGTAAGGGCTCGTGGTGCCAATGTCTTCCTCTAGGTGATCATCGTCAAGCTGAAGCGCTGAAATCCTGCGCTCCATGTCGTATCAAGCTGAAGATACTGCAGAAAGTGCAGCAATTAGACCTGCAGAGCCAGGTTAGGAGGTCCTCATCATCGCGGGCTGGGAAAACGTTTGAACTGGGATTGATCACGTTGATCGCACCCTGTTGCGGAGATGTCGGCCTGTCATCTTCTTGTTCTCGTACCATCACCTTGCAATTTGGACGGTGGTTCACGGCGGCTTGGACACAATGTAGGCGACGACTAGGAGGCTCGTTGAGAATCATTTAGTCTCATAGAAAGACTGTTCCTATCGCGGGACATGTCCGTTTGAGAATCGTATCTGCGATCCAGATACAATGACAAAGGTGTGTTTTCGACTTTCCAAGCCCGCCTGAGTTTCGGTTCACAAAGGCTTAGAGGACAACTTTTTTCCAGTTTCTGGACAAACGCCAATCTCTCAGTGCGCAGAGGATGAGACGGTGTCGTAGCTGCGACTGCAAAGGACAAAGGAGAACTCTTGATGACATGAGCCTTTGTGTCCTTTATCCACACCCCGTTGGCCCGTCGCCCTAAAGCGCTCCCCCGGCACTCTGTTGTAATGTCCCCTTTGAATCCATGAAGTGTCCACCCACAAACCCATTGAACTTGCTCTCGAAGAAAGCTCCTCCAGAGGGCGCCGACGAAGGCCGCACCTCTCGAACTCCTGTGGTTCGAGTATAAATTCCTGACGGGCGATGATCCCCTTTGCTATCCATCTTCCTCTCGGTTCCCGTTTGTTACCTCACCAGTTGACACAGCCCATCAGTATGAAGCAAACAGGCAAAAAGAAGTTAAACACCCTTCCGAGCCTTGGGAAGATTAGCCACCCACTCCCTCTTCGACCTTCCGTCAACATGCCCCGCGGTCGTTCGAACTCCAGTAGCAGCAGCATAGTAAGTTATTTCTGGTTCCTTCATCCTGATTGCTTATATCACGATAGACCACTCAAAGTAGCAACGCGTCAACATACGGGTTCACAACTCACCTCCAGAGTGCTGTGTCTTTGATAGACTATGACGAAGATAACGGCTCTGGGTCGTCTATTGCAATCTCTGCTCTAGACGCTGCATTTTATGACAAAGGACGTGAAAGGGGTGTAGGAAAGAAACTTTGGGAATACGTCTCTTCACGGTACGCGTTTTGTTCCTCACGTTCTCCGTTTGACGTTTATATCCCCGCTTCTAGAAGACACGAAATCGGCAAGGATCCCAGGTCGTTGGCCACGAACGCGCCAATATCCCCTCCTCTTCCATCATCAAAGTGAGCATCCTTGAAGCGCTCCTCCCTCCCCTGCTAACGCCTCGCCAGACATTCGGAGATCACCGTAGGAAGGAAATCCGCTCCGATCCCAATACCTCCAAAGACGCCAGGCACGAAAGACTCTTCTCATTTACCTCTCGCCGCAGCAACGCCCATTCGGCGGACCAAAAGCATCTTAAAGAGATCCCGGCAATCGTCAAGCGTCGACTTGAAGCCAGCGCAAATGTGCCCTGAATCATCATCAGCATTGAGCTTTGCGGAGCTGGGCAAGGTAAACGCGTTCTTTGCGCAGGTGCCACCAGGATATTTGACGCGACACGCTCCCGCCAAGTTGAAGCCTCGCTCACAACCGTCAGACGATATGCCACCCTTGACGCCGCTTCCAACGGACGACTCACCTTTCCCTGAAACGGAAGAAGTCAAGACGCCAATCTATTTCACGCCTCGGATGATGGGATGGCCTCAAGGTGACGAGGACATTTCCTTCTTGCAGATGGATGAGCCGATGGACAGTCCTTCAAGTCCGTCGACGTCCCTGGGCTCATTTGATGGCGACTTTGCGGAACATGCAGTCGGCGAGAGACTTTCGCGGACACGCAACGAAGAAGTGTTCGAGGATGACCCTTTCTACATGTCTGATGAGCTCATCCCACGTCGACCATTTTGACTGTCCCTCTACATATGATGGCCCACGTTGCGCTTAGACGACGTGTATCGCGAGGGCTGTTTACGCGGGTTACATCTCGTCGTGTGCAATCTATGTATCGACTATCTGCTACACCAGTATGTCACTGATTTATTCTTTCGGAACGGGAGACCGTCAGGACAGACCCGCCCACGGTACTTGCGTTCACATCGATGACCCGACGTCGACTCCCTGGCATGCAGCCGAGTCGGAGTAGAGCGCCAAGGCTCGTGTGAACTGCCCATGAGACTCGGTCGTATCTCCACTCGAACCTTTCGACACTTCTCACTCTAGCTTTTCTTCGGAAAGCATATGTCCAGTATGTACATCGTGGTTTTCGCAGACGAAGTTGCTGGGAAAACTGCGTCAGCAACTTGAAGTTCTCACTTGTGGTCCGCCGAGTCACCAGTATCCACTGACAGGAGGGTACAGATTCACCGATTACAAGTCGCAAGGACAAACCATCGCCAAGGTCCTGCTTGACCTGGAGAAGACGCCCAAAGTCCATTCAACGTATCAGTAGCCGAAGCGTCAGATTGTCCAGATGCAGGCAACAGGTGCTGCAAACCCGCCATCTCAGCGCAGCACTAGTGTCCCTCTTCGACTTGCCATGTCTCAGCTACTCCTCGTTTCCAAGGGCGCCGAGATTGTGAACACCAAAGGCTTCTAAAGTGTCTCGCCAGTGACCCGGTTCCACGTTTGGTTGTCAACTTGACACGGAGCCGGGATAACCGACAGTTCTCCTTTCCATGAGGCCATCGGCCCTTAACTCTTTCAGACCTGTCTTGTCCTACCCCACTCGAATCCTCGTTCTACTCAGTTTCAACGTAAGGTGAGTCCAAGGCGTTCAGTACGCATAAATAGAGGCCCCCTTGCAGGCTACGAAGGATCCCTTTGGAATTGTTTGAAACGATCGTCTTCCTCTCTGGAACCATCACACCAGACCAGCCATCATGTCCCGAACATCTTTCCTCGTTGAAAATTTGCCTCAACCACCATCCATGCTCGAGCGAAGGTCAACTTGCGAGAGTAGCACGTCATGTCATCCCAGATCGACGAGGTGCTATTCCCGATATTCTGGGTGTTCGTCTGGATTCTTCACCAGTTCAAACTTCGCCAATGCGAGCGATTGTTCCGCCAGTGAAGATGACTGTGGTATGTTTTCAAAATTAACCAGCATGATAGTGTGTTGATACTGAATTTATGTCCAGATTCTACTCCCGTACGACGTGGTAGAAGCCCAATTAGGCGACGCCGCCGCATCCCAACTCCACCACTCGGCTACTATAACACTTCTGAATCAGAGCGAGATTCTCTTCCTATCCACACTCCACCTCCATACCGTGCCACATTCGACGGAGAAATCGAAAGCAAGAATTATCGAGGTTTACATCACGACGAGAAAGAACTAGAATTTGAGAACCAGCTGGCCGTCCTCCACACCCCATCTGACTTCACCTCTCGATTCTCGCCGCTACCTACTTGTTGCGCCGAAGCTCGATGTGCTTTCGACGCCATCTCCCCGTTCCATCAACGTTCAGGCGACGAGTGGTTCGACGAGGACGCGATGGACATGAGCAACCGGTCTTCTTCCGAGTCCGAATGGACACCCATGTACGACTTTCCTAGACTCTCGAGCCGTCACTACCAAGCCCAAACCTCTGGCCCTGTCTCGCTCGTCCATGGTGACCGACAAATCAAACTCCGGAAACTTCGTGAACGGTTCTACGCTCGTGAAGGCAATCGACCCACGGCTGACTGCGGCATCGACCGCGATGACTATGCGACACGGGTCGACGATTACTTGCTGGAACGAGATGTCTTGAGGAAGGATTTTTACGGCCCTTGTGGATATCGGTCTCCCGAAAATGCGGTCCAGGAGGAATACGTGAATCGCGTAGATAGGATGTGCTGGAACCAAAGGCATTCGGAAAAGGTTGCATTGTAATAATATACTTTGATTTCTACCTTGTACTTATCAGTAGTACTTCCAATCATTTCATTTCTCTATCCTTCTATCGCTCTGCACCCGATTTACCATGCCTCCGAGATTTCAGAATGATGGAGAGAGCTGTTGATGCCATCATCCCGACACTTGCGAGCGCGTCGGTGTAAGGCGCGTCTTGAATCTGACCCTCAACCACCACCATCCCTTCCACCTCGTCGATGCTATCTTCGTCGAGGCGCTACGATGTCATTAGTAACCCTCTGATTCTGTATGAAAGTTCTTGGGTCGGTTTACGACAGCGGTTCTCTGGGAGAACCTCGGTGGCACGCCGCTAACGTCCCGTTCAACCCCAAGTCACAAGACATAATGAGGCTTCGATTTCAAGAAGGAAGTAAAACGCAGGGATAAATGAAGAGTTTCCAGACAGTCTCACCCCGGCTATCCACTCGACCATGAAGCCAACTACTACAGTCTTGGTGTCGCTATGGGCAATTACCGCCATCGGGGCTCCTACGAACGAGTCACCGTTGACGGTAGATCTCGGATACGCTACCTATCGAGGGTTTATCAACCCCAATACTGGAAACACTCAATTCTTAGGAATCCGGTATGCAGCAACACCGACCGGTGGGTGAACTCCTTCATGTTTCTGTGTTACGCGCTTGACCTTCAACCACGGCTAGGTGACTTACGTTGGCGAGAACCAAGGGCGCCTCCGCCAATTCCTGGTATCTTGGATGCTCGCGCCCTCCCACCTAATTGCTACTCTGGCGGGGCCGGTACTCAGCCCCAACACCCTTATGGAACCGTCCGATTTCCCGTTGGACCGCACGCGGAAGTCCTGGAGAAACGGCAGAATCCTCCAAACAGGTCTGAAGATTGCCTCCATCTGAAGTGAGCAATTGGTTCCCTGTAAAGTTCGGCATGCCATTCTGATTCTGGTGTCATCGCAGTGTCTACGTTCCTGGGTCCACACCTTCACCCGCTGAGAGATCTGAACCACTCCCTGTCGTGGTTTGGATACACGGGTAAGTAGGTTGTTGACTTCGTAGTCCATCCAGCTTACTGAACACCGTTGCTTTCAGCGGTGGATATGTCTCTGGGGGTGCTGGAAACGACGGCAATGACCTTATAACAGCTGCGAATGGAGGTGTGGTAGTTGTCCAGATCCAGTACCGAGTTGGCTTGTTTGGCTTCCTCGCTGGGAAGAAGGTCAAAGAAGGCGGCGTTCTGAACGCGGGTTTATGTGAGGATGCCGGGAAGAAACCTCTTAAAGTCTAAAATTGACCCTGTTTCAGTGGACCAGCAATTCGCCTTACAATGGGTTCAACGACATGTAAGTTCCAACGGTTCACAGAACCCTCCAGAGCTTGAGCTAATTGAAGTTCTTAGATTCACAAATTCGGTGGCGACCCTCGTCAGGTTACTATCTGGGGCCAGTCCGCAGGTACCATTTTTGCTCTTGGTTAGTTCGCCTTCCTCACCCGCTTCCAGGTGCCGGATCCGTGGTCCAACATCTCGTTGCGAACGGCGGGAACACCACCCCTCCTCTATTCCAAGGAGCGATAACTAGTTCCACATTTCTCCCATCCCAGTATAACTACGACGATGCTATGCCGGAATCCCTTTACAACCAGACAGCGTCACTTTCTGGGTACGTTTCCCGCTATTTAAAATCCGCACTTTTATCTGATCCTTGGTCTACTTGGTGACCAGGTGTGATGCGTCGGAAGATTCCTTAGCTTGCCTCAGAGGCCTGGAAGCTAGCGCTCTTCAGGAAATCAACGCGGCCTTGTGTGCCAGCGGCTTCCAAGGGACTTTTGTTTTCGTTCCGGTAGTGGACGGGACCTTCATTAAGGAGCGCCCTTCTGTGACTTTCAGACGCGGTCGACTGAATGGGGTACGTCTTGGAGGTCGTTGCCATTGCTCTCTGCTCATCCTGTTACATTAGAAACGCCTTCTCGCTGTCACCAACACTCATGAGGGTCGAATGTTCGTTAATCCGAATGCAACTTGGCTTGAGACAGAGAATTACGCGTCACAGCTGTTCCCTTTATTTGGACCCAGTCAGGCTTCAGCTGCGGCTATTGTATACAGGTCATTCAGCTCGGACTACGACAAAGCCAGCGCCATCATGGGAGAATGTGAGACTTGCTCGATACGTGCTTGAGAAGGAAGGTTGATCATCCCGAAATAGCCATCTTCACATGCCCTACGTACTTCCTGCTCGAGGCCTTCAAAGGACCTTCGTATAAGGTTCGCATTTTCGCCATCCTCGCAAGTCCGAATCTAATTTTTGAGATAGGGTCACTTTGCAGTGCCCCCCGCAAACCATGCAGGCGATGTCGCCTATTATTATCCCTCGTGCGCCCGATCCTCCTTCGTACCAATGCACTTAGTTAACAAGTTGAGCATTTCTAGAAATGGACTTCCGGCTTGGAACAACCTCGAGTTTCGCAAAGCTTTCTCCGAGGCCTTTCTGAGCTTTGTGATGACAGGTGATCCCAACGCAAGAAGAGACCCTGAGACCACGCCAGAGTGGAGACGGTGGTCCTCATCAAACCCAGTCGAATTACTGTTCAACAGTACCGAAGCGGGAGACGCACCTCAGATCGAGGCAATTACTACTGCCAGGGATCTTCGAAGGAGATGCGAGTAAGTACATCTTTCGTTCGCCTCTCCACACATCTTTTTGATTGGTGATGATCAGCTTCTGGGAGCGGGTAGTCGGCCTTTCCGGTCAGTGAATGAAGCCTCGCCATTCTACTCAAGCAGCGGAGCGTCTTTGCGGCAGGGAGCCTGAATAAAACAACGGCACTGAAGCTTCAACATTCGTGAGCTATACACTATCGTAACCTTTTTATGCAGTTCCAATACACTAGTCGTTAATTTTCGTGATCGTGATCATCTTCTCCCCATAGCCTTTCCGGCAGCTGAATTGCCAAGAGTAAAGCTCCGAGAGAAAGAAGTGCGAGTACAGCATATACGCCATACCCATATAATATGTTGTTCTCGATGGAGAACGAGAAGAGGGACGTCGACAAGGCTGGACCAATAGCCCTTGCAAGCGACACCGTGGTCTGCGAGAGGCCGTTGGTGGCGCCTAATGATCGCTTATTAGGTGCTGAGGCTGTCACGTACATGAAGACGCATCCTACCAAGCTATGAATATCTATCCAGCAGAGCAAGACGCGAAACCACTCACCATATGCAGTATCCATGAAGAATAGCAGGAAGACCAAGAAGCCGACCAGTATCCACACCTGCCATGAGACGCCGTATTGCTTCGCAGCCAAGCTGGTCACCGGGAAGGTCATGAACACGGGCGCAAAGGTGGAGACAGACCAGACGAACGCCCTTCTGACGCCCAATCGACGAACGATTGGTGCGAAGAAGAGCACCTGGAAGAGACCGGTACCCGCACCGTAGATTCCAATGACATACCCGATGTACGCAGGATCGAGGTCCAGACCTCCCATCTCGATAGGCATATGGAAGAAGAGAGGGAGCAAGGCGCTCACGGAGATGTTGAGGAAGGCCAAAACGACATAGTTGAGGATGGAAATGACAACGGGGAAGGTCAAGAGCTTGCGGAGAGGAAGGACCTCGCCCTCTTGGCTGGCTGTGGAAGCCACCGACGACGACTCGGATGAGGCTGATGACCCTAGCCTTTTTTCATTTTGGGATTTGACTGGATTGCACTACAAGACAGCAATGGTCAGTCGAACGTCCATTCTGCACATGGAGTCATAACCTACTTCTTTGAACCAGAAAATCGTAATGATAACGCAGATAGCCACGAAGAGGGCAGACACCAGACACGGCAGGAAATAAGGATAATCCTTCCAAAACTGGTCAGTGAAGAGCGTAGGGAATTGGTCGCTGGGTCTTGCGAAAGAACCGCCAATCAGTGGCCTGAATGTTTAGGGATATGGTAAGCCTATTCAATCGCGGCGGAGCTCGTTCAGTATGGGCCTTACCCTACACTAGCCCCGACGCCCCACGCCACTGGCATGAGGGCAAAGGCATCCGCTCGATTCGAAGAATCGGTCAGCTCCCCCATCGCGCTTTTCAAAACCCCTATCGTGTAACCATAAGGTGAGCGATCAGAGCTCCGAAAGGTCCGAGCAAAAAGGCGCGTTGCTCACCGATGTTCCCGTTCAACAGTCCTGTTAGGCATCGGCTAAGCCATCGAAGGTGAGATTATCGTTCACTGACGAGGCAAGACGCTAAACCTACCTCACCACCAGTGTCCAAAAGGTTCGTGAAAGCCCGAACAATAGCATAGAGATCATAGTTCCAATCATTCCAATAAGGATGACGGGTTTTCGCCCAATCACGTCGGACGTTCTGCTCCATTGTAGAACAGTTATTGCTTCAGTTGCGAAGAATAGGGATTCCTGCAGGGGGCGTAAGTTGCTTCTTATGAAATGCCCTTCTGCTCGGAAGATCAGTACACTTACAATGAGACCTGCGTAATATCCAACCTTCCGAATATCTCCACCGATAATCTCAAGCCCACTAACGAGCTGTTGCAGACGCATTAGCGACGCGATCGTGGTCAATACATGCGCGACGCACCTCGTTGATGTAAGGGTAGATCGACTGACTACAGATAGGTTCACACATCTGCAGCAGGAGGACGATCCCGATCTGGAGTTTAGGCAACGGCGTCCGTGTCCTCTCCTTCCTTTGCTGGAGGAGCGGTGTCTCCTCGTCGACGTTAACAATCCCAATTTCGTCTGTGGTCATAGCGTTGGCGGCTTCCAGGGTGACTCGAACAACTCGGGAGGGGCAGGGAGAAAACCAGAGGAAGATCCACGAGGAACGAGCTCTCTCAAGGGCATATCCTTTATACGATGTCAGGCGGGTGCAGAACCAAAAGGGTCCGATTAGGGTTCCCCGTGGTCAGCACCATTCACCTTGACTGGAATAATAGTTTCCTCCTACGGTTGCTTCTGCCAATTATTTGCATAGAACCCATGAGGGTATTGACTTCACTCTCCTCGGAAGGGTCTGGAAAGCAGGAGACGAGTCATTTAGAAGAAAAATTGTCAGAGGCAAAGCGGCCCGAACCCTCACCACGATCAGCGGATCAAAAGGTGGCGGGCGCTTCGGAGGGTCCTTCTCGTCCGAACTGCAAGTCAAGCTCTAGTCTATTGGTCGTAAAATTCAATACATAGACGTGTCAGAATTACAACAGCCCGCAGAAAGAGAGGAAATACAACAACAGCATAACACCCGAGACAAAAAATGCGAAAAGAAATCTATCCGTTAAAGTTGTAAGGGATTCCGATGATGAATCCTCTAATGAGGGTTTGGTTTTGGGGGAACACGGATAATCAATAGTCGTGTTCTGTTTCATTTTCTTCCGCCCAGATCTCTATTGGCAAGCGAGTGGCTAGTCCAAGAGAAAGGAAGGCGAAAACCAGGAGGATAGCATACACCCCGTATCCACCCAAAATGTTTTTCTGCACCGACCACGAGAACAACGAGGTCGATAGCGCAGGGCCTATAGCTCGGGCGACGGATACAGTCGTCTGGGAAAGCCCGTTTGTGGCACCTAGAGACTGCTTATTTGGCGCCGACGCGGTGATATACATGAAGATACAGCCTGGAAGGCAGCAGTGACTGTGTCAGCGTGGACTCCGGGCACTGAACACGTCGAGTAACGTACCGTATGCCATATCCATGAGCGCCATCAATGCGAGTAGAGCAGCAGTCAACACCCAGACAAGCAGACAGAGACCATTCTGCTTTGCAACGGTACTAATTATCGGGAACAGCAGGAAGACAGGAATGAACGAAGACATTCCAAAAATGAAGACATTGCGAGCTCCGAAGTGGCGCACTATTTGCGCAAAGAAGAGACCTTGAAAGATCCCACATCCCGCTCCGTATATTCCCATCGTAACGCCAATTGTGGGAGGAAGGAGCCCCAGACCTCCTATGTCTATCGGCATAGCAAAGAAAAGAGGCAATAGTGCGTTGACACAGATGTTGAGAAAGGCGAGAGAGACATAATTCGACACTGAGAGAACAACGGGATAAACGAGAAGATCGCGAAGAGGCAGGGGTCCATCGTTCGCTGATCTATCCGAATGGACCAAGGTCACTTCTGAGGCGTCTGATACGACGCGTTTGCGGGTTCCCCTTCGCGTCGGGGCAGTCTAACCGACACCCGGGAAGACGGTTAGCGTTAAAAGCTTAAATCTGTGATGGCTAGTTGAGGACTCACCTCTTTAAATAGGAAGAGGGCAAGGAAAAACGAGAATAAGACGAAGCTTGCTGTCGCAGCACATGGCAGGAAATACGGATACTCCCTCCAGAAAGAAGCGCCAAACAGCTTCGGGAAGCGTTGGTGCGGGTGCGACAGAGCACCGCCCATCAGAGGACTGAGCAAGGTGAAGCCATAAGCTCAAAGTTGCGGCATCAAATGGACAGTGCTTCTTACCCCAAAGTAGCTCCGGTAGCCCAAACAACGGGCATAAGCGCGAATCCTTCCGCCCTGTTGGTTGAATCCGTTAATTCACCCATCACGCTCTTCATGACGCCTGCCAATCCCGATTTAGAAATCCCGTCTCGAAACAAAGGTTTGCGAAGACTCGAGGAACGAAGACGCACCTATATTCCCGTTTAAAAGCCCAGTCAAGCAGCGACTGGATGGTATAGTTAGTAAGATAAAAACGCCATATGACGCACGTCTCGCGCACCTAATGACTAGTCCCCAGAACGTCTTGGATAAACCGAAGGCTAGCATAGACAGGAAGGTCCCCACCAAACCAACAAGAAGCACGGGTTTCCGTCCCACATGGTCAGATATCCTGCTCCACTGCAAGACTGTCATAGCCTCGGTCACAAAGAAAAGGGATTCCTTGTAGCAGCGATAAGCGAGCGAAAGGGGTAGAAACGAGCGGAGACCTACGATCAATCCGGCATAATAGCCAACCTTTTTTTCATCCCCTCCAGTGATTCCAAGCTCGTTTATGAGCTAGAGACAGACGACCGAGCGTCAACAACGACACCGAACTTGCAAAAGGGAAGACACACACTTGATTTATGTATGGGAGTATTGAGAGACTGGTTATTGGTTCGCAGATTTGGAGAATGAGGATGATAGAAATTTGTAGCTTGGGCAATGGAGTTCGAGTCCTCCCTCCCTTCCTCTTGTCAAGAAGAGGAGTTTCCTCGTCGACAACCTTTGAGATAGGTTCAGCCATAGTGGTGGGACAGGAAGGAAGGGGAGTAGTTGAGGGAAAAGTGTCGAATTCCAAAGTTTCTCCCTGTTGAGGGCACCCTTTTAATCCCGGGCGCTTTTAATTTGAGAAGCTGATTGAAAGGTGGGTTCCTATTGGAGAAAGATATTCATCGACCTTTGACTCTATTTACCGCTGAGGATACACGAAGGTGCTCGTTAGCCTTGCCTGCTGGCGATGATCCGTATGTTTAATGGCATCCCTTTGTGATGAAAAGAAGCAGAAATCCTTCACCTGAATCCCTAAATCCCTGAATCGACTGAGCGTCAGTTGGCTGGGCTTCAAGTACTGGCAACGCCGAGACCCCTATATCCCTGGCCACGAGGATCACGTCTTTGTGGGTGTTTAGACGCCATTTTACGAACATTTTACATAAAACGGTCGTGTTTACGCTTTTTTAGCAGATGCGTCCCGACCCAGAGGTATTCAAGGCTGTCAGTCAGAATCTTCTCGAAGTTCTGTTCTCCCATCGTGGCCAAGAAGCGCCAGCAACCGGAGCACCTGGTCCGACCGACTGGATGTTTTTTCGTATGTTGTGAACCAAATGCGACCCCAAACCCATGAGACAAGGGAGTACTCACAAGACATTGACACCTCCAATCCACGGGTGTTCAAGAACTACGGCATATGGGATCATGAGCTACTGGAAACTGGCCAGAACGTTGATGGATTCATGGCCAATGTCATGTGTTGAACCTAGCCGGTATCAAGGCTTATACCGTCGACTAAAGTCCCAAAGTTCTATGAGCTTCCATTCTCTTGAGCGGCCGTAGGGTTAAGCGATATTGCACCGAAAGTATAGGGTCTCCGAAGGCGAGGCATAGCACGAGTCTGTTTGTAGTGTAGGGATGATGTATTGAATGGATCATGGGAGGATTGGAGTAAATCAGCGACCCAGCCACGCAACTCGTGCTCTCCGCTCGATGTCGAGTTCCCACGGCGCGCAATACCCCTATTTCCTGGGCAAGGTGCCGACCAGCCACCAGTAAGCTCTTTCCTTCAAAGCTGCCTGTCATCTGTGTTATTATTGGAGCCAGGGGATGCTTTTATCGAGTTACACTGTACTCTAGAGCTTCGAGTTATACTGTAATGTACTGCAAAGTTGGAATTGGGAACTCGGATCAATCATCCGACTCAGAACGATTCCTCGACTTCCTCCTCAATTTGGCCAAGTAATCCTCTTGCAAGTCATCGCAATTCCATCGTAGTATACCGCAGCTCTCACCGCAGCTCGTTTGATGCTGTAACATCTCGAAATCATTTGAACTGATTTATCAAAGAAATGAATTCGTCTGTTGATTTGCTGTTGATATCATCAAACGCTTCATCGCATCCGAGAGGCCCGCGAGTGCTTCCCTAACTCTGTTCACAAGGGCCGTTGCTGCTCTCATTTCTCCTTCTAAGCAAGAAATTGGTACGAGAATCAGTGGCAGCCTAAGTCCACCCTCCTGAAGCCCGACCATCCTGCAATCCAGTGGTACGCACTCTGCCCTGAAATATCAGACAGGTAGCTCCCTCTTCCAGTGAAGCAGGGTGAACTCCGGGCGCTCCGCCGATGTAGCGCATCCCTAAGATTAGCGCTATGTATCAATCATCCCTGGAATGTCAACAAATCGCGATGTCGTCGGTACATACTTACCTCAAACGCCAATTCTAGGGCTCTAACCTGACTGCTCTCCATTGTCATCAAGCTGAGTGGAGAGCTAAGAAGCGCCATCGAGTGCTAAGGCAGACGGGCGCTCTCCTGTGGAGCACGCTTGAAACAGCTGCGTATCGGATATCCCTCGGGTGGGCTTCGCTTCGTCTTCAGTATTCTCATGGATACCAGTGGCTTACAGTAGGCCTGACTGTTAGGTACATATTGTGAGCTAGAAGTGTCCTTTAGCATGCGCGAACCACGATCGATATCATCCCGATAGCCGAGACCTCTCCTCCTCCACGGGCTTGGGTATGTCGATTTTTTCCCAGGCGCTTTCGTTCATTGGAATGGGCTGACTGTCATGAAAGCCTTATCGTTGTACTATATAGTCAATCTTACGAAAAATAGGCACACGCCCATCGCGATGGTACCTATCTGTACCTTTCCCGCCAACGGCGAACCTGCCCTAAAGCCAACAAGCCCATTTGGAATCACCGCTTCCACATTTGGTCGGATGCCCCTGAGCGTTCCTCTGCGCCAGACACCAAGGCCACACAGCAGCACACAGCCCACTAATCATAGCAGCTGTTCGATATCGCACATCAGACACGTAACAGGATGCCTCAAGACTCACCCTTACTCTTACCACTTCGATTGCTTATCACGATACTAAACTGAGGTACCTCTTCTCAGTTCCTTCGAGGCCCATATGGTCTCTGACAACGCCTAAACAGTACTTCACACCAGCGTCCTCCAGCACTCCACAATTGGCATGGAGTAAAATTAGCAAGCCTCGTGTACCCTGGTTTTGGAAAGACAAGAATCGCGAAGGCGGGGACTAGGCGGGCAACCTTGACACTCCACACGCGTCTCGGGATCACGCCCTGACAGAAGTTAAATGCTTAATTGGTTCGGTAAGGGGCTTGGGGGGATATGCTTTAACTTCGGAAGATGGCTGCCAGACCAACATGTACAGCTTGACTTCGAATTGAGGAATTGACCTGGTTCATGGCACCTCACCAGGTCAGTGACAAAAGTATGTGTCTCTTGGTGCTTTCTGGCGACGACTAGTACTATGAGAGCTACTTCGATGAAGGGAGAAGCATAATTCTGAGGTCGCTGTGATCAGCAATGTGGTGGCGGGGTCGCAGGTGCCTCTGTTCATCAGTGTCCGAGTCAGCTCAATAGAACGATGCTGTTAAGCGCTGATCTGGCTTGTCCCACTGCCAATGGTACCTCGTACAGAATGGACTCCATATTGATTGCAGAAGAGCAACATAATTATAACTTATCCACCCCACCTGACAAGAGAACCGCCTCATGCGCACACAACGTTCCCAAATCACCGCCCCCCATCATCTGATTCTTCACCCACTCGGTGAGCACGGAGTATACAGCTCCGTTAATTAGCAAGTACCTCTTTATAGCTCATTCCGAGCTTGCTTAGACATCACGATTTTCGTTCTAACACAGCGTAACCAGGAAACCAACTGAATGACACACACAGATACCCTATATTGGCTCATATCGCTTCTCCCTCTATACACCGAGTAGCAAAGTGGGTTTAGGCACCCATGGTCGGCATGTTTTCAGACTTCGCTGATTATCGCCTTCGAAACCATTTTCCAACGGGGAGAGATGTCCTTCTAAGATCACAACAAGACCGCAGCAGGAATTTCAAAGGGCACACCAACCCGTCTACCTCGCAACAGAGTCCCAATCGCTCTCAAGCTATACTCAGAAAGAGGAAAGATAATCAGAAAAGCGAATTTTGATTCCAGCATAGATACTACTGTAAATTGATTAAACCCACTAGTATTTATTTAACACCAGCGAGATGCCCACGGAGAGATGAAACAAAAGCGAAACTATCCGGAAGAGCTACATGTATAGAGTAGGGATGAACTCGAAGAAAGATGGTTGATGGTGATGTGCGGATAGAAGTACATATGCATGCTAAAGGTAGCCAATAGAGTAGCAAAGGGCGATGGATCCATGAAAATCCAACAATCGGTGGATCAAAAAATCAGAGGCGATACAACAGAGAAACCGTCCGTCCACAAACAACAGGATAGAAACACAACAGCTGCTTGTACAACAACAAAGCGAATGGCGAAAGATAATGGTACAACCGTTTCCAGGGTAAAGTGAGAACAGGAGAAAGAAAAGCGAAGTGTGTGGAGACGATAAGTTAGATAGCGGAGTGCGAGAAAGGTCGTTGAAATCATGAAACGAGCGAGGGGTTCGGATCGAGACCAGTCGCGGCGAGTATGGAGGCGCTTCGATAGGTCGCACCCTTTCACAAGGTTAAGCGCGACATCACGATGGTCGAGTCAATCAAGCCGAGCAGTCGACCATCTCCCAATCTTCGCTGGGTTTGACGACAACCCATGAGTTGGTAAGCACTGGTGGCGCCGGTTGGGACTCGTTGCGGGCAGGGACCGGACACGGGGTTGGCTCAGGTGCATCCTGCGAGTCACCCATGATGATGTCAAGGTCCCGCTCCCGCTGTATCGTATCCTGCACCATCTTCTCCAAATCTTGCGTCGCCATCCACACTGAGATTGCCAGTCGCGGGCCCATTCGCAATACCCGTCTGCCTTGGTCCGTAGTCTTCATCCTTCCGATGAGGGCTTTCTTGTAGAGGTCAGGTTCCGTTCTTGACCGGGGGAATATGGGTCGATCAGGGAGCACAGTCTGCACAGGGGCCAAAGGCGATGACGTTCGCTGTGTCGAATAGACAGCCACGGCATGTAGATTCTTGGCTGACGGTAGGATGACCTTTGATGGTGGAACATTCCGCCGCGTTGAGGAGGACGCGTTGGAGATCACAACAGTGTTGATGTTCCGAGAGCGTGATGAGCGGGTGTTGGAAGAGGGGCGTGGTGCTGGAGATTGTGATTGCTGCGAGGGGATTCGGCGTGGTGGCACGGCAGGGGGAGCAGGGAATGCAATCGAGCTGTCCCCCGCCTGTTTACTTGTGTTCAGCTTGCGGCGAGCAGCGCGTTGGTCGGCCTGGTACTGGAGTGAACGTGTATAGGGGATAGCAGCCGCATCCTTAGTAGGGGTCGGTGGTGGGCGTGATGGTTGTTGGTTAGACTCGACAAGGTCGAGGAGTGAAAGGCAGGACTCGGTTCTCTTCAAAGCACCCATTGTTGAAAGGCGAGGGACTTTGGCTGGACGCGGGTTGGGACTTGCGAAGACGGAACAGGAGAAAGAGGAGGTGCGTTTGCGGGTTGAGGGGAAGGCGTCGAAGGGGGAGGAAGGGCGTAAGACAGACACGGACATTGACAGACCGACCGTCGAATAAGTACCTTCGGGGGAGCGAAGGTGGAAAGGCAGAAAGGGGTGGCGAAAGAGCAAATGGAGAAGGAGGTTCGACAGCTCTGATATTTGTTTCCCAGAACAAAAGCCGCCTGGGAATAAGCCAAAGTAACCCCGAATGGGTGTCGTCCAACATGAGTCACGCCAGTTCAGATGATCCGAGGGCGGTGCGGTTCGTTTGTTTCCCGCCCTTCCTGCCGCATTGGGAAATCGGTTCGACTCGACTGCCTCTGCGCATCGCGAAGATGATCAAAGTCTCCTCCTCTGTTTCAACCTTCTTGACAGATAGATGCGCAAGAAATCTTCTCTTCAGCTCTCCTGTGGTATCGCCTCGTTAGTCATGTAACCTAAAATTGAGTGGAGATCCGTACAGCATATGGACCACTCCAATGGGGCATCGTGCTCCTTTGCTTGTGCGATCATGCCAACCACAATTGCCCCTCACGTCGGTTTTCTTTGCCCCGTCGCCTCATGGTATAGGCGAGGCTCTTCATCCATGAACAACACGGACTGGTTAGCCTTGAGCTGACTCGACTGAGGCTGTGGATTCGGGCAAGGACAATGCGGCGAGACCCGACCAGACACAAGGCACAAGCCAAACCGATGCCGTCATCGAACGACAGGAGGGCCCCAAACGGAAGCAAATGGGCGCCGATGACCAAATCAGGGTTTTCCCGACGCAATAACCGAGCCTGGATTGGGGTCTCGGAGCCGCGACCGACGCCCGACTCTCTTGACTCGCTCGCGCCAGAAACAATGCTGACACCAAAGCAACGAGGCATCTCGGAAAACACTGCCCGTCGCCCGTTTGTAATTCTCGTGCACGAATGATTTTGGTGGATTACTTGAATTCGATAAAGCTGCCAGTCTGCCACTGCGGGCATGCCAAGTTATCGCGTCTCGCGAGGCTGCCAGCCACCAGTCCGCTTGGGACTTCCTATCGAACCGGCCAAGTGTCTACATGATGATCCAGTAAACCAATTAATCCTCGTGCGGGGCCGCTGCTGCTCGAAGTAATTAACACCTCTCACGACAACTCGAGTCCTGACAAACCCCTTTCAAAAACCGAGTAATTGCAGTAATTCCAAAGAAAGACGAACCGGCGTTTAATCAACTCCTGCAAAGAGTGCATTCTAACGCCTTCTTAAATGGACGCCGACCGCAACCATAAATTTACCCCAACATGGCACATATTTGTTGTTCTTGAATCCAGCGGAGGTGGGAGGAGTTCATGAGCAAAACCGGGAGGTAAACGAGTGGCAGAAAAGAGAAGAAAACAAAAATGCAGGGATCCTCTCTGTACAACCGTGAGAGACTCTCGGAGTGTCTAATTATAGTCCGTCGTTTATCCTGAGGGAACTGAAAAGTGTTCCGGGACCTGAAGGGCGCTTGGAGGAATGGTAAACACCTATTCGAGGACCTGAAATCCTTGTTTAATGGCCGATCTCAATAACGTGGTAAACCTCTATTGAATAGCGATGACATCAAAGCAGCAAAACAAACAGTAGATCGAAAACAAAAAAATATGAAAGCAATAAGCGTGCTAAATCGTCCCCTGTCCCTCTTTCTAGATCCTGGTATTGTTCACTAAAACAGGTTATATGCCTTGGTCAAAGGCAGGGTATTCGCAGGCTCGATGTCCATCATCTCGCCGTCAGCCTTAACCTCGTAGTTCTCGGGGTCCACAGTCATCGTTGGAGTCAAGTCATTCCACTTCATATCCTTCTTGGTTACCTTTCTGCACCCGCGAACCGCTTCCACCCTCTTCTTCAATCCATAACTAGCGATTGTCCCAGAGGTAATCGACAGCTCGGAAACGAACGCCACAGAATTCATGGCCGCTGAACCTGCTTGGGCACCCCACATTGGCTTTCCATAAAACGGCTGGACAGAAGGTATGGACGCGTTCGCATCCCCAATCTAAAAGAAAAGTCAGCATCTGGAACCGAGGAAGAAGTGACAAGGACATACTTGAGACCACGCGATGACACCTGACTTGAGAACCATCTCAGGCTTTGCTCCAAAGTTCTCTGGTTTCCAGAGGACTAGATCCGCCAGAGTTCCAACGGCAACATGTCCAACAAGGTGGCTAACTCCATGTGTGATGGCCCTGTCCAACTATGATCAGCTCCCTGATAATCTTCAAGAACCACAAAAAGAATACATACGGATTGATGGTGTACTTGGCGATGTACCTCTTGACACGGCCGTTATCCTTCTCTGCCGTGTCTCCAAGGGAAGTAAGAGGTCCTCGGAACTCTTTCAACTTGCTCGCTGTCCTCCAAGTCCTACTAACCACTTCCCCAACGCGTCCCATAGCTTGGGAGTCAGAGCTTATCATAGAGATGGCTCCAATATCATGTAGAACATCTTCTGCTGCCACGGTTTCACCTCGGATTCGGGATTCAGCGAATGCAAGGTCTTCGGGGATAGATTTGTCGAGATGATGGCAAACCATGAGCATCTGAGAAAGGACTATCAGTAACCTAATCTTCCTTGATGCAGGGGACTACTCACGTCGAGATGTTCGTCAAGGGTATTGTGGGTATACGGGCGCGTAGGATTTGTCGAGGATGGGAGAACATTCTCCAAACCACAGACCACGATAATATCGGGTGCATGTCCACCACCTGCACCGGATGTCAGGAGTTTCAGAAGACGGAAGACAGCGTCAATTACTCACCAGCTCCTTCTGTGTGATATGTATGGATTGTCCGGCCGCCAAAGGCCGCAATGGTGCCTTTAGATTAACGTTAATCACAATGCTTCCCCGTACATGGAGAAAGAACTTACTTTCAACGAAGCCACTTTCATTCAGGGTATCGGTGTGTATGTTAACCTTTCAGAAGTGTCAGGCAAGGTTCTAGAACTCTCGGACATGACATTTACATACCTGTACATCGTATTTATCTGCGACGTCCAGGCAGTTCGAGATCACAACAGGTGTGGAACCCCAATCTTCATGAAGCTTGAAACCAGCCGCACCAGCTCGAACTACCTCTTCCAAAGCAGTCGGACTGGCATCATTACCCTTGCCCGTGAACGCAAAGTTCATTGGAAGTCCATCCGTCGCGGCCAGCATGTGCCGCATATAGAATGGACTCGACGTGCATGTGGTCGCGTTGCTTCCTGCGCTCGGGCCTGTGCCTCCACCTATCATCGTCGTGGTTCCGGAAGCCAAAGCTTCTTCGACCTGTTGAGGGCAAATGTAGTGAACATGGACATCGAGGGCACCGGCTGTGACAATTAGCTTCTCGCCGGCGATGACTTCTGTAGAGGAGCCAATGAGGAGGTTAGGGTCCACATTGGCCATGACGTCGGGGTTTCCTGCTTTGCCGATTCCAACAATCACGCCGTCTTTGACACCAATGTCTGCCTGATAACAGGGAACTCGGATGTCAGTCGAAACGAAGCATCAGATGGTAGTTGCTCGCACCTTGTAGATTCCGGACCAGTCGATGATCAGGGCATTGGTTATGACAAGATCTAAGGCGTCGACCGCCGATACCCCAGTTCCTTGGCCCATGCCCTCGCGAATTGTCTTGCCTGTCTCCTGTCCTTCAGCTTCAAATCCAAGAGCATCGCAAGAAAAAAACTCACCTCCGCCGAATTTAACTTCATCCCCATAAACCGTCTGAAAAGGATGGATTAGTGGAGCTAGATGACATCCGATATGAAAGAACCCTTACCGCGTCCCATTCGACTTCAACCCAGAGGTTGGTGTCTCCCAACCTCACTCTATCGCCCGCCGTGGGTCCGAACATAGAAATGTATTCCTCCCGGCTCATATCAGTCGCCTCCTTCACTTCCGGCGCATCCGGTTCGTCCACATGGTTAAACCCTCTCTGGACCAAACCCTTCACGACCTCTTCGGTCCTGGCGGGATCAACGACTCCTGTAGCCAGTCCATTGCCTCCGGTAATGATACGCTTCCCAGCGATCTCCACGAGCGTGACGGTCTTGACGTTCACATCGCCTGGCTCGAACCGAACCGCTGTTCCAGCTGGGATATCTAATCTCATCCCATAAGCACGGGCTCTATCAAAGGACAAGGTCGGGTTGGTTTCAATGAAATGGTAATGCGAGCCAACCTTCCAGAAAGAAATTCAGCTTTTTCCCTTCTGGTTGTGAAAACGGTTGTATAGAACGCACCTGTATGGGACGGTCTCCCTTATTCACCACTCTCAGCTGTATGCGCCTCCTTCCCGAGTTGATCGCTATCCGTCCTTCCTTCGCGATAATGGCTCCAGGAAGTTTCTCAGGTGCATACTCGGATTCGTCGAGGACCGGGAAGATGTCGTTCGAAGGTACTGGGAGGAACGAACCCTGCAACGCCGCTTCCAGGTCGCCATCCTCTGTGCATATGGGATCGTGAATTGTCACAAGGAAGACGCTATCGCCCATCAGTTGCAATGTAATTTACACAGTAGAAAGAAACTGGACTCACCCGTCCGGGAACGTTCCCTCGACCTGGATTTGGTGTAACAACGCTGGAACGGATGGTAGAACATGTCGACGTCCTAACAACGTCTTCCCCAGCTGCATAAGTTCTGCCACCGAGTAAGTTCCATCTCGAATACGTTCTTGAATCTGCGAAGCGATGAGGCCGACAGCTTCTGTTTGGTTCAGGCGAAGACCTCGAGCAAGACGTTGTTGAGCGAGGAAACCAACCTGTAATCGCCGCGTGTAATCAGAGTCACGAACGTGGGAAACAAGAATTGAATGTCGGCCACGAACCTGGTGAAGCAGGAGTTTGTCGACTTCTCTGGGCAAAATTCGCATGAGTATGTATAAAGAAAGGTGAGTGAGAGAAGGCAGGGAAATTCGGAAAGTTTCGCAAACCTGTGAGGGATATGCCTTGCGAGTCAGGTTCCACGGTAGATAAGATAAGCCTCCAAAAATGTGCGAATTATGTCCGAAGGTCCAAGAGTACATTGGCGGATCTAGAATAGGGGGTGCATGGCAGAAGGTGCTAGAAGGAAAGAAATGACTAGTGCTACAGGGATCGATCATTGCAAAAGAAAGTCATAGAATGCGAAAATAAACAGAAAAGTATGCATGAGTTAGGTGACGTTACTAATAAAATTCGTCCTCGTCCTCGATCAACATTATCTCGTCCGAGTCCACCATCGTGACCATGTCACAGTCCATGAGGTCGTCGTCCGACTCATCGCTGAATTCTGCTAAATCTCGTAGGAGAGGAGCATCGGGAGTTGATCCCTTCAAATCGTAGGGAAACCCTGATTCCAAAAGCTTCTCCGAGTCAACCGAGGGACGCGGATCCCGGAAACGCGTCAGCTCCTCTTGGATGGGCTCCAGGTCCATATCCTCGTCTTCGTCCTCTTCGTCATCGCTGTAATTAATAATTCTGAGTGTGGGTGTGGCAGAATCAGTCATGTCGTCCATGTCGATGAACCCGGAGGTGTAATTCCCATCGTCACCAGTGGTGCTCGCCGCCGGGAGCGATAGAAGCGAGGTTGGAGGTGTCAAGTAAACTGGACCCGTGACCTGAGATGGCTCCGGCAGGGACTGGCGGTGCTTCCAGACCAGCAGCGACTTGCGTAAGCTGTCCCGACGACACTCAAGACAGTGCTTAGAGTCCAACACAAAGTCGCGTCGTTGCCCATTACATACCCTGAAGAATATTGTCATTGAATCACTAGAACCCATTTCAAACAGTAGAACCACGTACGATCGCGATCGAGGACGGATAGAAGCCAAGGGTCGTTGCATAATCCAGTCCTTGCATGCGGGATAAGGGTCTCCCAGATAGTGCCACGACAAGGGCGGTGCAGCCTCCCTCACCGGATTCAGCAACGAAGGAAAATGAGGTCGGTGGCTGTCCTTGTCCCGTCTAGCCTCTGCATCGATGACGAAGGCCTCCTTGTACAGTTCTAGTTCCCCCAGAGAGAGGCCAGAGTACCAGCGAGGCTCGACGTCAAGCAAGTCAGGATAGGCATCCTCGGTAACCTTGATCTTCCGACGGGCTTCCCAGAGCAATCGACGCAATCCTTGTTTGTCATCATTGGTCGGGCGCAACTGAGCAAGAGCTGAGTCGAGTTGATGGAGCTTGGCCAATGTCCTTGCAACTGCTTCGGCTCCGGAGGCTTGGCATACAGTGTAGGGTGCGCGTCGAATGACGATGTCGTGTCGCCGGGCCACAGATGCCTCCGCTGGCGTCGCCGATGGTCTTCTGCAGGGTTCAGGCGAGAACAAGAAATGGTCCAAGTAGTTATCGAAGTTGCCGACGTCTGACAGTGGGTATGGGTATCCTCCTAGCGACTTGATTGCAATCGCGCCGTTGAAGCTCGAGGTCGGTTGCGGCAGCTCGTCCTGAATACGCGTCATTGAACAGCCAGGGTGCAGGGACATGAAAGCGAGACATACCACATCCATTGGCAGCACGTCTCCATGATTGTTGGCTGCGTACATCGTGTACATGTAAGAAGGGAAGAAAAGAGCGACAAAATGAAATAGAAATACCAACCTTTGCGTCTACCATTGTCTGATTGTGCCACCGAGCCACCTCCGCCACCCTCACCACATAGCCCGTGACTCTCACCGCCATCCTCGTGCTCTAGGTTCCTATAGTCGCGCAGTATTTCGTCGTAAAAGCCATACCTTGAGCGCCAGGTGCGAGACAAGGGTCGCATCCTCCAGCCCCTGAATTCGAATCCGAATATGATGGAGAGAAGACGAGTCGAAGATTAGACCTGCTAGGATGCCTTCGGTATAAAAAGAAGACCTAACGCAGTAACCTGCGCGACGAAACAAACAATCGGGATGAAAGCCTGCAGGAGACCGAGTGGCAAGATGGCAACCCAGAATCATGACTCGACTCGATTGCGAGCCAGCGGCTAGCGCGCCTACCAAATATCAGAAAAGCGATACCCAGCTATTATCTCCCAGTTTCTTCAGGTCCATACGTAGCTTCATGCTATTGTCCAAATAGAGCGTCGTTGGCAACCATGGAGGGAGGCAAGGAGACGGACGGTCCATAAAGAAAAACCCTTCGGTGGCCCTACAGAGGGCGCCAGCCTCTGAATGAAACACCGACAAACTTCCGGTCCGACTCGGCGGGAGCGACCTTTTTAGACGATGGTGAATCCAAGAAGACCCTGGGATGGAGTGTGAGATGCCTAGGGTGGGGCTGTAGCAGGAAGAATAGGGGACTTTAAGTAGGCTGGGAATAAAGCCCTGTCTATGTATCTGTAGCGTATTTTCTACATGCCATACCCTTCAGCCAGACAGCACAACACGACAACAACTACGACAACTTGGAACGGCCACTCACCAAGCTCCTCATTAACTCTTTCCGTCCCAAGACTTATCCTTCTCGGCAACTTTAAATCTCGTACTGGGACTATCCGCATCCCCAAACGAACGCCAGGTGGCACTTGCGCAACGACGAGTGAACTTGGAATGCACAGGTCACGCAACCGCCCTCAGGAGAATCCTCGAGGCCCTGTCGATAGATAGACCCAGGGGGCCGGTTCGGCGTTGCTGAACAGAGGACTAGCTGCATCATCTCAGACGAACAAGACACACAATGGATTCTGTTCGCAAAAGCAATAAATTTGATTACACTGTGTTGCTATTGGGGTCGTGGTCGCGGTTCAAGCCGAAGAACGCAGCTGCGACAACTGATAACAGGCGCGCATGTTGCAGGGCTGCCCCCGTTGGAGCTTAACCCCAGGCAACTCCTGGAATTCCCAGGAGGGATCGGAGGAAGTAAGTGGGTCAAAGTTGGGGGCAGGCACGACCGCAGGACAAGATGGATCTGGGAGTGAATAATACTGCTGACCGCGGTGATCATCCCAATTATCAAGCACTCATTTCTTCGCTTCAAGGATTCGTGAAACGCTGAAGGGCGTCACCCGTTCAATGCAGTGTCCTCATGTCATGAAATGTGATTCTGGACGATGGGATTACCATCATGGGACTCGCGCGGTCGTGTTAAAGAATCAGGGTGATGCTGACGTCACGGGCGTCTAAATGCAATCGGTTTATGGTGACCTTGTCAGCAGCACTTCTAAGTCTTCGGCTTGTAAAATGTGGCATCCATGAGGTTCACCTCATACATTCTCAATGTCAAATAGTGCTACACTTTGGCGTTTCATCACCCATGTGTTGAAGTCTTGTGACAATGGGCGCCAAATGAAGGAATGAGAGGGCGCCGCAAAGAGAAATCACGAACCGAAAAGAGAGGGCAATCACAGAGACGTGCGCCCGCCACTCTACACTGTCCCTCAATCGTGAGATCCTCCCCGATGGGCTACCTTCCTATATAACCTCCTCAGAGCCTGTAAATGGCGCTCAGTATCATCCCGTTGATATCTGTCGATGGCGCACTACGGCTCTTTCAAGCCTGACACACATCTCCAAGGGATGTCCTCCCCTCAGCCCTTCGCAGTCCATCTTGGGCTACCCGAATCCTCTACATTCCAGCTTTTAGGGCCCTTTCCAAATGGCTCCTCGAGCTACTGGATTGTCGAGGTCAATGGTGCCATAATGGGTATACAAGGCCCTCTTGGCCATCCCATACGCCTGGCTGCGAATCCCTTCTCGCCATCTCTGCCATCACATACTCTTCCGCCACCCGCCACCCATTGGAGCTCGCATCCCTGCTCGTCCCCGCGGCCGTCAGACATCTACCTCGTGATGCGCTCGCTCGATTCCAAGATTCTCAAAGCAGCGGCACCCCTCGTCGACGACGAAGGCACGCACTGGGCCTTGGAGGTAGATGGTACTCACTGGCACATTCGGCCTGCTGGGAAGGCCAATGTCTTCAACCCGAAGAAGCTTGCGCTCGCGGACAAGAACATCCCTGAGGAGGAGCTTCTCCCCCAGGAGATTGACCGCAGTCCCCGGGGCGACGTTTACTACCACCGCCGCCGAAAGATCGGCGAGACGTATCGCAAGCCTCACGAAATTCGTGATATTTGTAAGTTGCCCCTCGAGCTCCTTACTCAATCTGCGATTCTGACATTATGACCGTGGTTTAGGCCATCGCATTCTGGACGAATGCCGGATGTTGAAAATCGGATACAACCTGGCCAATTTCAACTGCCGACACTTTGTTATCAAACTGTGGTCCCAGATCGCGCTGAATCCCGGTTATAGCCAGCATGCACGCCTCACCTATGACGCGAACTCTACTTTGTTGCATGAGATCCAAGGCATGGCCCGGGGGATTGTCGAAGATGTTAAAGACGAGGTCCGCGGAAAGGTGCTGAGACTACTTTCCCGTGTTCTTTGAAGGCCACTGTCGTGCTGCATCCACGGGCTCCTCGCTGTCAGCTCTTATTTATTACACCGTTCCCATTGGTTATGTCGCATTCTGCTATGATTTTTTTCATTCCTAGTAAAGTATCACTTGTCACATGAGTTACGAGTGCACCGATTCGTACTGCTTCTTTTCGGCTACCTCCACATTTTTCCACCTTGTTAATAGTTCCTTCTTGATAGGCAATTGGGGTCAAACCACTTCGAACTCGTGACAAACAAATAGGGCGTACAGTCGGATGGAAATGGAAGCCCGTTGATATCTCTTGTGCGTGGACATCGGTAGATTAAAGAGTGACTGCGGTAACAGGGACTTCTATAGTGATTAGGCGCCGTGATCATGATGGAGTGGTTTTTTGATGAAGCTCGATCCAGGATTGAGGGGCTCAGCAAAGACACGCGGTGGTACGCATTCTGTTTCACGCATTTCCAGAGTGACATCCCTCCTGGTTTCCATACATAAGGATCTGTCGAGACCACTTGACGTTCTCAAGTCCAGCTTGAGTGCCTTCCGCCTCCCATGCTCTTCCTCTCAGCTCTTTACATCACTGCATCCCTATGGACCACCCAGGCTTCTGTCTTTCCCCGTGCTGAGGGCCTTTCTTCCAGCCTTGACGACGATACCGCAGAGGCCTGGTGTCAACAGCGCTCGGTCCTGTCGATCATCCAGACATGCTGGGTGACGATATTTGCGTGCACCTGGGTCGGGGTCCACCCAGACATCCGCCGTCCTGTCTCCTCTGGTAACAACAGATGGGGAGGGCTTCTACAGAGAGCTGAGCTCATGTTCTGGGGACTAGCTGCCCCTGAGCTCCTCGTGGCCTTTGCATTCCATCAATGGCGGGGTGCTCGAGATATCCAGCGAAAGATGACCAGACGACTGGAATTAGAGAAGGAGGCCAACCCTGATTGCAGTGAGCTACTCTAGTCTCTCCATCACGTCGTTAATTCGCGTCAATACTGAGCGTAACGCAGAATTCATTTTGACTAGACTATTGTCCACTCACATTTCCTGCAAATGCGAGGGTACCTATTTGAGAAGGGCGGAGATTCAGAAGCGAGAACCACCTACGTCTTCGGCGCTGAAGAGGACGAAAGAGCTGCCCTTCAAGCGCTCGTTCGACGGACCTGGGACACGCGGCAAGAATCAGAAGATCGCAGCAAGGGGGACGCCCTCGCCAAAGGGTTTGTTCTCCTCCAGACAAGCTGGTTCGTGGTAGAATGCCTTGCTCGACACGTCCAAAGGCTCTCTATTACAGAAATAGAGCTGGTCACACTCGCCTACGCCGTTCTGAACTCGGTGTTGTATTTCTTCTGGTGGGACAAGCCACTGGATGTGCAATGTCCGATAATCGTCCCGTTGTCAGCCCCTCAGACGGTAACCGCCGTCGTACCGCTTCAAGCAGGGCTGGGGGATGCAGTAGATGCCCATTCATTCTACCGGAATTCGAACACTGTCAGCGAGCCGCATGTCCCCCACAGTGACAACCACGAGTCGCATCCTCGCCGATCACGTCCCATGGATCACGAATCCGCTTCTCTTCTTGCTAGTCGTGCTGAAGGCGAGAAGGAACCTCCTCCACCAACAGTAGGACAGCGCTCCCGAAGGATCCTCGAGGCGGCAAAGAGACCTTTCCAGCGATTAGCCGCGAGAACGAACTTGAAGATAATTGTCGCGCTGTTGCTGGAAGAGTCGACGATTCCGGTTTTCCCCCTTGGCTGGCTCTTTACAGAGACGAAGGACCGAATTCTATTCGTACGACTTTGTGAGTAAGACTTTCCCTGCCCTACAATCAGCCTGTGGTATTGAACGCACTCACCCTTATAACCAGGCCTCCTGCTTGTTTCCTTCCCCATTTCCCTGTTTTTCCTCGTTTTATTCCTCGTAAGGGAGATCATAGAGGATGACCCGTTCCCGGAGTCAGCCCTTGTTTCGTCCTCTACCATCAAGTCGTACCTGGGGTCCCTTAAACTGAACGTCACAGGCCGCGAAACGATGCGCGTGGCCATCTTCCCCGCCTCGTTCCTAGCCTCCTTGTTCGGGGCTGTCCACTGCGCAGCCATTTCTCCTTTGTGGCCCTTTTCCACGTCCGTTAACCGCTACTTGTGGAGCGTGGCGGCTCTCCACATCTGCCTCTCGCCACTGACATTGTCCCTGGCCTACTTGGTGGGCTTTATTTACAAGAGGACAGAAGCGGAAGCCAAATCCAAACGGCCGCTTCGAATGCTCTTCCTGGGGTTGGCGCTTTTCACCTATGTTTCCCTCGTGTTTTATATCCCTGCCCGATTTATCCTGGTGGTCATTTCGCTGGCCGAACTCGCAGATCTGCCACGGTCTGCTTACCAGACGATCCGGTGGCTCGAATTCTTCCCTCATGTATGATACCGTCATCCAATCCCGATGTTGATCTATACCTGCTTGATAGAGAGTTAGTCCGCATTCAGCTGAGTTTATCCACGTTATCTTACAGGCGCGTGGACTTCTGGGGAGCTCTTGCAAGCACGAAGGTCGACGTTTTTAAGCGAACTTCCTCGTTCGCCAGCTCGGAGAACCCTTCCGAATTCTGTCCTCGGTCATGGATATTCTCTCGAGAATATGGCGATCGGGGAAATCCATACTTCGGTCGTACACCATGCGCTGCAGAGATACTTTATCCAGCCGCTTCGACTCCAAGCTAGACAGAGTTTCAAGAGAGTGCGTGCCAGCGCATCCATAGAGATTCAAAGACCCCTTCTCTTTGATGGATGTTCGCTATGAGGTTGCCCAAATCCAGATTCCCAGAACATTGCTGTAGTTAGAAGCTTCCAGCGTCACGAACGTACCAAGCGTTTGGTCCTGAGACGGAAGCCGAACCGATCGAGTTCAATACAGCAGCGAAAGCAATTCACGAAGTCGCCCGGCATTGTCCTCGAGGGTGCCGCACTGATTGAACCCGAGTGGATTACAGTAAAGTTGCCAGGGTAAACGAGAGTCGTACGACAATGAGACTGATTTGAAAGCAGAATCCTTTTCAGAGCCAAAGGATGTTGGATTTCGCGTCCACCATTGTCGCCGTTGGCATCGTGGTCGCGGTTCAAGGCAATGATATCGAGCCGTCGGTTGTGATGGGATCACTGACGTCTTACCTTCCCACCCTCACCATCGTTTGGGACTTTGCGCTAATTCCTCGCTTACCTGGTATGTTATCTGCGAACTCTTTAGCCCAACTGCTCACTTATATAGACTCACCATACCTTTTAGTCTCATCGGTGATGACGGCCCCGGCCTAACCACCTTAACCAAACCATATCAGCAACCAATTCGATGCCATCCGCCATATATAGGATTTAATGTCGTACGAGGCCCAGAACAGCTCTGCCCAGAGCCACAACGACAACGAGAATGCCCCGGGTCCCATAACGGCTTCAGACCATGAGATGTTGACCCACATTCGTACCCATGGACCCAGGCTCTTGCAGACACTACAAGAGTCTGGCGCCTCGAAGGAACTCCCATTCAAACTCGTCTGGACGGCTCATCCCCACTGGCCTCTTCTCCCCAATAGGAATACCGATAGAGTCCGGATATCTGTACTTGATTCGTCGTTCAACCCACCGACCCTTGCGCACCTCGCTTTGGCCAATTCACAGAAACCCGGGCAAGAAGGAGAAGATGGATACGAAGCAAAGCTTTTGTTGTTATCAGTCAAGAACGCGGATAAGACACTCAAACCTGGCGATGCTTCCTACCTGCAACGACTGCAGATGATGGGTTTGCTCTCTCAAGACGTCGTTACGCGTTGGAAGGTGGAGGACGGGAGACCGAATGTTGCTATTGGGATTATCGACGAACCGACTTTTGTTGGGAAGTCGAGGATTTTGAAGGAGTATTTCGCGGCTAGGCTTCGATCCTCGCCTCTGCAATCGAGCGGACCCTCCACACAGCTCACGTTCATTGTTGGGATGGACACACTCGAGCGACTGTTCAGTCCCAAGTACTATCCTCCTCCAGCGGATAACCCAGACAAGACGGCAGAACAAACCATGTTAGACGTCCTGTCTCGCATGCTGTCCCCACCCCCAGACGGCGACGACTCATTCATCGTCTGCGCCAATCGCGCGAACCTCCCCAGCGACACTACGCAACAAGCCAAAGGAGAGAGTGGAGTTGACCAGACGCTAAGTGTAGCTCAACGAATGGGTTGGATGAAGGAGGACCCAAGCGACTCGCGAATCACTTTGATAGACATTGGGAAGAGGGAAAGTCGGTTTAGCTCGACTTCTGTTCGCAATTCCAGGCGGAGGATTGGTTCGTGGCCCGGGGGTGAGCAGGGTGGTGGACGATGGAAGGATTGGGTCACCAGCAGAGTAGCAGCGTTTATTGAGAAAGAACGATTGTACCTTGAATAGTGTATTGCGTGTATCCTCTGGACCTGTACTTCGTGGGGGAGATCATATTGATTCCGATCAGTTGGGCGCGACGAGTCGCGCACGGCTCGAATCCTTTTTTGTCTTTCACTTCAACCTGATCACCGACGTCCAGAGACGTCAGAGAACAAGGGGACTGTACAACCGGCGCTACCCCAAAGTAAAAACGAGAAATATACCCTCAACAGACTAGCCGACACGGTCGATAGCTCGAATGAACGCCTACGCACCTCAAATCTCCAAAGCGGAGAGTTCGTATATCCAAGCGGGTCTTACATCCATCCCAGGGCAGAGAATCGATGGAAGGGCGTTGGATGAATACCGAATTGTAGCCCTCGAAACTGGTGTTGCGCCATTAGCGAATGGGAGCGCGAGGGTCAGCATTGGTGGGCGGACGAGCGTGGAAGGGAACGGCGGGGGAGGAACCGAGGTCGTCGCGGCGACAAAACTCGAAGTAGAGAGTGTAGATGAAGGAGAGGGTGTAGATGGCGGAAGAGTCGTATGTACCGTTACTTGGTGAGTTTCTGACGCTCCGTACACGGCCAATACCTACTACGACCACAGTTCACCAGCGGCCTACCCGCATCTCTCGTCCAACGCGCTCGAAGACCTCCAATATGATCTGACGACTATTATTGATTCTACACTATCGCATTCATCGTTACACCCCAAGAACCTGACGATTGTGCCTGGGAGAAAAGCGTGGTGCATGCATCTGGATTTGGTGGTGCTAGCGGACCAGGGGAATGTACTGGACGTGCTGTTTTTGGCGGCGAGGGCTGCGGTGTGGGATACGAGGGTGCCGAGGACGAAGGTTGTAGAGTGGAAGGCGAGGCCGATGGGCGGGGCTGTAGTCGGAGGGGGTGCCGCGAAGGACGTCGGAGGGAAGGAGAAAGGAAAGGATGCGGATAGGATGGATGTGGATGATACGGAGCAACCCACGAGTGGGTTTGATACCCGCCAGTTGAACAAGGCGGTGGACTTTGAGTTGCCGGATTATTGGGATGAAGGCGAGCCGTTGGAGGGTTCTGAGAAGTGGCCTGTTTGCGTTACCCTGAATTTGGTAAGTTCTTTCCTCAAGTTTAGGTTGTTCCTATTGTAACAATGTCTGTGCAGGTCCCACCTATCCATTTCCTCGACGCGTCTTCGAGAGAGGAATCAGCAGTTCCTTTGAAATTCCTCCTCATCTACTCCTTTGAGAAGGACGGGAAAGGCGATAAAACGGAAAGACCGGTGTTGAGGGGGATGAGGTTTATTGGACCGGGAGAGGTGAAGGCTGAGGAAGTGAAGGGCATGGTTGAGGTGAGTTCTCTGTGCTTGTATATTGCCCATTGCTCACGACTCAACAACCCCATACCACTATCCTAATTCCACTCTTTCATAGTCGGGCAAAAAATATGCACAAGAAACATTCAAAGCGCTAAATCAAAAGCTGGCGAGCGAGGATTCGAGGAGAGGGAGAGCTGGGCGTAAGATGTCTACATAGGACAAGGCTATAGGATGGGGGAGACCGGCTACGTGCAGGCAGTAATGGCGGCAGAGCGCTAGTTTCTGCCGTGCTGCTATCGATCGTACATGTGCAAAATGGCTATCACGGCCTGGAGGCCAGCAGACGCCTAATATTCGAAAGTTCTTTTGGCACATACCCGTACTCCGGAGTCAATGGCAAGCTTCATGTTGCATTACATTGTGGTCTTTCCTTGCAAAACCTGCATCTATTCTGCGGTCTACTGATCAAGGTCTTCCAACCTGTCGCACCAGTACAACTTCAACTTCACACGAATAGAAGGAGTTGGTGTGGGGGGTAATGGTTCGATGAACGTGGCGATACCGTCGCTCCTGACAAGTCTCCCTCTGTCCCAATTGCCACAAGTCTCGAGGAAGACACAATGGTGGAACTTTGTTGATTGAGACAAGGCCGCTTGATTGACTGCAGAAAGATAAGCAATACGCAGAGGCAGAGACCAGATGGATAGCCCGGTCAGCGTTAGAATTTGGGGAGTGCAAGCCGGTGGATGTAGTGTAGATAAGAAGTGAAAGCTCGAACCCGCGACTGCAGGTCCCCCAGCTCAATCAAACGCGATGACGTAACCAATTCGGCAACCCCCGAACATGCTGCTCGCTGCGGTCGCGGGGTGATGAGCGCCTCTTCCTCGTTGTTGACGGCGGGGACGACGACCACGACGCGCCGCCATCCCTGGTCCTATCCACCATGGCGCCGTTTCATACACCCAAGGCCGTAATATCCGGTATCAAAGAGAAGATAGATTCTGTCCTTGTTCAAGGTTCGCTTATTGCTCCGGAGTTTCAGCAATACAATGTGTTAACAACGAACGATTTCGGTCAGGGGATAGACTGTATTTGGGGAGTGCTGTTGGGAATTTGCATATCTATAGCACTGAGCGCCATGGAGGTATGCTGGACGTGGCTTTGGACGTGCGACGATATTGATGTTCAATTAGAAAGTGAGGACCAGGGGTCTGAAGAGCCGGCGTTCCAGCTGGTGGAAACCAAGAAGGCGATTGCCAGGAGATCCATTGAGCAATTGGGGTTCATTAAGGATGTAAACTCTTTGGTTCTCCTCTCTGGTATGCCGTCGTCGGTCATTCTCAATGGTACACTCTCAAATACTGTATGTTTCCAGAAATGAATGTAACTCTCTACCCATTGCCGTCCTTCTCTCCGCCAACACCCCTGGTCAAAGCCAAGGCCGCATTCTCATTCGCGGTCCACTCATCAGTCCAGAATCTGACTTCCGACAACGACACCACCCCAATACCAACATTGGTCACTCATCTACTCGTTGGATGCAGAAGGAAGGCCGTTCTGTACACATGGAAAGACGGGGAACCACAAGAAGCAAAGGAGGCACCTCTACCCCACTCAGCCCGTTCAATCGCCTTCTTGAATCCAGACTCGGCATGCTTTGCATACTCGCCTACGGAATACGCGATCTTTACATTATCGACCATGACCGCGGTGGACATTGTGACACCCCTACCGACGACTGCGTCGACAGGGGCTTTCACAGGTTTGACGGGTTATATGACGTTCGGTCTTATGGCGAGACCTAAGCCTACTGCAGTCCATATCAAGGACTCGGAGGCCTTGATCACGAAAGATGGTATGCGCCATTCTACCCCAGACATCAGACCATGCTGACGGCCGTGCAGTGGAAGGATATTTCGTTGGACCAGATGCGAAGGTGTCAAGGACGACCACGGTGGAATGGCCCGCACCTCCCGAGGACGTTGGTGAGCTCTTGGATCATCGTTCCTCCCAGCCTGTATGTACTCACCGGTACCATCAGCTGCCGTCAAGCCCTACATCGTTTCCGTCCTCCCAGCTGGAACCGTTCCCGTCGTACAAAGTGACACTGCTTCGACATCCACGACTAGCCAATCCTCTGTATACCCAACATCAGTCATCCAAGTGTATTCCTCGCTTTCCCTCCACGCCGCCCAAACTCTGCCATTCCCTTTCAACTCCCCGTCTGGATCCCAAACTTCGATCACGACTCCTCCAGCCAATGCTACACTTCGCTTGCTTACACCGACATCGTCAATCAAGTCTCCGCTCTTCCTGATCAGTACGCCCACTGACAAGACTGCAGCGACCAATGAGGGCAGTTCGGTATGGCAATTCACCATGAAGCCATGGCCGGAACAACTGGACGAGCTAGTTTTGGCCGGTCACTACAGTGATGCTTTATCCCTGCTGGATACGTTGGACGAGGCCTCTCTCCCAGACAAGGACCAACGTCGGACGAGAATACGAGCTCTAAACGCCGTCGCGCAGTTCCGCGCCGGAAAGTTCGACGAAGCCATCGACACTTTTATTGCACTCGACTTTAACCCTGCCAAGGTCGTAGCACTCTATCCGGAGGCCGTGTCGGGACGGTTAGCAGTCCCACAGGAGCGGTGGATCCCTTTGTATGGTGGGCCTGTACCCGTGGAACCATCCTCGGGAGAAGATTCACAATCGGTCGCTTCACACGAGAGTGGGAAGCAAGGTTCGGCAGAGGGTGGTAGTAGTGGTGCGACCGGTGATCATCCTGGCTCTGTACCCACCGGTACATCGTTAAGAAACCGGCTGCAAATGAAGACGACATTTGGGATGCTGATTCCCGGAGGCGGAGGCAAAGACGATGATGCCGTTTCTGTGTCGAGCAAGCGGAGGGTACCGATTCATGGTGGGTATTTCCCTTGTTCTAGAGACGGAAAAGAACTCATGCGTGGCCGATAGACGATTTCCACCGTTCCATAGAGACTTTGGTCCGATTCTTGACAGACCGGCGTCCCAAGTTGTTCAAGGCTTTGGAGGGGGTCAAGATCACACCAGAGAACCAGACGGAACAGTACCCTCCTTTGTCCAAGACATCTGTTGACGATCTGTATACCTTGCCGGACGCTGCTCTTTCGGCGCTCACACCAGAGCAATTACTCCGCTTTGCGCAGATTATCGACACGGCTCTGTACAAGGCGTATCTGATCATCCGGCCCACCCTTCTCAGTTCACTCTGTCGTGTAGCGAACTGGTGTGAAGTATCTGAGCTTGAGGAGGATCTTCGGAAGCGAAAGGTGTGTATCCTGCACCTTAATGAGATGGCGCGCGCTGATCCACTGTCTACAGAAATTCTCCGAGTTGAAGGACTTGTACCATGGCAAGGGAATGCACGCGAAGGCCTTGGATCTGCTTCGAGAGTGAGTAGTCTCTGATGACTCCTTGCGGGCCGTCTAACAAGTACCCAGGGTCGCCGAAGACGAGGATGACCTCGAGGACAAATTGGACCCTTCGATACGATATCTTCAGCGCCTAGGTCCAGCTCATCTCGCCCAGATCTTCGAATCCGCTCGGTGGATATTCGACACCGACAAGGATATGGCCTTCAACATATTCCTTTCCGAGGATGTAGAACTGCCATATCGACCCGTGGCAGACTATCTGGAGAAGATTGATCCCAAATTGTGCATTCGATACCTTGAACATATCATCTTTGAGAAAGAAGATCAGTCTTCCGAGTTCCACGACCGGCTGGTTGAACTCTATCTCAGCCAAACACTTGCGGCGAAGAGACGGGGTGATGGAGGTATGCCTTTTATTTTTGGAGAGGTTAAATCTTTGGCTGATCCCGTGGATGTAGACCTTGAACACCATATGTACTCCAAGCTGCTCCAGTTCGTTGACAGCAACCAGTTCTTTACCATCGACAGGCTTTATGGATTGCTCTCCCCGACGGGTAGGTGCATCAAAGTCTGACTCATGAGCTATTATTGACCTCTATGATTAGATCTTTATGAAGCCCGCGCTATCCTCCTTGGCAGATTAGGACGACACGATCAGGCCTTGGAGCTATATGTGTACCGCTTGAACGACTACCTAAAGGCTGAAGAGTGGGTCTATCTCCAAAATTATGACAATCAATTGCTAACCTCTTCAAAAAGGTATTGCAAACGAGTGTATCAATCGGGAACACCAACGAGCGGAATCTTCCTCACCCTTCTCCGAATCTACCTCCGCCCAACATCCCAATCCGTCGACACCTCCAAGCTCCTGCAACCTGCCTTGGACCTCATCAGAAGACACAGTCCGCGTTTAGACTCTGTCGAGACACTTCAACTGCTCCCTCCGCTCGTGACAGCGTACGACGTGAAGGAGTTCTTGATCGATGCACTCAGGGTACCCGTGTTTGACACGAGAGTGATCACCCAAATTAGCAAGGCTAGGAATGATCATCTGGCCAGGAAGTTGGTTGGGTTGCAGACGAGAAGGGTGAAAGTGACTGATACACGGATGTTCGTATTCGGTTTTGTTTTGGGAGGGCTTTGCGAGACTGATTCTCCTCGGTTGTAGATGTCCTCAGTGTCATAAACGGATAGGCAACAGTGTGATTGCCGTTCATTCCCCTCAGTGAGTTTCTTTTCGTTCCTGGCGCTGTTTGTTGCCTTGCTGATTCGTTTCTGTGCTTGTAGTGGTGAAGTAACGCACTATAATTGCCGTGAACCCTTTGCTCGTAAACTGGCTGAGACGCGCCGGTGATTTCAGTCTCCCACCCATTCCTCGCCTTCGGTCATGAATAGTACTCTCCGTTACGCCGTATACCTCATCCTTCTCTAATACCTATTACCTGCTTGTACCATATCTGGATTTCATCAAGGAAGACCTTTTTTCAAACGCGATTCGAGTTCGAGAGCAGCACGCGACAACAAATGGACATGCAATTTTGATCGACGATAACAACAACGACGTGCGATAATGATGTACAAGGTGGAAAGGACAACAAGGTAGGGGTTTGCGAAAACTCTATGGGGACGATGCGGGCAACTTATATACAATAATAATACATACATATAGAGTTTTTTTGGATTGATATTGTGCAAATGGTGGCAATGGTTCGTGAGTTCATAGTCCGGGTGAAATGCAGTATTGAGGTCTTTTCGTGGCTGATGATGAAGAGAATGTATGATGTGCATGGGTGAATCAGAATGGTGGATGGATAAGGGGCAGAGTGGGTAAATGAAGCTCAGAGGTATGCTCTTCGTTTGACGCCACGGACGACCTCCTTGACGATGCGTAGCCACGAGAGGGCCTTTTCAAGTTCTTCCCAAGCACCAGAGGACTGTGCTTCGATCTTCCTCAAGAGCAGGCGGCGAATGACACGGGTGTCTTCGTCATCATGCTCAGTAATGGTGGCAGCCGCAGAAGCGACGGAAGACTGGGTTGAGATGGAAGAGATGGATGCGATGCTGGGGCGGAGGTGGATTGGACTAGGCGGAGGGAACAGGCTGGAGGAGGGCGAGTGGTTTGGTCCGATGATGTCCCCGTTGTACCATCGGGACCCTGGTTTAGAGCTGCGAAGCTTGGTGATCATTTGCTGGCGGAGCTATGGAAAGACCGTTAATAACTCAAGATGAAGAACACCGAGAATACAAGGACATACCTTGAAGGCACGCTTCATGGCCCGTTCAACCTTGTTGACTGAATGGTTTGCAAGGCCAATGAATTGCTCCGCCTGGTTCTTCCATGTCAACTGCGAACCACAGCATGAACGAAATGTGGCAACCCACCGAATTGAGGCATAGATGAATGTTGCAAAGATCACGCTCTGCAGCTTCCAACACGACCATCGAGGTTCGCAAAGCGGTATCAATTGCAGGATCCCAGCGATCGATATCCTCGGCGATAGACACCTGGATGGTGGGGAGCGGAGCAGGGTCGGGTTTCTGGGTGTCGGCAGCGAGCTGGGATCGCGTCAAGTCCTCGTGATGAACCATCTTCTTCAACCAAGCCTTGAAGCGCATCGTTCCTGATAGGCCTTTCTCTCCCTTCGCCTGCTCCAACTCTTTCTTCTTTTTCTTGGGCGAGTCCGATTTGGATTGTCGAAGGTCAGGTGTCGAGCGCCGGCCGAACATGGCAAGTCGAGAATCACGATACACCTTGTGGTCCTCATCCAGCGGGGAATTATCCTTGCTGGAATAGGGAGAAATGAATGGACTGGGGGATTCCGATTGCTGGAACAGACTTGAGAAAGTTGGAACAGACGGACGTCCGTTTAGGGTCTTGGTGTTAATTCGAAGCCGCGGAGGTGCCTGATGAGAAACTGGAGATGGCAGAAGCAAAAAGTCGCGAGATGAGCCTTGTGATACCGCAGTGCTCTGAGAGTCTTCCGAATCGCGATGATAAACTTTGGGAGGCAGAGGTTGAATGCCCTTCGATGAGAGCTTCTCTGAAGCGGCTGTAGCAACCGTCTCGCGTAGGAAGTCCACTCGTTGGGCGTTTTTCTTCAGCTCTTGAAGCTCCGTCTCGGCCTCCTTGATCCTGTCCCGGAAATATTGAACCAGTCTCTGCTGATTTTGCCGAGAATCAGCCAATATGCTTTCCAGCTTGCGGAGGTGCCCAGGCTCGTTGACATGGTGGCCATCGGGGGATGAGAGACGTAGATTCGTGATTAGAAGTTGGGAGGTCAGGGTGGCGTCGATTTGGGAAGGGGAGCACACGGACGACGTGGACGACGTGGCATCTTGAACAGAGTCAGGGTCGATGGAATCCGAAAGGGTGGCGAGTGAGTCGTTGGAGGTCACAGACATGCCGGCGAGGCTGGGCGTTATGAGCTGGAGGATCCCAATGTCTGGTCCAAACGCTGCAAGGAATTCAGGTTTGGCAACCTGTAGGGGTGTCAAGCTAACGGGACCCGGTCAATATCAAAATACAAGATCAATCCATGATTGAACTCACCCGCGAGAGTTTTTGAGCTGTCGGACAGTGCCAGATTTGTCGCATTCGAGCAGATAGGTAAGCAACTCGAGCGATTGACCATGTTCGGCGGCGATATGAATGCAAGTCTCGTCGTCCTTGTCGCGAGCAGAGAGCGGCGCACGCAGATCGCGAATGAGATGTACAACAAGTTGATACAAGGATGCAGCGTCATCATGTTGGCCTGGTGTTACAGTTGCAGATCGAGCAAGAATGTGCAAGGGAGTCCATTGTTCGTGGGCAGTGAACAGGGCGGTGTCCGCTCCGGCACAGTAAAGCGAATCGATGACGTCGATGGATGGGCGAGGAAGAGACACAGCATGGTGGATAAGACTCCAGCCCTTCGAATCAGGGAAGTTGACCAAGATAGGGACGGACATTGGATACAATGAAGCTGGCGAAGACGCGGGAACTGCGGGAGAGAAGAGAAGCGAATGAAGGAAGTCCAGATCTCCGGAACGGATGGATGAGACGAGGGTGGTGAGCAACCTTGACATTGCCTGGGGATTGAAAATGGCGGGTTGCGGAGGCTCAAGATCGTTGCAAGAAGGCAGGGAGAGGGCAGACAGCTGAAGAATATGCTCGGAGATGGGTGATTGAGAGCGGTCCGCGGACTGGTAAGCTCGGTTAGATATTAGACTTTCGATAAGGATGTGAGGCGGGAGCTTACACTGGCTTCGCGCCATCTATGGCGTCTCAAGACCACCTCACATAGCCATAGTATGCGTGCATGAGGCAACGCAAATTGGATCGATGTACGGTAATTGCTGTCTCGGAAATCTGGGCGTGCGCCATGGCAGAGCTGACCCGAATCGGTCAGTACAAGATCCTAGTAGACGTAAAGATGACCTACCAGTATCTGGACCACTTCTAGGTTTCCGTCACGAGCCGCGTCTGACGGAGACTTTCCGTTAGGAAATTGACAGATGTAGGGCATCAAGGGGAAGGGCTTACACATCAAGGCCGTGGCTCCATGGGAATCCATAGCGTCAACAGAGACAGCGTCGGCGCTCTCTTCGAGCAATAGGCGCACGACGCGCGGCAGGTTCAGCCAAGCGGCCATTCCGAGCGGGACGACACCGTTCATAGACGCGTGAGGCGCGTTTAGTGACCATAGTGAGATTTTCGGGTGGTTGAGGAGGGTGCGGATAGTCGAGATACGGTCAGGCGTGAGGAAACTTGAGTCGGCGGGGTCGACACTTTGCCAGCTGCAAAATCACGGCGCGGTCAACGACAAGAGACGAGAGAGAATGGAAGAAACGCGTACTTTTCACCAGCAATAGCGCACATGAGCGCTGTTTTCCCCGCGCTATCCAACGCGTTCACGTCGGCGCCTGACCGTAGAGCGTACCGAACGCCATCGTCGTCACCGGCAGCAGCTGCGCGATGAAGAGCGGACCATTCATAGGGATGTGCACCCGTGTTCATCATGACATGAAAAAAACCAAGAAAAAACCAATACGGCGAAAATGACCGTCGAAAGCGAATGTTTGAAGAAACGACTGGAACCCGAAAAGACAGAAAAAGACAAACAATCGAATTGAAAGAATGAGGGGGTTTAAAGAAAGGGCGGGAGAGTGGTGGGCAGGGGAGGGAGGGATAGGCGCGGGCAGGGAAGGCGGCAAGGAATACGTCCGGTACTGACGGGCGTACATATGTATGAATTTGTTCTGATTGAGCACGGATGGAGACGCGGACGAAAAAATCCGCCCAAGATCTTGCAATGAGGCCAGGAATAACAATCTGGGATATCACCGACCAATGAGAGATTCAGGGCCGCGAAGAACCGCCGCCAAGGCGGCAAGGCCAACAGTTATATTTCGGTCTCCGGTGATAACATTTCGCATTAGGAAGGTCGGGCTGGGACTTTCCCTTCGCTCTGCCTCGAGGCACGAGGACATCGCATTCCTCGGTGAGACGCTTGTATTGAGAGAGCGACCCTGCACAAAGCAGCAAGAAATTGATCGCCAATGAGAAATTGCCCTTCCAAGCCTTGTTCATAAACTTCATATTCATAGAGGAGGAAGTCAGGAAGCGAACTTACAGAGGAATACTAACAAGACACTAGCAAAACCACTTCTCGTATTAACTTTGGCACTGGAATGACGTTAGTATGTGCTGGGAAAGGAAGGCTGAAAGACAACGCCCAAAAGTCTCAAAATTGCCCGCCAGAAGACGACATTGCCTCCGTTGTTTAATTCTGCTGTTTACGGGCTCTCGTTCGTCAGAAACAGAAGCTGAGATCCTAAGCGAGCCGCTCTGAGGGACACTCATCGTTCTCAACGATGGGAGAAGAACAGGACGATAAAGGAGAGAAAATGATATCCATCAACTAAGCTCGAGAATCGAACAAAGTTGCGGCTAAGTGGAATCTCAGAGTGATTTCCAGCCTGCACGAGCAGCAAGTTGAAGGGGGCGAGTAGGCGAGGGTCCGTCCGCGGCCGCCCATTGTCTGCAATGGTTGTGCACGCGAGTCGCAGTTGCTTTATTCGCAAATCGCTCGGGCGATTCAAAACTGTTTTGGTTGCACGCCATAGCCTCGTGTTTCGGTGCCGCAAGGCCGCCTGTTGGCAAATTCGAATCGAACAATTCCTGGGACGAAACCTACAGTCGACTTAGCGGTGGCGGGGAAATCACTGCCTCGTGCTGTGATTCCAGCGCCGTAGCTCACCGAACGAAGACACTGTTGGAAATACTGGAAATTCCAAGGAAAAGGGCCATTCGAAATTGTCGTTTCCTCGCTCTCCGCCGGCATGGAGAGTCCAGACTTTATCGTTACGCGACGGGCGCTTTTGCGAGTTCTGAACAATCGTTCAACAACGAGGCCACGATGCTGATCATCAACGCCGCGTTTTTCTTTGTTCTTTGAGGTTCTTTTCTCCAGCTGTGTATATGCGATCCCACCCTAAGCCCTATTATAGCACATATGAAGAAGTGTGGGCTCCCAAGTGCAGAAACTTTGTGTACGAACCTTAGCTGGAATGGGTTAAGAGTGGATGTCAAAGAGACATCGAGTGAGAATCGGACGGAGGTGTGGGTGACGGTTATGGGACAAGCGGACGTCGTGGCAAGGCACGGGTTTCACTCAGTAGAGGCCAGACGGCTGACAGCGGCGAATACTGCAACAGAACGCCTCCCTTCACGCGGCAAACCAATTTAGATTTGGTAGCGCAATAGAAGCTGGAACTATGTAGAGGAGAAGAAATGGAGCGTATGATTTGGAATTGAATGCAGGAGAGGTGTGGTGATATGCATTGTGTGAGACCAGAACATCGTATATAAGTATTACATCGTACAAATCAACGAGTTCACCATAGAAAACATGAAGACACTAAGACGAAGATATGCTAGTATAAACAGGAAAATATGGCGATGATCCTAGTCCGTAGAACGAGGAACAGAAGCGGATCTCGGGGATGAGCGGCTTTCTGCGAATGCAAACGGGAATGAAGGGTCCACGGTCAATGTCACAGGTACGCGTCCCTGCCCAAAGTAGCCTGTTCAAGACGTCTTTAGCAACATCTCCACGGAGAAATGAACAACGGAGACCCACCTTGACTGCATCAAAGTTTGCAATCGCCCTGTCCATATTCCACTCGTTATTCGAGAGGCAGTCGAAAGCAAACTTGACGTTCAAGTTTGTCCGCGCCATGAGATCCAGCACAGCACTCCTTTGAGGTTCAGGCTATCACAAATCAGGAGTCAGTTCACGAGTAACCCGAATATAAACGGAGAGAGCAACGTACAATCATCCCTAGCGCTGACTGATGCTCCGGGGCTAAGGACGCAGCAAGCTGCGAATGTGGGTGTTGGGGTGGTATGATCGGTTGAGATGACGGAATTGAAGATGACGTCGAAGTAGAAGATTTTGGAAGGGCTTGAACGAGCATTGGGCCAGGCTTCCATGCCTCATGCGAAGAATAAATTCGAATGGTCCATTGATCTGACAAAATCATAACATCCCAACCGTTTAACCTAGCGCTAATCAGCAATACGACAAAATCAGAACCCGATTACACGAATCCATCATTACCACTTACCGAGATCCCTCGGGCGCTGGTGCTAACACAAAGGTACGATCGAATGACCGTATCCCTTCGGTGCCAACTGTAATAACGTGAAATGTCAGTCAAGTTGTCCAAACATGGTCTAATGGACTACGTTACCTTCTGTGAACTGTCCGTGGAGTGTCACCAACAACCCCGTATCCTGACCGATAGGGACGGGGAAAGCGTCGAGACAAAACTTCTCAGGGGGGCCTGAGAGATCGTGTCTTGTCCCTGGAAGGCTCTTGATAGCCTTGACCACCGCCTCGCCACCGATATGAAGAGACTGGATGGTTTTTCCCAAACCACCCGCGATACGGGTGAGGTTCCTCGATCCGCCAGCCAGCCATGGGCTCCACTCCAGCTTCCGTTGATTGGGCATCTCCTTTGAATGGTGGAACGCTTGAATCCGAGCTCTGGACGGGATGGTGGTGTTGACAGAGAAACTGAATGTCGCTCGGGGATCGTATGCGTCGACGAGGCCTTCTCGCTGGGTGTCGAACAAGTTGTAGAAGCTACCGGTGATGAATGAGCCAATGTAGCGGTGGAGCGAAGCTGCAACGTACCGGACTAGGAAGTTGGGAACAAGAGTGGGGTCGACACCCGTGACAAATGGAGGGTTCATATCAAATGGGAACGTGGTCGCGCTCGGTTTCTTCACCGGGACAGAGGTCTTGCCTTGAGGTACGTCGAATCCAATTTTTGCGACAGGCTCCTGGTCCAAGACCTCCAGAGACGTAAAGCGCCGGATAAGCTCGCTGGATAGGGTTAGAAATATAGGTGACGATCCAGACCATCAACTTACTGTTTGTAGCGGTCAACCCGGCCATTCTTAATCTCCATGTCTCGCACAGGATTGTCTAACAACACCAGCTCGCGAAGATGCACAAGTTTATCCTTTCGTGCAGAAATATAGTCCAAGTCTTTCCAATGACACAGATTATTGTTTTGTAGTGAGAGGTTTTCGAGTTTGGGTAGGTATTTGGAAAGGTATTGAAGATGTTCCCCGGCGAGCTTGTTATTGGCCAGAGAAAGCGTTTTTATCTGAGCAGGGGGTTAGCGCGGTCATCGTCGAAAGTGTAGGATCAACATACTGGTGGTTTGAGTTCGCTTGCGAGCTTGAATATGACGCCTGCTTCCTTTGCGCTGCCCCCACCAATACCCGGTGAAGAAAGGTTGTATTTCTTGACCAATTCGTCGTCAATTAAAGACTGGAGATAGATGGTAAATCACTGGTAATTATCATGAGAGAAAAACCACGCACTTCCAGATTGAGAAACTGAGCATCTGCATTCCACCGCTTTCGGACCACCTCCCTCCATGATTCAATGGCCTTCGAGCGTCCAATCGAAACCCGCGGCCCTCCCACAATACTAGTCGAAGCACCCCCAGTTGAGACAGCATTTCTGCGTAATCGGCCAGTCGCTGTTGGTCGGGCAGCACCACGAATCGCGAGAGGGTCTGAAGGTCCGGCGTGCGATGCAGAGGATGATATTCGGGATGCGAGCTGCGAGGACGTTCGGGGGATCGGTGAGCTGGGGTTCTCTTCATAGAAAAAGGGAGGGCGACGACAGGCTCAATAGAAGTTGTGCAATGTGCTGCCCGTTCCCTATACGCTGAGAAAATGAGTTGTGATAATTACCCTGTGGGAGCCCGGTTGGTCCTTGAAGACGTCTATTGGTCGGTTCCGATGAGAGCGAATCTTGGAGACGCCCTTGCGTCCTCCTGGCTTGTCGTTCACGTCGCGCATCTGAGCATCCTTGTCGATGAGGCCAGCATTTCTGAGCGCATTGGCTGCTATTGTCTTTGATCCCGGACCAGTCGCGGAGCTAGACGTTGTTGAAAACATTGCGAAGAGCTGGGTCTTGTTGTGGTCAAGACGTGTTGGTTGTGTCGACGTTGGTCCCGCAACGCCTTGGTGGTTGTGGTTCGTGGTTGTGAAACAGTTGAGGGGCGATCGTCGTCGTCGTCGTCGTGGATGACGGCGAGTCAAAAAGAGGCTGTGACCACTGTAGCTCGCTGAACGCATCTTCCCACGGTCACGAAGCCCGAAGGGTCCGGATCCGTTGACTAAGCTTGGTTGGTGACTCCAAACTTGACTGCCGCGCAACCAAAACTCGGCAAAGACGAATTTGTCGAGGCCTTGGGCTGCGGGAATGCAGGACGATGGCTGACATTGGCCTTAAAATAATCCCTTTGCCACCCCATATTACCTCAGCTACGTGCATTCTTCGAATTCGAGCCCTTTAGAAGAAATACTGCCCAAGCCTAATCCTTCTTTCGTCATATCATTTACATCTAGCGTCCGTCTCATTTGAGAACAATAATGTGTCGAGTCTGCTTGCAGTCCTCCTTTGCAAATCTACAAGGAATCAATCAGCTGCCAGTGTGAATATCTGGTTTCCGTGTTGTAGCCATCTCGTCTGGACCCGTCCCAACACTACACACAGGAGTTGGTCAGTTGGGACACGTCGACTTTGCGGAAACTGTAACCCATAGAACAGCAATCGTTTATGCCAGGCACTGCAAAAAATAGGCGCTCATCTTTGGCAAGCGCTCTGCTAATCAGAGGTTGAAATGGCCATTTCGGGTTGTTCGGCCGACATCCTGATTTCCTTTGTTCCCGCCGCATTCAGACCTTCAGCCTCAAACCTTCCCTGATTGCTGTAACTTCTCGCTATATCGTTGAGGGGTACAACCTTCTCACACTTTCCCATCACCTCAGCTGATTTCATATCCGTCCTCAGTTGCAATGGGACACGCCGACGTCGACTACACTGGTGGCTTGCTACTGAACACAGCGCAGACATTCGTCAGTCTGACTACAGGCTTCCAATGCTTTGCTCTTCCTCGTCTGACTGTTCCAATTGGTCGCCAAAGTCAAAAAGAGAGGGACCAAGAAACTTCCCGTCAATATGTTGCAGCTTTGGAATGGACAATATTTCGAGGGGAGATACAGCTCGACCGCCAGCCGTTCGCCTCCTCGGGGACTTGGTCTCTTCCACGCCGGGTGAGGGAGACTGTGACCTTTCAACTTCGAACTGGTGCTCTTCGACGACTCCGACTGAAGGCCACGAAGAAAGGGAACCGGAATGACGCACGTCCTGGCCCTTCCCCGTCCACGATCGTCCATCTTCGTCTGATTCACGAACTGGACCTCGGACTCCAGCGTTTACTCCGTCATCGATCTTGGGTTGCTCCGCCTTCTCTTGAGAAAAGTGGCTGGAGTTGCACACGGGATCCGGGGTGTGGGCATCCACCACGAGTTCGTGGGCCATGAGCTCAAAGTCGGAATCGCTGTTGAGTGGCTCGAATTCCTGGTCGTCTATGGCACCTATGTTGGACTCCGCACTGCTCTCACCTTCATCGTGGTCAAAGTCGCTCCCGTTCTGAGTGCCTTGTTCCAGCATCGAGCGGGACCATTCTGACGAGTGAGCTCTGCTTGACTGGATGCCGACGTGACCTGCGCTGCCCTCCATATTGCTGCCCTTCGCTGCACATAAGCTCGATATTTCCGGCTCGCTTTCGATTTCTTCAACTCCGTTGTCCTGATCGCTCGAGGGCTCTACACCAAGTATCTGTCCAACTGTCTTCCAGGGATCTCGACGCTCGAAAAGAGTTCCAAAAACCGCCGACGAGGTCCGAGGAGGGGATAGGCGAATGAGGCACGGCAGTCCTCTGGCGTCAAAAACGTCAGGAGGGGTCTGGTGTTGGAAACGCGCGCCATTGTCCCTTTGCAAGTACGGTGATCCGTCTCCCAGTCCGTCGGCTCCAACATCGGGTGAACCACTTCTCCATTCCGGCTGGATTGAGCTCCAGCTGCCTGGTTCTGGGAGTGCTAAAGCGTCGAAGCGGTCTTCATCTTCTGCAATGGAAGTGCTCTCCGGATAATCCATTGAGCTGAACTCGAAGCTGGGACGCATGGGAGATAGTTCAATTTTTTCGGCAATTGGCGATTCTTCTGCTGGCTCGTCTCCTTGTGCCTGGGATGCTTCCACTCTTTCATAATTTCCTGCGCCGGACGGCCGACACTTCTCTGATGACATCCGGTTGCTGGGCGCTAATTCTCGCTCCTCACAACGTTTTTCTTCGGCGGTAATTTCAAATACGTCCAGCTTGGAAGACCTAATGAGCGTCGATCGTGTTACGGAATACAACGTCGAGCTCACCTTCCTTCTTTTACTGGGGCGACTTACGGACAAGCCAACCAGGTCTGGAGTCTCCCTTATTCGTTCCAGCAGATTCTTTAATAGAGTTGCTTCGACACGAATTAGGAGCGTGAACATCACAGATTGCGGCATATCTTACGTTCATTCTGATCCAGATATTTCAGTATCTTCGCCTTCGAGTTGGATTTGGCCGAATGCGTATCTTTTCGCGTCCGCGTTGTCCCAATCCTTGGAGAAGATGATGTACCGCTGCTATAGCTATACGGTTCTGGTATCCATATGTTTTCCGATCCTTTGGGAAGCTGGATCTTCTGACGTGCATGCGCGAGCGATATGTCCGCCACCCCTATGTTTTTGCCTGTGGTTGCAGCCGTTCCTTGTGAATTGATTTCCGTGTTCGCGACAAGGCCTCTCGACAAGATATTCATCTTCTGCTTTCCGAAGAAATCCTTTTGGATTCTGGCTGTTCGATCGCGGCCTTTTGCCTTCACGGTGTTTCTGTTGGAAGTAAGTATATGCGCTCTATTGCTTTCTGTGTCTTCCTTCGGTGATATGCTCACCGTTTTCCACCCATGTAGTTTGCTCCATGCATGATATGTGGCTTCTGAAATCGGCTCAAATTGTCTCCTCTCAATCCAATGACAGTGCCGTCGTTGAAGGTTGAACAGGCGAATTAAGCCGGTGGAAGGGCGCTTCAGCTGCGAGAGGCGGAATCGGATCACGAACGAGAAGCCTAACAACCGTAAACTGGGCTTTTATCGGGCTTTCAAATAGTTCTCAAGGTTGCCTCTGCATTCGACTCCAACTGGGTATGGACATTACGGCCCAGCGTTTGGAGAAATTCGGTTCCCAAAATCTGTCTTCTTATCGCCTTGGAGGCCTTGGGCAAGATTCAGGCGGTCACGAACTCCGGATTGACTGCGAATTGGGACATCGGTGCCATGCGTTGAAGGTCGGTGACGCGTATTTATCACAGGAACGTTTGCTGACCTCGAAGAGAAAGGTAACGATTTGACTGCTTCCAGTCTTTACCGCCTGGCCTCTCGAGCTGGTGAAAGGAAGAACCCAAGCTTGCGCTGACGTGTTCAGTCGAAGCCCATAAGTATAGCACAGACTTCTTCCCGTTTGTGCGGCGCTGCTGTTGTGAGAAACATGAAAGCGCGGCACTTCTTCTATCATTCACGGGGAATCTCTGTCGGGTGCCAGAGGAGAAGGAATCAGTTTTTTTATCCGATTGCTACGTGGTGCATAGCCATGGTCTGCGTTTTCTACTCAGGTGAGCCCTTTGCTATGTCTCTATCAATAAAGCTCAACGATTTCGAAAAAGTCACCTTCCCTTTACCATCGAATGAAGGAATCCAGCGCCATTAATTCATCTGAACTGTCGGTAAAGTGCCGACCCAATGTCGCAATCTCCCGAGCAACGTCATAACGCACCGTCGATGGGAGTGACAAACGTGGTCTCCAGATTTCGTTGGATAACTGGGCTTCTATTTCCTCTTTCATTACACGAATCGGCTGAATCTTAGGCTCTAGGTTGAATGAAGCATTAGGTTCTCTCAAAGTACGCATCGGTGCTGAAATACACATTTTCCATGGAGTCCCAGTACCGTTGTCCGATGTGGTTGGGCTTTCCCCGGGAGTCCCTTCCGGATGGAATGTGTCTTGGTTAAGCCATGGACAACCCCGATGGCTTGGACACCTAAAATCCCCTCTCAGTTTCGAAGTAGATTCCCTTCCTTCTCCCAAACTCTCCAGTATCCCCCCCGCCTTTTCATGTCTTGCGCACCTCCCAGCAGTTGTTGTGACCAAGACCGCACAAATGACGAGACCACTTCACTTCTCAGCCACCGAAGCGATCAACCAAACCACCGCTCGAGAGCAGGGAACCAGCCTTCAAGCGTCCTTCGCCTCCAGTTGTTCGTCATCACCCTCATCCAGATAGCAGAACCCATTACCGGCACTGTGATCTACCCCTTTGTCAATCAATTCGTTAGGGCGACTGGCGTCACCAATGGAGATGAGCGCAAAACGGGGTACTATGCTGGGCTAATCGTGAGCTCACCCCTCGTTCGTTCGATTCGAAAGGCGCACGGAGCATGCTCACTCTACTCCAGGAATCCGTCTTCTTCCTCGCCGAAGCGCTCACTGTGTTCCAGTGGGGTTGGTTGTCAGACCAGCTAGGCCGGAAGCCCGTCCTACTCCTGGGTCCATTCGGACTGGTAATCTCTATGCTGGGCTTCGGCCTTTCAAAAAGCTTCGCGTCGTTGTTGATCTTCCGGTCGTTGCAGGGTGTCTTTAATGGAAACATTGGTAGGACAATCATCGTGATCTGTTGTCAGGTCGAACACTCTAACCATACCGGCCCATAGGGGTGTCAAAAAGCGTACTGGCTGAGGCGAGTCTGATTATTCCTCATCCTCTCGTCAGAGGTGCTTAATGCTGGTTTTCTCTCTAGAACGCGGACGAAACGAACATAGGCGAGCTCTTCTCTATGCTTCCATTCATGTGGAGCATGGGCATTACTATCGGGTACGAATTAGATACACTAACGGAAATCTTCCGTACTCAATGCGTCTCCTTTGGACAGGCCTATTATTGGCGGTATCTTCGCTAATCCAGCGGGCCGGTGGCCTGAGGTATTCGGCAGCATGGACCTCATGAAAGACCATCCATACTTCCTCCCATGCGCCATAGCTGGAAGTTTTGCTGTCTTTTCGTTCATGTTCGGCTTAGTCGCCCTTCACGAGGTATATCGTTCCAGACGTATCCCTGGGTCTGAGGGAGGCTGAGCAATCATTTAGACTCTGCCATCTGCCCCTCTTCGTCAACGATTAACGTCAAAGTTCGGAAGTAAAGCTCCGCGTAAACACCTCAAAGCTCAGAATGGTGTTCATGAAGGTTCGCCACCTCCAGATTACAGCGCGGTGGAATCCTCTACACGGACTGAGATTGCGACCACTCGAAAGTCCACCAGTCTTTCCAGTGGCTCCCAAAGCTCCTACCGGATTCTGATGATCCGACCCTTGCTGATGACCTATCTGAACTATATCTTCATCGCGTTCAACGAGATGGCGCACAACTCCCTCCTTCCTCTGATGTACTCATCTTCAATTCCACTTGGTGGCCTTGGTCTCGACGCCTATAGGATAGGAGTCCTCATGGGCGCCTTTGGCCTCGCCAATGCTGTGCTTCAACTCAAATACCTCGGAAAACTGACAAGGGAATTTGGACCAAAAAAGGTGTATATTTTCTCCTATGGTTCATTCCTGGTTTGCACAGGTCTCTTTCCAGTGGCGAGTTACCTGGCCAAAAGGAGAGGAAGGGTAGATTGGATGGTAGGAAGTGTTATAATACTTCAATTGTTAGGGCAAATCCCGATTCTGGCAGGTTACGGTATGTGTTTGTTTCATTAATGACCTTGAGAACAATGTGTTATCTCTGACGTTTTCTCGAAGCTTCGATGCACATCTTGGTTGTGAGCAACGCACCCAAGGGGGCGCTAGGTGCTTCAAACGGGATGGGCCAGTTGATTGCGTCTATCATGCGTTCTGTCGCCCCGACTATCGCGACCTCTCTCTTCTCGGTTTCCCTTGAAAGAAACCTGGCAAATGGTTATATGGTGTATTATGTGCTTTTGGTGGTAATCTTTATTGGCATACGTCTATCGTTCCTCCTGCCAGATGGGCATCCCTCGAGGGCTTGATCATATATAGTACTGCAGAGTCTGGACACTGTGCGTATTTGTATGCTTGTCAGGAATGGAATAGGATAGGGCTGTATCATAGGAGGAAATGGTAGACATCTTTCGCGTCCTTTTCAGGAACAACTTGTCAGGGTAAACGGCTCGAAATTCCGTCTCCACCTTGGGCGCTTACACCTTCAACGCCGCCTTAACGTCGAAAAGCGGTTGGAGCTCACGACTGCAGCCGTCGGGGCCGAGTCGGTTCTGATTGCGAGTGGCTGGCTGACACAGCCAAACCGAAATCAGGCCCGTCTTGGCCGTGACTGTTTCTCATCGTTCCGCCATGGCAGGCTCCACATGCTAGTCGGAGAATCGGGCACTGTTGAACCCTTCTACTATTTAACAGGATTAACGATGACTCGATTCTGTTTGGACACCTCTCCCCATCTTTTTTACGACCGTTATGACCGTGACGAACCCTGAAATCGAACGCGACGACTCCAACACGACTCACGATGCTGAAACGACAGCAACAAAAGTCGTCGAAAGGACGCCATTGCCCAAGCTGCAAGTTTTCATCGTTTTTCTGATTCAGTTTGCGGAACCCGTTACGGCGACTGTAATCTATCCTTTCATCAACGAATTCGTTAGAGAGACGGGGATTACCCAGGGCGACGAGACGAAAACGGGCTACTATGCGGGGATCATCGTACGTCGACGAGTAGCTTGTACAATGTTTTTGGGCTAACCCTCGTCCTAGGAATCTGTCTTCTTCATCGCAGAGACCATGACTGTGTTCCTATGGGGTCTTTCGTCAGATATCTTTGGCCGGAAGCCAATCTTGTTGCTGGGTCCTCTGGGTCTTTCGCTGGCCATGCTTGGCTTTGGACTGTCGAAGACTTTCTGGTCACTTGTGTACTATCGCTGCTTGCAGGGATTTTTCAACGGGAATATCGGTGCGCTGGCTTTCTTCTCAAGACCCAGGATGGATTAACTGACCTTGAAGTTTTTGATAGGGGTATCTAAGAGTATACTCGCCGAGGTATGTTCCTTGTTGTTGCTTCAGGGCTTCATGTAAACTGACTTCTACAATAGATTACTGATAAAACCAACATTGGGGACGCCTACGCCTTGATTCCATTAATGTGGAATTCTGGCGTTACGATAGGGTGAGGACATTCTGGATGGTGAATGCTTCTTGAACTGACGTGCTTACCTCTCCAGACCCATTATCGGTGGCATTCTAACTCGTCCCGCAGAAAGATGGCCAGATACTCTGGGTAAAATCTCGCTGTTACGAGAGTATCCATATCTTCTCCCATGTCTAGTCGCATCAATCATCGCCTTCACTTCTTTCGCCATTTCAGCTGTAGCTCTCAAAGAGGTGCGTATCATATCAGCAATGTGCTTTGTGTTAATTGACCAGGCCATCTAGACCCTTCCGTCTGCCAAAAAGACGCCTCTTCTCACTCGCCTCAAGCGACTGCTCAACATTGAGAGCGAGAAGGACGAATCCAAAAGACCCTTGCTTTCGACCGGTACTCCAACCGAGTATGGCGCTATTGCAGCTGACGCTGAAACAGGGAGTGTGCCTGCCAACGTACCCGCAAAAACTGATGGTCGCCCCAAGTTGGGCGAGCTGTTCGTTCCTGGCTTCATCTCCGTCCTCATCAACTATGGCATCTTATCCTTTGTCGACATGGCCAATGCAGCTCTCATCCCTCTCATCTGGTCTACACCAATCACCTATGGTGGTCTGGGATTGGACCCCTATCGCATCGGCACTATCATGGCAGCAGAGGGCCTCACGAGCGGTTTCCTGCAAGTGATGTTCATGGGGTCGGCGATGAGGCGTTTCGGTCCTAGACGGATTCATCGCGTATGCTTCGTGACGTTTCTTGTTTCCTTCTGCTGCTTCCCCTTCGCCAATGCGTTCGCACGGCAAGCTGGATACGTCGATTGGAAAGTAATGTGCGTGATCGCTGTACAATTCGCTTCGTTGTGTTTCGTTTCTCCTTGCTATGGTGCGTGTTTTCTTTGGGCCTCAGCGGTGGAATTATCTGACGATGAGCGTCTTTCTGTAGCTGCAATGTCGGTATTGGTTGTCCAGTCTACCCCCAACCCCGGCTTGCTGGGTTCTGCCAATGGTGTAGCCCAGATGGTTACATCTGGAATGAGGTCATTCGCACCGGCTGTCGCATCCTCGCTCTTTGCAGTTTCGATCGCACGAAACCTCGTGGGAGGATGCATGGTCTACGTCGTCCTTGTTCTCATGGTACTGGCGGGCATGAGAGTCACGCGGTCTCTGCCCAACCCTAGTCCTTGAGGGACCAAAAAGTGCAGGAGGCGATTCGACCATGAAGGGAAATTAAAAGTTAAAAAGCGGGTATTTAGATGAATTTTCTGACGACATTTGTGTATTGATATTGAAATAGGGTCGTCAATAGACACGGTTTAGCATTACACCTGCGACTGAATGACCAGATCTAGATTCTGGTAGCCTCCGTTGCCCAATTCACTGCCACTTGTTGGCTTACTGTCCCTAAAGCTTGTAACCAGCTTTTCTCCATTTCCATCAGTCTGCTTCCATCAAAGGCTCCAACACAATTCGAAACCAGCGATATCAGCGCGCCGGGCAACACACAACACCCATTGATTTGACGATGAATAAATTACCGCTCTTGAGAAGGCTTTACGATTAGGTCAAGATGGTGAAATTCACTTCCAAGCTGTTCGCTGCGCTGGCTGTAGCTACCGCAGTTCTCGTCCACTCGGCCACAGGGTACGTATGTCCTGAAAAGTCGCTCCGTCCCCCGGTGCTGATCTTCACTACGTCAAGCACCGGAGCACCAGAGAAACGCGATATTGTAGAAATCAGCACTCCGGGGGTGACCCAAACGCCCGTCCTCGACGAAGCTTCCGGGAAACCAAAGGTGTTCACATTCCATCGCTTCACTCCCTTCCCAGGCGGATTCGCGGAGGTTTTCATGAAAACCGAGTCGTGCCCGGCGGGAAGTGGGTACAACAGGTTCCAACGAATGCAGTATACCACCAGCTTCAGCCACAAGCACTCCTCTCCACTCGACAACCCGATCAAGGGCATCCTATCCTCACTCTTCCCGGGTTCTATTGGTCATAGGACTCGTCGAAGGCCTGTCCACCTAAGGCGGTCCAGTAGAAACCGGGGTGTTCTCCCCGCAGACCCGTTCTTCTCTCCTCAAATTCAACGTCGTGGGCGCCGAAATCAGTGGTACCGTCGAGATACGATTTCGGACCACGAGGACGTCCTGTTCCGCAGGTTTTTGGAGGACGAGGAAGGGTATTTGGCTAGGGATGTCGAGGATTTAGCCGACATTGCGCTGAGGGAAGAAGTGTTGGACCTGATTGCGAGGTTCGAGGAGCTCGAGGAGTACGGTGCTTACTATTAGCAGTGTTATGGCGCCCATGATAGCCTGATCTCTGTGTCATCCGACTGGTGGAGAAGGGCGCTGTGGACGGGCATGAATTCGGATCTCTAACATATAGGTTGTGGATGTGGATTCGATGCTGTTGTTCGGAGACTGAAGCAATTGCCTTACACCCAGGTTTATGAGCAAAACAATGAAATGACTTCTTCAAGAAGATCTCGGCAGGTTGCCTCCGACACAGCAATGATCATCTTGACACTTCGATGAGATGGTTTATCAATCCCTAGTTCCCGGCGTAATTGCTCGTGGCGCTTGGCGGCAGGATGTCAGCGCCCATTTTAGGGCCCAATGCCTCGAGGTCTGATTGCAAGAAGGGAATTGACCAGGGTGCAAAGTAGCACATCTGACTGTTCTGGTTCTTCAGGATCCACCGACTGGTTCAACAACTCTACGCCTGTCTCCGGCGCCCACTGTTACATCTCTTGTGTGCAATTGAGAGATGGAAGACGCTATTTGAAGCGCTGTAGCGTGCTTCTGGGCGCCCTGGAGCTAGTCAACCGAGATCATCAGGGTACCCGCAATGCGCGGTGTTTCCGATCATCATAATCAATGGCACCTGAAACGCCGCCTTCTCGGATACGAGTGGACGCGGGGAATATCCTCTCATATCCTCTCTTTTTTTTTTTTTTTTTTTTTTTTTTTGGGGGGGGGGGGGGGGGGTAATTACACAGTTTGCTGCCTCTGTCCGTTGGTAAGTCTCTGTAAAGGTTGTGGTGAATACTCGTACTGATTAGTATCTTTCCCTAGGTCCCAAATGGTCGGCGGGGCGTACAGCCCCACGGGTCCACTACGGGCGCGACTGTACACATTTACGACCACACTGCCTCTGATTGATTTTGATGCCCTGGTGACCTGATGGTCAGGGACCCATCTGGTTCCGTTTCCCAGGGCCCAAGGAGGGTATATAATCCAGCGCCCGCCATCCTTGATTCCTCAGCAGTGCTCACTCTCTTTGGCGCCAGGTTGCCCAGAGTCCCGTCTTTGCTGGTCGAGACGTTTGTTCCCTACGACTAAACGACGTTCATTCCGACTCAAATCACCGTCTGGTTCTACGATGATTTACCCAGCATCCACTCTTATCCTCGCTACCTTGGTCTTCAACGCGGCCTCGGTTCTAGGTGCACCTGTCCGGTACGTCTCACCGACTCTATGATATACCCGCTTCGTCCTGACCTCATTCCCAGGATTCCATCGGCCTCACCGCCCGTGGCTCGTGCGTTAGCAGACGATCCTGTCCTTCCCCGGAAGGTGGAGATCGTCGACGTTCCCGCTCGCATGAGATCATTAGACGATGACCCTATGGACGCCCGTTCTGCCCCCGAGATCGACATTCGCGACACTGCTTCCTCCGAAAGCATAGAGGCGCGCGACCCATTGCCTGAAGTCGAGGAGATCGTTCGACGCTACCCTCGAAAGGTCTACCACGACTTCTATCAGAAGCGTTCTCAACCTTCAGCACCGCCGGAGAAACGGGCGCCCGAGCCTGACACTCCGCAGATCGAACGGCGATTCCCTCGTCGCTCGTTGTATGAACGCTATCAGAAACGCTCCGAGCCCGCCTCCCCGCCTGTTGAAGCTCGTGCACAAGCTGCCGAGCCTCCTGAGCTCCAACAACGGCGCTACCCTCGCAAGGTCTATGCTGATTACTACGAGAAGCGCTCAACACCTCCCTCTCCACCGGAACAACCTGTTGCTCGGGAGCCTGCTCCTGAGCCAGAAACTGTTCAGGCTCGTCGCTTCCCCCGTGAAGTCTACATGAAGCACTACGAACGGCGCCAGGCTGATCCTGTCAAGCATTACGGTCGCCAGGCTGAGACCCCCGAATCAGCACCTGCCGACGCAACTACTCCCGACGCTGCAACTCCTCCCACTGACCCTGCCGCCGCCCCTGCCCAACCTTCAGGTGCAGCAGTGTCAGGTGGAGCTGCCGTAGTGCAACCACCCCAGGCTTCGACCCCACCGGTTACCCCCCTGAACTCGACATCCACTCCCCTCGACGTGAACGCTCTGTTCCACAACATCACTTCGAACGATGCAGGGTTCCAACCCGGAACGACAATTCAGGAGACTACCGTGTTGGTCCACAAGATCACTCACATTTCCGAGCCTCAGCAGAAGGTCGACACTCCTCCCGTCGTCCCTCCCTCCCCTCCCACTGGCTCTGACCCAACCGCCCCTTCACCATCTGACCCAGCCTCGTCTGCCTCCCCCTCTGCTTCTGGTGGAGTTGCAGCCGACCCTTCAGCACCACCCGTAGCTGGCGGCGAACAAGCACCCCCTCAGCCATCTCCCAGTGACGCTGCCACCTCCCCTCCGCCAACTGATTCGTCGACCACTCCTCCAGGTGCGCCGACGACAGAGGACGGTGCCAGTGAACCCAAACCAGAAGAGACCAACTCTGGCTCGGAATCCACTGAGGGCGGCGCAGCTGCCCCGCCACCTGGTGAAGACGGTGCCGCTTCTCGAAGGTCAATCGGAAGCGATGCATCGCCGGAACCGATCCTTCGTCGAAGGAACCTAGGCTACAGCGGGCCTGCATGGGCATCGTACGCTAAACGGTCTGTTACGAATTGAGTTGAACTTTCATGTATTATCTAGGGACATATAACCACCGCCGAGTCGCCTTTGACTGGTTTCAAAGGGACGAGGCACAATATATTTTTTGAAAAAAGTTGGCTAGTGTGATCATTGGGCTCTGTTCTACTGGACGCCCAGGACTTTAAAGACACGCGGATTCCCCGCCCTAGTAAGGACTGAGTACTGACCTGTCACCAATGTCTCCTGCAAACTCGATGAAATGTAGACCCAGATCTCGATACAGAGTAGTTTTCCTTGGAACCTGTCACCCAGACCCGTCAGAGTGGCCTTGTTGTCGTGGAAACCTGTTGGCTGCATAAGTGCATGGGTTGGGGGAGCCGCCAGGCAGGATTATTCAAGTTCAGGGTCTCAGCTGCTGTTCAACATGGTCGGGGTGTGCAACTTAACACAAGGCGAGCGTACGTTTCCCCCTGATTTGATACTTTATTGTCAGACATTAAATTTTCTGAATCCTTTACTCGTTTCTGAAGTCGAGGGTAGGCTGCAGCGAGCCCTTGATAAGAAGGGCGCCTCCTTCGAACACTTCAAGGTACAGATTGCTTCAAAAGTCATCCGTTCTGTCATGACTAACTCAGGGTAAAAATGCATTGGGAAGACCTCTTTCAGTATCGAAGTTCGCGCATCTCTTGACCCTGGGCTCATGTTCATTGACCAACGGGAAAAGGTGAGCGAAACTCTAACCAACGTAAGCTCGATCTTATTATCCCTTCAATCGAAGTCCTGATCGTCTACGGTCCAATCCGCAGTTTTTGAGGAAAAACACAACTATCAATGCAGCAGCCTATTCAAACTCCCGGATGTATTTCGAGGAGTACGCCCGTCGGGTTCACAACACCGCGAGAAGGCAGCGCAAATTGTCTTTGACTCGAACTCGACAAGTGCATAATGCTGCCGAAGACAACTTGAGCCCAGATTCCGCGCCCTCACAATATGCAAGGCGTGGGCGAGGCGAATCTTCGAAGCGAATCGTGTCTTCCACTGTTGCCTTCCCAACCCAGCAAAATTTTGTTCCCAACTCCATCGGCGGCAAACCGGATATACCAAGAACCTTCGATCATTACGCTCGCGCCTTCCCCGTGGCGGAAACAACTGGAAAAGCTGCAGTCCGTAGCCTCCTCGATCTTTCGGCACTTCCCCTTCGTTTCCTCAGGAGGGATTTGATAGAATTTGGGGTAGAAGACGAAGGAACCATCATCTCTACATCAGCAAAACCGGGGGAAATGCCTCGGGAAGCCATTACCAGATTTGTCGAAGCTTTCCAGCTGCGATACAACCAGATGCGAGGACCCGAGAAACAGAGAATGACCTCGACCCATTGCTGGTATCTTGTAGAGGCATTCAAACGCTATGCGACGGAAAATTCGAAGCGCCCCTTTGACGTGATTGAAATCGACTAGTTTCCACACAACGAGTAGGGCCTGAGGCACTGGTCGGTTAAATGGAAATTGGGGTTTTGGCGCAGAGGAGCATCTTCGTTTTATTCGTCCGAGACTACTTTTTCCTGGACTTATCTGGGTAACGGCCGTTCTATCCGCGTGCTAGAAGAGACCAATCCACTCTGTGGGTATGTGGCAGATTCGCACCGGGATACATCGATTTTTCGATCGAATGTTCAAAATCGAAATTGAACTCATTCAGTGACAACACATCCCCCGTCTTCTTCTTCTCTCAGAAATTCTATCTGGCTGGATTTTTCCAAATGACTTACGACCAGCCTTGGGAAACAGTTCCCGATCTCTGGCTCGTAAAGCCTGATCGATTTTGGCGCCTTGATGCCTCGGGTCATGCGACTCAGCAACGCGGTATATATCTCGTGAAGTTGTCGTCCCCTCTATTCCTCATCCGCTCTTCCAAATTACCGAACAGTCTCTCGTTCCCCTCGTGCAGCAAGGGAATATGTCTCTTCACATATGTAGCGTCCGGAAGCCTGAGCGTAGGTCCTTCACAGAGTCTCCGACCTTTGGATCCATTCGTTAATTGCTACCGTGACATCCCACAGTCGAGGCAATTATACAGAATGCACTGAACATGGAAGACTGCGATTTATACCGATTCAAGGTATTCTGTTTTGTGGCTTGCCAGGGCTCCACACACCGACAATCAACGATTAGACGACTTTGAAAGCCAAAGCACATTCCGCTCTCGATCCCCTGAAATATTTCATGGATCAGTCCCAAATAGTGGAAGACATTATAGAGAACGTACGTCCCCCTACTTTATGCATCACAGTTGGTGCCAACGACTCAATGCCAAAACAGCATATCACTACATTCTCAAATCTCGACATAGCGAGACTCGATCCTGAAGCCAAACGCGCTGTTCACGAGCTTGTACGCCGCGTCCACAATAAAAGGCGAGAGAGGATGGCCAGTGGATCAACATACGACCTTGCTCCCCAACGAAACAACAGCTCGATGGCCACCCTCGAGGGTACGTCGACTAGTCTAATTACCGCCAACTGCGGAGTCCCCGCCTGCAGGAAACCATTAGTAGAGCAGCCTGCCTGTCGCAAGGAGTTGCAGGTCTCTACGGATAAAATCAAGGAACTCCTCGGCATGGCTTCTTATCCGCTTCACGATTTCTCTCAAGAGTTGAAGGACTTCGGGTTGGACAAGGACAGTATCATTATTTCGACTGCTCGAATGCCACGAGCGAAGGTGGCCAGTTTCGTCGATGCTTTCCAAAAGTACTACAACCAGAACCGGGACAAGGAACGGATGAGCCAGGCGCACTGCTGGCACCTCGTGGAAGCGTTCAAACGATATTCAGCGGTCCATCTAAGGGAAGATGCAATCAACATCGACTCGGATTAAATAGACCTGATTCTCGGAGATTGTATTCTTGTCCAAGTCTTAAGTCACACGATGTTCAAGAAGCGAAAGCTGTCGTCATTCTGGCAATCCCTATACTGGACACTAGCTATAGACTACCAAAGTAACTACCCATGAATGACTCTTCGGCGCTGAACGTCGGGCCTGGAGCGCTTCTGCCACAGCACAAGTCGGCTGGCTTGAGGGTGACCTCTCGTGATGGAGGGGCCGTCGACTCCGATTCGCACATCGGGTGGCACTTGAGGGCGCGTTAATCGCTATAAATATCGGAGGACTAAAGGGAGGATCAGTATCCAAAACTTGAGCCACAGAGAAAAACCGTCAACGTACAACCAACAATCTTCAAATAGCGGCACTCTTAGTCCTTGACGTCGGCGCCAACGGAAACGTCGAAGAGAATATCTTCGGGCACATGGCAGTATTTGCCATGGACAGTCGTATTGCCTTTGGTGACCATAAGGTTGTAGCACCATCCGGTGAAGCCCTGCACATGTCTGCGTGAGCTGTCATCATCACCAATAAACGACGAGTGGCACTTACATTCCAGGTCGTCCATTGGAGGCTTTCGATCTTGCCAATGCAGTCGTTGTAAATCGTGACATTGTTGGAGCATTTCCAGATATCGGCAACATAGACCAACTGGCCAACTTCCCACTACAAGAGATCGTATGTTAGATTATCGAGTCCAAGCAGCAATTAACATCTAACACACTTACATCTGGCTTAGGTCGTGCTTGAGTCATGATTGCAGTGGAGTTTTGTGTTCAAAGGACGGGGGGACGGTGTAAGTGATGGTAGATGTTCGGAATCAACCTGTGTTTTTTCCCACAGACCCGCTGTCCAGGCTTTAAAGCTTTCAAATCCTACATTCGAACAACCAACGGCCAGTGAGAAAGGAAAGTTAAAACCCGAATTTGGTAACTCACATCAAGCGATGAGTGCGTTCGGCACATTTGGGAATTTGTTCCCACGGACACAATGGCGTTCCCTTTGAATTCGACGCGCGCGTTCGAGTCATGAAAGCCTCGCGTGTTCGAGGCGCGAGTCGCCAGAGCCCCAAGGGGCTCATATGGCCGAAGTCGTAATCTTGCCATACAATTAATCTAATAAGGTGGTCGGATGTCAGTAATCAATCGCAAGTCACCCCTGTGCGGGGATGTCGGTAGAAGCCATATCTCAACAAACGACACACCTCCCGGAAGTTTAAGGGAATCTCAGCAGAGAAATCGTGCAGGTACAGTTATGCGCTGTACAAGGATGGTAGGGATTTCGTGGTCTGTATTCTCACAGGCCTAAGTCCTTCAGAACACAATCGGTACAGATCAAAATAGGAGACACTAACGTGACAAAAGACTCGTACAAACTACTCCTCATCTCCTTCAGGTTCCGGCCAAACATCACAAGGGAGACGCGTCGCAAGAACCAAAGCGAGGAAGGCAAAGAATGCTACGATCGGGTAAACTCCATATCCCCCCAGAATATTGTTCTGGACTGAGAACGAGAACAGCGACGTAGAAAACGCGGGTCCAACTGCGCGTGCAAACGAGACCGACATTTGTGCTAGTCCATTCGTCGCACCAAGGGACCGCTTGTTAGGTGCAGATGAAGTGACATACATAAAGATTGTCCCTGAAAATGTAGGAGTCAGGCACGGGAATACCGAGAATGAGAAGGAAAAACATACCCCAGCCCATATCGACGATGGTTAGCAGCAACAACATCGCACCTATGAGAGCCCATACGAGGAAGTTTATCCCGTAGTGTTTCGCAATGAGACTGATGATGGGGAATAGCAGGAAGGCGGGAATGAAGCAGAACATGCTCGTCACAAAGGTTCTCCGTGCACCCAAGTAACGAACGATTCGAGCGAAGAAGAGGGCTTGGAGGCTTCCGCTGACAAAGCCATAAATGCCTAGCGTGAGGCCAATGGTTGGTGGTGAAACCCCAAGTCCGCCTATTTCGACGGGCATGGTCAGGAAGAGGGGCAAGAGTGCATATAAGCATATGTTGAGGCCGGCGAGACAAGCATAATTGGACACTGAAAGCAGAACGGGATGAACAAGCAGTTCCCGTAAAGGAACTGAAGCATTGGGTTCTTTCGGTTGAGTCACTGCCGTCTCATCGACGGCCTCGTCTGGGAGTCTTTTCGACTGCCTCTCTGAATTCTTCACAGTCTACAGGCAGAGAAATGTCAGTCCATGCAAACCCATCCCGGCATACCGACTTACCTCCTTGAATAATCCAAGCGTTGCGCAGAATGCGACAGCCAGATACCCGGCAGTCACCAAACAGGGCAAAAAATGGGGATACTTCTTCCAAAATGGAGAGGTGAAAACCGTCGGAAAGCGTTCATGAGGTCGGAAAAGGGATCCACCCAGGAATGGACTGCCAAAGCGTTAGAAAGGGCGGGTCAGTCAGTAACGTCACGGTCACTGACCCTAGTGTGCATCCCGTAGCCCAGACAAGCGACAGCAGACCAAATGCCTCTGCCCTATTCGTGGGGTCGGTTAAATCCCCCAAAGCACTTTTCATAACACCTGACAGACACGCGGTAAGCGCTCCAACACACCGCTAAACTATATTCCGATAAGGCCCACCAATATTCCCATTCAACAAGCCTGTTAGACAACGACTGAATTGAAACGAAACAATAAGCAGAGTTATGTTGAGAGACGAGTTCACAGGACTGACCTCAAGACTAGTCCCCAAAAGGTCGTCGAAAGGCCGAAACACAGCATGGAAGTCATGCTTCCGAGGAGACCGAGTAAGAGGACGGGCTTTCGACCTACGCGGTCCGAAAACCGACTCCAATGCAGCACAGTCATGGCCTCTGTCGCAAAGAAGAGGGATTCCTGTGGCATATCAGTGAGCGAAGCCCATTTTTACGCGGGAGGGGAAAGACTCACGATGAGACCAGCATAATATCCCACTTTCCTATCATCCCCGCCCGTGATTCCGAGTTCCCTGATAAGCTACAAAGTACGCGAGTTGCATGAACATCTTGTCGAACAGAACGAGCACAGAACACCCACATGGTTGATATAAGGATAAATCGACTGGCTGGCCAAGGGCTCGCTGATTTGCAGAAAGATGATGATCGCAATTTGCAGCTTGGGCAGCGGCGTGCGCTTCTGCTCTCCATTCTCTCGCTGCAGCAAAGGCGCGCGCTCGTCTGCGAGTGTCGAGGGCGAGGATACGGCTGCTGGCACAGCTTGCTCCATTGTGGTGGCTCTCTCCACGCTGGTGGTCATAGAGATTCAGAAAGCGAAAGCAAGCGAGATTGAGAAGGTTATGTACCCCTCGCAGATCCCGAGTTTACGTAGATCGTGGATATTTCCCCAGGAGGGCCTGCCAGATAAGGCTTCGAAGCTTCAAGAGCTTCAACGGACGTATCCCCTTCGGACTAGTACTGTCAACGCCAACGAGAAACAATCGCCAGTCAGACAAATTAATAACGAAGGCTTTGCTGTAGCGGGCGATGTGGTGGAGTGACCACACGTCAGAGGTTCTGTGTAAAGGATTACCGGAGATTTCTGGGCCCAGTATCGCGTTTGGGGTGGTTTGGTCGTTTATGGATTCGAGGGCGCCCAAGGATCCACTGTCGGATGGAGCATGAAGCTGAAAGCTCCGAGCCAACCGCATTGAGGCGAGAAGTCTTCTCTTTATGCCGTGTCGTAAACGGCTGTTGCAGAAAAACGATAAGGTGGTTACATGGATTGATTCGCTGCTGATCTGGTGGTCGTCCTTGATCGTGGTGGCTTTCGTCAACGACAATCCATTGCCCAGAACCTGCTGGGACCTAAAAAGCAGGAGTGGGAATGTTTGATCGGCGACCGCCGTGGCCCCAATTCCAGTGCTTGTAAACGAGCGAACAGAGACGAACACCCATCTTGCACTAAAAACAGAGCATATGTAGAAGTTGAATAAAATTAGCATCAGACCGCTACAGAGCAATACAATTATCGACCTGGGGGGTGCCTTTGCCGACAACTTAAAGTCTCTGAGGAGAGCGCAAAAACACATCCAGATAGCCCACCGCGAGGATCGAACTCGCAGCCTTCAGATGGATTGGTCGTACGGCCGGCCCTAAAAGTCTGACGCTCTATCCGATTGAGCTAGGCGGGCCACGAATGTCTGTTGAAACAGACATTTATATCGTTGTAACTCGAATTCGAAGCAAACGTGCAAAGAGCAGACTTGGAGAACTGATAACTTGGGGTCTGTCATCGATATCGTACCAGCTGACCTCGAGTTGCTTAATTAAAACAGCCTCTTTCCCAAATCGGCCATAACATTGCCACTGAGGAGGTCATAAGGCGCTCACAAACGCGCTTCCAAGACGCCCTTCCTTTTATGCATCAAAGAACCCTTCTAATTATGAGCAAGAGAGTGACTGTCCAGTGTCAGGAGTGGGACTCGGAAAGGAAAACCCTGAGACGCCTCCTTGCCCCACTCCGTTCTCCATCGGCTGCGATCTATTGTCTATCTGGTGTCGATGAAGTTATCTAATGTTGCGATGGAGCCATCCATCGATAGTGTCGCATTTATAGACAGCTATTAAGGGTGCTCGCCTATCTCTCCTCCCAACCCCCAACTCAACCTACTCTGAGAATCTGAAGACAATGGCTATAGACCCGTCTCCACACCCCGCCGAAGCAAGTCTCCCCACTCTGCACAAACTCGGGTTCTCGCTTCCAAACGACCCAAATGCAGACCCAAAGCTCGTCGCTTCAAACCATCTCTCCTCCATTTCCCAAGCGCAGGCGACGGCCATAGCAGAGGCATGGCTCAACAAGTTCGCGAACTATGCTTCTGCTTCTCCACCTAACATCTCCAGAATTCTGGACGAACTGATTCTGGAATCAGATTTCGACAGCGCTTTCATGCGCGGGGAGGATACCAATTCCACTCCAGGCCTGGGTTCATACTGGCGGGACGTTTTAGCCCTAACCTGGGACTATCGGAGTTTCGAGAACTCGTCAAGGATCAGGAAATTCCTGAACGACAGATTGGAGAACGCAAAGCTCAGTAACATTCAATTGGCAGGAATCGATGGAACCAAAGCGGACCCGAGCTTAAAAGACGCTCCACCACCCCAATTCCAACAACTCTTCCCCGATGTAGCCTGGATCCAATTCTTGTTCACGTTCGATACCAAAGTCGGAGGATGCCATGGTGTCGTAAGGCTGGTCCCTCAAATTCAGAAAGGGGGTGGAGGAGGTGAGTGTCAACTCGTGGAATTTCAGTGAGCTCGACTCGAATAGGTGTCCCCCAGACGTGACAGTCGTATGGAAGTCCTTCACCATCCTGACCGTTTTGATGTCTCTTCACGGTCATCCGGAACGCAGGGGACCCAACCGCGCATTCTACCCTCACAACGAGACGGAAACCCCGACCACACCATGGGAGGAACAGCGAAAATCCATCGTAGACGGATTCTCCACACCGACCAAAGAAAGGAAGAATCCAACAGTTCTGATCATCGGAGGTGGTCAATCTGGGCTGACCGTTGCCGCGCGCCTCAAGTACTTGGGGGTTGATGATGCCCTGGTGGTCGAAAAGAACGAGCATGTTGGGGACATGTGGAGACAAAGATACGAGGCCTTGTGTTTGCACGATCCAGTCTGTGAGTGGGTCAAGAATGATTTTGCGTCGCGTATTAATCAGTTTATGGCAGGGTACGACCACCTGCCATACATTCCGTGCGTTTGTAGTCTCCGTTGGGTGACGGATCGTTACTGACCGGGGGATAGGTTCCCGGATACCTGGCCAGTCTACACTCCAGCGCAGAAGGTATGATTATAATCCTCCCGATCGAGTTCCCTTCCCAGTCTGAGGATTTGTGGAGCTGGCGAACTGGCTGCGATCGTACGCCGACGCGATGGACTTGAACGTATGGACGTCCGCGACCGTTACGAGCGCGGTACAAGATCCCAAATCGAAGTTGTGGACAGTCAAGGTCGTGGCAAAGAATGCAGGGAAGGGTAGGTCTTCTCTGCTATCCGAAGAAGAGCACCGTTAACCATACGTTATACCGAATACAGAGCAGGAGCATACCTTGACAGTAAAGCATGTGGTGTTTGCAGCTGGGTTCGTTGGAGGAGCGTACATGCCTGACCTCCCAGGAAAGGTGAAGTTCCACCACCACCCACACGGAGCGTGTTAACGATTGGCCTCCAGGACAAGTTCAAAGGAACCGTTTTGCATTCGTCCCAACACAAGTCAGCGCTTGACCACGCCGGAAAGAAAGTGCTAGTGGTTGGAGCCTGTACCTCCGGTACGCGTCATTCCTTCCTTAACCAACCAGACTCTGACCGTCCTCCTCCCAGCTCATGACCTTTGTCTCGACTATGCTCGCCACGGAATCACCCCGACAATGTACCAACGTTCGTCGACCTACATCATCTCCGGAACTGCAACGCGCGTGCTTCTGAGCGGACTGTATTCGGAAACCGCTCCGCCAACAGACATCGCTGATCTCTTGAACATGAGCCTGATGTGCAACTGGGGTTTGGCAGGAGTGAACAGAAGAGTTGCGGTGTCGCTTTCGAGTGAGGGAGGGGTCGACGAGGAGTTGATTAAGAAGTTGAACGAGAAGGGGTTCAGGACGAATCATGGGTTCAGAGGGACAGGGCTGTTTGGGTTGGTGTGGGATAAGGGTGGAGGATATTACTTTGGTGAGTTGGCCAGCGGTTTGCAAACGAGACTCCGCAATTGACTACGAACGGTAGACTTTGGAGCGAGCCAGGCCATCATCGATGGTCGTATCAAAGTGCGAAGTGGAAACGGGAGCGTAGTCGCGTTCACCCAAAACGGCGTGAGGTTCGAGGATGGCAGCGAAGAGCAGGCGGACGTCGTCGTCTTCTGCACTGGGTAAGCATACCCTGTCCGCCTCAAGGTAGCACTAACACTCCAAAAAGGCTGGCGAATGCGCGCACTGGCGTTATCTCAGAGATTTGCGGGAAAGAAGTCGCAGAGACGGCCACAGAGATTTGGGGATTTAATGCTGAAGGCGAGATCAGAGGTGTTTGGGCAGAGATCGGACACGAAGGACTGTGGAACATGATGGGGAATTTGGGAATGTGTAGGATCCATTCTAGGCATGTCGCGCTGCGTAAGTATTCCTCGCCCGATAAAAATTGCGGCAACTTACGCACCGTTTTATCCAGAAATCGTTGCCCGAGAGAATGGAATCTTCAGACCAGAAGACAGGTACAGCCTGCAGTAGCCTCGCGAGACGCTTCTGCAGCTTCATGGGACCCTACTCGTGGTCGGAGGAAAAGAACTTTGTTTTGAAGGGTGGTCAGACAAACGGAAGTTTCGATAAGATCCATGGTGGCTGCAGCAAGCCAATTGGAATATTTGTGCATCGATTTCTGTGGTGGCAGTCATTGTCTGGGAATACAACACGCTCTCAGTCGGACAGCGAATCGCGCCAGGGGCGTCAGAAACGGCGTTTTCATGCCGACCACCATTTATTTAAGCGCTCGGTTATTCTGTCTGTGACACGTGCGGTAAGGTCACTGTTCCTCCTCCCACAAGTATGCGACAAACCTCAGAGGTTCGCGTTTCGATACGGCCGTTCTGGGTAGCAAAACGCGTCAATTCGAATTTTGACCTTGAAGGGTCGTACGTAACCAGTCCCACGCTCTACGAGCGCTTGACAACGTAACACAGCCACATCACCCGCGAATCCTTTTGTCCTCTTCGTTGGCTATTGTCCACCATCGCAGCATTGTATTCAGCCTTTTAAACCAACCTGTTGGATTCATCGATGACGCTTTTGCGATTTTCCCCGTTGCCCCCTCATTTTCTTGCTCGGTTCTATCTTCAAGCGTCTAACTGGTTAGACAGACTACTGGATAGTCCACACTATTCTATGCACCACACTCGCTAGACGAGCATTACGACTATTACACGACAGACTAAGATGATCGCTATCTATGGACTTACTTTGATTTCCTTGCTTTCGAGCGTAACTGCTCACTCAGGTAAGTTCTCAAACCATTTTTCTGTGTAACCGTAATCTCATTTCTTTTACAGCTTTCTTTCACCCTAGTATGTGGGGGTTCAATGTCACCGACAAGGACTTTCCGTACGATAATCGTCCTGTATCCCCTCTCCGAGACATGACGTTCAATGAATGGTGGTTCCACAATCACCTCGACTTCCCGCCTCACCCTGAGGACAAGTTCTTGCTACCAGCCGGGTCCGCTGCAACAGCCGAGATTGCCTGCACCAAATCAGCCACTTCCTACCACGCCTCCTCTGAAGGAGGAGACATTCGCGACCCTAACGACCCCAACAACCCGTGCCCCAATTCACCGTCAATCGCTTTCCACGCTCACAACGAGGAGGACGCGATGGGCTGTGCGTTGGCGATTGCCTATAAGAGCGATGTCAACGAGGTCACCCCAGAAGACTTCACCGTATTCAGCGTAAACCACACCTGCGTCTGGAACCGCTTCACCGACTTCCAAGTTCCCAAGCGCATGCCACCCTGCCCCGAAGGTGGATGCATCTGCGCTTTCTTCTGGGTTCACAGCGAGAACGGAGGTGGAGAGGAGAATTACATGAACGGTTTCCGATGTGATGTTACTGGCGCAGAGGCGAATGTAAACGTCAAGGTCGCGAAGAGTCGAGTTGCTAGGAGGTGTGGGCGAGACGAGAAGCGCGGCAGATTCACGAACGATTTGGGTAACTGCACCGCTGGCGCCAAGACCCCCTTCTATTGGGTTCAGGCCGAACGCAACAATGTGAGTTAAACCCTTGTACCCTACATCAGATTTACATTGCTAACGCTCGATGTGCAGATGTTCGAAGGGCCCCACTCGCCTCCCGTCTACAACGATCTTTACGGCTTTTCTAACGGGGCTCAAGATGATATCTTCGAAGACTCCTACATCACCAGCCCTCTTCCCGAGCCTGCACCTGGTGCACCTGTCCCTGTCCTCCGAACTGTCTTCGACGGACCTCCTCCACCAGTGGGACCTGTCATTGCTGTCCCGGCCGACCCTTCCCCTTCCCCTTCGCCCTCTTCCTCCTCTTCTCCAGTGGGACCTACCTCCAATCCCGAACCCATATTCACTCCCCAGAAGGCATGTCGCCTTCGCCGCCCCTCGGCGGGTTCGTCTTTGACCAAACGACATGAAGATGAAATTCGCCTCGAGGACTGCAACCCTATCGGTCTCTTTGGCAGGCGACTGTACTCGTACACGAAGAAACATCGCAGAGGTGTGCACCCCAGCGAAGCTTCTAAGCTGTGGTGGGGACTGTGGTAGCGCTGCAGGCACACAGAAACTCCCCCGCGGACTCCTGTTTCTAAATTATTTCCTAATCTTAGACACTAGACACGACACTAACGATTCGCACAACTGTACATGCTACACATACCCAATACCCAGCAACTTCTTGATACTGAGTACTAGACCATGTATCATATATGTACCAATAAACTCGATACTTACATAGGTGATGAGAGCTACCACCCAACCTTTCGCCCACGAATGAAAGGCCAGAATAAATGTTTTCGCTCGGCAGTCGGTGGTTTTCCTGCAGGGCGAAGCATGGCGTTCAAAGTGACCCACGGGCGTCTATTGACATTGGCGCCAAGGCCCCGAGGCCGCGAGTTCGAACCCAACCGGCACACAAAAAGACTCTCGTATCCTCAAAAGATCTGTGACCATGCGACAGCGTTCAACGAACGAAGGTCGGGCCAGGGGAAATAAATTAGTTGTCCTCTGTAGAATACAACAAGAATACATCGAGCATCGAGCAAGTCCCTAGTCCGTCTTCGCCCTCCTGGATGGTGGCTTGACCAAGGTCTTCAAGAAGCGCCAGAGCAACACAAGGATGGCAGAGACAAAGCCGAACGGAGGGAACATGTAACCCACAATCCACGTCCACCCGACCTCCTTGTCCAGCCTCTGAACCAGAGCGTCAACCTGCTTCTCGAGTTCTGCCTTATTTCCCGAGTTGTCGAGGACAACGTCTGCATAGGCCACTTTGTCGGCGATGGGAAGTTGTGAATGAATCCGGGAGAGCGCGTCTTCACGAGAACACGAGTCTCTGGAAACTAGACGTTGCAGTTGCAGCTCTTCAGAGCTAGAGAATGGCGTTAGCCAATAGGCCAGCGGGTAAGACGAACGAACATACCAATAAACGACCACAACCAAGCCCACCAGCCTCCACAACGGCCCCTCGATCAACAACGGAACATCCAAAATACAATACTTCTCCCCATTCGCCCAACTCCTAACCACCTCAAAAAGCATAGCCTTCCTCACAGCAGGATGCACGATATTGTTCAGCTGCTTCCGCTTGGCCTCGTCGTTGAAAATGACGGAACCCAGCTTCTTCCTGTCCAGCGCGCCATTCGGGAGTATCACCTCATCGCCAAAGGTTTGTTTAATTTTGGCGAGAGCGGGGGTGCCAGGCTCGACGACTTGTCGGGCGAGCAGGTCAGCGTCGATGATGGGTATGTTTCGCGCTTTTAGGAGCGTCGAAACGGTTGATTTCCCGGTGGCGATTCCACCTGTGAGGCCTACGACTGAAAAGCGATTAGGGGTTCAGTATTGGCAAGTTTGTACGATGCACTGGAGACCAACCGAGCATTTTGGGTATGGAGTTTGTGGAGGTACGTGTTCAAGTCGTGATACTCATGGTCATGGTTTGGTTGCAGGTACCGGCGAATCCTCGCACTCGGACCCGGTCAACGCAAGGTCAACGAGATTGATGGCGGGAAAGCGTTCTATACTTAGGGGCAAATCGTAGACACTTTCTTACTGCCAGAATACTCGTGAGGTGTCGCCTCATTCACCTTGAACCCGCTAGGAGATACTGAAAAACACCAATGATTCATCCAGGACATTATATGTAGTACAATTGCAGTGCAAAGCAATGAAAGTTAGGCATGCCGGTCCACAAGTGGTCAAGAGTGAAATGAAGACATGAACCTAAGAAAGAAACGAGCAACAAGGACAGCAAAGCGGCATGGTGGGTAGTACTATGTAGGTATGTATATGCAGAACGAGAAATGCATGATTGTAGATGCTAGACGCGTAGCGTTGAGGTTGTGAAGAAATGAATGGGAAAGTCAATATGTACTGGTAGAAATGAAAAGTCGTTACTGCATGAGATTAATAATGGGTCGTGAAGCAAGAAAATTAGGCGATGAAAGAAAGCAAAAAGATCAAATCGAAAGCGAAGAGGAAGCCAACAGACCGGAGCATAGGCCTTGGACTTCCAATAGATTATTCCAATTAGGCCGCACCAGCAGCCGAGGTACTACCACCCCCACTTGAGGAGCCTAAGAATCCTTTGATAATTCCTTTCCTGAACTTTCGAACGCGAGCGAGAACACCAGAATTGGAAGGAGAACCTGGCGGGGTGCCTTGTCGCTCTGGGGATCGCCGCCTTCCCCTCCCGTTGGCGTCATCGTCGGCAGCGGAAGTTTGGTGGGCAGGGAACTCCATTGTGCGTCGGAAGCGGAATTTCTGATCACGCTGCGCACCGAGGGTGCCTTGAAGCACTGGGATCTCCGACTGAGCAGCCTCCCGCTGTTGTAGTTGTTGCCGCTCTCGTTCCTGCTGCTCCATCATTGCCAAAGACATCCGCAACTCGGTCTCTCCGCTCATCGATCCGCCAATCGGAACAGAGACACTGGGCCCTTGGCTCCCTCTTCGAGCACCACCCGCGCTGGGCCTACCCGAGTAGCTGGACGGAGGTGCAGAGGCCTCATTGTCACCAGAGAGGAGCCCGGAGGACCATGTCCTTCTCTTCTTGTGACCCATGCCAAATGCACGTGAAAGACTGCTTGACTTCCTCCCGCCCGTTCCAGATCCTTTAGGCTTGAAAGATGAAGGAGGGGCAGAAGTCCCGGTTGGTGAATCGTCGTCTTCGAACACTCCATCGTCATCTTCCAAATCGAAGACGCTCATGCCCTGCGTCCCGATCATCGAGACCACGGAACTAGAATGGGAATGGGCTGCGATGACATTGCTGATGGCCGGGGTTGAATGTATCGGCGCTGCACCCATCGAGAGTGGTCTTCTCGCGAAGGGTGGAACAGAATCCATTCCGAAGGAGGAAGGCGGATGGTAGCCGCCAATCGTGGACGAAGTGGGTCGCGAGTTCGTGGGCGAGCCTCCAGGTGAGGATGTTTGTCGAGAAATGGAAGCCGTGATGGGGGCTGGGCTGGACATGCAGTGTTTGCGAATGGCACTGTAATAGGGGCGGCTCGGGTGACCAATTCTCGTTGAGGTCGGGCTCGGTACTGAAGGCAGGGTAGGCATGGCGATTTGCGAACTGGTTGGAGTCGGCTCCATCGACGATCTTTGAGAAGACATGGCGGTCGTGGTTTCTGATTGCAAGGGCGGCGTCGAGTTTGTTGGAGTCGAAGAACGGTCATCGGCCAAGGTCGTATCGGAGAGCGGTGGCTTTGAAACACGGCTACCATGGTCTTCATGTTCGACTGGCGTGTCAACTCCTTTTCCTTTGTCCATTGGCGGGGCATCTGGCCCCTCTCCTTCAATTCCGATGATGACAGGAGAAGGCAGGGACTGTTCTGATTCGGGCGTACTTGGGCGTTGGCCGAGCATGAAGGAAACGGCGATCGGTTGGGGCGCGTTCAAAGTCGCGGCGCTGACGCGCTTCTTCAGCGTACTAGTGTGTGGTGGGGTCGGAGAGGCGCGAGCAGGTGGTGGGCCGCCCAGTCGCTTCTTCCGGCGCAAGGTTCGCCCGGCGTCAAGTTGGTCAACATTATCATGTTCGCCCTCGGGAATGGCTGATACCTGGCCAACAGAGCCGCCACTGGATGTGTCCATAGCTGCGCGTAGGGCGGTGGACGAAAGCCTTCTGGTCAGTGCCTTTGCGGCGTTGATCATACTTGCAGTGGCCGAAGTTGAAGGTGAAGAATTAGAAGTCGTGAGGTTGGACGATGAAGCAGGGGCAGACGAGGAATCGGCGGCGAGAGAAAACAAAGACTTGGAACGAAATCGTAAATGCCGTGAAGTTGAGGAAATGGAAGAACGAGTCGAGGAGCCAGCTCCTTTGTGGAAAGAGTTGGTGGTAGTCGACGATCCCGCCTCCGCACAGGGTGTCAGCGGCGTCGTCGTCGAGTGGGTCTGAAAATAAACCAACCAACCCACGGTGAGAGGATGCCGTACGACTTTATACTTTGGACGCACCATAGCAACTGGAGGGTTAAGCTCGTCGTCTTCGCGATGGGGTGTTCCAGAGCGCGTGGACGCGTTGTCGCGTAACTCCTTGGAGAGGCCTCGTTCGTCGCCAACGACGCGAGTCGGCAGTCGTTCGCCGGCGGGAAGGGTACGTGAGCCAGCGATCACAAGCCCCAAGCTGCGCGGTTTTGAATCATCCGCGGCTTTGTTTAATTCTCCCATGACTTCTTGGGCTGGGCGTTGGCCCGGACGCACTGACGTCTGCAGTGATGTTATAGATGTCTTTGATAACAGTGGTGGTTCGTCGGTCGCAGTACGACCGTATGGAGTATCTCGGTTCGTGAGAGTCGATACAATATTCCAACTGACGCGTTTGTTGTGCGTACTGGCATCGTCATCGGAGGCTTGCGTTTGGTAGCACCAGAGACATATCGGAATTAGGGAGTTGGTCAATCCACACTTTGAACAGGTAAATTCCGTAGACCCGTCCGAAGAGAACTGGAGGGACGGTAGGGACCTGCATTTGGAGATGGACTGCCAACGTGTTCAGCAAAGCCAAAACTGATCCAGCAGAGCAAGAATCTTACTTCTTGTCGTCTCGTATGAGTCCGCAAGGGCCTCGTCGTCACACCAGCCATGTCGTGTCCGTTGTTATAAGCGCCCGGGGTATAGGAAACGTGGTCGTCGTGGTGGGCGGAAAACAAAAGACCAGGCAAATTTTCGAGCGCCCTTTGGGGTATATAATACGGATCCGGCCGTGAGCTTTCAGATGCCCTATTGGTGATGGTCAGAGTTTGACAATTGACCTAGAACGACGTCCGGAAGTCATGGTCTAAAACAAAAAGATGACAGAACACCAAATTCCCAAAAGGGGTGGGAAATTCGCAATTATTTATTAATTAACCTGCTAAGTCACGCAACGGGGTTAGTTTCCGTTCTCGAACAAGTTTGATTCCGAACTATCATTCTCTTCAGAATTCGATGCCGCCGACGACCTAAATGGATAGCTCTGAAATGCATCTGAAGGGCGCTATGGCCTGCGACGACACGGACATGAGAGCCTCTGGCTGGAATAGTGTCAACAGACTCGACCGTAACCGACTGGAGGGCGTCTGTCTACAGTCAGCCTCAAGATGGGATTGAAAAATGCCAACCTCTCGATTCTTGGTTCTGCTTTTCTGTCCGCATCTGGAGGTCGCCCATGTCGTACATCGCCCCACTATATCCGTCTTAAGATGCCGCATCAAGGCGATACCTGGAAACAGAAAGCACTAGCCTGGGTACATCGCGTCTGGACTTTCATTCTGTCTCTGGTGGTCTTCACGAGCCCAAAACCCGGCTTGCCGACGCCGTCCCACCACCCAGAGAAACGGAAGATTGCTCTCCACCTTGCTCCATCTCTCTCCAAACGCCACAAGGTTGGCGGAGATGAAGATACCGCTCTGGAAGAGGGCGATGATCCCGGTTTGTGTGCTCCATGAGCTATTTCCAGTCGGCGTTCATTAATATGTTCCCATAGAAGCAAGGCAGATTGGATTTTTACCCCATCCAAGTCTCCGGATGAAAATGAAGAAGCAAGGCAGGGCGCTTAGAGTCAAAAGAAATCGTGAAGGCAACCAAGATCGTCGTCGACAACGCGAACTCTCCGAACTCCCGTACCCATTTCCGCCAGTAGAGGTAGATATAGGCGATGATAGAACCTGGCAGGCGTAAGTTACTTGTCTGATCCTTTATTATTGCGATTGTTGATTCAATCCATGGTATCAGCGACCCGAAACGCAAGGAGGTCAACCGCAGTTTACCCCGCGTCATCATCACCCCTTCTACCCCGAGCGAAGAGAGCAGAAATTACGGAAGGCACCATTGGCAGGGCAGACCGGTATCCTACTCCGTTTCATTCGTTCTGGACGACGAGGACGAAGACGACGAAGATACGACAATCTCTTCTTGGGAAGGTACCTCCAACTCAAACACGACAAGCTTCGACTCCCGGCCAACTCGAGACAACTCTGTCGGCCAAGACTCTCCTGATACAAGCGACGTGGCTCGCCTGCTTCCAGAAGACTTTGTTGCCGAGGTTGTCTGCAGATCAGACGACAGCTCCGAAGCGACGCCGCCGAAAGATAATTTTGTGTTCACAGACTCTCTTACCGAACTCGCCTTCGGACGACGTCCAGCGGTAGAGGCTACTACCACTGGTTCTCCTCTCGTCCCTACCCAAGGAGAAGCACCCGACACGCCCGCATGGGCGATGACAACCTCGCCATTCGAGCGCCGCGATCCTGACTCTTCTCTTGGCGTGGAAACCGATACCAGTCCTCCTCTAGCGACCAGCACTCCTCGAGAAGCTGTTCCTCAGTCTCCGCAAGATACACGACGCGCTACGAATGGCACTGAAGGGTCCTTCTACGAAGATGACGATGATCAATGGCGGAAGAATTCGCTCCAGTACGCAGACGTTTTCGATCTCGACATGTACATCGACATGCGTGCCTCCATGACTTCGCTAGGCCTAGGACTGTGTGCCGCAGGCGCTCCTGATTCCTTTTCTCCTCCTCCGCCGTACCTATCACTCGACCCCGCCTATCCTGTGGCAACACCGCCCAGGGGGTCGTACACGTCGCATGGCCCATCTTCTGCCGCATCTGGCGGGGACGACCACAGCAGGAGTAACCCTTTCATTCCGTCCGACAACGGGGATTCCACTAATGCTATTGTGACTCCAAAACCACTCCTCGCCAATCCGTCTTTGACCAACCCTCTTCCCGTTGAGCTTCCACATGCAAGTTCGTCCGCCGTCGCCAGTATTACACCGTTTGCACCTCTTGAGAGCTCCTCTGGTCGCAACGACAACTCGACACTCGAACCATTCCCACCAGAAAGATCTCGACGAACCACTTCCGGCCAAGAAGTACCGACATCGCCTTCCGATCAGAACTATTACAATCCCTCGATATTCGCTCTCCAACGTCAGGCACAACCAGAGGAAGCTCCAGCTCCACCCTCTCGATCTTCTTCTCCTACTCTCCCATCTCTGTTCAAGGACGACGGGACCAACACTGACCGAAAGATATTTGTGGCTCATAACCCGACATTCCTCCGTGAACGAGGACATATTATCGAAGGCGCGCAAAGCCAGAATTACCAATCAAGTCCTATCTCCAGCGCTTCTCCGTCTATTGTTGGAAAACCTGGCCATGGTGAACTATCTGCATCTGGGCCTTCAGCGCTACCACCACCTTTACCCCGACTTCCAGAGAACTCCAGTCCTGACAGGGGGTCGACAATGTCTACGATGAGGACTGGATCGAACGATTTGCCTCCTTCCCGAATGATGACCAACCCTGATGGTGAGACTTTCCTGCCCAATCCCTTGACGTATTCACCCCGACAAATCGAGAACGATAACGACAACGGGATCGATTCTTCTGACCCAAGGCCAATCCCTCTCAGTGCGAATTTCGTTCCCGATAGGATCGCACAGCCATATGTTCACCCTTCCTCACGAGCTGGGTCTTCGAACGGTCCGCGTAGGCTTCGCGTTGTGAACGGCCCGCCTGGGAGTATCTCGTCGGTGGAGAAGTCTGAGCAGAGTGAAGTCGAAGATGGTGTCGTTGCTTCGGGATCTGGATCGAGTGTTGCTCATAGGGCTTCAGGAGGTGCTACTCTTTCTACGGATAACCCTCCGGATGGTGGGCAAGACAATGACAACATGACTGTCGGAGTCGAGTCTCGGGGTCTTCATCGACGAGGCGACAGCGATAAAGAGAATCAGGATGTACGAAGACCGGCCAAAAGGCAGGGACAGTTCGGTTTGCCAACTACGAGTTCTTTCCACCATTGGACTTCTGGGAGCCGCAGATCTGCCTTGCTGACTCGGGTGAATCATCAAATTGCGCAGCGGAGGGCTGGGGTCCTTTCGGCCACTACAGACAGTTTGGTGAACACGACGTTTAGCTTCGATGGAGGAGGCGAATCTAGCAGAATGACTATTCTGGGGACTTCGGATCTGGATAGGGCACTTGAAACCAGCCGGTATCGCTATGGGATGATCTGGAGTGTGAGGGGATCAGAGAATTTGGGTGACTCTAGAGGTTCGGATAAAATTGTTTGAAGCTTTTCTCATATGTGCATTTGTTCAAGTGTAACCAAGGATGATTATCCGCACACCCAGTACTCAGTCTTTCATTGACTTGAACGTCGAACACATACTACTCAATAGACATCTGGCATCAGCTAGGCATGAGAGGCAAGTCCGGCGACTTCGGCAGAAGCTTTCCCAGGGCTCGATTGTCGAATTCCGTGTTGTCCACTGGGTCGCTTTCGGTCTTCCATCATCGTTTAGGCTCTGGTATTGAGGCCAAATTCCTGCAGTCAACATACAACGAAATATTGATCTTTTCTTTTCAACAGATCACCTAAAGAGCAGATGTCGATCTCAGAAGTGAAAAGCTTTGACAACCCTCCTTTCAGAAACCCAACAAAGCGACCGCGTGGCTTCCGGCTGGCCTTTTGCGGAAACCAGGTTCTTTGGCTTGGAAGCGATTTCGTTTCTACACCAGCTTTGAGAGCGAAGGTTTATTCAGCGACGAAAGTAACGTATTCGGCGTTTTGACGACCTCTTCATGACGGCCTCAAAGGCGGCAGCCACCGGGCACAATGCCTCTAGAATTTGGAGGATCCTAAAAGGGACTAGCTGCGACCTCGTGGTTTGGATTGAAGTGGTTTTGGACAAAGGGCCTTTATGTCCACTTCCCCTTCAGCATTTTTCCAACGTCACTAACCTAGAAGTTCTATCAGTATGCCCTTTGAGTTCACTATCGCCTCCGGCGTGTAGATAAATTGACTCGACGAGACTTGATCAACAACCTTTAGAGCCTCGGTCTGCCCGTCTTTCCTTCTCTTCGTTCTTCTACTCTTACTTCTTCTACACCTTCACCTGCTAATTTCTTTTATATTAACCTTATTCTCGGTTGCGCGGACATGGCAGAATGCAATCAATCGGAATTCGTCGACGAGTGGGATGCCCTTAGCGCCGCGCTTTTCCTCCCTCCTCTCGACCTCTACGGGGATTTTGTCTGGCTCCCATCCTCCGAATATGGCGACAACGCGGCGACCCTGGAGCCATTCAACTATCCTCCCGTCCCTGCGTCCTCCGCAACCCAGGCCGCAGCTGGCCCTGCGCCTTTGACCGGCCTTGATGGCGTCTTCACTTTGAATGACGACTTCCCTTTAAACCTCGGCACCTTCGTTCCTTTCAACGAGCAGCAACTTCCGTCAATCTTCGAGCCTGAGCCTCAAGACCGGGAACTCGGATTGTACGATGACCCTCCCATCTTCACCGACCCCTTTAAATCTTCAAGCAAGTCGCGTCGCGTGCCACCTGGTTCACGCGTGTCAACTTCGACACAAAGGGAGATCAAGACCATCAGGCCCCAACAGATCTTGCTCATGGAGGATCGGTTCCACGGGCGAGCAGAGGACGCGTTGATGGCACGGGTGAACGCTCAGTATCGTGCGGACGTCTCGGTCAAGCCTGAACCATCCTCTTCAACCCCTGCTCGTCCTCGTAGGGACAATGTCGTCTCAGCTCCCTCTACCCCTTTGAAAAGGTGTGTATCAGTCCTCACTAATAGTCACTTTTATTCACACATTTCCTAGGCCCTTGTCTGTGCGCGAGTCACCTGCGGCCAAGACACCTGCGGCCAAGACGGCTACTGTCAAGACAGAAGTCATCGAGTCGATCTCATCCTATTCTCGCGCCTCACGTTATATCGCGCCTCTGCCTCGCCGAGCCAGCGTCAAGCGAACTCCTTCCTCCACACTCCCTTTCCTCTACCCACAGCCGGAATTTGTCAACAGTCCTATCTCATCATCCGCATCGTTATCTCACCTCGACTCGGATTACGAGTTCCACCGCGACGACGACGACAGCGACTTCCTCCCTTCCGCCTCCTCCAGTCCCAGGAAGAAGCAAAAGCGCGCCGGCGGCTACCACTTGCAAGAGCGGAAGGGCAAGAAGACACAACTCCAAATCGTATTAGAAGACCTTCCTTTCACTCTAAACGACATCCTTTACGCCAATGGCCTTTACCACTGTCCTTTCAGCACCTGCGGTCAGACTACCACCAGTGAGGGTGACCTTGGTCGACACCTCGAATCCAGCATCCACGCAACCCATCGATACATTTGCCTTGCACCTCAATGCCTCAGCGACTTTGCTCGTGAAGACTCCATGAAGCGCCATCACGGTAACAATCGGGGCAGGAACCACAAGGCTGACCACGATCGTCTCGTGCGACAAGGATTCGCGTTTAGGGTCAAGATCAAGGATGTATCAGCCGTCAAAGAGCAAATCAAGGCTCTTCAAGTTAACCCAATCCAAGCTCCCTCTGCTGCTTGATTCAACACTCGTTTCGTTTCATATCTCTTCCCTTTACTTTCCGCTTCAAATTCGTTCGTCCAACGTTTTACGGCCGTGTAGACCATCGTCACGAAACATTCACGATCCTTGACGTTTCCCTTAGACTTTTCGTTGTTCAAAGCCTGACCTGTATTTTTAGAATTCAAAACATCATCGTGTATTATTAGTTAGGAAAAGTCACTGCAATTGTATCATAGCAAGCGATGTAACGTATCGTGCATATTCGAATAAACTACCTAGTGGACATGAAGAAATCTGAATGCTGAGCATATGCCGACCACAAAGCCGGAATTATCCTTGGATAGCCTTGGACTTGAGAAGAGAAGGAAGCTTGAGAGATGAAGAAGCCAATAAATAATTCCATAATTGTCATTTGGAAACCCCCAGAGGAGGCAAGCCCTTGGCCTTCAGATCCTTGTTGATCTCGTCGATGTGTTCGGTGAAGCGTCCCTTCAAGCCATCCCACATACCCGGCTCATGCTCTGAAAGGCCAGGTGTCAACAGACGGTCGATGAACTTCGTCATGGCACTCACCGTGGAGCTTTCCGGTGCGTTTGAGCGCCCAGTCTGAGATTGTCAGCATCATACTAGTTTCGAACATGAATGCTGAGGATCGGGATACGTTAGATGTGATGCGAGGCATTCAACAACCCTACACTCACCCATCGTTCCTTCAGCGACTCTGACAGGCTTTAACTCGTCTTCAGTGGCCTTCTTCCACTCCTCATAGGAGACTGAAAGCGTCATCAATCGATACGTTTAGCATGATAGGACGTAAAGCGCTCCGCGACTTACCTCCATGAGGACAGAAACCAGTCTCGTAGCTGGCGCCTCCCGGTTGGAATCCGTCACTTCGCCCCTCGTAAACACCGTAGATTAGACCCATGAACTCGGTGGACGAGTTCCGATGGTAGTACTGGTAGTAAGCAACGGATTGGTGAATACTTTTGCCAGGTAAAGTTCGTGAAACGGATGACTCACCGGAGGACGGAATGTGTCAGTCGCAACGTCCCATCGGGGACTGAAGATCAAGAAATCGCATAGAGGAACATTGGGTTGCTTCGACTTTGCGGTCAAGACGCAGAAGATGGAAGGATCGATGTGGTCTTTCGAGATACTTCCGACATTAATGAACTTCTCGAGTGCGTATTTATAGGGTACATAGCTAGAAGAAGGTAGTAAGCACGTGTGCTGAATGGCCAAGTGACATATCTCCAAGACGTACTTTCCGGTCCAAGCAACAACATCGAATGGAGTATGGTCTTGGTTGCAGAGATGAAGCTGGCCGCCAACCCTTGAAGCCTTGTCAGCACCGTCGTGACCACCGCAAAAACAGTTCTACTCACTTGTAGATGACTGAGCAAAAGGTAAACTTAGCCATAGCCCAGACAAAAAGAAAGACATAACAGTACGTACTTTCCCAAGGTGATTGGTCGATATCGAAAGAAGCGACAGGGTGCTCAAAGTCACGAGCATTCGCCAGGCCATATCCTCCCAACGGGCCCAATTCAGGCAAAACATAGTGTTGTCCGTAAATCTCTTGGATGTCTGGAATGGAATTAAACTCTCAGAAATCAAAGTCATAATTGGTTCGAAGAGGCCAAAAGAACTTACAGCCACGGGACGGCCCGTCAGGAAGAACCACCTTAAATTTCATCCCTCGTTGGATCACGCACAATTCTCCCGAACGGACCATCATTCTGCGAAGGGCCATCATGGGAAGGTTCAGTACACCCCAAGTTCTTCGCGAAGGTGGACGAAAGAAGAAGATTATTCTCACCTCCCGAACTCTGTCTGGATGTCCAGGCGACCTTGCTGGGGGAGGATGAGGATATCGCCGTCGTTGTTGCAGAATGCTTTCTTTCCCATTGAAGTGTTGGCCAGATACATATGGATGGCCAATCCCTCGTGTAGCGTTGGATCGCCATTGCCAGCGACCGTCTTCAGTCCTTGCACGAAATCGACCTTCTCCGAGTCGGGTGGAAGATCGAAGGGCCGCCAAGCTAGCTGCGTTGGACTAACGTGGACCTTCGGATTAAGAGGGAGGAAGCAAGACTCCATCTATCAGCGGGCCGGCGTTAATTTGTTAGTACATGTCCAATCCCAAAAGACGACAGAGGGGCTAACGTACATCTGGGTTATCAGGCAGTCTCGTGAAGCCTCTGTGTGCGACAGATGGTCGAATGCGGTATAGCCATCTTCAAAGATGATCAGTGACAAGCAGAGGTGGAGTATGTTGGAGACATACGCGCTCAGGTTTTCGGCACGGGGAGCAACGAAAGAAGCCCCAGTAAGCTAAGACGTGTTATCATGAACAACTGCTGCTCGGGCGACGAGGCGAATAGAAGACACTCACGCCCTCGGCGTATAGGTCATACTTGACGCGTTGGGGGCTGTTCTGTCCGACAGGAAGGACGCCAGGCCTGCTTGTCGTTAGTTCATGCACAACACGCTGCTGAGGATGAACTCACAAAGCTTCTGAGGCAAAGCGGTTGCCGAAGCCTGGCTGGTAGATGTATGGGTCCTCTTTGGTGGCTTCAGTAGCGTAGGCGCCCTTGGCAGTTGCACCGGAGGCAGCAGATCCCATGGTGGAGAAGAACTATCGTTGGGCGCGAAGTTGGGGGATGAGACAACCGGCTGCCTTGTTTATATATCTTTCCATGACGCTCTGTATCTCCGAGATGTATCGAACAAACGAAAGGAGAACCCGCTCCAGCAAGGCCCCGAACTAGGGAGAAGCAGCCCCTGACATACCCTTCTGTCGAGTGCATCCCTGGATTTGTTTGCAACGTGAAGCTGTAATCGGATCACCAAGCTTCCGTTGTAGGCTTGAGTAGGGGACGTGTTACGACGCTAGTTGGACCCGTGGGCTGTCCCATATCACGAAGCCACGTCCACTATCCCAATTCAGACGTTTTTTCTGGTCTTCAGTCAGCGAATGGAGCGCACTTGTTGGACGAGGCGATTGCAGTCAGAACCACAACTTTTTCACAATACTGTACATGTTCATTTCTTCCCACTTCTCTACGATGGCTCTCGTAATCTTCCAGTTAAAGATAGCGCTACGTTCCTGAGCATGACACGTCTGACACCACTTATTGTGTGAGTTGCTTGATCTTGGAAATGATCGCTGCGATGAACGAAGGTGAGCGATATCGAGGCAGAACGGTTTAGCAGAGAGATACACACATTGAGGGTCCAGATTCTGATAAGGGATTTGCTCCCAAAGTCCCCCGCAGCCTAGAATCGAGCGCTTAGACAGGTAACGTTAGGAAGGCAAGCGTAGGAAGCCACCTTCTTTAGTGGTACCCATATATCCATATTTTGGAGTAAGCTGCCGCTCTAAGAGCCACGTGCCAAATTTGGAGCCCAGCTACCCAATTGCTATTAGTGGACGAACGCTTCAGCGCACAAACAATGGGCACATACACCAGTCTTCTGATTGAAGGATTCAACCACGAGTACGAATGGGCTGGAACCAATCTTCCTAATGGTCTGGGGAGCAGAGGTAAACGTGAGTTCTTAGCCAAGGTGTCGGCAGCGGCACACCATACCTGTTCATCTACGACGTTGAGGGATGGTTTATTGACCAAGCCCACATCCAAGCCTTCCTGCCTACAACGCAAGACGGCGTCCCAGGACCGATAGAGCATTTCGCCAAAGGAGACAACATATCCGGCCTTGCCTTCTACGATGATCTCGTCCTTTCCGGGAACAAATTCGTAGTCTCCTTCGAAGAACCTGGTCCCGTCTTCCCTCAAGATCCAGGGTACTTTGGCCCGGGTCGAAAAGACGAATCGCATCCCACGTTCAAAGAATACCCTCTTGACGATAGCAACCATCTGGGCAGGGTCAGCAGGGAAGTACAAGAAGGACTGTACATCTGACAAGCCATTATCGGCGAACATGTTGTTGATTCCTGGAAAGTCGGTTAGGGAACGCCGAACGGAATATGATGATAACCATACCAAAGTGGCAAGTATTATCAGCCTTTGCAAAAGCGTTAGCGTGCAGTCAGATACAGATGCGGAGAACTTACCATCTATATCATGCCATGCCATCATGGGTGGGGTTAGAGACAATGAAGCATGCGACTTGAGCGCAAGTTACATACCTCATCAACTAGAAAGTCATCAGCGCCGAATCGGACTCCATGGACATACTGAAAACATACCACCAGAATGAGAGAAGTGACACAACACGTTGCAATTGTTCAAGCGGGCCATTGTAATTTCCGAGAGCACCATTTCGAGGAACGCAGAGAAAGTGGAGAACACGCCAAATTTGTCTGGTGCAAAGCCGAAACCAGCAGCGGCCGAGAAGTTGCTTCGTTCCATGATACCAGATGGGACGAAGACTTCGGGGTGCTTTTGATGGATGGATTTAAGACCAGTAGAGCCCTCGAGATCGGCTGGTAGTCGTCGTTAGAGAGTAGTCATAGGAGCGATTTCATGTAACTTACAATCGATGACCATAACCTTGGACGCAGCTTCTTCTTTAGACATGGTATCAAGAACCATGTTTACGGCTTCACCGAACAAAACTCGATTGGCGCCAACTTCTTTAGTCGACCCGATATACAGGTATGGGTTTGGAACGGGCCTGATACCGTCATAGAGTCCGGTTAATGATTTAAGCCCCCGACTCTCGAAGTACTTGACAGCGGCATTGACGGGTATAACATCGTGTCCATGAGTGCTTCCTTCGATGTCAGGAATTCCAGGTGCCATGACACGTTTGATCACGACTGAGATCCAATCAGACCAAATGGGTTGGAGAGGGCAAGTGAACGAGTGACGAACCTGCAGCAGGTCCATCATATTGGAGGACCGAGGAGACGCCTCCCCACAAGCTATCAATGTTTTCACCATCAACAGTGACCACCTTGAGGCCATGTCCTTCAAGTGTTTTGGCAACGTCGAAGCCCTTTAGGTACTGAGAAGGATGGCCGGCGATGGTGACATCATTGTCGTCAATGAGGAGCTTGACATTCAGGTGCTGAGCTACAGCGATGCGGGCAGCTTCAGCATCATTTCCTTCCTGCTGGGACCCGTCAGATCCAAGGCAGAACACAGTTTTATCGCGATGGGCCATGGCGACTCCATTGACCAGAGGCCTAATGCCCCAAGATAAGCACAGTGAAGTGACAATAGCCAACACGAAACCCGCACCAGATGTGACCGAGACGGCCCGAAGAAAACTTGATTCCAGGGGTAAGCCCTAGTTCAGGATGACCAGGAAGTTTGGAGTTGGCTGCACGATAATTCAAGAGGTGTTCTGCCGGAATTGATCCCTCCATCGCAGCGAGGAGGTACTGCGTGGCAACACGATGGCCTTACGACCGGTCAGCCTATCACGTAGATACATAGATAACGCCAAATTTACCAGCTTCATCGAAGAGAATGGGAACATAAGCATCTTTATTACCCTCAAACAGGGCGAGCAGGATGCACACTTCAGGCACTGTATCGTAAGCACCGCCTAACAGCAGATAAGATTAGTCGGGCTTAAAACGCTAATGGCGAGAATCCCTGTCGATCCCAGGTGCTTACCTGTGTGTCCGCTCACGCCTCGCGCTGCGCCGGTAGCCGTAAAGTACACAATCGCATCGCGCAAGAGCTGGGTGTTCGCCTTGAGCGCCGAGCGTTGTTCTTCAGTCAGTTCAGACTGGGCGGGGTCTAGTTTAATCCTGTATCGATGAACACATGGGCGTTGAGCACCACGCCAACGACGATGGCGAAGTCCTCGAGCTCGCTGTGTATTATGCACTCACTTCTTGAATTGGTTGAGATCAATAGGGAATTTTTCAACGAGGTGGGACATATTGTGGTAGATGTGGTGGTCACCGGTCAAGGTCCAAGAGACGAAAGGCAAGCCCTATAGCGTCAGAGAATCATTCACTGCTCCAAAATTAGCCACGGTTTTTGCACCCTCAAAACTCCAAACCTACTCACGTTCGATTCTCAACCTTCCGTCATCGCTTATGGAGCCATTTGGTCACAACTGCAATGTATCCCCATTTTCTCGAGTTCTTTGCTTGTCTTGACGCCGAAAAGGATGCTCAGCAGACAACCGGGTACTGGAGGTCATCGTCGTCGAAGCAGAACCAGCATTGCTGTCGACCCAGCCGCGCACGAGCCAGTTGCCGCATTCGGTACTGATCGCTACACGTGACGTCATCTCTGATGGGCGCTAAACTCGAATCATTAGAGGCTTTGTTCCGCGACAAACACAGGCGCCCTGGGCTCATCCTCATGCACCGTGGAAAGTGTACAGAATAAGGAAATCCTAGCAAATTCAAGAGAGCACAGAGCATCTAATAACGATAGAGGATGGAACAGATAGAGCGTCCCAACGCATGAACCATTGGGTTAGGTTACCAGATTACTTCGATCACATCTTAGCTATAGGACACCGAAAGTGTCTCCCTTACTCGATTTACATATTTACAAAAGCCCAAGTACCATAGCAGCAAGTCCAACAGCCACAAACGATCCCACCCCCACACCCCTCCCTCTCGCAGTCCCAAACTCCCACCCAGTCTCCGTAGGCAACGCTAAATTCTGCGCATTCGTCAAAGTCGCCAAAGGACTGGGCGTCCCCGTAACCGTATGCGCCAACGTGACCAAGGTCGTCCCACCCTTCACCTTCTCAGCAATGACCACCTGCGCACTGCACACAATCTCCCTCTCCTCCTCCGATACACTGCTACCACCAGCATTGTGCACGCAATCATCGACGATCTGTACGTCGGCTTTGCCTCCCAGAGGACCTGTGCCATCGGTTTTATATTCCCTGTAGATTCTGGATGCATGGGCACGGAACGTATCTGACAGCATCGATTAGCGCTGGTCACAGAGAGAGGGGACGCTGCAGAGACTCACATGTATACGTGGTTGCTTGGTTGCCAGTATGCCACCCCATACTCTTCCCAGAATAAGTTTCAATATTCGCCGCAGCACGACCTTCGATGCCGCGATAGTACGTCGCACCCTCCGCGTCTACAGCGATCGGGCTGTAAGCCTCTTCAGCCATCGGGATCCGGATATAGGGGACGACGAGAGGAGGACGGGTGGGGTCGGGAAGGGTGTCCCCAGGAACGGAAGGCGCTGGGAAACCAAATGCGTAGAGCGTTACTGGTGATCCTTCGGCTTCTAGAGACGGGGAGGCGTTGTCACTTTCATCCGCATCGTTCTGCGCCAGCGCTCCTGGGATGACTATTAGCCAGCAGGCAATCGAGAATAGAGCGGTTAGTCTGGCAAGGGCAGTCTTCATCATGTGCGTGTCGAAGTCGTCACTCGTGAGTAGTCGTGTCGGGAGCGAGGAAGAGGGAATAACTCACTGCATCGTCCCACGTCGGCGCGTATTTATCATAAAAGAGAGAAAGCTGTAGTCCGTGGTCATCGCCTTTTATGTTCTTCCTTCGTTTCACTTGGCGCCCGTGAGGCCTTAATGGGGTAAAAGGCTGTTGAACGTGGTGAAATATCAAAACATTGCACATGGCGCTGTGCTCGTAGTTCAAGGTTTTCAAGCTGGTTGAGAGATTGAGTGTCCTGGGTCGAATTCAAAGTTCCAAAACATCGCCGTTCTTCAGGTTATCGGCCCCTGTTCGAGGGTGCCGCGGCGTCGAACGCATTCTTCTAAGCCAGAGCTACAGATGCACAATTAGGCCGTAATTCCGTTAAAGAGGCTCTATGCTGCCAGCCACCGAAGAGAGTCAAATAAAGAGAGCTCTCTAATAGATCGGCTTCGCGATCGCCAAGGGCCGCCCACCTTCCCCGGCGCCAATCAGAATCAATGGCCTCAAGGTCACCCCAGGGCGCTCATCCCCCAGAATCGCCATCCCGACTTCACACCCGGGCAAAGTTCCCCGTCGATAATATCTATTCTATGCTCGCCTACGGAAGCCTCCCATTGTATTCGCACCCCATTCACCCTTCTTGGTTCTCTACCCAAGGTAAGAAAACTAAGTACAAGCTCATAGTCGATCATCACATCTTCATCACATTCGCCTAAGTACATCCAACCCACCTTCCAACTTCTGCATGACGTCAAATGGAAGAGCCAAGTACTCACCCAAAGTCATCCAGCAGAAACGAGGCTGAGGGCCCAAGCTAAGATGTCTATCATGTGCACAACCGTGTATAACGTGCAAGCATCGGTCGACTACTTTTACACCAGTAAAGACTTCGAATGTCCTATGACCCCAAAAACACCGCGTACGTGTATTTACGCGTCTGCACCTGCAGGCGTGATATAACCACCATAGCCCGAGCTCCGAAACCAGCGTGTCAGTCCGAGCGAGTAACCGGTGCCTAGTGTGCTACCGAAAAGCAGGTAAACGAAAAAGTGCGTGGAGTACAAGTACTCGTCATGTGTGGCGGAGAAATGTGTAGTAGTCGTCGTCGTGTAATATGTCCATCCAAAATGAAAGGAAGCACAAGTTTAGATCCCACACGTGGAAAGTCAAATAGATCATAAAAAAGAACGAAGGACGGTGCAAGATAGGAAGAAAACAGGAAGATAAAACCAATGAAATATATGCAGACCAATCTCCCCCAAGACCGACCCAAAAAACCCAAGCAAGCAATTGTATGATACATAAGACCCAGCAAGAAAAAGAGGGAGAGATTTTGATGAAAGATCGTCGGAAAGTCGTCGACAAACATTTCATAGCCAGCTTCACGACGAAGCAAGACGCATACCAACGTCTAGGCCGGACGGTGGTCGGGTGGCTTTAGCCTTGAGATCGCTGTCGCTCGCCGAATGTTGGAGGACATCGAGGTGTGGACGGACGAACTCTCCACTGCCGCGGCGCATTTGGAGTTTCTCTTTCCTCCTCTTCATCAACCCTGGTGGAATGGGTGGGGGCGTCATTCGCATTTTAGGGTGGTTGATCGGTAATTGGGGATTTGGCAGCTCCGTGGGGATAGCCATGGACAGCGACAGTGCCAGTGTGTTGGTTGGGTCTGAGAGGGTGCACGACGAGGTGGCGAATGTTGGGAAGGGGGGAGGGAAACCGGGGGAAGGTGGTCGGAAGGCAGACACTGGTACAGGGGACGAGCAATTCGTCGAAGTCGCGGACGGGGTGACTGGGAAAGGATATTCGAAGGGCGCGTTGTTCGTAGCAAAGGGGGTGCCAATAATCTGAGCTGATGGCGAATGAAGCGTCAGATTGGATAAAGAGGCCATGTCGGGAATTTTCAGCGGTGATGAAGGTCGAGAAGCTGGTGTACGGGGGGTAATAGGGGTCGCTGGATCCGTGCGTGGCGACGAACTGGTAAGGCTTGGTGCCTGGGTTTGACAAGTGGCTTCTTCGCCGCCCGAAAGGTTGGCGGTTACTTCCTGGCCTGCTGTGAATGGAATGTTGACTCGTTGTTGGCCCAGGGCGTCCGATTTGATTCCTGCTTGCTTGGGAGAGGATTGATCGGTCGTGGCTGGGGTTGACTCGCTATATAGACCCGATTCGTTCGACAAATCGGTATAGAGAGCCTCGGCTGGCGGGGGAGAGGTCTACAAAGGAAGTGCCTTTAAGCCACTGAACGTTGTAAAGAAAGAAGGAGCGAGTGTGTTCTCCAGAAGCAAGAGAAGATATAAAGCGTAACCTTCTGGCTCCGCAGCCTAAAAAAAGAGGGTGCAAAATACTCACTTGACCGAATTCAGCAACAGAAGTGTGGGACAAGCTGGGTATGTCAAAAGGAATGACGTCCTTGGGCAAGTCTTCAGCGTCATTGCTTGTCGGTTGTTTACCAGAACCTTCTGCAAAAGGTTCGCGCGCGATGTCGAATCTTGGCGAATCCAAAGTCATCGCGTCTATCGTTGGGGTCGATGAAGGGGACATCTTTTGGCTGAAAACGACACCCATGGTGGGGGGAGGCACGGCATAGCACATAGAACAATCATGTTCCGTTCCACCCAGTAGGTTATATCGAATCCAGTCCGATTTCAATCTCAAGCGGCGGCAATTACCGGCATGAACACGTGAGAATTTGTCCAATGAAATTACGAACTCGCTTGAGGAAAACTCGCAAGAGGAGGCGCATTGCCTGCTTCAGTCGCCCCTCATGAACACCACAGGCCACGATCCCTGCAAGAATAGGCTCGGAAACGGCGATGTGAAGCCAAAAACGATTGCATTGGAGAGTAGGACGGGTATACACACTGAGCATTTGCGACGAGAGAGATCCCATTCTAAATATTTCCAGATCCTTCCATGTCCCCGTCCTTCCGTGCACCCCTTGAAGATGGCATTCTCCTCGTTCCTCTGGACGACCGACTTGCCGGGCCGATTCTTGATAGACCGACTATCGATTGCAGTTCTAAAACCTCCAGGACCTAGAGACTCGAATAGCGAGTGTCTCGGGTGCCTAGGGATAATCTATACACCTGAAGATGTAGAAGCAGAGAGAGCTAGACACGTTTGACTGATGGGAGGACCGATGTTGGCGGTAGAAGGAAAAGATGGGAGGACCTGAACGGTCTGGACCGGTCCAAGACAAATAAAACCAAGCAACACGTGATCTTGTTGCAGCGCGTCATGGGCGCGTCAAGCCCCTAACGAGTAATTTTCTCTGGCCTCCGATGTTGCAGGGCGGGAAGGCCAAGTAAACCCTTGAATGGTGAGTCAGTTGGTGACTAATAGTAACAAGTGAAGTCCTTCTATCAGTAAGGCTTACAAACTCGTATAGAAATATTTGTTATTCATAACTGACTCGAACTCAATAGAACAGTAGTAGAACTGTCTGGAAGTTCAGGGCGTTGGGCGATGTCATGGCCGAGTAGTCCATTCGCTGGGAGCGCTAGCGCTGAGCCTCGCTGGGCTCGGTGCAAATTGGGTCCATGGACGCGTCTTCGTAAAAAAGCGCGGGACCTTGAGGTACGTCGCGAGAGGAGAAATTGATCCGTCAACACGAGGCTCGCGATTGGACACCGTCGATATGTATATTGCGCAGGGCGATCACCGAGATGGAGACAAAGATCCAAACTCCTCTCCAATCGCTCTACTCCACGGGGTTACTCCTGCCGTGAAATTAGGAAGTCAACCCTCCCATCTAATCACGTCGCTTTATCCTCGAGGTCCTCGTGTTTCTAGGCAGGATTGTGCATGGTGCTGTCACTTGGTACCTCTCCGCGTTGACAGGTATCTCGCCCTCTTGCGTCATACTTGCAATACAGTCTAAATGAAGTGGCATACAGAGGGCATGCCAGACTCGCGACAGTCAGCATCAAGATGAACCTGGCTGTTGCTCAAAACATACGGGGTCAACACACGAACAGATGTGTGTAGACCATCCACAATGTGGATGGTGTATTCTCGGAGGATTGAAGATAGGATAACGAACGTTTCAACCTGTCATCTCCTTTTTCGAGCGTTGAAACTAGACAAAGGACTATTTGCGTACCGCGTGTTCCCTGCATGCCAGACTCTCCATTGCTATCCATTGTCACAATCGATTATCTGTTCATACGGCCCGACCCTTGGTCATTTCGTTCCTATTGCTGCTACTTAGGTTGTCATCTTCATCCCATTGAGTGGCTCATATCAGTACAGGACCGCAACATCGATCGAATCGAGGCGCGATCCCCCGGGGTACGGTAAACCGGTTATTAAAAGCTTCCAGGAGCCTGGCCTGCTCGCCACTGTTACCCGCGGCTTTGGAGTGATACCTTCCATATCGATCGACCAAAGGGTCGCAGAACGACCGCTTTGTGAAGCCGTGGAAAGCCTAATATTTAAATGAAGAGTCAAGCCAATCTCCGACTCCTGGAAGCTATTGGAAATAGGTATGTGATCGAATTATAGGTCAATAGTGAATTCGAAGATTCGGAGATGGAAGAGTAGGACTGCTCGTAAACTCGATATCCTTGGAAAGCTCAGGCTGAGAACCAACAAGTGCTTAATCTTCGTATTTCAAGGAGTGCACCCTAAGGCCCACTTCCAGAGGATTTGGAAATTTGAATCCAATGATAACCACGACGTGCATCCCACGAGGACTCTGGGGACAATTGATCGAACAGTTTTAGCAGAGATTCATAAAGTATAGCCACGGTACTTGAATACAACAACTACTAGAACCGGTTATGAAAGCGTAGTCTATCGAGGCATCGCGTCATGGTAAAACTACTCACTCTTCACCAATGCACCCTGAAGCCAATACGGACAAGTTAGCTTCAATACGGACAAGTTAGCTTGACCGAACAAGGGGAACCAAAAAGAGACACTTGCCTATCACCGTCGACCCCACATCAAAAAGCAACTCAGCAAGTGAGTTGGAAATAAACAAAAAATTGGGTGACGAATCGCAGAACAACACCAAGAAAATATCCATGGGCTCGAGACGCGGGTAGCAGACACACTAAAACGCTCAACATGACCTCCGACAGCACGCGCCAGAAGCGATAAAACCCTCCATCGGCGGAAGACTGCCACGATAGCAGGATAGGATAAGAGGCTCGATTAGGCTCGCGGAGTGCGAGGATAGAGATAGAGAGGCGGTATAGACGACCACCGAAGACGCTCGTAAGCGTAGATGTCCCTAACCTGGAGCAACGAAAGCAACCAGGATCAACGGGCGAGGATTTGATGTGCCGACACACTCTGAGCTCGAGATGACAACGACCGGTCCTCCCACCGACGAACCCACAACGATCGTGTTGCGCATGCCCGCCACTGTAGGAGTTAGCCCACCTCAACACCGAGGGTGGGTGAGCAGCTAGTCGGACGACCAGAGGAGGGCCGCGGCACCCAACCTGGAAACGTCGTCGGGAGGGTTTTACGCAAGAGAACAGCCAGATATGAGTTGATCGTGATTGGCGAGCGCGCTGCACGCTGCCGCTGAGAGATGACGGCAGGACACAAACGGGCGAGCTGGAGACATGATGTACCCGCCCGCAGGACGTCTTGAAGACATCCTCGCTACCAGAGAGTCATGAAGAGCAGTGTGAAATCGAAAACCCAGCGAATCGAAGCCTTTGGACAACCTCCGCGAAGAAAGGCGAGCCTTGTACGGGACAGAGGATGGAGTCGTTCTGCGATGAGAAAGGAACGCGGCTGTGAGACACAGACTTTATACCAAGTCTCGTATTTGCCGTTGTTTGAGGGCTTCCCTGTCGTCGTCGCCAGCGATACCTTCACCGATGACGTAGTTACCTTTTATAGGAAAGAAGTGTGCCAATATTGGAACCCGCTTCTTTGCAAAAGCTTTTTCCTGGCCCTTGGCTTTGCCGTTATCCTCTGCCTGGGCTGTATCGAGCCTACGCCCAGGTCCATTTAATCTCTGGACAGAAATGCGAGCTAGCCAGGGCGCAAGGTCAAAGGTCGCAGCGCCCACACTGTGAATTCGTGTGAAGTAGGTCACGATAGCGGCAGGTCTGTCTGAATGAAATTCTCGGTCCCGCCGCTGTCGTCGCGAGCGCTTGATGAGCGACGATCACCTTCGAACTAGACAAAATTCATGAAACGTCAACGTAACGGAGGAGACAAAGAATGACTGAAGCTTAAATAGAAGAGGGAAGTGAAATTGGGTAAAGACTACTACAAGAAAGGCGAAGACCAGGTAAAGTGAATGCATACGAATAGCAGACCGACCTTCGATCGTATCCGTGATTGTTAGGGGTGCAAGAGATTAGGAACATTGTCGGTGTTCTCTGTTTCCTTGCGTGGCGGGGTGTTCTGAGTCCTGGGTGAGAAGGAATTAATGAGGCATTCCATAGCCATGAGCGATTACTGACCCCAGGGGCACCTCGAAGTTCCCGGCCTTCGGACGAAGTTAGCGCATGCGAGCTGGGGCTGGTAGGGACCGGAACCGAGGTCTTCACTCTGTAAGTGTACTATCATGGAAGAGGGCAAAAAAGAATTTGATACCGTTGCTTCCTGAGACCGAGCGTATGTCGAAGCAGAAGAGTGATGACTGCCAGTGAGGATGTCGGCCATCGGAAATGTGCCAATAGTTTGCTGAGACCGTTCTTTCCGCCTTTGACGTTGAAGGATACTGGACCACGGCCCGTCGGATAGTGAAGCAGAACGAGGCAAAGAAACACGAACAGTGACATAAAGGAAATCGAATATACTGGGTGATGGTGTGAGATTAATGAATGCCAGAAGAGGAAAAAAACTTACGCCTGGTGGTGAAATACGAGACTGGTAGCCAAGTAAGGTTATTGGTGGTTTGGAACTGGAGAACTCCGTGAATGTCGTACTTAGATCCGAAGACATGGCATCTACCAGAATAAAGACAATCATGGAGGCGATGCTATCATTGGATGTGAGGTGAATCGATGCTGCAGCGCTGACGAGCGAGCTTCAGAACAGACCATGTTATAGCGTTGGAACCTGGCAGAAGAAGATCAGAGGCGACCAAATGGGAGGCGATGAATGCTCACTAATGCATAGAACAATGAACTGGTCGAGAAAGTCGAAGCCTGTCTTCCTGAAGCGGGGTCCAGAGGGATTGGTCGTGGATGAAAAACCGAGACTTTGAGCCCTTTCAAGTCGCCTTTTCCATAATGCGTAGGAAAGGCGGAATGCCAGCAGGGCGTCCGTGACGATCGAGAGCACACCAACGAGGATCAGGATTATCCTCCATGTTGGACCCTGGAGATAGGGAAAGGGCTTGGCGTCAAATACGATCGCTACCGTGTAGAAGATCGTGCGAGCGACCAGAAGGCCCCCACAGAACAGCGGTACTGGAAGGGACTTGGTGATAACACGCAGCCGATATGCAGAATACGCCTACATCGTGTAGTCAACGCGTCGCACTGCCTATGAGTTGGTGGTATAGCCAACGTACCTGGACAACAAAGGAGATCAAGATGGCGACAAATCCATTCCAGGCGAAAAGGCGGTACATGTCTGAGAATCCCTTGAAATCCCCAAAGTGAAATACGAATTGCTGTGCGCAAACGAGCACATCGTTAGCATGCTCGGAACAGCTGGAGAACGTGTGCCTTACGATGTACACTGTGGCGGATGCCATGGACGTATGTCCTAGTTCAAGCAACCTGGAAGACACAAGAATGTCAGAAAAACGACGGGCGGTACGTAGGCTCGACCTCACCAGACAAGCAAGACCTGGGAGCAAAGGCTGAGAATGGCGTAACATCAGGATGTGAAGGGACATACCGTCGCTTTCAGCGTCCATGGATCAGCGTCAAACGTCCTGTGTTCATGGTCAGCACAACCACACTTCCAAGGAGCACCCACATCAAGCATACCGGTAGTATACCACCGTTTGCACAGAAACCACACCAAAGAGGCACGCGCTGAAGCCGTAACCGATGACGAGAGGACCTAAGAAACCTTCGGCCATACTAGTCCTAATGGCGGGATGTCGAGGAATAAGAACTGATAGGCGTTAGAGAAGATTGTCCAAGAATATCATAGGGCTATAAAGTACCAGGGATTAGTCCTCGTTCCTAACCCTTCCAGCGGTCTGGATGGGTCTGTTCGCTCATTAAACAGCGCAGCAGGGAACCAAAGCAAAGGCCCAGAGCTCCCCCTGGGGAATCACAACATCACCGTAAGCTGTTAGTTGTATAAAGCCGCAACTTCCATGCCCAAGTTGGTCAATCAGAACCAAAGCTGTTGAGTTGTGGACCTGGTTTTAGAGGTCTATCGACCTCATAGGGTCTACAGCACACCGCTGAAAATGGTGCTTTTGCTTTAATATGAGAATGTTTCAACGCGTTTTGGGGACGATAGGTAAACACGCACCGATTCTTTAACTTCCGGCTTTGAGATGAACGAGGTTGAGGCACCTATAAGGGCCGATAGTTGTCGGGTCTGCAGGGTCTCGCGGTAGCACCTCGTGCCGCCGTATGCTTCCAGAGTCACCGGAATTCCAAAGTATGTTAGCTCTGGCCTTAAGGAGCATCGATGCGATCGTTTTGCAGCCCTCTGGGTGTTTGATTCATGTCCCCGAGGACACTGAGAGCGGTTCCGGAATTTTGCACAGGAATCGGCGGCGTAAAGCAAACTCCCAAGTCACCGCCCATAGAGAAAAGATCCAGGTGGGTTGTTGGCACGTTTTCAGAGTGAATTGGATGAAATGTGGGCATTACTGGATGGTGGGAAGGGGCAAGGTGTAAGTTACTACTTAATCGCTGGGTCGCATCAATTGATCGGGCCCAGGCTCGGTGAATGGCTTTTTAAGAGGTTTTCGATATTACGGGCGTATCTAGTACAATATGTAGGTAATTCTACTCCATACATCGAGGACAAGATAACCTGCAATGTAATATGTGCCCGCGTCAGGACCAGGGTAAACCTGAGCTGAAAACAACACTCACCATAGTTGACGGCATCAGAACAAGAAACTTCTGACCGTTCCAGACATTGGTGAACGACCTCGTATACCTAAATACCTATTAGCCGCCCGTCGTTGGCCAGTCAGGTTCAAGTCTTGTGGGATGTCTTGATGGACGACCATGGCCGGGGACGATATTGACGACAGTGGCGGCGGCCGAGAAAACGAAAGTGACGCAACTTTGCTCGCGAAGGAGCGTAGGGGGTGAAGAGCGAGTTTGAGAGTCGAGAGGACGATCTGGCGCTTGCGCCTGCGTGATGAGTGGGCGGCAGTAGGCAGTGTGCCGACCATCAGGGAATGCAGATCGAAAGAGGATAGATTCGAGAGAGTCGATAGGGTCGATGATGTCGATAATTGTGAAGGAGTGAAGAGGTCTTCCGTGAATATGGGAGTCTGATAAAGCGATTCGGATTTGACGAGCTCCTCCGGGATGCTGTGCAGTTGGCGCTTGGGGTAACGGTAAGTGCTGTCAAGGGTGTTATACTTGGGTCCATCAAGCCCCTGAAGCTGCTCCGCCAGCCCATCCACAGAGGTGCGCGTGGACGAGGAGATCATGGAACTGGCGCGCGAGTGAAGTTCGGATGATAAACTCGAGGGAACGCCTTTTCCGAGGCTGGTCACACTGGCGAGGTGACCAACCGAATGCGAGGGAGTCATGCTAGCTCCGAAGGACGGCGAGATGTCGACAGAGACCGGTTCGATGTCGACGTCTCCAGGGTTGTCGTTCCTCAGCATCTCCACGATTTCGTCGGAGAGGGACGCGGCAAACCTGAGGATCTCCGCACGTCGAGAAACAAATGGGACACCATTGGACAGAGCTGAGAATCCGTCACTCGCAAGCGGGGGACTCTGCGAGGGAACCAACGAGCTGCGAACCTGTGGAACATACTGGTGTGCCGAACGCAAAGGGGCCTTCCCGGACTTCAGATCCAAGCTGGAGTCCAACACGCGCTGTGGGCTCTGCCCATGTCGCATTGGCCAGGTGGAGGAACACTGCGGGGGACCGGAGACGGAGGTAGGCAAGTCCACTGCACTCCGAAGCTGCCTCACTCGCTTGTGAACACCAGGTACAACAAGCGTGGGCGTCGGCGTATCAGAGTCGTATGCGTAGGAGCCATCGAGCAAGATACATGGAGACGAAATAGGGCTGGCCGGCTCAACCTCTTCCTCCTCCCAGTTTATATCAATACGGCGGCGCTGCCGCCGGGGCCTTCTAGGCGCCATCAAAAGGGCGGAGGGTGAGAATGAGGGGGAGCCGTCAGCGTCTTCATCCGATGAACTATTAAAGTTCGATTCCTCGGCAGCGGCGAGTTGGAGACGAGCCATGAAAAGAGGATACGACTCGCTTGTCAGGGTCTTCTTGTCAGCAGGGCTGCGAGTGTAGTCGGGACGGTCGCGGAATTCGTTCCATCGTTTCGGCCTCGAGTCGGTCTTTGACCTGGACTTCGGACGGGGTTCGCGGATAGACGAGTTGCTGCCTTGGGACCTGGGCGAGAACGGCGAGGGGACACCATCGCTGGTAGTCTCTCGAGGAGTCCGAACCTTCGGTCTGACGGTGCCTCTCGAACGACCATCAGAACGCTTCCGAGACAAACCAGAGCCAGGCTGAAGGAAAGACGAGCGTCAGCCATCAGCAAGAAGACAACAGGAAAGAAAGAAAGAATAATAACACTAACAGCTGCAGACTGCTTCAGGTCCACTTGAACCGGAAGCTCGCGTAGCTCTATGATATCGAGGTCTTCATGATGAACGGAAGGATCGGATTTCGATAACTACAACAATAGAGAGATGAAGATGAACGCGCCAGGATTCAGAAGAGTAGGTAAACACCAACATGAGACGCGTCAAAGGGAACAGCGGACGTGGAAGACAAGGTCTCCAATTGTTCAGGGGTGACGGAAACCTGTTGTGAAACACCGTGTCAGTACCCGAGTGATGAACAGGCAAAAGGGAACGTACCGGTACGAGACGGGAAGAAGTCACGAGGAGCTTGGCGGGGACCTGTCTGCTGACAGTGGCGGCATCCTGAAGGGTGATACCAGAAACAGCTGCTGGAACAGAGGCGGGAACAGGAGCAGAGATGGACACGGATTCAAAACCAAAATCAGACTCAAACAATGAGGCACCAGCCGTAGAAAGAACGGGCGCGGCAGGCGCGGAAGTGACTTCAAGTCTTTTGGGTGATAAAAGAGCGTGTATAACGATAGGATTTGCAGTTGTAGTTGATGCTGTAGTTGTCGTAGTTGTCGTAGTTGGTGTAGTAGTAGTTGATGTGGTTGCTGTGTTTGCTGTGGATGTAATTTCAGTCGTAGTATTAGCGTTCACGTCCTTCGATGATAAAGAAAGGAAATCGAATTCGAGCTTCTCCGACTGGATGATGGGAGCAATGAGAAGGTGGCGTTAAGATCTTTGTGTATGAGGAAAGGCAGATGTAGTCTCACAGCGTTGCCCGTAAACTGGAGGTTTTTGGGCGGGGTGGCGGTTATGGTAGCCACGTGGGGATTGGTGTGCTTCGTTGTAGCTTGGGAAGCGAGGTCGGGTTCTGGAATGGGTGTTAGATAGAGGCAGGGAAGGACACGGGGGTAGGGGACTGACGTGGTGCTTCGCCCTCGGAAAATTGGACAGGTACCAACGCGTTGTCCTGTCCCAGGGGGTAGTAGCAGAGAGCTTCGAACGAGATAGGGGAGAGACCTTGAAACACCAAGTGAGTCCACCTCCCATCGGCAAGATGAAAGTCAATGCAAACCTGGAAGGCGAGGAGTGAAGAGCGGGCTGAGTTCCTGGCTGTCCCCGACTGGGCGCAGTTCAGGCGAAGGAGCCCCTTCGGCCCCGTGCAGAGGGTACGCAACCGAAGTGCCTCTACACAAAGCAAATCAACAACAACAGCAAAGCGAGTTGAAAATCGAGACATACGAATGGTCCGCGGAAGCGTCTCCAGAAACTTGGCCGCTGAACTCAGAAGTCGGCCATTCACCCACCGCCGGGAACATCGACGGCCAAACAAAGTCATCGCTGGCGATAACAGGTTTGGGGAACGGATGAGGCCAGCTCGTCGTCGTCGTCATCGTCGTCGACGCCGCTGAAGCGGCATTCATGGAGGTGGTGAACTCGGCCATGGCAGCGGAAGGGGGGTCGGAGGGCGTAGCCAAGCTTAGAGGCGAGGGTATACCGAGCCCTTCGAGGGGTCGCAGAACGGGTGTCGAGAGTGGATTATTGATCATGCCCGTAAAGCCCACGTTCGATTTGTTGTCGACTTGGGGTTCGAACGGAGTGTTGAGCCAGTCGTAGTTTGTCCAATCGCCCGGTGCGACTTCGGCGGCGGGCTGCAGAGAGAGTAAGTGCTAGTCATTAGAAATCGGACGCTTGGGGTAAGAGGAGAGAGAGCTCGAGACTAACCATGTCCTTCAAGTCGTCGAACCAGTTGCAGCTCGATGCCGATGGGAGGAGTTCTTCCAATTCGGACGCCGTCGGGGAAGTGATGGCGGCCCAGTTGGTAGTTTCGAACTCGCTACACGACGAAGTCTAGTAAAACACCAATGAGTCTCTTTGAACAGCAGAACGAAAGGGTAGGATCACGCACATCGAACGTAGCAGACGACTTGATGCCCTCTCCGTCCTCCACTGCACCACCAGCGAGACATGCAAGGCTCGGTGCAGTAGAGAACAGCTGCGCGTACCCCCCATTCCATTCCACGAACCCGTCGACGATGTGAACCTGCAACATTGTTGCTTGATTCCCATTCCCATGACCGCCCTCCGGAACGTTCACTCGAGTCTCTTGTGGCGCTGCCACGATAGAAACCAGTCTGTCTGAGACTACGAGCGGTTCTTCAGGGTGGTACCCATGGGTAGGGCTGACAGGCGGTGAAGTGAACGGGTTACCGAAGGTGCTCAACTCCGAGTTCTGTCCCAACCTTTGTCAGAACTAGCCCCAAAAGGATCGAAAAGGAAACACAACTCACCTTCTCTCCAACCGCACTCCCAAAAGCCCTACCACCACTCAATCCACTCTCGTAATACTCCTCCCTCCAAACCCTAAGCGACTCCGACTCTTCGATGTCCTTGAGAACAAGCCTGTCGTGTTCCGTGAGCTGTTCCTCGTTGTCGTTCCTCCATTTCGCGAGCGCGTTCAAGACTACCGGGATCCCGTGCGGGAAGCGCGCGTCGAGGTAGGGCAGGATGCTCGTGATCTCGGGGACGATGGCGTCAGGGCGAATCGTCACAGACACGGGATCGTTAACAACGACCTGCTTCGAGGAGCCCGAATCTTCAGGTCCATCCACCGACTCCGTGCTCGTGCTAAGCACACACAGCAAAGACGGCATCTGAGGCTTCGCTTGATTCTGCTCAGCAATGAGAACAGTTCCATCGACAGCTTTGGCCGGTGCGGGTTGGGTAGGCGAGAGCGGAGGGGTAGGGTCTGTCAATCGCGAACTGCTCCTCGAGGGGAAACGGTTGCCGGTATTGCTGAACCCAAAGGTAGAATACTTCTCGGATCCTGAGGAAGCGTAGGAGGAGGAACTGGAGGGCTCGTTGTCGTCCACCGAGACGTGGGAAACGGGGAGGAGGGCTGGGGGATTGGCTGCCTTGGACATGGACTTCATCGATGGGGACATCATAGTCAGAGTGTAGTTGTGGTAGAGGGTTTAAGAGGAAAGGAAGGGGTGTAGGGAGAAGTGGGAAAGGATAGTAGGGGATGATTGGGTCAAAATGAAACGAAGGGTGTTGGGGGTAGCAGTGATGCTTGAGAGAACGGTTTCAGGGTTGTCAGTCGGGTTATAAAGTGTACAAGGTGGGGATAGGAGAAAGTGAGAGGTTCTGGGAGCATGAGACTGTGTTGGTTCGGTCAATCAGACCTGGATTTTGATTGGGACTTGGGGTTGGGAGACTCACTTCTAGGATCATGAATCGAGAAGACATGCGTTCTACCCTGGACTTCACAGCGCACCGGGAAGATGTCGAGAATCACATACAAATACATTTATTCACTTGCTTTTCGAGTATTGTTGTATTGTACACGTTGAACTACCACTTGGAGTAAGGAAGGAACTTTCCACTGAAGATCGTTTGAGTACAGGGTATGCAGAGAGCGGGGACGGACGACGTACTCAAAGGTCACGACAACACGATCGCCCTTGGGGTCTGGCTTTCTCTCGACGTTGATGTTGCAGTCAATCATGGACATGATACCGTCTCCGAACTGTCGGGTCCACTTGAGCACTCGAGATTGGATAAAGGGCAAGGAAACTACCTTCTCATGAATAATAGCCTATTCAACAATCAGCTGGGCCAAGAGAAGCACGAAAGAATGGGGAGACATACCTTGATAGGATGGCCGTAGACAAGGACTCCCTTGGATAACATTCAGCCATTCATCCTTCCACATACGTTCACGAAAGCTCACTTCAAAAAGTCGATAAATAACAGGGTCGGAAGGCGGGACAGGGCCCAATCCACGGTTGGGGAACCACTGGTCGCCCAGCTCCTTCACGATTTGGGCCGAACTGATCTCCAGTACTTCCGAGAGCTTCTTCAATTCCTCTTCATTGAATTTCGCCTGCAAGTGAAATAGTGGTTTTCAATGGAGAGTCCGGTGGTATTGAGAACCTAACCCACTTGTCCATAGAAAGCGGATGCGACCCAAACTTCGTCTCTGCCAATGGCTTTGCCGATTTGCTCGAATGAGATGCCTGAGGAATCTGGGTGAGTGGAGGTGGATGCCGGGTATGGAAGAGAGGATACCCTTTCGAGCTTTCGCTTCGAACAAGACTGTGTGTGCGGGTGATACAGCTGGGGTCATGATTGTTCTGCAAAGACAGTTAGATAGATAGGCGCCCTACCGGTACAGACCAGCCTTACACTTCTTGTTGTATAACAAGCGGGGGAAGAAAGAAGAGGGTCAGGGGCTTCTCTCAATTAGAAACGCACTCCTTATAGGAACGGTGGATGATGGCAGGACGAGGTCATGCGGACAAGGGGGGAGAAGCCAGAAAGACCATCGACGACACACGTGATGACGCAATGGTCGAACACAGAATCATAATGCACAAGGCCCTGTCCAAGACGACATGGCTAGACCCAGCCATCCGCAGAGGTATGTGGTGTAGAAGGAATTTAAGAAGAACGGAGTAGGGTTTTATGATTTGTCATTTCCTGGTTTGAATACATCCCGTGCTGCTTGTTTGAACTCGTATAATTGGCCCAGCTGTTCCTCAGTGAGCTATACATAGGGCACAGTCAGCAATCGCAACCCCAAACCAGGCAACAGACGCACCTTTTCGAAAACAGTAGGATCAAGTCGCTTCCCCCTGTAGCCCGCAGCTTCCTCACGACCCTTTGGCATTTCGTCGAGATAGCGTTTCCATTGCGAGAGGAATCCGAGGAGGTGGCCCGAGTTGGTGACTTTTTGGTGTCTCCGGAATTCTGGTGGACGGGTTGGTGGGGGTATAGTTGGACTACAGCGAGGTCTACGCACCTGATTTGACGTAGACGTCGCCTAGGGACCTCATCTCAGGTGGCAGGTTTCGGTGAACGCGGAGAATGCGTCGGTATAAGCTAAGTGTGCACTACATTCAGCAATCCTCCAGCTGCGGATGGTCGGGACTTACGGAATTGGGGGAAGAAGCGTCGCAGTTGCATCCCGTGGGTTGATCGGTCTGCGCGAGACAGATTCCGCTAGCCTTAGTACAGACGCTCGCATCCTGGAAAACGGTCGGAAGGTGGAGGTTACAGCACAAGCGCGGTTGGCGCCGTTCCGAAGGAGGCGGAAAACCGCCGACACAGCCACCGAAGCAAAACGTCGGGCCTGGCCGTACCGCCTTGTCAATCTGTTTCTAGCCATTTCAACTTTTACACAGTCCTGTTCTCGAGGAAGCGGGGATAAGCATTTCTTAAAGGCTCAGGGAAGCGATCCCAACGGCCGGGTTCTCTCGTGGCAAGAGTTTCGGCTGACGTTTGTCTTGACTCCAAACTGTTGCAAGTACCCTTGAAGAAGCCCTTTCAACCGAGAAAATCTCACCCTACTCGTTGTCGACTTTCACGATTTAACCCATGAGTTGAGGTGTACAGACAAATTCTTCGGAGAAACCACGAAGAAGGGGTGTCCAGAGGATCGGTCGACAGATCTCTTCGACAGTCCCTTTCGACAGTCCACTCTCCGAGATTTCGTCTTTCAAACGCCCCAAAAGACACGTCCTGTGAGACTACACGAGGGATTTTGGGGGATGTTTTGGGGGAGAAATGGGGAGGCAACAAGCGCCCACAACCGGAAGCGGAGTTTGAAAAGGGGGGATTGGCAAAGCCGTAGCATGAGAATTTAATTTTGTTATCTTGTCCTATCCAAGAGGACGAAACGAGCTCCTTCTCTTCCCGTCTTCAATCCACTCGACTCTGCAAGGCCACCAAGATCGACGCATTGAACGGTTGCACACTCTGTGTTTGCTTCCCCAAATGTTTTGGTCTCATTTATGAATGTTTTAGAAATTTCAATCCCGAATTTTGGCGGTGATAAAAACATATTTTGGACTTACTAGTAATTCTCAAGATGGATAATCCAATGTCCATCTCAAATCCTCAGAACCATCAATTTCCGCAAGAGGGCACTTTGTCTTTGGCCGTGAACCTCGATGGATCCCAACCCGCTGCAGACACACCAGCAGAGCCTGTCAAACGGCGCCCAGGTCGTCCAAAGGGCAGCACAAAGAAGAACCTCCTCGGAACTCCAATATCACCGACTGCAAAGGTCAAACGACCCGTAGGACGACCGAGGAAAGATGGAATGCCTGCTGGCTCGGTGGGCCCGACGCGCTTGAAGCGAGAACGACAGGCGGGACAGCCCCAGCAGCCCTTCTTCATGCCACCGCAGGGCGTCGAGAACGGCTTCCCATACCCACCCACAGTCGGGATGTACCCAGCTCCAGTGCCCTTTCAAGTCCCACCACCGCCAATAATCCAGATCGACCCCAGCCTGAGCGGCGACGAGTGGGCAACGATGTCGAGGAACGACCCGAACGGATTCCTATCTGTCCTCCTCGGGGCCCTGGCTGCTCCAAACCCAGTCTCAACAGCAGGACCGAGCGTCGAAGACGCCTTCAAGAATCACCTGCAATCACTCGCCCCAAGCCCTACGCAGGTGCAGCAAATCCCCACGCTCTACTCGATCCTCAAGACGTTCTGGCTGCCCTCGTCCCCAGCCTACTTTTCGCTGACCGCCTCAGCCTCGACAGCGCGTATACCCTCCGAACACCGCTTCCTCTACTGGGACCCCCTCCCGCTCGTCTTCAATGGCATCGGCTGCCCCGTCTGCGGCCACCCCCTCACCCATAAAGGACGAATCACAACGGGTCCCATCAAAATCTACGACATTGAAAAACCCTTCTTCATCATTGGCTGCGAATACGCCTGCAAAAGCGTGCAATGCCTCACATCCTCCTCGCCCGACGGCCGCAAGTTTGCGAGCACAGACTCGTCCATCCTCCGCTCGTTACCGGTCAAACTGAAGGACGAGTTCCCCGCGCGGCTGCTGTGCGACGACTCGGTGGCGGGGTGTGGGCCGAATGTTTGGAATTGGAGGGCGCTTGGGGTGTCGCGGTCGTTGTGGAGTATGGTGGTTGGGGGGTTGAGGATGGGGTTGAAGAGGGAGGTGATTTTGCATTTGGTGCATTCGATACAGCATGGGGTGCCGGAGGTGGAGCTGCAGAAGCAGGAGGGGCAGGGCGAGGAGGGGCAGGGTATGCCGGGGCATTCGATGCAGGAGGGGCAGGGGTCGCAGCAGTCGGATAGCCAGGGCCATGGGATGGACCAGCCGGAACAGCCTCCACCGGTATGTGATTCCTTGAACTCACCTTACTTGTTGTAGGCTTATTCTCTTGTTACAGGGCTTCTCGGACCAGTATGGTGAAGCGTGGAAGGAGAATAGTGTCTCGATTCAAGACCCTCAGCAGCAGCAGCAGCAGCAGGTGAAATCACCGCCGCCACCAGTAGCAGGGTCGTCTTCACAGCCGAGTGTATCGGTGACCGCGCCCCCGCCTCCACCACAGCCCAACCCAGTCGCTTCGCCTCCCAATCAAGTGCAAGCGCCACCACCTCCGCCACCGCCAGCGTTCTCGTACCAACCTTACCCATTCACGCCGTACGGGTACATGGCTCCCCCGATGGTCAATGGCCAAGTCGTCCATCTCACACCAGGCGGTCAAACGCGTACGTTCACCATACATGCATATTCCGTTTTTCATTAATTAATTTACTGATCTAATTGGTGTTTTATTGCAGTTGTACCATCCCAACAACACGATTCCTCCACTCCCACTCTCTCCACTGGGTCGACCTCTGCTTCCGCGCCTCCACCCTCTTCATCAGGGATCGTATCCACCGGTCCACCCACTACAACAACGACGACGACGACGACAGCGACGAAGAGGAGTCCGAGGCATTGTTGTAAATGCGGTTCGCAGGATTGTAAAGGCAAGGGAGGGAGGAACTTTTGTGTGAATGCGTGTCAGGATTGTCACAAGTTGGATTGTAAGGGGAGGAATTCGAGGAGGCCGGATAAGAAGTGTAGTGAGGGGTGGGTGTGATGGGTGTTTCTGGTGTGGGGTGAGCAGGAGACAGTGGGACTGGGAGTGTTCGCGTCGGGGTATGGGTTAGGGTGTGAGCCTGTAACGATGAGGACTGGTGTGTCCTTGAGGCAGCATGCCATCTCTCAAAAAAGGTGTAAATCCACTTTCACTTTCCCGTTACTCTTTTCATAAAAGTCGATACCGTACAGCCCCGTTTTTCAGTGATCAACGTTAATATCCGACTCGCGATGGACTCCAAGTTCTCTTCTTTTTCCTTTTTTCTTTTTTTCTGGTGTTCGTCCGTCCGTGTTCATTCGGCTCCTTTCGGTCCTGTGGGCTTTTTTTTCTTTGTTCATTTCCCCTTCATCGTTTAATCTCTTTGCTTCAAGCAGTGTAGTAGTAGTAAGTAGTAGTAAGGACATAGGCCTGTTGGACTGTTTTGTTTCGACTGACTACCTTGTCATTCAAGTATCGTCTCTGGTTTGCTGTGTGTTATCATTATTACTGACTGGTTCTGTGTTTCTGTTGTTATGGACTATTAAGATGATGTTCGGGTTTTCTGGGTATAGTTGGAACCTTCCTTTGCATCGTGGAAGATGATCGTGAAACTGACTGCGCAGTGCACGGTGCAGCACCATACCAATGGGCAAACTTGATCAAACCTGGCACGGTTATAAGCACTCGTCGTGTCATCCTGACACGGGTTAAGTTGTCCTTTCTCTACAACTTCTTTCATTTGACTAGGCGCCCAGAGGGCTGTTTGGCCAATCATGGGAAGGAGGAAGGGAAGCTGTGGGTGAATGTGATCGAATGTTTTGTGATAGCTACTTCATAGGATGGAAGTTTAAGCGCCCGGTGTACTGCTATGGTCATTTGTCCGGATCCCTTTCCCTACTCCCCTTCTGAGGTTATGAGATGGGATTTAGGGTTTGACCTTCCTTGAGCAGTGGTATACATACAGCCATGCGCTGCACTACTACTTCATGTCTTGACAGCTGTAGTAGATAGGTGTTTTGTCCATTTGCATAGTACTTGTACAACGTGGTTCTCGGTTTAAATACAGCAGCATTCGAAGGTGGAGAGAACAAGGTAGGACTTGAGTTCGAACCCCCGGCCTTCTTCTCTCCCCATCTTTATCTTTATTGTAGTACACAGGCACTGGCACGGTTGGATGATTTCGACGATGGCGGCGTACATCCTCGCTGCTATAGCCTCCTCTTTGGGGTTCTCTGCATCTCCTCCGGCTGCTCCTCTGCGATCGTCGCCGACCCTCGAGGCCAACCAGAACGCAGAACGTACTAGTGCGCAGTCCAAGCAGACTGCTCACGATTCCCATCCTGCCGGCTTGTCGTGCGATTCCCCTGAGGTCCAGGGTGACGCCGTGGACGATTGGGATTCAGAGGATTCCGAGCCGCCTGAGGACTTTAGCAGCGAGGAAGAGGGTCACGGTCACGGAGAGGTGCAGATGCAGATGGAGGAGTCTTGGAGTCGTCTGGGCGTTGTGCCGACGAGGAGAGATACGGGAGCTACCATCCGACCGTCTAGGTTTTCACCCAGTTCACCTTCCGACTCTCAGTCTGAGTCTATCCTTGGCCACGCTTATAGTTCTAGTAGTTGTTCTGGTGTGGCATCGAGACATTGTTATCCTCTTCGACGTACGTCCGAATTCCCACTGTTCCGTCCGGCGAACGGCTAACTGGATATTGGTGAGATAGGCGGTTCGACGATCGATTTGGTCACGGAGGCGCTCGACTTGTCGGCAGAGATTGAGATTTGTGGGGGGTCGGTTGCGCATGGTGGGTATTCGGATGTGTATAGAGCCAAGTGGACGACGACGACGGGGAGTGTGACTGGGAATGGGAATTGGATTGTGAATGGGGACGGGGTTAGTGCTGGTGCTGGTAAAGGAGAGGAGGTTGTGACGGTGAATACATAGAATCGTAGCTGCGAGTGGCCATCGGGATGTGCGCTGACTTTGGTGTAGCGTGATGTAGCTGTCAAGACTCTCCGGGCGTTCTCGCAGACGTCAAATGTAGACCTCAATCGAGCTCGAAAGGTACTCCCATTCCTTCCCTTCTCGCTCAACCGCTAACCCACTGATCGTCTAACCCCAACTTTGTAGCGTCTAAACAGAGAAGTCCACGTCCTGAAACGCCTGAACCACCCCAACATTGCCGAGTTCTACGGAATAGCGTTTCATAAGGACGGGAGACCTTCGGTGGTGATGAAGTGGTATCGGTATGGGACTGCGCCGGAATATTTGGCGAAGAATGCGGGTGTGGATCGGTTGGGGGTCGTAAGTCGCCTTTACTAGGTTTTAACTAGCCAGAACTGACAGGGGACGTACAGGTGAGGGATGTAGCAGCTGGATTGGAGTACCTGCATACGCTACAGCCGCCTGTCGTGCACGGGGATTTGAAAGGGGTACGTATCCGAGTCGTTAACGGTTACCACCATGCAAGGTGACACTGACGTCTGCAGTCCAATACCCTCGTCGACGAGAGCGGGCGCGTGGTGCTATCAGATTTCGGACTCTCCAAAGTCATGGAACAGGTCCTCGGGCCAACAGGGTTCACGACTTCGACGTGCGCAGGAGGGACAGTCCGGTGGCTGGCCCCCGAGCTACTGTTCGATCCTAGGATGGAGGTGGACCCGTATGACGATGAAGACATTGAAGCCGTCGAGACGCCTACTATGGCATCGGATATTTGGTCTCTTGGATGTGTTGCGTACGAGGTGAGGGCTAGTCGTGCCTCGAGGCGAGAATAGGGCTGACAGGATACCAGTTGGCCACAGGAAAGTACCCGTATGCGGACGAGAGGTACGACTACAACGTGATGCAGGCGATTATGAACAAGAACCGGACCCCAGCTGACGTGAAGGAAGAATGGACGGGAGAGTCTAGGAGGGTCTATAGGATGCTAAGCAGGTGTTGGGTGCGGGAGCCAAGTAATCGAGGTAATATCAGGGAGATTGTTAATTTATTACGAGATCATTAGTTATCGCGTCAAATAAAAGTCGCGTGGGTTTTGATGATGATGATGTCTGACATATTTGTTGGCCCACACCGAATTTTGAAGGGTCTAGCCGGGTTACTCTCTGACCTCTCACTTCGCTTCCCTTTTCCTCACTTTTGCTACGTAGCAACAAAAAAACAATGTACGTCTCCCGCGAAATCGTCAACATCCAGGTCAGTTTTCTGTGTTGCACTAACCCGTTGAATGTGTATCTGATTGCAAAGACGCGCAGGCTGGTCAAGCTGGTAACCAGGTTACTATATTTTCCCTCCGTTTCTGGCTCGACAAAGATCTGATTCCGATGCTCGTGACCTACAGGCTGGAGAGACCTTTTGGGAGATGCTCTTGGCCGAGCATGGCCTCGACAGCGAAGGCGTACGTTTCGTTATCGCCCAACACAAACCGATGACTCACAGCCCTTTTCCGCTAGTTCTACAAAGGAAACGACGAGGTTTCACACCTCCAGCGAGTACGTATTGGGTCAAGGCCGCGATGGGTCTACCTCCAACTCATAAAGGGCGTTTAGGCCGGTGTATATTTCGACCAAGTCGACCATGCTGGTCCCACAAAATACGTTCCACGTAGCGTTCAGGTCGACCTCGAGGCCGGTGTTTGCAACAAGGTTCGTCCGTGCACGCGATCGCCTCTCCCGCTAACACCCGCCTCTTACTCGCTTATAGATCCAGAGTGGGCCCCTAGGCGCGTTGTTCCGACCAGACACGTTCGTCACAGCTGAATCCGGAGCGGGCAACAACTGGGCAAAGGGCTGTACGTGTCATCGTCCCTCCTTCCCATTCCGTCATCACTGACCCTTCGAACAGACTACACAGAAGGTATACTATCCGTCGCGTTTTAAAGGATCGGATTATGAACACGTTTGTCCAGGTGCCGAGCTCGTCGATTCCATCCTCGACATCGTCCGCAAGCAATCCGAGAGCTGCGATGCCTTGCAAGGCTTCCAGGTCGTCCAGTCCCTCGGTGGTGGTACCGGTTCCGGTTTGGGATCTCTGCTCTTGTCCAAGCTGCGCGAGGTGCGTTTCCGCGTTATCGGATATCGTTCCGCGTCCCTAATCCTTGTCGCAGGAATACCCCGACAGAATAGTATCCACCTATTCCATCTTCCCATCGCCCAAGGTGTCAGAAACAGTCGTCGAGGTGCGTCGCTGAAAGTCGCGGAACGCGTTGAGCCACTCTGATCCCTCTCCAGCCATACAACTCGCTCTTGTCAATCCATCAACTCGTCGATAACGCCGATCTCACTTTCTGCATTGATAACGAGGCCCTGTTCGTACCCTCATCCGTTGACTGTTACAATCGCTGACCAACGCGTGTAGATACGAGGTCTGCCAGAGAACCATGAAGGTGTCCAACCCAGAGTTCACCCACCTCAACCAAGTCATCGCGCGGGTCATGTGCGGCGTGAGCACCAGCTTGCGTTTCCCTGGCCAACTCAATGGAGACCTCCGCAAGCTTGGCATGAACTTGATCCCCTTCCCCCGCGTGCGTATTTGGATCTTGGTCAATTCAAAACTTGTGCGCTAACCTATGGCCATCTCTAACCCCGCTCTCCAGTTGCACTTCTTGATGCCCAGCTATGCGCCCATGTACAACCCTACTGATGCGGCCTATCAGAGCAATTCTGTCCCTGAGATCACTAAAGCGTATGGTCCCTTTCTTTGAATTGCTTGTCAGATTCTGTCCCGGCGGTATTGTTCTAACAATGATTGTGTTTTAGGCTTTTCGACCGCAAGAACTTGCTTGTCGCGTGTGACCCCCGATTTGGGTAAGAGCTTACCTTTTCCACCGTATCCGCTCCACACTCTAACACGGGGCTGCTACCAGTCGTTATTTGACTGCTGCCACCATTTTCCGTGGTAACATTCCTTCTCGAGAAGTACGTTTCGATTCTTTATTACAAGTGTGTAAGAACATGATGACATTCGTTGACCTTTGCAGGCTGAAGTATGTCTCGTTGTGTGGCATACCCCTATACCGAATGAATTTCTCAACCGGCCTCCCTCTTAGTATGCTGTGCGCGACCTCCAAGTCAAGAACTCGCAGCATTTCGTAGAGTGCGTTGAGCTATTGTTTTGATTTTGATGTTGTGTGCTGACCCTTTCTTGAGGTGGATTCCCGATAACGTGTCGGTGTCGCTGGTCAAGGTTCCACCTGTTGGCCAGAAGCATGTGTGTATTGTTTTATCCATGCTGTTGCACGATGATTAACATATTCTCTAGGCTGCTACCTGCTTGAGCAACTCGACCGCCATTCAGGAAGTTTTCAAGCGCAACTTGGATGCTGTATGTCCAAACCTCTCTCTTTCCACTGCATCCACTAAGCCATCTCGCCCCTGCTTTGTTATAGTTCGCTGCCATGTACAAGCGTCGTGCGTTCTTGCACTGGTATGTTGTCGTTTCATTGGAATGTGATGGGATAGTGCTGACGTTGGTTTCAGGTACACTGGAGAAGGAATGGACCCTATGGAGTTCTCCGAGGCTGAGAGCAACGTGCAAGATTTGATGTACGTTCCCCTTTCTCCCGTCTCATTTCACCGCCGGCCATACGAATATCATACTGATTCGATGCTTTCTTTGCTTACAGTGCTGAATACCAGCAATACCAAGAAGCCAGCGCCGACGACGAAGAAGAGTACGAAGGAGAATACGAAGAGCAAGCTGAAGAAGAACAATAACAATAGCCAGTGGTTAACCGACTTTTTTTTATCGTTTTGGTTATCCTTGCTTGCTTTCATTCGCGTTCATGTTCATGTTCATCGCCTCCATTCCTCGTTCGTTCTTGCAATTTACTTCGTTCTCCTTGTCTCTGGAATATCGGAACAACACTCTTCCCTCTCACACTCTCTCCCCCACAATTATCGATCATCATCCTTGGATTTGGTTATATAAACTAAAGTAATGATTTTGCCTAATTGACTCTGTGACTTGTTTTCTTCTAATTTGCTTTTTGTCCCGCTCGAAACTTGTTGTTTGTGCTTTTTTTTGCTGGAATCTGGACGGTCAATAGATGGATTGTTCGATTCTTTTCGCAGACATGATCATTGTTGTGTGTGTGTGTGTGTGTGGCTCAGTTGTTGTTACTGATCCTCGGGCTGGGGGCGTTGGTCGATGATCCTTTCTGGAGCAGGGACGAGGATGTCAGGTAAGCGCTCACCCTTCGAGTCAATGTTAAGCTCCATGGTGATATCGTCCAGGTAGGTTCGCGCGTGTCTTCCAACTGAGACTAATAGGCAGCGTGTCCTCGTCTTTGTCATGGCAGGCTGAGGCCCGACGCGGTGCGTGTGTGATAACCCAAGAGTACTGTGTTCATTTCGGCATAGTTGGGTGCTTCGTGTTGGCCGTTCGTCTGTGGGGCTTGCTTGTCACATCACCTGAGAAGGCTATCATCCTATCGATTTATCGATAGGAGAGTTAGCTGTATTTAAGGGGTGTGGGATGTGGAGGCATGTGCATCGATAAAGACCCTTCGAGTTCTGTGCTCTTTGCAGCGTCCCGCTTGCGTACTCGCTAACCAGCTAGTAACCGCCCAGAGGAATTGAGAACGGCTGCTGAAATAAGACCACCGAGGACGACTTTTGCTGGAGGCAGGACACCCAGATCCGAGGACGACAACGTGCGCTGAAGTAGGAAACCCAGAACCGACAACTCTGACAGCAGCTGAAGCAGTACCGCCTAGTAGGAACCCCCGACGAGGATGACAGACCCAGAATCGACACCAGCACCGCTCCCAGAACGGTTTTCAGACTTGAAGAAAGCTATCGCTGCCTCCTACGGGCCTGATTTCGAGAAGGCGAGGAAGGCGTGGGGGGAGATTGTGGAGGAGCTTGGGAGGTTTGTGCAGGTTGTCGAGAGGGAGGGATCGGATGTTAGTCTTGTTTCTGTTGTTCTTTCGGTTAGGTGGTCGGGGAGGGGGGAGGGGTTGGGTTGGGTTATCTGCTCGACGGGCTGCGGTGGCCTCCTCTGGGACGCTGCAGCGGCGTATATCGCTCATCGCATCGATATGGCAGAGTTACCCCGTCCCAGTTTCTTCTCCCTCTTCTCCCTCTTCTACTTCTTGAACGCCACTGACATCACCCGCTCTATGTAGTACATCCCTCGTGTCAAGTTCCAAGAGCTTGACTCGCTGAGCGAGGAGGAGATTACCAGGATTAGAAGAGTAGGAACAGTCGTGATTCAAGATATCGTCGACGATAATGAGGCCATTGCGTGGAGGGAATCGTTGAAGGCGTTCGTCAAGGATAACCCGGATGTCGAGGGTGAGTTGTCGGTGTTTTCTATGTTTCTTCTCGACAGACGTGCTTCTATTTTCATGTTACTTTTCAATTGCCGCATAACTTACATACATAACACAACATGCTACTGCTACTGCACCCTTGCACCATACCTTGGATCGAAGTTCCGAGGGTCATCTTCTTCGGCTTGCTTCGCCTCTTCGTGGCTTCCGGGTCGTGCGCCCCGCACGGCTTCTTACTATCAATCCCCTCTTTTTCTGATTCAATTTCGAGGCGTGTGCTTACAATCCATCCTTTTTGTATAGGGTCCCCGGAGGAGGATAAGCAGTTCTTCCAGCTCTAGTATGTCCGATTCTTTGGGTGCTTCTTCTAAGGCACCGAGATGCTAAATTACCGCTCACACCCCTCCTCCTCTTCCACCTTTCCCGTCGGCACATAGTTGGACAAGGGCACAGGTGCAGGCGAGGTCGCATCCTAATGTCCTCGCTGCTACCGTCTGGCTCAACAAGTTGTACCATGTTAAAGATGAGAAGCTGATGGAGGCTGAGGGTGTTGACCTCTCCACGCCCTTGACCTATGCCGATCGGTTTAGAATTCGACATCCCAACAACCTCTGGCCGGGGTTTCCTCCTCATGTCGATGGTGAGTCCGTCCCGTTCGTGCTTCTTCATCTATCCATCTCTACATCTATCAGAACCCGGCATGTTCTAATAATACTATTACCGTACAAAAAAACAGGAGGCGCGATTGAGAGATGGGAAGATCCCAGCTTCAGAAAGTGCTTTGCGGATATCTTGAGCGGAGACTGGAGGAAGCACGACCCTTACGACCTCGCGGGGCGATTGAACGCCAGAAGCTCACTGTACGGCCGGCCGAACCAATCGAGCGTGTTCAGGACCTTCCAAGGATGGTTGGCGATGAGGTGAGCATTCTGCCCTCCTCCTATCTCTTGACAAGGCAACGCAATACAATAGCGAAAACGTGTCGCACCCCTCGGTTGTCGGGTCCTGGTTCATCTTTGAACCAGAGACAACGCGATGCATCATTACGGGTGGCCAAAAGGATATAGATGTTTTCCATTTATGTTCATTCTGTGGGCGTGGCGCTTATATATACTTTTACTCATCGGTATTCCAGCGAAACAGCGCCGACTGAGGGGACCTTGAAGGTCTTCCCTGATGTCCATCTATCGAACGCGTATATCATCTTAAGGCCGTTCTTTCGCCCACTGGTTTCGCCGAATTCTCCGGATATCCGGCACCCTAAAAATTGGGAACTGGGTATGTTCTTTCATTCTTTCATTCATTGAATATTCGTGTTCTTTTGGATTGTTTCGTTCTGGCGGAACATACGAATATTCCTGTGGACCGGATCTAGGAAACGTACCTGGCCGACCATTGCCTTGCTGGGAGCGCACGTTTACTCGCGTACTTACTTGGGTTTTGTTAATGCAGACCTGGACAGCAGCGGGTTTGCGGGCATCTTCCCGAGGGACGGTGGGTACGCCGGTCCTCGACCGACGACCGCCTTGCACCCTCATCTCGAGCTTGAAAAGACAATGACGTCGGTCCCGAAAGTCTACCCTGGTGACGCGGTGTTCTGGCATTGTGATGTGGTGCATTCGGTCGAGGAGGAGCATACAGGCAGCGAGGACTCTGCAGGTCAGTACTGTGTACCAATGTACAGGTGGATACTAGCAACAGGTGGATCCCCGGTGTCCACCCAAGTCCCCTTCACCTCCAAGTCAGAGTTGGACATGTGAACTAACCAAAGCTCCACTCGCAGTGATGTACATACCCGCCGTTCCTTTGACCAAGATGAATTCGGAGTACGTGCAGAGGCAGAAAGAGCGATTCTTGGCGCACGAACGCCCACCGGACTTCCCAAAAGGAAGAGCAGAAAAGGACTTTGTTGGGGTGGCAGGCTTGGCTGACATCTTATCGGAGCGCGGTAAGATAGCGATGGGAATAAATTAGGTCGCATCGAGACGCGGTGACTAAATATGTTTGCTGGACCAACGTCATGTATCTTTCTCTGTGTGTAAAAAGACATTTCAAGTGCGAAGATCGCGATAGGATATGTACAGCGGTAGCGTAGCTAGAAATAAGAGTGGAGAGGCCCTAAAATGCAAATGGTTAGTCAGTTAAAGTTGGCGAAAAAAAGTCGCGAGGCCATGAGAGGATCAGAGAACCGATTTTCGACTCGAGTATCCCAGAGGAATACATTCGGACGGCACTTCCTAAAGCTTTCGGTTGATAATCTTCATATCGCATGGCACAGGCGATCTGAATGAAATAAAAAAGAGAAACTTACAGGCTCCCAGGACAACGAAAAATGGAGGAACATAGACGACGAGAGCAAACCTTGCCAGATGGAAAAAAGCGCGGAAATACTCCGAGGATATATTCAAGCTCCGCTTGAAACCCACGTGCGCCCGTGTTTTGATGGGATCGATCAATGAAATTGGGGCACCAGTGACCGCCGCCGGGATGGCAAGTGCTTGGTTTCTGTGGTTTCTGGACAACCGCACCACAACCGCAGAGCGCGGATGTCGCTGGACACGACTTTCGGGGCATTGATTGCGTATTGGTCCATACGGTGGCAAGATACGATGGAGACTGAGGGAAAATATCAGCTTTCCACAGCTGTATCGTAATCGGTTTGCGTTGATTCGCATTTGGATATCCCCAGCCACTCAGTTGCTGCAGATTTCATGACGATAGCCTTGACCTGCAACCGCATGGCTGCTTCTCTCATTTGGAGGTATCAAAGGTAGATGTCCTCGGGTCCTTTTCTGACATTTACGGTCGCGTTTTCTTACCGTTTTTCCTCTCCTTTCCCCCTGCTTCCCCAGATTATCGTGGAGCTCATGTGGTCCAAATGCGGGGTTGCGCACGGAATGGTTTGCGCACTATTTGGATGCAGGAAAAGCTCCTGTTTTCGGCTCTGTTTTTGTTGGAGTTGCACCTAGTTGCACTGCTGACGACACCATCGTGGTACGAGGATCGGCAAGAACCGTAACGCCCTTTGGAATGAATAGAAAGGTTCAAATGCCCACAGCTTTCAGGACCATTGGTTGCGACTGATACGCCACTTGCTTCAAGTTCATTCCGTTCTAGCGTAAGTCACCGACCATTTGATACGTTCTGGAACTGGTCTGGGGTAAACTAGAGTCTAATCTGCCTCTCGTTTCGCGTCCTTTGACCTTCATTTACAGTAGCCGTACGACCCAACTTGGTATCTATCATCGCGGTTTAGGGAATGCGGGGTACGATCGGGAGGTGGCCCTTGGCAAAGTGGGGTATTGTCCCCGTTCCGTTCATCGCTCGCCTCGGCTCTGGGCATTCTGGTCATCCCCTCCTTGCTCTCAACGTGGAATCAATTGATCGGCGTTTCACTCATCCGGACAGCAAGGTTTACCTTGAAAGCGAATATGTGAGTATTTCCTTGGTATATCCACTTTATTTCGTCATAAATACTTACGATGTTATCTACCAGATTCGTCAGAATACATGTCGTTGACTTCTTTCCTGAGAGCTTGGACTTTCAAGACAATTGTCATTGCTTATTAGCCACGCATTCGAGGCGGATAGATGACAATCACCCCTATCTGACAGCTGTTCAAAGTAGAAGCGGGCTTTCCCTATTGATCATGGGAAATCCCACGTTTTTACGGCCGACTGACCTAGGTAAGTAGCCACAGATAACACCCGCTACCTCCAAGCTACTCCAGAGTTTGACGCTTGCCATTTACATGTCTTGGAGGCCATCAAAGAGGCCTACAGGTCGGTGGCTCCTTGAAACATGAGCGATCGACTGTGTATTGCTTCCCTTGCCAAGGGCCCCGAATCTGAGAAATTGCATCCCCGTATCTACGGTGGAGTGGACTTCCTAAGATATCATAGAAGTTCGGTCGCAACGTGGTGGATAGTCACCAGGTTCCGGCCAAGTGCTTCTTTACCCATTTGGAATGCACGACTCTGCCACAACCAGTTCCCTTTAAGAGCTCGCAAATCTGGAGGAAGTGTTCGTAGGACCCTCCCAAATGCCGTCTGACAATTCCACCGCCCACGACAACTCTCGCTCCGAGTCCGTCCTCGAGAAGAACGAGGTCGCGGTCCACAATGAGAAGGCAGACGGCTCTCGGGACGCCCTCGACGTCGAAGCCTCCACCTTCGACTCCCAACGAACCGGTCGGCTTCTTCGCAAGATGGATTGGAACATCGTGCCCTTCCTCTCCCTTCTGTACCTGTGAGTATCCTATATGATACCTTCTCCACTTCCTGGATTGTCCCTAACAATGTTTCCTTTCTAGATTGTCTTTCCTCGACCGAACCAACATTGGAAATGCACGTCTGGTCGGTCTAGAGAAGGACCTTGGGATGTCGGGCCTCGACTACAACGTGGGTGGAGTATGCTTAAGCTCTCACTGTCCTATGTGTTGACGACCACCTGTAGATCGCGTTGGCCATCTTCTTCCCCTTCTATGTCGCGGCCGAAATCCCAAGTAACATCATGATGAAGCGCACAAGCCCATCGCTTTGGTTGTGCATTATCATGTTGGGTTGGGGTCTTTGTGCGTAACGTTCCTCTCGTATGGATGAGCCTTCCTGACCTTCAATTGTAGGCATGACACTCATGGGTATCGTGAAGGACTTCGCCGGCCTTCTCGTCACTCGCGCATTCCTCGGTGTGTGCGAAGGTGGTCTCTTCCCTGGTGTAACTTGGTACATCACTCTTTGGTACCGTCGCCACGAATGCGGTCTCCGAATGGCCATTTTCTTCTCGGCTGCTACCCTCGCTGGTGCCTTCGGTGGTCTTTTGGCCCGTGGTATCGCTGAGATGAACGGTATTGGTGGACGACCTGGTTGGGCTTGGATCTTCATTCTTGAAGGTATTCTCACCATCATCGTTGCCTTCTTCGCGAAGTGGATCATCAACGATAGCCCCGAAACGTTCGTACTCGGCTCCATAATTCATGTCCCACTTGACTGACATACCGCATCAGCGCCAAATTCTTGACCGAGGAAGAGCGAAAGGAAGTCCTCGTCCGACTCAAGCTCGACCGAACCTCGCTTGCCGACGAATACGACCACAAGTATGTTTGGAAAGCATTGAAGGACTGGAAGATTTGGGTTCACATGGTGATCACCATCGGTAAGCGCCCACTCGTAACCGCACCCGATGTTTTGATCGCTAACACCACCGGCCACAGGTATCTATACTCCCTTGTACTCCATCTCGCTCTTCCTCCCCACCATCATTCGCAACATGGGTTACACCGACACCGACTCCCAGCTGATCTCCGTGCCGCCCTATGTCGTTGGATGCCTTGCCACCATCGCTGGAGGCTACTACGCCGATCGTACTAAGACTCGCGGACCTTTCATGATTGGCTTCAACATTGTTGCTATCATTGGCTTCGTCATGTTGATCGCCACCCAGAAACCCGCCGTTCAGTATCTTGGCACTTTCTTCGCTGTCTCTGGGTACGTCTCTCGACTCCGTTGCCGGGGGAGGACATCTATTAACTCTGACTCGCTCGGGCCGCCAGAATCTACCCTAACGTTCCCATGGGTGTTGCATGGAACGGGAATAACATCGGTGGCGCCACCAAGCGGGCCGTTGGAATTGCCATGCACGTCGGTAAGCCCCACTTTTGACCATGACTATTATAATTGCACCGAAATTTACCCTGCTCTTTAGGCTTCGGAAACCTGGGTGGTGTCATTTCTGGGTTCGCGTACCGCGCCGACGATGCACCCCGGTACTTCTCTGGTCACGGTCTTCTTATCGCCACTGTCTCAATGAGCACAGTCCTCTGTATCATCATGCACATCTACCTCCGCCGAGAGAACGCGCGACGTGACCGGGAGATGGCTGCCAAGGGCCTCACTCTCGACACCTACACCGAGGAAATGCGGGTGGCCGAGCGAGAACGTGGTGACTATGCTACCGTAAGTAACTCTCACAAACTCTCCATCCAGAAGTCCAACTTACATGGCCATTTTCTTCAGTTCTTCCGCTACACCCTCTAAGAAAATCCTCGCACAAGGGTCTTGGCTTCGGATAGAAGGCTGGGCTTTTGTCACGTCTTCATTAATTGTAGCTAGATTCATGGGTTTCAGAGCTATCCTGAGGGAATTCGTATATTTAAGTCCCTCGCTACACGAAGTAATGAACATCCTCTTAATAGCATCATGTATTACTCGTTGTACTATTAGGTTTCTTTTCATGTATTTCTATCCCTTTAAATTGGGCGCCTAGTCGCGTTTTCTTGTCCATCATCGCCAAGCACAATGTGGTCCTCCACATCCGGCGGAAACCAAGTTGCCTCTCGAGGGGATGCCATGCCATGCGACCCAAGCGCGAACAGTAAATCCGTCTTATCACCTCAGTATATTGAAACGGCCCTTTAAGTTAACCACTCACTCAGGTGCCCGCCGTGCGCATGATTCCATTAGCCAGTTGGGCAAGTCTAGGCTGAGTTCTTTGGTGACCCCATCCCAATGAAAAGTCCACTCAAACGACATGTAATTCAAAGGGGTAGAGACTCAAATATCTACAACGGCACGTTTCAGAACACTGGGTATATACGGGGTGAATCGAACTTGCAAACTATAGATTCTAGAGGTAGCGAGCGCATTTCAAATGCACGAACATGGCAATATAACAAAAAAGGGTTCCACCGATGTATCGTTGAATCAAAGGGAACAAAAAAAGATAGGGCAACAATTGTCACAGCGAATAAAAAGAAAGAGAACAAAGCAGAAGGAAGTTACGAGGTATACTGGTGGTACAAAGTCGCTTGAAAGAAATTACTGTTCTTTTCTACCTGCTCTCCGAGTCAATCTACACTTGAGATGATGTCTCATAGATGATTGACGAGGGGCCCATTATGGTTGAACCTATGATGGCGATGGCGCCTCCTCTTCGTAAACTTTGTATTCGTCTTCACCGTTAAGTTCGAATCATCGCTAGCCTTGAGTTCATCATCGGTACCTTCAAGTACCGAAGGCGACTCGGCGTGGTCGGGAGTTTCTTGCTCTCGAGCATGGACGGAGCTCGAGTCTGAATGAGGTCTGACAGGGGGTCGAGTTGGACGAACAGCAGGAGGATGAACGACTTTGACCGTGGATGCCGGTGGAATGCTGGACGTGGCGGCGGCGTGACTGGAGGTCTGTGGTGAAAGCGATGGATGGGTAGAAGCTATGGAGCTCGAAGAGGAGATGGTCGTTTCCGGTTCCTTCGCTTCAGGAGAGCCAATGACTGAGCCAACAGCATTGGGCTGGTCTCCCGTGTACGCAAAGATGGGTGCGATAAGGGCAGGCTTTACGAGTTCTGATAAGATAGGGGCAGGTTTGCCTTCGCCAACGACGGGGTTATTGCCTGGAAGCCTAGGAAGAGTTCCCGTTGCTGGACAGGAAAACGTCAGGCAAGATCAGGTCCGCGAGGTACTACCCTACTCACTCGCTTCATCGATGGCCTTGGTGATTCGGCATTTCTTTCCCTTAGTCAAGGTGAAGATACCTTGATTGGCGCAGCAAGTAGGCTAGATGAAGGAGCGCGGATAAGGTTGTCGTCGCGGTTTTGGACCAGGGATTACTTACATCGCCGTATGGGTTGCAGTGGCAATTGTCGACGGCGTTTTGAAGCACACCCGGTTCCCAGCCGTTAACGAAGTCTGTTGGCAATAAGCCATTAGACGGACACACGAGATCGATGAAGCAATAGATCGCACCGGCATGGTTGCCATACCCAGTAGAGTCTCCATGAGAGAAGCTGATTCCAAAGCATGAGACCTAGAAGTCACATTGAAACCAGCCACAGAAGACGTACACGAATGGTTGAGAAGGATTCATTGCCTGATTGCGCAGGCCATCGAAGGAGTGAGAATCCCAATAGACCTATGACACCTATGAGTGGCAGTTCGCATCGCGCGAGAAGACCAACACACCTCAATGAAGATCCGGGGAAGGGTTATCGGGAATCTTTTGTCGCTGCAAGTACCACTATCTGGTCCCCCTGAAAGGAATGCGACGTGTGATTTGTGGTCTGGCGAATCCGTATTCTATGGGTTATCGTCAGCGCGGGAGTGGAAGCAGTCAGTTCTTACTGAATCCACCTTTCCATCCCAGCAACTGGGGAAGTTCTGAAGGGTCTGTCAGCCTGACATTGAGCGTCAAAGGGAAATAGGTCATACAATTTGGGATCGAATACCGGACGGACACGATTTCTTAGGGATGCCGGTGTGTCTTGTCGTTACCCCGTTGAAATCGAGACAGAGGTAGGATATCGCCTGTTGGGCGTAACTTTTGTGGTCGTAGCTTCGTAGCGTCATATCCCCTGGAGCAGCGGTTAGACCTACTGGTAGCGTCTTTCATTTGTGAACTAACGTACCAGAAATCATTCGGAACTTGGAATCCAGATGAGATCAATGAAGGGATTGTCCGACATTGCAAAGGACTCACATCATCGGGGAAGGCAGTCGTCGTTCCGGGCTTGTCGCTGAAAAGATAATCTAAGGATAAATTCAGATGGACGTCCGCCACGGCTTTGAGGTCAACATACAGCTGGAGCCAAAGTGTGATGTCAGTGTCCGCCTCATCCGCGCGGTAGGAAACGAACTCACATAACGGCCCCGCCGTTCACGCTGGTGAAGCTCCCATTTCTCCATCTATGACGCAGGTTAACAGATGCCAGAGAGGTGCTGCTAGCATCGATACGCACTGGAAATACAGATGCTAAGGGAGCTCGTCAGATAGAGACGCGTCACTGTGTATATAGCACCTACAGGAAACCAATAATTGGATTTGTCCTGGACGATGGGGACTGAGGTACACGAACTCCGCCGCAGGCCTTCCGTCGTGACATCCGACATGCGGAAGTTACTACCGCCAACGACTGAAGAACGTGTCAAAATGGAGAATGGGCAGCACATTTTCATCGCATACCAGAGTGAACATGGTTCGAGATTCTTCCAGGGGAGACGATTGGGTCAATTCGTTCTGTCGTAATAAAGTTTTCTAGGAGAAACAGTAAGCAGACAGCACCAGAAGCACAGTCAACAGTGCTCACCTATGCCCATGAGCCAGTACGCGTTGGAAGAGGCGACTAGCCCAAGGAGTATGACAGGCGCAGCGATCATGGTCCTCGAGATTGTTGTTGACGTTGAAGAGGGTTTGATGGGTTGAAAGCAAAGGAGTGACAGGCCCAGCTGAACTCTGGCTCTGGTGGAAAAAAGAGGCACTGTAAGGACCGTTATATAGGGAAGGGAGGAGATGAATTAGGAAGGTGGAAGGAGAGAAGCAAGGCCTCGAAAGCTTGTCGTTTGGCACAAACTTCCTGGCGAGCTGATACGGTTTGCCCCTGTTTGGCGGTGAACGTCTACCTCTCCGTTCCAGAGTCCTAGTCAACCTTCGTTCCCGCTCCCCACCGCAAAGGAGACAGAAAAAATTAGACAGGCTCGCCTTGAGAGATTTTCCCAAGTTCTTAGTTTGATCTCCACCTAGAGGAGTTACGCGTTGGAGTATGGAATATGGAAGGGTGCATTGAACGTTGCAGCGTTGATTAACTAAGCGTTCTTCCCACTCTTCGATACAGCTCTGAAAGCGTTAGCGACGTGCTGGGATAAAAAGAAACCGCTAACTGTTTCCAAGAAAGTTTTGCTTACCAGGCACCACAGGTATCCTGGAGCCGAGGAAGCTCGGAAGAAGAATTGAGCTTGAGGACAGTCCCTAGCCAGAGACAAGTTTTAGAGCTGAAAGTGGGCACCGGAACACGGTCTTGAAACAGCCCACGGGAAGGAGAGCAAGCGCGCGAGAAGATGTTGGCTGGAATCCACATGCCCGAAGGAGCCAGGCGAGAAGAGGCGGCACGGGCACGCGCGAGGCTCAGATCGCAAGGGTCCTCCACAGCCGCGCCAACACTCTACTCGCTGAGGGCAATCTTCCAGATAAGGAGAGCGATTCCTAGCACCAAGTCACGTCCCAATGGCGTTACATCGAGGAGACTTTTGATCAGGATATTGATGCAGCTCGACAGCCATAAACGATCGAAGCGTTGGGTGCTCCTTGCCGATTTCATTCAATCTGGGAAGGGCACTGAGATTCAGAAGTCGAAGGGGGATGCTACATGCTTAGCTGGATCACAAGACCAGTTACCAGGAACTGCTTCGAGCTCCTGCAAGCATCTGTGCCCTTTACAATCCAGCTAAACGATGAACACGATCAGCGATGTCATAACCCCAATTTCCACTGATCGCCTCTATAGCCACTTGAAAGTCCATTGGGGATGGCAGAACAGAAAGCGGTCACTGATGCTCGTTTCGTCATCCTTTTTCCGGTTAGACCGCTCACCATGAGAGAGATCGAGCTTCTATGAGTAGATTCTCCGGTTCCAATGAGTTGCATACTGCTACAGATTACTTGGTTCTGGGGATAACGACTCCCAAGACAGAAGGCGGGTCCTCGTTGGAAGCACAAGGTCAGTATGAGCGCAGGGGAGAGTTTCAAGGATATGCAACCCACTTGAAACGTGACATCGCTCTTCACATTCAAGCTATGTCTCGCGTTAAGTGCAATCAAGCATTGCCCTCGATCCGTACATGTCGCTCGAGGGCGACTTGACCCGTTCTACGACATGCTCTTGCTCTGACTTTGCGCGAGCAAGCAAGGAGTCACAAACGCGGTGTCATCGAACGAAAGTATATCGGACGAAGAACCCATGACCTGCTTCGAGATAACAGACCTGGAAGTCGGGAGCGAGGGCCTGATAAGCGAGCATGGCAATACGAGAACGAGTGGAAACCTCACCTGCTGGTCTAGTAGCACCATGCGCAGAGTCGCCTCTCCAAGGGACTTCGCAGAGCTCGGAACCACAACCTATAATCCCAACCATCCTTTCAGCAGTGGAGAAATGAATGATTTCCGCTGTAAGAACAACTCTTGCGCCACTTCGATTTACCTAGAGCTATGAGCTAGAGCCTCGTGTTATTAGGCATAGGAATAGGACCAGTTGTGTTCGGTCCTAAGGCATATGCTGTCGTTTCGAACACATACTTCAAGCACCGAGGAGCAGGTGTTCCATGTTCTGCGCCGCCGCCTCACCATGTAGCAACGTTCAGACAGGGGATCCTTGAGTCTATGCCCTTATCTCTTCAGCGAGGCTGATCAGGCTCATAGGAGATAATCATCAAGGAGCCGAAGTGTTGACCCGTCCTAGTCGTCGCGGGTCAATTTCCAATAGCCCAGGTCTCGCGCATAGACAGACATACCAGATGGATATCACTCCGAGGATATACGCACAAGCTTTGGAAGCCAATGCAGGCATGCACCGAGGAAATTGACAGTGGACAGCGAGACCTTCCGGACAGAAGAGCCTGAGATTGAATGAAGGGGTTTCGTCTCTCTGGAATGCTAGTCGTAGGTTTCGAATATACCGAGGTCGTCGGGGAATGGTCTTCGACGAATAACAAAACGATAGTGACCGTATTACTTATGAAATGCCGGATATCCTCGTGTTCGCCTTCTCCAAGAAAGCGTAAGCTCCGAGAGTAATGCGTTTCCTGGGCGTCCGGCGCATCTTCATCAGAGTAGGGCGTAAAGTATCTGGTATAAGCGTCCGTGTTCGACGCATGAAGCAGGGCATTTGACGATTAACGAGGCAGAGAACATCGTTGTCCAATTTCAAGAAGCAGAAATCATCGGACTTTGGAATTCGGAGATTTCGACAAAAGCCACGTGGTCGCTACAAACAACACGCCAACAACGCGCCAATTTATTCCCCCTCACCCCCAATTATCTTGGGTAGAGAAACTGAGAAACCTAATTCAGAGGTAAGCAAATAACGTTTGGTAGGCTAAGAGTAAATCTCGTTCTCGCATTGCCATAGAGAAGAGAATCCTCCCATGCCTAACAGATCTGCATGTCAACGGTGATATATTATGTACATTGTGACAGGGTTGCATTTGCAGTGACAGGTCACTAAGCGCAAGAGCGCTAGATACGATCCACTTGGGATTCGCTGAGTTGGGTGTGCTGTGCGCTGAAGCCCCGCAGGGTAGCAGCATACAGCGGCCCCTTGACATCCGTCCTACCACCCTCTGTTGGTCCGCATCTCGTCCCCGAGCGTACGTGCCTATCGTCACAATCCAACAACGTCATCCCATTACCAGTCCTGTGCCAGACCAAGATGATCCGCCCACAGTGATAAGCGTCCCAACTACCCCATCCACCGTCCACAACCATAGGTACAAGATCCTTCCTCCCAACAGCCCTTCCCCAATCTCAAAGCCTAGAACTTAACCGTCCTGGATCTCTTGCTATTCAACACCATCCTAGCCGGTATAGGCTGCGGCTTTCCCAATTCAAAATCGCGTAGCCAGGGATGTTTAAGCAGCTGCGCAGCAGACGGTCGATCCCGCGGATCCAGCGTGAGGCAACGAGTGATAAACGCTAGCGCCAGATCCCGCTCCTTGTTGGTGTCGTCGAGGTTTATGGGTGCCTCTTTGTGTCTTGCAAGGGCTTCGCTTAGGGTTTTAGGGTACATCATTCGCTCGGGGATGTTCTTTAGGGAACCTGTCAAGGGATGTCAGAAGAGGAGGGGTTGCCGCAGGGCCGTTGTCAAAGATTTGCGCACCGTCTTCCTTGAGGTGGTATAGCGCATACCGAGAATTTTGACTGAAGTATGACGGGAAGTGGGTCAGTGACAGCAGCTCGAGTTGATTTGCGAGCAGATCGTCCTCTGGCCGCCAATGAGGACCTCCTTGGGCTCTGAACAGAGTCCTTCCTGTGAGAAATTCGAATGTCTGCGCCACGCGTCAGCCCAGAGCCAATGGAAATGGTCTGCAGAACTTACCAAGCACCCCAAGGACCAGATGTCGATCTTCTCATTCCATTCGTGGCCCAAAACGACCTCTGGTGCGCGCAATCGTATTGGCTGGACAACTGTAGCACTTCGTTTCCCGATCCACTGAGCTACATAAAGCTATGAGCCATGGCGACGCGAGAGACAGAAGGCTGCATACCTGATCCAAAATCGGTCAGCTTGAATACCCAGGTCAATGGATTCCGTTGGTCAAAGCCTGGCAAGGGAAGAGGCTGGGACCGCATCGCCCTGATGGTCTCCCCTAGTACCCTTCGTGGAGGGTAGCGCTCCACTGGCCTGTGCTTCAGGGTCATGTCGATGAGTTCCTGGGTGTCTTTCGGACTGAAAGTAACGAGGATGTTCGAAGGTTTGAGATCTGTGAACGCTGGTTTCAGTCGCCCATCGTGATCAATGGTGCTTGCACAAACCTGTATGCACAACCCTACACTCTTCGTGTAGGTAATCCAGGGCCTTGCACATTTGCTTAACGATCGTCTTCACGAACGCAGTCGGCATCGAATAATTCGTCCCAATCAACGGTCGCATGTCCTCCACGCTCATCCCACCCAACTCCATAACAAGACACAGATGCTTCCCGGTTTCTCGTTCGATATGAAAGGACTCCAGAAGCTTCATGCAATACTTCGCACCGGGAGCGACGTCGGATGCCGACACCCTCGCCAGAATCTCGCGTTCGAAAAAACGCGGACGCCTGGGGTCGTCCACTTCTCCGGCTTCTAGCAAGGTTCCGTAGTGGTTTAGAATCTTCAGAGCGTGGTAGGCGTCGTCTCTGTATCCGTCACCCGCAGTGATTAGAAGGCCGTTGGGTAGGAGAGACAATAACGAAGGAAAACGAACCGGCGGTCCTTGATTAGCCACGTCGTGGCGTACAAACCCCATCCCAGCTTCCGCACGACCTCGTACCGATCCTGAGCCCCAAATCGATCCCCAATCTCGACTCGAGCGTACGAGTACCCGTCTTGCAATCCCAATGTACACGGTTCTTCGTCGAACCCAATGGGTTTCACTCTTTGCGTAACAGAAGGGATGGTCGAGGTGAAGAACTCTGTCGGAGAGTTCACAGCCAGAGCCATGCTATGGCTCCTTCTCTTCGTCGTAGCATTTGCCAAAGCTTCTCGGTTGGACAGGGTACTCGTCGAAGGTTTTGCAGCAACATTATTGACGTTCACAGACGAAAGAAGTGGGGGAATGCGGTTCAACGAGGCTTTGGCAACCGCTGTCTGCACCGAGAGCATTCTCGATCGCTGTCGACTGGAAAACAGCAAGCTGGATGGTTATCGTCGCAGAATTAGTTGTCTCAGGGATTGTGGGTGCTCGTTGCACACCATAAACAGCATTTTAGCGCCTGGTAGCAGTTGGTGGTTGCGAATTGCAGCTGTGCCTGTCGTTTCGTGTGGGAGAAGGTCGAGCTTAGTCAATTGCTCCCGATGTCGTCAGCCTCGATGAGCTCAGCGATTCAGCGGACCGCGACGATGACCATGAAGACAGAAGCCGCCTCTGTACAACAGCGGAAGTTGAACATCGACGCTGATAAACGCGTCATTGAACACCTTTATCAACGCGTTTATCCTCATCCTCATCCCACAGGCGGTCACATCGGCAGCAGACTCGATAAGAAAGATGGTGACGCCCACACAGCAGGGCCTTGCCGGAACTATTACAGGCATATGGGCGTTGGATATCCCTCTTATTCAGTCGCTCTCTCCAACGCTGACCTGAGGAGAGGACGCAGTCGCCGTCGCCCATTATGAGCCGGCAGTGGGCCATCGTTCTACTCGCAGCGACCTTTGGGTTCGCACTGCAGGTCCCTCTCCAAGCGCCCATCGACCAGACACTCGCTTCTGAGTCTCGCAACGCCTCGAGATGGAGATTCGATGCTCCTCTTTCGTCCACGAACACCACGAGCAACCTCATCTTTGACGGCGTCAGCTCCCTTCTGCAGCAATGGGGTAACACTCGGTATCGTAATGGTAAGTAAGATCCTGCTCTATTTCTGAAGTGCAAGTGCTGATTCGTTCCACAGGCCACAACATTGTCCCAGTGACAATCCCAGTGGGCACGATCTTCTACCACGGTACTACACAAAAGGTGGTACCGACAACTCCAGAATGGGTCGCAACGGACCCGGAACACGCGTATCCGTTTTGTCAAGTCGCCGAAGGGGAGAAGGGATGCTGGAGTCTGACAGTAGCAGCTGCCCGACCGTTGAACATCCTCTACTTCGATGGCGCAAGCGCGGCGAAGCTTTACGGTCCTCTTGATACCCAAGATCTAATCGCGTTTGGGGAAGTGATTGATAACCCAGAAAGAGCATTCGAAGAGTACACCAGAATCGAGAGGCTTTGTTCGTGGGGGAAGAAATACAATCTAGATGGCTTCATGCGGATGGGAGTTGATTTGTGCGTCGTCACCATCTCTCCCTTAAACCAAGAGCTGACCAGATTCCTATAGCGAATTGATGATCTGCGACTTCCAAAGCAGCTTCGAAGTTGTGTCCTTCGTCAAGCTCGTTCCTGGTTTTCCTCCTCCTCCGGCTGTCCTCAAGAAGCCCTCCCTTGCCGCTTTCCGAATGCTCGAAGCCGGCCAAATGCACAATCACTTCCCAGGAGAAACGCGAGCACAGCTCGACTTGACGCGCCTTGTGTCCCTGTACGACACAGAGCTATTCCCCTCTCTCGTCAAGGGCCGTGAAGGACAGGAGAGATGGTTCCATCGCGCTGCTGGGATTGGAAAGGACGACAGGGAACGCCTCATGCAGCACCTTGACGATGTTCTATCTGCCAAACCGAGCCGAAGCAATATCGACTGGACGAGCATCTACCGGGTCGTCATTCATCGCTACGCAGATCGGCTGGAGGTGCTGCAGTCCATGTTCCAGTCCAAACCACCAGCATCTGAAATCGTTGGTCGTGCAAAGAAGACCGTCGACGTTTTCGAGTATGTGGAAAGCATGCTTTACCCCTATATCCTTTACGGCGTTGAACCACCATCGTCGACGGCTCACCAGAATGGAGGATCTCACGATTGGGCCATCCCGGTGTTCGAGCGATGTGCGACCTTGAATACCGCCTTCATCTCAAGTAAAGTTACGCTTTCGTCCTCTGAGAAGCTCCTCTTGCGCGCTGTAAACGATGTTTTATATGAAATCTGCCGGGCATTGGTTGGGATATGGGCGGAGGGCAGAGAGATCGGATACGGGGGGAATCCGGAAATCGAAGAGAGGCGGAACAGCTTAACTGACCATGGAACGCTGGGGAAATGGGAGAACGAAGTCGACAAACTAATCTCGTGGCTCGACTGGAGTGTTATGATTAAATGCAGACCTACCTGCGGATTCGAGGTAAGAGACCCAATCTGCTTTGCACCTCGCGCTCACTTCTTTACAGGAGATGTGTTACCTCCCTACCTGGCCTTTCTGGCCAGCTGAAGGTCTGATTTATCCCCCAAAGACACAAGAAGAGCGCTGGGGTTGGGTGAAGGAGTCCAGCGCTTTATATGCAAGAAGCCGCGCCACTTCAAATGTATCAGACCCAAGTGACTATTGGATGAAGCCCCAAACCGAGTGTCTGAGGCGGGTGGTGCCTTTGGAGGTACCTGGCCCAAAGAAATAACGAATCCCTATATCTGTAGACTAAATATGTACGGCAATGCAACGTTTGAGCGCTTGACGCCATCATCGCCAAGGGATGCCAAGTCCGTGGATTAATACCTCCGCAGCGCGGGTTGATCAGAGAGTGTCGCTGTGCCACCACGGTCACCCAAGTCTTCTTGATCCCAACCTCCATGTCCCAGGGAACGACGCCCAACCCAGCAGAGGCCTCACTCGCAGACGTCTGGTACCTCAAAGAAATCCAATATGGCACCAAAGACGTGAAGCAAACATACAAGATCATTACACAAAACTTTAATGGGTGCGAGAAGCTTAAATCCTCATTCCAATTCAAGGGATGGTTCGTTGACGACCGTATTGGTTTGGCGTTTTGTACAATTTACAGACCATGTTCGTTTATTGCGATATGTGCGTCGGAGCCGTTCTCCAAGGCTCGAAATCCTCTCTGATGCCCCTGTTGTGAATGATGAACGAAGGTAATATCCTGATCCTTCGAGGAAACATCGTCATTGAACCCCCGGAACGCAAGACGGTTTCATACGAGTTTCTTTCGCATTTGGTGGCCGAGTACCTGCTGTTATGCTCTGCCGATATAGACGTGTCCGACGCATTGTCCATTATGCCCCTAACGCAGAGTATGTCCTTGTCAACCTCCTCAGCAGCCAGTTGCTAATTTGTTGTGCTGCCCAGAGGGGATGGACCTCAATCCTGTCTTCACCTCTCCCACCGGGTTCCGGCCCTCAGGTATTGGTGGCGGCGAGCTCAAACTCTTCGAACACGTCGGAATCAAGCTTGTGCATGGGTGGCTCGTAGACCCAGGTAGCCAAGAAGCCAAAGCACTCGAACGCGCCCCAGATTACGACGCCGCGGTCAACCTCATCGCGGAAGTGGACCACCTGACGAACGGAAAGTTTGTCATGGAGGAGGAGGCACCCAACGTAGCTGGCCCATCCTCGTCTTCGTCGTCAGCACAACCGGTAGCTTCATCGTCCTCTTCGAATGGCGGGATGGGCCCCACGTACAACCTAACTGAGGAACAGCAAGCCAAGATTGCTGACGGTACGTCTCACACGTCCTTTACTTGGCAGCATGAGAATAATGACTTGCTGCAGCAATTGTTGTCCGCGACTTCCTCGACCACTCCCAATCCCAGCTAACCTATCACGGACTCTTCCAACTCGCATCCGAACTCCCAGCCGATACCCTCGTTGCTCTCTTCCGCAACTCCCACCTCTCCGTCCTCCTCAAGGTCGAGCACGACGAGGGCCCAGCTATCTATACACTCGCAACGGACCAGGTGTTTCTGAGGGAGTCGTCAGTGGTGTGGGAAAGGTTAGAGGACGTGGATGGCGGCTGGTCGACGTTTGTAGACTCGAATTTCGTCAAGGCTAGTCCAGCGGGCGGAGATTTCGCGGGCCAGACGGCGGAGGACGCGTTGAAGGCTATGGAGATCTTGGAGAGTCAGTACCAGGAGCTGGGGGATCCCAATGAGTGAGTCGTCTAAACGCCTACGTCCATCGACGCAATGTACTTACGCGCTTCATTGTAGCCTTGCGTTGGCGCAACAACTGCAAGCAGAGGAAGACTATCTGGCGCGCAAAGACTATCAAAGGCGGAGGCATCAAATGCGATTAGCAGAGGAAGAACGCGTCAAGCAGGAGAAACCGAAGACCAAGAACAAGATGTCAAAGTCGAAGGACTGTGTTATTATGTAGCTGGCGTCTGTGGATTTCTCATCTCCAATTTGGGCCTCTTTGCAACTCGTTTCTCTGTGGTGTTTTTACTTTCTAATGATTCACTGGCTACCTCGAGCAGAGCCCATGGTCTGATCGGACATGTACAGATGGCCTCATGGGCTATTGGTGCAGGCGCATTTTCCACTGAAAGAAAGGTTTGGCTTGTCCAAGTCTCTACACTCGTGGACTCTAGATCTAATTCTTCGCCCTGACGACAACCTCACGTTCACTCTTTCAGGGTTTAAGCGCGCAATAAGTTATACATTATAATTAAGTGTCCGGACAATAAGATTACATGGGTTTATGAATTAGGCCAGTGGCCATGATTCCAAAGTGATGCGGTTTGAAGCACGAGGTTCAGATTCTGAAAAAATCCAGGAGGATCCAGTCAGAAAAACCACCCCAGACAGATCGAAGAAAGAACATACATGATGGGTTCACAACCCAAACCCGGGCGCGTCAAATCGCGAGCGAGAATTGTGGGCTCGCTCAAGCGATGGTGCAGTAAGCACCAGGATCGCCGCCGCCGCCGGTCTCTCGGTCGATGGGGTAGTTATCAAAAGTGGTGAAGGCGTCCATGGCTGATGGGCTGTTTGTCTGAGGGAGGTACTGTATAACAGTGAGGAACTAGGAGAGTTTCGAGGCTGGATTTTATCCGTTCCCCAGGAGGCCCAAGCAGTGTTGGACGCATCTTGCTTCGAGTGGCCGACTGGAACCGCGCAGCCGAGTTCGTTGGAATGCGCGAGTAACAACAATCGAAAAAGTACTGCCCTTTTGTATGGAGCTAATGTAGGTTCGACCATCGAGTTTATGCACAATGAGGCTCCACTGACTGAATACTAACAGGACTCGAGCAAAGTCTTCCCCTCCCGCTTGATCCCAACTCCCGACGTCCGAATCGGCTTATGACTATTGTCCCGCCCCTCCGATGACGCGGTGGGTTCATCCACGAACCAGGTAAAGATAGATGCAGCAAGTACTCCACTGCCTCTGATTGTCTTCCACCAATGACACCGTGACCTCTGGTTCCCAGAATAGACTAGCTTCCTATCCATCCTCCCTTCCGAGAGGGTATCTTCCATTCTACAGAGGCCAAACTGGAAATACATGATTTTCTACACAATACTGGCATCGGCGACTGCTAATCGCTGCACCACAGGGTACACATTCGTCATGTCCGTAGCGCGACTCCCAGGGCGTCGTTTACACTAAAGAGAAAGAAAGAGAAAGAAAGAAAGAAAAAAAAAAAAAAGAAAAAGAGCGGAAAGGATCAGTAGCGTAGTTCATATAGCGTAGTTCATAGTAAATACATAGCAACAACTTCCTAGCACCCAACTGGCGATGAAAAGTCAGTGTCATCCGACTCGTCAGTGTCGTCTTCATCATCACCGAACCAAGACTCCTCAGACGAGCCGGCCGATTCAGGCGTCTTCTCCCTGCCAAAGTAGAAGGGGAAGTAATCTAGGATGAGGGGTTTCCAAATTCCGTCCTTGGTCTCGACGATTCCTTGCAGGTAGGTGTACTCCATCACTGGGACCTGTGTGACAGGATGTCAGAAAACCGTTCGTGAAGTAGTCAAGAGAGAGGGAGAGAAAGGTCACTTACACCACACTCGTCGACATGTTCATCAAGGTAGTTGCGACACACCCTGCCAACAGCCATAGCGAGGTCCTGTTGGCTTATACTATCGCCATACAAAAACCGAGTAGGAACAATCACTTTCTTCCTCGGAAGATCGCCATACTAAATAGAGTCCGTAAGTACCACAACGGGTCATCCCAGACTCGCCCAAAAACTCACTCGGAGATCCAGCTCAATAAACCTCTCTTGGACATGCTTCAACGGCCTTGCTCTGGCGCCCAGAATCCGGAGATCACCAGCCCGCCTAGCGTCCAACGCTGCAAGTGGGATGCCCCTAGTATTGGACTTGTGCCCGTGGACTGCAGGGTGGAGAGTGAATGGGATGAATGGCGTAGCTACTTCGTTCAAGGGGAAGGTGACGGTTCTGTAAACTCGAGATAAGTAAGGACTCATATCACAACGGGCCGCGACTCACTGCAGCTTTCCCCATCCCTTCAAGTTTGTATGAGCCGGTTTAGGTGGAGCAGGGGGAACAGGGGAAGGGTCGCCTTGCACCCCACCATCTTTCCCTGCGATCTCGTCGTCTTTGGCCCAGTTCTCCTCACGGGTTTGCTTCTACAGAAAACACGACCGTGAGTTGAGACACCTCACAGTCAAGAGAAGAGAAACAACTCACAGCTGCAGGCCGCAACTCAGACGCAATAGGCTCAACCTTGACACTCTTCGGTCTCGCCGACTTGAACGGATGAAGGAGAGTATCATCCACCCTACGAGGAGGCGAGGTCTTCTGCTTCCTCGGCGTGCCTTCATCAAGGACAATCGTAAGCCCTGCAATTGTCGGATAGGTCGTTCGTCGACGGCCCGAACTAGGACTTGTGAACGACTGGGGCGAGCCAGGCGCCGAGTCCAGTATCCTTGTGGAAGGGCTTTGCAGTGAATACGACCGCTTGGACCCGGTTGGGGTGCGGTAAATTGGCGAGGACGATGTCTCGTTAGGGACACTAAGGGATTGTGCGCTGGTCCTTGTCGGAGAGGAGTGATTGATAGGTGGCGGCGGGGAGCTGGTGGGCGTCGGAGGTCTGACCACGACAAGCCCTGGGGGTCTCGCTATGACGCCCGGTCGATGGCCAGGCGAACTGGTCCCTTGCGGCGAGCTCTTACGAGTAGGAGTGGTAGGGTGCACGGGGTCGCTCGCAGAGAATAGCGAACAAGCAGAGGCAGGGGCTCGAGGACGATCTGAAAGGCTTGGCGGTGACATTGGAGACCCAGGAGACCCCCTGACGTCTCTTTCGAATTCACTACAGCCATCGTCCATAGGCGAGGCAGGGACACTCCACGAAATACGAGGGGCTTCAGCAGGGTCGAGAAGCTTGGCGGGGAGGTTGGGATTTGTTGGTACCCTTATCCGCGGTGGACTGACTCTGGCGGGACTAGTCTTTCGACCTTGAACCGGCGTGCCCGGGGTGTTGCTTGTCGCCGGTGGACCACAGCCGGGAGCGGCGACGTGTGGCAATTGTCCAGAAGTCGGTTGGGCAGAATGAGGACGCTGGTGAATAGGATGACCTTGCATTCCAGGGGGCGCCAGGTATTCTGCGCTGCGAGAGCGCGGTAGAGCGTGCATCTGAGGTTGGGGTTGATAAGGAGAACCACTGTGCATTTGAACAGGTGGGCCACTGAAATGGTTTGAGGGCATCACATTGTGCTGGTTGAATTGGGTCCAGTGCCCTTGTTGCCATTCCTGGGGTGGGGGGAAATGGCTTTGGCCGAAGTCTTGTGGAAAAGGAACGGGAGATGTTGCTCCTACCAATGGCACCCCAGTGCCGTTGTGGTATTGGAAAGGCAAAGGCGAATGCGGGGGAATCGCCACTGGCGGGAATCCGACGATGTCGTTAAAGCGCTGGTGATGACCAGGGTCAACCCAGTATTGTTCAAATGGTGGATAAAGATTAGGTCCATGGTGAGCGTACTGAGGATAAGCCACCAGTACAGGTGAGGGCACAGGTGAAGGGTGGCCTGGGTGAACTTGGACATGGGTATCAAAGGGCAGAGGACTGCTTCGATGGTGAACTTGTGGATCCAGTCGTGGTTTCAGGGAAGGTGATGGCGACCTTGTGTTACCAGGGGACCGCTTGAAGCCATGACTTGAATTGCAGTGGCTGGCGATATTGAGTTGGAGGCGAGGGGGTCGATTTTCGCGCTCCCGGTAGGGCGGGTAAACTGGACTGTGTCCTTCATGACCTGGAGAATGTAGATGCGGTTTGGCTTGTGCATGCCCGGAGGTAGGTGACTTGGTGTCGTGCCGCCAACCCTATGCAAAAGTCAAGAATGGGTGAAAGGGCTTAGGGAGCAACTGGCCGGACTTACCGTCGTGATTAACGGTTGCAGGCTGGGGCGGTTCATTGTCAGAAGCTACACTGGCAGGATATCCGGTCCACCAATCCAGTGAAATGAAAAGAAGGTTGAGTGTAGATCGTTGGTCAAGGCTCTGAGTGGCAAGGTCAACCTCGGCGAGCCGTTAAATACGTGCCAGCTGGACAAAGCCACTCAGGGATGCCACGCGAGGGGAAGTGGGACCGCCATCACAGAAATCTGCAATTGAGACCCCAGGAGATCAAAGGGAAGCGAAGGTACCGATTTGTATCCAGGAAGCATTCACAAAGGAAGAAGACATTGAGGTGCGGAGGACCGGGCCAGTGAATTATTAGGTCCATAAGGTGTATAAATTACATCTAGCTATGATATTAGTTAGCCTAATAGACGTTGGGAGACATGTAACGGGGGCGTACCAAATCTAAAGATTCAAGAACGACCCCCGTCTACTGGAGACGACCTGATAACCGCGGGGCGCCTTCCTTTCCTGCCTCATCTCCTGCTTTGTCTTGACCATATGCTCCGGAACATTCTCGACCTCCACCAATTCCTTCACACTAAGAATCATACCCGCCGCTTCTGGAGTATGTCGGTGGTACACAGTTTGGAAACGACGGTGGAAACCGAGAGCAAGCAGTGTGCCTTTCTTTTTGTCGCCGAGCGAGATGGCGGAACGTTTGAGGGTGACCTTGAAGTGGGTATTTGGAGCTGCATCTGAGGCGACAGATGTGGATGTTTCAGCTTCCTTGGCTGTTGGAGAGGTAGAGAATGTTCTGCAAGCTGTTCGTTGGCCAACGGGTCGCGACGCTGCGAAGAGCGTTCGTGCAAGTGCTGAGGACATGTCTGCAAAAGGTCAGCGTTATTACGAGCCATAAAGCCATTCTCCTTACCAAAATGGGTTCCGACGATGTTGAGCCTGCCAACTGGGCGTTTCAGACGACACAGACGATGACCAGCACTTCAAAGTCCCCGACGTCGCCAACAAATTCGCGAACACGGCGGTTGCCGATCAAAAATATCACGGCACGCGACTGAGATCGAATCGCGCCCAACGCCACTTTGCGAAGCATGACCACCTCCTGTGACCTCGCCTGCCAGGACCAGAGGAGTTAGGCTGATGCTACCTGCCATTTTGCTCATACATTCAGCATGTCATTCTGGACATCCCGTCACAGCAAGAGGCGTCAGATTCTCCGATCCACGCCATGGTTTCTCACGGAGGAGGTCCCCCCCCTCCCCCCCAAAATGGGGTTAAGCGGTTGCTCATCAAATGTAGCTCAAGATGCCGTTGGAATGCCGTTGGCCAGCAACTGCTTCTCATAACTCTGACCACGCTCATTAACGAGCGCGTTTCCTCTCTCGTAACGCGTCTCCCGTCGAAATAGCCCAATCAACATGGTTTCTTGACTCTGTATCTAGTAGTGTAACATTACAGTATGACTCTTCTTCACCTTCAAACCCACCTTCACCTTCTTTCCACCCAAACGCGAATTCCTTCATTTCAAAGCTCCTCTCTTTGACCCATACCCCTCCCTCTGAAACTTATGACTCTTCTAAAAACATACGATATGTTCAATGCCATCGATGTGGCGCCAATGGTGTTAATCACGGAAAGGATACAAAAACACTCAAATCACTGGCTTTGCACCAGAAAGGTAGCAAATGCCGAGCAATTCTCATTGGTAAGTCTGTCCATTTCTCGAAATGACGGGCGCTAATGGTCATTATTGGCTACAATCCCCTTTGCTGTACCTGCACCTACAACTTCTACTCAAACTGATAATCATCGAGACTTTGATGTATTCAGTTAGAATCTCAAGTATATAGTATCACAGACTTCAATAATCTTACCATTTGTTGTCCAATTATGTCTTCGGTATTCTTACTCTGTTTTTCTAGTATCGTAACACCATTGGCCATTCTTTACAGCACATAAAAGTGTAAAAGTGCTACTCAACTTGTACTCGACGGTCTTTTCCCAAGGCAGCCGCTGTTGCAGCCGTAGCAAGGACTTTTGATCCCAGTTGATCCCAACACCAATGCCGCTGAGCGGCACCTCCTTGATATCTAGACCGGAGCCCGGTCCCTCGTAGCTCGGGCGTCACGTTTTTTGCCACGTGATGGACGTTCCGCTTTTCCTCGCTAGAGGGACCGGTCAATTTGGTTTAATTTTACCGTGTCGGTCCTTATGATCGCGCGGGTTGCCCATGTACCACCACAATCCACTTCGTCTTGAATTTATCTCTGCGAATTGACGCGTCAAAATCGACATGGATATGCAGGAAGAGGCCGTCGATACGACGCACATTGAATTTGGACCGCAACTACCAGATAAGACGTCGATTTCGTCGTTTACGACAGCGGAACAAGCTCAGGTCGCCTACGCATTGGTTGTCCCGGAAGAACGCGCGGTAGCATCCGGTTTTTGGTCGGAATTCTCGCATAAATGGATGCTTTGGGGCTTGAAGGCGTGTATGCTCATCTTTCTGGCTTCTGGAGGGTGTATTGTACCGCGGGAGTTCCAGCTGAAGGCAACGATGGCTCTGTGCTCGGGCTTTGACGCACTCATCGACGTTGGGACTGGATACGGCAAAACCTTTTGCATGATACTCCCAGCATTGCTCTTCAACGGCATGATTACTCTGGTCGTCTCTCCGTTGAAGAAACTACAAGAAATGCAGGTTCTCGAGTTTAGGAAATACGGACTTTCGGCGTTGGCAATCAATGAGGACACTGGCAATGATAAGGAACTTTGGAAGGTTTGAATACAACAGCAATATAAATCCCATTCGATGAATATCTCAGCATAACTCTTTCATTCTACAGGACATTGCTAACGGCGCCTATTCGGTCCTTGTGGTGACGGCCGAGCAGTTCTTTGTCGACAAGGGCCACTGGCCTCGGATGGCTCGACTCATTAACAAACGGAAGTTTTCCAGCAAAGTCAGATTCCTTTTCGTTGATGAGGCGCACTCTATCTACACATTCGGAGCCAGTCTCTATGGGCAACCAGCATTCCGACCTGCCTGGAGCTACTTGGCAGACCTTCGAACCAAGCTCGGCTCTCAGGTTTCTGTGGCTGCGCTATCTGGTACGATGCCGAAACATATGAAGACAGTCATCCGCGAAACACTGCAGTTCGACGACGAAACTCTCTGCGAGATCAAGCTTTCGTGTAACCGGCCCAACATTGCGTACGCCAAACATGCAATTGTCGGCAACCTCACCGACTATCGCAACCTTGACTTTTTGATTTCGGACGAAACAGGTTCCAATGCACCAGACCGGGTGCGGAGGAAAACCATTGTGTTCCATGACCGGATTACCGATGCGACAGGAGCAAAAGAACACCAGGAGCAGCAGCTACCAGAGGCCAACCGTGGCAAGGGGGTCATAGCATACTACCATGCCGGGATGTCAAAACAATACCTCCAACGAGTGCATGATGACTTTCGGGACCCGAATGGAGTATGCGAGATTCTCCATGCCACGGAATGTGCCTCTACTGTGCGGCCCTCCTGGACTTTCTCCTCTCGCTATTTTGGTACTCACAGAGCCGTTATAGGGACTCGACATCCGAGATGTCCATTGTGTCATCCAGTATGGCCTCCCTCGCGATATGACAACACTACAGCAAAGGGCTGGGCGCCCTGGGCGCGACGGCATCACTAACTCAGTCTATGTCCTCCTCTACGAGCCCTTTGCTCTCACGGCAGACCTTTCTCCAGCACGAGAGGCCGAGAAGATGTCTGATTCTCCCCTTGATCCTGATCGGCCCATTACTGGGAAGCTCAAGCCCAGAGGCCACAAGCTTCATCGTATCGGTGTTTCGGTCTATGACCTTGTTCAGGACGAGGATCGGTGTATTCGTGGTGACTTCGCCTCCTATAATAATGACACAAGTGAACATGGTACGTAAATCAGCTACATCCATTGGTGTTGCTGACCTGATGCTTCCGAGTTCAGCACTCAAGTTTACGGGCCCTTTCTGTTGCAATGGGAAGATCCATGGTGATAGGCCATTTGATTTTGGCTACTACTTTCCCTCGAAACTCCTCTACTTTGATGCCACTACCAAATTGGTGTATCGAGGCAACCCCAACGACCCTAACAGGACTCTGCTCGACCCTCCTACTGGAACAAAACGGAAGGCTGCAAGGAACAAGTACCGTCCAGTTGCATTTAGGGCATCACTCGTCTCACGGCTCGAGAAGTTCCGACTCGACGAATGGCAAGCATCCAAAAATCATCGAGTACTGCACCACCCCTCCTTCATTCTCACCAATAAACAGCTCACACTTATCGCGCGCATTCCGCCCGACCAACTGACCACACCAGAGATGATTATCAAAGTTCTCGGTGATGACTTGAAGCAGGACTTGCGCGGCTCAATCTGGGAACAGAAATATGCTCAGAAGGTCTTCGACATTGTGAAGTGCTATGATGCGGAGGTAGGAAGTCTAAAGGAGATGGAGAGGGCGAAGAAGGAGGAAAGAATAAAACGATCGAAGGAGGAGGCACGGGATAGGGCTATAAGAGAGGCGCAGGAAAGGTTCAAGGCAGATTCTCTAGCAAGGGAAGAGGCTGCAGCCAGTCGAGCACGGGAACTTATCATGGGTTCCGCCTCGACATCGATTTTTGCAACGACTGAGTGGCCTACACCTTCACAGCCCCAGAACACGCAGCAGACGACTGCTGTTACAGAAGCCACTAATTACACCGATTTTCAGCTCACCTATGCTCGCACTGCCCAGGGGAACTTGCAGGCATTCCAGGAAGCGGAGAAGCAGCGTATGAAGGAGATAGAGGATCGGATTAAGGCTCAGCTCAAACTCTTACGACAAAAATGAATAGAAAATTGTATTATATTTGAGTCTTCCTAATTTTCGTCATTTCCTGCATCATCCAACTCGTTACTGGTATATGTAAGATTATTCTGAGGTAGGTCGTCTTCCAAATCCTCCCCATACGATGCCTTACCCGCAACGAAGTCCTTGAACTTTCGATTAAATGAGTCTAGGGTACCTCTCCTCAACCGCTCCGCACCAAGCGCTACAATATCAGCCGATGACTTGGTGCTTGTGTTTCCCTGTCGGTCTTGCTTGAATGCCAAAAAACCTTCCTTCTCCACAGTATTAGCTACACGCCAGACAAGTTTTGATGTATCGACGTCAGAGTGGCCCTTGTTCTGGTGAGGAAGATCCAGGAACTTCCCCATCTTCCGCTTGAGAGCCTTAAAGTGGTCTATGGCTGCTGAGATGTCCCCTATATGGTCCCAGGTGCTTTCACACCCTTTTGCGACAATTAGATCCTAAAATAAATGTTACGCAGCACATAGGTTGAGATACGAAGACGTACTTACCTTGATATCGCCCACCGTATATTCCATATTGATATCAGTTGCAATGTTATGGCCCGGAATACCAGACGGATTAACAATCATGATATCTCGCATGATGTCCCTAGTATATTCCATGAGTTAAATATTGTGAAGAGAAACAGAACAACGTACGCAAATTCTGGAGTCCATACATATTTCAGATTTTGAATGAGATAAAGAACCTCGGTACAGTAGTTGTTGGACCCAGCGCCACGATACATCATGGCCAGGTGAGGCAGTATTAGCTCAATGCGGCCAATGTCACCGTCCCGCGTTGCTGCTACAAGCTCGAGAAGAAAGAGGGTGTCACGGATGAGCAGACGGGTGTTCTGGTGTACTTTGTCTCGCGCCGGGTCCTTTTCGCATGTGTTTTCAAGTGGAGGTGGAACCACAGGCTTCGCTTGCAGTGGGTCTCTGTCTTCATTTGCGTGGAGATCGTCTTCGCTTTCATCCGAGTCGTCATCCAGAGTGAAAGGTTCTGGTAACGGTGTCATGAAGTCGTTGACCACTCTGGTTGCTTTTGACACAATGTCGTCAGCCGTGGGCTTCGATTTGGTATATTTTTTGAATGCTGTAGTCTTCTGGGATAGAGTGGGCTTATCCCCAAGCGATTCGTCGTCGTGAGCACAGACATCCTTCCAAGCAGCCAGAAGAAGCCCATTGAGAACTTCGGTTAGTGCTGCAAAGAGGGTATGGTAGTCGGGCTTGGCCCCAGAGAGCCGCGACTTTTCGAGGATGGAAAACCAGTAGGTAAGCGACCCTTTTTGTTTGAGAGTACCGCGATGGACATGCAGAATACCCCAGGCAAGGTTGAGGGCAGCATGGAACAGGCCCATCGAAAGTTGGAATACAAGTCGACGATGCCAGTCATTCTCGTCGTCCTTGCGCTGGATTTGGAGTGTTCGGATGCGGGAGTTGGTGAGCTGGTCGTTTATGCTGGGGATCGCGTATTTGCAGAGTTGCTCCGGTGTACGTTTGAAGGTTTCGTAGGCTTCATCATGAAATTTGGCGTTTCCTTGCACTGAAGCTTCTTCCGTTGTCGAAACTCGGGAGACAAGAAATTCGGTGCGTTGTTTAGTTGCAGAGACGAGCTTGATGGTCTTGTGCGAGAGCCTGGCGTCGGCGTACTCGTCCTTTTTTAATTCTTCATCCGAATACTTGAAAACGACATTGATGACGTGAACGAGGAGCTGGTGGTGGATATCGCTGTTCTGAACATCGGTGAGTTGGAGGTCCTTATCCCACTGTAGACCGTTGTACTCCGGGTTGCGCATCCTAGCGAGCAAGGGTTCAAGTAGCAGGTCCTCCTGCTTCGCATTTCGCAGGGGGTACACGATTCCCAAGGTCCCCGATGTCACCTTCCCCGTTGTCTCCGCTTTCCCCTTCTGCGCAATGTGAATCGAGGTGCTAATGTTGATGTTGTCGTAGCAGAACGCGTGAAGGAGAGCTGCCGCAATTATAACAAGGGCCATGCAATGACCTGCGAGAAACTGGATGAGGTCCAAGACAGCCTGATAGCTGATGGAAAGTCCGAGGATATGGACTGCTTCTATTGCTTGACGGGAGGCCCCCGTAGTCCATAGATACAGTCCGAATTGTGCTTGAAAGCCCAAGCACTTGTTTGAACGGGAATATAATAACATCCTAATGATAGTATCACAGATCTAAAAGGGTTCCGTGAGTTCCATTGGTTTACCAAAGATATCAGAGAAAAGAACGTACTGTATCAGGCTTCTTCTTCGAGTTTTTACCCTCTTGTCGCTTCGTTTGTGCTGCGCCTCGAAGTAACCGCATTGTGAACGGCGCTACCTCCGCAAAACTATCCGGCTCTTGGTTTTTGATGAAGTCGGGGGAGATGTCAGCGACACCTTTGAGGACGTGGAGGTCATGTAAATCGTTCAATTCTGCCGAAATTGTGCTGCGTAGGAAAGACTGTCCAGAATCTCCCTTCAACCAGGCCCCAAGTTTTGCTGAACCTTTTGGAGAGGCGCTGAGCGCTTCGAGGATTTGTACGAGGGTCGTACGGTCTTCCTTGTACAGCTCCGTGCGATACCGTTGGAACGTCGGTGATTTTTCGTCCAGAATGCACAGGAACACGTCAAACGGACTGAGCCCAGCCTCTCTGATGTGATGCAGCAGAGAGGCCACCTTTTCTTCCTTCGTCTGCTTCTCTGTCCGGGCAGGCTCGTCCTCAGCTTCAGAGTCGGGTGCCTCAGAACTCCTGGAACACGAAAGTTTAGAAAGAAAGGCTGGAGAACGATAAAATGGTATCATACCTCGAATATTCCGCCGTTTTTTCGCTCCTGACATCCGTCTCAGATCCAGATTCCACCCCAGCTTCAACTCGGGCTTCAACCCCTTCAGCCTCAGGTTCAGCAGCCCGGCCCCGTCTGGTACGTGTTGAAATTGCGGTTGTCTCAGCAGAAAGACATCGTCCTGTATGTCCTAATACCCCTAGTCTGCTCGAAGATGGGTGCTGGGTGCTGGGGCTGCTGTGAGCGGTCGCCTGGAGCCGTGCTGATTTTCGGCCTCCGTGTGGTATGTTTTTCATGACTTTCCCGGTTTTCTTTTTCCCTGTACCCCCCAAACTCTTTTGTTTAGACTTTGTACGTCCCATAGTAAGCAAACAGCGTCGAAAATTTGGTCGAAATCGATTGGTATTGGGATAAAAAAAGGGAAATACAGCGGGGGTGGTGGTAGACAGGACGATCGTAAGGACCCACCCGCTAAAATCAAACCAAATTGACCGGACTGCCTATCTCCGATAGGCGTCACGTCCGTCACCTGACAAAAAACGTGACACAGTCCGGATTCCGGACTACTTGATATCCATCAAATTCCGTTGACGGGCTGTGAGAAACCATGGCGTGGATCGGAGAATCTGACGCCTCTTGCGTCACAGCTCAATGACTATAAATATTAGCAACACACCCCGCAGACGACCCATTTGTCCCTGGCTGACATAGGAGTCCTGTTCTCTCAGCCCAGACGATGCCCGAGCTACCCTACGAAATATGGCTCGAAGTCGTCCAATATCTGCCTCCAGAGAAGCTTTTTCAGATTGGGACGCTAAATCGCCACCTGCGGAGCATCGCGCTCGATGAGCGGTACAAGAAAGCTCAAATCCACTACCACGGGGATGCGAAGACTCGCGATTTCCTGACATCAATGAGGTATCTTTCAATTACTCTGTGGTTGAGCACTCGGCTTGCTGACACGATACCAAGACGGTCTCCAGTCGAGGTGGCGCCACGAGTTCGCAGCCTACTCCTCCGCCCACATGCCTTTGGCGCGTCCATCACGATGAAGCCTGGTAGCGGGAGCAAGGATGCCAGGTTCCTTCTCGAAAGCTTGACGAAGCTGGTCAATCTGAGAACTCTAGACCTTCAATGCTACCATTACCGCAGCTTCCTAGCCACAGGTCCCTACATCTCAGCAGCGTTTCGGGTGGCGTATACCCACAGCCTCCAAAGCCTCCGCCTCCTCGTTCCACTGGAGGCCTACCGAGACATGGGGTTGTCTACGATAACCCTCAGTCACCTACGCCACCTCGACATCAGGATTTCGATGGCTTATCTGACTTCAGATCCACACCATTTGTGCCAGAACTATCTTGCGCCGTTCATCAACAACCACAGAGCAACCCTCGAGTCACTAACCCTCTCAAATCTGAATCAGAGCTTTCATTACCCCCTTGACCCTATTTTTACAGGCCTGAAGTACTTCTCACGTCTTTCGAGTCTCGATCTCAGCTTCTTCTACGTCGGACCCTCCCAAACCATGCTCACGGGAGCCCACAGCTTCCTCGAGGCCCATTCATCCCAGATCCGAACTCTCAAGATTAATCTCGACTTCCTCCTACGTCACTCACACACCCTCGTTCCTGAGTGGAAGATTCTCCTGTCCGGACCTCTATTCGGCTGCCCCCTTCCACGCCTAAAGTCCTTGACGCTGGGACTGACCAAGTTCCCGGCCATCAAAGACATCGTACAGTACATCTCCCTCCATAAGCACACGTTGACCGAGTTCAACCTTACCCACAAGATAGTCGTGTTTTCTGAACTTCAAACCTTTATCTCGGTTTTTGAGGGAGGACCTCTCCGATCCCTCTCATTCCGCACGCGCATCTTAGCTCCCCCTGTTCTGTCCTTGCTATCGACCAAACTCCCCCAGTTGCATCGTCTGAAGGTGTCCTACGATACATGGGGCGGGACGCAAGAGCTGGACGGCACGTTCTATTTTCCAGGGTACAGCTCGGTAAGCTATCCCACTCTCTGCATCCGTCTTCACTAACAATGACTGTATTCCCGTTCTTATCGCTCAGATTCCCTTGTGCGTCGAACACTTCCTCTCCGCCATGGCCCGTCAGGACTTCTCATCATGGAGTCTCCGCCATCTGGATATCGCCGTATGCTACGACTCAGCTGGCAAGCTACCGCTGTGCTATGCTGCTCTTGCGAAATCAATGCCTGGCGTTTGGACGTTCAATGGGATGGATCGGAAGGAGTTCCTTGGGGACAAGAAGGTTCACCCCAAGAACCTCAACCACTGACTTTTTTGCGTCGCTTTTTAGGATATGACATGGTTTCGACAATTCCAACATCGCGCTACCTGTGTATTATACATGACCCTCCGAATACGATATGAAATTGGCATGGTGTTTCCCGGGACCTATCGAGGGCCTTCATGATCTCAGTCCTGCTTCCCTTCGTGTCTTCAAAGAGGTCGTTTCCGGGCTTGCGAAGGAAGACGCGAAGAGTACGTCCTTCCCTCGCCGCGGGACACACGTGGCTTACCAAACCTATTTATTTCCTTGCCTTAGATATTTCTGAAGACCAATGGGTCGTACACAAGCCCGTGCTCTGGCTCGGTGCAGCACGGGACGCCGTCTGCGTCCCTCAGCTTCGGCAGCCAGATCCAGCATTTGTTACCAATGTCACGTCTAAGGTTATTGATGTTGGTCACTGGCTTATGTTTGATGCTGAGAACGAGGTTAATTCTGAGTTGGAGGCCTGGCTTGAGAGACTGTAGCGCATGTGCTTCTCTAGATCTTTTTCTGGTTTAGAGATTGCTTACGGTAGATAGGCGCCCAGCCCAATCCATCAATTCATATTGATGGCGCATCATAACGCCGCCCGCCTCCGCATCCGCTACTAAAGCCGACTGGTCTTGCTCAACCACCCTTTGAACTGGCAAAGTTCCTGTTCCCGCGCACCTGTCGATGACTCAATTTCGATCCAAATGCGCCGTTTCCTGACGAGATATACACGAGGGCACTCAGTTTCCATTGCGAAAAGGATCCTTTCCTCGTTATTGTTCTTCAGCCACGTTCCTGGAGGCGTGCAATCCTCGAAGGTGACAGATAGCATGAGTGCCACGAGATACCTGCCATCTCATTATCAGAACCTCTAAGTCTCAACATCATCCCTATTGTTTTCTTACAAATTTAAAGTTTACAGTTGCCGACACCAGGCAGAAACAGAAATCGGCCATGACTCAAGTCTCAACCACCTGGCACTCCGGGGAAACGCCAAGGTCTGCATCCACCTTTGAAACTGGCGCCCACCTTTGAAAAGCCGTTACGTCCAATGCAGTCGTCTACGCGTTGGCTAGAAATGAAGTCCGTAGAGCCTGTACCCACAGAACTAGCATAACGAACAAAAGCCCGATAAACCCTTGTCCAAGTTCCGTTAGCTCCGCCCATACACACTCATACACACCTGTACTTTTCAGGTCATTGGAACGCCGGAGGGAATCCCTTACCTATTCCTGGGTGCTTCAAAACAAAAAGGTTGAAGAGGTTCTTCCATCACCGAACTTCTGTGGTGGGTACACAGGTACGATGTCAGTGTGTGGCACCTGTCGTCTGGGAGAATAAGCCAGGCAATGTCTTTTTGTTATTGTTAGCTCGCACTCGAACCGAGTGATCTCACCGTTCACAGGGCATCCGGGACACAAAAACGTCGCTAGCGAGTCTTATTATCTTCAGTATTGATCATCTTTAAGAGGTAGTAATCATACTTCTAGGTGAAGGACGCCACTGTGGATCGATAGAAATGCCGGGTATATAACCCGTTCACACTCTCCACCGATTCTCCAGTTCAGTCGAACACTCCAAGCTTCTCCAAGCTCCTCCAGCGATACCATCCTCTCCACCCAAACCAACCAACCCACACAGCTGACATGGATGCCTTCGCTACTCTCTTCTCCACCGTCTTCCCCTCGACCAACGTCGATGACATCACCAACACCCCCACGCCCTCCGTCCCAGTCGAGGAGGAGACCGGAGGCGGCAGAGGCACCGGTGCTTACTGCGTTATCGCATGAACAACGGACGACCTATTGGTCTCCGATGGCATATTTTATTAGCATCAGGTTATGCTGAGCTCGTTCGAGCTCGGCTTGCGATACCCGTGAGTAGCATCTTTCTCTTCTTCGAGTTGATGGAATAAACCGCTGACAATGTTTCTGGTCTACAGATTTCCAACCCGCATCACATTCAATCATCCATCTGCATCTGTACACATACTCAGCAACATCATCGACATCAGCATCGTCATGAAGGAGGAGAGGAGAACATACAAACAACCGGCATTGTTTTAGTTTTCGGTTTTGACAGTAGTTTCGAGTTTCGCGATAATACTGGGGACGAGACATTGGAATTCTCGTTCCCATTCTTTGTTCTTCGGGGAGGTGGTAGCTTTATTTTCGGTTTCGGTTTTCTTGTCAGACTCGATTTTGGGCGGTAAAAAGTGACAATCGAGATTGGTCAAACTATATTTCGTATCCTGCGACAGGTCCCTTTGTGGCAGCCTGCACACGAAGATCGGCTACTGCTGAAATACTCTGAATGGTTGAGCGGAATTCAAGGTCAGCTTACCATCGGCCAATGGTGCGGGGAGAGCGAGGGCGTCACCAAGCGGCAGAGCCTCACGCGATGGTCAAAAAGCTCAATAATGAGTGAATTAAAATTATAAGGCATGGCGAACTTTACAATGCGACACAGTGATTTGTGACCAAGCAGACGAGCGACTATTCCTCTTGGATACGATTACTTGAAGAAAGTAAGGACGACGGTGGAAACACCGGTAAGTCCCAGCACAGCGTAACCGGTGGCGTAGGCGCCCTTGACCGAGAGGACTATTACACAGTCAGAGAAGGGTGTGTTGGGAGACAACGTCGAGACTCACATTTGCCAGCATCCCAAGCCAAATGCCTCAAGCCGTTCCAGGCGTGGTAGGAGAATGGAGCGGCGAGGATGGCCTTGCCGGCGTACTTGACACCGTCGGGGAGACCAGCGACAAACTCGACGACGTGTGCGCTGTCGAAGGTGCCGGGGGCGATAAGGTAGGCGATCGAGAAACCGTACAACACTAGATTCTGGTAAGCGCTAGTTGTAAACGGTATGAGGAACCGGGCGATACGCACAGACACTGAGGCCAGCACCAGTGACACGGTTAGCAATAGATCCGAGCCATGTAAGCTGGGGTTGGTAGATGGTGAAATGGGGGCTGCTGGGTCGCTTTAGTCGTTGCTTGTTGAGGAGTTGGAGGTTCTCGGCGGGGGTCAGGGACTCGGTTTGGACGAATCTAATCGCGATATTTAGGCGCTAGTCTCTTTCAATAAACGCGTTTCCTTCTCACCTCCTGGTAATGGAGTTTCGCAGAACAACCTGGTTTCGCACTGCAACCCCGCATTAGCCAATCTGTCCTCCAATCAAACGACCAAATAACGCACGGGTCCTTGGGGTGAAAGCGGCGGTTCGAAGGGCAGAACCCAATCCAAGAGCTCGAGAGGTCATCATTTTTGGCTGCACCGTCGGTCGGTCTTCAATCTGCTGGTGGTCGTTGGGGTAAAATGCGTCGTCTGTTCGGGCAACGGTGAGCACCGGGTCTGCAATGCGAATCAAACTCCGCCCCGCTGATTGGCTGGCTTCCGTTCCACGTGATTGTGTTCCGGTGTGATTCCGGGAGAAGCCGGCTGAGGAGTGCCGTTGCCGTGCCGATGGGCGCTTGCGACCCTGCAGATTGGCGCTTAACATGAATCCAGAGATATTAGTTGTCCTGTCTCACAGGAGAGGCCGCTCACTTAAATTAAAGTGCTGTGTTGGCTCATTCTTCTCCTGTCTCAAGCCTTTGAAGTTATTGCTCCGGTCGGGACTCAGGCAACCATGATTTTGGAAATCATGTAAGAGTTCAGGCTATGGGACAATCAAACGATATGAGACGCTGCGAAAGATGTTGTATAGGCAGATACGGAGGGACTTACCGGGGTGCACCTCTTCTATTGAGAAGGAGAACAGTTGGCTAAAAGTAACTGTCTCTCTATCTGGGATGTTTGCACTGGAAGGCGATGCCAAACACCGCCAGCTGGCGCCCCGCCGACCAACCGTTGCTTGTGGTCCTCCACTAACGACAAGGACTTCGACCCTCAGAATGACCTTTCTGACAGGGTCTTTAGGACTTCTTCAACCTCAAACTTCCGCATAATCACCTTTTGTTCGTGAACGACCCCCCGTTGGTGGACCTCAGCCCTTCCTGTGGACGAGATCAAGGAGCTATACCCATCCTGAATGTCGCTGAAATGAAGCGTGAAGGTCACAATACATCCCCAGAAACGTCTTGCAAATAACTCAATACATAAGCCGGCGGATAACGGCCTAGAAGAATCAGGGGCACATCTATCGGCCTCGCCTGCACTTCGACTCTCATTCAACATCCCAAAAGGATCGTCCTTTCTAAAGAAGTCAACTACATACACAGCCGGACCCGGAGGACAACCCCAGGTTAAACCTGTGGCCATGATCCCAGACTCATCGCGGGCCAAACACGGCTTAACTTAGGCCGACTCATACCAGGGCTATCTTGCACGGGATAGCCCTGGTATGCCCCGTCAATGCACCCAGGTTAAACCACCGAATGGCCTTGGGTTCATTGCCCTTTCTTTTTTCTTTTGCTGCTCGTCGACCTTCCGGGTCCTCCCGCCTTTCCATTTCTTCTTCATCTAGCTCGAAAATTGAATACAAATTTTTCTTATTGCATCTACCTATTAGACTACCGCACATTACCATACAAAATACTGTACCGAGTGCTCAAGCCGACGAAACGATACATGAAACCAAAATCAAGTCAACTATCTGAGAGGGAAAAGTACAAGTCAGTGTGAGGAAAGACGGTTTAGGAGCGAGGGGACATACCATCGGGGCGGCGTGCTCTTTTACAAATAGCGGTGGTAGGCTGCACTGGCAACCCACGATACCTGGAAAGAACCATGAGCCCGTCAGTGATGGTGGTTTAGAGAAGCGAAGACAAACATACCTGGAGTTGAGAACTGTAGCCTGTCAACGTTGACAGGCTACAGCAACCCTTAGGCAATAATCGAGCACGGCCAATAGACGAGGAACTACTGCAAGAAAGTTAACTCAGCGTGTGGATTTGGAATTAGACGAAGAGAGGGCTCACCTGAGACCGAAGCAAAACTCACCGGTGTGGTCGTGCCAAAGCTGCGGACGTGGCGATCGCGAAAAGTCGTCAGCAAGGGCACATTCATATTGTCTAGATGCGTCACTCTTTGATTAGTCGAGCCTTACGTCGAAATAGAGAGGATGGGAGACCAACTTGATTTGTTAAGTGGTCTCCTGATGGGTCTATGCTGGCAGTAAGACTGAGAGTGTGGGGGAGAAAGCCGTAGGCTTTCGCTCTGGGAAGGCTAGCCTGACACTGTGAGAAGGGACGAGATGAGCCGCGAGGGTGGGTGGGTGAAAAACACCGACTCGCGCTGCTCGTCTCGGTTTCCCTTTGCTTAGCCGCTCCTCAGAGAGTGCGGGAGCTTGACGTGTTTACTCTTGACGAGGGTAGGGTGCTAAATTTCTAATGATTAGTGCATTTGCTTCTACAATAAGATCTAGGATGAGGCTTCTAGCGAGCAATCTAGCGGGCGTGGGTGTGCGTGTATCTATGGGTAAATCTATGTGGGGCGTCTATATTTGCAGGGTCTGAGTCTGGTCTGTTCGTGTATGATGGAAGTGCGAGGGCGTGATCAAGCTGGTATTACTGGAGGGGTTAAGGTGCCGTTCGGAACCGGTGAGTTGGGGTTGAGTCGAGAGCCTTTCGGATGCTGGGTCTGCCCTCTGCTAGCGTGGACGAGTCGGTGTAGTGGGAGAGGAGGGTGGGTAGACGAAAAGCGACGAGTGCTCTATTTCGACGAGGGAGACGAGCGATGAGGTGGTGATGGTCGAGGTGCAAGCGAGGCTGTGGCGGTGCACCTCGACTGCCGGCTCTGATCAAAGACAGAGCCCTACCTCTCCGCTCGTTCCTCACTTCACGCTAGGGCAGAATCTTTGATTAGTCGAGCCTTACGTCGAAATAGAGAGGATGGGAGACCAACTTGATTTGTTAAGTGGTCTCCTGATGGGTCTATGCTGGCAGTAAGACTGAGAGTGTGGGGGAGAAAGCCGTAGGCTTTCGCTCTGGGAAGGCTAGCCTGACACTGTGAGAAGGGACGAGATGAGCCGCGAATCCCAAAACACGGTAGGAGCCTTGTGACGCTTCGAGCGAGTCTCGGACCCCACTTCTGGTAGGAACAAGGTGCTGCCGTCTGCGTTGCACGGCGATGGGAAGAGGAAACGAGAAGCTTACTTACCCAAGCGAAGAGAGCTCGTTGTTTCAGCGCCGGACGGGCGGTATTACGACATCTAGGAAGTCCTTGTGTACGACTGGGTTGGCCTGGATGTAGGGTGCAAGGATTTGGGCATGTTCGCGCAGGTAGTCGAGAAAGGCGTCGCTTGCCCATCGTCCTTTGGCCTTCATGGCTTCGAATGACACACCCCGCAGGAGGTACTCGAGGGTGGCGCCGATCCGTATGCAGTGGCCCGAGATTTTGACGATGTTGGCTCGAGCACCCGCCTGGTTGACCACCTCGAGAAACTTCTTCATTGTGAGCGCCTTGTGTGTTTCTTTTTTCCCATTTTTCGTGCGGTAGGCGAACAGGGGCCCGTCTGGAGGGGGCTGGTTCACTTGCAGGTGGTTTTCGAGGGCGGATTTCGGGTCGACAGTGCCGTTCTGTTGAGCCCACGAGACGTCTTCCCCGCTCATGCTCGATTTGGTGCGTGGTAAGTGGAAGACGGTGACCTCCTGCCCACGCCTGTCGACTTCCACGCGTATGTCTGATGGCTTGACGTGGGTTTTGTCGAAGGCGTTGAGGTTGGGCAGGGTGAACTCTCCCAGGCGAGCGGCAGCGTAGAAAGTTGTGGTCAGGCAGGCGAATGTTGCGGCGTGGAGCGGGTTGTTGGGGTCGAGCTGTGCGTGGATTCGCCTGATGTGGTCCTCGGTTACTGGGGTTCTCTTCGCCTTCTTTGACGTTGGAGGTGCGTTCCGCTCTCCTGCTCGTAAAAGAGCTTCGAGCTCCGTGTCGTTGGGGACCCATCTCACTCCGTGCATGATGTGCCAGGCACGGACCCCGAAGACGTAGTTTCGGATCGTTTTTCCGCTGTACAGGCCGACCAGACTGGTTACGAAGGCTGCCAGAAGGACAGGGCTGGCTGGGGCACGTTGGTGCTCGTCAATTCCCCGTTTGTCGCAGAACGCGTGGTAGACGAGGAGGCCGGTTGCATAGGTTTCTTGCGTGCTGGGTGCCCAAGCGCCTTGGATTGCGGTAGTGATGTCTTCGAGGTCTTCGGGCGCAAGGTTTGTTGGCTTTCCTTGGTGGTCCAGTGTGTTGCGCGCGATTGCTGGTTTCCACGTTCGCAGGCGATCCTTTCCGGGTACGTTGATGGGCCTGAGGTGACTGGCTGACGTGTTAGGTGGTATCCCGTTTGGCATTGCACTAGATGTGTTGCCTGAACTCTGCGAGGGTGCGGGCCTCCTCCGCTTGGGAGGATTGGAAAGATCCTCTTGGGAGTTCTGCTTTCGCTTTTGCACTCGCTTTGATGGGTGATGGATTGGGTGGCTGTTGGGAATCGAAGTCGGCGACGAATTTCCGGAGGTAGTTGGGGATAGGTATGTGAGGGAGGAGGTCCTCGGGGCTGCCGTAGATGCCTCGCGATGGGAGGTCTGCAGGATTGGAGGCGCTCTTGACGTAATGGGTGTGAAAGGCGATGCTGGAGCTCTTGCTGAGAGCGTGTACTTGACGAAAGATGAGGTTCGTCTGCCAATTTCGGCTTCTTCCTTTCCACCAGCCTTCAACGACCCCCCTGTTGTCTCCATACAGTTGGATGTGCGAGCCCTTTTCCGCTCCAAGACCTGCTGCAGCAGTGGCAAGGAACAGGAAGCCGACTGCTTCTGCCCATCCGATGTCTCTCCCTTCTGCTTTCCATCCGGGGAGGAGCTTCCAGGCTCTCCACTTGGTGCCAATGACAATGCCGATGCCGATTTCTGAGCTAGCATCCGAGAAACCATTGATGTCGATGATGGGTGGGTGTTCTTTGATTTCTCTTCGTCGCTCTGTGTTGAGAAGTTGGTCTTTCCACCAGCGTAGATCCTCGGGAGTATGGCGAGGAGGGGTGAGCTGGCGGTGTGGCTTGTCTCGGAAGATAGCCATGAAGGCTTCGAGGTTTGTGAGGTAGGCTCTCCCCTCTGGGATGATATGGCACGTATGAAGGAGCTTGCCATAGAGTTGTTGGGCATCGAGCAAGTCGTGGGTTGTCGCGCTCTCCCACTCTGCGATAGCTGACAAATACTTCTCACGCTTGGCAGGCGTGAGCGCGACCCACTTGTCCTTGACATTCCAGAGGAAGCCGATGTAGGCAACAATGAAACCGAAAGGGATATCTTTTTCTTTTGCGATTGGGATTCCCAGATCGTTGAACAGGCTGTCGAGGTCAGACATATTGTATGCGTATTGCGCGTCCTCGCGGAGTTTGCTGGGTGACGGCAGAACTCTGAGGGGTTGGGTCTGGTCTTCGTCGAACTCTTCGGGGTGGCCGTCTGGTCTGATGGACCCTGCGAACCAAATTCTGCCGCCGTCCTGCCTCTTGCCACCATTGTCTCGGATTTCCTTCGCCCATTTCTTCCTCTTCTGGTTGTACCCTTCCACCTCTGATGCGAGAAGTCGGAAGAACACAATGTCATCGACCCATTTGGATAGTGGACCGATGCCATGCGCCCTGGTGAGCTGCGCGCCTGCATCTCCCACTCGCCCGTAGACCCCTCCTCCAGACGCGAGGCCGAAGCAGTCGCGCAAGTCAATTGCGAAACTGTTATCGTCAATCCGTACGACAATTCCAGGCCATTGAGAGGGGTGGAGGGGAATGGTGCGGTATGCTTCCTTGATGTCACGTACGGCTGCTTGTGAGCCGGGTGGGAGTCTGGCAATGATGAGGTAGACCGTGTCGAAGGTTCCCCAGGTGCAGGGGTAGTTATTGGAGTTGATGTGGCTGTTGATAGACGTGATTGGGCCTGGGAGTGCTGAGTGCGGGTAGGATAGATTTTGTATGAGCCTGAATTTCCCGGGTTTTCCTGCCTTTGGGATGATGCTAAGTGGTGAAGTTTGGAAGGGGCCGAGCAGCGCCTCGACTTCTCTCTTGGAGAGTGGTCCGACGTAACGTCCAGCGTCGTATTCAGCTTGTAGTATTCCTCGAAAATGCTCAGCAAATTCCGTGATTGAGGGTTTATTCGGTGGGGTGAAAGTGATCTTGATGTGGGGTATGCCGGCGTGGAAGCCCTCACGAAGGCCTTTGGGAATGTCCGCAAATTCCGGGAGAAGTCCTGCTTCTCGAAGTCGTTGTTCCCATCGGTCGGCTCGGTAAGGGGATCCTGGGTCATGCTGTTTGGCCCTGAGGACAGCTTTGAGCGCCGTGAGACGCGTCTCCGCATCCTGAACACCGGTGTTTCGAATCGTGAGCCGTGCTCGGACAGCCTCGACTGGATTGCCAGTCGGAACATAATGTGATCCCCCCGTCGATGGTGATGACGCGCCCATTTTCTCCTTTTCGACAATGTGCCGGCGTTCCATTGTGCAACGTCTTGGATTGACACGCGTAGGTGTTGTGTGGGTGGCGCCCCAGGCAGATTGTGCACGCGGACAGGGGCGCTCTCTCCGATGCACGTCGCTGAAAAGGCTTGTTGGGCTCTCGGCGATGGCTCGAGGCTCGGTTTGTGGCCCTGCGAGGTGACCTTGAACGCCCTTTCTTGCGCGGGCTCCCGTCGGGAGAGAGGCTTCGAGATCTTGCCCTCTTCCGAGGGGAAGATCTCCCTCTCCCGTCGCTCACATAGTGTTGACTCATCTGACGCTCGAGGCTGTTTTGGTATGGGTTGTGTTGGGTCAGGCGGAGTACGATGAAGCACAGCATAAGATTTGCGAAAAGACCGATGTACAGCAGCGGTAGTTGATAATTGAAGCAAAGAAGCGTGAGGCAGAATGAAAACGGGGCAGCGGGCGGTGGTACCGGGACCGGTCGCGATGCAGTCATGATGCAGTTATGCGAAGCAGGGGGCGCGATGCGCGAGATGTGATGCGTGATGCACGATGCAATGCCCGTTGGGATTCCCGTGGGTTGAGGGGGGTGATTGGGGAGGCAGGGAAGTGTTAGTGACTGGTTTTGCGGGCGCGAAGGTGAAGGTACTTACGCAGCTATTCCCGCCTCCTGTGCTTCTCTGAGGATGTCGTCGTAGATGCGTTGGAGCCTGACCTCATTGATCTTCCCTATGTCGAAGATGGGGTCGTCTCCTGGCGCCTTCAGTGCCTCGAAGAACTCTCTTCGTACCTCCGCGTGATAGCGGATGATGGCTGCTTCACCCCGGGGTTGAGTGCGGATGTCGTGGGTCTCGAGGGAGTAATAGAATGTCGTGAGGGCAAGGATCATGTCGTCTCCCCATGCTTCCTCCTTTATGACTTGTAGGAAGACGTTTTTGGCAACGGAGATGGCGCTCCACGTCATGTTGTGGTCCTTTGTGACCCGGGAAAGCGGCTGGTGGGCTGCAACGGGCTTGTATACGATTTGCTGGTTGATCTCAACAGGGGCCAGAGCGTCGCTCCCGGTGGTGCGTTCCAGCTCCGTGGCTTGTTTGCAGCCCTCCGGGGAGAAATAATACAGATCCACGAAATCGAAGTTGCGAGTTTTCGACCTTGCGAAGGTTGAAACCTTCGTCGCTGACTTGGTGTCGACCGGTTTGTCGACAGCGATGACCTTGGCTTTCCTCTTCGTCTCCCTGGTTTTGAGTTCGCTTTGCTGCTTCTCGAGGACCTCTTTGGCGAGCTTGAGTTGTTCCGCTTCTATCCTCCTTCTCTCTTCTTCCTGTTCCTTTCTCTCCCTTTCCAGCCTGTCCTGTTCCTCCCTCTCTAACCTCGCTCGTTCGCGTTCATCTTCCTCGCGCTGTCTCTCCTCCTGTGCTTGGTTGTACTGCTGTAAGCGGTGCTCGTGGTCTGCGGTCCAAGAGTCCACCAGCGACTTGACGAGTTCGTCTAGTGTCTGCCCTTCCTTGAGTTGCTGTTCTAGGATCGGCCTGAGGGCAGGGGCGTTGAAATCTGGCATGACCTCTTTGCTGGGGTCTTGGAGCTCTACCTCGGCCATGGTGCTAGTGTGGAAGGTTGAAATCGATGTATTCGCGGGAAGTAGTGAAGAGAATATGGACGAAAAGCGACGAGTGCTCTATTTCGACGAGGGAGACGAGCGATGAGGTGGTGATGGTCGAGGTGCAAGCGAGGCTGTGGCGGTGCACCTCGACTGCCGGCTCTGATCAAAGACAGAGCCCTACCTCTCCGCTCGTTCCTCACTTCACGCTAGGGCAGAATTTACCCCCTTTGCCAAACTGCTCATATGCTAACTGATGGGCCGCAGCGTGGGTGGCGATGGTGGTGGTTCAGAACAGAATAACGCAAGTTCGTTCAACGTTCAAGTCGAACATGTTGATTTTCTCGAACTTCGCGCACGTGATCGCGAGAAGTCAGATAGGGCGTTGGGACAACGAATGGTCAACGTTTCAACGTTCAACCCAGGTTTCAACGAATATTGGGTTCGGGACAAATCATTGAAATTGGTACAGGGGTTGTAACGGAAGTTCACCCGCGCTCATAATTGTGCTGAATGCGCGAGGTTGAACCCGATCACATCCCGGGGTTCAAACTCCTTTTAAACCCAGCACATCCGAGCCTCGGATGAGCTGGGGCCATACGAACGGCTGGGTGTGTATGTAACGGGGTCAGCACCTTGCCATCAAAGTCCCCAGCATTTGATCAAGTGCGTTGAATAGAGCGATCAGGCGAGACCTCATATCTTTTCAATATCGAAGGCGCTAATGTCGGCATTATGGACTGGCCTTATGTTAGCGCTTTTGATGCTCTTGCCCTCCGCCGTGATGGCGTACTAGAGCCTTCTGATCCTCTATTCTGTTTCTGCCCTTCGTTGCACACAAACGAGTTCTTCTGTCAAGTTCCCCATTCTCCAGACTGAACTATACATAGCCTCCAGTGTCCAGTGTGGCATAAGACCTCCAGTGGTGAATGACTTGACCATAAATAGCCAGAACACATACCTCTCCCGACTGCGACGCTTTACTACTCTTCAATAGACCTGGTCCCTCTTCTACTTGAACGCCGGAATTTGTGCGGCCCAGCGGTTCGGAAGTTGCCCTCGGATAACGCCATGGAGCAAGATTCAGCGAATAGTCTCCGCCCTGTCAATTCAAGCCAATTCAATTTTTGAGGGGCTGGTTCAAGGACCGAGGTGAATCTGTGTGTTCCTGGCGGAGACCATTACGATGGGTAAAGGTGAGCGTTCCCTCATTTAAACATGCCCAGAGCGACGCTAAACGATGTAAGGCTCGCGTTTCTGCCACGAGCTAGTGCTAACCGAGTCTGATCGTTGTGGCGAAACGTGGCTTTCAGTCGAATGTCGTCGATGCGAATATTTCGATACCTTTTAAGGTAACGTAAGGCCTCCTGATCGAAGGCTAGCGAAGCGTTGATCGTCCCCTTTAGCAAGTGTTGGGAGGTGTTGGGGGCATGGGCCGCAATGTGACTGGATTCTAGAAATTCACTGCATCGTCTTCTATCCTTCCCTCGAAACCTTTGGTAAATGTTTTCCAGCTCGTATGCAGACGTTGGCATTGTGGGCTGGTGGGAAACTATAGTTAACCTCGTGGAAAGAAAGCGTTTGAACTTTGATCGCCTCTCTCGCCGACTTCCACGCCACCTCCACTTGGTTTCCTTCAAGGCAATCCTCCTCGGTTCGGGTTCACCACGGGACGCCCCTCGACTTCCCGACGGCTCCGCCACTTCCTTTGCTTGATTTCACAGGGCCTTTGGTGAGTGCCCAACTCAATTCACCTACCCGAAATCTAAGGGAGTTGCCGTACAGGAAGCCCTCAGGCTTGCCGTAAACCCCGGGCAGGGAAGAAGAGCGGTTTCTCCTACGCTCAGCAGATTCTCATGTTACAATCGCGATTGATGGTGAGAATCTCTACACATACGATGTCAAAGCGCATTGGCTAACAAATAACTCAGAGAAACTTTATAACCTTGGTACCAGGAAACCGATGTGATTCGGGTTCGACGTCGCTCTTTCCCCGCCTAACGCCTAACTCCCCCCTTCCTTTCTCGAGCGCTCACCATGAGCACAACAGAACTAATCGACACCTTTCGAGCCCAAAAACTAGTCGCGGTGAGCCTTTTGATGTCCTTTAAGTCACCAAGAAGGCGTGTTCTAACGTACCGGCTCCACGATGATGCTAGTACTTCAATGGTATGGGCTTCACCATCTGCGATTCATTTAGAACCTTTACATTGATAGGTTCTGTCGATCAGTTGCCAGTGCTGTGATCCTGGTTCGTGTTTATCACCATCTTTGCGCCCACCTCAGAGAGCTAACTGCGCTTCAGTTCTATGAGCACCTCATCACGTTTGACGAAGAGCTTCGTTCAATATGGACTCAACGCTGGACATTGAGCAAGTTGCTCTACGTTTTCATGAAATACTCGGCATTTCTGCAGGTCGGAATCATCATGTGGCGTACGTCGCGTTTCTCTATCGTCTTGGTTCTCGCCTTCTCACATACCTTGTCTTCTCTGTGTTTAGAACAGGACGTGGTGAATACAGACGGAGAAGCATGTCTCGTTTCTTTTCATGTAACTGCATGTACGTCGCGCTTCTGGGAACCTTGGGTGACCTTCGAACAATACTGACCTCTCCTTCCTTGCTCAGGGCTCTTCGTAATTGGTCTTGGAATCGGAGAGAGTGAGCTAGATTTCAGTCAAGAACGCCCTAACGACTTCTCATGGTTCTCTTCACGGAAACAGTGTTGCTCAGCATCCGAACATGGGCCGTATGGAAGAAACCTCGTTTAATGGGAATTCTACTCGGAATCTTCTGGGTCGTTGTGTGGGGTGCAATCTTTGGAATCCTCGCCGTGTTTCTCAAGACTGTCCGGTGTAAGTACTCGCTCAAACAGGGCGCGATCCCCAATTTTCTCTCGTGTGGGCGCTTCACCGCTGACACCTCGGACTTTAGTCGACCCTGATCCCAACTCTCCGTTCCCTGGCTGTTTCATCAGCAATGGCGACCCGATCTTTTTCCTTGACTATTTGCTTTTGTTGGTGTATGACACTGGTGAGTATTTCTGTTTGTGGAACCGGCCATACGGGTTCGTGTGGGCGCTTGGTTGACTTTGTCCACTTCCCTTTAGTGATGCTTATTCTGATCTTGATCCCGGCGTACAAGTCTTGTGAGTTTGCAATTCTTGACCATTGACGAAGGTCCAGAGCTAACGTCATATTCAGACAGAATGGGCGGCTCTTCTGAATTTGTTCGTAATGTTTACAGAGATGGTACGTACTCCGACAGCCCGTTTCCATTCGTCGTGTTAATGACTCTCGATTAGGTATCCTGTACTATCTGTATCTCTTCGGTAAGAAACCCGACGGCATCGCGCCAACCAAGATACTTATCGTGATTCTTCGCCAGTCCTCTCTCTCATTAACATCATCGTCATTGTCAAACTTCCGGTGTGTGATACATATCACTGACCTGCACGGCCGAGACCATGCGCTGACTGTAACGACTGTAACAGTTCGACATGAGCACCATCCTGTCGCAGTGCGTACCTAGGTGCCATCTCATCCAAGGCATTCTTCTGATCTCAACTCCTACAGATTCGAGCGGGTACTGCATGCCGTATTCACGGGCCGCGTTGTCCTGAACATCCACGCGCAGAGTCGCGACCGCGAAGAACTAGCAAGTTACGTTTCCTCCGTAGGGGGGAGACGAACTGAAAACGATGGGGTCATCCTAGTCCCCATTGGCGTTACCACGACGCAGACGTTCACCGATTCGCAAACCAAAATTTCAAGAGGACGAGCTTGATTTTCCTGTGCCGCTATTATGGACGATGGGTTTTATCCATTATTTTGCCTTGTAGTTGCGCGTTCGCCCTCTAGTTGTAGCATTAGACTTGTTTTGTATTCCTGTATTTCTACACTTTATGACTTAGACGACATGTAAAATCAGTGTCATGTCCGAGAGGAGGTACGCCTCTGCTGATCAAGCGCCCCTGGTTAGTTAACTTGAGAGTCGAGCGGTAGTAAACGGCTCTTGAGATATTCTGGATCCTCAATAAGACTCTGTCTGTCCTCTCCGTTGATAGTCTCCACCCCACTGAGAACAATGGCAAGCGCACTCTTGCACCACCTGCCATTCCAATCCGAATGACCGAACACGTCGTATCGGAGGTGACGAAGTTTCCAATTGGTAAAGAGATGGCCGCACTCGAGGATTGCGAGGCAGAACAACTTGGAGTACTGCGTCGGCGGTCAGTCATCCAGCGGTATCGGAGGACAGAGAACTAGAAAGTGGAATACTTACTGGTGTTGATCGGCTTCCTGTCTGATGAGGCCCAGAACCCACGGAGGGATCATCGTCTCGCCCTCCTTGAGTCCATAGGTCGAATCCGAGATACAGTGTGTGTAGGTTGGGAAGCTTTGCCATGAGTAGGAGGAGTAAATCCGGTCCACATCGCTGGGGTAGGATCGAGAGGCTCTTGAGGGCGTCGCCTTGAAGTGCCTCTACCAGTTTCTCCGCTTCCGAGAAATTCAGGAATTTGCCCTTCAAAGAGAAGTCATGCAAAGCGTGCTGACTGACGCAGGAAGAGAGCGCGGATATCTTGGGTCCGCCGAGTAAATCGAGGTGAAGCGTTGTCAATGTCGAGAATGGGATTGACAGGATGCGGGGGACGAGGTCCCAGTCTGAGCTCTTGAAGCCCTTGGTAACCGAGAAGGGCTCCAGAGAAAGGGAGATCTTCTGCAGTTGCGTTTTGTACTGGACGAGGAAGCGCTCCACCGCCCGAAGACACTTAGCGCTTGAATCTCCAGTGAGGAAGGCGGAGAGCTCGAAAGTTGATAGTCGTGGGAGGTGTGCGGGGTTCTCAAAGATGATTGTTAACAACGAAAGGGACTCATCGGCGTCTTCGTCGAGCGAGGACAAGTTCGACAGCTTCAATTCCTCGATTGTGTCCTTTTGGAGGTTGACGAAGTCGCAGAGTATACCTGCTTCGGACGCGGAGACTGTCTTCCCTTCTGCACGGATAGGGGTAAAGACGTGTATGTGGAGCTCTCGCAGATTGGAGAAGTGAATTGTCGATAGCTGGAGGCCTTTGTACGCTTCCAATGGAATTTGGAGCTGCAGGGATTGTAGTCTTGATGAGTAGACCTTAAGAGCTGGGACGATGTAGATGGACTTTTCGATGAATTTGGTGTATTCATCGGAGTGGCAACAGTACAGGTCCAACGAGGTCAGGTTTGTGAACTCTTTGAGGCTCTGAAGGAGGAGGTGGGCCTGCGGATCGTCGATGGGAAGTGAATGTGGCCGGAGGTACAGGGATCGAACGCGGTCCACGACGATTTGGTGAGAGAATCTATACTCAACAGTGAGAGCATAAATCGGCTTCTGGATACAGACCAAGGCATACTTACTGGAGTGCTTTTAACAACTTTTGAGTTTTTCTCTCCGCGAGGTAATGGATGCGGCCTTCTCGATAGCGCTCGTCCAAGATGATGTTGTAGATGGTTCTGTTGACGCGGCGTAGGTTAAAGTGGCGGTCTTTAGGGACGTATCGGAGGACATGTAGCCATAACTCGTATGGAAGATCAGGCATTGCGCTGGACAATGTGGGAGGCGAAGAGAAAGGACGTGGCTGACATGAGTGTCGTGCGGAGAGACAAATCACATCAGATGAGATCCTGTTTTCATAAAGTTTGGGATTTGCTGTGCAAGAGTCGAAGAACGCCCAAGGAAAAGACGCCCAGGAGGCGTCTAAAGTGGAAAAACAGAGTGCCCCTCGCCCTGCGAACCCAGGGATCACTGAATCGAGTAAGGTGTTTACCAAGAGGGGTGAACGATCGGATGACAAAGGCCCAATGTCTCAGACGCGTCCGGAAGATAAATACCGCGAGGATTTTGCAAAAGACAAGAGTCGAGCTTTTTCTCTCCTTTTCCCCACCTCCAGACTTCAGGACTAAGACCCTAGGAGACACTACCGTTCGACAGCGACTCCCGCCATTATGGAATATGACCACGTTCAGCTCGCAGGCATGCCAACCATGCATGCTGAGAGCCCCTAACTGTCCTGACGGTCGCTGAAGGCGATCCATAGACTCATCGATAAGCGCATAGGCATGGTGACATTCCTGCGCAGATCCCATTGGTACCTACTGCCGACTGGACTACGCATCGACTCTTCTGTTGCGAGGGGTTTCGAGGGTTTCTTGACGTTCTGAGGCTATTCGGGCGACGTGGCGTCGGGAGTGCTCCAGAGGTTCCTTACAGACGAAGGAAATTCATTCCGGCTGTCGCATTCGAATCCAGAAGGACTGCTGGCCACGGGAGCATCGCAATTCATCGCCAGGAACGCCTGGTAGTTATTGCCTTTCCGAGAAGAAGACAGCATAGCGGCACGTGACCAAAGTTGGATTTAGGGGAGCGCGTTCCACGGTGGCGACCTTTTCCCATCCCCCATCCTGCCTCTGGGCTTATATACCCCCAAAATCCCCCAACCGACCCATAAACCGTCCAGATAATGTAAGTCCTTTGATCCATCTTGTGTAGACGGCAACTGACCCCAGTTTTGAAGATTGGAAGGCCCCACGTTCACTACTACTAACGACTCTAATTTACAGGAAAACGTCACGACAAATCTCTCCTTTGCAACCGAATGGCTGCACCCACCCAACACTATCCCCCATGGCTGACGCCGTCGCAGGTTGTGGTGACGGACGCTGCCGGGGCGGTCTCCACTGAGACGACCATCGTATACTTGCCACTCACGTACTTGGGTCCCAGTGTAGGTTCAAGCTTCTGACAGTGGAGCTTCTGCTTGAAATCTAACTTAACGCTGTGCAGATACCCTTGGGAGACTTGTATACCTACGGTGGATCAACATGGCCCCCGACACTCGTCACTGGATTCCCTTCGACAACGGAAGCCACTTCCCCGACTGATTCCACAGCGATACCTCCAACAACAACTACACCCACCTCTGCGACACCCACTCCCACATTATCCGAATCAACAGAGCCAACTTTGGTACCACCCACCGCCACGTCTATTTCCACCTCATCCGTAACATCCGGCACCCCGTCAGAAACGCCGACAGATGTCTCGCCCACCGGCGGTCTCAACAGGGGACAACTGGTTGGAGTTATTGTCGCAAGCATCCTAGGCCTCATCTTTTTGTTCGTTTTCCTCTTGGCCATGTGGCTCTGGTGCAAAGGCCGAAGGAATCGGCGTTCTTCGCAGTTCTACTCAGTCACGCCAATCGAAGAGGACTACTACATCGTTGGAGAGGAGAGTCGCACACCCGGAGAAGGTTCACCACGTCACAGCGGTGAGGAAGCTGATCCTTTCCTTCAAGCGAGATCCAATCGCCCCATGGAAGAGGTCAGCACAGAAATGGGTTCCCGCCCCGCCGTTCCCCGTGTCCCCGTTCCCAACACTAGTCTTTCGTCTTCCGGTTCCTCCTCCACCAACGGCTCCGGCTATGGTACATTGCTTGAGAGACCTACACTCGGCATATTACCTCCGATGTCAGAAGAAGGCGAATTCGGTCCGGGTCGTTATCAACTGACGCCAGACGAGATGCGCCGGTTGGAGAACGAATCTGTCCTGCCTCGAGAGGAAGAAGAGTACACTGGCGCCTACGCCATCGCCCAAGACCCCGCTCTTGCTCCGCCTCGGCTAATCGACCCTGACAACACTTTTGGCGCACACGACGATATTCCTCGCCTGCCACCTCAAGTCCAACACCGTGCGCGGGAGTCCGTTGCCTCCAACCCGTCCCTTGGTGACTCCGAGGATGCTGCGTTACTCACAGCCAGACGAGTTCGAGTTGAAGGAATGTCCCAGCCAGGGCTGACTGAGGGTGCAGGTTATACTCGGAGTGGATTCCTGGACGCCATTGGATTGTCAAACCTCACTGACCTCGCCAGGATGAGTTGGTTCACTTCCGTTAATTCACCCACCTCTTCTGCACGCAACTCGGGCAATTCGGCACGCTTCCATGCAGTCCCTTCATCGGATAATGACGTCGAAACTGGCCGCGGCCAACTCCGTCCTGCAGACAGCTTTGGACGGGTCCGGGACGGCCTTATTCTATTTGGTACAGATGGCGATCGTCCTTCGTCGCATCTGAGCTCAACCTCGGCTTCCGGCAATACCATCTGGCACGACGCTCATTCATCCCTTCCCGGGACACCCCAGTTGGCAATGCCTCCCCGGGCAATCACTCCTGCAGACGTGCGCTTCACCGAGCAAGATTGGCTCTCCGGCTTGGCCCTTCCAACTCGTCCACCTCCACCGGCCTACGAAGATCCCTTCCATGACAACAACTCCCGCACTCAGTCACCATCGCTCCCGGCTGATGTCGACCCATTGGATCTTCCAGCTCCTACCGCCCTGTCGCACTTTGCCTCCACCTCTTCGATGCCCGATACCGGCACCGTCAGCAGCGTTGGCCTGTCGAAGTACCCAGTTCCTCCTGGTTTGGAGTACGTTGCCAAAGGCAAGAGCTGGTCACAGGACGGTTCGCTGAGCGGTGCGTCCTCTACCGGATTCGATTCAGTCACCCATCGTGTCCGCTTGAGCGAGATTTCGGAGCATGGTACACCGGCCACCTATGACATGCTTGAGGATCAACCTCCCAATGCGCAAGAAACCTGGCGTTCTTTGGCTTCCTCTCATCATACGGGAGGTGGATTCGGTGAGCTCACCAGGAGGACTACGTTCGGCTTGGTAAGTGCCATTGCATTCGTTATGCGTTATTCCCTTGTACTGAAATTCTCTTCAGCCTCAGCTCACGCATCCGACTGGCCTTATTCCATCAGAGCAAGGTTCCTTGCACTCCATGCGGTCGCACATCAACCCTCCTTCGCTCCGGTCCACAGGTTCAGCACCAGCATCCCGCCACGAGTTGGAAGGGTCTCTCAGCTCCAATTCCTCTCGTCCATCCGCACACGGCTCGACAAGGTCTGCTGGTAGTGCAATGAGCTCCATCGGCCAATCCCTGGTGCGAGCAGGCAGCATCATCACTGATGGACGCCGCCGCTTCGATTCTTCGGCACCACCCCACTCTCCGTTTGGCAACCGTGGTTTCCAGACACCACCGCGGGCTGCTACGCCCGGTGGAGTAGGAATTTTCAAGCATGGCGAAGTCCCAACCATCGATGGATCTAACCCCTCGCCCAATCTTGAAATTCCTCCTGTCCACAAGAGTCCCGGCAGCGATCGTGCAAGTACAATCCGAACGGTGACCTCAGGTTCAACCGCCGTTCCTGATGGACGGGAGAGGACCTTGTCCACCAGGACGTATGGTGCCTCGAGCAGCATTGGCGAGGCTTCGGAAGAACCTTTGCCACTATCCACTCCGGCGCTTTCAAAAGATTGGACCCCTGCGCACTAGGCGGGCCCAACTCCCATTGTCGTCGCTGCATTGTTAGAATGCAGGATGACGCCTGTCTCCCACTCATCGATCCCTTGAGGGGATAGCCGCAGTGCGGGAGTTGTGGTGTGTGGTCTTAATCTTTATCTCAAAACCGTCGTAAACCGCTGCTTGATGTGCGCCTGTTTCGTTCATGGACATGGGCTCAGCCTGGACCTTTTTCTTGCTCTGACTGCTTACCCTTGGGACACTGACTATCCAACACTCTGATGAGATGTTATAACTGCGGGCATGTTTTATTCCGCTTGGGCAGTCTCTCCCGACTGACTGCTCGCCTTTGACATGATTTAGGATGGGGGTCCTTTATATCGTGTTTTGCGATGCGTCCGTCGGAGACTTCCACTGCACATGCGTTCTCTGCCACTATTTATGCCTGCCTGATGACCTGGAATTTAGACGACCATTTACGACGAGCTCTCTTTATAACTTCTGTCTTTTTTGTATTGTTTATCACCCTTCTTTTTTAGTTTACGACCTTTTATGACCCTCCCCTCTCCTCCCGAATCTGCGATACCTCTTCCTCCTCAACCGATCGTGATGACCCCTCTTCCTCTACCTCGTCTGTGCATTAGTTCCCTTTGCTTCGTTTACATACTTTGCATAGCATGCTCTCGTGTTCCCGTAGCTAGTTTTCGTTTGCAATGCATTGTGTTTGCTTTCTCTGTGGATGTTCGGACTCCTGTGATGACCAGAGAGGGTGGGATCAAAGTATTCTCACCCTAAACTGCGATTCGGATAAGTATAGTTCAACCTTTCGCGGCTTCTTGCTCCCATACCGCCATACGCACGCGCCAACCATCTTCACCTTCAATTCCTCAGCCACTGGACAACAGTCAGCGATGATTTGTCGCCACCTATCAGCAAATGCGAAATCGACCAGATTTGTGGATAATAACCCCGATGGTGGGCGCCGGCTTGAACGACTGCGGTAGCTCTGCCTCTGGAGGACAAACCCACGAATAACGGCGAGTAGAGCGAGATGAAGGTCTTTCGGAGAAGGCGCCTTTTGTCAGTTCTTCTCCCTGCTGCCGCGGTCCTCGCGAGCGTTGCGCAGATACCTCTCCAAGTGAACGAAAGGACGTCATGGAGAGAAGATTCTCTACCCTGGAAGTTCGACCACGGTCTCTGGCAAACGCAGACGAGGAGTAACCTTGTCTTTGACGGGGTGAGCTCTTTGCTCCAGCAATGGGGGAATACACGGTATCGTAACGGTGAGTCTCTTCCCTCAAATTGCTCCCCAATCCAACGGCGGCTAATACCACGATGCATGCAGGCCTCAACATCGTTCCTGCAACAATTCCAATTGGCACCCTGTTCTACCACGGAACTTGGAAAGAAGAAGCACCCTCTGGACCTGAATGGGTGGCTACCGACCCTGAACACGCGTACCTCTTTTGTCGGGAGATGCAAGACGACCAAGGATGCTGGATGCTCACTTTTGCTGTTACACGGCCCTTGAAGGTTCTGTACTTTGATGGGAGCAGTGCAGCGAAGATGCCCGGCGCTATGGACTCGCAGGATCTGATCGTGTGGGGAGAGGTCAAGGACGAATTCCTCAGGTTGTTCGATGAGAAGTCGAGGATTGAGGGACTTTGTGAGTGGGGAAGGAAGTATGGCCTAGATGGGTTTTTGAGGATGGAGCCGGATTTGTGAGTTCCTTTCTTTTGCCCTTTGGTGGTTTACTTGGGCTTATTGGAGGTCCCTTTAGCGAAGTGATGGTCTGCGACTTTACTGATGCCCTTCAAGTCGCGTCTGCTTCTAACCTCATACCTGGATGGCGATTCCCTAAAACCAAGGACCCCAAACCTCCCCCAAGACCGAGATTCGACTACAACAGTTTCCGCGTCATCGAGGCCGGCCACTGGCACAACCATTTCCCTGGGGAGACAAGGGTACAGCTAGACGTGTCCCGTTTAATCTCGTTCTACGACCGCGATTTGTTCCCCAGTTTGGCGACGCGTCTCGACTCTGCACCGGCGAATAGATGGGGCCATCGAGTGGGGAACTTGACGGAGGCAGAGTTGAAGACGTTGTTCTCGAGGTTGGACGAGGTGCTCGCTGGGGAGCCGCGGGGAAGTGGGGTGGATTGGACGAGCAACTACAGGGTCGTGCTTCACCGCTATGCTGACCGACTCGAAGTCGTGACGTATCTGGTGAATGACACCGTTTATGAAACCACGATGTCGTTTAGGGAGCGACGCACGAAGGTGCTGGAAGACACGCATGAGTATATTGAGAGCATGCTCGCTCCGTATATTCTCAATGGCGTTGGACCTGGGAGAGATGCGAGGCAGAGGATTTCGCCCCACGAACACAAGTCGCGCTCCTGGGCCCTCCCGGTTTGGAAAAAGTGCGCTACTACTCACACCAAGGGCATCTCACCTTCCTCACTGAACCGTTCGGAGAGACTATTGCATCGAACTGTCAACGAAGTCTTGTACGAGATATGCAGGGTCATTGTGGGGATTTGGGCTGAGGGAGTGGAGGACTTGGGTCTTGGAAAGACCGTTGGAGGCCTTGAAGGACCAACGCTCGACGAATACGACACGCAGGAATTGGAAACTATAAGGTCTAAATGGCGGAGACAGGTCGTCACCTTGGTGAATTGGTTAGATTGGAGTGTTTGGGTCAAGTGCCATCCTGCATGTAGTTTCGAGGTACGGAAGTTCTGTGAACCCATTCCGGACTTGTGGCTGACTGTTTGTGTTTTCAGGAAACGTGTTATCTCCGGACATGGCCATGGCTTCCGAGGTTGAACTTCCCTGCACCACCACCGAAGAATGACTCTGATCACGAGCACCATGATCTGAGATCTGCAGTCTGGGGTGAGCTACGAGAGGAGTGGCGGGCTTATGCAGACGGGGAGGCGCCTGATGACGAGGACGAGAGGGTCCTACCGAAATGTATTCGACGAATAGAACCCCTAGAAGCACCATGACGGCGATGCGTATTCTCCCGTGTATCTCTATTTACTTGAAAGACTGTTCGCCATTCCAAGAGCCATAACGGGCTCTGAAAAGTTCTTGCCTGACGATGAGGACGGCTTTATGTGAGGGAAAAGCCTCCGATTTCTATTGTGGGCGTCCTCGACCGACACTTGTGGGTGCCGTTCCCCTTTCTCTTTCTGCAACCACCACTATCCATTTACCTTGTGAGCCATAATCTGCACGTCTTAACCCTGAGTCTCGTGTCCCGTCATCAGGGAAGATGCGGAAGACACCAGGAACGCCCACCGAATCACATCTAGGGCGCCTATTCTGTTGGATGACCCTCGCGAACTCCCTTGCGCTCGTCGGAGCCTCACAAGTCCCCCTATCTCACCACCACGCGACCTCCAGCCATTCTACCAGCTGGAGATTTGACGAACCTTTGAGGAATACGACAAGTAACTTTGTCTTCGAAAGTGTTAGCTCGTTGCTTCAGCAGTGGGGCAATACTCGATATCGCCATGGTGCGTTCCTATGCATCCTGTATCTGAATAAACTCTAAGCATTTCCTTTCAGGTCACAACATAGTACCAGGCACCATCCCAATTGGAACCTTGCTTTACCATGGAACATGGTTCAACGGTCGCACAGTGCCTTCCACCCCAGAGTGGGTTGCAACGGACCCAGAGCACTCGCATGTCTTCTGCAGGGAACTCGTGGACGGAGAAGGGTGCTGGATGCTGACACTTGCAGTAACGCGCCCGTTGAAGGTGCTTTACTTCGATGGGAGCAGCGCCGCTATGAGCTATGGGTGTATGGACACGCAGGACTTGATTGTTTGGGGAGAAGTTCGGGACGATGAGAGGGTAGAGGGTGTTTGATGATCATGGGCGGATTAGGTTCTTCTGCGAGTGGGGGAAGAAGTATGGGTTGGATGGATTTTTGAGGATGCAGCCTGATTTGTGAGTTTTCTTTCTTAGTTTCTCTTTGGTGTTTATGGCTGACAGCGCAAAAGCGAGATGATGCTTTGCGACTTCAATGACGGCGTCGAAGTGGTTTCGTTTTCGAATCTCCTCCCGCCGTGGCCGGAAACTGATGGAGACGAACCACCGGACCCTAAAGGACCCCCAAACCTGTTCCCCATCTATAGGATGCTTGAAGTTGGGAAATGGCACGACCGTTTCCCTGGAGAAACCAGAGCCCAACTGGACCTGTCCCGGCTGATTTCCTTCTACGACTCGGAGCTCTTCCCAAGTCTCCGGAATTCGCAACTGGGAAAAGAGCGTTGGGAGCACCGAGTGGGAAATGTTACCAAAGCGGAGAGGGAGGCGTTAATGGAGAGGATAGATGAGGTTCTGCAGGATTTGGACGTTGCGGATAAGGGGAGTGGGGTCGATTGGATCAGCAACTTTAGGGTGGTCATCCATCGCTATGCTGAAAGGTTGGAGGTTTTGCAGTACATGCTCAACTCGACCGACTCTTCGACGACACAAACGACAAAGATGACCTTGAAGGATGTCCACGATTATGTGTCGAGCATGCATGCCACGTACATCTTGAACGGAGTCCGACCTTCGAGTGGTGCCACTGGCTTGACGTGGGCGACGCCGGTTTTCAAGGCGTGCGCGGAAACTCATACCAAGGGAATACCGGTATCGAGGCTGACCTCGTCGGAGAAGGTTCTCGTCAAGGCAGTCAGCGAGGTTCTTTACGAGATTTGTCGGGTTACAGTCGGAATCTGGGCCGAGGGGGTTGACATGGGTTTGGATCGGGACGAGGCGTCTAGTCACCCGCTTCAAAGAGTTTCAGAGAAGTGGAAAGAGAGTCTGGATAGTCTGATGGTCTGGTTGGACTGGAGCGTGTGGGCGAAATGTCGCCCTGCTTGTCACTTTGAGGTATGTCTTTCAACATAGTTGGATTCGATTAAGGATGTATTTGAGCTCATTTGATTCCAAAATGTAGGAGACTTGCTACCTACCGACATGGCCATTTTTACATGGTGGCATGCTGTCGTTCCCTCCAAAACCAAGCCGTCCTAAATGGAACGCGTCTACACGGAGAACATCGGCTGTTATCAAAAAAGTCGCCTTAAGGGCAAGTGGTGATGAAGACGAAGAGGAGGACGAGATGTTTTGGAAGAGGCCAACACCGAGATGCATGCGTCGCGTTCAGCCTTTACAAATGCCCTAGTTGAAGGTATACATCGCACCGCTGCTGCGTCCTAACGAATACACTCATTTTGAATTTGGGCGCTTACTACCCTTTAGGCGCTGCCCGCGGGGTGATGGTTTCTCACACGTTTGCAATTCACGCATTTTTTGATAGACGGAAATTGAGAAATCGCCTCTGATCAGAGCCGTCGTGACTCGAAGCCCTCACAGAGCGACGGGGCACCAAAGCACTGTCGACATAGTACGCGGTCAAGTGTGGACTTCGAGGTTGAAAGACTTGCAAGCGTGACGCTAGAAGGTTTTTAAAAATACTATTACTTATGTGACCTTTTTAACCCTGTTTACCAACCATAACACTAATCATTGATAGTACTCAGCATGCAGCATGACTCTCTCGGACAGGAACCGGTGGACTATGAGTTATATGCGCGCGGGGGGCAAGTTCCCTGGTGTCCTCCGGTGAACATCGGTGGACGCTGGGGTTCGGTGTTTGTCACTATTTGCCAACGACCTCCGTTGGACCGGTGTGGGAACGCCCTGGAGGCCGCTGAACACCTCTCACCTCGAGCGCCGGCCCCCACTGACCTCCACCGTACTCCTCGGTGGTCGCTGGATGCCGCCGACCTCCACTGGAACGTGGGGTCAAGCTCACTGAATCTCGCCGGAAGGGGACTTTTGTTAAATCACATCTTTTCTCTAGTTCTAGCCACGAACATTTGTCTCAGTCTGTATCTTGATCCTTAAAACTTTGCAGGATACCAATTAAGTTTACCTTTATATCGTTGATTGGAATAGCGCTTCTCAGAAGATATGAAGTTGGAACGACACCATTGCGGCCAGAAGAAGGGGCGCGCACAACTAAATAGGCGCCCAAGGCTGTGTCTACTCAAAGGTGGCATTCGGAACCCATAAAACTTGTATCCTTCACTATTGACATTACAAATACACTTGTAATTATGCCGCTTGGAGGGGTACATACATGGTTTATTAAAAGCTCGAAGCGAAGGACCCCTGGCGATTGGTGGGGGTCACTGGATTCCACTGGGGGTGATACCATTAAGCGGGACGAAATCCATCGATCATGGCCCTTCGACCGCTGTCGTTCACGGGGGTCCGCTGGAAATTGCTATGGACATCAACGTTCACTGGACACCGGTGAACTCTGTGCCAGTTCCAACGGGGTTCACCGACCGTCGCTGGAAATTGTGGTGAGTTTTGGTGGAGTTCGGCAGGGGATGCCGGCCGTGGCTGGGCTTGCCCACGCCGCGCTTATTACAGTGGACTATCCGGCCTGCCGGCTTGTGCGGCATCAGCGTTCCCACGAAATCGGCAACCGCCATTCGAACCGCGTTTGCGACTCCGCGGATTGGTCTTCTTCAACAGTCAAGTTCCTGTTCTTATTTCTTCACCACCAATCCTTTTCTTCCGCATACATCCAAGTCTGAGCCTTTATTCATTTAATGCCTAGCGTCTCATCCCAACTTCCCGACGAAATCATCAAAGAGATTCTCACTCCTGCTCTTCACGTCCCTGACGCGTCCTTTGCGAGCAGCGCATGGGTCTCGCCGTTCGCGGAATACCAACTGACGTCGTCGACCGTTCTTGCTGTATGCAAGAGTTGGCTGCGTGTGGCGACGCCACTACTCTACGAAACGGTGATACTGAGATCCAAGGCTCAAGCCCAGGCGTTAGCTGCCACCTTGAAGAAGAATCCGCAGCTCGGCCTTTTCGTCAAAAAGATACGCCTAGAAGGAGGCTACGGGAACTCTGTCTACGACATACTGAAAAGGTGCTCCGACGTCGTGGACCTGTGGATTACGACTTCTCTCCATGCAACGGAGAGCGTTGGCGGTTATGCGAGAGGTTTCCAACTAATCAACCCGCGCCGACTCATTCTCAAGGACGTGTCTTATCCGCGGCTAGCAATTATCAGGCAGCTGCATGGAATTTTGCTGGATGTGATGAGAACTAAATGGAAGAAGCTGGTCGGTTATTCCCACCTCATTTTGCGTGTTTCTCGTCCTAATTTCTAAACTCCTCTCCAGGATATATTTCATTGGTCTGGCGGGCATGGATTCGAAGACTCGTTTTTGAAAGCCGTGGCATCCTCGAAGGTCCCCACAGTATGCTTTGAAGAAGACATACTGAGGTATTCGGCCTCCATTCTGCCTCAACTTTCCAAAATTCCGACTTTGGAATCCATCACCATCCACACCAAACGAGAGAAACCTGAGTTCGACTCTCCGCCACCGGTTGACGACTTCCCATTTTATTTCTTTGATGAACATCGAGAACTAAACTCGGTCCTTAAATCAGACAGGGATCTTTACAACAAAGTCACTTTCGTTGAGTAAGACTCACAACCTTAGTCTGTCTGGTGCACGCTGACGAGGACAATGATTACTCCAGTCCCGATCCAACCCCCCGACTATCGGCAAGCCAAGGCGTCCGGACTTCCGCGAAGAAGGACGTTGCTTTTTCCGCCCCCCTCAATCCGGACTTTCGTCCATTGTCTCGTGCCTCTGATGCAGATAGGAAGCGCATCTGGACAGAAATCATTCGTCACGCTGTTGACATGGCCGAAACCTCTGGGATTACTGGCTGGACATTAGGAATCAAACGTCAATACGCCAAGTTGGAGGAATTGCATGGTTTGCAGAAATTGAGAGCGCGGATGACTCTTGTATCAAAAGGAATTTTACGTGAGACCGGTGCTGTTCTTCAGGATTTGGCCATGGAAACTCATCATTTCTTTTCCAGGCGTTGACACTCCAGTTTCTCTATGCCGCTCCCATTGTCAAAAGTGCGGAACAACTGGAGATTCTGATAAACTCTCGCCACAGAGGTCTCATTCGTTTCCTGAATCTCTATGGAGGGATGCTTCAGAGGAATGGTGGATCTGGAGGCCTCCTGAACGAGCTGTTGGTTCGAAGCTGTGCGGGTCTAGTAACGGTCTCCTCCTTGCAGTCTCCTTTTGTAGATGCTGGGGACGACGTGGACGCGTTCTTTAGGACATTCCAGTCTTATGCACCGAGCCATAGTCACCGATCGACGCTGGCCCTCAACGCCTCCACTTTACGCTCCCTCGCCTCCAGGTCGTCCAAGACATTGAATCATCTGCACGCTCATGTTAACATGTCCAACTACGACAAGGTCGCCGACATCCTCCAAACCTACGCGGCTTTTGAAAACCTGGTCTCTCTTGAGATCAACCATGCAAGCGACTCCTCATATGGTCGCACAGCGGAGTCAACCCCCCCTGTGCCTTTGCTCCCACGTCTCGCCTTCCAGCGGCTGGAGTGTTTGGCAGTAGGGAATCCGGACTCAAATCTTCCAGCAACATTCCTTCAAGCCTTGACACAAATAGAGTGCGTCACCATTCCCGATATCCGAGGTTTAATCCGATCTGACTTCTGCAGACTTCCTTCACTTCGCCGTTTCGATACTCTTGACAACAAAATGTCTCCAAACATCGTGTCCTTCCTCAACACACATGGAAAGAAACTGACCGAGATTTACATTTCTCCTTTTACTACCCTTTTTATCACTTGCCCTAACGTGATTGTCTGGACCCTTCCCCGACCAGCAACGTCGCGTCAGGTAATCTAAGCCGCCGTTGTACTGGTTGATCGGTTATGCTTACCCTTCTTTGAATTAGATCCCCGACTTCCAATGTCTCCAAAGTTCCCCTCATCAGTCACCAGCGCTGACCACAATAATGTTTTATCACTCCGAGTACGCACCTTTTGGCGAAAATCGCAGCGCCATACCTAACCCATTTCCGCACGGCAGACCCCGAGTTATCGGGGCTATTGCAGAAATTGATTTGTCACCTTTCAAAGAATTGCGGAAGGTGCAAGCGGCGGGTCCCTTGGTTTGGCCCAAGACGCAGTGAGTCCCGGGACTTCTTTTCCATCGATGATTTTTTGACAATCGGTTACCTCCTCGTCATCTCGCTAGGCGCGAGATTGAGGGCAGTAGTTGGGTCATCGCAGCAGAGGCTTTGACTGAGCGATGGCCGAATGTCAAGGTCTTCAACCATTCCGGCACGCCATGGACCCCGAGGTTGAAGGTGGTCAAAAGGAAGAAGTAGAAGGTCCCTCGGGCTGGCATTGCTCCCCCTCAGTCTCCATTCCAAAATTGGACCATGGTCATCCCAGAATCGAATAGTATCGAGTATTTTATAGTCCCGCGAATGGTTCGTGTTCGTTCTGATGTAAGGATGGCCTTACACGATCACGTGTGCAGACCTCATTCACCACGCCGGGCCATCCACATTCACTTAACAACTTACTTTCATCTCGCTGTACGTGTACACGTCGAACTCCTCTATAGACTCGATTCATACGCATCTACGAGCTCTGTGAGTGTTTTCTGTTCTCCTGTTTCCCTAGGAGAACAGGTTTCCACTTTTTTTTGCGTATCTTCATACGAGTCTATCACGCCAATAGTTGGGCGTGTGTTGGCGCATATCGCGCGTTGTAATAGGACGGTAGCTTGGCTACAAAACGACGATTGACGATGACGAACGTCCTCGAATTGCGAGGAAAGACACTCGAACGAACGATGCCTGCCCGCAAGGCACGCAAACCCAGAACGAACACTACGACGGTGGTAACAGACTCGCCTAGGCGAGCTTCTCAAACCACGACTACTGACGATGAATCGGTTGCGAGTGCAGACTTGCTCAAGGCATGTGGGCTAATCCCCGCCGTTGAGGGCGAGATCTCGCTCTGCACCGAAATTGATGACGACGACGAGATGCTACCAGAATTGTCTTCCATTTTTGACGACTCTTCCGACGAGAGTGACGATGATTCTTTTGACGCCACCCCGCCCTTGATTGTCCGCTCTTACGTTGATTTCGATAACTGGGGTGCTAACAACGACACTTCAGAAAACGCTACGATGTCTTATCACACTCGAATGGCCACGATCAAGGACAACGGCAAACATTTCCCCACTCTCACCGCGGGGAAGTGTACCGTCGACCTGCTCCACCGATTCCACACTGCTTGCGAAAACAAAGCTTATCAGAAAGGCTTGGAGGACAACAAGGTCGTCAAACACTTGTTCGGTTGTTTCGAAGACCACCGGGTCATTACGTGGATCGGCGCTAATCGCGACACCCTCGCCGCCGGCAATATCAACGAATTCATGAAGCAATTGAAGGAACTTTTGTTGGAACGCGACTGGGCCACCGAGTGGAAGAGGAAGGTTTCTAATAGGCGCCAGAAAGAAGGCGAGTCGTTCGAAGATTTTGCCAATGAGGTCATCTACTGGAACAGTCTTCTCCGGGGCACCGACAAGCTCCGTGACAACGAACGCCTCAAGGATCTACTCTTCGCCAACTGTCTTGACGACATCTCCGACGATTACCAGAACTCCGAAATTCCGGAACAGTTCGAGAATGCCAACTTCGACGAGATCGCCGTTTTCAACGAGTGGGTTCGAAAGGTCATCGGCATCGATAAGAAAATTGCTCGACTTCGTGCTCTCTCTAAGAAGCTCATCGACGCGGAGAGGGCTGCGAAGAGACCTCGTACCAACACCGCCGGCGGACCTACGGATAGCAACAACTCGGGACGTCGCGCCGACTGGATTCCCAACCTCACCGAAGACGAAAAAGACATCCTTGGGAGGCATGGCGGTTGTTTCAAGTGTCGACAATTCTACGCTGGTCATCGATGGGCCACTTGCCCTAACGGTTATCCGACCCTGAAGAACTACAAGAAGATCACCGCCGAGATGGCTGCCGACGCCAAGAAAAAGCGTGACAACGCCACCACTAATGCTTCCGCCTCCAAGGGCAAGGCCGTCGCCGCCGTACTCCCCTCCGAGGACATCGTGTACGAAGATTCGTCTTCAGAGGAATCTGCCGAGGCCAACTCCTCTGGCGAGATTTTGGAGGAGAACGATGATGAACAAGAGGATGACGTGAGTGATCCCTTCATCTCTGCACACTTATTATGGAAGGCTTGCATGGCTGGTACCTCTGATTTTCCGGAGGACGTACTGACGATGTTCGACACCGGTTGCCACACAGTCTTAATGGATTCCAAAGTAGCCGATAAGCATGGTCTGAAGCGATACCCCCTCAAAAACGCCCTCCCGGTTAACCCCTTTTTCATAGGGGGGAAGAGTGTAAGGATGGCCTTACACGATCACGTGTGCAGACCTCATTCACCACGCCGGGCCATCCACATTCACTTAACAACTTACTTTCATCTCGCTGTACGTGTACACGTCGAACTCCTCTATAGACTCGATTCATACGCATCTACGAGCTCTGTGAGTGTTTTCTGTTCTCCTGTTTCCCTAGGAGAACAGGTTTCCATCTGACTTGTTCTGGAAAATGTCAATCATGGTCTCGTGCTCAATCAAAGAAGGATGGTTTTCTTGCGGTCTTGCGAATCCCGCTGCTTCACTGCCATCCGGTGCGTAGTTACCTTCATAGTCGCACACCTCGGGAAAGACTTCTCGTTGTCGATGGACGAGGGCGGACCCAGTTCCTGTGGACCTACAGCCCATCAATCATCTCGTGGTTCAGGGAGCTTCTGAAGCTGCATCATTGGGGTACAGTATTCATTCAGTACAAAGTTCAAACGTACGATACAGATGTACGAGGCTATCCGATTTTGTGGGGATACACCTGAATTTAGGCTCTGATATGGGGGATGGCACTGATTTAGTAGTGTAGCCTGTATTACGTCCGATCGAAGTCACAAATGCCATTCAATCATCTGTTAGTAAATAGCCCAAACACTATATTAGTATATATGTATAGGTGGCCTTCCTTCCTTTCGTCGCCCCTACCGCAGCCTGCCGCCTCTATATGTCAGGTTGTCGAGTTGTTGCAATGATTGGATGTTGCAACGGGCGCTTGTTGTTGTCATTGGCCTCATGGGTCAGCATGATCCTTGCAACTGTCCTCGCCGGCGCGACTCAAACAGTGTTGGGGGCCTCTAGCGACGGGATAGACTGTCACCAGTCCACGGATCCCAGGGGGTCAAGTTGGAGATTCGATCAACCGTTATCGAACACGACATCCAACTTCATATTCGACGGGGTCAGCTCGCTTCTTCAGCAATGGGGAAACACGCGCTATCGAAATGGTGAGTTCTGTCGCCCTTGGTGCTGCGAGTTGACGAATTTACAGGGAGGACTCTAGGCCACAATATTGTCCCAGGTGTAGTTCCCATAGGAACCCTGCTTTACCACGGAACCTCAAAGAATGTGATACCTTCAACGCCTGAATGGGTAGCCACAGACCACGAGCATTCGCATATCTTTTGCAAAGAGATTACAGAGGCCGGAGGGTGCTGGATGCTGACATTGGCAGTAAAGCGCCCACTGAAGGTCCTCTACTTCGATGGAAGCAGCAGCGCGAAGGTATACGGTACGATGGACACCCAAGACTTGATTATACGTGGTTTCGTGGACGACCGGATGGTCTGGGAGGAGGAAGATCGGATAAGAAGACTGTGTGATTGGGGAACGAAGTACGGATTACATGGCTTCGTAAGGATGCAGCCTAATTTGTACGCACTTTGTCCCTTCTCTTCCCGGTGTTCCTGCGCTCACCACAGATTATTGGTAGCGAAATTATGCTCTGCGACTTTACGAACGGTCTCGATGTCGTCTCGTTCAACAATATCACCCCTCCTTGGCCATACATTCCTTATTCCCCCCATCCTCCCATCCTCTCACCACCCGCCAAGTCCCGTTCATCAATCCTCTTGGCTGCCCATCGACTTCTTGAATCTGGTCACTGGCATAACCGGTATCCTGGGGAAACGAGAGTCAAGTTGGATCTGTCAGGTCTGGTCTCCCTCTACGACCCAGAGTTGTTTCCCGACCTGCAAAGAGCGAGAAAAGGGCAGGACAGATGGGAGCATCGGGTCGGGAATATTACCAGCGAAAAGAGGAATGCGCTTCTTGCTCGATTGGATGAAGTACTTTCGAGAAGGCAAGGGCAAAGTGGGGTGGACTGGAGCAGCATTTTCAGGGCCGTCATCCACAGATACGCGGAAAGGCTCGAGGTTCTCCATTATATGACCAGCGCAACTCCTCGGAGTCGCACCGGTTTTGATGGTGACATCGACAGCCAACTCCGTGATGTGCACGAGTACGTTTCAAGCATGCTCGCACCCTACATATTGAACAAGGTCAGGCCTCCTTCAAACCGAGATCAAATCGAGGGAAAATCTCCGCATTCCTGGGCCATCCCCGTTTTTGAAGCCTGTGCAACGACGCATACCAAAGGGATAGCTGAGTCAAGTCTGACTCGCTCGGAAGTACTTCTCTTCCGCGCTGTGAACGATGTCCTTCGCGAGACTTGCCGGGTCTTGGTCGGCATATGGGCACAAGGTGCGGAGATTGGTTTGGACAAGAAGAGATCCCCCCCAGAGCTACACCTGCCTGCGGATGGATTTTTAGAGGAAGTGGCTGAGAGCTGGAGTGGGCGCCTGGATTCCTTGATGGGATGGCTGGATTGGAGTGTTTGGGTGAAGTGCAAGCCCGGCTGCAGCTTCGAGGTAAGTCAAATGTAATGTCCCAGTTCCTTGAGTTCTGAACGACATACACGACGTAGGAAACGTGCTATCTTCCTACCTGGCCGTACCTTCGGGGCGGGATGGTACCTGGGCCGGCGTTCCCGCCCTCGCCCAAGGACGATGACGACGATTATTGGCAGCGACCCCAGCCTAGATGTATACGCCGAATTCAGCCTCTAGAAATACCATAGTGGTTATGTGGAGCATGCCCATATTAGCTACCATTCTTGCTCTGTTACGGCCAGGTTTAGGAAACACGGATAGGACCGATCAGCTTCGGGAGCTGAATTTGAATTCTGCGGTTCTGAGCGCGTTTTGCTCTTAACCTTCGACCATCATCATCTCGCCACAAGTTCTCACCTGCTACTATGCAAAACCTAAGTAGTCTTCGTAATCCTCAGGTCGATTTTCACAACCCATTCTATTGCCCTGCCATACCTGCTGCAACCTATATCAAAACACTGCGACAGACGACTAGGAACAAGCAAGGTTCCCACCAAACCACTGACGCCAACGCCAACAACCTATTCAATGCCTATGCAAGGATGATGGAACGATCAGAGCAAGGCGAGGACAGTGACGTCGACTTTGCTTACGATTCCGAGAACGACTGGATTGTAGGCAGGAATCTGCGACCGCAGGCTGGAAAGAAACGCCGACTAGCTGTTTCCCCACCAGCTCCTGTCTTCTTTAAACATTTCCGTGTTTCTGGGGTCAACGGTAGCAACACCACAGCAGCGACGAACACCTTCGATCTCTCTGGTCATCCTTTGGACATGCAGAGCACCCTCCAGGGCATCAGCGCGACTCTCAAACGGAAACGAGATTTCTCAGACCTCCTCGGTACGCCCAAACACGCCAAATCAGACTCCTTTGGACAAGACGAATCCTTCGAGGTTGAAGTGAAAAGGACAAGGCTCAACTTCAGTGTCGAATCGTCCCCTGTGGCCCTGCCGGAAAGTCCAGCAGCCCCAGCCGAAGAGGCGACCACTTCTTCTTGCCTCGATACTCTCCGCAAAGTTGAAGAACTACTACCAGGACTCCGCCTGAGAGATCGCTTCCGTGACATCTTGGGTGGACTGGACACCCAGCATCTCGCCGACATTCTTGCTGAAGATGGACTTATAACCCCAGCCATATTGGACATTCTCCGAACCACCAGCATTTACAGTCTCTCTCTGGCGGCTTCACTTGCTGAAGAAGGCGGCCTCAATATTTGTGGCCAGGACATGCTCAAAATTCTTAACAAACCTGGCAGCTTCGAATCCCTAACAGAGCTCTCCCTGGCCGGTTCTCGTATCAACGACTTTGACCTCATACACATACATCGGCTACCAAAACTCTCTGCACTGCACCTAAACCAGACTAGTGTCGGAAATGAAGCGTAAGAAACCTCGTTTATCCAGTTCCTCAACTCGTCCATATAACATGTCCTTAGCGTCTTTCTCCTGGTTCCCCTCAAGCGCACTTTAACCAGGCTTTCGTTGACGGGAAATCCGGCGATCGACGACGACTGTGTTCCAGCTTTGCTCCTTCTCACACAACTCTCTTTCCTGTCAGTGCTTGATACGAGCATCGACATGGCCGGGCTTCGCAAACTGGCTGCTGCTGCGAATGACGGGCACTATGAATCAATCGACATCGAAATCCCAACTGCCTGTGAGGCTTACATTGACAGTGAGTCCGCCCTGAAAATCGCAAGTACGCCGGTTGACTTCAACCCATGCCAGACCTAGACGACATGTATTTTCTCAATCCGAGGCCGCCTCTCATCACGGATCCCGAGCTGTGCACGTCACTTACTGCGGCAGCCTTGAGGAAGAACCTGTCTGCACACGCTGCCAAAAATCGGGATATTGTGACAACTGGGTCCCAGACTGAGATGGCAGCGAGGTTAGCAGAGATCTTGCGCAGGAGACAGGGGGATTTGATTGTTGCTCGAATGTTGAGAGGCTGATTGAGTTTCAACGTTCAACTTTCTGTCCTCTTTTGTTCTAGAACTTATTATACGCATAGAACCCAAAAAAACGAGAGTATATTACGATTACAGCATAGAGACCTAAAGCTACTTTCGGGTTTCCAGGAGCCCGCCAAGTTCATATTCCTCGTGGGACCTTTGTTTGTGAGTCGGTGAAAGTATTAGTGGTAGTGGTCATCGGAACGAGAATAACACCATCGTTTGAATAGCTTAGCTCTTCACGCTTACGACTTTGGCGGTGGATGTTTAGGACAACGCGACCAGTGAAGACAGCATGGAGTACTCGTTCCATTCTGGAGTGCATCATATCAGCGAGTTTCCTGATGACGATTTGAGGTACGTACTGGTCGCCGTGGCTAATGTAGCAACCAGGGAAAGGAGAGTCGGGATTGGGGTCAACTGAGTTCCAATGCGTCAATATCAATGTATTAAAAGAGTAAGGAATCAGACTTACACCGCACAGTTTTAAGGAAGACGCCCATGATTGCGAAGATAGCGCCCCACACACCACACCAAAAGAGGGCCAGAAGATAACCCATCATCCGAGGTTTCTTCCACACGGCCCACGTTCGGATACTCAGCAACACTGTTGCGAAGGAAAACTTGAGCCAGACGTTCTTTCATTCTGATTGGAAAACAGCACCCACTCTCTCCTAGCCCGGTTCCGATTACGAACAGCCCTGTGGGAGGAAAACAACATTAGCGCTCGTTCGGCTCGCGGGCGTGGATATAAAACGGGAATGGGACGCACATCCCATGATTTTGAATGACAGGGTGCAGGCTTTGCCATCTTCGTTGACCACTCCAAGTTCTATATCGGAAAGACGACCCGGAGCGTGTGTGAGCATGCCAAGAGGTGCTGATGCTGACGGGGGAGAGAAGAGAAGCACGCACGCCAGAGGATGAGTGCAGCCTGGACGAACGCCGTGTACTTCATGAGGATGTAGAGAACCTTGGAAATGGTCCAGCGTTGAGTCCAGATGGAATTCCATTCTTCGCCAATGGTGATGGCATGTTCGTAGAACTAAACCGACGGTCGGTTAGTATGATTGGCAATGGGAGTGAAAGGGGTCGTTAGGACGCACCAGAATGACTGTACTGGCAACTGGGGAGGACGTCAGTGCCTGAAGGTGGTGTAACTGGAGGAAAAATCCGCACGGTTGAAGTACTGTCGAGGAAGAGAGAGGCGTAAGACAGAGGCCTGGGAACAGGAGTCAATGCAAAAGCACTCACCCCTACGAGCTTTTGAGCATAAAACACAGCGAAGTCTTGTTCGCTCATCGCGAAGGATAGAACCTGAAGGCGAGGAGGTGTGGCCGGGCGTTAGAGGGAAAAAGAGCGGCGTCGAACCGAGAAAGACATGAAATTGGGTCGCGAGATAAAAACGCGTTACAAAGTGTGATCCATAGTCATATATCCGTTCAGCCGCGTAATGCATATTGCCATCATTTGGTGGTGGGAGGATAAACACTCCATCCCCTTTTCCCCCTTTTGTGCCTTGCTAACCGTACTTTTTACCGCCTTTTTTTCATTTCCATAAGTAAGGGACCTAGTTTCCCGAACGGTTGAACCGCGAATCACTAATTCGGTGATCGCCCCATTCAGAGGTGATGAACATGCCTTGGCATTGCGAGAGAGTACACGGAGAGGCTACAAACCACGCGAGTGCCACGAACCACGCACTGTCAAGAAAGGAGACGTAGAGAACCTCTATTTACTCAAAGCAATTTTCAATATGAGAAAGAACGCTTGTTTGAAGCGTGGCCGATAATTTGATTTTACCCCTCCCAAAGCGTTGGGGATGCTGTCAGTAGTATGTACTAGACAAAAACCTAACCGGATGGGTCTAGACATGAGAAGTTTTGTAGCAAGGCTGATCTCGGGGGGCCTGATTAATTAAGTCACAGGTGCAATATCCTCCCCCTCGTCCCGCTTCTCCCCCTCCTCCTTGCCCATCCGGACAGGCAGACCAGCAAATTTGGAACGAAGAGACTCGTACTTCTTGCGCTGAGCCCGACTGACGCTAGGCCCGATTTTGTCCAACGCGGCAATGAAGTCCGAAATGGTGACGACGATGTTTGGTGCCTGAGGTGTGTCCCCTAACTGGCTGAATGAACCAAGCGTCCTCCTGAGCGCGATCACGCCAGCCTCTCGCACCAAAGAGGCAAGATCAGCGCCACTATAACCGTCACACCGATCCTTCACAAGCTGTTCAATCGCGGCCCGCACGTCGTTTGCAATATCTTGCGCCATGACGTCGTCGCGACCCAGAGGCAGCTTCCGGACCATCGTGCGCACGATTTCTGCTCGCTCAGTTGGAGTGGGAAGGTCGACGTAGAGGAGCTTGTCGAGGCGGCCGGGTCTGACCATAGCCGGATCGATCATGTCTGGTCGGTTGGTTGCTGCGATAACATAGACTCCCTTGCGAGCATCGAGACCGTCAAGCTCGGTCAGGAGGGTGTTGACGACTCGAGCAGAAGACTCTGACTGTAAAGAAACAATAAGAACGAAAACAGAGTATAAGTCAAAAATGCTCACCAATGTGTCATCACGGCGAGGGACGAGTGCATCGAGTTCATCAAAGAAGATAACACAGGGTGACGAAGCCCTCGCTCTTGAGAAGACCTGTCGAACAGCGCGCTCACTTTCTCCTACGTACTTGTTGAGGAGTTCGGGGCCCTTGACGCTGATAAAGTTGGCTCGAGATTCGTTCGCGACCGCTTTGGCGAGAAGAGTCTTGCCACATCCCGGAGGACCCCACATAAGGACTCCACATGGAGCTTCGATGCCTACGGCGCTGAAAAGCTCCGGTCGACGAATGGGTTCGACAACGGACATATGGAGCTCTTCTCGAGTGGCATGCAAAGCGCCAACGTCCTCCCACGTAACATCTGGCACGGTGGCGAAGCCTTCTCGTTTGGATGATGGTTGGACTTGCTTGAGCGCGAGCTGGAAATCTTCGGATGTGATGCAGAGTGGTGCAAGTTGGGCTTCTGTTAGGGGATCGGGGTGTGCGATGAGGAAGTGACCTATCGAGCCCGGAGGAAGATAGCTGGCGAGACCAGAGAAGGTGGCGGGCTTCGCAGAGTCGTTCGCAGGTTCTTCAGCCATTGCTACGTCTTGATCTCCGTTTGTGAGCGACATTTCTGTCACCTCCTTCGGGAGGAGGAGCGTTCCATCGGATAGTTGCTTGAATATACGTTTTACGGCGATGATACCCGCAGCACCGGTGAGTGCAGCAAGGTCCGCTCCAACATAACCAGGTGTAGCCTTCGCAAGAGCGATAAAGTCAAAGTCCCCTTCCAGGCGCAACTTGGAGCAGAGAACCTTTAAAATTCTGATCTAGTCAGGAAGGAGAAGAGCGGGGAATGCGAGGTGCTTCTCACTTTGTGCGAGCTTCGTCGTCGGGAACGCCCATGCTGATTTCGTGATCAAACCTTCCAGCCCGTCGCAACGCCGCATCCAAAGAGTCAGGCCTGTTCGTAGCTCCAATGACAATAACGGGCTTGTTGTCGGTTTTGTCCCACGACATGTCTACGGGGAAAGATAAGCGAAAGTGACATGCAAATAAGGGAAAAGACTCACCATCCATGCAGGTCAAGAACTGTGCAACGATCCGTCTCTCCATTTCTCTCTGTGCACTCTCGCGCTTCGGGGTGATCGCGTCAATCTCATCTATGAATAGCAAACAAGGTGCAACCCGCTTCGCCTCTTCAAAGGTATCTCTCAGGGTCTTCTCGGATTCCCCTGACATCCCTGACACAATTGACGGTGCGGAGATATTAATGAAAGGGACTCCCAGTTCCTACGGATGGAGGTCAGCTTGAGTAACGACGATCAGAGCAAGGGTACCTACACCGGCGATTGCGTTTGCCAAAAGCGTCTTTCCACAACCTGGCGGACCGTGAAGGAGGACTCCTCGAGGAGGTTGGACGCCAGTATGGAGGTAGACTTCTGGATGGCATAGCGGCATGGCTACCAGTTCAAGCATTTTCTCAATACATCCTTCGACTCCTCCTAGATCTGACAAACGGGTTGCTGGTGGTGTGTGATCCTTGGATGATTGGAGGCCGTTCGAGGCTGATAGTTTTGCTTTTTTACTACTTCCTTCAGCAGTCCGGGATGACCGTACTTTTCGTTTGTTGGAACTAGGAGCGAGGTCGGGAGGTGTTGGAACCTCTGGGGGAGTTGTAACGTCCACATCTGTTGCGGCGGGTGTTTCTTCAGTCGCCGTCGCCGTCGTCGCTGGTACCGGTGGTGGCGAGGGGACCACAGAATTGAGATTCAGCTTGTTCCTGCGCTGAGCAGACCACAGTCCGGTCATTGATCGATTGAGCGCATTTGAACCCTATCTGGGTGGTCGTTCATGAACGATAGAGCCGCATTTTTGACTAAAAGACTCACAGCGGTGTCCATTGCCCCAAAGACGATTTGATTAAGCGCTGGTTATTGGCAAACGATGATGGTCAAGCCAACAAAAAATCTCGAAGACTGATTTGTTTGGCAGCGGCATTTGATCACAACACACCTCCGGTCGCGACGAACACATCAAGTTGTTCCCGACTTCCATGACCGCAAAGCATTATCTCTGAAATCTCAGAGTCTTCGGACAATGGCCAGCTCCTTGGGTTTGACTGCATTTTTCAGCTTTTCCAATCCTTGCATATCGTTCTGGTTGGAGCTGGCGCTGCATTGACTTTCATCTCCTCCATGGCGGAGAGCACATAGCACATCACCTGCTCGCCTGACTTGGAGTAGTCATTGCAAAGCTCCACGGAAGGCGGCGCTACACTCGAAAAAGCCTCACTCTACCTTGGGTCTACTTCGTTATCGTTTAGGTGCTACACGTGGGACGCTCCGGAATCTCTATCTCCACTGATACACTCCCTGGAATAGTGCTCAAGATGACCTTAAGTTACTCGTCTCGAGGATCGTGATCTTCGAAGCAGCTAGCCTCCTTTATCTCCAATCCCTGTCTTCATTCGTCGTTCTCTTCCGAGTCTCCTCGTTAGGACCGGCACCCGCCTCCCGAGGAACAGTGACGTCGCGCTTCATTAAGCCGACACCCTTCCCGTATGGGATCAATACCGAGGAGGAGGCTCTCTAGCTTATTTCTGAATAGGTATAAAGGATCGCTCCAAGTCGAAGCAGTAGCCACCACCGATGGCACAGATTGCTGAATCATTCGAGGTATCCTCCGACTCAGTTCGTACTAGGGACCTCACCTCTGGCTCTCCCCTCGATGCCACGAAAGAGCGGGACGGCCTAAGGGACTCCACAGGGTCAGACCTCGCTGCCCTGGAGAAGGCCCAGGAATCCACAGCGCCTGGCGATGATGCCCTGAAGATCGTTTCCGGTGAAATTCGATGGGTAACCGAGGAGGAAAACAAGGCGGTCCTCCGGAAAATCGACAGACAGTGAGTACCATATTATTTCCATTGTTATCGACATTGACCTCTGTAGTATCATGCCGGTTCTGTTCGTGATCTATTTCCTGCAGTGTGAGTCTATCCATCCCGTTTGTATGACGAAGATCTAACAGCTTCCCAAGTCATGGATAAAACAACACTGGCACTATCGTCTGTCTTCGGAATCGTTCATGACACCCATCTTGAAGGAGATCAGTATTCTTTGCTGGGATCCATCACGGCGTGAGTTACAAGACCCAATTCCCCTGTTCCACGGAATCTCAACCTTAATGCTGTCACCAGAATCGCGCAAATGGTTCTCCAGCCCCTCTCGGCCTACTTCCTGGTTAGGTTGCCCCTTCCCATCTACATGCCATGTCTCGTTTTCGGCTGGGGAACGACTTTGGCCTGTATGTCGGCGGCACGCAATTTTATCGGTTTACTGTTGTCCAGATTTTTCGTCAGCCAGCTTCCACTATTCATTATGACATCTAACTTACCGCAACACGTCCTGTAGCTCGGCGCTTTCGAGACCTCCACGCAAGCTGCGTTCATCTTGGTCGGCCAAATGTGGTACAAGCGACAAGAACAAGGCATCCGGCTCGCCAGTGAGTTCAGTGCCCATTCTGCCTCTACAGAACTGACGATCCACCAGTCTGGTATTCCAATGTTGGATGGGTGAATATCTTCGGCAGCTTGATCATGTATGGCTTTGGACACGTCCAAAGCGGTCCTGTCCAGTCATATAACCTCGCGTTCCTCGTTCTGGGTATCATCACGGCGGCAATTGGTATTGGAGCGTACGTTCAACCACGCATAATGCTCTTTTCATCTCATCTCACTCTCTACCTGTACAGCTTCTTTGTCTTCCCCGATAACCCAGTCCGATGCAAGTTTCTCACCCCGGAAGAGAAGGTCATCGCCGTCGAGGTATTCGCTTCTGTCGCCTTTCCCCCTGCTCCCTCTTCTTATAGCGATTTCAGCGACTTCGCTCCAATCAACAAGGACTCGAAACCAAAGTCTTCAAATTCAAGCAGGTTTTAGAGACACTGCTCGATTTGAAGAGTTGGTGCTGGATGGGTCTCATGCTCTTGTATGCCATCCCTAACGCCGCCATTACTGTCTTTGGTCCTATGATTATCCGTGGATTTGGCTACGATGGGTGAGTCTTTCCTTCCATAGAACTATCGCTGAGAGGTATCTAATCATTCAAACAGATACGAGGTCATGCTCTTTCTGATGCCCTATGGAGCCTTACAAGTCATTTGCGTCCTCGTTGCATTCGTAAGTGTCGATCCAAGGACACCATCGTAACACTCTTCCTAACCAATCATCCCTTCTAGTGGCTCTCCAATAAGTACCGATTGAAACTCCCTGTTGCTCTTCTCTTCCTCGCTCTCTGCATCGTTGGCACAGGTTCGCTCGTCTTGGCATCGCAATTCCTGCCTCTAGCTCTCACTAATCACCGCTTGCATCTAGTCATCTTGTTTACTCAAGGACGTTCCAAGGAGAATCAGCCTGCTCTCCTCTTCGCTTACTACCTTTTGTCCGCTTCGACCGCTGTCGCTCCTACCTTCCTCAGTTGGCAAGCCGTTAATGTTGCTGGGCACACTAAGAAGACATCTGTGAGGGCTTCCTCTCTCACGCCGTGTTAACCAGAATTAACGGGCGTGCACCGCACCACCAACAGACTACTGCCCTGACTATCATGGGTTCTTACACCGGAGGCATCGTCGGCCCTCTCCTCTTCGAACCTAAAGATGGCCCTTACTATCACGATGGTCGGTCCACCTCTGGCTCAGGGTCGCTAATTCTCGTGCTGATATCCTGTTCATCGTACCAGGTATCCTCGCGTGTATCATCTGCTACAGCGCCGCCGCCGTTCTGAGCTGCATAACTGGTCTTTACCTCCACTACCTCAACAAACGTAACGAAGAACGCCGAGTTAAGGCGGGCAAAGGTTCGTCTAATCACTTCTTCAGTCTAGTCCACTTCTCCCGGCACTACCTTGAGCGATCCAACTAACTGTCCGTCCTTCGATAGCTGCTAAAATCGTTGATTATTCCATGATGGATTTCAACGAAGGTGATGGCCAGGCTCAAGCTCAAGCCAACGTTGGCAAGCGCGCGTTTGAGGATTTGACGGATCTGCAGAACGACGAGTTCATTGTGAGTTCTTCGTTAGTTTCTGCCTATAATACAGTTACTGATCCCTTCTTCCAGTACGTCTTGTAGATGCAGAAAACCACTTAGACCTAATCGGACGGGCCCTCCATCTACGACTACCACGGCCACCGCTATGGACCTAGTATTACTGCATAGAACGGATCCAAGCCTTGACTACCCCTTTGCATGACGATAGTTATCCATTTGGGACTTTATGTTCGTTCGCATTCCTCTCCTAATCTTCTGGGCTACGCATATTGTCCTTCACATCACCCTCGTCATCCTGACATACCATACACGTTAATCACGCTTGTCGGCCATCATGGCTGCCACCTCTTGCAATGCACGCTTGCTCGCGGAATTCGGGTACGTCGAAAGGTCGTAATAATCTGGCGCGATTTCGAGGAGGCTAGCACGGTGAAGACGAGCATATCAGCGTGTGCAACGAGACGGGAACCAAGAAACCAAACTGACAGTTCTGGCTCGATCTCTGTCACTGTTGAGAGATAATTGGTGTCGGTTAACACCACGCAATCATTGTACAACACCCATTCAGGTCTATGACCTTTGAAACCACACGCGGGATGTAAACCGGCAGGCTGTCAAAGGAAACACCACTCGTCAGTACCAAGCATTCAAAGAAAGAACGAAAAAGAGCGCAGCGGCCCGAAACCCACCTGGTTGTCCTTCACAGTCAAGTATGTTCCCCGCTCATCTCTGTACGCAACTTGTGCGAAAAACCCGCTGATCAGAGCCTTCTCGATCGATTCGGAAAGTCGATTGGGGTCCTTCCCTTCTGCGGTTCCGGATACCACTTTGAGGCCGTGTCGTTCCATTATGCGTTTCAGCTGGGCCCGTACGTTTTCCGCTTGCTTGAGTGCGCGTGCGGAGAGGTAGTTGGTCCATGTCCATTGCTGGTTCCATTTGTCTGTTATCCATCAAGCGGGTGTGAGCTGGTGATAGTCCAGAGGAGATACGAAGGCGCTTACTCTGTTGGTAGAGGTTGTAGACGTTCAGGAGGGTCATGTGGTCGCCTTCGGGAACTGTGAGCGCAGCTTTGGCTTTGTCGGCTTCATAGCGCCTGTTGAAAGGCCGAGAGAAAACAGGGGGAACTGTGTGCATGGGCCTCAGTGATGACAGCGGGTGGTGGGCGAAGCACGTGCTCACCAGACAGCATGGCCACAATGGTAAGGATTTCGTCGCTGCACCCATAGTTGGGAGATACGATGAGGGTTTTGGCCATCTGCAGAGAAGTGGGTTAGCGAGGTTTTCCCTTTGAGCTCGTTCCACGAACCTGAGGATCCAGTGGATATTCAGCCATCATTGAGCCCAGTGGTGTAATGTTACCCTGCTCGTCAAGAGCCCCAAGGTAATGCAACGACTCCAATGCTCTCATCAACGTTTCTGGGGCAGGAGGATCCATGTAGTCGAAAGTGGCCACGTTCTAATGTCGATTGCAAATATCAGTACAAGCCGTCGAGAAGTGCGCAATAGTCGAACCTTGATTCCTAATTTCGCAAGTTCCAATACGACATCCGCCAAACTCGACCTCGAGATCTCCGGTGGATTCTGTTCCGTCAACTGTGCCTGGAAGTCCGCTTCTGTATAAATCCTAAAGCATTTCCCGGGTTGGGTTCTCCCAGCTCTTCCTGCCCTTTGATGTGCACTCGCCTTGCTGATAGGACTGACGATAAGACTTTCAAGCCTTGCTCTGGGATGGAAGATCTTCTGCTTCGAGAAACCAGGGTCGATGACATACACGATACCGTCAATCGTCAGACTGGTTTCGGCGATGTTAGTGCTGATGACGATCTTTCGAATGAATGCTCCGTTGGCTAGACGTTGGGTGGGTTGAAATACGCGTTGCTGCTGTTGAGGCGGTAGAGAGGAGTAGAGCGGGATACAGAGGACGGGATTCATGGTTCCTGGATGCTCGTTGTTGATTTCGTCGACTTCGTTCTGGATTGTTCGACACGCGTCTTCGATCTCTTCTTCTCCAGTGAGGAATACGAGGATGTCCCCAGGACCTTCAGCGCGGTGAATCATTAATGCTGTCCGTATGGCTGCGTCGAAGTAGTCCGGCTCTGGTTCTGGCGTATAGAACACCTCGACCGGGAATGTCCTTCCACGAACTTTGAGGATAGGCACATTGATAGCTCCAACCTTTCCATCGACGGTCGAAAAATACCTCTGGAACTTGGCGGCATCGAGGGTCGCGGACATGATGACGATCTTCAGGTCTCTCCTCCGGTGTGCCAGCGTTTTGAGAAGGCTCATTAAGATGTCGGTGGATAGTGTCCGTTCGTGTGCTTCGTCCAGGATGATGGTGGAGTACTTGCGTAGGTCGGGGTCCGTCATTGCCTCTCGCAGCAAAAGGCCGTCCGTCATGTATTTGAGGAATGTCGTCCCGGGTTCTGTAACATCTTCGAACCTGATCGCGTAGCCGACTTGCTTGCCTAGCTTCACGTCCATCTCCTCTGCGACTCGCTGGGCCACAGACATGGCTGCTACCCGACGGGGTTGGGTGCACCCAACCACTTTGCCATGAAGATGGGGAAGGTCAGTGTAGGCAATGAATTGCGGAATCCTGGGATATTCGGTCTATATCAGTGTCCATGGTCCAAGAGCGATAGGCTTACTGTGTTGTCTTTCCGCAGCCCGTCTCTCCCACAAGAATCATGATCTGGTTCGCGTTGAACTACTAGCCCACCCCGGGTCAAACGCACGTACAATACTCTAGCCATGAACGACACCCACGACAGTGAGAAACCGGTCCATTTGTTGAAACGTAGAAAGGTTACTTCTGTCTTCCAGGATTTTCTTGTACGCTGCACTATACGTCGCCCCGGTGAATGGGTTGACTGGACTATGCTGCGCTCGTGAGCATAATGCAGATTAGTTGCGACTGATTGCGGACGTACCAGGGCTGCTCTGACTTGCTCAGCGTTGACATTGCGTCTCTGGAACCCTGAGAACATGGGAGAAGGCTGAGCTTTCTGCGATTTTCGCATTGCGTTCGTGGCGGTCGTCGTGGTCGTCGTCTGGGTTGCGGTCTGCCCGACCACTCCGACGCGATCGGTAGAAATCCCTGGGAACAATGGTCTGATGCGCCATCACAAACTGGGCGCCTAAAACTGGGGCGCCGTGGTACCATGGCAAATCCATCTCGTTCTCGGTGCATGGATTACGCAAAGGCTAGGTTAGAATGGATAACTAAACATCTTAGCTATAGCTCGATGAATGTTAAAAATGCAGGACAGAGCAATGCTTTGTGTTTCAGGTCGCATGCCACCACAGTGATCGCCGCGCTGCAACCGGTTATCTGAATGCCTGACTTTACTGTAAAAGACCACACAGTTACGCTTCAGAGAAGATAATGTGTAGCTACCACATACAATGCATTCAATCTCTACTTACCTTCCTGGATAGAGTCTCCCTCAACGGCGGGCTTGTATGTGATAAAATAAGAGCATGTGTACGACGTAGATTGACTTATAGAGGCCTCCTTTGGTCGAAATAGTCGAAGCTTGGCTGATCGACACGTACGATTCCGTGCACCGAAGGTCCAACCACCACACAACGGTTCCGAGTCCCAACCTCGTGATTGGCGCTGAGGCCCCTGATTTCATTTTCTCGAGCATGGTATAAAATGCCAGTAGGGCAAGTTCACGGGAGGAACCTTCCCATTCTTGCTTTCCCCCCACCACACCAGCCAACACCAGCTCCCTCCAATGCGCCTTTCTCTTTTATCACTGTTTTCATTTGCCCTTCAAGGTATGGCCCCCATGTGAGAGTTCCATGAAGAGTAAAACAAGCTGATGCTTCATGCTAGTGCTGACTACATCCGCAGCAACACCGACTTTCTCTCTCGCCAGACGTCAGCTCCCCAGCCAACTCGAGGACGTCCCCGAGGAATGCCAAAAGCACTGTAAGGAAGGAATTAAGATCCACGAGGTACTTCCTTTCGCCGTACTCCTTTACTACCCTGCTGACCCAACATTCTTAACCCCCAACAGAAATGTGGCGAACACCCACAGGACTCAGAAGAGTACTTTATCTGCGTTTGCGAAGTAGAGACCATCATCGCACTTCACAAGTGCTTCAAGTGTATCTCGTCTGACGAGGCCCAAGAGGCTGTTAACGGTGCGAATTTCCCGTTGTTTCACTTCTCTTGTAGTGACTGATCATGATTTCTTCTTGGACCTTCACCACTATCCAACAGACTTCGCCCAATTCTGCGCAGACAACAACCACGAGATCCGAGAGCTAGAGAGGGACGAATTCGGGAACATAAATATCTCAGACGACATCTCAGACGATGTATCCGAATGGGCCGAAGACGACGATACTTTCGACTACGATGATACCGAAGCTACACGCGTCTCAACCGCCGAAGGTACCGTTCGCACTGGGTACAACGTGACCCAACAAGAATCCGACGCCGTCAGCAATCCGGGTATCGGAGTGGGTCTTGTCGTGTTTTTGGGTGTCGGTTTTGGCGCAGTTTTCATTGCCTAGGGTGTTGTTAGTTCGGAGATCGCTGCTAGAAGAGATCTACGAATCACAGCTGGGCAAAGGTAGAGTGTAAGAATACATGTAGCCGGATGTGTCGATCTTCAAGTTCTTCTCGCCCAATCACAACCGTCTGAAGAGGATGGATGATACGGATGAGACACCCGAAGAGAGCAGTAACGACCATAGCGCCTGAGCCAGTGAATGGGCGAATACAGCCAATGAAAAGTCGTCATTGAGTACATGTTAAAGAAAGCCGAGCGAAGACACAAATACACGTGCAGGAGACGATGACAGCACTTTAGACAACGAGGCGTCCATGAACAGAGTCGGAAACGAAGCGTGACAGCCAGCAAAAACATCCAGAGAAACCGAGAAGAGAGAGCACTATCTCAACATCAAAAAGTTACACGAGGTGAATAACGTTGGCTACGCCTTTCCGGTAGTCTTCCTTGGCAGTCACCAATAAGCGTCCCCGCTCCTCCAAAGTTTTATCTTGGGCATCCATTCGTGCATGAAGGGAACGGTAGAACTTGACTTTGTTCCTATGGGGAGGTCAGCTTTGGATGATGAGACTACGGCGGATACGAACAGGAAGTGGTTCTTGATCTAGCACAGCCAAGATTCTGTAAGGACGTGGACGAGAGAAAGGTGTTCAGCAAACTTACAAAGTCGAGCATGCCAGTGTATGTCATGATCAATGCTGTAGGGAAAGGAGTGAGAGATGGTCATGTCCCAGAATCGAAAGTATGCATACCGTCAGCGCCAGCCAGCCACTCTTCCTCCGTAGATCTCGTCCATTGATCTACAAGACGGTCATACTGGTCCATGTGCTCCTTGATGAAAGCGTCAGTATCAGCACCGAACAATGCGTCCAGGGTCGACGTTTCATTGCTTTGTAGGCGAGTGTACTCTTGTGTTTGGCGAGAATGTTGGTGAGAGGGATGCTTGCTGCCAGACAACGGGCGACTGGCGAGCGATTCTTGCTCCGATCGTTCATCGTGATAGAGATCAGGATGATCGTCGTACTAGCCATCAGAGCCGAGGCAATGTAGTGAGACCAGTGTCCAAAGAATGGAGGCAAAGAGAAGAATAGCAACCTGAGCACGCCGCCTAGTGTCGTCTTGCAAATCATTCAACTTCATCCGCTTAACACGCTCTTGATACCGTTGGGCACCGACATCGTCATCATCGACCTCACCTCGGCCTCTCTTCTTGCCAGCAACGTGAACGACGCGTCCATTCTCATTGATAACATGTCCAGCTGCAGAAAAGCCTTCTGGATCAAGCTGAGGGCCTTGATGTTGCCCGTTCTTGCTGCCTAGTGCCACGCGTCGGGGACCACCGTCGCCTCTGGTGTTGGTCAAACCGGGAAGTTTGAAGCCAATAGAGTCGACGCTCTTCTCGCTCAAGAGGCTGGAGTCATGATCAAAGAGTGTAGCCGAAGAACCAGAAGTATCGGGAGTCCTAGATGATTGTCGACTGGTAGAGCGTGAGTGGAACGACGCGTCAGAGCGGTCCAGCAGGTGATCGGTGCCAGATCGATCGTTTCCATTGGGTATATGCGCACTCAAAAGCGAAGAGATGGGCTTGTCGCGGCCAGGGAGCGCACTTGGCAGTTCTGGAACCTTGAAGTTGTCGATTACACCTGGGCGGGAGTCGCTGTCCGCGCTGCTGAGGCTTTTCGTCAAGAGCGGCGAGACTGATGCAGGGAGCTTTGGAGTAGGGGCCACGACAGGAGGATTCGAAGGAGGATAAGACCCTGAGCTCGTTGTTCTCCTTCCTATCCCAAAGCTGTTGCTGTTCGAGAAGGGGTAACCAACGTCTTGCCTTTGCTGCTGGCTGTGTGGGTCGGCCGTCGATGGGCGATATAGCGCCACGTTCGCGTTCGAGAGCCCGCCTTGTTCCTTATGTCGACCATTGACGTTACGGGCCTTCCTAGCGGCAGCTATTCCCGAAGTCTTCACAGTCTTCTCTTGTCCGACGGCCAAATTGCCCTCGGCGGTTTGACGAGCTGCAGCGTCACCGGCGTGCAATGGGTTGTTCGGGTTGGGCTTGAACCTTTGTACGTTCGAGCCGCCGTTGCTGAAGTTAAAAGTTTCTCTGTTCGACGTGAAGGATGTCGTTGACATTGTGGTCGTGGTTGTGGTTCGGGACGAAGAACAAAATTGGGTTCGACAGGCGCGTTCACCCTGTTCGAACCCTAACCCAGGCTGATTTTGATCGCGTTTGATAGGCCAATCTTATCTTATCCCGAGGCCTCTGTAGTCTCCGCGCGAATACAATTCAAAGGTCGATTAGTAGTCACAACGGATCCCTGGTGATTGCTCTGGGTTGCAGAGAGAGTTTCAGGACCGTTGGATGGCAGTCTATGATTCATACTATGGTACGTCTCCAATGCGACCGCTGTGATCACACGGCCAATCTGATCGACTGAGGGGCGGCCTTCGGAGCCGCACTCGGCGCTCGCTAAAAGCTACGACGACGATCTCAGTGAAAAGGGACCGGAAAGGAGGCTCGTGAGTAGGCTCGTGAACCAGCTCGGTTCTGACGAAAGAGGGTGATGAGATCACGTATCCACTGATGGTGGATAGGTTCGTCAGAACCGGCTGGGCAAAACGGTCGCGGTTTTGGCAGGAGGGGTACCGTGTGAACGAGCACTTAGAAAAATATCGCGCTCGAGAGGGGGCCCCTCGAGGTACGATGAGGAGAATGTCCCCCAGTGGACACTTGAAGGGTGACAAAGTGGATATTATGATATGCAATCTATTGTACATTAGTAAAATCATTATTATACGAACGAGCATCCAGGATAAACTCGTATTGGGCATGATTTGTGGGTGGAATGTGTGAATGAGGTGTAATGGGGGGAGGAGGAAGTGGATGGTTTGGCCACTGAGGGCTAGAGGGTCGACCATTGAACGAAAGATTGTGTCGCCGGTGGTGAGGAGTGTCGCCAGGTGTCGGTGGATGGTACATCTGTACTCCAGACCCCGTATGCAAAACATGGAGAGGAGGGAGCGGCGTCCTCTGAGTCGTGTGGTGAGGGAATGCCGTCGAGGGCGTCTGTTGGAAAGGCGGTTGATAGGCTGAGGTACGCGCTCCCTGTCGCTCGTCGATGGAAGCCTCGTAATGGCGAGCTGGTAGATGGTATGGGGTCCCGGGGGTTGGCAGTGAACCCGACGCATACGTGCGCTGATACTGGGCTTGCGGCACTGGCGTCGACTGACTGGCGAACGAGACCGGTGCTTGGACGATGCGTGGGTCTTCATAAATGGGTGGTGGTGGATATCGGGCGCCGTGCTGGAGGTTAGTGTGAGGGCTTGGGTGATAAAGCGATTGTTGGCGAGCCGGAGTCGACGGTAGGACTGCATGACTGTAGTATTGAGGGGCAAGGTTGAAGTTGTAGCGCTGCAGTGCCTGGTATTGAGGATCTGGTGGTGTTGGGTACGGCCTAAAAGCTAAATCGTGTCGACCTGCGAAGTGGTTGAAGTTGAACGGAGTCGCGTGCGACGATGCTGCTGTCAACGATGAGGTAAACGCTGATGTGTTCCCGCCATCAGTTCTACGTCTTTGACTTGGACCACCACCGTTACTGTGCACATCGTCTTCGCCCCCATCGCCGACCGTTTCCAAGTCTTCTGCCCTCCGAGTTCGCTTCCTGGTCGTTGTGGTTGGAGCCAACATTACCGGCGTCGACGTTGATCCAGTCATATCGCGTACAGAAGGTTGCCGAGGGACGTTGTGAGTTGAGGTTGGTTGTGAGACTACTGGGGTGGACTCCCTGGGTATCGGAGCTGGCGGGACGTCAACCAAGGGTGACACGCGTGCGTTGGAAGCAGAAGGGGAGGAGGATGTAGGCTCAGCAGGCACTTCAGGCCCGTGGTCCCGATTGCTGGTTGCCTCTCCCCACACTGACCAAAGTTCGTCCACATATTTCGTTCTCCAAGTCCACTGATGTAGGATATCTTTGAGATCCTCTAGTGTCGTGATGTTCTCCGCCATTGCCAGCATCTCAAGATCGTCGTCCGACAGGATAGCTGACGGACCCAACATCGACCGAGGCCAGTCTCGGGCGTGGACCAGCATGCGCCACTCATCCAGTTTGGACCAGACATGAAGAGCGATTTCCGCCCGTTTTTTGACGACCTTTCGACGCTCTTTTGCAGGTGGCTTTCCTGGGCGAACGCGGTCAAGGAGCTGGGGGTTGCAAAGATCGCAACACACTTTGCGATCAACTGGGTCTGCGGGAGAGATAATCCGTGAGTAGCAACCTCCATAGCTTCATGGTGCTACATACCGGCAGTATGATTGTCGTAGACAGTCAAAAGAACCCTCCTTCGACAGAGTGTGGTCTGAATCAATGCGTACAACCCTTCGTTTGAATGCTCGACATCGATATGTGGTTCCAATCGTGTGGAAGGCAATTCGTCAGAGCACCCTGAATGCTTCCCGCGATGGGCCCCGCAAGCAGCTGCGTACATTTGAACCTCCTTCTTTGTTCTCTTGTCCGTGCTCTGAGCGGGTTTGTTGGCATTTGTTGGGTTGACAGATTTCACTCGGATTGATTGTGTCGTTGTTGTCTGGGTGTTCAATGTTTGAAGATCGACGTTGTAGGCTGACTTTTCGACCAACAGGACCGCCATCCCACTAGTCCCGGGAGAACGTGCTGCCCGACCAGCACGCTGCACGAATGTCGAAATCGAGTCGGGCATCTTCCATTGAACCACAAGCTCAACTTTAGGTAGATCACACCCCTTGTCCAACCGTGAGTACCGAGGATCTCAGCGAAGATTGTAGAACTTACCATCCCAGCAGCATCTGTGCACACGAGGACCCTCACTATGCCCAGCTTGAATAACCGTAAGACCTTCTCTCGGTAGGCCTGGCTAAAGCCAGCATTGAATGGACGGACGAGTCCGCGCCGCCGCCACTCCTCTGGCAATTTGTCGTCGATGTTGTCGGCAATGACGGGGCCTTCCTGTACATTGTCTCCATAAACCAAGGTAGAAGGTATGTCGTTTGGGTGCCTCATTGTCTTTGGAATGATAAAGTCGAGATCACTGTAGGTTTTCATTGTGTTGTGAATTGCACGGACGACGATTGACACGTTGGGGCGGTCGTTGCCGATATTGACGAAGAGGTAACCATCTTGAGGGAATTCGAGCTTCTGGGCGACATCGTAGCGAACACGAGCAGGAAGAGTGGCCGACATTGCGACAAGAGGTACGTGTTTTGGTAAAAAAGCTCGTATCATCCCTAATTCACCGTACTTCTTGCGGAATCCAGCTCCCCAACTCGATACGACATGTGCCTCATCAACCACAACCGATAGAATGCGTGACGTGAATTCCCGGTCTCGCATCATCGTATCCAAGAACCGTTTGGACAGTAGCAGCTCGGGCGATATCAGCAACACCTGGTAGTCCCCGTTTTTCAGTTTCTGACAGTAACATTAGCCGGTAAGTCATGGCTGCGGGTATGCAAATGTCGAGCTCACCTGTAGGTTTGCATGCGAGCACCCGCCATATTGGCTGTTGAGTGCAATTGCCTTGATCCCCTTCTGGTTGAATGACTCGAGCTGCCGGGATAGATCGTGAGTTTTGTGTTGGGTTTGTGAAAGGCGTACTAACCTGTTCGTTCTGTAGGGCAATCAGAGGTGATACCATGATCGTGAGGCGCCCTCTGCTCAGGGGATGAAAGTGAGGGCCGATTGCGATTACGGTCTTGCCCATGCCCGTCCCAGCGTGGACGATGGTATCTTTTCCTAACATCTGGCTGGTCACTGCGTTGATCTGGAAAGGGCGGGGCTTGAAGCCCAGGTGGTTTTCGAGTAGGGACGCAAGGTCGCCGAGGTCTTTGGGATGCAGCGGTGAATTATAGGAGGCCCTTGGTGCGTGTTTTTCATTTTTCGAGCCACGGGAACGAGTATGCTGACTTTTGGCGTCTCTTTTGAAGGGCGTTTTCTTATGAGATGGCTTCATTGGAGGGCGACTATACAAAGGAGAGGAACGGAATGGACGGGTTGTTACTCGATCGTGATGTGTAACCAGAGTGATCGACGAATTTGACGAGCCCCTTTTCTCCTCGCTCTTTGCTGAACTTCAGTCACCACCAGACCTTGTCATGGACTTACCCGCTTCATCCCCACTCTCGTCTTTACCTCCTTCAGATCCTCCTTGGGAAAATGACGAACTTATCCAGTTTTCCGAAGCAGAAAGTGAAGACGAGACCGAATACAACTTTCCACCATCGCCAACCCCGACTCAAATGCCTCGGACTCGCCAGCTCAACAAACTAGTCTTCAAATCACCTCTGCCACTTGGATTGAGATCTATGCCTTCCATCCCCCCAGCAACACCCCAACGACAACGTGCCAGCTCCTTACCACCGATGTCCAGTGCATCGCGGGAGATAACTGTTTCACAGCCACCTCTCCTCAGCAAGGAAGAACGCCAGAGGGAGAACCGCAAACTTGGTACGGCACAGAGCAAGCAGACGCGCAAGACAAATGCAGAGCTGAGGGCTAGACGGAAGACGGAGGACCGTTTGTCGAGGGTCAGGGAACTGTCAGAAGAGATCCTTGCTCTCATGGAGGAGAAAGGGCTGGCATTTGGAGATTTCGTGGAGCATGTCTTCGACCCGAACAGCAAACGTGCTGACCTCCAGTGGCATGATTTTTTTCGAGACTCTGGCAGAGTTTCGAGGTTGCTGGATTGGTGGGTGGCTCCCACAAACAGCAAGAGTGGTCGTGCTCAGGTTGAAGAATGGGCAGTGGCTCATGTGGTAAAGCTTGTAAAAACGGAGGCTCGAGTGGTAACCAGGGAAGGGGTGGTGCGTAGGAAGATTGTCGATGATGATCTTGTTTCGACTTTCAATGTCGAGGGGTGGTATGACCGCCTTCGGAACACATGGGCTAGGGTCACAACTCGAATCTTCGACGCGGTTTCAGAGTCTACCCGTCAAGTGAAGCAGGGCCTGTCAGAGGCACGAAAAGCGAGGAAACGGATGGTAAGTGTCTCAATTCTCTGTTGGTCCATTCGCTTGATGCTGATAGTTGTATAGACTGTTGTTAGCTCGATACTTGCATGCCTCGCAGAGTACAGCTCATTCAACAATGTGTTTAAACGCGTCCTCGGCCTTTACCTGTATGCTACCGGTGCCCAACGCCAATTAATTGTCGTACTATCCCACCTGGGCATTACCGAAAGTTGGACACAGCTGGTGGGTGGTGTTGGTCTGGGTACTGTGACAACGGACACCCTCGGCAATGGCTTGCACGACGATTCGCAAACCGAGCCCTCTCCCACCACTACCACGCCAAAGCGGACTCCTGGGACGCTCCAACAACTCTCCACGCTTATGCGCCAAAAATCTCGTGGTCTTGCGGCCTTGGTTACATATGGTTCAGTTTACGACAATGTTAACTTCACTGAACGTGTTGGCGAACAGATTATTGGACGCTCGAGTAAGTACATTCAGTGATATACACAAGTACCCACTCTCACTTGTTTTGGTCATCACTAGTGGCCGTCGAGAGTGCAACAGCTGCGACGATCTGGCCGTTACACAAGGCAGACAAGGATGACATGAAAATTGAAGACCTCAAGAAGAGCTTTGAAGCGGCCGAGCCCCTCCTCATCTCCGATATTCTGCATAACCCAGAGGAGGAAGAACTCTTCAGAGAGTGTCTCATTCACTGCATTCTCCGCATAGCAGTTGCACACGGCGGCGAAGGCTTCAACAAATTCCAACGTAAACTCACAGAAACCCTCCCTCGGACCAACCAAGCTATCGACATCCACAAGACAGAGCTTCATCCACTGCCAACCTGGAAGATCGATGAGTCAAGCATTGTAGGGAACGCCGAAGTCATCGACACTTTGACCAAGGAACTGCACCTACGTAATCAGCCCACCAACTGGAAGAAATATGTCCGTATCATTGCCGGCGACCAACTCTCTATCGCAAGACTTCGAGCGCTGGCTAACCTACGAGCTGGGCATGAAGATGACGAAGCCAGTTTTCAATGGGGAGTATGGATGCCCGGTCTTTTCCATGCAAAGATAGCTGACATGCACGGGTTCTTTGTCACACACTGGGGGAAAGCCAACGCCGGTGTGCGGAACCCTGGGTGCCTCGCTTTCCACAATACACTCCTTCGGAACCACCCCATATCAATCACTTCCCTACCCGCCTTCCGCACCTGCCGTGACCTTGTATTCGTATCTCTTTACTCACGCGTCCTGCACTGCTTTCTCCTTGTTTCCGGGCACCCGACACTAGAGGAATACTGCGAGAAGGTCGACTCCTGGGACACCTTTTACCAACATGGCCAGCAGGTATTGGATGAATACGCCAGCTCAGCACGCCAGCACAGCCTGCGATCCGCCAGAGGACCGGTTCCCGCAAAAGAGAAGAAATCGAAGAAGACCAGTTCTACACCACCCGAGATCCCTAGAAAAGGAGACATGGTGTTGGAGAATGCCATTCTTTTCCTTCGCGATGCTGTAATTTCACGAGAATTCACGGATGCGGTGAAGAGCGGTGACTCAGGTAGGGTAGTGCTGGTTCTCAAGATCTGGGCGCTCAGTTTTCGCGGAAATGGACGGACAAAGTATGCCTATGAAATGTTGTCTATCATCCATAGCCTTCAGAAGGTCTGGCCCAAGCCAATTGCGTACGTCTTTCTTTGTTTCTGGCTGCTTCATTTCTGATGAAGGTCTGGCAGCGACATCGTTCTTAACAATTGGCTTTTGAATCCAACCGGTAGACCGAACAGCTTTGTCGAGGTAGATTTGGTGCAAGAGCATATGAATTTTTGGATAAAGGTATTTAAGCTACATTACATGGATTTCTGCCCTGGAGCACGGATTGACTACCACCGTTAGACATTCTACAAAGCGCGCGGATCCAACTCGAGCTGGGAATGGCTCGAGATGATTTCCCCCTGCATCCAGGCCCTCCGGCACCTCTGTAACATGATGCGGGACACCTTAGGAACAGACAACGGAAATCGACACGCACCTGCGGACCTCACTAAAGACATCGCCGTACTGATGGACAGCCTGAAGTTGCACAACGTCTACGGATTTGAGGAAGGCCGACAACTCGACGCCGACGATCCACCAACGGTTGATGTCATAACTGCCGGCTACAACTCAGTACACACGCCCCTACGAGAGTACAACGAAACGTTTGAGCGACTGAAGAAGCGGCGACAAATGGCTCCAGCAGCCAATGTGAATGAAGATGCACCTTACACAAACACCCCTCTTGGATCTGGTCCCTCGGACTCCCGGAGTCAACCCATCACCAACCCGCCCAGTGATTCCACAGCTCTCATAGATGAGGAATCCAGTGCTCTTGAAGCGACGTCTCCGAGTAAACAGGCGCAAGCCCAGCAGGTGGATGGCGAGGTGGATGGCGCCGAGGCGAGCGACGACGAGGCTGGTGACCAGGAACCCGAACCCGACTCGACCTTCCTGATGTCGCTGGATGATGACGAACCAACGCTCCAGCGTGTTGGCCTAGAGGATGTCGAGTTCGACATGGACACGGTGGATATGGAGGAAGCAGAGGAGCAGGACGAGGAGGATATGGACGAATTCACGCTCGAGGATATCCTGGCGTAGAGCACTGGGCTTTATTTGTAGGTGTTTGCCAAAGGCTCCCGAGAAGCAGATTCTGAATTTCGACCTTTTTTGCAGATACCGATGTGTATGAGGCTCTATTTTGACACAGAACGAGTCGCAGGTGTACCCTGGACTATCGTTCCCTTTTTCAAGGATTTACCCATCGTTCCTCCCTGTGAGCCTCAGTTTTTCACTGTTTTTCGGCATCTTCACTCTGAAAATGTTCAATGTCGTCCACCCGTTCGCTTTCATTGGGATATATACTATGTCAAATGAATGTAGAGGTCTATGCGAACAATTTCCCGAAGTTTCAGGACGATTGGTAGAGTCGATTTTGTATTTCAGCCAAACACTGAGGCGCAATATTTTCTAAGTGCTCGTTCACACGGTACCCCTCCTGCCAAAACCGCGACCGTTTTGCCCAGTCGGTTCGGTACCCTCACCTTTTTGGTTCTCCGCCATCACCATCAACGCCTTCATCAACAGTTCATCATTTTTCTATTCGAACTGAGGGGACCGAACCGACTGGTTCACGAGTCTAGCTCGTGAGCAGAAGGAATGCATCGAAATCCCCTGGAAGCTCACGATGAAAAAAATCCAACAGATTTCAGGTACCTCCAGGGACACCAAGTAGACAATATCAATGATATTCACTCAAGTCCATGCTCTCTGTATCAGCGAGAAGGGGGTCAGATTGAGTCTAGCCAGCGGAGTCTCGACGCTTTGAATCGCCGTTGCTAGAGAGAGTGGTGGTGACAAGTTCTTTTTTTTTTCGAAGTTTGGAGAGCCTTACTCCAAGTTCTAAGTCACAATGGCAGTCCAGCCCCCCTTACACACTCACACGTCTTCCGGCTTCCACCGAGGAATCCAACATGCTTGGATCACACAGAACTGGTGAAGCTTCTTCCTTCACGCGATCTTTCAGTGTCCAGACTCCAGACTTAGTTCTAGTCAGTCAACTACATACCGTGTCACAGTCAATCCGGCTTGAGAAGAAACGATGGAACAACTTCCCGACCGGTCTAACCCTCGTCGTGCTGGAAACGATGACGACACCCGAACGGTGCTTTGAAAGGGCTTGCTCCACGAGAACAGACGAGAATAGACGGATGCATAGGCGCCGGGTTTCGAATCGGTGTCATTTGCATGGAGTTGCGATGGCAGCTCTCGTGCTTGCCGATAACAAAGTTCTACGCACGTGGAGGTAGGGAAGCTTACCATCTGGTACAGGGAAGGGAGGGCCAGCAGGAAATGGATATACCATTTTCAAGAGAGAAAGTGTTGCATGCGGGGACAAAGACGGGGAAGGAGTCCGAAAAGGCCTAGAGGCGGGGAACGGGTAGCGGAAAGGGAACGGAAGTCGCGCGAGCAGTGGGAGGAAACATGCGAGAGACGACACGGGGCGGTTGGTGTCAATCATAAAATTAAGTCAGTACTTGGTCAGTACTTCTTTCCGTTCAACATTTTGACGGTGCCAAGTCAGACAGGTCGTCGTAATAAAGTGCGACGGCAAAGGCAGACAAAGCCGCCGGGGCGCGTGCCAGGCATGATTCATGAAGTTTCTCGTAAACGGACAAATGGAAAGGATACAGGATCCTGGCCGTTCCTCTGTGTTCTGCCTGGTTCTGCTTTAATTAAGACAAGCACTGTACCCGCATTACGAATTCACCAGCCTGACTTCGATGAAGTCCAATGGACCCGGTGGTTGTCTGAAGAACGCTGAGAAAGGCCATGAGAAGCCATGAGATCGAAACAATTTGAAAAGCAGGCAGCGTACCTCGATGTGCCTGTTTTCGGGGAGGCGGTTAATTGAAAGTGACCCAGAGAGCCATGCGGGTTTTCACTGTGAAGAAACCGAAAAGGCGTCGATGGAAGGTCGTCTGGAAGCTTGAACCGCTGTGCTGAGCGCCTACGGCGGAGTTGAGCAAATCCGACCAAGGGATAAACTGTCCGAACCGAAGGTGTCAGTGGCTGTGCCCCGGCGTCCGCCGAGCAACCGATCCGCCACCAATCATGCCATTATGTCAATGAAGTCGTTCTTGCACCAAACCGAATTGCCCTTGCGAGCACCCACACAACACAGGGGTCGGGTCTGTTTAGCTCAGGAACCGGCGAGCTTTTGGGTAATCTACCCTGTTCTCTCGGGAAGAACTGACATCCTCAGAGGCACGATTCTGACCAGGATGACCGAATCAATGGGCTTGGGCTGGCTGGGCATAACCCGACGATCTATGTGCTCCACGCGACCACCATACTGAATAGTCTACCCAAAATGTCCGGCGCTGGGGTTTTGTTGACTCGAATGAGACTCAGGGTCCCAGGTACAGATTACCTCCGGCCGGGTCCAGTTCTGGTCTGGATCCCGTTTTGGGTCCAGTAAGCCGGGAAACAACAATCCGCCAAGTCGTCATGTAATATCCTCTCGCTAGCGGCTGATCGTCACCGTCGACATATATGAACAACAGAGGTCTCAGTCTGGACAACTCGAAATTTTTTCCTCCTCCGTTCTGTCTAGGGCCAGCCTCGATCCACCGCCACCACCGCCTCCCAATTTGATCAATTCCGACGATGAGCTCAAACCATCAGGCCTTTCGCCAATCAGTGCACCACTCTTACCCTCAGACACCCATGGCGAATGGGCTCGTCGCTCCCGCTGGCGAAGGCCATGGCCTTTACGAAGGTGTCTGCCCTGTCAGTCACCAAGCAGCATCGTCTTCGATGACCTGCCCCATGTCGATCCCGAATGGTTCCTCTCCCAAAACCAGCTCCCTCCTGGCTCGCTCTTTCTCAAAATCTCCGCCCCTGTCCGGAATAGACGAAGATACCGGTTGCCCGCTGGGCCTCGCAGATACCTCTGCTGACAAGAACCCACTCTTCGACGAGTTCGACAATGATGCCATCTACACCAACCTGCGCGAGCGAGTCAGGTACCTCACCCAATTCGTCAATTTCACAGAAGACGACGTCGAAGCCCTCAACGACTTCCAGCCCATCCTTCTTCCCTTGGTCGACCAGCTCGTCGACAATGTCTATCACCATCTCTTCCGGTTCGACATCACCAAACAAGTATTTATGCCTCGGAAGAACGGTCAGGAAGGGCGTATGTTGAGCGACCTGCGGGACTTGGCTTTGGATGCACCTCAGATTGAGATGAGGAAGAGGACGTTCGCCGTGTACATGAGGAAGCTCGTCACCTCAGACTACGACGACTTTGCAACATGGCAGTACTTTGGTATGTTTCTACTTTGGCTACGTGCCTTCCAAATCTGATCGCGCCTTTGTTTGTAGACCACATCGGCATCATGCACACCGGACAAGACGAGTTGAAACACCGAAAACTGATGGGCAAGGCACCGCTGTATGTGGACTTGATGCACCTGTCCCTGCTCCTCGGTGGGTCTAGATGTGTCGTCGTCGCGCCCTGGGCCCGGAACTCACCCGTACTTCTCCTGTAGGTTGGACATTGGACGTTTTGACCCCCGTGATTCTCTCCTACCCCGAATATCCTCTGGCGCGACGCATCGAGATCATGAGGGCCTTCCAGAAGGTCATCTGGATACAGAACGACCTCTTCACGCGGCACTACGCCGTACGGAGTACGGAGGTGGCAGGCCTCAAGGCTCTCCGGGATAGTGTGAATCTCAGCAGCCAGGAAGATGTGCAATCGGAGCTGAAGTCGATCAAGACCTTCCAGACTTCGAGCACGCACAGTGGCTCCGAGTCTTCTGTCCCACCTGTCCCCCAACGGAGCTACGGTCCTGGACCCAGCAACCGACACACTTATGCTCCATCTGCTCCCTCGACGCACGCGAGTTTCAGCTCTCCGTCGTCGAGTGGATATGGACCCAATGCTGGTATTCAGAACTTTCCTTCAGCGAAGGAGATTAAAGAGAAGAAGGGATGGTTCAGCTTTGGACGGTGAGCTGTGGGCAGTTTGTTCATATCATTTTTCTATTCTCCCTTTCCTTCCCCTGTTGCGTTGCATCCCACTGTATTGTCTCACTCACTGGACTTTCCTCACTCATTGGCGATGCGGAAGTCCTTGGCATTAACTTATCGTCAAAAGTATCACCATCTCCTCTATTCTGTACTTATAATATATTAGTTGTAGTCTATCAATGAAGGCGCAAAGTGAACCGTAATAAACACGACACGGTCATTCGTAATTGGATAAAAAGCTCGACGCTGCCTGTGAGGTTCGAACGCGTGTTTGGCAGACCGTGAGGCAACGTTGCACACGATGGGGGCAATTGGCGCGAGTGGCCGCCTGCCATCCTTTATCGCGTTGGCCACTGGAATGTCAAGCCCATGATGTTGTTTCCAGCTGTGCACCGTATGGAGTGGCATCCGCGAGTGGCTCAGGCCTTTCTTCCAGTGGCCAGTCGCCCGCTATAAATCCCTGTCGAAAACCACGACTTCGAACCTCATCCTGACCCGCTACTACACGCCACACGATGACACCCACTCCGCACCTTCCAGACGAGATATTGCTCAAGATTCTTGTACCTGTCCTCGAGGTGCCCGACGAGTTGTTCTGTAGCACCGACCTGATCTCCCCCTTCTCGAAATACGAACTCTCATCAGCCGGAATCGCCGCTGTCTGCAAAGACTGGTATCGCGTCGCCACTCCCCTCCTCTACCACACCGTCGTCCTTCGCTCCAAGGCTCAAGCCCACGCCCTCTACGAAACTGTCAAGAAAGACAAACACAACCGTCTTGTGCCGCTCATCAAGAGAATTAGGCTCGAGGAGTGGTACGGCTTGTACGCTGGGAAAGTACTGGAGAGGTGCGGAAAGTTGTTGGAAGATTTATGGATTACGACTTCGCTATGGTCCAACGAGAATATAGCTGGCTATCAAAACGGATTTGCCGCGATTAACCCTCGGAGGGTGATTTTGGTTCAGCAAGTGCAACGGCAGAGGCGGAAGCCAAAGATCGAGGAGCTGGCGAGGGCGTTGATCACAGGTTCACTGAGCGTGTGGACTAATCTCGTGAGTGGGCCAACCAGTACTATCTCTGAAGGGTAGATTGATCATTCATAAACAGCGTGTATTGCATATGGTGAACCAAGAGCCATGGGCTTTCAGCATGTGGCGACTCCTCCCTGATATGTCCAACTCGAACGTCGAGGTGGTTCAGATCGGAGGAAACGAGTGGTGTCGTGCGGAAAGGGAACTTCCACGGTACTATCCCACTTTGTCGACCATGCCTAGGTTGCGACAAATTCGCGTCATCACCGACTTTCCTGATGTTCCTGGCGATCACCCGATTTGGGTCACAGAGGAGGGGAAACGGTTGGTGAATGACCAGGGATTTCGGGAGAAGCTTTTCTTTCAAGAGCCAAAGTGCGCCTTTATCTTTTTGTTCTTGGTCGATTGTGGGCTGATCAAGTGCTTTGGAAGACCTTGTCCCCTCGAGGAGCCACCGGTCGACCCGTTCCTGGTGAGGCTCAACCAACACTTGAAGAACCCAGTCATCCAGAGCATGGGTGCAGTACTGGTGAGTACTTCCGGGCCGTGGTGTGTGCTTTTATTGATCCGTTTCTAACAGTTGCCCATTTGTTTCCAAGAGTTGAATTTGTCCACCCATGAAGTCGTTTGCCATATCTTCAAACCAACCTACTTGGTACCACACCCAACTCTACCGGATAATAGCCCCAATGTCACGACGCTCTCATTGGACTTGCAGAGGCTCAATGTGGAAGATCATAAGGCGGAGGTGTTCTGCTCTTGGCTCGGGGCCTTCTTGTCCAACTTGAAGAAGTCACCGAAACCGACCAACCTGTGGAATATCCGCCAAGTCGTCACTCCTCGAACTCGAAGCTACAAACGCGCCCTGACTCCTCTTACATGTTACATCCGCTGGCCAAGAAAGCCGTATACCATCCACTCACATGCCGCTGAGGTCTGGGAGGACAGACCTCGAATTGGCGGGTATGCCTACAACCTCATTATCAGAAACGCGTGGTCTACACTTGCACACCTGCATCTTTCGGTTTTGGCGACGATGGAGACGTCAAAGGCGATGTTTTCCGACTTTGTTGAGAGTCTAGGAGCGCTGGGCAATCTGAAAAGTCTGATATTGGACATGAGCCCGGTGAAGGGTGGTGGCTCTCTGCGACTGAACCGACAGATCAGGGATCGGGTCGCTCCGTGGCTGCCACGGCTCGAGCAACTTGCCTTTGTGGATTGGCCCTCCCTTACCGCTGTTTCTCTTTTTCAGCTCTTCTCAAACATGGAGTACGTTTTATGCCGGATGTCCTTGGCCGAGAGTATTAGTTCTGACCTTGCAGTGTTGTAGTCTTCCTTCTCTTAGGCGGGTTGACTTTCCTAATCCTTCAGCTGACTTCCCTGGAGGAGTGATGCGGGAGTTCCTCGTCTACCATGGCCACAAGCTCACTGTGATCCAAGTTGAGCCCTCGATCGAGTACCTCCTGGAATTCTGTCCGAATGCGAGAACATGGATCATCCCGCCGACCACCAACGGCACCATCGTGAGTTTCATTTTCTCCGCCGAGCGCTATCTGTCGAGAAGTCGCTGACGTGAACCTTTGAACTCAATGGTTATGACAGGCCTTTGATTCAGATTTATGTCTGAAATCTCTCACCACCAATTCATCGGAAGTACAGGATGAAGACCGACCCGAAATCGACCAGGACCCCATGATATTTCGATTGGAAATGATCCGTTTTCCGACACTGAACGTAGTGCAAGTCTCGTTGCTTTGAGAATCTCGTCCTTCAGCTGACCGTCTTTCTCAGTAAAGACGATTTCTCTGATCTAGTTTACGACGTCTGTGCACACAAACCGGGGAGACTGTTTAATCTGCGGGAGATCAGGATAGATGGGTTGGAAGATATATGGCCAAGGTCCCAGTACGTCGCCATTCTCTCACGTTTTGGATCGTATACCTGATAGGGCCGCGCTTGTAGGCGAGAAATTGACGAGTCGAAATGGATTGAGTGGGCGGAAACGTTATCCAAGTATGGAGTCAAGCTGACGAACATGGACGGGGTGGCGTGGAGGCCTCGATTGAAGAGGCCCGGGAGGAGCTGATGTAGAAGTATTCACAAGTTGTCTGGTACATTGTGAAAGAATGAAGATGCAGTGTAGGCTAATGTACGTCCGCTGTTCAGGTTCGGAGAGAAAGCGAAAAGGCTTTGGAAGTTTGAAGTAGTGTCCCAGTAATTGATACAAAGATCCTGGTGGAGGTTTTCGCGGAGTATTCGACGCGTTTTTGAGGACCTCGGAATGGTCGCCTCCATGCCCTTTCAGCGTAAGGAGTGAGAACATTCACACTGACTGTGGATGGCTTGGGGTACATCCGGGATAGGCGACGTTAGGGTTGTAAAACCAAGGCCATTCTTAAGCAGAAGGCCAGCGCCGATTGCAATGCAACTGTGGCGCTGGTATACTTAGCTGAACGACAGCAGGAGAGTGCGGGAGCGCTGACAGTGACCAGTACCATCAGCCAAACAACTACCAACTGGCCACTCCGTGTCGGTTCACTCTTGACCATGAAAAACGACGCGACCTATATTGCGTTCTGAACGCGTTGTTTCGCGTTTTCGACTGTGAACCTGCCTGAATCGGAAGCTCGAGTCGATTGGAGCTGACAATGCGACCCGTACCGCATCTCCCCGACGAAATTATCAAGGAAATCGTATCACCGGCGTTACTCGTCCCCGACGAATCGTTTGCCAGCAACTCATGGAGGTCGCCCTTCTCGTATTACAAGCTCACGAGCTCGACGATTCTGGTCGTCTGCAAGGACTGGCTAAGAGTGTCGACACCCCTACTCTACGAAACGGTTATCCTGCGGTCGAAAGCTCAAGCTGTAGCTCTCGCCGCTACACTGAAGCAGAACGCCCAACTGGGCATCTTCATCAAGAAGATGAGGTTGGAAGGAGGCTACGGAGCCTCTACCTTCGAGATCATGAAACGCAGCCCCAACCTGACGGACCTGTGGATCACGATTTCTCTATGGTCCACCGACAGCGTTAGCGGCTATCGCAAGGGGTTTCGGTTGATTAGCCCCCGACGGCTGATTATCTGCGAGACCGAACAGTCCAGCAAGAAATCAGCTATACGCGTGCAACTTTCCAACGGCTTAGCGGAGGCGATAGGAAAAGAATGGACCATATTGGTGAGCGTCTGCGTTGGTATTTTAGCCGGGGTTCATAGCTCATGGCATCGAAGACCAGGACTTCTCTTTGGGTCCGCTTCGGGGTAGAGGCGCTGGAGCCGGTGTACAAAAGCCTTGTCGCTGCTTCAAGGTTGGAGTATCTCGAGTTCATGGACCAGCTCCATTACCCCGATTCATTCCATGACTTGATGTCCATCCCCTCTTTGAAAACCATACGTGTTCAGGCGGATCGACGCAAGCCTCTGTTCGATAAACTATCATCGGGGATCCAAGACGCGATCATTGTTTACTCGTTGGATGTTGCAATGGTGGGAAAGCGGGATATTTATGACAAAGTGCATTTTGTGCGGTACGTTTCATCTCAAAGCTTTCAAGGCTGATTGCAGTACTCATGACGGGCCAGGAGGGGTGGGCACTCGTCATTCCGTCGAAGAACCGAGGAGCCAGCCATTGTTTCGCATCCCCTGGATCCTAATTACCGTCCACTTGCGAATGCGCCCCTTGAAGACAGGGCCTTCATCTGGAAAACCATTCTCCTCATGCAGCTGGTCTCGCGGTAAAATCTGAAGTCAGAGGGATTCCAATCAACTCTTCTGGTCGTCCTGTATACCGTGACCGAAGGAAACAACGTGCTTTTGTTGGAGGGCTATCGCGCGTGTCTAAAGAATTCAGGGTACGTCTCTTCATCTTCAAGTTCAACCCGAGCCGGACCTGATATATAACCATTGAAGGAATGGGCTCTTCCCTTGTTATACGGAGCGCCTTTGCTCGAGACAGAGGCACACATACGCAAGCTCGTGGCCTCCCCCCACCTACATCTCACGAAATACTTGTGCCTAGAGTCTTTCACCCTCGCCGAGCAACCTGGGATTTCGCACTATTTGCAGTCATTAGTTGTTAACGGGTCGGGTTTGAAGACTGTTACCCAGCGGGGATCCATCTATGCGATTTCGGATATGGATGCGGATGGTTGCTTCTCCAGCTTCCGTGCTTGCACTGCAATGTGGGTTGGAGGAGGGCCGGCATCTGAAGAGGCAGTACTGGAAGAAGTCAGTTTTAAGGCACTGGTCGCTCACTCCGCGGACACACTTCGCCATCTTCACGTCGCACTTGACAAATCCGTATGGAAGCACTCTATGACCATCGACACGGCATTGAATATGTATGTTCAATTCCGCAACTTGCGGTCCCTGATTATCGGCCAATCTCCCCTCAGCAAGGCAGTGGCTGTCAGCGCGACACGCCCGATTCCATCGGATGCGTTTCCTCTGTTGGAGAATCTTGCTGTTTATCACGACTCGGCCCCCCTTCCATCGGCCTTTTTAGTGGCATTGACGAAAGCCGAGTATGTCCCTTCATTCTCGATGGCTACCGCTCGCTGACGATTCTAAATAGCCTTCCATCCCTTCGGAGACTCGATTTACCAGCTCCCGAGGCGTCCCAGGCGGCGAAGGCCTTCTTGGAAGTGCACGGAAAGAAACTACGTATGATACGCGTAGCTGGCAACTTCCTGAACCTGTTCGCGGAGCTCTGTCCAAATGTCATCACCTGGGGAATGACACGACCAGTGGTAAGACAAATTGTATGCTCTGTCGGTAATGAACTCGTATCTGACTCATGAAACGTGACGTAGGAAAATGAATTCGCTTGTCTTGCCTGTGTTAAGGCATCGCATAATGTTGCCTTGACCAAGATAATCGTATGTCACTACGCTACCGGGTGAGAATCGAGATGGAGCAATGCGATCTGTAACGTGGACGGTAATCTGACCTTTGCTCCTGCAGAAAAGGATTCCTGATGGCTCTTGCAAACACCGACCTCTCTGGTCTCACGAATCTCCGCGAAATTCGCCTTATTGATGTCAAGTGGCCAAAAAATCAGTGCGTAACTCCGTTGATGTGAGGTTCAGAGAGGTTACTGACTCCTTTCTACGATTTCTCTAGGCGCGAAATTGACAAATCGCACTGGGTCCCCCTTGCTGAAACTCTTCTGGAGAAGGCGAACATCAGGTTGGCGAACTGGAATGGGGAGTCTTGGACTCCTCGGTTGAAAATCACGCCTAGGAAATAGGTCATCGCTCTCAGTTAATTCTCTGGATACTGTTCTGTCTACTACGTTCGTAACTACATTCGTCGAACTGTATGCAAAGTTCAAACTGCAGGCCTTCCGGACTCGGCGGCTTTTTGGCCATCGACCGGTTTCCGAGTCGGTCGTCGCGTTCACACGGGTCTGTCCGTGTGCTGGCGTCGCGACGCGTCCATTTGCATTCATCATCCACTGCCCTTGTTTTCTGGCAGCCATGCAACGTTCGCCAGTAGTCCCTGACGAAATCGTTAAAGAAATACTCACCCCGTTCTTTCATATCTCAGAAGAACTGTTTGCCAGTGTCGCATGGGTGTCCCCTTTTTCAACATACAAACTGAGCAGTTCAGCTGCTCTTCTCGTCTGCAAAAGCTGGAATCGCGTCGGCACGCCACTACTCTACGACACAGTTATCCTTCGATCCAAAGCGCAGGCTCAGGCCTTAGCCGCTGCTTTGAAGAAGGACGGCCGGCTTGCGACATTCATCAAGAGAATCAGGATTGAAGGAGGTTATGGATATCCTGTTTTGCGACATCATGCGACGCTGCTCAAATCTGCACGAGATGTGGGTTACAAACGACTTGTACGCAGGAGAGACGATTGGAGGCTATATGACGGCGTTCAGCAAGACCGACTTGCGGAGGCTGACCTTCGTGGACACCAGCACGGACCGACGGGAACCTTCGTTGTCTCTTCGGACGTACCTCTGCATTGAGTTGGCGTGCGCTATCTCGACGTATTGGGAGGTCTTGGTGAGCTCTAGAGATTTCTTCACGATCTGCGCTGCTGACAACCCTGCTCAGGAGCACTTTCGCTTTGCAGGCAAGGAACCAGGGTTGAGCGAAGGTGCTGACCTCGTCCTCACGGAAGTCCGGAAGAAGAAAATTCGAACCCTTGACATCCGAGAAATTACTCCGTTATCCGACTCCGTACTGGACCTACTACGTACTGGACCTACTAGACATCCCGACTCTAGAGGAAGTACGCCTCTTGACGCCGCGCAGCAAACCCAGGTCTGAGGAGCTGCAAGAAGATGACGATAGGCCTCTGTCGTGGGAGATGCTTGAAGATCGTGAATTGTATGACATGGTCGAGTTCTCAAGGTGCGTACGACAAGGTTGCCTAGTTGCTATCACTCTAACCAGTTATTAGCGATGGGCTCGGGGACGAGGATCACACAGATCGAGAATCGAACTGTTATGTTCCCGGACTCAGGTGGGCATTGCTTGTGAATTGACAAGAGGGCCACCATCGGAAAACGGTCGATACCGGCGGCTTCTACAGGAAGTACCGCCTCTGTTAGGGAGGCCAAAAATACCCTTTGAGTCTCTGGTCGAAGTCAATCCGGGTGTGGCATGCCTGTCCGCCGGAAAGTCGATCCTTTCCCGTTCCACCAAAGACATTGCCTTCTTTCCTCCAGAGCATGGCGCCGAATCCGGGTGGACGTATACTTCACCGATACCGCTCACCTGCTACATGCTGGAGTTACTGGTGGCAGCCTCTCCGCATACGCTTCAACAGCTGCATCTCACGACAGTGCAAGGTTTAATCGAGACCTCAAACTTATTCCGAGTCATTGACGCCCTTTCACGAATCGAAAATCTTCGCTCACTTGCACTGGGCGATGTCGTTCTTTTGGAGAAGGATGTGCCCAAAACAATGCCCCCTGTCCCGGTGGGCATGCTATCCCGGTTGGAGCGCCTTGCCATATTCACTGAGGCCACGTCAGCGCTCACCGTCCTCGACCTGCTGGCCAAAGTGGAGTGAGTTACCTTCCTTTCAGTAGTTGATTAATAGTTTAGCCATCGCTGACGCTGGTATGGAGGTTACCTTCCCTTCGACGGTTCGATCTCCATCCATATGCACCCAGAGAGTTGGGGTCGAAGTTCTTGGCCGCGCATGGCAGGAAATTAACGCATCTCTACTTCCCTTCCGGAGAAGACAGCTTACTCTCCGAATTATCATCGTTTGGTCTGTTGCATCACCGGAGGTTGGCGTCCCTTAAATAACCCACTAGGGACACATATCAACTTGAGCTAATCGCAAACCTCTGTAGCCCGACTTTGGCTGCCTCCGAAATCTTCCTCCCGGAAACCAAATCGCCCTTTCCAAGATTGTTGTTCCCGAATACAAGGATTTCGTCAGGGAGGAACCTGCGGCAGTGACGCGCTTTAGGTGGGCAACATTGTTCGTGCTTAATCTCTGAGGTTAATGAATGTATGCTACAGGGACTGTCTGTAACAACTTGTCGACATCGATCTTTCTTGTGTCAAAAATCTTCGAGAGATCCACATGGGAGGGATAACAATCCCGAGGGCTCAGTGAGTATTGCGCATTATTCTCTAGACTATAAGGGGTCAATCTCATTTTTCCCCTCTTCTGCAGACGGGAGATTGCAAAGTCGACTTGGATACCCGTCGCAGATACCCTCATTGAAAAGAAGATTCAAGTCACTGACAGTCAAAGAGATCCGTGGGTCACTCGGTTGAAGCCTACTGTCCGGCCTATTACTCGAAAGACTCGCCGGAAACGACGATAGGACTGTTTGGCATGGGAAGACGGCCTGTTGAATACAGTTTCGGAATAACTACTGAATGGCTGATTGACTCCCTCCATCGCGTCTCCCTCAAAGATCCTAGCTGAGTGCGTAGGACTTCGCATGACTGCTATTCACCTCAAATCTTGCTTTCTGTAGCCAAGTCTCTCGACCGACGACCCTCACACGTGGCCACATGTCGTCAACCATCAAACTTCGCTGGACAACTGGTTTAGCGAGTTCTCGGATCGTGCATGTGGCTGGGCAAGCGAGGATGTTGATTACCAAAAGCGGTAACTCCATACAGGGATGATCGCCAAGACAAGGCATAAATCCGACAGTCAAAATGGACGCCGGAGCAACAATCAAGAAACGTTGTTTTCTTTCCTCCACCTTCCTCTAGTCGTCTGGCGCGACCATGAAGGACAATTTCTCGCCTATCCCGACGCCTTTCTCTCTTTCCCAGTCCCTCGAGGCGTCAAGGTGAGCATTGCGCTGTCCGATCGCAAAGCCACGTGTCTCAATCGCGGCGGCATTTTACCCCACACTAGGCATGCCTCCAGCGATTACTTCGATTTGCAGCAGGCGTCAGGCGCGAAGGTCTCAAGGGCCTTGTTGAGGCCCAATGTCAAAAGCCCTAATGTCGACGCTGATAACGACTCACAAGCACCCAGCGCTGGGATAGACGCTCTCCCCAACGAGCTGCTCGCGCACATCCTCGAGCTTGCCTACTTGTGGCCGGGACGTGACGACCACCTTCGAGCGACGATTCTACAGGTTTCTCGGAGGTTGAGGAACGTTATGATAGAAACACCATCTGTTTGGAGCGTCTACTGGTTATCCCAGGGGAACATCGAGCAATTCCTCCCCATGTTGCCGGTCTACCTAGAGAGGTCCAAAGGATACCCGCTCGACATTGCTCTTCACTGCTACTGGGACCCAGAAATCACCAGCACCGTCATGGGGATGTTTCTCCCTCACAGTCACCGGTGGCAGCACCTGGCGATTACAACTCCCAATCCGGACGTCTTCTCCTTCCTCGAGAGCACCCCCGTTCCGATCCTCGAGTCCTTGAAACTTTATCACTTCTCTTCAGCGCGAAGACTCGCCATTCCCCGCGAAGTGTTCGACAACTCCGCCCCAAAGCTCTCCACGTTGCTTTTGCGAAACGTCAGCCTGGATAGGATCCGGATGCCGCTCCGACAACTCTCGAAGCTGGAGCTTCGCGGGCACGGACGCTGGCCCCAGTATTCCGAGTTGTGCGAGATGCTCGCTGACTCGGATACTTTGGAAAAGCTTATCATCCACGTGAAGCCTCACACCGTCCTCGAGGACATCAACCGAGGCGACGAACCGCCCATCCTTCTCCCCGCCTTGCGCACCTTCACGCTCTACACCTCGGAATGGATGACACCGCCCGTCGCAGAGTTGATTCGGACATTCTCCTGCCCCAACATTGAGAGCTTGCTCATCCAAGAAGACCCAGGTTCGGCTCCTTCCGCCGAACACGACATCGTACGATACACCGCCTCCCCTCAACCAACGCTCTCAGTCTACTTTGCGGACGCGGAAGTGGCGTGGCGCTGCCTCTCGCCTGAACAATCCGAGAACCTCAAGGTTCTCCGGCTTCGACGGGCAGGGTGGTCAGACTATTCTAGGTTGCTGAACATGTTCCGCGCTTTACCTGCTTTGGAGAGTATGGTCATCACCGAGCTGAACCCTACCACCGTGGTTGAGGAACTGGAACCCGAAGCCTTACAGCGTGACGTCCCCATCTCGATTCCATCGTTGCGCACCCTCGACATCGACGTCATCCGCAACTACTGGTCCCCTCAGAACAAAGACATCTCCCGGTTCATACGACTCTTCCGATTACCCAACATCGCTAACCTATCTCTCCGCAACCTTTCTACCTCCGAATGGCAAAACATCCTCACCGTCTTCGATGCTCACAACGAAGATTACAAAGCCTTAACCTCGCTCACCATCGCACAAATGCACGACCTGACAGTTGGCGCTGCGGATCACGAGAGCGACTCGGACTTGCCCTCTTCGACCCCCGTCGACGCCTTCCCGCACCTGCAGCACCTCTCCTTGATCGATGTGTCCGCCAATCCTATCCTTGTATACCTTTTGAGCCGGTCTCAAACTCATACCATCGTTTGGCCTGAACTCCAGACTATCACCCTACGCGGAAACACGTTTACTGGCAAGCCTCTCTTACATCGGATTATAGAAGATAGAAAAGAGCTGGGGAAACCGCTGGTGAGGCTCTATCTAGACGCCTGTTTTAGGTGCAACGGAGATTCTTGGGAGTAGATCGCAGAGAACTGCGAGGTCGTTCCGATCTAGAGACCTTGGATATAGAGCTAGACCACGTTCGATAATTTGAACAGGTAGAAATACTTCTAGATGTCCATCTGTGACAGATGGTTTAGCATACACTAAAATCGTATGACACTCGTGGTCAGATATCGCGGTAAGAAATGGCTCAGGAAACGAATAGAAGAAAATATTTAGTTAGTTCACTTCGAAGCGCTCTTGGGGACTACAACAACAGGCTTGGTCTTTGGCAACTTCTCTATCACTTCGTCCGTGAATCCGAGATGGGCTTTGACAAGGGAAGGAGGGATAAGAGCCAGCCACTGCAAGTCATGCCCAAAATTGTTAGTTCATATTTCGAAAAAGGCAGAGTGCAACTGGTCGCACCTGAGCCAAACTGATATCCTGGAACTTGGGTGTATTCCAAATTTCGAGGAACTTCAATGTGGTGTTACCCGTGTTCTCTATGTAATGTCCGAATGATGCGGGAATATAACCTGCGGTGACATCACTTCAATGGAGGTCTTGGGCTAAAGTCGAAGGAAGCAACGTACCAACATCTCCGGCCTGGAAATCGAATGTTCGAGCATTGCCCTGGGCAGCGAATACGGTGATACGACCTTGACCCTCCCTACCGTCTGAGTGAGTACTTCGTGTCACAGGTATAAACAAATGGGATACTCACAGGAAGAAATCCCACTCGTCCTGGGTAGGGTGCCACTGTGATGCTCAGTCAGCCACCGACTCGGACACCAACTTGATACCAGGACGTACGTGAAGCTCCCGCATTGCACCAGGTTCAACCGTAACCTCAGCAGCCGCAATCGTCTTCGAGATCTTAAAAGTGGTCGAATCGACAATCTTCACAGATCCACCTTCAAATTGCGTGGCGTTCATCTTCGAGAGGGCGAAGGAGAAGGGGTCGGGCACGGTTCCGAAGGGGCTCTCGGGTGCTTCTTGGTCGTCTGCTGGGACGTCTGTTTTGGTTTGGTGTGGGGATCATTTAATGAGTGGTTGATGATCGGGAAGAAGATGCAAAAGACTGACCGGCAGGGAAGATGTACAGGTCTTTGGCGGGAAGGTCTGCGAAGGCGGTGGCACCACTACGAGGGAAACACGATCGGTTAGAAGCAAGTCTGGTCAAGGGAACTAAAGCCGCGCACAGTTGGAAGTTCTTCTCCAGCACTATCAAAACGAGACGTTTAGTCGAATATGATTTTATACGAGTAATAGGAATTCCCACCTCCAGCAGGGACGTGGGCAAGCCAGTCGGTCAGCTGTAATAGTAGTATTCACCGAGTCAGCCCGAAGATCGCGTATCCATCTCACGCCCTCAGTAGCACCCACCATGAATGTATTGTCTTCACTGAACGCGCCATCGTCGAACACAAGCAAGAACTCTGACCCTTCGGGGTCGTCACCGGTAGCTTGCAAGGAATGCGGGATACCAGGAGGGAAGTACCACAAATCGCCCGGGCCAACCGTTGAGATGAAGTTCCTACCCTCGGCATCGACAGATGTGACTTGAGTACTTCCTTTAATCACATAGGCCCACTGGAATTAAAGGGTCAATACGGTGTTCAAGGCGAGCCGAAGTGAAATGGGAAGCGAAAAGGAGAGAATAGTGATCATGAATAGCAGGGTAGAGAAAGTCATGGGGAATGATAGAGGTAACCATAGGGAAGGTAGGCGAAGAGAACGGATTGTTGTGTTATTTTTAACACTGAAGTTTACAACGCCGGAGGGGGCGATCATGGTGCACTCACTTCTGCCGTACTATGCCAGTGCAGTTCTCTGCGATTCAAATGTCATCAGCCACTGATAACACACGAAAGAAGCAAGAACAACCACGCACCGAATGGCTCCAGGCTTCAACCGCATGTTCACACCAGCCATAGCTAAGAAACCACATCGTGAGTTTGCCGCCGGTTCAAAATACCATACAGAGAAAGGACTATGATTCAATATGCGTACCTTTCGCGATAGGCATGACATCAACTAGAAGAAGAAGATGCGCGTTATTCGAGTCAGAAAAAGGGCTCAGAAGCTTTACAGGGACTTTCGAGACGCACTGTTCTGTTGCCGTGCCCATCCACCCGTTTGAAGGCGATTATGGCTCAAACTCATCGGCCACTTGACGTTGGGTCTGGACGGGTGATTCGACGAGGCGCATCAGTAATGATTAACACGTTAACCCATCCAATGTGTGGCCCACGACCAGGCACGGCGTGAAGGGGTTCACAGTGGCTAGTAGGGTTGAAAGAAAGGCGTTGACTCGGATGGATCCCACTTACACAGTACCAGAATCCGTACTGGGAGGGGCGAACAAATCCGGGTTCTGAACCGCGATGTTGGGGTTATTGGGCCCAATAATCGTCGCGCCCAGCGGTCCCCGGATGGCATCGAATGGGCCCTCAAAGCTCGAGTCCCAAACGGGGTCGTTGCGGTCCAAACTAATAGTAGGGACCGTTTCGTGCGCGGGCACGGCGGTGTCCGTACCTGAAGCGCTCGGCGTATCCTGTGGGGTCGAAGGGGACTCGTTGCCTGAGTGGGGGGCAGTCCCGCCGCCTAGTATTTCGCTTTGGGACTGAGGCTTGGGAGGGTGAGGCCAGAACGACCCCTCTAGCTCGCGGGGGATGTGCTTCACCCATGGAGAAGGCACAGCGAGGGACGAAGAGGCGAGGAGGAGCGCGATGAGGCACGTCGAGAAGCGGATCATCGTTGGCCAAGTTAGTGATATCTAGACTGGAGGAGAGGTTGAAGTCGTCGTGAGTGGTGTCCAGGAAAGCAAAGCCCACTCGAGCTCGAGTCTGAGCGAGTGACGGTGAAACCCAACTTACACCAGTTGTCTTTATGCCCCTCTAAAAATCTCCTATTTCCAAATTTCAGGTCAGATTTTCCCAAACAGCCGCTTGCTTCTCCCGAGACTTGAGATCTGAAGGGTAGGGCGAGGATATGAATAGCTTTCAAGAACAGCGGCTACTTGGACTCCCCGTAGTTCTTCTGCGTCATCGTCACGAGTGAGTACTCAAAAGGCAGGTAAGCGTGGAGATGACTGAGTTGAACGCGTGCGTGTGGCTGGGTGGAGAGATAAGAATAGACCTCGCCACTCGGAGGGTATTGCCAGAGATGACGGAATTGCTTACCGTATACATCACAGAGATCCTTCCAATACGCTTCCTTTGTCTTGCTGTGAATAATCGCAGCTATCTAACGCGTTGAACGGCGTTGTGCTGAGGTTCGGAAACGGGTTCCAGGTCGCCTCGCCTTGCTATTTAAATTTGCCACTGCCGTTCACTTGTGAGTGAACATCGCCGCTCGATGCCTACGCTCCGAATGGATGACGAACCTCGGCATCCAAACGATTACTACAGGCTGACGTAGTCGACACGAACTAAAAGACGGTCAGCTGGGTTCGAAGTGTACCAACCATGAAGTTTAAAGTAGCTTACCAGTCAGTTATCCTGAGCCTTGTGGCTTCCGCTGGCACATACACCCCCGAACCCACCATCTATCCCATGTCCACCGTGACTTCCAAGAGAAGATATGAGCTACTTATAGCAGATACCCGAACCAACGCAAAAGAAGGCGAATGAGTGGTTAACCCTTGCTTATCTTCTCAATGATACCACTCCCGAGGTATTCGAAGTTTGTCTTCCCCCGATGGAGTCTTCGGTATATCCTTCACTGGCATTTCTACTGCAGGACTTGCTAGACTAGAATCGGGTTTTGGACTACGCCAACGCGTTGCGCCTCATCGTCGACTTGAGGATCAAGATCATTGAGAGTTCTGGCCTCAAGGCCACTAGAGCATCCACAGAGGTCGAGAAGACCGCACCTGCAGTACTCCACGAGGTATTTAGTAAGCTTACGATCCAAAGAGCGCATCTAAAGATAGCACTCACTGAATACGAGGGCCATAATGAGCAGCGGAATCAGCATGCCGATTCGAACGCTGGCATCCGACAATAAATGCAAAGATCTCTGACATGCTTAGTAGCGCCTGGAGTGCCGTCCATCGGACCTGAATCCCATAACTCGAAAGCTTTGAGAAGTCGCATCCTTCCATCTCCGAGTTTGAAGGACAGAAGTCGACAGAAATTCATAGACCCGACGTCAGGTTACCAATCACCAATTCTCTGCCACACATCGCTGATTGCAAATAGACCAAAGGACGATCAGGACCGGATATGACATCGTGCGTCTTTTCGAAGGCCAATCACTGGTATACCAAACTCATTCGACGGGCTTCAAGCGAAACAAAGCGTCGTATTCCTTGCAGTAAATGATTACAGCGGCGTAGGGATACGGTCGACTATTACGCTTGATCAAGTGCGAGGACGCACCTAGATTCCATGACCGAAGTCGGCGATTTCGAAAATCTCATGAACAATGAATGAACATCTGGAATTGAGGAACGCTGGTCAGCGACTGCTCCAACGGTGACGAAATAATGAAAACAAAAAAAGGTTCAGAAGGTCATAAGGTTTCGTCAATATGTGACTTCAGCAACAGCTTCTAGTTGATATTTTTTATGTTGACTCATCGGTTGAAAGTAAAGAAGAGGAACCCAACACTCACGGAATGGTCAGGACCAAATGTACATCCAAGGGGAAAGATACGAAGAGGCCGACGCCGGCGGTAACCTGAAAACAAAAGGCTTCAGTAAGGATGGTCAATGAAGATATGTTGGATGGATGAAGGAGATCAGATGGGGTTGCCCGAGGTTTTGAGCTGTGGCGGGCATTTTCGCGCATGGAAGTACGAAGACCGTCGTGATAAAGCATCATGCGAAGGAGAAGGCCAATGCGTATGGAAAGTCTACTCACGTTGATGTCGTTATCCCTTGAATAAATACAGTGTTCAGCTACTTCGACATTCAATCATGACAACAGTCGCGATTCTGCAGAAGATAATGTCAGCGAGGTGGTTGGAGAATTGAAGTATAAAAGGATCAGTGTTTTAAAAAACAGCCGTGGAATTTTCATCAACCCAACCCGAAGGAAGGACAGGCGGTAATTCCTTTGTATCATCAAGAAGGTAATGGAGGGCGGGTACTCACTGTTGAAGATGGCTGGCAGAGGGTTGACGAGGGTTGAGGATGAGGGAACGATCTGAGAAATAAGGTCAGTAAAATTTTCAAAAACAGCAGGTAAGGTGGGATCAGAAATGAGCATGATAAAAGCATGGCGTCGTTGACGCTCAGATACTCTAGTTTGAATTGATTGGGATCATCGCACTAGGCAACGTTGCAAGCTGCAAACGATTGGGAAAAGAGACTCACCAAAAGCCTATGATCACAACACCCTTTTCCACGGCGTTCTTCACGATCATGGATGGTTCTGGATAAAAGGTGGTCAGCAACGAGGCTCGACAATTGCGAGAAGGTAAACCGATCAGTGTAACTATGACAAAAGACGATTCATTTGCGTCCACCTAGGTAGGGTGAACGCTCGTACGTAAAAAAGTTCATCTTTTCGAAGAAGATAAAACCAGAAAATAAAGAAACGTTGAACTTACAAGCTGCGGACATCGACACTGACAATGGCGAGGCGACTATCGACGCCTACAACAACGGCGAAGACGGAAAAACTTGGGCGACATCGTGGAACGTGTTGGAGAAACAAGAGAAAAATATTTCGCGATCTAGAGGCGCCTGTTTAGGGCAGGTCTTTTTTTATCAGAAACGTGACCGTGCGGGACTACCTTCGGCGCTTGCCGAGCCCCTGTTCCAGTCCCTCGGTTCCCTTGGCCCAGAGCACTTCATCCTCGATGTCCGTTGTAGGTAAAGTCTACAATAATAAATGTAAGTGTAATAGCGCTTCTTAGCCCGCAGCACTGACCAATATCTGCCTTTGCAGTTAGCCACATGTTGAACATCGTGTCTGGAACCACAAACGTGTTACAAGCTTCCAACAGCGATATTCTATTCTCCAGCATCGATAAATGAGATTCTCCAACCTCATGTCGCCCATGACGCTGAAATCTACGTTTTTCGAAGTCTCTAGAAGTATTTTTATTACTCGGAACAAGTCCTCAACATCAGCCCACACAACGCATTCAAATTTGACAGGTCACAAAAACCCGGGTTGAGGCTCATCTAGGCGCCCAAAACACGTTGCGGGTTCTTCAGTTCGCAATTGTTCACAGATGCCCACGCATCCAAACAAGGGTAGTGCTGCGGCTTAGCTGTGCTGTTAATCGATAAAGACCAACAGCCCTTGAAACGATCGAATGGCTCCCCAGGTTCCCGCCTCTCTGTTGGAAAAGTACAACAACCTGCAATTTGGATAGGATTTCGATCAATTTTTCCCTCCCATCTTTCCTCTTCCCCCTCGTCGTAGGGCCTTTGTGCTCTCCTGTCCAGATTGCAGCGGTGTTGTGCTCTTCGTCGTCGTCGGCGCTGTTGAAATCCACCCCCTTATCGTTGTGATCTGGACTCATCGTCATTGAATACGTACTCCACCCCTAGCGAGAGATCGAATTTCCTTGGTTTGCAGATAGACTACTTAACCGCTGGACGTCACATTACCTCTTCTCCGAGCTCATCACAATGTCGGCGCTCGTTATGCCCAGATGTACGGGAACCCGTATGTGGCGCCCTCATCCCGTCGTACCCTTTGTAAGCCCGCTCAGTTCTAGCGCGCTCGTCCTCTATCTAACCATGCCCTATAGCTCGCGTTCTACTCCAGCGAACAGCTCGCCCAGTTCATGCGCACCCATCTCGACGACCCGTTCTCAGAGAAATTCGCCAAATTCGTCGAGACAGTCAACATGACTGGGTCCTACTTCACCTCAATGGATGACGACACTCTTTCAAGGTGAGTCCGTCTCCTTCAAGGAGCCACCAGATGCATCGTCTGAACTGCAGTTGTAGATTATGCGGCCACGAACCCAGTCTTCTGTACGACCTCCAGCGGTGGAAGACTGCATTGACCAAGCCGCGGACACCGTCTGTCCGAACGGTCTTCGAGCTTCCTCCCATATCTCCCACCGTCTCGCCAGCACCTTCAGAACCTTCTACTCTTCATCCCGAGAGCGATCGGGAGGTTCCAGTGCATGGCGACGCCGACAGGAGCGATGACTGGGACGACTTCCTCCTCTCAACACCCGAGTCCACACAATCCGCATTCACTCTCGAGGACCAGGGTCCGCTCTCGCCTCACATCACCCGCGCCCAGCACGTCGACGTCGTCGAGACACGTTCCACGCACCACTTCAGCCCGCTCATCTCCCGCCACCAATTCACCCACTACGATACTCATCACCATCATCCTGGAGTCGATGACGACAAATTCCCGTACTCCAATCCTTCCCCCGAATCTGATCTAGACGGCGGTAGCAGCACAGCTGGGGACAACGATCCCCTCTTCTCCCACTCTGCCTCACTATCCCGAAGATCAAGCACCGCATCCCTGCGCTCAAACATCAACGTCCTCAACTTTGACTCCGTCCCCACCCCCGTCCCTTCGGACCTCTTCGAACTCGCTGCGGAAGCCTTATCCTCCGCGTCCTCCACCTGTTCCGACGCTTCATCCGAAAAAGATCCGCTAGAGGACGCAGACGATCATCTATGGGTTTATGAAGACGAACTTGACAGAAATGGAGATGCAGTTGCGGGAGATGGTGCTCATAACCGAGCCTGCGGTTCGCCTCGTGTCGAGAAAGATGGACATGAGGAGGAGGAAGGTTTGATTGAGAATGAGGGTGGTCCTTCCATTATTGATAGCTTTGGTTTGGTGGGACATGAGGCTGGTGCGGGAGACGATGATCGGGAGGGTGGGACGTCTCTCGGGATTCAGCACGATCCTGGACTCTTGATTGATGAAGACCGGCCGGCGTCTTCAGAACCATCCCTTCTTTCACAGAATGACCGCAGTCAAGATAACTCCGACATCGCCCCATCCATTGACAAGTGCGAACTGCCCTCTACCCAACCCGAAGATGGCCCAACACCTCGGACTGTCCTCCCTGACCCCGCTTCTTTCCAGCCCACCTCCATCGAAGACTCGCCACCCTCTCTGACTTCCGACTCTCAGTCCGACGACGATGATGGTCAAGGAACCTCAGCCTTCGAGGTCATTGTTGTCTCTTTTCCGCCATCGACCAAACCCACCACCACTCCCGCCGAGCCATGGCCTCCCTCACCGCAACTCGAAACCATCTTCGAGGAGTCTTCAACCGCCGCCGCATCCCCTTGTCTCCTTGTTCATGACTTAGCTAGGGAGGACTCGACCGGTTCTTCATCGGAAGAGCTCCCATATGTCGACGCTAATGAAAGCGACCTTGCGTTCATCGAAGAGGTCGTCCCTGACCCAATGTCGATCCCACTACCGGAGGATGAGGATAGCGATCTCGACGACTTTCAGGATTTCGACGTTCACATCATCGTCCCTACCCCGCCGGGTGACGAGCGGACGGACAGCGGCGACGACTCTCAATCCTGTGTGGCGGTCCTTCCCGACCCGTTGGCGATCCCACTTCCATTGGAGAACCAAAAGGAACTCGAAGACCTGATGGAACCCACCGCCCAAGCATCCGTGTCCCAGCCGCCCATTGTTACCACCGAAGTCGTCCACAACGAGCCTTGCCTTACCGATGGCGAAGACGACGAAAGGGCCGTCAACTCCGACCTCGAGTACGCCGACGCAGATTCGCGGCTGACCTCACCTGCGCAAGCATCTGTGGCCCTTACACCGGTTGTGATTCATGTACAATTGCAGGAAGCCGGATACGAACCTGTTGTCGTTCCTGTCCCAGTCGAGCAAGGGTCTTCGTCGAAGCCATTGTCGTCCCTCCAACACTCGGACGCCGACACCGACCCTTCGTATTCTCTACCAGGTGCATTCGAGTATCAAGGTTTGTCGAAATGTTGTCTATGGAATGTTCCATGCGCTCATGACGTACACTTAGCCCTACCCGATACTCGTGCCCTCGTCGCTGCAGACGATGCGCCCGAGTCTGAACATCCCGGGGAAGAACAGTCCATCCAACAAGTCGCCATCCTCGACGCCGCCCCTCAACCCTTCAGCGATGCCATCTCCCGTTCCATATCCTCCGAATCCCAGTGCATGTCCAGTCTGTCTGCTGTGACGCAGCTTAAGACATTCGAATCCCAAATACCCTTCCCACCACACAACTCGATTCCCATCGCCCCTCCAACTTCAGAGCCAACCCCACCAAACGTCCTCACTGCCGAGCCTACTGTCGACTCTGAACTGGAGCCAAAGGCACTCGTCCAAACCGCGGGTGCGGCCCTCGAAAACGACGAACCCGACTCTATCGCCCCAACGCCCGAGCTTACCTTGACACCAGCCACACCCTCCCTGGAAGAGATATCCCAAACTCTCACAGAAGTCTTCATCAAGCAACAGGTGCTCACGAATGGGTGTCTCGGGCTGAGCCTGTCACCAGAGTTGGAGATTATTCAAACACCGGTGTCGCCCAGTTCGATCTCGCTCGAGGATGTACGCGTTGTCCAGAGCGTTGAAGTTGATCGTAGGCTCGACGACGGTGTGCATGTTGCTGGCTCTGAAGATGCTACCGGCGAGGACAAATACGGCATGGAGCACGCGCCCGAGAAACCGAAATTGGAGATCGACATCTCGTCCGGCGACTCGCTGTTCTCAGACGAGCTCCTTTCCGCGTTGATCTCATCCGTCTCACCGTCCTTCCCCGACCGCCCCTTCAGCATCACTCGGTCAACATCGTTTGGGAACTCACCCACCATCTCTCGCTCCTCTTCTTCATCCTCGTCCCCGTCCAGTTCAGACAAGTACCGCCAATGGTCGAGGAGCGGAACCGCACTTCCATTCTCAGGGAGGGATTACGATCGACCGAGGTACCTTTCCTCACCTTACATGCCTCCCAACTCGCCGTCTACCCCGTCGTCATCACGTCTATCTGTCTCAGCCGACTCTCCGTTCACCTCTTCTCGTGGACTTGGACTTTCAACGTCAACCGCCGAGAACGACCCGTCCGATTCGAGAGCACCAAGACCGCAAGTACGCTTTGTCACTTCGGATTCGTCCGCTAGCTCTGGCACCTCCCAGGACGCCTCCCAGGATGCCGATGACGAACCGGTGCCATCATCCCCGCTCTTGACACGCTTCAAGTCCATTTTCCGCACCATTCTCCCGTTGCAACACGATGGACAGGGGCATGAGAATTCGTAGCGTGAAACCATCTAGGAGTCTGACGGACCGGGAGACTGTTGGAGTTCTCTCGTGAGGTCTCGGGAGGTCACTTGAAAACATTTCTGCTCTTCTTTCCTTTCTTTCTTTCTTCTAGCCCTGTTCATAATTCACTTGAGTTCTTTCTGATTGAACGTTAATGCTGTACATTTTTTATCTATGCGGTCCCTACATACCCAGCTTTTTGGTCTTGCTGTCTGTCTCTTGTTGTTGTAATATACGCTCGGTATAACGAGCGACTCGTCTCGGCTTCCTCTTGGGTTTTTGTCTCTCCTTGTATGTATGTACTTGTATTGTGCTGTCTTCGCCCATATGCATGTCCTTGTCGATAGCCCTCTCCAACACTGTACCCGTAGCTTCTTCCTTTTCTTTCCTCGAGTCCAGTCTGATGTATCCAATAGCCTCTCCCTCCTTGTAAATTAAATCCATCTCTTCCGTTACTTCATGGCTTCACCACAAGTTAGACTGTTGCAGCGAAAGCGGGAGGGATCCCTCTGACCTTCTGCGCACCATATACATACAGCGCAACGCGAGTGGACCCTCTCAGGACAGCGAGAAACCAAGCAATTCATTCAACCCCAACAGGCCATCTACCGACGTAACCTCGAGGTATACACGGGTATACACGCGACGGATGGAGCGGGTACCGTTCCAAAAGCTCCTCCCAACAAGCCTCAGGGAACGTCGGCTGCCGCAGCGAAACAGCGGTCGTGGCCGTCCCCGTTTCATCCACCACGCAAAGAAGCTCTCCCTCTCGCTGCTTCCCTACATCTGCTCCTTCGGGCGGTGCGGTGAATTTGAGGATGCGAATGGCGACACGGGGGGATGGAGGAGGTGGAGGCCCCTTGGCCTTCAAGACAGTTACCGGAGCTTCACGCCAGACCACTTCGAATCGCACCAGCGCGGTTCCTAGAAGTATGTATATCTAGTCAGTAAGATCCTGTCAAGGATGGATGGGATGACCCCAGGCTAGACTAAGACGACCTAACCTGAAGACATAGTCTGCTTCGTGCGGAACCCAATAGTCTCAATCTTCCCTCTATGGCGCACCCGCATCCAGCAATACTTGCGCCGAAAGTGCAAATAGAACGGGTCGGTGATATTCCACAACAACTCAGTGCCAGTGTCAATGGCCGTCCGGTCCCCAACGATCGACCGAATCTCCGCCTCCTCTTCAGGACTGATATGCCCCTCCCGCAACACCAGCTCGGCGAGGCGATGGAACGTAGTCCGGACTAGGACTGCTGGGAGGAGCACGCCCCACGGGATTCCATCGCTCGTGACCAGGTCCTTACCCTCGTCAAACAGCGCTGGGTCGGGCTCTGGGACGAGGCGGAAGCGGATCTGGCTGGTCAGAGCGGGCGTGCCAGGCGGGCGGTGAAAGTAGAGGAACCCCCGTGCGGATGGGGGGAAGGGGTAGTATCTGTACTGGTCCTTGTCGTACACCAGCTGGAGGCGCTCGCATTTGCCGCGGGTTGCAGTAGCGATTCGGATGTTGGGTTGGCAGAGGCCGGAAAAGTCCTGGTAGTCGTTTGGTGTTAGCTTGGACGGGTCAAGTGTCGAGACGGTACGTGTTGTATTATGGCCTTGTTCTGCAGTACTCGTGCCTGAGGATTCGACGTTGCTCCGAGTCTGGGATAGTGAGTTGAACGTTCCTGCCTTCAGAAGAGGTTTATAAACTCACCGAAAACGTCCTCCTCCCTTCTTTGATCAAGCAGGCGCGCGGGTGTTGGATGGCAGCGAGTCCAGCCTGCCCGTGACACCAGAACGCGTTGAGGGTGCTATAGCGGCACGCCTGCGTCCGCTCAGTGCGCGGGAGCACATTTAAAGCGCGTTTTAGTGGTATTGTAAGTCGTAGCATTGGGTCTAGATGTCCATATTCAGGTAGAGAAGAGTATCCCGGTTGTGGTGGTCAAGGTAGACGCAAAGGTTGTGAATCACCGGCTTCAATCCCCGACAATGCACAATTGGAAGTCAGAAAGCGCCCGGGCACCGCGTCAAGGTTGCATTGCCTGGGGCCAAAACATAGACCGTTTGCGGTCCCAAACCTTATCGAACAGAACCATCCTTTTCAACAGTTACAAAGCTCCAAACCACAAGCGAAGGAACGGTATACAGATACATACGGGTGTTACATTACACAGTAGCAAGTAGAGCATCGTCAATCTCTTTCATGATATCATCTTCCTCAGGCGGCATCTCGCGTTTACTATACCCCTTTCCTCCGTCTTTTCCATCCCTTCCATCTCTACTATCCCTATCCCTATCCCTATCGCGATCTCTACCGTCTCTCGCATCTCTATCCCTCGAAGCCCTTGCATCCCTTTCGTCCCTACTATCCCTGTCCCTATCTCTATCCCTATCTCTATCCCTGTCTTTATCTCTCTCCCGCCCACTCCCACTAGCACCAACACTCCCCCCACTCATCTCCCTCTCTCTCGCCTCCCTCGCCTCCCGCTCCCTCTCCTGCTTCTGCATAAGCACAGTATAGCTCGGCGTCATGTACGGCTTATAATCCAGGTGTCGCTTCACGTAAAAACACATGTACGGATTCGAGGAGAGACATTGGCCGAGGCTCGAGTGTGTTACCCTGGCGAGATAAATTTGGGGCGCGGTCAGCGTTAGCTCTACTTAAGAAGAAATGCGCACGTACTTGTCATCGTCGAAGCGATACCACTGCAACAACCAAACCATAAGTCACGATTCGAACGAACTAGCACCAACGCCTCTACGCACCTCATCTTCAAACCTCGCATAATTCGTATAATGCCCATTATCAATCTGACCTTCATGGTTAATCACAGCGAAGAGATCATATTCATATATGGCCTCCGGTCCTGGGTATCTGCGTATACGGTCTCAATCAGCAAGGTGAGCGAAACAACACGCGAACGAAGAAAGACCAAATGCAACCCCAGAATCCACTCTTGAAGGAGAACCCACTCTCGAACGAGAATCCACTTGAAGGAACATAGTTTTCTACTCACATAAACGGCACACCAGCACCAACACCACCCCCAGCCGAGTTCTCCTTATCCATCTCCTTCAACACAGCAGACGTATACGGCGCCATATTAATCGACGCAGGGATCCGAACCGGCGTGTCGAGTTTACGAGCGGAGGATTTGTCGTTTGTTCGTTGTTCGAAGCGCTGTTTTAGGAGTGGAGCGGAGGTGTGGTTAGATGGTGGACGAGAGATGAAGAATTTGAAGATGAAGAGGAGGGATGGTGGAGGAGGGATGACCCCAGCTATAAAGCGCACCTTGAACTGAAAACTCAATACAGCGGGTAACTGCCGTATACTCATCCGCTTACTCGCATCCTAGGATCGCCGCACATTTAGCATTGGATCATAGCCACTCGTAATAACGAGTGATAAACCACGCACCGTAGTAACTTTATTACACTTCGTACACGTATACTCTTTCAATCCCAACTTCTCCGAAGTCGTGAACCTATCCCAGTTCCAAATCACCATTAATACACCGAAGAGAAGCCAACCAAAAAGTTGTAAAGGTGGTCAAAGGACAACTCACCTCCTCAAGCACCCAGCCAAGGTCAACTCCTCCGCTGCCTTGGGACCACCTTTACTCCCACCAGCCCTCCCAATCTCAAGACTAACATCCAACATGGGATCAATAGCCGTCGTCGTATTCCCGCACCGTTCACAGCGTACATCGCTCTAGAGCACAATCAACCCATGTCAGCTCGCGTTTTTCGAGGTGAGGGAACGAAACGAAGGGAAGAGAATGGACCGCGAACGCAATGACATGCGAAACGAGAAGAAGAACCCAGGACCAACTAGGACCAACCCAACAAAACCAAACCAGTAAAAACCACCACTCACCTGCAACTGCCCACCAAACACCCCATGAATAACACAATTACAACTAACATTTGTACTCCCCCTCGTAGTACTATGTATCAAATTCAACAACGAGATGAACGTCTCATGCGCGTCATGTTGCGCATAGGACGATAAATCAGGCGACGTTTTGTACAGCGTGTGAAGGAACGTATGGGGCGCATGTGGGCCTGGCTGGGTCGGGTGCGGGTGCTGGGAGGGCAAAGGTGGTGGGTTGAGCGAGGATGAGAGCGTAAGAGGTGTGGAGTTTGCAGGGGTGTTGGTGGACGGTGGAGGCGTAGGTATAGAATAGATCTAAAGAATTCCAAACAACTCGTTTGTTAAATCCAAGGCCGCAGCAAAGGCAGGAAGGGAAAAAGGGAGAGAACAGACCTCGGTAAAGAGTTTATCCATCTCGCAACATGCACAGTGCTCGAGTTTACATTGGCGCCAGTTGTGTTTGTCGCTGAGGAAGTAGTTGCGGAGGAGGGGGTTGTGGACTAGACATTGGAGGACGGCATTGAGGAAGCAGGTTTGTCCGAGGTTGACTAGGCCGCGGCGGGCTGGTAGTGCAGAAAGGCGAGGATCGCGAGTGGTATTGGGGACGAGGAGAGAATAACGATGGGGATGATGAAAAGTAAGGTGAGCACGTCGTTACTTGAACGGAGCGAAGACACGCACCCTGGCAAGGTAACCGCGTAAATCCCTCCATAGCAGCCTTGTCCTTCTCATCCTCTGTCCACTTCTTGTACGGTTCCCGCAATTTATGAGATACTATATTCAACAAAAGTCGTGTTAGCGATTCTTAGCCCAAGACTTGAATGCTCCCAAATGGCAGGCGAAAGGAAAGAAAGGAAGAAAGGAGAAGACGCACCCTGGAACCTCGTCTGCTTCTCCTCAGCATCAATCACACTCTCCATACACACTTCCTCCATCTTCGCGTCGTAGATAAAGTCTTCGCATTCAGAGCAGTATACCGAGCCTGATTTAGTGTCCGCGCCTATACGGGTATACCCATCCATCCACACAATCATTCGCGTTCAGGGCAGTTGCAGTTCGGTATTTGTTTAAATCGCAGTTGGGTTGAGTGATAGGGAATAGATGTGGGGTCAGTCAGACGATATGACATTGGACGAGGAAGGGATATGGCAGACGCACAGAAGGAATGTCCGGTCTGCTTCAGATGTTGAAGAGCATGTCCGTCATTCCAGCACCCGGCAAAATCGCAATGTAGACATGCGAATGGACGAGATAACGCAAGTGAGCATATCCCGCACGAAGGAGCTGCTATCTGAATTCATATGTCAGCGCTTGTTCTCTCGATGAAGGAATAAATGAATAAACGAGTAAATCGTCGGGTCATTCACAGCCTAAGATAACACATGGGATATATAAATGAAGACGCACCTTACGCCGTTTCCCACTCGCCCTAACAGCTTGCGAACGATGCACGTTCCACGCGAGAACAGTTTTGTACCGCGTCCGTACAGCATCCAGCGAGTTCTGGATATGCGGACATGTCGACCCCGCTAACGCCATCTAATTCCAATTCAGTAACACCCTTCTCTCTCCTACTTCGCGGTCTTATTTTTGTGGTACTGTTGATTGTGGAGAGTGTAAGCGCCTAAGCAGGATTCAAAGTTCTGCCAGTGGATGGGTGCACCGAGGTCGAGTGTGGCGTCGTCCGTCGTTGGTGTCGTGCGAGAATCGATTCGTCTTCGTCGTATGCTTCGTATACGAGTGCACCAGCCTTGTTCCTAGTATACCCAAATCCCAAATCAGACCTATCACTGACAATGAGATAGGAAAATCCCCAAAGCCAGTCCAACGATAGCCCGAGCGTTCAATACAGGAATCCAGGAAACGCTTGCACCGCAATGATCGAAAGGACCGAAAGGCAATTGAATTGATGGGCTTATTTAATCCATCAGATGAAGCCCGAGAAATACCTCCGAGTTGACCGACGACCAAGAACGCAACAACAACGCATCTGTGACAATGTTCGGGTTCCGGGAGGAGGAAGATACCGGCCGCCTTGGACTCTCAGTCTTTCTTGACCCTTGACTATTGCCTTCCACGAGTGTGTAGGGCTTTCGGTTGACTCTGGTCAACGAGGACTTTGTCGATCAGAGCGAAGACGACGGGACTGCGACTTCGACTACGACGTGATATCTCGAAGCGTTTGGGTTAGATAACTCTCAATCCGCCACCGTCGGCTTGCACGACCTCGGAAACACGGAAACCTACACCCCAATCTGTAAATCTGTATCACAAAACCTGTCACTTAAACCCCAGCCAACTGCTCTCCGAGGCCCACTCGCATTCCCATCTTCCCTGAAGACTATACGTCCACTGTCTAGATTCTAGAATGGTTCAACCGGCCGTAGAGACCACCGTCTCCTCGTCCTCGTCCTCACCTCCAGCCTCTTCAGCATCGTCTCCTCCGACTCCCCCGTCAATGTCCACCAAGAAACCCACCAACTCACTGGTCCAGGTTGGAAAATACGTCTATGTTGGTAAACCACAGCCTACACCCGAAGGCGGGTTATCTCCCAATGAGCAACCAGCGTACGTCCGCCCCTCTTCCCTCATCATCTCTTTCCCCTCTTTCTACCCCCCCCCCCCCCCATTGTTAAACCCACGTTCTATCTTCACGCTCACGCTCGAACACCGTTATTTACATACCCGAATCCACGACTTACCCAATTCCACCCTGTAGTATCATCCTCATGTTCGGCTGGATGGGCGCGCACCTCCCGCACCTCCTCAAATACACCCAGAAATACGACGAGATGTACCCAGCGGCGACAAAGATCCTCGTCCGCTCCCAACCCGAGTTCTTCTGGAGTTCCGCCAAGACGAATGTACGTGCCGCACTACTGCATCCTCCAAGGGTCGCAATTGTCGTCGGGTTATTTGTTTCATTTTATGCTGATAGTTATACTGATATCGTTTCGTTCCGCGTGGTATGATAGGACGACGCCCTCCTCCCGGTCGTCCAACTCCTCAAAGAACAGGGATGTTTACCTCCCAACAACGGGACAAAGAAACCCAGCGTCCTCGTACACGCTTTCTCCAACGGTAGCGCCCCTCCCCATCCTCTTGCTCTCCACCACAGCGTGCTAATTAAATCATGCATAGGCGGCTCGTGGCAATTAACGACACTAAGCGCACTCCTATATAAACTCTACCCTCTCCTCTCGTCCACCACCACCTCCCCACCCTCCCTCCCACCAACAGCCCTCATCCTCGACTCTACCCCAGGCTCCAAAGGCCTCCAAAGCACCCTCAAAGCATTCACAGCCTCCCTCTCCTCCCGGCCCCTCAAACTCCTCATCGGCGCCCTCATAATCCTAACATACGGCGTGGTGAAATCGTGGTTGAAGCTTCGATGGGTGTTCTGGTGCCTAGGGGTTGTAAAAGGCCGGAGTGGGAATATGGATATGTTCGAGAGGATGAAGGAGGGGTTGAACGGAGTTGATTTGGAGGGTGGAGGGGATGCTTCCACGGCTGCTGCTAAAGGTAGTTCATCCAGCTCCTCGGCTACATCCCCCACCACCTCCACACCCCTCCTCCTCCCCCACCTCTCCCTCCACCCCCGTACAACCCCGCGCCTCTACATCTACTCCCTCACCGACGCCCTCATCCCCGCCGACCAAGTCCGCGCCCACGCCGCCCACGCACGCGCGCTAGGTTGGGTTGAAGTGCGCGAGGAGGTGTATAGAGAGAGCGAGCATGTGAGGCATGTGAGGAGTGATGAGGGGAGGTATTGGGGTGCAGTGCGGGGCGTGTGGGAGTGGGCGGTGGGGAGGGCTGGGGAGGGGGGTGGGGAGTTGGAGGAAGGGGCGGTGGAGAGGGCTGGGGAGGGAGCCGAGGTGGGGGGAGCCGAGGAGGGGGAGGAGGAAGGGAGGAATGGAGGTGTGAAGGAGGAGGGGGAGGAGGAGGGGAAGGATGAAGTCGTACTAGAGGATGGACAAGTGGATGAACAAGGGAAGGAGACAGGGGTCGCAGCCTAACTCTCCCTTCCACGACACCATGATCCTTCCTTTCGCAGTCGATCAAATAGATACCCCATTCTTTCCTACTGCCTTACGGATTGACGAGCGACAATTTACTGTCAGTAATGTCTCATCGTCTAACTTTGTTAGTTCACAACAGCTGCTCAAACAAAGATACTTGGATTAAAGGTGCGAAAGGCAAAAAGAATGACCACCACAGGGATCGAACCTGTAACCTTTTGGTGTCCATTGGAGCCGTAAAGCCATCGAAGCCAAACGCGCTACCATTGCGCCAGGTAGCCATGGAATCCGTAGAGGGTGTGTATATTACTATGTGTCGGGCGTTCGAACCTCGCTCGCGAGAGTTCTCCTTCCTTAGGAACGTACATATTTTATAATTATCTTTGAGAACGAGTTTGCTCTCATCTCTCGGCGGTCGACCACCATGATCACCGACCAGGTCACCAGAACCTCATTCTCGCAAACGTTGACCATTGACCATATCTGAATCGGACGTGCTAACCATGTTGTATATACTGTGGTATGTACCCGCAGTCTCTAGAATCTGCGCAGCCCTCCGAGTATCGACTACAGTAGTCGGATTAATATTAGGGTGTTTCACGGCCATATTAACCAACTAACAACGCAGACGCCATACTAACCAACAACCCAGGCCATAATATTAATCAACTACTAACGAACCCAAACCATATTAATCAACCAACAACCCAGGCCTCGAATCCCAAAACTCGTCCCGTATCAAGTCGCAGTGGAGGAGTACGACGCGGGTTTTGGGTTGTTTAGGTTTTTTGGGTCTTTTCTTGGATTTTGGATGGGTGGAAGGGGAGGTGGAGGATGGGGTGTTCGTATTCATTGAGGTGGTGGTGTTCGTACTCGTGGAGGTCGAAGTGGAGGCTGGTGTGGGGGTGTTCGAGGTGGAAGTGGCGTCGGTTGGAGCATTCGTACTCGTAGAGGTGGGGGGTTGAAGTGAGGGGTCTTGTGAAGGAGGTGGGGGATCGGTGGATTGTGATGAAGAGGGTTGGTCGGGGCCATGGGAGGGTGTTGAAGACGATGGACCTGGCGTAGAGTCGTTCTGGTTATGCTCAATCTATGAAGCATAGGGTTCAATGCAAGGGACAGTGAGTACATTCAGGTCTCCACGCACCTCTTCCTCCTCCGGGACCACTTCCCGTACGAGTATACTCCCCTTCCTAAACCGTGCATCGATATTATTGTAATTTATCCCAAACTGTGTGAATAGGATTTCATGCTTGTCTTTAGAGTACGTGCCCTGCATTCAATAATCCCAATTAACACATCCACCATTAGACAAAGACAATCCAAATACACACCTTCAAAACCGCATGCGCCTCTGTCGTCGTCTTCCCGCTCTTCACCAGCGCCCAAAAGACGGTATTGTAGAGGTTGTTAATATGCGTATCGGCTTGCCTCCACCTAAAGTAATCCTTGACTTCTTTCTCGGAGGGGTAGACGACAATCCGACCGTCGAAGCTTGCTGGGTACTGCATCTTCACCTCCTCCTCACCTTCCTCCTTGCCCTCTTCCTCTCCTCCCTTCCCCTCTCCTCCATTACTCTTCCCACCAAAATACTCCCCCCAATAAAACATATAAAACCCCGTAAACGCACTCACAAGCGTACTCAAAATCTTAGCCTGGCGTCTATTAAACAGCGTCGTGCTCTTCTTCAACAAGAAACTATACTCGTCTGATTCGCCAAAGGCGAGGACGATATCGGGGAAGAGGTCCATCAGCTCTCGGGCTGCGCGGTCCATGAGTTTGAGTGCCCGAACGTCGTTGGGTTTGGTGAAGGAGTGGGTTTCTGAGAAGCTGTGGGTATGGAGCGCGGGGTGGGGTTAATGAAGGTGCGCGTGGATGCGCAGAGAGAAAGAGACACACCGATGGAAGGATTGACCGTCTAGTCTGAGAAGGAGGAACGTCCCCGGAAGCAGTGGATCTGGTAACTCAAAGTTACGCACGTACGCGTATTTCGTGTTGGCCATTTGGTTTGTGGGTGGAGAAGAGTCAACAAGCGCTCAAAGCAAATGAGATTAGATATGGCATCGATCGAGAATTGATTGGATCAAATACCCCGCGGGACCTAATCTTGGTCTAGTCTCTTGCTCACCGACCACCACCACACTTGATAAATAACCACGACCATGTCTCTAATGAAAAGCGCAATGCAAGCCCGCCTCGCCAAACTCCCTCATCCAGACCAACTACCCCGCATCCAACAGCCCGCTACAATGGCGCCTTGGGCTCTCTCCGAGAACGACAGTGACGAGGACGAAGTAGACGAAGAGGAGGAGGAACTGGACTCTCTAGGCGACCTCCCACCTGGTGGCGGGATGGGTCCTCCAGCGATGCAAGTAGCTGCTATCTCCTCTCTTCTGTTGGGATAGGATTTCTTATCATACGTTCCAACCATACCATACCACGACCTTATGTGAATGGAAATGCACCTACAACGACGCTCTAAAGGCCTCGCACATCACGAACCAGACCGCATGGACCAACTGCTCGACAGGGGAAGAAGAAAGAACCTAACCCAGATTACGCACCTATCTCTGCAGCGGGGTACTTTGCCGAAGCGTTGCAAGTCGCAGTCCCAGAGCGGGGCCTGGAGTTTCGGGTGTACCATACCCCTTCGCGGGAACTCGCTACTGCCTCTTCCTCTTCGGCGTCTTCGTCTTCAGCTCCAGGCCCATCTTCGGCCTCGCCTTTAGGATCAACCTCGAGCAAGGGAACCCTAATGGTATGTCACCACGGAGCTGGATACAGCGGTCTCAGTTTCGCGTGTTTCGCCAAAGAGGTGGACGAGCTGAGTAGAGGCGAGTTGGGCGTTCTGGCCATCGATGCTAGAAGACACGGTGAGCTCCCCCTTCCTACATTACCTCCATCCAAGACTGATCATGATCACTCCTACCTATGCTGCCCTCGGACATCTACCGCCTTGCGTTCAACTGTTTGAAACTACCAATACTGCAATTCTTACGATAACAAGGCAAAACCAAACCACTCTCCGACGACTCCGAAGAAGACCAAGACCTCTCAATCGGGGTACTCGTAGACGACTTTGTAGCCCTCCTAAAGACGATGTTCCCAGATCCCTCAAGTGCTCCAACGTTCTTGGTACGTCTTGCCCACCACACTAAAAGCTCCTCCTCGATCCTGATCAACCACTCCTACAACGCGATAGCTGGTAGGCCACAGCATGGGCGGCTCCGTCGTCGTCCAGGCCTGTCCCATCCTCCAATCCACCACCTCCAGCACTAGCCCCAGTTCGAATTCGAATTTGAACTCGAGCTCAAGCAACAAAACGACCTCGGGGTATCGCATCGCAGGCGTAGCTGTCCTCGACGTCGTGGAAGGTTCCGCGATCGAAGCTCTCCCGCACATGCACAGTCTTCTGAATGCGCGCCCGGATGGGTTTGATAGTGTTGAAGAGGGGGTTGAGTGGCAGTACGTTGTGTTTTACTGTTTCCTTTCTTTCGTTCTTCCTGCCTCCCGCACTGGAGGAGGGGACCAGATTCTCACTGTTCCTCCTCGTTCTTGATCTCCCCTTGCAACCCCCGCCCGTCTCACGCTGACATACCCTCTTACGCGCATTCTAGTCTAACAACAAACACGATCCGCAATCCAACCTCTGCAAGAGTATCCATCCCAGCGATACTGAAGCACATACCAGACGCGAAGGTGATGCCCGAGTGGCAGTGGAGGACGACGTTGAGGAGTACGGCGCCCTACTGGAGTGGTATGTCCGTCCTACTTTGATTCCATTTTAATCTCCTTCCCAAAAGCTACACCTGCATAAGAAAGAAACACTCGCTAACCCCTCCTCCCTCATCCAGGCTGGTTCACCTCCCTCTCCTCCAAATTCCTCGCCACCCGCACCGCGCGCATCCTCATCCTCGCCGGCACCGACCGCCTCGACAAGGAGCTCATGATTGGGCAGATGATGGGCAAGTTTCAGCAGGTGGTGGTGCCTGGTGTGGGACATATGCTGCATGAGGTGAGTTTGAGTTTGGGTTGATAGGGTGTTTGATTTGGTTTTGGTTGGTAGGGGGTTTTTGTGGGAGGTGGGGAGTTGTGGTGTTGTTCGTTGGTGGCGAGTGGGTGTGGTTAGACGCTCTTGGTTAGGTTGGGAGTGCGACTTGCCCTTGAGGCTTTGGGTGTAGGGAACCCATGATGTCCTCCCTCCCCACCTCGTCGCAGACTGAGTGCACCACCCTCCTCCACCGCACCTCTCACCAAAAGTTCAAGCAAAATGTTAACCACCATTTGTTTGAATCATTGATTTAGGACGATCCGACGCGTATAGCTGAGATACTCGTCGAGTTTTGGAGGAGGAATGAGAGGGTTGTGGTTGGGTTTAAGAAGGTTGGAGAGAGGTAGAAATGTCAGATGCTATGTGGAGACGATTTGGAAGGAGATGGGCAGAGAGAGGGTTTGATTATCTACGGATTCGGAAGGGACGGCTCGGTGGAGGAGCTCAGGCAAGGCCAGGTAATCGGGGAGTTAATTTGGCAGAGGAACCAGGCGTGATTTCGAGTCCATCGGCAAACTCTCGGGCGATGGGTAGACAGTACCTCTCTATATTAAGAGTACATACATACAGCCAAAACCTGCTGTTAACCGTTCCCATCCCAATCCCTCATTCAAGAATCAAGACCCAGAACCCTAGGCAAAACTTCTTCACACCTTCCCAAAAATACCCAATCCGCATCCTTATCCGCATCCGAAGGCTCAAGATGAAACACCGCAACCTTGCCTCCCCTCTCCTTCACAGTCCGTATAAAACCAGCAGCGGGGTGGGCGAGTGGAGACGCGCCGACGATAATCAGCATATCTGTCGAGTTTAGGTATCGTCCGATGTCGCCTAGGCCTTGTGGGATTTCGCCGTACCAGGTTACGGCTGGGCGGAGTTTGCCTTTGCAGTGTCCGTAGTAGCGGTTGGTCGTGGTTGATGAGTCGACGTCCTTTTGGTTGGGAGGACCCCCGCAACGTGGTAGGTCGTCTTCGGTGATGACTCGGACTTGGGCGTTGTTAACATCAGCCTCCGAACTGGAGTTGGTTTTGTCCAAGGAATCATCCTCGAAAGCGAGGTTGGTATCGGATGAGGTGGAGACATGTCTACACTGGAGACATTCTTGTCTGAAGATGTTTCCGTGCATCTCGATCAGGCGGTTCTTCGATTCTTGGTATTGCTCCTTGTTGATCTTGCCTTGTCCTCCTCCTCCTCCTTCTTCTGAACTCTTCAAGGATGATAGAACATCGAGAGAGAGGTTATCAACGTTCTGGGTGATGAAGAGTGGAGAGCTGGTTGGTTCTTCGAGTTTGCGAAGTAGTTTGGATCGGAGAGATGGATCTGCGTGGAGAGCACCGAGGGCTTTGTGTGCTGCGTTTGGTGAGGCGTTTAAGCATCTGCGAGACCAACCAACCGTAGTAAGTATTAAGTGTTGAGTATTAAGTAGCCACTCGAGCTCGATGTCAGCGACGCGTCCTCGTGCTGAACGACCAACCACCACCAGTCCAGTCCAATCCAATCCAAGCAACCAAGCTTTAAATCAAGCAAGCAGGCAAGCACATACCGCTTCCGGATACTATGATGAAACCTCCACACACGCACAGGATCCTCCTTGAACGCCTGGGCCGTAGCAAACTTTTCGTCCAGACTATAAGTAAACGGCACCCCTCCCAGTTGTCCTGTAAATGTTGGTATCCCGGATCCAGTGGAGAGACCTGCACCAGCTAGGATGGCGAGTTGAGTCGATTTTGCTAGAGCTTCGCGAAAGCTGGTTGTGGTAGCTGGATCGATCATAGTAGTAGTAGCTGGATCGGTAGTGGTAGCTGGATTAGAGTTGGACATGGTTAAGGGCGGGTGGGAGTGGCGTGAAAGGAAGAGGGGTTCGCTGAGGGCCCTCAGCAAACTGTCGGCCACGTTCCTAAACAAAGGCCACGCGGAGTGGCACCAGGGTCTGACGGGGGTGGCAGGCAAGACGTTAGTGCTTTTCCCTTCGACGCTGAGTCCCGTCTTCAGAACCCATAAGTAAGTCAAGTGAGTATAGACTATAGGAACTTCGACCAACTAAAGCTAAAGGACTAACCCAATTGGTCATGTTTGGGAAGCCTCCGAGTCGGGAGAGGAGTAGAAAGGGAAAGGCGAAGCTTGAGGGGGCAAAAAAACATAGAGAATATAAGAGTGATCGATTGACTGTGAAGACACTTTTTGGGATAAATACAAAGCGAGAAGATAGCGCATTAGGGACGTATATATATAGAACGGGAGAAGAGTCAACGAGACGTGCTTTGCCGAATGCATGACACTCGTTAAATATAAGAGCCTGTCTAAGATATTCATGCGATAGAAAAACGGACTGGGAAGGGCATTGTGGAGAGAGAGAGAGAAAGCAACAACCAATAAACCAACAACCAATAAAGCCCAATTACGAATCCCAGATGGCACCAAAGGCAGGGATACCCCGGCTCATGCATCCATAAACAACCTTCTCAGTGAGAGGCTGGTTAGAGATAATAGCAACAGCCTCAGCATCAAACTCCTTGACAAGCCTCAACACAAGCTTGACCATATCAGGCTTTCCATGCTTGCGAGTATCTACAAATCCAAGTCAGTAACAACCCACAAAACCAATCAGAGTATATAACTCACCATAGATCACAGCATCAGGACACGCCTCCAAAATCGAGTTGCACAAGTTATCACCAAAGGTCTCTCGGACATTCGGAGCAGTCCACAACACGCGCATGGGGATCTGCCTGCGCAAGATGGCGGGGGCGCACGGACCGATACCGGATCCAGTCGCGACGAGGACCATGCGGCGGAACATGGGGACGAGCTTGAGGACACCGTAGGTGGGGACGCCCTTGACCCACATCTTGGTCGGCGGGTCGTTGATGTGCTTGGAGGTCCAGTCACCTGCGCGGGAGACCACGACGGAGTACCCGGTGCGGCCTGGGATGGAGATCGAGGCGAAACCGTGCCATTCCTTCAAGGGAGCATCGGAGAGACGGACGAAAGTACCAGCGTCGGGAGTGACTAGTGGAGAGAAAAATCAGAGGTGTGGATGGGAGAACGGGTGCAAGAAATCGACATACCACCATAGTCGAACCAGAGTCGGACGGCGTGGTTAGAGAGGACTTCGGGGCGGCAATCAACCTTGCGGAGGCGGAACCATGGCCAGATGATGGAAACTATCACCACGCCAGTTAGACGATTACTCTGCATCAGACACTGAAGGAAAAACTACTCACTGGTGAAGATGATGACAAGCCAGAAGTGGGGAGACTTGACGAGGGTCTGGCCGAGTGTTTGTCCTTCAGGCAGGTAGTCGATGGTCAAGAACATGAACTGGATCCAGACCAAGGCGAGGGCGGTCCATCCGAGGTATCGGTGGGTGTTCTCGAAGGTGTCGTGCATCTTCTTTCGGAGGGCGGGATAGGCGAAGATGAGGATACCGAGGAGTTCAGCCAAGATAACGTAGGTGATCGCGACAGTGCGGACGGAAGTCTGCAACAGACGAGATTCAGTAAACGTCTCTGAAAAGGTTATATGAAAGCGCACCTTTCCCTTGTTGATCATCTCCTTGGTAGCTTGCGCAGTGAAGGCAACCAACCAAACAAAGGCCGAAACGCCAGCACCAGAATGGATACCACCAATCGTATAAATCCTCGCACAAACACGTCGGATGCACAAAGGCCAAGACGGGGGAACAGCAGTGAAGATGATGAAGAGAGTGTTGATGACCATTTCCTGACGCATGAGGACACCGATGAAAACGTTGGCAACGACAATCCCTCCAAGCCTGTGGGCATCGTAGTCCTTGGTGACGAGGATCCAAATGAACAGGGCCATGTTGATGATGAAGACGACGGAGAAGAGACGCCTGTAGAGGTTGAAGATCTGGTGGCGGAGGTTGCGGACGATGCGGCCTTGAGTCTTCTCGGGGACTTCGTCTTCGAGGTATCCTGACCAGATGTACTCTTCTTTTTCGAGAGCCGACGAGGCGGACGAGTCGACCTGCTTGACTTGAGATCCTACAACGGTAGACCCAACAGTCGACACCAAGCTCCTCTCCGATGAACGATGGGGGATGGTAGGAGGCTGAGCCCCAGCTGCTTGAGCAATGACCGTCGTCGGGAGGTTGACCCAGGCGGCATTCTGAGCTGGAGCCTTGTTGGCCGGCTTCTCCTCTTGGTTCTTCGCGTCGAGCGCCATCTGTCGCAAAATCCTCTTGTCCGTTTTGCCGTTACTATCCGAAAGGATGGGAGTTAGACGATACTCGAAGAGAAACGAAGAGTGACTTACGCTGTCTCCGGGAACTCGTCCAAGGTAAGATACCTGGTGGGGACAGCGTAGTACGGCTGGACCTTGAGCGCAGCCTCTTTAATATCCTCAGGCTTCAACGAGGCGGGGGTAGCAAAGCCCCACAGCTCCCCGTCAATCAACAAAGCAGTAGCCGCCTGGACTCCCGGGCATGTCTAATCACAGATATAAGTTCTCCGCCAAGCATCCGAAGCCCGAAGGCAACACAACTACACACCTCCATAGCAGTAGCAACACCATCCAATTCCACGCGGAACCCTTTGATCTTGACTTGGTTGTCAATCCTTCCAAGGTGAACCAGAGTGCCATTCGAATGCCATCGTCTAACACGCTCTAGTAAGCACAACGAGCCCAGATTCCTCAACTCATAGCATCGAGAATCGAGAACGTACCCCAAGTCACCAGTATTAAACATCATCGAGCTATAGAGCGGCACAAACGCACGGTCGATCAGCCGAACTTACTCTGGCACGGGAAAAGAAGAAAAAATTCGACGTACCCATCATCAGCAAACGGATCGGGAACATATCGTTCAGCAGTCTTGTCAGGCAAGTTGAGGTAGCCTTTGGTGATACCAGCACCGCCGCCCCACATTACCCCGGGTTCGCCAATCGGTACCGGCCGCATGTTCTCATCGAGGACGTAGACGCTGTTGTTGGGAGTTGGACCGCCGATGGTGACGATATCTCCAGGAGTATGGAGCTGCATGGTATTGGCGATGGTGACTTCGGTGGGACCACAGGCATTGTAAAACTTGACGCGCGCGCCCCAGAGGTCGGCGGTGGCTATAAAGAGGCTTAAGCAATCTTCCAGGGTTTTAGTCAAAGGTATATAGCGTACCCTTGGGGCAGGCCTCGCCTGCAACCACCACAGTCGAGAGGTTGGGATAATCGGCAGGGTTGTGCGGCGCCAGCATGGACGGTGTGGAGAACAAGATATCCACATTCCTCATGACCGCTTTCCACTCCTTGGAGGTCTTGCCTCGAAGACAGAGGGTAGCACCGTTGACCATAGAGCCAAGGATTTCCTAGCACAACTCGTCAGCAAAACCATCGGGATTCCAAAATGGGGAAGAAGAAGCTCACCCAAGCCGCAAAATCAAAAGAGATGTTCAACATCTGAGAAACTTTGATACCAGGTTTCATGCCCAAATTTCCAGGGGCAATGCAAAGCACTAAAGTAGGCCATTAGACGCGATATCCGAGTAGAAACCATAGCGAGACTTACAGTTCGTAACATTTCCGTGAGTAACATTAACACCCTTGGGTGTGCCGGTAGTACCTGATCAATGACGTCAGTTCCACATTGTCTAGAATCGAAGCACTCGAACTCGGACTTACCGCTAGTATAAATAATATAAACAGAATTAGTGGAAGAAGTAAAATCGCGAGGCTTGGTGCAGTGGTTGGGGTTGTAAGAGGTGCACAGAGTTTCGTCCAAGTAGACGATCTCAGTCGAGGCGGCGTCCGCAACGCGGTGCTGGAACTTGCGAAGGGTGAGGATGACGGTGGGCGCCGAATCTTGAATCGCATGCTTGAGGGTGCTGTCGGAGACGACGTTCCCATCGAAGGGGATATACGCCGCACCGGCCTTGAGGACACCCAAAACACCAATGACGAGCCAAGGCGAACGCTCTACGAGGAGGCAAACACGGGACCCGACGTTCACCCCCGATCCACGGAGGCGAGTGGCGAGGCAGTTGGCCTGGCGGTCGAGCTCCTTGTAGGTGATCTTGGTCTCGAACTCCTCGACTGCAGTGAGATCGGGGTTGGCTTTGGCGTGGAACTCGAATGCGTGATGAGCACATTGGAAGGGGACGAAAGCCTTGGCTCCTTGGCCGTACTCCCAGAAGAGGGCCCGGTCGTTTGCAGAGAGGTGAGAAAGCAGATCGCTGCCCATGGTTCTTGCTTTGCTAGTGATCTGGGACTGCAGAGGAGGAGGAGGTTGGGGAATCTTCTCGTCGAATTCAGTTCGTTTTTAAGCGTTTGAAGTTCCCTATGTTCAGAGGAACTTCGATGGATTCTCTGTCATAGTGTGCCGCTAAGAGTTCCCCGCCTTAGAACCACACGGTGTGCAAGTCTTCGCTATCCGAAAGTGCAGAGAATCGATACTAGGAAGCGATTTGTCTGCAGATACGGCGATAGCTTGACCGAATTCGTGTTGTCTTAATCAGCCCGCAGACCCAGATCACAGCAAATGCCCGTGCAGTTGAGGGTTAGACGACATCGAAGCAGTGCAGTTGTCGAGGTAGGACGCGCAGCATTGCTCTAGGTGTGTCATGGTGGACGGATTGTTTCATCAAAGTCGTGTTTGCTCCAGTTGTGCTCGTGTCCTACTCCGGATCCCGTTCCCACAAATGATCTTGCTCCCCCACCGAAACCTACAGTCTGAACAATGGCTGTGAGAAGTCGTTTTGTCAGAAAGTCAACTCGTCTACCCGGTGGTTGGAGCGTAGAGCGGCTGTTGGATCCTCTGACTGTAGTGTCTTAGTGAAGTTGGAGTATGTGTTGACAGTTCCAAGTGGTACTGATCTTCATGAATTGATCTAGAATTGAAACCAAAAGTCAATGGCCGTCTTCACGAAACGTCTGTGACGCTCACGGATTTATGTTCTTCTCCCCCTGTCCGTTGGCATAGAGAGGCTACTCGGTCTTCCGCACAGGACTGCCAGGAGACGCCTATCTCCAGCCGGCAGAAGCACCATGACTTCAATCCTCGGTCAACGCGTATCTACAGCCCAGGCCATTCTCGTCGTTGCTCGCCCGATCCCGTTCATGAAACCCTGCACCACTGAGAGGGAAACAGAATTCATTGCAATTCCTTGTATCCTTGACATGTTCATATTCGATTTCGTAACGCTCGCGAGGGTCCATTGTGGGTTAAGAGTCCCATCCTCCACCAACACCCCTTCGGGACTGGCTTCGGTTCTGCTTGACACTGCTTCGGTGTTGTTTCTCAGCTTTCTTGCGCGCCTTGTCCTCTTTGATCAGACCCGCTACCCGTTGCTTCGTCTCTGCCGACGTGGGGTTCTGGATCCTTGACATTGCGACCGAGAGGATAAGGTTCTTGAGCTGCAGTGACTTTGAGTGTTAAGTTGACCCTCTGACCGCCATACACACCTTCTCCAGACAATCGTCGATATTCTGCGCTTGCGACCTGGTAAAGGTGGACGTTACGAGGAGGGTATGGGTCGAAGCGACATAGTGAGGCTAACACCAGTTCAGAAACCCTCACAACAGGACAAGTAAGTCCTTACATCCTTCACAAAATCCTTCCTCGCCCATTGCGGAATCCACGGCGAATTCAAATCACAGCGTAGAGAGACCTTGGTATTCACTTTATTCACATTCTACGAGCTTAGCGTTAGATATTATCCACTAGATATAAACTTGACGATAACTCACCTGTCCGCCTGGTCCCGAGCTCCGAGAAAAGCTCAAAGAGACTCCAGGTGCATCTCTCAGAAAATCAGGATTCAAAGCCTTGAATTCCTCCGCCCACTTGTGGACGCCCGATGCATCCTTCGAGTCTGGTTTAGGAACGTCGGTCGTCGCAGGCGGGGTCGGCAGACTGCTAGTTGCGTATAGACGACATAGAATAGACGGTGATGTCCGTAGAGATTGAAACAGAGTAATATTCCTGTAGGCCAACATCGACGTCGCCAACGACGAGCTCACTGCTCAGACTCTGGTCGACGAAAGGGGCCGTGAGAACTGTCGGCAGATGCCGAACAAGCAGTGATTGCAGAGAAGGGATGGGGTGAAGGGTGTGTTCTCTGCTAACCCGCTTGCTTTCGACTTGTTGAAACCAGTTGAGTGTCCCAAACTCTGCTTGTGAAGGCTCTCTTACGACCTAACACATAGTGGAAGATATCTCAACAGGCTCAGACTCGGATTACTCCAGGTGCGTACATCTTTTTCTGCTTGACATTTCATTTATCCTTTGAATGCTAATAAAAGACCTATTACAGCTCCGTACGTCGTCTAAAGCTGTCAATAAAAAGGTCGCCTTTTGCTCATAAAGCGGTGGATGCGATAGTGGATCTCGTGGTTCCTCTCCTCGAAAGGAAACGAATACTTTTGCGAGGTTGACGAAGATTTCATCGTCGATCGGTTCAATCTTACAGGACTCAACAATGAAGTCGCCAACTACTCTCAAGCCCTCGACTTGATCACCGATAACCTGGGTCAGAACGCACTCGTCTGCACAATCTACAAGCCCTAACCAAACCCCACAGATGATGACATTCAAGACGAGCTCCGCGGTTCTCTCGACGTCCAAGCCCGCCTCCTGTACGGTCTGATTCATGCAAGATGGATCATCACAGCCCGCGGTCTCCAAAAGATGGTGCGCACCCCCAAAATCCACACCCAGATCACCCCAAAAACCAACGCTCTCCATCTTCACAGCTAGAGAAATACAAGCGCGCAGATTTCGGACGATGCCCACGAGTCCTCTGCCACCAACAACCCCTCCTCCCAGTAGGCCTAACCGACATCCCCTACGAAAAATCCGTCAAACTCTACTGCGGCCGCTGCGAAGACCTCTACTCCCCCAAATCATCACGCCACGGCTCCATCGACGGTGCTTACTTCGGAACGACCTTCCCCCACCTCCTGTTCCTCGTCTACCCAACCCTCCTCCCGCCCAAGAGCGGACCAAGCGATTTCGGAAGCGGGAGCAGTCGGGATATGGCAGGTGATTCGAGGAGGAGGCGGTTGCGGGAGGAGCAGGAGATTGCAGAGGGCGGTGGAGACGCTATCAGCACTGCCAGTGTTGCGCTCAAGGCGGACCGATATAGGCCAAAGATCTACGGTTTCCAAGTCCATGAGATTGCCAAATTGCAGAGATGGCAGGAGGCTGTCAGAGATCGGTGCGCATCGCTGCTATCTTTTCTATTACTCTCGTACCTAACCCTCGTCTTTAGACAAGTCGCGCGATTGGAATCTCTGGAAGATCCCGCTCGTACTTGAACATTGGGTGGGCGCAGTACATACCCCGGTTACGCTTCGCGACACCGGCGACCAATTTCTCTTGTATCATTACTCTAATGCGAAGCACTGTAATACGGGCCCAATCGACGATTTCTTTCTCTGTCTGTTTTCTCTCAACTACATCTACAGGCAAAATGGCGTCGTAACCAAGATACCGAAATACTGAAAACCACACCATCAGCGCCAGTCTATTCGATGTCCCGGAACAGTTCCGTCTTACCCTTGTATGGGCCATGTTTACGCCTTTCGACGGTATGGATGCGGAACATTTGGGATCCTCGCCATCTGGATCGCATTGAAGAGTCGTGTCCCCACACATTGGTTTTCCGTTTTGCCAATACTCGACTCCTGTAGCCACTCCTTGAGCTCTTGGGATAGTTGAGAAAGGGCAAGTGCCAAGAAGCGCACCATGGTGATGATAGCCTAGTCTTCTTGGGATCATTGTTGGCACACTACACCCATCAACCGGATTGGGTTAACATCCTACAAGGGAAAACGATGAAGATAGTCACCCATCGTTGCTATTTACCACTGGATGCAGCGTCAGACATCGTTCCAACACAGAGTACAGGGCAAGGCTTCACCTCGATGTGCTCTTTCCCCGAACAGTTCTTGTATATGATCAGCAAACACCCTGTTCTATCCTTACTGATCAACATTCCTCCAGAGTCTTTCTCCCCCTCTCATCATCATAGACCTACCCCAGCTCTAGGCGATCCATACGAATACGTTCTAACCTTCCTATCACATCCCAAAATGAGAGTCAGCTCCTCCCTCCAGGCATCTTTGATAGGAGAACTGTGTGTGGATGTGGCACTCACACAGACTCGTCGACCTTCCCGACAAGACTTAACGCCCCGAGCAACGCAACCGCACCTCCCAACGAATGTCCCGTCGTCACTACGCCCTCGATCTCGGGGTGGCGTTTGAGTTGGGTTTGGACGATGGTGAGGACTTGGAGGGCGACCGAGTTCCATCTGGATTGGGGTGAGCCAGTGGCGTTGGAAATGGGAGTACAGAGCAAGGTGAATTATATCGGAAAGTGCATTGGGAAGGTTGGCGAAGACTGCGTCAGTACTAGGAAGAGATTCGGTAGGACAAGAGGAGACTCAAACTCACGCTGTAAGGAACCCAGCATGCACCCTAGCTCCTGCTGGTTGATCTTCATGTCAGTCCGAACTCGATCCAACCCAATCCAGCTGTGAACTTGAAGGGGTGTTACTACGCACAGGGTGCTTTGATCCCAGGAGCCAGCGCAGGAACGAGGATAATGTTGGCGTCGAGGATTATATCGGCGATGGATGCACTAGAAGTATGTGGTCCGGCGTCCCGTTCAGCTTTGCGTTCGATGTAGGGTAGGCGACATAGATGAAAAGAAAGGGACATACCTCCCGCGCAAAGCAACGACCAACTCCTTCCTCTTCTCATCCCGTGCAACGAAACCTTGGATATCCGTCACCGCATTTGAGAACTACACAGTAATGAAAGGATCGATACTCGTCAGCACTGCACCACCCTTGTCGACGTGGGGTGGATCCGGACATGACCACGAAGATGGGCGGATAGTATTAATTAAGGCCAGGGAGAAATCACACCCACCGTAGAAACAAGCTTATTCCCACAAGGCCGGGGACAAATCAACGCATACGACGAAGAGGCGTACTTGAAATAATGAACCAGTTCTTCGTACTTTTCTATCCACCATCGCTCGAGTTTAACGAGCCCATTCTTTGACACGCAGACCGAAGACACACGCACCAGTAGAGATAGGCGTAGGATCCGGTCCTTCCGAATCCGCCGTGGTTATAACCTCCAGATCTTCGACTACAGACGTAACATCGACATCGATTTGCGCGTTTCCAGATCCCTTGAGCTTGGTCACAGAGACCCTCGTTTCCTGTAACGAAGCGCTTCCAGAGGACATCGATGTATCGGTCGTTTGAGAGGGTACCAGGAGGAGTCGTAGTCCAGTCACAGAGAACTATAAATGGGTAAACTCAAGCTTGTACGATGGCCCGTGGTCCACGAATCATGGTGGCGTCCATCGAAAGGCGAGACGCGGTCACATGCTGTGGATACCTCCGAAGCGAAAGGTCTTTGCTTGCCGAAGCTAATCTGGTTGTTCATAGTGGGCGGGACGTTCGGCCACTGGGAAAAATACTGTTTCGAGTCTTGACTCTTGAGGTGGTGGAAGATAACAGAAGCGAGGATTTCGTAATGGCTGCCCGGTCGTGGGATAGCCCCTGAGAGCGAAATGCTAATGAGCGTGTCAATGCGACGCGACGCGTCCCCTCCAACCATGTCTCGAGCCAAATCCAACCGATAATCCAATGAATGCAAATAGGTATAAAATTTAAGTTGAAAAAATCTAATAACAAAAGACACCTAGCTCCAAAAACTCTAAACCAAACTACTCAATAAAAATTCCTCGACCACCCACTCACAACCTCACTCGTCGCAACCACACTCTCCCCAATCTCCAAACTAACAGCACCCGCCTTCTCCAACCTCGCCATCTGACGCATCAACGGATCGCCCAACGGGATCTCCGCCATCTCCCGCGCCTGCTCCTCCACCTCCTTCGGCGTAACATTCACCTGTTGCGTCTCAAAGTAGATCGCGAGGGAGAGGTAGGGAGGACGGCCTCCGCGCGCAGTAGCAAGATCCTCAGCTAGCCACGAGTCGAGTTTGCCCCACGCCGGTGAGGCCTGGAGCGCGTTGGAGATCTTCACCACGTCGGGGTTGACCTTCAGGATCGTGCACCCCGTGAACCCCAAGTCGATGCTGACCTCCTTGAGCGGTGTCTTGGTCGGATCAGACTGGCGGATGACGAGGCCTTCCATGATAGTCGACATGAAAGGTTCGAAGAGGATTCGGGTGTGGTCGGCGAGGTTCTCGTCGGCTTCCTCCTCCGTGAGGAGTCGGATACCTTGTGGGGTCTCTTCTCGCCCTGTGAAGTACGGGTAGATGTAGTTGAAGTGGATCGTTTCGAGGTTCTCGAGTTTGGCGATGTAGGAGCTGAGTTCGGTCTTGTTCTGAACCCATCCCATAATCACTGTAAGCAAAGACTGTGGTGAGTGGGGATAGACGAGAAACCACTGTGGCGCGAACGGAGAACTCACAAGAACTAAACGGCGAAACAACTCCATTCGGGAACGAAAACTCGAGGTGCTTGATCGACTCCGAACCAAAGTCCAAGATCGTAGTAAACGCATTTTTCCAGGGTCCAAATTTTTGGTAAGGACCGTTGACGTCCAGCGTCACAGTAGTGAGCGTGGTAGACTTGCAACCCTCGAAGAAGACAGTGAAGAAATCGCTGGATGGCGCCATATCCCAATTCGACTGCAGAATCGAGATACTCTCCAGCGTCTGCAGTTTGCCTCTCCATTCCTCCAGATCCAACTCCTCGAGATCCTCAAAGGGGCAGTAATCGCGCGAGAGATAGAGGTGTCGGAGGTTGGGCGGGGCACCGAGGAAAGAGATGGGGACGCAGATGTCGTTGGCGACGAAGCTGATCAAAGTAGGGAGGGACATGAGCTTGAGCCATTCGTCCTTCTTCTCCCAGTACGTCGCATCGTAGAACCTGCCGCCTCCGCGGATGAACTCCGTGCGGACGTCGAGATACTCGAGTCGGGTGAAATGGAGCACCAAGCGCCGTACAGCTTCATGCTCGCATGGGTTCTTCCCTTCCTCCCATCCAAAACTTGTAGGAGCATCTTCGGAACAGTCCTCGTCAAGATCGGCCAGCAAATGATCTTCTGGGTTCCGCCTGGTGGAAGGATAAAAATTGAACGACTTGACGTAGGCCCCGAGGTGGGTGTGGGTATCCAGGACCTCGGCGAGTCGTTGGGCCTGGTGACCAGTGTGGATATCGATGTGGCTGAACAGGTGTTTCCTGCACATGTTCACCAGGACCCAGGAGGAACTGGCGATGGAGAAATTGCTGACCGAATGGTAGTCGTCCCAGTCCCACCCCGCATCAAAGTTGTCAAGAATGAGGTCAAACACCTCGACGGGAAGACGAGGGAGTAGTGGACGGGGAGACGATTTCATGGCAGTTTGGGCTTCCATTGTGTCCTGCACTGTTATCGAGGCTCGTTAGCCAAAATGTAACGGGTTTGAATTTCGAAAACGCTGACCAATTGGACGGGTGTGCAATGAGCCTGGCTATCACCAAAAGTTGTCCTCACCAAAGGGTAAATGACCCAGCAGGAATCTCCAACGGCTGGTCTAGGGAATGGGAAGAAGAAAAGAGGGACTGAGGCGCAAAATTCGCGGAGAAAAGCAATTTATTGGTGGCCCAAAGCTAACCCCGCACGATCCAATTTGTCACGCTTAGATAAGGGAGTCGATCACACGATGGGCGCCTAACTACCATCATTGGAAAAATCCCACGCCCTTGGATTTTCACATTTCTGCCACATTGCACGCTATTGCACGTGTAGATCTCCCATCTGCATGATTGCAGTTCTGGTGGAATTCCAGAGCATGAACCGCATACATTGGCGCCACTTGAACCTCATGCTGGACAACTTCCACCTCACCCGGACAACAACACGTTCAATAAAATCTCCATCGCACTATCCTGCCCAGTTCTCATATCAAATCGAAAATTCATCTGCAACCTCTCGAATAGGAGGTAACGAGCGTTAATTATTGATAGGGTATGCTTTCCACTATTATACACATATACTTACACGCAACGAGATGGCGAGGCCTGCGCCAATAAATGTCAAAGATCACCGCCCCCCACCGACTCATTCACAGTCCAGACGAAAGCCTCGCAGACCTCCGCGTCTTCCCCAAACTCCCACTACTAGGCAACGACCCCTCCACCTGCGAGTTTGCCTTGAGCATGTTCATCAACCTCTGCCGTTCTTCCAATTGCGCAGGGTCCTCATACACAACCCGCACGCTCTGCTGCTGCTCGTCGAGGCGCTGGCTCTCCTCTTCCACGCCGTAGTTGAAGGCACCCAGTGAGATGCCGTCTACTGGTGCGGGGCTGGGTTCTGGAGGGGACCTGCGCGATGCGGTTGTCGTTGTCCGGCTTCGTTGGGCTTTGGGACGTGCAGGAGGCTATGCGCGAAAGTACGAGTTAGAACCATCCCCACAAATTGACCATCACAGCTACTTACTTTGGCCCTTTGACCCTTCTTCCGTTTCGAATTCCTGGCGCTATCAACCGTCTGCAAAGAGTCCGGATCCTCATCCCCGCCCTGTTCCGCCGCAGCATCAGGCGGCCCCCGCTTCCCAAGCAATGATTGAATACTCTCGTGGAGAAGCTTCGTCTGGCCTGGATCGAGCTTCACAGGCGACTTGGACGCATGCCGTCGAAGCGGGAGCTTCATAGGCGACGGCGACTTGGAAGAGGGTATCCGCATCATATCACGATCGTCGTTGTTGGACATGATCGACAGAGTGGATTTGCGCTGGGGTGTTCCGTCTGGATGCGAAGGCTGGGTTCGTTGCGGTTCTTGGTCCATCGCTGGGGCGAGGTCATCGTCGTCGCGAACGGATAAGTCGTCGCCAATGGTGTGTGCGACAGAAGAACTTGGGCGGGTGCCATAACGAACGAGAGGACTCTCTTGGGAGGGAGCGGCGGAAGATCGGGAGGGTGCAAAGAAGGAAGACAAAGCTGGTCCTCCCAGGAGTTCGGTTGGTTGTCCCAACCCACTGGCGACAGAACCACCAGATCCGTGTGGTGGGACGATCGCTGTTGGTTGACGCTCGAGGCTGTTGTTCTTGCTCAACGGCGGAGCTGGTTTCTCGGCAGGTAGTGCAGCATGTTGGGCCAGAGGAGATTCGTGGATATTGTTGGTGATGTCTTGCATTCGAACGTCATCATTGGCGACGGCTTTGCCCTTTCCTTTGATGTCGATCGAATGGTCATTCGCTTTGTCGGCGGCGGATGGTGGACCAGTGACAAGGTAGTCATCCGCTGGTGGGATCGTCCCTGAGGACGCTATTGCTTGTAGCCAAGAGTACGACACTACGGGAATACCCCATTCGCCGGCCTTCTCGAACTTCGCACCTGTTCCAGAAGGACACAACAGATGGGTAGCCTTGCGAGTAAATAGCGGGATGATATTTATCCCTAAAGGACGCGAGTATGAGCAACTTCGCAAGTCGAGACAACGGAACGTTATTCATACCGAGTGCGCGAAGAAGTCGTCGGGTATGACAGGACTGGGATTGATCTAAGCCGGATAGACCAATTTGAATCTTCTCCGCACCTGCGTGGTATCAGTGAGCAAACACATCGCGTAAAGGCAGAAAGGATTATGCCCTACCGGGGACGGGGGTATTGATAGCCAAAGGCAAGAACGAGACATGTTCATCTGGGTGGCATATCCGTTCGTCGTGTATACAACTCTCTAACCAACATTCGGTGCGATACTTTTCCCGCATTTTAGGGTCGGGTTCACTCTGGTAAATCTTGCTCCCACTGATGAATGAAACACATTAGCTTGGGAAGTGGGAAGGAGACAACGACCAAACTTACCTAAAGAGCCGGACGATGATGAAATCAACGTTCTCGTCCTCTTCCTGAACATACACCCCGCCGCTCGCTTCAATGGCACTTTTCACGGTGGCCGCTTTGGCTTCACCGAGTACACATAGGCGCATGCCGGCAAATATTTGAGGCATTGGTGGTGAAGAAGTAGGCTTCGGCGAGCTTGGACCTGCGGCGTTGACATCCTCCTGAACGGCGCCTGGCGCCTGGCCTGATGAACGACGGGAAGGTTGCCGACTTGGTTGGATAGCGGGAGTCCCTGCTCTTGATGGACCAGAATTGGCGGTCGAATGGCGCTTGAAAGGGAGAGGGCGCTGACTTGTGCTTGGACCAGCTTCGGGTTCCGCTGGGGCAAAGGAATTTGTGCTTCGCACGGCATCAATCACACCTCCAGCCTTGCGGTAGTTGATACTGGGTAGTGCATTTGACTTCGCTTGTTGGGGGCCGGCGGCAGGCTGGGATTTAGTCGGGCTGCGCACAATTTCACCGTCGGTGACTTCGTATCCTCTCCGCTCCAGTAAACCTCCCCAGACCTGTAGCCGCACCGCTGGCACAACGTTGACAGAAGCAGCTTCGTCCTCCAAGTCGTCAAGATCCATCGTTGGTTGTCGCTGAGGAGGCTGTGGTTCAGCTTGCAAGCTATTGGCACGCGAAGGCTCCGACTCCGGGACTTGAGAAGGCAGGGATTCGGCCGGTCTCCGTTCTGGTCGTGGGTTCTGCACAAGGTATGCTTCCTCGTCGAATCGACCTGATGTATGTCAGCCAAGGTAAACTCTCCATGGACAGAGAACGCACCCCCATGCTCCAACGAATCCCAGAACCATTCTTCCCAAACTAACCGGATATTCGCCTCCCTCCTCGCATTAAACTTCTCTGCCACCCTCATTTTATCTGTCTGTTCGTCGCCATTGCACAGAAGGTGCGTGACCCTTACCGGCCGCTCCAACTTCATAAATGTGCCCCCGTGTTGGTTGACGAGCTTGATAATTCTTGCTCTTCTTGAAGGGTCGGTGATACCTGAGAAACACAGAACGACACCCGTGAAAATAGGCAGACGGTGTTGCTCGACACTCTGTCAAGCTGCAATTAGCCAATAAGAAAGACACCTTGCGTCGAGACTCACCGATTCCAGCTCGACATCACCACCCTCTAGCCATATCTTATAGCTCTCCGTTATCCATGATGGCGACAAAATGGGGATCTTCATTTGCAGCGCACACTGAAGCCAGGTTGAGTTCGCTACAAGTCCAATGATTGAGCAGTGGTGACTTTACATTATACTTCGCGCTCCCGGGTTCCATTGCAATAAGGTGTGTTACTTTGTCTGTTAGTGCTGGAACCGACGTCGCTCCCAATTCCAAAGCTTTTTTGAAGAGTGTAGTCTGCAAGACGGTCAGACACGTCCACTATTCTCACAAGTTCACGACTCACTTTATCTGGCACACCAGTTGCACAGACTACCACCCCGCGGAACGGCCTTGGACAATTGTCCAAAAAACGCGAATCGTCGCTGTTTGCTTGGCTATCTTCTGCCCAGCACTGAGACGAGCCTGAAGAGGCGCCATTGAGGTTTCCATAACTTCCTTGAGCCGGTCGCAGCTTCACATTTGGGACCTGAGCTGCAAGTCAGTGGCTAAGTCTTGTGGCGTTCTCTGCTAACTCACCTTGTGTGATTTGTTCGTCCTACGTTTCATGGCTGCAGTTTAGAAACCGGCGTGCCTCGTCGTCGTCGTCGCTGTCAGAGATCCTCGACGGTCGTGAGAACCCACAGAGTCCAATCGCGGTGCACGTGACATGCTTTAGGGTAGGCCTTTACGCGCCTACCAAGCACGGTCTTTGACAAGCCTTTGCCATTTGGATTCACACCGATGGTCGAACCATAGGCTCCGGAGTCCAAGCCCGACACTTCATCAAAGGCAACGCACACATACTCAAGCAAAGTTGCACCTTGCTTCGGGGATTTCCTATCAGGGTTTCTCGCAGCCCTCGAGAGCATCACAGAAAATGTGAATATGTAGTCCGAGCCTTACATAGACGGGTTTATAAAAAAATGCGCTAAGGCCTCCCAGTACTAGCTGGTGCTACTTTCACCTCCAGCGTTTCCAGCTCTTACATGGGGTCAGGTGCTAAATGAAATCGAGATCGTGCCCGTACCTAGCACTGATGTCCAAACGATCGAGATTGTATAGGACTGAATTCAGCCCTTCAACAATGTCATGACTTTTCTTGAGTGCCTCAAGTGTCGGTTGCCGGCCTTTTCAACCACATACATATGTATACGTACACCAAGCGCACCACCGAGGTACCCGCAAAGGTCTCCGTAAATGTGGCTCAGCGCAGGCGATTGCAGCGGGACATAGTACCACCATCAAGCCTCGTGCAAACCGGACCATCTCGAATATCAAACGTTCAGTGATTCTGTACGTTACGCGACGATGCACGACTTTCCGAGCGGTGTATAAGTACATAAGATTCTATGTCGGAGGGGCGAAGTTGTCGTGACCGAGGCTAGCAGGATCTACGCTTTACATCCTACTTAGGAAGTCAGTGGTGTAGGGGCTTCATAATATACCGGTTCGCGTAAGGTTAAGTAATTGACCTCATCGGTTCTATGTATGGTGAGATGAGTGGTAAGTGCCATGTGTTGCAATACAATTCAATGAAACCTTGTTTTTGGCCAGAACTCTGGGAACGGGCGCGATGATAATGAACTGTTAGACCAAATCACCGTCGTCACCTGAAAGTCACCTATGTACATAGCGGCTGGGGGACTTCAGGCAGTTGAGATGCTCGACGACATCCGGTATGGTCTTTTCTGGTGGCCCGAACGGAGCGCTGGGAGCGGTGGCGGGCGTCTCTCCCTGGCGCCAGAAAGCTTCCGAACGGCCGCATCACCCCATGGAAGCAGTTGCAGAATGTATCCCTAAATCACGATTTGAACGCGTACAGAAGACAGTAGTTTCGTAGTTATCAAGCTTTCCGGCGATCCCTATGTTCTGTTTCAATACTGATACATACCTCACCCTCATCTACCCTAGCCCCTCTTCTTTCAAGAAGCAGCTGCACTCCACGAAGTGATCGAATCAACGACTTGCACGCCCGACTGACAGAATCATGCCATCACCGATCTTCCCGAAGGGCGGTAGACCCACAAACCTCCAAATGCGGTTTTGATTTGATGCCAAGACGACCTGCCTATGTTCAGCGCGAAGTTGCTTCGCATGTCGCTTCTTCGCTTCGTCTTCGCCTCTGTTCGAAACTGGAGGGCGTCGGCCGAGTGGTCAATTAGGCGCAAGAAGTTAGCAAAGAGCCCCATTCAGCAGGACCCCGGAAAATCTAGGAGGGAGTTAGGTCAGAAACCGGAAAAAATCGTGCCAAAAACCCGCCTAACCTAGCGGAGAAACCGGATTTTTCGACCCAAAATCAGAATTTTTGGCCGAAAATAAGCCTTCACCTGGTCAAGAAACCGGATTTCCAGTGGGCGAAGGCTTCCACCTAGGGACAGAAACCGGCCAGGAGCTCGGGAATTGGGGCCTGCCGTGCCTTCTGACGACGTCAAAGACTCAATTTCCCTGAGAAGGTGCGGTTCACGCCATTATCTGCTTCTGTTAAGGTGGCTGAAGGGGAAAATCGCGTTTCTGGGCGCTTACGGGCGCCTGAGGATCGAAAGAAAAAGTCAGACCAAGGTTCCAAAACCGGAAATTTTGAGCGTCCAGACACGAACCTGGCGACAAACCGGACAATTTTGGCAGAAAAGAAACCGGATTTTTCGACAGAATGTCGTCACTAGGCTCGCCCCAGGTTTTCCGGGGTCCTCATTCAGCCGTGCTCTATTTATGTCAGGGTATGCGAGTACATATGCTATGCAAAGGATGTTGGTATGCAATGAAGTTAGCGACTACTATTGGAAAGCATGAATAAGATACGCCGAACGAAGATCAGATAGCAGTGTGGTATCGTATGATGGTTGTTGAAAGCGTAGAAAGCAGGACGAGGGTAAATGTGTGTTACAAGTAGCATGTACAAGAGTTCTCCCATAGAGGAAATGAAACGAAATAATGAATTAGTCGACAGCATGTTGAAAGCGGATGAAACGTTTAGAAATATAAGAGCGGATGATATTTGATCGTCGAAGAGAAACGTGGGGCGGTGATAGTAGTCCACGGAGAAAATAGGAAAATCTGGAATTGCAGAGAGGTAAGCTCATCGGCTGAAGACAACGAACGCCAATGATGCTCACCAGAAACGAGGATTATTGACGTGCGTCGTGATATCGGCTGCGCGAAGAATGCCAATCAGGCCTTTCCCTTTCCCTTGGAGCTATGGCTGGATGTTGCGACGTAGTTAGAGTCGTCGTATCCCGAAGATGCATAGTCGGCAGAACCTTCTGGGGACGACACAACGTCTGATTCATGGAACTGCCCTAGAAAACTCTCGGGTGGGCTGAGGGATCCAGTTTGGTGGCGGCCATGGCCCGCATTGGAGTATCCCATTTGAGGGGGCAGTTGGGACGGAGAGAAGTTGGGTGTGTACATCCCGGAGGGTTCGTGAAGGGAGGGCATTGAGTGAGTCCGGGGCGACGTTGTTAGAGGGCCGCCGGTCATGGTTGGGGATCCATAAGGGGACGATCTGCGCTGAGCACGACTGTTGGCACGGGCGTGTGCTGCCGAAGTACCGGGCAGGTTGTCGAACGAACGGTCACCACGGGAAACGTTGTCGACGGCGAACTCGTGCCCTTCGCTGCTGAAGTCTTCCTCGCTGTGGTCCTCGCGATCCTGGCTGCCGCTCTTCTTCCTGCTCTTCCGCTTTCGGTCACGCTTGTAGCCTTGGCCTTTGGAATGGTCGATCTCCCAGTAGTTGCCTTTTCCAGGCTCGGTCAAGGGTCGTGTAACATTCCTGAACACTTGGTTCAAGGAGAGATTGTGACGGATTGAGCCCTGTAGATTTGTGGCGTTAGTACAACGGAGCTCGAATGATGCAGCAGTGCCTCCGTACCTTCCATGCTCCTTTGGGGTTGTTTCGATAGTACTCGAAACGCTCCTCAATGGCTTGATAGATGCCCTTGAGGGTCAATCGCTTCTGGGGGCTGCCCCAGATTGCCACGCTTACCAAGAGTGGGTAAGGGTGGGGTGGACGCTGACCAGGCTCCCCATCAGCCAAGGCCCAGAGGTTAATCGGAACGCCTGGTGGCAACTGGAGCTTTTGGCGCAAATACTCCTCAGGCTCAGGGAGCGGTTGGTTGGCAAAAGATTGGGAATTGCTGGCCTCGGATCCACTCAACACGCTGGGGTGAAGCGAAACCACGTTGTCGCCGGAAGAGCCGCGATAGTTCTGGTGGCCGGAAGGCGCGGAATACGAGCGGGAGCCTGGTGGTATCCACGAGTTAGGGTCGCCTTCGATGGGGTCTGACTGAAACGCAAACATACCATGGTAGTTAGAGCTCTGGTGGGAGTAGCCGTAATTTGAAGAGCTCCGGGAGTCCGAGTGATAACCTTGTTGCATCGAGCTAGCAATCGAATACGAATGGTTCGGGTTGAAGTCGGGAGGGAAGGGCTCGGGTCCGAACGCAGAGCCAGCGTCTGGTGAGAGTCCGAGATGGGGGTTGGAAGAAAGTCGACCGTAGTCTTGGCCGTACATATCAGACTTTTCAAGTGGCACAAACGAATTCCCAAGTCAGCTGAGAAGTTCTTTTGAGAAATCAACAGTTTAAAACTCACCCCCAACATCAGTCTCTGGTCTTGGTGTTCGGAATAAACATCTCCGCGTCGCCCACTCGCGTCTGGCATGTATGGGACATCCTCAGAAGCGTGTCTGCTGCTGCTAAAAATCGCGCCAGCGCGTCAGAGATGGTTGAACGATATCACGTAACTGAATACGCACTGTGGGTACGACCCAGTGGGGTACGGACCTGAACCTCCCTGACCAAGGAGGCCACCGTAGATGTTCTGTCGCTCCATTCTTCGATACACTGGCATGGTGGACGACGGAGGCGAAAATAGGTGGCAGCGAGCAGAGAGAAAATGTGTTACGGGACATCATCACGAAGAGGCACCAGTATCGGGTAAATATAACACATGTGACAGGGACCACGATAGAGCCAAGTGTTCGGAAACAAATTTTGAGTGTGGCAGCAGCGACGGAGATGTTATGAGCAAATCTGAGATCTGAGTGGTGCAAAAAGGAAATACTAACCGGGCTTAAGTTGGATCGCGTGAAAGTGATGACAAGTAGATCGCAATAGAGAGGCAAGTACGAGCGCAAGAGGATGAGCGGGGGAGGGGCAGAAAAACACTGGGGGAAAAGTGGGGGAAAAGTAGCTGGAATGTGCTAAAGAAAGCGGCGTCCTGCTGGTGTACACAAGCAGGACAGTCGCCCTTTTATATCGCTGCAGTGTGGGCTTATGCCATCAGACAAGAGATTTCAGAAATAGCCTTTTGAAGTAATTTTGAAGTTGTGGGCGGAAAAACGGTGGATTGGTATTTCTCGGGATTGGTTCCGAGGAACATTTTCCATCGGACTTTGGCAAGAAAGGAAGGCAGAAATTAGCGCCCGTCAAAAACATACCATAGAGGGTAGTTTTTGCTCTCATACCTTGAATGGCAAGTTTATTGGATTGGTTCGGAGGAACATTTTTGAAAGCTTCTCTCTGGATTGGTGTGAGCGAGGCGGTGCACCAAAGATGGCAAGTCCGTAAGGCGTACCATTGATTCCGGGGACGCTCATGCCCATAAATGTCGTCCCCGCCCATCATTTCCCCGCCTTTCGACGATTCGGCGGTGATTCTCCCCATCGCAGCCATCCAAGCCTGAAAAGTCCATCGATTTTCATTAAAATTACTCTTGCATAAAGATAACCCTTCTATAGTGATCTAGGAGTTGGTCAGTAAGTATTGTTTCAAGTGGATGGGATGGATCTCTTACCCAGAGGCACAGCGAGCGATGCGTCACAGCGACCGGTGTATGTGGGTCCACAAGGTCGGGACCGAGGCCTGATCAGGCAAGTGCGCTGCGGAGTTTGGAAGGCAGGCGTTGCCCGAGTTCCCCGGCGCCGTCGCTCCCCTGTTTCTGCCCCGCTTTGCGTTTTCCTTCTCCGCAACCACTCACCGCTTCCCACTTTTCTCCCCGCCCATCGACCAAAGCCTCTGTGAATCGTTTCCTGTTGGTTTTGCGTCCCTTCGCCGTTGTTTATTGCCACGTTGCACCTACTTACGCCGGCGCTTGGCAGTCATTAGTACCTGAGCGCCCGCGCCTTTTAGACGTTATGATGACACAACACCGCTCGAAAACTCACCCATATCGACACGTCCACACGCCATGCTACAGAAGCACGTACTAGAGGACAACGCTAGGTCCGGAGGACGACACGTCAGTGGAGGGGATAGGTTGTCAAGGGGGAGTGACGAAAGGTTGGGGGGAGGGACCCAACTGGTCCACTCTACAACCTTTATATACCCACTTCACGAGTCCACGGACATACGTCCCCTTTCGTGGGTTGCCGTGGGTTCTCTCATTCGTTGCTTATAAGCAACCTGATGTGGCGTGGACGCAGAGGTCAAACTTTGTTGGTGGACTGTACCCACAGTGTGCACCCACAGTCAATTTCTTCACTCGATCGCACTGGTTGCTTCTATGACGGCTTTACTGGTGCAGTGCAATGTCTACATCGGGCAATGTGGGGACTGCTTCTCATGCTGATTATCTACACCCTTGGGCTACTCGACGTCGACGTTTGCTCTCCGTCTCTCGAACATGGCAAAGAACAGCTGGGATTTCACGCGGGCTCGGTTCGGGAATTCAGGTGGTTCAATGTGTGGGCCTACTGATATCACTGGTTGCTAAACTTGCGCTACATCCCCATGGATCTGTCTCGAGTGTAGGCTTCCCATTCTACATTACAGTGCACCCACAGAATGATCTTTACCGCAGGTGAGCTGCGTGTTTCGTCGAATCTAACTTCATTAAACCTTGAGTCCTCCCTCCTTCACGTTCAATTCAAAGGTTGGTTCGGAGACTGAATCTATTCTTATCCTTCATATCAGAAACAGCCAACCGTCTCAGATAAGTCGGCTGACCACTTCAGTTTTCGCAGGGGCGTCCAATGTTTGCAATTGAGACGTCACCCTTTCCGAAAAAACGACGTCTTGGGCCTTTCGCTCACATAGCCCCTTCACCCTCCTAAGTAGCCGCTTTCCGCCGCAAAAACCTCTGTCACAGGAGCTCGCCCTAGTATTTCGAAGAGTCCCTTTGAATTCTTTGGCCTAGCAACACTTCTCGCTTATTCTAGGACTCCGGGCCCTGCGCGTATCAGACTCCGGTATTTAGCCCTTACCACCAAAAAAATCAGTTTCTCCGGTGTTGAGAAAACTCCGCTACCACCTACACCATCAACCATCAAGACACCGGGTTATAACTCAAAGATGACGGCCTTTTCGTGTTTCATGGTCTCCTGCCCCATCCAAGTACCACCGGTATTCCAACTCAACTCAGATCACCTCAAGGCTCGTTACGTTCCTTCCACGCGGGAATTTGGGTCGCATTTCGTATCTAGGGTCTCCCACTGGCGTCTAGCCAACGCTGTCTGTGGGCACGTCGGGTGGTCAGGCAGTGTGCTCCCAACGGATGCAGTTTCAATTTTTAGAATGCGCTTGAGTGACCGAGTTGGCTGGAGTCCGATTTTATCGAACCTTTGGTTGTTGGTACGGCTGAAGGGGTGCGAAATTACCGTGCCCTCGAGACGGATTCCATGCTAATATGGATATTGTAGACGACAGCCCTCGACCCTTCCATTACTTGGTGTACACTGAGGACCCACTGCGTTCAGGCGCCGAATAAATTAGCGCTAGAAAGTGAATGTGGCTGCAGGGTGCCTTTCTCGTGCGATTGGCCGATGGTCGCATTTTCCTTTCTTGCTAACCATTTTAGACGCCCAGGTGACTGCAGCTCAGTCGCGAGTTTTCGGCAACGCAAGGTGGTGGGGCTCGTTTTATGCAGATGGTGTGTCCTCCATTATGAACTGTCCAACCTTCTTTGACAGTTGTGTGTGTGTGAGAGGAACAGAGAAGCGGGAGAAGCTCTGTTTCTCTCCTTGGGCGCTTAGACGACATCGGAGCCGCGTTGGCGCCTATGTCAGCGGTGGGACATCGCGAATTTTTAGGACAGCCATACGCACTGCCGTCCTCGTCCTTGACAGCCCTGAGGGCGACCTGCCCCCTGAGTTTCTTGCGGGTAGTGCACCCCAGAAAGAGTGTACAGATACCTGGGTCATCTAATCTCTCTGTTATCACGAAATCCAAGCACAGAGTCTGTCCAAAGCGCTACGCCCACAGTTTTCCGAACTCGAAACTGTCTGAATCGTGTCTACATGCATTCAGCTTCCATAGCTTTCCTAAGTAATTCCCTTCTAGTCGGCCTTTAGATGGCCATAGCTTACGTTAAAACCTACTTGTACTACCAATTGAAGGAATTGTGGGCTTCGTGATACGTTACTTGAGCCTTCTTCTTCACTGTGGACTTCGAAATGGGTGGCATCTGACCTCCAAGATTGAGCCTTTAGGTCCACGAACTTGTCAATAGCATGATGGAACCCTAGACCCCTTCGGAGGTCCTTGGGACAGTTATTTCTGAACTTCCTTCCACCATGAACGGAATACCTCGAGCTCCTCCTTAAACTGGTAATAGGCGCCCACTGTTCGCCAAGTACGATCGACCAGAATGTCGTCATCGGCCTACTCGGACACTCAGAGGCCCACACGGAATCAACGGTTTGCGAGTGGGTCTATTCTGTTGGTTTGTATGCAGTAGTCTGCATCTGCGACCTATGGTATACCCAGAGGTCCCGCTCAAATCTCTTTTGAGAGTCAACATACGTCGCTCGATAGGGGCCGAGGGGCTATCGGGGGCGTCCATTTGCTTCCGGCCAGGCCAAGAACTAATGAGTCAACTTCTCCCCCGCGTATCTTATCGTCACGATTGTCTCCAAGGTGCGCGATGCATCCTGCTAAGGCATATTTTGGCTCTCAAGATATTCGAGATGCGCGAGGATCTACAGTGGAGCTTACACGTACCCCCTTTGGCGCCGCGTTGAGAAAACCTGGGGCAAGACAGGAGCTCTCTTTCCAAAAATGGGTGTGGTCACAGCACCTCCCAATTCGAGTGGTCGCTTCGCACAATCACACTTTTGCCTCGACCCGTCCGCATTTCTGATTTCTGACTCCTCTGCTCTTGATACGCAACCACCATCATCCACCGCTACCCTGCCCTACACACTCAAACTTTCCGAATAACACACAACAGAGAGTTCAGCTAAGCAGGATATACAACCAAGCAAGCTCGCTGTTTGACCCTACACATCGCACACAAGAGGGCCCGTCGTCGTGTACCCCAGGGCTCCCACAGAACAGACAGACCACACAAGCAGAGACATAACATGGCGACCACCACCAACTCGTTCTACTTCCGCAGGCGCCGAATTGGCCGAGCAGCTTCCCCACCCACCTGGGCCTGCTACGAGCAAATCCGCTACGACGAGGGCGGCGACTACTCGGATAGTGACTCGGACTCGTGCTCTGAGGACGAAGAGGACTATTCGCACATTATCGGAGGAGCAGGGAGGAGATCGGATGAGGTCGTGTCGGATGGTCGTCGGGTCTCTCAGGGTGGGATAGATACCGACGACATCGACATGGACATGGGCGACGAGGATGACGGCGATGAGGGGCCCAGGGCCCAACATCGTCGAGACTCTGCTGACAGTATGAGTGACAATCAGCAGGCGGCAAAGGATGTGAAGGGCAAGCAGAAGGCTGTGGACCCAGAGCCTGAGCAACAGCCACAGCCGCCGATTGGGAGGAGGGGCCGCCAGGCGAAGAGGAGGGAGCGGCAGCCGGTGTATTCTCTGAGGCCTATCCTGACTATTCAACGTAGTCAAGGGTTCGTCTGGAACCAGGTATGTACTCTGCACCGTTGAATCCGCTCCTTTGCTGCTTGCACCATGAAATGGTGGAGCGCCATACTACAGGCGCCGTCGCCTCCTCGTGTTTTGCACGCCCTCTTTGTCGCATGGCTGATGCGTTTCTTATGTTTTAGGATCTATTCGTACCTCCGTACATCAAGGATCGATGTGAGTGTTATCGATCCATAGCGAACCACCGCCAATGCTGATGGATCGTCGTATAGATATTGCCTCGACCTCACCTCCCAACTCTCATGGATTCATTTCCACATCGGTATCTTCAACTAATTCTGCAATGACGGACTACGAAGTAGAAGTTGTGGAGATTCGCATCAAGGACGGCGAGCTAGAAGATATCATTCCTTAGAAGGTCACTGCGCAAGTCTGCAACACTCGCCTTCCGGTACATGCTTTCCCAACACCGCTTCCTATGGATTTCTCCATCAGCTCTTTTCTCCACAACCCCCACTCATTTGTACATCTAATTCCCCACTTCCTTCCTATCATCTCCCTTGGGACACGGCGCATCCAACATGCACCTTGAACTCCGTCTTTCTCATTTGCATCACCACACCGCATCGTAAACTGTTATTGTATTATTAGCTTTCTGACTCCATCCTTATACGACTCTCTTCGTTTCTCTCCCGATATTGGACAGCATCCCATTGTTCGTCAGTTCGTCTACATAGCCTTCCTCATCATTCACTCTAGTGCACCGCATCGCGTTCTTTCTGGCCTGGGGGTAGATGTGTCTTTTGTATATATTGCTAAGCTTTTTTCAACTGTCCTTTCTTCTGGTGTATAAGTTCATATCAGGTACCCAAATATAAGTTGTTCTTCCGACCCACGCGTTGGCGGCCTGGCTGGCTGGCTAACTGCATTGCCCCTTTCCAGGCTTAATGAGGTTCGGAACCCAGGTCCGAAAGCCATATAGGGAAGGTTGGTCTCACGCCCCTGTCCGCACCGCCGTCCACGCGGAGCGCCGCTCGTCATCGACGTTCTTTCCCATTCCCCCACACCGCTAGAACGCTAACCGGCTTTGTCCCTTTTTCTCTTTCGATATTGGATACGTTCAACAGGATTAAGGACTAGGAAGGAATCTGCACAAGGACCGGCTCAACTACATTCCAAATCTCCACTCGATTACCTACAGAATCCATTCGCAAACCAGGTCAAACTCTAGAAGGACTGAATGGTCTCTTTACTCTCAAGCTGCTTTCCATTTATTAAACGGGAGACGAAGAGGGTGGGAGATACGTTAGAGGGGTGTGTGTTCTGCAATGTTGACCAGAGGCCTGATAACTTCAAGATTGTTTGGCAGGTATGTCACATGTTCATTGGATTCTGCATTTGTTTTCCCTGGGCTGTACTTGGGCTTCAACGACTCGCGATGCGATTTCTACTGTTGAGGAGAAAAATGAACTAAAGCCGTTTGTAGGACGACGTATTCGTTGCGTTTGAAGACCGTAGCCCGTCCGCCAAACACCATATCCTGGTGTGTCCAAAGAAGCATGTAGGTAATGTCATGCTTCCTGCTTTACACCACAGCCTTCAGAGGCAAAGGCGTATACTGAATGGAACTCACTATCTTCGACCTTGCAGATAGCATAAAGTCATTAACGAAAGATGATACACAATTCCGTGAGTCCTATCTAACGCTCTCTCCACGCACCCCAACACTCATTCACCCCATACAACGCCTGTAGTGAAAGACATGCACCAAGCCGGAATAGGCATCCTCGACAGACTCAACATCCCAGAGCACGAACGGAGGTTCGTATCTCCTCTCGCCACCCCATCATTCCTTAACATCGGACAATGTATGCAGAATGGGCTTCCACATTCCACCATACAACTCCATCGACCACCTGCACCTACACGTCCACGCTCTGCCGTACAAGTCGGCGTTTAGGGCTTTGAAGTATCCTGTGGTGAAAGGGTGGGGCCCGTATCATAAGGGCCTGTCGTGGTTTGCGGAGATTAGACAGTCGATTGCGGTGTTGGAGTCGGGGAGGAGGGTGGGGGTGCTGCCTTGCTAGACTATCCCTGGCTGAGGTGTGACGGGGGTATTCCAGCATGCATCGATGTGGATCTCGGTGCTTTAAGTTGTCTAGCAGGTTCCATTGGACTCTGGAGAGACGGCTTGAACGTGTCAGGGGACGTGCCTTGGACATGCACTGTCGCTTCCATGATATACACCAATTCGCCTCGCTGCTTAATATTAATTTGGTCAACTAACAGATGGCGTGTCCTGTGGGCTTGGTTTACCCGGCCTTACCAGCAGACTGGTTGCACGAGGCGACGGCAGTACGACGGTTCTCCAGCAGAATTGTCGACAAGCTCGATTACATCTGGGGGTGATTCTTCTCAAAGCCTCGCGCCATGCCCGACTTCCGACGCACTACCTGAACGATACCTGCGGGTGCTCGGTGGATCAAGCGATAGTGGAAGTGCGAGTGCATTGCCCACTGACAGAGCCACCTTTGCCTGGCGAAGACCTTAGCTCAAATCATTGTTCTAGTGATCTTGCTGCGTACATCAGGTGTTTCGTATACCGCACAAGAGATTTAAATTGAGAGGAAAATGCAAGTATAAAAAAGAGACTGCATAGTATAAAGAGAGACTGCATATGATAAAGAGAGACTCCATATGATAAAGAGAGACTTCATATTGTTAGGCTCTAAATTATGAGAGGGATGGCATAGGAGGACATAAAATGGCATAGAAAGCGCCCGGGCGCTTAATTCATATCGATAGCAACATCAGCCTGCCAAACGTTCTCATACACGTTACGAATTCCGACCAACACCAGCTTCTGGAACTGAATGTCGCCTACCTGGTAGTTTGGGTCTGTCCCTCGGGTGTTCTTGTGAGTATCACAAAACTCGGCAAAGACACTCGCAATGGCTTGGGCGACTTCAGCGCGATTATAGTTAACAGGGCCTGTTGTAACGATATGGAGTCTTCGAACGTACTCAAGGTGGTCGTAGCCGGGCCATTGGATGCGGAATGTGATGGGCGAAGTGTCAGGGGGGAAGACCTGGTCGAAGCCGCGCACCATCATCTTCGCGAGTTCGGTGGGGCTCCTGTCCTTGATACTAAGTTCGACCATGGGAATACCTTGGTTGAAGCGGCCTACGTAGTCGATGGGAACTGCAGGAGGAAGCGCCCTTGAAGTGCCGCTGGGCATGAAGATGGGCTGAGGAACGCGACGCCGACGGTGCGAGCCGAGAGCTGCGTCGAGGGCGCTGTAATCGGAAACTTGGGCGGCGTTGATTGCAGGGTGGAGTGGGTTGCGGGTCATGTTTGAAGATTCAAGCTTGTGTTCGAGTGGTAGTGGTATTCGTGTGGGTTGGTTGTACTGGGCTGTTGTCTATCCTCGCTCCCAAACCGGTAGATTTTATACGCTAGCCCATGGTCCAAACAGTAGTGTGCGCCTTGACGCCTCCGAGTGCGCAACGCTTTGGGTGCGTCTAAGCGCCTCGAGAATAAGCGCCCTTCCGCCCGCCATCAGCTGCTCGGACCTTTCCTTGGGTTTCCTCCTTGACGCTTGTACTTGAAATAGTGATGGGCTAGGAGCATGACTGCTACTTGCGTCGATTCACTTGGGCCTCATTTCCTCTTTGGTGCCAGAGAATTAACTGTTGTCGAGTGTTGTAACGGCCGGGTTCGAAGAACTGCACAGTTGGTGTTGATGCTGTTGGGTGGCTGTCATCAAGGTCACATGCAAGACGACGCGATACACGGTGTAATCCTCCAAATATTTAGGCGACGCGCATTCCCTTTCTGCGCCCAACTATCACCTTCTCATGACGAAATGTCTGAATCGAGTTGTACCTCAAGCAAGGTTACCTTGTCTGTTCAACCCAAGCGCAAGGACGGCGTGAAGGCCGCAGGCGCTCAGTCGCGAGAACAGGTATCATTGACGGACGAGAGCGTCAAGATTTACTGCAGAGACAAGCTCGCTGAGGAGAAGGTCAAGGCCGAGGCTGCCGTTCAGGTGGCCAAGCTAAACATGGAATCGGCCATCCGGGTGGCCGAAGCGCAGGCCCAAGCGCAGACCGAAATCTGCATGTGGGCGCGTGATGCAATGCAGGGTGCGCACGAATCGGTGCCTTCTGTTATATGGACTGACCGAGAATTCAAGGAGGAGAGAATCTACAAACAATCACTCAGTTTTTAACCGCCTTATCCGGCCTCGACACGTCGAACATATCCCTGAAGGCTTTGAAGCAAGTCAAGTCATATCAAGCCAAGTTGGACCAGCGGGCGAGCGCCTTGAATGCGCCAAACAAGCGCCCTCATATCGAAAAGCCTTCCGCTGCTGGTAATGCCGGCCTTGGCGATCAACTCATCCAGCCATCCGGCGAAAACCCTTCCGCCGTCGCTGCTGGTAATCTCTGCCTTGGCAATCAACTCATCCAGCCATCCGGCAACCTGGCATCAGCTGCTCGGACCTTGCCTTGAGTTCCCTCTTTGACGCTTGTACTCAATACAGTAATGTTCTAGGAGAATAACTAGTGTCTGGGTACTTAGACCGATTCGCTTGGGCCTCGTTTCCTCTTTGGTGCCAGAGAATTACCTGTGACTGTTGTAATGGTTCAAATTCATTGCCGTCTATCTCTCCCTCAGTTTTCTTTCTCTCAAAAAATTATCTATGCCCTAAGCACAAATCTGCACTCTACACCATAGGCAATGGCAGACAACCAAGAGCCAATGGTCGTCGGTGGTCGTGCGGAGATCGAAACGGAGCAAAGCGCTAAGCGCTTGCTCGTACTGTCGTTATTGGAGGCTGCGCCTCGAGAAAAGCCAATGGGTTTCAATACTATCGCCCGCCTAGCTCAATCGGATAGAGCGTCAGACTCTTACGTAAGCAAGGCATCTGAAGGCTGCGAGTTCGACCCTCGCGGTGGGCTACTTTCCTATTCCTTTTTTCAAAGGGTTTTGCTCTGCCAGGCTGCGTAAAACCAGAACTGTATAGTCTTTCGGCCGTCATACGAATTAGGCGCCCATCATGACTTAGTCTTCTGCCGCAGTGCAAGATGCAATAGATGATACCAATGTACCCAAAGATTTATCCCATTCTTCCAGTTTACCGATAAACAAAAAAGTGTACAATACTTCACAACAGCCAGGTAATAAATTACGGACCACTCGAACTCGCCTCCGAGCATTTGTGAAACGCGTGGTTCCACCCAATCGTCTTAAGGACGACACCACCACAAAGACTGAAACCCAGTCTACATTCCTTTGCTTTGTTTTCATGTCGTAACGCCACGAACTCCGCTATGGTGTTTATATAGACGTCTGGCCTGACCTGGAAACACTCAGGTATCAAGGCGGTCGACGGTGCTTCTACGGGTAAGGGTGATGGCCATACCGGGGTAAGGGAGAGGAGTTGGAGGCGTGGGAGGCGGCAGAGTCGAGAGAGAACTTCGGTCTGTGAGCAGGGCATCTTTAGAAAGTGCAGAAGAAATCATTATGCTCGAGTACGCACCAGGGTTGGCCGGCTTTGGTTGTAAAAGACTTGAGCTGTCAGTTGCCGTAGCACGACGCACTGTCCGATCCACGAGGCATATTCTGGCATCAAGCACCACTCCTCGTTGACATCCGAATCTGGCGCTTCGAGCGACAACATCTCGAGCGAGTACCCGTGCTGCGGCAGCCCATCTCGACACAGAGCTGTCATTAATTCCTTCCTCGAACTCTCCTTCCCCTCCGCCGCAAATACAGACCGCAGGTGCAATTCGCGCAGTCCCGTGTAAGTGAGCAGGTATTCAATGAGTTCGAAAGAGAGGTTGCCGACTTTGATCACTTGGAGTTCGAACGAGTGGGCGGAGAAGAATTTCCAGAGGGGCCGGATGTCCGCTTGGCCGTTCGTGATATCGAGCGAGACAAGATTCTTCAACGCACCCCAGGTGTGCATCTCCTTTGAAAGCATCGGGTAGGCCAGACGAATCGACGTCAGAGGCAAAACGCCGCCATTCTCCTTCAAGCACTTCTTCGTCTCCCCGTCTCGGATGAACAAGTCGTCGAGGGTCGTTATGCGCGGGCCCTGTATCAGGAGCGGTGTGAAGGAAAGCTCTTCCAAGTCCGGCGAGCCTGCTATTATCTTGCGGAGATGCGGGATGGTTTCGCATGTGATGGGTCGGAAGTAGTCCCCTGATTCAAAGTGGAGGCGTTTGAGCTTGAGGTCATGGAATTTGTCGAAGGGGAAGAGGGTGGAGTGGGTCCAGCGGTCGAGGTAGAGGTAGAGGCTGTCGAGATGGGGGAGTGCGGCCAGGGCATCGCACATACTGCTGTATGGGTCGCTGACTTTGACGCTCCAGCTGCACTTGCGCGAATTAGCGTCCAGTGGTTATACTACTACTACGGAGAGAAGTTGGACGTACTGTACAGTCGTTATGTTCCTCAACGCACGCAAAGCAGGAGCCAGATAGCTCTGCTGTATTGGCCGAAGCCCTTGGTCAAGATCCGTTTCCTGCCAGTTACTCTGGGCTGGGTGGGTGAACGGGACCAAGTTGGCGATGTGCAAGGTCTTCGCCACCCGGGAGACGCGAGATTTGCCTGTTGACAATTGTCGGAGAAGTGCGCCGGTTCTCTGCGAACCATATTGAGTGCAGTTGATGGAGATTTCACTGAAGAGTTGGTCTAAAAGCAGTTCGTCCAGTCGGTAGCATACTGCTCTGAGGGTCATTAAGTCCTCTCGATCGAGCTAAAAGGCTTGGTTAAGCTTCCTTTTAGAAAGATAAGGGTGAGATAGACTTACAAAGAAGAGAATCCGATCCAAAAGCTCGTATGGCAGTTCCAATAGAGGACTAGCCTGCAGCGGTCGCACATCCTTCCCCATTCCAGCAAAAACCTTTGCAATCTTCGAGGATAGACTGCGCCTTTCCTCTCCGTCCTCCTTCTCTGTCTCCAGCTTCCCTGCAGCTGCCAGCGACCGCAACATTTTCCATTTGGATGCCATCTTGAGGGTTCAGAATAAGGAATGGTGTCCACACAGAGCGACAAGTCCAGATCCGGGCTCCAGTTGTGCCTGGCATTCAGTTGGCCGCCAAGGGGTCTGTACTATTTGCCCCTGTTTGCCGGGTATCCGTTATGTTCAAGTCAGACAGGGATGCGGGTTATTCGCCGGTATCGTCGAAAGCCATTGCGGTGTCGTTGAGGAGCGCTCTAGCAGCGTTATTTGGTGGAGAATTGACGTTAAAGTTCGAGAGAAAGAAGAATCGGACTGGGTTCCGTTGCCGAACTGGTGAGCACAGTTGACGCCATTGTTTGCACCGAAGGACGAAGGTACACACGCCCGCGGCCACCCTCCCAGTGGGCGTTTATGGACATCAGCACTCATATCAGTTGTTGCTGAATGTCTTGTGGCTTATCGTTATGGATGGAGAGTCGACTTATGTCCCGTCTCGTGTATCCTAACGCAGAGGTGGCCAGTCCTGGGGCATATCATCGTCCCCCGAATCAGCCCTGGACAGGTCTTGACTCGTTATTCTATTCAAATATCCGCCGCTCTAACCGAGAGTCACCGAGTCCCACCCCTGGGTTATCTCTGCTTAGGGCGATCAGTGGCAAGGTACTGAGCAATGAGCAGTAATGGAGATACTAGTACGTTGGCCTCACAAACAGAGCACATGATATAGGTATATATATTACATCACAATACAGCAAGATACACAAGAGAGTTCATTCCAAAGAGTAAACAGAGACTACTGGTACAAGTAATCAACGAGCGTCCATCACCAGCTTACGGGGATGCCACTTAGGCATTGAGGGTGACCTCAGCCCAAGGGAGTTCGCCTGGCACCTTGGCGTCCCATTCAGCTTCGACAACCACTTTCGCGCCAGCCGCAACCTTCCACCTCCACTCGAACATCCCATCATGACTTCCCTTGACTACATCCCCATCCCTCTTGAACCACACAACACTCAACCCATTCTCCAGCTTGACCACCTCCCCGTACTTCGCAGCAGCCAATCCCTGAGGCCTGCGCAACACAACCTGCCCAGCCTTATCTTCGCAAGTCGGGATAACATCTCGAACAACGAGGTCGTCAATATCGAACGTATGCTTGTTGTGAATATGGATTTTGGTAAAGTAAGTAGTCGTGTTGGTGGTTTCGGCAAAGGCACCCCCGTCGGATTTGGTGTTCTTGGAGGTACGAGAGTAGACGACTTTGGTTGACGGATCGTCGCCGAGGGTGCATTCGAAGTATTCGCCGGTGTTGATGTCGCTGATCCAGGTGGAGGATACGAAGCTGTCGTGGAAGATGACGCGGACTGGACCGGGGAGAAGGCGATAGTCGCTGGTGTTCTTGACGCGGCACTGGAAAGAGTCGATCAGTGTCAAGACAGAAAAGCATAAACAGATTGGCATACCTGGAGGTAAACGCGAGCATCGACCTTGGGAACAGTGATGTATGAGATCACGGCTTCGAATGGAAGGACAGCGACCGAGACTTGGTGGTCAATACCATCACTGGGGATGGTGGACTGCCCATGAACACCAAAGGTCACCGCGACAGGAGTCTCGTTGACGATGGTCGTGGGCTCGGTAGGAGCGGGGTTTGTATCCCCGTCGGCGGGTGGGTTGGCCTCGGAAGGATCGACTTGCTCGAAAGCCTCATCCGACTCCGCTGGTGGCGGTTGGACGCTAGGCGCAGCGGTCGGGGTCCCACCGAATGACGAAGTCGAAGTTGCAGGTGCAGGTGGGGGTGGCCGGTAACTGAACAGGCCCCCACTGGTGTGAGCAGCATTGCCAAAGGCGCTCGTTTGAGCTTGCTGCTGCTGCGGTGGGGGTTGCTTAGTTGAACCAAAGGAGGCGCTGTTGTTAGGTGCGCCAGCAAAGTGATTGAACACCCGCCTTCGAAGCTTGACTGGCTTCAGGGAGGGGATGGAGCGCGACTCGCCGCCAGACGCCGTGCTGAGTGTGAGGGCGGTGTTGTTCCAATCCTCGCCGGTGTGTTGGTTGACCCTAGCACAATACAGCAGTTTGACGAGCGGCGAAGGCTTCCCTGCATCAGTCTTGGCATATAATTCGTATGTTGGCTTCCATTGGGCATCTTTGACGACTAGACACGAGGTTAGCGTAGAGAATGGTGGTAAAAAAGGGGCATCGCACTGTAGGTAAGGACGAGGTCCAACTGAACTTCGCTATCGGCAGCGAGAACCACGTCAACGCGCCCATGGGAGGTCCCTTTCTTCGTTTTGGTCTTTTTCTCTTCGTCTGCGATCTTCTTGTTGATAACACGAAGCTCGTCATTGAACTTTGCGATCTAAGAATAATTAGAACCTGGGCCCATGGAGGAAAAACAAAAGGATCATATACCTCCTCCAAAATCTTCTGGTTCTGTTTGACATAGCTTTCCATGAACTGAAGCAGTTGAGTAGGAGCTACGTGCTCCCCATTGAGTGAGTTTGCATACTTGTTCAAGAGCTGGGCCTCAGTCTCTCGAACTGCCTTACGCTTCTCAATGGCGCTCCTCTCAACGTTCAGGGAGCGGATAAGCTCTGCAGAATCATCAAGGGTGCTCGCAGCAAAACCACCACTTCGGGATTGCTCAACCGTACAGACAACATCATGAAGGCGAACATCACCTAGCCCAGAGACTCGAACCGAGTGGGTATCGATCGAGCTCGACAGGCCGCGTATCTCTAGTTTACTTTGTCCTTTCTGGAGTTGAGGTTAGCATGGGCGCGATATCAGACATACAGAAATGAGCTTACATCTACAGTGACCTTGAAAGTCCTGACCACCTCAGCCTTGGAAGACTTAAAGACGGTGACGGACTTGATGGGGTGTTCAGCAGCTTTCAAGGCGATGAGGGTGGTCATGGCGGTGGTCAGGTCTAAAGAAAGGAAAGCCCCAGCCCTTGCTTTAAAGCTCTGCGCAGTGCGGAGCCGTCCTTTGAATTCGAATCAGATTGAGTCGTTCGAAGGCTGCGGTCAACTGCGGTAGCGAAGGACTTGGGGGAGTCATTAATTCGGTTGATTCCGAGCTTGGACTTCATTCTGCCGTACTTCGGCAAAGCGTGAAATTTCAATCGGAGAACAGTTCGAACGGGAAGGCCCGGAGAGGTGCCGCGGGATCGGCGCTTGTGTTTCCTCGACGTCCATACGTTCCTCTGCCGATTCAGTGCCTCCGAACTGTACGATTTCAAGTCGTTTCGATGCTTTGAATTACGCGCCTAGAGCGTACCTGACCCTGAGAGTGGCTGCGCCTGTAATGATCTGTTGAAGAATTTCGGCGAGAGCTCGTAGCTTCGCTGTACCAAGCTCTCTGGTAGAGCTCCTTCTTATTTGTCCGTCCATCCTTTCGTTATTGTGTATGGACTATCTTAGGGCTTGGTCTGGGATGAGTTCGGACTCATCTGGTATATACCTTTTATCCTACTCGATTACATTAGCTACTCGAATTTGTATATAAGCGTATGTACAACGAATCGATTCGACATTGAATTCGTTCCCCACAGTTCTAGTTTCCTAAGAGGTTATGAGCCCCGGTTGCTTGTAATCTTCTGAAGACACTTACTTTCGACTTCAATCTCACTAGTGATTTTCCTCTCGTCTTTTTGCGCGCTTTTTCTCTTTACTCGTTATCTTGACTGTCGACTATCAACACACCATGTCTACCGACCCGACTGGCGCTGCCTCGTTCCGTTTGGAGCCGCTCAACGCTACCAACTGGATGCCCTGGAAACGTCGCATGCTCGCTGTCCTTCGCGAGCTCCAACTCGACAAATACGTTACTGGCGACTCCCAGACTGCTCCTACCGAGTCTGCTTTGCTCCCCGCCTGGACTGCGGGTGAATCAAAGGCCCGCACCCGCCTTGAACTCGCTATTGGAGATAGCGAGATGGTGCACATCTTAGGCGCTACAACAGCCGCCCAGATCTGGTCCCAGCTCTGCCAACTCAAGGAGACGAAGGGTCGTCTTGGAATTCTGGCAACTCGCAGAGCTTTGTACCGTGCCGCTATGGAGGAGGGTGCTGACCTCGTCGAACACATCTCCACCCTCCGTGCTTACCAAACCGAGCTGGCGTTGATGGAGAACGCAGTTTCGGAGGAGGACTTCGCCATGGTCCTCATCACTTCGCTGCCGGAAAGCTGGGACGGATTTACCAGCTCGTATTTTGGGACCCAGAGCGCGAAGGAAGATGCCAAGCTGGTGGCGAGCGACATCATTCCCCTCCTGATCGAAGAAGATCGGCGTAGACGCACCCGCGATGGGAGCTCCGCCCACTCACTCCAATCGCGATCCAACACCTCCCACAATAACCCCGGATCAGCTCGAGCGACATCGACGAAGGAGTGCTTTAATTGTCGGAAGAAGGGCCATGTGAAGAAGGACTGCTGGGCCAAGGGAGGTGGTATGGAGGGAAAGGGTCCGCGTGGGAGGAGAAGGGGACATAGGGCGAACCAGGCTGGTCAGAATCCCTCCGACATTAACAACGCGGTCGCAGTTACATACATGGCCCACCCCATCACTAAAGTCAACACCACCAAACTTGTCTGGTACCTGGGAGTCCGGTTCGACAGCCCACATTTGCACCCAACGAAACGCCTTCATCGATTATACACCCCTTCGTAATGCCACTGTCCAGGGTATCGGCCCAGCTGCTGCTATTGTCGAAGGTCGCGGATCAGTCGTGCTCAACTTCAAAGTCGGAAACGCCATCACTCCGCATTTGATCCGCGACGTGTTATACATCCCGACTGCACCGAATTGCCTCCTCTCGTTGAGCCGTTTCGACGAGAGTGGAGGCGTGGTGAGCTTTGGTGCTGGGCAGTGCAAGTTGGTGGGAGCAGGTGGGAAAGTGGTTGGTACTGGGAGGCTGGCGAACCGACTCTACAAACTCGACGCTCGCGCCGAATTACATCCGGACAAAGTTCTTTTGCTTGGCGCTCGAGCAAAGAAGACTTGGGACGAACTCCACCGCATTTTCGGACATATCGGCATTTCGACGCTGGAGAAGATGTACAGCCAGAAGCTCGTGACTGGGCTAGAAGTCGACGAGTCTTCCATTCCCTCTCCCACATGCACAGACTGTCTTGGTGCAAAGTTTACCCATCACCCACACCCTAAATCCGCTTCTCATCGTTCGCAAACTCCCGGAGAAGGCTACCATTGCGATGTTTGGGGTCCCTGCAGGACCCGATCCATCTGGGGCAATCGGTACTTCATTTCCTTCACGGATGACGCCACCCGACATGTCGATCTGTACTTCATGAAGACGAAGGATGAGGCAGCTGGATGGGTGGAGAAGCACATTGCCAAGGTGGAGAGGAAATTCGAGAAGCCACCTGCCTGGATTCGTGTCGATAATGGCAGGGAGCTTGTCAACGAACGTACCAAGACCTTTTGTGCCAAGAAAGGAACCGAGATCCACACCACAGCCCCTTATTCCCCTTCCCAGAATGGTGTTGCTGAGCGCCTTAATCGCACACTCCTGGAACTAGTTCGCGCCATGCTGATTGGAGGCAAGCTCCCGGCTTTTCTCTGGGACGAGTGCATCCTACACGCTGTCTATCTTCGGAATCGAGTTCTTGTCAGCGCTCTACCCGGCACCACACCTTACGAGGCGTACCACGGCATCAAACCCGACGTTTCCCACTTACGAGAGTTCGGATGTGACGTCTGGGTCCTCGACGAATCCGATAAACGTTCGAAACTTGATCCCAAGGCCAACAAGATGGTGTTCTTAGGGTTCTTGGATGGTGCGAGGGCTATTCGCTATTACGATGCCTCAAAACAAAGGGTCCAAGTCTCCAGGAACGTCGCTTTCAATGACAATCCTGTTGAGGTGATTATCCCTGGTCCTCATCTCGAGGAGGAGCTCGGAATCGACGATGAGCGCTCTGAAACCGAATCCCAAACCTCATCTGTCGAAGTCGAGACGATTCCCAGTGACAATGGCGACCCTCTTCCGTATCTCCGCTACACCCCGTCTCCTTCACCTCAACCCGAGCCTGCACCAACACCTACACCAACGCCTAAACCGTCGAAATCATCGAAACCGACTCCAGACGCCCCACCACCCTTGACCTCCATGTCCGACTCGCAGCTCCGATCTCTACGTCCTCGAAACGATCTCGACTACAAGCTAATCAATAACCCGCAAGCTCGCAAGCCTGCCGAGCGCGATTGGAGGAGAGAGACGCAGAAACGCGACAAGGCTCGAAGGACCAAGCTCGCTCGACAGCTCCCTTCTCCCTCCAACTCAGATGGGTACCAAACCTTCCTCATTCATCATTTCGTGACTATGGAGGAGGAAGAGGACGTCGATGCTCGTGTTCTCTCACTCACACCAACCAATCCCTCGCATATCCTCGAAGAAATCGGCTCCCACTCTCCTCCAACCATTCCTACTCGTTATCCAGTCACCATGGAGGAGATTGTCGATGAAGACGCTCACTTTTCGTCGCTTCCACCCCTTTCACCTACTGCTATCATTGAGCAAGTCCAGGACTCCGAACCTTCGCTTCCCAAGTCTGCCAAGGACGCTCTTGAAGGTCCTGAGTCGAAGGAATGGAGGAGTGCGATTATGGAGGAGCTGAGGATGCTAGAAAAGATGGGGACATGGGAGTTGGTGGATTTACCTGCGAACCGAACGCCTGTGGGCAACCGATGGGTCTTTGCGAAGAAGAAGGACGACCAGGGACGTGTTATACGCTACAAAGCGAGACTGGTCGCCCAGGGCTTCTCTCAGAAGCCTGGAGAGGACTTCAACCACGACGGAACCTTCGCACCAGTCATGCGACTCGACACCTTTCGATCCATGACAGCTCTGGCCACGATTAACAAGTGGCGGATGTTTCAACTCGACGTGAAGAGCGCCTATCTCAACGGCAAACTCGACGAAGAAATCTTCATGAAGCAACCTCCTGGCTTTGAAGACGGCACTGGACGTGTCTGCAGGCTTCGTCGAGCACTTTACGGCCTCAAGCAGGCTGGTAACGTCTGGAACCGCGAGTTCAACGCTGCCATGCACGATATCGGCTTCACCCAGATCAAATCCGACTCCTGCTGCTATATTCGACGATCTGGCGGTGCTACGACTATCCTACTCCTTTGGGTCGACGACATCATTGGGTATACCGACTCTGAAGAAGAAGAACGCCGAGTAGTCGAAGAACTCGCCTCGAAGTTCGAAATCACGAAGATAGGACGACCACAAATGCTGTTAGGCATGAAGGTTCACCAAGATGACGACGTCGGCACAATTTCCCTCTCCCAAACGCACTATATCGACTCCCTTCTCGATCGATTCGGTCTTTCGGACGCCAACACCGTTACCACACCCCTTGACCTCAATATCAACCTCGATACGATCGACCCAGCGCCTCAAGATCAAGCCGACGATCCAAGAGCATCTGGCCTCTATGCTGCTGCGATTGGTTCCCTCCTTTATGCGGCTATGGGAACTTGACCAGATATCGCCTACGCCGTCCATCGACTCGCCCAATTCACTCGCAACCCGCAGGCGAAGCATTGGACCGCGGTTAAGCGGATCCTTCGGTACCTTAAAGGGACGAAGGACTTGCATTTGACCTACGGAGGCCCAGAACTCGACTGGTCTCCGGAAGTCCACATATACTGTGATGCTGATTGGGCGTCTAACGCCGACCGCAAGTCGATTAGCGGTTATGTTTGCACTTTGGCTGGAGGAGCGACGTCTTGGAGTTCCAAGAAGCAAACCTCTGTCGCCTTATCCACTGCTGAGGCTGAATACGTCGCAGCGACTCACGCAGCGAAGCAAACCCTCTGGTTTCGATCCCTCTTCACTGAACTCGGTCTCCCGTTGCCTTCTTCGTCGACCATCTTCTCCGACAACCAGGCAGCCGTTGCCATCTCTCACCACCCCGAGTTTCACGCACGTACGAAGCACATCGACATCGCCTTCCATTTCCTACGCGATGAGGTCAGGGCTGGTACACTTGACACAGTGTACATCAACACACGCGACAACTTGGCCGACATCTTCACCAAACCTCTCCCTCGTCCTCAGCACGAAGATTTCATTTATCGCATGGGTCTTCTGCCTCTCGGATGTCCGTCCATGGAGGAGTGTTGAAGAATTTCGGCGAGAGCTCGTAGCTTCGCTGTACCAAGCTCTCTGGTAGAGCTCCTTCTTATTTGTCCGTCCATCCTTTCGTTATTGTGTATGGACTATCTTAGGGCTTGGTCTGGGATGAGCTCGGACTCATCTGGTATATACCTTTTATCCTACTCGATTACATTAGCTACTCGAATTTGTATATAAGCGTATGTACAACGAATCGATTCGACATTGAATTCGTTCCCCACAGTTCTAGTTTCCTAAGATGATCGTCTCAGGTCTTTTAGGCATTGTAGGCACTGGTGTGAGTGACATTTTCTTCTACTGGTGGGAGACCTATAACCTTACTGAGACCTCCATAGTTTCTTCATCTTCTTGATAGACCACCACCATCTGTCTTATCGCTCGTGACACCTCTTGGTTGCGATTGCACAGCGGTTTGATCGTGACATCGGCACCGAGTGTCGGTCAGGGACTCGGAGAGCAACCTGTTGCACAGACGGGACCGCACTTGGACATACAGCCCACTTTGTTCACCACACAGTGGCCATGACGGGTGTGGGAGCTATGCACACAATCCGAGACTCTATGGACTTCATCCGTGGAGGTAAACTTAAAGCGAGGTGTTAACGCCTGAGGCGGCGGAGGATCCACCGCAGTCCCGACACTTGTCACTACGTGCTCGGTGAGCAGAATTTCCATCGTATACTCCTTGGAACGCGAAGGAACTGAACATTGAAGGGTGGTATTGCAGGATTTGCCTCGTCTGCATGGCGTTTTCTAGGTGGAACATCGATTGCTTAAAGTACCGCTTCGCACGGAAAGTTTCTAAAACCAAGTTCGGGGAGATTTTCCCTTGGTGTTCATCACCGTATCCCCGCAGGTTCCTCTTCGGGCGAGCTCATTGGACACTAGGTCTCCACACCTAACAAGGGTATCCCGTACCCTCTGTTGCTGATAGCCTATAGCTCCATTGAAGAGATGGGGCTGTACCGGAACACCATCACGGTGGGTGAGTTCGCCTTTTGCGGAATTGTCGGAGGCGTAATAATACTCAACCTCTGTTCTTTGAGTTCTTAGGGCGAGTTTAATTATTGCTTTTACACAGATGGAAATCCTTCTATCCCTAGGATCGAAGTTCAGCCTCTTCTAATCGAAACTTTAAGCTCGCCCAAAGGACGGGATCAACGACTATCATGGCCATAACGCTGACATCTGAGCCCCGAATTGGGTTGTTGTACATGCTCAGCCGTTGATTTACTTGAACTCCAGGTTTCCCGTTCCATAACCTATCCACAGTCCAAAGACTGTTCTTCAGGTGAGGCCCAGGCTGGGTGAGGGTTTTTGTTGACTGCAGCATCGGGCTTCGTAGGTTCTCTCTGCTGTTGACGGGGCGTCGACAGGAAGGACGTACATCCTCAATCCTGAAAGATTCATATCCGCCTATGGCCTCATACTTCAAGCCCAATATCCGACTCCGCTAGCCTATTTGCAGAGAAGGATCTTTCGATGACCCCAGACCGATGCCGCTTCCAGAGTAACTCTGCCTCGATTTCAATGATTTGTACCATGGGCTGTTTGAAGAACAATGAGCGGTTGGTTCGAGTTTCATCATTTCTGAAACTCTGTTCGGGAATCTCACTAGCAGCTACATAGGAGTCCGGTGGAGCAGGAGATTATATGATGATATTCATGAAATCCATATGAGCGGAGTGGAGGAAAGAAATGCGGTTCGCTCTGGAAATCTTGATGGGGTTAAAGGTGACATGGGCTGCCAAATGGGACTCGCCTCGCAAGGCCGAAGACGGCTGTCATTGGTGGGCTTCGCCTGCCCTTGATCTCGCACGTTTTCTTCTAACAAATACAGATTTGACTTCGGGCATGCCTTCTAACCGCTGGGAACGCCGAATCCCCACAGTACAAGCGATGACCCGCCTCAGACCTTTAAAGCTAACCTATAGTCCGGAACGATTTGCGATACGCTCTACTTTCCCCCTCTCCACCAGTTTCATCCCTTCCCCTGCTCCATATCCGCTGCCCCACACCTCGACCGCGCCCAGGACGGATACCGAGGTTCATCTGATAGCGAACAGAGTTACACCATCGATCAAGGAACGTTGTTGTCAACATGAAATCGAAGCGCGACAGTGAAGCCAACAGTGACGAGACGCTGAGGTCCAGCGTCGGGAGTGTGATAGAGGTCAAGGTCGTCGATGTAGCAGAAAGCCAGCAGCAGGCTGCAGACGAGTTTCCGGAGGGAGGCTTGCAGGCATGGTTGACGGTCGTTGGCTCGTACGTATTCGATGTCACTCAGGGTCGGCAGGGTCGGCTGAATACTTCTCTCCCCGCACAGGTTTCTCATTCAGTACACGACCTTTGGGTGCGCTTCTCCTTCTTGTCGCAAAGAGACACTCGATTGATTGTCATATCGGCAGCTATATCAACGCCTTTGGTGTCTACCAGGACTTTTATGTCAGGGAATACCTCCAAAACTCCACTCCAAGCAGCATTGGGTAAGTCTTTCCGGCTTCTTCTTTGGAACCGTTGTGGCATACGTCTAGACGTATACGTGTTTCAACAGACGCTTCTTCCGCTTTCCGAAAATTCAGCGTGGAAGCCCGTTGCTAATTCGGTTCGAATTGCTGCTAGATGGATAGGCGGCACTCAAATATTCCTGAATTTCTCGATGGGTCTCTTCACGGGCCGTGCTTTCGATAGAGGATACTTGTAAGTCGTTTTCACCGAATTCTAGCCTGCTTTCGATTAACAGAAGGTTGCGCGGAACAGCCAATATCTAATGATTTCTAGCGTAATTTTGCACGCAATAGCCTGTATGTAATGTTTCTTCGCACCGGATTTCCGGGTTGACTCACGAACTCGTCCAGTGTTCATGCTCTCCCTGTCCCATCCGGGGTCGTATTATCAGGTGGGTTTTGTCTTCTCCACCCGTCATATCAAGCTAATGGGTATCCTATTCAGGTCTTTCTCACCAATGGGGTCGCACTCGGGGCAGCCTGCGGAATCACCTATATCCCGAGTAAGATAGGGTTCTCTCCGAGCGACCCACTTTGGCTCATTTCGTCAACAGGTCTGGGCATCGTCTCTCACTACTTCCATCGAAGAAGAGCAATCGCCATTGGTATCGTATCCTCAGGCTCTGCTTTGGGTGAGCTAAATTCCTCGTGATCGTATTTCGACCTGACCGTGATCCCGTATGGACAGGCGCCATCTTGCACCCCATCATGCTCAACAGACTGTTCCATAGCCACCTTGGTTTTCACAATGGTGTCCGAGTCAGCGCCTGCATCAACGTGACTCTGCTCGTCGTGGCCTCACTTATCATGAGGACGAGATTGCCACCCAAAGCCGTCCAGAAATTTCCGATTATCGAGTGGCTCAAAGAACCGCCATACCTGCTCCTTCTCATTGCGTAAGTGCATCATTTTAGCCACAATCGAATCTACCTGTTTGACATCCCGGGCAGCGGCCTTTTCTCCTTCTTGGGTCTCTTCTTCCCCGTCTTTTATCTCCAGTTGAACGCCATCACCCACGGGGTAGACAAGAAGTTTGCCTTTTATGCTGTAAGTTCAGTCGTGACGTCGTTCATATCCGAGCCGACTGTATTGACTGGAGCGTCTTCCTTCTATCAGCTCTCGATCTTGAACGCGGCCAGTGTCTGTGGCCGGATGATTCCCAACGCTCTTGCGCCCAAGTTGGGGCTTTTCAATCTTCTGGTGTTCTTTACGACAGGGACCGGCGTATCTGTGCTATGCATGGCCGCAATGCGGGATGCCACTAGTACAGCGCTTTTTGCCATCTTTTTTGGGTTCTGTTCTGGCGCCTGCATCGCTCTGGTTCCCGCGACGATTGGTGCGTTGATCCACTGACGTGCATCAAAGATCTGCTGCTGACGGGGTGATGTGGGACAGGTCTCCTTTCGAAAGATATGAATGAATTCGGTACCCGGTTAGGTTTGTTCTTTGGCATTGGGGGAGTTCTTGGGCTTTTCGGTGCGTTGCCATTGTCAATGCTCTCCTCGTTATGGCATTTACTGACCTTGAGCACAGCTACGCCAATTTCTGGTGCCCTTCTCACAAGCGAATTCCGGTGGATAAATGCCATTTTATTCTCAGGGGTGTGTTCTCTCTCCCTATCTTTTGAAAGGACATTCGACGCTTATCGCTCGCGCCACGTTAGATTACCCTGATTATATCCGGCCTCTTCTACACGATTTCCCGGTGCTATATCGCAAGACGGAAAAACACTCAGATTCTCTGAGTAAAACCCCCCTTCGGTGATCTATCATCTCCATTGCATATCCCCCTCCCTTCTTGCTTCTCGTTTCGTGCGCATTCCCCCCAATTGTCAGCCATACCCCATACCCTTTCACCATGACGACAACCAGACGTACACGACATATTGGTAGTTGGCAACCCCCTCACTTGCATCTTGGCTGGACTTGTATCATCATGATCTTCATCTTCATTTATCGTCACATTGGCGCGCAAACTTGGCATTCGACGCTTTTTTTTCTTTCGCAGTACATTCATATTCTATTACTTCACATCATGGCACCTCACCACCAACCCATTCACAGCATACTCTACTACCCCACACGCATCTTCCTCCTACCTTAGTCACATTTTGTATTGTACATTACGATCCTTCACTTTTTTGGTCTTCTGTTTGTTTTCTCCCTACGGGTTTCACTCTAGGCGGTTTGGCGCTTCCTCATACCCCAATACCCCCTTTTCGGTCACATTCGCTCCCTTTCACATTGCTTCCCTTAGCGTCTTCTTCTTTATTTCTTTTTCTTTTTTTTTCTCTCTCTTGCAACACGGTACAAACATGATGATACCAGTTCGGATTTTTGGGCCACACCTCGTTGACTTTCTTCAAATTGAATTGTACAGTAGATGTAGTAGATTTGGTCCTGATGTACTTGTATGACTACACGACATATAAAAATGTTTTTTGTCTTGGCAGATTCTTGGGCTGTCTTCCCGGTGTGATTGGAGTTGTAATCTTTGAAGAAAGACGACGTTGGGCGGATTCGAACAGGCGAGGAGGAAAAGTCCGAGTCGGAGATGGAGGAATAAGGAAATTCGAAACGGGACGTGAAGAAACTAGGAGTGAATGACGGCGTGGTACTTTTGAATGTAATTATTTGCAGCTATATATCATTCCCTGGACATCTGATTTACAAGTTATATCTTGAGGGGGAGGGATGGCGCTTCGCCAACGACGCTAATGACCGACCTAACATTGGTAGGTAGGCAGGTTACCGGCGTCCGGTCTCAGGTCGAAAGACCACTGTGGATTGAACATGAATAACGAAGCGCCACGGTACCAGTACAGGTTGTTCTGAACGTTAATGAAGCATAAAACTTTTCCCAGACATTCTAGATTCTCCCGACTATCAAGTTTTCTTTCCATGTCCAAACACAGACTTGACCGCACCGAAAGCGACCTGTCCAAGCTCCTTGGGACTGTGGGGATGAATTCCTGACGACGAGATGCGCGTAGTCATTGAAGGCCTATACTCGATCCCTCCGCCTACTTTCACTGACTTCCCCTCGAGAGGGGAAGGGTCGCTTCCAACAACTCCAATCGCCGACCTGACCTTCACCAGAGCAGCCTCGCCAGGCTGCACAAATTCTCCATCGAACTGGATGGTCACATCACGTCGGAAGATCAAAGCATGGGATGAACCACCAAAATGGAACATCCCTATCTCGTCTCCACGGCTAACACGTTGGCCGACGGCCACGGTAGCCTCGCAGGTCGAGACCTCTGTCATCCCAATGGCCATGAAGCACATGAGCCCAATCGCAGGGTTGTCGGACTCAATGAAGATAAGCATGCGAGTGGTGAGGGAGGTGATAAATGACAGGGAGCGAAGGTAGGGGTTGTCTCCCTCTCCAATGAGCGCCGGAGATTGGACGAAGTACGTTCCGGGCACCTGGACGATCTTCTTGACAGTTCCGGTGACGGGCGCGTGCCAGCGGTGGTATCCAGTAACTTCAAGGAAGCCCTGGAACACAGTGCCCCCAATGAACTGTGGAGCGTCCGCATCGTCATTGAGCATATGGATAAGGGAGTACGGCTCGCCCTTAATCCAGAATTGATCTCGCTCGTGAACATTGGTTTGAAGGTTGTAGAAAACAGACTCGCAAGCGGCGTTGATGACGTTGTCATTGTCTGGTAACTCGAGAGGGCGAACGTTGGGCTGCAATTGGCGAACGAAGAAATCGTCCCATGACATGAAACCCCAACAGGGGGCAGAGGGATCGCTAACGAAGATCTGGGGGAAGGTGAGGTCGCCAAAGTCCTCTGTCATGCTTGAAATAGCCTCCGGACTGAACCATCCACCTGGTCCGTCATTGAGAACGGAGCGGGAGTCCGGGGACTCGAGGTAGGCGGCCCAGACATCGAATAATTTCTTGAACTGAATGTTGAGTCTAGAGGCGAGGAAGGCTGAGAACCCGCCTTGGGTATTCATAGCCTCGTTGAGGATCATGTAGAAAGGGGGACCGATGGGACCATAGAAAGGCGCTTCGGCGATCACTTTGTTGAAAAGCGCCAGCATAGTGCTGTAGTCCTTCACCTGAATGAGAACAGTATTAGGTTCTACTGGAAGGAAAGCACGGGACATGAATCACTGACAGGCCCTGTTGCATTTTCGAACATGCGGTTGAAGCCCATGTACATCTCACCATCATTTTCGATGAGTTCTTTGAACTCTTGAATGACGGGAGCAAGTGCGCGGGGTGCACGAACAGTAGTGTCCTCGATGATATTGAGAAGCCATTCCTTGAGGACAGCGGGGCTGGCAGGAAGCCATCCAGCCTTTCGGAAGCGCGCGTCAAGACGCCTCGAGTACTGCGACATTGCTATCTGGAGTGGGGAGAGACTTTCCTGGTACCTCAGGGAATCGTTGTCGAAACTCTTATAAGCATGGTCTATTCTACCCCTTTTTGAGAAGATCGCGCTCGGATTTAGAGCATCTCGTTTAAGCTCAAGACAAAATCCCACCGTCTATTTTCGATGCAAGCTTCATTGACATTAATCTAAGCAAAAGGACCGCACGGCTTCCAAGACTCGTCCTTCGTTACTCACGTAACTCGTGTAGCGAAGCCTTGGCACCGTGCTACAGCCAGTGGTGGCAGGTAAGCCTAGTGAAGGAAGTCACCCTGAATTTAGTACTGGGGGAGTTATTTTGGGTGCAGGTGACGTTTATACGCGAGTCAGCCAAGGACTTCCCATTGGACCATTCAATGCGTTGAATATGCGAAGGTTTCATTTTGAGAGAAACTGGGAGACAGGGGTGCAGATATAGTCTTCCTTCCACACGCACAGATGGGAGGAGATGTTAGGGGTACAGTGCGAAACCAAGCAAGCTGTCCATCGTTCCTAATTAAAGACAAAGGCTGAACATGCAAGTCTCAATAAATTAAGCAAGAAGTAATGTGATATCTGTTCTAAGCTACTTCAAGAATCCCAAATCGCACCAAAGGCTGGGATCCCTCGGCTCATACATGCGTAGACGACCTTCTCTGTGAGAGGCTGGTTAGAAATAATCGCAACTGCCTCGGGATTAAACTCCTTGACGAGTTTCAGCACAAGCTTGACCAAGTCAGGCTTGCCATGTTTACGAGTGTCTGCAAACACCAAGGTTAGTACTAGCCATGAGCCAGCATGAAGCGGAACACTAACCATAGATCACAGCATCCGGAACCGCTTCTAGGATAGAGTCGCACAGGGTATCACCGAACGTCTGTCGGACATTCGGCGCAGTCCACAAAACGCGCATGGGGATCTTCTTCTCGAAGATGATGGGAGCGCAAGGGCCAATGCCCGATCCCGTGGCGACGAGAACCATGCTACGGAACATGGGGACGAGCTTGAGGACACCATAAGTGGGGACACCCTTGACCCATATCTTGGTCGGCGGGTTGTCGATTTGCTTGGAGGTCCAATCGCCAGCCCGGGAGACGACTACGGAATATCCAGAGCGATTTGGCATTGGGATGGTGGCAAAGCCGTGCCATTCCTTCAATGGGGCATCGGAGAGACGGACGGAGGAACCGGCAGGAGGCGTGACTGAGGTGAAACAATGTCATCAGGCATAGTCAGCTAGGCAGAATAATAAACAGGAACGTACCGCCGTAATCAAACCAAAATCTGACGGCGTGCTTCGATAGAACCTCGGAGCGGACATCAACCTTGCGGAGACGGAGCCACGGCCAAATAATTGACACTAGTTGCGTTCCAACATCGATTAGGAATTTTGATAGTAAAGATCAAGCAAGGACATCACTTACCAGTCAAAATGATGACGAGCCAGAAGTAAGGAGACTTGACAAGGGTCTGTCCGAGAGTCTGTCCTTCAGGCATGTAGTCAATGGTCAAAGATATAAATTGCACCCAAACTAGGGCAAGAGCAGTCCATCCGAGGAACCGATGAGTCATCTCGAAGGTGTCGTGTAGCTTCTTCCTGAGGGCCGGATAGGCGAAGATGAGAATACCAAGGAATTCAGCCAAGATGACATATGTCACCGCGACAGTGCGGACAGATGTCTTCAAATCAAAGGCAACTCTATCAGTAAATGTGTATCGACAGGAATTGAGAGCATGAGAATACGTACCTTTCCACGATTCATCATTTCCTTGGTAGCCTGCGCAGTAAACGCGACCAACCAGAAGAACCCAGAAACCCCGGCACCAGAGTGTATACCACCAATGGTATAAATCCGCGCAGCGACACGCCGGATGGCCAATGGCCAAGATGAAGGAATACCGGTAAAGATGGCGAAGAGGATGTTGATGACGGCTTCCTGACGCATGAGAATCCCGATGAAGACATTGGCGACGACGATCCCTCCGAGCCTGTTGGCATCGTAGTCCTTGGTGACGAGAATCCAAATGAGGAGGGCAATGTTGATGATGAAGACCACAGAGAATAGACGCCTGTACAGGGAGAAGATTCGATGGCGAAGGTTACGAATGATGGGACCATGAATCTTCTCAGGGTACTCATCATCCTCGTATCCCGACCAGATATACTGTTCTTTCTCGAGGGCGGAGGAGGCGGAGGAGTCGATCTGTTTGACGTCAGAGCCTACAGCAGTAGTGGTAGAGCCCAGACTGTTGTCCGAGGTACGATGGAGAAGGCTCGGAGTGATCTGGAGTGTCGCTGACGGGATGATAGGGTTGGGCTCATTCAAAGCCGGCTCCTTGGCAACCGACACCTGCTCCCGATCCCTTGTGTCGATAGCCATTTGACGCAAGACACGTTTGTCAGTCTTTCCGTTTCTGACAAAAAGAAAAACAGCGGGTTAGAGGTCAATACTCGAAGAGGATGAAAGCGAACATACGCTGTCTTGGGGAATTCATCCATAGTGAGGAATCTCGTTGGAACGGCGTAGTAGGGTTGGACCTTGAGTGCGGCTGCTTTAGCACTCTCGACGTCGAGAGAAGAGGGAGTGGCGAACCCCCACAGTTCCTCGTCGATAAGGAGAGCGGTAGCCACCTGAACTCCCGGACAGGACTATCCAACAACGGTCAGCAAACCACCAACCGCCCAAATAAAAAAGGTATCCCACCTCGATAGCAGCAGCAACGCCATCCAGTTCCACCCGGAACCCCTTGACCTTGACTTGATTGTCGATCCTCCCAAGAGGGATCAGGGTGCCATTCATATGCCATCGTCTATAAGTTCGTTTAGCTAGCCGTTTCGTAAGGCAAAGTCGAGAGCCTACCCCAGGTCACCGGTATTGAACATCATCGAACTAGAGGATTCATGATTTAGTCGATGATTTTCTGAGTAAAAAGCGCATGGCGACGTACCCATCATTCGCAAATGGGTCGGGGATGTAACGTTCAGCGGTCTTGTCAGGTAAATTGAGGTAGCCTTTGGTGACGCAAGCACCGCCAGCCCACATCAGCCCGGGTTCGCCGATTGGGACAGGAGACATATTCTCATCGAGAACATAAACAGAGTTGTTGGGAGTTGGACCCCCGATGGTGATTGTGTCGCCTGGGGTGTGATGTTGCATGGTATTCACAATTGTGACCTCAGTAGGGCCACAGCAATTGTAGAAATTGACATGTGCGCCCCAAGAATCAGCGGTGGCTAAAGGCGGGTGGATGAGCTCGCAATGGAGGTCAACGGAGGCGATACTAGATCTTACCTTTTGGGCAGGGCTCGCCGGCAACTGCGACGGTCTTGAGGTTGGGATAATCAGCGGGTTTATGAGGTGTCAGCATCGATGGGGTGGAGATCAATATGTCAACAGATCTCATAACGGCCCTCCATTCTTTGGATGTCTTTCCTCGAAGGCAGAGGGTAGCGCCGTTCATCATGGCGCCCAAAATTTCCTAATGTACATGATTAGTGCAATCCGCAGTCGAAATACAAGCAAAACTCACCCATGCCGCAAGGTCGAACGAGATGTTCATAATTTGAGCAACCCTCATACCGGGCTTCATGCCCAGATTTCCCGGGGCAAGACATAATACTTCAACAACGCGAAATTAGACATGAACTCGACACAACCGTAGTGGCAGAAGGAGACTTACGGTTCGTGACATTGCCGTGGGTAACATCAACACCTTTGGGCGTGCCGGTAGTACCTGATCAATGACGTCAATCAAAGTTGGGGTGTCGAAGCGCCCACAAAACTCACCACTGGTATAAACGATGTAGACAGAATCGGACTTGGTGGCAGAGTCTTGAGGTTTGATGCAGTGACCAGGGTCGTAGTCACTGCACAGAACGTCGTCCAAGTAGACGACCTTTGACGACGTGTCCGCAAGGCGGTGTTGGAACTTGCGAAGGGTGAGAACGACCGTTGGGGTCGAGTCGCGAATGGCGTGATGGAGGGTACCATCGGAGACGACATTACCGTCAAGGGGAACGTAGGATGCACCCGCTTTGACGATACCCAGGATACCGACGACAAGTCGTGGAGTTCGCTCGACGAGGAGGCAAACACGCGAGCCAACGTCGACGCCCAAACCACGGAGGTGAGTGGCAAGGCAATTAGCCCGGTTGTCGAGCTCCCGGTAGGAGATCTTGGTGTCGAACTCCTCGAGTGCAGTGAGGTGGGGGTTGGCTTGGGCATGGTGTTCGAATGCATGGTGAACGCATTCGAAAGGGACGACAGTCCGGGGTCCTCGTCCGTACTCCCAGAAGCGGTGTTGGTCGATTTCAGAGAGTTGAGAGAGGAGAGGGTGACCGGTCATGTTGTGCTAAATGTTGAGTCGAGAAACGACGATAGTGTCCAATGCAGGAGAGTGCTACACCTTATATACCAGAGCCGTCGTTGCATCGAGCATTTCTGGATTTTTGTCCATGAGATTAGCAGTGAGAATGCGGGATATAGAATAGGAAAGTCTGTCACAAAGAAGTAAGCGCCCTGAGCCTAGGTTAAGCTATGAGAGCATAATTATCCGAAGATCTACAAGTATAGATACCAATTCTGTGTTTCGAGTTCTCATACTGAGTGGGAGAGAGATCCTTAGTGGAGTTATCGGAGAGACATCTCGACTCGGATGTAGACGCAAGTGCACAAACCTTCGAGAGGAAGGCAAAAGAAGTGTCAGGTGGGGGTCTCGAAGGAGCCATGACATATGATGGATGTAGCGAGAGTAGACGTTTGATACATGTACTCACAAATCGTGATTCGTAGCGACGACCGATGCAAGGTGATTGCAGTTAGCGCTTCTCCGCCATTCGAAGCGCCAGGCTGCCGTGTCTAAGTGCCACGGGCTACTGTGACAAGTTAGAACTCCCTCGCTTCAACTCTAATTGAACCTCTACATGGACTTGCTTGATACGGAGCGGACCTTGTTGAAGGGTTGTAATTTATTGAAGACGACGATCTTCGGCGTTTCTGACCTCGCGCCCATTCAATCCCGTGTTCAGTGGGCCTCGTGTTAATTTGGACTTTTAGCCTGTTTGGGTGTAAGTTTCCCGCCTCGTTCCGTCCTACAGCGGTGCGAAATTCTTCTTACCGGGCGATATCCTATTTACTCCCATGGTTAGCTTCGAATGCAGCTTTGACCTGTCGGGTCTCGAATGGGGCGAAAGGTAGCGCGAATGACGGCTTCTTAACAGAAACGGTTTCCTAAAAAGTCGCCCCGATCCGCATGGCTCCCCGAGTTCTTCTGAAGTGCTCTTTGATGAGAGGACAAGGGCACGGCCCCATAACACCGCTCCGAGCGGCACGTTGGGTTCAATGTTTTGGATGGCTTCTGTGTTGAAAGGGCTCAAATATCTCTAGCTACCAGCTCCTCGTCATCTCCATTGTCCCTAGGTGCTGGCACTGGAGCGCGCCTGATGGCAGCGATCCTATTGATCCGGTGGGAGGTTTCTTGGAATCGAAAAGAGGCCTGTCTTGCGTCGGTAACAAAACGAAGCACCCGAACCCGAATGGACCTAGTAGTGGATTCGGGGTGAGAGATTCCTGGCCGGGGAAGGCGGGGCTTATACCCGTTGGGAGGCGGTTGACCCCAGGACATGAGCAGGTTCCCCGTGTGAAACTTCGTATTGGCGCCTATCCTGCCACAAAGCGCGGGAAACTTTGCGTCACAGCATTGCTTTGTCAGCAATCCAGCCAAGCATTTCGAGCGGCGACGAAATGAAGTGATTCCAGTCTGCGGTGGGTCTCAACAAAAATCTTAAATCCAATTTATATTTCTGCCGCCTTCATAACCGTTGAAATGGCTTCATTTATCGCGTAAACGCCTTCACAACGATGTCGAAAGACTTTGACAACACCGAAGACGGCGCCGCAGGTCTTTGTCTCACCATCAAGTATTGTTGTTGGCAGAACAGGGAAGACCCACAGAACGGGTTCAACGTTGGCCTAGGAATCGCAAAACTCTAGGAATACCACCACCAAACGACGAGGAAGATGGCGCCCTCGCAGCCCATGCCGCTTCCTGAGCCTATGAACGCAACCCCACACCACTCAAAGGTCAAGGTCTCGATAACACTAGCCGACCCCATTTTCGTTGCGGGGGACTATGTTGCAGGAAAGATGGAGTTGGAATGCAGGGCTGATAAAGGGTTGGGCGTTGGCGTTATTCTCGTCGAGCTGTTTGCAATCCAAGGTCAGTGGCAGTCGAGCAGCCCTGTTCCTGAGCTAACTTGGTTGCAGAACTGAATTCTCGAGATCACTCGGCTACTTCGACTTTCCTACACAGCCGACGTCTGTTCCAAGGGCCAGGCCTGCCACCGTCGAATGCTGTCCATGCGCATCCTCAGCCAGGTTACCCCGTACTACCCCCAACCTACTACCAAGCTCGACGAGGCCTGTCTACATTCTTGTTCCGGATCCCCATTCCAGAAACTTCGCCATCATCCATCATCTTTGGCTCAGGTTTGGGCAGAGTACGCTATGAGCTCCGTGCAAGCGTTGGCGTGGTATGGAAGGGAGAGCGTAGGCTCGTTATCGACACCCAGTCGCTCGACGTCGTCTCAGCTTTCCCTCATGAACTCATTGGCGTCAAGGAGCCGGAAGCAGTCATCATTGGCGAGAATGGAAAGCTATGGATGCAGGGGAAGTTGGTTGGACCAGTCATCATCGCAGGGGAGAGCGCGTGTATTGAGTTACAAGTGAAGAATCACTCTAATAAGAAGGTTCGTACGATAAGCAATTCTAACGAACTACTCTGACCTTCCCTCGGATAGAACACTGGTTTATCCTTGTCTTTGAACCGGACGTTGGTTCTTCCTGGCAGCATAGGTGTTGGGAAACAGGCCATGGAACTGACGGATACACTCACTCATGTTCCTTTCCGTGGTGCGGAATACATCATTCCCCCAGGTGCAGAGGGTGTGGCCCACCTCGTTTTCGATGTGCCAAAGCAGTCAAGAGGGGTCAGGGGCGGTATTCTTGATGGCGATGACACTGACCCACCTCGAAGCACTGAATCCCTCTTCGAAATCCGTTGTTCCGTTGACGTCAAGATGTCAATGGGGTTCGGAAAGTGAGTTGCTGATGCGCCTGGGTCAGACTTCCCTCTCTAACCTTTCTTGTAGTAAGGACCTTGTCCTTAGCATCCCAGTCACAATTGTACACCCAAGGGCTGTACCGCCGAACTTGCCCCTCCATTCACAGCCTATGCCTGTTATTCCCTATCCACCACCTCAGAACGTTTATGCCAATGTTGCACCAGTCTACCCACCGCCACATCCTATGACACCGCCAGTCCATTCATTACCTCCATTCCTGGTCGATCATCAACAGAATCAAGTCTGGTTGCCCCCACCTACGCCTATACCCTTTCAAGGATATGCAGCCTACTCGCCACAACATCATCCTCACCAATACCTTGTATCTCCTGCACCGCAAGCCGTTCTGGTCCCGCCAAGCCACTACGGGCCATGCATCGCTCGACCAGTGAGCGCCGGAGGAAACGTTTCTGTTCCCGATCCATACATGCTCCCAGCCTCCGGTCTCCCACTTACCTATACCGGTAATGCAGCAGTCAATGGGCTCCCTTCCCCTACTGGTGCTGGTAACACCAGCATACACATGGATGCTGAAGAAGGGAAGGGTCAACGTGCTTCTAGGATTGCCCACCACCTGCGAATGTCCTCACGGACACGTTCGGTCTCGCCACAATCCCACCGATTCCCGCTTGGGGCGCCAGTTATCGATTCTTTCGAACCATCGACGCCATTGCAAGACCCTGTATCCGGGCGTCTACGTCAACTTCCTCAACCGCCCAGGACTTCATCTGAGGTCGCTTTAGACAGGGTGGCCAACTTATCGCTGTCCCCACCTCAGCGGCACGTCCACACCATGGTTCACTCGCCCCGACCCCAGCTTACCCCGAAGCATTCCTTCTACAACGAACGTCCGAAGAGCGAGAGGGTGGAAGTATTAGAGAGGATGGCCGATGTTGTTGCTGCACAGCTCAATGATCTTTCTGGTGACATTCCCAAGGACGACGTGATTCATGCCGCCATGCCTGGTCCTGATGGAAAGGACAAATCAAAGGAGGCGGAGCTCAACAAGACCCTACCAGCTCCTCCAGTTCCTAGCCAGAAGCCTACCGCTGTCGCGTCCCCGCCAACTCGAGCGCCTTTGGATAGTCTCTTCGAAGATCCTAAACCCAAGTCTGCTCCGCTCCTAGAGCCCTCTGATAAGGCCCCGCCCACGCCGACTCTAACTGCAATATTACCCAAGCGAGTTCCTCGGAGTAACATCAACGACTTCCTCGCTCCCGACAACAGGGAAAGCGGTTTGGACGCTCTGGAAAGGCGGCTGCTCGCAGAAGTTGGGACACGGAAATTCGACGAGATGAATCCTCACAAGGGCGACGACAAGCGACCAGGCATTCGCGATATCATGGGTGTTGGGCCAATCGATATCCCCGTCAAGGCCAAGAGCCCTGAACCCTTGAACGACTCGGCCATTTCGAGCTTGACGCTGGCTAACGACCATCGGTCCGCTGATGGTGACAATGACGCTGCGGCGGAACAGGATGACAAGGCTGATTCGGATTTGGATGTAGAAGCCAAGACGCATAGGGGGGCGAGGTCGAGGAGCGTCTCTGGGGACGAGCGGGGGAAGACGATGAAGAGGGTACCGGTGGAGAAGGTTCATCTCGAGGACGATGCTCTTTGGGGTGTTCGAAGTATCCACCGGCGTGAGGAAGCGGATACGGCTCCGGCTGCGTCGACGCCAACCAAGCTGTCTGCTGGGAGTGGGAAGAGCAAGGACAAGGACAGGGAGAAGAAGGCCTCGGGGAGGAAGAAAGATCGGGCCACCAAGGAGGAGAGGGCGAGGACAAAGACAGAGGCGAAGGGTCGTGTTGCAGCCTGGCTTGGTGGCATTGTGCCTGACGAACCGCCTCAGGAGGAAAGCATTCCTCCAAGTCCCAGCATCGCTCGGCGACCTGATTCAGTCTTGCGGGAAGCCAAATCGACTGAGTTGCTTCCCAATGAGGACAACGGCAAGGCATTTGCTGGTCTACCATCGCCAACTCTTCCACCCGTGTCTGCTGGTCAGGATGGCGCGCTCAAGGAGAAAGATGTTTCCTCCGCTCCTAACCCGCGTTCGTCTGGATTCATGCCGATGCACACACTGAAACGGCAGCAACCTGTGATAGAGAGGGAGATGGCAGCTGTCGAGGAGGCGAAGAAGGTGGCTGACATTTGGGGTGAATCTTTGGGGACGAATGATCGCACTCCTGTTCCTCCATCCAAACCTGCTCTACCGCCTAAACCTCTTGTGTCACTACCTCCTAAAGTGGTTCCTCAGTCTGTGCGGACTGACAGACGGGTATCTCCGCCTTCCAGGAAGCCCGAGTTCGCGTCCGACAAGTCCATAGCCAGGGACGAAAGCAAGCCCTTGAACGATGTGGCGCCCAGGAACGGCTGGAAACTTCCCGATCCGACACCAGCTGTCAATACGGCTGCGACCACAAAGGCTAAAGCTACTTCGCCGCCACCTCCGCCTGCCAAACCCACTAACATTAACGTCACGCGAAAGCCATCTGCTCGATTACCTCAATTCCCGCCTTTGCCTGCCCGTAAACCTGATCCGGAGGTTTCTTATGATGTTCGGTCTGCACGTGGGGGACGAGGGGGGCAGGTTACATCTGTTGCTGCTTTGTGGGCTTCGGTTGCAGCCAACAACGGTGCTGCAAGTGGACCTCCCATCAAGCCGAAACCTGATGCCCTTGGTGGAAAACGCCTGTCGTCTGACCCTAGCCGTAAACCAGCATCAACGACTGGACAGCAACCTCCCCGTCTTCCTGGCAAGATCGCCTTACCGGGACTAGCAAAGGCCGATTCGTCTGCTTCGACAGATGCGAAGTCTCCACCGGTGCTTAAGCGACAAGTCTCTGCGCCCAAGCCTACGGTTCCGTCTGATGAACCATCTTCCAAGGCAGGACCTATACCCGTGTCAAAGGTGGCTTCTTCATCGGCGGTGAAGGTCGAGTCGTCATCAGGGGGACCTACCATCCCTTCACGCAGCAAGTCTACAGAATTCACCAGGAATCCTCCGACACGAGGGCTTTTCACGGGAGATCTCAAATCTCGAACCCCGGGTAAAACCACGCCCAACAATCTTTCAACGCCTTCAGCAGGCGGCTCATCGGAACCAAGGCTGTTGGTGGCAGCAGTTGGAGGTGCAGGGCCGAAGACCAACGCGAAACCTATCATCAAGTCTACATCCGTCCCTGCCGTGATTTCCTCTTCGCATGCTGTCCCTGTTCTATCTTCGACGGCTTCATTAGCACGTCCTGCTGCGACACCCCGTCTTACGGCAGGCGTAGCCAATCGGTCCCCAGATAAACCGAAGACAGATCGAACAGCGGTGATACCGTCAATAGTCACTGCCAAGTTGGGGTCGGTACCTGCACCATCCCATTCGTCGAGTGCGGCGCCCAAGTCACCACCACCTGACCTTGCGTTTGGGCAAGCGCGACTGAGGGATCTGATCAAGAAGTATCAATCGCAAGCGACCTGACCTGACCGTTTATGTTGGGGATAATTTCCTTGACTCCTGTTGTTATGATGTGACGACCCTGTTTCTGGATTTCTGATATTCGACGTTTGTTTCTCAAGTGACTTCAATACACTTGTCCCTTGTGTCGCCTTTAACCTATTTATAGTACTTGCTTATCTCCGTTTTGTTTTTTCTCTCTTCGTTTATTGCACGAACTAACATCTACGTATTTATCCTCTCACGTATTCTCGGTTTCTTATTCGTTTGCCTTTTGATCCCGTTTGTTGCTTGTATTTGCCTGTATCTCTTGCTGTTACGACCTCTCACGACCCATGAAGTAATGTATTCCTATCATTGTAGTATTTAGTTTCTGATGCACATGCGTTCTTATGCTAAGTCTATGCCGACGGTTGTACTCGCGCTCCTGAGGGGCCTCGAGATAGGGATAGTGAAGAAGCGTGAAGAAGCGAAGAATATGCGTGTTCAACACTGGGGATCTAAGTAGTATACAACGTGAACAGGTACTAAAGGAGTAGTAAGATCTAGTAATACAACAGAGAGTCCATCCATATAAACTCGACGACTAGAAGGGGAATGATTAGATATGTCGTGTATAGATAGTGGAAGTTGTCCTTAGATAGCGGAGGATGGATGGGGATACATAACAAAAAACATAAGGCATAAGTACGATCTTGAAGAATACCCGATGAGCGGCGCAAGGGTAAAGCGTCAGGCGACATGAGCGCCTGGTGTAAAAGTCGTAGGATGTGGTGATACAATCAAGCATCGACCACGTTAAGGAGGTCATTATGGAACTGCCTCCAATCAATGCAAGCGGCATCGTCCCTCGTCTCGTAATCGTCGAACACCTCGTCGTCCACAAACGAAGATGATCGAGGGTGGGGATAGGGAAGGACAAGGCCGCCAGCAGGCTCGAGCTCCTCTTCTTCCAAGATCCAGAAATCAGATTTCTCCTGTATGTGCACCCCTCCGACGTCACGGCGCGCAGTGTTGGCGCCGGTGCCGTTGTTGCCAGTGCTCACCTGGAGAGATGATCTCTGAGAACGTGGAGGGAGTGTTGGCATGGCTGTGATGAGATGCACCAGCGAGCGCGCGGAGGAGGAGTTGGAAGTGGAGTTGGAGTTGTTCGAGGTGCCGGTCGTTGTGGTCGACATTGATAGGAACGAGTCGCGTTTGGGAGTATGGCGCGGTGAGCTATTGCTGTCCGAGAGATCGATGAACCATGACTTTGAATCTGGAGAAGAATCAAAGGGGTCCAGGGATGCGGGTATCCGTGACCTTGCAGTTGTATCAGGGCTATTTGCGGAAAGAGAAATAAGAAACCAGTGCATCAGATATGATAAACATCCATAGTACATCTGGCACAGGACGTACCCTCCATTAGGCGCAGAAGGAGTTAGAGAAGAACTCCCAGCAGAGATCCACTGAGCATCTTTCGGTGGGGAGCGTGAAGCGGACAAGGTTCTCGTGATGGAGAATCTGCGTTTTGTTTTGAGTACGGGAGCGGAAGATGATGATGTCGAAGCCGAAGGGACTGCATTGCTGCTGCTGGTGAAGGATATCCGGTCCAAGAAACGGCTCGATAACGATGCGAAGATTCGTCGACCGGAAGCGCTTGATGTACTTCGCTTGTGAGATGGTGGCACAGCCGAGGCAGGGCTAGTGGTCCTAGTAGGCATGGTGGCGAACATTGACAGGGGTCGGCGTCTAGTTGGTCGTGGCGGTGAGGAGTTGTGGGAGTCTGCGGGGAGGTTCAGGTTGACGACGACAGAGATTGACGAGTCCGACTCTGAAGTGAACGAAGTCGTGGGCGTCGCGATGAGGGAGGTAGGCCGTCGAGAACGACGCTGTTGCACGACGGGGACGCTGTAGCCGCTAGAGACTGCACGGAATCCAGAGGCAAAGAAATCCGAGTATCCTTTTAAACCACCGTTCACCGACGGAGTGGATGCTGGGGAAGCGAAGAATGCCATCCTTGAATCCTGAAATGGTTAGGAATTGGAAAAAAAGATGATGTGGGAGGGGATGGGATGTCGGCGGTGGAAGGACAGTGGGAGAGTCCAAGGGAGATGACTGCTGACTGCAGCTTGGAGAGGAGACCAAGGGGTCTCATGAATGGTTAGCAACACTTAAGTATAGATGGTGATATGGCGGAGGGAGTACGGAAAAGGACGAGATCAGATTGGTGGCGGTGACGTCGTCTATTACCCGTTATTGTTGCTTACAGCTGCCATGGTGCCGGAAGCTGATGTCTGAGCCAGGAGGAGGAGGCGGCTATGGGGCCTGGGTTTTTCCGGAATCTAAGCGGCGGGGGGAGTAGATTTAGTGGACGACCTGGGCTAATGGGTCTATGGACCGTGGTTCGAGGTCCTCCCCAGCGCTCTTACTGCTCCTTGCGGAACGACATGTGGCTTGAAGGTGGAGGTGGATCCCCGTAAAGCTATGCCTGTAACCTGAATACCCCTGGCCTATGGCCGGAACGCCCCGCTAGTGAGGGCCTATCTCGAGTCTTGACCCTGCCCGGCGTTCCAACATGAATATCAATAATTCAATACACAGTTCATAAATAGAATGAACGGCTTATCTCGTTTCCTTCGGGGCCCTAAGATAACCTCCATACCACTTACCCCTCGAGAAGACGTTTCAATGCGAAGGCAACGCCACGGGATTTATAAATTCAATATTTTGAATAGTAGGCGAGGTAGTTGAGGTCATACATTACCATTATGTGGAAACTTGTTGCATGGAGGGGAGTCTACGTGACTATGATAAACTCGGTTTTTTTCCTGTGGCTCGGTCAGCGCGTTGAAAGGGCAACCGCGAGAGTAAAGGGATATACTGGGGAAAGTTCATCGATGATAATGATACCCTATCCGGGGAGGAGGGTTCCCGTCTTCCTGGGCGCCCATTCCACACCTCAGAAAGAAAAAAGAGGAGATGTAGGGTGACCCTGCAAACGAATCAACGTTGCAGCTTAGTAAGAGTCGAAGGGTAACGTACGGCCAACAGGATCCAGCCGAGAGATTCGACGCCACCAAAAGATTTACACTCGTATCGTGAACGCCCCCTGTCAAATCTAGAAGTTCGAAGGCCATCCAGAACTTCTGGACAACGGTCTCTGTACGTTTAGAGTTCTCGTAGTCATCCTCAAGACCTGAGAGTCGCTGAAAAGATGGACCCTTTTCGCTCGGGACTCCTTGCGATTTGCGATGAGCGAAATTAGGTTTCGGAGTCTTTAGGAAACGGTACAAGTTGAGCGCTCAGCACGCACCAAAAGGAATCAGGATTCGAATGCGTCCACAGTACAGGTATGTAATCTGTTGGAAGAAGTGACAGACTTGGGCAGCGATCGTGATGTTCTCCACAACATGGGTTGTCCCATCGCAAAACCTGGTTCCTGGGCAGCGAAAACGATGAACCGGACAAGGGCGTCTAAAGATGATGAAAAGAGCTGAGGAGTCATCGTGACCAAGCGCTGACATTGCTATGCATACCGTTACGACAAATTGATCTGTGTATATCCCTAGAGCGAAGATGAGTACCAGGAATGACAGGTGATGCAAACTGCTTCTACACCGTGTCCTAGACCGGTACAAGATGGGCGGTACCGTCCTATGGGGCAAGGAAGACAGAATTAGGCGCCCATAGTGGAGCTGGGTTGCACGAACGTGCAGGTATGCGCCGTGCCTGGCGGAGAGAAGGAGACCAAATCCGAGTTTCAAAGACGACCCCATGATGATGCGGCGACTTGGCGAGATATAACCGTAGTCGTTACCTGGGGCGGGGTATTCACCGTTGATCGTGGGTGTATTAGGAACGGCGAGAAAGGATCGTCTGAACAAGAATCACAATGTCCTGATTCCGTCAAGAGCGTTTCTTCAAAAACCGAGCCGCCGAGTAGGTGAAACTCGGGTACTAGGCGATGCCAAAATTTGGTTCTGGAAGCCTCGGCCAGATTCTAATGATATGGAAAGGGACAATTCCCGCTGTCGAACGGAAATAATCACTGAAACGAAGATAGAGACTTGGGGTTAGATATCATCACGAAGATTACGAAGGACGGAAAGAAGATACTCACCACATGCTGGCAAAGGTTCTGTTGGTGCTGGTGATCACAGCTGAAAATTAACGCGAAGAAAAATCACGGAAACGAGTTGGAGAACCGATCAGAAACTCTAAGAAGAAACGTCGGTGATGATCTTCAGCTTATCCTTGTCTGAATCAAAGATGGGACATTGGGATGGACAATTGGACAGGTGACAAGAGTCGAGTGGGTCCAGCAAGAAAGGCATAGCAGTCATAGGATCATTCCTACAAGGCAGGCATCGCGAGCTTCGTCTGTACATGATGAAATCATGAACGAATAGTTGGTCATGAACGACTGTAGGGACAAACTCATACCAGCCACCGCCACCACTCCAACATCTGACTGACTGTGACATTACAAGGGTGGGATAATCTTTATATCAGCACTTGTGGACGAGAAAGCTATCGACTAACTGGTCGGCGGTGAACGGCGAAGCTTTCGCTCTGAATGAGACCCACACGGTCTCGAGCTGAGGTGATGGTCACCTCATTCCTAAGCCTGTCCAATGGTTTTAGCCAACGTTCCTATGAGTTGGGTGGAGATTCGTACCAGTAGTTTAGCTTTTACCCTGCTTTGCTTTCCATTCTTCGTGCTGAGCCGCAGCACGAGCCAGTCTATCCTTCTGCGCGTCCGCAATGATTCGCCTTTGGTTAAAGTACTCAATCTGGATCCGAGTCAGAGGAGTTTCAATATTGGATAGCAACGCTACACACCCAGCTCTTCGCGCAATTCTCGTGGTAGGCTTTATTCTCCGAGGCGCACGCGTTGCCCTCTTCACCGGCTTTCACGACGCCCTGGCGATCCAAACAAGCAAAGTACGCGTCTCGGGCGTCCCAACATTGTTGCCTGTTCTGGCGCGTCGTCGTCGCTTCCTGTTCAGTACTTTTAGAGCTCGAGAACCATCCCATGGCCGTTGGTCGTGGTCGATGACGATGTCGTAGTCGCTGTCGCGGTCAACACCGGAAACGTCGACGTCGATGCCGTCAGAGTTGCAGGAAAATGCTGGAAATTACGTAAGTAAATAGGAATATTTCCCCAGTCCGCACCCGCGACGCCGCGATCTCCTTGTCGCCGTCATCACCGCCCCTGGCATCGAGCTCGCCTATATTTCCACATTCTTTACTTTCTCCCTCGACATCCGGAAATTTAGACACTATTGTGGTATTGTGACTTTTCAGAAATTTATTATTCTGGTGTGCTGACGCTCTGAAATAAGCTTACATCGACACGAGGCACAAACGTCATTCGCGACGCGAGCATGGTTTGAATTGGATTCTTGGATTCTAATATTCAACAATGGCGTCGACGCATCTGACGACCCCGGTGCACTCTCACCCCCTGTCTCCAGACGAAGCACCACCGTCCACAAGAGGTCGACGAACTCGCGGTAGTCAAGGTCCAGGGAGCGAACCCAGGCCAGCCTCCAACTATTTCACCCTCAAAGCACAGCTAGAGCAGGACTCTCACTCCCCTCGCCAGTCCAACTGGGATGGAAGTGTACGGGGATATGGAAAGGCGGACAAAAATAAGACTGTGGATGCGCGGGGAGCTTTGAGCGCTCTGGCCGCTCAGACGCTGGGCTCGCCGTCCAGGACGAAGACGGCGCCGCTGCTCACGCCCAACGCGGACGCAGTGAGCTCCCTGGTGGCCCCAAAGATCAAGCTTACCCCACACCCGGACTTAACGACGACCCCAGAGTTCGACCCAGAATATATTGGTCATGACGTCGTGAGCAGGATCACGGATACCAAATGGCACGAATATTCGGACGACGAGATCCGGTCGACGATACGGAATACAGTCCACACGGATAGCGAATCACCCGAGGCACCATACTATACCACTATTCGGGCCCTCTCCTCAGCATACCACACACTGTGTCGAGCCCACCTCGAATTAGAAGAAACGCGACGGCTCATCAACGAGAAAGAGGCGGCGAGGCGCAAACGAGGCGAAGCTTTATTGAACGAACTTCAACCTTCCGAGAAAGACATCGCCAGACGCGTATTCCAATCTATATTCACCGACGATGACGAAGTACAGCATCAAGTGAAAAGGAAGCAAAGCGTCAGGGTAAGAACTACATCCACTTGGCGATTGGCAGACGCTCATTCCCCTTCTAGTCCCTTTCCGAATCCTTGGTCGAGGCCATGGCAGACGACGGGCATCTATCCAGAAGTATACCCGAATCCAGCATTTTAGCTCCCATGCCGGAGGAATCACCCACCGAGGAAGATACTTCGCCCGATTTCTCAGAAATTGCGACACAACCCGACAAGCGCAGCGTGAATGAGTCGGTGCACGCACTAGATAGTACACAAGACGTCAAGACACCGACAGCTGGGAAGGCTCGACCTGAACGCCCTGTATTTGGAGACTGGATGGGCACCTGGTGGGGTAAAGGTAGAGGACGCAACGCTCGGCCACCTCTGATGACCAAAGAGGGATCAGTACCCGTTTCTACGCGTTCAGACCCGCTTCCCACCACTTCTCAGACTGTGAAGCCACCGCAACCGCGCCGCAAAACAGCGAAGAGCGTTTTCGGTACTTTAGGCATCTCGATTTTGAACCCTTCCTTACCGTCTTCTTCCAGTCGGCCAACCATCGTTTCGGAACCCATATCGACCACCGTTTCAGAAACCGCGTCGTTGAGCTCGGATGCTGCCTTGGTCAATGGGGCACCATCTGCCATCTCGTCGCCTATTCAACCAGCATTCCAACCGCTACCTGCCGCGCCTCTGATTACAACGACGATGGATACCCCATCATTGTATGAAGATACAAGCAAAGCAGCGTCACTATCCGACAGTCAACAAACAGGGCCACCACCGCAAGGGTCCTCTCTCCGGGCCATAACCAATGCAATGCGCGTCATGACATCCGACCCCAACAGCATTCTAGCAGATCAAGGCAAGGAGACCAGCCAAATGATTGGCCAACTCGCCCTGGAACTGGTCAAGAATGCTCGAGATCAAGGTGTTTCTGAGCGACATCCCAGGGAACGCAAGGAGAAGCCTGTAGAATCTGCCCCGGACACCCCTTCCGCAGTCCTCAGTTCCAGCCATGCAGTCGACGCGGCGTCGGTGCTCAATCGAACTCTTTCCCGGGAAGCTGACGTGAAACGAAAGAAGCGGGGCCCCTCGATGATGATCACTCAACCCTTTGTTTCTCCTTTGTTCGGTAGTCTACTTGGACAACAGTCGAAGAAGCCTTTGCATGCTCCGGACAAAGTTGCGGGAGGGAACTCCCAGGATGCGAATCATTCGAAATCAGGTTCGGGTGCACCTCCAGCGGCGGTACCTGCGACTGCGAAACCTCCATCTCGATCCGTCCCTCTCGAGTCGATCATCCCAGCAATGGAGAAACCTCCGACACACTACCTATCCCGCACCTATACGCCTTTAACGGCGCGCGACTTCCGCTTTACGATTCCACTACCTAATTCCGCTTCACGATTCACGATCTATCACGACGACCAACATCAGCGCCCTCTAACCGACCGATTTGGTTTCATGTACGACGTCTCTCAGTACGACTTTTTGCTTCTTCTTCGAGCCAAGGAGTGCAAGAATACTGCTCCCGCGTGTTTAACGGGGGTGAAGATTGCGGATAGGGAGGAGAATAATACGTGGCCGGATGAAGAAGATGATGAAGAGGAGAGTTCCAAGTTGACGATTGATATCGTGAAGGGGCCTTGTAGCTGTGGCGGCGACCAGGAGGTTGCAGCGAGTTTGGGGAGCAGGCATGAGTCGTCGACGTCTCCCGTTCCGGATACGGTGTCGATGATCAGCAACAAGTCGCGGTCTTCTTCGAAGAGCAGGAAGCGCGCTTCGACGGTTATGTCGAGTGCGGTACCTTCGTCCATGGCTACCTCTACCACCTCCATCCTATCCGTCACGTACGGTACCCCTCGTCATGCGTGTGCCAGCACTGTCCGACGCCTCCTCGACGAGCTCACCGAGATCCATGATGAGCGACAAGAATCCCAGCGCAAAGAATGGGATATCTTTGTTCGCCAGCGGAGTAGAGCCAAGTCTGTGAAACCGAGCTCTGCAGCTGCTGGTACTGGTGGTGTAGCATCTTCGGTTCCCACTGGCGCAGCAGCGATCCTCGGTCTCGGAACAGCAGACGAAGAAGACGAGCTGGCGCACAGCGAAGGGCTCATCGGGTTCGCACAACTGGGGCTCACCTCCAACCGCGACCAACGGCGTGAATTCGATCGTTTGATTCGGAGCGGTATACCCCTAGTCTATCGAGCCAAGGTGTGGATGGAGTGTAGTGGTGCGTTGGAGATGGAGGAGCCTGGGTTGTTCCAGGATTTGTTGTCGCAGCCTGCGGATGGGCCGAATGGTGCCGTTGTGGTTGAGATTGATAAGGATGTGGGGAGGACGATGCCGTTGAATATCTTCTTTGGTGGGGATGGAGCTGGGGTTGTCAAGTTGAGGAGGGTGTTGATTGCGTATAGCCGGTTAGTGTTTACATATCCCTCTTCGATTGATCTTGTTGGGTGCTCATTTTTGGTCATTTGGATCGCGTTTCAGGCGGAACCCGGCGGTGGGGTATTGTCAAGGGATGAACCTTGTTACATCTACTCTGCTCCTTGTGCATGCGGATGAGGAACAGGCGTTCTGGATGCTCGCGGCTATAGTGGAGCGTCTGCTTCCCGAAGACTTTTTCTCGCCCTCGCTCCTCCCCTCGCGCGCCTGCCCGCTCGTCCTGCTCGACTACGTCCAACAGCACCTCCCCAAACTCCACGCCCATCTCGCTGAACTGGGCGTCGACCTCGGAGCGATATGCTTCTCGTGGTTCCTCTCGTTGTTCACTGATTGTTTGCCCGTGGAGACTCTTTTCAGGGTGTGGGATGTGTTTTTGGTGGATGGGTTGGATGTGTTGTTTAGGATTGCGTTGGCGATTTTGAAGGGGAATGAGGGGGAGTTGTTGCAGTGTCGTTCGATACCTGCTGTCTATGTTGCTTTGGAGAATTTGCCGACGAGGATGTGGGAGGCGGATAAGTTGTTGCAGGTGCGTTGTCGTCTTTTTTTGACAGGGTGGTATTATTTTTTCGCCTTTTGCTGATTTGATTTGATTTCTCGTTGTGGTAGATGGAAGCGGACCTTCGGGCGACACTCGTCCACTCGGACATTGCTAGTAAACACAAACACCATGTTTCGGCTCTCAGTCAACTTGTTACCTAGATTTCTTACCCTTCGTTACACTTGGGCTCGTACTAAGGACTCGCTTTGCAGTCGTGCGTTTACGTTTTTGAACTTGTTTTTCTGTTCCTTTTTGAGTTCGTTTTGTTTTTTGCTGTGTCTTTCTAGCGCTAGATTGGATGTGTATCATTATATTATTATATAGCTAGTTTAACGAAGGAGATGGGATTTTTGATGGGGGTTTTGGGGGCGTTGAGAAGGGGACTTCAGAGCACGTAGCCTGCGACTTGGGCGCTTGACGTGCCAGACGGTGGCAAATCGCATTGATAGTTGCTCGCGTGGTCGGGTCGCACGTGCCGATCACGGCAGTAATAGAAATCTCCGGGGAATTCGCCGCGATTTGATGGACACGTCGCCTTCCACCTAACTCATCCATCTTAAGCAACCTTCCAGTGCGAGTGAAAGCAAAGGCTAATTCTCGCCCTTTTTCATCCAACCCCAACCGACGATGGGCGGGCTCGCTCTTTTCCTCGCAAAGCTCGAGGACGCAATCCCAGCGTCCTTGACAAAGTTCGATGCCTTCCCCAAGCTCCCCTCCACCTACAAAGCCCGCTCAGAATCTAGAGGATTCTTGATGGTTTTTGTTATTATTCTCGCTTTTTTGCTCATGTTGAACGATATTGGAGAGTTTATTTGGGGCTGGCCTGACTTCGAGTTTGGTGTGGACAATGATAAGGGCAGTACCCTCCCAATCAACTTGGATATGACCGTGAATATGCCCTGCAAGTGTGAGTGCCAACTTTTTTTATCTTGGTGTTTGTGGATCTGACTTGTGTGTCCATAGATCTCACTGTCGATTTGCGAGACGCGATGGGAGATCGTCTGTTCTTGAGCAATGGGTTCCGCAGAGATGGCGTAAGTAATAGCCCTCTAAACGCAACTTAAGCGCTAATTAGGGCATCGCAGACTATTTTCGACGTTGGTCAGGCTACCGCTTTGAAGTGAGCCCATGGCCAAATATCCCTTTTGTTTCTCTAACCTCGACTTTAGGGAACATGCAGCAGCCCTCTCAGCACAAGAAGCTGTCGCCCAGTCTCGCAAGTCCCGCGGCTTCTTCGCGACGTTATTCCGAAGTAAAAAATCCAAGTTCAAGCCCACCTACAACCACCAAGCAGACGCCAGTGCTTGCAGGATTTGGGGAACGATGTACGTGAAAAAGGTCACCGCCAACCTCCATGTTACCACCCTCGGCCATGGATACGCGAGTTATGAACATGTGGACCACCACCTTATGAACCTTTCGCACGTCATCCAAGAATTCTCCTTTGGGCCTCACTTCCCAGAGATCGTCCAGCCCCTCGACAACTCGTTTGAAGCGACCCACGAGCACTTTATTGCGTACCAGTACTTCTTGCATGTGGTTCCTACGACCTATGTTGCTCCACGCACTGCACCACTCGAAACCAACCAGTACAGCGTCACCCATTACACTCGCGTTCTAGAACACAACCGCGGCACCCCCGGCATCTTCTTCAAGTTCGAACTCGACCCACTCAAAATCACGCAGTACCAGCGCACGACGACTCTCCTCCAACTCATGATTCGCTGCGTCGGTGTCATCGGTGGTGTATTCGTCTGCACGTCTTATGCACTTCGCATCGGAACGCGGGCTGTCGAGGTGGTGTCTGGAGCGGACCAGAAGGCAGGAATTGTGGCTGCAGAGTCTACGGCGGTCAAGGTTGGGCTGAGGGCCAAGTGGGGTGGTTCGGATCTTAGGGCGAGACCGGGCGCGGTGAACAGGTCGTTGAGTAGTGGAAGTTGGACACCTAGTTCGCCGTATGGTGGGTTCCCGGCTACGACGCCTGTGACTGGGACGTACAGTGCGATGCCGTCGCCGTATCTTAGCAGCAACCATGCGATTCCTTCGCAGCCTGGTACGCCTAACCCGGCTACACCTGGGTACCCTGTCCCGCCCACGCCTGGAGGAATCCGAACGGCTGCGAGCATGGGCCCGCCACCGAGGACGCCTTCGTCTGCGTACCCCGCCAGCCCGTATCTCGCCACGGGTGGTCCTACGGATGGTGGTGCTTCGGTGCCTCCTACCCCTGGGTACCAGTACGCTACTTTCCCGACTTCACCCCATCCTACGAATGGGAATGGTCTCCATCCCCCGCCGCCTCCACGGAAGAACACTGGTGGACCCAAGGATGATTAGTTGACTCCTTTTTTTAGGTCAGATGGTGTGCTCCGCTTTTCGATTTTTTTCGATTTTGAGCCTGCTCTAGTGCATGGCGCGGTGCGTGTTGGGAGTTGTATGTATGTATAGTATTTTCGGATGGCAATTGAACGCTTTTGCTACGGGGGTTTAGTGCCCTTTATCAAAATTTGGTGGGGGAGATGCAGCTGGAAGTTAAGCGGGTGGGTTTCCTTCAGTGTTGCTGGATCCTGGGGGTTCGGAACCCAATGCCGCCTAATTATTTTTCCTGAGGCTTTATCTATTGCCTCCCGCAAAGGTGTCGACCAAATGAACCCAGTGGGCAGCCTATAACCAGACACGCAATAGGGACCTCAACAAGACGTCAAAGCGAAAAGGTTAGGGGTTGCGAGTTAGGCGCCCAGGGCGGCACGTGACTGGCTCTTGGATGGTCAAAGGCTTTGGAAGCAAACATGAGCAACGGTTGGACAGCTCGGGGTGCGATTTTGGCTTTCTCCTTGTCTCTTCTCCAATTTCAGAACGCGATCCGTACATCCTGGAAAATGATTTCTCTCACTTGCTGGACTCGTGACGATTCTCTTCGATTGCAGCTGTTTTTGCTATCGACGAAGCAACTAGAGAACTGTCAACCGCCAATGCGACGAGACCTGGCTGGACTGGTACTGTCTACGCTAAGATGTAGGAAGCAACCTCTACCCTGCTCAATTGCAGACAGGGAGTGCGACTGTGTTGGATGGAGTCTGGAACAGGGCAACTTCAGCGTTGCGCCGCCTCGTCAACCCATTGAGAACTCGTCCACCAGCACGGTTAAACCTAGGCAACTCCTGCGCAGCAACAGTATTAGGGTCCTGACCCGCATTCAACCTCCTCCTCAAAGTCGACCTCTGCACGTTCCCACATCCAACATTAAACGCCCACGAAGTGAGCGCACCAAACTGGTTCTCATTCAGCACGACCGAGTCGTCGATGAACCTGGCGAGGCAGTTGGTGAACGTCTGCACGTCTGATTGCAGGAGCTGTTCGGCCTGGGCGCGGGAGAGTGGGAAGGAGAGGCCTTGGGCGGTTACTTCGGCGCAGTTGGGTTGTCTGCAGAGGTGGCCGAAGCCGACAGTTGGGAGGCCGATTGGGTCTGGTTCGGGGCTTGCGACGAAGCCTTCGAATTCTTGGATGAGGTTGACGGTTGCGGTGTTGATGGAGGGGAGGGAGGTGGAGCATTGGGCGCCGGGTTGGGTGGCTGGGGGAGCTTCAGGGCCCGGTGCTGGGGCTGCAGGTGCCTCCGGCGCAGGGGGTGCTGGAGCAGGAGCAGGAACCTCTGGAGCAGGGGCTGGTGGTGCGGGTGCAGGGACTGGTGCAGGTGCAGCAGGGGCAGGAGCGTTGTTGTTACTCCCGCGGCCTAGTCCGAAGAGACCACCGATGGTTCTCAGAAAGCCGCCCCCGTTATTTCCCTGGCCCCCGTTGTTGCTGTTGCCTCCGTTGATGATACCTCCAACGGCGTCGAGGATTCGGCCTGCTCCTCCACCCTCGCCATTATTGTTGTTGTTCCCTCCGCCGTTGATGATCCCGCCCACGGCGTCGAGGATTCGACCTGCTCCTCCATCCTCACCGTTGTTGTTGGTGTTGCCTCCACTGTTGATGATACCTCCGACGGCATCTAGGATACGACCTGCAGTTCCGCCTCCACCCTCACCGTTATTGCCGTTGTTTCCTCCACTGTTGATGATCCCACCCACAGCATTGAGGATACGACCTGCTGTTCCGCCTCCACCCTCAGCATTGTTGTTGTTACCTCCGCCATTGATGATTCCGCCAACGGCATCGAGGATTCGACCAGCCCCGCTACCTTCGCCGTTGTTATTACCTCCGTTAATGAGGCCTCCAACGGCATCGAGGATACGTCCGCCTCCATTGTCGCTGTTTCGGCCCCCACCGAACAGGCCTCCGATGGTGTTGAGGATGCCTCCTCCACCTCCGCCTCCACCACCACCACCGCCTCCGCCGAAGAGGCCTCCAAGGAAGTCGCCGAATTGACGTGCTTCGACGTCGTCTCTGCGGTAGATCAGGCGGGCAGTGGAGTCTAAGCGGGCTTTAAAGTGAGCTTCGCGTTTTACATGGTGCGTGAGGTTTGGGGGACTGACCATCTGCCAGAATATTTGAAGAGCGGTGGAAGATCGGCCCTGCTTGGGCGAGGGCGATGAAAGGGAGGGTGATGGTGACGAGTCTCATGATGATGATTGTACGTGAGCAGCTTTAAGATCGTAAATGTGTTATTTTATTGATGGAATATAAAGAGAATGAAGGGAAAGTCCTCTTCGAGAGGCTAAACCAAAGAACGAAGAGCGAACGAAAAGAAGGGACGAAAGGGAAATGGGAACGAAAGGGGGGTTCTATTCTTCCCTCGACCTGGTTCGAGGACAGGTTAAGTACTCGCTTCGTTGATGTGAAGTCTACCTCGAGCAAGAAGATCTGTCAATGTTGAGTATCTTTCTTGTTGAACAACTTGGAACGCATTGTCGTTTCTAGGAGGAGGGTGGTTCATCACAGGTATGTCATTTCACGGCGATTTGTTGCTTGGGAGGGGATTGACAAGTGGTATTGATTGTAATCACTGTGGTGACTCGGATCGACGTCGAGGTTTCAGTGTGCTAAGACTAATTCAAGTTCTACTACATGGTACAGGATTCTTTTTTTGTGGTGGACAGCGTGGACTCTGTTGGATTGTTATGGAGTCGCCTGAGGTGTCGGTGTGTGGAGGTGTCATAGTTGTGTATGGCGGCTGATAAAATCGGCGAATCCGGGTATCTTGTTTCTCTCCGCTGCGACTGCATTCTTCCAGGTTTTCAAAGCACCTGCACAGCAGGTGGAATCCATCTCGGACGCCCGATTGAACAGTGCGTCAAGATCGTAAAGCGGGTTTGAACTCGACGCTGCAATCGCTTTTCGATATCTCCTGGTTATCGTGCCTACGATATCCCTCCAAACACCACTGTTGTAACAGTATCTGATGTCATTGATTCTAAGGATGTCATGGTCGTTGCTTGTGAAATAAAAGAAGGCGTCTCTAACTTTGTCCCAAGCCTCGTGGTACTTGATCTAGGGGTTAGAATCAGCTACTCGTTATCCACTAATCAGTGGCACGAGAAGAACTGTACTCACCCATGGAAGAACGAGTCTAGGCGGGAGATTAGGGATTACTTTAGACAAAGGAAGTGCGACGGCGTAGGGCGCAGTTTCCTTGATGATATCGATATAGTCATGTCGAGCACCATATAGGGCCACTTGGATCGGATGCGTTTTGACAAAGTCCCTGATCGATAATGGATCGAAATTAGATGCTTAGGCTGCCCTTTCCATTCTAGAATCGCCTTTGAACAGGACCATACATACCTCATTCTTCTCCGACATACGTTCATCCCTGGATAGACTTCGTACTTCTCAACAGCTTCAGCGATCTCTGCTACATCATCGAATGCTTTATCTTCGAGATCAGGGTGGCGACGGGGGTACATGAAGGCGAAGAGGACCTCCAAGACTTTGGAGGATTCTGGGAGGGGTACTACTTCATCCACTGAAAGACCCGATCCCGCTTCTCCCTTTGGTGGGACTGGAGGAAATGCCCCGGAAGATACGTCGAGGTTCTTCGCATGGATGTGGAATCGCACACCATCGCTTGATTGGAAGATGATATCGGCGTCGGGGGCGTTAACTAGTCATTTGTTAGCTATATCGGTTCTATAGGCTATTGAATGAAGTTGAATGGACCATACATTCTTGTGAGTCTCTTGTGGGCATACTCTCGTACTTTGAACTTTGATGATAAGGGTGGATCGGGGTGAGAATAGGAATTAAGCGCCGGTATTGGGCTCACCCATCAAAATCGTCTGATGGGACTCGGTGGTCGACGAACTTCGAAGTTTAGGGGCAAGGGCTCTTCCAGTCAAGATGTCCTGTTGAAACGATTTCAAACAGTGAAGGCACAGGGGCGAGGTAACCGAAGGTGGTACTGTCTCGGTTGCTTGATGACCTGGTACAAGTGTACAATCGCAGCTCTGTATGTATTAGGATCCGCAAAATGGTCTAGAACTATCTAACAGACTTTCCGGGTCGTGCTTCCACTCATCGACTCCTATATCACATCTATCGTATTTTCGCGGGCCTTAGGAGTAGAGATGTAGGAAGACGAGGATACTGTTTCTTGAAATTTGGCATAGAAGTAGGTCTGATATTGGAGTAAAAACGTTTGATATGCATTTGGGGTGGGATACAAGGCTGATATCAGCTCTACAGCTGGGCACCCGCAGTGCGAGGATCGGGATAGTCAAGAATTAGTCTAAGTTTCTAGGCCCAGCTGGGAGTTCAGGCAAGTTGTAACTTCGAGAGATAGCTCCTTTGACTTGTTGTTTGCGCGGTAAAAGACCATCGCGGCGTGTTCCCCAAAAGGGTATCGACACTTCCCTTTTGGGCCCAATCGCCGCGAGCTTCCTCGATTGACCAGTGGGCTAAGTGTAGCCGGACGTCGTGGAGTTCTGAAAGTTATGCTTCTTCGGAGCATGAAGTGACCAGTCATTGTCGTTGGCAGATGTGATGGGAGTCGAGACCCTCGGAATGTTGTCGTACTCGGACTTCAGGGCGATTTTCGTTCCTCATGCAGCAGTGCCTCCGTGTCGCGGAGGAGTGAAAAACGCGTGGAAAGGTGGAGGTTTAGGAGCGCATTGACAGGATGGAGTATCGGAGCTCTTGCGAGGAACGTGCCTGCAGGGTAGGCGTGTGTGTGGGGGGGGGTGGAGATATGTGACAACCGTGGTCACCTATTAAACGGGCCTTTTCTTCAGGGTTGAACTTGAGATTCCAATGGTCGTCCAGGATTTCTACTACCAGGATTGCTTTAGAAATCGGAAGATGAATTGTTGTAGGCTATAGAATACCCACTACGGACGTTCGTGACGAATCTCACGTCCGAGTCCATCTGCCTATCAATGTTCTGGCTTGATCTTCAAAACGAAATCAGTCGATTGACAAGGATCTACTGACAGAAGATCCAGTTGAGTTCTCCACTTGTGTAGCCATGGTGTGTGATTCATTCTATCGATGTGACGCTTTAGATGACATCGAAACCTTGTAGTCTCCAAGACATTCCATCCAAACAGCCAGTCGTCGGAAAAACTTGAAGGTATAAAAGGTGCACCTACGAGGCTGCATTCATTCAGTCTCCTAGCCCACACCGTCGGAGAGTACTCTTCACAGACCCAGTCTTTTTACCAACAGCCTCTCTCAACTCCATCATGAAGTTCTCTTTGATCGCTGCTGCCACCTTGGCCACTCTCGCTGTCGCTTCCCCTGTCGAAATAGACAGGCGCCAAGACAGCGGTTACTTCCCGCCCATCAGCGAGATGCTCTACTGCCTCAACCCATTCAACACCGCTGCGTGCTTCGCCGCGAACGGCCACGCTGAAGTCGCATCCGCGGCGGCGGCGGCCAACTTCCCCAGCTCCTCCCTCCATAACGGCCAGGGTGACGCCTTCCGTCACTGCTACTGGAACGCGAGGATGGCCATCTACTTGGGTACCGCTCGCGCGAAGGAGATCGGTGACAACCACGAGAACTCGGGTAACAATCCCGCCAATGAGAAGGCGATGGACTTGGCGAACAACGCCACGGGCAGGACTATTGGAGCCAATGCTGCTGGTTCCACCAAGGAGGCGAAGTACAACAATGCGCAAGCAGAGTGTCTCAGGAGGGCGCGTAACGGACAGCTTGTCACTTTGAAGTAACGGACACAATTTCTTGACGATGCAGTAGTAGATACTTCGTGTAATCTCTTGTCAGAAAGTTGTTCCAGCTTGATGTATCATAATTTTCCGTCCTCTCGCTATGATGTTGAATCTGTATCGAGAAATGCTGCGTGATCAAGGAGAACCAGTGTTCCCAGTCACCTTTGACAGTTGCATCTGCGGCGTGCTCCCTCAGGATCGCAAAGTATCCAAATGCCTAGGAAGTCTTCCAAAAAGGAATGTCTAATTCCTTCCAAAGTCCAACGGAGGCTTCTTGTCCGACTGATATTGGATTTAGCCTTCCCGTAAGTATGACCACGGAAAATTCTGTCGCCTTGCGGAGATCCGTGTAAGCTTCTATTCTAGGCACAGAAGACGCCCCAAGTTCAGTATGGTAATATCCCTTTCTTTGATCTATTGTTCTTTTAAATGTCTTCATGAGATGTGGATTCCTGTATGCAACCATTAACTCAAGGAACTGCTAGGACCGTTCCCGACTAGAGGCCCTAACTGAGTTATTGAAATAAAGTATTCCTCGAGGGTCGCCGCCGAGCCTGAGACACATCATGATTGTCCGGGTCATGTACATCTTCGAAGAAGAGGGCCGCTCAATGTGTTACCGGTTTGAGCTTCCTTATACGGGCTAACCTGAACGTTCTCGAGGCATCGTACCTGGGTTTTCGGTAACACTGACGGCAACCGCATGGTCAATAGCTTCTTGGACTTGGGTCGAATAGCCTAGAAGTCCACTCCATCTGACTGCGGCCGGTGGGCACCCCATCGATGATCTATAAACTGTCTGATGAGATTAGATGGTTATCATTGCCCAGAGTGTCCAGCGCCTAAGCGACCCTGAGCATAACTCCGTTGCCCCAGCGGCAATGACGCAAAAGCGACTACCCAGCGCGTGTATGCGTTGATATCGACCGTGTATAAACTTCGATTCAACCTACTCTCAGACATAGGTGAGTTCTATTCTGTGTGCACGGTAATGGAAATGCTCACTCAGTCGTTTCTTGGCGCTCGTTTTGAGCGCCCGTTAAGTGAGTCCAGATGAGTCTCGTGTGAAAAGCGCCTTTTCACCCTGGTCCCTCAGAACTGTCCGCACCGGATTTTGAGGCACAATTTCTCCGTATGTGATGATCCGCAAGCTGTATGGGCAAAGTCAAAAAGTGATAAAAAGGGTAGAGGCAACAGACAAATTCCTCAGTAGCTCTCCAACCTGCATCGGAGAGTTCCCCAGTCGCCTTCAACAACCCAACCGCTCCTCTACCAAGTACCCAGCCCTTCAAACCCACAATCATCATGAAGTCCGCCTTCGCTGTTGTTGCCGCCATCGCCGCGCTCGCCGTCGCTACTCCAATTGAGAAGCGTCAAACCTACACCCCCTACTTCCCTCCTGTCACCGAGATGCGGTACTGCATCAACCCCTTCAACATCGCCGCGTGCCTCGCCGCCCACGGCCATGCCCAAGTCGCGTCCATGACTGCATGGGACTACTTCCCCAGCTCCCTTCACAATGGCAAAGGCGACGCGTTCCGTCACTGCTACTGGAACGCTCGCATGGCCATCGACCTCGGCGTCGCCCGCGCGAAGACGATTGCGGACAATCACGAAGAATCGGCTGAGAACAACCCACCTGCGGAGAAGGCGATGGATTTGGCAAACAATGAGACGGGTCGCGCTATTGGTGCCAGCGCTGCAGGTGCTAACAAGGAGGAGAAGTATAGCAATGCGGAGGCGGAATGTCTCAGGAGGGCCCGCGAGGATGAGCTTGTTACTTTGCCTTAAACTGTATTGACCAATGACTTCTAAATATTTGTATCCTGGACAATGTAAATGTGACCACTCCCTATGTCAACTACCAAACCGTTTCTATTCGATTCGACGACAGTCAGCTAGTTCGTGCCAGTGTCCGTTCCCGAAGGGGTAGGGGTGCTTCCTTTTTGAGGCGAACAGATTTCGGTGGTCCTGGGACTTTCGTGTTAAAGTTTAAAAGATTCTAGATAGCGTCAAGTCTCTGGATTGACCTTCTATTGAAGCAATACCTTGCAGATTCTTGCAGTCGATTGTGGATTCTTGCAGTCGATTGTGGATTCTTGCAGTCGATTGTGGATTCCCGCGTCGTGGTTGATAGGGGTAGCGGCCTACATCGGGCCGTCGAACCGCTTCGTGTCGTCCACCCGGAAACGCCGTTGGCGGAGTCGTCACCTCAAACCAACCCACTCACTGGACCTCGATTTCTTCTCTCACCTTCATGTTTGAGGTCTTTATCCGGTAAGTTTTGCTTGCGGAAATACACGTCCTATTGAGGAAGCAAAGGTGCGAGACCCCCATATTGGGACCAACCCCTAGGCTAACGGAACCACGCACGAGTAGTCGACAGCGCGTTAAAAAAACCCAAAGAGTCAAACAACAAGGCTTATTCACAAATACAGGAGTCATCTTCTGGTCATACATGATTCAATGGGGTTTAAGCTGGCCTAAGCCTCTCTCCCTACGCTGTGAGCTGGGAAATCTGCCTCCAGTCTAGAAGTCGCCAAGCCATGGAATGTGACCGGAAGCTCTCGACACTGTCTTCTTTTTCGGAACTTGTTCGCTGAGAAGTAGCCAGCGGAAAGCATCGCTGCTGAGGCTGGAGTCGCTATCCTGGGTATAAGGAGTCATTGAAGGTGCGCCTATCAGACAACCTATTGTCGATTTGTGACTACAAACCAAATCTGATGCTCTTCCCTGTCCGTTTTACTAGGCTGCCCATTACCTAGGTCAACCCCTTTCTGGACGCGCTTCGACCAATACCTAATCCCCAAAGCACGCTGAGCCTCTCGGAAGCACCCTGAATGTGCGGAAATTGATACGCATCAGACGACGCGCAACCCATGACCTCAATGTTCGAGGACATCAGCCATGCCTTGTAAAGCCGCTTATTTAAAATCGCAGAAAGAAGGTTTCCTGCCATGAACTGTGTCATCTCCGTCTTCGCAGGCTGTTACGGAAAACACACTCTGGCCTCATGGTGTCGGAGGTTCGGTGTTTTAAGTCCATCGAGGCCAAACCTAATGACGGTGGGTACATAAATCGGCAGCCTTGCTTGTCTTTGTGGAGCTGACGCCCTCTTGTCCAGTCTCGCTCGTCCACGGACCTTGTCTCTGGCCCTCGTCGTTTCTTTCTCTCTCCCTGAATCGACAGACGTACTAAACCACGACGGCCTTGTGTTTCCGCAATGCTCAGGTCCTCAATCTCGAACGCGATCGCAGGACTTGTCGGCGCAGCGCTGATCACCGGCGCGTATGCCCAAACTCCCGAGTGAGTACTCATGTCCCTACTTGTCTTTGCCCGGCTGAGTCTGAGTACTGAAACGTCATGTCCAGGTTTCAAGGGGAGCTTTTGCTCCAACCCCAACCCAACAATGGTGAGCAATCTACCTCCACCCACGTCCTCCTCATGCTCATATCGAGTTAGCCAAGTGCTTGACCGCCTCGTCGAACTCTGACGGCGCTCCCGTCGTTATCGCCACCTGTGTGGCCGGTGGGTCTCCCAGCCAAAAGTGGGTCTTCAGTGGTGGAACGGTCAGGGTCCACGGGAACAAGTGCCTCGACGTGACCGATGGCGTCGACCAGGACGGCACTAAATTGCAAATCTGGACTTGCTCGGCCACCGGAAACTCGAACCAGCAGTGGTACTATAGCAAGTGGGACAATACACTCGCATGGACTGGGAAGGGCAAGTGCGTCGATCTGACGGATGGCAATTTGGCGGATGGGAATCAGGCATGTATTCCTTCTAGTCGCTGCTTTAATGCGTGAAGCTAATTTATCTGTGTGACACTAGGTTCAAATTTGGGGTTGCTGGAACAAGAACCCTAATCAAGTCTGGAGCACTGGTTACCTTCCCACCGACCTGCCGAACAAATCGCAGAATGGCCAGTATGGAACGAACAACTGTGGAACTGGCTCCAGCCAGAGCAGCAACTGCCAGACCGCTTGGATCAAGTACGCTTTCCTTTGAGCCGAAATGTAATGGTGGGCCTGACCTTGTGACTATAGCTCGGCGACGGACTTCTGCCTTTACGGACCTCCCTCCCTGGGAACGATTGGCGATACCGAACGTTTCGCTGTGTCCTATTGCACGAAATCGGGACGTGGTACTCGAACCATTCCCGACGGTACCCTTCAAGGTGTGCACTTTGTCAGAACACCGGAATACGTCCAGATCACTGGCGTCGGTGATTTCACGAAGATGAACATTCCGTTTGGAGACGACGGAGGCGAGATGGATAACCGAGGTGCTGATGGCAAGGGTAACCCTAGTACGTTACATTTCCTCTTAGAAGAGTGAAGTGAAGGCTAACTGTTTGTAGTCGGTGGGCTGTTATTCGGGAATACGTTCGGTTCTGGTCTGCAGTACCATGAATGGACGCAATTCATTTCCTACCGTGAATTCTGCATCCGAGCCTGTATTGGTCCGAGGTCGAAACAGCTTTGCAACCACATCTACGATATCATGGGTTGCTGGTGGGTGAGTAACCGTGTTCTACTCTTCATCTCTCCTGAGCTCGATCGTCTGACGCTATTCCTCCCAGAACATCCCCGCCAACTACTCCCCAGGTGTCTACGAAGAGTGCCAAGGTGACCCTGCGATTCCCATGGGCGTTTACGGTACTTCGACTTGGTACCAGGGTGTCAGTCCCACCCCTCCCCCTCATCCTGCCCCTGCTTCGAGCAGCTGCTCGACCCTCTCCACGGTTGGAGTGACCCCTCTCAGAAGGAGCTTGCCGAGGAGGGACGTCCCGTTGGAAGGAGGACACGTCCTCAGGGATTATGTTGAGCCTCATATCCCGAGGGCTACTTCGCCGCCTATGTAAGGAAAGGCTGGGTTGTGGACGTCGTCGTCTTTCTGCCACTTCTCTCCGCTCGAAATATTACGATCAGGCCTTTTGGATTTTGATTTCTTCTTGGACTTGAACCCGGACAATCTGTACGTGGCTGTTGAACTAGTTTAAAATGTGTAGCTTCAACTCTTAGTGCACTATCATCGTGAAGGTTTTTGAGATCAATTAGCGCCCGAGAAATTGTTGCTGAGTTTGAACTGTCATCGATCATCTTTCACGATCCTGTCCAGTCCTGTCCTTGCACAATGATGTAGCGCGCTGTGCGCTACTATTGCGCATGTACTCGGGCTCCACCTGTATGCTTCGGCAGACTGGGTCGTCGGGCGCCTATCGGTGAACGTGGGCGGCTAAAGAAAAAAATAATTGTGTGTCTATCTCAAACGGGGAAATCGCGTTAAGAACGAATGAATAAATGGTTTTCAGCGCTCTGACTACTGATTACATGGGTCCCTCTCCTCCTCGAAGTGACAACCGAGCTTTGGCTGGCTGATGGGTGAGCGACCCAAGGAATTTGACGTGGGTTAATAGCTCTCCCAGAAACTCCCGGGGAAGACACAATCAAAGTCCGTCGAATAGTATGTATGGCTTGCAAACGACCGGACTTCAGCTTCACCCACTGCCTCAAGGCTGGCTACCGACCACCTCGTGTCATTGAGCGGGGTTGGGGGATTTAGTCGGAGCTTATACGGGAAACCGAGGTGCTCGCGCGTGTACCTTGAGCTTGAATGTTGAATTCCAACAGTCCCTCGCGAAGACTATGCCCCGGTTATCTGCAGAGTTGCACGATTTCCAGGATCCCATCCTCGTACCCTATTACCCGTCAACCAACAATGGGCTGCCACCCGACCTCATTCCACGGTGTACATCACACCTATCCAAAATGGAGGAGCTGGTAGCGGGCAAGACACAGGAGGTTGCGCAGCTGCAAGACCAGGTCAATCAGCTCATACGGCAGATCCAACGCGCTCAAAGTGAACAGAAAGTCTTTCAAGACGAATACACGATCTGCAGTTCGCTCCTTGCCCCCATCCGACGCGTGCCATCGGAGATCCTGTCGCTGATTTTCCTACACCTCCTGGGGTGCCCAAAGAAACTACGGCGTGACTATGTCATCCAGCTGAGGGACATACAGCGGGTATGCAAGAAGTGGAGAGATGCTGCGTACTCCACCACTGCCTTATGGTCGGGGCTCCAGTTCTTGGTGCGGTGGAGGTCGGGGTACGAGGAATCGAGAAGTGTCCTCGAGCGATGGTTCAAGCGCGCAGGGAAGCACCAACGACATCTCGAGATTCGCTGGGAGGCTCATTGGAACCATGGGGAGGCTGGAGAAGACACAGGTATCCGGGAGTTCCTCCTCCAGCCCGATGGGAACTGGCGTTCTCTCGCCCTTCTTGCCGCCACTCATGCTTTCGTTAAAGATCTATTCCTTGACCTCGAATGCCAGAAGGGGCATGGAGATGGGAACGGAAAGGTGGTGGAATCTCCGTGGAGCAATGTCGAGGAGTTCGAGGTCGTGTTTAGCACACATTGGCCATCCATTATCCCTTCCTTTACCTTCCCGGCATCCGCCCTTCCGAGCCTAAGGAGGCTTCGCATTCAACGACAATTCGTCCCATTCGCTCATTCTCAACTTCGCTACCTTCACCTTGACCACTTCATCGGCTCTGCTCAAAGCCTTGCCAAAACGCTGTCGATGCTCCCAAACCTCCGCGAGCTGGTTTTCTCGACGATGCGGCCGAATTATCTTCATAAAGGCCCTTTGACTCCAAATGACGAACCGGACGTGGATAAAATAACCGTCGAGAAGTTGGTCGTCACATGGGGGAGAAGCCTGGATTTGCTGGATGTGGGGCTTCGGTTCCCCCGTCTGAAGGTACTCCATCTCGTCGATCCTTGGGTTGGGATGAACAGTGAAGGGCTGTGGCAAAAGGCGGGACTGATAGGCCCGTTCCTGTCGCGTTGTCGGGACGTAGAGGAAGTATCGTTCGCTGAAGGCGACGGGGACATGCGGTTTCATTCTGCCCTTATCACGTATATTCTCCATAACACTCGACCCACTCCGAAACGCATTCTCGCCCCGGACTTTGGACTTCTCCGCAGCTCGATAAAGCTTGATGAGTCTCTGGAGGAAATTGTGGCTAGAGACGCTCCCAGTGAGAAGGACCTCCGGGCGATGGCGCACTTTTTCGAGGCGAGAAAGAAGCGTAACCCGAACAGTAACTTTGGACCCGTCAAGTTACATGTGCGTGAACGATGGCTGGAGTATAGTCAAGAAGTGGTAGAGCGATTGAAGGACGTGGATGTCGAGATGGTTCAACAGCCATACAGAGATAAGATGTGGTATTAGAGGAGCACCCATTGACTATGGCTATGGCTAGTATACATTCATCTTCGACGTTCAGTGTTGTGATTATTTATTGGGATGCGGGGCCGCCGTTCAGTTCTCGGACATTTGTAGTCAGGACAGTTTCCCGCTGGTTGAGTCTCAGATTCAAAAAGAAATTAGCATATGGAATGGGCTGTGTATTGGACTCAAACTCTGAACTACGATAGAGATGGCTTCTGTATTGGTACTAGGCGCGGCCCTGGATCAAAATGTCATTGCGTTCATATCAATGTCAACTTCAGCCTGCCAGACGTTCCCATATATATTATGGAGTCCAACCAACACCAGGCGCTGGATGTCGATGAGGCCTACTTGGTAGTTCTTGGATGTTCCTGTGAGTTTCACAAAATCTGGCGAAAACACGTGCACCCGCAATGGCTTGGGCAAGTTGACCGCGAGATTGAAGCTGATGGTATCTTGTTGGAGAGACGTTGATCGATCGAACGTACTCAAAGTGGTCGTAGCCTGGCCGCTTAATGCGGAGTGTGAAGGATGCCGAAGGGAGAGGGTGAGCAAAGGCCTGGTCGAAGGCGCCTACCATCTTCGCACCGAGTACGGCGGGGCTCCTGTTGTTGATATCGATCATGACCACGCCTTGCGTGTACTCGCCTACATAGTCAAAGATGATGACAGGAGACAGTGGTTTGATTTTGTCAGCGTTATTTATGCGTTGGCGCTTGTGGATGGGCTGAGGAAGACGGCGGCGGTGCGAGTTCGCGTTAACGGACATTCTGAAGATTCGGGGTTGTGTTCAACTGGTAGTCGAGAACGCGCCTCGAGGACAAGCCCTCGTAGTCGCCATTGGCAGTTGCTCAGACCCTTCCCTTTACAGCAGCTTTATTCCCCTCTTACCTTTGTAATACAGTGATAGGCTTCTGTTCGAGGTGGTCAGTCGCTTCGCACTAAGGAGAGAAGTGAGTAGTGGTGACGAGCTCGGGCTTGTCCGAATCAGACCACATACATCTCCGAGATGGTAGCGGAAGTACGGACAGGTGTTTGAACGATCCAGGAATGCGGAGGTTGAGGTGGTCAAGTCGTCGCACCGGACGGTTGAAGCATAATGATCAATGCTGAACCTTTTTGTGGAGGTCGCACTTGAAATGGATTGTCATTAGTGCTGTGGTGGTAGATGGTATAGTAGTTCGACAGGAATACAAACAGTCGACGTTCCACGCGCAATGGAACGCGTTGGACAGGGTCGGTGCGTCTGGCAACATCCCAGGGACATGTCCCGGTCGGCGCCAGGACCCATCGAACCCTCCGAATCCCTTCCTGTTGCAGAGAGCCGGTGTGTAGAGCCGACGAAAATGCAGGCCCTCTGTAACGACAAGCCCCTTATTGTCAGGTATCGAGTCGCGGGGGATCTCGAGGTCAAAAAGAGTGGTCGGTACATCACGAGGTCTTCTCCTTATTCTTGTCAAGTCGCGTGAACGTTCTCCAGGATGCGGTAAGAACCCAGAAGAAACAGAGCAGGATGACCGCGCTGGTGCCGATTTCCACCGTGGCTAGATCCTGGTCTCTGTTCCCAACAGGGACTCGCACCTCAAGAAGCGAGGTCTTTGGAGAAGGGGGTGAAGATATGTAGCATCCCTGAGGAGGTAGAAGGCCCGAGAGATAGCCTGGAACCTTGTCACAACCTGGGGCATCTAATGACTGTGTCAGACATAACTTAGGGATAAAATGGATGGAGACTTGCCGGAAATGTCGCCCTGGCACCACACAAGTGCTCTCGGCGCCTCGAATTCCTGCGTCAGGTAGCCATCTTGAGTCTTAGCAGGCGCGGCGTAGCGCACATGAATTGGCAGATGGACCTCCGGCGCTGTTGGATCCTCTAACCTGACCAGAACCTCTACATCTCCTTCGTCCAGGGGCAGAGCATGGACAGGTTTTTCCAGTTCCCTGCTTCCCCTGCCCCTCAGCCCAACTAGCGTATACTGCTGACTTCGGAGAGCAAGTTCGTGCGCGTCGACGAACAGCAGCGGCGGGAACGTGTAGTACAAGTATACTGAGCACGAATCCGATGGTAGAGCTGGGACCGACAATGAGGAGACAACGGTAGGATGGGCACCCTGAGCAGGGTCCAGTTGTGAGGTGATTTTGAGGCTCGTCATCGTCTTCCTTGCTGTCGTCGTCGTCTCGAACGATGAGCAAAGGGCTTGGCGCGTGGTCGACGCGGATTAGGAACATGTTCTCACGGGTTCTGATGGGAGAATTGGTCCCGACATCATCATCTCCTCTTTCCTTTCGCTCATTCACCACCTTTGCGCTGTAACTGAAACCGTTCCGTATGGAGTTTGCAGACGACCCTTTGCCGTTGCCAACGACGAGCAGAAACAGGATTCCAAGGTCTCGCGCAACGTCTCTTGCTCGTTCATCAAAATCAAATTCGAGAGCGTCTTCGGTGGGGTCTACGCGTTCCACAAGGCGATCTGCTAGGATGGACACTATAAGCCATGATTCGGAGGGACTTGAAGGGGAGGAGATTGTGATGCTTGACACCCGAGACACAGAGCGTCGTGGTACACGACATATCATTTCTCTCGACGGCGACAACGACGATGAAATCTCTTGGACAGTCGATGAACCACAGCCAGGACCTTCAGGGTTGCCAGCGCGAGACACGGCGCCTACAGACAACGAGAGCGGACCAGGACCATCAAGTACAGCTCAATTAGTCGCGAACGCAGAACCAGGACCGTCAACCACAGCCAACCTAACTCGCGTTCTTCGAATGGCTGAACTAGAACAACCTCGACTCCGGGAACAAGAAGAAATCTCAATGGCTTCAACTTCTTCGTCGAAGCGGCCTCGATCAACACCTAGCGAGGACGAAGACGACGGTACTTTCGGTCCCGGAGAGGGAGAGGACTCGTCTACCTCTCGAAGAACACGAAGAAGGCTTGAAACCACAATAGGAGAGTCTTCGAGCTCTGTGGCCTGGAAAGGGGAGGTGCCAAGTGATGTGGGTATGCGCGTGGACCCTCCACCTGCGCGGTATCCATTTGAGCATGCCAATGCAAGGCCGAGCGGCAGCGGCGCTGGATCGTCGAGTTTAGCAGGCCCTTCACAAGAGACTCAAGCAACCAGAATCGATGAAGAGGAGCCCGTTACGGATCCACCACCCACTCAGCTTACCCCTGATGCCACCGCTTCTGGGTCTGGCAGCGGCAGTTTGGACTCATCTTCTCTATCCCAGAGCTTTGCCGAAGGCGACGGGGGCTCTTCGTCCATTGTGGAGGGGATTTCTGCATCGCGCCCTGGCTCATCGACCACGGCTGGTGGATCGAGCTCAACAGTCTCATCCGCACCTGACGACACTAACTCATCCTCCAACGCGCCCGACCCTGCTAATCCACCACCAGTATCCCCAACCAAGCCCGAGTCAAGCACAGAATCTCAGCCCGATTCACTATCTTCCTACACCTGTCCCATCTGTTTCTACCCGCCCACGAACGCAACGTTGACACCCTGCGGGCATATCTGCTGTGGAGAATGCCTCTTCGCAGCTATCAAGACTACCCTCAAACGGAACGAGCATCTGTTACCCCCAAGGATTGGAGGCGGGTTCCGTAAGTCGTTCTTCATTTACCAATTCGTCGTCTCGACTCTAATGAAGATACAGGCGATCCTACATTTGGAGGCGACTTCAACTTCGGATTCGGGGGATTCGGAGGTGGTCCCATGGGTGATCACCTTGCTATGGTCACCCGAGGTGGGTCCGCTGGTCGAGGGCGTGGTCGCGGTGGGAGAGGTGGTGGTGCAGGAAGGGGTAGAGGGCAAGTGGACGAAGAAGACCCGAGTGTCGCGAGGTGTCCTGTTTGTAGGGCACCTATACCTGGCTGGGACGGGCGCGGTGGAGGGGTGATTGGCTTAAAGGTTCGGACCGTGTTTGGAGTATGAAAAAGCGGAGACATCACACCACCCGGACTACTTACGACGGTCAACCTAACGGACCTCTCGACTATCGACATCAGCTAGTACGAAAAGTATAGCATAAATCTGGACATTTACGGCAACGGTTCTCCTAATGTTCAAAGTCCTACTCGTATGGGGTGAGGACCATCTGTACCCCGACCTCCTCCATCTTCTGCATATAATCGCGATGAGTGATCATGTAGCTTGGCCACCCTTTCTGAACATACAACCGCACGACACCACGCCCGATTATTTCTCCCCTCTCAATCGCCTCCTTCCTCCGCCCGAAGACTTCGATCATAGACCGCAGAAGCTCTTCCGAAGGTGGCGTCTCGGCGACAAGCACCTCCAACCCATGCAACTTTGACGTGGGCCAGGGTGCCAATTGTGCGATAAACTCGAAGTCTTTCACGAGTATGCGTTTGACCTTGGAGCGGAGAGCTGAAAGGGTCTCTGCGATATACACTGAGGGAAATGCGGATTGGATGAATGATATTTCTTCAAGCTCTTGACCACTGCGGTTGAAGAAACCGGCTAGTTTTCCGTCGCTCCACTCCGCGGGACGAACGCCGGTGAACCGAACCATTTGGAGTTTGGGGAAGCGAAAACGACCTTCGAAGACTTCCAGAGGACGGCTTGTTCCGCTCAGGTGGAATGTGGAGACGTTGACTTTGGACATGTTCTCCTCGTCGACGGCGTCCCAGGGATCCTCAGCTTTAAATAGCGAAGCGAACAACTCGAACTCTTCCAGGGAAGGGAGTACGGAGAGGGCCTTGACGAGTGCGCGTTGACTGCCACGGAAGTCCCTGAGGTAGAGGTAGCGCAGTGTGTTATGGGAGAAGAACGGTTGGGTGGCCCTCGTAAATGTAAGGCGCTTGAGGTTTGGGGAACGGCGCGAAAGGGGGAAGATGGGCGTTGACAAAAAAGGACTCGCATGGTTATCCCAGTTATAATTCACCTCAAGCTCTTCAAGATTCTTCCATGAGCATTCGAAGCCCTCTGTTTGCGTCAGTTGCGAGTATTCCTTTCCGTGGAGGGTTTGGAAAAGGCACCTTATCCATCTAGATGGGGCCCCTAAAAAGCTGAGCGACGTCCATCTGTACCCTGGTTGATAGAAGAACCCCCGTAGGTGCAGGTCTCCCTCGCCCCTGACCGGTGCCAAATCCAGGCTGAGGTGAAGTGGGTGGGTTCCCGCGCGTGCGAACCACTGTTCGAGGTAATGTCTAATCTCCTGTGGCCGAGTGACATAGACGTCGAACGTCAACCCCGACCAAAGCGCGTGCGTCGTATCCACGACCTCCTGCCATTTCTTGCAAACCAATCGGAGAACCGTGAGGCGCCTAACATCCTCCGACGAGAAAGGCTTTGGACGTTGCACTACGCCTACGAATATCGAGGAAAGGAGTTCTGTTGGTAGCCGACGAATTGGCGCGGCAAGAGAACGACAGGATACGTATTCGTCTATGGTGTGTCGGAGTCGCTGGCGTGCTTCGTTGAGCTCTATCTCGAGCCTGGCAACATCTTCCCTGGCCTGTAGCGTCATCGCCTCCATCTTCGAAAGGTGGGTGTTGTATTGAGGAAGGAGATCGGGTGAGAGATGGTTGCTGGTTGATGCATAGTAAGGGGCTAAGATGGGATTTTGGTAAGGATTTGACTCCTGCGATACACGAACTGTGCTGTCTTTGAAATAGGAAAGGAGTGTACTTGGAGGTGAAGGTGCCATGGTGGAAGTTGCAAACGCGTAGGCCTCGTGGTGAAGACGCCCACAAAGGCTCCTTCGTCATAGCCGCCGATGCGTACTCCGCTTTGAGACCCGCAAGAGCGCTAACAAATTGGATAGTTAATATCGGATTTGGTGGCATTGACACCACAGTAAAGGAGGACCGGCCCCCTTCAAGGTGACTTTCACAGAGAAGCAAAAGAAAATAACACAGAAGCACACAATGCATCAAGGGGGAATCGAACCCCCGGCGGATCGACTTAGGCGCCGATAAGAGTGGCAACGATCCAGGTTACCACTACCCCATTGATGCGATAAAGAAACAGTCGACGAGCTGCATCCGTCGTGCGCTTTGTACATACTTTGCGGGCAAGATGCCATTTATAAATTCCAACAAGTAATAATAACGACTACGATAGCAGCAGCGACGGGACAACTAAGTCTACAAAATCCTGAGCCCAAACCGTGCCCGAGTTACAGAAAATCGAAAAGATAAATTACAGCTGGAAGCGTGGTCCAGTAAATGGCGAGCCAAGTGCAATTTGCAGTCGACGGATTAAAAGGGCAAATTAGAGGTGAAATCGAATGGTTAGGGTTGGGTTAGATGGATAGGTTCGCAGTGCTTGGTTGTAGCATCAGGAATCATTGCAGTCATCACTGCTGAAGCGCTCGCTTCCATTGAGTAACACATCGCGAAAGGAAGGGGCAGCTAACTCACCATCGGCATAGGCGTAAATGTGGATTCAGGCGATGACGCAGTATGCCCCATTTCCAGAACCTCCGCCGGTCTCGAGGTCGGAGGGAACCTCAACAGAGGGTTGGTTGGTAAAGGAGGCGATGGTAGTGAACGAGTCCATTGGTACGGGAGGGCTTGGTTGATTGGAGTGAAGGGCTTGAGAGCTGAAGAGACTAGGCGAGCTGTCTGAGGAACTTAACTCGAGTGCCAGAGGGTTTTTATGCCCAACCACGATGCCTTTCTGTAAATCAAGCCATGAATGAGCGTCGAGAAGTGATGCTAAGGTTCCAGCGTGAGTAGCCGGAAGACAAAGAGGTGGGAGTTTCGTTATTATCCAACGGAGATTAGACCAAGAGTATACAACAATTTCAAATTGAATTACCGTCCACCTTGGCCCTCGAGGCACATACCAAGGTGCTTCGGGAGGGGATGCACACTACACCGACCGTCGAGGGAAAGTCTGAAACGGGTTGTTTATTGTCGCACGGAGTCAATGAATCCACTTGGCTGAACACAGCAGTGAGGTACAATTACTCAGAAATTAACCTTTGCACACAACGCAACAAGTATGACGGTGGTGGCGAACGGAGACAATATTACAGTGGCGGCTTGGGAGTGATAAGCGCTTGAAGCAAACAAAAAGACCAAAGATCATAATAGTGGAGAGTAGCCAAATCAGTAGGGATTGTGGGCACTGGGCGTTCAAGGGGCCATGTTCCCAGTTCGGTGCCTCCAAGAGCGGTAGCGGGAGCGCGCGACAATAGGTGAGGCGTCGTTCCATTCAGTTGATATGTGTGTGCGAGGAGGGCCTGGGTGGTGTGCTCGTTGATCCAGATGAAAGCTAAGATCGCTCTGCTCCTATCCATAATGTTTGGGGAATCCGGAAGGGAAGCGAATTTTCAGTCCAGCAGCAGAGGGGCAAGAGATGATCGAAATATGGCATCGACCTAGGATCGGTAGAGGGGTGGAGAGGTGCAAGAGTCGAAACCGTTGAACTCGAAGACGCGAGAGTTGAAGCCTTTAAAGCCGATGCCAAATACTGCCAAATCAATCACGGCGCCAAGCACAATGGGCGTCTAAATCCAGAGGGAAACATTTCGCATGGTAATCGCTGTTCCTGTTGGCTCGAGTTTCTCAGTGATCAGACATCCAATCAAAATCATAGCTTAATAGCATTAACTATACTAGTATAACACGGTGTCGAGGCGATAGCTATGGTGTACAACAGCATTTACAACAACAAATTCGAAAGCAATGCGAAGGTCGAAGGGTGATAAGTTACATGCATGATAACAGAGCCTGAACATTATCATTAGGTTAGGTGGAAGGTCGAATAGGTACGTTATTTGGATCCGTGAAGGCGTGACCGAAGGACGGGTATGCGAACAAACGGCGGGCCATGCTAAGAACGACTGCATCAGCTCCGACTCGATGATATAGGAACGAGTTGCTTAACGAGTTGCTTACCGAGGGCTACAGCCTTGATTCAGGCAATAACGCAGTAGGCGCCATTTCCGGAACCTCCGCCAGTCTCGAGGTCGGAGGGGACCTCAACAGAGGGTTGGTTGGTGAAGGAGGTGATGGCGGTGAACGAATCCATTGGTACGGGAGGGCTTGGTTGATTGGAGTGAAGGGGCTTGAGAGCTGAAGACACTAAGCGAGCTGTCTGAGGAACTTGTATCGAGCGTCAGAGGGCCTCCTCGGTGAATCAAGCCATGGACTACCGTCGAGATGAGATGCCAAGGTTCCAACACGAGTTGCCGGAAGACAAAGAGGTGAGAAACCTGCTTATTCTTTGACGGAAATTAACGCTAGCCTGCGTGGGCTGTATAGCAAAGAGTAAACAACAAGTTCAGACTGAATTGTCGGCTACTTTGCCAAACGCAAGGCCCGCAGCATATTGCCCTAGTAGGAGCGGAAGCGAGTTTTGCGGACCTTTGAGGGGAAGATGTGCAAGAGGCTCGGTTTATTGTCATCAAATCAACGTGACAATTAGGAATTAACCTACGCAGCGCAGGATGACGAGGGTGGCGAACGGAAGCAAACGAGCACTGTGGCGGCTCGGTCCTGATAAGCGCTGTGAGTAGAGAAAAAGACAATAAAAGTGGAGAGAGGCCCGGAAGAAAGTAATGACTGTGGGCGTCTGAGGAGCCACTCAGGTGCGTATGGTTGAACCTGGCGGGAGCGTGCCTGGAGGGGGACAATAGATGCGGCGTCATTCAGCTGGGATGGGTGTGAGAGGGGTTGTGGGTGGTACATGTGCCCAAGCAGACGAACACAGATTTCTTGAACGATATACTGTAAAACACGATGCGCCAGCGAGAGCGGGTCCATGGGGCACACAAGGCAGAAGGCACGCAATTCTCTTTGATTTTTCTTGTTCCTGGGTCAGCAGGACGCCAGCCGGAGAGTCATTCAAGTTGGAGAGTGACGTTGCATGACAAGAATTCAACGGGGCTTCCGCCTCCCAAGACGACTGACCATCATCCAAAGACGATGCCAAACACCGTCAAACCAGTCCGGCGCCAAAGATTGATGACCGCTTAAGAACTGCCCAAGGATCTTTTCAGGGCTTCGTAACGCAGACAGCTCACATCCCATGGGAAGCATGTTCGATCAACATAAAGGTCATTGACATTCCTTTAAACTACAACTACTACGATGTACAACAACAGGGCAGCAAAATTACAACAACAGAATTCGAAAGCAATGCGAAGGTCGAACGACGAAGGTTGATAAGTTACATGCATGGTAACGGAGCGTGAACGTTATCATTAGGTTGAAGGTCGAATGGGTAGGTTATCTGGATCCGTAACAATTTGGCCGATGACGGGTAGCTGAGAAACGGGTGATGCTGAGAACGACTGCATCAGCTCCGATCTGATTGTAAGGATAGTCACGAACACTAACCAAAGGCCAGGACCTTACGTTTAGGCAATGACGCAGTAAGCGCCGTTTCCGGAACCACCGCCAGTCTCGAGGTCGGAGGGAACCTCGACGGAGGGTTGGTTGGTGAAGGAGGTGATGGCAGTGGTGGTGAAGGAATCCATTGGAGTTGGTTTGGGTTGGGAATGAGCAGGAGACTCGAGGGATTGGATGTAGACGGGTTGTCTGAGGAGCTTGGGTCGAGGTAGGTTCAGCTTATATAGAGAGATGGCGGTCCCCGAAGGAGTGCGAGGTACAGAACGTCATACGCCGGAAGACAATCAAACAATCGGTGGACCACAGGGACGCGGACCCACTACCTTGGTTGATTTCTGAGCAGGTAACCAACATACAATCGGCCCTAGGACGCTCTCTCACACTGATCCTCTGTGCGTAAAGTCTATTGTATCTGGTTGTCTGAACAGAGAAGGCGAGGAATACCGGAACCATAGAGTCATCCGGATCAGGCAACTCGAAGTACATGCAATGCAGTTGACCAATAACGCGCATCCCAAGCCAGACCAGTTTAATCGTCGAATTGAAGAGAGATAAGGAGAGAGAAATCATCCAGAACACAATAAAGCCTGTGGCGACTGGCCATTGAATACAATAAGTCTCGGGGAAACAACAAGTATAGTAGTACTAAGTCCAGGAGTGGGCGCTCGACGGCAGACTCTACTATCACCACCGGCGCTTACTACAAACCAGTACCCGTCATAGTCCAGGCACCCGAGCCAATCAATTCCGCTACACTCTTATTGTCGTTTCGCCCCCCGTTTTAGGTAGTCAACCAACAATAGTGACAATACGCGAGGCGCAATGCACTAGTCCTAATATGACGTCGTGTTAATGGGACCGATATGTTGATTTCCGTGTATGGTCCGTCAACGAGGCGCTTGCGAGTTGCTCTCAGGATCGTGCTGCTCACGGTTCCCAGCAACATACTTCTAAACCACCGTTAATACCCGTGAAATAATAACGGACTGAAAACCCATTTGTCTTCCGGCAACTCATCAGTTCAGCCTCTGGGTTGGGCATCAGCACCGAGGCAAGTATTTAAGCAGAAGGTTCTAAGCTTGACATTCCTCAGACAACTCGTCTACTCCTCCTCCACAAAGCCTCTTCCAGCCTAATTCAACTGATCCCAATGGATTCCTTCACCACCATCGCCTCCTTCACCAACCAACCCTCCGTTGAGGTTCCCTCCGACCTCGAGACCGGTGGTGGTTCTGGCAACGGCGCTTACTGCGTCATCGCCTAAATCCGAGCTGACTTTCTGTAAGTAATTTTGCGTGCGGCACGAAGCAGCCCCGGGGACTGACAAATTTTGAGTAAAGAGTCTCTCGTGCATGGTGTCATTATTAACCCGTCTTTGGCCACACGTCTTCAAGGAGCCAATTAACGTACCCTTCGACCTTCCAACCTAATGATCAAGTTCACGCTCGTCAAACTGCATGTAACTTATCACCACCCCTCATTCGCATTTCTTTTGTTATGTTGCTGTAATTGTTGTTGTAATTGTGTTGTCATTAATGTTGTATTATTGCTGTCATCCGCGTTGTTGCTTTTGTCGAATGCAATGTTTGCTATGAGAAGACGGTGACCGTGAGGAGCCCCTTCGGCCAGACGTCTGCGAAAGGGACTGCTTGAAGTGAACCCAAGTCATCCTCATTCCAGGTCAGGAAATGACCCACGACATAAGTGACCTTTCTGGTACCTGTATAGAGCAGGTAGTGCTCGCTGGGACGAGGGTAATCGCCCTGCGTCGGGATAAGCGCCCGCCAGCGACGCGTCCCGAAGGCTTCGTCAACGCGTGACGTAACAACCTCGTGATCGCGACTCGACAGATTCCGACGCGTCGAACCCATCTTGACGACAAACCACCACCACGACCACGAAACCTCAGGCCTCAGGAGAAGACCCTGCCTTTGCTTTATCTGGCTGCGTTTCTGCTTTCTTGCAACTGCTTTCACTTTGGAATCGCTTGACATCGAGATTTGGAATTGCTTCACATCGACTCTGCAATTCCTCCAGTTGAAATCGACACCCATAATCGTCTCGACGACCCCTCGAACCCTACCCAACTCAACCTGCAACGATGCGGTTTAGAACGACAGTACACAACGTCTCTACCTTTTTCCGTGCGTACCAGTAATCCAGCTCATCTGAAGTCCTACACCTAACACTCGAATGCTCCTCAACGTACTTCTCATTCCACTTCTCACTTCATCCTTCCACTACACACGCACCATCCCACAACGCATCCATCCTTCCGCAATGCACTCGCCCAGGCCTAATCCAAACAATCGAAAAACTCCAAAAGAGGTTCATAATCAAGTTCACAGAAACGACGATGCATATCATCTGTAACAGCGATACGAACGAGGGCGGGATTCAAGTTTGGTCGTGCGTATCCGTCTCTGTTTCTATCTCTGTCGCTTCCATCCCTGTTCACATCAATCCCCTCCCTCCCTATTCATCCCAATCCCATCCCTCCATTTCTTCTCTCTACCTCAACCATACTGACCTGACCCACAAAAACCCTCCACAGTCAAATAAAAGTCCCCTCCCTCTTCACAAACTACCGCATCCAATCAAACGCCAACAACGAAATTACGATGGTCCTCTCCTCCGAGGCTCTAGCCGGCGCACTACGTTCTGCAGCTGCGAATCCTTCGTCGGCGTTGAGTGCGGGTGGGACGAGTAACGGGGCTGCTAGTACGTACTCTCTCGTTCTGTGGTTAGTGGATATGCTGACCCTTGGCCCTTCTTCTCGTGGCTTCCCGTACCCTGTATCCCTCGACCTCCAACGCTTGAACGCTCTATGCACCCACCCTGCACCCTTCCTATCTAAACCTCCCTCGAAAACCAAACAAACCCGACAAACGCCCACCCAACCCAACCCAACCCAACCCACGCCAAACAGCAAGCACGTCCTCCTTCGAAACCGAAGAAGTCGTCATGAAACTAGTCAAAAAAAACGACATGGGTATGCTCTCCTTCGACATCCACGGCGTCACGCGCGTAGGGCGCGTCGTCAAAGTGACACACGACGTCCGGGTGGACGTGATGAAACCGACTGAAGTTGCAAAGTTGAATGAGCCGATGTGTCCTGAACCTGATGTGCGTTTTGTGTTTTTGTGTTTTGTGTTCTGGTTTTTGCTCTTGCTTCTCCCTCTGTTTCTCGCGTTCCTCTTTCCAAGACGTCCGCCCGTCTCGTTCTCAGTCCTCATTCTAACAAGACAAACTAATTCCAATCGCCTTCCAAACCCACACACAGATGACAGTCCTCCTCCCACCCCTCCACAAAATCCGAACAATCGTCGAACGACTGCGGCCCATGTCCAACATCCTCGCCGTACGCGGAAACAACGCCGGATGCCTGCAACTATCAATCAACACCGAGGGCGTAAAAGTGGATACTGAATGGAGAGGATGTACGAATCCTAAAAGTGCGTGTTTTGGTGTTGTGTTCGGTATTCCCGTGTGTTTGATTTGACGTTCCTGTGCCACATGCGCACCTTCGATACCTTTGTGTAAGCCTGTAAAACCCACAGGCTTTCTTTGCTTTTGACTCGTTGGAACCAGTGCTAATCCCCCTTTGACCCTGACTGACAGCTCAAGACATGAACGAAGACGACGAGGAAGAGAAGGACCCAGAGCAGATGCATTCGGTGCTCATCAGTATACGGAGTTTCCTCAAATTCTTGAACGTTCATTCGGTTTCGTCGACGACGATAGCGTGTAAGCCAATAGACCTTCTAGATCTATTTCAATGTCTTTTCTCTACACCATTCCTCCCTCCCTGTCACTATCCTCGTCCGTCTCCCGCCTTCTTTTCCTTCCCCTGTCGTCCTTCCTTCCCCATCGTCTGACCCACTTTCCCTATTACATACGAATACTCTTTACTGACGAACCAAACCCATTTGCAGGCGTATGCCACCACCATTGCCTCATCCTCTACGTCTACATCGGCGAAGTAGCAGACGCAGGTGGCGTACTCACGTTCTACATCCCGGCTATAATCGATGATGAGTGAAAAATGTCGATCTCGATTTTTCTTGAGAATTGGGAAAAGCCAAATACTTTTTTGTTTGGAAAATAGCCTGCAGGATAGCGATGTGCGCAGGAGGGTGACGGTACGATTCAGGAATACCGACGGTGTCCGTATATGCGCCTGGATTGGGTAGATGGGGTCCTCTTGGTCGTAGGCAGGCCGTCGAGTCTACGTGAGGGTGAACCGGCGGTGTTACGCACCCCTTCTCGGGGGTTAGTGGAGATCCCATAAAACCTACAGCGCTAGTCTCTTTGGGACCACGGGGAAACGATTGCACTACGCCGATTGATTGTCCCGAGAGGAGTATCGACGCCCCCTTCTCGTTCAGAACCCTCCCTTGTCAAGCGTATGCCGCACTTCTTTCGGAACCCCTCGCCTTCGACTCGAACGCCTCGTTACGCTCGAGCCTTTTAGAAAACTAATGTCTTCGTCATCCTCAAGCCTCGCCCCCTTTCTCTCAAACCTGCTACAACGCCAATCGCCTCTTTTTTCCTCGAGCCCGACTACAACTCGATCGTCTCTTTATGCTTGAACTTGCGTCCCGCCCTGTCGGTAGAGCGGAACCTGAACTGGTTTCCGTACAATTCGAAGGAGAGGTTGGGTACTGAGGAGACTGTTTGGGTTGGGGATGGTACGAAGGACGGTTGATCTGACGGTGGAGGGTCGGCGTTGTTGGAAGTGATGGACGTATTATTGGACGCACTGGGCGTGTTGGAGGGATCGTTGGTGGACGTAGTCGTAGCCGTAGGCTGAGTAGTATCGAGCTGAGGCACAGGATACGGCATCCCAGGTCTGAACCCCGGCGGTAGCGTAGAGAACAACGGTACCGAGAACGTGAAAATCGAGTTTTGCTTTGGTATCACTGAAGAAGTCGCGGTATGAGCGTCAATTCCAATGAGAAACACGAAAAGGACAGTATATGAATGAAATACACCGAAAGAAACTTGAGAACCGAAAACCAACCGAAAACTTGGAAAGTAGAGTAGGAAAAATAAAGAAAAGGGCACGAAAGACGCACATTTAACCGCATTCTTCTCCGTAACGACTTTAAACGCATTCTCAGTCTCGTGTACCACGATCCCCTCCAGCCCCACCAAACACGGGTTCTTCGCGTTCTTCACCTTTAGCAAGGCTCCGTGGAAATCCGCTTTGAGGAGTTTTGGATGCATTGAGGAGGACGGGGGTGCCATTTTCGCCAACGTCGAGGGTCGAATACTAGACGTGGGTGGTTGAGGGAGGTTGAGTAGTTCAGACATGTAGCCTAACCAGAGGTGGTGTAGGGGTACCAGACTCGCGAACCTATCCTCAACAAAACACGATATAAGCCGATCCATCCATAAAAAAGAAAAAGGTAGACAGACAGGACGCACTTGAGGTTCCCCGCCTTCCACAACCCCCTCTCCTCCCTCCTCCCCTTCCCACCCATCCCACTCCCACCCATCCTCGCCCTCCTCTCCCTCTCCCTCCTCCTAACCTCCCCCTTCCTCACCTCCTCCTTCTTCAACCTCGACTCCCTCGCCGGATTCTCCAACAAGATCTGCCTTCCTTTGACACGCGCATTATAGAGAGAGGTGGGATCGGAGGATTGGGTGAGCGAGGAGATCACGTAGGAGGGTGTGAAAGGTGCGGTGGAGGAGAAGGTGGTTGTTGTTTTGGATTGGGAGAGCTGTTGGTGGTGTTCGGTGGTACGGGTATGGGTATGGGGGAGTACGATACCGGAAGGGATGGTGGTGGATAATAGTGGTCGTGAAGGAAGAAAGAGATAATGAACATTGGTTAGTCCAATACCAACCAGGTATTATGTACACGTACTTGTTTCGATTTAAACGGAATAGGCGCGTAGATATCAATCGTCGGCTGCGCCATGGTGGCTGAACGAAAGAAAGCCCGCTCCGCGTCCGCTTCCGTCGATCGCATATGATGACAGGCTCGATTCTCAATCTACTACAAGTTTATTCCTTCTAGTCCCGTGAACCAGACTCTCATTATCCACCTCGAGACTCCTCCAAGCATGTACCATCGCGTACTTCTCAAAATTACACATATGTCGTCGATACGAGAGACAAAAAAACACAGGACTATATATATGTGGTATGCATCAAGGGGGAATCGAACCCCCGGCGGATCGAGCTAGTCGACGCGAGTGGCAACGATCCAGGTTACCACTACCCCATTGATGCGATACAAAACCCATCATTATCAGCCGTCTTCTGCCTGAGCATCGAGGAGAGGTGCGTAAGCGCTCGTAGAGAAAGAATGATACGGCGTTGCACTTGCGAAGTAGCACCTTCATCGGATACCCAAAAGCAACATGGTGATTCAGATACTTCAAAACTGCGCATTGAGTAAAGGATATCCCAAAAGTAATAGATTAACGTATAGATAACTAGTCCGATGGCTGAAGCACTTCATTCACTTCCAGAGGTCAAGATTTGGAAAGACATGCCTAACCCACGAATCAAGTTAACATGAACCAAAGTTAACGAGCCACAGGAGCAGGCGTAGCACCCGGGAACTCCGGTACCTTCCTCGTCTCAAACCCACCAACCGAGTCCACCCCCCTCCTCCTCAACATATCACTAACACCAACAGTAGGCAACGTCACACAATTGCTACTCGCAGGCGCCGGATGCGGGGGCGGCGTCGGACTCACGCCCTGGTACCACGTCGACGTGCCATCATAGACACCCATAGGCGTAGCAGGATCCCCCTCGCACTCCTCAAACACCCCGCTGTTGTAATTGGCGGGCATGTTCCACCAGCAGCCCATCACATCGTAGATGTGGTTGCAGAGCTGTTTGGCCCGTGGGCCGATGCAGGCGCGGATGCAGAATTCGCGGTCGGAGATGAATTGCGTCCATTCGTTGTATTGCAGGCCGTTGACGAAGGTGTTGCCGAAGAGGAGACCGCCGACTAGCAAGGCTGGTCAGCACAGCTTCCCTCATCGAAAGCGAAGGAGACTTACTAGGATTACCCTTGCCATCTGCACCCTTGTTATCAAGTTCTCCTCCATCATCACCAGCAGGGATGTTCAAGTTGGTAAAGTCACCGGTACCAGTGATCTGAACGTACTCGGGCGTCCTAACGAAATGAACACCAGTAAGAGTACCATCAGGAATGGACCTCGTTCCACGTCCATTCTTGGTGCAATACGCGACTGCGACGCGCTCAGTGTTTCCAACAGGTCCATGCCAAGGAGGTCCCCACAAGCAGAAATCAGTGGCGGAACTAAGCAGCGAAGAAGTCACGAATCAGACTCGAATCATCACAAGAGAGAAGCTGAAAACATACTTGATCCAAGAAGTTTGACAATTGGAGTTCTGGTCATTACCGCCTCCACACTGATTAGTCCCATATTGCCCATTCTGCGATTGATACGGGAGCGCGTTGGGCATATACCCAGTGCTCCAAATCTGGTTAGGATTCTTATCCCAGCAACCCCAAACTTGGACCTAAACACCAATACGAAGAAAAAGATTTCATCAGCACATCTATCCACATCCACATCCACACATCACCCCCTGCACACAAGAACGCATCCACAAATCGCAGACAAAACACCCACCTGATTACCATCATCCTGAATCCCATCCGTAACGTCCAAACATCTCCACCTATCCGTCCAGGACAACGTGTTGCTCCACTTGTCGTACCACCAGTTCTGGTTGGGGTTGCCAGGAGAGCATGTCCAGACTTGCAGTTTGGTTCCGTCAGCATTGACGCCGTCGGTAACGTCCAAGCACATGTTGTTGGCCGTTTGGACGAGACCGTTGTTGCCCGTGAACACCCACTTCTGGGAGGCGGCGCCAGTGCAGGTGGAGATGACGACGGGCGCGCCGTCGTGCAACGCGGAGGCGGTCAAGCATTTGTCTGTAACGCGCGCCAAGGAATATGTGAGGGGATGGTGGGCAAGGATGAGAGATGAAACGCACTGTCGTTGATGGAGGGACGAAGCAAGAGTTCGCCGGTGTACTCTGGAAGCTGCGCTTCAACAATTGTGCTGAAAGCAGCGAGCGACACAAAGGTCGCCAACAAGGATTTAATCATCCTGATTAGATAGATTCAAAAGAATGTGGGTTAGCTCGCAGTTCAAAGGAATGTAAGTTATTCGTTGGAGGCCCAACGAACGGGGGGATAGCACAGAGAGAGACAGAAAGGTCGAGTAGACAGAGGAGTCTAAGGAAAGAAAGGGAAAACTGTCGTGTCGCTCGCCTTTTTGAATGGACGCGCGGCGGTAATTGATTAGTGTTTTGAATTTCATTTTCCATCACAACATCCGTCAAGTGGCTTTTGAAACGTCCGAGAAGACCGCCCATGAAACCTGTCGTGGAGTCGGCAGGGGACACACTTATCCACAATGCATAGGCCATCGCAGAGACTCATAGTCGTGAAGCGCATACCGACAACGCGACCGAAGGTTGTCGCGAAGTTCGCCTCCTTCGAAGACGCGACTTGAAAGTTGGAGGCGACAATGGGAAAGACCTCTCAGGGTCCGTTCAATTAGGCTGTAGCTTTTACCTCGACATATGTATTGATGAATTAGGCTTGCCGAATAGTCCCTGGTGGGTTAACATGCCGTGATGATATAATTGGGACGCGTATCAGTGGACCTAGCGAGCCTAGGATTACCAGAAAACCAGAGAGTCCAGTCGACGCAGGGAGCGTCAAGAGAGCACAAAGCACACGCCGCCTAGCGTCCAAAAGCCCCGGCGACCGCATGGAGAGAGCCCAAGAAGTGATGAGACGGTGCAAAGTGCTCAGCGCGCTTAAATTCTGGGGAAATCAAGATGCCAGCGCAACGAGGGGTTCGTAAGCTTGGCCCTAAGTATAGAGCGGCGGGAGCAGTAGCGGGGAATGTCCTCCGTGTGGATCTCAGTCGCGACGATGAACATGCTGACCTCGCCTTTTGATCTGGACGATGAGGGAACAGAATGGGACCATCGCAGGCGACTTGGGGGTTCGTTTGCAAGAGTGCTGGGGCGGGACGGGGGTCCAAGAGAAATGGAAGGAGGATGCCGCGGCTCGGAACAACTGAGAACCAAATTCTTTGATCTTCCCATGCCCCTATTTATAGAACAGACTTCACCCCTTTCGGAAACTCGACGCCGCCTCCGATGACACGTCGCGTCCAATTTATCTTGACCGTGTCCTTTTCCGTCAGCCGCCAGGCTTCACAGTGCTTCTACTTACCTTGAACTCGAAAAATGAACGCCCCAGCACGCGTCACTATGTCAGTGAAGAGGAGGAAAGAGCTATGTGTAGCGAGCTCTAGGCGCCTTGTGGTTAACGACAATCATTGCAGGACGGCATACACACCCTTTTCCGATCGCTGGAAAAGTAGCTGACTTACCCATTCTAGCTTCTTGGGTCAATCAGTGACGGCACGAATGGAATATCGTGCCATCGAGGGTACCGAAGATCGTCTAGTTGAGACCCTAATAAAAGGGGATCACTGGCGTTGGAGGGTGCCAGCACCTTCTACATCCCTGACCATCGGTCTGCCGCCTTTGTGTCAGCCACCTCCAATCCTTACAGCCCTCCGTTCTCCGTGTCATTCCTTCCCCTCCCTACGTTCCTTCCTTACATTGTCAACCTTATTCCTTCTGTGATGCTCTCGAAGGCATTTACCACCCTTGCGTCGCTGGCTGCGCTGGCCGTCGTTGCCCAGGCGCAGACACCGGAGTGCGTTGGCCTGAGTCTTCTCTGCTAAATAATGGCTGACCTTGCCCTCCAGATACATCGGACAACTACTGCTTCGCTCAGCCATCAACGACAGTGAGTCGTTATGACCATTCGTGCACCACTCCCAACGCTAACAGCGATCTCTCTTTCCTCCATCCAGACAAATGCTTGACAGCAACCGCCGACCACGACGCCGCCCCCGTTGTAATCCAACCTTGTACCGGCGCCCCCAGCCAGAAATGGACCTTCACCGAAGGCACCGTCCGCGTCTTCCACAACAAGTGCTTGGACGTTATCGACGGCGCCGATCGCGACGGCACCAAACTCCAGATTTACACCTGCGCCCCTCATAATCCCAACCAGCATTGGTACTACAACAAGTGGGAAAACAAATTGGAGTGGAACGGCAGGGGCAAGTGTGTCGAGTTGCCCGATGCGAACACTGCCGATGGTACCCAGGTGAGTCGTGCCACTCCTCGTTTACGAGTAGTGGTTTCTGACGTGAGGTGGTGTAGGCCCATATTTGGGGATGCTGGAAGACGCCGAAGCAGACTTGGAACACCGGTTACATGCCCAACGATCTCCCACGCCAATCTCAGCACGGGCAGTTCGGCACTAACCAGTGCCATGGCGGCGAAGACTCCAATTGCCAAACGTCTTGGATCAAGTGAGTCTTCGCGCCCTCCTCATTTCCCAGATGGCTGATCATCTTCCTTCGATAGCTCGGCAACTGATTTCTGCCTTTGGGCTCCCCCTACACTGGGCACCGTCGGTGCCCTAGAGCGTGAAGTCGTCGCCTACTGTACCAAGTCTGGCCGTGGCGCTCGAACCATTCCCGATGGCACCCTCACTGGTGTCCACTTCGTCAAGACCCCTGATTACGTCCAAATCACCGGAACCGGCGACTTTACCAAGTTGAACATCCCAGCTGGCGACTGGGGAGGAGAGCTCGATAACAAGGGTGGAGATGCCAAGGGTAACCCCAGTAAGTTCCCGCCATTCGTCACAACCTGAAGTCGACTGTTCTTACCTTTTCTTTTAGTCGGTGGTCTTATCTTTGGCAACTCCTTCGCCGATGGTCTCCAATACAACGAGTGGACCGAGTTCATCTCCGACAAGGAGTTCTGCATTCGCGCATGCACAGGTCCCCGGGCTAAGGAACTCTGCAACCACATCTACGACACCATGGGATGCTGGTGGAATATGCCCGCCAACTACGATTCCGGTGTTTTCGAGGAGTGCGAGGGCGATTCCGCTACTCCCATGGGTGTGTACGATGGCACGTCGACGTGGTACCAGGGCGTTAGCCCCACTCCTTCGGCCCACCCTGCTCCTGCTTCGAGCAACTGTGTCTCTCTCCCCACCGTTGGCGTCAGCCCGTTGTTGAAGAAGAGGGGTGTTGAGGGCGTTCCTGGGTTCAACAAGAAGGTTTCTGTTCCGGAATTCCCTGGAGCAACGCCCGCCCCTGTCGCTCGTTAATTTGCAAGCTGCATCGGCTGCGCTGGTTGCAGTAGCCCTCATCATCTCGACGTATATTAACCACTCTTAATTTGCCTAACTTACTTGTATTTGGTTAATGGTCGTAATGGGCTCATCTTATTTGGATTCCTCGGGCGATTCATCTGACTGATATGAGGGGAGGTGACACGACCTCCCATACTGTACAACACATTGAATTCAACGAACAGAGCGAGTACAAACGTCAACAATTACAACAACAGCGAAGACAGCGGCAATTACAACAACAGATCGAGAGAAATGCGAATGAGGGCGTGATAAGTTACATGCGGTTGCGAGCGTGAACTTGATCATTAGGTTGAAGGTCGAAGGGTATGTTAGTGGTTCCGTGAAAGTGTTATGGCCGAGGACGGGTGGGTGATGATACAATGCACGAGCGGCTGCTGTAGAAGGTCGTCAACTCCCCTGTCCCAGTAGGACAGTAAGCTACTTACCAAAAGTCGAAGCCCAGATTTAGGCGATAACGCAGTAAGCGCCATTTCCAGAACCGCCTCCAGTCTCGAGGTCAGAGGGAACCTCGACGGTGGGCTTGTTGGTGAAAGAGGCGATGGTGGTGAAGGAATCCATTGGGATTGGTTGGCTTAGCTTGGAGTAGCTTCGAATGAGGCTTAGTGAAGGAGTAGTAGACGAGTTGTCTGAGGATTGTCAAACTCAGAAGGTTCTGCTTAAATATTCGCGTCGGTACTGGCTCCCACCCAGAGGTTGAACAGCCAAGTTGCCGGAAGACAATGGACTCTCAATTCTTTATTATTTCACGGAGAAAACGGTCTTTTGGGGGTATACTACTGGGAATCGCGGTCGAGCACGAACTTGAGCTCCCGGTACCAGCTGACCAGTGCCTCTTCGATTACCCATACACGGAAATCAACATGTCAGTCGCATTATCACGACGTCATATCAGGACTAGTTCCTTTCCCCTCAGGTATTGTCTCTTTTGTTGATGCACTGCTCGATTTGGGGAGAAATGACAATAAAAGAGTATATTGCCTCGGGTACCTGAACGATGATCGATGCTCTGCAGCAAGCGCCGGTGGAAATGAAGGGGTCATTAGACGCCCGTTCCCCCAACCTGCTACCAGATCTTTGTTTGCCCGATCATTTCGACATAATTCAATAAAGGTTGTGCAAGAATCTATTGTTCTCCGAGCTACACGGTTAATACTCCTAGTAGGAGGTTCTGTATTCGAGGAGTAAGCGAGTCCAGTGCAGTGTGTGCTCTAGCTCGATGACATCAAAAGTTCAAACTGCCCGATCCGTTTCAGACAATCAGATTACAATAAACCTGAAGCGCAGGGAAAGCGTGGTTTAACAGCGTGGTACATACTTAGGTCCGACTGCATGTTGATAGCCTGTTGAGAAACCCTTCCGAGTTCCACCTCGCTGCCCTCGGTCGGTCCCTGTCGAAGCGGTAGTACGTAGCCGCCGAGTGTTTGATTGTCTTCCGGTGAATGGCCTTCCGAAATTTACACTCCTTCTGGGACAGCCATCTCCCTATATAAGCTGACTTTACATCGACTCAAGCTACTCAGACAGCTTGTCTATCCCATCCAGTCCCCCGAGTCCCCAACTCAAACCCAACCCAAACCAACTCAAATGGATTCTTTCGCCACCATCACCTCCTTCACCAACAAGCCCTCCGTCGAGGTTCCCTCTGACCTCGAGACTGGCGGAGGCTCCGGAAATGGTGCTTACTGCGTCATTGCTTGAACTCGTGCATCAGCATCGTGTAGGTCTCCTCGTGTTCTCCCAGTGAAGTCGGAACTGACCGAGTCCCGCTTCGTTCTCAGCATCACCCGTTTTGTGCATACCCGTCCTTCGGCTACATTTTTACGGATCCAGATAATCTACCCCTTCGACCTTCAAGCTAATGATAACGTTCACGCTCCGCTCCAATGCATGTAAGGTAGTTCAAATTGACGATCCACGAACGTCACGTGACCTCTCATTTGGCGGGGGATGCTCGAAGAAATGCGAATGGCGCTGGGGCATGGGCATGTATGGCCCTATGTAGGTTATGAATACCTTACGATAGCTAATACCTAAAACTCCTTGGAACCAGATTTTTAAAATAGGCAATTTGGAACGAAAATATGACATTCTAATGTGAGCATTTATAGACCTTCTTCTCCCTCACGTAGCTTGGGCAATGGCGATTATTTAAAAATTCTGGTTCCAAGGAAGTCTTAGGTATACCTCTATCTTTCAATTTAAGCATATTATCTGTAACTCACTGCCAAAATGCAAGCGCCATTCACATTTCTTCGAGCATCCCCCGCCAAATGAGAGGTCACGTGACGTCACCCTTCGACCTTTGCATTGCTTTCGAAATCTGTTGTTGTAATTTTGCTGTTCTGCTGTTGTATATCGTAGTTATCGCCTCTACACCGTGTTGTATTACAACCAATGACACATGGCCCTTATGTTGGTTGAATATTGCTTCCCGTGAATCTCGAGTCCCCATTCAGAGCAAGAGTGCCCCTGTTTCTCTTTAGCGCCCGTCAGGCTTGGCGCAGAGCTCGATTTGGCAGTGTTTGGCATCATCGTGGAACTCCCGAGTTCGACTCTGGTCGCTTGCGACCCTTCCGCTTGGTGGCTGCCCGCCATATTCCTAATTCTCGATGCCACGGCCACTGCTCCACGACATTCTGCTAACTCTCGACACCCGCGCGTCTGCCTCGCTCACCCGAATGGATCAGCTCGCATCCCTCAGTGGGTCTGCCTGACAAACCATGTATTGGATAGTCGATGAGGACCATCTTGGGCAAATTTTGGATTTCGTCTGTGTCAGGAGCGGTACCAATTACCACCCAAGGCCTTCCCCCACGCTCATATCAACTGAATGGAACGACGCCGCATCTATTGTCCCTTCCGAGCGCGCTCCGCCTGGTACCTCGCAGGCACCAGAGTCGGAATGTGACGTCTTAGACGTCCACAGTCCCTGCTCTCTTGGCCACTCTACATAGCTGTTGTCTTTTTGTCTCCTTTCAGGTATTATTAGTACCGAGCCGTCCACCTCGTCATCCTGCGCTGTATAGGTTAATTTCTAATTGTTCCTCACGCTCGTGGTCCCCACCATTGACAATGCCTCCAGGAGGACAATAAACGAAATCTCTTGCAGACTTGCCCTTTTGGCTTCCGTCTCCAATGCAGTGTGTTACATGCATCGAGCTTGGTTCGATTCAGTCGACCCACTTGTTTGCTTCTGGCCTAGGCTTTTTCTGTGCAGACCACGGAGAAGACCGACGTTAATTTCCGTTGAAGAATAAGCACTTATCTCTTTGTCTTCCGGCAACTCGTGCTAGAACCTTAGCATCCCTTCTGGCCACTAGAAGTCTAGCTTGATTTACCGAAGGTCGTTGCGGATGGGTATATAAGCTATCCTGTACTCACTTTCATTTCCTCAGACAGTTCGCCTAGTCTCTCCAGCCCTCTCCAGCCCCCTCTCTAATCAATCAAACTCTCCCTTACCAATGGATTCCTTCACCACCATCACCTCCTTCACCAACAAGCCCTCTGTCGAGGTCCCCTCCGATCTCGAGACCGGCGGAGGTTCTGGAAATGGCGCCTACTGTGTTATCGCTTAAATCAGGTGTGTTCTCTTGCTCTTTCATACCGAGATGTGATACTCAGATGCTTGCAGTGATGATACACCCTTCAGAAACGACCATCGTAGCCCTATCCACCAAGCTACCCTAACTCATTCGACTTCATCGCTAATCTGCTTTTTAATCCGTCGATATTCATACCTCGGTCCCCATTTACTGGACTACGTTTCCAGTTGTAAATTACCTTTCCGACACCCTTTACTTTTCGCCTTTGTTTAGGTTAGGAACGATGTTGTATCTGTATCGCCATTGCTTTAATGGAGTTTAATACTTGTTGAAATCCATTTTTACGCTGTTTCACGACTCATGCTTGACCCATGCGGCTATTCTCAGATTGGGCCTATTGGGACAACGGCTAGAGAGGCTGATCGCGCTCCGATTTGTTGAAGAGAATGTACCGCTTTTGAGTCTGGTTAGAGACAGGTTTACGGATTGGACGCAGAACACTATGATGGCGGGTCGGAAACCCGACATACATACATAGAAACGCACCATGCTCGTAGGTGCTCCGATACCGAGAGACTCTTGCAGTGGACACCATTCAGTAGGCAGTCGAGCGTTAGAGGCTTGTTTTTGCAAAGTTTCCTGTTTTGATTTCCCCAAACTAATTGCTACATATTACAAAAGGTCGTCGACGAGCTATGTCATGGTAATAACATCAGTACTAGAAATCCTCAGCATGTACGCATATGCTGTGAAGTTCCCAACGTCTACTAAAAGGACCTTTCGACAGGTTTTATTAAACTGTTAGAAAACCTTGACGTATAATGAAAAAATGAGATGAAAAATCCGAAAGACGAATAAATGAATGAATGAATAGGATGAATGATGAGAGGGACAAGAGATGAGATGGAAATGGGTATCAGAAAGGATCGTGCTTGAGTTGATTTTGCGAGTGCGAGGTCTTGAGATCGAGGTATAGAGAGAGCGAACGAAGCAAGCGATTGATAATTTAGCACTTTCGCCAGATGAAGGAGGCGTCCTGAGGGAAGAAGCGTCATTTAGTTTCAACCCAAGCCTGGATAGAGAAAGAGCATGGTTACTTACAGTCGAGTTGCGCACAGCAATGTGTCCCCGAGCATTCGAGTTGCCGTTGTCAATACGAAGAGAAGTATTAATGCCAACGATGGCAGAAGAGCCGCAGGGACTCCAGATGGTGGGGGAGAACTTGTGGGTGACGGTACCGGAGCCGCTTGCTGGGCCGGAAACAGTCGCGCTACCAGTTGCCTGGTCGAGTTGGCCCTGGACTATTAAATACATCGTGATAAGCCTCGGATCCTTGTCATCGAGGAAACATCACATACAGTAGTAATAGGTCTTGGAGATAGCATCAACCTTGGAGTCGACAGCATAGGCAGTGTTCTACAAGAAAGGAGGTGATGGATCAGCACCCGAGAACGACGTGATGTCAACAAGAAAGGACATCGACTAACCAAAACAGTCTTGTCAAAGGCGAATTGGTAGCCAGCGGGGATATCGACGTCGAGGGTGAGTTGGCAGTTGGTTCGGCCCTCGCTGAGGTCAAAGGTGGGGCCGGCGTCGGCACGGAATTTGGCGAAGAAGAGGGAGAGGCTGTCGTCCTCTGTTGAACGCGCGGAGGTTATTAGCATTGATGACGAGGGAGACTGAGAGATGGACGTGATATGTCCATGTCATTTACTTACTGTTGACGCGTCCAACGACAGTTCCTGGAGGGCAGCCGGTACCAATGGCACCAACGCTCTTCCTGTAGACGTCAGGGTGATCATGATCAATGGCTAGTCAACATAGAGACATGGTGAACTCTTACAATTTGAGCTCAGCACCGTCAGCAGCAATAGCCCCGAGGGCGAGGGCAGAGATGGCAGCAAAGCGAGCGAGTGAGGAGACCATTGTGATGATGAGTTGGTGAGAAGGGGAGAAGAGGGCAAAGGCTCGTCTGAAGTATACAGCTGCGGGCGTGGATGTGGGGTGAGTTACTACGCGTCTTCAACTCTCCCCACCTCCTTAAATCCTTTTTTCGACAAAGGGGCAAAGGCCGAAAACGCGCCTTTCCGAAAAAGCAAAAGCGGTCATAACACAGCATAACACCCTCTCCCCCCGCCAACCGACGAAAGAAGTCGGCCATAAAGGGCAAGTCTCATCCATACACTCGTACCTGCGAGATCTCCTTCGCCTAAAAACAAGGCGTATCAATGTAATTGCTAACGTTACCCACAGGAACGTCACCAAAACCGCACACTTGCAGGATTGGTGAGGAAATAGAAAGTCACACCCCCGTACTTCCACCACTCGGATAAAGTATGGAATAACGCTGGAAACCACCGTAGAGCGCGCAACCTGGAAGAAATAAGCTTGTGAATTCTATCTTCTTTCAACTTGATACCCACGGTATATACCAGTCGTGATCGGGTGGAATTTGGAGGCTTTTAAAGAGGATTAAGAAGTAGGTGGAGATTTTTGACGAAGAACGGAGATCATCGATCAGGGCACTAATGAGTATACGTGAAATGGAAGTGGAGAAACCGCATATGACCACATTGACCCCGCCCCAGCTCGAGGAAGATGTACGCCCAATTAAGCAAGGGCGGAGTGAAAACTCGAATCCCCTGTCAGATGACATGAGGTCTATCACTGAAACCGTCACGCAATGTCGAGGTTACGCACCACCGACAGTCAAATAGCCTTCGATTCCTCCGCTCCTATTTTTATCTACACCTTTCCTACACTATCGGAGCTTGGCCAGGATCGAGTCTGGGACGAGAGCTCGAGGGTCTATGGTATGGGGGGTTATAAAGCGGCCCTGATAACAATACAGAATACTCACGATCCTCGTTCATCGGTTTGGAAAAGGGCCTCCCCCTTAGAAATCAGCGCTTCTTTCATCGAGAATGCCCCGAGAATAAGTCCTCGTGGCACGAAAGAACTGCGTCAGAGGGGAGTTAAGTGGATTGCAGGACGACCACGGAACACTCACGCACCTCCTTCTCAAGGAGGCACTAGCAATTAGACCTAGGTCCGCGCATGCGTGACGTCGTTGAAGGACGCCCGTACCATCCCCCTGGTCTCTAACTACGTTTTTTAGCATTTGGATTATTCCGAAACATCTACGCTGGATGGAACTTACAACTGGAACGTTGTATGTCATGCAGAGCCTAGTCGGGCTTGACACACCCCGCGCTGAGCGAGGTACATCCGCTCGCAGGCACCCCCGACTGATCTTCCCGCTTCCCGTACCTCTTGTGGGGTACTCCACCAAGTCCATTGCTAGGCGCTTCTCTTGCATGAAATAAGCGATCTGGCTTTAAGCACCTCCTTGATGGATCCTGGCTATCGAATTGCGCGTGGAGTCGGAGTTCTGTGATACTGTGAAATCTCATTTTTGACTATGCCGGGACCGAGCTTCTTCCCGCTTCGCACCGCATCGCGTTTAGAAATAGAATCGAAGGGGTAGAGAAGGGGCGCAAAGCAGTGAACTCATTAGCGAAACAGCCTGGACTGACTGAATTGGAAGAAGCTTTGGTAACGGGGAGAAAAGGGAAACTTTTTTCAATCGTTTATATCCGCCATCGCCCCACCTAGCAATACGAATGGCGGAAAAGCTGAGAGCTGAGACCTCCGTTTGGGCGATCTTCAATCCCCAATGACGATTCATCGTTCGACAACGAGGCAACGAGGCGATCACCAGTATCTTTGTATGAGAAATTGGGTGGGCCAAAGGTGGGCGACTCCCACTGGCGGCCATGAGCAGCGAGGGAGTCCCAAGGAATGGGCTGGAATAGGACAACGCACCGAGGACTGCGTTTCCCCTTTCTGGGTATAAAATGCCCACCCCAGCACCGGCCTCCCACACCAATAAAAAACCACAGGTCGCGGAGAAGGCCGCCGCGGCCATACCCCAATCCTCACCTGTCTGCACCTGTAATCATATTCAACATCCCACAGGCCAACCTAGAATCCCTCGCCTAGTCAATATACCCACATGAAGAGGGACAAACACAGAGAGTTAAAACTCCAGCGAACTTCCTGGTCGCTACATAGCCCATCCTTCTTTACGTGCGATTCGTGCGCGCATAGCGCTGCTTCGAGCCACTTTATTGCCATTTTTGCATGTGGGACGGGGCCTGGTGGACCCTGCCGAGGGAAAAAGAAGGAGGAAGTGCACGGTTTATCCGCCATCAGCCCTGATTAACCATGGATAATTCTACTGAGTCTATTCCAGTCTGTTTTCCCCCTGTAAAGGTCTTCTATTTCGTTCAATTGTGGGGCGATAAGCGCTGCATTTCTGCCCTGGACCAATTCCATAGAACGTTGGCGGCGTTATAGCACGGTGAGTACCGTTCATTGTATTGCCGGCCTAATTCTGAAAGAGAGGAATTAACGAAATGAAGAGGGTAAGCCTAGGACAAACGAGGTACCCACATCACTATGTGTACAAGTTTAAACCTCCAAAAAGTCGTCCTCCTCTTCTACCAGCATTTCTAACAGCTTGAAGAAACTCGCTACGGGGAAACCCACGACGTTGTTGTAGTCGCCCTCGATCTTGCGGATGAGGACACTACCGAGGCCCTAGCGAGATATAAAACAGGTAAACTTCCATTTGGAGCAAGAAAACGAGTAATTGGCGTCAAGTCGAGTCCCGCCACATACCTGGATAGCGAACCCGCCTGCTCTATCAATCCCTTCCCCATTCTCGACGTAAGCCTCCAATAGGGACTGTGGGTTGTCCGCAAAGTACACCAAGGTTCGTTCGTCGATTGATCTGTCATTGAGAAAATGGTGACATGTCAGATCTCTGCACAGTGCCCATCGTCAAGGGCGAGTAAAAGGATCGATCGACGCACTGGACTTTATATCCCGGGCTCTGGAGCACAGGCCAGACGACGACGACGCCCGTGACGACTTCACACACGTTCCCGTTCAGATCGAGCAGCATGCGGAGATGGTCCTCCTTGTCTCGCGGTTTTTCGAGAACTTCTTGGGGTGAGGGGCCCAATGCTGAAGACAAGACGGATTGGGAAACCGTGGAGGACGTTTCGGGTGCGTGAGTGAGTACGACGGTGTCAGCTGTATCGGCTGGTTAGACTGTATTTGGTTCTCGATATTCAGCCGGATAAGTACCTGCGATAACGAGATCGGGTGCGTTATCAGGTTCAGATTCCTGTTTAACATAGGTCAGAGTGCGTTGTTTTGGCTATTGAAGAGTCTACTGACGACTAGCCTCTCATACACCTCAATCGCCTTATGCGTCGCCGTCGCAACGGGATATTCATGGATCTGGTGTGCATACCCGCTAATAGGTAGGTTCTCCTGGAACGTCGATGGTACGATATCCGGTTCTAATCCCTGTTACACGTCAATCCATGCCTCTTGTAAGAGAATATTACAGGAAATGGGACGCACGAAAAACGCACAATGGTGCGGAGAATCTCCTTTCTCCTGGGACTGTTCGATGCTAGTACGATGCGTTTATCCTTTAATTTCTCAATAGATGCGGTTTTGAGGGCGTGTGCCAAGACGTTTTTCGACATGGTTTGCAGGACTGTTGTTGATTTCAATGGGAGGAGGTGGCAAGCGACTTGGTCATGGTTAGGTTAGCGCCCGCCGCTCGGGGATTGCCGTGTCCACGGATCTCGTGACTAGCGGAGCCCAAAATTTGAAACCCCCGTCCAGAGGCGCCAAACTGTAACTTCGTTACTCTGTCATATGCCTAATAGTCGGTAAACTGTGAGTCTCCTTCCGCCATTAGGGTTGTCGAAGACACATCTAATACCTGACTTTCTCAGTACTATGTATTGTTCCTGGAAAGCTGGGCGTGAAGCCCAGTATGAGAGTTGCTCATTGCTCAGATTATGAACATCTCTTCGACCTCGCGACTTGGGTGACCTTTTTTGTATTCCCAAAAGTGTTGGGCTCTATGATGACCGGCGCTACCCTCTTCCTTCAATGCAAGGCCTCCAAGGAATGTGAAGCTGTCATGAGAACCGTTGATGAATCCTGTTATCTACCCCGTCCATGATGGCACCACACAACCCCGCCGAACATCAATATCCAACCTCTCGACTGCAACGATTGCAGGCGAGGCCTGCTCCAAGGGTACGCTATCTGCTTTGACTAAAATCCTCGAATATTACTTATAATCCTCCTTATAGCCACCATCGACCTTTGGAGGCCCCCGCGCCAAGTTCTACAATGGCCTGCGGTCCCACCGAGGTCACCGTTGTCAATACCATGTAGCCCCACATTCCTGGCGACATCGTTACAATCAGAGGCGCAACTTCCAATATCAGTGTTTACATCCTCGAAGAGAACATGCGCCCGGTCCCGATTGGCGAACCCGGGGTAATGGAGGGCGGCGGGGTTGGGTTGGTATCACCAACGGGCTGCCTCGACCTGCCTGACATGACCGCTGAACGATGCGTCCCCGATCCAGATACGGATAGAGGGCACCTCGTTATGCTCTGCCTATTTTGAGTCGGCTTTGGATAGTTCATGGGCCCCTAGCTCGATGACAATACTGGCGACTTGTAGTACGCCCTCGATTTCATTTTTTGAATCCCAGGCTTGTTGTGCTTACTTCGAGCTTTTAGACGATCATATACGACGACACTCTGGTTCACCTTGGAACGATTGACAAGCGTGGAATCAGATGGGACTGCTACAGCTATGGAGGAACGTTGTCTTTGGGCTTCGGCCTTCGGAATCTTGGCGGGAGACCTATCTGCATGGATTAGACATGCCCGGGAGTCCAGGCTAATGCTCTCTGGCCGACGGGGAGCTGTGGGGCTTGGCTACCCCCCGCCTCCTCTGAATCCTGAAGCTATTAAAGCAGCAACACTCATGGTTCAACTTCACTGCACTGTCCCAACCTCAGCTTGGACGGGTTCCCTGAGACAGCAGTCACACTTCGCGTCTTCAGTGCTCTAACCTATCTCCTCCTGGACACTGGACAGTACCGAAAAAACCGACAAGAAGATCCCGCGACAAATGGCGAACCAAGAGGAGAAGTCCACCAAGGCTCCGGCCCAGAATGCCGCCTGGGTCAACCTCCCGACTACCGTCATCGCTCCGCCAGCTGCGGCTCAAGCTCCCACCCTCCCCCACCGGGCTTCGGAAAGGAGTTTGGCGACTACGGCTGGGTCTACGCAGGTCGACTCGTCGGCGTCGTCAGCTCTGGAGAAGGCGGAGCATGTCTGGTCTGGATACCTAGAAGACGAAATCCCCGAGAAGACTCAAGGTCGCATCGTCCGCAACCTCCGCTTCCAGATCTTCAACCTCTACAGGCGTCTCTTCTCCGTCGTCTTCATCACCAACATGGCCGTGCTCATCTGGATCCTCGTCACCAAGGAGTACGATGCCCAGAGGCTTGGAGGAATTGTCGTCGCCAACGTTTTCATCGGTGTCCTCATGCGTCAAGAAATCGTCATCAACACTCTTTTCGCGATCTTCACTAGTGTTCCCAGGTCGTGGCCTTTGAGCATCCGACGTGTTTGCGCGAGGATTTATACGCTCGGTGGTATTCATTCTGGTGCTGGTGTTTCCGCGTTTGCTTGGTTGGTTGCCTTTACTGCGCAAGCCACCAAGGAGATGATGAACAAGGGAAAGGTGCGTTCTCTCATACCTACTCATAGACATATACTGAATCTCATCTGTGACAGACTTCTGTTCGCACTGTCGCGGTCACCTATGTCATCTTGGCTGAACTTCTCGGTATCCTCATCTTCGCCTATCCCGCCCTCCGAAGGAAGATGCACGACACCTTCGAGCACACTCACCGACTCCTCGGATGGTCCGCCCTCGCGTTGGTCTGGATCCAGTTCATGTTCTTGACCATCGACTACCTGCCCGAAGGACAAACCCTCGGCCAGGTGCTTGTCAAGTCTCCCCACTTCTGGCTTGTCATTATCTTCACGGGTAAGTGATTGCCTTCGGTGTTTCTGGTGCAGAGTAAATATCTAATTTGCGCGTGGTAGTTTCCATCATCTGGCCATGGCTCCGTCTCCGCAAGGTTGAGTGCCGCCCCGAGATCCTCTCTAGCCACGCCGTCCGACTCTGGTTCGACTACGGTGGTATGTCCACTTACTTCTATACCCGTTCTTCATCTCAGACACCTGATTTTTTCTACCAGTCACTCCCGATGCCGGCACCTTCGTGCGTCTCTCCGACTCTCCTCTGAAGGATTGGCACAGCTTCGCCTCGATCGCCATCCCCGGCCGCACCGGGTACTCCGTCGTCATCTCCCGCGTCGGCGACTGGACGTCCAAGCACATCAACGACCCACCGACCAAGATCTGGACCAAGGGTGTTCCCACGGCCGGTGTCCTCAATGTCGTCCCCATGTTCCGCCGCGCGGTCATCGTTGCTACTGGATCGGGTATCGGACCCTGCGCGCCCGTCATCCTCCAGAAGAAGATCCCCATGCGCGTGTTGTGGACTGCCCCGAATGTCCGGGAGACGTTTGGTGATAATTTGTGTGATTGTATTTTGGAGGCGTCGCCAGACGCTGTGATTTATGGTGAGTGGTTTTGGGTTGGTTTGGTTTTTTTTTATGGGGATGCTGATGCAGGCTTGTAGATACTCGCAAGCATGGCAAGCCGGATATGGTTAAGCTTGTGTTGAGGCTTGTTAAGGAGTTTGATGCTGAGGCTGTTGTTATTATTTCGAACCAGCCGCTCACTGAGAAGGTTGTTTATGGGTGTATGAGTCGGGGTATTCCTGCGTTTGGTGCTATTTGGGATTCGTAGATGAGTAATTTGCTGTCTCTCTGCCTTTCTTCTCACTCCCTCTGCTTCTCTGCATCCTCTCGGTTTCTCGTCTCAGTCTTTTCTCCCATTTTCTCTTCTTTAACAAGCTATCCCTCTAGAGCCTAGAACAGCTCTTCTTCTTTATTTAACGAGCTTTATGTATCTATGACATTTCAGTTTGTCATTCTCTTCCGCTCTTGTTATTAGAATATATACACGACCGTAATGTGCTGGATATTCGATTCAAACTTGTCTTTACTACATTCTCAAATTGTATCTTGCAATTGCTAAATCAATTGACCGGTTTTTATTTTGTTTTATACTGTGTTTTCTGAGAGAGACTTGTCTGTCTGTAGTAAGTCTGTTTGTAGTGGGTGTGTCTTTGGTAAGTCTGTCTGTCCGTAGTCCACTCCTCTTCCGACGGATTGTTTACCTCAGTCCTGTCCTGTCACCGTCCCCTCCTAAGACTCTAGCACTCCGCCCTTCGTTCTGAAACGTGCATGACTGGGCCGGGGAGAATAGGTGAGTGTTTTTCAACTCTGGTTTCTGTCACGCCGCTTCGGCGTTCGCTTCCCCCTGTCCTTGATGACTGCTCTCGACCCCGGTTCAAACGTAAGGACGGGGAGGAGGGCTCCGGGATCATCATGATGGCTTGATAGGTGCGAACTTCTCAACGGATCAAATCCCCACGCGCCGGTGGCGGTGACTTTCCTAATTGGCGTGTCGTGTTGTGTCATCTCGGCGCGCTGGCAATTGGGAACGCGTTCCAAGGCTTGGACGTCGTCCACCACCGCCTCCACGTCGCGCGATTATGAATACTTATCGAGCTCAATCCAGCCGTTCTACCCAAGGTATGCGAGACGAGGAATAGTCATGAAGAAAGGCACAAGAAGACTTACACATGATACACGAAAAAACGCACCAGCATGGCCCGGGACGAGAAATGACGACTCCCTTTTCAAGTTTCCCGCGGAACCATTGGTGGCGTCTTTTTTTCTCGAGGACCCTTTGTGACGACGTGGACGTGACCGTGTCGTGGGTGTCAGTGGCCGCCCGTTCGTTTCACCTTCAAGTTCAACTTGGTGACGACACATTTCTCTTTTTCGTAACAGCGGCCTTTGTGTTTGCTTTCTTGAAAGGGCGTCAAAAGCGACTGATACCGTCAAAGGCGTCTGGGTTCTTGAAAGGCGTTTAGGTTGACGAGGAAGTCCCTTTGAAGAAAGGGCCTTTCATCTCTGATCGCTTTTTCATTTAAAGGCCTACAGTTGCGCTGCTCCGACCACACACCCACATACACAACCCGTCGCCACATACCATCCCCTTCCCACTGCTCCCCTGCGCTTGAACCGACTCGCGACTGAAGTTCAAGTATTGAAGCATTAGCTTGAAGAACGCGTCGCCACGTGGAAAGGAAACGCCATTGTCAATTTTGATATCGAGGGGTACTTAAAGGACTTGACGGTGAGTTTTCCAGGTGATTGTTGCGATCTCCATTTGCTGACGACGGTGGTGTGGGACCGTGTAGACTGGGCTTTTAAAGGCTTTTTTGTCATCCTCGCTTTCCTTGACTCCAAGTTCGTCTCCGACTTTGAAGCGCAAGAGTGCACGTCAGTATGAACGATCCGAACGACTACGACAATCATTATCCGAACAACTACGACACGATATGCTACACTCTGGAGGAGGAGGAAAAAGAGGAGAAGAGGGATGTGGATAGGTGTGTGCTCACTAGGGACTACTAGGCGGTTCGCGGAGGACTGACTAGCGCGACAGGATACGACTCGAACATGATATCCTTCTACCCATCCTCACTCGATTCAGGGAACGCAGCCAGCTGAACGACGTGCTTGTGCCACTATCCTGGCTACGACTCAAGTCTCTCGGGATGTTCATACGCCACGGTCTGCGCCCGCCACAGCGAGAAACCGCCACTCGCGAAGAAGGAGGGGGAAGCCAATTCGACGATGCGGAAACACGGTTTCTGTCGCCAAGTGGGAGTTTTTGTTCCTCCCTACTCTCGCTCCCGGAGCTTTCACCATGTGGTTCATCCTCCTCAACCTCCTCCTCCTCGCCTTACTCGTCAACATCCGACCAACTTCCTCCTACGCCTCTCGACACCGAATCCACCGAGGTATGGATCGCGTCGTCGTCGTCGGAGGAGGATGAGGACTCGGAAGTGTCTTTTCTCCCCCCGACGAACCTCCAGCGGAAGCGGAAGAGGAGGACGCCGCTGTGGATACGCATACCTGAAGGGCGGGCGGTGCCTGATGTGCAAATTGAACGGGATTGTGGTTTTTTGCTCCTTTCGCGTTTGCCGAAGGGCTTGTGTTATAATATTGTCAAGCAGTCGATGTTTTTGGAGCGGATGCAGGATTGCAAGAGTGGGAATCGGACGGGTGCAGGGAAAGGGCAAGGGATTCCATCGTTTGTGTCGTTTGAAACTTACGAATGTAGGGTTCCTTCGAGGTTCGGTCAAGATGTGGAGGAGGAAGAGGAACCTAGCGCGCTGCCCGTTCCTGCCCACGGCCCGCTTACCCTCAAAGCGCATTTCGGATCTTCGTTGTCCATTGAAGAAGCGAACCAGCGGTTACTCGATCTCTCGGCCTTCTTCTGCTCAGACGTCCTCCTCCCCCTCGCCCCTCGCATCTTCGCACTCGACATCGCCCTACCGGAAGGCTACGCCGCCTCCTGGGACGTCTCCTCCCTCCCTCTCCCGCTGGACTACAGGTTCGACAACCTCGAGGCGTTCAGGTGGAAGGGTGTCTTGGCTGCCAACGGTCTCCCCGCCCCTTTCTACGACTTCAACTCCCTTCCTCTGGGGCAGATGCGGGAGGTTGTACTAGAGGACTGCGAACTCTCATCTCTGGATCTCAAACGACTCCTCTACTCCTGTCCAGCGCTCGAATCTCTAACGGTGGACTCTATCGTTGAAGATGATGTAGAGCTGAGAGGGTTGGACCAGGAAATGGACCTCCGGGCCATTGTCAATGTCAATCCTGGTCCGACGCGCCTTGATGCGCCCGAGTTGCGCGTTTTGAGGCTGACGACCTCTGCGGATTTGAATGAGGTGTTTTGTTTGCTTGATGCGCCGTATTTGAAGGAGGTGGTGTACCGGCCCAGGGGGTGTGTGGTTGAGCCTGTGAGGTTGGGTAATTTTCCGTGGAATGTGTTGAGGGGGTCGTTGGAGAGGTTGAGTGTTATTGTTGGGGGGTGTGGGGAGGGGGAGGGCAAGGAGGGGGAGGAGGAGGAGGGGGAGAAAGTGGATTGGAGGGTTAGGGAGGAGTTGGAGTTGTTTGCGAAGGATGATGATGTTGATGTTAGGATTGAGGTGCGGTGAGGGGGAGAGGAGAGGCAAAGTCTTCGAGTTGGAAGGTGGACTCTTGCACTCATGCGTGGTGGTACTTTGTTTTCTGTGATTTGTGCGGTGGAACTTCGTTCCCCTCTGATGACTCTTCGCTTTCTCAATATCAGCCCAGCCTTTGTTTAGATTGTGTTTTTCTTACAATAAGCGCCATTCCTCGCTATTTTTCGTTCTAGGATTTTTTACGACCTAATACGCCTTCGTACTACTTATTACCCTCTACTAGACCTGCCATGTTTGTATTATATGTAACATAACTTCCTTAGTGACGACACCCCCTACTCCCTTCTCTATGTACTTTATTAGTAGTGTACACATTTTGCTTAGCGTAGTGTTTGTAGTAATGGCCTAATTCACGAACTATGGTTTATGACTTCAGAATCCAGATTGGCCTCAGTGTCGATGCCCATTGGATAGCCGGATCCGAGTTAACCGGACACCTTTTCCACCCGAACCACCACCATCCCCTGCGGTCAATTCTCTGCGGGACCAGGGTTCCAAACCAAATCCCACACAGCAATCCTACTCCATACTATCCTCTTCCAGTAACCGCATCATGTTCGACCCAACCGCCCGACCCGCACCCAGTCTCACCGCCAACCAAGTCGACCAATTAGCGGACGCCATTAATCTCTCGGAGGAATCGCGTGGATGCGTCAAACGGCTTATCGAATTTGTCGAGAAGGATGGGGAGGCTAATGCGAAGGCGTATAACCGTGTTCTGTCCGTTAGTCGTCTCTTTGTTTTTTCTGGTGTCTTTAGTGGCTCGCTTGGGTTGGTGAGGGTTAAGTGCTGACTGGTTTTATCCGTATGTGGTTCCTATGTGTGGCTGTCTGGTTTGCCCTCGACCCTCCGCCTCGCGTCGCCTCGCTCGCGAATCGTATCTCCCTACCTCGATCCTCGATTCTCGCCCATCGTCCGGACTCCAAATCGCCCTAATCCCACCTCGATGGAAATGGAACGTGTAGACAATCAAAGCCCACAAGTAAACTCGCTGCCGTCTTGGTGCTGCTATACGAAGAACGGGGACGGTTACGCGTTCTGTTGACGACGCGATCCAAGTCGTTGAGGACGCATGCGGGGCAGACGGCGTTGCCTGGTGGGAGGGTGGATCTGGAGGATAGGGATTGGGTTGATACTGCTGTGCGTCTCTTTCTCTTTCAATGTATAGGCTTTATCTTCTCTCGGTTTTCTTTCCAACGCCTTAATGAATACTAACCGGCGCCTAACCAACAGCTGCGAGAAGCAAAAGAAGAAGTATCCCTCCCCTCGCCCACCGAATGTGGGCACGTTCATATCCTAGGCGTCCTCCACCCCTTCCTCTCGCTCCACCGCCTCCTCGTCGTACCCGTCGTCGCCCTCCTAACTGACACCTCCGTCCTCAAGAACCTTAGGGCCTCGGAGAAGGAGGTGGCGTGTATATTCAGTCATCCGTTGGAGGCTATTTTGGATCCGGCGATTTCGGCTGAGGAGAGGTTGGTGGATGTTGGGAGTGAGGATTGGCCTTATGAGACGGAGTTTTATGTATGTGCACTTACCTTCTCGATTTGTGTTCTGTTCCATTTGTGCTTCGGAGGAAATGGCTGTCAATGGGATGCTACGGGACCCGGAGATCCAACCCAACTCCATCCATTCATTCTATCATTTCTTCTATCACCCATCCATCCATCACGTTCGGGTGTTGTCTACGTGTTTTCCTAGCCTCGAGGCCCGTCGAACCCACCGACTGACTACCGTTGTTGCCCCTGGGCGTTATAGAACACGAGCGATTCTGTCGTGACGATGCTAGGCGATACGTCCTACCGGATGCACCGCTTCAGGACGAGCGCTTCTCCTATCAAAGGGCTTACCTCTGACATCCTCGTACGTCCATCCTCTGGTCATCTATGAGTGTTATTGACGACTTATTACCATGTCTATCTTCTTACTTATTATCTATCTCGACGTTCCGAAACTATGCGATCCGAACGTGAAATTACCACCCCGCCCGCCGACTGATGTGGTTCGAATTCTTCCTACTCCTACTACCCAACAACACCTTTTTCTTTTCAGATCCATGTAGCGGAAGTAGCGTATGGCAAGTCGACGGTGTACGAGCGGTACGCGTCGGACCAGATACGGAGTTTTGTGGGTATTGTGGATGCTGTGAGGGCGTTTGAGGAGAAGTTGGCGGCGAGTGCGGAGGTGAATGGTACTTCGGTTGCTGCGTCGAGCATTCCGGTTGGGTATACACAGAATTATGCCCAGTAGTATTTAGTACTGGCATGATTCGATGATTATTTGGTCGGGAGGTTGGAGATTGTTGGGATGTTGGACATACTACTTAGGTGTGTAGTTGGATTTTGGGATCTTGTTCGGTTGAGTGAATACTGATGTTTTGCTTGAACAGATAGACAGGTTCTAATTGATTGGTTTGTTAGAGATAAGTACACCGAGTGTACCGACGTGTGTGTACAGCAGCGCATATAGAAGAGAAGTCCGACATATCATCCACGCAATCTGCTTTTCGATCTAGGTGGACGATTCGAGTTGTCTTCAAACCAGGCTCCGTCTTAAGCTTCTCCATCGCAGGAACTGGAACTTCGAATGGACTTATCTGAGATGAAGGCGAGTCACTACTTTGTTGATCCGTTCTATCCTGATTGGATAGGAGGATTTCCACTCAGCTGGGCTGTGTATGCATCCAGGACATGCGTCACCTCCATCTACCTCTCGAGGCTCGCCCGAAATTCCCTCCTCCGCCGCGTTACATCTCCTCCGACAAAAGCCGACGCTACCCCCTCCATTGATGTTGCTGCGCAATTTTGAGCTCCCCGGAAAGCAAAGTCAGTCGGTTCGCTCGTTTGAAATCACGACGGATCTCGATGGGTACTTGCCCTCGATTGATTTGAACGACGGTTGCGGTCATTTGGCTTCCCGACCAATTCACTTTTCGTCTGTCCCTCTATGATGATGATTCAGACAGGCTCTGGTCGGTGTATTGTAGGCAACACCTTCGATGTTGAGGGGGAAGGAGAATGGTTTCATCGTGGGCACGCGACTCCGTTCCCATTATTATCTTGGTGGATATGCTCTGGCGTTTGAAGGAGGGACAGTCAGAGCTGCTCCGTTTATTCCGACCGGGTGTACCCACATTGCCCAGTGGTAGGTAAGTGCAGGCTTAGTCGAGAAGTGTTGGGTTATATGGTGGATCTTAATAGTAGGTGCAGGTTAGCTTTTGGAATCTTGTTCGGTTTAATGGATAGCTGATTTTTTGCTTGAACTGACAGATTCGGATTTGATTGTTACTCCGGGTGTAACGATGTGTGCCAGTGTGCATAGAAGAGAATTCGAAGTCCTGGTCTACCGCCGACATCCATACGATTATCTACTTGTCGTATCGAGTCTGTGGATGGAAGCGTACTTCAAACGTCGGTTTTTGAATTTGCCTTCAACTACCACTCGCACTGCAGCTCGAACAATCGATGAAGGCGAAAGGCGAGTGGCGAATTTCATTGTTGATCGATTTGATTATGTACAGGTCTTGATTTGGATAGGATTTCCACTCAGCTGGGCTATGCAACGCCATGATCCATCTCCATCATCATGCTGGGAGGGAATGAGGGGAACGCCTTCCCCTCCCGTGTTCTCGTCCCCGAAATCACCTCCGCCGACGCTGCTGCCGCCTGCGCACCTTTGACCTCCCCGTGCAACAAGCCTGCGGTCAGTCAACCTGACCTCGGGTTCTTGTTTGAAGACGCGAGATATCATCATGCCCAGTTGATCTTTGAACAGATTACGGCCTTTTTCGCCGTCCATTGGGCATGTCACCTCTGCGTATGTATGGATGATTCGGACTTGCTCAGGGTGTGGGCAAACGGCGATGGTTTCATCGTGCGGCCGTTCACATTTCTGGGTCGACACCCTTCCGTTTGGGATGGCAGAATGATCAGTGTCGGATGCTACACTTACACCATGCCAGGCTCTGCTCTGCGGCGTAGATTGCGTTTGATTTGGGGTAAGCGGCGGGGCTGTGGGCGTTTATGTGTCTCGAGGACGATTTTGTTCAATGTCGCTTGACGAGGAGAGCCACATACTGGTAGCGAGGCGTGATCTGCTGATAGGCACTGCCTCGAGGGAGGACAGCCTCGGGTTACGTATCTCCCTGTTCACCCTCTCTCTCCTTGGTCGCGTTTTGGGTTTTGTATACCGGCGAACAGGGGGCAATCTTGAATCTCGATTGGCTAACCATTGAGAGAAGAGGAGAGCAGTCTCGGAATGGACATTGAGGCGAGTTGGAGGGAGCTCAAGTTCCAGAATCCAATTGTCCCATTCCGAAAGCTCTGTGTAAAGAGGTAAGGAAGTAGGCGCTTCTTTTTGATGCTTCGCTTCTAGGACTTTCCCGGTATTCAAGGAGAATACACCCAAACCGAACTGCTATTGATTTCTGTGATTCAGATGCGTACATTACTGATCCCCATCTATTCGACAGGTCTAACTCGAGTAACAGTGACAAGCCACGATTCAAGAATCTAGGCTGTGACGCGATACGATAAAAAAGTCAAAACGCCCAAGATCACCGGGCGCTCGGATTTCAAACTTCGTTTCATCCTTCAGGAGGTTTAACGACGCGATGTACTCTAGGTCAGTAGGTTTGGTGGAGGGTGGGGGGCCCGCGCCCGACTTGGCCGACCATCCCGTCCTTGTCGATGTAACAATCTCAGAGTGAGTTCAAGCTAGGGGGCGGCTGGGATTTTGACTGGGATCTAGGATCGGGTTGTGTGTTGTATGGGTGTAGGACAGCACTGCCTTGGAACTGCGGCGTGTGTGTGTCCAACAAGGATCGCTCGACTGTCCTACTATTTAAGTGGCGTCGGGTCGTTGGTACGGGGTGCTTTCTTTCCATTTCCCTTTCCGCTGGTCGAGATTGTTTTATGAAGTTATGGCTCAGGTGAGTACATGAAATCCCTGGGTCTTTGCAACGGCAATGCTAACTGAAATACCAATGCCCCTTGTTACGATTGTAGAACGCCTCCCCCGCCGACCCGTTCTACCACCTCTCGCGGACAAACGACCCGCTGACATCCGTCCAGGAGCAACACCTACGCGACGAAGTCTCCAAAATCGACAAGGCTATTGCGCGGTTGGACGGGGAGATGCGCGAGCTTAGTGCGCGGTACCAGCAGCTGCGCGTCGAACGCGTCGACCTCGTCCACCAGAAGGTGTCCTACTCCAAGATTCTGGCGCCGTGGCGTGCACTTCCTAGCGAGATCTTGACGGAGATCTTACGGTATGCGATTTTTCCGGATGAGGGCGACGAGGGTGGGTGTGGACGACAAGGCAGCGGTGGTGGTAGTGGATATGGACCGTACCGCAGTGGGGGGTTGAGCTTGGATCGTACGAATAGGCTTTCGATCACGCAGCAGTTGGCTACGCTTGCGTGTGTGTGTAAGCGGTGGGCGGGGATTGTGTATGGGACGCCGAGTTTGTGGTGTGAAGTGGAGATACGTGAGAGAGGGAAGGGGATGAAGATCCACGAACTAGTCTCGAACCTCAAGAAACATTTTGCGAGGAGCGGGACTGTGCCTTGGTCCCTCTCCTTCTCATCCGACCGGCTCCTCAACCACTCGTCCGGTTCGACGACGAGTCAGACGACTTCCCCTCTGGTTGCCTTCCTCAAGGATTCGACGCGGTGGCGCTCCCTCTCGTTCACACACCAGAATCTTGACATCCTCGCTCCGCTCTTTTCCACCAACCCGACCCGGCAGGACTACACATGGCCTGAACTCCAATCACTTCATCTGAAGGGGTGGTACTACGGTCCCGCCAAAGCCGAACCATTCATCAACACCCAACAGCCCATCTTCATGGGCTCGATGCCGCAGCTGACGTCTCTCACACTGCACACTTGTGACCAGAAGATTGCGAATTGGCGGCTCCCTTGGTCGCAGCTTACGACTCTGCGGCTTACGACAGCCGATTCGTACCTCGATTATATGCGGATATTGAGATGGTGCCCGAACCTCCGGTACTGCGACCTCTCCCTCCCGCCCACCGCCAACCCCTCATCATCATCTTCATCGGTATCATCCACCTTGCCAGGCGGTGGGGATATAGACCGGATCCTCGCTTCCAACATCGTCTTACCTGACCTCGAAGTCCTGCAAATCAGTCACTCGACGGTAGTCTGGCCGTTCTTCAGCGCAGTAACGTTTCCGGCCTTGAAGCGGTTAGTCGTCTCAACGCCTCCGGGGAAGCATAACCGGACGACGGATTTCCCAGTCGGCGCTGCACTCTCCCAGTTCTTGACGCGTTCCAAATGCGATTTAGTAGCACTGGCTCTCAACAACCTACCCCTCCAAGACGAAGACTACATCTCCATCGTGGAACAAGCGCCCAACGTCCGCTCTTTGCAGATCACAGACCACGCGAATGCGGGGTGCTGGTGGCACGAGGTGAACCAGAGGCGGTTGTTGAGTTCAGTACGGGAGGTGGTGCTGCATGGGCATTTCGAGAAGGGGACGTATGTGCGCAAGTTTTTGGACCGGTTTTTGGAGGAGAGGAATGCGGCGGACTATGATGCGGATGGGATATTTTATGCGGACGAGGTGACGTTTTCGGAGGAGATTTTTGAGTGGAGTTCGCAGTACACTCTTGCCTAGTAGTAACCGTGGTGGGCTGCTGGTAGTGTTATCCCCCGCCCTTTCATGACCTTTACGACTATCATTATTCATTTTAACTTATTCGCCATATTTATTTTAACCCATTCGAAGCCCCTTTCAACGTCGATTGACTATGTAGCTAACCAAACCACCCTAAAGTCCATGTATTTACTGCTCCCTAGCATACCCTACTTAACATCTAATGCCAAAATTTAATGGTCCATGAAAGTCCACAATGTCCATAACAGTGGCCAGCCAGTCCAGACCGAACTAAGCCCTATCAATCAACTCTACGTCCAAAGTCTTCAAACGCGGGAAAGTCCTCTCCTGCCTCTCTTCCGTATCAACCTCACCCTCTCCTACTTCCCCAACCCTGAAATCACTCGGCTCCTCAGGAAGTCCGACCATCTCCGCTACGACGCTCCATTCTTCCGCCTTCAGATTACGCATCACCAGCGTCTCAAGGTTCGGTGTTGAGAAAAGGTAGAGCAATCGCGCGGGCATGGTCGACATCGTCGTTGTACCCTGCGAAGACATTGACGAAGATGGCGTTGGCGCGCGAGCCAGCGAAGAAGCGCGGGAATGCGTAGTACTAGCCACGCTGGGAGGTACGGCGCTAACACCCACTCCCACCTGTCGTCCGCGGGGAGATGACGCATCGCCTCCTCCGCCCGCAGACCTATACGGCCGAATCTCCAGATACTTCAAATTCCCGAGCTCGATCTTGCGGAATTCCGCGGTGGTAGGTGATCCCGGAGGTGAGGTGTGGGGAGCAGGTGAGCTGGAAGACGACGACGACGACGAACTTGAGGAGGCTGAACTCGCAGATCGAGATCGTGTCATCCGGGAGCGGGCGAATGGGTTCAGGATGTTCGCGGGGAAGCGGGAGGAGGATGGGGAGGAGGAGCTGGGCGCGCTATACTCGGCTGCGACGGCGGTGAGTGGTGTGTTGGGTGAAGCGGGGGGTGAGGTCGGGTGTTGCTGGGGAGCTGGAGGATAGTCGGTGGAGCTGCCGGAGGAAGTGGTGGAATAGGAGTAGCCGAGTGTAGGTGGTGGTTGTAGGCGACTGCTTTCAAGTTTACCCGTCCTCCCTTCTACCGACCCCTCGAAGAGGTCAAAGTAAGGGAGGGGAGGCGGGTCAATGCTGCGCAGCATCCCCGCAATGTCGTCGTGGATGACAAGCCTTTCCAGGTTGGGGCAACCTTGCGTCAGGACAGTGCGAAGAGTGGAGAAGGAAGGATACCGAGAAGAGAAGTTCAAGGTGAGAGAGCGAATGTTATGCGTTGGAACGCCTTTGGGCACGGAGGAAGCGACGGGGACCTCCGCATCGCTGCTTTCACAGGAGTCGGGAGGAGGCCAGGAAGGGCTAGGCGACGGAGGGGGGTAGAACATCGGGCTTTGATTCCATCCAATGTAGGCACCGTCGAGTTGGACATGCTTCAATTTCGGCGCGCCATCGAGGAAGAAGGGTGGAAGCGTGTCGTAGCTCACGATTCCCTCTCTCCAAATGTCGGCCGCGATCCTGAAGGACTCGAGGTGGGGCACGGGGAGGTGTGCGAGTGCATTCAAAGTTGGGGGGAGTGAGGCGCTTCCCAGATGCGAAGTGAGAATAGTGAGGGAGCCCCAGCGTTTCGATGTGCCGAGGATGTACTGGAAGGGGTGGTCGGGGAATGGTGAAGCAGATGATGGGCTGGCGCCTGAACCTGCGCTTGATTGAAGGGGGTACTTGGTCGTGTCCAGCACGACGTGCAACAACGCCGGGTGGGCACGAACGAGGTACAAGGGCAGCCATCCCAGGTGCTTTCCCAGTCTACTTCCTCCGTTACCACTGTCCCTGGCCCCTGACCTCGCCGCCATTGCCTCCGCTTGTTGACGTTGCATAAGCTCCTGGCCAGCAGGAGCAGACGCAGACGATCGGGGAGAACGAGAAGGGAGGTCACGCGTTATGCTGATGTATGACCACAAGTGGGGCGCGTGAAGGAGAAGCATCCGGAACCGGTGGCATGTTTGGGACAGCACCGACGGCAAAAGGTGGTTCGCGTAGCACAAGGGCTTCTTCCTCGCGGACTGGGATCCAGCTGTCGACCTGGAAAACAGAGGGTGCTGTGGGTAGCTGGCGTCTTCAACCGGGAAGCAGCTGCGTATGGCGAGGAGGAAGATGTGTTCCAGGATCTCGTTCGGCAGTGAGACCACTGTGACTGCCGTCTTGCTCGGGACGGGTGGTGGCGCGTCTGGAAGCGGCAGGGGAGGAAGCGCACGGTTGGGTTCCCAGTGTCCCTTGGACTCCAGCGGGAGAGGAGGCAACTCCTTCATCTTCTTCCAGACCGTCATCTCAGATGCGGTTGAAAAGTCCACAGACTGGGATGCTTGGTGGTGAGGAGGGGAGGAGTGGAACTCCCGGGCTGTTGGACTGCTGGGTCCTGCCAACTTCTGGCGCCCTTGTTGCGTGGACGGACGAAAGACCCTCCGGAGTGTGTCTTTAAAGGCCAGTATGGCTTCGGAATCGGTCTAGTGCGATCAGATGTTGCCAACGAAAACTGCTATCATAGATGTCGGTGCTATTACACCGTCACTGGTGGAACGCATAGAAATTCTGTTAGCTGTCGTAGGCCTAAGTGATGAACGATGAAACGGATTCACATACGAGTATGAAGAGGTACACTCGAGTATGAATGAGAATAAACGTTAGTAGCACCAGAGCTGATTTCGAGTGAGTATCCTTCAGATATATAGGGTCGCGACAGTTCGCCATTGGTCGCGGATGTAACATACTACCATTCCAATCTGTCGTCATTTTCCTATTCTTTCACAGAAAGAGGAAACGGCATTCTAAAAGATGATAGGGTATCGTGCCTACAAAGCTCGTCGTCCACGTTAATACCATGGTAATCCCACTCCAGAATTTAAAGAAAGGGGAATTACCTCATTTGTAAAGCCTTCTGCTTAGAGACCAAATGAACAGAAGTCCGCGAGAAGCTTCGGTTTTCACTCGCTGACGGAGGCAGGTCAGGACATGACGACGATCCATTGGCTTGCGTAAATGGACATCGACCGATCCGGTATTCGTGCGCACAGTGGTTCCTGTGACCCTGCCCTGTAACAGAATATGGGTCTCCGGACTCGTGGTTTCTATAGCGCTGTAATCTGTAGGCGCTGGCGACGTGTGATACTGCCGTCTTCAACCTAACGGCCCAGGATCTTTGAAATATCAGTTTACAAACGTTAGATGGCTGTATTGAATATGCAGCTTGTGGTCTTCCAACTTGCTCCAACTTCTTCCGCATACCCCAAGGGTATCCTGAAATTTGAATCCATCGCGACGCAGCAGTTGGGACTGGGGTTATCAGGCTTGGATGATGCGAAAGCACGTGGTCCTGGCTGGTCCTAGTTTGTGACGCCTTGAATAATTGTATACTTGGGGGTAATTGAAGAGAGCAAGCCTGAGCTGGAACAGCGATGAATTCAAGGGAGAGGGCGACTGTCGGGGCAGTGCCAAGAGATTCAATCGGAGTTTGAATACGTCCCGAAAGCGGTTTGAAAGCCCCTATTCCGAATTCTCTCTGCTCAAAGTCCGTCAGCTCCTCAGGCCTTTGACGACGAGTGGACTCAACGACAATGTAGCCATGGCTTTGCGAAAACCGAAGTGATAGATTAGAGTGATTAGCATAAGTATAAATTAGTGTACATGAGTATCAAAGCGATGTCGATAGCGAGTAAGTATGAAAGCAGAGATCAACGTAAAGAGTCCAACGATGTTCTAATCCCAGAAATAGTTGTCGCACAACAGAAGAGCAAGCTTCTTTTCAGAATTTGTAAATCTCAACCTCCAGCACCTCAACGCAAGCCAATCGTTTTAGGCCCTTCTCCCTGCACCACTGCTGGTCCACCACCTGACCGTCTCCAGAAGCCAAACACTGCTGCTTGACGCGATAGCGTATCGAGTGCAACGACGACGCGTTCGAGTTGTCGAGCAACGTCTCCAAAGGCTTGACGAAGTCGTCCAACGATGAAACAGGTGACCGAGCGCTTGACCAAGAGTATCCAAGTCCCTGCACGTCCAATTCGAGGTTCCGAAGGGACGGAAGGGCGAGAGAAGACAGAAGCCCTCGAGGATGAGATAGGAGTGCGACCTTTGCTTGCGAGAGCTTCGGCATCGACACCAGACCACGGCCCTGTCGGACGTCACCACCCTCCACCTGGGACTCTTCGTCCTCTTCAGACACCCTCCATACACTCAACTTCTCCACATTCGTCGCCTTCTCGCAGATATCCAATAACCGTCTCGCAGGGATGGCGGTGCATGCAACTTCGATGCTCTTGAGATGTGACCACGGGATGACGGCATCGAGATTGTGGTTAGGAGACTCGAGGAAGGCGAGAAGGTCATCATCGATAACGAGGTTTGAAAGATTGGGTGAGGCTCGGAAGATGGCATCATAGATCAGAGCACCAGGGTGCACCCCTGACTCTTCCTCGTCCTCCCATTCACACCCCACATCCAACATCAACTCCCTCAACTCCGAGAACACCTCTCTCCTCTCCTCCAATGACCTGACCAAGGCCCTCTGCAGCTCTTCACTGGGAAGCTGCAACCGAAGACTCCTCCACCGACTCGCATGGGCGAGGCAGATCTGTACGACGGTGTAAGCGAGCCCCACTTCATGATGAGACATCACATCCGAATCACGATGCGAAGCAACCGAAATCTTGAGGGACGTCCCATTCGCACGTGAAAGGAAGAGCCGGAGTAATCGAACGAGGTTCTTGCCACGGACAGCCGCGTTTTCGCAATGAGGCTTGATAGACACTGCGATCGTGCTCCAGAGCTTCTTGTGCGCGATGGCCGTCGAGCGCCAGTGCTTGCAGACATGGCTCAATGTGAGAGGAGAGTTGACGAAATCCGAGGAGACGGTGGGGATGGGTGTCTCCCCGTCCATCTCGACGTCCCCGTTCTCGTCCGTAGGCGAGATTAGATACTCTTCAAAGATGAGGCAAAGGATCTCGGTGGGAAGGCTGTTGATGATCGAAGGTTCAACGACAGGATTCTCCGTGTGAACACGTGCGGTTTGTGTGGATGTGGGTTCGACAGCGAGCTCGGTGGATGGGGGTGGTGAGTGAGGAGAGGGTGAAGCAAGCGTGCGCGAGAACGTAGAGATGTCGAAGGTAGCGGTGTGGAAAGGCGACTTGAGTGCGTAGGATAGATTGGCGCAGTTCACGAAGGAGAGAGGCTTCAACTGCAGGGACAGGGGACGCGGTTTGCCGCCCCACGTTGCGAGGCATTCGCCAGCGCCGTGCTGCAGAATCGTCGTAGGTTCCCAGAACATGACGGCAGGAAAGTTTCTAAGAGATAAATTAGACCACGACGCGTCGAAACTCGATTAATGAAAGACATACTGTTGTGTCTTTAAAGGCAATTAGGGGTGTTGCGCTGGTATGGAGAAACGGGCTATGACGACCGTATATGACTGCGTAGTCACCCAAACGTGGTCGATATGACTCTTGCCGTAGAAAATGCACAGAAACGGAGCGCTCAATTCCAGCAAACGTCCAGTTGCGGATCGCTCAAGTTCTGCAACGAAAAGGAGCACCCAAAGGTGTCAGCGACGAAGAGGAAGTGAGGAAAGAATCAATCCAACCTATTTTCTACCATCCAGTTGCTTGATATATATCGTCTTCGCGCACTATAAAGGCAAGTATAAAGGCGTGTTGTGTTTTGGGTAGGAGGAACAAGCGAAATGACGGATTGGGAAAGAGCAAACGAGTGCCCAATTCGCGGTTCGGTGGTTTTGACGTTGACATCATCTTCGTTGAATTCGGTTAGAGGGCGGCGATTAGAAGAGATTAGATTAGATTATACCTCGAGGATATTGTATTTTAACAAGGGCAAAGAAATAGAAAGAAAGACGGACAGCAACACCCAGGACTTGCGAACGAGGCTCGGCCATGTGGGATGAAAAATAAAAGATATTCACTTACGAAGTCAGAAATTCCGTCCTTCGGCTTGACTACCAACAGCACTTTCACTGAGAACCTGATCATCACCTCTCGGATGATGAGCGGCTGAACAGATTAAGGACTCGTGTAACTCGTTCGCGTGGGCGAGAAAAACTCGAAAGTCGAAAATCTAGAAAGTTGAATAATTCGCCGACCATGGAGACACTCTGGAAGCTCTGGAAGCGACATTGTACTCGAAGACAACAGCCAATTAGTGGGAGAGAAGGTCTTCCCGAATCTGAATTTACAATCAGAAGCCTGTATCCATGTTTTCGAAGCATTTGTTGGCATCGGTCAAGAGAAAAAAGAAACTCATTGCCTAGAATACACAGAGAAATGATCAACAACAGGCCTATCGTACAACACGAAACAAGAGTCCAAGGAACACACGATTGAATCCCTCTAGCCTTCCTCCACGACCTCCTTAACCGCTTCCGCAAAAATCTGACATCCCTTCGCCAAATCCTCTTTCGAGATGTTGAGGGGCGGGATAAACCTGATCACTTCGAACACGCTCGTGGTCAGGATCAACATGCCCTTCTCGATGCACTTCTTCGCGACTCGGCTCGCCATGGCACGAGGATGGGTTTCTGCACCGCCATTCTCGCCTTTCTTCTCGCTGTCGTGTAGGATGTAGGGAGAGGGACCGAGAGTAAGGGTATTGACTGTCGAGGTTGTAGGGAAGTTGTCGACGGCGAATTGGGCACCGACGCCGATGCCGGTTGGACTCGCGAACTCCACGCCGACCATCAAACCGCGACCGCGGATGTCGAGAATGTGAGGGCGGATACTGGGATCGTAAAGGAGCCCTCTTAAGACAGAGAAGAGCTCTCGTGATCTGGCGGTAAAGTATCAGAAAGACATTCAGATTGTCCACACTTTGACTAACCTCGCCTGCACGTTCTCGAGAACACACTCCTCCTGGATTACATCTTGTACCGCAACTGCAGCAGCGCAAGCTACAGCGTTGCCCGCGTACGTTCCTCCCTAAGCAACCCATAGGTTCAGACATAGACAAAGTAATATCCGGCAAGCATACCATCGACCCAGGCTTCAGTTTGTCTGTCAACTCTTTCCTACTCACAACCCCGCTAATTGGGAACCCATTACCCAATCCCTTGGCCATAACGAGGATATCCGGCCTCACACCACTCTCCTCGATTGCAAAGTACGTCCCAGTCCTCCCAAAACCACTTTGGACTTCATCAATAATCAAGAGGATGCCGTGCTTGTCGCATACTTCGCGGAGACCTTGGAGGAACTCGACTGGAGCAGGGACGTAGCCACCCTCTCCCAGGACAGGCTCGATGATGATCGCAGCAGTGTCAGATGGGGCGGATTGCTGGGCCAAAACGAGGTCGAGCTGCGTAAGAGCGAGCGTGGCGAGGTCATGTGTCGGTGTTTCCACAGGTACGCCAACCTGGTGCCAGTAGGGGTACGGGATCGAGTACACACCCGGCTAAAAGATGGACTTGCGTATCAGCAACCACAGAGCGATTCTCTAGGGAGAGTCGTACCATCACAGGATGCACGCCTTGCGAATAAATAGTCTTGCTCTTCGTGACCGCCATCGCCCCCATGGTCCGGCCGTGATAGGCGCCCTGCATGCAGATGATGTTCTGGCGGCCAGTGAGGGTTCTCGCCATCTTGATAGCTGCTTCGACGGCTTCAGAGCCAGAGTTCCAGAAGAAGAACGAGTCCAGGGATGGGTGGGGCATTACTGGGAGTAGACGCTCGATGAGGCGGAGGTAGGGCTCGTGTAGAGAGATGCTGCACTGTTGAATGGATAACCATAAGTTCAGGGGGAAATCGCGGGAATGAAAGGATGATTCCTACTTGAGAGTGGACCAGTTTCATGCATTGGTCTGCTGCAGCACCGCTAATGCGTGGATGCGCGTGTCCTGAAGGTAAACAACCATCATCAACCTGCTTGAACGCGCTCAAGATGAGCTCCAAACGCACCGAGGTTGGTCACTCCAATCCCACAGGTAAAATCGAGCAGCCTCCTCCCGTCTGCATACTCCACATAGGACCCATCGCCCTTGGTCATAATCCCAGTGGTGATCCTTCCGAGGCCATGAGTTACATGTCGTAACCCGAATTCGTAGAGCTCCCCCAGATCGGTGATATGCTCGTGCCTCTCAGAAGTCGTCGACATCGCGCGAGACGTCGAGCTAGGCTGGATCACAGATGTTCCATGGTGCCCGTTCCTTTGTGCCTGGCATTCAGAGTGCCGGTGCAATTGTCTCGCCTGAACAAGAGCAGCTCTACGGCGGCGGTTAGTTTTGTACCGCGTAACGTGGAGAGAACAAACATACCGTTTCACCGCTGCAGGTCGCAGCGACAAGACCGCTCGAGCACGATGCATGATAGCAGAGGACTGGTGGGCAGTTGTGGGGTATGCGGAAGATCGTTCAACTGGCTTTTATAGTATTACGTCCTGGATGATGAAACCATAACCACATTCACGTTTGTTAGGGGTGTGAACGAATTTCCCAGTCCTTCATGACTGCCGTCGGCTTCCTTGACATTCATCATGTTCTCCATGGTGTTCATCCAGGCCAATGAGATGGGTTTTGGCAGTTTTGGGCGGGTTCTGAACGCGCTTTGGTGTTGGAGATGTGACGGTTGGGAAGCGAGAAGCTTTTGCTTGGCATTTTTTGCCATCATGATAGGGGCCACTCTGGCGCTAATAAGCGCCGAAGTGTTCGACTGTTGCGGAGACGGCAGCGATAACCAGTCGTAGTGGCCAACGGCGACGCTTCCAGAGTTGTATCTCGTATGACGTAGGACCTCTATTAACTCTTGGTCACTTCGAGGGTCTAGTGAAATGTGGACCTCTTATAATGGACATCGTCAGGGTAGTGAAACCAACAGGTTTAGGGTGGTTGGTCCATTCCTCAATGGACAAGTCTTCTCCTAAAGAGTATGAACTCTCATTCTCTCATCGAGCATATCTCTCCTACCCAGAGCTCATGTGCGTACGTCTTCCTATCCGTTGCCTACACTCTGCCCAGTCTAATCCTACCCCAAGAACTAAACGCTGCAGCTACGCCCAATAGCTCGAACAGTTGCAGGATACCATGGACTCACTGAGGCACCTAACCAAGTCCAACCTCCCTCCTCCCCCCGAAGTCGAGAAATACCTCCTCGAGCGCCTCGCATCCCTCGACGACAACCTCCACACCGTCAACGACGAACTTGCCTCCGCCCAACAAGTCGTTGAGGATCTCGCTAGCCGCCATTCCAAGTTACACGAGAAACGCAAGGCGTATACGGCTATTATCTCGCCCCTCAGGAGGCTCCCCGACGACATTCTTTCTGAGATTATTTGTTGTGCCGTTTGGAGCTCGCCCTCGCTGTTCCCGGACGCGGAGGATGATCGAAATATTGATAGCAGGAAACCAGTGGAGCATCCACTCGCCACTCCCTCTGCGACCGCCATCCTCAACCCACAAGCGAGCTGGGTACAAGAAAAACAACTCGCAACCCTCACCCGTATCTGCCGCGACTGGCGCCTCGTCGCCCTCCATACGCCCCTCCTCTGGAGCACCCTCCACCTCCAAGTCTACAACAACGACCCCCCGCTCGACCACTTCGTCGACCACCTTCAGCGATGGTTCGATCGAGCAGCCGACGTTCCCTTGTCTCTCACTCTTCTCTTCTCCAAAGGAACCTTGGCGACGGCTGGGAGTGGGAGGGCGAGTGGGAGTACTGTGACTGGAAGTATCACCCCATGGGCAGGAACAACACAATCTTCGAGCGTGGTTGGAACGCGTTTTGCCAGGTTTTTGTTCCAGAATCGGAGGAGGTGGAGGGAATTGAAGTTGAATATGCCCAGTCTTGGGGGAGTGATGAGCGCGTTGGTGGGGGCGTCGTCGGTTGGAGGGACGGGGACGACGAACAGTCACAGTGGCATCGGTGCTTCGTCAACCTGGAAGATCCTGGAGATCCTCAGCCTCTCCGGATGGATCGCAGAAGACGCTGACGGAGATACCTTCGAGCGGCCCGGCCTTTCCACTGTCGATGCCAGTAACTTGGACAATGGACCACGAAATTCAATGCCTCGCCTGAAGTCTCTGACCCTCCACCTGCCTTACCGAAACATCAATCGATGGAATTGGATTCCATGGTGTCAGCTGACGAAACTCGACTTGAAGACTGCGGACACTTACGGAGACTACGTCGCCTTCCTGGAGCAATGCTCTCAACTGAGAACGTGTCGCTTGCATTTCAGTCCATCCTGTGGCGCCATGTTCTTCGATCTTCCTTCACTCACAGATTCTGCAGACACGACGAGCGATTCTCTGTCACAGAGTTCCGAAGAACAGCATCTGATCTTCTTGCCTCACCTTGAGGAATTGGAATTAAAGTGCATCACTTATGTCAGACCTCTGTTCTCGAAGCTGGTGCTCCCTTCCCTTGGGCGATTGTCAATCTCCCAGGACCTGCGTCTGAAGCTCCCAACACCCGAATTGGACGTCGGGAAAACACTCCTGGACTTTATCGACCGCAGTTCCAACGCCCGTTCCAGCTGGGACACTTCCGACAGTCCCGACGAATATACATCATCCGCATCGCCATTCCCACCGACCCAACTCCCCCTCACATACCTGAACCTCCACCTAACCCAATCCTCCCCCACTCCCGACTCCTTCCCTCGAATCTCCACGCACCAATACATCGAGATGTTCGAAAAGCTTGAAACGCTCGAGGTACTTCGGGTTACTGACGGAGAAACGAACGCGGAGTTTTTGGATTTGGTTCAGAGGAAGGGTTTGTTGCCTAATTTGAAGACGATTGCGGTGGAGGTTGGACAGGAGCAGAGTGTCAGGGAGAGGTTCGAGAGGTTTGTCAGGGCGAGGACGTTGGCGAGGACAGGGGAATGAAAATATTCTTTTCTAAGTGGTAGTATGTAGAATTATCGTTTTCATAGGAACTTGTCGCCGAAATATACTCTTCTCCATCGTCCCCTTTCTCCGCAACGCCTTGGATGTCTGGCAGCGCTCGCGAATTAGCGCCCACTGTGCGGATGTTGAAGCGGCAGATGCAGCGGAGTTCAACCGCCTCTTGGCGTCGGCAGGCTGGGCAAGATCTCTGTCGCGTACCATCATCATCTTGACCAATTACCACCAGGAACGATGGCTCGTGTACCGCAAGAGCCACTCCCATACCAGGATCCTGCTATAACTCCTTACTATCCATCAACAAACAACGGTCTTCCAAGTGAACTCATCCCTCAATGCATCGCTCACTTATCGAAGATGGACGGGATCGTAGCGACGGCGAAGAAAGAGGTGTTCAGGCTCCAGGCAGAGCTGGATGAGGCTCGTCGACAACTCCAGCATGCACTGGACGAACAAGCATCTTGCGACTCCCTCCTCGCACCGATTCGACGCGTCCCAAGCGAACTCCTATCCTCGATATTCATGATCGTTCTTGACTGTCCACGACTGTTATCAACCAGGGACGTAATACAGATACAGTACCTTCAGTTGGTTTGCCGTAAGTGGCACGACGCGGTGAATTCGACGCATGAGCTTTGGGCCGGCTTGGAGTTCGACGTGGAGAGTCCACGCCGCGCATTCATGACACCGGAGGAGAAGAGAGCTCTTCTCGAAAGGTGGTTCGAGCGGGCGGGGGGTTGTGGGATTAGTCTCAAGCTCGGAGGAATGCATCGGCTGGGGATGACTGGAGTGCAAGAAACGATGGACGAAGAACTCACTCTCCGGGGACTGCTGCTTCGACCAGGGCGCCGGTGGAAGTCTCTCTCGTTCATCTATCCCCGGTCTTCTTGGATCAAGGTTCTTCTTTCTGCACTGGAGAAGGAAGCAACATATTCCCACTGCTCGTGGAGGGAACTGGAAGAACTCGACATCCAATTCCGGCCTAGCCAAGACGCCCGCAGCGAAGAGATAATCCAGCTTTCCCGCCTCAAAAACCTCAAACGACTCACCCTCTCTTGGATGTCGCACCCCTTCGTCGCTCATGCCACCCTCCAACGTCTCCACCTTAAAGGCTTCCGCCTAGACCACGGCGCACTCGTCCACATTCTCGCCCTGCTCCCCTCCCTCCAAGAACTCGAATTGACCTCTCCTCAATACACTACTCGCCACCTTCCCCCGTGGCGCCCTGCTGACGAGGCCAACCTGGCCAAAGTGTCCGTTTCCAAGTTTTGCCTGAGCAATACCAACCGACCCCTGGAACTTTTCCAACCAAATTTTCGACTTCCCCGAATGCAAAGCTGCCGGTTCGTCACCGTCAGCCCCATGCTTTGGGACCGCGGTATCCTCTCCGGTTTCTTCAATCGCAGCCCGGACTTACAAGAAATCGATTTCACGGAGTCGATGGTCCCTTCAGATATGATCGCGGAGACGTTATCAGCTACGACAACTTCGGTTAAACGTATTTTGGTGGACGACTTTGTGTTTATTGCTCAGATGAGACCACCGCCAAGGTCGAAGTTGAATGGGTTGGAAGTGTTGGTGGCTAAGCGTCCTCCTTCGGAGAAGGTGCTGCGGTGCATGGTCGACTTCTTCCAACTGAGGAAGGAGGCTATGGGTAGGGGTGAGATAGTTGGTGGGGTGGTTGGGTTGCATGTGGCGCAGGGGTGGCCAAAGTTTATGACGACTCGCCGTGACTGGGTGAAGCGACTGGAGGAAGTTGGGGCTAGGATGGTTCTCACTCCGTATGATGGGTAATTAAAGGGAACGGTGTGCGGTCTTACGGGTTTGATGTCGTCTCCATACTCAGCCTTATCATGAAAGAAGATCGTGGTATTGATACATCGTTCATAATCACGGTGAGTAAGAGATTTGGTACATCGGTAATACATTGAATCGAATGATATATACAGCAGTCCTTGACATGTGCAGCCCGTCCTTCTTAAACGCGTGAAACAACCCTTCCCTACTCCGTTGACGAGCCGCTATTCGTCCTGCTGCGGGCCCTTATCTCTTTGCTCTGCGGCACGAGGGTAACGCCCCTCGACCTTGATAAATGAAGACCTTGGGTTAGCCTACCGAGATCCCTCATAGTACGTCCATAGAGCCATCACACGTACGGTATGCTCATCATCTTCCCGTTTAGCGAGTCACATTCTAGGTGCAGAAGCAACGTGCCGTCCTAGATGTAAACGCACCAATGATCATAAGCGCCCGTTGACGAGATCGGTCAATACCCAATGCAGACACACACCGAGAGCGTGCTCGACGATGCGACGGTCGCGTACTCGACTTCGCCTGTCGAGGTCCAGTAGAAGACTCTGGTGTTGGGCTAGTATATGGTGGTAATGGTAGAGGTGAGTGGAGTTACTTTGACGTGAGTCGTTGCGAGATGTAGTATACTAACCGGGTACATATCCATGGTCTCTAGGGTTGTGGATGCTTGGCTAGCGTTGGGTGAACTCACAGGGTGCTCGGAAGGTAGTCGAAGCTACAAAGAGGCTATAGAACTCGAAGTACCACTCAGCGAGCTATATATACAGATTCCTCTCAACCCGGCATTCAAGATCGAGGGTGCGAATGTACCCACAAATTCAAATTACAATGTGCACTCCAAAGTGCCTTCACACGAACTCCGGTCAATTAAAACGGGTTAGTAAAATAAAGTGTGCGTTCTGACCCTCGATCGGGATGTGTGGCAAGTTTTGAGTGTGTTCGTTCTTTGTTGATGATCACATTGCACGTCCACTTATCACATCGAATGCCTACTTACGCGCTTCCAGTAGACGTTCTATTTTTTGCAGTGGTCAGCCACTTGTCACAGTCGACGTCTACGTAAATAAAATGCCTCGAGGTTGGCTCATGGTCTCCTTCTGGTGCCGAGTTTCTCGATCGAGAGGGACATGGTGGGGTTTGATAGACATGGAAGGCGTGATTTACGGAAGAGGAGTATTGGTATTTCGTGAGGACCAGGAGTTGGGCGAATGGGGGCTTGGAAGGGTAGATTGGTGAACTGTCTATTCAAAGCATTGAGTGCGTTGCGTTCTTTTCGTGGGGTAGTTGAATGGAACTACAAGTACAGCGACCGGTGGCGGGAATTCGAAGATTGTCCATTGACAATTTGAGATGGACTCCAGCCGATAACATAGGAGCCTGCACTGATTTATTTCATTGGGACTCGAGGGACTCCGCCCACCATTGAAGTAGACATGGGCGAGAAGCTGAGCACACCTGTCACCGTGAGCTTGACAGAATCCTCACATAAAAACTCTACTGTGTTTGTTTAGAGTGACGAGGTCATGAATGCGAGCCTCTCACTGCGGTGGCGCCATTAGAATTGTTTAGCTGGTCTGTGCTTGACCTAGTACTCAATGACTCAATGGCGCACTGGAGGTGAGAATGCGCGTAGAGAGAGGATTGGGTATCGGTCGTTGAGGTGGGTCTACTACGATTGGAATCATTCTCAGTCTGGATCAGGGTATTGAACCACGGGCACGTGCCGTCGTACACCCCCTTGGTCGCCTATTAGGTGGTTCTGTCCTTCCGGTTGCGAGTTCATTTACAGCACCCGACGATACGTTGACGGGTGGATGAATACACTCTATTTCATTGTGACGGAAGAATTCAACTTGGGCTTTTGGACCGTGTGGTGCGTGTTCGTCCCAAGAAGCTTTAGAATTTAAAATTGTTCGGGGAGCCCTGGATCTACATCCCACATAGACACCTATAGCGGAGAGAGCGAGGCCTCATAGCCTTACCCTTAGCAAGCATATTTCATCGTTGAACCTGTCGCCGCACACGGGCTACGAAGGTTTGTAAGTCCAGGTGGAAACCAGGTGTGGCTCCTGCATTTATATTTGTACAAGCTTCGCTTGCCCGTGCCTTCGGCACGGGGGTGGTGGTTAGGGTCGGGCTTCGCCCTCCACTCACAGCAGGTGGGGGGAAATGAATGCTGTGTACTCGCTGGCGCCCGCCTGCGGCGGGCTTTCGCTCGTACACGGGCCTTTCGGTAGCAGGCATTTATTAGGAGGCTATCTACTGGGTATCACAACAGAACAGTCCCGAAATCGTTATTATGATTTTATGATTCAAGGAAATAAGAAAAGTGGAAATACAGTCATAAATGCAGTTGATAGTGGCAACCCGTAGTTTATAATCCAAACAGCTCGGGTCCTGCGCTCGCTGGCGCACGCCTGCGGCGTGCTCGCGCTTGCGCAAGTGTAATTTCATTTTCTTGCCACAGCCAGAACTCGCTTTCAAATTGACTTGTTCTTTTACAAAGCTGAGGACCTGTACTCGGGAGCGAGTAGCACATTGCAGCTACACTTCACTGCGTCTTAGTACTTACTTCACTAAAGCCAGAAAAATGACATCAGGGGAATTGCTCGCCCTGGATTCAGGATAGAGGCGGTATTGCCCAGTTTGATGGAACTGACACACCCCGTGGTTGCCCACGATAGCCAGCCAGGCTGAGCGCTGAGCCTCATTTTCTTTGTCATTTATTTAACTTACCGACTCGTTGACCACAGTCGACCGAGAAATGTGACTCGCGACTTACTTCAGAGTGGACACTGCACTCTTCCCAACGCGACCGCCGAGCGCGAAGGATGGCGGGCGCGGCTTAGTATGTAACCGACTTCCAAATCGAGCGGAACCCGGGCCACTGCGAGAGTCTGTCATGTGTCCTGGTATCCTCAGAGTCTCCCGTGACGGTTTGCCTCTTTTGTATAACTTATTCTACTCCTCGACTACAATCCAATAGGCAGATGGCCCATGACTTCAAACTCGAACGCGAAGGGCGGGGGAGAAGGGCAGGTGTGGCTTAGTCATCTGTCCTTCCAAATCGAGCGGAACCTGGCTTTCGTCGAGTCTCTGGCGTCGCGCGAACCCTGCTTACCTAACGAACACGCTCAAATTCCCACAGTTTCCGATTCTTCGGACCTAGTTTGTTTTAATTATAAGGATGTCCGAATGACGTCAATGACCAATGAGCACAACACTTATGACCCAACCATTCCTCCACGGGCATGGTGGCCCAGTTCCAGCACGATTGGCGCCCTAAGGGATAAGCGCCCGGAACCAGCGGCCCGCTACATTAGGTCGGAGATCGATGCGGGTCTGGTCCGCGGTGAGCCCCTAATTCGAACGTCCCTGCAACCGTATGTATTACGACAGCGAAACGTCTTGGATCGAGAACGGTATGTTAATGCCCTTGTTGAGCCTTTCTCTGAGGGCTGATAGATTACAGGCTTTTGACGCTGACTCAAGATCGAGCCGAGACTAAATCGCGATCCATGCGCTCAGTGCACTGTGCGCTTGGGTGTGTAGTTCCTTCCTCCCATGCTCCGGGTTGCAACGAATACGACTTTGACTGTATTGTAAGTCTTGTAATTGGACTCTATACATTGTCCGCCCAATCTCCCATCGTTACTCATGATCATGACCTGGGCTCAGTCGGGACACCTAAATTCAGGTCGCTACTACCACTGCCTATAATTCGACGGCCTGGAGACTTTTCATGATAGTTTCTTTGAATAAAGGCTGCAGTAACGGACCTCTGCCCCCTGGTGGCCAGATCTGGACCCCTCAGCCTGTTAACCTACCCCCCTCATCCACGAGGGTCGCGACCCTTGGACCGGGTAGTTCTTGTTCGCAGTCTGGAAGCGCACCCGCACCTCTCGAACGCCAGCAGCGAGTACCACCACCTGGTTCTCCTATACGGAAAACGGATTGGTCACCTTCGAAGCACCGAACGCGACGTCGTTGCCGTTCAGTGCTGTGAATCGATTTCGGTTGACACAGGTCGTACACAAATTTAAATGCATCAGGAAAAGACAATCGCCGTGGCAGCCGTGGCCCCACACCCTCCACACCCCTCCACACCCTCACACCATGGTGTGGGACTATACGGGGGTACGAAACCCCACATCTCGATTGTGGCGACACAACAACGTTGTGCGGCCATAATCCATGGCCATCCACAGCAGACAACACCTTTCAACGACGGCCCACAATCTTCATTTCATGGTAGACATCCGCAGTTGTAGGGAAACAAGCAAATATATTCAATATTCAGTGTATGATACATGAGAGTCTATGCAAACACGCTACTACGGGCTGGAATAATAAATCGGGGGCCAGAAAACTTACCTGGAAGACAGGTTCTACAAATCGGCAGTCAATCCAGCCCTCTGCAGGTTCGACGGTTCCTGGAAGGAACTTGGTGACATCTCAGAACCGTTTGGAATAGAAAAAAGTGTTTAGGGACGTACCCTGTGCTACGACCTCCAAAGAACATACACACCGGGGAAATCAGGAGATGAGCCTCTACGCAAGGATCAGGATATCAGTATCAATAGGGAGCAGCGGGTCATCGACTCAAGTCTCTAACCATTTGCTGCCCTGGCTTGCTGCTGAGCCATTTTCCTTCATTCTCATCGCCCCCGCGTTGCCCTATTTCCTTCAATGTTCTCGACTTGTCAAACGATTACTCAGTCCGACTCATGCTATCACCTGCCCGAGAATTACTGCCCCCAGAGTCTCCACGACTCTACCCAGACAGGCATACCTGCACCTCGAGTACACAACAGCACTACGATAGCTGCTCCGTCCCGGACACCATCTACTTGAGCGTATGGGGGTGAGTAGCGAAGATCAGCTTATGAATGATGTTTTCCACTCCCAGTTCAATTGGGGCAGTACACCTGTACAAAACCATACAGTTGTCGTTCTGATGTTTTTCAATTTGCGATGAATAGCGCCCAAAATGACAGAAGTTCTGGAGCGAAGATGTCCACGCGGAAGTGCGTCAGGATAGCTAGGCAGACAACTGCCCACCTGTCGGGTCGAGAACCTCATAGGCTCGGGGAGCTCGGAGTGCCCTTGCTGTCTGTCACTCGATGCCGATGGCATATGGATCCTCTCCAGCTCGAGTTGTGGGTGTGCTTGGAGCATTTATCAATTCTGGGAAAGGGGTTCAAATCTCTGCCCGACAAGGAAGCGATAGTGTCCACTTCTTTGACGGTTGTCCTCTTGTTCACGCTCGAGCTTGTAACAGGTAGACATCAGACGCATCAAATATACAGTACTTCCTTCGTTCCCTTTTCATAGAAAGTGTGAAAATGTGTTTACTTTTGGGCTAACTGCATTTTGTAATCCGATGCTCTGGCTCGAGTGTGTACACAACGTACGTATAGATACAGAGAAAAAAGTGTGCTTCGGAGTCCGTTGCGCGCATCGAACACGAACTTTAATGCAAACACCAACTTCCTAACGCCACGGCTGGTAAACGGCACAACCCTCTTCGCTCTCAAATGCGACCCAGGCTCTCCAAGACGCGGTGTTTCAAATGTTCCTTGTAGGCTCATGGCCCATTTTGGGTTTAGCGCGGGCCCTGCCTGATCCCTTTTTGTTAGGTGAAGAACGACGGGAGGTCACGATGGTGCGGGATTGTATGGTCTACACAAACCCTTCGCACCGCGTTCCGACTCTCCAGGGTTGCCAAGTGCTGCGAATAGGTGCGTAACAACGCCCGCTAGAATATTTCCAGAGTGTTGTATCTGCGGCAGAACATACCCTATTTGAGTTAATTCCTGTTAGATTGCGGTGAATAGATACACACACGTTCCTAGGCGTTTACAACGAAAATCGGAACCAGGGTAAACACACCCGGATTTCCGGTGTCATCCAGTGCCCCGTACACGCGGAGGGTGCTATTGCTCTTGCTTGGGTTGACATCGATGGAGATTGATTGCGCTGCCTGCTGGTTCTGAGACGGCCGCCGTTCAGTACAGGACGCCATACCGTCGGATTGACTTTCCGCAGTGGGTTGAAGGGACTGCGACAAGTAATGCTTGGGAGTCGTCTGACTTGGTGATCTATTGACAGGTACAGTGTCATTTGGGCCTTCTCCGACATATATTGACGGACTCGCGGATTTAGATAGGAGGGCCGTGACTGCATCGCGTTTTCAGCTCTTAGACAGAGAGTAGAGCTGAGGTGTACCTTCCCCAGGGCCATGGTGCGCAAGAGAGCTAGGGAAAATCCACTCTGCTTTGGAGGGCCTGAGACACGAATGGTGTGCCATTGTCGACCGTCTCGCCAGGGAGTGAGCCGTTTCGAACAGCCGTCCGACTGAAAGCCTGGATCGGAGTCGTGCTCCTAGTCGGCGATGGCGCTTGTACGCGTCTTCTCTGTCGGATAACGGTCATTCCCAAGTCCAGAAGGTGAAGAACTGGTGGAGCGACCAATCAATGCTTTCGTGAGTGCTGAAATAGCGCAAACAACGGGAAGAGATCCTGAGGAGCCTTGGTGCTGGTGTGTACAGAGTGCGAACCAATCCTCTCGCCGCATCATTCGGGTCACGGTGACATTCCCTTGATGACCTCACTTCAATAGGTATTGTAAAAGTAGACGGTAACGAAAGACATAACGTCTCATAACGTTGGGCGTTTGGGCACTGGTCATCTCGTACTCAGACTAGTAATAGGTAGGTTGAAGCCACGTGGTTAGGCTCGTCCACAAGCAATACCGGCGCCTGGAGATTCTATTGGCCCGCTGTACATGAGCATTTGATACAAGTCAATTCCCTCAGTGGCACTTGTATTTGATAGAAGGGAAGAGGTTGCAGCTTATACTCCTTAGCAAGAGCTTCGAATTCGAAGCTCAGCGTGGAACAACGCCCCACTTCATTCACGTCTGGGGAAAGCCAGCCAATCTTTCCCCATTCAAAAGACAGACGCCCACGAATGCGACAATTTAATCTCGCTTGTTTGCTCCGAATATCCTGTTCGTGCCCGCTGGCCGACCTCCCGCTGCCTGCGAACACGGTTGAAAGCCCTCTCTTTCGACAGACACGATTGGGGCGGTCTTCTGTCCTTGGTTTCTCTCAATTTTGTTACTGGGCTGATTCCATGATGACCATCAACATGGCGGCAAATCCGCTCGGCTTGCCAGGGCTTGGGGAGACGGAATCAAATTGTCCTCCTTTTGGTGGTCGGCACAAACCATCGGCCTAGTTTCTTACGTGTTGTTCGCAATGGCTAGCAGACCGGGCTGACAAAGGAGGTAAGTATTCGCTTCTTTGCCACCTTTTGCCAACCAAGCGGCTGCAGGCCCTTCCAATTGGAGGGTTCGGGAGGACAAGCTCTTAGGGGTTTCTCGTAATTTGGCGACTTGTCCTAAGGGTCCTGCCTGGGTAGGAGAGATGCGATACGGAACATCAGATCGAGATGCCTCGATGCTTCCGTTTTGTGGCTCGGGACGGGTGAACACAAAGCCCCCTTCCACCTGCCTTTCCCTCCACATTGAATAACCTGGTGTGTAGGTAAATGACCTTTAATTCAATGGAAATTAGCTCACGGAAGTGCTGGTGAAAGGAAATGCTTGGAATAGGGTTGAGGAATAGGGACAGCTTCACGCTTGCCGCTCACGCGGAAGACTTTAGACTCTTGACAGGTACGTCTCCGTTGATGTCTTGGAGATATTATAACCCATGGAGTAAAACTCGGAGGGCATATGACCAACGTGTCCGATCCCGCACCTCCTCCAAAAGCGCAAAACTCCTTTGCAGGAATGGGGCGCTTGTTTCAATTGCTGTGACACTAGGAGGTTAGAGACCCTCCAGCGTGCAGGGTTCATTGCATCCTGCCCACCAAGCCTTTGTATGTGATGCGCATTTTGTGGGTTCTGCTGACATAACTTCTGCTCTGGGCGACCAGAAGGGCCTAAAATCATTCGTGATCACCCCGTGAGGCACAGAATTATATCCTTCTAAAAAAACTTCCATTTATCACTGTGGAAAACTTGGAAAGTCTCCGTCTTCGATTCAGATCTAGGGTGCATTGATACGGATGTCCTTTCATGGTTTGGATCAGGAGAATACGTACCGAACACCTTCTGTCGATAACACAACGCTGCCGACTGGACCGTGTAAGGCCGTTTTCGCGTTAGGGCTCGCACCATTAAATATTTCTAGAAGGATGGCTCCCGTTCTGTTGGTTGACTTCCGTCCGTTGCCCCCATCCCTTCTCTTTCTCCCTTCTCTCGCTCTGTTAAGCTTCTCCCTCCTCGTAGTTGATTGATTCAACCTTCACGTTTCAAGACTTGATTTCATCATGACGATCCCTCTTGTAAGTGAAAAGTTGTTCGCTCTCTTCTCGCAAGCTCAGCTAATTCGAATGCTTCTGGATTCGAAGGCTCCTAAGCTCACAACGGCCAAGAAAGAGGCAGCATTGCCGATCCATTTCATCGTCGTAGGAGGTGGTATTGCAGGGCTGTCGTGTGCCGTCGCGTTGAGGAGAGTGGGACACAGAGTGACGGTTCTCGAACGACATCCGGATGTGTTCCAGGTCAGTCAGAAGGATGTACGCCTGTGAAGGACGATGTTCAAGCCTTGTGTCAGGCCGTCGGAGGATGCCGCATGGCGCCCAACTTGTCGAAGATCCTTTTCCACTGGGGGTTAGAGAACGAGTGCAGGAGAATCGGAGAACTGTCAAAAGGAATCGACTTCCGTGTCTGTACGTGCTATTTTTGTCGTTCCAACCGCGCTATCCTAAATCCATCTTGACAGTGGAATCTGGCGAACACATCGGTCAACATACGTGGGACGAGGAAGTCATCCGGGAGACTCGCGGCGAGTTCCTTTTCACCTATGTGCGAGAGCCAATTCAGTCCCGATCCTTGAGCCCAAAAAACTTAACTCGCGTTTTGCAGCATGCCGATCTCCGAAAGCTCTTGTACGACACGGCAGTCGGATGTGGTGCAGACATCCGCATGGGAGTGGCCGTTACAGACGTCGACCCCGACAACCAACGCGTGAAGCTTGCAACCGGCGAAGTTATTCAAGGAGACGCAATCATTGGAGCAGACGGTGTTAATGGCTTAACCCGAAAACTTATGGTCGAGTTGGACAGAGAACCCGACCATCGCAATAATCTCTACAGGTACCGTCCCGCCTTCTTTTCTCATGCGGCAAGTTTGCTGCCAGTATAGTGATACTAATAGAATTCTGCCTGCCGACTTCAGCACTGTTGTCTCGAGAGACGCTATGATGCGCGACCCAGAGCTACGCAAGATGATTTCCGAGAGGAAGGTGAGGCAGGACCGCGTTGGGGTTGCGGCTTCGCCGAATTAACATTGTCTTTTTCACTCAGAACGGCATGTTTGCGTGGTTCGGGGACGAAAGAAGCGCGTTGGCTTTTCCTATGGTACGTAAATCTCTTCGGTTTTGTGAGAACACGACTCAGAAGAAGCCGAATTGATCGTTCGATGTCTTTTCGAATCTTCATGTTCTGACGACTTGTTGTGGTGTCTACATAGGGAGGTCGAGAACACGATTTTGCACTTCTCGTGTACTGTCCCGTGGATGGGAACGAATCGAGTTGGGATGATAGCGTACCACTCGAAGCCTTGCAAAAGGTTCTTGCCAATGCTGAGCCAAGGTGGGTAGTGTTGAGCTTAGCAGCTGTTCGCCCGATTCATTGTGATATTTAGGCTCCAGCGACTAGTAAAACTGGCCATCCACCCACCAGCATGTGTCGCGGTTAAGAACTATGAGCTACCGGATGACTGGGTTCACGAATCTGGGAAACTCCTCATAGTCGGTGAAGCCGTGCACCCTTTACCGGTAAGTGCTCATGCGCCCTGATCGAGCCTCAGTCAGATCTAATCCCGCTCTCGCACTTAGCCCGGCTGTATTCAAGAAGCTGCCATGCCCCTTGAAGACGCTGCCGTCCTTGCCAAACTTTTCTCTCACATCCGAAACAAAGACCAGATCCCAACTCTCCTCTCCGCCTTCCAAGATCTACGCACACCGCGCCTCGAACGCGTCCTCAACAAAGAAATCGGGGATGTGATGTTCATGACACTGCCGCCTGGCCCACAGCAAGACGGTCGTAATGCACACTTCACCGCCCGACGTGATGCCGGTGTCAGCGTATTTGATGCCCTTCCCGGCAGCGCGGCAGATGAAGAGGAGCTACCTCAATGGTTAGAGATCAAGGACACTTTCGGGTACGACGCGGAGGACGATGCTGACAACTGGTGGATGGAATGGGGTCTGTTGCGGGAGCGTGCCAAGGGTCGGGATCTCACGGACGGGTTCGTGAATCCAGCTATGGTTTCCGTACAAACTGGGGTCAGTACCACCTCCTGCGAGGAGTGATTTGTCTCTCCATCTATCGGACCCGTGTATCTCATCTCTTTCGTTGGCGGATTTCTATCATACAGAGAATATCGCATCGCAGGTCTGCTTCTAGGTTTGCATGAAGACGATATACTCTTGGAAATTCCGGCCTTCGACAGAGAGCAGATCACGGTTTTCGAACTTCGGAGTGGAAGAATGAATCATTCGCTTCTTTTCTGTATGCCATGACGATCCTCTTGACTCTACATACCCCCCACGCACATGCACGACTTCTTGTTTCAACATTCACGAAATCATGGTAACGATTCTATGGACCACTTTTGCTGCATAACGGAGATGTCACCTCACCCCCCATCGTGATACCTTTGCTTGCCTTCTCGTTCATTCATGGTTCGACACCCCTATACCATTCAATAATCAAACATTTTTTCTACATTACTACGTTCTAACATTTGCATATATACCTTCTATGTACTGAGTACCCCTGATTCCCCCTGATTCCCCCTTTCCTTGCATATACTACCCGGCGCCTGTTTGTGTGTTCGTATGTGTTCCCCGGTTTCCTCTCGTTTGCTGACATGTACTAGACCCAGTCTGTAGATAGTACTGAATAACATGTTGTACGCGGACTAAAATGCGCTTAAAGCTTCGGTTATGGCATCGGATAAGAGCTCGCCCCACCATTTCGTTCCATTACATTAGCGGCGAGCAGTCACTGCACCTTGTTCAACACCGATATAGACCACCTTCCGAGGCCAAGTCCTGAACCACCTCCTGGACTGGAATGAACTGGAATAGCTTACCTCCTCACCGTTGTTATCCTCGTACGCCCAATCGACTCCAGATCTACGCGGGTCCTTCTGAAATTTCGAAGTCGCCCATCGATCATCAGCAAATCGCCGATCGAACGTCCTCCTCCGCTCCTTCTATCTTAATCCATCCGCTCTCCCGCCTGCCTTATTCATAAACCTTCCTACTTCTACTTGGCCGTCAAGCGCCCAAGCTTCAAGAAGGGAAGGTGTCAGTCAGCCAGTCAGTCACATCAATCACCGTGACTTCGAATGAAGCGCCTCTTCGTCTGGACAGGTCCGCAATGTTGCTTCTCTCCACGGATCCGGCTTACCGGTACAATCTCCACTTTCTCCTCATGTATGAGTAATCTTTATCGCACTCGTTGGATAAAAGGATAGAAAGGTATAGCGCTTAATGTCAGCTCTCCGTCTAATCCTTGTGCATGCGAGAGCTAAGGCGCGCGCCTGGGGATAACCCCTATTTGGGCGCTTCGACCGCTCCGACCGACGCGTCGGGTGCACGTGATCGCCACCCCCAGGCAGGTCACGAAGATCATTGACATATGCAAGGGGGATGATCAAGACGACTCTCTGGACCCTTTGCGTTAGCGTACCCACAGCCCATTCAAACCAGTAGTAGCAGCAACAGTAAGTCGAACAAAAAATAAATTAACATTGCAAATTCCACCAGGCATATCGATATCGAGGGTTAAGGGGTATACTCTTGTAGTAACGGAAAAGGGAAACAGAAAGTGCGCGAGGGAGACAGAGAGCGAGAGCGAGAGAGAAGTTCAAGGATGAGACCGAGATGGAGATAGAAATAGATCGAAACGAAACTAAAAAAAATAGAATAACGGCGTTGAGAAAGGAGCAGAAACTGGCGTAAATAAACTACTAGCGGATAGTAAGAGCGACGATAATACATAAGAGAAGCAATAGATAAGTATGTCCGAACAGCAAAAGAAAAAATAGAACGAAAGAAGCAAGAAAACAGAGCAAACGCGACGAGTGAAAATGAGCAAGTGCAGTAAAAGAGTAGAGCGGGGTAAGGTACTAGGGTAGAGTAAGTAGAGGTACATACATACAAACGACGTTTTGGAAAAAGAAAAAAAAAAAAAAAAAAAAGGGGGAAAAACGTTATCATCGTCATCGAAATTCGTCAACGTCGAGCATCAACCTGAAGATCGCGAACGCAATGGTGATCCATCCATCCCCTTGTGATCATCGTCGAACACATATTGGTCCGGGGTTAAGCAAGCAAAGGAAACCAAGACGAAAGAAGGCAAAAGCCAGAGCCCAATCATCCATCCACCCATCCCATCGCACCATCAAAGCAAAACCTGGACCAAGTACTACTGGCGGTGCATGCATCCCCAACTCGGACCATTCCATCGACCTCAATCCCCAATCCTCAATCCCTCCCTCCACCCCACCTTCACCTAAATCCTCAACCCCTCCCTCCACCCCATCTTCACCCAGCTTCAGACCTCTGCATCGCAACCGCCCCGCTCAAACTCATAGCCACACCCGCAGGAGGCGAAAACACCTCCCTAAACCTCGAACTCTCCGGATCCCTATCTCTATCCCTATCTCTATCTCCGTCTCTGTCTCTGTCTCTGTCCCTGTCCCGATCCCTGTACTCCCTCTCCCTATCTCTCTCTCGATACCTCCTCTCCCTGTCTCTGTCTCTGTCACGATCACGGTCGCGGTCGCGGTCACGCTCCCTCCGCCCAGAAGACCGATACCGCTCCTCATCCTCATAATACCTATCCCTCCTCCTCCGTTCCCTGTCACGCTCACGCTCACGGTCGCGATCTCTATCCCTCTCCCTCTCCCTCCTGCGCTCACCATACCCCTCCTCCCCCTCCTCCGTCGGGAACTGCACCATAGTAGGCACAAACGGTACACCACCCCCTCCCCCTCCCGGGCCCCCTCCCCCAGCACCCAAATTCAAATTCGAAGCAGCAGCGCTCTGGTTCAGCTCCGACAAGGTAGGATTGTCGAGTACGATCCGCTGCGGCGAGCCGTCCTCGTCCGGCGGCGCCGGGTGCGGGAGGAAGTTGTCCGGTGTGAAGGGGCGTACGCCCCCGTTAGCGTTGGCGTGGTGGGGGGCGTCATCGTCGTCGTGGGGGGTGGAGGAGGGCCCGCCTGTAGCTGCGCCTTCGGGTATAACTGACGGCTCGCGTTTGCGTCTTTCTCTTTCTTTGTCGCGCTCGCGCTCGCGGTAGTACCTGTCCCTATCCCTCCCCTTCTCCCTATCCCTGTCCCGCTCACGATCTCTCTCCCTATCCCTCTCTCGATAACCCCTATCCCTCTCCCTATACTTCTCCCTATCCCTATACGAATCAGAGTAATACTTCTCCCGCCTCCTCTCCCTCTCCCTCTCACGCTCCTTCTGTCGATAATACTCCTCCCGTTCCCGGTCGTAGCTCTCGGTTCGGTGACGGCGCTGTGGGTGCCAAGGGCAAGGCCAACAGGGAAGACCAACAGGGAGACCAAGTAGAAAGAGTAACAAAGCATTAGACAGGCGTCAGATCATCGAAAAAATGGCACGCATTAGACAAGCATGAAACAAAACAGAAGAAAACCAATCAGCCATCCCCTCTATCCACAACAAAAAAGTAAGTAAGAAACGCACCCGAGAACTAGAATCGTAATCCTCCCTATGGGATCCAGACTTTTGTCTATCCCTATCCCTGTCCCGTTCTCTATCCCTCTCTCTGTCCCTATCCCTATCCCTTTCTCTGTCCCTATCCCTTTCTTTGTCCCTGTCCCTTTCTCTGTAGCGATCCCTATCCCTGTGGTCTCGGTCTCGGTCACGATCCCTGTCCCGCCTCTCGTAAGGGCGGCCGGTGTCGGGGTCCTAATTAGGCGAGATCCAGGTGAAGATGAGGGTTGAACGTTGAAGGATAATTCCAAGCGAGGGGAAGGTTCCGGGTTTCATGCGAGATAAAGGTCGTTAATCCAAGCGAAGATGAAGGGCGAAGATCAAGGTTGAAGGTTGGAGGGTAATTCCAAGCGAAGACAAAGGTTGAAGGGTAATCCCAGGCGAAATGAGAAGGCCGTGTCACACCCAAACGAGGGAGGGTATGTAACGCGTCGTAGATCCCGACACCAAGCAAGAGATCCATACAGATCCACATTCGCCGAGCGCAGAGATCCGGTAGGAACAAAGTTGGAGCGTCGTGGATTGGAGAGGCGAGTGGCCATGGATTAGCGAGTGGTCACCGGTCATGCATCGGTCCCGCATCGTGTATTAGCGAGAGGGACCACGGATTCCCGCATCGTGGATTAGCGGGAGGTCATGGATCGGTCCCGCATGATGAATTGGTCCCGCACGGCAGGAAGGTAAGCGACCGCGACGATGGAGCAATCAACACAACACAGCACGGGACGGTTACGATTGGCCCAGTCGAGGCAAAATCGAGGCGGGACCAAACGAGTCCATGGAATTGGGGATGCGCGCAGTGTGACGTCGCAGTCCAATTGAAGGATGTGCGCGTAGCGTGTCGGGTCGGGTCGTGGAGTCCATTGGGATTAAGGGGTTGTGCGTGCGTGTGCGGCGAATGTGTCGGGTTAAGGGGTTGTGTGTGCGCGTGCGCCGAATGCGTCGGGTAAACCAATCGAGGGTTCAGAATTATAATTGTAATTGCGCGTTGACGTCAGGTGTTCGATGGGTGGATAGGAATGGGAAAACGAGGTGAGCCGACGCGATGGGGAGAGTCATGGGAGGGCCAGTGCGCAGGTGCACAGAGCAAGGGTCGTCCGAAGCGTCGATGGAGGGGGCCAAAATATCGCAGTCGTCGTGTAGTCGAGAGTTGTGTGGTTGAGGTCAGTCGTGTAGTCGAGAGTCAGTCGGTGTCGGATAGTCGAAAATATCAAGTCGAACATAGTCCAAAAAAATCAAGCAAAAAACACAATCCATTAGCTTCCCTCCCCAGACCAAATCCAAAGCCAAACGAAACCACATACCCTAATAACCTCAGGCTCCCCATCCACCCCCCTCCCTGACGATCCACGTCGTCCACCCCCACCACCACCAGCACTAACCCCCGTATTCGACCTCTTCAACCCCGGCTCTGCAGCAGCAGCACCGTTCACCTGGTGCCCGCCATACGACTGCGACCTCTGATGCATCGCTTGTCTAGATCCCGAGCCCGAGCCCGATGCATGCTGCGAATGCGGATGCTGGTGCGCGTCCTGCCCAAAAGAAACACTGGGCGACCCCCCATTCAGCGGTCCACGCATTAGAACGGGGAGTGGAGGCGGAGACTGCGATTTCGACCTCGCTTTCGTCGATTTACGCCTCGAGAGGGATCCAAATGGGTTCTTCTTCTTCTCCTCTTTTCCTTTTCCTTTCTCCTTCTCCTTCCCTTTCTCCTTCCCTTTCTCCTTCTCCTCCTCCAAACCCCTCTTCGAAAACGAAGCAGGCGGTGTAAAACCAGATTGCGACAAAGCTTGAGGCGGGGGGTAGGACGAGTCGGGGAGGAGGGAGGGCGCGGGGAGGGGTGTGGGTGCTACACCCGGGACGTACAATCCCAACGTCTTTTGGAGGTCTGTGAGCACCATTTGGCAGTTGTGCTCGTACGCGGGGTTGGGCTTGCGTTTGGTTAGTTTGCCGGGTGCTTTCGGTGCTGCTTGGGCTAGTCTGTGTCGTTTGGCGGCGTCGAAGGGGGCGTAGGTGGTAAGATGGCGCGGTGGAGGTAGAGTCGGATAGAACGAGAACATAGAGGGGGTAGCAGAAGCAGTACATATTCCAGTCAGCTCAAAACGCACCAAACATACAAAAAAAAAACGGAATCAACCAACTCACTCTTCAATCTTCGCATGCCACACCAGAGCATCACTACCCAGCTCATCCTTGTACTTATCCAAGATCTTAATAGCCTCGACGAGATCCAAGTTGCGCTCGCGGCCCTTCTTGAAGGGTATGAACCCGATCTGCACACCGCCGCCTCCCATGCCGGGTGGGACGTACGCGCCTTCTCCTCCGTACGTCCCTTCCGCAGGGAACCCATCCGCTCCCTCACCACTCCTACTCCGATCCCCAAGCGGAGGAGGGGTAACAGGCGGCTGGTAATACCCCCTCTCCCACATCTCCTCCATCCTATCCAGCTCCCTCTCCCTCGCTATCCGCTCCTGCCGCTTCTTCTCCTTCTCGGCTTTCTTCGCCGCCTTTTCGCGTTGTTTGAGTTCTTTTTTGGAGAGGGTGCCGTTTTGGGGTGGGGGTGTGCTGCCTGGAGGGGGGTGGTAGACGTAGGTTGGGTGTAGGTGTGGGTATGGAGGGTGATGGTGTGGAGGTAAGTGTGTTATGAGGGTGTTGTGAGGATTCGTTGTTGTAGGGATTGGCGGGTAGAGGTTTAGCGAGTAGTAGAAGATAAGTGAAAGAGTAGTCGGCCGGCCAGGGTGACCAAGAACCCAGAAGAAGAGAAGGACAACAATGAGAATGAGCATCCAACAACCACATCTAAAAAACAGAAAAGCACGCACCACCACCACCATTCTGAGCACCGAATTCGTCAGGCGGGATGTACCCCTTCTCACTCGTCGGGGACGAGTCGTGCGTCGCGTGGCCCGGCGGGAGGTGCGCCGAGGACCCTTTGAACAGGCTGAATAGCTTGATTGGAGCCATCGTCGTCCCTGTTCCTCTTCGTACTCTTCACTCTTCGATGTACTCGTATGCGTGTTTGTTCGAAGGTGTTGGTATCCGCTCAAGGGTTCTTCCTACTCCTTCCCGCTCCTACTCTCGCTTCCGAGTACGGATGTGTATGCGCTAGTCGCTTCTAACGACAAAGCCGCAATGTCGAACGTTGGTTCGAGTCGAGTCAGTCGTGTGCCCGTCGTAAACGTTGTCGTATGTAGCCGAAGGCGTATGCAGTGAATGTCGTATGGTGTAGTCGATATGTTGATGTCCAGTCCACTCCCTGGTATCCCGTGCTCGTTCGTAGTCGTAGTCGTCCTAGCAGGTATGCAAGTCGTAGTCCATATGTCGAGTGTTCCTTGTTAGTTTCCCCGCTTGTAGTTTCTTCGTCAAGGCTAGCCTCTGTGGGGCGCCGTCGAGTCGTTTCTCTGGCTGAGCGTCGTGAACGAAGTTCGAACGTCGTACCCTGCAGTCCAAGTAACCGCAGTCGAAGTGGTCGAAGATGAAGTCGAAGCTCAAGTTGGCCGCCAACTCCAAATAATCACTATCCAAACAAAGCGGCGCCCACGAATCCACTCCTTCCTTTCCAAAATCTTCCAAACTCCCGTTTACTCTGCTTGCCTAATCCAAATCCCAAGCCCCAAGGCCAATCTCCCGAGTCGTGGTTTCCTTTTTCTGCTCTTCCTCCACAGCCCTAGGTTCTTATGCCGCAAACACAGCCCAAACTCTGTCACTGACTAGACTGGGGGACTGTGATGGGGGGACAGGGGCAAGTTATACACGCGGGAACTGGTCGAGGCTCTGTAGCTCGCTTAACTCGCTTCCCTGGTCTATCGTCTATCGACGTTTCACGGAAACACGAATCGGGATTCGGGACAGAATGGATATTCATATAAATGCAGGCGAAAACAATCCAATCAAGGGCTCTTGTACACCCCACCTCTTCCCCTCGACTCAGCACCCTCCGCCACCAGTCTATCTGACCTACTAGTATCATCATCCCCCCACCCCCCGACCGCCAAAAGAATGGGTGTTATTGCAGGGAAATTCAGATCATTGCGCGCGGTCACATGGGATGCTGGCTGCACCATGGGGAATCTAGTCTGGCCTAACCGAAAACCTGGGAGCGTGACGCCCGCAGGATGTCCCGGCGCCGGTGGCAAGTGGCCTGAATTCGTACCTCCCAAAGAAGGCGACAGTCGGTGTTCGTGTCCTGCTTTAAACGCGATGGCTAATCATGGTACGTACATACATATCATACATACGTCCTGCTCCTGTACTCGTATTCCCTCGATTGGGTGATTGGATTAACAAGTCATTTTTTTCTTTTCTTTTTTGGGGGGCACTATGTACCATGTAGGTATCCTGCCACACGACGGGAAGAACATCAAGTTCTCAGAAATGGGCGACAAGATTCGCGAAACATACAACTTTGCACCGAGCTTCTGCCTCTTCGTGCCCAACTACGCTGCCACCATGCTGGGGAAGGACTTCAACAAGGACACGTTCGACCTGCAAGAGCTGGATCTACACAATGGGATTGAGCACGACGCCTCGCTGACCCGTGTGTCCTTTTCCTTTTGTTCCCCCTCGTCTAACAGGATCGTCCATTTAAATCTTGGCAATGCTAATGCTAGGCGAGGATGCGGCGCTCGTTCCTGACCAGTCCAAGCCGCATATCCCTTTTATTCGTGAGCTTCTTGACTCCGCTACGGGGACAGATGCAGAAGGAAGGAAGGTCCTGACCATTGAAGATCTTTCCAAGTACTCCGCGAAGCGCCGCGTCGACGCCCGCGAAACTAACCCCGAATACACCCTCAGCAAGGTCCACAGGACTTTTGGCAGTGCAAAGTGCGTACATAGCTTTCAACACTTCAACAGATACTCTTACGTTGAGTGTAATCTGTAATCTGACTTTCTTTTTTTTTTTTTTTCTTTTTTTGTTACGCCAGCTCTTCTACTCTTTTGACCATTTTTGGCGGCCGGGTGGACGACCTCGAGAGCATCTTGATCGAGGAACGGATCCCTGGATGGTTGGGAGTCGAGGATCCTTGAAGAGTTTGGCTTGACGATTATCACGTTCAACGTGAAGACTGTCAATAAGGTGGAGCGCGGTATCGATGAGGAGAAGTATATCGCTGAGAAGAAGGCGACGGCTGCTGCAGCTGCTCAGGGAAATGCGGAGGGTGAATCGAGCGGCGTTGCCTAATCCGACCGATTCAGCCGACCCCAAGTCCCAATATTGGTTCGTAGGGAACGAAAGCTCAGGAATGACAGTTACGACTTGATATGATTTGTATATACGATCTAATGGACTAAGTATTTGTTTGACGATTCTGCTACCCAGTACCAATGGAACACTGCAATTAGGCGCGTGCCCCTATCGAGTTGATGATCACGTGAAAGCCACTTGAGGCTGCGGACCGTCGACGACTTCAGTCTTCATCTATACTACTATAGTCTATAGTACTCGTTTGAACGATAGGAGGGTCTAATAACCGACGCGCTGCCCCGATTCAAGAACCTAGGGTTCCTGGCCACGAATCAAGAACGTCTTAGCGCGCAAACGAGTCGTAGGGAGGATGGTTCGCTTCAAAGTACGCTTTCCCTCTCTCGCCTACACCACCACGCCTCTCCTCCTTCCCTACTAACCACTAACCAGCCTACGTAGAATAGATGGCTCCTCGTTGAGTTCATACCCATACCCACCACCGCATCTGGAGGAGCTCCTACCTCTCGAACAACGCTTGGCCAGCTCCCGAATAATTCTGCACAGCTCCCACCTCTAGACGGCAAACAAATCTGGACCGCCCTCAAACAGAGCATCTTGACGAATTTCGGGGATGTAGGCTGGGGGAGTGTCGCGCCTTCGTTGACCGGTGAGTAGTTTGTGTGTTTTGGTAGATGGGGTGCATGGTGTTTCTTACTCGACCTCGTCCTTCCGCCTGTACTTCTCCCTTACCCGACGAACGACGTCCATTCTCTCGCTTGCTCACCACTGCCGCCGCCTGGTCGACTCTGTCCTGCTTCGTCCTTCCTCCTCCGCTTCCGCATCCACTCCTCAACGCTTCGCAATGCCCTCGCTCCCCTCATCACCGCCGGCCCCCCAGTCAAGTACTTCTCACCAACAACAAACACAGCGATCATCCGCGTCGCGCGCGAGCACCATAAGATCGCCTGGGCGGGGCTGACGCTGCTTAGTACTATCGGGGGTGTCAGGTCTACAGCAGGAGGAAGAGGAGGGACTGGGGATGGTGTAAGGTATATACCTAACGTCGTGCATCTCTCCGGTGCGTTTTCTTTTTCTTCGGACTTTGAGCAATGTCCTTCGGGGTTTCGTTTTTCGTTTCACTGTTCCCTGTTCTCGGGTGTGGTACTTCGATCTGGTTCTCGCATCCCGTTCTGTAATCTGGTTCTCAAATCGAGTTCTCTAACATAATTCTCCAATCCCTTTCTCTAACATGGTTTTCAAATACCCGTTCTCCAGTCTAGCTTGCGTGTGCATCTGAAAGACTGACCTTATTTGCATCCTTCACAGGAACGATAAAGCACTGCCAGCTAGCCGCGATTGAGCATAACCGGGTTGTAGTTGCGCGGTATAGAGCGTTGGCTAATAACCCTGGTGCGTCTTCTCGTCCTCTCCCCCCGCGGTATCGTCCTTAACGCCTGATCGTCCTCCCTGCGTTATCGTCCTTCCCGCGTTATCGTCCTTCCTGCGTTATCGTCCTTCCTGCGTTATCTTACCTCTTAACCGAACTCTCGCAGCCGGATACCAAGATTCGTACGACGCGTTTTTGGAGAAGACCATGCTTGAAATTCAAGCTTTGCAAGATTAGTCCAACCAGAAGGATCATTCGCGTGTTCAAGTTGTAACTCAGTCCGGATGGTGTGGATTGAAGAATGGACAGAGACAGGACTCTGAAGGTGGACCTGGTGTTGTAGGGGCGTAGCATTGGGGGCATTTGGGGTGGACGAGCCAAGTCGCGGATGGAAGTTACGCTGGAGATTAAAAAAAACGGCATGGGATGATGCTGAGATCCCCAATGTTTTGCAAGTAGTAGCCGCAGAGCAGCCTGTCATCTGGGACTGTATTTCGACATGGATTGTATACTGTCATCGCACCATACCTCGGCCACCACCATCTTTCGGCCACTGTCACAAATGTCACACCCGGCACCTCAATGCCGATAGCTTAGTAATTGATTCTCCGCACTTTCGTCCACCGTTCGCTTCGCGTTGTCGCTGGTCTGCAATTACATCCATTACTGCTTCTTCCACTCCCCTCATTTTTGTTTCCTGACGCGAGCGAATGCGAGAAAAAGAGAATCAAGCACCACTAAAAAAGAAATCAGTGTCCGGCGCCCATAGATCTGGTCCCCAGACCTCGAAAACTCCAAGGAGTTCCAGCCGGACATCTGCTCGCGCAGCCAAGGCTCGTATATCCAGGTGAGGACTCTCCAGTGGACAATAGTGTTTTTGCTAATAGGTCATATGAAATGTGTCTAGTCACTTTGAAGAGAATGGTGCCCTCGACGACTTCGCCGAGTCTCAGGCATGGATTGAAAACCTCGTTGATCACAAGGACCTTTATATCCCACCTTTACCGCCCGTTCGCCAACCTTCTGTTCAGCCCAAAGGATTGCCTCTATCAACACCGCTTAAATCGACATCAAACGCGCCTACCGATGTTTCAACACCAACCCTGGAGGAACGAGTGGTGGAACTTGAGGGGAGGATGGCTGAAATTACTCGAAAGGAAAAGGCATGGCGACGGGAGCGGGCACAGTATCAGAAACGCGTCAGGGAGCTGGAGGAGGAGGTTTCTAGCACGAAGAGAGTCCTCCTTGACCTTGCAAATCTATTCCTTCGGGACGCTGAGGTGGAGCCTCCGTCGTCCGTCATTCTCGATGGCGGTTATCTCATCAGACGTGGTTTCGTCGAACACATCAGCCATCGATTCAGAAACATGTAATTACTTTGCTACACAATACATTTTCGTATGCTTCCAAGCGGTCTAAGTAGAATAATATAAAGGGTAGTGGTGAAAATTAGAAGGTGGGGTTTCGTACGAAAAATTACTAGTAGTGTATGCATGGTGAATGGTTGGGGTATAACTAAAGTTCTGAGTATTGTTGACGGTGAAGGGCTGTCGCGGAAGGAGCTGGAGAGCTGGCTGTGTCTGCTGCGTTGGGGTGGAAAGGGGTGGTTGGGTGTAAGGAGATGGTGCCGGTGTCGCTTGCGCAGTAGTACTGGTAGTAGCTCCTCGACGCTGAGAGCGCGAGAATAAACCTGCAAATCGAGGATTACCTGCGAGATTCTCTTGCTCTGCCTTGAGATGTCCTTGGAGGCGTTGTCGAATGTCAACAACCTTCCCAGCTTCACTGAGGTTCAGGACCCTGGCCAGAATAACGAGATCTTCACGCTTCTTGTACGAGGAAAGGGGACGGTCGAAGATTCTCTCCTTGACCTCAGTACTCATCCAAGCCTGTTGCGCTGCCTCTCGACCAGCCCTCTGGAGTAATGACTTCAATTCGGCCTCCAACTCCTCCATAAAGGAAGCCTTGTACTTCTTATGTACAAGAATCCGAGCCTTTTCTTTCCCTGTTCGCCTCGTCCTCTTCTTTTCCAAATTCGCTACCTGCAATTTTGCTAGAGCGAGTTCGCGCTTAATGAGAGTGCAATGCGCACTGCCAGCGAAGGCTTGCGCCTTCCAGTACTGTATAGCCTGCCAGAGATCGGACTGTTGACATCGGAGAGCCCTGATTTCCGCGAGCCGTTCATCGGGGGTCAGACTCTGATCTCGAATGAGAGAGTGGAGAGCTGGGGGCGAGGGGCTGGGTGCTGAGATGAATGAGGTTTCTGCGGATAAAGAGCGAGTGAGCCGAGGGGAGTTTGCGTCGTTGTGTTCTCCATTAGAGAAGTGGGTGTCATCGCTCTGAGCTGATTCGGGGTCATCGTCGTTTTCATCGTTGCTGTCGACGCCCATCGGATCATCGTCCTCTCCACTGCCATCGCTTCGTTGTCCATCTGGGTCATAGTCGGGGTCATCCTCTTCATCAGAATCAGTTTCAGTTTGGAAGTCGGAGGGGGGTTCGATGCCGTCTGATGAGGGAAATTCAGGCGGGAATGATGCTGGTACATGAGCTCGAGTGGAGGTATTGCGACTTGGAGCAAAATCTTCGTCGGTGAAAACATTGGGATTGAAAGGAAATATGCCGGTCTTCTCAAACGCTTTCTTGATGAGGTCGGAATTGATACATTGGCTTCGGACTTTGAGATACTCGTCGATTACGTTGTGACGGTCAATGTGTCTCTTCCGGATAGCGCTTGTCGAGCAGTGGTCTTGCCATTTACGTTGCAGATGCGAGAAGACCACGACATCGAGAGGCTGAGTCTTGTGTGTCGTTTTGGATGGGAGCGCCATTAGAATAACTTCATCGGCAATGTTTGTCTTGTACAAGGCCTCTCGCAGCTCGAGCGACTCATGCGAACCATGGCCATCGTAAATGAGGAGGATTGGCTTGGTAGGATCCTCGCGTCGTTCCAGCGCGTGAGGAATGAAGACCTCGGTCATCCAGTGGAGACCGATCTCGTTATCTGTCCAGCCGTTTTCTGAGAAAGCAATTCTGAATTGTTAGCTAGTTCTCCTTCGTGTTGGGCTAGAGACTTACAGTCCAATGTCGCCGTCATTCAAGTGCCTCGTGTCAGGCCTATTACCAGCCCCCCTTTCCTGCAGCACAAAAGAGGGAGGAGCGATGTACCCGTCTGCGCAGACCGCCTCCAAAAGCGTCACGAGTTCTCGATTGTCGCTGGCTAACTTGTATCGGTTTACAAAGCTCTTAAAGAACCAGTACTTCTGCGAGAACCCATCCCGTCCACCGCCCAGCTGAATTCCCTTTTCGTCCATATTCCACACGTGCGAAGGTGGAAGCCCATCATATTCGTCAACTACTTGCTTCAGAAGGGCGAAGTACTCCGCTATGGTTGTGGGATTGAAGTTCGAGGCACGTTTGGGATCGAGTTGAGCAGCTCTGGCGGCAATTAAAGCTGGATGTCGTTTCGCGAGTTTTAGCACCCAACGTGGAGAGGGCTGGGTGCCGGAGAGCTCTTGCGCAGCATGACAAATCTCTAGAGACGTGAAGGGACGTCCTTCGGCGGCGTTTTGTCCTATCCAGTCGACGAAAGCGTGCTCTGTGGGAGGCGGAAGCAACTGCCTGTGTCCAAAGGCATCCTTCCAAGCGACATGCTTGCCTTTGGCCCGATCCTGGAGCGTGGTCCGGCGTACCTAAAGAGGGTCAGTCAAGTACAGAGGATGAATGAAAATCACGTACATTTTGGGCCTTTGCAGCTGCTCGAAGTGACTTGTATTGGCCAGTTCTAATGCCTTCCAAGGCCAACCGGATCCTATCCTCATATTTCGGGTCACTGGAAGCAAGGTACTCTCCTCGTCGTTTAGTTCCGGTCCGTCTGGCCATAGAGCTTGTCCACTGGTGTGAACAAGAAGATAAAAATCATGGAATTGCGAGTGAGATGACTGAATGGAAAGCGACAACGGCACCCAACAAGGTGGTGGGAACATCTGGGGAAAATTCCATCTCCGACGCGGCTCCTTCGGCCAAGCGTGACAAAGCGTGACATTTACCCCTCCTTCAGAAACCTCACTTCCTGCTCGATTTTGCTCAAGTAAATCACTTTTTCATCGTTAATACGTGTAGGACCGGCCGTATCTACAGAAAGTTTGAAAGAAAAAGACCTACTTTGAGGATATCTGCAAAAGTGGCCGAAAGATGGTGGTGGCCGAGGTATGGTGCGATGACAGTACATCCCCATTTTCAATCAAAATGTTGAATACCTCAAAGAACGGCGGTAAGAGGAGGCCCGACATTCCCGAAGCCGGTTCCTGAATTTCAAACACCGTCGAGTTTCTTGGGGGTTTCCCCAACGTCCTACTCCCATCTTCCTTCCTTCTTTACCCCTCCAACCACTCTCATTTTATCCTCCCAAGACAACTAGAGAAACTACAAGCATGCATGAGGCGCTAAAATCTAAACTAGAATCCGCCCTCGCATCTCGGGAAAAGCGATTGATAAGGCGCAGATTGCCAGATCCCAATTTGCATATCTCCGCTTCTTCCTCTTCCATCACATCCAACAGCAGCAACAACAACGACAACAATGCCAAACCGCAATCCATCATCGACTTTACATCCAACGACTACCTCTCGCTCTCTCTCTCCCCGCTCCTCCGCGCGCACTTCCTCCACAAACTCACCACCGCACCCGACATCCTCGGTTCAGGCGGCTCCCGTCTCCTCGTAAACACACCCACGCACCAATCCCTCGAAAACCGCCTACGCGAATTCTTCCACTCTCCCGCCGCCTTACTCTTCAACTCGGGCTTTGACGCCAACGTCGGGTTCTTCGCGTGCGTCCCGCAGGAGGGCGATGCGATTGTGTATGACGAATATATACACGCTTCGGTGCATGATGGGATGAGGAGTTCGAGGGTGGATCCCAAGCTGCGGCTTTCATTTGCGCATAACAACCTACGTGACCTTAGGAGGGTTCTGGAATCCCTCCTCCAAGCACAAACACCCGATTCAGATTATGGAAGACGGTTTAGAGAAGGCCGGAGTACGGTCTTTTTATCCGTCGAGTCGCTCTACTCGATGGACGGGACGTTTGCGCCTCTCAGGGAGATGGTGGGGTTGCTGGAGGAGGTGTTTCCGAGGGGGAACGCGTATTTGGTGGTGGATGAGGCGCATGCGACGGGGGTGTATGGACCGGCGGGACGTGGGAGGGTGGCGATGGCGGGGTTGGAGGGGCATGAGAGGGTGCTGGCGCTGCTTGTGACGTTTGGGAAGGCGTTGGCTGCTACCGGTGGTGCGTTTTCTTTTCTCTTCCTTTATGGTTTATGTTCTATCCTAACTTCCAACGACCTGAATTGTGATTCGGAATACAGCGGTGATCCTCACCACCCCGCTAATCAAAGACTATCTCCTCAACTACGCCCGCTCGCTCATCTACACCACCTCGCTCAGCTCAGCCGCTATCATCGCCGCCGACGCTTCATTCGACATGCTGCAAAACGGTGTAGCCGACCAACTAGCGAAGAAACTGTTCAGTCTCTCGACGTACCTCGTTGAGACGCTGCAGAGAAAGTTGGAGGAGAGGGGTGTACCGAGGAGTGTGGTGGGGTTGCCGGGGCATTTGGTTGATTGGGAGTCTACTGTTATTTCCTCGCCGTCCCCGCTCGAGTCAGCATCTCGGCCTGAACTACCGAATACAAAAGACCCAACACCCATCATCCCACTCCTCACACCCCACCCGCGGCCGCTCTCCGCTTACCTCCTTACCCACCTACGAATTAATGCTAGGCCTATCACTTGGCCTACGGTTCCGAAGGGTAAAGATCGCGGTATGTCTTGTCCACTTTTTGTCCTCCACTTCTTACCCTTCGTTCCCCCTCCTCTTCTTATCCTTTCTTCCCTCTCCTCTGTTTATCCCTTCTTCCCCCTCCTCTCCTTGTCCTTTGGGAGTTTGCGATGCTGATGTGAACTTGGATTTTGGATTTTGGTACTAGTACGCATATGTCTGCACGCGGGGAACACGAAGGAGGAGGTGGATAGGTTGGTTAAGGGTGTTGTGGAGTGGGCGGAGAGTGTTATTCGGGAGGAACGGAACCAGGGGGTAGTCAAGGGACGGAGGGGAAATGGAGGTGTGGGAGGTGTGGGATCTGAAGTCGCTGTTGCTAGTAAACTCTAAATGATAGAGATACGTAGAGGTAGAATTAGAATTTGGGATTGGGATTAGAAATGGGATTTGATTATTGGTTCAAAGGTTCGGCCTCGTCTCGAGAAGTCGGGTAGGCTTATAATACTTCTGTAAGTACTTAGGTGCCGGCTCCTCCTCATGCCTCCCCTGCGTATCGCCTTGCTAAGGGGGATCTTCCTACGTTACGGGGTTACGCGTCGCGGAGGGACCCCTATCACCGCCCTATTCTGATTTCTCAAGTCGCGACGCGTCGGGATTAATCATGTGGAAATGACGATCAAGACTCCGACAGACGCGCGCCTATCTGACGATCACTATTGACTCTCCAATTTTGCTATCGTCCAGGGGCCTTTCTCAGCGATCAGATGATTGACATAGGGTATAATGTGCATATGGGACATAGAAGCTAGAGTATATAGTCTGAGTACGCATAGGGGCATAGATGTAGGGCATAGACATAAACATAGGTAACATAGATACTGAGCGGCTTATTTCGCATGCACAACAGAGGAAGCCAAGCAGAATTGTAAGAGTGACTTTGAAGACCTTAAGAGGGGTTGAGGTGTCAATAAAGACTCGTCGGAATCGGAAGAGAGGCTATTTGCTTACCAGTGCCTCTGATCATGATTGAAACTTGAAGGACCTGTGCGAAGGGTTGGTAATTTGTAGTAATACTTGGAGAAAGGAATACTTGGAGAAAGGGAGTCTATAGGTGAAAGTGGTCAGTACGAACTCGGAAGGTATTGGATTGAAGGACCGGAGGAAATCTGTGGGGAAGTTGAACACAGTAGTAAGGTACTAGTCGACGGACGAGTCGAGTTGAATCGAGAGTGAAGAGTTGAGAAACGCGATGGTGGTCCTGGTCCGGGTAAGTACCAGAAACGCGGGAGAGTCCTTTGGAGTTGAGAGTTGAAGAGATGGAGAACGTTTGACGCTGCACGAAAGTGTTCTGTGAAATCGGATTAGAGTTAGTAATTGGTTGATTGAGGGATAAATTTATTATGAAGTTTAGGTTTGGGTGTAAGGTAGGTTTGGAGTGAAAGGTTTAAGTTTGGGTTGGACTTTAGGAGAGGCGGAGAAAGGGGCAGGCACGAAGACAGGGAAAGGAGGTAGAAAGAAATGAAGACTCAGAGCACGACTCACCCTGTACAGCGGGTTTAACCGAAATCGGACACCACGCGAACATTGTCTAGGAGGTCCTGTTAGATTCATCCCCTGGGCGTTACAGCGAGGAGAAGGCACAACAGCAGGAAAAGACAAAACAATAGCAGAAGACAACAGCAGAAGAAGCCAAAACAAAGGAGGATGTGCACATACCATACGTGGCGGCAAGAACCTCAGCCATCGTTATCCAAAAACTCGAAGACCCTGGATGGTCGTACCCCGGATCAACAGGCGCTCCTGGTGCCTACATACATAAGTCATTCACCGCGCGCCAATTGTCAAGGAGGATTTAGAATCGAAGGCAAACTGAGATAGGTAGAGTAGTACGCACCCTCCGCGAAGCCGATGACCGCTTCCATCCAAGGGGAACTGGCGGCTTTACATCGCTCAATGCGGCCTTTGCCTATAATCGAGGGGGAGTATGAGTGTCTGAGTCAGTAAAACCGGGGAGGGGTAGGGTGTAGGGGGTAAGGGGACAAGTCGGAGGAGGGGGAGGAAGGAAGAAGGGAAGGAGAGGAAGAAGAGGTGTTTACCGCATGCGATGGCGAGTTGTCTAGGGTATATGTGGAACGGGGAGAGATGAAGTCAGCCGATGTCAAACCAGGAACTAAGAAAAGCGACATGACTCAAGGTATACACCGAAAGAAATAGTAGAAACGACAACAGAAAGAACTAGTACGCACACTTCCGCACACAGTTCCTCACAATGGCGTGACCGGCTAGTAAGAAGTGACCGCGCGCAAAAAGTCCCAAGGGGGGCCTCTTATGACCCCGGGGGAGGTGGCGCCTAACATCCGTTCGCAAATCGTGTCTCGCCGAGAGAGAAGGTAGGGAGAGCCCTGGAGGGGGGCCTGGAGAGGTGAGGTGTTTATATAGAGTAGAACTTGCACACCCCAAGCCTAGGGCTTCAGTTTGGGCGCCTGGTCGGTTTGAGCCTGATAGGGTTACGGTTTTGCCTGCTAGCCTTCGTCATCAGGAGAGTTTGACCGAGAGAGTTAGACTCAGACTACTGGCCAGTGGCGAGGTTGTTCCTGTAAACGAGCTGTCGTTTACTCGGGTTGTTTCGAGTAGGCTGTACATCTGGGACGCTCTGGTCTGTCGTTAAGCAAGGAAAGACTCTGAAGGTAGAGGCACTTCACCTGTGGGGGATTCCGTGAGAGGCGCCCGCCCCTATTCACTCTGTTTGACTGTGTTAGCATCAGAGGGTGCCGAGGACCGCTCCCCCACCCCAGAAGCCCAGTCTCTACCACTCCCAGCGCCTAATGTCCAGATACGCGCACGCATAACGCGTATCTGGACAACATGCTTTGGTCGTAGCAATGCGTATGTGAACGGGAGATCAGGCACATTGGCTTACTCCAACTTAGATTCCGAGTCAGCGACTGTGGTTGATAGAAATCTTACGCATCCGTTCGTCACTGTTCTCTGCCAACCACTTCGTTGCAACGGGGCTGCAGCGTAGAACCTACCCCGACGACCATGTCTCGTGTCCCTGCAGAGCCCCCTGCTTTCCGTGACCCTGTCATTTCCCCCTACTATTCGTCAAACGATAACGGTCTTCCCGACGAATTCGTTCCCCGATGCAAAGCACACATCTTAAAGATGGCGGAGATAGTCCAAGCGGAGGAGGAAGAAGTATCCAGGCTTAAACTCGAACTCGAGGAATCACTCCGGCGACTCCAACTCGCAACTGACGAATACACCTCCTGCCAATCACTTCTCTCTCCCATCCGACGCGTGCCAACGGAAATCTTCTCCACCATCTTCATCCACATCCTCGAGCTCGACTCGGGTCCGCGCATCCTCTCTCCACAGGATGTCATCCAGCTGCGGGACTTGATGCTGGTTTGCAAGAAGTGGAGGAAAGTAGCGCTTGTAACGCCCGAGCTTTGGTGCGGCCTGGAATTCAACTTGTTCTGGGAGATGGCTGGCAAAAGTATAAACCCAGAGGCCGCTCGGTACATCCTTGAGCGGTGGTTCGATCGCGCGGGCACGCGAAGTCTCCGACTCGCTCTGGGAGGGATGTATTTCACGCCAGACGAGCGTTTTCCTCTTCGTCCATTCCTCCTTAGCCCCCATCGCAGGTGGCACACCTTGACCCTCGAACATCTCTCACTCCACTGCGCAGAGAGCATATTTTCTCCAATCAAAGGCGTAGACGGTCACGGGGGAGATACTAGCAGGGGTGTTGTCGAGCCCGCACTGGAATGTCTTCAAGAACTCGGTCTGTACTTCGACCACGACGAACTCTTGACATTCGACCTATCTATCCTGCCCAGTCTCAAAAGACTGACAATCGAAAATGTACGGCCACCCTTCAGCTTTCCTCCCACCCTTCGATGCCTCCACATCCACGGTTTCTCCGCCCCTCGCAGTCTGCTCATCGAAGCGCTCGGTCAACTTCCAGAACTCCAAGAGCTTGAACTAAATGGCGTCGGGCCCATCGACTTAGGTCCCTCGGGTCCAGCCCTACACCCGACCGAAGCAGCCATCTTGGACAACCTCCCGGTCACAACATTCCGCCTTCGCGAAGCCTTGAGCCTCCGAGTCTACCAACTCCTCGAAACAGGACTCCGATTTCCCCGCCTCGAGAGGTGTGAATTTGGCAAAATCACCCTTTACGAAGAAGCTGAGATAGCTCTTGTTCGGAACACGATACCGACATTTCTCAATCATAGTCCTGGACTACAAGAGATTGACTTTACCTCGTCGACCCTACGCTCCCCGCTGATCGCCGAAATCATTTCCAAGACTCGACCTCTTGTCAAACGGATCCTTGTTCACGATTTCTCCTTCATCGCCAACATGAAGCTGCCGCCAAAGGTCACCTTGAGTGGATTGGAGTCGCTCGTGGCGGTAGAGCCGCCGTCAGAAGGGTTGCTGGAGAGGATTGTGGGGTTTTTTGGGCGTAGGAAAGAGTGTATCCGGAAAAGGCAGGTCACTGGTGGAACCACGGTTCGGTTGTATGTGCAGGATGGGTGGCCGAAGTATATACTTGCCCGCCGGAATTGGGTGAAGCAGTTCGAAGAGGTTGGGGTTCAGGTTGCAACCACGCCATACCATGCGTACAGTGCCGGACAGATAAACGTGACCTCTCAGGGCAGGGGTCAAAAATTGAGATTTTTCACTCGAAATTTGAGATTTAGAAGGAAACCTGGCCTAATTCGCGTAAAAATGCAATCTCCGAAAATGACCCAGTCACGTGACTTTTTCCAGATTTTGTCGAAAAAAATCCAACTTTACTTGGGTTTTAGGGGGTGGGATTGACAGGGAAGGCATCTCTGTCAGTCAAAACAGTGACTTAGGCCGTTATGTACACCCGTATAGGACTATAAAACCCACTTCTACCACCCCGATGTTAGGTTGGGGCCATTATCTATACCTAAGATTAAGGTTGCCCCTTATCTTTGATCCCATCAATAGATTAGATCTTCCAAATGGGGAAATTTTCCAAATTTTGGGTAGAACTTTTTCTCAAACCTTCGAATTTGGGGACAGTTTTGAGTTCATTCGAAAGCTCTCGTTGAAAGGAGTAGTTTCCGATGGTTTTCGGAGAAATCCAAGCCATTACCTAAGCCCAGATACAGACGCGAGTTTTGGCGTGCCAAGAGGTCACTTTTGAGCGTCCCGCACTGTAGTACCAGGCACACTCACAGTTGACCTTGCTTTAGCTAGGTCTGTACCAGGTCACATTATGTAAGATTTAGGTGCCTAAAACTCGAGTTCCAAAGATATGCAAACATCGGCCGGCATTCCTTTCCTGGCTCATTACCGCTGCTTTGGATCGTACCCTTCCTTCGGTTCGATCACAAATTCCTAGTCTGCTATGCTGCTGCTCTGGATACAACTAATAGGCGGCATGCCTTGTGTCCTCCAGTATGTTTCGTATGTGCTGGTCGTAATCCGCATGGCCCGCTAGGCATCAGTGGTCTAGGAAGGGTTTGGCGTTCGTCACCTTTCACCTCTACAAGTATCAAGCGCGGGGGGCCGTGGGCTTACTATTTGTGAGCGGGTTAGGCTTTGGGACGTGTCGGACTGACATGAGAAATATGATTCTGGCCTAGTATGTACTTATGTATGTGTTGGGACTTTGTGTGAGGGGCAGAGAAGGTGATTTTATTATCGGCATGTACAATGCAGGGCTGCAGAGTCCTGACCAGCCAGACAACCTAGGATTTACAGTTTCATTATTTAAAAAAAATCGCGTCGCATTCAATGACTGAGCTGTGTGGTACAGGGGGGCAGACAGGTAAGGGGACGCCTATTACGATGAGAGGCAAAACCGACTTGAGCACAAAAGAAAAAGGCGTCCAAGCCGCTAAAGCAAGGTCCACAGTCGCGGGACGCGGCCCTTTATTGACTGGAGAGTCTAAATAAAATCGAACCAGGCTGCCAAGAAGGCCTCCTTTGATTGTGGGAGAAAATCCGTGATCGAAGTGATTGGCGCCCGAGACGCGGCTGCTCGAGCGTCGAGAGGTCACTTTCCATTGCAAAGCTGTGCATGACTGGTAAAGAAAGGCACTTGATATAAACGGTCGCTCGTATATTACGCACCTACAAAGTCCACTTACCTGACTACGTTTTTCTTGGATTCATTGTACCCTGAATACAAGGCCGCCTTGTACTCTGATTGATGTCAACATTGCAAGTCCTATTTACGACAAGGAAACGACGAATGCGTTCAAAAGACATCAGACGACAAGTAAGGTATATGTACGGAAAGAACTGTATAAGATAGGTGTAAGCGTTCCGGACGCTCGGGTAACCAAAGTAACTCGGTCTCAAGCACGATAAGTAGGGAGTGTCGAACAATCCGAAAGGGTTTGGCCGCCATCCTTCCCCGGAGTCACTGGACCACCTCACCCTCGAGTTGTATTCCATGTTCGCCAATGTCATCCTCTTCGTACAACCCCTCATCATCATCGCCTTCACTATCTCCTTCCTCGTCATCGCTGTCCTCAAGGAACGGGACAGGATTCTCAGAGAAGAAAATCCTCATTGGCATCCTCGAGTTGCAATCGCGTGGAAGAGCTTGGAGCACCGCAAATTCCGAGTCGCTGTAACGTTCCCGTCGGACAACAGAGCAACCAACGAGGATGTCGGTTTCGAAGTGAAGCGAATCCTTGAACAACTCCACCAGCAACCCTGGCGTAATGTGCAAACAGTCCGAGTGTAGGCATACATTGCTGCAGGTGCGTGGCGAGAGTTCGATGGTGGCTAACGTTTCGCCGTCTAGAGAAAAACGGTAGCGTTGTCAATCATAAGGAAGCGGGAAGAACGCTGAAGGTACGAGCATCGCCCCTTTTCCTGAAACGATGAACTGACCTTTTGACAGAGTCCAGTAGCCCCCACCAACCAAGGCCGAGCAATCCCCCGGACATAAATAAACCTCTATCAAGAACTCTCCGCTTTCTACGTCGAGGTCTACGTCTTCAAACGCAGTTTCCGTCCAGGCGAGCGATCCGTCCTCCTCCCTCGCTGACCTTACATTGCAACGAGGGAAGTTAGGGAGGTCGTTTGGGAAATTGGAGAGGTAGGAGATTGCCTCGTCGAGGATGGGAGTCCCTTCTGCGTTCATCTCGGGAAAAAAGGACGGGTTAGCTGTAGCGAACTTCGAGGAGGAAGAGGAAGCAATGGAGAGCAACGCGTCCGTCGACATTTAATGGCTGTCCGCCTTCTTTATTGCTTCGAGTCAGCATCCCGGAGAACTCGAGACACAGAGCCACATCAAAAAATTCGTAATTCAGTTTAAGTGTATGTACAGGGGCCATTCCAAGGGAGACGTACAACCGCAGATATTCACAGGGAGTGACAGGGAGGAACACCATATATGGTGGTTTCCCGACATTGACGACGATCGGGGTGACCACTTTCGGCCAGTAGGATCGACTTGACCCAACATCACAGGCTCACAGCAGTTCTCTGTATTGATTGAGTGGAGCGTAAGACGCTCTCGGACGTTTTTCGCATCCTGGAGGAAGTACGGTTTACGTACCTGGTTTCCGAGCCTGTTGACCCTTGGAATGACCCTTTTGATTGGAATTGAGAGTTCCCGACAGTAGGGACTGTGGCGGCCCAGTGAGCAGCCCTTTACCACATATTGCTGTACAGTGCATCGGAAACAATTACCTGTCTGCCGTACTGTAATAGATCCCAGTCCGAGTAACAGATCGAGGCGGTATGAACTGGTCACGTTTCTTCAGAAACGTTGCCGTAATTACCGCAGTGGCCGCTACCAGGTGCCCATGTTCACGAACTAATATTTACCTGGTATATCTCACCCTTCCTTGCACTCTATATCTTCTTGACCTTCAGAAATTGTGAAAAATCGAGCATAGTTCATTGGTTTCTGGTGCTTTGGAAATAAGCGCTCGTGGGCTGATGCCTACGGAGATTGCCGAACTTGCCAGTAAGTCCCCCGATCGGCCACGTTGGATCGTAGCTGAACCACCACCGCCCACTCGTAAGGGTCATATTTCACTGGGATGCAAGCTCCTTATCTCGGTGCGAAAACCGACCTTGCTTTTCCACCCTGAGAAGGTGATTCAGAAGGCGACAATGATCCAGACTCCAGTCCCCAGCAGGAAATTTGGCCTTCCAATGAGCCCAACGGCGATTCATCGCGACACGGGCATCATTCCTGAAACTCGCCCTGCTAGGCTCAACAGCAAGTGCCATTGTCGATGGGAAGGACAGTCATGTCTCTCACAGCTCTTCAAGTGACGGGCCTGGGTGTGCGACGAGGATAGGCCATGGCTGTGACCACTGCCCGCGCTCCCTTCTGTGGTCCAAGCACGACTTCTCTGCTATATCGAGAGATATCGAGACGTTCGACAATAGCGGCACATGATAACCGATCATTCCCTGCTATTGTGAGCAAACCATAGCCCTCATCCAGCTGCTGGGCCCGATTGGAATGCCACAGGGGAAGGGGGGTGATCGACGAGCGAAAGGAGGCGACAGTGTTTCTCTTATACCCTCACCACAGTTCTTTTCGAGTTCCTCCACTCGTACGTCTGGTGTCTAAACCCTGCTCTCCTGCGTGTAGTGCAACAAATGCTTACTTCCTCTTTCAAATCCTAGACGTCGAGTTCTCTCTGGGTCCGGCACTCCAGAGACTTGTCCCCCATCACACTCAGGCTGTCCAACATGACCTATCTCAACTACGTTGAAGTTTTCGACAAGGCTATCATAGTCGATCCTATCTTTAAGAAGGTGCGTACTTTCTACCTCACCGGACCTTCGAATCTGCGACTAAAACGAGGGTACGAACTCGTAGCTGGACCGTCGCCTGGCACTTACAGGCAAGACATGGAACGTACGACAACTATTCGAAGTCAAATGCTACGCCCAAGACGCCCGGGACTTCTTCAAAGACATCCTCCTCGAATCCCTCAACACCTTCGAGGATTATCAAGTCGACGAGCGCTCCTACCCTCCCATCACCACCATCCACCCTTTCACCGAACCATTCGGCGACCCCTTTCTCGCCGTCGTCCAAGAGCCCAACCTCGAGAGCGTCGAGAAACTCGTCTGCTTGATCCTCTTCTCTGAACACATCATCGCGTTCTGTGACTCCTGCTTCCCTTCCCACAAAGGGAATACAGACACCGAAGACGAGGACGAGGAAGATGAAGACTTTCGCATGGAGTTCGTTCAGAACTTTGAAGACTCCGATACCTCATGCTCTGACGACGACGGCCTGCGCATCGACATTGAGCCTTTGATGGAGGGCATCACTCTGCATTCGCCTACGTCAATCGGCGCATCGGATAATCTCGAGCGAGGGATCGAGGAGATGTTGAAGCTGGTTGCCTCCAAGGACGGTTCTGCTCTGTCCGCCATGACATAGTTCAACACGCGTTTTCTACTTTACCATTCCTGTCGCCCCGCTGGTCGAAATATCGGGGTTTGCTCACTCTCTTTCCACAACGCATTTACACATTAGTGGTAGTAATCTCTTACCATATGCACCGCAGAGCGTTTGTTTATATTAGTTCCATGTAGTGCCTACCTGTCGCCAGCAAGCAGCCTGGCTGCTTCGACATACGCAGCGACATGCGCCGACTTTCCAATCCACCAAACCGAGATTCTTCGCTTGGTAGATCCAACCATAACATGTGTACCCTGAGGTGTCCCCGTTCGGAGGACAATGCAATTACGCAATTATAACTACGATATACAAGATAAAAAGTCTATGAAAGCAAGAAGAAAACGAAACCAGAAGCCACAAAAGAGTCGCCTAGAAGATCGAATGCGTAGTGGACGTGCGCGTGCGTGAAATGAACGTCATAAGAAATGTACAGTCCCAAAGATCCCCCAAAATCCCTTAAATCGTCGAATCTATCCTCACCGCCTCCACTGGAATACGTGACGAACAAGACCATCCTTCCCGACTTCCTCCACTCGCACGAGTTTGTATCCCAGCACCTTGGGAAGGATACGTGCCCAAATGATCCAGTACACCAATCCGAGTCCAAACACAGCCCATCCGGCCACAGCGTGTGTCCAGTAGGGGAGGGATTCGTAGGGTTCGGCGCCTGGTGGAGGTCGGGTGAGGGGAACGATGAACAAGAACACGTTGGCGGCGCCGAAGAAGGCAGAGGTGATCAAGCCCCAGATGGGCACACCGGGCCAGTCATGGTACGGTCGGAAGTGGAGGTAGACGATTCCGAAGGAGATGGCGGCGTTGATGACGGAGAGGGGGTATGAGATGACGTTGAGGACGAAGTTGTAGGCGTCCCCGGGAGGGAGGGCGAAGATGACGATCAAGCAGACGACCCAGTCTGGTGGAGAAATGTCAGAAGGCGTCGGCAAAGTGGTGAATAGGATGCAACTTACGAAGACCGAGACCGACCAAAGGCGCATTGAATGGTCGGTTGGAGCCCCAGAACTTGCTGAATGGAAGGATACCCTCTCGTCCGAGCTCCTGGTTTACACGACCTTGGGAGAAGACCTGCAGGCACTTGTAAGACCCTGTCTAGTTCCAAATGGAGACGCACTGAAACTTACAACGGAGAGGACGTTTCCAAGGGCAGAAAGGGCGACAAACACCGACAGAGCACGAGTCGCTTTCTCGCCATAGACATTCTCGAATAGGAGAGCAGCGACGAGCCGACCAGAGCCTGTAATCTCCTCCTTGGTCGCAGCGGCAAAGTAGGCGATATTGGCGAGGATGTAGAGGATGGTGATGAAGCCAATGGCCAAGGGACCTGCGATGCGGATGGTGCGTTGAGGGTTCCTGACTTCAGAAAGAGCGTAATTGACGTTGCTGAATCCAATATACGACCAGATAACCTATCACACGAGTCAGGGAAACAAACGAGACTCTGATAGTCCGTGGAAACGTACATTGTACAAGCTCAGGCAGAAAGAGCTGGCGCTAGCGGTTGTACCCTCGAACGCATTGGAGAAGTTGTTGGGCTTGGGAACCTTCATGTGTCCACCGAGGGCCACGAAACCGGTGATAATGACGAAGATGAGGACCAGGACCTTGAAGATACCCAAGAAGTTTTGAAGGCGGAGGCCCCATTTCAACGCGGTACCGTGAATAAGGAAGGCGAATGTGAGGCAGGCGAAACCGACAGCTCGGAGTTTCCACCGCGTAGGGTCAGCATTGGCGGCTCGAAGGATGTATTCGCCAAAGACAAGAGAGTTTCCGGCAGCCCAGGCTAGCAACGCACGCGGTGCAACTGTCAGTACCGGAGTGCGACTGGGAAGAGAAGGAGATGCGTACCAAGAAGAACACCATTTGCTGCGAACATGGACGTAATGAGGTATTTTGGTTTCCTGAAGAGATACTCCAAATAGTTCTTCTCGCCTCCATTTCTGGGAATCGCCTGGAAGAATGTCAAGTTAACCACTCCTGGAAGATGAAGAGTGTACTCACCGAACCCCATACAATATAGACATGCATACCGGCAGCAGCAATGATTGCTCCGATGACCCACATAAACAGAGCGAGGCCTACACTCCCACTGAGGCCAAGAATCGTACTCGGTGTTGCGAAGACGCTGGGAAAGGGTTAGGTGAGACGAATGACGCTAGACAGCCATAGAACGAACGTACCCAGTACCGATGATTCTGTTGAAAATAATGAAAATGGCAGAGACTAGGCCAATTTGCCTTCGGTTGGGATCTGTCGAGTCGTCTCCTTGCTCGAACTTGAAAGAGCCATCGCTGCTCTTGACGTCAACCTCCGCGGGGGTGCCCTTGGGCTCGTCGATGACCTTTTTGTCGGACATCGTCGTAATGAGCGAATGGGAAAATGAGAGGGCAGGGAGGGGGAAAACTCACCGAAGAATCATCGCCCTTCTTCACATCTTTAAACTCTCCATCATAGAACCCATTTGGAACGCCCTTCATGTCGTTTACGACAAACGGTGGGTATAACGGCGGGGATGAGTGAGGAAATCCACCTGCCACGACTTCTTATGGCGAAGACGCTGGATTGCACCATCCTGACGATCTCTCGCAAGTTTTCCGAAAGATGGAAGGTGGTGTTGGTGGAATGTTGAGCCTGAGGACATGCACCATGCGGTCTCTGCACCGCATTGTGTCAAAGCCCTTCCGAGCCACCCTCCGAATTGTTCTCCCGCTGGAAGCCCCGCGTGCACCTACATAGTAGCTTTAAAAATAGCTTCGGGCGAGGCTTCACTTGGGGCTTCGCTGAACGTCGTCCGAATATAGTTTATGGCTTCCGAAAGAGGCTCTCGAGGAGGTTTCCAGTCCGAACTGGTCTCGAGAAGAGCGTCGATCTCGAAGTTGGAGCCAAGACTTTTTTTGCCTCGTCCGCTCCAGGTACGTCATCGCGGGCGGAGCTCTGCCCACCTCGCCAGGACTCAACTGGACTCAACCATTCAATTGCCAGCCCGGACTGGTCCGCTCCTGGACAGCGTACATACTGACTCGACAAGCCTTTGAAGGATTCGCAATATCAGTGAATAATGAGCAATTCACGATAGACTGTTACATCTGATTCACTTACCATATGGTTCGTTCACGACGCACGCGACCGTCTAAGTAGAGTTTGGAGTTGAGGATGCGAGCAGACCAATCGAACCCCAAGCCTGGAGGCCACAGGCTTGGGTTTCTGAAGAATGAATGTCGGCCTTCGAGTCTGGCGAGCACCATAAGGCCTGAGGTAGAAACATTTGGCAAAGCGGTTCGCTCTGCAGCCGACAACCTACAGGCGGATAGTGGAGAAGATGAAAGATGCAAACAGCGCGCCCGCCGAGCCTCTCGGTCCGACTTGACCATCACAACGGCCGAAGCCTTCTTTTTGACCCGCCCCAGCCCGCCCCCCGAGCACCGATCGGGAAGGCACAAGGCGCCCAAGGTCCCAAGAGCGGAAGCAAAAATTGACAGGACAGGGACTCGGAGAAGCTTTGAAATGCTGCCTGCCTTTGGGAACCTTGGGCGCCTGGGGAAAAGAAAGTGGTAGGAAACCATGCCCCTGCTGTTACCTTTTTGCCGATTCCAGGACTCACCAGCGTCCAAACTCCTCAAGGATGTTACCCCCGCCGGAAACCCACCGGCAAAGCGTCCTGCAAAACCTGGCACAGTGGCGTTGGCCAAGCATTCGGTGTACAAGGTGGATGCGACAGGGCTGTCGCAGCCCTCATGATGCATGATTTCTCTGATTCGCTCTCTTCGTCGGCCGTGATTCGACGACTACTCTGCCTGCAATGCCATCGATCTGTCTGAAGGCCAACTCTGCAACCTCTCCACTCGGGTGTATCGCTTAGGCCACAGACCGAGGAAATATAAGGGCCCGTCATGGACGACTTTCCTGTAGCCCCAAACGTCTGTTGCACACACGGCAGTCTGCAACACTGTTCCCTCACATTCACTCGTTTCGGTGCCTGGCAATAACAATCTATTCATTTAGTAGATGGAAGAGAAGGCAAAGACGTGGACCGATCCCGCCTCGGGGGTCGTACAGGTTTGAATCCAAGAAGGCCCTGCCCGCCACCGCCCTTCAACCCATCATCTACCCCACCAGCCGTTCGCTCAGGCCACTCAGCCGGGACAACCGGAGTCCTAAGCTGCGTGAACGAAAGCGACTTGGTCGTCGAAGGCGGAGACAAAGGCGGAAGAACAGGTTTCCTTTCCCTCTCCCTCTCCTCCGCCTCCTGCTTCTCAACCCTCCTCCTCTCATCCGCTAACCTCAATTGTCCGACCATCTTCTCCCATTCTCTGTCGTACGGGGTACCCCATCGATTGAAGGAAAGGTTGACCAGGCAGAAGTAGAGGATGCCCAGTCCTAGGATGGCAGAGAATGCGATACGCGGCCCTAGTGCTTCGCTGGGTCGTAGCTGCGGCTCGGAAGGTTGGTTAAGGGTACCCGTTGTCCAAGCGAATGAGGTGATGCAGACTAGGAAGAAGATCATGGACCTGGATGAATGTAAGACCTCAAAAAGTAATTTCACCTCGGGAGACAACGTACCATCCTAGCCAGGTACCGGGCATCGCCAGAAAGGTCCAGGAGTTCCAAAAACTCGACTTGGAGCTCCGCTGTACATCCTGTTTGACTGTTAGGAAACCCGATAATGAACAGAGTGAGGGGACAGTGCAGTACCTGAACCCACAACACCGCTTTATACGTCTTCTTCATCGTCCCAAATCGAACGATATACACACACCCATAGACCAAACTCGCCAACCCGCACACCAACGAGAACAAAGCAGACCACCGGGTGACAGGACTAGCTTCAGCCGAAGGAATCTGTAGAAGGGTAAGGATCGCACTACGATTCGTCTCTCGATATCAATTGACCGACCAACATGAGAATACCTAAAAGAACTCACCTGAGAAGTAGCGACGAAACAAGGTTCAGGATCGTCCATTCAGCTAATAATCCATCCACAAAGGACTTCCACGCCTTCCGAAGCTTCTCGGGTGATGCATTATCGGGATCTGCACTTGCAGAAGGCCGGGGAGAAGGGTTTCTCGAGGGTTGCCTTCCAGGATACGGTATGATAGGACGCGTAGTCGTGCTTGGATCCAGCCTCTCGTCCTCGACAATTAGTCTTGCAAGTTCTTCAACACCCATCCGATTAACCTCGTCGAAAACTGAGGTAGCACGGGAATAGTAGAGTTCCGGAAGACCGAGCATCGAATAGAGGTATGCCTGGCGAGGAATGTCGGCGGTGACGAATGTATACACGATGGCTGGGTACGAGGAACGTTCCACTGCTTTCAAAGCCCATGGGTCTTCCATCCTCAGTTGGGCGTGGTGGCCAAACTGCGCCCCTTCAATGGCGACCTCTGGTGCCCTGAAGGCCTGCACCCGGGGACCAAATTCGGGTTCATGCATCTTGATGAAAGGAAAAGGCTGGTCGAATGTCGGTTCGCGGACAACTTGGGCAGGCATGACAGGCGAACCTCTCATTCTTTCGTATTCGTCTCTTTCGTCGGGATGCCTGATAGGTTCAGGGGGTGGTCTCCACCAGCGGGATTCTCGTGGGGAGTTGTCCAAGGGTCGAACCACTGGCGTTACGAACTCGGCTTCTTGAATAGGCGACGGTGGCGAGCGGAAGCCCCTCGCGTATCTGGATTCCGATTCCAAGTTCATAGGCGGGGGGAGTGCAATCCCGGGACTACCACCACCCTCCTCGCTTGGTCGTCCCCTCGGAACCTGATCGCGAGCACTGTCGTAGTTCGCAAAGAACGATTCTGAATCTCGTTGGATGATGGGTGGTGGTCGAGGATGAGAGGGCCCAGACGAGCGCGCCGCATTGCTCGACCCCGTCGTCCCATTATCGTTGATCCCCAATGTCGAGGGCGGCGAGTTCCCCAACCGCGGTGTGCCCACGAGGCGTCTCACAGGTCTGCCGTTGCTCCTCGCTGGTGTGAGAGGCAGGATAATTGGCAAGGTCGGGGTGAGATTGAAGTCGAGATTGAGTTCGCTGGAGTCGCTCCGCCCTGGCGTCGGTGCTGGAGAGGCCATGGGCGTCAATGGTCATAGATGCTGTTTAAAGCAAGTTAATATACTTCATAGACTTCTATATCCCCTAAATCAGGGTTCTCGAGGCCCTCGTGGCCCACGTCGAAACTCCGCTAAACATCCTTTTGGTTCATTCAAGTCTTCCGTTCCGCCAGTCGTTCGGTGCTTGGTTCTCCTAGTGACCGCGGGACTTTGATGGTCTGTGCATTTAACGTAGTCTGAGGCTTGTGAGGGTGCAAAGATTTGAAGATCATTGGATGAAACTGGTATGAGCGGAGGACCATGATGTGGTTGAGGAGAAAGCCGTGTCCGAGAAATCCGGCTGGGACAAGCGTCATCGGTCCTAATTACTGACACCACAGCTGGTCGAGCTCTTGATGCAGACGAGAGAAGATCATCGACCTGGGCTGAGCGCTGTTGAAAGAGTCAAAGGGATGATGGTGAGTTGAAATCGATTTCTACAAATCCAGAAATGTGCCTACCATCGGCCAAACCCTCCATAAGTATTGCCAATAGTGACAAGGGCATTCCAAGAACTACAAGATGGTATTACAGCTAGATATCGATAAAAATACATTCTCAGTTCTTCTAGTATTGTCCCTGCTCCCTCCCTCCTTCGCTAACAAACTTGGCACAGTGCGCCATGATAGGATACGACGCCGGTCCAGTCAAGTCCTGGATGGAAACAAACTCTACATCCACTCCTACCCCCGCCAACCGCGCGAACCAGTTATTGGGCATGCTCGTGATGAACCCCCTTCCAGCAGGCGGGATATAGAACTTGATCCTGTTAGGCGTTTCCCCACCCTGGTCGGCCGCACCGACACTCGCAGTCGCATTCCGTCGAGCAAAGAAGTCGACGGTATGCTGCATCGTCGTATTCGAATTCGGAGCTTTCTTAAACGCGATACCCTGAAGCCCAGGCAACTCCAATGCACCTGTCTCCCCGCGCCTAGTTCTCTGGGGCCTGAAAACGTCGAAATTCGGAAGATGCAGCCACTTGATAGGCACAAACCCTCGAAGGATGGCATCGAGATCCGGAGGCCTTAACGACGAATCCTCCAACGAGAGGATATCGAGCTGGTTTCGAGAGCGTCGGACGAAGTCCCAGATGGTGTTGTACCGCGTGTTCATGTCGATGTTGCAGAGACGGAGGACGCGTAGTGCGGGTAGGGTGAACGTGGCGACGTAGTACGAGGGTTCTTCGCCTGAGATGATGAGTCGTTCAATGTTGGGATGGGTGACGACGTTCGATGGTCCGCCGCGGATGTAGAACGCTCTGTTGGTGAGGAGAAGTTCCTTGAGAGCGGGGAAGCGGGAAACGACTGTTGCAATGGCGTTGAAGTTGCCTTGGAAAGAGCCCAAGTGGAGCGATTCAATTCCGCCATGGTGGGGAATAGCTGTGGGGAGCTGCTCGGCATGGAACCCGAGCCATTTGAGGTGCAGACTCCTGAGACGGGGCCACAACTGGAGAGGCAGGTGGTTCAGAGTACTGAGTTGGTCGAACCTCGGTCTAATCCCGATTGCCAACCTCTGTATATCAGGCCAGGAAGTCTGAGCGTTCGGGTTGGAGACTGTCGCGAGAATGTGGTTCATGAGCATCGGCGGGACGCCCAATAGGCTAATTTCCGACCACTGTCTCGCCACGGATAGGACACGTTCCAGGGCTTGGAAGGATGCAGATACTTCGTTATCTGCTGCACTCGAGTAGCGTTGAGGAGAGCGTCGGATTAGGACGCGCATGTCCCCGGATGAACCACCCCTATCCAACCACCGATTGACCTGGCTCGTCGGGTCCGTCGCTGAGCCCGAAAGAAAGTCATCAGGGACCGTAAGACCCAGACCCCTCCACAGTCGAGGGCTGGAAGATGCGATATCCCTCCATTTCTTGCAAACCAACTGCATATTGGTAAGCTGGGTCCGGTCTTGTTGGAACAAGAGGGTAGCATCATCGAAGACTTCTTCCATGATTCGGGATATGATTTCGGGTGGAACTTTGCGGATTGGTGAGAGGTAGGATAGGTAGAAGTCACGCTGTTCTTCGAGCCCTTTTTTCCTCTCCCTGGCAGCCAGGAGAGCGGCGCGAAGGGTTCCGATTTCCTCGTCCGCCGCCTCGATGTCGTCGCGCAGGGACCTGATTTGGTTCCTGGCCTCTTGTTCCAGTACATCTTGAGGGAGCTGCTCTAGGGTGGCACCTATTTGGGCTTTGTCGAAGGTATTGGCCATCGTGACGTCCATGGCGGTATCTAGGGTGAAAACGCGAGTTGTGAACCCCAGAACGGGATAGAATGTGATAATGAGAATTCCACCAGTGACTAGTGACTGACCTGGGCTTTAAAACGAAAATATTTTTCTATTCCAATGTATTCAGGTCCCCTTTACCTCTTCGAAGGTCTAGCTAAGTTTAGACGGACGAAGATGGTGGTTGAGAAGCAAGAAGCAAATCCTTTGTTTGCATAAATTTCACACAGATCCAAACAACACCCGACTCGGAAGACCGTGACCGTTCTGCTTAGTATCATCCACCACTTGCGCTCGCTGCGACCCCGCCATTCGACCCGTGTAGCTAATCCCAGGTGGCTGATTCCCTGGAAAATAATAACCTAACACTTGGCCTCCACCATCAAGTTTCAGCGACTTTCTCCCCTTCAAACCGGACAGAACAAGCGACCAAATTGACCATTAGAGAAACAAGCCACTGTTCTACCTCATTCCACCTCGCCAAATGAGCTTCCGATACATGAACGCGTAATGCAACGCGTTCGAGGATCGATAGTCCTGGGTTGACAGCTTTGTCAGGTACAGGCCAGTCGTCGAGGTAAGTCCAAGTACTACGTGGTCCACCAACTCGATGGTCAGGTCTTCCAAGCTGTTAAGTTGGGTAGAGAGGTTTTGACGGCTTATGTCAGTCCAATGAGTTGGGACATGCGGACGCTAGAAGATACACGTCAGATTCTTCAGAGATATCGAGGATAGTCATTGGTGCTGCTGATAGTCAGTATCAGAGGTATATCTTCAGATGGGTATGAGTGCTGGCAATCTGAGAGTAAATACGCACGATAAGTACCATCTAGGTCGTCCTCAGAAGATGGATGAAGTGGACTTCCAGCTATCTTGCCACTTCTGCGCATGGCCTGGATCCACTGTGAGTCGTGAGGCCTCTCGGAGTCTGTGAAGTCGGAAGGGGCCACGAGGATTCCGTACGGGCTCGATGAACGTGCTAAACGGATAGCAGCAATTCTTGGTACTGAGCCTGACGAGCTTAGGCACAGCGCCCGGTCGCACATTACTATGATGCCCATCCGCTTCCAACTCTTCAAAGTCCACCATTACTCCCTCGAGAGCCAAGTACCTCACGTTCAAGACTACAGAGACGACAGACAATAGAATGCTGACGATGCTGATAAATCTTGACGTTCTGGATGGTAGGGAGAGCAGACAAACAACCGATTGCTCCTTTCCCATCCTCGGGAAAGTACCCCCATTCTGTACAGTCGCTGATGAGGGCTACCTTTTCCACTTCTCCAACAGCGTTGTGATGTCCGCGAGGTGTTTGAAGTTCGCTTCGTTGTGTACCGCAATCTTAGAAACATACGGTTTACCTTTCACCGATCCTCGATCACTTTGACGCAACGACAGAGTAGCTCGACGCGATTCTGCAGTACTTCGAGGAGGGATTGGCCTCACTTCGAGAATAGAAGTAGCGGATCTCTGAGGAAGATTCGGATCTATCGGTATGGGTGGATTCTTTGTCCTGGGGTAGTATTGTCGGCCGACCAGAGAGAACTGGGCGAGCGCACGCTTGTCGTCTGTCATGCAATCGATGCGGTGGTCAATCACTGTCAGTTCCCAATGAGATAGACGAGACATCGGATGTCGAGTTGGAACAAAGGGCGCTAGTCCTGCCAGAGCTGCTTCGCCCACAACTGTGCCTACGACCAGGTGTGGGTCCCAATCAGTAACTACTAGGCGCCCGAGGCAGTTGATGGTGATTGTGAAGGCGGCGCTATCAGTCCCAATCTCAAGCCGAACGTGGGTTCAGATTCTATAGCCTATCGTTGCAACCAGAGAGGGGAGGCCGATCATGGTTGAGACTCGTCCGTTACACTTGCTCTCGTCGTCCAGCATGCCTTGATATGGTTCGAGTCATGGTAGAGCCACTAAGCATTTAGCATCGGGCGCTGGTGGTTCGCAGCACAAACGTTCGTGGGATCCAGAGTCAAGTTGATTAGCTTGACAAGGGATCAATCCTTGGTAGGTTCGCGTGATGATCCTTCCCGGACAACATAAAGTTGGGGGGATTAGTATTGTGGCGGAAAGAAAATACGTGGGGTGAGTCGTGGCGGATGGAACTTGCTGTTCAGCTGAAGATTTGAAGCTCTCTCCACAGATAGTTCTCGCAGCCTGAATATGCACAATGCAAGGCGACTTTTGACTGGAAGAACGAGATATTTCCCCTATTTTCCATAGTTCAGGATAGGGGCTGCCGAACTCGGCATCAGTGTGATTTCCTTTTTCGTATCTAGTTTCCGCCTGCGAGTTGCTGCGCTGGGCAAAGTTTTGGCGTCATTTCGGACCACAACCACGACGAACGGGGTCCCCACGATTCGGCTAACGCTTCCCTATATGAGTCTCTTACTTTAAGTCCCTTTAAAGTGGAGTCTATACCCCTCGTACCCTTAAGACGCCGGCGCTTACAGGCGAGAGTTGGTTTTCTACAACCAGGATTCATCATGAAGTTCAGGTGCATTTTGTGCTTTTGAAGTCTAGTTTCGTTACTGATTTTGTTTTGTGCAGTGCATCTCTAAAGTTCAATGCAGTCTCGGACTGGTGGGACGAGTACATTGCGTGAGTGTCGAGTCATGCAGCAACGAAAGCCATGTCTGACAGTAATCAGCTACGATTCTCTGAAAAAGTTCATCTACCAGCTCGAGAAACAGCAGGTCCAGCACGGGGAAATCCTTCCTCAAGCCGACCTTGAGGCTGGAGAACATGTATCATTGCTCAGAGACGAGGACACCACCTCGACCGACGCTGCTTTCATCCCGTTACTCGACCGTGAGCTCAAGAAAATCGTCAGTTTCTACGAGATCCAGTCCAAGGAGTTGTTCGACGAGCTCGAGGAGCTAGAGGAAGCCGTCAGGGAGCAGGAGGCATTGGGCAATACCGACCGCTACAACGACTATTCGGACGGGGATGATGAAGACGATGACGACAGTATCTCGAGAAGTCCTAGCCGAGCAACGCACACCCGCCAAACCAGCAGACGACGCAGTCGACCCCGTCGAGCAACGCTGAGCCACGACCCAGTCCGACGGTCGAGTATCGCCTCCGATGGCGACGGTGCAATATCCAGACTGGTCAACTCGCTGAGGGACAGCTTCTCAGGGGAGAACACCGTCTGGACATCTGGCACAGACTATGCCTACGACACCCGTCTCCTATTCAAGAGGAGGATTACGAACCTCTACATCCAGTTCACCAACCTCAGGTCCTACGTGGAACTGAACTACTCTGGTTTCCGTAAGATCATCAAGAAGTACGTACCTCGTGTTGTCGTCGAAGGGCGCCTCTGACGTCTTGCAGGTACGATAAAGTGACCTATTCGGAGTTGAAGGATAGGTACCTGCACCAAGTGGTCGAACCAGCATTGCCTTTCACTGCTACTTCCAAGGACCAATTGAATGCTGGAATCAACACCCTCATCGACTTGTACACCAAGTGTGTAACGCGAGACGACAGGAACTTGGCCAAAGAACAGCTCAAATTGCATCAACGTGAAAACATTGCTTGGGAGCGAGACACCGTATGGCGACAGATGATTGGACGCGAGAGAAGAGGAGAAGGAGATCCCGAACTCGATGGCGCCGTGATAATGAAAGGCCCGGAGCCTCCAGTCCTCGACGTTCCAACGCCCGTCGGCCGGTTCAAGATCACCAAGAGGAAGATCTATAAGGTGGTGGCAGCGTTACTCTTCGTCATTCTCCTCAACACGAAGATGTTCGAGGAGGTCGAGGCCAACAACTGCTTCGCAATCCTCTGCCTTTGCACGTTCCTGTGGGCGACCGAAGCAATCCCGCTGTTCGTGACGTCGTTGTTTGTCCCGCTCCTGTTGGTTCTCTTCAGAGTTATCCGTGACGAAGAGGGTGAACGCCTGTCCACTCAGGGTGCCACCAAGTACGTACATGTTCTTCTCATGTTTCTCGTCAAACTGACGACATCCCTAGATTTGTGTTTTCGATCATGTTTTCACCAACCATCATGTTGTTGATCGGTGGCTTCACGATCTCGTCTGCATTGAGCAAGACCAACATCGACCGGATTCTTATTACCCGAGTGCTGAATCTAGCCGGTTCCAAGCCAAGTACTGTGCTTCTCGCCTTCATGGGTGTTTCGTGCTTCGCCAGCATGTGGATCAGGCAAGTAAAGTTTAAATACGATGTCATACATGTTTTAATGACCTCAATGGCAGTAACGTTGCCGCACCGACCTTGTGCTTCGCGCTCATCCGGGTATGCTCAGCTGTCTACCCAGCCCCCGCTCTCCATCCACTGACCTGTTGTTTTCCAGCCCATCCTGCGAACCCTACCGCCTAAATCGGCCTTCGGTCCGTGCCTGATCGTACGTGAATGATTTTTCCTACACGCATGACCAGAAAACCTGACCTGGCACCCCTTGTTTCCTCCCTCGCTCTTGTACTTCACAAAAACCCCATGATCCCGACACCTCGTTTCTGACTGACGGTTGTTCCTCGAAATGGCAGTTGGCAATCGCACTAGCAGCGAACATCGGAGGACAGAGCTCGCCCATTTCGTCACCACAGAACCTTATTGCCCTCGCGGCTATGGACCCGCCGCTGGATTGGGCAGCATGGTTCGCGGTGGCTCTCCCCGTTTCGGCTCTTTCAATTGTTTTGATCTGGCTGTTGCTCCTCGTGGCTTACCAACCTTCACGGATGCCCGATGGAGAGGGCGAGATTGAGATCAAGCCCATTCGGCCCACCAGGGAACCTTTTACTCTCAAGCAGTATTGGGTATCCTTCGTTTGCCTTGTCACAATTGTATTGTGGTGCATCGCCCACAAGATCCAGGATTATGTCGGCGACATGGGTGTCATTGCCATCATCCCCATTGTGGCATTCTTTTCCACTAATGTACTCAAGAAGGTATGGTAATATTTTCGTTCTGTGTTCGAGGTTGCTTACGTTTGTTGGTAGGATGACTTCGAGCACTTTGCCTGGACGATCGTCTTTTTGGCGATGGGCGGTATTGCTCTTGGCAAGGGTGTTGTCGCAAGTGGTCTCCTCGTATACGTGGACACTGGTCTTCGTCATGCCCTCGAAGGCCTCTCCCTTTACTCGGTCGTACTTATCCTTTCCCCGGTCGTCCTTGTGCGTTCCACGGTCACTTCTCTTCCGTTATCCTCGCTGATCACCCTCCCTTCCGCTATCTCCTGCTGAGAATAGGTTATCTCCACTTTCATCAGCCACACTATTGCGAGCGTCTTGCTCGTACCCATTGCCAAAGAAGTTGGAAACAACCTTCCGGGACAGCCCAAAAACCTGTTGATCTTCTTGACTGCACTCATCTGCTCGGCCGGAATGGGTATGCCAGTTTCTGGATTCCCTAATCAGACTGCGTGAGTTTTCCAACCGGGATCAACGTTCTTCGCCTTTTTCTGATCAGCCTTAACTCGTGTTTGAATATTCCAGGGCCACTCAAGAAGACGAGTTGGGCGACCTATACCTGTCCAACGTTGACTTCCTCAAGAATGGCGTTCCTGCGAGTATCATCGCTACAATCGTAAGCTTTATTCCACAGTTTCAGTTTGGTCTATTCTCACACCGCCTGATAGGTCATTGCTACTGTCGGGTTTTTACTTATGAGGGCTATCGGGTACGTCTTCGACCCTTTCTATCAGAAAGGTCAGACGAGTGACTGACGTCTTCGGTTTCTAGACTATGAGCTACTAACTTATTCACCTCTTCCTATTCTGCTGTATATAACGTTTAGACCTTGGGCTTCTTTTGTGACAGATATTTCTGGTCTTTGTCATGGTTCTTCTGGGACTGTACAGTGACTACTCGTGCTCTCCATTGTTACCTTCTTCATACACGAATCAAAGAACTGGTTTACCGCACCGCAGCGGCTCTTTCGCGCTTCCTATCCCGGTGCTTGCCTTCCTCTTCTCTCGTCGAAAAGACTCACGCGTACTATTTGACAGTTTCTGACACCGTTTCGAAAGTCTCATGGGTACCAACGCCCTTTTCGGGTATCCAATTGATTCCCCGACCCAGTGAAAATCCCTTGGATAGCGGGGTTGTGGGGAAGCTCAGACAGGGAACCATTCCAAATTTTCCATTCTATCCTTTTCCAATTGTCTGCACTCACGCGGTCATTAGGGTGCAGGGAAAAATGGGTAGGTCATGTGTTCCACACCAACCCCAACCGGACTCGGTGGAGGCTGTTGCGATTGCTGATTAGAGTTGCATTGAAGCACGCCCCCCTCTCGCCTGTTGTCGTAGCACTTCTGTGAACTAGGCAACATGTATCAGCATCTCTCGAAGTCCCTCCCCAGGTGGTGTGAGCCTTCTACCGGGAAATGGCTTCATTTGTTTCGCGCTTCGACAGGTTATGGCAGGTATGTTATCCTTGAGATCAAATGAGCTAGTCCTGTCTTCTCTTTGGCATACATATTTGGTGTCCGGCTGGATAGGCGCCGGAAGACTGTGGAGACCTTTACCCAAAGGCTGTCCGGCGTCGAGTCTTTAACTGGTTAGAAGAATCGTGACGTTGGATTTGGGTCGGTGCCGAGCCGCTAAAGGTGGGGTCCGATATGCTGTACAGTTTTTCCATCGTGCAATAGCGTGCAATGTCAAAGCGCTCCACTACCCCAGGTCGTTTTGGCGTCCATAAATCCATAGAGATGTCGCTCCTGCGAAAGCCAGATGAAAAGCCGGATATGGCTATTTGCCAGATATGCTCTCTCTTATATTAAAAGAAGCCCCAAGCCCTCTCATGCCATGTCGTCCTTCGAGAACTTTATCGCCAGCATCTTGTTGCCTCGTGCCATTCTGGGCCGCCCATTCTGCGTTGAACATTTCAAAGTTGTATGCTCCGAAGAAGAATGTACTTTTTTTCACCCGGCACCAACTGCCATACACGACCTATTTGAATACGACAAGGTTTTGGACAAGCGATGCCAGATGCTTATTTCCGCGGAACGCCAGTAAGGGAATTAAGACTACTACACTACACGATTGACTGAAATGGCCCATGTGCTATTGCTACCCCGAGACTAAAAATGGTGTGTGCGCAGAATACGAAACAAGAAGTGTTCAGTATACAGAATGTTCTTGTGGATAAGGTATATATCAGAGCAGCGTGCTACAGACTTTTTTTAAAAAATTCTGATCTCGCTAGGGTATCAGTGTGAAGGGTTCGAGGAATATGCGTACTACTTATACAGAGCGAGCGATTAGGCCAATTAGGAATGTAGTGCGGATTAGAAAAGGAGATAGACAAAGGGCACAAATACATTCACCACGGTCTGTGAGGAGCGGAAGATTCGCTGTCACTGTCCAATTCTAGTGGACTTGGACCGCTGCGATAGGAGGAACGAATGTGGTCGGTATCGCCCTTCAGAGGCGCCCAATCCCTTCCCGATATTCTCGGGAAATTATAGCGAGTGTCGGTCGAACTTGCAAGCTTTTTGAGGTCTGAGAATGAAGAATGACTAAGGATACTGGAGTTTGGAGTGGCGGGGGATATTGGGGAATAGGCCGACGTCGAGTCTTCCTGCGAGAAATCAGACGCTCGACGCCTATCAGCATAGCTTTCAGCCGGCGAGCGAGAGCGTTTAAGGGTGGAGTCTTGGTATGACCGCGATGAGAGATAAGGTTGGAAGCGGGAGTTATCCGATGATCTCCTGCGAGCTTGAGTCAGAACCATGAAGTCACGATGGAAGAAAGAAAAAAAGCTTACGGATGAGGCGAGTGAGCTGATAAGGAATGCCGTCTTCCCCATATGCTGTCTTGGCTGGTACTCGAACGGCTAGATGACGGGTAATCATCGTCAAGACGAAGTCTTCGAAGGACGGCGGCCGAGTCTTGAGTATCGACCCCGCGCAAATCCTCCAAAGCAGATATTGGTGGGAGCGCATATGGTGACATTTCCGGGTCGGCACCGTCAGGCTGTTTCAGCGGCGGTAACGAAATATCTTCCCTGGCCTTTGACGATGACGGGCGAACAGGAGGTATCTCCAACGACAATGCCTTGCTGCTAATGGATGACTTCCGTTCAGGAGGGGAGGCAAGGGGGGAGTAGGGGGAATGCGAATATCTGCGGGCGTCCTGGGGATCGAGTTGATTGCCATAGTGGGATGATGGGGCATAGTCTGACGGTGAACGTGCGGGAGTTGGAGCAAGCGGTGGGAGAGGGGGCCTGCTAAACTGCGAATGAGGGAAGCTCAGCCCAACCATAGGGCCTGGTGTCATGACTGTCCAATTTGAATGGGCCTCCCGAGGAGGTTGTGCGGTGGCCTGTGTATTTCGTCTTGCCCGTCGACGAACATTGGACGAGGCCACCACCTGACCATAGCCTGGTTGATCGGGGGACAAGCAGGTACTAGGAAATGTTGGCCTGAAGGGAAAGATCAGATATTAATCAAAACGTAGTGACAAACGAACGACGAACCCGAATAATGGGACAAGGTCATGTCGAATCGGCCATGCCACTCTGTTGAAGAAGAACATGAGTACCCAACGGTCAGAAGACACATATGGGATCAAACGAACCGTCTTGACAGCTTCAAGGCCACCTAAAGCGAGACGGAGTTAGGATCGGAGAAAGCATTGACGCAATGGTAAACACGCACCTCATATGGCATCCACGTTCCCTGAATCTTCAGGTACCCCCCACGAACGCGGCGAATGAGAGGCGCCAGGTCGGGCTGAGAGTCAATCATCTTGACAATGTCAGCTGAGTGACAGAGACAGCAATAAGTTCGTTATTCAACCCTCCGGAGAAAACGCTGCGCAACACACCCTTGGAATTCCCGAGCGCTGGAATTGAGAGGATAATTGTGAGGTGAGGTCTACATGAGAGAATACCCGACGTCAACGCACCTTTCCAAATACCCGTCCACAGGATGTACCCGTCGTCAATGTCCATCATGATCCATTGCCCATTCAGAGGATACTCGTATACGGGTCTGTGGCTCAGTCAGCAGGGTTATCATCGGTGAACGAGGGAATGGACCCCACATGTAGCCTCTCGGATCGTTGCTCGTAATGTATCGTCCTTTAGTGACTTGGTGGTTGGGGCTCGCATAAGGTCGAAACCTCGTGCCAGAGGTTGACGCGGAGGTCGTCTGAAGTGTCTCCTGGATAGGCATCAAAGTTAGCAAGAGTGAACGTCGAGAACGAGAAACGGGGCGGCGCACCTGAAGCATTCCAGTGGACATCTCACGCAGGAACGGGAAGGGGAATCAGGTCGAGGCTGATGTTTGAGGCTTTAAGTAGAAGCCGGAATGGGACGCCCGATATTGGTCTGTCCCGAAGATCACTTGACGATTTCGAGCACAGATTGGATTAGAGGGCAGAACCACCAATCCGGACGGAGATTTAACTCGTGGAAATTCCGTCAGACTATACAGAAATAGGGAGAGATCAGTGTTTGAGCTTGGAGATGGAAAGCATGGTTCTGACGGCATCTTTCGGTTTCATTTAGTCCTTTAAGATGAGGGAAGTGATGAGTGGACCCCCAAAGAGGTCATGCCACGCGTAAGTAATAATGACACCCACTTGACGGTATCGTCATGTCGCCATCTGGAAAAGGAAGACAGGCAGAACTTCCACGGAACCCAAGATTTCCAAATAGGTCGGGAAGATGGCCTTGGATGACTACCGTATGCGGGAATTGGGATCCCGCGCTAGATCATGTCTAACCGTTTGTTGCGGGGGTTTGATTTGTGTTACCCTTTCTAGATTGTTGTCTCCGGCCGCCATCCTCACCCTTGTCGACGTGTAAGGTGATGCCGTTGTTGAAAACGTCGTTGACGTCTCTCAGCTTCACAACCGTGGGCCGCCAGTTCGCAAGTTGGCCCTGCCGTGCAATTCGCTTCTCAGGGCGGGCGAAGAAGGCGAGCAATGTGGAAATCCAAAGCACCCGCTCCGCCCAGAACTCCCTACCGGGAATGCGTCCTGGTCGTTGCCCCGCCCGCTCCTGGGGGAGAATGGATTAACCTGCTCGTGCCGCTCCTTTCAGACAAGGACTCGGCATCCACAAATATTCGATCCTTTACGGGACGATAAGCACGATTCTCTTTCGACATTGATGAGAGAAATATAGAGTTCCGTACCTCGGTGTTGGGCTCCACTTCATTGAATAGAAGGGCGACCCTCTCAAGTCGTTGTCAAGTTTTGGCCGCTTTCGTAACATAAGATTCTGCTGTCAAAAACGTGGTATCGTTCGATCGGTATTCTACGATCCTGGGAACAGCCTCCGAAAGGAGCCTGTACGGCGGCGACGCTGATGCGGTCGGCTCGCCTAGAGTCTTCGAGTCCCCCTTGAGGCCTGCAATCACTAGGTAATTAGAGAATTAGTGGTATACCAGACCCCCCAATCAACATTGTACGCGATGCTCTTGCTGATGGTGACTTGAGCGGCGGTGTGCTGTGCCAGCACACTTCCAATCTTCTTAGGGAAGCGGCGTCCTTTGACTTACTTTTCTGCAGTTTCGGTTAGTGCTTTACTTCAATGCTACGAAGATTCAAGAAAAGTGGAGTGCAACGGGAGCAACTCGCGCGTCGGCGGTCCCCATCAATCCATCATCTTGTACCCCGAGACTCCAGCTCCCAATGCACTCCCATACGTGTTGCTGAGGTCAATCGCAATATGTCTGAGCAATGTTACTGAGCCACCAAACAGTGTGACAGCGATATCCCACCAGCTAGTGTCCGGGATTTTCTAATGAGAACGACGTCCCCAGGACCCTCCCCAAGCTTACCTTGGGTTTACCATCTGGAAATGCCGGTACGGGGTCGCATATCCCCTCATATTCTCTCAGTGCACGGAGGCCACCCCGCCGCCTCTCCTCGCCCAGCCCGAATTGATTGGTGATGCCCGACGTTTGCCAAGCTAGTGCCTCATCGTATAATACCGATCGAAGTATGACTCGTCAAAAACAAACTGTCACCCGAGCGGAAGGAGATACTGCCTCTTCCAGCCGTGAGCATTTCCCAGGCACCCGCATTTGGAAAGAGTTCGATCATCACAATTCCGTGTCGAGGTTCCTGAAGAGTTCGCCCTCGATCGTGCGCGATCGTATCCTGGCCTCGAACGCGTCACAGTGAGAACATACCCCGGAGGATTCGCAAGGGTCCTTGACAACCAAGCATGGGTACCCAGCCCCATCTCGGCACCGAACTTTGCCGGAAACATTTCAGGTTCGAAGGAGATAAACACTCGTAACAGCCGTACAGCGGTATGCAACGGAGCGTCCCATTTATCGAAACAGCAAATAAGCAAAGGTCTAAAGCGAAAGAGTAGCTCATAAAGCCACGAATAACAGTAGCAATAAACAAATGTTGGACGAAAAAAGCTCCTTTTTTTAGAGTCCATGACCTTCCGCGGCAAAGGCTTTGAGGGCCATCCGAACCTCGTTCGCATGAGCAACCCCAGCGGTATAGATCACATTGCTGACGGCGAAGCCGTTGAATTGGCTAGCCGCACAGACGGTGTACGCGCCCATGTTGTTGAACCCAAGCCAGTCCCCAACTTGGAGATTAACCGGGAGCACGGTCTTCGGAGAAACGCAGTCGATGGAGTCGCAGGTCGGTCCCCAAACGCTACTCACATGCTTCGGCTCAGACTCCGCAACGTGGAAGGAACCACCCATGGAGAGGACATATGGGTGGATGACCTGGTGATCGAAGAGAATGCAGTTAAACGCCCCATAGACCCCGTCATTGATGTAGTCTGACAAACGCAAAGAAAATTTAGGCGCTTGTGCAAGGGAAAAAACACGAGAGAAGACTTACACATGACTTTGGGCTGATCCGGTTCCTCAGCCGTGCCGCTCGTCGCAGGGGCCGCATCCTTTTCCAACGGTGCTCGGCGAGCGATGATATGAGCCGCGAGCTTGAAGGCGGTGGAGACGTAGAACCTTCCCGGCTCTGCAATCATCTTGATGTGCTTGCGATCGGGGAAGTAGCGATCGATGGCTTCACGGAGGACGGTCGCCGCCTTCTCGAAAAGGGCGTCCTCGAATCCACCGCCGATGTCGAGAAGGGTAAAGTCGTAACCCGCTTCCTTCGCCATATCGAAGACCGTGCGGGAACGCATGATGGCATCTGTGTACACAGATGGGTCGTAGCATCCACTTCCGACATGGAAGCTAACGCCAACGACGTCGAGGTTGAGCTCCTTTGCCTTGGCGAGGAGGCTAGGAACGACGTTGAGGGGCGCACCGAATTTGATACCGAAAGCGCAAAGACTCTTGGAGTCGTCCGTGAGGATTCGAACGACAAGTTTGGCCTTGGGGTGGGAACGCGCGACCTTATACAATTCATCGGCATTGTCAAAGGTCATGGTGTCGACGCCCATTCGGGAAGCATTACGAATGAATGAGACTGCCTTGCAGGGGTTGGCGAAGATGATGCGGGAAGGGTCGATTCCGCCCACATTGAGAACCGAGGATATCTCGTTGAGGGAAGCGCAATCAAACCCTGCTCCCAGAGCGGCGAGAAGGCGAATCACATATGGGTCTGGGTTGCACTTGACAGCTAGAGAAGAAAAGAAGAGATGACATGAGACCAGTGATGTCGAAATACAATAAAACACACATACCGTAAAAAGGTTGGATTTCCGGGAGGCAAGTAATCCACCGCTGATGCTGACGGTAGACCTGACTGAGGTCGGCTACAAAGAAGGCCTTTTCGGCATCCGGTTCGTGATCTGCAGCAGCAGCGAACGAAGCCATGACCCCATTGCGCATATGGATATCGGGATGCCCTTGGTGAAGGGGAGGGAGGCTTGGGAAGATGACGTCGCCGGATGAATCGTGAGACTCCCCATTATAGGAATTATTAGGCATGCGAAGGCATTGGGAGGCTGAGACGTCATTAATCAAAGGGGAAGAGGCGGCAGGCCAGTTCAAGTTAGATTCTTCATTGCGCTGGCAGACTTGGGAAGCAGAGAGGGAGAAGTCGATGGGGTTGACGGCGGGGAGGGTTTCAACTTGAGACATTGTGTCGAAAGAAGATATTTCCTGGGTGGACGAATCTATGATGTCTAGAGCTGGCGACGGGTAGATAGCGTCTTCCGGTTGGAAGTAGTCGAGTTCAAGTGGCTGTATGGTTATTGTTATGTACCCAATTACCGAACCACGGCAACCGCCACGGTCGAGTTCGAGCCGGGCGGAGGGGTGTCGGCAACGAATTGGGGTTTTCAGTCGGTGGTGAGATCCTCGCGCCCTGGCAGCGAGGACGAGCTTGAAGGGCAGGTAAAGAGGGTTGTAAAAGAAGATAAAGTTAAGTTATTTCTGTGAACGCTGGTGTGTGCGCTTTCACGGAAACTTTTCTGTGACTATTCGACCTGTCAGGGAGGTTCGCCTGGCCGAGATAAGGAAATCAGTCGGTGATCTAGGGCGAAAGAAGCGTTCGGTCAATAAACAGACCTCTAACGGTCGACCACCTGGACCAATCGATGAACAAAAAATCAGTAAAACAAAGTTGATCAGTTGAGATTTGGCCAAATACGCACGCAAGGGTCAATAAACGAAGGTCTCTATTTCTTTTTTGGCTCGAAATGATGCCGTTTACGGTCCTCGATATCGCTCAAGTCTTGCGACACCAGAGGAGGTCCCAGATTCCGGTTTGTTCGTGGTTTAGCGGGGCTGCCGTCGTTTTTATAGTCGTCGTCGTGGAGGAAAGCGAGAAACAGTCGGAGTTTTGAAAACAGATCGATAGCTCGGCCTATTCCGGCCAGCCACAACACAGCTTCGATGGCCCCTATTCGTTGCCTGTTCGCCCTTTTCCCCAACACAGCAATGGTTCTGTCCTTCTATCCGCCGCCTCGAGGATTCTCTTCTGGTCAACACAGGGCGACGACTGGAACTCGGACCTGAAGTGCGAGGTCTGAGGCTTCGCTGGACAGCAGAGGAGGGAAGGTGGGACTACCAGAAAATTCCAGACCTGTGACTCGAGGTTTTGTATCAATGGAAGTCGCGCGAAAATGGCTGCTGGTCGATGGTCACATCTGGGCATTAGGTTAAACGCTGCTCTTGAGCCTGAACCCTAAGGTTAGTCTACGGAGAAGCTTGGGACCACGGTATGCTGCGCACAGGGCAGTACGCGAAGCACTGGTACTGGCCTCACCACCCGTATCCATTTTGAAGTGGGGAGACATCGTCCACTCATTTTCCTGCCGCCCACTACGAGGGAGCTGGACTATACCACTTCTGGCAACGCCTCGAGATTTCTATCCGATGTGGACTTCGAGGGCGGAAGTTTTCCTCGGGCTCGAGCTGGGCATCACACTTCTCCACTCTCTCTTTTGTCTCGTCTTATCAATCCTCCAATTCTAATGTGACTCGTTGGTGTATCACCCGACTCCATTCCGGCGCGGACACTTTCCCGCAAGACCAATTCACTCGATGTCCTTTGTTCATATGAAGTAACTTCCTCTCGAGAAGTCGATCATGATTCGTCTTCGTCCTATTCTCGGCGGGCCGCTCGAGGACACGACTCGTCCCCGATGGAAGCTCAGCAGATGACCAGCTATGTCAAGTTCAGAGCGCTCAGGCAACGCTAACGCCGCTCAGGATCCCAATGACAACCCCGACATCATCGTAGCTGTCCGGGCCCATCCCTCAACACGATTCTGATAGGCATTTTTATACCTTGCCTACTGGTTTCTGGTCTCGCCTTCACACCAATCTCATATCTACAGGGTCATCATACGCGATGGGTAGGCTGCTACCGCCTTGGCTATCTGACCGACGCCAGTGCGAATCCTCTCCTTTCGAGAATTGGAACTTGTCCATTGCGGATCGGACATACGACGCAGTCATGCAATGACACCCCACGTTTCCCATCTCAGTCGTCCAAGGGTCCAGTGCCTCTAACCTTGTACATCGAAGACATCTTTCTATCTGCTCTTGGAATAGTTCGGTTCGAGTGTGACATGGACTTGGCATACTACTAATTTAACAGTCGGCCCTCCTTCGAAATCCCACTTTACGTCCCCACTCAATACATTGAAAGCCCTCCACCTCGGCGCTTACTCAATTCGTTCCAATTCAAATCACTGGCCGGCAGGCCCCCAGCCCCATCTTCGCTCCCCGAAACCCATGGGATGACATCGTCCAACACATTGTAACTGACGTGGTAAAAAAAGAAAAAAAGCATAACAGAACTTTACCACTTAGCCCCACCTAGCGTCCAAGGTTCTAGATATCGTTCTGTGCTGTTGAGAACTATCAATCCAGCAGCTATCACATGAGGCACCAGCTGCCACTTTGAATATACTGCTTTTGGCGCCCATATATAAGGTTTTCCCGAATCTGTCAACGGACGCCGGGGGAGTGACATCAGACCTGGAAGCTGGGTCTGTAGGGCCATTTACGCGTCGAACGCACGCAAGTTGCTGTATGTGCTGCCCTTGGGATCACTGATCATTGGCCGAACATACCCTTCAGGGTTTCTGTGTCCTTCGAGCCACAGGTTCTTTCATTTTACATCATCTTCGAGTCTTCGACGGCGAGATGTGACCCCCCACGAGCGGTGTGTTCTTCGGTCAATGATCACCTACCACCCCTGTTCGTGATGAGATGAAATCTCGAACGGCAAACAACACGGGCTGACAGTGACAACATGAACTCCCTCGCCTGATATAGGCTCTTTCTGCACCTTCTCGACATACACATACACACTCACCTCGAGGCGTCACTTGACGTAAAATCCGAATGTTCTTTGAGGCGCAAAGGGGTGGGTGGGGTGTAAGTTAGGCGGGGGAAAGCTTCCCTGAAGGTTCGAGCCGTTCGAGCCGTTGAACCGAGGGTGTTGTAATCCCTCACACATAACAAAGCAGAAGAAATTATTTCCACTCACGCGGGGGATGCACCAGACTGCTGGGCTTTACCCACCCATTCGAGATAAGTATAGATATATCGCTGCCAATGCGGTTACGGCATATGGGCCCGTATGTAAAACGGATGGGTGGACCCTTGAGCATCATGCTAGAGCACGAGGCTCGAAGAATAACAAGTTCTACGACATCACGTCTTGGCTCGATTCCCTGGCATATCGACGGAGGCAGGAATGCCAGAAAGGAAGGGGGAGAACAGAACAGAAGATCATCACACATGCATACGTAGTACCACTTCAAGACTTCACTGCCTTCTGAAAGAACTCTATGACGCGGAGGTAAGCCATAAACGTACGAAACGAGATAAACATCCGAGTCCGAGTCCGTGTCCGAGACCAAGTCCGAATGGGAGCGGCTAACCTCTATCGTAACGTTATTCGCAGAATTCTCCCCCGACCGTCTTTTTTTTTCTCTCTCGAAATCTGCGATTTTTGCGTATCAATCTCTTCGAGGAGGTTTTAGTTTTTCTGTTACACAGGTCTGTAGTTGATGCTAGTACTGTGTCCGGGGGAATCAAAGGGATCATAGAAAAAGGAGTAGTCAACAAGGCGAGTTCCTAAGTCTATTCAACGATCTCGGCGAACACTTAACTGAGCGAAGTCGGGTGAGTAAGCTACATACATAACAAGTAAAACGATATCTTCCGTAAAGCTAGGAACTAAGGGCTGCGTAGAAGAGCCCATGCGTTGTGTTGATGTGCACTCATAGAATTCAGAGTTCGTGTTCTCGGACTCGCCTACATGCCGCCGCTTGCCTTCAGGTGCCCACCCAAGCCGACGATGCAGGGTCACGAAGACTGGGAGTATAACGCTAAAGATAACACAGAAAACAGCTCTATTCCCGTCTTTTACGGAACCTTTTTTTGTAGACCGGGAAGCTAAGTTTGGTTTCCCTTTCCCAGAGTTGATAGCACAATCCCGCAGGCGCCCCACACCGTGTTGCGAAACGCTACTATTCTGGGCGCCTTTGAGAACCTACGGTTGTCGGGCTAATTCAGATATCGTATTTCTGTATTCGAAGGCTTTGACAGCGCTTGATATCCTGAGATTGCACTCTATGGTTCAACCACTTCAATGGAACCCGACGAACACCACTCAATTCAGTTTTCTGCCAAGAGGGCTGACCGACGGCCTCCAAAGTATTGGAGTATCAGATAACTGTTGATTTGCATCCTGTTTCCAAGGGGATCGTATGCTTAGAAGTTTGGCTACTCAGGTCGACCGGCCGAATAGCGTTTGCTTGGGACGTCCTCTTGACATGGGTGTGTGTTCACCAATGTGGAACCAGTGGGTTTGAGAACAAACGTCCATGCATGTTCTCATCGTTGTATTCCCGTCGTACCTGGGTCGTACCTCATCGCTGGGGGCCCCACTCTTCTGATTGAGCTTGCCTGAAGCCTGACAGTGACATGCTCATACAGCCAAATATGCGTACCTATCGTCGCGTCGCGTTTGTGTGCAAGAATAGGTCCATATCCATGCGTAACTGCATGGCTCACACTAGCGTCGGGCGTCGGTTACCATTCATAACGGCATGACGACCAACCGCCCTAGAAGCCGCTGTCGATGCCACCAATTAACCAAACCGCTCCCACCCACACATCGAGGAACGCCAACTTCGTCGGCGCCGCGCTTTCAGGAACGGATTCTTCTTTTCGACATGTTCGTTGTTGATTCGGATTCGATTCTGATGTTCTCAGGACGATGTCTAAACATTTGGTTGCATGGATCACATTGAAGCGATGGATGACATAGGTGGCAACTTCATCTACGCTGTTTCAGGAAGCCGGCTGGTTGTTAGCGGAGATCAGTCACGTCGGCCCTCTTGGGAAAGAGGTGGGTGGTGGCATCCCTGTGGGGGCGGGAAAGGTGGTCGCGTCAGGTCGACGGCTAGGGTGTGATGTTCTGGGCGCAATCGTCGGTAAAGGCGTCCACGTTGTAGGAGCAGCGGTGGCCGTCGAGTAATGAGCAGGGGCCTGGGGGTGCCTTGAAGAGGCCTCGTCCGTGGAGCTCGCTTTGGGATCCCACTTCAGGAGGCCACCGAGGGGAATGTGCTGTACCACCACGCGTTTTCCCAGTACCTCGGCCTATCGAATAGAATTAGGAATTGGCATCACGGTCCGTTCACGACTTTGAAAGCTGGAGTCACCATCACTCACCTCGTACATCTTGAACAAACCCGAGTGCACCTTTCCCCAGTTGGGAACTCCAACTGCGATAGAATGTAGTGAGGACGAGTGCTCATGGAAGGGGCCGTGCTTGACTTCGTGGATACGGGATATTGAAAGGAAGTAAAGGTTGGTTTCCGGTAAAGGTTTCTGGAGCACAGCGTTCACCGGTATGTCTGTTTGATCTAAAAGAATGAAACGACGGTCAGAGACCCGACGATCTATTGCGGTGGGTAGGCAGGGCATCTTACCCCGCAGTTGGGCACTTCCAAAGATGTACGGCAGGAAGTGGGAATCATCAAGTCCCCACACCCCATGGCTACCTGCCGGTTCAAGCCTGTACGTATCCTGGAGCCTCCAACAAAGCCGGAGATATCGTAGGAAGATCACGAGAACAATTTCTCGTTCGACTTCGGGAATGGGTTGGAAATACCGGACAAGGGTCAGACACAATAGGAACAGCGCAAAGGAAGTCTCGTGGCCGGTGCCATAATCCATCCGAGTGAAAGAGCCAAAGGACGTCAGGAAGTAGGGTCTGACAAGGTCTGTCAGAGAAGAATACTCCGGGCCCAGGAGATCCTCCAATAGGGATTGAGACCTCTGTGTGATACCGTATCCATACGTTAGCCTGCTGCACGAGCGTTGCTTATTAACCAATAGCCGACCTCCTCGAGACGTTGTCCCCATGTCCTGAATGCGAGATTACCAAAGCGTTGCGGGGTTTGGAGTGGAGGTATATCTGTTGCCCACTGATCGAGTGTATCCAACAATGATAACAGTTTCCTAGTCGCCTGCAGAGTGTCAAGGAGATCGATTTCATTGGACGGTGAATGGTGCTGTGTTGCATACCTCAGTCGGTTCTGTCGGCGACCAGGGTAGCTGATAATTGACCACAGAGTCGCTCAATCTTCTCAGGAAGATGCCATAGTCCTGGTAAGATTGAGTTGTCTTCCACTTCTCAACATCTTCCTCCAGCTTGATACGGAGCACTGGGACATCGCCTGCCTGAATAAGATGCTGTGCATCGTCCAAAGAGATCTTCCGAAGTTCTGCCATCGTAGTTCCAGTCCTATATCCTGTTCGAGGCCATTGACCAAGGTTTGCCGTGGAGGTTCGATGGAGAGCTGCGATGAGCTCACCGCAATGAATCTGATGGCTCTCGGGGCAGACTGCGAATGAAATACCAAATCGGGTGCATCCACGACCCACGTGATCTTGCGTGACGTTCGGACGCGAGCTCAATGAGTTGGCGGCGCGTTCTCTATTCTTGACTCTGAACCACCACGACCACAGCTCGCCCAGTGAATACAGACTATCTAAGACCACAATATGGCACCTTACGATGAGTGGAACAAGATTGATGACGAGGAAGACGAAGAGCTGCAGGATTACTCGGTAGGCAGTTGTTGCCAATTTCTGGAACCTCCTAACGAAAAATGGCCAGCTGTTCGATGGAAAGCGGGACGTGATTCTGTTCTGTATCGACTGTTCAGAGTCCATGCAGGAACTGTATGATCATCCGGACTATGAAGATGTCAAGACTTCCAAGTTGAATCGAGCGCTGGACGCCGCGATGCAAATCGAGAAGCGCAAGATCTTATCCGGGCCAAATGACTCTGTCGGAATCATGCTCTTCAATACTGTGAGGCTTCTTCAATTATATACCCCGCCGAATCTGAGATTTCATCAATGAAGACTCGGAAAGCCGAGGGCGGGGGCTACGCCTCCGAAATCAAGAAGGGGACCCATCTCTACCAGCCAATTTCTTTATTGAGCGCTCCCAAAGTGCAAGAAATTATCCGGCTTTTGGACGGTTTGTTGCATCTGACACCAGCTCTGGACTCGATCTAATCGCAGCCTCATAGCGGCACAAGAAGACCCAGAAGAGCTTCGAAGGGAATTTCCCCCAGTCAAAGACAAGAATGTCCCGATTGGAGATGTCTTCACCAGCGCCAACTGGATTCTACGAGACGGGTTGGTTCGAAGATTGATTGCCACCGGGCGCGTGCTAATTGCTCCTTAGAGCACCTAAAACGGCGACTAAACGTGTCTTTCTTATCACCGATGAAGACGACCCTCACCCAGGTCCCGGAAGACACCAGTTAATCACATCGGCCAGGACGACGTTGATTGTTGGTCCCGCTTTCATCTGCGTCGCTATATTGCTACTGACTTGCCTCACAGGATTTGGTTCAGGCTGGCGTGACCGTCGAACCATTCTTCATCAGTACAGAAGAGAAACCCTTCGACGTTTCAAAGTTTTATTCGGTAACGTTGAATTTATCCTATCTGAAATTTATTGCACTCAACCGCTTTAAGTCTGTACTGCTTCCGACCAATCTCGAAGATGATGAGGAGCTGCAGCAGGATGGCTCTTTACTCCCAGAATCGATCTCAATAGCGAGAATCGAAGATCTGTTGGAGCAAATGAGGATCCATGAGTCCCCTAAACGAACGTTGTTCAGTGTCCCCTTCCACCTCGGTGAAGGGTTTACCATTGGAGTGAAGGGGTTGGTGACACTCCTGGAAAAACTAAACCTTCTTCAACTGACAGACACGTTCCAGATATGCACTGATCACCGAACAGTCCAAAGGGGCATACAAGTACTTCGCCGACCTGGGCGACCGAATGGAAGTCGCAAAAGTTAAAACTGTCTACGTTGACGAAGTGTGTGCCCAGCGTCTTTCACGACGGTTCGCGAAGGCCTTATGACCGTGCATCTTAATAGGACCGCGACGCAGAAGTTGATAAGTCACGGTTTGTATTTGGCGCCGGGGCAGGGACTGCAGCTGCCAATAATGATGGAGATGGAGAAGACGATAGCTTTGGTGTCCGAAAGGTGAAGATCGGGCAGAGGGTAAGTGGTCTTGGTGGCCGATATCGGTCAATGCATTGAATGGACGCTCCATAGCCGTTCTATACACCTGAAGAAATTCGATCATTCCGCACTTTGGGCCTCCAATCTGGTATGTCGAACTTCATCCGGACACGAGATGCAATGCCAAAAGATAACAACTTTAGGAATTAGGCTTTTGGGGTTCAAAGACCGCAGCGTAATGGTCTTCGAAGACAACATCAAGCACTCGTACTTTATCTACCCGGACGAAATGGCTCGTCTTTCACCTCTTCACAAAGAACGTGCACGGAACTAACCTCTTTTTCAGACATACTCCGGCAGCAAGCGGACCTTCAAGGCCCTGCTAAACTCCATGATTGAAAAGGACAAGATTGGTTTGGCGCTCGTTCTCATGCGCAAAAATGCATCCCCCGTGTTTTGTTACCTTCTTCCCCAGGTTCGTCATTGATCAACATTGGAGAAACCTTATGTCTGATTACGATCTGTCATAACCCTTTGACAGAAGGAGACACGAGACGGGGCATATCAGGTCGACCCACCGGGAATCCATATCATACCCCTTCCTTTTGCAGATGACATTCGTGCCGCGCCTTTCGACGAAGCCCTTCGAGGTCTGTACCCTAGACGCGGAGTCTATATACGTGTCCAGACCATAATTATCTGACTTCGGGGTCTAGCATCTGCACCACTTGTCGAGAAAGCGAAGGCGTTCGTGGACAAACTCAAGATCAAACAAGGAACATACCCGCCCGATGCTTACCCCAATCCTGGTACGCTTTTTGGGATCCAGACGTGGTTAGGTCTCGCTAAAATTGGGGTCTAGCATTGGCGTATCACAATGCGCAGCTCGAGGCGAGTGCATTCCGAGAGGAGTACGATCCAGACTCGTTCGAGGACTTGACTCTTCCGCCGGTGGAGGGGATCCACAAGGTACAGCCTTCTGCTCATGTGAATAGGTTCCATGCATTTTAATTGGCCCCTGGACTCTTTAGAGAGCTGGAAAGCTGCTGAAAGGCTGGAAGGAGGCACTGGAAGAAGACCCGTCCTTCGACGTTGTTCCAGTCGCGACTACGGGGTCGAAGCGTAAAGCTGTGAGCCACATCGCTTTCCGTTAACAATTCCGGTCACTGACCACTTCCATTCTCTTGTGGGCTGGACAGGATGTTCCCGTAAACGAAGCCGAAGTCCGGAGCCACTATGAGAACGACACTCTGTCAAAGGCATGTCGGTTTTTTCATCCCCCGAATGTATACACTGACTTTGGAGTTTGGCCCATTCAGTTGAAAGTTGATCAGCTGAAGGTTCGTATAAGGGTCTGTTCGTTTTCGCGGGTTCGCTTACTGATATTCATCGTTCCACGCCATTGTAGGAGTTTTTGCGATCGAAAGGGGCCGCTGTCTCAGGGAAGAAAGATGAACTTATCCAACGTGTTTCTGATATCTTGGGCGGTTAGGTGTGCGCCTTGTCTGCGCCCATGAAGAGGGGGACACGGTTGCCACACGGCTGTCCGGCTGTAGCGTTATAGGTGGAAACTTCTCAGTCGTTTCCCACCATCAACATGTGGACTGTCCCTTAAGGCCCCAGGGGCATCTTTTTCTTCTTGGACTGTGAAACCTTTGTACAATCTTTCAATCTCACATTCTCAGGTCGACATTCGGCATGATATCTTTCATCGGAGAATATGTTCACTTCTGAGAATTGCACTGCCCATTTCAGCCAGTCCTTCGCGGAAATGTTGGGAAAGATAAGGTGTCAGTGGGAATGATGACGCCATTCACATAATGGTGAGTCTTTAATCTTGAGTCCTGTTTGACAGACTGCATCGAAGTTCGAGCCCTTAAATTGTTGTTCTCCGAGTGGCTTCTCGGCTGGGTGAGATCTCGATGCATTCATTCCGTTAGTTATCCGTCAGAAGGATTTAGTGAAAGGATTCGTATGTAATCCCCTGTCCTGGAGAGCGTTATACACCCATGAGCGGAATGTAGTAAGGTGCCTCGAGGCTCTGCCGCTCATTGCACCCGTTACACTTTGTTATGAAGAGTACCCATGAGGCCTCGAGTGCCTGCAGATACCTCGGAGTATCGAGGAATCAAAACACAGCAATTATCATTCACTGTCTGTTGAACATTATCACCGTTCATCAAGTGGACGACGTGCCCAGTGCGTCGAGGGCGGCGCAAAGTACATATGGAACACTTGCTGCGTATAAGTAATCTTAATGGAAGCACCTTTCGGTGTGTTATGTACCACCGGCGGAGCATGAGTCCTTCCTTGAGCACGCTTCCGGGCTTAATGAACTTGAGAAAGAGTCACTACTCCATATGTAAGTGCTCTAAAGGGGGGTCGCTTAATGGCCGCTGAGTTCGAGCTGTTTCATAGGCCCTTTTTGAGGTCTTCACGTGTGGTCGAGCCGTGAGTGTCGCCGAGATTACCATTGTGGATGTGGGTCTGTTTGTGGAAGGATGTCGTACTTTGGGTGCTAGGAATGGGTGTTTCTGTCTTGTTATGCCGGTGTTATGGCAGCCCCCGCTGAGGACTAGGATTGGATCGAGTGTGTATAGAGTAGCTACAATCTCTAGTGACCGACGGTTTGACTTGCATCGAGGATGGTAAAGGATCCGCGGTGGGCGTGGTGAAAGGGACCAGTGATAGGAATATGTACGACGACATTTGCACCCTATTCTCCGAAGTTTTTGTCTCCGCAGCGTTGGATTTCGTAGGATTTCATGTGCATTGAATCCTTGAGTAGTCATATGAGATCTTAGGGTCTACATGCAGTCAGATACCCGCGACTAGCCTTTCGGGCAGACCTTGGAGCAAGCCTCGAAGCTAACCTCGTTCGGGTACAACGGCCGCGTTGAAAACATCCCTCATTCCTCAAAGGACGTGCGCGTATGGTCTGGAAATACCACCGCGATAAGCGATAGGGTGAGTGTATTGGATGGGTGGCATGTACACGTCTTAACCATTCCTCGTGGATACTTGGCAATGATCCTTTCGAGCACCTGTTGGCAAAAAGAGTAATTTATAAGTAAGCAAGTACGCACCAGTAATTGGGTACCTCTCGGAGCCTGGTGGCGTAGGCGCTAAGCGAGCGGTTGTCGGCCACCGAGAGTATAATTCTTAACTTCGCTTCATTGCTTTAATACAGACTCTTTAGCGGCTACCGCTCGCCCTCTTGGAGCCGAAATGTTGTCAAGTACACTGATTATGGCCTGTCGTACTTTGCGGGCGCGCTTAACGAGAGCATTCTGATAGAAGATGTCCATGTTCTTCGGTCAAACGAAGGCTGGAGCCACTGATCTGCAAATGACTCAGTTCCGAGGGCAGCGCACCGTTCTCGCTTGGTCTAGGTGTCCTCGATGAAGCGCCTATCCTTTTCCTTGGCGAGCGCTTATACGTGGGATGACTAAGGCACGTACCCGTGCGAATTGATCTCGGCACCTATCTTATCCGATAAGCGTGACAAATCGTCACTGCCCTGTATTGCAGATAGCGCAATTTGCGATGTCGACGACGAACTTGACCTCTTCCTCATCGACCACGACGACCACGATCATTCTAACGACTTAATAACACTAATGGCGACCCAGAACTTGTACGATGTGCAGTCTCCAGAGCATTTCCAGCAGCTGCTGTCGGCGGACCTGAACCGGGTGTCTGTTCTCAACTTTTGGGCACCGTTTGCTGATCCGTGCAAGCAGATGAACGAGATATTCAAAGAACTGGCGGGAAAGTACCCTGCAGCGCTGTTCTTGCAGGTGCGTAGCCGTTTGGAATGGGGAGGGGCTAGTCGCTGAGCGGTAACAATAGATCCAAGCAGAGGACCAGGCAGATATCACCGACTCTTTCGAGATTGAGGCAGTTCCGACCTTTTTGCTACTCCGAGTGAGTTATCAAGTCATTTCTAGGGTCTATGTGGATCCTAATTGTTCTGCTGGGATAGGGACACACCCTTTTGAAACGGATATCGGGCGCCGACGCTCCAACTCTCACACAATCGGTGCAGAAACACGCAACAAGTCCAGCTTACAGCCCACTCTCCAAGACCGACCAGCAGCCAGCGAAGGCGACGGATTCGTCTGCGCCAGCGCAACCAGAGGAGACGCAGGAGCAGCTGGAGGAGCGGTGCAAGAAGCTGATGAACCAGAGCAAGGTCGTTTTGTTCATGAAGGGTGATCCTCAAACGCCCCGATGTGGGTTTTCTCGGAAGATCGTCGCGTTGTTGCAGGAACAAAACGTCCAGTTTACTACGTTCGATATCTTGACGGATGAAGCGGTTCGGCAGGGTATGTGAATTCCACTCTGGTCTCTTTTCGATTTGTATGTTCTGATTCCTTGGGTTTCTTTTGTTGTGCAGGTTTGAAGACTATCAACAATTGGCCGACATACCCCCAACTCATCATCAATGGCGAGTTGGTGGGCGGATTGGATATTGTGAAGGAGATGGTTGAGACGGGAGAGTTGGCTGAAGTTCTCGCTGCATAGTTGCGATTCCTCGTTCCTTTGTGTATATGTGAGTGGCATCGATACAACTATTCCGAGCACTTGCTTACCATGAGAGAAAGAATTGTTACTTTCCGAGATCGAGTCCTTGTAGCCCTTCGATGATCTAATACAATAATCCACCGACTCTTCCTCGACGACATCACGTCAACCGGACAAACCACACCCTCGGGCTCGAAAGTATTTGACTTTTCTGGTCACCTCCTTTGATTCCGGCGACGTTCATTCCTTTGTGGACGGATCGAGGCACCCTGCCCTGCGTTGTGTTCACGCGACATTGTGCCGTGCGGTATGTAACAGCTTTGAATTGGTCGAGGCGGGGAATGCACCCTTGTTTTTTTTTGATATCTCGTGTGCACGCCCCCCTGCCTTGGGATTCCCTCCCCACCAGTCCTGTCCCAAAACCTCGGCCAAGGCATCAGATTCTTCACAGATCGATTTCTCCTCTTTGTCTCTTCTCGTGGCAAAGGATAGGAAGGAATCCCAACGTGACATTCGTCCGTCTGCACCAAGGGTTTCTTTTGACTGTGTTTTTCCCTTTCTTTTTTGCTTCTGAAATGTTTTAAATCCTTTTAGATGGCGATTATCCTTTTGATAGGCACCCTTTCAGGTTACCAAACTGGACCTCTCGGAGTCCCGTTGCACCCGCCTCCTACGTCACCATGCGTCGGGTTACAGTCGTCCTTCAAACACACGAAACTTGAAGCTGTTCGAAGCTCGACACCATTAGCAAACGAGTCGAGGTTACCGGAGGCGGCGCGCTTGCTGATGAACCTCCAAGTTGGGGTAACATGAATCGATCCACTGAGTGGGTTCAACGCTGACAATAGGCCCAGCGTGACCCGGAACATGGAGCTCTATCCGAAATTCTATCCGAGTCTGCGCTTAGTGACTGGTCTGGTGCACCCAAGCACTTCTTTCACTCGTCCCCGTCAGCGCGACGGGTATTCTCACCGACAGGACTCGGAGTGTCGGAGCCTCGGAGGCGAAAATCCCCACAGTTCCTCCTCCTGGTTCTCGGCTTTGGACGTGTTGTATACATGGAGTACGCACGCTCCGACGCGACGTTCAATGTCCACCACTAACCCCCTCGTACTAGGCCAACTCACGCTCACGAAAACCAACTGTCCCCTTTATCACATCCCACTCACTCAAACTCCCTCAGGCTGACGCGCGACGGAGAAAACTTGGTTCTATCGGTGCATTTAACTGCATTTACTGTAATCCTTCTTTTTTTACGTTGCTTTTGCGTATCGGAAATTCGCAGGTTATGCCAATAATGTCATGCAATGGCATGGTAGATCCACAACGACGATAAAGTGGGTCAAAAAGGTGCTTCTGAATCTTCAATCTTTGGAAATGTGCTTCTTTTTCTTTGTTTTTGTCCTTGGCTTTCGGGTGGACTTTGTGAGAGTGACAGTGAGAGTGACTCGTGAGCGAGAGTCAGACTGAGTGAGGGTGAACGTGAACCTCTTTTTCTGAGTCCGCAGTAGTTTCCAAGCTCGGGCATTCGAACGGTTGTTTTTTTTTGGGTGAGAGAGTCCGGAGAGATTATGCTTTCGTGTGCGCTTTGTGTTGCGCGGGACCGACCGACCGACGTCCTTGAGAGCATGATTCAAACATCTAGACAGAGATCGACAAGTTGGATTGCAAACGCGTGAATGCGGCGGACCACGTAGCACCCTAGGCTCAGCGCTCAGGTGCCATTGAAGGGGTACAAAATAATTCTTTCAACAGGTGCCTCGAGTACCCTCGGAAGCAAGGCGTTCGGAAGGCCAAAGGAACAAGTAACAAGAACAAGGACGCCGACAACAAAGATGAGGAATATCCGAGATTTAGGAAGCAATGGAGTCCGTCGTCGAGACGAGCCTACACTCCGAGTCCAACTTGAGGTTCGAGGCTTCTAGACTGATATACCAACCTCTCGAGATCCAAGGTTTGAATTCGACCAACGACCAACGTGTGCATTCACCTTGTTCGTGTGCGTGTGTGCCCGCTACAGAGCACGCAGAAGACAGATAAAGGAGGAAATAGTCAAGGGGGTAGACGACGTCAGGGCACGTAGTACTTGATACCCGCTTCAACACCGAGCTTGCAGCAACGTTCGAAAACATCTGAAAACATCCGCTGCTCGTATGCGCAGCACCAGGGTTGCAGGGTCGCGTCGACACAAGTAACGGCAGAACGAAATGACAAGGTGCGAGTGGCGAGTGGCGAGTGGCGATTTCTGTCAAACTACACGCCATGCCATGCGTACCTTGCTCTAGATGTTTTTGGTATTTGGCACCACCAACCATCTACAGGCTGAGAGAAAGCCAGGGGAACCAGCGAGCCCAGGGTATGCTAGGCCCGCCTCAGGAGTCAGGACCCGACGAATGAAGTAGAACCCGAGACGAAGTACACGGGTGACAACGCTGTGAAGGCGTGACCCCTAGGCTCAACGATATTCAACGCCACTTACCCCGCCTTTTCCACATTCTCCCTCCATCCGGGTATCTCGAGGACGCGTTCGAAATGGGGCATCATGCATCATGCATTATGTGTATGGACTATGGACGGGCGTTGTACTTTTCTTTCTTTTTCTTTTTTACCATGGGTAGAGAAAGAGAAAGATCGACCTTTGAACAAGCTGTTGTTGAATCGTTTCTCACCGACCGTGGTTGGTCCTCCGTTTAAAAGCCGGTGTGGTATTGGTAGACATAGCACCCTGTAGCGTCGGGTGTGTACTGTAGGTAGGGCCTGTCTGGATCTGCTGGAGACCTCCAAAAGCCTGGAGCAACCGTATTGAATTCAGAGAGAGAGACAGAGCGACAGAGTCCGCAATGCGGGGTCCGATTCCGAGTCCGACTCGTGATCGCCGCCCTATCTACATTAATAAGTGCGAATCTTTCTTCTTCCTTCCTTTCTTTCTACGTTGTCGCTCTCGCTCCCTATTCCCCTTGTTCTTCGTTCCTTTCATGTGGAACGCAGGGGTCAGCAGATCTGGAGGACCTGGCTTGAGAAAAAAGGAGGGTCGGCGAATGTTTGCCTCCGACTTTTCCGATGATAGGTGTTTTTTTCTTTCGAAGGAAGGGTGGACACTTGGACAGGCGTGGTGGACTGGGGGAGCTGAAGGAGGCTTTAAGGTCTGGGAGGTAGGATTGGTGTGTGCCTGAGTCGCGTAGGTGGCTTCGTGGGTGGGATAAATTAGCGTGTATGTATTCGGTGGATTATATGTGATGGTCGCTGTGGTAAGCTAGATATTTTCCTTAGATTGAGCGGGGGAAGATATCGTATGTCGGAGGGGATCATGACAAGGCTGCAATAGAGCATCGTCGGTCAATTCTTTATCCCAGAAAACAAGAAAGGACTCACCTCTCAAGCGGCTTTACACGTCTTCTTGTGCACCGGCCAATCCAACCGCTGGCACGCTCTCACCTTCGGATCGCAATACTTGACCCCCTTACACTTTCCACACCTCAACAGCTTAAGCTTCTCCGGTTCCTCCACCCTCCCACACGTCGCACAACACCTGTCCTTCCCCAGCTCCGCGCGCCTCTTATCCTCCTCCTCGACGAGCTTCCAGATCTGCGGCGTGCGCCGCGCGAGCTTCTTGAGCATCGTCCGTGCCGTCATGCCATCGCTATCCGCGATATCCACGTTCCCGCCGTGCTCCAGCACCCACTTCATCGCCGTATAAGCCTTCCGCACGACCTCCGCATCGGTCCAGTCGTATATCATCGCGATATCGTGCGCGACGGTCGCACCGTATCTGTTCCTGTCGTTCACGTCGCACCCGCCGGCGTTGTAGAGCATCTCGGCGTACTCGAGTTCGAGCGCTGGTTTGGTGGAGAGCTGGTGCCGCAGGGAGGACGAGCCGGAGTAGTCGAGGGTCGTGACGGGCAGTTTGGCGTCCTCGATGAGCCATTTGGCTATAGAGAGGTAGTGGGCCTTGCGGTGTGGTGCGAGGACCATGAATTGTCCCAGGACGTTGTAGATCGGTACACCGGTTGGGCCGTAGCGCACGTTCTGGAGGTTTTGGATGACGGCGTCTTTGGCTTGCTGGATTGTGGCGTCCGTGGATTCTTTTTTGAGAGACTGCAACTTCGTTTCGATGCGGAATTCGAAGTCGAGTTGGAGGTCTGAGAGGTTGCCGGACATGAGTATGAACCCGAGTGCGTCAAAGTCCCGCTCGGGGACGAAGCGTTCGGTGGAGAGGTAGCGTCGGAGGCGGAGGGCTTCGTAGCCCCGGAGGATTTCGTTCGTTTTGAGCAGTTCTTCGACTGTTCTGTTTCGAGTTTGAAATGTCAGTTCAGCTATCCATCCAGTGATTCTACGACTTACCTGCCGTCCCCTGTATCATGGTACTTGGATAGTTGAGCGAACCGCTCCTTGATCAGGTCGTTTCTGGACTTGTTGGAGTTGAGCATTGTTCAAGGTTTCGTTTTGGGGAGAGGTAAAGGATGGAAAATTGTTGGAATATGGATGTGGGTGAAAGGAATGAATTTGGAGCCGGCGTCTCGCAAGCAGGGTTGACGCGTGTCACGCGATATGCACGGGATCGCGTTGCTCTTTCGTTTCCTCTTTTGTCGCGCTGGCTGCCTTATTGGGAGCGCACAAGACCAGTACGAAGGGGGCCTGTGGGTCAGTGAAAAGTGCTCCTCAGCTGACCGAAGGTATTCTGTTGAGAACCCTGTTTCGAAAACACGAGTTGTTGCAGGTCGACGGGGACCCCTACTGACCGGAGCTTGGTGCAATATGGGTCGTTCGATAGCCGAAGGATCTATCATCTCACGGTATCGGAAAACTGGGGAACGCGAGGCCAGCAAACTTTGTGCCTCGAGGCTTCAACGTTCAACGTTCAACGGTTTGCATTTTTGATTTCTCCCCAATCTTTCTCCCCAGTTTCTCTTCTTCCTTCCTGCCTACTTTTGCACGCCGGTCGTTCTTCTTTCTCTCTCTTAGGCTTTCTGATTTTCTCTCTTTCTCTCTACTACGGCTCTCTACGACGGCTTCTACGACGACTATCTACTACGACTCTCCAACAAAATCCCAACGTCAACATACTGGGAGAAGAATGACCCTAAAATCATACGAAGAACGAATCCATTACCGCGTCGCGATGCGGGCGTTCTCGGCTTCGAACGCCCAGTACGAGCGTGTTAATGATAACTTGCAATTGAACGAGAAGTTCAGTTCTGGGTTTAGTGGGATGGTTCAGCTGCCTCAGGGTGGGCAGGTCGCTGCTACTGCTGCTACTCGTGACCAGACGAAGTTCAGTACTCATGCACATGAGCAGGCGAAGTTCAGAACTGGACGAGTCAGATCGTTTGCTGAACCTGTGCCCTTCCGGCCTGTCGCTTCCCCGCCTATCGACTCTGGACGTGCTCGTAATCACCCCACTGTCTCTCGCAGCCAGCCAGCTACCTCTCTTAACCAACCCGCCGTCTCTCGCAATCAGCCAGCTGCTGCCCATGATCACACTGCTGCTCATAACCACCCGGCCACGCTCGAGAGCCTGGTTGACATAGATATGAGCAGCACGCTTGCGAAGAGGGGGAGTGCGAGTTCTGCTGGGACCAGAACTACGGTTTCTGCGAGTACGACGACGATGGAGAGTTATGCGACTGCGAATACGACGGCGACGGTGGGGAGTTATGCGACTGCGAATACGAGTGCGAGTACGGATACGACGAGGGGTACGAATACGAGCGGGACTACGAACACCAGGACTATGAATACGACAAGGACTTTGACTAGGACAGGCACTACGAATACGACGAGTACAGCAGACGAACTGATATCCGCGCACATCCCCACTATCCGGCCTGTTACTTCGAGTCCTGTGCCTCAGGTTCAGACCCTTAACCGACGGGGTGGTCTGAATCAGGCTGCTGGTTCGTATTCGTACGGTGGTGCTAGAGCTAAGCTGAGGGGGAGGGCGAGAGTGTCTTTTGGTGGGAGTCTGGTAGCCTCTGAGTCGAAGCAGGATGGGGGGCAGGGAAAAGCGATTGGTGGGGAGGTCGTAGAGAACGGTCGAGAGGTTGTGAAAGACGGTGGGCAGGTCGCAAAGAATGGTGGACAAGCCATAACGAGCGGACAACCCAAAACGAAGCAATCCTCCCCGCTCCGCCTCGTCACCCCCGGACCATCGAACGAAAGTCTCGAGGATAGTGACTGCGGGTACCGCGCGTCTTCGGAGATGTGTAGGGAGAGCGTGGCGTCGGCTGGGACTCAGGCTGAGGTTGGATCCAGCTCTACTCCCGAGAGTGGTATTACAGTGTCGGGTGGTAGAGGTGGTAGCCAGGAACAAGGGAACGCGGGTCAGGGGAATGGTTACGCAGCGCCTCTGGGGTACTCGAAGCGCAGGCCTACCACTCCGAACGTCAATTCGAATGGGAGGACGCGTTGTGGTGGGGGGATTGGGACTGACCAGGTGGACTACAAGGTAAACGTTATTGAGGATAGGAGGGCGTCGATCAGGCCTATCACGTCGCCCAATTCGAAGGTTCAGGATTGCGGCGCTGCGTCCAAAACTGCTGCCGGTGTTCCTCCTACGACAACGAGGTCGAACTCGAATTCATCCGACCCCTTCTCTTCCTCTTCTCCCGACCACACTCCAAATGGTACCCTATCCCAGTCCCACCCGAACTCCCCCTCGCAAAAGTTCCCTCCCGCTGTCCGGCCCTGCACACAGGGCTCCATCCGTCAGCCCATAATCCAACCCCTCGCCCTCCAGCCCCGGTTCACCTCCTCCCTCTCCTCCTCCTCCGCCCTCGAACTAGTCGACGAGCTCCTCGAAGAACGAAGCGACTGCCTCCGCCTCGCTCAACTCAACAAAGCGTATATAAGGGAGATAGATTGCCAGTTGTTTAGGCTTAAGGAGTTGTTGGAGCGGAAGGGGTATGCGTATGGGTTGTTTAGGCTTGAGAGGGAGTTGGAGGATGTTGGTGAGTGTCTTTCGCTTTAATTATTGATTCGTTTCTTTTTTCGTGGTTTGCTTTTATTCGTGGTTGGATGGATGAGGAATTAATGAAAATCTATTGCGACACCAGGTCTGGATATCAACACCCAGCAAACGCCCAACAACCCAGACCACAGACGGCGACATACAACAGACGAACGCGAGATAAGCCCTATCAAAGGCCAGGATAACCCCGACCTCTTATTCCAGAAACGACGTGGTTATTCGAGGCTGGTGGATGAAGCTATGACTGAAGTCATGTTCCTCGACGCCCACCTTTTCAAGCTGAAGCGCCATTTTGAGAGGAAGGGGTACGCGTTTGAGTTGTTTGTGTTGAAGCGTAGGCTTGAAGATGAAGGTACGTCGTGTTGAATAGGATTCTCGGTACTATGGGCCAGCGCTGAGTCTGAACGTGTATTTAGGGATCAACCTGCCGTTTCGAGCTGTGCAGGTTCCTGGGGAGGACGAGGAGGAGATTCAGAGACTCTGTGAATGGTGATGTGTTTTTCTTTAGAAGGGTGTATATTCTGTGTATGTATCACCGGGTGGCAAAAATTATTTGTGTATTTGCTTGCGCGAATTAATATTGTGGTGAGTGAAGGAAGGTGGGACAAAAGGTATGCATCAAGGGGGAATCGAACCCCCGGCGGATCGAGTCAAGCTAGCACGTAGCCTTATCAATGGCAACGATCCAGGTTACCACTACCCCATTGATGCTTGTGCAGAGGGCGAGCAATCCTGGTTTCACAGTGTCTACCTGTAGCCTACATACGTAGTGTCGGTATAGTCAAGAGACTGAGACCAGGGCCTTTCACCAAGCACTACTGTCAGCCGCGTATGAGCAGAATCAGTTTGGTCTCTACTCAAACGTACCCCGCAGAAAAATTGAGGTTTCAAAGATAGGGGTAAGGATGGCCAAGTAAAGATGCAGCGGGAGATCGTCTGACGCGATCGGGGTTTGTCCGAACAAGGCAATTGGTTCGCGTCTGGCTTGGCTTGTTCATCGACGTCGTTCATTGCTTCATTGCTCTCGACGTGGCCAGCTCACCGCTATTGACGACCCCCACGACTTTTATTTATTCCCATTCTCTATCTATGCAACGACTATGACCACTACGAACACTATGCAACAACAACAGCAACAACACTTTGACGACGACGACCCATTCCAACCCCCACCCCCGCCTAAACGGCATTCCTACCAGGCGTCGACGACGTCGGCGACAGCGACGAACCCGTTTGTTAGTGATGCGGATGGATATGCGTATCCACATCGCAAGTCGAGTTCTGCTACGTCGACGGCGTTCCCGCTCCCCGCTTCGTCGTCAACTACGACGTCGACACCTTCATCCCCGACCAAAGTTTCCACGGTGCTACCCCTGCAGACACCCCCTCCAATCAAGCCCAACGCGCACCCCTACGCCATAAAGACAACCTCGACGGGCATCCTCACGCGCTCCTCGAGCAACGCCGCGTCGCCGCACTACAAGGACGGCCACCGCTACGTCCCGCCGCCCTCGCCGTCGCCCACAGCGTCTAGCTTTGCAGGCGGGCCCCCGTCTCCCACGAAGAGCTCGCACCACCAGCAAACCAGCAGCGGCGGGAGCCTGCACGAGGTTGGCAGGAAGAGCAATGCGTATCGCGGGCACCGGTACAGCCAGAGCCTCACTGATGTCAGCGGGTCGCCTGCACCCTCTATGGGACCGCCTCCCCGTCCTCTACCGGTTCCGCCAAACTTTACGGGTGGGTCTGCGAACCCGATTCAACCCGATTACACCGGACGAAGCATGTCAGCGTCGCCTACCAAGTCCGCGAGGTTCCTGGAGCTCCAAGCTGAATTCACCGGGAACGGGGAAGACAAGACGCCCCGGCAGCATGAGAGGACGCGGATGAAGAGGGCAGAGACGTTGCCTTCGGGCATGGAGGCGCCGTTTCCTTTCGTGTTCCCATCGACTCGTCGGCAGAATACTACCGCTGACGGAGAGCAACTCCCTGAAGATCCAAAGACTTGGACACCAGCCCAAGTCGCTGCGTATCTCCGAAATTCGAGTTTGGATTCTAGTGCCAATCCTGAAGACCTCGCCAATTTTGTTTTGGAGAGGCAGATTGCTGGAAGGGCGTTCCTTCGATTGGCGAGTTCGTCTGACGAGAGGTATGTTGAGATCCTTCTTGAATGATTGGGTTTTCGTTTTACTAATTTTCGCTGTGCAGGACTGAACTGGATCATGCTTTGAGAAACGCTTCGAGAACGCTTCGGCAGTCTTCTTTGAGAGGAAGGATTTGGGGCTTTAACGCTACTGCAGAGAACTCGAATGTAAGCTTTAGTCTTCCATTACACTCGTCCCGTCTTCTTGGGTTGTCATGGACCGCGCAGTCGGATCCCGCTCACTCTCCGCCGTGCAACATATCTGACTGCTTTTCGTTCTAGGACCTCAATGGACCCTACTCCCAACGCCCACGCTCCGACTCGGTATCCTCCGCATCCTCCTCGGGTTCCTTCAGCGACAACAACCCCTTCTCATCCAACACCCATCGTCCCACAGGGCGATCCAGCGGCCGAGTCCGAGGCATGGTCGAAACCTTGGAACGAAGCTCGAGCCTATCCGGGAGCGAGAGAGAGGATGACGATTACCGCCGAACGTCTCGATCCAGCTCGCCTACCAAGCACAAAGCGCTTCCCACTAGGGGAAGAGTTAACGATCTCTTCGATCCTCAATCGACTCCTGTTGAATCACTGGAGGAAGAAGATAATGGGAGGAATGCGACGATTAAGGGACACGGCAATCCGAATATGTCTGGCCAGCATGCGTCTAATAATATCCTGTTTGCGAATGACCCACACCACCACCACCAGCAACACCCACAACATGGATACCAAATCAACAAGGAGCTACCGCGATTACTCCCTCTACCGCCTACGTTCACGGGAGGAAGCGGGGACGGGCTATCGCCCATGAACACCGGTTCGACCGTTGGCGCGCCTGGCGGGGGTGTCATGCACACTCATACGGCTGGTGGTCCAGTACTCTCGCCTATGAATACTGGTGGGGTGGAGTTTGGGTTTAGAGCGGGGTCTGCTGGTGCGAGTGCGAGTCCGGGGAAGCAGAGGAGTGAGAAGGCGTCGTCGAGGATGTTGCCGGTTCCTCCTGCTCTTTCGCCGCTTGGGTTCCAAGCTGGTGCTGGTGCTCTTCCGCATGGACAGCCGCATTCGCAGCATCCGCATCCTCATTCGCCTAATGATGGCGGCGGGGTGTTGCATCATCCGACGCCGAGGCGGATCGCGTCTCCTGCTGCCAAGAGTCTCATCTCGAAAGGAGGGAGAGGGGGTGGGGGTATGAGTGAGAGCGAGGGTGAGACGAGTGATGTGGAGCGAGGGCGAGCGGAGGAAGAAGAGGGAGAGGGAGAAGAGGAACCCTCGATTGAAGAGTTGTTGATGAAGGAGGAGACGAGGGGTGCGAAAGCTTGGGAGATGGATGTTGGGATTGGGGAGACTGTTAAGAAGATTGTAACGGTTCCTTCGGGGACTGGTGAGAATCGGCAGGGCATGACGAAGTTGATGGAGCCTTCGACGTCTGCTGATCTACCGGCTGGTTCCTCCTCCGCCTCGACTTCAACCCCGGCCTCTGCGTCAACCTCAGCTACATCACCCTCAGCCTCGACCTCCGATGCCCTACCCACCACGTCCACCGTCAACGCAGATATGAGTTTTGTAAACGGAAGAACGGGGAGGAGGGCGAAAGGTCTTCGACCTAAAGTTAGGAATTCGGGTGGTGGGCCGAGGGATATGGGTGCTGGTGGTGGTGGGAGTCCGAGGAAGTCGCCGAGGGCTGTTAGTCCTTTGAAGTCGCCTGTGGGTGTTGGTTTGGATTCGGGTGCTAGGGGAGAGGATGTTGGTTTGGATTTGAGTACTAGGCGAGAGGGTGAGGGTGAGGGAAGCAGAAAGGAGAGTGGTGGAAGTGGAAGTGATGGTGGTGCTAGCGCTAGTGGGAGTAGTGCGAGTGAGGGTGAAGGGCAAGGACAAGGACGTGGGGAGATAAGGAAGGCGAGGGTGAGAGGACCACGCGGATCTCGAGAGGAGGAACAAAGAGAAAGAAAAGGCGCAGGAGCAGAGGAAGGAAATGGAGGAGAGGAGGTTCATCCCGTGTATAACAGTCGCCGGTATAAGCAGTCTGTGAAGCGGAAGAGTGGGCAGGGTGTGGGTGTTATGGCGTTGTTTGATGTTGGTGCGCCTTCTGCGACTGTTGAAGAGGCGTCGGTGGAAGCCGCGTTGGGTACTTCGGAGGCTACGTCAACTGACCACTTGGAGCCAACGTCAACCAACCACTCGGAGCCTACATCATCCAGCCACTCGGAGAAGTTGTCTGAGGAGCTGAAAAGGAGAGAGAAGAACGTCGAGGAGCGGGAGGAAGCTGTTAAAGGACGGGAAGAAGCTGTGCGGGAGCGGGAGAGGGTTGTGGGTGAACGAGAGGAGGAAGCTGGGCGGAGGGAGGGCGTGGTGGATGAACGCAGCGCAGATTTGGATGATCGTGTTGTGAGGATTGAGGAGCGTGTTGTGGCTGTTGATCTGCGTGAGCGGGATCTTGAAGAGCGTGTTCAGGCCGTCGAAGAGCGGTCTTCGGCTGTTGAGGGCAGGGCTAAGGCCATCGAAGAACGGGAGACCACTGTTGGACAGAGAGAAGCTGGGGTGGTGCAGCGTGAAAATGCGGTTGAGCAACGGGAGGGTGGTGTGGCTGCTCGTGAGGAGGCTGTGAAGGAGCGAGAGAGTGTGGTTGTTTCGAGGGAGAGGGTGGTGGGTGAGCGGGAGGCTTCGATTGATGCTAGGGAGAAGAAGTTGAGCGAGTTGGAGGAGGAGGTTAGGAGGAGGGAGGAGGAGGTTAAGGAGAGGGAAGAGGAGGTTGAGAGAGCTAGGATCAAGTTGGAGGAGGAGAGGGCGTTGGTTGAGGAGGCTAGGAAGTCGACCAAGTTGGGCGATGGTGATGCCGCGACTGGTTTGCCCGCAGCCGGCGAAGTGCAAGCACGACAGAATGGACCCAATCCGGACGATGAAGATACATTCTCGCTCGCCACCCGACTCTTCAAGCGGCTTGCTTCCCCTTTCTGGGGAGGGCACTTGTTTGCTCCATCGGAAGGCGATGCTGTCGTCGTTTCGGACTCCCAGGCGACTTCGACCTCGGACTCTGCAACCACGCAAACTGAGAATTCGGACTCCACCGCTACGCAAATCGGCGAACCCAGCACCTCAAACGAAAGTGCCGGAGGACCTTCATCATCGAGGAGGGCATCACGCTCGTTCCCTGGTACACTGTTGAACAACAGGGAGACGACGGGGTACCTCGTGCTTCTTGGTATTGGAGTGGTCGCTGTTATGTTGAGGGTGTTGACGAAGCGGTTTTTGTTTGGGTATGCTATCGGGAAGGTTGGTGTTAGGGGTGTGACGCATGGGATGAAGCGGTGAGGTTGCCATGTCAGGGTGGGGTGGGGTAGTCGAGGTTGGGTGGGGTGGGGGTTGGCGAGACTGGGTAGATGAAGTGCTGAGGTGGTGGGTGTTGAAAGCGGTCGGTGCAGTTGCAAAAGAAGTCAAGTCTAAATCCAAATTCAGTGGACATTCGGTGATTTTCGTTCTCTTTTGGTCTCGTTATTTCTGCATTGCTTTGTTTGATATATTCTATTCGAAAAAATTGTTCTGATTCGTTTATGTTTTGGGTCTCTCGCTCGTCGTGTTCAAGTTGCTTGTTTTCATTTCGTTTTTTCTTATTCGTTCTTCGTTGCATTAACATAACTAAATCGTATTACCAGAACCTCTTATTTCTTTCTCCTCCTGCTTCTGTTTCTTTTCTCTTTTTGTTACGACATGTTACGACCTTGTTACGACTGTTTACGATTCATGATTACTGCCTGTGCCTTGTTCCTTGCATCCCTGAGTTTCGTTTGTGTTACCTATATTGCGATACCCACTTGTTCATGTCACTCCTAGCTATCCGAATTTTCAAGGCAAACTTTCCCTAGAAAAGGCCGGAGTATTCCCCGGGAGTGGGCAGCAGATCGCCCACCGTGTTCTCAGACAAAGTTGAAAGAGGCAGGAAGTAAATTAGACGCGCGTGTAGTCGGTCAGTCTACTACGCTAATCAACATTGGCCATGTACGGTGAACCCCGAAACTCAGACCACTGCCAATCGCGCGTCGACCCTTCAGCTTCATAGTCAATAAAGTACTTCTCAAATATGCGCAAGAGTTCCAGTTGCTTCTCCAAAGGAGCCTTCGTCCGGCCGTAGTTGAACGTATACTCCCTTCGAAGTTGATCAAAGGTTGACAGCAACGACTTCCATACCGCCGCTTTTCCTGGAGGAACGTCGTTGAGTAGAGTGGGATGGTCGTCGACCACGTCCACTAGGATGTGGGGCGCGAGCCCCACCCAGCCCCACTTCGAAAGGTACACGTCAAAATGAGAGCCTTTGAGCCAATCCGGTTGCCAGCAACAGTAGGTCACCAGGCACCAGAGACGCTTGACTTGTCCCTCTGTACTCCTCAATAGCTCGAGTGCCATGAAAGGTTTGGTTCCCATGCGCTCGAAGCCCGCCTTCTTGGGGGAGAGATCTCCGGGGTCCATGGTTGTCGCCAAATCAAAACCGTTTAGGACTGCCTGGTTGCCCGTTTCCGGACGCCGCATGAGGTTCGACATGCTGATATCGCCATGCGCGATTCCGAGTTGCCATAGCAAGAAATGACCTAGAGGATGAAAGAAACATACTTCAGCTGCATTAATCCTCGGATTGTAATGAGTACTTGCAACGGATGAGCTGCCATATGGCGCGACAGTAATCGTCTGGCGCGAGGCCATCGATATTAACGGTAACCAGCCACTCGGCAGCAAGTACTGTTGGGACCCGAGCACCTTCAGAAGGGATGTTCAGGAAGTTTCGGATATGGCCAGTAGAAAAGTCGTCGAATTGGGCCCAGCATTTGACGCGAGGAAGGTGGTCGACGTCTTTCTTGTGTTCGCCGAGGTGTTGCGCCCTCTTCATTGCCGTATCGATGATCTCTCCCTCGCTCTGCCTGACCACTTCACGCCACAGAAATTTGCCAAAGATTGGTTTGGCAGTCGGAGGTACATCGTGGTGAGTCGTTCGAGAACTAGCAGATTTCGGTGATGTGTTGGTGTGTTTCGCATGAGGGACCAGTTCTCCCTTAACTGAGCGTCGGCCTTTCAATCCCCAGCGGCCCACAGTACCATCTGGAAACGCGTGTGGAATTGTCTTTCCGTCAACTTCAATGTCCAATTGGCAGTGCTTTCAGTACATTTACCCATGTTATATGGCATACCTGACGGTGCAAAAAGCCCATGTTGATGGCTTGACCTGACCAGCTGACAGAATGTACTCCCCATGTATAATGGGTCACCTGGCAGGTCACCTGACCCAACTTCCAAGGTATTTCAAAGGGATTTGGTGTGCCTTGGAGTATGGGTCAGCTGGCTGCTCAGCTGACCCATGTCTTCAGGACAGTAGTTACACGAGTTCCTCAATCCAACGGCTAAAGAGCGTGCGATTTCCACAGAGGGATAATCTCGCCCGGGTGGATTGCCCCAACGTCCGATGCTCGATAGAGTTGGTCTCACTCAGGTTGAACAAAGGTTAGCCGCCTCGAGGCAGTCTCTAGCGGATATCGAGCCACGGGGGCAGTGCATGCAGGCCAGATTATCCCTGAGCGGAAATTGCACGCCATCTAGCTATCGGTTTGAAAGGATTATTCCCGTTGTGTTATGCGTTCGATGAAGAGCTTATAAAGGTGAGAAAATTTACAGGGTTCAGAGGGAGACGATTGATGAACGAAATGGCGTGGACAGACGATGCAAACCTGGGAGGGATTTAGGAGACGAGGAGGAGAGACAGATGTCATTGATGTCATTGGAGGAGGAAACGGTGAAATGACATTGGTGGTCAGCACACCATCTATAGGGAAAGCCAATAGGAGTTGTTATTATTTATGTTCAACCTCGAACGGTAGTTAAGAGTTATCACGGCTGTCCAACTCGTCCTGCAGCAGTGAAATGTAGTCTGTAAGGCGACGTCTACAATCCATCAGCCCCTGAATAGCCAACTTCTCCTGCAAGTAACACTGCAACAATGCCTCCCTACACCTTTTACGGACCTCAACCAATGTGACATCCCCATTTGGAAGCCCTTTGTGCTCCAAATCAATGTCTACCTCACTTGACATACGTGGCACATCCTCAGCCTGGAAGATATCAGCAAAGAAAACATAGTAGCAAGTGATGACACATACCTGGGTAGCAATGTTGACTGAATGAACCCCCTGCATGGAGTCTTCATCAACAAAGTAGTCCATAGCCAGATGTGCTGTGTCCTGCGTGGGGGAGCCGTGCTCGGCGGGAGCTCCCCCACCCACACCTTGGGAGCTGCCCACAGCGTAGTCAGCTGCTGCCTCTGCAGTATCGTATCCCACACCATCATATCCCACATCCTCCAAGGCCAACCCTCCAGCCTCCTTCAATGGGCTGCTCCCTGTGTCGTACTCTGCCCCCAACTCCGCGGTGTCGACGTCTGGGCCATCATCATCCAGATCCTCAGATGCGAACCCTATAGCCCGCTTCAATGGACTGCTACCCACATCATACTCTGCACCCAACTCCGCGGTATCAATCTCGTGGGCATCTTCGAGGTGTTTAGTCGACGACTTAGCGGTAGTGTCATCGCTGTTTCCTATCCAGCCGTTGTGAGCGTCTAACGTTGTAGTAACCAGGACGAATAAAGCAAAAGGTGCGTACCTGATGTAGCCGCTCTACCCTCAGGAACGGTTTCTTCGTCCCTCCCCTGCTGTCCTGAGATGACGCGTTGCCTTCGCTTCTGGCCGCGCGCTAAAGCAGGTGAGGTTACGGTCACCTAAGAAGTTAAAATACATACTGTTGGTCCTTGTCATTCTCAACCAGTGTGAATCGTCTCGACGTCGATGGAAGGTGATGGTAAGCGCGATAGGGAACGCTTCGACGATAGGAAATGAGAAGAGAGATGGGGGAGGAGCCGGGGTGTTAAGCTGGTATGTTTCCTTGCGTCACAGGGGCCCGAGGATTGTCCGCGCACACGAAGCGAAGATATCCCATGCGCGGAAACGTGGACGGCGCTTGAATGGCTCCATCGCCGCGTAGGCGTGTACAATTCACTACGATTCGATCTCACCAACCCCGATTCACTACGATTCGATCTCACCAACCCCATACTTGAAAAGCTTCCGCGGCGTGCGCGATTGGATCTCACCAAACACGCATGTGCAAAAGCTTCCGCGGCGTGACGATTGCATCTCGAGAATTAGGTGCGCGAGAACCTTCCGCGGGAAGTACTCTAGTTTTCTTCAGCCATGAGAATAGCACCCACAGAACCTGACCTGAACTTGTAGATCTTACAGCTCTATCCTGTGGCGGTCAAGCGGCAATGTCATCATCACCTCCCAGAGTTTTGGAAGGAGACGATGAGCTTCTCCCTTCATTTTCCCTGGTCTACCAGGCGTCTTCTGCGCTTGGGCGGATGATACAAGGTATCCGCACGGGTGTGCCTTACAAACACAACGACGACGATGGGGTCACAGCCAATCCAATCCTGAGGGCTGCTCTTTGGCAAGCAGCCTACGTAATCGAGAAGGCTTACCGACGACGATGTAAGTTATATTTGAATACCCTTCCGTGCAATGCTGCAACTCATAGTACACCCCCTATTTATCTAGATCGTGTTCCTTGGACGGCGAAGGACTACAGCACGCGACTCACTCCTCGCCAGGATGGCCGGAATATCATCCGCGAGGAGGCGCTGATGAAGGAATTCCCCCCCGGAGTTGACCTCCAAGGCATTGACCCAACGCCAGAGGTTCTTCCTACAACGATCATCGATGCAGATGATCGTATTCTGTTTTGTTACCTTCCAAGCTGCGTCTCACCGGAGATGATGGTACGTACTTCAACCTACACTTTTGCGGACTACCGGATGGCTGACTGTTTCCTCAGAAGATCCTCGATGCCAGCGTTGGGACGTTGGGTACGACCGAGGATGGTCTCTTGGATAAGAAGAGGAAGGCGAGAAACGCGGACCAGGCCCGCTTGGAGAGGGAGAGAGCAAAAGGGAAGGGCAAACAGCACGCTGGCGATCAGGAAAGGCCCACCGCGAATTGGAGGGAGTCACCGGACCTGTTCAGGAAGGGCAACTGTACCATGATTCCGGGCGTTCTGACCTTTTCGCCAGCATGGTGGGCTGTCGGTCATGAGGCATGTCCTCCCCCATTTCGTATCCGCGCAAATTGTGACGGCCTCCTGACAGAACCAGCTTCCTGGACCTGCAGCGACTGTAAAACCAGTGAACGGAGAAGGACGAGCGTTTCTACGCAATATCACCCTTGCATCGGCGCTCGTGGGGGCAATACTGTCGCAAATCAATCTGGACCTTTTCGAGAAAGGAATGGCGGTTATGGCGGAGCTGTATGGAAACATGGAACTGACGAAAGACCATGCCATCGTTGCCCAGGTCATCGAGATATGGTTTTCCCCTTTCAGCTCTGCCTCTCTCATCGTCAACCGGGAAACGCCCATCCACCGCGATACAAGTGGTCCGATGGAGGGGATGGAAATGGTGGTCACAGGGGGAAACTACTCGAATGGAAGGTTCTTGACCCCCTCGTTCAATCGTAGCTGGGTTTACAACCCGGGCTGTGTCGTCGCTTTGATGGGCAAGCTTGTACCTCACGGCGTTCCACACGTCGACGGTGAACGTTATTGCATCGCGTACTTCTGGCGGCAACGGCTATTCGAGGCCGCGGGTGTAGACTTCCCACATCCACCCAAGACTGCTGCACATTTCCATGGGGTTCCAACACCACTTTCCTGGTATAGAGATCCTGTAACGGCTTAGAAGCTCGAGTTGTGGAATATCATGACGTTTCGATCTGTTTTGATTTGCCTTTGGGGGCCGTGAATACAAAGTTAATCTATTAAGACCGTTTGAGTTGGATTCTCAGCCCAACAACCCTCACAAGTGCCTTCGCAATGTCCTCATCCACTTGGTCCCGCTCTTCCACCAATGTGTCGATCGCCGCCCTTAATTCGGCAGTGGTCTTGAGTCGAAGCGACCCGCGGGTTATTGAGTTTGGCTGCTCGTTCCACCAGGCCCTAAAGGTCAAATAATACCTTTGGGAAGCAGTCATTGGGGGAACCGGCCCCTCCCACCAGCGATAACCCACGTCGAAATCCAGCAACCCATCGGGGATTCCGTTGCGAAAGACGGTGAGGAGCAGGCTATCCGCGGAAGTAATGCTGTCCCTCACGTCCTCTGCTAAAGGAGTCCAACCGGTCGATGCGGACAGGAGAGCCGGGCAGGGAGGTGTGCATCCTGCAGCAATGGCATTGAGCAGGATGGTAAGTTGGGTGTTCTGGTACGCAGGTGTGAGTATTCGAATAGCAGATCATGTAGATGACGTACGAACTCAAGTATTAGCCCGTTGGCGAAGGCGTCCTTTCGAGCGTCGCTCAAGGGAAAGTTCCGCGCTAGCCAGTGTAGACAATGTGCAGTGCGACGGTCCAGATGCGCAAGCAATGATTCCCATTCCGGTTGTGACAGTAGAAAAGGGACACAGAGCAGAGGAGGAGTAGACATTTGGTAATCTACGCAGTGAGTTCGCACAATCTGCGAAGACGAAAGTCCAATTCGTTGATTCTTATCTTCCCCAGCTGAAGCTGATTCTCCGCTGTAGATAGCAGCCGTTGTGCCTCCTCCTTTGCTTCGATTATTTCCAAAAGTTCTATTTCTTGAGGGCGGGGAAAATTGGGGTCATTTGCCGCGGGTGGTGGGACAAGCCGGTATTTCTCCGCGCGAACATCGGCAGGGTAAAGTCGGTCTAGGTCTTCCATGTCATCTTGAGACTTCGGGGCTTCGGACTGCCGTGAGGGGAAGTCAACCCACCATGCGCGCGGTGGGTCGCTGGGCGTTGGGGGAAGTGAGGTACCAAGGTTGTATGCGAGAGCCTCCACCACCAGCTCGTCTTCCAAGAGTCCCGTCGCAGTTGCTTGGACGATAAGACCAAACGCGGGTGGTAGACACAAGTCCTTCCAACCCCACGAGGTGATGTAGCAGGCGATTAGCCACGATGTAATAATCTATGAGCCGCGGGTCAACGAATCCGCGTTTGGCTGAACTCGGGTTTAACTCACCAATTCAAATTCAACACAGCGGATGAACGTGCCCATGTGCCCCTCCCTCGAAATCCTTTCACCGTCGACCATTAGCGCTTGAAGGATGTGGAGGCAGCGCGACATGTGGAGGGTAATAAGACCTCCGCGGTCCACTCTGATATCGTCTGTTTCGCTCATGTTGGGGATAGGGAAAGGGTTAGACATTGTCGGTGATTGATACATGGTCAAGACGTGGCTAATCACTAGAGGAGCTGAATCCGTCGGATCCGGAGGTACTTGACGGACCCATAGAGCATCGTTGAGAAGACCCAGAAGATTCGGTGGCTGATGCGGGAGTACCGCTTCGACTCTCACCACCCACGGTCATGGCGATCGCGCGCTCGGTGGCTTCTTCCAGGTCCTTGAGCTTCGTTGTGAATCGTTCTCGTGCATATCTGCCGAGATTCCTCCACAACTCCGCTTGGCGTGATGCATATGCCATATGACCTGACCCAGACACTTGAGTTCGCCTTGTATCCCACTCTGAAGCTTTGAAATCAAAGAAGCGCGGTACCCATCCCGCTTCGCGGAGGAGAAACTGAAACTCCTCCTCCCGGCGAAGGTATTTCTCGCGCGATCTCATCCAGTTGACACGATATACTGATTAGGAAAGTGTTAATGGGATGTGACGCCAGAGGTAAGCAGCAGAAAACCTTACGTTCATCCAAGTAGAGCGTCCTATCAGCAAGGTTGCCAGTTGGAACGCCCCAGATCCATGATAGGTGGGTGGAACTTTGCCCTCGTGCATTAGGGTCTGCGATCGCTGTACTGATCTTCAAATCCTCAGGGCGGATCGGACGATACTTCAGCAGGGTGTCCGAGGAGGTGCCTAGACGACCAAGGGCCCACCTAGCCTGCTCGTAGTGATTGACATGGAGGCGGAGTTCGTCTCGAGAGCCCTTGACGATGCCGTAGGATCTCGTCTTGGACTTCTTCGTTTTAGCACCGCGTACCAGAGACCGATAGAGGTACGATAGGCGACCTATTGTATCACGAATCGACTCCAGTTTGCTGTTAGCCTGAGCAACGCGCATTGACCGTTCCTTTCTCCTCACCGCGGAAAGAGATTTGGGCCAGTCATGCACCGCGGATGGTAGGGGAATAGGGACCTCTTCAGGGTTTGTGTCAGATACTTCGTCCTGGTATTCGGAGCTGGCGTCCGGATCGCGATCCATTTCATCGTCAGACCCTGCGTCTACCTCACCATCGCCACCAGGGACCTCTATGGAAAGTGAGACCGTGTTCGTGGACAAGGAAAACGAAGTCAGATCGATCCCTGGAAAGAGACTTTCCGCATCCTTGTGGAAGGTCTCTATTGATGTAGTTAGGTCTTGACGGCGCCTCGCAATTTCCAGTTTCTGCTTGGGGGTTGTATGATTTCTGAATTTTCGCACCAGGCGTTTAACTTCGGTTCTGTTTTTCCCTAAGTCGCACCTAAGCACTCAGGTTCATCAAATGCACACGTACTGTTTTTCCTGGATGTCTATCCCAGATGAAATCCAACTCGTCACGCCCAACCCTTCCCCCGACACACGCTCTTTATCCATCAAGTCCGCTTCTACTGCCGCGCGTTTAGGAACTACAGAGATGTGAGATTTAGATGTATGCATTGGGAGAAGGGGAAGGAATACCCTTATCCAATTTGGAATTCAATATATCCATCGCCTTGAAGTCCTTCAGTCGTTTAGCTTTAGCATCGTCGAGTTCGGCCCCCCATTGAGCCATCTGAGTCTTCGTAACTGCCGAGGAGATTGCGGTATACCTTTCCAACGCCTCCTCTGCTTGCTCCTTGGCCTTGGGTAGATCTCTGCAAATGGAGGATACTCCAAACGGTGTCATCTTTTATATCACAGGCATGGATAACCCGATAACTCACCAATGCCGGTCATCTTCTTCCAGTTGCTATCCGAGGCTCCAGCGTCGAGAGTCTCTGCTCGATGGGAACTCGACATGGTCCTAGTCGGACCTGCAAGCTTGTTCATGGGGACCCATAACGGCTCCAAAATTTCCCCACTCTTCGTTCCGGCGCCAGAAACAAATGACGGGGCGAACCTCGCGTAGCATTCAGGTCGATGGCCATGAACGTGCCAAAGCCCAATAGCATTCACGATCACCAACCCCGGCGGGAGCTGAAGGTCAGGTTTCCGGTACTGCTTGATACGAGTCAAGAAATTAATGCAATACTGGCAGTTGATGTCGTAGACAAGGAGGACCCAACGGACCCCATCCAGGCGAGCCATTTTCAAAGCTTTCAACCAGGCATAATCCATGTTGATCTGACTGATCCACCGTCACTATACCTTCTACAAATCAGCGGAGGTTGGAATACACGAACCGTTCACCCTTTTGAAAATCAACCATCGCCCCCGGCACAAAGCAACCATGCCTCATGCAAGCAATCGCTCCAATACCCGTAACATCACATCCCTTCAACGCTTTCCACTTGTCAGCAATGGCGCGATGCTCGTGACATGTTGACGTCTGAAACATGAATAGTCATTGGGATAAACCGAGCATTACGGGGGACCAAAACCCAAACCTGTTTGTCCTCGGTCGCTGATTTGATGTGTGCGGCATAGGCCGTTCGCTCCGTCATGAATCCGGTCCCAGAGGTGATCCACACGTCCTTGTTCGCCGCTCGTTGCCTTTGATGAACGCAAGAGAAATTCCCGTCAGCGACAAAGCTGCGAAGCTTGAGGCTGTCGGGAAGTTCATCCCATTCCTCCTCGGGGACGTTCACCCCTTTCTGAGGACATGCTGAGCAAAAAAGCGCGAGGTCACCATCCGCGGGGACCTGGTCCCCATGCCCAAAGCCAAACCATTTCAGATTCTTCAAATGGATCCACTGCCTCCCCATCCGCGCAAGCTCGCGATATCGGTTCTACCATTCCCGCTGAGTTCCTATCAGTCCAAGAATGGGGAAACACTTACAGGGACAGTTTGAGGGAACGCCTTGTTGGTGACTCTCCGAAGCTTTGCGAAATAATGATAGGTAGAGCTATGACACTCTACCTGGTTCATGTGATAGTCGTCCAGCAGCTCGAAGGTCGCCACAGTTCGGACGGTCTTTACCGACGCCGGGTACAACCGCATGTCCAGGAATTGGCGGGTTTCCGATGAGTGTCCAGGGCAGCCGCATACATGGAAAAGAACATGATGTACCCCATTGGTATGCATCACGATCACTACACGGTCATCCACAATCTGCCTTCCATGAGGTTTGGCGCCGAATGAAAAATCTTCCTCGTTCAACCATGGCCTCGGTTCCCCGGGTTCGCCTTCCTTATCGTCGAGGTCGTCGTCTTCATCCGTCCAGTAGTCTTCGTCGTCAACATCATCGCCCTCCTGAAAGAAGCCTTGAGGAAATGGACATGATTCCCCCCCGTGTCCAAGTGATATCACCACGCCAACCTGCCACAGCCACGCGGGGTTCCAATGTGTTTCGTCCCACCTCTCCACTCGATGCAAGGGAAGATCCCGGTGCTTCTCCCTCATACACACCCTGCAGAGCTCCCGAGAGCCAAAGCACTCCAGGCACCGCCAAACGGAATCCCCGCCCCCACATTCCACACACACCATGTTACTCTTCCTTTCTCGTTCCAAAAGGGCACTCAGGAATTGTCCTTTGTAAGGAATCCAATCAGCCATGAAGTCGTGTTGGGACTAAGAGGCCAAGGTGGGTCAGGGCAAATGGTAAACCCTGTAGAATGAAGTACGCACAGCAGTTTTCTTCTTTCCTGAAGATGCAAAGGAGGGTGGGGAGATACGTGGGGGCGTCCTTTGCCCAAGGGTTGGGTCTACCAGATTGGAGCCTCCTGTCCCATGGGGGGAGAGCCGAGGAAGCTTCACCTTCTTGCGCGGGGGACCCGAGCTCGATCCTTTCACAGAGAGCCTTCGGGCACCCTTCCTGCGTGGAGTCCTATACACGGGTCTGGATTGCACAACATAGCCCCTAGATGTCTGCTTCACAGTGACCCGAGCTGGTACTATATCGTCTTCACAGACCGGTTTTCTAGATCGCCCCATGATGAGTTGGATCAAGGGCCTCGGGTAAGATATTTCCCAGTAACGCAGAAGACTGAGAATGAATTTATGTGTGGTCGATTTAAGACTGAGAATGAAATACATACTTAATAGCTGCCGACAGCACGGTTCTCGAATAGCACTGAAGTCCCCATATCTATCCATCTCTCATATCGACAATGGCTCGACAGAAATCCCGGAAAGTAAAGTTCAAACTCGCCCCTAATCACATCGACTATCTTTCGAAATGTCAGTCAGAGTGGTATACTGCTAAAGCGACCCGGTCCACCGCTCAATTCATCAGGAAGAAACGCCGTCGTATTGCAGGAATGCTGGAGGAAGTCTCTGGGGAGACCATGGGCTCGTCGACAAAGGCTTCGATCGAGGATGCCATTGCTTCCTGGTTCAAAGCAAACTGTAGGCCACGCGGAAGGGTCGCAAAGACGGGGACGAAGGCGCGCAGCGGTCGGGAGGTCTTTGCTCACAGGGAATGGAAGGCAATTGCAGAGCGAAAGCGAGAGTTGATGGAAGCGGCAAATTTTCAAGGGGACCAGCATATCGGATTCCATCAGCAGGCAGTTACGGAGCTATGGGGGAACTTACCAGATGAGCAAAAGGCAGCCTACCGGAGGGAGGCAGTGGAATGGGATAATGTCGCACCTCCACCGGAGATACAACTTCAGTAAGTGCCCTCGGTCGCTGTCGATATCCGTGGCAAGCCTAATATGGAATTTTCCAGTACTGCCGAAGGCGCTGCGGACCGATTACTTCAATTCACAGAGGACCTGTACCGCCAGAGCAACGTTCGACTATGGGGGATGATCATCTTCCGTGACAAGACCGGTTCCTTGGTGAAGCAGGTGATCGATTTCAATGATCGATTGGGTGAACATTGCCGATTGGATGTGGCCTTCCACGAGGAGTACGAGAAAATGGGATTCGAGAAGCTCTTCGATAAGTGGATGCGACCGGCGTATTCCTCTTCCAGCGAGACTCCACCACCCGCGGCTCCAACGAAGGCAACAAAGGACCTCGCGCGAGTAGACCTAGAGAAGAACAGTTATGGAGAACCAATCCTACCCAATATCGCGGAGTGCCCACCTGCGGAGACCAGCCACCGGAAGTGGATCACCAAAGTCTTCCGTGCCTATGTCTTTGATAGCTACAGTGAGTCGCCTTCCATACTTTACCGAGTGGCTGGTTACTGATTTTCCGCACAGGTGTCGCAACTGGTGGCTTGAAAAAGGACATCTCATGGACCAGGTTATTCTCCCACCTTCGACGGTTTGTGGATGAATCCTTTTGGCCAGAACGCTTCACGTCGGACTTGAAGGATCCTTCGATCATGAAATATGATGTCATCAAGGGGATCCTTGCGTTCTGGTATAACCGGCAGCTAGACGGAGCGGACCCAGTCTTCTCTTTTTCCCACTACGAAGATCCCAAGAAGGAAGGTACTTGGATTCCTAGGGTTCCCCGAGCCGTGATCGAGGACGATACCCCGGTGGAGGTGGAAGAGAGGGACAATGGTGCAAGGAGGAAGCGGGGAGGGGATAAGGGAAAGGCTATTCCAGCAGAGGCGAGAGCCAACAAGGGGAAGGGAAAGGCTGTGGCACCTCCAGTCGAAAGACCTGATTGGATGGAATCACCCCTGAAGCGAATCGGTAACGCCGTCATGGATGTGGGGGATTCTCCCCCTAGGAAGAAGAAGAAGCAGAAAAGGAAGAAGGAGAAGTCCGCGATGGCTAACGATAACGCCAATGGAGGGGACAAACGCAAAGGAGTTGATAGCGATGACGATTCGAGGAATGAGCAGGATGGCGATGGTAGTGGAGATCGTGATGGCGAAGGGCACGATGGTCGCGGAGGGAACAAACGTTCCAGGGAAAGGTTGGAAGCAAAGGGTAGGGCGAGCACCAGCGCCATCCGCAGCAAGGTTGAACCAGACGGCGACGATGTCGGGGTTGGCCGCGCCGACACAGATAACCCCGACGAAGCCCTAGACACCTCTGAAGACGACCCTAGGGACACCGCGAACGACGAACCCGAGGACGCCGCCAACGACGAACCCGAGGACGCCGCCAACGACGAACCCGAGGACGCCGCCAACGACGAACCCGAGGACACCGCCAACGACGAACCCGAGGACACCGCCAGCAAGGGACCTGAGAGCGCCCGCGGCAACCCACAGGATACTGTCCAAGGTCCCAAACCAATGGGCCGCCGGAGGAACATGCCGACGACATCAGTGGGATTGACCACGAGAGCGATGGCGAAATCATCCAAAGTCCAGACCCGCTCCGGCGGTCAGACCAAGGCAAATGCCACAGCCTCCTCATCCAGGCCACGAGCACAGCCTCGGCCGGTAGGTAAGAAGAAACAGGGAGACATTTTCGATTTGAAGGATTCACGCCAGAAGAATAGAAAATAGTAAAATATATATATATCATTGGAGATGTCAATAACTGTACTTACCTACCTATATCTACGAAATCATTCATTGGAGATGTCAATAACTGTACTTACCTACCTATATCTACGAAATCATTTCTCCAATCAACCCGACCCTTGTCCTACACCTTCCTCCTCTGAATGGACGCTAGGGGTCCGTGGTCTTGCCCTAACCGACGATACACCCTCGGGGACAGCTGTCAAGACAGATTCCTGAAGTCCGGCCTGAAAGATACCGCTGGGGTCTTGAAGATGAAACGTCGAAATCGAGGTGCTTCCGTTGGCGGGTAAAGGTGGAGGGAGAACGAGAGGCTCGTAGGCCTGCTCAAAGAGATCGGGATCAATGAACGTCGGGTAGGGCGGGTAGTGGTGACGACCATCGTTCGAAGTCGGCACCTCGACGGTCAGATTCCTCATGGTCGTAGTTACAGCCTCTTGGATTATATCTTGACTGTACCGTGAAATCTCCTCCTGCACCATCGACCTGAGCCTTCCCCCGAGTTCCTCTCCTACCCTCGCAATGTTCGCATCCACTTCGCCAATACGCTCTCGGAGATGGGTGGTAAGGGTGGTCGATAGGATGGGCGTCAGAAGGGTTGGCCAGTGTCGTTCGAGTGATTGGGAAACTTCCTTCGCCAAATCCGCGGGATTGACTTGACTTTCGGCAAGGCGTTGGGTCTCCAGCTGGAGGGCTTTCTTGAACGACCCCTCTAGCTTCCTCTCAGACTCTTCAAAACGGCTGTCGACCTCCCTCGAAATAACCTGACCCAATAGCTCCTCCACCTTGGCGCTGTCTTCGAGTTTGCGGAGACGATTGTCGATTTGACCGAGTGTGTTATCGACTGATTCGAACCGCGGAATCCACTTCCCATCCTGACTATCCCCCAGCGCGGCTGCCTTCTTGTCGACCTCGTCAACAACTGCTGACTTGACAGCGGAGGTTAGTCGTTCTCCAAACCGCTGTTTGAAAACGCCAAACCGTTTCTCCTGTTCCCCGATTCGTTTCCCCATGGCTGTGATATCGTCGACGACCTTCACCAAGTCTACTGCATTGTTTGGCACCTGTCCACAAAGCTCATCGAACTGCGCGCGGATGTCCTCCATCTCCACTGTAACCTTCACGACATCTGCATGCATCTTTTCGTATTCCTCCTCTACGTCCCCCAGCCGTACGGTGATATTGCCCATCTTCTCTGCCACGTCATCAGCCTGATTGTGGAGTTGACCCCTCATGCTGTAGACGTCAGCTTGTAGATCTTGTGTGGCGCTGGAAATGAGGGCGATGTCCTGGTGTCGGGCAAAGGTGGACGAGTCTATAGTGCGAGGATCAGTTTACAAGCAAATTGAAAATATTTGTATTTTTTCACGTACCAACAACGGTCCCCGCGGGAAGACCGCTAGGTAGACTATAGAGAGCCCATTGAGATTGCCCCGAGGGTAGCAGAACGCTGCCCGAACTCGACGCAGCCGCGGAAGATGTTGCGCGGGGAGGAGGTGCCTTGGGATTCGTCGTCTTCGAGAAGGTGCACTTCTGCTTTTTCAGTCGACACCGGTGGCAGGACCCCACAGGTGGGCGCCAGCAAAAGCGCTGCTCCGCGAGGATGCAGAGACCGCACTGAGGGTCCGCGACATCGAATCCTTTCCCTGGTTCCGGCGGCGAACACTGGGTCTTATCGATCTCTCCCTCTCCCTCGGGTTCAACAGCAGGCCCCTTCGAACCTTCCGCGGTCTTCCCACCACCACCCTTCGCACCCTTCACACCACCCTTCATACCACCTTTAACCCCGCCCTTCGAACCACCCTTCGCGGATTGGCTTCTGGTCGTTCGTCTCGTCGCACCCCCAGTAGGGTTATCGCGAACCTTCTCAGGGGGAGGTGACGGCCTGGTTGCGGACTCACCGAAGTTGACCTTTTTCTTCTTCGTTCGCTTTGCCTGAGGGCTCATGTGGGTGTTGTCGCGCTTACGCGACGGCCCTCCCCCCTGGCCAGACTCTTCCCCTCGCCCTCCATCCTCGCCCTCGTCCTCGTGCTCGCCCTCGTCTCCCTCCGCCTCGCATCCTTCGCCGCCTAACTCGTCACCATCCCCTTCCCTTCCTCCATCGCCCTCATCTCCGTCCCGAAACCAAACGTCTTCGCCCTCGTCCATAGACATATCTCCTCCACCTCCATGCCTCCCCCGGTCACCTTCCCCTTCCCCCTCACCACCCTCTCCTCCTGACCCGTCACCCACACCCTTTCCATCGTTCAGATGGCGTCCCTTCCCTTTCCCCTCCCCTCCCTGCCCTGTGGACCCCGTACCGGTCGCGTCCAACGTGGCTTTCGCCAACGTCATCCCTTTCGTTGCTCCCGCGGCGGTGCCGGGTTGTTGGAAGTCGGGTGGTACAGGTGGGAGCCGGGATAGGAACTCCGTGTTGAGCGTGATGTGGGGCTTGGTCTTGACGTCTTTATCCAGGTAAGTCCGGTGGTTCTTCGAGATCTCGGAAAATAGGAGCTTGATGGGAAGATCGAGAGTCTTCGCATCGAGCCCCAGTGACTTGCGAAGATCCTTTACGATTTTCTACTGCTGTAAGTAGGAGTCAATGGGCGATGAAACAGAACTCACCGACTGCTCCAGGAGGATCAGCAGAGACTCCCGCGGACTTCTATCTCTGCTAGCGTATATTTCCCGGATGAGGCGCCGAGACGCTGTGGCGAGTTCCACAAAACGGTCGGTTTCAGTGCTCATGTCGAAGGTCGGTACTGAGGGTGGGTACAAGGGCTGGGTGACGTGTAGGGCGGTCAGTGAGAGTGTAGAGCAAGCCGAGCACGTTGTGGAGGGCAGGTGATGGGGAGAGGGGCTAACCCTAGAATGGGGTTTATCGAGCGGACCTTCCTTTTCGGTAACTCTCAGCATCTCGGCCATGTTTGACACAGAACTTCTTCGACCAGCCGCGGAGTGCTCAACCCATTCCGGAATGCGTGACACAAATATCGCGCATATGCGGATATTGATATTGCTGAAATGGCCGTTTTGGACTGGGGCAACAGCTGGGCTAGGAAAAGACGAGATAGGGGTTCCGGGGCCTTATAGGCTCCGGGCTCTTTTGTGCGCGGTTTCCAGTACCGCCAAGTCGTGACTGGGTTTGCCGCACGTGATGTCCGTAGTCACTTTGATGAAGAGCCTGTGGGTTCAATTATGTGTGGAGCCTGGTATTTTGAGCAGGGATTTTCGAATTAAATTACTTTTGTTTTCTGGTGTGTGACCTTGTCAGCATACAGGACAAGTATTGCAGGGTCTGAAATGCCTATCAATGTCACAAGCATGTGGTATAGCCAATGTATGTCATAGTACCTGCACTTGTAATGTGAAAGAAATAAGATGTGAGTAGATGCTAGTACAGTGTTTAGAAGATAAAGGAGAACAGGTGACCATCCCCATCCATACTCAATGGGAGAGTGGTGGCATAAAGGGCAACAGAGGAGAACCGGTCACCAACTATAGGGAGAATGGTGGATGGGTCAGTGGAGTCACCAGCCATACTCAAGGGAACAAAATACCACTGAGTTGGAATGTACGGCGTCACCAGAAGTCCAGCAGAGTGGCAGCGTCTGTGAGTCTGGCCGTCCAGACATAGTTTAACAATGTTTCCAACGTGTTTTGCTGCCCGGGGCTGTCAACCTAGCTAAACGCTATGACAGGTGTACCCAGTGAGTAGACTAGAAATAACAACCTATATGGCCCACCAATACATGCTACCCCTAGGTTTAGCGTCTTTCTATTCAACTTTACCAGACTGCCGGACCACCCCGTACTGGACACCCCGACTGACAGACTGCCGGTAGAAAGGCTGTCCTGAAGACATGGGTCAGCTGAGCAGCCAGCTGACCCATACTCCAAGGCAAACTAAATGCCTCTGATATACCTTGGGAGTTGGGTCAGGTGACCTGCCAGGTGACCCATTATACATGGGGAGTACATTCTGTCAGCTGGTCAGGTCAAGCCATCAACATGGGCTTTTTGCACCGTCAGGTATACCATATAAGATGGCTATACCCTACTGAAACATGTGCAATTGGAACCTGCCGTTGCCACACATCCGATAATCAAACCTTTGCGATATGAGCATTACGGCGACGAGTAAAAGGAAGTTACTTGATAATGTCGATGGGCTGGTCCTGATACACCCTTGTGGGTCGTACCAGTGTGCTGGTTATACCCTTCCGGCGGCGGGCTATCGAACGAACCTCCTCTCGAGCAAAAGATGATGGCAATTGTCATCGCCCTGGCTATACATAGCCTAAGCCAGTAGTCCTATAACTTCCCAATGACTGGAAACACAACATCATGTCCAGTTCTACAAGTCCCACATACTGCACATCCAACCGTACCTCCGCCAAAATTCTTCGCCCCTCCACCAGCCCTTCCTCGGGACCCCACGGATTCGGGATGTACATGGCAACCCTTTCAGGACCAACCAACGCCCTGGACGCAAGTTTCCTCGCCCACTCGACAAAGGGTTCATCTGACAACAACGCGCACACAATGGTGCGCAGGCTTGCCGGGAGTGTGAAAGGCTCGGAAAGAGCGCGCGGGTAAACCTCTTGCATGTGGAGTCGGTCGATTGGGTAGGTGGGAAGGACGAAGTCGGAGAGCGGCCAGTTGACCCTTTCCAACGAGAGCGTCAACCCTTGCGGGCTCGATCTCATAAGGAAGGCTTCGAGGTGGGCGGGGTCTTCGGGTTCGGAGGTAAAGGAGGCCAGATGGAGGAGTTGGAGAGAAGGAAGTGTCAGGGCGTCGAGGAGGGTTTCTGCCGACTTTAGTCGATCGAGAACCAATCGTTTGAGGGAACGATGGGTGATCGGCGTGATTTGGTTATCGCCAAACGTGGAAAGTTTGCTGCAGGAGGACAAAATGAGCTCCTCGAGAGCCTGAAGTTCTGAGATATACGTGGCGAATCCTTCGAAGGAACCGGAAATTGCAGTCAACTCCAGCGAAGTAAGCGTGGGATGATTGAAGGGAATCGTGTCGCTGTCAAATCGAAGCACCTGACTCTTCATGGAGAGGGTTTCAAGCGATGGGAACGTGGTGGTCATCCGGCGGAGTTGCTGTTCGTTGACAAGGGGCAGGTTCAGCGATAGGTTCTTCACGGTATTCCAGACGTCCTTGTCGTTCAATACTGTGTCGATGTTCTCCGAGATACCGAACAAAATAGCACCAGGGAAGGCGAGCGTTTTCCAATTAAAGTCGGACTGCGAAAGGAATGCAACAACATCGGCGAGCTTCAAGACGTTGCGGTAGTGCTTCCTCGTTATGATCAGCTCCAACCCTTGCTCACTCCCCGCGTGTGAGAACCACCAGGTCACCTTCTCCCCAAAGTCTGCCACTCCATCCGCCGAGGTTTCGCACCTGTCCCAAAAATTGATGTTGATCTTGAGGGATCGCCAAAAGTCCGAGTTGGAGTCGCCTGTTTCCTTCCAATGGCGGCAAACGGAGCGAAGCTGGAACAGATTGGTGCGCCTCTCATTGGGCCACGCTGTCCTGTAGTGATGGAGAACAACGCGCATGATAATCGCGAGCAGTTCTGGTGGAAGAAGGTGGATAGGTGCCAGTGTCGATTTTCGCTGCAGCCTGTGATTCACGGCAGGTTTTTGAACGCCTTGGTCCTGGGAGGGACGGCCGTGGTCCAGCGGTATGGCAGAGGCCATGCTGTCGCTGGATATCGACAAGGAGAGATGGGGGAACGGGAGAAGGTTGTGTGTGCGCGTGTTGACCATGTTCCAGAAGGTGGCGGAGTTTGAAGGTTATTCGAAGTCGTGGAGGATGCTTGTGCAATCCGAGAAGCCCGTAGGTTCTAGAAGAGCAATAGAGGCGGAGTCTAGCTTCAAACTTCAAGGGCCGGCGTTGGACGGTTTGCTCCAAACTTTACGCTGGTAGTCGAGAAGGATAGGGATGAAATCGGTGAGGGCAAAGTCGGGCCAGAAGGTATCCGTGAAATGAATCTGGGTGTCTTCACAGCACTGTAACAGAATCAGACTACGTGGGATGAATGATATCGCAGGTTGGCGTACCTGCCACAACAGAAAATCGCTCAACCGCTTCACCCCGCTCGTTCGAATGAGGATGTCCAAAGGAGGACTATTTCCGAGTGTAGTCATCAGGTTGGATTCTATGTCTTCTTCAGTGACGACGCTGACGCAAATTAATTAGCAACGCCTTCACTACCTTGAACTGGTGCTCACCAATCCCCTTCCATCGCATTCTGCACGGACGACTGCACGGCGGTGGTAATTTCGTCTCGAGAACCGTAGGGCATGCAGACATTCAGAATAGCACTGGGTGACTGTTGTCAGAGATAGAACCTGAGCCAAGAATCAACATATACCGTTTGTTATTGCGCGTCATGTCCTCAGCTTTGGCGATAGCTGCCCTCACGGGCTCCGGCAAGAGCTCCTTCCTACCAAGCACATTCAACCGTACACCATACTTGTCTAGCAGGTCCCTTTCGGTATTCTCAGCTAAGGAACCGCAACCAACAGATTCAATTACTCACCCATGTTCACACAATTCCACAAGCTTAGTCTCAGCCAAATGCATCAAAGCATCGACTTCTTCTGGAGACCGTTTAAAATTGTCGATAGCAAAGGCATAAACGGTGACACAGCTGACACCCAGGTATAAGCACACTTCCAAGACCTGAATTAAACCATTAGAAACCGCGAAAAACAACTGAACGACTTCGTCTGCCACGTACCCGCTTCAGCGCGACGAATCCCTCCGAATGTCCCTGTGGTATTTCTTTTTGGTGTTTCCTGGCGTATCGACGGTTGCCGTCCATAACGAAGGCTACATGTTTGGGAACAGGACCAGCCGCCAGGATCTTAATGATAATGTCCTGTCCGTATTTCGCGATTGCTTGTTGAATCCAGATGAACATGGTGGTCGCGGTCAGAGAGAACTTGGAAATTGCCGCCGACCAGGCTTGAACTTCGTGCCTACCGAAAAGGAGACACGGTCATTGATGGATTGATGGCGACCCCTGAGCAGCGTGGAAGGGCCAAACTTGATGTCTGATTCCCTTCGAAAAGCCGTGAAACTGCGCAGAAATTGCATCGCGACTCTCGCCTATTACCTACGGAGAACGTGCAGATTGCAATTCCCTTATAAGTCAGATAGACGCTCGAGTAGCTATGCCCTGATACCATCTGTCCAATTCAAGTCGTCCATCAGACTACCAGCGCTTAGAAGTCCTAGTTGAGTATCATCATGACATTTCACTCCTTCATCGACAGTTTCTTGATGATGGTAGTAAGATATGCAGTAACATCCCTTTGATGTGGCTTTCCAGTGCCATCGATCACCGAGAATGCATTGTTTGAAGGTGTCAGGGGGCCAGAGTAGGCCAGAGTGGACACGATTCTCCGAAATTATCAAGGGCAGTGCCAGCGATTGGCACTGGCTTCTTGTCATATGTGGAGAAAGATGTACGATATGGGCGGCCTGGGGTTATTATTGTGGTTCACTGTATGGTTGCTATGCTCCTTCCCTTCCTTCCTTACTTTCCTGGACCTCTGGAGGCCAGCGATGCCCTCGATTTTTGGTGTGTTCACCCCGCTTGACGCGACGCAAGTGACCACACTCTTCGTAGAGGGGCTACTGTATGGGTGAGTGTACCCTCTTTGACTCCCTGCTCCGTAACCGTGTTAACGCAAACTCGTTTAACTCATCTGCAGTTCGTCACTTCAATCTGTTAACCTTCCCAGTTAAACCGCCTCATCGGCGTTCTGCAGGGATCTACCTAATCACGTTCGTTCATTGTTTAAAGACCCTCCTCTGGTCAAGGAGCGCCAAAGAAGGTCGAGGATGGTTCCGGCCCAAACAGGAACTACGGCCTAAACTCAAAATGCCCGGGGCCGCTGGATTCATGTTCGTCTTCGCAACGATGGAAGTGGTGTTAACAGTTCGGTTTGGCCTCCAGACGGTTGAATCAACAGCAGGAGACTTGGCGCCAGAGCAGCTGGCTAAGATCAAAGCTACTCAAGAGATAACGAATGTATTGAGGCCGTCGTGTTATTTGGGACAGACTATCGTTGGAGACGCCATTCTGGTTAGTCGGTTCAGATCTCGTTTTCGTGAGTCACGAGGGGTAGTCTGATGTGGAACCAGCTCTACAGACTATGGGTTGTATACAACAGCAATTGGAGAATAGCAATCTTCCCGACAACTATGTGGCTAGCATTTATAGGTACGTGCAGACTTCGTGGCATGCTTCAAAAAACTTAACAAACTGTCAGTCTGTGGTATCATGACCATATGCGGCCAAGCAATCGCTCGAAACTGCCCAACCGCGTGGATCGTCGGACAACTCTTTAATATTGGCGTGACACTACTGAGCTTGACATTGATCATGAACGTCCTCACCACCGGTACGTTCACTTTGGCAAGGGCCCCTTCCTTCTCACCATAGTCTTATAAATCCGAACGAATGCAGGCCTTATTGCCTACAGGATATGGACAGTCTATCAGAAAACATCGAGAAACGCATCCCTCAGTCTATTCAAAGTCGATCATCCGACGCCCTTGGGCAGGATACTGATAGTTTTCATCCAATCCGGTCTCTTGTACACCACATCAGTCGTCGTGTTCTTCGTCCTGTTCGTGGCAAATCATCCGGCTCAGGTCGTCATGCTAAACGCAGTGAGTCTCGCTATAGCGCTCCGAACAGGATATTACTGACTAACCGGCGAACTTGGTCCTTTCTTTTGAATGAAGATCGTCCAAATAATTGTAAGTGTATCTAGTAGCGCGTCCCCTCTACGTCTGAATTTTCACACTCTCTCCAACTCACCAGGGTATCACCTTCAACATTCTCATCATGAACACCGACTCGTCAGTTTCAGACGGATGTTCGTCAACCACTGGAACTCGTTGGTCCAGACACCAAATCCAATTCCGTCATCCAACCACCGAGGCAAGCATTATCAGTCTGAGTCTACGGGAGGACGCCTATCGAAATTCAGACTTGATGGAACGAGGAGAGAAGGGTTCTGTTACGACAATGCACATGGACTCGTCTATGTCTTTTAACAACGAAAATCTGGCAATCCGATGGGATTCGCCGACCCTGTGACGGGATGTGAATAGGAAGCACTACGAAACTTTAATATTGTAATATGCAGTGCGTTATAGCCACTGTCGATGTAGCCGTGTTGCCTCCTGATAGTGAATCACTGCTTGGTCTCGCCTGTTTGACAATAATGCGGCGTTAGCAAGTCCAACTGTTTGAATGTAGTCACAAGTATACTCAGAACAAGACATGCCTCGCTTCGCTCCGGCTCCAGGTCGCAAGCATGAAGTTTGTACGCATGTGAGGATTGGCTCGGGAGTACGACAATGTACAGATCTTCACAACAGTATCAGGTGTGGTTAAATCGGGAATACGATTGCAAGAGGCTCGCTCCAACGGACTTCTTTGTGAGGTTTTAAATCAGGGATCAGGGAGATTTGAAAATGTGGATCTGAAGATGGATGGCGTGAGTCGACGAGTTGAGACAGACGTATGTAGTATGAAAGGCCGAATGGTGCAAGCATCAAGGTGTACATGAGAAAGGTAATTAAAGTATGAGACAGGAATAGCAAAAGGAACTGGGTTTTCATTGTCCAGAATAAGTCCTTTGGTAGGAGGAAGTAGGCGGGTATCTGCAGATGCTCCTTCGAGGAGCCAGGCCTACTGTATTTATAGGAAAGCAGCCTATTGTTTGAAATACGGTATCCTGGTGATGTTCGATAGGACCGTCGATTAAAGGCAGTCCATCGTTACGCCTTGATAAGACCAACTTGTCATGAACAGGCGAAATCATGACATAGAATGGTGCTTATATACCACGGTCTGCCTGTCCACCTAAGCTGGACATGGGCGCCTTTTTGGCGCAGTGGTTAGTGTGACCGTCTAATCACGACACAACTCGTCGAAGGAAGACCAGCAAAATCATGGTGACAAAATGGAGTGTATTGTTCATGATAACAATAAGAAAAATCTGTATATATAAGAGACAGGAATGGCAAGGGAACCTTGCCAGGTGGTACCCTCGCCATGAGATAGACGACCAAACACGTACAAACGAAATTGGAGGGTAAGTTTAATAAGTAAAGGGATTACTGTTCTCAAATACTATTGCGCCGCACAAGCTTCCCGCCGCTACTCCAACATCTTGACTTTCCCAGCGCCCTCTGGAAGCGCTCGGAAAGTATGAGAACATCGTAGTGAGTTCCGTATCACTCTAGACAGAAACCATAATAATATAATAGATCGCCCTTCGACGAAAGGACGATCACCTCTTTCTAACTTCAAACTTGACTTGCCCTTGAGTAAGAACACCGTACGGCGCTACGGATTTGAGTTTGAGAATAGAAACCGATTACCTCAGCATCTACTTCGCTTCGTGATACTACGCTCAGTGAGACTCTCGAGTCTCGATTACAACTACAACCATTCATCATTGTATCACAACTGTAAACTAGTAAGGTTCTATTGAATTAGGTTGAGTTGTCTTACTGTCTTCACCCGAAGACACCAACGTTTCGACACCTCTCAACAGGGACGACGAGGACGGAGAGCTTGGATTTGCTTGCGCTCAGTCAAGGGAGTAGGTGATGCCGTAGAACTCGGCTGAGGGGTACTGGACCAGGATCTGCTTGAAAACCCACCAGAGCGGCGTAGCATAGGTGACGTGGTTATGCATGCCGCGAGGCATGCCCGAGTGCAAGATTGCGAGTCCCTGGCCGTCGCCCGTGAAGATAAGGGAGCCTGAGTCGCCGTGGTTGGAGAAGTCGCCGGATTTCTTGTTGTAGTTGTAGATGGCGACCTCCCTGGACTCTTGTCCGAGTTCGCTGCAGGTGTAGGCGTCCATGCCCGAGTAACGACCGAGGGTAAGCTTCGTTGTGTTGCCATACTTGCCCACGATATAGAGGGGCTCGCCGTTCTTGTCCTCCGTGTCAGGATTGAGAACGAGGCGGCGGGGAAGAATGCTGTTGATGGGAAGCTGCAGGTTCGATGGGATGGTCCTGCCTTTGCGAACAGAATCCAAGGGCCAAAAGCGGTCTTCAAGCTGAGTGGCGTCAAACTCATTTCCTGAAGAGTGGCGCGTTAGTAAACGAGATTGGAATAAAGTGCAAGGAGGGGGAAATGGAACAGAACGCACCGAGATCGACTATGTTGCTCTTGAAGTTCACGAGTTTCTCCTTATCTACCGATATTGTTGCAATATCGCGAGTATAATGACGGTCGTCGACTGTGACAGATATTGCCGGGGCCCAGTCGACAAGGCCAAGCTTGCGGTTCTCTACATCCTTCCAGCCGGCTTGGATTGTGTCGACGAGCGTCTGCCGAATAGTGATGTCCTCGTTCTTCTGCTTCAATGCGGTCGCCTTGCGGTCTATGGCCATGGTGTCCTGATCGTCCAAGCTCTTCAACTCCTTGCTGAGCTTCTCGGCGTCGCGCATGTCTTTTATGATAGCGTCTTCGATATCTCCGACGGTACGATTAAGAAGGCGGTCGCCACACACGACGATATGCTGAGGGTCAGTCTCATTAAACTCGTAATCGGTGGTGGTGTCGAGAGAAACGACGTGCTTGTTGGTGAGCGCCAAGATCCTGTCGCTAGGTTGGCCGCTCTTGTCCTTCATCTCTTTGAACAGGAGTGTGAGGGTGCCCTGAGCGTCGTCGGAAAGCCTGGCGACGGGGATGCCAAGACCAGTATTGAAGGGGTGGTTGAGACCGACGCTGGGGTGGGTGGGGTCTTCAACCCTCATCAGAAGCGGGCCGACGAGCAGTTGTGACAAGCGGGTCGACTGTGGCTGTGAGGCGTCAGGCGAGAGGGCTTGGCACACGCGAGAGAGAGAGAGAGAAGAGTCGGAGATCACACAGAGCGATAGAAGGCTCGACACTATGTGGAATTGACTAGAGTATCGTAAATGACAAGTTCAGCTTTAAGTACTACTACTGAGAGGTCAAAGGCCTCGATATATAACAACGGTAAATACGAGTGTCCATGAAAGTGGGGAGTCGGGACAAAGGTAAAGCTAATAGGGGGGAAGACAAAGAAGGTAAAAAGAAAGGAAAGACAGGGGCGTTACCATAAAGGGAACGCATTCGTCACAGCAGTTTGACCGATCCCTCATACCACTCGACAACAACATCGTGGATATTGGCGTCTGCGAGGATGCTGAGAATGTCTGGGGTGGCGTCGCGAACAGCCTCGGCCTTGGTGGTACCGGGCCACACGGCGATCCACACAACAACGGGACCAAACGTTTCGTCCTCCTCGTCCTCGCCCTCCTCGTGGGTTGAAAAGCGAGCCGGCTTGAGCGCGGAGTATTTGATGCCATGGTTCTTCATGGACGTGACGATTTTGGGAGCAACAACGTCATCCCAGACTTCGTTCAGCGGTGTACCGTACACGCCGTGGGCCGTCTTGGTCAAGATCTTAAAGAAACGATCTCCAGGGGTGGGGTGGCGGAAGGGGTTGTTCTCGAGGTCCGAACGCCAAAGAAGGTTAGGAGGGTCGCCAGAGATGCCGTGGTACCAGAAATTAGACTCAAACTTGGAGACCAGGTCGGGGGCGACGATGGTCAAGGCACTTGGGTCGTTGCTCAGCTGCGAGAAGAGAGTATCCGCGTCGCTAACGGTAGGAGAGACGGGGGCATCTTGTGGGGCAGCCGGGGCGGCGTACTTGCGGTTCATGGAATCTAGACTCGAGCAGGTAATGGCTGAAAACACGAAAAGACGTGAGTATGAAACGCGCATAGAACAAGACGACAGAGCGACTTACAGCCCAGGCCTCCGGGATCGGCCCTCGCTGCATCGACAAAGGTTCGGACGCCCCGGACGACATCTACATGGTGGACGGATAATATTAAGTAAAAGATACACGTATGTAATGACGAAACGACTCACTGGGGCCTAGAAACGCGAGGGACTTGACCTCCTCCTCGGTCAGCTCGATGATCTCTGTGGGAAACGTTTAGCACTTGTGACGAAGAAGGACGACAAGCACCACTCACTCTTATCCTTGTATTTCGGGTCCATGGTAGCCAGTAAAACAGATGACGATGTGATAGTAAGAAAGCGCAGGCGAGTAACTTGTCGATGGGGACTAGTTGGGGAATTCCGAGACAGTATAGTCTCGGGTTCCGAGACAGTATACTCGCGGCCACCAAAAGTGTCCGCCAATTATGTAATCTATCAAACGCGCTCAGTTCGCGTTGTCATAGTTGTCATTAAATTTCGAACCACCACACTACACTCTACCTCTCTACATGACCACCAGTAAAACCAAACGTACTCTACGTATCACTCAACGGCTGCCCCCAAGCAACGAGGGAGTACTATGGCTCACCAGTACATCGAATCCACCACTGAATTGAATCTCGTCTTCCACTGGCCCAATCGACCTGAAAATTGGAACGACGATTCCAGATGACTACTAAATGAAGATGGTGCACTTTTTTTTGAAGAAAACGGATGGGATTTGGAGGTAGGATGGTTTGAAGGAAGGCGGGGGCATCAGTAATTTGTAGTGCCATCGGCGAAATTAGTGATCGAATTGATGAATGGTTACGATTTTGCAATCAAAATTCGATTCAGTGGTGGATTCGATGTACTGGTGAGCCATAGTAGAGGTATAGTAAAAAAATCACAAGATTCTAATGTTACAATTCTAACCAGTAACCAGCGTCTCTTTTTTTAAAAAAGGGGGGAAAAACAGTATAGTAGTAGATATAGTAAAAACCCTTGAGAACATATAATTGGACATAGACACGGATGAAGAAATCGAAAACATATAACTCCAGGTAGTAGTAATACTAGCGGATAGCAAGCAAATATAGCACCAGGGTAGCACGATGGCGGGTAGCGATAAGAAGATGAAAGAGTGATATCAAACACCCCAACTGGAGATAATAAATAGCATAAAACCGACCGAGCGCATAACCGAAACCAAAAAAAGACCAAGGTGAGAGCGATATCCAAGCAAAAGAAAAATAGACAAAAAATGACGACGACACACGTCTATCCAAGAGCAAAGCTCAACGTATTGGGGGTACTGCTAGTCGGCTGCGTAGGCGAAGTCGGATTATTCCCTCCTTCACCCGCGCCAGTTCCAGTCCCATTCCCCGCTCCACTCGAGTTGGGATTAACACCCCTCGGATTCGCCCCCTGTTGGTTCATCATGCCCACACCAACACCCATACCCATGCCCACTCCCATGCCCATCGCATCCCTCATCCCACCGCCACCACCACCCATCGCCAACCCGTTCCCCATCCCCATCGCAGCACCCATGCCCATCCCATGCGGGTATCCCATGCCCATGCCCATACCCATACCCATCACACCTCCACCACCGCCAGAACCACAAGCACTAGTGGCACCCTGCATCATCTGCCCACCAGACCCAAGTCCAAACATCGAATCTCCATTCCCCATCCCAATATCAAAATCAAGGTTCATCTGGTTGATCGGCGTCGGGGTCATCAGCGTCAATTTCGTATTCGTACTCGAGGGACTAACCGGTGCTTGGCCCTGCCCCTGCCCTTGTCCTTGACCCTGCATCTGCGGGCCTCCCCCAGCAACCGAGAGCTGTTGCTGGCCCTGGTCTCCACCACCAACGACACCATCACCACCGGAAGTGGTAGCCATCATAGTCGGACTGGACGGCGGAGACCCAAACCACGCATTATGATTCACCCCAGGCGGCGCCTGCAAACTCACAGTCAACCCAAGCTGCAAACTCCCCACCTGCACACTCCCCCCAAACCCCATCCCAAACATGTTCATATTCATCATCGGCGGAGGGGAGTTATTGCCGTTGCCAGCGTGGGTGGGTGACATTTGGGCGTTGCCCATTTGCGCACCACCGATCTGGGCCCCGCCCATTTGTGAGTTACCCATCTGAGCATGAGCAGCAGGACTGGCAGCAGTCCCACCGATCGCAAGCGGGTTTGAAAGCGCCGCAATACCAGCTAAACCACCCATGCCCATCCCAACACCACCCATGCCCATACCAGCACCCATGCCCATCCCGCCACCCATACCATTCCCCACGCCCATTCCCACACCCCCACCCATCGCAGGCAAAAAGTTCATCATCGTCGCAGCGGGAGTCGAAGGCGTCGAACCATGTTGCGAATGCTGAGGATGCTGATGTCCATGATGTCCATGAGGGTGATGACCGTGTTGTTGTTGAGGTTGATGATGATGATGATGCCCAACCATCCCCCCGCCCATCCCACCCATATTAAACATATTCGTCAAATTCATATTAACAAACATCCCAAACGCCGGTTGCTGCTGCTGCTGCTGCTGTCGTTGAACTTGCTGATGAATCAACGAAAGCGAATTCGAGCTGGGGGTATAAGGAGGGGGATGTCCCTGTTGCGCATTCGCATTCGCATCCCGGTACGCAGACCCCACCGACGCCGAACACGACGCCGACGACGAANCCGCACTCGAGCCACCACCAGCACCACCACCCATCGTCGACCCTCCCGCTCCTCCATTCCCAGCACCATTACCAGCACCTCCAGTCGGAACAGCCAAACTCGCCAAAACGCGTCCCAATCAGCTTCGTTCGGCTCAAACCCCGCTTCCTCCATCTTCGAATGAGTAGACGAACTCAGATTCGGCGAAGGAGCGGTCGTAGTAGGCGGGGTCGAATCCATCCCAGAAGACGCCGATCCAGCACCCCCATTCCCACCGGTACCAGGACCACCAAGGCCAGATCCAGCACCTCCACCACCTGTCCCACCACCGCCCATGCTCATATCCTCACCAGGCATAGACAGCCTAAGAACAGGCTTCCGATCCTCATCTCCTTCCTTCTTCAACGCACCACCGCTCGACGCATCTGGCGCCTGTCCCTGTCCTTCACCCATGCCTCCTCCTTCCCCGCGCTCACCACTCGCACCCCCAACACCAACACTCACACTCCTCCTCAACGGACTAGCCTTCGCCCACTGATCCTTCCTCTCCCGATCAACAGGCGTCCCCCTTCCCATACTCCCACCAACCATCATATCCATACTCCTCAACGCCCACACAGGCACAGTACTCAACCTCGGAGGCGGCAACTCCAAAATCGGCGACATCGGCATCTGCAACGTAACCTGCAGCGGCGTCGCTGCTGGAACCGTCGTGGTTGGCGTCGGAGGAGGAGGCGTAGTAGTCGTAGGAATAACGGGCTGCTGCGGGACGTTCTGTGCTTGAGGGGGCTGAACTTGAGTCGTCTGGGCGTCACCAAGCGGTTGACCACCAGCCGCCGCACCATACGCAGCAGCCCCAATCATCCCCGCCTCACCCAACCCCTGACCCGCTCCATCCTGCTGCACCTCACCACCCTGCCCAAGCTCCAACGCCCCAGCATAAATCCCCGGCGAAACCGCCCTCCTCGAAGGCGGCGGCGGGGGAGGAGGCGGAACATAAAACGCATTAAACACACCGCCAGGGTTCGGAAGCGGCTGCGCACCAGACGCAGCAGGCGAGCCAGGCGACAAACTCCTCTCCCGGTTTGTAGGACTGCCAGGACTCGTAGCCGTAGGCGAACTGAGTTCTAGGTTGAACGAAGGATCAGCAAGGGCTTCGTCCAGATCCCGGCGTCTCTCTTCCTCCTCGTCAAGGTCGACATCGATGTCGTCGGGACCACCACCGCCATTGGCAGTCGTAGCTCCCTTGCCGTCACCTCGAGGCGTGGTCGGACTCAGCGTCGAATCATCTTCGTACTCTTCGTCGTCTTCGAAATCTTCAGAATCGAGCGAGTCACCTTCCATGTCAATGTCCACGTCCACATCCATCTCCTCCGCTTCGGGATCGGGCTGGACCTCCGCAGCCAGCGATGATGAAGGGGCGGAAGGAGTTGTTGAAGACGATGAAGGGGTGGAAGGAGTCGCTGACGATGTGGAGGCCGCTGGAGACGAAGAAGCAGCAGCAGGAGCAGAAGACGCCCTCCTCCTTTGCACACCTCCCTTGCCCACCGACCCCTTCCCGGCCACACGACGCCGCCTCTTCCCAACACCCTTGGGCTTGGTCTTCCCCTCTCCCTCTCCCTCCTTCTCTCCCTCCTTCTCTTCCTCTCGCGCTTTCCATTTAGCCTTCGCCTTGCCCTTTCCTTTCAAATCCACAACACCCTCCCCCTCCTCTTTCTCCCCTTCCCCCTCCTCATCTTTCCCAACATCCAAATCCCCACCAACACCCCTCATCATCTCCTCATCAATAAACTCATAATCCTCCTCGTCATCATCATCTTCCCCATCCTCATACTCCTCCCCATCCCCATCCTCCCCCTCCTCCTCATCATCGTCATACACCCCCTCCCCACCTCCAGAATACCCACCCCCCTCATCATCACTACTATTAATCTCCCAATCATACACCGGCTCATCCATAAAATGGATCGGAGAAGTCGGACTACTGCTCGGCGTACTCGTCGCGCTCTCAGCTTGGGCTAGTGCAGGGTTGACTCTGACACCAACGCCAGGTGCAGCTCCAGTAGTTGTTGCCGACGAACTCGAGGTTAACGGCGATGACGAACCGGAGGCTAAGCCTGAGGGACCAGCAGCACTGGAATTCGACGGTCCGGCAGCAGCGGAGGTAGATGTAGAGGTAGAAGCAATAGGCTGTCCACCATACACAATCGGCGTCCTCGAAGCCGAAGGCGAACCCGGCCTCGATGACGACGACCCTGAAGTCGAAGACCCAAAATACCCCAAAGGAAACCCATGCTTCTCATAGTACTCATGCGCCTCTTGCGTAACGAGCGACCGAATGGTTTCAAGTGAGTACCGGCGTCGTCTGAAACGTTTTTACGTTGTCAGTAAGTATCACATCACATCCAATAGAATTTCTTAAAACAGAGACAAAGAGGGAAAGGAAAGAGAGAAAAAGAACTCACAAATCCCAAACCCGAATCTTACACGCCAACCTCCACAAATTCTTCTCCGAATCCAAACGGGGCGGTTCCTCCCAAACAGGGTGGTACACCTGCGGGGGCGGGGGAGCGTGCTGAGGCTGAGGCTGAACATGCTGAGGTTGCGGTTGCGCATGCTGTGGTTGGGGCTGTTGCATCGGGGGCTGAACACCAGCACCACCAACACTATGGTTACTCCCATCTGAATGGAGAGTTAGTACCATGCCCTTGTGCAGAATAGATAATGCTTACCTTGAATCTGACCTTGAACGCCATGCACGCCCGGTGTAGCATCCTGAGCCTGCATCCCAAGGCCCGAAGCCTCTCCTTGCTGGCCCTGCATCAACATCGACGACGCAACCTCCTGCTCCTGTTGCCTCTGCTGTTGCTGTTGCTGCTGCTGATGTTGCTGAGCCTGTTGCTGTTGTCCCCCACCAAATCCATAAACCTGCTGCGGATTCACATGCGAGATGGGCACAGGCGAGGCAGGCCTCTCCTCAATCTGAATCACAGGCGGTGGATAATTATCCACATTTTGCTGGACTTGAATCTGGATGAGGCCCGACGACCCCGAGGTGGTGGTAGTGGTGGCAGCAGGTTCGAGAGTGGTGGGTCCTGGAAGGGGCGAAGAAGAGGAAGAAGGGGAAGACGTCGGAGGGTGGGGTGGTGATGAAGATAGTGCTGAAGATGCAGGTCCAAAGGCAGTCGTAGCATCATGCACTGAAAGAACAACCTCTCCACCCGCATTCCCACTCGTCGTCGTCGAAGTAGGACCAGACCCTTCCCCGCTCGGGTCAACCTGTGTCAGTTGAGACCCATCCTGAGACCCACCCTCTACATCAACGCCAGCGCCCTCCACAGACAGCGCAGGCGCCAAAAGCACAGAAGACGACGGCAAGAATTGGGGCGTAGGGGGATTGGGAAGTGATTCAACCGTGCCCACACTCCCAACCGGAGGAAGGGCCGGCGAAACTTGAGATGAAGGCGGGCTCGCAGTCGCAGTAGTGCTCAAAAGCACAGACCCAGGCGTAACAGGTTTCATCGTAGGACTTGTCTTCGCCGAAGCCGCCGTCGTCGTTCCATTGCTTCCTCCACCGTTGCTGTGGTTGTTCCCCCCAGCAGGTCCCAAATTGAGTGCCGGAATCGAACTTAGCGAGGGCAATCTAGCATTCACATTAATCGTCCCAAAATCCACCCTCTCAAGCCCCATCTGCGCCGATCGAGTTGGACTCGAGGGGGCAGTCACAGTCCCTTGTCCCTGCTTAGTGTTCTCGCTTTGATTCGAGCTCTTCGGCGTGGAGGATGGTTGTGGTCTTGCACTGGTAGTAGAACCGCTTGGTTCGGAATCTGCGTTTCTGTTATTGGTGTTGGTATCCCTGTGGAGGGGTAGTGGAGGTGCAAGAGGGGAGAGAGGACTGGACCTCCCTCCCGGCCCGTGGCTATGCTGCCGCTCTCTCGACTGTGGGGGTGAGAGTTGCGCGAGGGATAGTGAAAGTGGGGGGATAGATCCGGAAGGGGGGAGTGTAGCGGGTGAGCGGAGAGGGGAAGGCTTCGAGGGGGATCCAGCGGGCGTCGGTGTCGGTGAAGAGGCCGCAGGCGCCGGTGTAGGCTGAACAGATGACGCCACGGGGGTAAGAGGGCTGGACATCGGTGAGGAGGTCGACGGCACAGGTGCTGGAGGCTCGGGAGGGCTCTCCAACACCCCGCCACTCAGCCGGCTCGACCTCCTCCGCGGGCCAGTACCAGCCGCCGCCCCCCTCCTCTTCCTCGCCGTCGAAGATCGCGGCTTCGGAGCTGCAGGAGTCTCCCCCTCCCGGTCCTCAGCTTCAGGAGACTCCGAGGCAGACAAAACCGTCTTTGGCGGGACGGTAGCCAATGGTGAGCGTTCGCGTAGACTTGGAGTCGGGCTTCCTGCTCTTGACCGTCCCCCATTGGCAGTGTCGTCTGTCGAGTTGAGATCCGAAACGTCCAAGGTTAGTTTTATGCGTTGAGAATGGCGGGTTATCCGCTTAGGCGCAACAGCGGCCGTTTGCCGATGGATGACCGCACTTGGGTTCTCTATGATAGGCGATGTGGTGGGTAGGGGTAGCGCTGGTAGTCGTGTCTGGGTAGGCGAAGTCACCGGACTGGGTGGTAGACTCGATAAAGAGGACATCATGGATAGAGTTGGCGATGGTGGTGGCATGTGAGTTGATGGCTGTGGAGTCGGATTTTGAGGCGGGGGAGGATTAGTCGTAGGTTGCACATTGGAAGAAGTCAGTGTGCTGCGAGTAAACCTTCTCGAGATCGATGTGTCCGTCGTCGGCGGCTGCGTCGCCCTTCCCCTCGTCCGCTTGCGAGGAGACACCGATTCTGGCGATTTGGACGATGTCGAACGGGTTTTGCGCTATGAGGAACACACATCAAGATAGATAAAATGCAGAGAAAACAAGTACGCACTGTCGTGTCTTCCACCTCTGCACTTTTCCGCTTCTTCTTGACCCGACGCCCGACGGTCACTGGCTGCGGCGGCTCGTCCTCGTCGACCTGCGGCTTTTTGAGCACGACATCGTCGTCCAGTGCACTCAGGGATTTGCGTTTGCGGTGGTTGGCTCGTGGGGCAGGTTCCGGGGGTGCAATCGCTTTGCCCTTGCCCTTGGGATCAGCAGCTTCCTCAATCCGTCTCCGCTTCTCTGCCCTCGTGTACGAGGCCCTCAGCGGGGAAGTGGTCGTAGCGGCGTACTTGTTGAATGTGTTCTGGTCAGTCGACGGGCGGGCTCGTTTGCGCAGGTTCTGCGAGGGTCCCGAGGCTGATGAAGATGGTGTGAAGCGGGCGCTTCTGCGCGGGGTTGTGGTGAGCGAGTCATCGGTCATGTTCTTGTTCCAAGCTCTGCGCCACGGTTGTCAATTTTGGTTTTCTAATAATGCAGGATAGGAAACTTACGGCGTATGTATTCTATTTCGCGTCGCGGGATTGTATGAAATCCGTAATAGATTTAGAAGGGAAGTGGTGTGATCGACGCCGAAATTCGTTTGGTTCCGTGCCCGCGTTGACGGTTGGTCGTTCTACCCGTCGTCGTCGTTGTAGTCGCCGGGAGAGCGGAGGAAGAAAGGAAGGGGCCGAAATCTAAAAAGCAGGGTTGTTGTGAGTAAACATCTGTCAGGACAGGTTCCTTGTCCACGACGCCCGGGAAAAGAAGCTGGCGCTAGAGCCACTAGCGAACCGAGGACCAACAAGTCCCTTCTATTGACGGAATCGTTGATATGGAGTATAGTATGTACGCACAATGTATTCACTCGTCCCAACCAATACAACCGTGCGCTATCGTCGACGGCACCAAATCGTTTTCCCAGCACCGGCCGTGTTCCTGGTCCTGTCTAGTCGAGGTCAAGCTGTGGTGCTGTATCAGCCTGTCCCTGTCCGTGCGTATGTCCTCGTGGCCCGGGTCTTGTCGTCGTCGTCGTCCGCAGTCGTCGAGAGGGCGTGCACCGCAAGGAGCTCTGCAACAGCCCACGCCGAGTTGCACGGCCTCAACGATCACCCACAAATAAACCACAACAACCCATTGTATTTTCGGCCCGCCCAGTACCGCCTACCCGGAGCCGCGACCCGGCTTGGTCTGTGCGTCTCTTTCTTCTCCTCCACCAACGACGACCTCGCTGGGCGGCGCGACGGCGACAATCATCAGCATGCACCGTCCAGACAAGGAACGCTGAACTCTCCCAGCTCAGTACTCCCGAGATACGCTCTGGGCACTTACGGCTCGTGGCGTCTACAAATCATTCTCCCCTCGCCAGCCAGATCTGTGTAATAGGCTTTATAGGGACACCTCCGACGGCGTCGAACATTTCTCGTGGCTACACTCAGCGATATCTAAACCTACCTGTAATCTAACTCTTCTGAATACACCAGCACTTCTTAAGTACCTGGCGACAGACATCCAATTCAACCCCGCACGCTAATCAACTTCAAAATGGGCTACATGATCGGAACTACATAAGTAGGACCCCTCCTTTTATAGGAACTTTTCCCAAACTGGGGACGGTAACGGTGACGGGTTGCATGGACGGTGCTTACCTCCGGTCTCCACCAAGAGGCGTCAGATTCCCCGATCCAGGCCATGGTTTCTCACGGAGGAGGTCCCCCCCCCTCCCCCCCAAAATGGGGATAACTACTCTGATTGCCACGGCGGCAGGCTTGACTGTCGAGTCTGAGTTGGGGGTGGAAGATTGTCCTAGGGCCCTTTTTCATCGAGTGGAGTGTTTCCTTCATCATGGTGACTCGTTCCAGGGCTCACCGAGCGCAGACGACGAGTACAGCCCTCCATGTAGCTGTCTGGAGAGCCTCCCTCGTACTCTGCCGACGTTCAGTTCGTGATCCATGCTGATACGAACAGCGGAATTGTGATTGCCATCATTCGAGAACCTATGGCGTGGATCGGTGAATCTGCCGCCTCTTGGTCTCCACGTCCTCGCTCATACCGGACGACTACATAAATGCTTACGACCCAAGCCAAGCACTTATTCACTCATATAGTATGTGAACTTCCTACGATGTTTTCGTGATCCCAAATGTCCAAATCCACGTTGAACACGACAGGGCTAGCAACGGACCTCAGGTCTACCAACACAGTCGACTTCGAACAACTGCTTCTCTCTCCCATTCCGGTAAGTACGTCCACAAAACGGAAGGTTCAAGCTCGGCAAAACCTGCAGCTAAATCCCCTTTTCCACATTGCCTTTGCGTCGCTTGCAGAACTAAATGTAGACGGGTCAAACGGCATCGAGCTGCATACCGACCCTCGTGTTTCCGCGTCCAAATTCTTTCGTTCTTTCTCCTTCAGTCCGATAAGCACTTCTGTTCTGCTTAAGCAGTTTACCTTGCTTCACCAAGTCTGGCGACCACGTAGCACGCTGAGGGTCGTCATGTGGCGACTCGAGCCACACCAGATCGAGTAATACTGAAGCCCATTCAACCCAGGCACTTCTGATCACACGAACAGGCGAGGTGGGATAAATTCCAACGCTCGCGCATCCTACACCCTTCTCCCCGTTTCACCTATATTGACCCATTCTCATAGGTCGCACCGTACACTAGAGGGGCGTCTCAACGGGAACCCCCATCCACCCTTCGACCGGCTCTCAAGGAGGTAAGGATAGGCGACGATGAATTCGCTATCTATCCACTCGTCCTCCCTCCGAACCTATTCCACCGGATTTCTTCGGCTAGGCCCACACTTCCTAAACGCATTATCGTCGCCACGGAAGTAGAGCCTGTCGTGCTTCTTCCACCGTGAATGTATGTAGAAACTACTAATCCTTCTTCAAATCAATCGATAACATTGCATTGTAATGCATTTTTATAGAATCATGGGGAAGAAAATCTACCTTGATTTCCCATTACCGACGACGTCCACGCTGGTAAGTAGCCAAGTTGGTGAATGATGCTCCACTCGAAACATATGATCCACTCCATTTATACTTTTCATTCGCTATTTTTGCTCGTTTGCTCCGGGTTATAGCTCTTTCCTTTACTCCGGTTATATACTTCCATTCATTCATTCATTTGTTCATCCACTCGTTCATTCACTCATTGATCTCGCTGATTACACTTGAATTCCACGTTACACGCTGATATCTTTTTTCCCCGCATTCCCCGCATACACCATTTCAGGCATACATTCACACTCGACACTCTTTCTCCTTCCGTCCCGAAGCACATCTCAGTTCGGACCTAACGACCAAATGCCGTCGCAGCCGAACCTAAACCCAATCCGAAGCCCCACGACCAAGCTCAAGACCAAGACCAATACGCGACAGAATGGGATACTTACATTAAGTTACATGGGACAAAAATCGACAGTTCTGTAGGCCCTAGTGACCAACGACCACCTGATCCCTGGTGCCGGCACCTACCGTGCTATCCATCCCCCGAACCGCAATGAATCTGTCCCCGTCAGTCAATTCTGTATGCTGTCCGTCACCCGGGCCATGGTTCATGCTCGCGCTCGTTCATTGCGACACTTCCTTCCTAATGGTCCTCTCTCATACAACTCTTCTTTCCGACTTCCTTCAGTTCCTCCCTCCTCCCAAGAACTACCGGCACCTTCCAAAAACCACACAAGCACTCTGATGACCAACCCGTTCCGCCATCCGAACCTCCAATTCTCACCACTATTCTCCAAACCTCGGCGCTTCAACCCTATTGGACCAATCACCCAACGCAGCATGCTCTTCTCCTTCTCCGAACCCAACTCTATTGAAACCAAAGATTCACGCGGGTGTGCGTGAGTCACGGTGCAGTAGTGGATGGTGATTGCCGCGAAGGCACCTCCAAGGCTTCAGTCTTCAAGAGTCTTCTTTTCGACCTGTGGTAGGCTGTAGCAGGTGGTATGATAGGGTATGATGCAACAGGCAGCGACGGCAGTAGCGTCCCTGAGAGAGCCGACAAGGGTTCTAAGTTCTAGATGGGTTGTATGAATGGTTCAACCCATGCGGTTCCTTCTTCCCCTTTTCCCAACCCGCAAAAACGGATATGGAAATCGCGAAAATGGATGCGGGGCTGCTCAATGCTTGGTCAGGCCCGAGTCCACGATAAAGTTTTTCTCTCGCGTGCGTGATTTCTTTCATAGTATGTATCATACGGTGACGCGATGGTTCCTTCGTGGAATGCTTGACTGTGTACGTGTTCGGATTATCGGATTACTAGGAAGGTTAACAACCGGTTTTTAGGTTCTGTATGTATCTGGGTTTGGGTATAAATACGGTTGGGCTCTTGACGACCTGTTTCCATCGACCCCTCGGGAACGAACATCTCAGCCCCTCCCTTCCCTTGCCTTCCCTTGCATCGCCTTGCATTATTATCGCAACGCGACTTTCCTCTCGTAGTCGCCAACCCACATCCTCTTCATTAACCTTCTCGCTTCGTCTACTACTAACAATGAAATCCCTCACGTCCCTCCTCCTCCTCGCCCTCCTCCAGCCTTTGGTGAATCTGCTACCAGCAGTCCAGGCAGCGCCCTACTCCATCGCTGAGAACATCGTCGGTGAAGGGTTCTATAGCGCATTTGATTGGCAGGCTATTTCTGATCCTACTCATGGTCGAGTGTATGTCTCTTTTCTCTTCTCGTCCCCACTTCCCTTTTCCAGTACCCTCTTGACAAACGTCCCGGACTCACGTTCATCCCTGACCCTATAGCCGCTACGTCGACCAAGGCACCTCCCTCAACCTCAACCTCACCTACGCCTCCGGCAACCGCTTCATCCTCCGCACCGACTCGCGCAGCCTCCTCAGCCCCAGCGGGCCCGGCCGCAACTCGGTGCGCATCCAGAGCAAGCGGGCGTACACCCGGCATGTTGCTGTGTGAGTATTTTTCCATCCAGTTAACGTTCTTGTTTCAACGCGTCGTCGCTTCGCGCTTCGCGTTTCACGGTTCTCGTAACGTTTTTGGAGTTTCCTTAACTACTAGTCTCGGGGATTCCCCGTCTATTCTCTGCACCCCTTTTTTGGTACGCTCTCGAACTTCGATGTCCTTCGGATATCCCGGTGGAATAACCGTGCTCGTGTTTCTCTTTCTGTGCTCTGCACCGAGTCTAGACTCTCGACTCTTTCTCTCCGCTTCCTCCACCTTCTGCTGTCTTCTGTGGAGCCTTTTCACGCGCCGCGACGCGATATTCATTAGTAGAACATCATTCTTCGTCGCGTTCCCTCTACCTCATTCCACGCGCACCCGCTTTACTATTTACCCCACGTTTCTCCACGCGCGGTGGTATATACATATGTATATACTGCCACCGGGTCGAAGTCCTTCTACTTCTCCTGCTTCTCCGTTGCCTTTCTCCTCCTCCGTTGTCGACGCTCGTGCGTACCCCGGGTGTGTGTGGACTCCACTGGTTTCGACGGGACACCACGACATCCTCGCTACTTTCTCCGAGTTTTAAAAATAACCTTTTTTCGTTTTTCCGGTTGTGTTTATTCTTGGCTTCGTACCTTCGTTATCTTTGTGCTGTGTTTATCCGCTCCGTACCACCCGAGATTCAACGAATCTCCTTCTCCGGACGGCCAGAGATCATTTCACCGCTTTCCCCTTTTCGCTCCATCCCTTTCCGTGCCACTTGTGATCCGCCTGATCTAATCTCCGTTATCTTTCAGATTCGATGTCCATCATATGCCTCAAGGATGCGGGTACGTTCACACCACTATCCATCATCGAGTGTTCAACTAACCGACGGTACTCGATCACTAGGACATGGCCCGCAATTTGGGAAACCGCAGTATCCAACTGGCCATACGGGGTGAGTACACACAATGCTTCAAGGTCTTTTCCTGGAATTGAAATTCACAATCGCTAACCGCTTTGTCCGACGACAGGGTGAAGTGGACATTGTTGAAGGCGTGAACGACCAAGCGCCCAATGCGGCCACACTCCACACCGGTCCGGGATGCTCGATGCCAAGTTCGGGGAGGCCTATGACTGGGTACGTATACGCTCCTCCCTCCCTCACCGTATCCATATTTTATAAATTCGAACTGACCATCCACCCCTTCCCTCTTTTTCCTCGCTGCCCATTATACATACAGCACCGCCGGCCAACTGGACTGCAACGCCTTCATCAACAGCAACGCCGGCTGCGGCGTCAAGTTCCCCTCTTCCAACAGCTACGGACCAGAGTTCAACCGTAACGGCGGAGGATGGTACGCGATGGAACGTACCGACGCTTTTATCAAAGTCTGGTTCTGGCCTCGAAACAGCGGTTCCGTTCCTGAGGATGTGAGGCATGGGAGGGGCCAGATTAACACTGATTCTTGGGTGCGTACTACCGTTTTGCTATAATATTGGCCCTTCATTCGCTGACTTTTCAATGATGACCGCAGGGCACACCAACAGCCTACTTCCCCAACACCCAATGCGACATCACCCGGCACTTTTCAGCCAACAACATCATCATCAACATCACGCTCTGCGGCGACTGGGCAGGCAACGTCTTCAGCCAGTCTGGGTGCCCTGGTACCTGTGTCGGTGAGTTTCGAGAATTCCATGTGTTTCTGCGACCGTTTTGGCCCCCCGAGATGCACGCTAAACCATTGTCGATTTTTACAGATTATGTGAACAACAACCCTGGAGCATTCGAGAAAGCCTTCTTCGATATGGGGGCCGTCAGGATTTACGTCTAATTTAAAGCCTTTAAATTATCCTCCGGTATGATACTAGGACGCGAAGGAAGTTGTCTGTACGGAGTTCAACGGTCGGAGTGACGGAAAGTTCTCAACTCAAAAAATCCTGATGATGATACCCTGTATTTGTACGGAAACTCAACGGATGGTACATACCATACGCTCTCAATCTCTCTTCTCTGTTCTGTCTGTACCTAGTAGAATGTATTTGTAGTAGTAGTCCAAGTCTCCTCTCATTGAATGTATCATTGCGTTATCGAACCTTGAAGGTCAATGTTCCAACAGCTCCCCTTCAATCGCACTTGATATTGTCAACCCCACGAGGCGTTCAAAGATTACACAGGATCATTGACTGTTCAGAGGCTACCATCAATCCATCAATGATCGTGTCTCCTTTTCGGTAGGCACGAAGTTCAAGCCAGGCCGACGGCAATTTCCAAGTTCTCTCTGACCGCGACCACCATGTTCACCTGGATTCAACAAGCAATCGCGAAATACGGACAGGACATTATCATTAAGATCCTGGCGGCCGGTCCTGTTCCCAAGCATGTAGCCTTCGTTATGGACGGCAACCGCCGATACGCCAGGAAACACCAAAAAGAAATACCACAGGGGCATTCGGAGGGATTCGTCGCGCTGAAGCGGGTACGTGGCAGACGAAGTCGTTCAGTTGTTTTTCGCGGTTTCTAATGGTTTAATTCAGGTCTTGGAAGTGTGCTTATACCTGGGTGTCAGCTGTGTCACCGTTTACGCCTTCGCTATCGACAATTTTAAACGGTCTCCAGAGGAAGTCGATGCTTTGATGCATTTGGCTGAGACTAAGCTTGTGGAATTGTGTGAACATGGGTGAGTAATTGAATGTGTTGGTTGCGCTTTCTTCAACTGATAACACCTGAAAGCGACCTTTTGGACAAGTATGGTGTACGGTTGAACGTCCTCGGTAGGAAGGAGCTCTTGCCAGAGCCCGTGAGGGCAGCTATCGCCAAAGCTGAAGATATGACGCGCAATAACAAACGGTATGTGTTGATTGTTGGCTCAGGTTCTATCTCTGACAACAGTCATTCAGTGCTATTCTGAACGTCTGCATGCCCTACGGGTCTCGAGATGAAATTACCACCGCCGTGCAGCTGTCTGTGCAGAAAGCGATGGAAGGGGATTGGTGAGCACCAGTTCAAGGTAGTGAAGGCGTTGCTAATTAATTTGCGTCAGCGTGGTCACTGAAGACGACATAGAATCCAACCTGATGACTACACTCGGAAATAGTCCTCCTTTGGACATCCTCATTCGAACGAGCGGGGTGAAGCGGCTGAGCGATTTTCTGTTGTGGCAGGTACGCAAATCAGCCCATCGTCCATCCCACGGAGTCTGACCCGGTTTACAGTGCTGTGAAGACACCCAGATTCATTTCACGGATACCTTCTGGCCCGACTATGCTCTCACTGATTTCATCCCTATCCTTCTCGACTACCAGCGTAAAGTGTGGAATAAACCGTCCAACGCCGGCCCTTGAAGTTTGAAGCTAGACTCCGCCTCTATTTCTCTTCTGGATCCTACGGGCTTCTCGGATTGCACAAGCATCCTCCACGACTCCAATTAACCTTCAAACTCCGGCCCCCTTCTGGAACGCAGTCAACACGCGCACACACAGCCTTCTCCCGCTCCTCCATCTCCCCCTGTCGATGTCCAGCGATACCTCTACCAGATTGACGGACCACGGCCGTCCCTCCCAGGACCAAGGGGTTCAACTACCTGCCGTGGATCACAGGCTGCAGCGAAAATCGACACTGGCACCCATCCACCTTCTTCCACCAGAACTCCTCGCGATTATCATGCGCGTTGTTCTCCATCACAACAAGACAGCGTGGTCCAATGAGAGGCGCACCAATCTGTTCCAGCTTCGCTCCGTTTGCCGCCAATGGAAGGAAACAGGCGACTCCAACTCGGACTTTTGGCGATCCCTTAAGATCAACATCAATTTTTGGGACAGGTTCGAAACCTCGGCGGATGGAGTGGCAGACTTCGCGCAGAAGGTGACCTGGTGGTTCTCACACGCGGGGAGTGAGCAAGGGCTGGAGCTGATCATAACGAGGAAGCACTACCGCAACGTCTTGAAGCTCGCCGATGTCGTCGCATTCCTTTCACAGTCCGACTTTAATTGGAAAACGCTCACCTTCCCTGGTGCTATTTTGTTCGGTATCTCGGAGAACATCGACACAGTATTGAACGACAAGGACGTCTGGAAAACTGTGAAGAACCTATCGTTGAACCTTTCCGTTGTCAACGAACAGCAACTCCTCCGAATGAGCACCACGTTCCCGTCGCTTGAAAGTATCTCCATGACGCAAGACATATTTCGATTTGACCGTGACACGATTCCCTTCAGTCATCCCACCCTTACTTCGTTGGAGTTGACTGGTATTTACGGTTCCATCAAAGGATTCGCCATATTCATCGCAGGGCTTCAGGCCCTCGAGGAGCTCATTTTGTCCTCCTGCAACAGCCTTTCCTCGTATGGCGATAACCAGATCACGCCGACCACCCACCTCTCCCTCAAACGATTGGTCCTCATTCGACAAAGGTCCGCCGAAACCCTCCTGGCCGCCTTGACACTCCCTTCCCTCCAACTCCTCCGTTTGGCCTCCTTCATCTTCGAGCCCCGAGAAGATCTCCCCACTCACCTCGAAACATTCCTTATGAGATCGAGCCCACAAGGGTTGACGCTGTCGTTGGAAAGTGCCAATTGGCCGTTCTCCCGCCTCGTCCTTCCTACCTACCCAATCGACCGACTACACCTGCAAGAGGTCAACCCGGACGCTCTTTCAGAGCCTTTCACACTTCCGGACAGCCTGCGCATTATCGTGTGCGCCTCGCCCTCAACCGGACCCGTTGTCGAGTGGGCGAGGAAACTTGCGACCAGCTTGTCGGTTGGTCGTGAAGGGGTGGTGATGTACCTCCCGAAACCTCGAGATACTGAGGCAGGGTTGGGCGAGGACGCGCTGGAGGAGGGGCGAAGGACTTTGGCGGCGATACGGTTGGATTTGCAGTTTGTGACTCTTGTAGAAGTGGACTCGATGCTATGTTTTCAGCCTTTGCGAAGTCATATTACTACTGGCTATGTATAATAAGCACTGAAGAAGATTGGTTACCGCGCATTGGTCTATCTGTCGAGACGAATGATGCCATTGGAAGCTGAGAAGTAACGGACCAATTTGAATCTGTATTTCTGTTGAACAATATGTGGCCGTGTTAACGTTCCTTTCGTACACTGACAATTGGTTCTGACCATGGTTTTGATCCGCCATCAAGACGGCGGGCCGAGGGAAACACGGGCTTTCAATTTGACACGACACGACGATGTTCAACTTTCCACCACATCTACCATAATCTGGATTTCTAGGCCAGTTGTCCGTCTGTAATTCCCGATTCATAAAGGTCTTTCTAAAATCTAGACATTCCTCACAGAGAAATGGATCCTGTCTCAGCGGCAAGGGATGAGCTGGAGCGCAGGATCGCCACGTTAGAGGGTGAAGCCAAGGCTCTTGAAGACCAGGATATGAAGAAACGAACTCATGCAAGTCACATCAAGAGCCAATTAAACTGCCTTCTTCCTATCTTCCAACTCCCCAACGAAGTTCTGCAGCGTATTTTCCAAAATATTCGAGCCGCTTGCGAACCCGCGGACTATGGCCCAATCATCTCTGTCACCCTCGTCTGCCGCCATTGGAGGGACGTTGCCACGAACCAGCGAGAGTTGTGGTCACACATCACAGATGATCCACGGGATTTCGTCCCCATTCTCTTGGAGCGCTCAAAATCGTCCCGGTTGACAGTGGGTCTTCGGAATCCCCCTCCAAGAAGGCGTCCCGCTTATCTAGCAGAGAGGGCCATCTGGAAGGCCGTCCGTGAACGTATTGACAGGGTGGAATCACTTGACATTGCGAGACCCTGGGACTTTCTGGTCGACTACGTCCATCATTTATGGCCCAAAACTATCCCAATCCTTCAAGCCCTTTCTCTCACCAATCTTTCCGATACCACATCCGCGCCCGCAGAGTCAACAGAATTGCCATTCCAGGAACGTGAAAGCTTGAAGAAAATGCCACAGCTACGAAGCCTCAAACTCGTAAACTGCGGTATCGGCTGGAACTGCCTATTGCTACGCAATTTGACGGTGTTCCATATCGCAAATCGAGTCGCCAATGCTGATCGGGTGTGCCCAGCGGCGTTCCTCGATGCTCTAGAAGGAATGAAACAACTGGCTGATCTCAACATTGACATCACCCTACCCTCCTTGCTGCACCCCAAGACGAGAAACAGGATGGTCGCCTTGAACTGCCTTGAGTCCTTGAAGATCACCGGTCGCTTCAACGAATGTCATCAATTTTTGGAACGCATCCTAATCCCCGAAACAACCGTCGTGCGAGTCTGTTGCTACGAAGAGACAGACGTCGGCGTAACGGCGAACATCTCGCTTGTACCTCAACGACTGACAGGGTCACCCTCCGCTTCGACTTCGCGCTCATCGCCAACTACTGTCCGTTTCACGCGCCCGAAATTGCGGAGCCTTGAAATCTTTTCGGGTTGGGAGATGAACGAAGAGGGTGAACCAAAGGCGGAGTATTATGCATGGCCAGAGCGTATCGATTTCTCACTTCCACTCCCGAACAGGCATCTATGCTACGAGGTTCCCCAGCACTTTGGTATGACCGGGACCTATCCGCTCCTCCGCTCGCTTGACCTGGCCAATATCGTTTCCTTATCCCTCAAAGAGTGGCGGAGCGACTTTGCAGAGATAGGCAACGTGTTGGATGATTTTGAAGCAGTGGAAGACCTTTTCGTAACCGAGCCTACGATATTATTCACCATGAACGTGGTCCAGGAACACACCACCGAGGTCTTGGGAGAGAGGAACAATGGAGTTTTCGAAACGCTTCCGAAATTGAAGAACATCACCTTCGGAAAACTCGTCTTCAAGAATCCTTCGCTCTATTGCTGCCCCCAGGCCTACGACACACGCCAACATATCGGATTTCAACAGTTGTGGGATCTTGTCGATGGACGGGAAAAACTGGGCGCGAAGATCGAAACGATTCAGTTCTTGGATTGCTGGAATTTGTCGGTTGAGCAGGTGGAAAAGCTTAAGACGGCGGTTGGGAAGGTCATCTGGTCAGGGACGGAGCAGTGGTTGGAGCCTATGCTGTGCACGAAGTGTAAGGACTGTCGCCAGCGCCGCAGTGAGGGTACGATTCAGTAGTCGTATATACACTCTGTGCACGGTCACCTCTGATGTTGTACGAATAGCTGGATCCGAATCTGATGCACATATTTATAATTGGGGAATTTGGCGGACTTCAAGCTCAAGCTATTTCAAGCTTGAAGTTGGAATCTAGGCGCATGGGATTTTGATCCGCCATCACATAGTATGGCGGGGACATACGGGCCAAATACGGGCGGGAAATTACTTTTCAATCTTGTTGCAACCTTGTCGGTGACCAGTTCGTTTCAAGGTGAGCAAATAACCTCATAGGTAATGACGTTTAAGGAGGTACCTGATGTTAAATCACCATAGAAATGGATCTCACCTCGACCGCAATGGATCAGCTGGAGCGGAGGATTGCGACAGTGGAGAGCGAAGCCAAAGATCTCGAAGTAGCGGCAAATAAGAAACGAATCCAGGCGAGCATTCTCAGGACGCAAAGAAACGACCTCCTTCCTGCCTTCCGACTTCCCAATGAGGTTCTCCAGCGTATTTTCCACAATGTTCGGATTGCTTGCAAACCTGAAGACTATGTCCCTATCATCCGGGTCGCCCTCGTTTGTCGGCGTTGGAGGGATGTCGCAACGAATCAACCAGAGTTGTGGACACATATCGTTGATGACCCACGCGACCTTACTTCTATCCTCTTCGAACGATCTAAATCAGCCCCGGTGACGGTCTGCCTGGGCAACCCTCACGTTCCAACAACGCTCCGCGCTTGGAAAGCACAAGAGGCAACTTGGCAGACCGTCTGTGCACGTATCAGAAGCATCGAATCCCTCGATATCCGGAAACCCCTGGACACTTTGGACGACTACGTCAGGGAGCTACCGCGCTCGGCCCCGAAGCTCCGCTCCCTTTGTCTCACCAACCTGTCCGGAAGCACGTATGATACCAACCAGTTCTCGACCAATCTTCCCTATCTTTGGGGTATCCCTTCGAAACGCATGCCCCAGTTGCGCACCATCAAACTTACCAACTGCCATATCGGGTGGGACTCCCCTTTGCTACGCAATTTGACGACGTTCCATATCAAACACCGGGACAAACATATGCGCCGATTTTCTGCGGATGATCTCCTCGGTGCCCTCGACAATATGGCGCAGTTGGTGGACTTGGAGATCGACACTGTCATACCCAACCTGCTCCTGGCGAACCGGACGGTTCGCTTGAATCGCCTGCAGTCCTTGAAACTGACCGGTCGCTTCCGTGAATGCCACCAGTTTTTGCAATGCGTGCTAATCCCTGAAACGGCCGCCGCGCGTATCAGCTGTTACGAAGAGAGGGAAGACGACGATATGCCAGTGGCCCACCACATCTCGATCATACCTCGACGGATAACAGAGTCGACTACCACCGGACTGACACGCCCTAGATCGCGCAGCCTCGAAATCTTCTCCAGTCCGGAAGAGAGAGAAGAGGGTGAACCTGAGGCGGAGTTCTACGCATGGCCCGAACGCATCGATTTCTCCCTTCCACTCCCCAACAGAAATCTATGCTACGAGGTCCCTCAGTACTATGGTCAAAGCGGAACTGGGCCCCTCCTCGACGCAATGCTTCCATTCAACATCGTTTCTTTATCCTTTAGAGACTGGTGCAACGACTTCATAGACATCTACGAAGCGCTTCGCATGTTCCCAGTAGTCGACGACCTTTTCGTTCGCGAACCTGGGACATGGATTATAAACCCAATAGGGGACCATACCGCCGAAGTTGCGGATGGCTTCAACGACGGGATTCTCGAACTCCTTCCGAAATTGAAGAGCATCTCCTTCGAAAGGATAGCCTTTGAATCACCTTCGGCCTGTCCCCACGACAAACGCGAGCAGGTCCGATTCGACCACTTATTGGCGTTCGTCAAGGGGCGCGAGAAGCTAGGCGCGAAGATTGAAACCTTAAAATTCGTGGAATGTTGGAATTTGTCGGTCGAGCAGGTTCGGCAGCTGGAGACGGTGGTTGGGAAGCTCGTTTGGCCAGGGACGGAGAGGTGGATGGAGTGCGAGAGGCCGTCTTGTGAGAGTTGTAAGGGATGTGCGTAGAATACATATGTGGCCGATTACATACAAGTTGTCCGAAGTAGTACGTTGGGCACTTCCTTTGATACATCGATGTGGGGTTTGCGCTTACGCCGGGCTCTCATCTGAGATATGGCGTGGAATTTGAGATCGCTCTTTGGAACAAGTTCAATCTGACAGGGCTGCCGCCTGCAGAAAAGATTAGATCATTTCGCGCTGTGCGTGAATCAATTATCGGGGCCCCATCTCCCTCGGTGTCGAGTGTGACATCAGATTAATTCATGTCCTACACTACCATGTCAGCTGGGAGCTTTGGCGACCAAACCGTTAACCCCCACCCGATGACCTGGCTCCCTCTGCAGCCAACGACGAGCTTCCACCCCACGAGTCGCCTTTACATGTCCTGCAACATACATCCCAGAGGTCTACACGATTCAGAAGCCTGGGGAACTAAAGAGAGCCGTCTTGCGTCAGTGACGCATAGTTCAGCCTTTGGAGAGCTGTAACAATAAATAAATGAGCAGTATAGACACATAATAGCGTCTGCGAGGTTAGTTCATCGACTGGAACGATCGTCAATGGTATGGTCCTCAACGATAAGTACCAAAGCAGAGCTGTCAGGTATGGTCTCTCCTTCTGACCTATTGGACACTAATGGAAAACCTGTTCTCAGGTCTAGTGACAGTCTGAAGATTCTTTCTCGGAGTGTGGATACATGCGTAACTTCATCTGTTCCACTCTCACCCGCATCGAGCAGGAGGGTTATCCCACGGGTGAAGCTGGGAACGGCCCATTGATCCGTCCATCCGTCGGTATCAGCGCTTATTCTCCGCACGTCGAGTGGCAAATGTGCCCCGCATGAGAGTGTGGAAGGCTCTATTGAGCCCTGGCGTTCGATCATTGCTAACCTACTTACCAAGGGCTTTCCATCAACTCTACAGCAACTGAGATCCCAGCGACCTTTGAGTGTTTCGCGCATTGACACTGACTGCGGAAGGTCTCCACCATGGAGTGTCGTGAGCGAACGGCTATACATCCCCCGAGTGAAGCGGGTCGCCACTTCTTACATGCTCCATTGATTGCAACATAGTGGGGCCAGCTTTCGAATGACGCCTTCAACTGACGATTGGCAGGCTTTTAGATCGCGCCTTTCAGCATGTAGATCTTGGGGTCGAGATCAGATGCCGCCCTGCAAAGCGCTCTGCCTTGGACAAGGCAATAAAGTAAACGATGGAACGTTAATTCGCATTCCCAGCATACTGACGGCATTGGAACGTGTATGTAAGTATGTACCGCCAGTATATGTACTGGTCAACCGTACAATTACCACACGCTTATCTTTCTATCTTTGGACCCATCGGACCTTGAGAAGTCAGGTGAGCGGCCATATGCCAGGGTACCTGGCACCCTCCAAGGACTCACAGAAAGAACATTGCCAGCGTGCACTCTCCACATTCCCCACTCAACAGAGTCCTAAATCACCGGTTGGAGCAATGCGCAGCACTGAAATCATACCCGAGCGGCAATCTAATCATATCAAGTCGCACCGAGCCCGCACTTCTCATCCGTGTGCTATTTGTCGTACATCACACCGAAAAGGACTAGCCGCTGCGGTGGGGCTCGAAGTTCGAAGCCACGGATTCTTCCGAACTCTACATCAACAAGAATCTCAATCGTCGATTCCATTGGCGAGATAGTCAGCCAACTAAGTTGAACTAACCACGGTGCGCCACCTTACTGTAGAAGTCAACGCTTCTTCGTGAAAACTGGAAGCTGACATATGCACTTGACGGGAATGCTCTCTACTTGTGACACAGACTTTACTGCTTCTCCTGGAGCCCGCGCGCATCCTCGCCACGAGGACGCTGACATGGGATCGGTTTCTAGATGCCCACCGGTAATGTGCAACTTCCAATTCCTTCTCCCCGCTCGCGAGCTTCGGCGAGGACCCATGACCCGGAATCCACTCACCTTAAGGGAAACTCGAGAGTCGTCTGACCCAACCACCAAATAGATTTGACACCAATCGAGTTGACAATCAGACCGCCGACGTGTCTCGACCCGAGCCCTATTTGGTCGAGTAAGTACACCGGTCAGAAGTCATCTTCGAGCACCCTGCTTTACTCACCTCTGGGAAAAGGAAGCGCCGTTGGTACATGTCATCTCGTTATGCGCTCAACCCGGAAATGGTTTAGCTTCAAGAACCCAGCCAGTCACTTGCCATGGACAGGCCAAAAAGTCCGTTTTGATTTTGATAAACGGCGGAGAAGATATGCAAAAGGATTAGTCCAGCAAGGTTTTGACAATGTGAGAGAAAGGCATTCTACGAAAGGTCCTTCTGAGCAGCGGAAATACCAAATAAGAGGAGGAATTGACAAGTCAAAGAGATCAAGATTTCAAGAAGAAAGCAATATATACTATTATACACTAGGCAAGAGGCAGTAAAATACAAGCGGGATTTGAGCGAACGCCATCTACGAAACAAAGGATGCAAATGTACAGTACAAGCGTCTATGCCACCGCTTCAAGAACGGGTAACTCGAAAATGAGCAAGAGAAAATATCAAACGACAGAGGGTCCATGAAACCCGGCACAACATGTACACGCTAAAAATATAGTAAAGTCCAATGGCAATATAGTGTCCACCACCACCCCCCAAAGCACTCAAACGCGGACTCTGCAAATGGGTCCCGTAACACCATGCCCAACCCCAATAAACAGATCAACAAGCCCAAGGGAAAGGAAGCCAAAAAAGTGAGAATAAAAAGGCTACGAAGCAACGAAACTTCCGACCAGAACGATCGTCCACCCAATCAAAACCCAACGTCGCAACAACACACAAAAAAGCCACCTCCCTTAGCAACCAACAACCCTGACTTGTGACAGAACTCCACCGAAGGGGTTGCTTCAAATCCCACACCAGGGTCCACGGAATCCCGAATCTGAATCCCGAATCTAACAAACGGGGCCGTTAACTTTAATGTAGAGAAAGATCTTCTCTCCTTCATGTAAGATCAGAAGAGCGTCCACCCATGCCTTTCATTTTGCCATCTTCGATCTGCCGGCCGTTGGACCTTCGACCGGTCGAGAAGAGGGAGAGATCTCGATGCGAGTGTTTTCAAGACGCGTGATGACGAATTGAGGTGTGAACGCAGGATTGCTGGTCGACGAATGGATTTTGAACGTCAGACACGCAAGAGGGGCGGGAGAGGGGAATTAGACTCGGGCGTCTTATCCTTGCAACAGAGCCCGGAAAGGACTTGTCAAAGGCGATAGCTGGAAGCGAATAAGGAAGGGAAGTGGAAGAGGGTCTAGTGTGTTGGTATCTGATTGAGCGAGCGTCGGGCGAATGGTAACGCAGTAACGAAGGCCGAAGGGAATGAGCGGCTGTAGCGACATTTTCGAAGGACGCTGTTGAAAGTCATTAGCAAATTGGACACACGCGCGCTTCAACAAACCTACACACCTTTATTGAGTAGCCGCATCGGCCAATGCAACAGGAACAGGCCCACCTCCCATCCCACCCCTCGCCCTCCTCTCCAACAGACTCATCCCGCCGGAACCGGTCGAAGACCTTCCCCCGGGAAACGGCAACCCCGTCGACGCAGCCAAACCCATGGGAGGAGCCGACGAAGAACTAGGCGGAGAAATCTGCGCCGAATCACCCGCCAAAGATCCAGGAGGCGGGAACTTCGCGCTACTCGTACTCGCCGCCTTCTGCATCGCGTCCCCGTCATCCGACGCTGGCGGCAAAGCAAACGGCGCAGAGGGTATAGGCGCAACGAGAGGCGATCCTCCCCGACTCGGCGAGCTCATCGTGACATCCCCTGCCGCAGTGGTGGCGTCACCATCCTTTCCATCAAACCTCCCAACTTTGACGACCTCATTCTCCAGCACACTCGACGCAAGCCTCTTCACCGACGGCCTAGGCCTAACCACCCTCTCCCCCTCCGCCTCCGCACTGCCCATCCTCACATCCCCACCGCCACCATCCACCCTCTGCTGCTGCTGCTGGCCATCCACACCCACACTCGACTCCCTCGACGAAAGACTCGGGCTGCCAGACGAAGCAGTCGTACTTCCCCCATACGAGAGGTTGGACGGCCGATTCGAATGAGCACCTCCACCCTGCTGCTGATGCCGCTTCATCCTCTCCAGCGCCCTCGCCAAGCTGAGATTCACAGGCGCCTTGCGCGCTAGCACCGCAGCGCCATACGAAGCCAAGTCCTCCTGATGACCAGGCATGTTGCCCTGGTTGTTCTGTCCTGGGGGTCCATCACCACCGAGCGGCCCATGCAGCGTGGTCCGCAACGAGCTCATCGGGCCTAGAGCACCTAGCTTGCCTTGTTGGTGCAGCTGTTGCTGGAGATGCTGCAGGTGAGCGACGGCGCCGTCCCGGTGCAGCTTGGGCGTAGAGTTGCTAGACGGGAGAGACGCCACCCTAGGCCGGCGATACCCAGGCGTCCCAGGAGCAGGGTTCGAAGACGAGTTGTTGTGGTTGCCGGATGAATTATGATCACCGCTATTCGAGGACGAATGACCAGGATTTCCATCTCCCTCCGAGTTGCCTCCTCCTCCAACCTGATGCTGAGCTCCAGCATCGAACCCAGGCCCCGTCAACGGCGTCTTCATATACATCTTCCAGAACTCCTTCATCTGGTTGGCATCCACCTCCTTCCCAGGCGTAGGCGTCAACCCCGTCGGCCCAAACCCAGGGAACAACCCCAACCCTCCTCCACCCACACTCGGCAAACCCAACGACCCTCCGCCTCCTCCTCCTGCTCCCGGATTCGAACCGGAGTTCTGGTCACCCGACGAGCCGTCCGGATTCGACGACGCATTTGAATTCGAATTATCGCCACTGCCAAAGTTGAAGTCGGCGAGTAAACCCCCTGGCGTCCACCCAGTCCCAGTCCCAAACACCGAACCAGAGCCCGGATGAGCACCCCACCCAAACGTATCCGTATCATTCGCACCCGCTCCCTGCGCCCCCTGCTGCCACACAGAATTCAAATAACTGCTCGGAGGCAGCGCCGCCAAACTCGAGACTGGTCTTTGGATAGGAGAGAACCCAGGTCCAGCCCCTGTCTGCGACGCACGTTGCTGCTGGCTCGGCATGGCGAGTGGCGTAGCGTCCGGATCACTCGACTCGCTTCCCCCACTGGCGCCAGTAAGATGCGGGAACAAACCCAGATTCCGTCCGTCTGAACCGACGAGGGAAGCTAGAGCCTGTTGGTCGTCCAATGAGAGCGAATTGAAGGCGTTGGAGAAGGTCGTGTTGGTTGCTGAACCTGGTTGGCTCGTGTTCGAAGCGAGGGTTTGAGCTAAAGGTAGAGCCGTAGGGGTGGATCCGTTGAAGTAGTAGTGGTAGAAGGAGATGGAGAACGGTAGAAGTAAGAGTAGTGGCAGAACGCGATACAGTTAGTCTCAATTAGATTAGATTTAGAGCAGATATGACGTACCTGTAATCAAAGGACTAGGATTCACACTATCAAACCCATGCTGGGTACTAGGCCTGGTCGACGAAGTACTAGCCGTCGAACCAGCTCTAGCCCTCCTCTGCCCATACTGGAATGTATACGGGTCTCCACCAGTCGTTCCAGCCAAATCATTAAGCTACAAAGATAACGTCAGCACCACGGTTCATCACGCAAAGGAAAACCGTAACTCACAAGTCGCCTCCTACCCCTCCCACCAGCCACATACCCAGACCCAGCCCCAGCCCTCTGCTGCCCAGCACCACCAACACCCACACTATGTCCACTATGGCCCCCATCACTACTCCCACCATCACTAACACCTCCATCCCCTCCTCGCATCACCGGAGACGAGCTGCTTCTGAACCCGCTGCTCTGATTGGCGTTCGCCACGTTCGCGTTCATGTTAGCGTTGGCGTTCAGGTTAACGTTGGCATTGGGGCTCATGCCCATGTTCATGTTCACACTCGCGGCATTGGCATGGGCATTGGGATTGACGGCAGCAGGATTCACTACACCCGTAGCGTTCGTCGAGGAACCGGGAACGGTACCAAAGTCCTCTGCGAATAGGTCCCGAAAGGTTTGAGCGTGCGCGTTGATGTCGAGCGGTTCTAGATCTGTGGCAAAGGTAAAGAGGCAAAAAGGCAAAAAGGGAAAGAAGGAAAGAAGACAGAAGAAAGACGAGGAAGAATTAGAACGAATATGGTTAGTCGATAGATGAATGGATCAGAAGTGGATGAAAGATAATGAGAGAGATCCCATGTCGAGTTACGATGTCCGGGCGATAGCGAAAGATGACGAAAGAAAAAAGGCCCAAGTCGCAGAGATAACGACAAGTCCAAAGGTATGGAAATAATGAGAGGTCCAAAGGAGCGGGAATAACGAGAAGAACATCGCAAAATACCAAGAATACCCAAAGTTTGCGGACATAACAAGAAAGCGGACATAAACCAAAGAACAAAACATTTAACCATCACCGCCATAAATCCATCCACCCATCCGTCGGTCACAGAGACATCGCAAATTCAGCGGACCACAAAGGCAAACAAGCCAGAAAGCCACAAGAACAGAGCGACAAGGAGAATGGAATAAGATAAATCAAATCGCCAACGAAAGGTTTGAAAGGTGAAAGGCCAGAAATGACAGGAAGAATCGAAGTTTGGAAGTCAAAAGGCGGAGGAAGAAAGGGCAAGCGAGAAGAGAAAACGAACAGAAAAGGGTTAGCACGAAAGGAAGACCGGCAACCAAAAATAAAAACAAAGCGAGTTGATCAAAAATCAGGGCGATGAGGGCGTACAGGGCACACCGCGAATCCCAGGAGGGATATCGCATTTGGGTAAGTTGAGGGTATCATCGAATCGATATAATTCAGGGCATCAGTCACGAGAAGAAGAGCGAAAAGGAAAAGAAAAATGAAAATGCAAAAGAAAATAAAAATAAAAAAGAAGGGGCATAATAATCGCCACAGGCAACCCAACCAGACGGGCAGGCAAACCCGCGACATCGTTCGAGAAGCAGAGGAAGGAACGCGCGTGCAACCAGTATCCAATACGAGCGAGGAGGGACGGAGGGATATAAAATAAACAGAAAAGACGAAAGGGAGGAGGGGACGTGCCGCAACACACACATATACCCCACAGCAACGTTCGCGTCGTAAAAAAACGTATGCATCGAAAAAAGAGGGAAAAAAACAAGGTTTAGTACTATGTTACTTTTAATGGTAGTAAACAAAACTATTACCATGCGAAGATGCATACGACGTTCCGCCTCCTCCTCCCCCGCCGCCTCCACCGGTATCACCGCCTCCAGCCGCCGTCCCAACGCGACTGGACCACTGGCTCTGCATGTGCGATGGCTGTACTGCAGAGGATGGGTGTGACCCGAGGGATTGGTGTTGCGAGAGTGGGTGTTGCTGATGGTGCCCGTGGGCGTGTAGAGCTCTAGGCTCGTGGTGTCGATCGAGGTGTCCACCATACGTAGTTGAGGGCTGGTGGTGCCAGTTGGTCGTTGTCGAGCCGTGACCATGGCCGCTCGCAGAACTCGAGCCCGCGCTAGAAGCCGTACCTGGCCTGTTGCCGTATACATCTCCATCATCGATGGGTGGGATCCGCGCCGTGTACGCAGATCCATAGAGGGAAGAGGGATCAGCGGTGGTGGGGTGGGTAGATGTGGTGGTGTAGCCTGTTGGTGGTGGGAGGTGATAAAAGTCGTCCACTGGGCTAGCGCTGGAGTAGAGTGGTGGGAATCGTACACCGCTGCCTGTACCGACGTTCGATAGCGAGCCTGTACTGTGCGTGATGCTGACTGGAGGCAGCGAGGACACGCCCATTACTGAAGTGTGAGGTTGTTCATGGCGGGCTGGCGGTAGTGTAGGATTTGGATTATGGCCTGGCCCAACAGGCGCAGTTTGTCGATGGAACTTGACGTAGGTACAGCGATATTTCCGTTGGACACATTTAGCTAGTACAAAAGCAAAAGATCAGAATACTGGGACCAATTGAGTTGATAGACAGATACATACCACAAGGGTTGCTACCGTCACATGGCAGACTACTTTGGACACACTGGTCACAAGCTTGCTTGCTTGTCGTCGCCCTAGTCAATGACGCACTCCCTTTCCGTCTTCCAGTCGTGCCCCCCGTTATCGGTTTCTCATTCGCATGACACTTGTTGACATGACGCGACAGCAAATCACTAGACAAAAAAGCACCCCAGATCAGTGTCGGTCCATGCAAGAAGATTCATAGAGAATGGAGAGGAGCAAGAAGAGTATGCTGCGGTGAATTCACAGCGATGAATGTTGAACCAAAAGGGTAGCGGAAAGAGGACGGCGGGGCGCACCGAGAGATCGCGATTGTGCGAAACGGGTCCGATGCCGCCGCCGGGGTCGGGGACCGGAACCAATTGCGGCAGTCGCAACATTCGATGTGCCGCCGCATACGTCATAGATTGCGTCGACGAAGCGACCACATCGAAATCCATCGAAAATCCCAGCGCGCGCATTCCAGCACGTTCTGCTCTTTGACGCCGACAATGTCGGAGAGCCCAATGCACAACAATTGAAGAGTCCAGACGAGGTCCCGCCGTCCGCCTGGTCCAACAAAACGACGAAAAAGAACATTGCAGAACAGTGAAGAAGGGTGAAAGGGGTCCAAACACTATTCTCCCAGAGAAACGAACGGCTGGAACGTGGCTCACCTCCTTGCAAACTGGTCTCCGCAATACTGGCACTTGTAAGGTCGATCTCCAGTGTCTATTGGACAAAGAATAGAAGTCAGTTACACCAGCCCAAAAGACAAGATTAGAATCAAAGTCGAATCGCAAGGGTCGTCAGGCTAGACCGCTACCCCGCCCCACCCCCACGACACGGTGGAGACGCAAAGATGAGACCACGGCTCGAGCTCCAGCGTGCCAGGAATCGCCCCAACGACGCCACTGCATCGAAAATCGTGGCCTATCCGCTCCTGAAACAATCGCGTAACGCATGTGGATTTCCTAGCCCCTCCTCGAGCCTCCACACGCCCATTGGAGCGACTCAGAGACCCACACACATATAACAGGGCGTAGCGGAACAGAAGCCTTTCAAAAGAAAACCGCTACTCACGAGAACGCATATGCCTCGCTACATGCTGAGGCCTCGTAAATGTCGCTTGGCAAACGGGACACTTGTGATCTCCACCCATCCTGGTTCCTTTCCTAATGCCTGTTATCTTTGCTCGTCGTTGGTTGTAGTGGTCGTCGATGTCGAAGAATATTCACAGAGGCAAGTCGCAGAGCACGTCGATGAGAGGTCGAGTTTGAAAGGCGACTGCAAGGGTTGGAGTTGTGATCGAGAAATGCAAAAAAGCGGTCACTGCAATGAGTCTTGGTGGCGTAACCGTCGGCGTCAGAAATTTGTGGAGCCGGATGATGCTGACTTTGGTCAATGGGCCCTTTGTGTGGAGCTACGCAAAGGCCAAGAGCTATACGCGCGCGAGTCCCAACAAATAGGCTAGTCGCCGACTACAGTCAACGATTGAAAGCGTATCGAAGAAGTTCTTCTACGAATCCTCGACTACTGTCAAAGGGCTGTCGTTAGCACAAAGACCGCGTGGAGAGAGGATGAGCACGAGATCCGGCGGCGGGGGCAGTGGGGTGGGTATGTGGAAAGTGGAAAGCGAAACCCAACTCACGATGGTCAATTTAAAGGAAAGGGCAGAGAGAGGAACGACGGGGGTAAGTTGTAATCGTTAGAAGAAGAAAAAAAGAGGGGTCGTCAGTGGTTGGGGATGAGAAGATGCGATGCCAAACCAATGACGTTAGGCTAAAAGGGTAGGTTATATGTGGCCAAGAAAAGGAAAGAGATGACCGGGCTCAGATCTTCCTGTCACCCTTCTTTTCCCTTTCCAGATCCCCCTTCTCCTTCTTCCCCCTTACATAAGGCCGCGTAAATATTAAACGATACCCTTTTTCATCATCATCATCATCCCAAATCGAATCCCGGGGTGTGTGTAATCTCAGACACAGCTTTCCACAGTCCTTACCCTCAAAAGCTTCCAAATGATCGGGGGTCGACGAGACCGGGTACCGACTCTCATAGAGAAAAAGAAACAATGTACATTATGCGCAGTCTAGCTACTCACACTGACTTGCCTGCGAGCCTCGAGCCCCTGCTCAGTCATCATTCATTGCCTCGAGGATCGACCATGACTCACATACCTCAATATTCCATTCCGGAATCGCCATCAGAACGCACGCGGCAGACGGTTAGCTCGGAATCGCACCCGCCTCAATGTACCCTAGTACCCTCCTCGCTTCAAACTTCAGACCTCAACCCATCCCTTCCCCAAAACACTTCACTCATTTGAGTTCTTTCTCATCGACAACCGGCATCCGCACTCTAACCGAACTCTAAAAACATACGCATCGTATCCTTCCTTTGCATACATAACATCACGTTATCACCCAGTAGCGAAAGCCCGCCAAACCCACAACGTGGTTCATCCCATCCTGCCTGCTGGGATAGCGCTCTCCTACTCGGCACCCACGGCTGCACGAGCTGGCAACAAACCCAATCCAATCCCGGTTGCTAAGGTGGCCCAAAAAGCCTACGGGCGGCTCGCTTCTCTCAGATCTAAATCCAGAATCAGACACCCCCTCGTCTTAGTGCATCCCACGTCCCATACGCGCATATCCATACATAACACAGCGTGCAAGGCCACCAACCAGCTCAACTGATCATCCACTTCCTCTCGTCCTTCCAACGAGATCAAAGGAGCACTGCGCACGATATTGATAGATAACCCTCACCATCCATTGCGAAAAAAAAAACCAATACCATGGATGGCGAAACCCCCCGAACCCAGATCCAAGGTCCTACATACCTAATCACGATCCCCTGTCCACCTGTCAAAAACCTTGATGATCGATCTCTCTAAATTAAATGGGATTTTTGGGTAAAGAAATCAAAGAACTACTTCCAGAGTCGAACTTGGGAATCTCTTCCTCTTCTTTTCAATCTAGAGGGTGCCGTCACGACGTGTGTGCGCCTAGAAAGGCAGGAGAACGACGTCACATATATATAGGCGGTCGAAATCCAAATCCAAGGAGGTATGTATGTACATAATTGAAGGCTGGAGAGAGTAGGCATGAGCACGGTACTAGTACTAGGTAGCTAGCTAATCAACCCATTGAGGTGTATGTACATAGGACGAAAGATCTAGGAAGGCGTCTACCTTGAAGTTCAAGCTCTCACCTCGCGTCGCTTATCGTCGAATTCACAACATCTACGCACCGCGCACCGAGCTTCTTGTGTACCCTAACGACAGCCGAAAAGGCATTATAAGTAGCGCTCGTCCGCAGCACCTTGAGCGATGATCTCGGATTCCGGAATGTGGATGACGGTATTTCCAGCGAAAGAGAGGGAGAAAGAAACCTCAGACCACTGCTATTAGAATCTTGAAAGCTGGACTTGACGGACAGAAGAGAGAGGCGGGAGGCAGTGTTAGAACACACTTTAAATTGGCGGCGATACCGGCCAGATCTCACCTGAGTCCTCTCTAAAGTTAAATTTATCCCAGTCGCCCGTCTCGACTCTCTGTGTAGTTATTTTAAACGTGCTCGAATGCGAGTATTTCCGTCAGAATTCCAAACCTAAACCTCGAACCCGAACCGACCGAGCGCAAGGCATCGCGAAGGTATCAATATCATATCATATCACCTCCCCAACATAGGACCCTGCAATAACGCATAAAGTTCAATAACGCTGACCCCCGCTTTCCAACGACTGTTCATTGAACCCAAGCCACACGTCAATTCCATCCAAATTCAACCCGTGGCCCAATCCCAATCCCCGTCACCCCATCACAATCTTCATTCCTTCAAGTATGTGAGCAAGGTTCCAGAGCCCGAGATCGATCGAAGAAGACGATCCTGCAGTTCCAGAAACTCAATCAGACAGTCTGGCAGACAGTAAGTCACTAGTAGCGAGTGACAGGAGCAGGGAATTCGACCGAGAACAGGAGGAATCTATCCAGAAAAAACGTACGCACGGCAGCGAGAGAATCACGGGTAACGAGAGAAATCTAAAAACACAACCCTATGTTGTCGACATTGACCAATGGCTAGACATCGAAGTCCTCCAGGAAGCCAACGTCTCTACTCCGACTCCGACTCGCCTGACATAGACAAGGTGAGACATGGACGTGCGTGCGCAAATTCCGTGCGTCAAACATAGAACGACGAGGCTTCAAAGTAACCAATCACCGTTTAATTACCCATAACCCAAGTCGAGAAATATATGTATGTACCTTCAGTGAAAAAGTCGTCGTCTGTCAAAGTTTTACAACATCAGGTCTAGAAGACCTAGCACTGAATTACATAGAGGAGAACGCGACTGAGAACAAGAACGGGAAGATTACTTCACACGGCTGGACAGCCTGGACTAAAATTAGCGCCCGTGACATCGAACGCTCTGGACATCGGTCAGCAGGCCTTCTGAGATGCAAATAGGCGCTTTGAGGACGCCGACTCCGTTTTAGAACATCAGCGCACATAGAATGTTACTCTGACCTTCCTACCAGCCGTGACACCAAGCTGACTGTGGCAGACCGTTCGCGCGGGGGACCTGCGATACGGTCTGTCCGCGTCTGTTCGAGTTTCCGATCAGTTAATAAATACGCTATGAGAGACTAGGAACAACGTAGGATGCGGCCACAGTGCTACCTACACCAGAATCACAAGCGCTGAAGGAAGTCATTCCAGACTTGATCGATTTTGTAATAAACAGCATCATCGCCTACGACGATTGGCCACACAGAAAAGGATCTTTCACTTCTTCACATAAATCTATGCTGACTACCAGGCGGACTAGAAGACTCAATTACTTCGACCATTCGCGCTTGATGGTCGAAGAACGTGTCACTATGTCATCCCAAAGACATCACTGCAGTAGAAGACCCGTACTGTGACATAGGTATATGACACCATCTTCGTTATTCTTAATATATTCCCCTTCGCCGATCGCGTGTATATTCAAAGAAGTTCCGTCTAGGACTCCTGCCACTGACATCTGGCCGATATCCGATAGAACCCTAGAGAACGAACGCTAACCGTTAACGTGAACCAAGAACTCTGAACATGACAGGGGAAAAAAGTCATACGGCATCATCGACATCAACCCACTCGGCCACGGCCACCGCATCACATTCTCGCTCGAAAAGACTGACAAGTTGCAACTTCTCTCATTCCCATTGCCTCACAGTGTTCCTTTTCTTCCCACTTCTCATCGAGCGTCTGACACTTCCAACAAACCTTTTCACATTTTTTCGACAGTAAATCGCACATCACATTCTTGACGTCGACACAACCCTCGCTGCCAATACACACTTCAAAAGCAAAGTGACATCGTCGGACTGGCCTCCGACTCAGCCTGCGAGTCCTGAAAAGTTTTTGCCGTCAAACTGCAGCAGATATCGTCATCTACATCACCTACTTCCATCTATCAGTAAAAGATAAACATAAGGCGTGTAGCGAATGCGATAATCATCGAGGCTATCCATATCCACTCAACAACACCGAGAATGGTGAAAAGCCAATCTCAAGCCTATTCTTAGTTCCATTCTACCATTTTCCTCGTTTCGTTACATACAGGCAGGGATATCCGCTTGATGGAATTGAGCACTTAAAGACTGGGAGATGAAACTTTAACCTTCACATCCCACGTGCTACCTCAAATAGAGAATCACTGCGTCATGGAATGGTAGATTAGCGCCCAACCTCCAACCCCACCTGTCCCACCTCCATCACGATCTCCACTCCACCTCGAGTTTGAACCAATGACCGGGACTGAACAGTAGGAAACGGAACTCAATTCAACGAAAATCCAAAGAATAAAACACCGGGACCAGCTTTCGCATCCTCATGTTCCTACACCCCTACCTTCGATTCCCCACGCACGATCTGAAAACCCCCCCTCCCTCTCAAGAAATAAATAAACGGTCGGAATATTTCCATTTACTATACACGACACTTACCAGCGACATAAACACCAATACACGATACTTCGTTACGCACCAAGTCCAGTAGCGTACTACTCCACCTTCCAACAGCAGTAAGCCGCTGACCAGAGGGGCTCCACACCAAACATGATAGAAGCGACGGATACAAAATGTCACTGCAACCAAAGCACATACATCACTCGATCTCCAACTACATCAATACAAGATACAAAAACAGCGTCCGGGGAAGGAAGTGAAGAAACCGCCGCATGTAAACGCAGTCCACAATGAGCGAATGACCCATTCAAACTTGCAAAGCGAAGCGAAATGGGGTGGGTGTACTAGTACGCACAGAATAACGAAATTAACTGAAATCGAATATAGTCCTCTCAAATTCCACCATCCACGATAATTTCCATATTGCCTATACTCTTCTCCTTCTCTTCCACACTCCGTGTACGTCGAATCCAAACCGCAGATTCCCAGCTTCTCTCGATCCTCGACAGACCCCTTCCGTTCACGGAGTACGATTGAGCTCATGACGATGACGTCACTTGCGGGACACGGTCGCACTAATCAACCCACTAAAAATATGACGTCAGCCAAGCCTAACGTAACCCAGATCCTCAAGTCGAGGTCAAGACTCAAGAGCGGGAAAAAGAGTGAAGCTAACCCTGTAGCTAGTACTCAAAACCAACATAGAACGACTTGAATCGTACTACGGGTCCCAGAGTACCAGCCACGTAGGGGCTCCCAATAAATTCAGAATCGAAAGCAGGAACGGGAATTGCACAAGGACGCCGCGGCCAATCAAAATCGCAGAGAATCAAGCAAGACTCAACGATGATGAAAGGGGTACATTTTTTCAAACCCAAACTCAAAAGCGACTCGTGCATGCAAAAACAGCGCAAGGGCTCAAGCCGAAGCGATGAAGCAAACGGAATGCAAAAAAGAGGGTGCTGGCCATCGCTTTGGGACGAACACCTATCGTCATCGTCATAGGTTTTTGAGTGTGTGACCCCCAGAAAGATGGATGGATGTGAGCGTGCCATCAATTCATGTCCAAGACCGTGGTGATGGATGCCCTCACAACACCTCGTACCCGGTGTCTCGAATTAAAGCCGACGAGGACGCGGTAGGCGGCAAAGTGTGGACAGAAAGGGTTCCCCGGGACTCAATAGGCAGTCTCCAAGCGCGAAAAGAGAAGTGTAGAACAGAACAAAACGAACCTTGGTGCAGCAACAGGACAGAAAACCTCCGCTTGAGATCTGTAGAAGTAACGAGGAATCAGTATACTCGCTCCGCCAAAATCAAAGAAGACCGATAATTAATTGACTGAAAAAGCAACACATTCGCCTCGGGGAAAATGAAGATAACAGAAAGATTCCAAAGAACGCGGAAGGTAGACTTAAAGGGGGCGCCTTTCGCCTCTAGAACAACCAGCAACGAACAGGCAGTTCGTTATGAATGCGAATGAAAGATAAGATTCCTCGAGGGCTCCACCAGAATCAAGGGTGGAAAGCATAACAAACTTGAATTTAGAAACAGCGAAATGACGCCGGGCTCCACGACGATCCAAGCGGAAAGCGAACGAAAGGGCGCAAAGGAGGTATCGAACGGTATACCCCAAAAGTCTCCGCGCTTTCAACGTGCGGAGACAAATATTCCAAAGGAAATCACCGTTGGAATAATAGAAGGGGAGCAGATAATTAAAGAAAACATATCCGAATCGGGTTTACTTCGCATGCCAATGCCGCAGGAACACAGGAGGGGCCAGCTCCACACATGCCAAAATCAGTCGTTTATGTAGTTTGTACCCCTATCCAACCATATGGTGCGGCGATTCACGAGCGGCCAACTCGTGAACCTCAAGGCAACGTCTGGTCCCGCCATCAATCCATAATGCAGATCCCAGATGCCCTGACGGGTATCCAAGGTCTACAGCGAAAACCCAAGGTGCAGCCGAAACCCGAGAGGGCATAAGAAAACGGGATTGAAAGTGGTGGGTCAAGAAGCCAAAAGTCAAAGAAAAGGAATCGCACAAAGGAAGATCCAAAATGAATGATTAGAGGGCGCAGAATTCGATACCCGGGAAAGGTAAGGGGAACGGGCAGGTAGACACGAAGGCTTCTGATTGGTTCGGCGCAAACAGCGAGCCAATCGGAGCTTCCGCCCTAGAGCAATCGGCGTCTTCTCTCCGTCCGCAGCAGCTCGAAGGAAGAGAGGGCATCCCACATCAAGGCCGTTGCTACTCCTCTTAACCAATAGAAGAGGGCAGCAAGCTACCATCACGATAGCCCAACACCTTGAATAGAGGGTCGGCCGTCGGATTTCGGGACGGAATACGCCCGCCATCCAACGACTGATCAGGATCCTCAGCTTCTGATCAACAGTAAGAGCCGACGAACGAAATAAACGGAGGGCGTGTAAGAAGGGTGAAAGTAAGTATGCATTGCCCGTCGTTGCAACGCGGCTCTCGGAGGTGGAAAGCAGAGCCGATGCGAAATTGACAGGCGCACAAAAGAAACGAAGCACAGAAGAGCAATGACGACATTGGTCGATCCATGCATCTCCTGATCGGTGGGGGAAGAACGGGTTGGCCAGCTTCCGTGAACAGAGAAAGACGAAAACGAAATAAGAATGCACAATGTAGATAAAGAGAAGAATCGAAGAGATGAAGAGTAAGTATGCAGGGATGCGTCACGGATGGAGAACCCTGAAATTCAATGGAACGTGGTTGAGTGAAGACAGAAAGCCATCTGTCCAGCATCATCCAGCGTCACGCGTCGAATTTAACAAAAAGGGGTTACGCAGATTACGCATGAAGCGCGTAATCCTGTCTGCAGCACAGAGTCCGCTCGACCAATGAGCGCCGGTCCCGACTGTGTTACGATCATGAGACAGCAACGCTACACATGCCAATTGAAATGGCAGTCGTCGTTCCCAGCCCCCAGTCTGCCAGCAAGAACCAATTAGAAGTTGCAAAAAAGGTGCGAATCCCCCGCGACCGATTCACACACAGAGAAGAGTGAAAGGGATCAATAGAAAACGTAAACGATAAACAAAAGAGCCAATTAGGAATGAGGCTGGCAGTCCTGGTGGGATAGCATCGTCCAGAAGCCAAATGGATTCCGACAGATGAGCCATCCAGCGTCAAGTCGACTAATAACCGTATCACGAGGGCACGGCGACTCCATATAGCCCTCGCTGACCATATGTTGCAGGTTCAAGAAGAGAAGTGAAGGCGAAAGAAGTGCGAAAGGAGAACTCAAATGCGTTGGTCATGCGAAAGAGCAGGAAGATTACCCTGGCTTTGCATAGCAACGAACGCGGTAGAATCAAAGGAATGTAGGTCCACATGGGGTAGAGATGAATCAAGAAGCCACCGGAGGTCACACCCAGAAAGCACCGCGAATGGGATTAGAGCTCCGGAACGGATATGAATCTGGGGAGTCTCTGCAATTCCTCGGATATGGCTGAGAAGGATCATTGCGAGGGAAGTCCCAAAATGAAAGAAGAAACGGAGGCCCGTGCTCGAAATAGCCAAGTGTACCAGCAGTCTCCGCCTGGCTAATAGAATGAGGCCGGAAGGCGCTCTTTGGAGGAGATCTGCAATGGGAAGCACGACGCGTCGTTGATGACGCGACGTGTCACGATGACCTTTACCGGTGATCGGGAGACATGAACGTTGGGTAACGGGCCGCCAACGAAGATGAAACGCAACAGAGGCGGGCAAAGGTTGAAAGAATTGAGTCGGGGACGTGTGCTGACAGAGAGCGGAACCGAGGTAGACGCGACATCTCTGGGACATAGCAACGGCATTGGGGTGCTTCACTGAAACCTCGTCGGAGAAAGGACGAAGAAAAGGAACATGGCCGAAGGCTGAATCCGGGGGAAAAGTATGAAAAGAAGAATAAGAAAAACCGAGGTTGAATAGCGAAGGATCTCAGAAAGAACCGGAGGAAAAGAAACACGCACGGAGTCAGGTTATCTACGCCGATGTAGCGCATGTCCACTGGGATGTAGTGCTTGTTGGGGAGCGTATAGGTAACGTCTTGAATACCCCCATTCTCGGCGATAATTCGCTGGGCCATCTTGTACAGAGTCGCCTGATCCTACAGTCAACGTATGCGCAAAAGGGCCATGAGGTTCTTGCTCACCTGGACACTGGCACTTTCGTCCAAAGCAAAGATTTGTAGGGTAGCGTCTCTGGTGCGCTTCGGTACGTCTTCGTCCCAGACGCTTCCATCATAACCTTCATCTCCCTTATTCAAAGGGATTTGGAACTCGAGCTTCTTGTCGTCCTGAGGCGCGACAAGCTTAACGCCCTTGAAGGTATACGAAAGGTCAACAGAGGTAGAGAAAATGCGATCATCGACTGGGACGAGGGTAGTGTATTCGTCCGTCCAAAAGTTCTCGAATGCCGACCCAGATGACTTCAGAACTGCGACTCAAGCTGAACAGCAATTCAATATTCGCGAAGGAGGCTACTTACCAAGGAGATCCACCAGGCCAGAAGAAACATTGGCTACCAAGGCATGTTTGCCTGCTGTGGCGTCCACCTGTTCATAAAAGAAATTGGAGCTCATCTTGTTATCTTATCTCGGTAAGAACGCACCACAGCTTTCACAACGCGCTTATCATCTCCATCCCTGTAGAAAGAGTGAGGATGCTCCTCGCCGTTGATGGAGATCCTCTTCCAACGCAGCTGCTCCACGGTGACATGGGCCTTGTGGATGTGGGCATACTTGGACACGAAGAACGTGCCAATGTGCAGAGCAAATTTCTCCGCGTTGAGGATATGAGGCGAGACCTTGGCGAGGTCTAATGAACCGGTTAATAGCTGCTCGCCGTTGCCCAAGATGACGAAAACGCACAGTATGTGATGTTCTTGACTGTCGATGATGGCGGTTGCAGGACAAGATCAATCAGCGGGCCACGCCGACGACGACAACGACAAACAACGCACCGGAGTCTGTGGCGACGACGACCGAGTTGTCGGCTTCTGTGTAACTGCATCCACAATGAGCTCACTGCTATTCTCTGCGTTTTCATCGCCTACCTAGTCTCGATGTCGCCCTCCAACAGCGTCTCGACGTTGTACTCGACAGTGTGGTGCCACTTTCCCTCTCGGACAATCCGGAAGACGCGGACACTGGTCTTGCCATAGCGCGCGTACGACAAATAGGACAGTTCAGCAGCGTTGGAGGTCATCTTGTGGATCGTCTCGGTCGTTGTTCAGGGGTGTGGTGGTGGTACTGGTAAAGGGGTGGTTAGGTGGGACCTTCGATGTCCCGGTCAGTCCTATAAACTACCTTGGACTCCGGCATCATGTCGTTATTGTGAGTTCCAGCCTCCATAATGGTGTGATCCTCGCCGTTGACTCGTTGATACCAGCGATAAGTGAGCGGGACAGGAAATAGGCGCCCTTATCGCGATACCGTGGCCGCGCTGGTCGATAAGATAAGGCGCAATTGACCTGAAGGGCTCTCGAGGTTGTCTCTGGCCTCCATGAGCAGCCCCTGACTTTCTTCACGATATCTGGGCCGCTGTCCACATCATCGGCCATATTTCGGACCTCAAGGTGGGTCTTATTCTCTAGCCAACTGTCCATACCGAATACTAAAGACCTCGTAGACTGGTACAGCGGACTCAGTGTTGACACCCAATGCCTAGTCCTGTCCTACAGTTCATCTCGGGTACGATCTCTGAGGACTAGCAACGACCATGTCTTCCGCTCGCCGTCCGGACGCTGTTACCACGACCTGCTTCGCGACGCCGTGACGGTCCCATATGACCTTCTCTTCTCAGTGTCTTGGAGGACACGAGAGCTCTCGAACACGACAATTCGACGCTTCGCTGTCGGCGGGCCGCCAGTTCGCCTATACGCCGGCGAAACATTCACTCAAATACGCTGCACATCCCCTTGGCTGCCTCTCTGTTCCCGACACACAGTTCGTTGTCAGCCCATACTGGGCAGGCTAAGATGCTCTCCTATTTAATCTTACTTCTCTTCCTCCACACAGTCAACGCCGTCGTCCTGCGCAGCTCAGGACGATGGATCCTCGACGCCTCCACCGGCCAACGGGTCAAACTCCGCTGCGTCAATTGGGCAGGGCACATGGAAACCAACATCCCTGAAGGCCTCCAGCACCAACCAGCCAGCACCATCGCCCAATGGATCGCCACCAACCGCTTCAACTGCGTTCGCCTCACCTTCTCCATCGACATGGCGCTCAACCCCAACCAACGTGTGTCCGACTCGTTCACCGCAGCAGCCGGACCAGCCGGCGTGAGCGTCTCTGAGATGCAGGGTTTGTACAACCAAGCACTCTCCAAGAACCCCTGGTTATCTTCGTCCACGACGAGAGGGGCCTTCGCACGCGTCATCCAAGAACTCGAAGCGCGCAATGTTCTCGTCGTGCTCGACAACCACGTCTCCCGCGCCTCCTGGTGCTGCAGCACCAACGACGGGAACGGGTGGTGGGCCTCCGCCTCGGGCTACGACGCCAACAACAGCCGGTATTTCGACACCAACAACTGGCTCAACGGCCTGCGGAGCATGGCGTCGTTCTCCCACTCCCACCCGAACGTCGTCGGCATCGCCCTCCGCAACGAACTCCGCGCTGTAGGGAACCAGGATAGGAACAACCACGCCGATTGGTACAATTATATCACCCAGGGGGCGCAGGCCGTGCGCGGTGCGAACTCGAACCTCCTCGTCGTGGTCGGCGGCGTGAACTACGCGCTGGACCTAAGCTTCGTCTGGAACCGCATGCTCGACCGCAACGTGTTCGGCGACAAGCTGGTGTGGGAGCTACACAACTATGCATGGAGTGGCGGAGGACGGGATTGTAATAACCACCAGAAGATGATGGGTGATCGGGGCGGATTTGTTCTGATTCAGAACAGGGAGTTCACGGGACCGCTGTTTTTGAGCGAGTTTGGGTGGGCGCAGAATAATCCTTCGGCGGATGAGATCGCTTATTCCTCGTGCCTTGTGCGGTACCTCGAGAGTAACGATGCGGAGTGGGCGTATTGGGCGTTGCAGGGGTCGTATTATGTGCGGGAGAGGAGAGTTAACTTTGACGAGACGTTCGGTCTTCTCAATCACGATTGGAGCGGATGGAGGAATGGGAGTTTCGTGCGAACTCTGGGGAAGATGTGGGATGTTACTCAAGGTCCTTAGGTGGAAGCGAATTTTTAATCGCACAAAACTACATGATGTCCATTGTCCTAACCAGTCTGAAATAACATGACGGCTATCTAACGACCTTCAAGTCGACATCGAAGCAGCGCGACGAAGGTCGAAGTAATGCGTTGAAGGGTGCGGTGCTCCATTAGAGGGAGATGTTGATGGGAGTGCAGCCAATGGCGACGACACCACCTGGGAAGCAGACCGGTCAGCACCGAATAAACCACGAAACCTTGCAGTCAGCTGTATCTTACTGAAGTTGTTACCGGTGCAGCAGACTGGTTGGTTGGAGCTTTAAAGCGAATCAGCGACCTCCTCCAACGCATACCGTGAAGAGGGCGGGAACTCACCAGCTGGTACCTCCGCCAACACCGATGACGTTAATTCCTGTGCAGGAAGCGCCAACCTGACCGGTCAGCTTGCTGATGTCGACCCCCAAGAGTGTGAGGAGGCCAGCGAGCGCCCCGCTCAAATTGTTGCTGCTTTCAACCGTGTTGCAGCACTGCAGGGTGCCCCCGTTGCCGCACGCGATGGCGTCACCGGTTTGAGAGCTGGGGGCTGCCATGGCCGACGCGGCGAGGGTGCAGACGACGATGACTGAGGAGAGACGAGCGAACATGGTGATTGAGGCGAAGATGAAAGTGCTTGAAAGACTGAGTACGAAAGACCAGAGGTAGGTTGGTGAAGAACTACAGCCAAACGCGACCCAGCCTTTATACCTACTGGAACCCCCCTTCAACCCTCCTTTAACACTCCAAGGCCTCATTCTCAGCCCACAAAAAAGGTCTATACGCCCTGTCAGAATGGAGAGCGGGTCATTCAAAGTTTCCATCATTCCACTTGTGCCTGATGAGAATAGATCATCATAACTTAGAGCAAGTTGAACACGACTTCGTGGCCATCGGATGTATATGTATATTACTACTCGGGTCCCTTTTGGACAGGCAGTAGTAGCAGACTGGCGCTCGTCAAGCACCCGTCCATAGGCATTGGGAATTGGTGGGAGGCTGGATCCTCGGCAAAAAGACTTATCAGGAAACACTATTCTACTTCCTGCGTCTACCCTATTTTACCACTTACGTGCAATGAAGAAACATCTAATAAGGGTCAGCGGTGCGTGTCAATCATGCTTCGCCGACTTCAGCTGTCGGAGCTTCGGATGGACAATGGAAAGCTGCATCATTTTAGATTGACTGCACAGCTGACCGTTATCAGTCACTTGCCCATTGAGTATGGTGCGACGGGATGGAAAGGTAGGGTCTCAGACGGCGAGTATGGAGTAGGAAAATGGACTATTACCGGTGCCGAGCGATTTTGGTATCTCAACAGGAATCATCACGTCCCACGAACGAGGAGAGCAAGAATCAACAACAAGCACGAGTGTCCGATGTCATTAGACTGTCCAAAAAACTACGAATAACAACATGCGACTGAAACAACGAGCGAAGAGTGTACACAGGGTGACAGTCACGCAGAGCGGGGTATCTAGATAGAGACGTTGATGGGGGTGCAGCCCAAGGCAAGGACACCATCTGAACAAGTCAAGTCAGTAACCAGCGCGAAGACCAGTAGACAAGTAGACAAATTGGCTAAGCTTACTGAAATTGTTGTTGTTGCAGCAGACTTGTTGGTTGTTGCTACACAATCACGTCAGTACGGCTCGTAGACCATGAGAACGCAAAGGTGAGCGTACCAGGAGCTACCACCTCCAACACCGATGACGGTAACGTCGGTGCAAGTGAGACCAACTTGACCGGTCAAGCCGCTGAGGTCGATACCCAAGAGGGAGAGGAGGCCAGCGATGGGGGCCTCCAAGGAGGTGCTGCTCTGCATCTCGTTGCAGCATTGGACGACACCTCCATTGCACTGGGCAACGACGCCGCTGGTGGGAGCGGCCATGGCGGAGGCAGCGAGGGTGAAAGCGACGAGAGCGGAGGAGAGACGAGCGAACATCTTGATAATGGTGCGAAGAAGTGAGAAGAACTGGTAACTTGTTTGGTAGTAGTGCGTTTGGAAGCTTGGTGCTGAAGAGCCTGAGCTCAGGTCGGTCCAGCTTTTATACCTTTGAGAACGTGCGGTAGACTCGCGGAATGCCCAAAGGCCTCGGCGCAGCTGTGGCTCATTGGCTCGTTGAACGTTCTCTCCGGCTCCCATATCCACTACAAAGGAGAGTCAAAAGGTAAACTGAAGTGAAATTGACCCAATTTCGCCGCCATCGGAACAGGTTGCTCGGTTCCTTGCCTGCAGGCGCCCATCAAGCGCCGTCGCACTTCGGTAATGAGACACCACCGATTTCCCGTTTGAGCAGCCTGGTTTCCAAGAATGGTGATTAGGTTGCCAAGTGCACACTGACGAAACCCCGCAAACCCCATGTACCGCTACCCTGTCGTATTTAGTGAGTCTCCCCTAAGTGGTAGCCCATCAGAGAGGCTCGAACTGCACCCCAAAACGCAAACGTTAAGCCACATTACCACAGCACTGTTTCTTAGAACGAATGATGTTTCTGTGATTCCTCTTCTGTGATTCCTCTCGGGCAGTGTGAAAGTGGAGCGATTCGATTTACACGGATATCTCTCGTCTGAGCGACTCTTCTAGACCGACGCTAGACAGAAGGCCCAGATTTTTCCTGACCTGACCACCAACGCGGCGGTATGCTGCCCAACATCCTATTTATTGCCCGTGTAGTAGGAGATGCGGTTCGACGGGGATGGAGATCCTTGGACTAGGTTCCAGGAGTGCCACAATCCTGGGTAACGCCGACCTTCAGCAGGGCAATGAATGGCTGCTGGCACTACCAAGGTCTGCGATACCGCTCGTCAAGGACTCTGTGGCGTCATGACATTCTTTGAACGAGGCAGAACCTTCCCTACCATGGCAGTCTGATGCATCGATGAAGTTACCTTGAGGCGGTCGTCGCGCCTTTCATTTCACCTCGCATACCAACACCGTGACATTGATCCCGATCGGGAATGTGACAAACCAACCATTCAATAAAGAAGACAAGGGGACCTATGGGCAGTCCAAAGAAAAACTAAAAGTCATCGCTACTGCTGTCGTAGTCGCTCGTTTCACGACAGAACTCACACTTGCGGTTGTAGCATGTCTTTGCTTTAGACCACCGCCGCTCCTCCACAACCACCTCTCCAACGAACGCACCCAGTTCTCCCACCAATGAGTCAGACAGATCGATGCACCGCAGGAAGCGCAGCGTTTCCACCCTTTTCCCCAATTCGGCCAGCACCTGGGTCGCCCTCAATATCATCTTCACGGAGACCTCGGATTTCGTGAATATGGAACAGCGAGAGCCGGATGGAAAGGATATTTCTTCAAGTGTGAGGCTCTTGAGTGCCGGGTGGTCGTGCTCTTCCATAGTCCCAATAAGGTGCCCCAGGTGGTCACGCAAGGAGCTGCTGTTCAATTTACGGAAGAAGATTTCCTCCACCGACGGAAAAAAGGGGAACGGCGCCAAGCGGTACTCCGTGCGATCATACCACTGGCTGACGCATAGATGGCGAATGTTGCTTGGATGAAGAGCTACGAGAAAGTCTTTGCAGTTGGCCCAAGACTTTTCTCGTTTAAGGGAATAGGATACAGTCCCAGTGCTCGGGAGCGTGGCGAAGTCCACCTCCCCTGACCAGGCACGGCATTCCATATCTATGTCGTATTCCCATCTCTGGACGCTGACCATGAGACTTTTGAATTGCTGGAATGTAAAGGCAGGGGGCGACCGCATGGACGACGAGTTAGGCGGGGTGGAAGACAAGTTTGTCAAGCGTCGCGGTAATATCGAGGGAAGGAGCGGGCGTATGTCGTAATCGAACGTAATATGGAGGTTTGCCGCTTCAGGGAAGGCAATGTGGTCCAGTAATGTGGGATCATCGTTGAGATGGTACTTGAAGGACCGTAGACTGGGAAGTGCCACGACTCTATCTTCTGGTACGTCCAATAGGGAGGGAAGTTTGAGGTCGAAGTCTAGCTCGATAAGCCCGACCATCTGCTCCAGGGCATCCAGGAGTTCCTTTCCCGAACAATGTGTGGGGGGAGATCGGTAACCGCCGACATGGAGCGTGGTCAGATTGACTAACACCTGGGATGTCCATGGGATGCTGCAACCCTTGAGCTTCAATGTTCGCAGTTGAGGAGTACCATGCCCGTCGCGAAACTTCCCTCCAAGTATTCGCCCATTTTGCCCTCGTGAATGGAAGCCGCCGTCCGAGACACATAGAGTATGGAGCACGGGTGCAGCGGATATCATCTCCTCCACAATGGGTATACTGTCCTCGGTCAGGTTCCAGTTGATATCGAGATGTACGACCCTCTCCATGGCCTTGGACAAATCCTTCCAAAGGCGTTGTTCCGCTAGGATGGTTGACGGGTCACGCTTGGGTCCAAAGTACGGCATGGTGATAGTCAATGGCGCTGATGTTGACCGCTCGAGGAGAATGGGAGTCATGCGCGCAGGATCGCCGTCGACAAGGATATAGGCCCACAATTCTGGCTGATTGATTGCGATCTGTCTCCAAAGGCGACAGACATGGGTCGCTCGGATTATTGGCCGATAGTCTGACCAGAAGCGTGACCAAGAGGGGGCGCAAAGACAATAGAAAATCTTCTGTAAAACCTCGTTCGGAAGACAAGAGATAGTCGTACTATCAGGAGGTGAATCGCTCATATTGGGCTGATAGACTATAACGCTGGTCAGCGGCAGTTTGAAGGACACTGGAATACCCACCTGCAGGAGCTCAGCGTTCAGAGTGATTACAAGAGGTGCAACACGCCAGCAGGCGGACGCTATAGGTTGGACATGTTCTCGTGTTTCGACTCCCACGGTGCCCCCGGGTCTCAGACTGCCAATATACTGTCATCGCACCATACCTCGGCCACCCCCATCTTTCGGCCACTTTTCCAGATCTCCTCAAAGTCGGTCAATTTCTTTCAAAATTTCTGTAGATACGGCCTATCCTATACGTATTAATGATGAAAGTGAGTTTTATTTGAGCGAAATCGAGTTTAATTGTGGGAACATCTGGTCGATTTACGGTCTCCGACGCGTCTTCTGTGGACGAAAGCTCGGAGTTTCAATTATAGCCTTAGCGGCAGGCTAATGCCGGATGTGACATTTGTGACAGTGGCCGAAAGATGGGGGTGGCCGAGGTATGGTGCGATGACAGTACCATTTATTTACTGTTACCGTTCTTCAAGGGCTGAACTATGCGTCGCAGGACGGCTCTCTTTAGCTCGCCAGGATTCTGAATGCGTTGCAGGACATGTAAAGGTGACTCGGGGAGGAAGCTCGTCGCTGGCTGCAGACTGACTGTCACGGTACCAAGACATGAATTAAACACTTGCACCGAGGGAGAGATTGGGCCCCGGTCATTGATTCACGAACAGAGCGAATTCGAGTTATGATGCGGCAGTCCCGGCACATTTGACCAGAACCCACATCGATGTATCAAAGGTGCCAACGTACTACTTCGGACTACTTGTATATAATCGGCCACATATGTTATTCTACTTGCAGCTTTTACAACTCTCGCAAGACATCAGGAAACCTACACGCGCCTGATGCGGCTTGCCGCGCTTGGTGACTTGGGGCAAGTCCATCAAGACGCGCGGGGCTCGGTCAGATCAAATGCAAGACGCGCTCAAGACGCGCTCAAGACCCCAGGCTCTTTGGGCCCATATTGGACGTCCGTCGTATTCTAAGGTTAGAGAAGTATATATAGTGATAGTATATTGATAAGAGAATATATTTCTGTCATAAATTGAATGCCACGATGGGGTATGGTCATCCAAACAGGTAAGCCGAGCTGAGGGGCCCATTGGGCCAGTACTGGACGTCCGTCGTTTTACAAGCAAGGTCAATGCTATACGCGGGTACTAGAGCAGTAATACAATAATATTACGCTGTAAAATTGAATGCCACAATGAGGTCTGCCATTCAAAATAGGTTGCAGGCTTTTCGGCCACCCCGAACTTACCTGGGGCACTGAGGCATTTCGGTTTTCAGTATATCTCATGGATTGGTGGGGAGACAAAGTAGAGTAGTTCTTGTTAGTATACCAATAGTACAATTTCTATACAGTAGATCCGAAAATTGATGAAAAAGAGGTTAATGGGAGACCGAGGAAATCAGTGCCGGAACTGGGAATTCTGGGAGCGGGATCCTATTTTCTAACAGCGTAGCTTCCAGTCGCTCGACCCATTTTTCTTGAAGGATAAGCTTTGCACGTAGGACGGAGGCCTCGGATTGAACTTGCTGTAGGCGTACACTTGCAAGCAGATTGATTTTCGATTTGATTTCTTCCTCGAGGTCTCGCTCTTTCACAACCAGATCAGCCAGTCGAGGTGGCTTGAAGTTTCCGGAGGATGGTGTTGACCCTATTGTTTCTAGATGAGATAGAGAGTTTAGCGACAGCTGGTATAGAGATTGAAGAAAAAGAAGAGTGGGCGCACCATGTGATAACACAGTCACATCGCGTGTACCGCCGACTGGTCCAGCCCCAACTTGAAGACCAGATTCCCTCTCTCCCTTAACTGAAGTCCCTTCGTCTCTCGAAGTTTTGCTGGCTACGGCAATGGTTGATTTCTTGCAAGTGTTCATCGGCGCCCTCAAGGGAGGGAATTTTATGGGCTGGACCGGGCTTGTGTCGGTGTCAAAGATGGGAGGGGGTTGATTGGGGCTGCGTGGTTTGGAAAAGTCGTACTGGCAACGTCGAGCCGGTATACGTTTAATGGCGTCGTAGGAAGGTGAGCTGGAGGGCGATCGTTCACGCTTCAGGTGGAGGTTGGTCATGGAGTGAGTGCGTATGGCAATGAAGCAAAATTGAGTCGGAGATGTGTCAGCCGCTATCTGAATACGCCCACTGACTAATCGTTCTGCTTGCTGGAGGACATTCCAACTCAATACGCTATTTCATTAGCATGGTGGTCTATATACTTGTTTACATAGAACAAATTGAATACATCAAGAACATCGGAGAAATGAAGTTCATACGGAATGAGAGAGTTCCCAAAAACCGGAATTAAATGAGCCAGACGCCATATCGTATCGATGTGGACCACAGTCGTGTCGCGGTCCCCTCCTCGATTGGCGTCCGGTTCCACCATCCACAGCCCCGTCAAAGGATCTGGACGGTCGCCTACAACAGAGAACCATTCAACCAATGCGCACGGGTAATACTGGCCATCATAGTCAAAAGAAAAGAATGCCTTGACCCTCAACGCCGCCAAGGCACGCATTCCTTCGAGACCCTCGTTGACAACGGCGAAGACACAATCGTAGCGCGGACCCTGTCCTCTCCATGATGCAGTGGCACGGATACGTTCTGTCTTCAATCCTCCAAGGCCAGAGGGATCACTGGGTGCACAGAATGTGGCAATCGCAGACTTGAACCGACGAATCTTCTGGCATAGATCGAGGTCGACACGAGGTGGGTCGGGGTACCGAGCTTGAAGCTGATCTTCGAGGAATGAAGTGACGAGGTCGACGAGGTCGTAGTGTGGCTGATTGAGCTGTTCTGCAAGAGTCTCGATGTCTGGGATGAATATACGCTCTGGAGCGTCATGTTCCTTCATTAGTTCAATATACACATTACAAAACACGTATTTCGCACCTGGAGTCTTTGCGAGGACCACCTCCCCCAGGATATCAACACCCGGAACAGGGCCTCCATCGTCGTCATCAATTCCGGCTTCCTCCAATCCCTCTTCGCCCTCCCCATCCTCCTCCAACTCAATATCATCACACAGATCCTCCAACTCGCTTAGCTGGTCCTCGAGGCGTTGTAGAAGCGAGTGAAGATGGTCGGCAATGGTGCCATCGAGAAGGCCTTTGGCTTTGAGGTGTGCATGGAGGGTCCCAAGTTTGGCGATACGCTGGTTGGTCAAAAGCATCTGACCAAGAGCGTTGAACTTGTTCGACCGGCGCCAGGGTTCCTTCACCGCTTTGATATGCTTTGCTTCGGTAATTGATGAGCACAAGCCATTTGGAGCGCCAAATTGTTGTATCAAGAGTCGGTAATGCACAAGTGAGTGTTGTCGAGGAAGGGAAAAATGATCACGGACGCCTTGCTCTCGGAAGACCTCTCGGTAGTGATGGAAGCGAGAAAGGGTGGCGTCCAAAATGTCGAGGTCGGATTCCGTGATGACAGAGCGGCGGACAAGGTAGCAAAAATCGAGAAACGCCGTCATACAGTGAATCATAGCGTCGGGAACCTTCGAAACAAGTGCTGGAACGATTACCTATGATAAGGGTGTGTGGGCACAAAGACGTCGGAAGGAAGGAGTGTCGTCTCACCTTCATCAAGGCCTTTGAGTCGTCCCCTGTCCATTGTTTGAAGCGCCTCCCATCCGGAAATCTTCTCAGGCCAGGGAAAGCTGGTACAACAGATATTCTGGAAAAAGATCAGCAAAGTCGAACGTGTACTGGGACCGAACACACCTTCGGTCAATGTCATCCCAGATCGCATTTGCAGCTGCCTCTCCGTGTTCCTGGACAAGATAGTCACCTATCCAAGCGATGAGGTGATCCTTGAACGTGCCCTTGATGATCTGGTGGAGAAGGTCGGGGGCAAGAAGCTCGTGAATGTTTGCCCGAGGGAACGAAGCTGTGAATGGCTTGACCCCACTTAGATCCAGTGCTAGCACATCAAAGGAAAAATCGAAGAAGAATGCTTACCGTAACATCTGAAACAATCCCATATGCATCCCAAATTTCTTGCGCCTCGAATCCATCAATCATTGCCTCTGTCCATTCATGCGTTCGCAAGAAGGCCTCATCGTCGTTATCCAAGTCGTCAACCCACGCTGAGCATCTGAGAAACCTAGGTCAGTGTACAAGCTAGAGATGTATAGACAGCTGTAAACACTTACTTTGTGCACCATCCTTGCACCACGCAAGCGAGAAGCGCCTGCTCTGGATAGTCCGCAATGTAAGGCCCAATGCTATAGGTGACACGTCGATAGAAGCCATCAGGACAAAGCACGATGTCGGGAATGTCCTCCATGTATGCCCTGAGACCGCTCAGGATTGCTTCTAGGGTTTTGTGGAAGAGCTGGCGTCGGAATCGGAGAAAGGTGCGGTTGGAATCGTGCTTGCGTTCACCTAGATTGATGGATTAGATAGTGAGGGGTACTTATAGAATCAGAAAACTCACTTTTCGGGATAGCTAAGAATCCAATAGGAATTACTGACTCTCGATGTGCACGTCGTACATTATTGTGAATGTTGCCGATCGAGAGATAGAGGGGGTAATAGTCGTTTTGGCCAGTCGCAACTGACACCGTAGTCTTGTCACTCCCAAGGATTATGGGAACAAGAAGGTTGCCGCGAGTTTCAGGATGGTTGCGGTAAATTTTATTCTGTATCAGTTGTCAGACAGATATCCTTGGTTTGATGCTAGTACGAACTCACCGCCTCGGCCCAGCACCAGTCGCCTGACATGAAATCCTTGAACTCCCGGACACCCTCGTGGTTGAATTCACGGTAGGGAGCATAGTCAAACTCGCCGTCGAAGTCGGGATTTGAGAGCATGTTCCGAATGACTGTCAATGGCTCCCGGAACCACACTTCGTACTCCTGATACTTCCAACTTGCACTGGTGCCGTTAGGATCGATGTCGCTGCCGTTGTATGAGATTGAGAAGGATTTCCAGGGAGCGTCGCCATGTGTGATTGCATCGATGGTCTTGTGGAGGTCGTCGCTGTTCAGAAATGGAGGTGATCCTCCAGTCATCACAGCATGGGCAGCCCAGAGCGTCATGAGCTCGTCAACTCGGCCAGCCGGCATGCGGACACGACGGTAGAGAAAATCGCCGATTTCGAAATGAGTTCGGTCATTGAAGGGTGCGTAATTGGACTGGGCGGCAGCAACGGGGCCATCGGCAATCTCGTCGTTGGTGAGATGAATACCATCCTTGGAGCATCGGATACCTGAGATAATATAGCATATAAGCCAATGAAAATGATACAGAAAGGCAAAAACATACCATCCAAACGTTTATGAGCTGTGCGCTTTCGATGAACTCCTGCATTACTTGACTGGGTGGCTGCACCTCGGCTATCGTCGCAGTCGTCTTCATGGTCAAAATCCATTAGCGTGTAGCCATGGTCATTGTCGATGGACGGTAGAGGATGGCTGTCGTCGTCGGGCTGGTCGTTGGGGGCCTGCTGGTTCTCGAATGTTTGGAGCTGAGGTACTGTATTGGGCTTTTTCCGATGGACCCGATTGAAATGCTGTGTTCTTGCTCCGATGTTTGAGAATGTGCTGATACATGATTTCACCGTACAGGCAATGCGGCTTAGAAGAGGGTTAGGAGTGGGAGACATAACAGACCACGACAGGGATGGAAGGGGTGCAGAGACAGAAGAAGAACGGCGTCCAAATACAGTGTGGCTGGGCTATTCTTTCACGCCGCACGCGGAAAGTAAGGGTGGAAGGTAGAAATGTAAAATTGTATTTCCGGCCGGCCTACAATTACGAGGACTAACTGACTGAGCACTAAGAGACGGGGACAACCGGGTCAGCAAGTCTGGAAATCTTCGGATCTCAACGCTTCAACTCTTACCACTTCCATCTACGCCCTCGCGAGTCGCCCTCGTCCATCTCGACCATGAGCTCAAAACGCAAGGCCCAAATTCTCAAAAACACGCCAACCGCCAAGACCCCTAGTCGCCGTATCAGCCAGTTTGAGCAAATGGACCTCGCTACGAGAGCTCCAGTAAAGGCGAAAAAAGCACCCACCGCACCAGGCCCAGAATTTAACACTGACGAAAGTTCGCCTCCTCCCAGCTCTCCATCTCCAACAGGTATTCCAGTTGCCCAGGACTCTGGACGCATCACTCGCTCTTCAGCTTCGCGAAAATCCGAGTCTTCATCTTCAACGTCATCTTCGACAAAATCGCCAGCTGCTCGGAACCAAGATAATGTCATCAGCTCAGTTACCAATGACGATACAAGCATGCATACCGACACCAGTTCAACTCCAACTCCAACCAAGAAGAGTTACGCGCTCTCGAATTCTGCGGTCAACCGCCCTAGCGCAAGGGACCTGGCCATCGCCAAGGTTAGGAAGATGTTGGCCCCGCTGAAGAAAGGTCCTACGGTGTTCGAAGGAGCAACCCCGGGCGATGATGATGCAGATGACCCTGCTTCAGATGAAGCATCGGAAATCCTCAAGGATCTGCTGGGTGCTGTGGGCGTTGACCTGGCAAACCTTGTGGCCCCTGCGGGCAATGCGGGAGCGACTGTTGCGGGCGCAGGCGGTTTGTCTGATGATGATTCTGATGCTGAGCCAGCTGTAACTTATCATTACTTCGGTTTAGCACAAACTGACAGTGAACCGGAAGAATCAGACGACGAACCTGTAGTCAAGGTATGCTCTGCCCCCTCCTTCTGTCCCAACCCTTCTTGCACCGGTCCTTCTGCTAATCTTTGTATCTTCTAGATGACCCGAAAGGAGAAGACATTGAAGTTCAGAGAAAAGCTTCAAGCAGGAGCTTCGGGAGACACTACGATTGAAAGAAAGAGAAAAGGATCATTTGAGTACGTCACATTCGGGATATGTTGACTGTTTCCTTACCAGCTGTCCAGGCCTCCGACTGTTGACAAGCGCCTCAAGGTTAATAAGATCCACGAGAATGCTGTGGAGAAGCAAGGAGGTCTCCCGTCAAACTGGCGCAACAAAGCAAACAACAAGAAATCAACTCACCCCCAGTCTTCCGGTGACCAGACAGCTAAGCCTGCTGCAATCATGTCGGTTGCTGGTGGGCTTATTGACGACCTCGACGACGAAGCGTCTGTGGGTGTGGAAGGTGCATCGAAGGCTAAACCGACCGTGCGTGTGTTTCTGCTTTTGAGCTTTGGTTGGGATTCTGAAGGCCCTCGTGCTAGTTGGTGAAGCTCGAGATGGACAAACCCGCAAAGACGGTTGACGGACCAAACAAAACCAAAGCCAAATCAGCCTCGAGGAAGCCAACAAACGAGGATCTCCGTCTCACCTCTGCCCAGCTCCAGGTCTGGCGCTCAACTCTCTGTCCTACCTGGTACACGTACCTAGCCTCGCTAGATACCATCTGGGGTATTGGAACCGATGAAGACACCCTAGCCAACATCGAATACCTGTACAACAAGGTCATCGCGCCGCTTACTGGGAAGCAGATCGACAACCTCACCACTTCGAGTGTCGTATACCGTTTGGTGAGTTGCTCTGATCTCTTGTGTTTTTTGATGCCTAACTCTAACCGAACACGTCAGCTGGCACAGCGTGGCTACGAGCATCGCGGGGCCGTGGCGGACTGGGCCGTGGCCAACGCCATTGACTATTTCTTCGAGACCGGCGAGGTAGACAATCCAGCCAAATACAGCAACGTGGAAGACCGTATTCTGTACATCCAAGAAGCCATTAACGGAGCGACTTTCTCCTTTATTTATGAAAAACCCGAGGTACGTACACCCTTTTGATACCACCTTTTGTTGCTCACACACTACAGACCAAAAGCAAGATTTTCCGCACCCCCCACGTTCTCGCGACCTTCGGCTTCGTATTGAGCACCCACAAGAACTCGCGCTTCACTTTCGACCAATATCCGGGAGGCCTGGCACTCTCCCTACTTGCGGCAAGTTCCCCTCCATTCTCCCGACCTTTTCGATTTACACTCTCCTATTACTAGGTCCATCGTGCGCTTGAGCTCTGGGGCGACAACAACGGCGTCAAGCCCGCTGTCCGTGGCCACGCAAAATTCAGTCACGCAGCTCATGGCAAACGCGCCGCCCAATACCTTACCCTCATCGCGAAGCTCAACGATCGACAATGGCGAGATATCATCAAACGGGCTCGCGAGACCTATGCCCTGGCTACAAAACAACCCGTTCCCGCCAACCTCAAGGCCACCAACGAAGACGAGAAGCCGTCGAAGGAGGACGAGAAGTTTATGGCATTGGAGGTGCGGGAGTCTTCGGACATTGAGGAGGACGACGGTTAGCAGTGGCGGCGATCTGGACGTCATCGGGTGTGCTGGCGTCGTGTCTAAAAACAGTTCTATTTCTATAATCATTTTTATTCTATTCTATACATCTCCCGCAGTGTTATTTCTATGCGTAAAGCGATAAAATGAATCATATTCTACAGCCAGAAAATGACCTTGCGATACGTCTTAGCTGTGTCTGGGAATGTCTTGAGAGGGCACTTGGCCTTGACTTGGCCTGGTCTGGAAGTCGAGCAGTGGTCTTGCGAGTGCCTGGAGCAAGACAAATATGGCTTACCCCAGAAAGGGGACCTACTGATTCAAGACGCGCGGTCTGGGCGTCTGATGCGTCTTAAACGTCTTGCCCAAGCCCCATCAGACGCGTGTGGGTTTCCTGATGGATGGCGTCTCGCACTCCGTCCACCTCTCCATCCCTGACCAAACGGCCTTCCCGACCACCGTCTCCAGGGGCCTGCCGAACCTGCTCAACCGACCGTCCGTAAACAGAGTCCACGAATTGAAGAGTTTTAATCTTCGCGCCTAGGTATGCATGTCCGAGCCAATGTCCATTTCAGTCATCCTACTTGGCACTTGGAATCAGCCTGCGACTACGGCTACACGTAAGGAATGTCAAACTCTACATCATCTCCCGGACGAGGTCCAAGAGTAAGCTCGAATCGCACATTGACAGAACGTAACAAGGCAAGCCACTCGTTCCACTCCTCACGATACCCGCACTCCTCCCATGATGATGCCTCGATCCAGATGACGAGATCACGGCCCCGAAACGCCTCCCTCGCCCTTCCAGGGCGCTTCTTCACAAACACCTTCACCAGATGCTTGAGGGCCGTTTCCCACTCATACGAACCCATGTCTTCACCCAGCTCCATAACAACAATGTCAAGGCGCCGTCCAACAAACTTCCGAGCCGCCACACGACAAGTAATACACCCCACGAGTTCAATGGATGAAACCCGCACCACGCGCACCGAGGGAGGGAGATGGCACACTGCGAACGCAATGTCTTCCGGCTTCATGATGGACAATTTGTCCAAGCAGACGAGATGGAGGTTGGTGAATCGATAGATGGAGGCAGGATTGGTCGGAATGAACAAGAGTGACCATTGCTCCCAGAATCCAGCCAGGCGTAGTGCTTTGAGGAGTGGCAGCTCCTTCAAAAACCACTGGCACCTTCCCTCGAGGATGGTCAGGCGCTCGATGGAAAGTTGACTATCCAGATCCTGCGACTCTATTCGGGGACCTGGATCGAAGGCAAAGATTGCCGCATTCTTCAGGGAAGGCAACCCCAGAAGAAGACGCCGGACATAATCTTCCGGCATCGGCCCAGTCAACTCTATATCCGTCAAGCAGGGGAGCTTAAAAAGCTCTGGCTTCTGAATTGAGTCGAGGACGTCCCACCAGATGGATAGGTGCTTGAGGCGGGAAAAGCGTTGAAGAAAAGCCGGGAGCTCTTGGTAGAGTGGATGTCGCTCGGGCATCTTATAATCTCGTCTGGGTCGGCTCCAGCTGACCCATAGGGTCTCCAGCGTAGAGCAGTTGTAATCTTCGTTGAAGACTGCTTCAAGAATTTCTGGACTTGTTTCATGAAAGGCCAGCCCCTTCCAAATCTTGCTTCGCAGGAAGGCGACCAAGTCACCATAGTTCCCAGAATATACGTTGGAGGGGAAGACGATTACCAGGCCCAAACCACCCTCTCCAGCACGGGAGAACCAGCGCCGCAGAATACGCGCCATAATTTTGGGCCTCATACCCGTCCCATCCAGCCACAGCCTCTTCCACAACTCCGGGGAGGAATCCATGACATTCTTCCATTTCTTGCACACCCGACGCAACCTTTCCAGCGAGTTAGGGTCGTAATCGACTCCCAAGCGGGGAAGGTTTGGAGAAACAGGCATGGTGAAAAGGACGATGTGGGCTAAGAGGTCTGCTGGAAGCTTTCGAATTGGAGAGACCAGTTTTTGGTAGTTTTCAACACGGTCCTCTGCAGCGGATACGTCGCGTTGTGCCTTCGCAAGTATTTCCTTGATCTCGTCGACGCGTTTCCTAGCGTCCCGTAGCTGCTCGTGCAGAGTTGGAAGATGCGCCGTGGCAGAAAGGTGGAGGTGTGCAGGGAGCTCGGCATTGCACGCCAAATACGGCGCCAGATCCCTGTTATGCAGGTATGACATGTGCGAACCCAAAATCTGGTTCAAACTTTAATACAACGACGACAAGAAGGACAGAAACGACTTACCGAGTTGGTATTTGCAGTACACCTGGGGCCAAGCTAATGATGTCTATGGGGCAGTGAGCTGGTATAGTGATGGTCGAAGACAGAGCACCGACAACGTGGTAAGTTCCTGACTCGGATGTGCTCATATGAAATCTAATCATATCTGACGGCTTGTCGTCGGTTAGAAACCAGCAAACTACTAACATTAGTACGTCTGCGACGGAATTCAGATTTCCATATCTATAACAATAGTAGTACTAATCCATTAGAAACAGTGTCAATAAAGGAAGCCAATAAAAGAGATACAGTCGTCAACGAAGCGAATCGTTTTCGATTCGTTTGCAGAGCTCTTCGCTCGTACACCATTCGTTCATCGTGACACGCTCAAGTCCTAGCCCAAAACCTTAGGCCCACTTGTCCCTCGCTGTTCCGTTTCTATAGGCCTCGAAGTACCACTCTAACCTGGGCGTCTCGTTCCCCAGCTTCTCCTCGCGCATCCCCTCTGCCCCAACCGCAGGTTTCTTCTTACGATCGCCCACGGTGTACCATACCCACACCACGCAAACCGGTTAAGCTTAAAAATTTGCGATAGTATGCATGCTTTGGTCCCGAATACGGGGCTGAGGGAGGGATAGAAATACACTCTTTTAGAGCAAGGAAAGCGAAATGTCCCCGACCTCCAATGTATCTTGGGGCAGATTCAGCATCCTACTACATGTAAGGGATGTCAAATTCGACATCATCTCCAGGATGAGGGCCCAGCGTAAGCTCAAACCGCACATTGACAGAACGCAGCTGGTCCAGCCAGTCCTTCCACTCATCGCGATATCCATAGCGCCCCTCCCACGACGATACCTTGATCCAGATGACGAGATCCCGGGCCCTAAAAGCCTCCCTCGCCCTTCCAGGGCGCTTCTTCACGAACACCCTCATCAAATGCCTGATGATTCCCTCCCAGACATACGCGTAGTCGCTTGATTTCGTAACAACGATGTCAAGGCGCCTGCCGACAAAGTTGCGAGCTGCCATGCGGCGAGTAATGCAATACGTGAACCCCATGGTTGAAACCCGTACCACGCGCACTGAGGGAGGGAGATGGGATACAGCGAGCGCAGTGTCTGTCGAGTCTAGCTCCATCCGATCAAAGGAGACGAGGCTGAGGTTGGCCAATCGGTAAAGGGAGGTGAGGGAAGTCGGGCTGAACGAGGGTGACCATGATTGCCAAGATCCCACCGGGCGTAATGCCTCCAGCAGCGGTAGGTCTTTGAAGAGCCAACACCATCCGCGGTCAGTGGTCAGCCACCGGATGGGAAGTGGATCATCCACATCCCGAGGGCTTGTATCACCACGTACAACTGAGAGAGAGATGTCCACGTTTTTGAGGGAAGGCAGGCCGTTGAGAAGACGCCGAACATAATCATGTGGTATCGCCCCTCTAAGCTTCAGATCCGTCAGGTCTGGAAGTTCAAACAGTTTTGGCTTCATGGTTAAATGAGGGATACTCCATTCGATGGATAGCTGCTTGAGTCGGGAAAAGCGTTGAAGGAAAGTAGGAAAATGTCGGTAGAGTGGATGCTTTGAAAGGCGGTCAATGGCATCCCAGCCTGACATGGCCCAAGTGATACACAGCGTCTCCAACGCAGAGCAGTTATAGCTTTTGGGGAACACTGCTTCGAGGATCTCCGGGGATGTCGTATAGAGGGATAACTCCTTCCAGGTCTTGCTCCGGAGGAAGGTAGTCAATTCCCCGTCGGCATACATGGGTCGGAGGTCGATCGTGAGGCCCAGGCCACCATTTCCAGCATGGGAGAACCAACGTTGTAGCAGTCGCACTGCGAATTGGGGTGATGCGGCTGACTGGGTATACCGAAGCCTTTTCCACAACTCCGGAGACGAATCGACAATAATCTTCCACCTCTTGCAGACTAAACGCAGTTTGTCCCGATCACCCTGGCCGTAGCGCGGCAATTTATGAAAAGGCGGAATGCTGAAAAGGAAGACTCGGGATAAGAGTTCGGGTGGAAACCTTCTCATTGGAGCCACCATATTTCGATAGATTTGTATTTGCTTTTCTGTGGTCCACAACTCGTCTTGTGTGGCCGACAACTCGGCTCTTGCCTTCGCAAGTTTTTCCTTGAGCTCTTCGACTCGCTTCCTGGCATCCATGTGTTCCCCATCCAGCGTTACGAGACGGCCTTTGGCAGAAATATAGAGGTGCTCAGGAAGCTCGTCGTTGCAGGTGGCCCATGGGGCTAGAGCCACGTCGTGGAGCTCGAGGGCGACAGTCATTATGAATTCAACCTGCTCTAAAGAAGGCCGTAAATGTAAAGGAAAAGATGGTAGATAGAAAGGAACTTGCAGGTATCTTCCAGTAATCTGGAACCACAGTCGTCGTGGTGGTGGTGGTGGTGGTGGTGGTCCGACGTGGGCCACGCAGCGTGCCACCAGCCGAGCTCGAGGTATCTAATCTTATCTACATATCACATCTTATCTCAGTTGCCCCATCTTACGGCTCATCTCTCCCCACAGACTGCTCCGCATGAATGGGGCCAGAACCGCTCCGGGGTCCGAGGGTCTTGTACCTAAGGAGTCGAACCCCACAATGCCACCAATCCACCACCAATGAGAATATAACACTAAGGCCGTCGAGCGGCATGGCCCGCTACCTACGGCAATTTCTAATGGAGGGCCCAAGGGGGCGAGGACACCCGATCCATTGGGGTCCGGGACCGCCGGACCTGGTCCGCGGGCTGTGGGCAGGGCCGCGAGAGTCATCGCACACCTGTGAACCCAATCTATCTGGGGTCTGATGTACTGCACGAGTACTGCTTAGGCCAAAGATGAGTACGATGAATCTGTAGGTCTATACTAGGCTTTCTCGCTTCGGGACAAGGATAGGTAATGTCAAACCTCCCTCCACAAGCACGCTGCAAGTCGCACGACAGACACTGTCTTGCTAGGTCTGTAGGCATATTCAAAGACGAGATCAGTCTCCAAGAACACACTAGATATAAGGATATTTTGGTGTGTATAGATTGAGAACGATGACTACAAGGTCAGGGAAGATGCAAGGGAGAACGTCGGTACACTGGGGCTTAGGCCTAAGGCGTTCGATCGTGTTTGTTCGTGTTAGGATCAGACGCCCTGATGGCAACCTCAGGTTCGTCCGCTCTGAACCTCTTTATTTCTTTATTTACATACAGTTAAGCCCAAAAAAACCTACATATCTGTGTAATGTGACTCGAGAGTCCAGACCTTGCTTTTCTAACGGCTACACCCTTGCGGAAGACGAGCAAAAGCGATGTTCTTCGTCGCGCAGCCCAGCCCGCGGCCCAACCGCGGCCTTGGACCGGCGGTCCCGGACCCCGATAAATCGGGTATTCTGAAGGGGGCCAGGCCATCCGCCGACCGACTTCGTCGCTCGGCTCCTGTCCTGGAGGCTGGTACAGAAGAATGGTAATAGTATTTCCAATGGACGAAGGGGTTTGAATGAAGGAGGAAAGGACAGGTAGGAGAGTCGCACAGTTACATAGCCACATTTGATCCGCGAACGGAATACGCCAAAAGTGAGGGAGTGGTTTTTTCGGTGTGGAGGTGTAAGACCCACTACCTAAAGGTAGCGGGGATAGTTGGTCAACATAAGCGCCCACTGACGACGAGAGCCTACCTTCTAAATTGTGGAATTGAACGTTCACCTTACGGAAATGGGGTACTTATGTCCCTGACTTCAAAAAACGAGAACTTCACACGTTTAGCTCGACAGACCACTACTCGCTGCGCACGAGAGGGAAAGAGTCTAAGCCCGAGCTATCCCCCAGTCTTACAAATTCTCATTTATTCCAGCGATCCCTCTAACTTGAATTAAACCATGCGACACCCGGACTCGAATGGTTACGACCACTTCGTCTCCAGCGAGGCTGGAAAACCAGCCTTTCACTCGCATGTCACTACACGAGATATCCGCCTAACCAAACAAACCCACCGCACACCAAATCGAACCACCAAACCATCGAACCATCGAATCGGATAAAGCAACTAGTAAATACTAACGTGTGGAAAGAAAGAAAGGAAAAGGTAAATGTGAATACTATGTATGTGAAAAGACAGAGAGTGAGAGAGATAGAATTATCATCGTCATCATCATCGTCGTCGTCGTCGTGCAAGTCGTCCAGCATCACCGCCATCCCCATCGTCATACCCCCGTCGTCCTAAAGCCATTACCACCCTCATCGCCCCATCATTATAGCATCATTTCCACCATGGTCGCAGTCGATCATCTCCATCGAGGTTGTAGTCAATCATCTCAACCGAGGTAGTAGTCAATCGCCGCTCTTCCTCGTCATCACCGTGGCAGTAGCCGCAACAACGGCAACATCACTCCCCACTCCTCCTTCCTTCCTTCCTCCACATACTATCCAAAAAACCCAGGTGGCGCGTGTTCCTTCCTATCCAATCCACCCATCCACGCAGCACCACTTGGCCACCCGACCATGAGTCACCACCCTCCTAAACCCCCATCACCCGAGAACCATCGAATCACCCTCCACAGACCCATTCAAACTAGGCGCCGAGCCCGACGCCGAGCCGTTCGGGATGACCGACCCACCAGTTCCTCCCCGCGCACCCGCACTCCCACTCGCACCCCTCCCAACCCTCGCACCCGCCCCATACGCCCTCATCGCAGCGGACGTCGAGACCGAAAGCGACGAGGGCACCGAAGAATTCGAATGCGGTCCTCCCGTCGTCGTGTTGGAATTGAGATTGAGATTGTGATTGTGATTGGAATGGGGATGGGAATTGGAAGCAGACTCATTCCGTTCGCGTTCCCTCTCCCGCCTCTCCCTCTCGCGTTCACGTTCACGTTCCCTCTCCCTCCGCTCCCTTCTCTCACTCCTCCCAACACCAACACCAACACCGCCCAAACCAGCATCACCAATCCTAACATCCCGTCCACTCGCACTCGTATCACCATCCGTCCGTTCTCCTCTCTCCCTTCTATCCCTCTCCCCTCTCTCCCTTTCCCTCTCCGCCCTCCCAAGCGCAGCAGACGCCGAAGCACCACCCGCACCCGCACTCGTCCCCGCGCCCGCCCCAGAAGCCCCTCCAACCCCCTCCTCCTCCGCATCCTTCGCACTACACCAAAACCGATGCCCCTCACTCCACGCCGTACTCTGACACTCTTTTCCACAATACTTGGCCTTCCTACACCTCCTACATTTCGCGAATTCGCGCGGGTAGGATTCCCAGCGGCCGCAGAGCACTATTGCGTACGATAGTAGGGTAGGGTAGGGTAGGGTAGGATAGTAGGGTAGGGTAGAGTAGGGAGTAGAGTAGGGAGTAGGGTGGGGTAGGGAAAGGGAGGGAAAAAAGAGGACGTCAGCTCAACACGAACCACACCGGTAACTTAACCACAAGAATAGAACGGGATACTCACTATTAGCACACTGCCGAATCCCACCCCGACTATCATCCTTCCGACACGCATTCCTCATAATAACACCAGCCCAATACTGTATCTCATTCGGCAACCTCGGAGGTGGGTTCGGCAACTCAGTCTCAGTCGTAGAAGGCTTGAACGTGAACCTTTCGACAAGGGAGAAGACGTTGGTTTGTCGGAGGGGGTGTGGCGTGGGGTGGGTTGTTGGATGGGCGCTAGTGGATTTTGAAGATGAGGAGGAGGGGTGTGATGATGATGAGGAGGGGTGGAGGGAAGAAGACCCGTGTGCTGAGGATGAGGAGGGGTGTTGTGATGTCGAAGAAGTAACGCTAGACGAAGCACGCTCCTTCCCCCGACTCCCAGTCGCAGCCTGCGCAAACGCTTTAAAGAACCCTCCTCCTCCTCCACTCCCCTCTTTCGCATCTTTATCCCTCTCCTTCTGCCTATCCCTCTCCCTCTCCTTCCCCCCTCCTCCCACTCCACTCCCTCCTCCAGATCCCAACCCAGAAGTCCCCGAGGTAGACGACAACCCCGCAGCACCTGACCCCGACCCACTATTCCGCCCAACAGCAACACTAGCAGGATGAAACGTCACCCTCGGCTTATAAAACGCCTGCCTCACATGCGGGTACTTGCTCAAATACGCGAGCAGCTGTAAACCCAAGAGGACATCCTCGTCCCGATAAGGTCCGGATTCTACTTCCCTGTAGTGCGCGTTATTGTTGTTGTTGGAGGCGTTGTGCGAGGTGGAGGCGGTTATGGAGATCGAGGGGTTCGCGTTGGCGTTGGCGTTATTATTCGTATTGGTGTTGGCGGTAGCAGTCGTTTGAGTAGCACCGGCGTTGGTCGCAGGGTGAGCAGTCGCCGTCATCGACGAACTCCCACTCCGCACAACCGGCCCAGGCCCATCACCCCTCGCCCTCAGCGTGCGCTGATGGGCAATCGGCGAAGGCGCGGGATGAGGAGGGAGCGGGACGGGCCCACCACGCAGCGTCCCCGTCGACTCTGCGGAACCAGGGAGACCGATGAACCCCGCGCGAGGGGTTACATCCGGTGCGTCCACCGTCTGGTTATTGTTGTGGGTATTCCCGCTTCCACTCGCACTAGCACCCCCAGCACCCGTCGTACCATTCGAACTCGTATTCCGTCGTCTACCACCAGTATCATGTCCTCCCAGAATCAACGTATGCGGATGCGGATGCGGGTGAGGATGCGGGATGGGCCGTGCATCATTCGGTTCAGCGACAGTGATAGCCCCAGGCGCACCAGGCGGCGCACCCATCGCAAAATCGTCATTCGCGACGGTCCCAAGCGAGACGAGGCCATCCACCACACCCACCTCGCCGTCATCGCCCACCCCGCCTACACCGACACCCCCGTCTGCCGCGCCGCCACCGGCTTGGTTGATGATGATATGCGCGTCGGCGTTCAGGCCGAGCGCACCGTGCGGGGGCGGCGGCGCAGCAGGCGCGTGCGCGTGTGCGAGTGGGTCGACGAGCCCCGCTGGCCGGCGGGTGATGGAGAGGCGGCCGACCCTCGTGCGGTGGTGCGGTGTGCGTTCGGGGGAGGGCGAGACGGAGGTCGTCGACGTGTTCCCCGACGAGTCCTGCGCATGCCTCGACGCATCGTCCATATCCACGTCCGCACTCGAGTCGGGCTCGCCGTCGTCCTCAGTCTCGGTCTCAGGCCTGGACGTGTCCGTCGACGAGGCGTTGCTGCTGCGGTAGTGGTGCGTTCGTGCCGTCACTGTGCGGTGGTGGTGGTGGGAGATGGTTGGTGGCGCTGTCGCGGTGGTGGGTGTTGGGACGGTGTCTCTGGGTCTGGTCGGAGGTGCGATTACGGTCCCTGAGCGATCCCGGTTGGGGATGACGACTGATCCTGTTGGTGTGCCGGAGCCGAGGGGAGTGGTGGCCATGCTGGCGTCTGCAGACATGTCGGTGTCGCTGTTGGCGCCTGGTGTCGAGGAATGGGAGGAGCGGTCGATCAGGGAGGAGGAACTTGGCGAGGGGCTGGGTGAGACGTCCATCGCGTCTTCCTATAATCCAATCAGTACATACACAATTAGAGTAGAGAAGATAACATACATCACGATATCGAGTGTCAATAGGTCTTAGGGTGCGATTATCATGGCGCAGGAGGCGCTGTTGCGTCTGCTGCAGGGCCCGCTGGAGCTGTGCGGCTTCTTCGCGCTGTCTCGCCTCCAACTGCGCCGCCTTCCGTGCCTGCCTCTGCTCCTTCGTCTCTCTAGGCAGCCCAGTGGCACTCGAGCTTGGGCCCACAGCGAACCCCTTGCTCGCGAGCCATGCCTCGAGGACGCAGCCGACGACATCGAGCGTGCCAGCTTGGACCACGCGACTGCGGATGTGTTCACTCCCCCTAACACCGATATTTACTACACACTGGAAGGCGAGGGAGAAGCGGTAGGCGGCATGCTTATCGAACGATGTTGGGTTTAGAGTTGGGCCTGGTTTGGGGGGTCGGGAGTTGGGTGGGGTCAGGCCGTAGATGAGGGCTGGGTTCTCTGGGGGCGTAGGGGATATGCAATAGTCGTGTAGCATGCGTACTAGTCGTTCCAGTCCGCCGTCTTGGGTCATTATTTCTCGGATGCGCGGGGAGGTGGAGGTCAGGTACGAGAGATGGGTAAGCGAGTTGAACAGTGGCAGCGGAGCCGACGTATCCAGCGCTTTGGGCGTTTCGTTAGTCCTATACTCGGTTTATGAGCGTCAAAAGCTCACCTCGTCTGTCATAGAGCTGAGAGTTTATACAGACACATGCTTTATTCTGGTTGGGAAAGCAGTGATTCGATTCTCGCATTCCAAGGTCTCCAAGCTACGGCTGACACCCTGTTAGTTCACTTTCTTTCCGCTTTGTTTCAGTTACTCACTGTAAATGAAGGGATTTAGTGTTGTAAAAGGGCAGAAATTGACCTGAAACGACGTCGAGAAGGGGTGAGTGTGTCGCGCCGTCGTCGCGGATGGAAGGAGAGAGAGCAACTAATTTGGTCTTGTTTGTACCGTGGCTGAGTTCTCTTCCAGTCAGGCTCGCGGTCCACACGTTGTCCTCGATCTTTTGTTCGACGACAACAACAACAACTCTTATCGTTATCCTATGTGGCGAAGAGCAGAAGGTCACTTTCTTCACTGGCCCCATCCCCGATGCCGTTGACTCGATGTGACTCCGACTCCCGACGCTCTGATCCCTGCACTGGTTCTGGTACGCTTACCAAGAAGTATCGACCTCTCCATAAAATCTTGGTCATTCTGCCTGACTGCTGCTGTCCTAACCGACCCTCCCAGTCACCCAACCCCCGACCATCACCACTCGAGTCTAGGACTTGCAACTCGACCCGCCTCGGACGTCGCCCCAGGCGCCACCAACTGCCAACGTCGGTCAGCCAAACCAACAGAGGAACATTTGACAATAAGTAATACCTTCACCATTCAACTGTTCTTCGTTGCCATGCAGGGTCTGAACAACTCGTCAAAGCCTCGCTCTGGAGGTAGTGTCATGACGTGAACAGACATGGCTCACGCACCATTATTATCGCGGTTGAGGGGCATCGAGTCTGATCCCCGCTCCACACAGGGTGTGGTACGGAGATCTGCCTTCTTTAGTCTTGTCCTTTCTTATCTTACCTATTCTCTCCAGCCTCATCCAGTGCAGACTTTCAAGTTGGTGCGACCTGAGAAATGGGTTCCCGCCTCCTGTGTTACATTGCGACAAAGGCAAATTCGACCTCAAAGATCGAACAACTAGACGTGACTGACACCGGCTTGACCCTTTGAACTAGCCCAGGCAAAGTCAAAGTTTTGAATTCGATGTTTTTTTGTTCTCTCTTTGCCCCTTCCTTTCTCGTCCGTTCTTCAGACTTGAAGGGCGACGCACGGAAGGACGCACGTTAGAATCGCAGGACGCACGAACGTTAGCTTTCTCTCACCTTTTCTGCCTGCATCGACCCAATGTGACGCTTAAATGCGACCCGCTAGAATCACTGGTAGAGGAAGGGAGTCGGGCGTGGTTGTGCCCTTAGACGTTATCATTTTTGGAACAGGGTTCTCACTGGTAAGCCCGTGTTCCTCTGAATCGCGATGCGAAGTCTGAACAATCGTCGGAAACTTCGTGGCTCGCGAACAGTACTCTATGGCGAGCACAGATATGGGTAAAGTGCAATGGTTACTGTCGAAGGGCGTTCTGATCCCACTCGTACAGGAGGTATCATCATGACGCAGATCTTTCCTCTTAGTCTTGTCCTTTCTTTCCTATCTCCTTTAGCCTAATCCAGCGGCCCAGGTCAGCTCAACCATTATCACGGACATCGTTTTGATTCCAGTTGGGAATCGGAGAACACCTCTTCCCCGCCTTTCGAGGGGATCCGTCCGCTGGTTGGCCAATGGGTGATTATCCCGACGCGGTATAACAGAACCAGACACGCCACCGCAGAATTCGAATTCGAACTTGCAAGTACATACCACTACAAGTTCCCGCTTTAATTAATTTTGTTCTCGGAGGAGAGATAAAGAAGCACTTCGGGGATCATCATCCGCTTTCCTTGTTCCTCGATTAGTCTGGATGATCATGTGTCCTCTCCAAGCTCCTCGATAATCCTCATTTCCTTCCGCTCCTCGGTTCACATTTCCGTCTACTTACTTGCCAGTCCTGGACTAAACCAAAGAGAGCGAAACGAAACGGCTCGGAAACAGAATCTGTATCTGTATCTCGTCCCCATCTCGTACCTCTCTTCCCACCGATTCCAACCCTTCCCTCCAAAACCATCATTACTATCTATACCGGTGAGTGTCCGCCCTGGCGCTTCTGATATCGATACCTAACCTATCAGCCAGTGCATCACCGTCCTTGTTCGCCTCCGCTGGCTCTATCCTCTGTCGGTTGCTGAACCCCTCCCAAGTGGCCAGGTCGAGACTCGGTGGCCCTCAAGAAGAAGAGTCGGGTACGTCAGTTGTCCGAATATCGTCGACGTCAGTTATCTCAGCCTCGCATTCGAGTTTCGACGGACGTCGGCATGATATGCATCCCACCCTCCACAGATCACACATCAAATTCGATGAACTTTAATCCTCGGAGCAAGGAACTTTATTCTACAGGCCTATTGTTCTCAGCCTTTCTCCGTACTAGTCTACGAATCCGACCTTGAATATACTTACTTACTTGATTTGACGAATTCCGCCTTTCGTCGTCACGGTCACGGGTTGCGTGTAGCATCGCATGAGAAAACGAGGTGCATCTACGTACGTCTGTATATTGAGCTTTCCAAGTTCAAGCCTATCTCCCTCGTGTTTTCACACCAAAGATTCCAACTTCCATTCCAGCCTCCTGCTACTAGTACTGCGGCGGCCAACGTTCTTCCAAAAGGCCATCTTTACATAAAAAAAAAGTCAAAAATTATTCGCCTCCTCGTACCTAGTCTCAATCTCAGGTTCCTAAATCCGACTTTTCGAAAATTCCGATTCACTCCTCTACGAAATCATGTTCCCATCTCGTGAAATCTCCCAATCTCATTCGCCTCGCTAAGTAGCAGAGTCACCTGAACACGCCCTGAACACCCCTCCCACAAGGTCTGCCCCTTCAATACATACTAGTAATTCTGAGTCACATCATTTTCTGTCGGTGTCCAACCGTCAGTTGGTCAATTCACTTCGCTTTACTTACTCTCGAAAGTAGTTGCAACTGTTTTACATATACTTCTATATATGACAATATCTTACTTTATTCTCTCTGTAATGAATGATGAAATGAACGATGTTCAGGCCCAGTGAGAAAGAGAAGAGAGAGAGGGGAGTAGTCTAGACTCCATTCTGGAAGAAGAGAAGATTACCTTTTCCTATCGTGGCGTGCTCACTGGCACTCTCTCTCTCTCGCTATGTCTCCGCCGCCTTTCTACTTACCTTTGTGTGGGGCGTTCATAATAATATCTCTGTTTTCCTATCTCGGGAGAGGAGTTCTATTCTGTTCTACCCTTCTGCGTCTCCTACCTATCCTGGGGGACAATAGTGATCATCCCTTCTGTCCTCCTCTCCTCTCTTCCTTCTTTGGTCGATTGTTTCTCTCCCCAGGTGCGTAAATCGGCTCAGGCTCGTAATCTGGTCTGGGGAACCTCGAATCGAGAGTCGAGAACGGTGTCGTAGGGACACAGCCTGAGGTCACGGTTCCTGCAACACAAAGCAATTCAACTGCACCCCCAGCCTGGAGATTTGTTGGATTCGGACGTACGTTTGGTGTAAGTACTTCGGCACAAGGGAGTCGTCGTCGGCGCTCTGAATCTCCGCCGCACCGCCTACGTACGCCGCACCAGTTGAAGAATAAAGCAGTCGCATCTTGTACGACTCGGAGGAGTCTCTCCCCCTTCTCTCGTCGCCGGGGAACACTTACCTCCGCTCTTAGGTTCACCGTTCAGGTTCATCAGCAGCGTCCTCTCCGACGGCTATGTAACCGGTCTTGTTGGCGATTTATTTTTACTACATACCACTCCTTACGACATCCACAATGTGGGGTACATACATAGAGGTCCGAGTCGGTTTGATGGCTGTGCCTGTACACATAATACCTGCTTACCCTTGCCACCCCCAACTTAGGCACAGCACTGGGCTCCCCACCAGCACCAGCCGGCACCCTTGGAAGTTAGCCGAGGCTCAAATTTTGTAAGTAACAGGTGGGCGAATGTAAATTACTTATGTAACATAGATACATACAATCCAATAGTTGCCCTCCTCCTCCTCCGAGTCCGCATGCCGCGTCGCTGTGCTCCGATGCGGGATTATGTATACGTCGTCGTCCTAATTTCCCGGAGAGAAAAGACTGAATTGTATTGTCGTACATATTTTATGCTTTTAATCTATCACTGAGCATGTGGGTCGAGAGGAACGAGGGACGACGGAGGAGAAAAATTTAAATGCGTCGGTAGAGTGAACAGTGGCACTGTGCATGGATAGAGTAAGTAGTAGAAGCATGAATAAGGCCCAAGCCTCAGGCTGGTCAGGGCTTAGGGAGTGAAAGAAGGGCTTTGCTGGTAAAACAAGGACTTTGGATTCGGAGGGGAAGCGTGGATGCGTAGGGAGATACTCAGGCGGTGGTGCCTTCGCGCTCGTCGGAGTCGTCGGCGATCAGAAAGTTGCGAGATTGTGTCTGATCCCCTAGCGAGCTTCGGAGACGGGTGGATTTCACGATTTCACCACATCGTCAGGCAGGACGAGCATCCTTCTCCTCTATTAACTCTGACAATAGGACAAGTTGGAGTTGTTGGAAGGCTCCAGAATCCAGACACTGCGAAGAACTCCCAGATAAAAGGTCGAACTTGTTGCCGATTTAGGAAGGCAAGAGAGGATCACATCGCCATCGCCATGTCAATGCAACCAGTGTTGCTGGACACGAATCCATTCATCCCGAATGCCAACGCCGTCCCTTGTCTCCATAAGACCCTCGAGTACCACTGGCAATGCACTGCACAGCGCAAATTGAAAAATCCTTAGATACTACACTTTAAGGACTTGCACACTCCTCTAGTGGTCGCCGCAATCAATACGATTTGGAACTTAACAGAGATCAGCGGTGTTGGTCACGGTGTCGATGTCGATGTTGAATGTTGACGTCTCTGTGTTGACGGATGTCATAACATCTCGATGCGCCGTTCTTGTTCTACCCAGGCTTGTGGCGGGGATCCAATCGTCGCACGTTGAGTTTGAGCGGGGGATTCATTGGGCTATCGGCGGTACATCAAGTATTTCCTTGAAGCCAATACATGGACTCGCTCGCACAAGCCTGGAGCGTGAGGGACGTCGACCAGTAACTCATGTTCATTGAGCCAGGTGTGAATTTCATTCGTCGAGGAGCCATAAGAAATATCTATTGGCTCTCTTTGGTGAGCGTAGGTAAAGGCGATCTGGGCCCCCATGACCAGCACATCGCATCGAGTATTCCCTTCTCGAATTCTTCGACTTGACTGGATCAATCACTTTCCTGTCGAACACTGCCAGCCTTCTTTAATTCCCGAGTGATCTTCACACTTCGCCTTTTCCTCCTCTGATGTGCGACATGTCTTGAGGTGGGAAGTAGTAGATCCCTCCGTAGAAATGGTCCTAAACGACATTCTGGAGAAACAAAAGGTAGGGAAAAATTCCCCACCCGCCTGCACGAGGCTCCAACCAGCACACCCCCAAACCCAAAACTCCCGTTCCTTTTGACCCAAATATTCCACAACTCAGCCGCCCATCCCTCTGTCGCACTCTCTCACAATACCAAACCGGGAAGGAATTAAATCTCCTTTTAAGGAGGCCTGAAGGGGCCCACAAACTCCATCCAGTTCAAACGCCATGATCCAGCTGTGTGTGTGCCTGGACTTGGAGATGCGATGACAGATCTCGGAATCTGGGGAAACCTAATCTCAAAGGGAGATCAATTTGTATGGATGTGCTTAATGTAATGTACGTACCCCGTAAATAAGCGAGTTATATTGTTGTTGTGGAATCTGGGCTGGTGCCACAATAGCTTGGGAGAATAACGAGAGTGCGTAGTATCGCGCGTCCTTGGAAGTTGCGACTTGATTGCAGCAGTGGCTCTGAGGGTGGTTGAATGCGCATGCGATGCCCGGACGAGTGAAAGAAGATTCACAACTCGCTTCCAATCAAATTACCCGGCGGCTTCTCGAGTAGGTCACGCCCGTACAGAAAGCCCGTCCTCCAAACAAGTTAGGCAAGGGTGCAAGCCCTGCGACGCATGCGCAGCCAGTCACATCACCTGGACTAGTATGTACAACCCAATACCACGGTCGATCGAGGACCCCCAACACCACGGGGACGCAGTGCTACCCTGCCTGTCTTCTTTCCTTTCCCCAAACAGATGGGGAGATGGCAAGAGGGCCTGCCTCGTGTAGCCTCGTGTCCCAAGCCCACCGACTGGTGGTTTGAACTCCTCTAGAGATCGTTATTTTGGATTCCGAAAGAGGTCATGCATGTAGCTGCCAAGCGCTTGTGGCGGATTATCTGCCTTGATTGATCACACTGGGCGCCCGTTTGGGATCCAGATGAATGTCGGCTGTTTGGTTTTCTTGACTGGTGGGTGGAGGAAGACGAGAGCGGTAAATATTTCAGTAGTCTCCGCCGTTCCCTTGAGCTTCTTTCTATGGATGGTATCTCAAGGCGCAGGTAGGTAAAGAGGAAGACGTTAGCGTGTGTATAGCATTCCGTCGTAGTTTTAGGTGAGTACAGGGCCGTAGGTTATTTACAGACAATGACTCGTCAATGGAACGTCGTCGGGATTATAGTACATACAATGGGCGTGAATAATCTAATCAAAACAACACGGGTACAAGAGAAGCGAAAGGAATAAATAAAAAGAGAAAACAATGAGCAGAACAAATGCAAGAAGAAGGAAGTAGTAAAAAGCGAATAAGATATAAGAGTACAAGAGAAGGGGTGAAATTGAAGGAGGGGGAATAAATAGGGTTAAAGGGAATGTAGAGTCCAGATGGGAGAGAGCAGAGGCGTAGCGGAGTACAATGGAGGATAGTACAATAGCGTCCATTGTCGACCCGTTATGGGTCGAATTCGGTGTGCAATCATGGTGTGCCGTAGGGGACGAAGAAGCCAGTTCCCCGTCCAATCGTAGAAATTAGTCCGAGACTGTGCATAGGTGTAGAGGAGGGGAATGGGACATAGAGAGGCCATGATGAAACAATGAAGAGGAAGCATAGCGATGAGAGGAATGAAAAAACATGCCGAGAGACCCAACACAAAACCCTGAAGGCGCCGGAAACCGATAAACCGAGAGAGATCACGCGGAGTAGGATGAGGAGTTGGGATACTGAAGGGAATACGACGAAGTGGAGGAGACCGGCCAGTTGTTGTAATTCGCCACAGAGTCGAAGTCGGAAACGAGATGATAGGATTGAGCGGATGCTGAAGGCGACTCATACGCGAGCGGTGAAGACATGAGCTCTGAGAGAGCTCCGGCGTTGGCTTCGAACAGGGGGTCGACGGTGTAGGTGGTTTGATATGCAGGATGCTCGTGGACGAGGGAAGAGGTAGGGGTCGACGGCTCGAAAGGGGGGTTGTAAGTCCCTGCAGCGCTGTAAACCGCCGACTGGGCATACTGGAATGCGACCGAATACTTGACGATCATACTTGAGAACGCCTCGTCCCCGAGAGGAGTGATGTGCTGGACGAACGAGTAATTGTGCTCTGTTACGACGAGCCCGATCAGCCATCCACGCGCACGTCCGGGACGAGAACCAGAGAAAATTACTCACGGAGGAACGTATCGTTGGCCATGTTCTGCCAGATGTCGGAGGGGAAGTCGGCGGAGAACTCTCCGCTGTTGGATGCCCTCATCGTACAGGAGTAAGTCCCAACGGGGCCATGATTGTCAAAGATCTCAAAGGTGTTGTGATATACTCGAGTGCGATCGAGCGCATCGGAGGTGATGGTGAAGGGGGGTGCTCGGAGGACTTGGGATCGAGGAATGCTACAGATGACGGAGATTCTCGAGTCCTTGACGTCTTCAAGAGCACGGAGAGGAGCGGCTGGGAGGTCGAGGCAGACAGGTCGTGGTTGGTTGGGGACGTGCCGCCATTCATCATCGCAGACGTAGATAGTCAGCCAGACGAGGTGAGAAACGGCAGAGAGGAGGTGATTGGGGGTGGCAGGCGATAGAACGAGCTCTTCTATTTCACGATTTAGGAGCGTAACGTCGGAGCAGTCTGATTTGAGGTCAATTGAGTCGAGAGAGCGATCGGATAGAGGAGACCGCGACTTGGCGACAGAGGGAGGCGGAGTGCGGTCTTCATCAGTGTCGCTGTGGTCGTCATGAGAGAAGCGCGTCAAATCCGTGAGTTCGCGACGAACTAGAGAAGGTTGAAGAAGAGATAAGTCGAAGTCGTCGCACTGAAAACGAAGCCACCTTACTGATCGGGTCACGACACGTCGCGCGAAGTTGTTGGATACGAGAGCCGACTTGCTTGGGGGTTCGAATCTTGCCAGTGTTCTGAAGAATGAACTCGGAGATGAGCTTATTCCTTCGAGGGAAGCGCTGAAGCTGATTTCGCCCTCTTCCACTCCGTGAAGCAGGCGGTGTGTACATCGCAATCCCTGCGGCGCTCCGTCAGTCAGCGATACTAGCCAAAAGGACAAAGGAGATTGTCGGACCTTGAAGCAACCATGACTCGAGGTAGTCCGGCCAGATGGCCTCTTTCTTTGTTTTGTCCGTCTTGTAGGTCTTTCGACCTGTCTTCCCCATTGACGACTCGGTAGGAAGATGACGGGTCGGGGAGGTGCCCAAGTCGCAGAGCGGCGTTGTCTGCGTGAAGTGAACACCGGCGACACCAGTAAGCTGCGACATGATCAGGAGGGTGGCTGATCCACTGGAGAGACACTGGGAGGGAAGGGACGAGGAGGGACGATTTCGCTCAAAGGTTGTGGCTAGCCCCAGAGATCCATTAATACCTTTTCGGCTACCAAAACAAGTCGGGGATTTCGTAAGTGTCCTCATCGGAGATCCAGAAGAACGGGGTCGAAATGTTCTGTCAAGCCGTTGTCAGATTTTCGACAAACGTGTTTGGGGATTACTTTGGCTTGGCCAATGCGTTGAGGCGATTAGGCTTTCTGGCTTGTCCGCTCCGTACCTGCTTACCCCCCGTCCCTGCCACCCTTGGTGAAAACCAAAAGGACTAAGCGATTCTCCTATATCTCGCATGCCAAGTTTGATTTGCCGTAATAAAACCCAATGCGGATTAGACTTGATCAAACTGCGGCCTTGACATCGACTTCTGAACTTGGAAGAGACGTCCACGTCCTTGGGTCCGACTTTTCGTCGCCCATATGTTCGCGTCCTGAATTGATGAAAAGAATGGCTTTCACGGCGAAAAATGGGCCCGGAATCCATTGAGCACATTCCAATGGCTGTTCCTGTGCATGGATATGCGATGCCCTTGTTATTTTAGTGAGTGAGGAGGCTATGAAAACGGGCGCCTAGCGTTCTCCAGCACCGCTTGCGCACAAGATTCGGTTCCCTGTAATTATCCTTAGCCTCATCAGTGGGAATAAAGAATAATTTCTCATAAAATATACTCGATGTGAGGTGAGATTGCGCAAAATAGTGAACCTAAATATGCCATTCACCGACTTTCGGGGTGGATACAGATGGGGATCCCGGTTTGGTTGGGACAGAGAAATTAGTCGCCGTAGCTAGGCGCTTCGGCTCAACTGCATCCACCCAGATCCAGCCCCTGTAGCGTTCAAAACTCTATTCAATTCTCGCCCTGAATTTTGTGTTTTGTGACCAGGGTCTTCCAGGACGATGCGCGAGCATTAAGCAACGTGCAACGCCTGACTTCGAAAAATGTTCCCTAAGAAATTGTCACTATGACAAAGGTACGCTCTTTGGAGGAGCTTCTGTAGGTGTTCGGCACGCCATATAGTACGGCGGCTGAAGCTGGCTGAAGCTAATCTATTTGATGTATTCGACCCTTTTTGCGTGACTATTCTCAACTTCCGAGTCTCAAGGCCTCGATCGTGTAAATTCGACCTTGGAAGCAGCTTGTCCAAGGAGATTGGTTGAGCATGCGTCGCCTTTTGAGAAAGGGTTGCGCACAGAGAAGGCGGTGTTAAAGTGGTAAGCCTGCGTAAGGTGCGAGCACATGATCATGGATGATCATCCCCATTCCAACATCCAATCACCAGGCACCCATGCTTCACTTTACGTTGCACGTCGAAAGGGAGGCCTCCGCTCTGTGTACGGCTCGCCCCCAAGGCATATCAAATGACTGTACTACATATTCTTAGGCCAATCGCTACTTCTCAGAAGGTGAAAAGCGCCAATCGGAGAGCGCCTTCGTCGAGCGCTTGTCGTTGAACAGAGTGTCGAGGATGTCGGCACCATTAACAAGCCACACTGATCGATCAAGTGTGCTCCACTCCACAATCTCGACGGCTCGTTTGTCAAATGGAGAGGATACGACTTGGTTCCGCGGAAGAAAAAAAATTAGTGAATGATTGCGCCGAATAGAACTAGCGACTAACGACGTGAATTCGAATTTACAATGGTCGGAAAGCACTCGTTTTTTACCCATCGTAAAGAATGGAAGACCCGGACAATATCTCTGAAGAACGGCGACGTCGAGTGTCCATACAGTAAAGTTTCGACCCATCAAGTAGAAAAGGAATGTTGAAATGTCTATCATGGTGGCTGGCTCCCCTCTAATCAATCGTTGACGTAGCGAACGGTTGAAGAGAGTCATTTCTTCATTGTCTTTACCGAGAGGTGAGCTAGGAGGCGCCCTTCAGATCATTTCAATGCCCATAGGGCCTACTCATACGATCATTCCAATAGTTTTATCTCATTGTCCTAGGCGATGCCGCACAGAATGCCGTATCTCGAAGCGATTTGCGGTGGAGTAGGTGTTCAAGTGGTGCTGAAGGTTGGAGATCGAGGAATGGCCGCCTCCGGCGGCTCCCTCTGAAAGGAGTTCCCGGGGAAGAGTTTGGGACAAGCTCGTGTTTAGTAATATCCAATGTAAATTCGATAGAACAATAGAGTTGCGGCGGGTTTGCTTATTGAAAAGAATTTCGAAATCGGATGTAGGAGAGCGCTTGTTGTTGCACAGGACTCAGGATATGAAGCTGAGGTGAGGCCCACCAATGAGAGGTCACGGTCGAAGGTCAGCGGAACCTGATCCAAAGCTTAAACGCTGGGAGAGGAAGGGCAGGTCAGGCGTCTCTGGGCTCTGATTGGACGGATTTTAGGGTCCCTTTCCTTGTGGCCAATCAGAGCGCCTCCCAGTTCGGCGGGGCACCCAGATCTCCGGAGACGGAACTGGATCACGATGGCGCCCCCCTGTATGGCAGAAAGGATGCGTTGCATTTAAGGTGAACTCTGAGGCGCACGATCTGATCCCCGACGACCACAGTGCCCATCGACGAGGCGTGGGGGCCCCTACCCACCCTTGTACCCTTAATTCGAGCTGCTTTTGGAAGGTGCGCATGAGGTGGGAAGGGGAGGATCGACCAATCAGAGCCCCTAGAGACTCTGGAGGAAGGAGTACTAATTATGACTATAGTAGTGGCGCTGTGGCAGAATGCGGTTACAATTGGACTATTGGAACCTCGATTGGGAGAGCCAATGAATGTGGTTAAACTTTTGCAAATGCTGAGAGCCCTGCTTGCGAAGCTCGCCTGATCAACGTTCGCTCCCACGGTCTTTCCAATCGCAACTTGAGGCTTGGTGGACGTTGTTCGATTGCATCTCTCGTATGCTAAGAAAGTGTCTGATGGGTCATCTCATCGGCCTGGCTCTGTCTCCCCTTTCTTAAACCTCACCTAATCAGGCGAAGGCTTTCTGTGACTTCGCTGTGACCACAGGCTGAATGGATCTGTGTCCGAGGAGGGGGCCTCTGTCTCCGCTGGGCCCTGCTGATAAAGGCAAGTTTTCGGGTCGAGAGTAAAATTATCCTGCCTCATGACGCGTTCTCAACCTTTTCTCCTGTACACCTGCATCCTGGATGCGCAAGTCGCGCTCAGGGCTGTCCTTTGCCCGAGTCTCTTTGCAATGTTGATGGAAAGGAAGCAACACCTTTCACTCAGAAATTTTTCCAGGTGATCCATTGCCCTCAGCGTCTCCATTTTTACAGCATAGCAGAAAGCCTTTCCCAAATTATCGCCCTCTGAGAGCGCTGCCAGGAGGTAGGCGCACAGTGCGCCTACATGATTTAAGCGCCGTCCAGACGGAGTGCAAACACACGGCACGCATCGGCAAAGGAGGCGAGCGGTCACGTGACCTTGACTTCAGGGTCTGCGAAATTCGGGAACTTTCTGCGGGAAAGCCTTTTTCTTCCGCTCGCCACGCTTCTTCGTTTCTTTACCCTTTCTTCTCTCCAATCTTCCTAAGTTCCTAATGGTACGCCAGATTCTTGAATGTACTTGACCCATTGCTAACTGCGACTTCAGGCTGCCCAGGCTACTTTCAAGTCTATCAGGTCCTTGGTTCCTCTCCTCGACCGCGTTTTGGTCCAGCGCTTCAAGCCCGAAACCGTGAGTTGGTCACTTTATGGTTATAGTCAACACGACTGACGACTCTGCTCTCGACTAGAAAACTGCCTCTGGCATCTTCCTGCCATCGTCTGCAACCAACAACCCCTTGCCTGAGGCCACCGTCATCGCTGTTGGCCCTGGGGCTCCCAACAAGGACGGCGTCATCGTTCCCACCACCGTGAAGGCTGGTGACCGCGTTCTGCTTCCTGGTTGGGGAGGAAACGCCATTAAGGTCGGCGACGAGGTGCGTAAACCCAATCCTATGGTCCGGAATGTCGTCGCCGACTGCCACGTCAATTACAGGAATACTACCTTTTCAAGGACTCGGAGATTCTCGCCAAGATCAACGAATAGGGGACAGGCGCAGAGAGTTTAGAGCATATTTGAGCATTGTTAAAAGTTAGCTATCGGTCTTCTAATCACTGTCACACTAATTGCATTTTGAATCACACATACCTTCATTAGCCCACTGTCCGTAACTATTCGCGACTTAATTCATCCCCACTCTGAACGGCTCAACCTTGCTTGGTATCCTTGAAACCACTCGAATGGCCCCCAATCGGTCCACGTAGTTCTCGTTGCAGACCCGCATGGAATTGGTTTTCCTGTCTCATGTACGGGGTTCGCAAATGCGTGGACTGTCGTTCCAAGTTATGGCTGCAAGGACTCTACTGTTTGCCCCTTGCGTGCCGACAGCTCTCGTTCCAATGCTCGTCGTTTCTCCGCATCCAACCAGATAAAACGCTCGTCCGGTGTACCTGGGGTAGCTCACGCCTGTAACTTGGAGCCCTCCCTGGGGGGTAGGGCAGATCTTCCATGACGCATATTGGTTGCCAAATGCGGTTTTGAAACTGGGCTGACTCTCAATCGAGACCATTATCTCATTTGAACGAATAGAAGTTGAACGGGCTTGTAATCCAACTATGTATGTACTCTGTCGGAACCCTAGTATGTATTCCCGCGAAACAGTGCTCCTTTGAGGCTATTTTTCACAGGTAGCTCCGCCTTTACTAAGGAATGGACCACCCGGAACCATCACGGAGCCTACAAATGATGGTCCCAGATCAAAATTTTGTTCCTTGCTTACTACTCGCAACTCAAAGGGTCCGCATCGAGGCTGGTACACCATGGCTTCTCTCTTTTCTCCTTTTCCTGTTTTCCCATTACAGCACGCCCACTATTTTTACGTCGTAGTTGGACGCCGTCCTGCAAGGGCATAGAACGGTCGGTTCCGAGAAGTCGAACCATATAAACGACCCTCTGGCAGCTTCGAGGGCTTCCTCTATCATCTCTGGTCCATTCAAATCCTCTTTGGACTGTGGTCGCAACATTTGGGTACTACTGTCAACCGCACTCCAGTTGATCCCACCGTCTCCACGAGCGCAGCAGTAATGATCGAGGAACAACAGCGACGACGACACTCCGAGCCAAGTCTCGTCCAAAACGGCACCGACGAGAGCCCAACGGCTTCCACGATACTTTCCCCGCCACCGACGACGGCCAATTCGAGCAGGAGTGACACCGCGATCAACGTTGGCAGCGATGATAATATTAATGGCTTTCGCGGCGGCTCCCCGGCTGCTTCGACTAGCTCGCGTGGAGGGAAAGCTTCCGCACCTTCGTCGTCGAAATTGAAATCTGTCCTCGTTGTAATGACAATGACGACCGCCATGATGATAAATGTACGTTGCTACCCTATCCTTTTGTCTTCTTGACGTGTTTCGAAAAGACGGTTTGACGTCGCAAAATGCGTTCATTCATTACAGATTGCGAACAGTACTTCTGTCAGTATCGCGCTTCCAACGATCGGAAGGGAGCTCGGACTCCATGAAGCCGATTTGCAATGGTTGGTTTCTGCATACCCTCTGAGTTCGGTGAGTAGCCGTATCCATTACTTCTCTGGTAAACGTTTGTTGACTCTTGGATAAATGATCGATGTGGTGATAGGGGTGTCTGCTGCTTGCTTTCGGTCGGCTCGCTGATCTGTACGGTCGAAAGCTTACTTTCATCTTGGGGTCTGCTTTCCTGACCGCGTTCACCCTGGCCTGTGCTTTCCCCTCTGGTGAGCGCACTCTTCTTGCCTGATCGGCAATCGTGCTCACTGTCACCCAGATATCATCGCTCTGAATATCCTACGTGGGGTCCAAGGCCTCGGCGCTGCCGCAACCATACCCGCGTCCGTTGGTATTCTTGCACACCATTTCCCACCCGGCAAAGCTCGCAGCTGGGCCTTTGCTACATTCTCCGCAGGTGCTCCTGTCGGTGGTATCTTTGGCTCTGCAGTAGGGGGTGTGCTGACTGAGTTTACGGCGTACGTTCTATTTCCTTCCATCTATTAGATCCCTACCCTGCCTACGACTTAATTAACCTCCATTCTCTAGCAAAACATGGCGGTCATCTTTCTACTTGATGGCTGGAATGACCTTCTTGTCCATGGTCTGCGGGGTGTTCTGTATCCGAAGCGATACACCGCCTGTGGATGTCGACAAGAGGATCGACTGGCTAGGCGCACTGATCATCTCCGCTGGACTCGTTCTTATCGTCTTCGTGCTCGGGCAGGGAGAGATCGCGCCTAACAAATGGGCCACACCGTGTATGTCCCTCCATTCCTCCATCATGTCTATCTTTATCGTCCTGAGCTGCTTAATCTCCGCCCCTTGCGTCACTGACAGACATCATCGCGCTCCTCATCGTCGGCGTCATCCTCGTGGCCGCCTTCCTATACTGGCAACGTTACCTGGAGAAGGTCCAAAACGATCCTAATGCACCCTATTCAGTGTGGACGCCACCGCCCCTAATGAAGATGTCGATCTGGACGAGAGGCAATGGTCGATTCTCGGCCATGATGGCCATTGCGTTTTTAGAGTGGTGTTGCTTCTTGGGCTGGTCTTTCTGGATTCAGGTGAGTCACTTTCTATTTTCAGTACGCGGAGTTGTAGATCTGATTGGGCTGGTGCGACGGCGTCGTATAGCTGTATTACCAGAATTATGTTGGTCTTACGCCTTTGAAGACGGTGTTAAGGTTGCTGCCTATGACGGTGTCTGGAATCCTGTGCAATATCTTCATTGGTATTTTCGTCGCGCGCATTCCGATAGTTTATTTGACTGGTGGGTACTCGTATCCCTCTACCTTGATAACCGTTGTTCATCTTTCTTTTTCTAGTCATTGGAACGGGGGCAACAGCCGTCGCATGTCTGCTCTTCGCTATAATCGAACCCGAAGTGACGTTCTGGGCTTATGGCTTCCCAGCAGCCGTACTTGTCGTCCTAGGCGCCGACTTTATCTTCTCAGCTGGGACAATCTATGTGGCCAAGGTCGCCCAACTGGATGAACAGAGCGTGGCTGGTGGCCTATTCAATACTATGACGCAGGTGAGTCGCATTTGGCGCCTCGAGCTGAACCGAGTTTGTTGATCGTCGATCTACCGCTAGCTTGGCACGGCTCTGGGCGTAACTGTCTCGACTGTGGTGTACAACTCCATATCGGCGAGGGCAGGGCCTGATGCGGATCCACTCCCCGCTTACCACGCCGCGCAATGGGCGAACTTTGCTTTTGGTGTTATTGGTATGTTCAAACCGTGCATACTTCTGCCAATTTCTAAACTTAACCGGTTCGCTTGGTTCGCAGGTGCGATTCTGGCGTTCGTCTTCTTCCGTGGTGTGGGTGTGGTGGGTGATCGTCAGAAGAAACCCGCGGTTGAGGAAGAGGGGGTGCGTGAGGAGGAGAAGCTGGGGGACGAGACTCCCAGGTTCGAGAGTGGTACTTCGACCCCTATGGAGAAGGAACAGCGAGGGATGGGCGGGCCTAAGGTTTTGGGTTCGGACTTGAAGTTGTCGTGACGAATGAACGATGTACAAACGAAGAACGACCCTCGAAACGATTCGATTCATGAGCGACTGTATCTCTTTAATGACTTTTTTCATAGACACTGGTTCTAATGGTTTATTAATATGATTCTTATAGATCCGAGAACCCGCATTCCGCCACAGAAGTACCAATATGTACCGGATCCAGCTCAGCTGCTTTGCTGGTTTCTAATCGGCGACAAATCGCCTGTCAGATAAGATTAGATTTCATATGAACAGCGACCATCACGATCGATACCAGTTCAGTGAATCGCTTTCCTCACTGCCCCATAGATATCATTAGCTTGCCCCAGGTGTAGTGAAAATACCTACTCTGTAAGTCGTTTCTGTCCGTCCTTTTCCTCGTCGTCGTATTAAGGTTTGAACCAGATTTTGGGTTACCGCATGTCGTGCCTACATAACGGGGATCTGGCGCCGTATTTGGCGTGCAATGACGAGCTCCCTGAACACCTCCACCTTTCTGCCACAGCCCATCTCACAACTCTGGAGGAACAGCTCAGGGAAGCTAGGGAACGTGTCGAAGAGCTAAAGGAAGCACTTGCGAAGGCACAATGCGACGTATCCGCTGCGGAGGACCGGGTCGAAAACTACCAAAAACTGGTCTCTCCAATTCGAAGGCTTCCAGCAGACCTCTTAGCCCGCATCGTCCTTTTCACCATGCCTGTTTCTCCCAGCTTTCCCCACTTCAGAGTCGATTCCGAGCATGATTCGCTGGAAAGGTTGCGCCGGGTCTGCAAGAAATGGAAGAATGCCATGGACTCCTCCCCGGAGTTGTGGAAGAGGCTGTGGCTGGATGGGACGGGAATGAGGCCCAGAACCATAGCGCGTATTCTGCGGCGCTGGTTCTCCCGTGCTGGAGAGGGTGGTTTGGGTCTGGCAATCGTGTTCCCCTCCAACGTATATTCCGGGAACTATGGGGACCTAGTCGCCTTCCTGCGAAGCAAGGTTTGGAAGGGACTGGCCTTTCGCGACACAAGTCCAGAGATTCTCGAGGCAGTCTTCAACGAAGAGTACGACTGCTCTACGCTGGAAACCCTACGGGTCAGCTGGGGCCGACCCAAGCTAGATTACAACAGGCCCGAGCGACATCCACTCTACCGAAAGTTCCCGGCTTTTCTTCAACGCTTTTCCCGCCTCAAGCACCTATCCATCTGGTGGGACGTCCTCGACTCAATTCAGAAGCCAGAGCTTTTTAAGCTCCCCTGCTTGACGGATATAGAGTTGACTGGGCCGATGCCGGAAGATTATGTCCGGCGTCTTCTTCTGGGGTTGCCTTCCCTGAAGAATGCGGCAATCTTTGCCTTCGAACCATGTCCCCGGATAGAGTCGCAGGATCTGGATAGTCAACTTTCCATCGAGCGCCTGACCATCCTCGAGGGAAGGTGCCAGTGGTTTTTGAAGGAGCTGCCACTCCTCAAAGCACTACGCCTGGCTGGATTCTGGGAGCAATGGTCACTCTTGTTCATTCCGACCAATCCTGCCTCCATCTATCGATTCACCAACCTCCGTCTCGTCTGCTTGGCCAAGTCGTACATGGAGCCGGATGACATTGCGTTCGCAGTGTGCCATCTCCCTCCCTCTGTGCGCGTGGTTCGTGTTTTCTCCATGGGATTCCTTCGGTGTATTTCTCGCCGCATGGCAGCTCGCAACTTCGTCTGCAGGCGCCTTGACATCGTTATTAAGGAATCATTCCTGTTTGGCTGGGAGGTGACCATCAAGCATTTGGTGAAGGTGTTTGTGAAGAAACGCCCTGGGAGGGCCAGGGACGCGTTTCGCGGGAGGGATCTCGTGATCTGGATTAAGGTGTCGTCGTGGCAGCAGTTCCACGGGTATAGCAAGGAGTGGCACGACTGGCTGGACCAGCTGCGTTCTGTCAATGTGCGGTTTGAGCTTACGCTGGGACCTTGTCCCGGAGATGATGTAGAATTTGACATCCCTTATCTGTAGCAGGGCGTTGGTTTTAATTTCAAGGGCCGATTTGCGTGGTGAGGTGTGTGTTCACTCAAGCCTACACATAAGGTGTTGAGGCTTAGAATTTGGCGAGGAACAGGCGCAGATCTGCAGCCAACAGGATAACAGGATGAAGGACACAGTCGAGGACCTTGGAATTTCGCCCCCGTGTTCGTTGAAAGGATTACTCGTAAGCTCTTCGCGCGGCTCCTCGACGACACGTGCACCTACTTTATGCCTGGAAAGTTGTCTAGAATATGAATCTCCTGTTGGAACTTAAAACACCATGAATCGAGCGTGGACTATGAGTTTTACCCTGACGTTAGTTTGTCCCAGAAACTGGACCTTACGATAAGATTAGATTCTTTAATGCATCGAATGATGGCGACTCGTGTCCCCGTGTTTTACACGTTGCTTCCAACTTCCATAACCAGAGGGACATAGTCGACACCATACGGAAGCTCCAGGTCCTGGATATCCGAATACCTGACAAAACTGTGAGTGGCTGGCAGTTGTAGACAACCTCTTCCTTCGTACTGATCGTATTGAGTTGCGCCTCAAAAATCAAGTTGGATTATCCATTACTATGGCGATGGCCCTCCACGACGTAGCTTTAGCCTCATGGGCAGCTTGCAACGACGAACTTCCTGTGCACCTCCACCTTTCTGCCAAATCACATCTTGTAACACTGGAGAGGGAGCTCGTGGAAGCCAGGAAACGTGCGGAAGAGCTAAAGAAAGCACGCGCGATGGGGCACGACGACGTATCGGCGACAGAAGACCAAGTCGAAACCTACCGAAAGCTGGTTTCTCCCATGCGGCGGCTTCCACCAGAACTCCTAGCCCACATTGTCCTCTTCAGCATAGATGAATTTCCCCGCCTTCCCCACTACGGGGGCGAATCCGAGCGTGATTCGCTGGAAAGGTTGCGCCGGGTGTGCAAGAAATGGAAGACCGTCATCGATTCCTCGCCAGAGTTGTGGAAGAGGCTGTGGCTGGAAGCGGATGAGATGAATATAAGTCCCAGAATTACAGCGCGTATTCTGCGGCTCCCGTGCTGGGCAGGGTGATCTAGCTTTCGGAATCGTATTCCCTCGGACCGCATATCTCATGAATTACGGGGAATTAGTCATCTTCCTCCGGAGCAAGACGTGGAAGGCGCTAACGCTCCATTGTACGACTCCAGAGATCGTCGAAGCGGTGTTTGACGAGAATTACGACTGCTCGACGCTGGAGACCCTGCGTCTCAACTGGGTCGGATGCAGAGAAGGTTACGACAGCCCTAAACGCCATCCGCTTTACCGAGAACTACCGACCTTCCTTCAGCGCTTTTCCCGACTCAAACATCTATCCATTGAGTGGAGTGTTCCTGATTCAACCCCGAAGCCAAAGCTGTTTAAACTCCCCTGCCTCACGGACGTAAGGCTGAGAGGGCCCATACCGAAGGACTACGTTCGGCGTCTTCTCCAGGGTCTGCCTTCCCTCCAAAATGTGGACATCTCTGTCTTCGAAGTACGTCGTGTGATAGGTCCTCAAGATGTGGATGGTCTACTTCCCATCACGCGCCTTACCGTTGAGCACGACTGTCGGTGGATCTTCAGGGAACTGCCGTTTCTCGAAGCACTACGCCTGACGGGATCGTGGAAGCGATGGTCACTTTCGTTCATCCCGACCACATCGGTTCACCAACCTCCGTCTCGTCTGCTTGGATAAGCCGTACGCGCAGCCAAAAGAGATTGCGTTCGCGGTGTGCCATCTCCCTCCCTCGGGGCGCGTGGTTCGTGTCTCATCCCTGGGATTCCTTGGGTGTATTACTTGTCGCGTGGCGGCTCGGAAGTTTGTGGGCCGGCGCCTCGACATCGTTGTTATGGAGCTGGGTGAAGACATGGGTTCGTATGAGTGGGAAACGGCGCTCAAACATCTGGTGAAGGTATTCGTGAAGAAGCGCCCTGGAAGGGCGAGGGAAGCGTATCTGGGGAGGGATCTCGTCTTCTGGATTGATGCATTGTCGTGGAAGGAGTGCGGGTATCGCGAGGAGTGGAAGGACTGGCTGGATCAACTGCGTTCTGTCAATGTGCGGTTCGAGCTTACGCTGGGACCTCGTCCTGGAGATGATGTAGAATTTGTCATCCCTTTTGTGTGGTGTACATCGCTATTAGTATCCTTGCCTCCTTGGAACAAAGCTCAATATGATCGCACTGCGGTCTTCCAGAGCCAGAGATAAGATTGGATATATGCATCTGGATCTTGTCTGGATCGCTTCAATCTAATGCACGATGTATTTGAGATGAATTCAGCTTTCAGGTGAAATGAAGCATGCACGCCCTTGTAAGTCACTTCTCCTTTCTAGTTGGTGCTGTACATGCGCCTCGAGCTCGTCAAACGCCTCATGCTCCCTTCTAGCACCTGCAGTTCGAAACGCGGAGTCACTTTCCGTGGACTGCTCAGACTCTGCGATAGGTCCCGTAATGAGAATGGACGTTCCCATTCCCATCAGGAGCGTAAAGCTTTCCACTCTAAAGGTACTCCAGCCAACTCCCATAGAGGCCCCTTTTACGATCTGCAGACTTCCATGGTAATTCTAGTTGTCTCACATCCGCAAGTGGTCACGGTGTTTTTGGCATTATGTTTGGTACATGAAGGAAATGTAACCGAAGAAAAGACTACCTTTTCCCTTAAGAGTTTTGTCTTCTATGCTGAAACTTGACACTGAGTCCCTTCTTCCTATAAGCTTTCTGACTTTCAGTCGACAATACATTCCCTTGCGATTTTCTGTAAACGGGCAAGGCAGCCCTTACCATTGGACTGATAATCTCCTTTATCTTATCACGATTGCTCCCGCAATCTGATGTGGCCCGGAGCCATTGACAAGTCGACTCACAAGTCCGCGCTCGTCATCCTCGTACCATCTTGCGTTCATCGTGGCTGTCACAGTACCGGAACTGGGTTTCAACGATGGTGCTCTACAGCCTCCACGATACCTTTAACGACGAGATACCCCTCTTCCTCTGCTTTTCATGACACTATGACGACCTCGAGGATGAAGACATTCAGCGGTGTCCAGAGATCAAATGGAAACTACGGCGCAATCTCATCGGATACAGCGAGCGCCAGCGTGGATCGCAAACGTACGATAGGGACGTTCTCGGCGGTGTTCATCATATTCAACAGGATCATTGGTACTGGGCAAGTTATCTGATAGTGGTCGAGCGCTGGAGGTTGTTGGCTAACGACGTTGTTGTAGCATCTTCGCCACCCCTGGCACTATCCTGAATTTCAGCGGTAGCATCGGCCTATCACTGTAGGTTGCGCTCTGAACGTCGTCCTGCTCATGGCCACTGACGCGACCGGCAAGGATCATGTGGGTCATAGGTGCAGTCATCGCATTCGCCGGGATGAGAGTGTATATCGTATGGGGAATCGTAGGTTGAAACAGTGACCGACCAAAGTCCTGTGAATGATGATCTTTGTGTTCTTTCCAGGCGCTCCCTCATAATGGCGGGGAGAAAAATTACCTCGAGTTTCTGTTTCCGAGGCCCAGACGTCTCATTACCTCGATTTACGCGGCCAACGCTGTTTTGCTCGGTGAGTCAAACCCGAAGGTTAACCTGGTTTCCTTCAACTGACTTCATCTCAGCTTACGCAGCGGGGAACTCCCTCGTTTTTGCCGAGTACGCTTTGAAGGCCGTGGCACCGCACCTGCTTGACGCCCCGTCACCGCCTCCGGGAAAGGCTGTTAGTTGGTTAACGCCGTCTCCTGTGCGACTAGTTGCCTTTTCCTGCCTATCTGGGGCCATGCTACTTCACGGCCTCCACGTTTCTGCGGGACTGCGCCTACAGAACGTTTTGGGCATTTCTAAAATAGGGATCCTTTGTGTTGTAGTCGCCACAGGTGCTGTTGCAGCCACCGGGAGGCTCGCGGAAGGCGTGGAACATCCCGACAACTTTGATTCATGGAGTAAGATTTGGGAAGGTTCGCGATGGGGAGGGTCCGTAATGTGTGCATGCCTGTACAACGCAAGTCAACCAATGTTTTGTTGGCTACCGCGATACTCATTTTCCCATAGGTCATCTGGTCGTATGTTGGTTTCAGCAACGCTAACTATGCCTTGTCGGAAATGCGACGACCAGAGCGCACTTTGCGGATTGCCGGGCCAATCGCGATCGGCGTTGTTACGGTGTTTTACCTCGCTGCCAATCTGGCGTATTTCTCTGCTGCCAGCAAAGACGCGATCACTGGTTCCGGCCGGCTGGTTGCAGCGCTTTTATTCAAAAACGTCTGGGGACCAAGAACTGAGAGAATTCTCTCGGGATTTGTTGCACTATCGGCGCTCGGAAACGTGCTTTCAGTCGTGAGTTTTCCCTCTCTTGTGGCTTTCGACAGATTTCCAATTCGGGACCAGTCATTCTCGCAGGGTCGAGTGAACCAATCATTGGGGAAAGAAGGAATCCTGTTCTTCAGCAAGGTCTGGGCTTCGGAATGGCCAAGAAAGGCTCCTCTGGCGGGGCTGGCGCTACGTGAGTGTCGCTGAATGGGGTGATGGCCTGACTGATTCAACACAAACAACAGATTGCATTGTGTGTAGCATCGTTGTTTTTGCACTGCCAGCTGGGGATGCGTACAATTTCGTATTGAACGTTGTGAGTAGACGTCCTTGTATTTCACCATCGGACTTCAATTAAATCTTCCTCAGATATCGTACCCTTTAGCTGTTATTAACTGCGTGATCTCGTTTGGACTCGTGTGGACTCTCCTCCCAGCCACATACACGTCGGGTGTTACCAGAAAGATCGCATCGCATTCAACAATCCTCGCTTCCTTTCTTTCCGCACCACCCAGCGACCCAGACCCACAACCATCGAACGATGTTGTATTCCCTCGCCCCACCCCGTCTCTAGTCCTTAGCGCCCTATTCTTCGGCTTCGCAAACGTGTTTCTGTTCGTACTTCCGTTCTTCAAGCCTCCAAATGGTGCCGAACCCTACCAGCATTTACCTTACTGGACGCATGCCGCGGGCGGATGGTCCGTGTTCCTGGTTGGTTTCGCCTGGTGGTACTTCCAGACCAGGAACTACACCTCTTGATTCGAATATCCATGTACGTGCGTATCCACGTGCAAAAGCAGTGGGGATCTCCCTGCAATACAACTTAATTAGCCGTAATGCCTCCTAATGAACTATAGAGTTATCTCCGCATCAACCACGTTTTCGACAGTTCGAAATGATCCAAACTGTATCAATTCAGCACCTGTCTCCGCGGCGCTCAACGTGGACAATCGTAAAACACGATCAGAGGGTCGTAACACCATCGTAACATACAGTAGCAGTTGGGCGAATAGAAGCCAGTAAGTTATCGTTAGGTCGATGCTTCCCAGCCTACGCGTTTCAATTGTCAATGTCTGGAAAATCCCCCGTGTGGAGTTCTAGCCTCGAGGCATTTGCCCTTTGTACTTCCTTCATCCCCCAAGACATTCCCGTAACTGCCAGCAGGGCTTACGTTCTCGCGTGAAAGTGACGAAAGAGTACTAGTGGATTTCATAAACGATCGGAGAGCACACCAAAGATCCAGTTCCTACTTTTTAGTCTTTGGCGCCTAGTGCGATAAACATTGGGTAAACCATGACAACAAACCCACGCTATCTCCTGCCCATATGTTTGGGCGCCCAAATCGACCTCACTAAGCGCCGGGGAACTGACATCATGTTCAATTAAAGTGCGCGCTCTAGTGAAGGTGATGCGATTTTGAGAGCATGTACGTTTCCCGATAATCTACCCGTTTCCCAGTGAAACTCGTGTTATACCAACTGTTGCGACCGCGCGTCCCATTCCGACATTTCGTGTCGTCACGATCTGTCATGATCTGGAGAGGCACACCCAAGAAGCATGGCGTTATCTCCGATTCCTTCCCTTTCCTCGTTGTTGGAACAGCGCCCCAGCATCTCAGGGTCCGTCCAAAAAAGTAACTTCCGAGCCTCAAAAAGTTCCTTCAACTTATGAAATGCCAATAGTCGCTTCGGAAGCGAGGCTTTCCTAAGTGTTTCCGTCCATGAGAGAGTTACTCTGGAACTCATTATATGGAAGCTTGAACGGCTTCTGGGACTTCGCTCTTTACTGAGGCTGTCAACATCTCTCGCTCAAGTACATCAAAGAAGCTCACGGGAAAACAAACGCCCGGACTTGAACGAAAACCCCGGTCGCCTATTACATTTTTATAATTAAGCGCCCAAGAAAAAACCTTTGATGTAACCAAAAGTTCCGAGGTACCATCATCCTGCGGAGATAGAGCCTTTACAGCGAATAGTGACCTTGCCCTTCTCCGACCCCATTGGATTGTCTGGGATGAACGAACAAGACGATGATCTATCATGTCCCGTTGCACCTCTTTCTCGTTAGTTTCGTTTTCATCACTGATCATAGTGGCTGGGGTCGTTGTGACCGGCGCCTAATTCGTCGGACGGGACTTTCCAGGATGTCCTATTTGGTAAACGGAACACAAGTGAAAGCCGGGCCTGAGCTAATCGCTCAAGTCCTTTTCTCTATAAATTGGGCCTTGCTTTCCGGCTATGAACATCAACAAACCCTCTCCCTCTCTTCCCCGTCTTACTCCTCCACTCAGCAGCCAACAGAATCTCCCGTCCCCGGTGTTGACAATGACTGTCCTCTCCAGTGACTGATGCAGCAATATCCTACTGCGTATGAATGCTGACGATAATGAATTTCATTAGAATCTGACGCTTGCATGCACTACAACAACGCCTGCGAGAAGCTCTTCGGGAAGACGTTCCCCCCGACTGTTCACGAGATCAATAAGAGCGAGTTCAAAGCTGAGGTTAGAGTGACCTTTGAAGGTAACGTATCCTTTGCTTCAGGTCGCCCTTGAAGACACTCATTGATTCCCCCATGTTCAGACGGTGTAATCAAGCTTCTCGGTGAGGGCGCTGGGACTAGCAAGCAGATCGCGAAGAACCTTGCCTGCAGCGAGGCGTATAACCAACTTCGCGTCATCTTCCCCGAGTACAACCTCCCGCCCCTTGTCTGAGCTCTGGCAAAGACTGAGGACGGCTGCTTATCATAGAGAGTAGAGATTAGCACCCGTCTGGTCGAGACGTGCCAATGTTGGCAACATCGACCACCTTTTTCTCTGTGTTCCCCGCCCGTTCTTTTTCGTACTCCTTGCTTTGCGCTTTAATCCTGCAGTCCTACTATATATTCGCGATGTATTGAGCTTGTTCTCAATTCTGTTTTCTATTTTTATTAGACGTAGACCTGCTTAGCTTACTGTCCACCTAATTCTATGGACCTCTAATTGTTTCTAAGAGGCCTTTGGTTTTAGCTTTTGAGTGTCTGCACCTCGAATTCCGACGTTATTCTTTCCCAGAGCCCCTTATGACTATGACGGACGAAACACATTTCCCAAGGAAGATCATAATCTTGGATCGATGAAATCATGAAATAAAGGAGGACTATGAGCTTCTTCAACTCTTTGCGGCCAGCTGAGCTCAGTGTGCGGTACCTCGGACTGGAGTAGTCTCGTCAAAAGGCGGATCGTACTCCACGTAGTACTTGACATCCTACGAAGGGCGGCACAACTACTCCGAAGCTGTGATAACAGATGGAAGGCATCTAAAGTGGATGTACCTTGTTTGTCTAAGTACCGAGGACCAGAACATATCGGTCGGTTTGTAGGGATTCCATCTGGCCACTGGAAACTGCTGGTAAGGAACTGGCGGAATTGAAAGTCTGGTTCTATCCGGGCCAAGCGAGCTACACGGAGGGCATGGTGATAAACGTCAATTATCTGCATCCCGATACAGAAGTCATTGCCTTTACGATCGTGTTTTGTGGATTCGAGGATGCCTTCAGGTCCCAACTCGGTGCAGTAAGGAAATAAGCGCCGATGATGCTGTGCGGAAAGCAGTCAATTGCTCGAAATGGAACAGCGCTGTGATCGTCGACAAATGCGAACACAGCGCCTGTCTGTCGTGTACGGAATAGCATTCTTGGACTAGTGTTGTCCCTTGTACCCCGTTGTTCATACCCTTGTGGTGGAGCTCGAGGTTACGGGCGCTCCTGTGGCTCGGAATCTATAACACCATCACTACACTGCTGTGATTCCGGTCAGAGAGCCTCATTCCGACATTCGGTGAGTGCGACCTGCTGTAGAAAGTTATGGAGCATTCCCTTCTTGACTGGAAACATTTACGGCATTGGTGTACATCCTTTATTAATTGCATTAAAGCCCGGGCTCGTTAATGCCACACCCCATCTCAAACTCCCCATCGAACATCAACCTCTTACGCAAAGTGATTATCTCCCAGCATCCTGGACCATCCTCATCCGGATGTCTCTCAATCTTCCACCGCAGCACACCTTCAAACCCCCACCTGGCAGGTTCCCGCCCCTTGTACTTTTCCAGGTTATCCCCACTGGTCCTTCAATACACATCCCCACCCCCGATTCCGTCAAATGGAACCCGACGACCCTGAAGCAAATATAATAACGAGTACACTTCGGGATTTTACTCTTGACTGGCTTGGAGTTCTCCAAATGGACCGATACCATCTTTCTGCAATAGGAAGTGGTGCGCACGGGCGGCGGGAGCTTCATAATGCTGTTTTACCTCCGTCCTTCCCCTTCTTGCATCCCGAGTCTTCGATTAGCACCGTATTTCGGTGGATCCAAATCGTACCCAACCCGACATGTTATTACCAGTCGGAAGAGAAACGACACGGTTATCGTATCACACTCGGATGTGAGCACGACGAAAGTGGAGGTTATTGTTGGGTCATTTCATGTGGTGCGTGTTTCGCGTCGTTCGTGTCTACATTCCCTTGTGGCCTTACAATGCCTTTCGGATTTAGGCAATTTTGTCCTTGCCGACGTGAGATCCCAACTTACAGCCCAGACTAACTCTGGGTGGATAACAACGGATATCGTCCTTTGTGCACTGACCTTGTCAGTGAGCCGCAATGAGACCTTGCGAATTGTGGTGCTGGATCATCAAGATATTTGGCAAGGGGGGACCGGTGCCCTTGTCAGTAAACAGACCCTCGAGTTGAGGAGAGAAGAGGGCGACGAACTGGTCATGGTGCTGGGACATCGCGACATCCTTCCGACTTCATGGCTACGATGACACTGGGGAAGAGGAGGTATATTTATTAAATTATTTAGATACTGTATAGGAAGGATATCTACGTTACCGTACGATACCTCAGGTACGGAGATAGAGCAATAGCTGTTTTCGATAGAGTGTAGAATGGATGATAAATCCCACCAAAGCCGACGCCCACCAGAAAGAAGCGAGCCGTGGAGTACGATGCGAATCAAGTCCTGAGAGTGTAAGAAAGGGAAAGAACGACAGATGCCAATGACGAAGATCCAAAATGAGCGTGAGGTGATGTGGTCGGAGCAAAGAAAAAAAGAGTATGCATAGGCCTAGCAGTCGGGATCCGAGGGAAAACATAGTCGGTGGCTCGCGACAATTGGGGAAGAGCCCAAGAAGGTAAAAATGGCGATGTACGTACATCGGAGAAGAAAAGAACCCTGCCCGATTGGCTCAGCGTAGGCGAGTCTTATGGTAGCTGACGGATTCCTGAAGCTTTCGCATCCCTTTTACGACCCGTCTCCACCATGTTTGCTCGCCGGACTTGGGACCTTTCCGAGTGTTGGGTTCCGCCTTGGTACTAGTGCTCGACAACGGGGTCTCATCGCATGACCTGCCACGGTCGTCGTCGTGCTGAATGATGGTGGCAGGTGGCGAGCCGCGCGGGGTCTCTGCCTGCGAGTAGATCGAAGGCGTCTCTCTTCCGCTGGCAGAGGAGGGAAGCAACCCTAACTTGAACAGGTTCATCTTTCCCCCTCCCTGTGTGATGTTGATCCCGAGACCGAGATCAAGAGCTTGATGGATGCCTAGATGCGTCTCTAATCCGTTATGAAGCTCTTCAATTTGATCGGGGGTCATCATGTGAAAGTCGACAGGGGGTGCCACTACCGAGGTCGAATCGGTGGAAACCGCGGTGGGTGCAGATTGTGGCTCTTCGGGCGGGGTCGATGGCGACTCGGACGGTGGTGAGTCGGTCGAACCAAGAACGGTTTGCATAATCGAGTCCCAATCATCTGATTGGTCTGTACCGAGGTTGATTGGCGCCAACGCAGGAGCAGGCTCTGTCTCTTCTTCGGGCTGGGACGAGATAGATGGTGAAGTGAGAGCGGGTAGGTAGTTCCATTCAGGTGAAAGTGATCGTTTGGGTGGTCTAATATGAGAATCCAGTGACGCCGGTCGAGCGTTGGAGAAGAGGATCCCGTCTTCACCCACACCATCTTCTTCTTCGCTGATGAACCCACCCCACTGACGATTACGTTTACGATCAATTGGCGTCCCGCGGCCTGTGTATTTGACGCCAGGCCAGGAGCCCCGTGAGCCTGATGGCATCGTCATGGAGGACAGTTGGGGAGTGGAGAGCTTTTTGGACGATTTGATCAACGGAGAAATGGCCTGCGTAGCGAAAGACCTAGTCCTCGATAGACTGTGCTGGACGGGTGGTGGCGATGGTGGCGAAGAAGGGGGAGGCGAGGGGTCATCCGGCGGTAGACTCGAGGTGGACGCAACAGGAGAGGAAGGGACAGAGAGCGTCAGGTCGAGTTTGTGGTCTTCAAATCCCTCAAACGTGGCAGCCGCGAACGACTGAGAGGAGGTTGGGCGGGGACGAACTGTTTTGTCGTCGTTGTCATTCTCTCGTACGCTACCACCCTTCGCCTTGGCTTCAACTGCAGCAAGGGCATTGTGTATATGCTCAGGGCGGTAAAAGTGACTCCTGAAACAGTTCTTGTCAGAGAAGGAGAAAGAACACGTATGAGATACCGCTTACATCGCGAGCAAAGCGCCCTCGTCGGGATTATGCAAAGTGGGTCTGTGAGGGAAAGAACAGCAGTTTACGAATCTGCGGGAGTAAATCCTGTTTGAACGAGGGAGGGGAGATGCAAGCGGAGCGAGGACAAGAAAAGAAGGGGGACGCAAACGGGAAGAGGGAGGGCTCAATGCAAATATGAACCCACGCAGAACCCGGCGACCTTATTAAGACTGCGGGTTCTGGAAACACGTTGAGCGGCCGCAAGATTACGTCGATGGGTGGTCCATTGCTAGCGGATAGCTCTAAAACGGAGTTTAAGTTTAATACTAGAAAGGACGAAGGTCGTGTCGCCCTGACGAGGGTGGTAACAGGGTTCCAAAAGGCTGAACAGCCCTGTTCAATCTCCCCATAGAAGGACTCCAGGGGGCATTGGCTGTTGAGCAGCGCTGTTCACCACGTTGGGCTGGGCATTTGGAACGAGTTAGCCATGAGACGTTCCCTGTGCGAAGCAGTTGAAGAAGCTATCACGTAAAAGGCTACCTTACAGGCGCATTGATTGCGCCGTGGTTGCTTTGATCGTCCTTGAACCTCTCAAGGCAAAATGGGTTTAGGAGCGGCATTTGGACCTGCTGTCATGATCAGCACGGCATTTTAGTGTTGATGAAAAGGCGTACCATGATTTTCAGGATGGTTTCCTGGAGATTTGCAAATTGGTGCAGTGTTCAATCGCTGAGATTTTGGTGGAGAACCTTTTGGTCCACGCGGATAAGAGGATCTCACAGGAATTCCAGCAGTGGCCCTCGGGAAGCCATGAGGCCGCCACCAAGGTATTCATAGATCATTAGGCGAGAAATTCAGGAGACCAAACAGGAAGACGTGGACGTTGAGGTTCAACGCTGAGTGCTCGGCGATTCTCGGCAAGACTTTGTTTTGGCATATTAGTTTCGGAAGCCAGCGGATCATGCTCGGAAGGGGCTGCCGGGCACACATGGGGGCGCACAGGCTAGGAATGCGCCTGAATCGCGACACTCAACGACAAGAAATGACCAAACTACTCTGCTCCAATTGGAGGTATGGACTCTGATTGGCGGTTTCAGGTCGCTCCAAAATTACCACACACCACACAGAGACATTTAAAACGACAGCAACTCCCAAGTCAAAATGACACACCTTACTTTCTCTCCAGCATACACTTCACCTCCATTTGCAAGCCCTAAACAGAATGAGCTATCGACGCAACGACGACTTTGAGGACCGACGTTTCCGCGGCGAGGAGCGTAAGTCTTCTCTGGATCCTCATCCCGACTCTGCTCTAACGGTTCCATAATAGGCCACCACAGACGTGATTATGACCGAGACATGCAATCCGGCGGCTGTGAGTTCCCTTTCTATGAGAGGTCCTCGACCTCCCCAACTTATCAGCCACTTACGGCGAAACTTCAGACCGGGACCGTGACCAAGTTGAAGGTTTCGGCTCCTATGCTGGTGGCGGTTTAGACTCGCCAACTGGCCAGGGAGGTAATTGTACGTGTTGATCTCACTGACTGAGGCTCGTACCGTTGATCTTGACCTACCACGCATTGCGTATCTAGATACTCGCGGTGGAGACCAGGTTGGAGGTGGCTTGAGGTCGTCCGGTTCCGGAGCTTGTACGTCATTCCAGGTCTGAGCAGTATAGCAGAAATTCCTGATTATTCCTTGCTTCCTACTAGTTAATGGCGATCGGGGAGGGTTCAATGATTATGGTGGAAACGACTTTGGCCCGCAATCCGGTGGATGTTCGTGGACCTTCGAGCTCTAGTCGTTTCGGTATGCTCAATTGACATTGTAGATGGCCCTGATCGACAAGGGTTCGGTGGAGGAGGTACGGAGAGGTACTATGGTCAAACTCAAGGCACATTTGGAGGGGGAGGCTACGGAGGAGGTGGATATAATAATCCCAACAGTAAGTGTATCCCTCTCCGACTGACTCGTGCACCCTGAGGCTTATCACTTCGCGTTTGGAAGTGAACTCCACCGGTAGACAGGGAGCCCAGGGCGGTTATGACTACAATGACGCCAATTACTTCGACGATACTGGTTACGACCAGCCGTCGCGACCTCGCCAGCAAGGAAAGCCGCAGAAAAAGGAAGAGCGTATGTTGGCATTCGATTCACTGTGCTCGGTGGATTGCTCACGAGGACATTGTCTTCCGTCACAGATGGCATCATGGGCACTGCGAAGAAGATCATGAAAGACGTTCTCTAGATTCTCTCCCAGCGACAAAGGTATACATATATGACTAGGTACAGTCCAGCCGATGGCTTCTTCGAATGTATTATTAGACGCTGTGTTTGAATTCACGGCTCTTCTTCGTCCGGAGGCATTGTCCCCGCGCCCAATGTCGATTAAGCAGGGGCATATGTCTAACTTTGGGAGACTACCACAACCCGCGAGGAAGCGGGATAAGAAAAGACCGTATCGGTCGAGAAGGACCTCCACTATTGGACTGCAAAATCCAATCATCTGGCCGAAGTCGATTCCTCTGCAGCAGCTGCGCGTTATTCAACGTCGAGGCCTGCACGGTGTGAATCGTGATATCCGAGTTATGTTCGATGGCATCGAGGAAAGCGGAAGTGATCATTAACGGCGTTATGAAACGTCGGCGCTCTGAGGGTGTTCGACAGCAATGGTTGTAGGCGATGAGGTCGAGTGTTATTGAAACAATTTTGGTGGAACCTATGGCATGAGAGATACAAGGGATAGTCAGTGCGCGACCACGGACAAGCGAGTGGAGCACCCCCACTTGCCTTTGAATAAAATCCACACGGGCTGATACTCCTCACCGGAAAGTCGGTAGAGGGATGGGGAGGAAATAACGAACTCGTGACTCTCTACTGAGCAACCAGCGGCTTCGTGTCTGGTATCAATCCAAACACGTTTGCCTGTCTCGTCGTCCAATAGCTTCGTTTTGATGTTAATCCAGGGAAACTCCTGGATAAACGACGAAGTGGCGGTCAGAATGAAGTAATTGTGGAGATATGTAAGGTAGTGGCCTGCTTCGAGTCTGATGTCCTCAGGAATCGCCATATTTCGGTAGGATATAGCCGGTTGTTTAGCAGTACTGGTGATATGTCGGCGTCGGGCACGATGAAAAAGCGCTATTCATCTTCCAAAAAACAAGTCAAACTGCAACCATATCAAAGCCACCCATTATTCAGAGGCATGGGATGGTCGAAGGCATGGTACTTGGCGATTTTTCACGCCTCCCAGTCACCCTCCTTTTATATGACACAGCTTCGATTCTGATCGAAGTTAAGCGCCCGTATCCACCATATATAGGCATTCGTGAGTCAGGGTGGTCTTTTGTGTGTGCACACCCCGCCATCATAATCGCTGCTTCCATCGTCGAGCCTGGGAATACTAGAAGAGTGCTGTGGAGAATGCGTGTGCCCATCAGGTGTAGACGTCACCTCGTAGAGGTTTTGAACAGATGGGAATGGAGACGAGTTCATAAAAAGGTTTTCACCTTGGTTTGGGTCTGTCCCGAGTGATTGTTCCGGGGAGATGGGAGTGAGGTGTTACGGCTCTGTGGGCCCACAAATATATGTGCGCAGTAGAGAATGACCCTAGCTCATGGAGGTAAGGTGGCTGGGACGCGAGAGGAGTGTGAAATGGGACCCCTATTTATGGCCGATCGGGATCACGAATGGGCGCTTAATTTGGATTTGTCGATTGTCCAAGTATGTAAGCAGATCTAGTGCTCATGCACATGACCGGTGCCCTTATATACAAGTATACAAGCAATTACCCGGTCTGCTACAAGTAACGATCTTGGAGGTATAGGCCTTGCGAGTGTTACGCATCTGTATGATTGAATGCAATCGGTTGAGAAAAGCGCGACGTGAAAGGTATAGCCTCTTGGTGAGTGGTCCATGACCTTCCTATCATAGTTCGGAAGATAATCGTTTGAGGTAACAGCACCTGAAGAAAGAATCCAAAGTCAGCACAAAGTTCAAACCACTTGTTAAGGCGTTGGGAAATACATTCACTGCGAAGGTGGTGTGATTCATAAGGGTGGAAAAGGTGACACCCAGAAGCCTTTGCATCGGGCGCTCCAAGACGCGTACGCATGATGAGCATCGAGCCAGAAATCAGAAATAGGAAATAGCCGCCAACGAGGAATGTCTCCGTGTGCTGTGAGCTTGGACAGAATTGGAACATAAAGACATACAAGGGGGCTGGATACTGGTTAACTTGAAGCAGACTCTGGAGAGATCACGGTAAGGGGTCATCCCGGGCGTCATAAAACAGTCACTCAAGTCGCCGTTTGGGTGTTTAGCGCTATCTAGCGCCTAAGATGGCTCTATCGCGCTCTGGAGAACTTACACCGCCTGACGCCCGTGGTCGATCTTCGAAACCGTATACGCACTTGAAGATCAAGTTTTTGGTGAAGAAGCAGAATAACCATTGGGATGAGGATGTCCAGGCTTCCCGAAAACAACGATATTACATTGGGGCTTGTTTGCACTATCATGTGGTGAAACGATGAGCACTTCAACGCTGAACGCTCCTGAAATAACTGTAATGGAAGCGGGGATCGGAATTCCAGAAGCGAGGTCCTGGGGTTGTAGTAAATAGATTTTAAGTGGCGAAGTAGCGCTGGGATCATCCAAGGATCATCCTTATTGTAAAGAATTGCCACTTCAGGGTGGTTCCGATGCGATGGTATGTAGTAAACACGACCACAGTGGCTAGGATGGATCGTGTGAGGGCCTCGAAACCTCATCGTTGGAGACAAAGACTCGGGGGCAGCAGGGGGAGTCTGACTGAGCCTGACCGGGCCGCTTAGTCATCCGTTGGAAGCGGATCTTTGCGAACGGCATCACTTGGCGGCACTTGGCTAATGGGACGCGTTGGAGGACCAACATTGGTCCCTCTCTTTGCCTGCGCTGTCATCCTATTCTCGTTATCCTCCTCTTCGTCCAAATCCAGTTCTCTCGGTTTCGAAAAAAGCTATTGAAAGACCCCAGAATCCTAGCAGAATCTCAGTTCGAAGAACCACCACTTGACCAGGGCATATGGCATCACCGACCATGACGAATGGGACACCTGGGGTACCTGGAGGCGAACCACCGCATCCCAGCGCTGAGATGCTGGCATCTGCGACCAAAGGATTCGACTACCTGTTCGCCAACGATATCGTTGGTTCCCGCGAACACTTCAACTCGAAGGACGACCCGTTCCATTTGATGGGTGCCGGTGTAATAGCGTTCCTGGAAGCTGCATTGGGAATGGAGGTGTGTATACGTGGTCTTCCTTCGCCGTTGAATTCCTAATTATGGTATTTTATTGTTTTGAATAGACGAACCAAGTCACTGAAGCGTCGCGCTGTTTGGCACTTTCTGAGACCGGGACTAGAAAGCAAATGAAGGCTCCCAAAGCCAAGACTCATTCCCGCTTCCCAGCAGGTCTGGAGTGGGATATCATAAACGCTGACGCTGTCGTTTTGCTGGGTTTGACGCATGCTTTGAGGTGCGTCCTGGTCTTCTGTCCAAGCTGGAATGTACTGACGATGCTCGTGTGCAGTGAGACTTATATGGGCTACCTGCAATGCATGTGCGTTTCGTTCTTACTCTCCTGGTTTATTGACTGATTACATCGTTTGCAGGTACTCCCTGAACAAGTTTGTGCATACCCATCCCTACTAAGGCCATCGAACTAACCAGCCCTCCCAAAGTGCCCATTCCAAATTCACCAAGTGCGTATCCAGCTCCTCCGATAACCCCGCCATTGCGCGCACAGCCTAACCCGAGTACCAGACTCTACAAAACCGTCTTCCCAGCCGGCATCGACGCCGAAGAGAAGCCACCCGCTCCAGCAGAAGTCGCACCCTCCTCGTCCTCCACCCTCCAAGTTCCTAACGGCCTGCAACACAAATCCTCCTTCTCCTCGCTCTCCTCCGTATCTTCGACAGGTTCGAACGCTACGCTGCCACCAGCCCCGCCGAGCCCCACCCAGCCTGCCGTAACGAAGAGCTTCTTCAGTCGATGGCTGGGTTCCTCCGCGGCTGCTGCCGCCTCTGAGCCTACGCTCCCCTTACACCACCACCAACACCACCACATTCCTGATGGTCCAGTCGAGGAGCTGATTGTTTCCGGAACGGCGTTTGGTGTGTAACCCTTGATTCGTGCTCTGTTGGGCGTACCCATTTGTGGGCTTGCTGATGGATCGTGCCCTGGCTAATAGGCTACGGCTTGTTCAACCTCGTCTTCTCGCTCCTCCCAAAGAAGGTGCAGAGCTTGGTTGGGTTCCTTGGGTTCCAGCACGATCGCAAGCTCGCACTGAAGGCATTGGCGTTGTCGGCTTCGAAGAAGGATGTGCATGGTGTCTTCGCTGGGTGTGTACCCACCCGCTCTGTCATTCCAGTTTGCTCTTCTTACTGATGAGTCGTGGTGTCCCGTAGGCTGGTGTTGATGACGTACCATGGCGTTGTATTGCTTCTCTCGGGATGGCAAGCGGACGAGGCGAGGATTATCAACCAGTATAAGGGTATCATCGACAAGTATGTTGGTTGCACTGCCGTGTATTCTGCTACCTAGGACCTCGACTGACCCCCGGCCAGTGTCGAAGAACGGTACCCCGAAGGAGCACTTTGGATCCTCAATCGCGTGAGTCCCACCCCGCCCATTCCTTCGTTATGCCGTCGCTGATCACTATATCCTACCAAATTATGATCGTGGTCATCCAACGGACTCCTTGCTGCCGATCTTCGACATTGCCTTGTCCTACCCTTTTGCACACGACGATCCTCAACTTCACCATCCCTTGTTGCCTTCCGATTCCCGTTGTGCTCCCCGCTCGCCCGGTTGATAGGCCAAGATCCTCCGCATGTCGTGTGACGCCGAAGGTGCCATACGCGTCCTCCAGAACGGGTTGAAACCCGAACGACCGCATTCGTTTGCGCAGGCTGATATGATGGTGGGTGTTTTGGTCCTCGTACTTCGGGCTTTGTTTTGTTGGGTATCGGTCCCACTTGGGGTTCATATTGGTCGCTGACCATCTTGACTGGGCCTCATTACCTCGGCCTTCATTTCATCATCGCCCTTGGTGTCATCGTCGTGGATTTCATTTAGCCCTCATTCATTAATCATTAGCCTACCATCTGGTTCTCGAGTTCGTTCCTCATGCTAACATGGGTCCTCCCCCTTATCGTATAGCTTCTCTTCGAGTTGGCATGGACTCTGCTTGGTCAAAGACGGTACCAAGAATCGGCGGATTCGTTTATGAAGATTACAGAGCTGAATACTTGGTGCGTTTTTGTTTTTTGCGTGGTGCGAAGTTTTGGGAAGGAAAGCTGATGGTGGGTGTAGGAGTCATGCTACGTATTACTTCCTTTCTGCTGGTACGTTTCGTTAATCTTTTTTTCCTCCTCTCACTATCCCTCTTTTCGCCTCTCCCCCCTCCCCTTCCCATTCTCCACGCCTCCCTCTCGCTCCCACTCTCCCACTCTCCCCCTCTCCGTACATCCCTCGCCAGTTCTAACCCCCCTCTCCCCAATACAGGCTGCCACTTTGCCCTCGGCAACCTAGAAAAGACGCAAGAGCTCTTGGATGCCATTCCTGGATTGATCCATAACAAGAAAGTTGGAGGAAAGGATTTGCCTACGGAGGTGTTTATCAAGAAGAAGCGTGCGTGTGGTGTTTTTTTTTATTTTATTGAATGTTTTGAGCTGACGATTGTGATGATGATTTTGGTGATTGTGGGTGGATTGGGGTGGTTGGTTGGTGGTGACTTCGGGGATTGGGTGGTTGGTGTTGGCGGTCATTTCGGGGACTGGTGTTATTAACATCGCGGTGATTACGGATGTCTATAGTGGCCTTCTACAAGGAGAAGCAGAAGAGGAGGTGTGGAGATGAAGCCAAATTTGCCGAGGCTATTCGGATTAATCCTGCTGAAGGTGCGTTTAACCCTTGTGGTGCTTTGGGCCAGGCTAACCTACGCGCGTGCGTTGTCGTTCATCCATCCTAGAACTGGGTATCTGTACGTCTTTTTCGTCTCCAATTTGAAGTTATCACCCCGGTGCTAACGCTGGATGAACAGTCTGGAACACCCACGCTCGAGTCTCCAAGGAGATTTGCAAGTCGCATGTAGCGGATGTGTTGCATCTCACACCGGCGCTTACGATCACGTCCCCAACCATCACCGCGCTCTCTTCAAATTCAAATTCAAATCCTACACTCCCGACGCCCGCATCAGCTACCGCAGCGATGTCCTCCCTCTCCCTCTCTTCCAAGTCCTCCACCGCATCCAAAACCTCGCCACCGTCGTTGTCAAAGTCGAAATCCCCGCTCGACCTCGACACTCCCGACGAACTCGCCGTCCGGTCCCTACTTCTAGGTATTTGCCACCGGACGTTGGAAGAATTTGATGCTGCGAGAAAGTTTTTGCTTGATGCGCATGGGTATCAGGGGCAGGTGAAGGTGAATACGTGGGTTGGTGGTGTTGCGATGTTTGAGTTGGCTGTGTTGGAGTTGAAGGAGGTTGAGTTTTTGGAGAAAGGGGGAGGGAAAGTTGATTGGATGAAGGCGATGAAAGTGGCAGATGAGAGGTTGGATGTTGCGTTGAGTCTTTCGCCTAATTCGGTTGATTTGAGTAGTCGGTTGGATAGTCGGATTTCGATGTTGAGGGATGAGATGGGGATTAAGAGGGAGATGTTGGGTGGGAAGGCGTAAGGTGGTTGGTGTAGAGTGTGGGGAGGGGGTGGGAGGGAGACATGTCACGATGGGCGGAATGGAGGCCGGACGTGAACGTTGGCGTAACTTCCAGATAGAGAAAGCATCTAGTCTTTTCCCTTAGAAGAATCACGTTGAATTAGGATATAGTCATTTCACTTTTTGGATAATTTTTCTTTGAAGTTTTCGTCAGTACGTTAGTATCTTTTGGTTTTACGGTAACCTAGTAGTCTTCCATTCAAACAAACCTCTTTAGTATTGCGGTACACCATGCGTTCAAACGTTTCAACCTCCGTTTGCTCCACGACGCTTCTCTCTATACATGTCGAGCCATACAATACAATTAGAACAATACAATATGTAGCTAGTTATAGATGTGATTTGGTGGGGTCGCGCCGTCGTCAGCCTGGAGCAGATGGGTACCACTATGATTAGATTGGAGACGCTCCTTTCGCAATTCATTAGAATGACGTCACGCGTCGGGATGCCCAGTGGTTATAAGAAACATCCACACCCCGCCACACCTACTTCCAATCACTATTATCTAAAGCTCAAATCGTCTCTCTCATACCTGGTCGTCGAGTCAGCTCGTCGAGAAAGCATCGATCACCAAGAAAGCAAATTGCAGAATCAGAAATTATGCCGAGCAGCCCTTCCAAGCCTAAAGCTACGCTTCGACCTGTTGGTGTCCCGCTTGGGAATGTGAATAGTGAGTTTTTAGTCTAGTCGTTATGTGTTGAGGTGTGGAAATTGACTTGGATGTGTAGGCGAATCCGAGAGAGAAGAGGGCAACTACCCCACCGAGAACGTCGATTGTGAGTACCTCCACTCACTCGTTTCATCCCGCCACGCCCACGAGCCTGATCTGACGAACTAAACCTCTTTTTCAGCTACATCCTCAGGTGGTTACGGAAGCTCCGGAGTGAACGTCTGGTCGCAGAAAGCTCAACGGGGTACCAACACCGATCTTGGTTCCTCCTCTTCCTCTGGATCGGGTGAAGCGCCAGTTACCGGTACCGGTAGGACGAGGCGTGCGACTGTATCGAAGACGATGGCGCAGCGTCAGTCTGTGACGGGCCTGGTTGGGCAGTCGTTGAGTGGGGGAGATTTGGCGGGTGAGATTCAGGATGCGAAGCAGGGTTTTGATGGGGGGTGGCCGAGTCAGGTTGGGGAGAGGGACTAAGTGGTTTAGGAGGAAAGAGGAAAGAGTTTTGAGGGGCAAGGATGAATTAGTATTAGTAGGATGGGAGGTATAATGTAATGTGCTTTCGAGTTACTAGTTAGCAAGAGTAATGTCTATTTTCCCCCTTGACGAGGTCCGTTGGCACAGTCCCCCGCACACCCGCACTCTTCGGAGCATCCGACTCCCAACACTGCGCATCCACACTGTGAGCCAAAACGGTTGCTGTCGATGCGACAGCGACGGTTGATAGTTCCGTAGCTTGGTCCACAGGAGCACTTCTTCTCGGGAGGAGGGTCGATGTGTCGAGGAGGGGTGTACGGACTGCGACATTCTCCCGTTTCTGGGTCTCGTCCACCACACCCACAGAGGACAGAGCAGGCTTTTCCTTCTTTGGCGCAACCGCAGAGGTTCATCCTCCCTGGACGAGCAGAGCACCGGCTCCCACTACACCCACACGTCTTCCCTCCCCTCCGCACGGACCACACGTATTCCTCCTCATCGTCCTCTCCAGCAAGAGCTCGTTCTTCGTGCGAGGGCCCGGCGTACGTGGGTGGGGGGAGTGGCGGGGGTTCGGACGAGTACACCCACATACTCTTCGTGAAACACCCGAAGCACGTCCGGAAGTAGGGTTGGGAGCGTCCGCTGTAGTCCGAGTCGTCGGCGGTGCAGCGGCCGGTGGTGGGGTCGAATGTCCACCCGTTTTCGCGGGTGATGCGTCCTTGGGCGTCGCGCACGATTGGACGGCCTTGATGGAGGCCTTGGGTTTCCCCGCAGTTTGGTCGTTCGCATTTGAGGATGGCCATGTTTGCTGATTTTTTCGAGGTGTGCTGGCTGTGATTGTCACGTCGCGTCAGGCTGAGATGATCTAAGGGAAGTTGTCCTGACACTTACTTTGGGTTTGGTTGACTAGTTATTGGGACTTCAAGGTCCGAGGTTATGATTTGGCAGTGTCCGTTCGGTGAGGAGGGGAGGGAGGACTGCGTGCAATTTGCGACGCGACGCGTCGTGATCACACCAGCCCGGCATTGTTCTGCCGAGGCAACCCGAGTCGGACTTGGCGTTTCGTACAGAGGCTTTGTAAGTCAAGAGAAATCCAGAAGCTCGAATAGATTGCCATAGGCTTAGTTATTTCGAGTGTCCCCAGTTACTTCGGGACCCTTGCCCGTGTGGCTGAAGAGGCCCATGTCAGAGAACAGCTGCGACATCAGCCGAGGGTTCAGTCGGAGATCCAAAGCAGCCCCTGACGGCCTCTTCTCTGACTCTGATGTTTCAGTGAGGAGTAGTGAGCGCCTATAAAGACTGTGTTTCTATTTGAAATGACGCGTTGAAGTTATTTCTAGCTCTCAGACCTGGAATGTTTGCTTTATGGGCCTTCTCGGCTGCTTTCAGGAGAATAAGGTAAAAAAAGGTCGATGAGCTTCGGGTTGGGACGTTGTTCCCGTCGGTTTTTCATTCAAATGCAAGCAGACTGGATTGACGTGATTGTTTAGTTTAGGCGACAGAGAAACGAGCAAAAATGTTGCACCTGGAATGCTGATTGGGATTCATACAGTTCCCGGTACACCCACACCACTCCGAACTGCTGCTGGGCTCCGCCGTACTGCTGTTGGCCTCCACCAAATTGCTGCTGGTTTTGCTGGTTCAACATGTTGTACAGCACATTCGGGTCGAGGTTAATGTTGGAAGCCGACTGACCGAGCGAAGGATGATCGAGGCCCGGAGTCAGGAACCCAGAGGGCGCAGATGACATACCACCGTTGTGGGAGACCTGTTGGGCCAGGAAAAGTTGTTGAAGGAGGCCGAGTGTCGCGGGGTTGACGGGAACATTTCCACCCATCGAGTAATCCATCGGAGCTCGCATAGGAGCGGAGGTGGATGCCGTAGCGGCCAGGTGATGAGGGTGGGGACCAGGCCAATTCCAGCCGGCATTGGAGACGAGGGAATGACCAGGCGAGAACGATGTCGACGTCAACTGAGGATGCGGAGGGATGGGATTCGGCGTCATGCGGGCCTTTTTGGTGTCACCTCCCTCCATACCAACACTTCCCGCACGCTTATGGTTGACGAAGCTGTGGTTGCTCGGGGCCAAAAGCGATGGGTCAGGATGCTGCGGCTGAACGAGCGCCGAGGTTTGAAGAGGGTGATCTGTAACAGCCACGTGGCTTGTCACAGGATCCGCAGGGCTCACACCAGGCTCGAGAGTGGCCGCGCCAACGATGGGCGCCGTCGGGACCGGATTTGGCAATGGGACGGGAGTAGGGATGGTCAAGGGGTTTTAAAACCCCTGGGGTAGAGGCCAAGGGTAGAGCGGGGGTAGGGGTAAGGGTAGGTCTCCGGCTACCCTTGGCCAAACCCCTACCCCCGGTCGGGGGTAAGGGTTTTGATAAAAATCAATCAAAACCCATTTATTTCAGCATCTATGTATATTTTCTACTAAATAACTGCTGTATGCGCAATAAAACACATAAAAATATACATATAGACAACTGTAAGTAATTGTTAGTGCCAAAATGATTAAAACCCTTGGTCAAAACCCCCAGGGTTGGGGGTAAGGGTACTACCCCTACCCCTCAGTCAGGGGTAGGGGTTTTGGGGGGTGGGGGTAAGGGTAGGTGTCCGGCTACCCGGGGGTTACCCCTGTCCTTCCCGTCACGGGAGCTGCCAGCGGAAGGGGGGAGAGACCAGGGCTTGGAATATGGGCAGGCGCTGGCCTTAGCGCTGCGGTGGCAGTTGTCGGTAAGACGGGAGCAGGGGGAGGCGCAGACGCAGACGTGGGTGCAGGAGTCGGGGTAGGCGCGGGAGCAGGCGTCGACGTGGGTGCAGGAGTCGGGGTAGGCGCGGGAGCAGGCGTCGACGTGGGTGCAGGAGTCGGGGTAGGCGCGGGAGCAGGCGTCGACGTGGGTGCAGGAGTCGGGGTAGGCGCGGGAGCAGGCGTCGACGTGGGTGCAGGAGTCAGGGTAGGCGCGGGAGCAGGCGTTGATGTGGGTGCAGGAGTCGGTGTAGGTCCGGGAGCAGGCGTAGGGATGGTGGCGAGAGTTGAACTCGGAGCGAGGGTGGGAGCGGGCGCGGGGGTCGCCGAGGTAGGGGCTGGAGAGGGAGACTCCTCGTCCGAATCGTCGATCTCGACGACGGCTCCCTCTCTGACAATGGCCTCCAACCCCTTCCAGTCGGTGGTCCCGTCAGCGAATTGACGACGACCTCTGGCAATTGGCCAGGTGAGGGGCGTGAGGCGAGAGGGGTTGGAAGCATCAGCAGCCCTCTTTTGACCAGGTGTCAACACGGGGGCCGCCGTAATGATCACGGGAACTCGGTTAGCTCTCGTTTCTAGAAATACGGAACCAATCAATAAGCAGAAGCGATGAGAACGAAAGCGAAAACAAACGCACCCACGGCATCCGCTCGCTCAAGTATCAAATTCCCCCCAACGCTCGTGACGTGGGAAACCAAAAGTTTCCTTTGGTGCGCCGGGACACCCTTTATTCCCTGCCCAGCTTTCCCCGCCTTTTCTTCCTCCCCGGGCAAATACAACCTCCCAGGAGCAGGGAAGTTACGCAAGCACCACCCCGCTTCACCCAATTTCCCCGGGAGCAGTTTCCACGGAGTCTTTTCATACAAAACGCCAGGATCGACATGGCCTGTCACGTTCAGCCCTCGGTCAGCCGCAGCGTGAGATGAGAATTGAAGCCGGACGTACCCATGACCTCGATGAAAAGCAAGCGCACAAACTCCAAATGATTATTGAGGGCCTTGTGAGGATTTTTGATGACGATGGTGTTGGGAGCGCTGGTAAAATTCACTTGGCGTACGATCGCGGCAGTGGGGGGGGTGGGTTTGGCAGCGGTGGGAGCAACTTTGGCGATCATCGACGAAGGTCCGGCCTTGGCGGGTAACGACGAGGGTCCAGACTTGGCTGGGGCCGAGGACCGGGAGTTGGCAGCTTCTTTCGGGCCCGCAACCTTGAGGGAAGAGGTTCCGGGGGAGGGCTTCGTGACGGACCGAATGTTGTCGTGCAGGTTGGAACGGACGATGCCCTTCAGGGAGTCGACGCCTTTGTTTTTCGAACTTGGCGAAGAACTCAGATAGCGAAGATGAACATAATCAGAAGGCTACTCACCACACGTAAAGGCGCATCAGCCCGGTGATTTCATCCTTCGAGCAACCGCACATTTCTTCGAAGAACTACAACACAAAACATGTCGTCGTTAGCAAGTGTGATCCACGGGGTATAATGAGAAACGTACCCCTTCAAGCGCTGGTGACATTGCCACATGGACCATACCCTGGTCTTGATGGATCGACGTACCCACCGTGATAAAAAGCGACTCCAAATGGTGTTTGCTGCCCTCCGCTACCGTCTTATCGGCGATTGACGTGAAGTTGTCGAAAAACTTCTCGCGAGCCTGCACAGTTTGATGCTGACCATCGATGGCAGAGAGCGTGTCCCAGATGGAAAGCTTCTGCTCGAGTGTTCCGGCCTTCTTGGCCTTGCGGTAGCTCTCCTTGACTAAGGAGAACAATCAATACAAAATAAATGAGTTAACGACAAACAAGTACGTACCGTCCACTTTCGGGGCTTGGGATAGATCGGACTTCTCCTTCTGGGAATCCTTCGCGGTTTTCTGGTACTTGATGAGCGATTGAAACCGGTTGTAAGGGTTGGGATTACGCGGGGTTGCGAGGTATTCCGAGTGATACCGGGCCAAGAGATTCTCGACAGAGGTCCCCGTCTCAAGCGCGCACTGTGAGATGCATTCCTTGATGACTTTGAAGTCTTCGAGGAGACGCTGATCCTGCCCTTCGACCAAAGGGATGGACAAGGTCCGGTCCTTCATCCATTTCTCAAACGCGTGCCCCATCTCGCCAGGAGTATGCCCATGCTTCACCCCAACCTCGGCGAAAGCCTTTAGCAACGCCTCGAGCAACTCCAGAATCCTGGCACGAGCCCAATCGGTGGGCCTTCCCTTGCGAGAGTTTGTCGCGCCGCCGCCGGAACCGGTCGCCGACGTCGTTGAGGTCGGGTTTGTTGCGACAGGGGTGGAAAGCGGAGAGGACGGAGCAGGAATCGCAGACTCCTCCTCGGATGCAAGAGGGGTTGCTGCGCCCATCGAAGGCGCCGGCGTCTTCGAGGCTGTCCGAGAGGCTGGAGTGGGAGTACCTGCCACAGAGGTGCTGGAGCCCCGACTAAAGGGTGTGGCTGGAGAGAGCGAGGGCTGGAGGAGAGGTTGTAGAATAGGATCCAATCGGATGAGGGGTTGAATGACGGCACCCAGGGGGACGTAGGTTTTTTTATCGAACGGATGAGGGGGAGGGAGCATGCCGACGAGGGGCGGGAAAGCATTCGGAGACTTCGAGGAGCTCGCAACCGCAGGGGCGTCGACCTCCATGTCAGTGGGGGCGGGAGGACTGACGGGATCTTCGGGGACTATGAAGGGATTGTCGTCGTTGGGCGGAGCGGACGGGTTAGCAGTCGCCGACACGGGTGATGGAGTAGGCAAGATGGTGAGCGGGCTGCTGAGTGCCTCCACAAGGCCGCTCGCATCGCCCCCCAGGTACATGTCGATCATCTCTGTGCCAGAGACGGTGTGTGCCGTAGTGGAAGCAGTGGGAGTTGTTTCGTTCAACGACGACGTCGGGGGCGCGTTTTCGGTGGATGCTTCCGGTTTTTTGGGTTTGGCGCGACGCTTGGTGGGAAGCTCGAGCGAGACGGGATCTAAGACAACGCCCAGCTCTCGCATGGCCGAACGGGTAGGACGCCGTTCGGGCGTCATTGTAGTAGGAGCGGTTTGGGTCATCTGGCAGCAGTGTCGTTAGTACCGCTACTTCAGATCTTTGGGAAAAGACATACCAACTGCCGGTCTCGAGAGAAAGGTGAGGAGGAAGGATTGAAACGATGGGGAGTTGTGAGACAATAATCAATAGTGTTCTAGTGCGCAACCCCAAGGAACACCGCCCTCCAGGAACACGACAAGGACACATGTCGAGGGGCATGACTTGCCAGGTCACTCGCTCTGTAGATCAACAGAGGAACCCTCGGTCAGGGACAAGGAAATTCGAGAAACAGAAGACGCAACGCACCTTCGGTGAGGAGTGTCACGGCAGGCCGGTATATTTTTTACAAAGCCATCCTCAACAACTTTAGGTCAAAATCCTTCCCATCGACACCTGCAACCATTCACCCATAGTGCCCATGAATTCCCGAAACGACGTCTCTGTTCGTCTTCTCCATAGTCTCCAAGATTTCTGGAGCATCCTACTCCCTCCGACCGTTCATCCAGGGAAGCCTATGTGCAAGACAGGTTACTTGTTAGCGAAGAAGGCGGCCAGGGAGGAGAGTGGCATGACAGGTACTGGGGACATCGACGACGACAGGTATCTTGCCATACGTGGGTACGGAGTAGGAAGAGCGACCAAAGTTGAAGAAAACCAAGACGTTGAACGGGCTGTTGTCATCGCCGGCGACCTATTGAAGCCTTACGATTACCATTACGACGTACTTGAGCTGGTGTCGTTCTTCACGCCTACGCTCGCATGTCTTCTCGAAGTCCGCCTTCCCAAGGAGTATGAGGATGGTCCATCCGAGGAAACCGAGACGCCGTCAGCAGAAGAGGTCATCTTCTGGGCTCGTGTCGAGAGAATCCTCCACATGTACTTGACAGAGCAGCTGGTTGGCCCCAAGTCTTCTTATGAGGATCGAATGGCGGTACGTACCTTGTTGTCTGCTCCCCACGCCTTACTTTCTGAACCAATTCTCCTTGTTGGTCCCAATAGTTCTACAAGTCGAAGCTCAAGAGCGGTGCCCGGATGATGGTATTTGCTGGAGGGATTCTAAGCTCGTATAGACGGAGGTCGATGGAAGAGGACACCTCATTCATCCCACACTATCGACATAAGGTTTGCGTGGCGCGACATTTTCCACGTAAGGTTACTTACTCCGTTTAGAAGTTCATCGATCACTGGATCCAAGATAGGCAGTGGCGCTTGGCGAAGCGCCGTGAAGAAGTCCGTCTGCGCCTAAACTGGCACTCCTATGCTGCCTCCATAGGAGGTAGTCAGGTCCCCTCGTGTGGCAACCGTTCCTGTGCCTGTGTTGAGAATATCGGTAAAACTCGTTACTAATAGCCTATCATTCTTCGTCCTTGGGCAGAAATCCTGGTGCAATGCATGTCAAGTGTTTTAGAGTAAATACAATACATTCAGATGATACATTCAGATGAATAGCAAGAAATTCGAACAGCTGAGCTATCAAGAGGTTATAGACTAAGGACTGGGCGAAGAGACGCGAGCACCGCAGCCTTCCTACTCGTCGTGGCCAAGCATATAGGGGTCCTGCTTGGTGCCAGACCCCGAAATCTCCAACGCCGACTCGAGGACGTAAGGATCTTCCTTGGTGCCAGAACCTGAGGCCACGCGTGAAGAGACGGAGGAGACGGAGGTCTTAGTGCGCTTGACATGTTTCTTGTCCTGCACGATGTTGTTGCGAGGGCAGGTGGCTACTCCGAGCTTGCCGAGGATGTCGGCCTGCGGGGTCGGGATCAGCCAAAAATGGAAACAGCAGGGAGGCGAAACTTACCGCGATCTCGCCAAAGCGCTCGGAGGGCCGCAAGTTGATGAGCTCCCGCCATGATACTGGAAGGACCACTTTGGGAGACGTCATTCGGAGCCACGCCATCTTTTTCTTGATGATCTGGACCACACCTGAGTACCGTCCGACAACTATACACCACAACATTTGGACTTACGATCTCTTGTACGTCATTCGCTCGGGTCCACTCCTCTAACGATGGGTATTGGTCGCGATCCACAGGCCAGCGACCGCGATACTGACGGTAGAGCATGAAAAGAAACAGAGGCCCTTCCCCTGTGTGGGCGGCGGCGCGATAGAAAGGTGCGTGAATGCGGAGAAAAGCGTGCTGTTGCTGAGCGGTGGTTTGACCTGTCGGAATGTCGGCAAACAGTTCTGGCATAATGGCGCTGTTGGTGGGTTGGTCGGATGGGGGACTTGGCTGAGGGTTGGGGACATTTCAGTCCTCAAAGGCGACTGTTTAAATGGTTTAACAACCAAATCGAGACACTATCGGGTTGTCCACGATGATCTGGTGCCTGGAGCCGCGGTGACAGCAATTGACTTTGCCGTTGCACTTGGTCTGACAGGGAAGTCGAAGCGTCGACGCTCAGGGCTTCGAGCCTTCTTCGCTTTCTAGAAGAACAGACGAGGGCTTTCCTGCGGGATATTGACTTGAGCATGATGGAATTTGTTTGTCGTTTATACGAGCAGGGAGAGGGGGTCAAATCCAAATGTTGTAACAATCTTCATCAGCAAAAAATTACCTTTTGAACGGTACCACTTTGGCAATAATCCGCCTCCATCTTCCGAAGTCAGACGAAAGCACGGGATCCGACCCATTGCCATTAAGAACTCAGCCATCTGCGAGTATCGCCCTCCCCTCATTCACCTGTCCTCCTCCCAATGGCCAGAACTAAAGCCCAAATAAGAGAGGAGAACCGTAGGAAAAGCAAGGAGAGCTATCATAGGTCAGCCTTAACGATAATTCCTCTGTGTTATAGCTGACGGTGGACCAGAAACAAGGAGTCAATCAATGCACGACGAAGGGAGAAGTACCGGGCCTCAAAGGCCACGAAAGCTAAACGGACGAACAGTACTGCAACCAAAATAAACGATAAGCCCAAGGGAAGGCAGGCGACGACCCCTGGCGGTGCTGTAGAAAAGCCTGTTAACAGCAGCGAGTAAGCGCTCATCCTTAGTGAAGGGACCTCCATTGACCGCAGTTAGGCGCCTAATTATGCTCCGCGTCAATCACGCCTGTGAGATGACTCGCGAGCTCGGGAAGAGGTTGGTCTTCCTGTGTGGACGTTCACCCCGATGTTTCTTGGAAACGGTGTGCTCCAATTTCGCCACCAATTACACGGTCAATCCCAAGGCAGCCCGTACGACAATCTCCAACCACCTTGAGAAGTTCCTCAAAATCCGAGATCAGGTCTCAGCCCACCAGGCTACTGTTTTGGAGTTGGAGGGCATAACGGATGCATGGAGGTCTATTGAGGCACTCATGGACCCTCTGCGCAAGATTTGCAACTCGCTGGAGGAAATCGAATGCGAGGCGGGGATCGACGCAAAGATGCTCATTGATGACTTCGCGAACGGGGAACTTGGGTTTCAGAGGGATGTCATCGAGTTACCAAAGTAGACATCTATTGTAGTTATTCGTCACCAATTTCTATCGTAAATTGCTAGAACTATCTTTGGTAGGCATCAACAGCATGTGGCGATACAAGAAAGACTGGAATGCCGGTAGGTGGACCTGTGCGAGTGGAGTAGTGTGGAAGCCCCTCAAAATCGCAGCCACTTGCGCCAGCACCCAGACACCCCCACTCGTGCCGTCCTCCTGGATTCTGCGGATGGTGGTAGGGTTGATTTCCCAGTGTTGTCCGACAGAAACCCCGATTTCTAGCTGATGAACTCCGGCGGCGAGCACAAGCTGATCGAGAAACGCTAGGATATCCTAAACGAACTCGTGTTAGCGGCTTTCACTGTGTGATCAACAAGGAGATATATTACCGGGATTTCGCTGACCCACGGTTGCTTGGTGGCCAGGCTATCGAAGAGGAGGATGCGGCGGTGGGCTGGGTAAATCGCGCAAACAACCCAATGGTCGGGATGTCGGCGGTTAATTGGGAGAATCCAAAGCGGTTTGCGCCAGAATTCGGTGTGCTTCGTCTGGTCCCACGTGTACAAGAGCGAGCACTGGCTCCTTACTGCAAGTAGGTCGAATGATGAGAAAAGGGCACAATGGTCGCTATAGGCTGCAGTCGGGTATTGGGGATCCGAAAATAGGTGTTGGAGAAGCGCGGCGCCGCTGTTGATACACACTTCGTCCAGCATCGCGCCGGGCGACGCCATGATATCAAGACTTGAAGGGCAGACCTGAATGGCCCCTTCACGGATGCCGGATCGAGCCTCCAGGTGTCGAAACCGGTGGTCCGTGTCAGGGCTTAAGGGTGGCTGGGTGCTGATGAGGTCGAAAATCGCATCGTCGGAACGCAAACCCGGCTGTTCAAAGAATGTCAGAACCGCGAGATGGACAAGGCATGTAGACTCACTGGGCTGGCCCAGACAAATGAATACTTGCATGTAGCATTTCTTTTGGGAGCCTCCGGCGCGGCAAATATTTCGTCTTCATCGAGAACGGCGAGCGTTTCAAGATTGGGATCGTGGTCGTTAGCTGGCAATGGTTCGTGGCGAGGGAGGATATCCATTGTCGATACTGAGGGTCCTATCCATCGAAGGGGGATGCTTGGACCACCGGGTACGACTTGTTTTGATGCGGTAATCTGGGCATCAAAACGGACAGTGCTGGCAAAAATATTGGCCCAGCTCGACTTGAGAGAGTAAAGGTGGTCGCGGTAGATCGTTAGTTCGTGCGCGAAACGTTGGCCTCGATGTATGGTATGTCAGGTCCAGAACCCAAAAGACACGGAGAGGACGACGTACAGCGGGGTTGCGCCAATGCAAACTCGATGTTGGCCAGCTGACGCCCGTACCAGCGACACATGTTGTCAGCCTCAATACCTAGTCGTTCCATTTCTTCTTGGCATCGATCGAGCTTCAACATGGCACGGATACCCTTTCGCACTTCAGCGCTCTCGAACCACTTGGGAACCGGATGAGGACTGTGGGTGGTCCAAACATCCTCCATGATGTCCGAATGGTCGCGTAGTTCGTCGAGATCAGTCGGGAGTGGGTTGGGCAGGGGTATGTTGTATTCCTTCTTGTGTAACTTCTTCAAATTCACGAGCTGTGTGTTGAATCTACGAATCGCTGATTGCAGTGCTGGCTGTCGTTTCGCAATCGCCTTGCGCGTTAACTGATGGAGATTGGTTCCTAAGACCCTGCCTAAGCCCAGATGCGACAATTGACAATTTAGTGGGGTCTTACCAAGAGGATTAGCTCGCCCTTTGGAGGGCATCTGAAGCTTTTCGCGCTCGAAGAATTGAGCGATGGCTCGTCGGCGTATGCTGATTTTGAGATCTCGAAGGAGAAGCAACGCCTTGACGAACTCGTAGTCGAGCCCTTGCAGCTCCGGATGTTCATCGCCTACGTTGATTGCCAGGTAGGTGGCCTCAATTCGACTCTTGAGCGCCGCGTAGGCGGCATTCAGGGCGGCCAGGACTCCTTGCTTGTGGTCCTCGGGAAAGTCCTCGTTGAGTCCGGTGGCGACCTCTTCGATTCGTGCTTCGAGACGGTCAAGATCACCTTGTAAGACCAAGATCAAGTCTAAGTCTTTCTTGAGTTTCGACGGACGCACTGATGGGCTGAGGCATGAGAGGTGTCGAGGAAAGTCGAAATGGTTACTCACGCGTTCGTATCGACTGTCCCGCCTTCTGTTGGTCTTTCCACAGCTCCCGTAGTTCTTCGACAGGAGTCCCACAGGCTCGAAGTTCGGCAGTGGCTTCCACGCGGTATTTCTGGACGAGCTTGGCTCGCGCTTTGATCCACGAACCAAGACCATCTCGTGCCTCTGCCCCGATAGCGGCGGTAAGTCGATCGATAAGTTGGAGTCGTTTCTCCCGCTGCAGTCCGAATGAGACAATGGTACGAGATTTTGAACGCCCAGTGTCGCGAAGAGCGAACACTAAACCAAACCAAAGACCAGTGATGCGGAGCAGATAAGAACGGTGAGCGAGATAAGAGCGATGAGCGACGAATGCTGATGAATGCTGAAGCGATGTATTGACGAAGAGGTCAAGCTGAGGAAATACAGAGGAATCTACCTAGCTTATATACCTATTCTACAGTCTACATAGCCGCGATGAGTCAAAATGACGAAAGGGTGGTGAAACACAGAAGAACAATAAAGAGGGTCACAAGGCTGCGCGGGGCTGCGCGAAGAACAAGGAGAAGACAATAGAAGGGAGTCACGAGGCAGTGCGAGAAGGAAGAACAATAAGAAATAGGGCAGAGGGTACATCGAGGCAGTGTTCCATGAGAGAAAGAGTCCGTATCGAGAATAAAGGTAGAAATGAGAATAAAGGAGGGAACGATAAGGGAGATAAAAGTGATAAGATAAGATAATGGAAAAATAGGGGCTCGTACCCGCTGTTCACGACACCCAGTACGTACCCCCGAAACTCGCATAAGTGGTATCACCCTCCGATGTTTTGCCCAGAACCTTTCTACTCCCTCGCCGTCCGTTAGCCCGGTAAATTTGCGAAGACGGGGATTGTAATAAAGTTGGCACGACCACTGGTGGGCATACGAGTGCATGGCGCTGGTGATTAGGCATAGGCGGCTTGTCAGTGCATCAGGGAGGATGTCATACTGGTCGAGTTCGCGTGTCAGGGTGAGATGGTGCCGAGGTCGTGGAGACTCACAGTTTCCAAGCTCCTGTCCAGCACACACGCCACATCATAGAAGACGTCTACTGTAGCATCCTTCGGCAGTAATGAATATAGTTTCTTGATGAGCGCTACCGCGTATTTCTGCTGTTCGCCGGGGGTGTCGATGTTGGCTAGGAAAAGTGGGACATCATGCCGGCAGACAAGTGCCATTGTGCCCGTGTCATCGTACATCTGGGTGCTCGTCTTGACGTTCGTGCCTTTTCCGGCGATGTGGCCATCTTCGCATTCATCTACAGCTTCGTCGGGAACCTTGGGGTCGCGCGCCTTGGGCTGGTTGTCGCGAACGAGGTCGATGTGGCTTCCGACCTTGTCGACGTAGGCTTTGGGCAGATAATACTCCGGAGGAAAGTGCTGGCGCTGGTGGTCGGCGTCCCTTCGTATGTGCCGGTGGCTGAAGTTCCCGTCCACACACACTTGAATGTTGCTGGCTCTGTGTCCTGAGTCAGTTTCATCTACATGGCGGTGAATACTTCCTTCTTACCCTCCGTTGGCGTCTTTGCCAAACACCTGTGAGCCGAAACACGCGGGACAGCGTTGTTGTAGAATCCAATCACATTCAACTCTGGATTCTCGGAGCATCCTTTCCTGAGCGTCTTCCATGTCTTCCATGAGGTTCACCCTCACCCTGCGTTTGCGCGGAACGGTGGACGCCGCTCCCCCTCCTTCCGTTTCCCCTCCTTCCGCCGAAGTGTTTGTGCCGGTCTCAGGTGCGTTCTTGCGCGGTCTTCCCCTCTTCTTCTTCGCGGTAGCGACTGCGGCCGTCTGGCTCTTGGGTCCATTCTTGCGGGGCCTACCCCGTGGGTTCTTGGACGCGTTCGGCTGGGTTGCTGAGGGCTGTGGCTCTGGGTTCTCCTCGGGCGCATCAGGGGCTGCATCGGGGGTAGGGGCCTGTAAGACGGAGGCCAAGACCTGGGGAACGACCGGGATTCCTTCGAGGGACATGGGCTGGAGGGAAGGATATAGTGTCTTGTCCGCGGTTTGGAGTTCTTGATCGACAGCTCTGGCTATTGCTATGAGCAAATTGTCGTACCACTGGATAGCTTGGGTTAACGAGCGTCGCCAGGCATCGTCAAATTCCTCTCCCTTGGAATTGATTAGTGTAAAGCGGATTTGCCACGTTACGACCTATAGTGAAGGACATGGGTAACCCGCGGGTAAATTTACCCCTACCCGTACCCGTACCCGCGCCTACCCGTACCCGCGACCCGACGGGTATTCCGCACAAAACGAGCCCAAGAACGTCCAAAACGGATGAGAAATGAGCAAGATACACTCGATTTACTTAAATCAAGTGTAACCCGCCCATTTCATGGCCGTTTTGGACGTTTTCGGGCTTGTTTTGAAGGGCGCGGGTACGGCAACCCTTACCCGTACCCGTACCCGCGCTTACCCGTACCCGTAACCCGCCGGGTATCAAAAACCCGTGTCCATCACTAACGACCTACCTACCTTGCTGTTACGATGATGGAACCCTCTTCTTTTGTAGTACTTCTTACACGCGTCCGAAAAGGCGGTTACTGCATCACAGGATTGTTCGAAAAGGGACCGATAAAAATCGAGAAGTGGTATAGCGACAGCTAATCGAGGTACAGCGGGGGAGGAGGGGAAGAAACCGTTGCGAACAAGGACTTTACACAAGGAATCGCATCGACACGAGTACGCCACGATATCCCAAAAACCTTGAGGAGATCTCATTAGACGGCAGTCGTTGGGGCAGAAATTAGATCTCACCATCCAAACTCAACACCTGGACTTCGTTGGAGGAATAAGTGCATTGCCCGGCAGGCAGTTCGCATTTGAATGTGAGGGTGGTCGTGACAGCAGGGATAGGTTTGCCGTATAGTTGCGCTTTGAATTCCAAATACGGGTCTTCAAGAGACGGAAGTGTGGTGGCCCAACTGGTTTGGAGACGCGCTGCTGCTTTGGCGGATTCTGTTTCCCGCTGTTCAGGTGGAGGAGAGTCGTTGCGGGCGTCGACTGGGTCTACGTCGGCTGTAAAGTCATGGTCGTGGTCAAGTGATTCCATCATATCCATCGTTGCTGTCTCCATTGAGTTTACTCCCACAGGTTCGTCATCCAAGGCAATTTCTGCGATGTCGTCGGAGAAATGGTGACTTTCCCATGTGTTCGCAGCGATTTCGGAGTCGTCATAACAGCATTGCCCATCCTCCATCTGTTCACCCTCGCGGTCGGTGGCCTCCAGTTCGTCGAGAACGTCAAGTGCGTCCAGCAATGCTTTCTTGACAACCGCGCTCCCGAAGGGCGCGGCGGTCGTCTTCTCCTTGCGCGCATTCCTCTTCTTCACTGGGCTCGTGTACGCTATCCCGATGCCTCCCGAATAGGGCACCTGCTTCCGGCTTTTGTAGTGCGGTTCCGGTGTATCCTGGTCCTTGGGCATCGGCGAAGTGGTGGGTATCAGGGATCAAACATATCGAACGGGCACGCACGCGCACATCCAGGATGACTAATGATAATAGCCACGCTAATAATAGAGAGAAGTTCAACGCAGACCGTCTGACAGTTCCGAGCCAGAATGGATCGGGTACTTTTGCGAAGCAGTCCCCGATGTCAGTTTTTTGCGCCAACGTGACTTCTGCGATCACGTGATCTTATTGCGGCCTTCACTTGGGATTGCGCCTGGAGGGTGATGGCTTTCCTATGCGTCTTTATCTATGGACAATATTTACTTTTACGTCACGGTCGTCTTGAGCGAAAAACGCGCAAATGGTTGTTTTCGTGCCTGCTCATCCACTCACTAGCCCCTGGTACTTCCTTGACTCGATCCTCTACTCTCGTTTCACCTGCTGTTCTCATACCGATATTGTCTACTTTACATCCACGTCGTTATGGGTACTGTAACGGCGAATGTACGAGGAAGGAACTTTGAAAGTTGTGAGTCCGTGAGTTCACCGAAAGTTATTTGCCCAGCCGGAATGGGGCAACGATGTCGGAAAAGGTAACCCAATGCCCATTTTCGTTCCTCCCTCGTCCCTTCCATGGCCGCCAGTCGAAAGAAATTCTTAAATACAAGGTGCAATTGTAGTCCTTCATGGTCCCCAAGAAAACGGTACAGAGCATTGTCCAGTCTTTCCCACTCACCCATCGAGGCCAAAAAACGCACCCAGTCCTCTCTCCTTCGTCCACCATAGTGGTTGACTATCGTCAAACTTTCCACCTTGCGGCAATGCAACACTTCAAGGGCATATGTCACCGCTTGCCATGGCCGTACTTGAATGGGATATACCTCCCAATACTCCGTGTTCAGCGTGAGCGTCTTCAACTTGTCCATGCTCGCGATCTCCATCGCACTGGCCGGCAGAATGCCTTCTACATTTCCGTTAGCAATGGTTCTTTTCCTTCCATATACACTGCAACTCACCTACGCTTGTCAATCCCGATACGTTGATCGAGAGCCGCTGAACCGATTGCCCACCAGCGCGCAACGTGGACACCAGAGTAGAGACATCGTCCTCTGAATATGTTTGGAAATCCGCCTCTTCCAACTGCTCCAAATTGACGTAGTGGGGTAACACTTCCTGAGACCGCGCGGTCCATTCCTCGCCCCACTTGGGTTGCCTCGAGTATTCCAACATCCGCGGATGCGGTTGCAGTCCTTGACATTGAGGCGGGTAATTTTGCAGAGTCTGTGCCAATGTCTGTCGTCCCGCCGCTCTGGTGAAGACACCCGTGAATCGCAGGACCGACACATGACGAAAGAACTGGAAGCTTAATGGCGACATCCCCCGAATGTTGTTGAGGGCGATGTGAGTAATGGTGGGAGGGATGCTGGCAAAAAGGGTGTCGTGGAGATGCCTTCCATCGACGCCTGTCTTCACTTTGCCGCTAATTTCCAACGACGTCAAAATGGAATGCTCCGAAAGGTTGCATAGGATGCGGTCCATTAATTCGTCCGTCATCCATGAAATATTGCGGTAATCGGATTCGAGCTTGACTCCTGTGATGTGGTTGCACAGAGCCTGATTGTCTTCCAATATTGCAAGGAACCGTTCCTTTCGTTTTCGCATGTGAGAAGGGGATCGATGCATTGGGGCGCGTCGGTAGAAAGATATGTTCCTGAATAGAATAGGTTGACAACACCCGGCTAGTACATGGCTCACACTCGCGAGCGCCGCGATGTGGTGGACGTGAGTGGGATCCCACACAAGCTCACCAATCATGCTCCAAATTTCGGGGGGGATCGATGCGTTCGACATTAGGACGATAACAGATCACCGCGCTCTTCCCGCGTGTTCGCACTAAATAATCAGCCAATGTCCTTAATTCTCCACAGACTACTCCACAATCAGTCACCCTTCGCTTCTTTGGTGATAGCGGCCTTCAGGTTCCGACTTCTGACGTCATTGACATCCAATCCAATCGGGATCACTTTCCCCTCCATCCTCCTATTTTGATGGCTCTGACTCAACCTCTGTCCGATCGTACATTCTATGAACCGACATCCGTCACAATGCCATTAGCCAATTATCCTGCTTATTTTCGTCCATTACCTCTTTCTCTCACCAAGGGATCCCCTTGTTCAAGTTTTCCCTGTAACACCAATGGCCCATTTTTTTACACAGAACCGTACTCTGACTGCGGCAAAGGCAGTCGCTGACTCTACCGCCGTGTCCAGAAGCTCATACTCTGCGAACAAGGTCCGCCCTACATTTCCCCAACTATCCTACGCCTAATCCCTCCAAAGGTCTGTGACAATCCCTCTTGCAAGGCGAAACCAGACTCTTGCCACGTCGCCCCTCGAGGACGTGGATGTTTACCATGCAACCTCGCCCTTCAGCCTTGCTCATTTGTCACGGATTATATTGTGCAACGCCTTGGTCTAGAGTGTGGTCTCCAACCCGACGACGCCATCGCTTTCTTGGAGGATCGATACAAACCCCACGTTACTGCCCAAAAGTCCCCCGGAAATCCAGCAGCAAAAATCCCTGGTATCATTTGCCGTTCTTCTCAACTAGTTCCTTCTTCCTGACATCATGCAGATTTTTCCACTGCAGACACTTTCCAATCCATTATCGACGAGGAGGAATCTCGCCATCGCCAATTGCTCTCACGTCTCCAATCGATGCGCAGGAGCCTGTATCAGGATTTGGTCCTTCGGTGTGAAGGTGACCTTCCCTTGACTTCATTCCAATACCGCGACATAACGTTCTTCAGACCAGGGTCAAACTCAGAGTTACATTGCCCACTTGACCTACGTTCTGCTGCGCGCCAAAGCTCTTGTTGCTGAACTTAAGCAGCGCCTGGATTACGGTAACTCGCATACCCCAGTTACCAAAAAATTCCTGGATGATGCCGAGCATCTTTTCAACGTGTCCCTCCATTCTTCTGCCTTTTTGCCTGATGTATCTGTCCGGGATACGGATGTTTAGCATACTTTCCTTTTTCCAATCGTGATATTTTGAACCCCTCCCCCTTGGCGTCACTGAAGTGCTCTGTTTGAAAGTGTCCTACTCCCCTAATCGATGTGCAATTTATAGGTCGGTTGCCATGTTGGTCGGGTCTTTTCAACCGTCTACAATGCCCATAACGCCCACTTGGCCCGACGACTTGAGGCTCTCCCCCTATTTCTCTCGCATGACCTCGGATTCTCTCCGAGCTCTCGCTCCCGACCACAATGGCGCTTTAGTATTCCTTTTCCCCGCCCAAGGCAATCCGATCGTCGTCCCCACTGGCTTCCATGCAGGCCATGGCAATCTTCGTCGCCCAATAGATTTGGACGTGTCTCGTTACCTTGATTTGGATGGAGACCGCGTAGTCCAGCTGTCTAGCCGGATGGCTCTTTTTCCTCGCTTACCCTTAGAAAGCTCCGAGGTTTTGCGGGTTGGGTTTGCGGTCTACTTCTGTGCAGAGGTACGTGGGTATGCGTTCGCACAATTAATGCTCCACTGACTGGGGACCAAGGGTATTTACACCCTCCATCGCAACGCATGCCTTCAAAGTCTCTTCACTACCCCTGTGCCAATCGGCGGAAACATTGTCGTCGCCACTGTTTCTGCGGAGGGGGTGGTGATTGACGCTACTCCCACCCTGTTACAACAAGCGCTGCTCATCGCTGGCATGTGAGTTCACTTTCGCCCATGATGTTTCCCTTGCGTAATACTCTTGTAGATCGAAGTCCTACGGGCACCCTTCTCTTGCCCATACTATCACTTCATCAACTTACTATCCCGCACCTCCCAGTGCCGCACACACATGGGAACATGAAATCCCTGTCGTATGCCGCCCGGTACAGCCGAACTATAGCTCCCTACTTTTCAGTCCCGACATCTCTTCCTTACTTTTGCCAAACATGGCTTTCCTCGACTTGGTTCGATTCGGTCAAGTGTCCGCCCTTTTTCGGTATAGAGTCGGCCACGAATTGGCCAGCCGTTGGAATGCCAAACTTGGTAAACCGTACGTGTGGTCCCAACTTAACGCGTTCTTCGACGCGGTGACCAAGTCGCGCGCATTGTTAGTCGGCGGGGTCGTTCGCGACATCATGCTTGACAATTTGTCCCCCTGTTTGTGTATGGACCTCATATGCGCTGCAGGACTACAGACCACTATACTTTCTTTTCTTGAAAGCAATGGGTTCTCATTTGGTCCAGACCTTTTTCCCGACGACTCTTCGCAAAGCGGTCAAGATTCCCTCACGTCTTCTCCCCTTGACGAATATAGCAATTCGAGATGTTCGTCTCCTGTCACCTTCATCCCCTACCGTATGCGAGAGCATGTCGACGGAGTTGCCTACTTATCAGGACCGGTAGGTCTCTCCAATAAGTTGTATTGTATCCCATTTGACAGTACCTTTTCCATCAGTTCAACATACGACTCATTCACAGCAAATACAGGAACCCATTTCGAACCCTGTTGAACTCGTCGAATAGCTACCAGCTTAATGCGATGACTGGTACAAGAATGTATTCATTCTACCCCATTTCTCTCTTCGCTCGTCGTGGTGTAGAGATGTGGGATGACTCTGCGTTCAGAATGAGGCATCCCGAGTTACCTCTCGATTTCTCGAACGACGGGTGGACTGTACCTTGCGGCCCCGAGTGTCCTGCCGTATGGAACAAAACCATTGGTTTTCTTTGGCGGACAGATAACACGGGCCTGGATGGAGCTGTCGATGAATCGGATATTCCCCAATTTACAGCCGATAGATGGGAAGACGACTGTGACGCCTTGATGTATCGTCTCACTCCCACATGCTACAACTCTTTGTGTCAGTTCGGGTCTTCGAACATCGCATAAATATCCGCATTTTAATTGACCTGCGTGTATTACTTGGACCCCATGCGACCAGGAATGAAGAGTTTTTGAACCTTGTCTGTAGTTCTTGTTTACCCACTCCACAGCGCGTACCCGTCATATGTCTGAGGAGCCCCAATCCTCCGACAGCGTTTGGAGTCTCGACTTATGTCGGTCTCATCCTCCTTCTCACCGACCATCATGAGCGTCAATGCCGCCTCCGTTCGCCCCTTCTACTACAGAGAATATATCCGCTCCGGTCTGAAGGACAACCAAAGATTTAGATCTTGGTTCGACAATACGCGAGGCGATGTGGTTAGTGTCTCTGTCGTACTTCATTCGGTGCCCATGTGAAGGCTGACTCGTCCTCGAAGCCTTGTCGCACCGGTCCTTGTCGTAGGTTCCCCGAGAACTGCTTGGAGAACGTAAACTATGAGTGGCGAAGCTGCCGCCGCTGTATGAGGAAGCGGAGGATCTGTAGCTTCGCAGAGGAATACCTGCACTACCTGCGGAGTTGCGCAGATCAGGAGTTGACCCAATCCTTTATAAACGAGGGACTCCCAACGGACGATCCTCTTGACCGTAGGGTGGCGCAAGGTACTTTGGACGAATACAGACAGTGTGAGATCTCTTCCTCGTGCATCCATGTCCATTATCTGAGGGTTTATTGCAGGCTACGCCAACCTCGCCGACCGACTTGAGAGGGTATCGAGAGTTTTGAGGGACATTAATGTTGAGTCCGCCCGTATGCGCGAGCGGATTGGGCTTGCTGGATCCTTCGAGGACGAAGACAATCGCGAATCTATAATGCAATTCGTACGCGTGTCGGAAACCCTGTCTTCGGCCGCGTACATTCAGGACATCCTTTGGCTGGAACACTTTGAACTAGGCCACCCGGACGTGTAAGCACCGTGTGTTGTTTGTTTCTCCTAACCATCTATGATCGCTAGTTACGAGTTTGGGGTTACATTAATATTTGGTTCGTCGAATTGTAATACGTCGTCCTCTGAATGCTCCCCTCTTTTGCACGCGAATATGTGTATTGCACAACCTGTGTACACGTTTAAAATACGGGAATGACCATCCTATGAACACCTATGCCATCCGAAGCTTTTGAAGCCTCTGCTGCGCCTCCTTAACTTCTTCGTCGTCCAGAAAGATCCTTCGCTTCCGCAGGACGTTGCTTCGCCCTGATACGACCTCAATGGGTGGGTTCAGCTGCTGAGAAGCCTGGTCGCAAGCCTTGACATCAGTCGACTTGTACAACATCTAGAATACGACATACCTCACGAATACTTTTGTCCACCAAGCATAGTCCTTTAAGGACAGTCATGAACTTGTACACGCCGCCTTTGATAGGGACCGCCATGAAGGACACTGTAACTTCTACGACATCGCCGATTCCAAAATCGGCAGGACTGAACGCCTTGTACCTGGTTATAACACTTGAGAGGTAACTCCCCTCCGCCGGAGATTCGAGCGGTGATTACTCACCTGGGGTTCTCCCCGTCGTTCTCTACCCTGACCGCATATTCGACTTGATTATCCATAGTGTGAATGAACTTCTCCCCTCGAAGAGACTCTAGGATGTTGTTGGGATCCACCCCCGGTAGAAACGGCTGATGACTTTCGAAAGGGTTCGCCGTTCTGTCCGTAAAGTATCGAGCGTGTGCATCGATGGTCGTAAAACCTTCGTAGGGCAATGAACTAGGGGGCGTAACCTGTCGTGGACCTCCGAGGCTGTCGCAGAACAAGGTTTGAGCGCTGAAAACACTGTCCGCTACTCGCTGGAAGTGCTCGTCCCCCAGCCCGGTGATTCGCACGTGTTGGCGAAGATTGCGTATGGTACCAGCGTCCCGTCGTCGACTACATTTAGTCAGAGAACTGTATACGGCGCAATGGTAGAGAGCGTACGGGACATGAGTCAACGGCGGCAGATTCCTATCGCACAGCACGCCGAAGAACTTGAAGTGAAGTTCTGTTTCCTCCATACCGTCTACTTGCATAAGGCGAAACGCTCTTGGGTATTCAAATCCTACGACTTTACACGCGGATTTCTGCGAAAAGGTTAGAATCACGTTGGCGTTACGGATAGGTTTCGCACCTCGAATGAGTCCAACATGATGGTCCCTTGGGAAGCGGTCTCTTCCTGGCCTTCGAAAAGCTGCCTAACTCGACTGCCTGTATGTATACCGGTTCAAGAGTGTTATCCTCAGAAAGTTAATCTCGAAGGGACTCACCAGCTTTCTCCTTGTCGTATCGGGTGTTCATGACTGATACAAGATACGTCGTTTCCTGGCCGCTTCAAGGACTTGTGCGTTATAAGGTTTTTGTCCGGACCCAGACCCTGGCGGGAGCATCGACCGCACGAAAGATGCGGCGGTTGCTTGGACTCTCCCCGTCGATCGATCGTACCCGCCACCGAGGTCGGGTACATATTAGCGCCATAAAAAAAAAACTGGGGTACAAACGTGTGTAAAGGAATGGTGAGCGGTGTATAAAATGGCGGCATTGAGAATGGATGAGAACGAAAGTTTTCCTTACAACCCTTGTGACAATCTCGCACTACTGACCTGAACCCGCAATCTCAATGTCCGCCGAATCTCAATCTTCTGTGCCTGCTTCCTTCCAAAACCCCAATCCCCTGGTCTCGACGGGTGCCTCCCCGCCAGAGGAAAATTCGTGCGTGCACTTGTCCAAATCCGGCCTTGATGTGTGTCTGATTGTACGTTCTGGTACCAGGGGGGCAGAAGGCACCGTCGTTGAAGAACCACGCGACAAGTGCGCACTCTTCTTCGCTATTGCTGTATATAGATCTTAACGACTGCTTTCAGGTCGGCTCCGGCGCGCTTGATACCATCCCTTACCTTGGCCGACGACGCCATCGTGGTTCACGCTGTCCCCGTTCCCCCCAGGTTCGATGTCTTCCTCTTCCTCGCCAGGCTAGCGACTGAACCAGATGATTAACAGTAACAGGGACCAAGAAGGTGATCCATCCGCCAAGGAAAAAAGGTGAGGAGTGCGTGGTTTGTGATTCTTGTAAGCCATTGACGAGCGTGGTGTGAGCTGCAGGCAACCTGATGCCAAAGAAGACTTGATCGCCCAGCCTGAGCAGGATGCGCCCAATCGCAGAGTCACGTGGGTATCGTTGCCGGTTAATCGACGTCGCCTTGGAACTAACGTCATTCTCCTTGGTTCAGTCGAAGCCGTGCTCAGTCTTCTCAGACCTCCAACACATCCAAAACTAATCTACCGACGTAAGTATAAAAGCCTAACCCTCATAAAGATTTGTTCAGTGACAGGCCCCTTAGTCCAAAACGAAAACAACCGGCAAAAAGTAAACAATCTCGTCGTCCTTCAAACGACCACAACGCCAGCGAACACAACGGCGTCACCCAAGGTTCTCCGGGTCACGTTGCAACCTGCCATGATGCTCCCAACTCCTTAATGTGCGTCCCCATTCATGTTCTCTGTGTCATGCCTATATGCAGTCTACTTCAATCAGGCCCGCCCTACCGATACAGGGAGACTCCTCGTCGGGTTCCCTGACCTTCGCCCTTCCGCTGGCTCCCGCGGTTTCGAATAGCACCGTAGAACCATCAACCACCGCTACCGACGACAACGCTCCTTCTCCGCGAACTGAAGATGTCCCCTCCCGCGTGCTTCACCAAACGTCTTCTGAAGCCCTTGGCGAAGGCGGGAGTGTTAGGAGGGTCCGCCTCCTTGTCGCCAGCCCCGGCCTCCAACACCACCCAACGCTGGGGCCCCCTCCAGGTCCCCCAGGGCCTGAGGCGATACGACGGACGAACTCTTTGATTGAGTCGATGTAAGCACAGATCCAACTCCTTTAAATAGGACGCCAATTGAAAGCCCATCACAGAGAACCCGTTATCAGGCAAATCGAGAGGGATCACGTCGACAGCAATGAACAAGAGCCTATTGAGGTACCCGATGTACTCGAGGACTCCTCCGAGTACGTATTGAATCCGTCCATTTCTAATCCGTATGACTGACATCTAGCAGCTGCGACGATTACTTACAGGTACTTGCTGCCAACGTTGAACCTTTAATTGACGACGAAGCAGAAGATGATTGCGACGAGGATGACGATGAAAGTGAACACAGTGAGCCTAACGATTACGATCGCACCGATCCCTTCATGTCAGTCGTTCTGCTTGGCCTTTCGTCCCATTTCTCATTACGGTTCGCATTCAGAAACGATGAACCCTCCTCGGACCATAATGCAGAAGATGACGACGACGATACACCTAGGAAACGGTACATATCTCGACTGCTGAGGTTAATGCAATTCACCGATGTTGACCTCCTCAGGTCTTCCAATAATCGTCCAACACGACCACGCAAGCGCTCCCGCCGAGTGCCTTCGTCCTCGCGATCACCCTCTCCCTCGCATGACTCCGCCGAGGAAGACGAAGCATGTTCCCGCCAACGTAGTGCCGCTAAATCCAACAAGCGACACCGAGAGCGAAGAAGACGAGACCGATCCCGACGATCATCTCGCTCACACCGACGAAGCCGTCGTCATACGAAGCGCCGCCGCTCCCCCTCCTCATGCTCCTCATCGTACTACGACTCGGACTCTGCATCGTCCGCAAGCGACGAATACATCCCACGCCGTTCTAAGAGGTCCCGCGTCGATGGAAGTGACGAGGTAGTAGCAAGTCGTCGACAAACAGGGCCGAGCCAGTCTCAGAAAGACGCAACGCCCGCCATTGCGTAAGTACCTTTCGAGTGACTTTTGAGTTAAGGGTGCTTATGTCCGCTTCAGAAATTCCCCCGCTACACCCTCCAACTCCCTCGCAACACCAGAAACGATCTCTGTGAACGATCAAAAGCGACGGGAGGCTATCAGACAGGGCAAGACCAAGGCCCGCGATCCCCACGAGGACGACAGCGCCTCTCCGGACACCATCGTTGCTAATACGAACGACGAGGACGACCCTCGAACGAGAGACCTCATAAGGTGAGGGCCCATCAGTATCGTGTACTGAAACTGGTCGTTGATTACGATCCGCGTAGGCGTGCCATCGAAGAGTCCCGGCGTTTGTGGGAAGAATCCCTTTACAAGGCGCAACTTGAGGCATTTTCTGCCACTCTAATGTCCTCGCATCATGCGCCTCTCTCGGTACCAGGTCCCTCCAACAGACAGCTCCCCGTACCTTCCACACCTTTCTCATATATGGCCGCCGCATCCTTGCCAACACCCCTCTTGACTCCTTCGCCTGTCCATACATCGAACGTTCCTTCGATAGCAATGTCCAAGCCGGTGCCCCCTGTTACTCTGCCGGGAACTCCTTCAACGCCTACAGCATCGAATGCACCAAATGATGGCCCGAATGTGACGCTCAAAAAGCGCAAGGGTCCCGTTCCCCGCCCGAAACCTCTGGTTTCCGCTGCTCCCAAAACGAAGCCGCCGTCCCGAGCCCTCCAAAATCCCGGCCCCTCAACTGGTAGCGCTACGTCCAAGCCGTCCCCCAGCGCGTGGGTCTCTGCCCCCTCCGAATGCGGGCATTCAAAACCTGACGTCGTATCCACTACTTCGGGCAGACAATCGTCGTCATCTACCCAAACGCCGGATCCTGCTTCAAGCTCAACTTCTTCCAACCCTCGAAGAACATTCAAAGATGCTATGCGGGGACGCCCTGCCTCGTCAAAGGCCAGGGATCTCTGGGACTTGCCTGGAAACCTTCCGAAATGCCGCCCTCCCAACGTCTGCGGAGTCAAGCCGACCATGGACCGAGACGCTGTACTGGAAGAGGGCTACGGGGGCCTAGAGAACAGTCTCCAGTAAGTCATACCGCTCACGATTGATTTCCCCCTTGTCTCACCTTCGGTAGGCCGGCTGTTTTCACCAAGTGGACGAAGAGCAAGGGTCCGGGGTACTTTGTTTTCGCCCACTGGGGTGAACAATGCCCCGACCTGTACGAAGGGTAAGCACCTCTGATGACGTTTCATGCCGTGGTCCTGACTATCAGTTAGGCTTCTTTTGCGCGCTGTCACGTTCGTTCGCCACAAGGCCATGGTGAACTTCTGCCGGGCGCCAACGACATTATTCACCGCAAAGAAACAGGGGACGAAGAAGGGCCGTTACCACGTGTACATCGGTAATCGTCCTGCCGTCGGTCTGCTGTTGGGTTACCTCGACAAATCACAGCTCTGTGAGCCGGATGGGAAGGAACTTCGTCAAAAATTCGTCAACATTATTCCTATGCTTGGGGAATTCGACATGTACCAGGCGGCTATCTGCAACATTCTACACTCCTCAACTCTTTCGGCGCAACTCGGTATGAACGCTCTTCAGATCGCGACGAGGACGAACTTTGCTCTGGGAGGTACGTGGATTCAATCACAGTTTAGATCGCTCACTCTTGATTGACTATGCTTATACAGACACCCGAACAGGCAAAAGCCATTTGTTTTCCAGAGGAGCTCGAGAAAAGGAGGACGACAACGAAGGGGACACGAACGTCAGGACTAACGGCTTTTCTTTGGACAACACTGCCGACGGTTGGTCTGGTTCTACAACACTAATCTCGTTTGGAGTCTGACATCTTTGTTTAGTACCGGTATACGATTTGCGCGAGCACCCCGACTTCAACTTTTCCTCCGATTTGGATAACGTTCACAAGCTGCCCCGGTGGGAAGAAGAGATCCCTGTGGGATCCTGTGTAGTCGTGGCTCACACCGTGGGCACCTACCTGTCACCAAGTACAGGCAAGAAACACGTCACCTTCAACATCCAATTCGTGCTACTTCTCGCTTTGCCGGCTCCTGTCGAGGAGGCCTTGTCCGAGGTCGAAGATGGCCAAGACGATGGGGAGGTTGCGGATGACGATGGTGACTGTGAGGCGGTAAACGATACAGATTGACACTGAATTTACTTACCTATAAAAAGCATGGTTTGGTATTGGCGCTGGTCGCCGTCATAGCATATTACTCTTTGCTTTGTTGCCTAAAAGTACGTTACGATTCGTTTAATAGCACATACTTCTCTCTCCTATCTGAACTTGTCGTGTGGCCGTTGTCTCGACTTGTGGGCGGTGACGTGGTGGAGCTCTAGGTGAGACTGGGTGGCTTTGGCCGCAACAATACACCATGCACTTCTGCGTTCACCATTGTCATCAACGATGCTTTCGAACCTTCCTGCTGAACTGCTGGCTATGATCGTACAACACCTGTGGGACGAGGGCGATGGTAGCGACGATGTGGCCAACCTTTCCACAACTTGCCGCAAGTTCGCCGATTTATCACAGCCCCTGCTATTTCACGAGGTTCGCATAATGCTGAGAAGCCCCGATCTTCACCATTGGTTAGAACGGCGACTGGAGGAGATGGAAGGAATATTCACCATCCACCACTGCCTGATCGCACTCAATCAGTTGGGGGCGGTGAACAAGCTCACGGCGTTAACAATAAAAGGGTCCAACGCAGAAGGTGTCGACGCATCCTCCATCACGCCATCGCTCCTGTCTCCCATCGCCCGGGGTCTCCGCACTGTCATCATCCAAAACCTGCGGTTCCTGAATGCATGCATCTTTCAAGTGTTCCCTTCTTTGCATTGCTTGGAATTGGTGGATGTCACATTGGCCCCCAGCGCATCAGAAGAGAGGGATGGTGGTGTGGTGTCTACACGTCGTCTGACATATTCTCGTCGAAAGGGGGAGGCAGGGATTGGCGACAATGTAAAGGACGGTGTCCTGGACTGTGTTCGATTGGGCGACGTATCAGATTTGTCAACTGATTGCGACAGTGAACCTCGTATTAGAGATTTTATCCGTGTCTTACGAGGGGCTGGGGCAATTCTACGGAATTTGGACGTGGACGTCTCGGGGGTATCGAACAATGGCATGTTCGTTTCAATCGTGCGGGGGGTTACTTGCTCATGTCATCCTAAGCCAACTGGCACGCTCTGCAAGGGGATACAGCGTCACTTAGTCTTCACAGTCTCCAGAATCTGAATATGCGCACTCAGTACGCACGGGCGCATGGAGCGCGACAACGACCATTGGCGGGGTTCACACGTTTCCTCAAGCACATCAATGCTCCTCACCTTAGAAACGTGACTTTGAAACTGCTTTATGTGGGCTTGTTCTTGTATGACGTCGGAAGGCTTGTGACAGACGAAGGGTGGGTCGACCTGGACCAGGAACTTACAAGGCATGCCGTCAACAACACTGGTTTTACCGTTACGCTTCTGTTCCAGTTGTGGAAACCCGGATCGGGGTTCAGGTGGGATAGTGGGGGGAGGGAAGAGCTCGAGACAGTGATTAAAACAGACCCTCGGCTCAATGGGTTGGATGGTTGGGTTGACGGACCGCTCACTTCGACACACATTAAAGTTCTGCTTCCCCAAACGGCGAATTTGGCATTAGTAGCCTACGAGCAGCTGTAGCGTTTCACTATCTGAAAGTCCATATCTTTGAATAACTAGTTTTTATGCTGCGCTTATCTTGCCTGTAGTTCTTCGCCAGGAGCGAACGGTACGTGGTTTTCACCTGGTGTTCATATACTTGGCTTTAGCGCGCGACATCGATTGTTGCCTCATTGGGAAATGATTAGGTAACAGTCCCCAGGCGAACTGAATTTTTGCTTCGTCGTTCCTCTCCTTTATTCGTTGACCTAACGGTTACCTGCGACGTTGTTAACGTTGCCGTAAATATAATTGTGGTCAATCCACAGGGAAAAGAGAAACTGCTTCAGGCATTGACTATAGAATAATGGCACTGAAGAGGTCTGCCCTTACGGCGACAGAAATACGGGAATTGACAGGGGTAACAGATCTGGAGTTTCTTCAGTACGAGATATGTGACTATGTAAGTGAGGCACATGCAAATGTGGAATTGAGCAAAAGAGATGGAGCTGTGGCAATTTCTTTGCCAATGGAGGAGCTAACATCTAGAGTGAATCTATATCTTTTGAAGTTGATTGCTCGACTACATTCACTTCCATGCACATCAAAAGATACGCGCCCCCTGGTGCTACAACGGCTTCGTGAACATGAATGCGCAGGGTGTGATGCCTTTGTTTGTGTTTTAGCACCGTACAAAGTCGATTCCATGAAGCATGCCGTCATAGAGTATGGCTCACTGATCCAAGAGCTCAAATCTTTCACAGCGGACGAAATGCAACAACTCGGTCTGGATGCGGACCAGTACGGAGAGGTTTCAGGAGGTGCTTCGGTTGTCGCGGCCTACAGCGAGATACCCAACGAAATCCCCGAAGGGATTCTGGTAGCTGTGCCTCCGGTGATGTTGGCGAGAAAATTGAAGAAGGGGGCAGCGGTTACCTTCGCGAAGTGCCATGGCATGAAAGTGGCTTCTCGTTGGACTCTACCAATGATAGTTGAACAGTTTATGTTGCACCACTGCGAGCCTGGCCAATGCCCTGGTCTGTTTTGTGTCTTCAAAGGTTTGAGGACAGTTGATGAACTGGATTACATTTCCGATAGTGATCCGGAGACGTTCGAGTGGCCCCCCGGCGATGATTGCGAACCGCCGGATTCCTTTCCTCCGCCGCCGCTTTCTCTCAAAGAAAAGGCGCGAATAATCAGAGACTTTGTGGCCGACTGTGACGAAGGAAATCTTAAGGAAGGGCATTGTATGGTTTGTGCCCAGCTGTACAGGGACAGGGACCTGCTGATGTTCGACAGTACTAGATACTCTCTGGAACCACTCATAGAAGCCGACGTGGCGGTGATCGAGAGAAAGGCAAGGTCGACTGAACGGATAAGCGTTGAAGGGCCAATTTTAGACACACGATCTTCCAAAGTGTGCGTTGGGTGTGACGATAGTCTCTCTAAGGGGAGGAGACCTAGAAATGCTCTCGCAAACGGTCTTTGGCTGGGAGACGTACCCGAATGCTTGACTTGCTTAACGTACACCGAGCGCTTGCTCGTCGCGAAAGTGAGGCATAACCGTTCGATTGTGCGTGTGGCTAGTGGCCATAGGAAAATGGTGGCAAACGTGGTATCTTACGCGAATCCCACCCCTAAGATTTATAAGAAACTCCCTCCTCATCGAAGAGAGCTCGACGATGTTCTGGTGTTCATATTTGTTGGATCAGCCCCGCCAACAGAAGACGACTTCCGCAGAACACCGATGATGGTTCGGCGTACCAAAGTCCTGGAAGCTCTTGAGTGGCTGCAAGCTAACCACGATGAGTACTGGGACGTCCAAATCGACCATGAGGCGCTTGGCAGCTACAAGGAGAACAAAGCGCCTGTCGAAGTTCTGTACCATCCGATCGAAGATGATGAAGGGAACATTATACCCACGGCGGCTAGTGTCCACGAAACAGATTTGGAGGAGGGAACGGAAACAGGTCCCTGCCCCTACAGAGTGCACGGGTTGACTGGTGATGCATTCGCTGCAATGACGGTCAATCAAAGGAAGATCCATGCATTACGATTCTTGAAAGAAGGCGGGGCCGCCCTGGCGGTTGCGCACGGAGACGACCCCGAATCTATTTATAGAAATCCAGGTCTGTATCCGCAGATGTTCCCTTGGCTCTTTCCGTTTGGAAAGGGGGCCATAGGACAGGCAACACTGAACGGCATTCTTTCGGAATCATCGCATAAGCGATGGTTATTGAACTATTATGACAGACGCTTTCAACAAGATGCCCAGTTTGTTATCGTCGCCTTCAATCACGATCAGATAAAAGAGGGATCCTCTAAAAGCTTCATTTTGGCCAAGCGCAGAAATTTCCCTTCCCTAGCCAAGAAGATAAGAGATATCAATCCTGCTGCTCTGCGAGACATCTCCGAGCGTATGGAGGCGGGGGGACACGTAACTCCGGAAACCGACGAAGAAAGGAGATGTTTTGCCTTGCTCGATGCTATCAAGTCAGTGAGTATCTCTGTCGGAGGGTCGTTGGCCAGTAAACAGGCAGATCGGACAAAGGTGTGGTCGATGTCATACGCAAAAGGATTGCCCCCGTGGTACATCACCATATCCCCAGTAGATCAGAAGCATCCAATCAGCATATACCGAGGCGACCCATCTTGCAACATTTTCGATGCGGAGATCCTTCCGGCATCAGTAAGGCAGAAAATTGCGTCTCTTAACCCGGTAGCATGTGCTCGTTTCTTTCATTTTCTTGTCGAACTGTTTATCAAGCACGTACTTGGTTGGAATAATGAAAGGGGAGGACGTTATGGGCGTACGAGTGGCTACTGGGGTTCCGTTGAACAGCAAGGGCGGCAATCGTTGCACGGCCATTTCGTTGTTTGGATTGTAGGGACACCATCGCCACAGGAAATCCGTCGTCGCTTGCTTGATGAAGGGGGTGAATTCCAGAAACGGTTGATTGCGTACCTGGAGGACTGCCAGGTTGGGGAGTGTTTAACGGGCCCTCTTGACAAAGTCGCGGAGGCTTTGGACAGCCTGGAGCGAACAGACGATAGCTACGAGGACCCGACACTTACTCTTCCGACCGCTCCTCCGGATGTGGAATGCAGTTCCGAGGGCGATTGCAATTGTGTTGAATGCGCCAAATTACAAGAATGGTTCCAGAGATTTAAACTACAGGTAGACGACCTAATTCTACGGTCTCACATACACACGTGCTACGCAAAGCGGGAGACTTCCAAGAACAGTGGTAACGAAGCTAAAGTACATGCAACAGCGAAAGGTTGCTTGAACAAGGACGGGAGATGTACGGCAAGGTTTCCTCGTCCCACCTTCGAGAAGTCGGAGGTGGACCCCAAAGATGGGCATATAAATATCAAGAAATTGGAGTCTATGATGAATACTTTGACCCCCGAGCTCACGTATTTGATGAGATGTAATACAGATGTCTCCTCTTTGCTGTCGGGGACTGCAATGAAAGCTGTTATAGGGTATGTGACCGACTACATAACAAAACCAAGTTTGAAGACATACCAGATTTTCTCAACTTCTTATGATGTGTTTGAAAGACACAACAGCCTCCTAAGCCCCGACTTGACAGGTGATGATGCGCTGAACGCCGGTCGTAAACTCATCATGAAGACAGTTAACAGTCTGACTTCGAAGATAGAGATAGGGGCCCCTATGGCGGCACTGCACCTTTTGGGCATCCCGGATAGCTATTGTAGTCACACGTTCGTGCCTTTTTATTGGAAATCTTTTTTTAACTACGTATGGAGGACATGGGATGCCTTCGAAAAGGGTTTAGATCGTGGAGACGATATGGAGGATGAACTGCCTACGCAACAACAGGGCGTAGGGTTTTCCGAAGACGGCTCGAGTGAATCAGAAGACGGTGATGAGGAAATTGAACCCGAAAAGGATGATATTACACCTGACGAAGGAAATGAAGTCGTTCCCATACACCAGAATTCGGGTTCCTTCATCGGGAAGTCGAGTTTGGACGACTATAGAGCAAGGCCCAGAAAATACGAGAAAATTTCCCTTTACGATTGGATACAGTGCGCGGTGAGAACTACGAAGAGTCAGTTGCGAAAAATGGGTGCAGAAAAAATGAGGCAGTATCACCACTACCAGGAAAGTCACCCTTTGCATAGAAGTCATGTGGTAACAGTCGACCCGAGTCGGCGACAGACGGTGATCCCAAACTTCTTAGGTCCCTTGCTACCGCGGAAAGACGAAGGTGACTTGGATGAATGGGCATGCGCTATGTTGACCATATTCAAGCCGTGGAGAAAACCTCTAGATTTGAAAGCGGCCGGTGCGTCATGGAAAGAGACGTATGCGGGCCAAGCCTTTACGGACAGGGAAAGGCGTTTAATTTCTAACCTCAATCTTCGTTATGAATGCTACGATGCGCGCGACGATTTTCAACAGCAAATAAAAAACCTCCCCATCCACGGGTCCGCGCAGGAGAACGTCGAAGGTGTTGGATTCGAGGACGGAGATGAAGAGAATGACGACATATACGGCATTGACGAATGCGAAGCCGAGAAGCGGATGGACGAGTCAGATGATCGGATGAACGAACCCCGCTCTGAGTGTGCTAGGAAATCTCTGGACACCCTTTCTCGCGCAGGATGGAGACTTGGAGATAACCAGAGGGGGGTGTTCCATGACGACTGGGAAAAGATTAAGGTTACAAAAAAATTATCCGGTGACCAATGGAAGAAGGTTGTTGATAACACGAGAAAGAAAATCCTGCAGTCGAAATACGGTGGAATTATACTTAATCGCCCTGGGGAAGATGGCGACGAGACAGAAGCGGAATCGGCGTGGCATGCTATAAAGAAGCGTAAGATCGTTTTTGTTATGCCGGGCTCCTACCTTACAAAAGATTTTCACCTTTTCAATTCCGAAGCCGTAAAGTCAAATCAAGAACTCTTGAATAGCATTAAGGGAAGGTATACTTTTAACTACGAGCAGGAGAAGGCGTTCAATATAGTCTGTAATCATGCTCTGAGCGGCGGCAGCGAGCAACTGAAAATGTATATCGGAGGGATGGGAGGTACCGGGAAATCTCGTGTGTTGAAAGGAATAATTGACTTCTTCAAAGGGAGAAAGGAAGAATACCGTATAGTTGTTTTGGCTCCGACAGGAAACGCCGCTTCCCTTATAGACGGCTCAACTTATCATTCCTACTTAAAGATATTCCCCGGAGAGAGAGAACAAGACATTCCGAAGCGTGTAGACGAACTGAGGACACAATTAGAATGCGTAAACTACATTTTCATGGACGAGATATCGATGATGTCATGTTATGATATGTATCGCATTTCGAGGAGACTATGCGACGCAAGGAATAGGGCGGACCTGCCATTTGGAGGGATCAACATAATCTTTGCGGGAGATTTTGCTCAATTGCCTCCTACGACAGGACACTCGTTGTACAGCCGGAAAGTTAGTGAATACCAGACGCCCCGACAGAATCTCTCCGAGCAACACAACAGTATAGGCAAGCGAGCATGGATGCAGATCACATCGGTGGTGATACTCAAAAAGAATATGCGCCAATCGGAGGAAAGCGATGAGGATACAAAATTTCGTAAAGCCTTGGAAAATCTGCGGTACTTCAATTGCGACGACGATGATATTCAATTCTTAAGGTCCCGCGTAGCGGAAGCCAATCCGAGAATTGACCTCAATGATGAGAAATTTAGGTTTGCGTCCATCATTACGTCCTTGAACGCAGACAAGGACGGGTACAACGAGTTGTACAGTGAGCGCTTCGCGGAGGAGAGCGGGCGCTCTCTGCACTCCTTCTACTCTATTGACAAGCCTGTTTCGGATAAACTTTCCCGGACACCAAAGAGAGGTAGAAGGATCCGATTGACTTACATGGATAGAAACACACAGGAGAAACTGTGGTCAATGCCCTCCCACACGAGCAAGCTGGTGGCTGGTCGATTGATTCTTTGTTTGGGAATGCCTGTTTGTATCCGGTATAACGTCGCGACGGAGCTTTGCATTACCAAAGGGCAGGAGGGAACGGTGGCGGGTTGGGTAGCCCATCGACATCCAGTTTGGAAGGACCATGATTGCTTAGACGTCCTGTTCGTGAAATTGACCAACCCCCCCAAGAAGATAAAGATTCCTTACCTACCGGAAAACGTGGTGCCTATAACGAAGATAAGCACAACAATGAGAGCGAAAACAGGAGTGGACGACAGGGACTTCGCGTGCATCAGCAGACATCAGGTGCCTGTATTGCCAAACTTCAGCATGACCGACTATTCTTCTCAGGCAAAGTCGCGAGAGATAAATGTGGTGGATATTGGCCAATGCCGTAGTTTCCAAGCGATATACGTGTGCTTGTCTCGAGGTACTAGTGCCGCAGGGACTGTGATTTTGGAAGACTTCGCGGATTCGGACGTCAGAGGCGTACTCGATAAAGACCTAGCCATGGAGTACAGAGCATTAAAGCATTTAGATGAGATAACGGACCTTGTCTACCGCAATGAGCTGCCCGAAGGTATTCTGCATACCGGCCGAATGGATACACTGAAAGCCTACAAGGAGTGGAAAGGAATTGTCGACGGAAATGATGACGATGAATCACAACATAAGGACAGCGTTCAAACGGGGAAACGTAAGGAGAGGAATGAATGTCCATCGCAGAACCTGGAGCACGATGCCAAGCGCAGACGGACGCAGGTTTCCAACCAAGGAGTCTTTCGCAGGAGAACGGCGGGGGCTAATAGTTCGCCTCAGGGACCGAGTTGGGATTGGAGCGACCCAAGTTGCGCTTACGATACTATCGTGTGCATAATCTTCAATCTTTGCCAATGGGAAAAGAAGTGGATGGCGTTCATGACGAACAGTGGCGTCCCAATATTGCAAAGAATGAGTAGGGATGTAGAAGACGTGCTTGCAGGTTATCTCGAGGTCACTGATGTTCGGAATGCGTTCCGCCACATGATTAGAGGAGTCGCAGGACCAGAATTCGCGGCAGGGCGGCGGGAATACGATATTCGCGGGATCCTGTTTTCCATGGTGGGGTGGTCAAACCTGGAGGCACCGCTAGCCCTTATCTGCGAGTATTGCAATCAAAGTTTCCCTACCGGCCTTCTGGAACCTATTGATTTGATCACTTACCTGCCCCCCTGTACTTCTACGTCTATAGGGCTATCCCAGAAAGAGGCGCGGGATCGGTTTTGCCCTCGAGGACATGGGAACTGTTGGTTGCAATCCACAAAAACGCCATGGATGTGGGTAATGTGCGATGGATCTGAGACGATGGATGTGGCAGTAACCCACACTTGCGCGGATGAGACCACGTCATACAGGCTAGCAGGAGTTATATACGCCGGAGGTAACCATTTCGTCAGCCGGGTGATTTCTCCTGGCGGTGAGGTCTTCTACCACGACAGCATGTCGATCTCGAACGAGGCCGAGTTCGAGGGAAATGTCACAGATGGAAATTGGAGTCGAAAGTTAATAGATGGACGGGGTAGAAGGGCGGTGTTGCTGTTATACATCATTTTGTAAACAGTGCAGTTGGGTTATTTTTCGCGCTATGGTCTCGGTTAGAACGGATTATTATAGAGTACGGAGGACATCATTTCAAGTGCAGACTCACCTTCACGCGGATGTAGGAACAGGGATACCACGGGAAGTTCATTCCGAGTTGAACAAGGTAAGAGTCGGTGAAGCGCCTAGAAATCACAATGCTACCTTACGATAACAAGCGCAGGGTGCATGATTTTGTACGGAGGAGTCGATTGGAATGAAGACATCAGCAGAGGACTGTAGTTATTGGAGAGCAATTAAGAATAGGTTACATTGGGGAGCAGGAAGGATGGATGGCAGAATCACAGTCATATTGGGTGTAACGTGGCATGATGGTGATTGTTGAACTACAGATGGTTAACAAGTCGATAGGCGGGATAATGGGACTCCCTCGCGACATAATGCGTTTGATAGATCAATAGCACGGACAAGGGCACGTTGAGAGAGTAATGCAACGTATGCGATGAGAAGTCGGGGGAATATGGTTCATCGAGAGGAGGTGGTGGACTGGTTGAATTTCTTGCTGCGGTGATACGGGAAGTGGTGTCGGTTCCGCCTAGTTGTCCTGGGGATAAATGGAAGGGTTGGGCAGAGTTAGGGGGGAACGGAGAGGAAGGAGGATCAAAGGAGGGACTTGAGTTGTTGGAGGACTGGATAGACCCATCTGTAGGGAAGGGCAAGCGACGATAGTTTAAGGGATATAGTGTAGTGTGGTGGAGAAAATCGAGTGTAAACACGGGTTGGAGTGGTGAATGCCCCGGATGGGCGGTGGTTGATATGACAACGACGTGGTGATCAACAATGAGCAGAAAAAGGTCCCTATCCCATGCATGGCGGGTTAGGTTAGAGGGCTGGAAGTTAACTACATGGAGAACCGTTGGGGAAAGACGGTTCCGTGGTGGTGTGGACGTCATGATGAGAGAGATGGGCGGGCCGAGAGGACGTGAAGATGATGAGGAAGATGATTGACCGGCATTACTAGGGACCAATTGCTGCTTTGGTGTCAGGTGATATGATGTAAGACAGCGACGTCATTTTACTGCTTTCACCTGTGTAACCCATACACAAGGGACACCGCTGGATTTCCCTATGTGTAAAATACTCTTAGAATAGACACCTTTCCAGATTGCTTCCGCTTCAGGAAAGGCGCGGACAAATTCATACTCACGCGATGTGGAAAAGTCTCACTTTAAATACACAAGTTATACTAAATTTTTACGAACCCGACCCCTGCTAAAAAGTGGTCATCAAACTTACCCTTTCCGTACGTGTTCCCGGGACCGAAAGCGATTAATAAAATTTTATGTGTCATTTAAACAATCTAGGACCAGAAACATGCTAAAAAAGGTATACTTTACGATCAAAGTTCGGGTCCCCGCACCGATGCGGAAAGGCAAACTTTGTGGTCCGCTTATGGGGACCCAGAAAGGGAACTCATGCCAAGACGGGGCGACCAGCGACCACCAGCGATCAGGCACCAGCATCCAGCGCAGGGCAGCGATCAGCACCAGCACCAGCACCAGAGCATCAAGCGCGAGGCAGCTCTCGGCAGGGAACCAGCGCAGCCAGATAGGCTAGGCCTATATATAATATGTATCGTTTCAGCGCCAACAATAAATGATAACAAGTAAGATTACTGACCCGATTCAATGAGACCACGATTCGTATATCGCCCGGCAAGTCCGAGGACTCGTAAGGACATGTGGCCGCGTGGCATACAATGTCCCTCTGGCAAAGTACGATGGGGTCAATCAGACCGTATCTGAACAAGCCGCATTGGAGCGCGGGGTATTGATGGAAGGGGTCCTTGACAACTTCCTCGTCTTCCAACGGTGCAAACGGCTTAACAGCGAAGAAAAATTCCATGTGCATATGGCCGCCTACAATTCGTTTATGAACAAAGATCGCCTGGATATTGCCCGGAAGAGGACCCCAATCTTCATGAGCCGGCCAGTTGAAGAGGATCTTAGAGTTACCCTCCGAAACGTGAGCGGGCGAGAAACAAACACCTCCACCCCAGACGTGCTTAGCTTGTTGAACGAGGTTAGCGTGGTTGACCGTCTGCCCTGGGTGCATGAGTTGGATGCGATCGGACAAGGCAGAGTAGATGGATTGTGTCAGCGCACTATTCGAAGCAGTTGTTTCCTTCCATTCAGGCCGTGTGTCCACATTGTCTCCCCCGCCCATCAAACGAATGTCGCTGGTTAGGGAACCGGTAAATTGAGAGCCAAAGTACTCCTGAAACGTGGACCGAACGGTGTCCGCCAGTGGCGAGCCATCGAGGGAGGATAGAAGGATTCGGAGGTTAGCGGATCGGCAAAATGTTCGCATGAATGTGGATTCCATTTGACCTGCAGGATGTCAATTATGTTATGTCGAGTTGACCATGGATCACGCACTTACCAAACTTGAAGTTTGTGTTGATCCCTTGAATTAATCCGTTGTATCGTTCAAATGCGAAGGTCCACCACCCGTGTACAGGCCCAAACAACCTGATGCACTCACCCAAGTGCAGCATGAGATGATGATTGGGTTTGAGGCGGTTTTCTCCCCATAGCTCGATCAAAGACTCGAGGTATTGGTATGCACTGTCCTCCACCAGTTTAATGCGATCTTCGGTCATCGTCCTCCGAGTAGCCCACAATACGACCGTTACTAACTTGACGTAGTTATCGAGGATCTTTTTCAGGCGAGTTGCCTGCGGTTGGTGGCCCCACAAACGGACGAGGGTGATAACGAGACTGACGGTGCAGGTCACTCTCCAGCCATCAGCACTGAGCTTTCCGAAGCTGGCATCGCCCAGCGTGGCAGGGGGAGGCGTCATCCAAGACGGGAATGTCGTTTTTGCAATGTCCTTCCGAATCTCCTGGAGAACTAGGCCATCAAGAGCAACGAAGTCGTCTCGCGGCAAAGGAAGATTGACGACCGGTGTGGGATGGGCTGGTGGCTTCAGAGGTGTGGCTGTAGGGTTCTCCTGTTTCTGGAATGCACGTCAGCGATGTGCGAGGCGGGCGAAAAAAATGGGAAACTTACCCAGGTAATCAATGCATCGATCATGTCCTGTTTCGTGGGTTTCTTTTTCGAAATCTGAATATTGTTCATGGCAATGAAGGCCGCAATATAAGTCAGGCGAATCTTGCGGAGGGCGGGTACGTCGATCTCGGACATGGTCAAATTCGAATATATGCTGTCAATGTTTGCTTGCTGCTCTGAGGTTGCATGTGGCTTCATTGTTTTGTGCGGAGCGACGACATGATCCATCCCTAAAAGCCGTCTGGTGTGGAAAGCAAGGTTACCGAGAAGGAGGTTGTGCATGGAATCCAACGAAGCGTATTTCGTGTCCCAGTAAGGGAGGAGGAGAAACTGCGTCCAGCGCACTCCATTGGCAGCCAGCTCCGACTTTTGAATGGCTTGATTGGGTGCATCCCTGTATCGTTCGGCAGCTGCCTTAAAATCGGCGAAGGTTCGACGAGGCCAGCTTGCGGGATTTAGGTTGGCAATATCCTTCCTCAGAAGTTGGCAAAATGAGCAGAAAAGGTGTGCGGCATGGGATACGAATCCGGCAGCCTTCCGTAAGGCCGGTAGATCGCACACTAAGGCGATAACAGCACAGCGAACCAGACATCCGAATGGATGGGCTGCCGTCCATGAAAAGAAAACCCCAGGGTTCCACATCTGAACGAGCCGGGTGATGAGCGGAGTCAAGACGTGGTTTAGAGTGTTAACGGTCGGTTCGCGTGGCCCCGGAATAATGCCGGCAAGATATACATTTTCGACACGATAGCGCATATACGGAGGGAGATTCATGCACACCATGTAGATGGCACCGATGGATCCATGTTTCCCTGAAGTCTTTCTCCCCAGCGGATTAAACCAATCTATGTTCATGGTAAACACCAGGCGCAGTTCCCGATCGAGCCGCTTCACGAAAGGCTTTCCATCGCTCCAAAGAAGGTCTCTCAATGCCCGCCCACCGAAAATGTCACTGCAGACGGATGTGACAGTGTCCGACCAGGACCTCGACGTCGTCTCAAGGCCGTTTGTGAAGTCTGGCCTCGCAAGCATCCGGGAGAGCCAGGATTCGAAGGGCTGGTAAGTAAAAGGTTTGATGGGGACGGGAGGGGACCCTGGTGCTCCTGGTTTCGTCAGTCTGGCGTTGCAAATGTTGAGGAACCGTCGAGCTGTACACACGGTAGGATATCGCATCGTGGTACCATCATTCTCCATTGGTGGGTAAAGATAGAAGCATGAGGGACAACACGCATACGTGACAATCTCCGGGTCGAGGTCTAGTTCTTTCATGGCGGTACGGATATCGGAAGGGATTGCATTCTCCCCGCCGAGGGCTTGCAGGGGTGGTAGTATGGCCTGCGATGTACGAATCCCGCACTTCCTAACATATGAAACGCAAGCTGCCGACACGATACTTTTGAGCATAACGAGCGTGAAATTGCTTGGGTTCCGCGGAAGTGCTGAAATGAGATGCAAAACGACAACTGTTATGGTACAGAGGAAGATGGGCTCGAGCAAGGCATCCATCCGCGAGCGTGAAAGTTGGAGACGGCCTATCGCATTTGTAAGGCGCTGCGAGAACTGAAGCAAGAAACCAAACTCACCACAGTTGATAATCTCGGGAACGTTAGCGGATTGCTTCAGCCTCTGGGCACGCTGGTCCGTCCAGGCAGCATGAATTAAGGCTTCCATTGCGTGTAGTTCACCTTGAACCTTTTCAAGAAGACCATTCTTCAGGTCGCGCAAATCTCCTTCCCCAAGCAACACCATCCCGGCAAGGTCCTTTAAAGTGCTTCGAAGCCAATCAATGTATAGAACAAGGGGGCCGCACTGTCGATAGGAAAGCTGGGGAGGCTGCTGGTCCGACGAGACGTCACCCGTGAAGACGATTTCCATCGTCGCAAGTATTCTCGACATGTTGGTCTTTTTCCGGCTGAATTCAGCAGACCAGCCCTCCAATTGACGCTTGAGTCTCTTTTCTGAATTAAAGGCCAGTGAATAAATACCTGATCGAATTGAATGGGGGAAAGCTTACCATCTGTTGTACGAGAAGGCGGATAACCATCGTCAGATCCACTATCGCCATCCAGACTCTCTTCCTCCTCAGATAATTCACCCGTCCCTTCGGAAAAGAAAGCACGGCGAGAGAAGCGAGACCGAACATTGTCGTCACTCAAAGTGCGCCGAGAAACTAGTTCTTCAACAGCAAGCTCGTCGTCAGAGCCTTCAAATTGCCGCAAAAGTTCCTCTCGTCGATGTCGCTTGAGCAGCTTTTTGCTTACTTGGTTGCCCGAAACCTCTTGTTGTGACACAGGGTCAACCACTGTGAACCGACTGCATTTGGTACAAGTGCATATAGGCATGGGGAAGCGATTACACTGTCTCTAGAATGCTGTCGAGCACAATGCAAATCGCGGGAGGGGGTTCTTAGGACGGTCCGTAGTACTGCCTCGAAGATGATACGAGCACAGGACTGAGGGCAAGAAGAAGTGATCAAACGAAGATAGCACGATCGATTCAGTTATAGGTAGCGTGGTAGCAACAGTTAACACCACAATTGCGATATACACGTGATAGGGTAAGAAGAAAATGTCGAGGGTATCGCGATGGTATCGATTGCGATGGATTGTTCCTATCACGTTGTTCACGGTGACTGGGACAGTGTGTTGACCCTGTTCTTTAAGTAGGTTTCCGCGAAGCCTTGTGCAGGCCATGCACGCTCGTAAAGCTTGAGGAAGGGAAACAAGGTCACCGCCTGGTAGAAATGAGGATACTTCTCGGAAACGTATGGGGACGAAGGTTCTCACATCGTGAATGTACTGGTTTCGTTGAGAAACATCGTGTTGTTCGTACGTTCGATGTCCCCTCAGACGCACATTTGCGATTCTGTGCAAGGCGTTCTGTAGACGTTAGCTGATTAACTCCTGGTCTTCGAATTGGGTTGTCTACTCACCTGAACGTCCCGATACGATTGAGGGTCCCATTTAAGCGTATCTGGCAACGAATAACCCCCGGAACCTGGCTTGCCAACAGGACCACGGGGTTGTGGGGGCTTCGGTCGCCTGGAATCTTCAACGCTCTTGAAGGGGAAATAGGGAGTCAACGCTCGGGGTGGCAGTATATCTCTCGTGATGGGAGAGAGGTTCAGCGATTGATCCAGGACACCTATGCGCGTTGAAGTCAATTTAATCCAATATGTAATGGAGCGGACGTACTTTCAGACCCCTGGTCATCGGCTTGACAAGTCTGAGTATCGGCGTCTGGATTGCGAGGGAAAATTGTGCGATTGGTTATCAAAACACCCTCTCCTTGGATAGGTGGACTCGGAGGCCGCTCGGGGGGGAAGCAAATGCGATTCGTATTGGGTGGGTAGAAGCGGGCCATGGTAAACGGGGAGAGAAGAGCTGTACCGTGCGATGACTTGTCGACGGGAACGACGTCCTAATCATCCAAAAAAGAACCGCATCGGATAAACAAGGTCTTGCACAAGAGAGAAGAGATCCGATTTGATAGAACTGATAGAGAAAAGTAAGCGTCTTGGTGTCCCAATGTAGCTCAGGCCTGTAGCTGAATGCTCTTTCCGCCTTGATAGAAATCGCGATGCCTATCTCGGAATCGCCGCCTTCTATGGGTTTAAAGGGCCCAAAGCCCCTAATCATCACCCAGCTATGCCTCGAAGAAACTATTCGAGCGCATCGCCATTTGAGAGACTGCCGGGTGGCTTCCTCGAAACGCTTCGAGCGAAACACACCCAATAGTCAGGATGGTGGAGGTATAAGGCAGAGTGAGTATGCAAGTCGGTAACGGTCTGTAACGGTTGCTATGAGGTCAGTGCAGTTGCCATCAGTGGCTGTGATATGCCCCATCTCAGGAATTGCCACCGTTCAAGGTTATATCCTGCTCTCATGACAGTCGACTGGGCAAGTTACTGGCCACTGTCTCTTCAGAGCAGTTAGTTGTGTTCGAATCCATTTCGAAACAGCTACTCTCTCCCTGTATCTTCTGTCTTCTCTGATTTCAGACGCCCACGGCTCGGACTCGCAGTCTCCTTCAGTGTTCGAAACTATTTCGAAGTGTAGAGCTGGAACACCGTGTTTGGTCACAAAAGCAGGCTTTAAACGGCGAAGATACGCAGTAAGTAGATTACTGCCTCGACCTCCGCAATCTTGAGAGTACTAAGTGTATTCCTGCTTGTAGAGATGCCGTCGCGGATATTAACATGGGAGGACCGAACGTGGTATTCTCCCAACTGCCTCAGGGACATTAGAATCAACCTCGAGGAAACGAGAAACCCGTTCCAAGAAGTAACAAAGGCCGGCCGTAAGAAATCCAAATATCGTGACTTGCTCCTCGAACCTCGTCCTTGGGACATGGCGTTCGGGTGGACGTCATTTCTTCCAATGCAGCCCAATTTTCGAGGATATCCTTTCGATTGGCTCAACATCATCCCGGACCCCGTCCCTGATGACAACAACGCAGACAAGATTAGAATGCCGTCAGATATGATGGAAATCTGGAAATGGATAGAGCGAGAGCTCTACAAGGCAGTTACGAAGCTCAAGTCATCCTACGAAATCCCGATGGTCCTGCCATTTATGCCCTGGGCTCACGGGTATTGCTGGAAGTTCAACGCGTCGGACAAGCCCAGATATTTTAAGTGCCTCAAGGCGTCTCGCGACTGGTTTGCGGTCTGGATGGGTGCATTGTCGTACCTCACCGCCATGGCCCGATGGAAGCAGGAGAAAAGGTTGTTTAATGGGTATCATGGGATGCCACCTTGGCACGAAGTACTGGTCGGACATGTGGACCCATCGTTTCTCGACCAAATACACAACACGCAAATCCTCGATTACTCCTGCAACTGTCCACGGCTAGGATCCATCCTTCCTTCTCTTGCATTTCACCCCGATCAGCCACCGCCGCTTTGGTTCGAACATTTCCACGTTCCCATCTGGTACCCCTACGATGACCATACGAAACGCACTCCACCTCCGCGCCCGGCCATCGCTCTTCCCCCGGAACCCGCCGCCAGTAGTCGACAAGCACCAGTCGATCCACTCGCGGCCAATCCACCTCCTCTAGAAGCCGAAGCTATCCCAAGCTCGCAGCCACCTGCTGTTGATATACAGCCAGCGGGACGGCCTGCTTGGGAACTTCATTTCGAACGTCATGAACAACTACATCGCAGGATGATGGAAAGGGAGACCCCGAAAGATCGCCAAAGACGCGAGGCTCGTGCAGCCAACCCAGCCTATTCCAATGTCCGGGTTTTCGAATGGGTCCGCTCCGACGACGACAGTCGAGTCTGGCAACGGCAGCCAACCACGAAAAAATACAGCGCAGAGACCCTGTCCAGGTATCGGGCCAACCAGAGGAAGTACGATCCGTTCTGTCAAGAATGGGATTGTTGTGATGAATGGGGAGAATCGAGCGGACCATCTCAACATGAGAGGGTTGTGATAGTTGAAGGCGATTCGGATGATGACTCTGACTACTTCGAGAATTACTTCACCCCTTCCGTCCCCCAACCCAACAAGACCTCTACTTCGAGTGGCGAGCCTGTAGACGACAGCGACGAAGGTACTGAGGAAGTGAAGGCCTCGAAATTGCCTCGGCCCACCTCACCCACTTCCATTGGCACAAGCAACGACTCCGCCGACACATTCCCCTCTTCCCCTTTCGACGGCTCACATGGTAACATCTTCGAGCCCTTGCCTCCTATTTCGAATGCCGTTCCTACCCTGGTCCGAAACGAAGAAAACGTGACCATTTATTATGTTGATCCTTGGGATAGACTCGCCGCCAGCTTGCAGGATGAAGTCTCTAGGATTCTTGGACTGTTCTACGGATTCGTCCCTCCCCTTCTGACGGACCAAGCGAATATGGAGAATTTGGCTCGCGCTCCTCGAGGGCTTTTCCTGCGTTTGGTGGGGATGGCGAAGGACGAGGACCGGCCTGAGGCATACTTCAACACACCCCACTTTGCAGCCGCCATCTCATTCGTCCAGGCCCTCATGCAAGGGAAGCTCCCACCGCAATCAACCTGGGACCTCAAAAATGACAATGTCAAATGCTTGAAGGTCACTTCTTCAGTGAAGGTTATCAGCATCTACACTCTTTCCCCTGACGAGAAGAAAAGAGCAGACATTGGAGAAGGGGATTCAGTGGATCGGCTGTACTTTTTCGACCCCCCTCACTCTCCCGTCCCTTGGAAGCTTGCCGTCCGCAATGCTCATGATGCGCTATTGGTCGCGCGACTTCTTGAGACGTCAAACATCGTTGATACTGCCATGAGCCTGGTAGAGCAGGGTGTCTCATTCAAGATATTCCTACCTAGGCGCATGCTCGTCCCTCGCCGCTACAAATGCCCGATCGTCCACCGCCTGCCCACCAGGAAACGGGAACATTATTTCACCCAGGAAGACTACGAGAGCTACATCCATACCCGGACCGTCCTGCTTCAGAAACCCAATATGCAGGCGGCTCTGCGGCGCGGTGGCATGGTTTGGAGGCTTGCGATTGCTACTCTCGGCTTATCCGATGCCTTGAAGCCCGCGACAGGCTGTGGGGCCATGATGTCTGTTCCACTTGACGGTTCTTGTGATCTTGTAGAGGATGGGCTTACCCTTGATGAGTTGGATCTCTTGTGCGGGGCCTACGAATGCATTGACCGTAAGTTTTTTCCTCTTTCCGATTCGCTTGGTCCGTCACTGATTTCCACTCATAGAGGATGGACAGGTTGCGTTAAAATCTTGGTGGCCTTTGACGAGATACTATGAGAAAGAAGAGTGTGGAGAAAACTACGGACGGTGGTGTCAACGCAGGGAGAGATGGTACTTGAACAGGCTTGAGAAGATTGAAAAATCGGAGGCCCAACCGCTCACATACACCGAATGGAAGAGTAGTCAAAGAGGGCACCCGTCTATTCGCAAGTTTCACAAGGCAATCGAATCCCGCAGCGCCGAGTTCATTGCCGATCTGCTCCGTACATAGATTTATCTCAGTCTCGCTAACCTTGACATGTCTTTAAGTCTTATATTTACTTGTCCCCATTACTTATAGTATACAATGTTGAACGTCTTGTTACTTATACCATATTGATCGTACCGTACACAACCACCTGAAGTACCTAAGTAGATTCTTCCATCTTTGGAAATGTAAAATCCTTGATCCTACATACCAGTCAAATTTACGATGGTGTCGCAGAAGACTTCTGAACCTTACAGCTCGGCAGCTTGGCCCATTATGCGAGATCATTTCGTCATAAGTGTTTAAGGAACACCTTAGTTCCTGTTTCTGAATCATCGGGTCATTTTTACTGGTAGCCGGGATGACCAAAAGCGGTAAGCCCTCGGAGGTTCTATGGGTTTAACGCAGGTATTTGCAGCGAAAGTCCGCATAAATGCAGTCACAGCTCCGTCAGACGTGGTACATGCACAGTGGTAAACCAGGCCAAGCTACTGGCATAGAGTGCCCAACTCCGGCGGAAATGGAGGGCGGGAAGGGGGCGTAGGATAGTGTCACCGGTGCAATCAAGTGATTTCTCTTGGTCTAATGATACGAATGAAAACTGCAGTGAAAAGATGTTGGAACTCGGGTCAAAGTTTGGTTAAAATTAGCTTAAGAGCGGCATTCAACATTGTCCTCCTTTCCATCGACTTTTCTACCCGATCAATGTATTATGTTGACAACTGTTGGCACTTGTGGGCATGGACTTCAGTGTGGGAACTATCGATCGCAACCAACCACCTTGAACTTCACCATCCCCAGCCACCCTCACGTCGCGACATCATTTCAACGGATGCGCTGCGTTCGAAATCGCTTTCGAAGCAGCCTCTTTCGTCTTACCTAGCACATTTTACCAGAACGGCAATGAATTATCCCCTCGTCCTTCCCTGTGGCTAGCTCTATTGCCTGCTCGAATACGCTTCCGAGGCAACACTTGGGTGGGGGCGCTGCGTTCGAAATCGCTTTCGAAGCAGCCTTTTTCGTCTTACCAAGCACATTTTACCAGAACGGCAATGAATTAGCCCCTCGTCCTTCCCTGTGGCTAGCTCCATTGTCTGCGCTCGAACACACTTTCGAGGCAGCACTTGGCTCCGCAAAACTAGACCCAACTTCAGTGCCTGTGTTCGAACGCGCTTTTCGAAGCAGCACTTGGGCCCATAAGTCGTTATGTATCCCTCAATACACCGAATTATAATGCCATCTACGTTCCAAGATAAATCCAATCATGGAAAAGTCCTCTCAGCACCCGTCTGACTCACTCCTCCTCTCAAATGCTCAAGCTTTTGCGGTCGATGTCGCTTTAGACGGGAAAAGACACGGCCCATTGAGGGAGAAATATATTAGAAGTTATCACGGAAACATGGGAATGTAGAGAGAGAGCCGCTTCCATGCGCGACTCAAGAGTTCATCCAATCCCTCGCCTTCAACGTCGTTGGGCACGCTCTCCTGATCAGGTACGGCTTCGTCTTCCTCGCTGGCCTTCGATGGAGTCGGGTCGACAGGGGCATGGGCCTCCGATGGAGTCGGGTCGACAGGGGCATGGGGCACTCCCCCCTCTGCCGCAGCACTTGACTCCAGTTGTCCAGACATGGGGCCGACGATGGTCTCCACATCCCCGAGGAGGCCGTGGTCGACGACGTTCAGTGTCTCCAAGTCCTCAGGCTGAGGCTCCTTGCCGTCAAGCTCACGTTTGAGCTCTAGCTCGTCGAGCTTGAGTTTTGAACTCTCCAAGGCTTGGGCATGGGCTCTGATTCTCTCCGTGATCTCGTTGGATCTCGAGATGAACATCTTCAACTCGTTGAGTCTCTCTTCAGCCAAGCGCGACCGTTCGAGCTCCTTGCGATACTGAAGCCCGATGAGGGAGCCCAACCCTCCAAGCAAGGCTAGCATTACGAAAAGCGCGAATTTCCAGGGGAATCGCCACTTCCCCTGCTAAACCGGCGTTAGTACGAAGACAGGGGACCAGTCGTGCGCTCACCTTCTCAGTGGTCCACACAACGATTGCCCCTCTCTTCCCGATATCAGCACTCCCTGTCGCAAGGAGGTGACGCCCATTCTTTGTGCTTTGGCCATGCTAGAGAGTATGCGGTGTCATCAAAAGGGTTCGTGACGGAACGGCGGGACGTACTGCTATGGCTTGGACAACCAGGGATCCTGTTTCAAGTGTTATCAGCAACAGTGGACGTGATAAGACATGTCCACGTACCAGTGCTGGTGTGAGTCAACTGCTGGAGCACTTTAGCTTCATCGCCGCAGTCCCAGATGAATGCCTCTCCTGTGTCGGATCCGCAAGCAAGCCCGTATCGGGACAAGAAAGTCACTTGAAAGGGAAGGTTTCGATGGATGGCGACGGGGATCCTCCTCTGGTACAAGGGTCTGGCTGCGGCCGCGTCTTCCAGCTTGTACAGGTCCATTCCATCTGTCAGGTTCCAAATACAGAGGAGGCGGAGGTCCTCAGACCATGCCATGTTCCCACTTTCATGAACGTAAGTGGATTTTCTATGTTAGCCAGTCCGAGACACTCACATCCTGGTATGGATCTTCTCTCTCCACAGGCGCTTCTTAGTCCGTATCTCCCACGCGATTCTGCAGAGACGTTGTCAGTGTCGAGTGCGGCGTGCGGTGATATGCAAACCTACATCGCCTTTGAGTCCAGACATCCCACCATAACGGACGTCCCGCCATTGAAAAAGCAAACGGCTCGCATGATGCCCCCTTCCTCCGACATCTTCTCGAGTCCAACATGAACGGGATGAATTCTTTCGCCGACTATGGATAATGTCGGTTACGTCTATTACCAGGGTGAACCAGAGACTGACGTACCTGCAGCGTCGGATTTGATGTCGTAGAGATATAGGCCGCCGCGACCTACCACGGCCAGCGTCGAGTCGAATAACGCCATCCCCTCAATGGCATGGTCCATCAGAACGGTCTTCATTGCATGAAGGGAGAAGGTGAGCTGCTCAGACACATCAGGCATTGTACTTTCAAACGTTTTAGTAACTAACCTCCTTTGTCCCTTTCCAGAGTTTCACGGTGCCATCCACGCCGCCAGTTAGGAGGAACAGCTTGTTCCCACCCTGTGTATCCCTGAACCACGCCACGGTCGTTACCTGGTTCTGCTTGGTATTGAAGCGCCTCCACTTTGCCTCCGTGAAAACGCATACGCAGCCATCGTCGCCTTTTGAAAGGTAAGTACTTGTTTAGCTTCGATGTCCGTAACCGCTTTCTCACCTCCACTGGCTAGGAACTTCCCCTCTGGAGAGAACTGTAGGCAGTTGACTGGCCCTTCATGAGCATCGGAAACATGGACGAGCTTTCGAAAGGTCGGAAGAGGAGACATCGCTGATGGTTGAGAGATGAAAGGAATTAACGTCCGTTCGAACACGAGGCGTTGTGTTTTTGGATCTGGTTACAACTTTCTGCGCTCCGCCTGAATTCCTGAAGAGATTTCGCGTCTCCCAGATAGCTGATCATCCCCTTTCAACCACGAAGTCATACCTCGTCGAAGACGAGGAGAAAGGCCTGCCCTATCCAGGACAGCTGCTCCTCCCAGCCGAGGGCGACGAGATCGAGGATCGAGGATGTTTGGTGTGGGTTATATTTCCCCTTGGCTGGTGACGGTCTTCCTCTTGACAATGCGAATCTTAAGATTTTGTTAAAGCAACATGGCGACTATCGCGAAGGTGTAGAGTGGGGGGAGGGAGGGGGAGGGGTGTAATATTGTGGAAAGCGAGAGTAGTTATGACATAAAGAGAAATTATAAACAGCGCCCCGACAACCCGGGCTTCTCATTCAGGCACATCGCGCAAGTTAAAGACTAAGAACATCAAGTCAAAAGCCTCGAGAACAGCAATGATACACATGATGCCGAATTCCCATGCTGCCAGTAGAAAGAAGGCTGCAATATGGATTGTGAATCTCTGTTCTCGCCAATCAGTGAATTGCGTCTTCATGATGACGACGATGGAATACGCACAACAACATCGGATCTGTTGAATCCAGATCCTCCGAATAGTCGTCTGGTGTTGACCAGAAGGAATAGCTTGGGTCCGGACGGTGAAACCTCTTGAACGATGGCGGTAGTCTCCAAGTGGCCAGCCCGGGCATGGAGAGGACGGAGCTCAGCTAAGGGAAGTTACCCGTCTGGTCACCAATTTCTCCAACAGATATAATGACGAATTGACGTACCATCAGGCCGTGACAACACATATTGGCCCACAGTATGATGGGTTTCGTCGTGCTCAACCATCAGAAGGGTGCCCGCCATAGTTCCAAGAATCAGCCTCGAGTCATCCAAGTGAACAAACCTGCCGCTGAGAAAGGTTCCTTCGAGGTCCTTCTCAAAGGAGATTCTCGTTCCGGAACGGCTTAGAACCATGCTGTCGCGCTCGACAAGCCCCATGGTTCGTAGGGATGGAGACACGGCAGCCGTCCTGTTCAGTTATCGAATCAGCAACGGTCGAAACGGGCAATTGCGCAAGGACCCCACGCATGGTATGGCGGCACCGGTCCGCTGGCTATCATTTCCAACCCGGTCCTGCATTGTCTGAGTTTGCTAACCCGACGTGAGCTGATGCACGGGCTGCGTACGGAGTGACTTACTACCAGCGAACTTTGGACAACATAACCACAATTGTCCCATGACCATCGGAAGGGATCTCGTCGTAAAAGAAGGCCTCGACAACTTCGTGATGGCCGGGACTAAATTGGAATACGGAGAAAAACCTCGGCAAAGCTGGACTCGGTACGGTCTCTAGGTCTGGTAACGTCAGGATGTGCACATTTTGACAATAGTCACCGACCTTCTATGGGTGGGAGCCAGGCCCTCGAGACATCGTTACGATGTACCACGATGAGCTCCGACCCCTTCTGCACGAATACGTTTATTCCGCCTGCCAGCTGTCGTTCCCAAACTCGAGCGATATACTTTGGAACCATCAGCACGAACATCCGGCTACCCTGGATATAACGACGCACCGTGCTGTCCTCAGAGAACCTGTACAACGAGACCACGCCCCCGCTAGTCCCGCAGAACAAGGCCTCGCTGCCCTTCATGTTTGGATCGACGTACCAATGAAGCGCTGTGGCCGGCCAGCCTTCGGTTTGTAGGATGTGGACTCTGGACCAGTTTAGGGCCCCATCAAGAATCTGTGAGTTCATTCAGTGTCAAAAGCGTCCCCAAGTCCCGAGCTGATGTAAAGCTATGTAGTACTCACCCAAATTTCACAATCGGGCAGGGCAATGGCAACGTATCTCCCTCGTGGAGAGAGGAGAGCGCACACCACGTCTCTGGGGAGGTCCGGGGCGATGGGGATGAGGGTCAAAGGGCAGTCTGCCAACGCGCCTGGAACTCTCAAGCTCTTGCTCGCAACAATAGGCTGGGAAGTAATCATAGTCTCTGGGTGAGGTGCTGGGGATACCGGGGTGTTTGAATCAAGGCGAGGAGAAAGGGAAAGGAGAAGGACGCGCTTTTTATGTGACTGCAGTCACAGTGGTCACGAGTCTAGGGGCTAGACACGAGGTGAGTGACGCGAGACGGCTCGTTCTTCCTCTTGAACCTTAGCCATCTCCATAGACCCATGGCGAACGACAACCATCGTGTTTCAATGCCCCACCAAACAGCGACTTCCAGTGAACATCGGTGCTTATGCTTTCCTACACTGGTCTTTTTGTATTCTAGAAACTGACCGTCCTTTGTAGAACCGGCGTACGACTTCGGAGGGGGATGGCTGCCAGTGACGAATGCTTTAAAGGCGAATCTGAAATGGAATCATCTCCGTGGGTCCAGGTACGCTGTCCTTACGGGCTCTGAACGTTGTTACTGAGAATGACAGGCGGACGACATTATCTCTTCATTCACTGTCGATTGTCTCTCTCCATTTGCGGGTGAGTTGGTCGTCTTAAGTCAACGCTGGCGTCTAAGAGTTCCTCCCCTCAGCTGCCTTGGGAGGCCTGCTGCTCCTAGCCAAGAGCACTCATGCCTCGATGCTTAGATCGGAGCCCTTCAGTTTAATCGACCTTCATATTGCTGGTGCGTTATAATCCGTCCCCTATGAAATTTGACAAACCCTTTGTTTTCGGCAGTTGTTCAAGACTTCTTTCCGTACCCGATGGCTACGCGTTGGAACGTCGGCGTCCGTGACAAGGTTCTGGCCTGGCTAGTACGTGTCTTCCCGCGTCCTGCTCACATCGCTGACCATATAATCACAGTGCGAAACCTCGGTCGTCAAGATCTGTGAGCCGCAAACTGTCACTCTTCGGATTTGTCTCACTGCGTCTAGCGTCGCGATGTGAGTCCTGCGGGGAGATAACATTATCAAGCTCTAACGAATCTGGTGTTTAGCATGGAAGCGCTTCTTGCCTCCTCGGCACTGAACACTAGCAAAGGCTCCCCTGCATGGCGACGGGAGATCGAGGTACTGGCCCTCGCGATGGAGAGCTACCTTCACATGGATACTGAAGTACGGTTTCGATTACGACCACCGACGCATAGCTGACTCTTTCTCAGGGCCCCGTTGACATGGTGGCTTTGGAGGACTGCAAAGACATGGCGTCTGCCACCTTCGATCTCCTCGTATTCAGCTCGCCTTCGACCGCTTCGCTTTGGGCAATCACGGACCATTTTCTTCCTACCCAAGTGCGGGAAATCTATCGCGAAACCGTGCGCTTGACCCTAGCTTTAGCGGGCAGCAGACGGCCTTATTCCGAGTCCGATTCCGAGTTGTTCCAAGGAGTAGAGGGCTATCTGAGCGACGCTGCGAATGTTGAAGTTCGCTTCAGGCACCTCAGAAGCTCAGTTATCGTCCTTTTCGAACTGTGCTTCTGGTTTGAGCGTACTATTGCATGCAAAGCGGCTCAGCCGATGCGCTTCCTGGTCGCTGATATGGCCAGCTCTCTCGAAAGCCTCCGACGACTGGATACCTATGACGAACCTATCTCATCTATTTCCCTCACCACGGCCTGTCGAACCTCTCGATACGCCTGTAATACATAGTGTAACTCTCAATACATGCCTTGCTCGACAATTTCTGAATAGTCGGAGATTGAAATTCACTATCCAATCGACAGACACGGAACGAACGCGTCCTTTCAAACAGTTCCACGGCGACATCATGGCCCGGGAGGCAGACGACATGGATATGGATAATGTGGGAGGGGGCAGCGCTGGAAATGCTGGTGCAACGAATACGGGGGGTGATTCATCTGCCCCTCAGTCTGTATCAGCGACAAACGGAGCGTCGGTGGATGTCGAAGCTCGAAGCGCAAGTACAGCGCCCCCTGCGGGAGCGTCTACATCTTCAGAAGTCCCTGCCGCGTTCACCTCAGGATCTCAAGCAGTACCCGTCGCGTCCACCTCAGGATCTCAAGCAGTACCCGTCGCATCCACATCAGGATCTCAAGCAGTCCCCGTCGCATCCACATCAGGATATCAGGCCATGGCAGGCTCATCGACGCAATCGGGGTCGGCAGGGCAGTCTACCTGGACCACGTATGCCATTTGCTTTCTCTTTAAAACATGGGACCTCATCGCGGTTTCTCGACAGGCGTAACCCTTTCGCAGAAACCTGGCACCAGCTCTCCACCCCAGGAATTGCGGGGAGCTTCCCTGTTGATGATCTCCGTAGGGCCGCCAAAGCAAGGTGAGAGGCTTTACCAAGATATTCGACTTTTTTAAACCTGCGCTTCCAGAGTGGTCAAACCGGATGGAGCGTACTTTCCAATTCGTCCAACTCAGGTCCCTGCTGGTTCTAAGCCCTCTGGACTTGGGAGAAAGAGAGACATTGACGATGACGGCGAACCCAAAGGCCAACACTCCGAAGCCACCTCTCAACCTAGGACCACCAAGGACACTAACCCTTCCAGGCTGCGAAAAGCTATGCACAGGCTTGTCAAAGGTAAGTGTAAACGGCGTTAGGTGCCCGAAAAGTTCTCACTTTAGACCAGAGGGTTTCCAGGGTTTCTTCAGGAAGGTTGACCCAGCCATTGATACTCCTGATCCCGCCCCCGTGAGTGAATTCACCTTTGGTGCTCATTCTTCGTCTAACAAAACCATGTAGCCACGCAAGCGCCAGCGAATCGATGAAGACGACAAGGAATCTAAACCGACTTCAAGCAAGGCAGAGGGGACTATTCTGACACCAGATAAGGGCCAGAGCATGGAGTCGAATCAAGGAGGGCTTCCTCCTCTTAGAAACGCGACCGTCCCACCTCCACCAGCGCTCGCAGATAAAGGGAAAGGAAAGGACACGGCTACTTCGAAGGGGAAGGGAAACACATCCTCCTCCTCCTCCAAAGGGAAAGAAAAGGGGAAGGGGAAGGCCAAAGCACAGGTGAGTGTACCTGTCCCGTCAAGCAAGTATCTAGCAACATGATCACGCCCTTCAGGGAAGTGACGCCGAATACGAAGGAGAAGAAGAATGGGACGGAGTTGATGACGAACATGAAGATGAGGAGGAAGTAGAGGGGGAAGCACCTAACGTCGAGAAGGCAAGTACGCAACGGGGCTCACGGGTTGTTGACTATCTGACTGGATTCATAGGGATTCAGATTGTCTCGCGTACTTGAGGGCATTTTCGCATACGAAGCGGGTCCATCGAAGGCCTCAGGCAGAAAGCGACCCAAGGCAAGAAGGCACCGCTTTGTACATCCCTTTGCTGACCAAATGTTTAGTCGACTCTCCCGCGGAATTTGCCCGTTACTCCCGCGTCTGCGGTACCAGAACCACAGGGTGAAAGTTCCTCGGACATGTTTGGTGCTCTTCACGAGTTCCTCAGCTTCAGAATGGCGGGCGTCGACGACCTGGTCGCCCGCAGAATCAAGGACATTGAAGCAAGCACTTCCGCTGCAAACCAAGCCTTTCAAGAGAAAGTCAATCACAGGATCGAGGAGATTGAGATCCTGGCAAGTGGATCTGTTTCCAGGAAGAGGCGAATCAAACGGGGCCAGCCGGCAGACATACTTGCCAACCATCCATTACGCGTACAATTCGCCGTAGGTTGCTTGTCACCCGTTGTCTAGATCTGGCTTTGCTGACGGATACCTAGGAGCGTATTCGTTCCTTTTTCGACGACCATCTACTGAAGGTCGATGCACGGGTAGCAATATTATCCGCCGCCGAAACGTCCAACATGGTGAAGTCGAAGCTTGGACGTGCTCTGCTTCAGTTTCGTCCGCTCACTGAAGAAGAGTGGCAAGCATACGAGGACAACGCCCCTTCCGCCATTAAGGTCGATGCCAATAACTTTCGCTTGGACTTCTCTCGCTCTCGCAGGGCAGAGTTTAACCGGGAAGCACTCCATGTTGCCGCAGAAGCTTTCATTGAAGCCGCACACTCTGGGTACCTCTGGGGAGACACGACCTCTCCGGCAATCCCTTCCGAATTGCTGAAGTACGAGGTGGTCGCGTACGCTATCGACAACCACGCAGAGTATCTGTGGTCTGTTTATAGCGAAGCGACCAGAGATGATAGTGTCGCTCGTGAAAAGGCGAGGCTAACAAGGGCTTCGAGGACCTCTCGCAAGGCTTCGGTCAGTGTTCTTGTGTTTCCTCCGCGCCTGTGTCCCTGTTTCTCATAAATACCGTCCAGTTGCACGCCCATAGATTGGATACAGCCTTAGCAGACCCTGAGTATCGAAGATTCGCGCCCTTGATCAAGCGTATTGGCGTCCAGGGGATGAGCGACGACGAGACAGATGACGAAGACCCGGACTCTTTCATCCGCGTCAGCCTCCCCTGGCGTGCAGAGCGTCTAACACAGATCCTTTGGGCCCTCGACGAGCGCTATGAGGAACATTTGCGTTCCTCCGTTGGCAAAACCAATCGCCGGCGGGGACCCCTTCCTCGCGCGCGTCGACTGTCCCAGAAGGTGAACCTGAAAGCCGTGCCTCCTCGCAAGTTACCGAAGAACTTGTACAATTCCGATTGGTTACAGCTCCTGAAGCCGCACCAAAGAAAGAGGGTGGCACCAGAGGATGCGACTTACAACTTTCAGGTGACGTCTACTTTCTGCTATTGGTATTCTATCTAACAACCGTGCCGAAACTAGACTGGGAAGGTGGTTAAGAAGAAGAATGCACAGACGTAGACCGTGAAGTGAGGGTAAAGAGATCAGGTGAAGACGTGAGAATGGAACGGCGGTTGACCGGGCGATTTAGTAATAGATTTTTTGGTTGATTATGTGTTCTACCTACGTCTATCACCATCGTCCAAACTCTTTGCCTCTGAACCTCACTGTATCAGCAGTCCCCAATGACTCAATCTGGCGAGCAAGACATGTCGGGAACGCTCTTCAATTCGTTATTCAACTTGATCGGTGCCGGGCTGACCAACCTGGACAAATCTCTAAACCACCGTTTAGACAGAATGGAGGAGAGTATCACCAAGGAAAACAAAACCTTCCAGAAGAAGATCATGCACCACTTGTCTGCCCTGGACGATGTCGAGGATCGACCTGGAACTGCGCATGATCGCAAGCGAGCTACAGTCAGGTCGAAGAAAAAGGACGAGGTTCAAGAGTACCTTGCCCATCACCCCTTGTATAGAAACTATCTGGCGAGTACTTTGTATAGTCCCCGCGGCGGTGCACTGATTTTATTTCAAGAGTCACATCCGTACCTTCGTTGATGCCTTACTCAGGGTCGACGAGCGAGTTGCAAAGCTTACATCCGGAGACCGGATGGTCAGATCGAGGCTTGGACAAGCTCTCCTCCAATTTCGTCCATTAACCGATGAGGAGATGAAGGCTTACGTCGACAAGAAGCAGGGCGCAGTCAAGAACGACGCTGACAACTTTCGCTTGGACTTCTCTCGCCCTCGCAGCCACCTCTTCAACCGGGACGCTTTCAATGTCGCTGCGACATCTTTCATCGCTACTTTCGGCGGAGCTAACGGCAACAAGCAAGGTGCCATCCCAGGGGAGCTTCTAACGAAAAGGATTGTCCTCGCTGCCATCGAAAAGCATGCGGAATATCTCTGGGCAGTCTATGCAGAAGCCTCAAGTGAAGACGCTGTTGAAAAGGAGTCTTCTAGGCTCTCTCGGATCGCGAAACAGGAGCGTAGAAAAACGGTGAGCAGTTTTTAATACTGTCCTTACCTGTACTGACAGTACTTCAGCTGTACCAGTACAGACTTAAGGCTGCGGAATCGCAAAAGTTCATGCACCACCTTCCTTTGCTCACAACAATCGGCCTGGCGGGTATGAGCGACGACGACAGTGACGGGGAAGGCCAAGATTACGATGTTGTTACTTTGCCATGGCGGTCGGCGCAGCTGACTCGACTGTACATGGACCTCGACGATCATGCCGCGGAAATCCGGCGCACCAACGTCGGGCGCAATCGACCCCGGGGAAATCCCGCTCGAAGACGAAAACGAAGCGACAAACGAATCGATCTGTCGGCTCCAGTGCCTCCAAACCTGCCTATGAATCTGTACAATCGGACTTGGTACGACACCTTGCGTCCATTCCAGGAGAAGGCTCTGGCAGCAGTACAAGGAGATTATTGTTTTGAAGTAAGCTGCTAGCCTTGCTGGTATTCGGTGTTGGTGTTTTCTTACCCTCCATTGTCGGTGATTCAGACCGGAGAAACAACGTTGTGGAAGGATAAGAACGAAGGGGATGGGAAAGGGAAAGGAAAAGGAAAAGGAAAAGGAAAGGAGAAGGAGAAGGAGAAGGAGAAGGAGAAGGAGAAGGAGAAGGAGAAGGAGAAGGAGAAGGAGAAGGAGAAGGAGAAGGATACAGAGAAGGAGGATCTTAATGTATAGGAGTCCACTGGAAATACACGCAGCACTACGCTCTAGCATCTACATTACCAGTGTACCCTGCGAAGCAATAATTGATGAGAATGCGGAGCCTGTACATTGCCCGAAACACCACACCAGCGGCAGCATTACTTGTTTGCCTCATCTGCTCTTAATCTGCGACCGTCGATAAGAATCTTACCAACCCATCAGCAAGCCACCATCGCCTGGACTGGATAACTCGCTACATCATGAAGACAACCCCCTCCAAAGCCCGGAGGAACGTAGCAGGTGCGCCGTATCGTCTGCACCGTACTCTACCCAAGGTACGCACCCTTTCCTGGTTTCAGTACGTACCACAGTTGATCGACAAGCGTAACCTGTCTCAGCTCCCCCCTGTTTTAGACGCCGTTATGCCCATTGCAACTCAAGACACATCCCCTGCACCGGAGATTGGAAACCAGACCCTAGACGGAAGCTCGGCGTTGATCCCCAGCGGTAGGTTTATGGCTATTAACCTGTAGAAAGGTTAGCTTACGTCGAAGCGCGCAGCGTCGACAAGTATCATAAATTGCCTTCGCCGCAAGCTTCGAGGTTCGAACACCATGTACACTTGCTATCAAGTTGAGAACTCGTCGCAGTCATTCCATCCATCTCAAATACAATCGGTCAAACCCAGCGAAGGCGATGTGTTTGTCCACACTCTTACGCCAGGAGGGCTGAACAGCGTTTGGACTTGGTCGCAGGAGACCTGGACAGTTATTACTCAGGGGGGGAAGCACCCATCGCTCGCGAACTACGTCTTCTCAATGGAGAAGGGTGCAGGATGGGTGACAGTTAAGAGTTACAATACCTATCAAACCAGAGGATTGAGGCGGGCGTCCCTTCCTAGCACTTCATCTGGAGGGATGGGCCTGTCTACCATGTCTATATAGCGCGCTTTTGCCTCCGTTTAATCCAATCACGCCCTGGGCGGCTCGCGTATTGTCGTATGCCATGAGGATACCACGTTTTGGAGGCCTTTTAATCGCACTCGCGGGCTGCCTTTACCTTTGTCCCACTATTCAATCCAACCAACAATGAAGCCTTACCAGCAGCTCGATCCCATCGTCCTCTCCCGCCAAACTCAGGTGACGGCAATCGCATTGTCTTCTTCCGGCAGTAATCTCGCAATTGGCACCGCCGATGGTACCGTGGAGTTTTGGGCCATAGGCGGACGTCGCCTTGGACAAGTTGATTTGGAAGAGCGAATTACCGCGTTGCAATGGGCAACGACAAACCCATCTCAACTCTTCATCGGCCTTGCTTCCGGGCTCGTTTTGTTTCTCGAGGATATACACGTACGTTCGTTTTCCAGTTCCAGAAACAAACACTAACATTGGTTAAAGGGTCAAACCCGACGTGTAGCAACTGGCGTCAGTGGTGCCCCTGTGGAATGTCTCGCCCAGGGCAAAGCGATGGACTGTCTAGGGATTGCAGTGGGACCTGAGATCCATGTCGCTCGACCTATCAATCGACGTAAGTATCTCACCATTTCACATTCTTTCCAGTCGGTCATTCTTGTTTTAGGTGATTATGCAACCACCAACATCTTGCCCGCGCCAGCTGGCTCCGGGGAAGGTACCACCGACAAGACCGTTCAAGGCAGAGGCCTTCACTTTGTCCAAGAGGATGACCAGTTGATCGTCACTTACCTGCACCATGGCATACGGTATGTGTGGCGCCCGAGCGAGCAGGTCGATCAATACTAATGTATTGTATAGTTGCTGGGATATATCGACCGGAGTTGAGCTCTGGCAACTTCCTCCATCGCGCCTCACTGGGCTAATGTAAGAAATTACATCTGGTCGTCGTCCGACTGACTGACCCCTCGTTGCCTTACAGCGGGTTCTCTGATATTTCCTCCGACAACCGTTACCTTGCGCTCTCCAACATGGCCACAGGGGTCGACTTATACTCTCTCGACTCGCTGACTCTATCGAGGCACTTCCCGATGCACATGGTCCCCGAGAAGAACAAAGTCATGATGGTCAAGTTCCTGCGAAACGATGGATATCTTTCATGTGGTGCGCACGAAGGAGGTGTATGGATCTGGAACGCTGCGTCTGGGCAGCCTGCTCAGATTCTTGCTGCGAAAGGTGTGTCAGTTGATCATCTCAAGAATACCTTGTCTCACAGAAAGTTGTCTTCAGACGTGCCTGTACAATTGATGGCTGTAAGTACTACTTCTCTAGACCCGCGTGATCATTCTTCAAGTCCATAATGTTACAGGTATCTGTATATCTTGAAGATGAATTCGTAGCAACTGTTTCCAACACCCTCGAACCACGCGTCGATATCTGGCGAGTTAAACTCGAGACTCCTCTCTCGAAGAAGCTGAGGATTCGTTTTCAACGGGCCAAGGTCAGTGCTGGAGTCATCCTGGTTGCCTTATCCCCTCAATGATTTCACGCAGGCGTTCATCCGCATCGTTTCCAGCTCCCATTTCTCTTCCTTGTTGTTTGTGATGCTTGTTATCGTTATCTATTGTGTAACTGTGGGTCCCTCGCTTGCCTCACCTTCAGATAAATTGATTATAACTGACTATCGTAAATTCAGCTCTGGAAGATGTCGCCAGAAGATATTCGTGGATGGGCTTCCCTTACTCATACCCGGCTCGGTACGACCTTCCGAACCCTCTCGAACTCTGTCTCTGAAGGGTACCGTGCTCTTTCAATGACTATGAGGATTGCTATCCTCCAGTGGCTCGGTGTTCCCCCTGAATATATCACTCTGCCCCCGCCAAACTTTGTGCGACTCGACAGTCATATCACTAGGCCCGGGGTAGTAGACGCCGGTGCTGAAACGATGAACAATATCATTACGCAATTCCAATCTGCAGGGACTGCATCTACCCTAGTACCTATTCTCCCTCTACAGTCGACCTGTCCTGCTTAAATTACTACATCAACTTGCCTACTGCCACCTAATACAAACTTCGTCCAACGATAACAATTGCAACCAACCAATAACATTAGCGACTTCGTCAGCGCACATCCATCCAAACGTCTCGCCTCCCCGGGTAACGAGCAGGTTCTTGTCGATCGATGGGAGGACAAGGGTGAACGACTTGAAGCGCTGCTTGACCTCTTCCCACCTGGACACAAAGGCAGGGATTGTAGCCAGTGTCGTAGGTCTGCGAAGGGATCGGATGCGGAGCTCGAGCTTGCGAAGGAGAGGGAAGAGGGTACTGTCTTCCTGCCAAACCTCTGCAGCTTGCTCTAGTTTCCCAAGCGAGAGGCCACCCACGCAGAGTGTGTCGAGGTCCTTCATCAATCGAAGGAGCTTTCGGCAGTGGAAAAACGAGTAGCCGACTTCTTGGAACGTGAGGGAGAGGGATGTTATCCCTCTGATGACGAGCTCATGAGCTTGGGACAGGTAGTCAATTAGCCAGCAGAAGGGATCATCCCACCCCATAGGGGTGTCGCCGACGTCGGCGTCCCGAGCGAAGGGCCTTTCCATGAACCATAACCCGCTTGTGCATAGGTCCACTTCGAAACGAATTCGACTCTCGGCCCCTCCCAAGCCAACGGTCCAGTGCCGATGAGTATAGGTGATGCTGAGGTGCTGCTCCCGACGACTGTGCTTCATCATGAGGTCTATTATACCCTCCATGGTGTTGACGAAATCGTCCTTCTTGACCATTCGTGCATCGGTAAATCGCAATCCCAGCCGAACAGTTGTCGTAGCTGGAAGGAGGATACGATTGCACAACGCCAGGGCAACAGTAGCGTCCCCTGTGTATGAGAGCGATTGTAGAAACTTCATCTCGACGGGCTTGATCCTCCACAGGGCTGGGTGCTGGTGGAGGGGGATGGAGTCCACAAGGGCGTCGTCCAAAGTGACCGACCGCAACTTGGGGAATGATCGTAGCAAGGAAATTGTGTGACGGATTCCCTTCCTATCCAACAACACGCTGAGGTCGGCAACTGGACCGTACTGGACCACTAATGTGTCGAGTCTCGGGAAGACATCAGGTTGGTTTGGAACGGGGAGGGAGCAATTGATTAGAGTGAGCGAACGAAGTTGGGGGGCGTGGCCATGGAAGAGGGTGTTTGGGAATCGAGTCTCGAATTTGTAGGGGAGTTCGGCGTCGAAATCGTTAACGATGACACATTTCTTGAGCAGTGGTGCAGGTTGGGACAAGAGATATTGACTCCATTCCGTGTGATCATCGGCGGGCCAACGAACCGGCAAGTGAAGGTGTTCGCAGCGGCTGATGTTCTCTTTGGTAATCTCCCGCATGGCGTCAGTCGGGGGGCGGTACCTCCGGGAAAAAATTGAAATCGCGGATGTCCCAATACGGCCGAACACTTCTTTGAACCAACCATTGTCGTTTCCCTCAACAACTAACACCATGCTCCACAGCGCTCCGTGTTGCAGGACCACCGCACGCCAACGAGCGCATACTTGGGAGATGTTCGCTACAGTCATGATGTCGGCCTCTCGAACGGAGTCTCGGTCGAAACGATTGTCGTAGTCCACCGCTTCCAAGAAGATGAGGAAGAGGATCTCGTTGGGAAGGTCGTCGATAGTGACTGGTTGGTGAGCCTTCCCTAAGGATGCCTGTACCAAAGGCTGACGGTCTCTCTGTTTGAAAAAGCGCTCCAATCCGTTCAGAGGGATCTAGGTGGTGTACACTGTAAGTACTTACCAACCATCTGTTGACATAGCCACTAACAGACTCTGGTAGGCGCGAAGGAGGGGTCGCTACGGTGTTCATCGCAATCTCAGTGGAAGGAACAAAGGAAACCAGAAGGTCCCCAGAACTAGGCTTATAGGTCGCCGCGCACGAGGCAAGTTGCAGTCACGCTCGCGTCTTGATCCCTGTTGACCTGTCTTATCGGTCTCCTTCCATAGGCTTTCGAATTCTGTTCCATCGTATATCCCATTCTCGCAAGATTGCACCTCCGGTTAACCACGGTTCCTCCGCCATAGCGATGCCTGAAGACTCAAGCGGTTTGCATCCACCACGCATGAAATCGCAGAGTAATTCCATCTATTTCTTCTTCGAGACTATCATACTGATTCCCGCTCTCAGGGTGGATAAATCTGTTGCTTCTTGCTCGTCGACGGGTGGAGAATATGTTTCAAGGTACGGGTATTCATTGTACTAAACTCAAAAAGATGTATCGCTAACGAATGTATTCCTGATCTGTTCGACAAGATAATGAAACGGCCGCCAGCGACTCACTTTCACAGATAGCCCCGACAGGCGATGATCATGACGCTCGTGCCAGTGAAATTGAGATCGTTGAAATACATTCGCGCAGCAACTCCATCAGCTCTTCGATGGCCAGTCGCCCTGATGGAGGGTTCGAAGATTCCGGCTCAAGTCTTGCTCTCTCACATGCCGACGAGGTCGAAATGTCAGTATATCTTCGGGATTCGAGCACTGTCTTCCGTTGTGGTGGCCAAACGATAGCAGCAGAAGACCTTGGCTGCCTCCTCCCAGGGAAACGGCTCAACGACGAAGTAATCAATTTCTACGCAGCCTTGATCAACCGACGTTCTCAAGAGTCGACCAATGTAATGGTGGATGAGGAAGTATTGAACGCGTATTGCTTCAATACTTTCTTTTACACGAAGCTAGAACGAGACGGCTATCACGGGGGCAGGTTATTCCGATGGATAAAGGTATGTGTACGTCTCCTCTCCCAGCACTCCATTAACACCCTTGAAGTTCGATCTGTTTTCAAAGGATATTATTTTGATCCCCATTCATTGCTTGGACTCTCATTGGAGTGTCTCTGCAATTAATCTCCGGGAAAAACGATTTGAATTCTACGACAGTATGGGCCTTCGTCCGAGGAAGGTTTTCGATGTGAGTACAATCTGGTCCCTAGCTACGATTTCATAACGCATTGTCGAATTAGAATCTACGAAGTTTCATGGCTCAAGAGCATTACCACAAGAAGCAACATCCATTTGACTTCAGTGGCTGGGTAGACTTTGTTCATGATGTATGGTCCATTCATTTTCGCCTTGATGTCTCAATGACCAAAATAACACAAGGGTCCCGAGCAAGAAAACGATTACGACTGTGGTGTATTTGCATCTCAGGCCTTGCAGGCGCTCTCTCGCAGACGTTCAACCTTCAACTTTGCTCAAAACGATATGCATGGTCTCCGCCAACGAATGATCCTAGAAATTGGCAGGGGTAAACTATGGAATGATCTCCTTACCTATTAAGTATCTCGACCAATATATGCGTTTTTCTCTTTTCATTTACGATGCAAGCCGTGCGACCTAAAGGTTCTTGGCCCTTACTCCAGCCATTGCTCACTCCACATCTTCAGCGCCTACAACTTCATGTGGCCTCACCCTGTAGCCACCACACCGAATCTTTGTCGCAGTCGCCGGATTGAGGTAGCAACACTGTTCGATTCAATGTTCGAAGGTGTTCTAACTTCTGCCTACTTTCACCGCTTTCTATTGACGACGACGAGGGGGGCGGCAATGTTCGAGTCGGGTTCGAAGGTGCCGGAACTGCGTTCCGCCTGCAAAGGTCGCACGTATTGAACATCATGCAAGGGAACTACTAGCCAAGGGTTGGTACGCAGCCGAGGGGGAGGGATATGGAGTGCCAGAATCGCGAAATAACCCTTGATATTCGTCTGTTTCATATAGAATAGGTACAGGATTGGGTGGATAAACGTACACCGACAAGCAACCGTTGCAGGAGACGACTTCGCCATCAGGATAGGGAAGTCGAGCAGCTGTGATTTACTTCCCTTGTCTTACTTGGCTACACAGCCGAGGCGAAGGATTTCTCGACAGAGATGGAAGGCCTTTCCGAAACGAGACTTCTTTCGCTCCTTCGTGGTCAAGGTCTTAACAGGCTTCAAGTTCATGTTGTAGTCGAGATGGAGGTAGTTCAGGCTCTAAGAGAGGGAAAGGTTAGATTCAGTTGACACGGTGGAAACCTGAAAGTCTTCCCTTGCGATGAATCAAGAGATTTCTTTTCGTTGAAGAAGGGGTCGACGAAGTCGGGGATCGAGAAAGTGTCTTCATCAGCACCGTTGGGCCCAAAAATTGAGTCCTCGTGTGAGACGAGGGGCATGTTCTTGGGCTTGGAGCCACGAAGGGAGATAGGGTTGATTAGCGGGACGAAGTAAAAGGTGGGGAGGTCAGGGTCGTCGGTGCGAATGTAGACATTCTTGGGATAGTGGTAGGGAGCGATGTGGACAGAAGCCTCCCGGTCCATTGGCTGAGTCGGCTCCGAGAGCACCAACCCCAGAACCTCCCCGAGTCGAAAACGAGCAGGAGTCTGTCAATGCTCTTTCAGACATGGCCCCCAAAGCAACACATTCACGCGATGACATTCCCGATGACATTCTGGCAGAGCTACACGCTCAGACCTCCCCGTCTTCCATTGAAATATCGCACCAGAGTACACTCGATAGTGATATCGAGATAACCGGACACACGAAACGCACCCAGACGCCGGCCATTCACATTGTCGATGGGGAGTGCAATCACTGCAAAGGATATCTGTTCAAATTAGAGGATGGTTCCTCGCCATTCCTCGTCTACTTCGGACCATGATCGCCAATGACTGCAAACTCGATATTCTCCAACTAGGAGAGCGATTTGGATCTGTCACGGAGGTGATGAACATTCTGGCGCAGCATCCCGAATGGGATAAAGCACCACGCCGTCTCAAACTATCGATGCTGGACCGGGCAATGAAGGAGGTCAACTCACAGGCTGATCATCTCTCGCCTCAGCATTGGAGAGGTGATGTAAACGTCCGTCACGTCTCTCTCCAGACGGCTTGGTCGAGAGGAAGGAGGATTGTTGAAGAGGAATATCCGAAAGCGATCGCTGTGCTGGAGTCTGCTGAACTCACCTACCCACCCATTGATTTTCTGGCCCCCGGAGGGACCCTTCTTTTTGATGCACCCCTACCACAAGATGATCTTGACGAGAGTCTGGAATCATTCACCTTTCCTTTACCCGTGTCTCCCGACCTCCCGGAAATCTCTGGTGAAGTCGATATTACAGAGATGGAAGGCCACGCTAGGTGCCAGACGGACCGAGAGATCCAGACCGAAATCGAAGAAGAACTCGGAATTCTCAGCGACTTGCCTCAGGAGAAGGGAGGAATCGAAAGAACACTCACGATCAACGGCCAATCGGTTCACAAGTCCCGTATATTGGCAATGTACGGAAAGTACAGGAAGTCGGTCAGCTCTACTGACCGATTGAAGCGTGTCCAGCAACTTGAACGCTATACCTCGAAGCTCGAGCCGCAAGCCAACCCCCTCACCGGCGCACTGACGGAGGAGTCATTTGTTATGATCCATGACCCTGTTGCCACCCTCCTCTGCTCTGAAAAGCGGCTATGGCTTTGTCTGGGCGAGGTCAACTCTATCAGATACGATGGACAGCCTGTTGACAGACTTGTCCATTCGCTTCTTTCCGAACCGGCGGTTTCTGTATCTTTTCAAGTACTCGGACTTCGCAACACTACGATTGACGAGGACCCTACAGCTCAGAACGACTGGAGAACTGTTCCTTACCATCCAGAGAGAACATTCGAGGTTCCTGGGAGGCGCGCGTTACGAATCTCATGTTCCCAACCCAGGCAAGTCGTGCTTCATCGCTGAAGGTCCAAAGGTCAACGATATAACCGACCTTGGTACAATTGGCACGTCTCCCTGCCCACTCTGTGGCGACTATCGTCTTGATCTGTCGCAGGGGCAGCGGGTTCTCGAGCACATTGGGAATCACATCCTATTTGATCCCAGAGTCCATCGCTCTGAAGAGCCCTGCGGACTCTGTCTTCGTCCGTCTCCCCAATGCAGATTCCGGGTTGTAAAGGGGAACAACCTCTATCCGGAACTTTTTTTCCGACACCCCCTTGCTTGACAGAACATTGGTCACTCTTGGCCGTCGTTTCAAAGACGGAAGCATACGTATACCAGCTAAAAGGCAACTACGACACGTTCTGCTATGAGTGCGAGGTGGCGACAAACTACATGAAAGACCAAAGTCTTCGCGGTGGCTGCCAGGTCGGAACCATCCCACTCTCCCAGCTGGACTGGTTAAAACAGAAGCTCAAGGAGGTCACCGTGATTCGACACGACTTCAACTTCGACTGCCAAAACTGGGTCATGGCCGCCATTCAGGCCTTGAAAGACCACGGAGGTATTATCGCGCCCGGGACGACTGAGAGGAAGGTCCGGGCTGAGATGGAGGAGGAGAAAGAAAGATGGGAAGTGGCGGACGACATCCTATTCGAACGGTTATTTCCTTGAGGCGCCCCTTCTTCCTGATTCAGCTAGCTGCTATGACTATCAATGTACCTCTCGATACTTTCGATCCACACTACCTATAGTTGGAAATCGAAGCAACGTTTAACTCTAAATTGTCTGTGAGTGGAAGGCGGGCACCGACGTAAAGGAAAGTCGGTCTGAATCTAGCTATAGAAGCCGTCCGGGTAACGCACCGTCTTGCTTTCGTCACTTGGTTGCAAGTCCATTATGCTCGTCGAGTGGCGCGGAAGTTGTCGAATTCCCTCGGAAAAGACCAATGAACTTGATGGAACGTGGCCAGATGTGATCTTTAACGTTAACGAGTGCAGTGAAGTTCAATTGTCAGAGAGAAGGGACACACACAGAGGCTCAGAGTTCTCTATGGAGCATACCAGACTGCGACAGGGCCGAGAACCAAGAATAGAATGGGACATGAATAAGCGCCCATCTCTGGGCCCCTGTCCTGGACAACGGCGTTCGCCGATGGCTTTCAGACTCTGCTCTCTGTCCTGAAAACAATACGGGGCTTCAAGTCTTCCAAGAACGACACTTATAATCGCTTTGAACTCGATGAAAACATCTTAAAATCGCCATGGGTAGAACAAGTAAGCCTTAAATCTTTCTGCGAAGAGTCTCCACTGACATTTTCGAGGTAGAAAACCGCAAGGGAAACGTCCCAGTCAAATCCAGTAAGAACGCATAAAATTGGAGATTCCAGTTCTGTAATCGTGCTTTCTGCAGAACTGAAGAAGGATCCTGGAATCCCTAAACTGCCTGACCTTAAAGTGAAGGTCAAGAGCCAGCAGAAGAAGCCCGATGTGCGTAGTGCAACGTCTCTAGCCTCCTCATGATAGCTAACCAAGATATAGGTCCCCTTGGAACGACGTTTCGATTCTGATGCCCACATGGCCTCAGAGCCAACATTGTCGACACTTGCGCAGCTTGCAGCCGAAGCTTCATCCAACGTTCAGGAAGAACCGTCGTCGTCTACGTCAACCAGGGAGAAAACCAAGGAACAGCTACGGCGCTACTATGTCAAGTCTCTACATAAAGTTATCGATGAAAGCGACATCATTCTCCTTGTCCTTGACGCGAGGGATCCTGAAGGATGTAGGAGTCGTTTGGTTGAAGAAGAAGTGCGGAGACGAGAGTCAGAAGGAAAGATCACTGGCATCCGTGTCTCCTTGCTGAAAGAGTTCGGGGGCCATGTAGTTACAGGCTCCGGTGAAGACGGTAGTGAATCCTCGACGTGTCTCGAATTTGGACCGGCCAAAGTCGCAGAGCAGGCCTCCAACGGACTACGATGTATACAGCGAGAGATTCTCGCGGGAGCACCATAAGCGCCTGCACTGCTTCTACTCCATCGACAAACCGGCCAGTGAGTCCCCTAGAGGTGGAAGAAGGAACTTCGGAGGCAAAAAAGCCAGGATGACAGCGATAAACGAGAAGTTAAAAAAGATCTTGTGGAACCAGCCTGGAAATACGAGCAAGAACATTCCGGGATGCCTCCGAATTTGTGTCGGGATGCCTGTCTGCATTCGTTATAACATCGCGACGGAACTGTGTATCACGAAGGGGCAGGAAGGAACAGTCGTGGGTTGGACGTCCAAGCCTCATCCTATGTATCCATATGCCCAGTGTCTGGAAGTTTTGTTTGTGAAATTAAAGGATCCTCCGAAGACTATTAGATTGCCTCATCTGCCAGAGAACGTGGTGCCTGTGACGAAGACCTCCACTCAAATCAGAGCCCGTTGGCGAAACGACTTCAGCACTGTGATAAATCGCACACAAACACCTGTCTTGCCGAATTTCTCTATGACAGACTATGCATCTCAAGGTAAAACAAGGGATGCGAACGTGGTCGATCTGGTAAACTGTCGAAATTTCCAGGCAGTGTATACGTGCCTATCTCGGGGGAAGACGGCCGACGGTACCGTAATCATCCAGGACTTCAGTGAGGCGAAACTTAAAGGGAAACTGGATAAGGATATAAGGATGGAATACAGGGACTTAGCGCGTCTCGACGAAATTACGGACCGTGTTTATCGCGGAGAAGTGCCCGAAGGCTTTCTTTACAATACCCGAAGAGCCACATTGGAAGCCTATTCTGACTGGTTAGCATTAAACACTCTGGAACGAGCGGAGGTCCCCGAGAAGGCATCCAACAAAAGACGCCATGCCTCCGACGACATAGATCTATGCAGTCCTGCCAAGAAGGCCAGGGGGTTGGGCCACGGGCCCGCGTTGGAGGACAGAGGTCCTGTAGGCCTTGCCTGGGACGCACACGATTACAGTTGCGCTTATGACAGCCTGGTGGCCATGGTTTACAATATTTGGAGGTATTCTGCCGACTATTGGACAGCATACTTCCACAGTACATCTTCCTACCTGGGTACACTCTCGACATCTTTCTTGCAGCTTGGGCATAATGGGAAAGATTTAAATTACGCGCGGAACGTACTGAGGGAAGAGTTGTGGTCGAAATACCCCACGGACTTTCCCAAGGGTCCAGCAATGTGCGACATCGGCGATCTCTTGCGGGTTTTGCTAGGACTCGGGGAGGGACAGAGAGGTATAGCATGGTGTGAGGATTGCCGCAATGTTTACCCTTCTCCTCGTCCATTCATGTGCGTGGACAGATACATGATAATGGTGCCTAAGTCGTCGATCCAGGAATCACTGCATCAATTGGAAAGCGGGATGATTGCTTGCCCTCAAGGGCATCGTAGAGGCCATTTGCAACATGAATTCGGACCTTGGCTGTGGATTCAGACTGAAGGTACAGACGACTACAAGGTATCCGTATGCTTGCAAAACATTTCGAAATCGAGTACTTATCGCTTAGCAGGTGCGAGCTATCTTGGAAACAATCACTTCACGACGAGATTCGTGGATGCGGATGGGAGCGTGTACTTTCATGACAGCATGAACACATCCTCTCGCGCGGTCTACGAAGGCAACGTTAACCACAGTGACTGGTCAGATCGATTGCTCAAGGCGCCGGATGGGAAAACGGCCGTAGTCTTTTTTTACGTGAGGGTGGCATATGCCGGATGGGGGTCCACAGCTCCATTGGCGTGATCGTGCTTGGGACCACAGGAAAGAGAGGGTTGTGGAAAGGAGCGGGAGAGGAGAAATGGGGCCAGGACGGAAACGGATAGCAGAATTTTGTCATGAACATTGGTGCCCGATGATAGACAGGGAAAGACCTCATATACAAGTCACATTGGGAGAATGGGGCAGGGAGGGAAAGGCGGTTAAGGAGACTGGAACGATGTCGTGTCGGATTGCATTGAAGATTCCAGCATGGCGATAGCTTCGGACAGCAAGGGCAACGCGGGACCTTCAAGGTGAGGAGGAAGACTGGATGAAAGCTGAAGGAGAAGGGCGTGGACTTCAGCGGTTGTAGTCGACAGATTGGTAGTTCGTAGAAGGAGGGGAGTGTAGTCTGATATGATGAATGAGTGGTTGCGTAGCGTGAATGGCTATGAAGAGACACGTCACTGGCGCACAGGTCGAAATAGGAAACGCGTAATTCCGTGACAATTGCACGCAGGCGCTCAATTTGACCGGGAAGCGATCCGGCAAGGTTGCGAATATTAGAGGCCTTGTCGTCGAACAAAGTGAAGCCTACGAAAACGGTAGGAAGAGGGGTATTGAAGTTGTGTGTTGTGACGTACCTCGAGTTGCGCGAGATATTAGGGTGGGAACGCCTGGGTGCTCGATGGCGAGAAGACGCCAGCGTTCGTATGAATCCATGAACGCTTGTAAAGAGCGTCCAGTGAGCGCGGTGTGGTCTCGGACTCTTTGCGCGATGAAATCTATGAGATAAGGACATCGGGTTAAAGACGCGACGCAGGCCTCGCATCCCATGGTGTCGGGGGAGATGCGACAGTCGTATGCGTTGGGTGAGCAGGCATGGGACCCACAGCCTTCGCGACCGACGAGGAGGAGAAGATCAGATGCCCAGTTGCGCCAACCTGGGCGGTCATGTTCTGCTTCGAGTGCAGTGAAAACACCAGGCTTTCGGACAAAAGCGAGTAATTCGGAGTCGGTCATGGTCGACGGAGAGAAGGAACGGCAGGTCATGTTCTGAGGCTGGATTGGCCATTGCTTGAGACAAGTGACGTAGGTGGACGAAAGCAGACTTACCCATTCTGGCTCGGAATCTCGGCGCCTCGCGGCCGCTTCCCACAAGTGTACTAGTGCCGTCCGCGACGGATCTGACTTTGACGGATCACTACATCGATAACCTTTTTGACTTGCACCTTGACCTCAATCACTTCGATATCGACCACCACCATACCAGGGGGAAGGCAATGTTCGACTCGATTCGAAATTGCTATGCCGCCGAACTGGACCACGAACACCGGTACCACGACTACCGGCTTCGACCGCGACCACCACCACCGCCGGCAATCCTTCGACATCGGCTTCGACTTCGACAACCAGCTACCACCATACCAGGGGGAAGGCAATGTTCGACTCGATTCGAAATTGCTATGCCGCCGACCACGAACACCGGTACCACGACTACCGGCTTCGACCGCGACCACCACCGCCGCCGGCAATCCTTCGACATCGGCTTCGACTTCGACAACCAGCTACCACCATCCACTATCCACCACTCACCACTTGGCTCCGACCACCACCATCCGCCTGTGGGACAAGGGCACTATTCGATTCGATTCGAAAGTGCCCTACCCGCCGAACGCTGGGCGACGAACACCACATGGCGCTTCAACCGCGACCACCACCGTCTCCGGCACACCGACGACGACGACCACGGGCACTGTTCGACTCGATTCGAAAGTGCCATGCCGCCGAAGAACCTTCGACCGCTACCACCACCGCCTCCAGCACCCCGACGCGCCCAAGACTGGACGACTTCGACCCCAACCACCACCACCTACGACGACGACCAAATTGACGTTGGCACTGTTCGTCTTGATTCGAAAGTGCCCTACCCGCCGAACGCTGGGCGACGAACACCACATGGCGCTTCAACCGCGACCACCACCGTCTCCGGCACACCGACGACGACGACCACGGGCACTGTTCGACTCGATTCGAAAGTGCCATGCCGCCGAAGAACCTTCGACCGCTACCACCACCGCCTCCAGCACCCCGACGCGCCCAAGACTGGACGACTTCGACCCCAACCACCACCACCGACGACGACCAAATTAACGTTGGCACTGTTCGTCTCGATTCGAAAGTGCCCCACTCGACCACTATCGCCATGATCCGTCTTGGGAGGGTACTTTTCGACCTCGATTCGAAAGCGCCATACGGCTGAATACTGGACGACGAACACGACACCACCACCACCGCCTTCGTGAGTCTGGACCGCAGCGATTCTTCGATGAAAACCAGGGGTGCGACGATGATAATGACAATGTGCATTTCGACGACGATGTATTTTAATGTACATTAGGGCCCAAGAAAACAATTCTATGAGTATTTTACAAGCAAGAAAGACATTGGTACGGATAGCAATAGGACAACGAGTGCAATAGATAGATAGCAACGATAAATGTACAGACAATGGTGGTGGATATGGATATCTGAATGTGCAGGGTATAGGCGCAGGGGCGATTGTGGTGTCTAACGCCGCTGGCGTGTTACGAATGACTTTTGGGCTCTCGGCGAGGTGAAAAATGCGGGCGTTTATCGAGGAGTCATTTCAATTTTGAAGTCAACGGGGATTCTAGCGATCCGGTGTTGAAAAAAAATCGCCTAACTGACTGGAAAAGGGCACTTACTGCGCGATAAGAAACTGTCCTTCGACCACAAACCCTTCCATCCAGCCCAGAAGCGCGTGCGATATCCCAAATTCGAACTAGAAACAAACGTAAACCTTTTTTCGACCGCGATAATGAACGACGCTCACCGAAAACCCAACTCTCCCCAAATCCAGGGCGCCGAATTCCACTCGCAGCCTCCACCCTCGCTGCAACAAATCAATTCCTTCGCGTCGATTGAAGGCGTCGTCGAGTCCAATCACATCGTCTGCGACTCGATGCAAATGCTGGTTGTCGGCCATCGTTGGTTTCCAGACGGTTGTGGGGTCGAGTTGTGGTTTGGATAAAGTGGATGTTGTAGTCACAGTGTGAGAGAGCGCAGCCCCATGCCGCGATCACGAGACGACTAAAAAGGGCATCTCGGCGCTTAAATAACACATTCCTTACCACAGCCTTTAGTTCCTATATATGTGGCCCACACTACCTCATGCGGAAACATACCGATTGGCTTTTGTTGTTTTTTTTTATTTTTGATCAAGTTACCCCGGACCTCTGGTCAATAAGTTGTTATCATTCTTACTTCCCACAGCTTCCCACCTGCATGCATTCACGTGCGCGTTGCAGCTGCGCTGCCGCTGCGCTGGTACCCTGGCCTAGTTCTGGCGAGCTGCGCGTGTGCCCTGATCCGACTCTGGTGGGCTGGAGCCAGTGCCCTGGCTCTGACGCTGATCGTCTGGACAAAGGGGCTCAGGGGCCATTGATATTTTCGGGTCCAGGAAAGGTGAAAGCAAGGGCGCCTTGCCGACGGCTTTCCAGCCGGTGGATGACGGAGATGTAACTCGGATCTTCGGCACCCTGTTCCTGGCCTCCGATTGCCGAGAGGATATGCCTACCTTTTACCTCAAGTTCATGTGTCGGACAATACGCAGGACGGTTTAACTGACTTTGCAGGTTTTTCTGGTTATAATAGGTAGTTGATAGTCAAACATTCTTTTGTATATTAAGTGTCTTTATTTGAATATATAAGCTGAACTTTCATTGGGCCTTTTGAGGGGCTTGCTGGGTTGCCGAAAGCTGATATTTCTCACACTTTTTTCCCTCCTTCGAAAGCCCACCGTGCCTCTTGTGATAGCCTGTGGCCCAGGGAGCTTCTGGCGAGGACACCCCGGCGCGGAGCGTCCGCTTCCCACAAGTGACACAGGCGCTGGACGTTGGTGTGACCGGACGGACAAGGCCTGACGGTTGGTAGAGGCGGTCCCATGACCGGACAACCGGTGTCACGTCCAAATCGGGACCGCACCAGCGCGCCTGGGTGGCAGCCGGTCCGCAAAATTGGTCGATTATTCACTGTGCCAAATAATTGGCCTAAGAGCCCGTGGGAACCGTCCATCACCGGTGCCTGAGGTGCGCGCGTTTTCAAAAGAAGCGTTTTCTGCTCGGCACGATACGGCGCAGTGGTCCATACTCCTACGATGCTGAGTTTCTAAGAGATTAAAGAGACGAAATAGGTTCTGGGATACTTTGCATCTCTGCAACGGGCATTGCTAATGTACTAGAACACCAGCGAGGACGAAATTGCAAGATAACGCCAATATGAGGTTAGAAGCCGTTTGGGTTTGTTAGGTTTGACCTTCTGGGACAAACAAAGAGCTCGACCCCCTACAGCTTCCAGTTCAGTGCTTCCCATTGGCGAACCGACTTCGCGCTATTGTAGATTGGGAGCGCTTCTTTCTCTCAAAGTATAGGCCCCTCGCCCTTCCTACATGGGAGTAACTGTGTGTCCAACGTCCACATTTATTGTACCACTTCCTAGCGGTGGATGATCTGCACCCACATCATGGAAGGGACGTCTTGTTAATGTACACTCCGTAACGGCATCCTCGTTAGATATGGATTGACCAACGGACAATAAGATGAGACCGCTTTGGTCAAATCTTGCCATGGAGTCCCTTCCATTCTGGTTGGATGGCGTGAAAACTCACAGAGTCGACCGTGCGACAAAAAGGGCTTTCTCGTACTCTATTTTTGGGACGATCGAAGAAGTTTGAACCTTTATTGTCCCCATGGGGAGATGTCCACAGGAAGTCCCTAGTCTCCCGTAGTCAGACTGACGAATGTGTGTTTATCGCTTTTCTAATTGTCGATCCTGAACGTTTGTGGACTTTCTTCGAGCGGAGGAAAGGTATAAATACGATGCCATGACGAACATACGTCCCTCAGTTCCTCCAACTATTTCACTCTCACAAACACATCGCAATGGATTCCTTCACTATCTTCTCCAATAACGTCAACGAAATTACTTCCATCCCCACTGAGGAGGAAGTCGCTGGAGGCCGCGGAAACGGCGCTTACTGCATCATCGCTTAGATGATGTTCTCCATCTACCAACCCACAGTAAGCGCTCGTAGTCCATCGCAGGACTGAAAGTGTACTCATCGGACTCGTTCAGACCCGTTCCCCTTGCATCTATTCGCATTCAACCAATTAGCCTCATGTATTGATTATTCCATTCGCCCTTGTTTGCATCGGTTGCACTGCGAATTAACGCCGTTCACTGCATTTTGTACTGCTAGTATCTTACTATTATCACTATAAACACCCCTACCATTTCAACATCTGTGGTGGGCTCGATTAGAACCGAGACATACCGAAGCTGAAGGGTGATACTATTAGGCGCCCAGGTATAACGCCCTCGTATGTGTTGCGTAAGAAGTCTCACATATCAACCACTCATCAAAACTACACTTTTCTTCCCCCTCCTCCTCTTCAAAAACAAAGCCGTAAACCCAAGCAACAGCAACAGCGCAAGCCCACCAATAACACCACCTACAATCGCACCAGCGTTCGGTCCAGATGGCGCACCCGATTTGCTTCCAAGCTCCGTCTCCGCCGAGATGGCAGAGTCTTCAGTTTGGGTGCTCCCTATCATCGACACAGTCTTGACTCTGAGAGTTTGATATACCGTGCGGTCGCCTCCGACGGTTTCGTTGCCTGTTGAAATGATGCGGGAAGTAATGGAAGGTGGCCCGGTGGGTACGACCGATGAGTTTCCTCCAGTCACGTTTTGGGCGCTATCATTTGTGCGGCTGGTGGGCGAAGCTGGCACCGGAGGTTGCTCGTCGGAAGGGCTTTCGTCGTTCGAGGGGCTGGGAGATGGAGTCGTAGTCGGGGTTGGAGTGGGAGTTGGGACTGGAGGTGGAGGTGGAGGAGGAGGAGGATCCCCCGCTTCTGGCTGTTCAACCCAAATTACATCCAGCCAAAAGTCAGAGTTCTGTCCTATATTCCTAATTTTAAGGGTATGCCGCCCATTGGGTAGGACAGGCGACTCGTAGAAGAGGTACTGGTGTAGGTCTTCCTCGATCGGCGACGGAGCGACGAAGCGTGTGGGAGGGCGGTCGTCGATGGTGTATTCGGTGGTTGGACGGCGTGCTGGGTTGGTACCTATCAAGCCGTAGACTGACACTCGAGTGCCTTGCAATTGGCGAGGGCGAGTTAGGCTTCAGTGAAAGAGCTCGAGGACTTTTGTGGGTAAACTCGAAACGCACCTTCAAAGTTGAAAGTCACTTCAGCTCCGTCGAAGAGAGACCCAGTCCTCGTGCCCATGTACTCGGTGCCGTCGACTGGTCCCCATGCGATTACCCATTGCCCAGCAGGCGCCGAATAACGAAGGAGAGGGTCTCGGTCGTCATACGCGATGCGCGGCATGTCTCTGTAAAGAACGTGGTGTATAAAGAGTGACTGTCGTAGCAGCTGGAGGGAAGGAACGAAGGGGAGACGAAACACGAGAGAACGGTCACAAAGTACGTCGCGCAACTGTTAGTACGAGATACGGGAATAAATTCAAAAAAAACAACGCTTTCCCCCGTTGATCATGGGACAGATGAAACGCCAACTTTGCTCACCCAGGGGCCAGGGCGCGCCGCTCGCTGTCAATGATATGGATCTTTGCGGAAACCTTGCATCGTTCCAGTATTGAACGTCTTGTCATCAGAATGCCGACGCCAAGCCGTAATGGGCGTCTATTTATTCAAGGCATTCTGAAAATAGAATCACTTGACTAATACCAGAAGTGTATAGATAAGTACATTAAGAAGGGAATCCATTCGGGTAGAATAAAGGGCTCTCAAGCGGCAGGCGTCTTCTGGAACGTCGCAGGCGCAACTGTGCTATACCGGGGCGGAACGAATGGATCTGCAGAATGATCAATGATTAGTTTTCGCCCCATCAAATTCAACGAAGTCCTTCTTTCCAAATCACTCACCAACTTGCTCAGCCCTTTTATTCGCTCTCCTCCTCCTCAAAAACACGAAAACAATGCCAACAACCAAGCCTAGTGCTAATGCACCAAGCACACCTCCCACAATCGGGCCCGCATTCGAACCTGCAGAAGACGAGTTCTGGCTCCCTCCGCTGGAACTAGAGTCCAAACTGTTCGAACCGCCAATCGTCTCGATTACGATTCTCTGTGTTCCAGACACGTCGATAGTCTTGACTCGAGTTTCGAGCAACAAAGTGTCCGTTCTGCTTTCAGGCCCCGTGGGGCTGGATTGAGAACGGGGAGTGGGAGATGTCCTTGGTCGATCGGAATCTTCACTCGTACCGGGCTGGAGCGTGCTGTTCTCATTCCGCGTTGGTTCAGGCCTTGGTTGGCTGACAGGTCCAGAGCCGCCTCCATTCCCTCCACCTCCTCCACCTCCACCACCACCACCTCCTCCTCCTCCTCCTCCAGTTTCCTGAGGCTCAGGTTCCTCAGTCTCGGCATCCGGCTGGTCAACATAAAACACATCAACCCAAAGCGCTCCCTGTTCTCCCATCTTCGTGATCCTCAACGTGTGCGGACCATCTGGTAGGACAGGCGACTCGTAGAACCGCTGGTTGAATTGGAGTTCCGGTCTGGTTATCCCTTCGAATGTGGATGAAGGACCGCCGTCGATGCTGTATGAGCTGATAGGGTTGTTGTTGGGGCTTGTCGTGTTTCGTTCGGAGAGGGTGCCGTAGACTGTTATGCGCGTTCCTACATGAGGTAGTAGTAGGGTGCAATTATTAAAAAAATGCGCGGTCAGTTGGTGAAAAACAGTATTTGGAAGAATGCAACGTGGTGAGATGAGATGAGATGAGACGAACCGGTAAAACTAACACTGACAGTCGCCCCATCCGAGTCTGAGCCCATCGTCGTACCGGCAAACTCCCGCCCCTCGCGTCCACCCATCCACCACAGCCCATTGCTATACCGCACTGCTGGATCCCTATCGTCAATGGTCACTCTTGGCATTCTTCAAGCCACGGTTTCTTCGAGTAGCGGTTTCTTCAAGTTCCAGTTGGCGGTTTTCTCCAGAGTTGGATTTCGAATCCGAGGCTGAGCCAATAAATAGTACGTCGGTTAGAGTTAATGTTATAACCCGTGAAGGGAGGAGAGAGACAACGAGCGACGGAGCCTTATGCGCTCGAAGTAACCTTCAAAAAAGAGTGTTGCAGTGCTGGAAAGAGAAACCAAGCGTGAAGACAAGTTGAAGGAGCGGGAAGTGGCAACCCGTGTCCTTCCTACCATGCCAACATTCCAAACACACTTACACAGTGCGGATCTATCAGGACTCAGGAGCGCCAAGTGGCGGCGTCGACGTCCCCGAAATCGATAAGTATCAGCGCCCATGAAACGACAGGCCCCCTGCGACGTACCTCTGAATTACCTGAAACCGAGCCATTCCAGATGTCACCTCGTGTCGACTCGGACGGAGTGGAATGGCATTAGACGTCGCCAGGGATGCCAGCTAGTCTATGTAATTTACTTCTTTCTGTTTATCATCCCAGTGTCTTCAAGTACCTTTAACAAAGAACCTCGAACTGAGGTTCAAGATCCTTCACTAGCGATTAATAACCCACACTTAAATCAAAGTTAATCGTAGCACCCATCACGCAATTAGCGCCCATCCCGAACTCGCCTGTCACATTGTTCCCGAAGGTGATCTCGGACGTTTCACCGCTACTACGTATGCATCAATCTCAACCCAAATACCTCAGCATGTACATATTAAATACGAACAGTAAACATGTAAGTCTATATGTTAAAAAGAAACGGTTAAATCTGTCCGGCTGTGGACATGGTCGTGATTTCTTTGGGGGGAGGGTGAACCGGGAACTCGTGAAACGAGCGAGCCTAATCGCTAATACTATGATGGACTTCAAACCACGTCAAACACGTACTACCAATACCTTCTCGGGCAGTAGCCCGCGCTACTCGCTACTATAGGAGCAGCACTCAAGTATGTACGGGGCAAGGCCGACTTCTATTCTGGTACTTGGAGTGAAGCGCAGGAATGATATTAGACGTCCTCCGATTTCTCAGCGTAGGCTTAGTCGACCGACGACGAACGAGGAGGGGATATGTCATAAAACACTCGCGTGAAGACGAGAGAAGATAGTGTTTCTTAATCAATAAAACCCCGACTCTGAATCCCCAAGACACAGATTCCCCCGATCGCTGGTAGAATCGAGGACCAAATACCTCCCCTCCGTGACCTGTGACAAAACCCTCAGATTCCTGATGCAGCTTCAAGTTAACCAACGAAGACGACGACAGCAACGAATCCAAAAGAGCCATCAAAACCAAGAGCTAAAACATGCAGAGGGATGCGAAACAACAGTACGCCAACACTCATAAGTATTACACCTGCCTCTCATATTACACCTGCCGCTCATATTACACCTGCACTCCAGGAACCCATACATAAATTAATAAAACCAAATGCCTAGCTATACAACGAGGGATACGTGCCAAGGGAGTGTCTATAGGGAGATGGGGCGTTAGCAACGTAAACACAGGAGATCACGCGCATAGGACGTATCAAACACCCATACCTAATTCTCCTTCTTCGTAGCAGCCTTCTCAGCTTCAGCGATAGCAGCGGCGTCAGTTTGAGGACCGGTGGCGGCTACAAGATGGGGGAAAAAGGGGCGTTGAGTAACCGTTCATCAATTCGTTCATGAAAAATACAAAAGAGGCGGTTAAGAGGGAAGTGGGCGCCTAAAAAGGCGTGCGGGCAGTGGTGGGGCCGGGGTAACCGCGACACAGCATCACCATCGGCGAGGCGACAGGCTCGCCCCACCTCTCAACCGAACCCAACACCCCATCCTGAGGTCCCAGATCGGGGTCTGACGCGAGTGCGAGACGGGCCCCAATAGACGTGAGGTGGGCGCAGCAGGAAGGGGTAGGGTTGGGGACACGCGTCGTTAAGTGGGCGCTCGAGAGCCAACTGCCGTGGAGCCTGCCGAACCCGCATGCTTATGTTGTGTGGTGGTATGCTGGCTGTCATCCGTGGCGCCCAACCTGGTGCACCTCGCCAACCGAACCGCCAGACGTCCGAAGTACCCCAAATCCCGCCGCAAACCAACCCCCCTCCCAACACCCGCATCGCAATAAAAGAACCTAATCATAGAATCACAGATACTGTAACTCACCACCAAACATCCCAGCAGTCTTAAACGGCCTACTCAACTCCCCACTCGGCTCCTTACCCAACAAATGGATTGCAACGAGTTTGGCGTCGTAGAGGTTTTTGAGGCCCATGAGGGATTGGACGAAGAGGGGTTGGGTGAATTTGAAGTAGAGGTGCATGACGGCCATCATGGCGAGGCCGGTGTAGGTTGAGCGGAGCTGTGTTTGAAGGGGGGGGGGGTTAGTGGGTGTACGGGGGCAGAAGGGAGAGGGTGGGGAGAGAGGGGGAAGGGGAGGGAAAGGGAGGATGGGGTAGGGGTATGGGAGGAGGGAGAGGGGAAGGGGAGGGCACTCACGAGTTTAGAAACCTCCTGCAAGTCGTAGTCCCGTACGGTCGTAGTCACGACTTTGCCTGGTTCGCCTGACATGGGTGCTGCGGGTTCGACTAGGGAGGGTGTATCAGCGCGTTTGTTCCGCGATATAGCTCGTACCCCGATCCGACTCGTTTCTCCCAACCCAGCTCGTTTCTTCACCCAGCTCGTGGAGAATTGAAAGCAGCGGAGAGCAGTTGGTTTGGGAGGCCAGGCGGGAGTCGGATTGTACAAGTTGGATTGTACGTGCGAGGAAAGGGGAGCAAGAAATAAAACAGAATACCCACCATACTTCAACACAGTTTGATCATTCTTCTTCTTCACGACAGTCGAGAGGTAGTAGTACGTGGCGAGGGCGATGAGCTGGACGACGACGTAGCCGAGGCGGACGTAGTTGAGCGTGACGGGGTCGTCGAAGGGTATTCTCCGGGCCACTGCACGTCGGCGTTGTCGTTAAGGATTTGGTATGCAAAGGGTTTCGGTATGCATGGGGGATTCGATATGCAAAGCGGAATTGGTACGTCGCCAGAGAGAAAGACCAATCCAATCCAATCCCAGATAATGCATCATAAGAAATAGGCGTAAGCAAAAGCGTCAGTCACCCGCACCCATCCCTCAAGAAACAAAGAAACAAAAACGCACATTGCATGGCACCGAGCGAGATAACGAGGTTCTGTACACCAGCCGACATTTTGTTCAATAGCCCAATAAACTCAAATGACCAAACGAAGAGAAGAAGCCGAGGAGAGAAAGAGAGACTCGGAGTGTCGAAGGGGGAGTTGATAAAACTGCAAGTTGAAGTCGGTCGGGCGATCACAGCGACGTGTCGCTCTTTGGTCGTGTTTACGTGCTTGGGTCCTTTTAGGGTTAAGGTTTTGGTTTAGGGGCTCTTTCCATTCTTGGGGGAGTTATTTAGGGGCTAAGTCACCGTTTTGGGTGGCATGGAGAGAAGGGGTTAGGGTCTCGGTGACGTCAAGCCCGGTGTTTCCACGTGCTGAACCCACCTGGTGATGGTCTTTTTGGTTCAAAACCTCCTCTCGAGTCTCGACAAGTTTCGTCTCGTCTCATTTGGGACTCCATACTGACTCGCTGAGACAAGACAAGTTGTGTTGAGACGGTATATAACACCTCTTCACCCCCTCCGCGTCAGGTCCACAGTTTCTCCTCCATCCACACACCGAGTCGCCGCAGCTTTACTCTAGCGCTCAGACTCGAATTCAAACTCACGAACCTCGCTCGCTACGACCCCAATCCCTCTGAATTTGTGAATTTTTAATTACACCAGAATGAACGGGCAAGCGACGACGACCGCCGGATACGCACCAACAGGCTCCGCACCCCTCGCCTCCAACCACCACCACTCCCAATCCGCCATCTTCTCCATGCCCGACCCTGTAACCTACAACGTCAACGGTTCTCCCAACCCAAACGCCAACGCCAACGCCAATGGTGCCCCCGCACCGGTGTCCTACGCCGAGGGCGGCGGCTTCCAAGGCGGGAACATAGGCGTCGGACGCACGACCTCCGTCCGCTCGCGCACCCCCTCGCGCCCGGGCTCGAGTCTGTCCAAGAGCCAGAGCCTCATCAAGAAGAATATAGAGTTGCAGGATTTGAAGCCTGCGGATGTACTCATTGAGCGCTTTGTGGCGTGGAAGGCGATTGTGAAGCAGTTGTGTATGTACTTTGAGGTGCGTTTGCAGTGTTTAGCCTTTCACGTTGTCCACAGGTTGTTTCGTTTTTCGTGGTATGTGGTGCTAATAGGGCTTTGTGTAGGGCATCGCGGATATCGAGAACAATACTGCAAAGGAGATGATGAAACTCGCTGGTGTGATCCAGGTTCCTTTCAAGAGTGGGAACCAGTTCTTGGGTGAAGGCGGTCTCCAGGTGCGCTTCCCCCCTCACTCCTTTGATCCCTAACTCAACATGGTATGTTTGTAGGACGTCTACTACGCCATCCGCGACAAAACCCGTTCCATCGCAGACCAACACGCAAACCTAGGCCGCACAATCGATTCCTCAATCGTCCAACACCTCCAGAAACTCCTCGCAGAAATCAAGGCTCACATCCGGGTGCGTACCTCCTCCCCTTCTCCGTCCCTTTGTTATTTACACATTCTTTCCTACAGAACATCCAAAACGACACCGGCAAACTCGCCTCAAGCGTCGCCTCCTCCCGCCTCACCTCAACCCACCTAATCGGGTCCCTCGCAAACTCCATCTCAACCTACAAAAACACACCCTTAAGCCTCCCCGCCCGGTCCGACCCCTACCTCCTCAACACCGCCGTGCGGCATCAACTCAGCCGGCAAATCCTCGAAGAAAACCTCCTCCAAAAATCCATCGTCATCATGCAACAAAACAGCGCCGCTTTCGAGGAGGGGATCGTCCGGAGCGTCAAGGGCGCGTGGGAGACGTTTGATGAATGGATGAGTCGGAGGAGGGAGGGTGGTGGGGAAGTTTATAGGGTGTTGGCGGAGCATATGAGGGAGTTGAAGCCGGATAGGGAGTGGATCGCGTTTGCTGCGCGGTCGGATCATTTGGTGCACCCCGAGACGCCTCTGCGGGATCCGAGCCTTGTGAGCTACCCCCTCAAGGACGACCCCTCGACTATCCCCATCCACTCTGGACACCTCGAGCGCCGCACGGGCGGGTTCATGGGTAAGAGTTGGAGGGAGGGTTACTATGTTTTGACGCCCGCCGGGTACTTGCATGAGTTCTCGACGAGTGATGAGAGTTTGCCCGCGGGGCAGGTGCCGGTGTGGAGTTTGTTTTTGCCGGTGTGTACGTTGGGACCTGCGAGTGGGGCTGGTGCGAGTGCGCATACGTTTGTTATCGAGGCGAGGCCGCTTTCTACTTCCTCCTCCTCCCCCTCCTACAGCGGCTCCAAATCCCCGGGCAAAGCGAAACTCAAAGCCCTACTCACCGGCCAACCCGCTTCCTCCACCGGGTTCAACTCCTCCTCCGCGCTTACCTCCTCCTCCACCTCACCGCTGAAGAACCAAGGAGCAACATCCTCAGGCAAAACATACACCTTCCGTACGAGGTCGCATGAGAGCAAGATGGAGTGGTGGAACGATTTGAGGATGCTTTGTGCGAGGTATTTGGTGGCGTCGGAGGTGGTTAGGAGGGTTGGGCCGGTGGAGAGTGCGGTTAGGGGTGTTGGGTATCGGGAGGAGGATTTGGTTAGTGAGGAGGAGGAATTGGAGGACGTCGAGGTTTATGAGGAGGGGTATGGGGAAGGAGGGGTGTATGGGGAGGAGGGGGAGGGAGGGTATGAAGGGTATATGCGCGAGGGGGGGTATGAGGTTAGGCAGGGTGGAGGGTATGGGATGAGACAGGGAGGGTATGAAGGCGAGGGGTTGCCTGTTGAGGAGACGGGACCTGTACGAGGGGATACACAGGGATATGGTGCGCCGTCGAATGCTTATGCTTATCAGGGTGGTGGTGCTTATACCACGCACTATCAAGCTCCGAGTTCGCAAGGGTACCAGCAACCTACGTCTCAAGCTTACCAACAGCAGCCTACGACGACGACGTACCAGCAACCCACCACCACCACTCAGTACCAACAGCCAACCACTACGACCACCCAATCCTATCAAGGAAGAAGCGGTGGTGGGTATGAAGGTGTAGGCGCCTACCGTGCACACCGGGATCGCGACGGCGAGGAGGAACACGAAGGGAGTAGTGTTGAAGAGGAGGTAGGAGAGGAAGAGGAGGAGCCGCCTGTGTATAGTCGTGGGAGTCGCGACGTAGGTGGTGCGGTAGGAGGGAACGGGTATCCGGTACGTTCCTCACTTACTATCCACCGTTCACGAATTTCGAGTTAACATCGTACGGTATTTGGCGATCGATTGGTCGTATGATATTGTTCGTGTGGAATTCAAATAGGTCGACAAGAAGTCTTACCAGTTTGACGACTCGAATGCGCCGGCGCCTGTGCCTGTTCCTTCGTATGCGGATCATGTCACGTACGAGGAGAAGCAGGGGTCCAAGACGAAGGTGAAGAAGAGGGGGAGTAAGAGGCAGATGGAGAAGGCACCTGCTGTTGCTGGTGAGTGAACGTTTTCGTCTTTTTGGAAATTGGAATTGGTGTTCGATGGGCCTTTTTTTCTGTTTCAAGTGTGATTTTGGTGTTCGACTGGGTGCCGTCGATTCTTCCAAGTTCCAATTGCAAGTTGTTTGATTCCGGTGTTTTCGACTTGTTGCGCGTGTTGTTCAAGACTTCGATTCTTTTGGAATGGTTCGAATATTTTCGGCTGCTTCTCTCTCATACGTTGTTTCGTGGAAGTCTTCGGCAATCTGTTGAAGCTTCGAGTCATCATCATCCTCCATCCTTCGACGACTTTTCGACGCTCTGTCGATTCATCTTTTGCAAATGTGATGGAACAACAAGCTGACTGATTGCTGGTCTTCGTTAGATGAACCCGCCGTTTTACCTCAGCCAGTGACTACTGTTGCTGGTGATATCGATTAGACGCCCTTTCGATTTGAATGGTCGATGTTCTTGTTTGGTTACTGTTATTATCCTATTGCATTCTCGTTTCCCTCTTCACATTCATCTTTCGGTATAATTTTCGTTTAGAAGGGTCTTAAAGATTTTGACGATCCCTCTTCGATGATTTTTCTCTTTAGATGTTCCGATGTTTCTCTTTAAATGTTTCGATGTTTCTCTTTAAATGTTTCGATGTTTCTCTTTAAATGTTTCGATGTTGCCTTTCCTTTAAATGGTTATCGTTCTCCTCCCATCGCCTCGCCTCGCCTCCATTCAGTCAGTCAGACTCATTCGGTTTGGATCTGATGTAGTGTAGTATTTATTGTAGATTAGTTTGGTTTTTTTTGTGTGTTTGTGTGTGTATTATCATCGTTGCATTTGATTTTTTCGACTCGCTTAGTTTGTCTTCGAGTCAAATGTTGGACATCTTCGACTCGATCAAATGTTTTGAGAAGTCACAACGACGACTCACTTATGGGCTGCGGCTGGCCATCCGCGACGCTTTACATACGCGCGCATGAATTCATCGAACGCGACTTTTGGTGGGTGGGTACTTAAGGTCAAGGTAAGGTGGGAATGGGCCTGGGGCAGCTGAAACGCCCGGGTAGACCGCTGTCTCGTCTTTCGTTGATCCATCAAGGGGTATATATATATTGCCGCTCCGGTCATTAAAATTACTTGACTTCCGTAGGATCCCCCCCAAGGTTTTATTGTGTTAATATCCCTACGTCGATTATGGATGTATTGATATCCCTACGTCGATTGTACATGTACTGATTTCCCCGCGTCGATTTCTCCGTTGTCCTGGAGGATGGGGGATGGGGGATTGTCGCTCAGTGCTCAGCGGTTAGCCCTTTGGGACTTGAATGGAATTTTTGAGTTTTTATCCGACTCGGGGCTGGGAAGGGGTTGAATTCCATCGTCTGTGGGCGACTACTATAGTTAAATAATAAACTCATGAGTCAGTAAGCGTAGGTAGTTGCATAGGTCGTTTCGAAGTGATGGGAGAAGCAGATTTGGTCGGATCACTGCACATCCGTAAAAGTCAAAGGGCGTAGCGGCCGTGGCGACACGTCCGCCACACCTCTCCACACCCCCACACCAGCGGTATTCGTTGCTAGCTGGAAATGTCCTTCAGCCTTGCAGAACTTGCAGCTAGCTACTTACAAATACCCGCCGCAGTGTTCATAGCTTCTGTCTATCCTGCGCAGCAAGAAATTAAATGAGTGGATTGTTTCGTATGACAGGAATTCTCAATGTCGCTCTTATGCGAATTCCTGAAACCATCACCGCTGACACCACGATCTTTGACCGCGTCGTTGACCCTAACTGCACGGTGATCACAAGGTGATTTGGACAGTCGGGTTGCATTAATCATGATGGGCGCTTGATCTGTCACGGGTATTCAAGTGGGAGCCTACTTAAAATGAGGCTTGAGCGCGCATTTTCCAACTAGTTTTAGGCGATCGAGTCCCCCTTCAAACCTGTCGCTCTTTCTCGTGTTTTGCTTGCGCTTGTAGAATTCATTTGGTAGGTCACTCTTCCCGAGCAGTTGAAGCCTTACTAACTAACTCACAGCCTCGACTAGTCACTCCTTCCAAATTCACATTCTTTTTTTTTTTTTTTAGAAAGAAGCAAAACAGAAGTACCAGAAATAGAATGCCTAGAATAGCATACGACGACAGAGACCCTGCGATCACCTTCTCGAATGGGCGGTGGATTCGAGTTAGTGGACCTGGTGGGTATCAGTACGCGGGTACGCGGACGGGCACGCTCTCCGATCGGGCGACGATGTCGTTCAACTTTGAAGGTGCGGCCCATACACAGTGACACACCTACTTTTATCCCCCACAGTGCACGCCTATATACTTATTGAACTTGTTACTTCAGGCACGAAAGTAACAGTCGTAGGCCTGATCAACTTCATCCGCAACGACACCTCCTGGGTGGGCCGCACGCCCGTTGCGGACTTTATCATCGACGATGGGCCGCCTACGCGGTTCCAGCCTCCTCCTACGTCCTTCGATTTACATCAACATACGTTCTTTGAGAGCCAGGCTTTGGAGGATGGCCCCCATCATTTGAGGATTGTGAATATTGGTGTTAATTCGGATTTGTGGATTGATGTTGTTTATGTTGAGAGGCCTGAGCGTGGGGGTGGGGAGGGTGGACAGGGGGGAGAGGGAAGTGGTGGTGGTGAGGGAGGAGGAGAGGGAGAAGAGGAGGGTCCGAGCTCGAATCCACACCCTATTCCTGCCCCGCAAGAGCCTGAGCCCCCTCGGACACAGGGCACTGAGACTGTAACCGTTAACCACCCAGACTCGAGGCCAAGCTCAACGGCACCTCAAGTCGCCTCCTCGGTTGACTCAGACTCGCTAGTTTCTAGTTCAATTGTGGCTGGGACCTCCAGCAACCAGACGATCTTCGAAACACAGGTCAAGACGATACTTCGCTCGCAGGTGGTTGAGACAGGAGCTACGGAGACGGGGATACCAGAAGCCGGGGACGGAAGTTCAAATCCGGGTGGTACTGGGAGCACCCCGCGAGTAAGCGCCGGAGCCGTCGTGGGCGGTGTATTGGGTGGCTTGGCGTTCCTCCTTCTTCTCGCTTTCGTAACTGTGTTACTGCGAAGAAGGAGAGTGCGGAAGGGGTACATTTTTAACGGTGAGTCTACTAATTTACCTTCTCACTAGGGAAAGAGAGTTTGAGCTAACAGCGGGTGTTTGATTAGGGAGGGGACGGCTGGAGGACGATTCAGAGGTGTCGCCGCCGGAGTATAACTCTATTACTTCGCCTTTTGTGGAGGTTTTGTCCCCGCATAGAGGACCTATTTTTGTATCGAAATCGCCGCCGCGGTAGAAATCAATCAAGCTTGCTCAGTTGCGTCGCAATGCTGGAGTCTGAGATGCGGTTGGAAGAAAGGAGTACTTAGGGGAGAGATGGATGAGTAGAGCGAGCACTCGAGTCATGTTAGGGAGAATCAGAGGTTCTAGAGGACCGGGGTAATGCCATCATGGATCCTTACGAATTCTCGATTTTTGGGCCGGCGAGCACTTGTCATCCTCTCCATCAGCACCAACGGAATGCACTCCATATGAACCGAGAGTGGAAATCCATACTATGACCATCCAATCATTACCCCTTGGCCTGAGCTTGTCTCGCTGTAGACCCAATGAATACAGCCCGGTCACGGTATTTCTCGAAGCTTGATTTCGAAGGATTTGTCACTCACAAGCCTTCTTTCTATTCGCAGAACACTTCTTCAGGGCTTACAGAGACCATCGACGACGCGCATAATATCGCTGACTCCACGTGCTCACCCATGTCACAATGCACGAGCCCAGTGGAAATGGATCCGGAGTGCATCTTGGGGCTCTGATAGAAATCATATAGGGTTTTGGTCTTATACCTCGCGTCCCCAGAGTCTACGCCTTTCCGTTCAGACGTCACACCAGAGATTCTCTTACCCAGAAATGACCTCCAACGACAGCTCTTCTCAGGCTGATGTCTACAAGGCACCTAGGAATGAGGATGGATCCATCAAGTTCCATACGACGTCCTTCCGGGATACAATCGAGCGCGGTGGTAAATTCGAGCCGGAATGCGGTGAGTGCTCAAGTATACCCTTCTCTCTGCGGTTACAGTGACTGAGACTTGTTGGAACTGGTATTCTAGATCGCTATCACCTCTATGCATCCTACGCATGCCGTACGTTCATCCATCAAATGAATGCAAGTGGAATGGGTGGAACGATTGACGTTAATTGAATGTAGCTTGGGCTACGAGGACGTTGATTGTGAGGAAGCTGAAAGGATTGGAGGATATCATTCGTGAGTTCTACGCATCGAGTCTTCGCGTTTCGCTGGCTGACGGCGGGTATCGATAGCTGTGACTATAGTTTCCCCGCGTTTGGGAGCAAACGGATGGCCGTTCGCATCTGTAGACGAATTTCCCGGCGCAGAGACCGATCCACTGTATAATTCCCAGTACGTGAAGGAGCTCTACTTGAGAGCCAATACAGCATACACCGGAAGGTGAGTTTCTTCCTATATCTCGCTGCTCATTTCCTTGGCGGCTGAGAGGCCGATAGATTCTCCGTCCCTCTCCTGTGGGATAAGAAGAACCAGACGATCGTGAACAACGAGAGCGCAGAAATCATTCGCATCTTCAACTCGGCGTTCAACGAGTTTCTTTCGGAAGACAAAGCGAAGCTTGATCTATACCCCGAAGACTTGAGAGCGGAGATTGACTCTGTCAATGACTGGGTCTACCATGGGATTAACAGTGCGTTTCACACTTCAACGTTCGTCTATTGCAAAATGGTTCGCTTACCCATGGTTGCTAGATGGTGTCTATAGCACAGGGATGGCTGCCACACAAGCAGCCTACGAGAAAAACGTCCACGAACTCTTTGACAGCCTTGACAAAGTCGAGAAGATCCTCCAAGGGAGAGACTACCTTGTTGGGGATCGCTTGACAGAGGCTGACATACGGCTCTGGGTTACGATTGTAAGTACCGGAAAACAAGACTTGTACCCTCTGTGCCCGAATTAACCGCGAGAGCAGATACGCTTCGACCCCGTGTACGTGGGGCAGTTCAAGTGCAACATCAGGACGATCCGAGACGGATATCCGGCCATCCATTCGTAAGCCTCCTTCATATTTCCTTCGTGAAACGGTCATCTCACGGCATCTTAGCTGGTTGCGCAAACTGTATTGGAACATCCCTGCCTTTAAAGATTCAACCGATTTCGACCACATCAAGACGACCTACTACTGGTCACACGCCTCTGTGAGTCATCTTTGCTACCACCCTCTCATGAACTGACTGAGTGATCTGCATAGTCTAACCCGACAAGGATTATCCCGGTCGGACCCATTCCGAACGTTCTCCCTCTTTGAGTAAAGCATATTAATATGTCACTGCAATTATGATTATCTGTGCTTTAAGAGCAGTCCTCTAGACGTGCCATCCAAATCATCTACTCTGCACCCCCAACTCGAACAGAAATACAACGCCAATCCAGTGATCGATACATGATTTACGAACAGGTCATGTAGGATGATGTGCGGTGGTGAATATAGCTGTTTCTGTTACTAGAAGTCAGAATAGCGCACATTGATGACAAGAGAGACATACATGATTCTGATCGCTGAAGAGGAGGGTCCATGTCGACGCTTAAGCGACGACACAGTAAGCACCGTTGCCACGGCCTCCACCGGTCTCCTCGTTGGTGGGGACAGAGGTAACGTCTCGGACGTTGCTGATGATGGTGAAGGAGTCCATTTGAATGATTGTGTGGGGTTTAATTTGGTCAGGAAGAGAGCCTAAAGGTGGCTTGAAAGTTGAAAGAAAGGAAAGAAGAAAGGAAGTTGCGTGGGGAGAGTGAGCACGTTGAATGAGAGACCTTTTATACTCGCGCCGAGACTTGGAGAACCTTTGGGAATGGATGAGTTGATCGAGGTGTTTCGGTAGAGAAATGCATCCGATGTGCTTTTGCACCCAAAGGACCAGACGAAGATAATAGAGAGGTGGAGTATGGACGGTCTTTCGTGGCTGAGCGCGGAGAAAAGGGTTGGAAATGGCGCATCGGTCCAAGCTCTGACCATGCAGAGCGATCGGGGAACGTATCGTATCCACGGATGAAATGGCTGCAGCTTTTGTCGAGTTTCAGCGTCGGTGGGCTGTGGGGCTCTGTTGAAGTGCTAGATGATTTGACTGTGTGGATGATCCCCTACCATGGGGACAATAAACTGCCCAGTTTCGTCGATCGTTTCTAATCGGAATCCCATTACAAAAAGGTCTTTTTTTTGTCGCCCGGTGAACTTTTCATGTCGTAGAGTTAGAATGGTGCGGACCCATAGAAGGAATTTACGAGAGCGATTTCATCTTTTGTCTGTTAGACATTTTCAGCCACCAGGAACAAGTCTGCCGACATCGAGTGTATGTCCATGAACAAGGACGCCCTCCGTAATGTGAGCGCAGTTTTGGTGCACATCATCGACGACTAGGTGGACAACAATTGAGAAGCAGCCTAACGATGCATGCCAGTGCTTGATTTTAGCAAGTCAGTAGGCGGGACTTCCTCCAAGTTGTCCAAGCTCAGACTTGTTTGGCTAAGCAAGATACACATAACAAAGCCAAACTGGAACGCGCTCCCATCACGAGTTTGGACCTTTGCTCACCTCGTTGATCGTCCATCTCGCCCTCAGTGACACTATCAGTACGTCTTTCCGCTGTGATGCTCGCAACCTTTTGAAATGTAGCACAAGGAACGAGAGAATGGTCCCACTCAAATCACTCCCTTTGAAACCCGAGGGGAGAAATAAACCCACCAAGGGAATCCACAGCCTCCCGCCGGAACTGATCGCTGATATCCTACAAACCTCTCTTCCATTGCCATTAGACCAAGCAGGAAGGCAGAAGTTCCAGCTTCTCAGATGCGTCTGCTCCCGTTGGCGCCATATCGCATTCTCCACACCTACTCTATGGTCATCCCTCTTCGTCGACCTTTGCAACCGCAGACCCCGCACGCCGATAATTCGAATGGAAGTGACTATAGTGCATGGTTGAAGGGATGGTTCTCCAGGTCTGGGAACGACATGTCGCTGTAATTGTCGTTGAGGCTTTCTTCACTGTCCCTTCGGCCGTCAGAGTTGAAGGGTCTGTCGGAATGGATGAGAAATTGCCAGGCGCGTTGGAAGCTCCTGAATCTACAGCTTTACAACGAGGCCTTTGTCTCTATTCTGGCCGAATCCAGATCCAACTGACAGTTGGTCCCGCCTCCATTCGTTGAGCTTCAACTACCCTTTGGATCTCAGAACCCACTCCGACCTCGTCTTCCTCGATCACATGCCGGCCCTCCGCTTCCTAACCATTCAGACCCTCAACTTGCAGGCACCGCTTAGGGCGCCCTCTGTTTATCCACTCATCGAACGCTTGGCGCTCACGGTGGCGTACCCTCTCGCCATAAACCTCGCGTCTTCCTTCCCCAACCTCACTCACCTTCGAATACGGATGCTGCCTTCAGACCACGGCGCGGCATCGCACACCATTGTCGATTCCATCAAGTTCGCGTTACTCCAGAATCTGGATCTGTGCGGCGATCGTCTCATCGTTGACCTACTGGAGAGGATCGAATGCCCTGAAATCCGCGAATTAAGGCTCGCGATAACGGGCGGTCAAGGGATGTTGGTGGGCGAAGGGCTTTCGGATATCATCCGCTTTGTCAAAGGGTCGTCGAAGTTGGAGCAGATGGCGTTATCTGGACTCTTGCCTCCCACTACGACGGTGTTGCTCGAATCGTGTCAGGAAGTCCAGGTGTCGTCCCTCGAGTTGGACATGTGGCCTTACAGCGACAGCGATCCTCCACGAACTCTCCTCCCGAGAATCCGCAAGCTTTCGATTTGGGGCATCGGAACCTTCGATGACGACCCTCAAGAACAACTGCGAACGGAGTCGTTCCTGAAGTACCTGGAGAGAAGGTGGATGGAACCAGAACTGGTCGATGGAGGTGCACATGGGGGAGGAGTAGCGCGGTTGGAGGAAGTGGTTGTCGGGAAGCACATGCTGCTGGATCAGTTTCCAGATGCTGAAGTGGAGGCGCTTCGGGCGCGGGGGATGAATATTGTCGTGCGGGAGAATTGGGATAGTGGCGGCGATGGTGAGTTATTCCTGAGCTAATAGACCTTTAGCACAGTTTAACTTGTCATCAATCCAGGGTCGCTTATCTCTCGAGGCTACTAGAATGTTACTAGGCACAGAGAATAATTTAGTGAACATGTCTGTCAAGCTGCTTCGTAGTGGCTCCTTTCTTCAGCCAGCGCTCCTGGAGACCATCCAGGCTCTTTCAGCCTTGTTTGTGTTACACCACTGGCAGTATATACACCCTGATTTCCGACCTTTGTCACGTAGGTGTATCGGATGGTAACTTAAATGGCCCACCGACAATCCATCGCCTCCAACTGAACTTGGTCGCCTTGCTTGGCGCGGCGTCTGAATCCTCTGATGCCTAACAAGCGTAAAGCACCAAGTCGACCCGACGTTCATCCCACTTTTAACCCAACCATTATGGTTGTTGGTGGACTTAATTCAAGGTATATTTCACCAATAATGTTTTTTTCGCGATGCTAATCCCTTCCCTCATGGTCAGTATGGACCGTCTAGTTGAGCCTTCGACCCAGATGGACCTGCGGAATCTTCCAACTGAGGCGGCGACGAGCATCCAATCCCTTCCAGCTGAAGTCCTGATCGTCATTCTGCGATCAGTTCTTCCCGACCTAATCGATAGGGATGGGTGACGAATGTTCCAAGTCCTCCGAATGGTCTGCTCACAATGGCACGAGATAGCGTTCTCGACGCCCATATTCTGGACGTCCCTCGCCATGAGCTCTTTCCATGGCGGGCGCTTGGTCACCAGGAGGGAAGATGAACTTCTATGGGGATTACACTGAGCGATTCAAGAGATGGTTTGCGCGGACTGGGACGGACGCGTCGTTGGACTTGAGCCTGGATCTCCACGCAGGGGAGGCTGATCCCATGAACCTGGCGGAATGGATCCACGATCTCAGAACCAGGTGGAGGGTTTTGGAAATCAAACACCCGTTCAACTTTGACTACCCCGATGTTTCCAACCGAAGCATTGGCCAATGGAGCCAGCTTTCCTCCTTGACCTTTCCTTTCAAAAATTTCAGAAACTCGTCCCGACTCCCACCTGCCCACTACAAGATCTACCCCCTTCTCAGCCAGATGCCGGTACTCCGTTCTTTGGACCTCGATTTGACACATTTGGATGCTGGAGAAGAGCTCGCTTTTTTGTCTCCGGTCGCCGTCCAGCGTCAGGTTAGGAGTTTGTCGCTGTCGCTGATGGGCAGCAGAGTGTGCCATAGCGCAGTAACCGAGTTGATATCGGCGTTCCCTGTCTCACTCGGCTCTCCCTCTTTTCGGACGACTACATCCCACAGCGGTGGTGGCACGACGCTTCAAGGGTCAAGCTACCAGCCCTTCTCGTTCTCAGCCTGCAATACACATCCGGCTTGTTGTGTTTTCTGGGCGCGCTGGAGTCTCCCGTGCTCGAAGAGCTGAATATCGCAGTCCTATCCTCTGACAGTTACGAGGAATACAGAGAAGTCCAGATTGTGGTCGGATTTTTGGATAGAGTTGGGCAGCTACGACGCCTTCCTTTCAAGGGCTCGGATGACCGCGTTGTTGATTCTGTTTTCAAAGTGATTCCGCGCGAGGGCGCTGGATATGTTGTGACTGTATAGCATTGGGGATCGTTTATGTAGATGCTTAGCTTGATGGGTATCAATTGGGACGCACTACCGTTACCTGTTCTTCTCTCCATATTCACGAGATTCTGCTAGAACGACGTTCAGACGAACCGATACAACCAATGAAGGTCTTTCTGTACTTAGAACTATCGGCAGATAGGATGTACCGACAATTCTTCGCTTCCCTCCATTCCAAAGCACACACAACGTGTGTGACTTACTTTGCCACAAAGCACCTGCGCCATATACGAGAACTAGGGCATTGGCCAGCATGTTCGGTGGCCCTTGATACTGACAAACTTTGGAAGGTAGGCCCCTATTCCCCTCCTCGCGCGGCAATCAACGGACGGGTCGGCCGGGAGCGGAAAGCGGTCGTTATATTTTCTCCTCCCTTGCTCCGCTTCATCCATCACAATCTCCCACTTTGGCGCTAGCCATGAAATCACCGCGGTGCGACGGCAATGCAGCATCTTGGAACCCGTAAGAAGCAAGGTCTGCTGACTTGACAAAGCGAAATATCTGGTATGTATCTTGGAAAGTTGTTCCCACTTCCCCGCTCTGTTCGCTTCAAGGCTTGCTAATCGTTTCCCTTTTGCTTCGTGCTCCCATGCTGGGACAACCTTTTCAGGATAAAATCACCGTTCGCGCTTTGAGTGCTTTATATAAAGCGGCCCGTTGGGCTGTATAGATTTGCGAACAAACCCCCCGCTGCGGCAAACACACCTGAAGCCTACATTCAATACACGAGAAACGAAGTGAAATGGCTGGCTATACGTCCCTCAAAGATATCGAGAAGGTGCTCTATCTGTAAATGACACTTTGGGTCTACTAAGCTCACAATCGAACTGTAGATCCACAAAGAAGTTCATGAAACTTTCCTAGCAGCATCACTCCCCTCGCTTGTCGACTCAGCCAGAACCCGATCCACCAGCCCCTTCCCTCTCTTCTCCATCCCCTACCGCATCCACCAACTCCACCAACTCGCCAAACTCGTCCAAGACAATGCGTCTGCCTTCCAAGAAGCGCTCCATGGAGACCTAGGCAAGCCACCCCGCGAAGTTCTTATGGCGGAGGTCGGCCCTGTCATCGAGCGGAGCCTCGCCGCTGCTGCTCAAGTCGAAGAGTGGGCGAAGACGGAATATGTACAGGGCGTTCCTGCGTGGCAGAGCGAGTGGAAAGCCCGTGTTGAGAAGAGGGCGAAAGGTGTGGTGCTCATTATCTCGTGCGTCGATTTCTCTCCTTGTCCCCGCGGTTGACTCGCGCTAGGGGAACTCGGAAGAACAGTCTGGCTAATCATAACTGTGTCGCATTTATTATAGGCCATGGAACTACCCTATGATCCTGACCTTCCAGCCACTCATGGGTGCACTAGCGGCTGGGTGCTGCGCTGTTATCAAGCCCTCGGAAATGGTACCCCGCTTCTCAGCCCTCCTAGCCGACCTAGTCCCCAAGTATCTCGATTCTGCGGCCTATCGCGTTGTACAAGGAGCTGTACCGGAGATTACGCGGTTGATCGAACTCAAATGTACGTTGTTGTCTCTTCGTCAGTTCAGACTTCCTTCCCCCTTCAGCGCATTCTGTGATGCACCAGCCTGTCCTTTCTGTATTCGTTTTCCCTGCACCGGTGGTTTGTTCACCTGTTGCGCCACCCCAACCCTCGTTCTATTGCCGTCTCTCCCCCTCTTAAGCTTTGTAACCCAGCTTGATTCTCAACTCTGCTGAATCCTCGGGTATCTGACGTACATCTTCCTTTTGAATTGGTTGTTGTTTTCTTTTTTTTAGGGGACCATATCTTCTATACCGGAAACGGACGCGTCGGACGCATAATCTCAGCAGCAGCGGCAAAACATCTTACACCGCTCACGCTCGAGTTGGGCGGCAAGTCGCCTGTTATTGTCGATGTTGATACGTGTGGTGACCTCGAGTTGGTGGCGAAGAGGATTATTTGGGGGAAGATTAACAATGCTGGGCAGGTGCGTATTTTGGCTTCTCCTTCGCCCGTTCGGTGGAGCTGATAAACGATGGTGTTACTGCTAGATCTGCATCGCACCTGACTACGTCCTCATCCAATCCTCCCACATTCCAGCGCTCATCCAAGGCATAAAGAAAGCCCTCGACGAATTCTTCCCCTCCGGTGCACTTTCCTCCAAAGACTACGGCCGCATCGTCACCCCGCTCCACTTCAACCGCGTCAAATCCCTCCTCGAGCGTACGAAAGGCCGAATCGTCCTGGGAGGCAAGACGGGTAAGGGTGGTGAAGATGCGCAGGATCGGGGAATTGAGCCTACGGTTGTCGTGTTTGAGAGTTTGGAGGAGGCGGGGAGGGATGTGTTGTTGGAGGACGAGTTGTTTGCGCCGCTTTTGCCTGTTGTTGGTGTTGAGAGTGTTGTGGATGCCTTGGAGTATGTTAGGAGACGGTGAGTTTTGTTGTGGTGTTGGTGTGGTTGTGGGATGCAAAGCTGATCTTTGATTGTTCGTTGGTAGAGATCATCCTCTCGTGCTCTACGCTTTCACGAACGATGAAAACTTGAAGCAGTATAGTACGTTTTTTTCTTTTCTTTTCGACGGAAGGGGCGCTTATGCTTACACTTTTCCCCCGTAGTTTCGGATTCCACAATGAGCGGCAACCTTGTATTCAACGATACCTTCCAACAACTTTCAGGTACTTAATCATTCCACCCTCTCGCGCCTTTGTTAACTCAACCCCTATCCCTCTGTTAGTCGATCAATTACCCTTTGGAGGAGTCGGTGAATCTGGACGTACGTATACCCTCAGCGTTGGCTCGTCGTGACTTGTTGTGGATGCACGCTCACTTGGGTTAATGTTTAGATGGACGGCAAACTTTGAAGTATACCTTTGATGAATTTGTGTATCAGCGGAGTGTGGTTGATATTCCTCAGAGGTGCGTTTTGTCATCTCCACTCTCATATCCCTCTCCTGTCCCTTCTTTCTCTTTCACTCTCGTTACATCGTTTTCTCTCTCTCTCTCTCTACTACGTGGACGCTAACTCACCGTTTCTCTCTACTTCAAATTTCATCCTTACAGCGCCGAACCGGGTCTCCAAATCCGATACCCGCCCACTACGCAAGCGAATCTTGATTTCTTCTCTGTTGCGTTGAAGAGGGAGATACCGGAGGTTAAGCCTAAGCCTGAGTCTGAGGTGCATGGCGTGAAGACGGCGATGAAGACTGCAGTGCCGTTAGTGAATGGCAAGGGGGTTAACGACGTCAACGGGGTGAATGGTGTCAAGGGGGTGAATGACGTTGTGGTTGATGTTAAGCCTGTTAATGGGACGGGGGTTTAATGGAATAATGAAGGAGGACGAGGATGTTCGTGACGGGAGAGTCGCCTAGGGTTGTGACTGTCTTTGCGATTCTTTTATATTTATGGTTATCCGCTTATGCTATCTTGCGTGTTAGGATTTGGATTAATGTCTACAAAAAATGTAGTGTGTAGGATTATCACGTATCACTCGTGTATTTGGATTAACGAGTAGTCAGAGTAATGGTATCGTATCTTGATTCTATGCTGGCGCTCAAGTTAGACAGTGGGTGTGTGTTCTTCATCGTTGGATTGTGGATATGCTTCCGTATTGTTCTCCAGCAACGATGCCCCTGGGGATTTCATGAAGACTGGGCTATGGGCGCCCCCACTGAACAGTGATCAGCAGTCGTTACAATGGTAGAGCTTGTGTGGGCACCCAACAACAGCAGGACATGTTCCTGATAAGCCAGGAACACTGGACCTGATCGACGGCGGACAATTAGCTTGATAAACGCCGGCGTCTCGTGGTCCGTTCCGTTTGGGTTGGCGGAGGTTAAGACAATAACAGCGACTTTACGGACGCTGTATACGAGTTGAACGGACATAGTCATTGAGCTGAATGGATACTGTATGTAGGCGACTGGACTGGTGAGCGGACATTGGGGACAATAACAGCGAACGCCATGTTCCCCGGACTACAAAAAAGGTCTTTTGGGCGACCTTTCGTACCTACTATGTGGGGGCATTGGACCATTATTGTTTCTATGACGGACGATCGCCAGTTTTGAGGTACGCTATGTCTGACAATTGTTTAACTTGACTGATCGAGAACCACTTGTCGATCCTTCAGGGCTGGAGTTAACACATGATGGCCGGAGGACTGGGAGAGGGTTTGGGTATAAAAGGGAGGAGGAATGGGTGGGTTCGTTCCTCAGAACAGCTTTCTTCCACTCAGCGAACCAAGTAACCACCAGTCCACCCACCCACCCAACCAACCAACCAACCAACCAACCCCCCAAAGCAGCAATGGACTCCTTCACTACTCTCTTCTCTAACAACGTCTCTGCTACCACCTCCGTCCCCGTTGAGGAGGAGACTGGTGGAGGCCGTGGTACTGGTGCTTACTGCACCATCGCTTAAGCGACGTTCGCGTTGCTGACCTCTGTGCACGTTCTGCGCACTCTCTGTGCGATCATGGTACGTCGATTGGTGGTTTTATTTTATCTGGGAGTAGACCCCGTCCTGACGTGCTTCGATCATATAGAGCATATCTCTTCGCATTTCTGGCTCGTGGCTTCCAGTGCCCCTCCTTCAAACATCTGCATTGATATATTTTATAACTATTCGAGCTTCATCTTCATTGTACCATCATATTCGCATTTGCAATTGGGACTCACTCCGACTCTGCTGTTGTATATATACCAATGACGATCTGCATGATACCTCTTTGACTTCATTGAGATTTGAAACAGGGGTTCGCACTTGAGATATGTACTAGGATAAGATACTAAGCGCGTTAATGGTGTGGGTGGTTGATGTGGAGGTGGTTATTAATGGGGCGGCTTGGGCCCGGGATTGGTTGAACAGAGGACTCAAGAGGGTGAGGTGGTGGGATTTCCATTATGGCAGTCTCCTCATCTACTACCGTACTTCTAAGTTCTGTTTGCTATACCTGTGGTTATGTTTACTACTACTTCTGCTGTTTTGCTTGAGTGGTGAATCGCTCGTGTATTTGGATTAATGAGTGGCAATGAAAGTAATGGTTTCGTATCGTCCCTTGATTCTATGCTGGCGTTCAAGTTGGGCGGTAGGTGTATCAAGTTCGGCATCATTGGATTGTGGACATGCTTCTGTATTGTTCTTCAGCGACGGTACCCCTGGGGATTTCATCAAGAGTGGGCTATGGACGCCCCCACTGAACAGTGATCAGCAGTCGTTACAATGGTTGAGCTTCTGCGTGCACCCATTAACGGCAGGACATGTACCTGATGGGCCAGGAGCACAGGACATGATCGACGGCGGACAATTAACTTGATAAACGCCGACCTGGGGTGTTGGCCTCGTGGGCCGTTCCGTTTGGGTTGGCGGAGGTTAAGACAATAACGGCGCCTTTGCGGACGCTGTAGTCTAATTGAACGGACATAGTCGTTGAGCTGTAGGCGACTGGAGTGCTGAGCGGACATTGGGGACAATAACAGCGAACGCCATGTTCCCCGGACGACAAAAAAGGTCTTTTCGACGACCTTTCGTACCCACTATGTGGGCGCATTGGACCATTATTGTTTCTATGACGGACGATCACTAGCTTCGAGGTACGCTATGTCTGACAATTGTTTAACTTCACTGATCGAGAACAAAATATCGATCCTTCAGGGCTGGAGTTACCACACGATGGCCGGAGGACTGGGAGGGGGTTGGGGTATAAAAGGGAGGGGGAGTGGGTGGGTTGGTTCCTCAGAACATCTTTCCCCCACTCAGCCAACCAACCAACCAACCAAATCAGCAATGGACTCCTTCACTCTCTTCTCCAACAACGTCTCTGCTACCACCTCCGTCCCCGCTGAGGAGGAGACCGGTGGAGGCCGTGGTACTGGCGCTTACTGCACCATCGCTTAAGCGACATTCACGTTGCTAACTTCTGTGCACGCTCTGTGCGCTCATGGTATGTCCCTTGATGGATTTATCTGCTCGTGGCCCGCGTCCTGACTTGCTTCGACAGAGCATTTCTTCGCATTTCTGGCTCCATCATTCGCATTCATGAACAACATGGACGAGACTTCTCGCCCGCCTTCAAACATCCACTGCATTGATATATTTATAACCATTCGAGCTTCATTGTACCATTATTCGCAATTAGGACTCGTTCCACCGCTGTTGTACATATACCAATGACCATGATACCTTGACTTCATTTGCACTTAGGGGATCGTACTTGAGATAAGATAAGATAAGCGCGAGGCCGGAGCCGGACAATTCCGGTTCATCAGAAACGTTCCCAGGCTCGCGATTTCTTTTCGTCACGACATCCAACCCGAGGCCCGTACACACTCACACACCCGTCCTCCTCCCTCCCTTCTTCCTCACCGTCGCCATGTCCTCAACACTCATTAGACGCTCGCTCCAGCGACCCGTGTTCCGACAACGCGGTGTCCGCTTCTCCTCGACCAACACCGAGGCGGCCCAAAAGAAGGCCCAGGACACGCTGGCAAACGCTCAGGCAACCGCTGAGAAGGTGTGGGCGTCGACGTTGAAGCTTTTGGGTCCTATTGGGGAGACTGCTGGTCGGATGCTTGGTTGTGCGTATCTTGTTTTTGCTTTGAGTGCAGGGATAAGCGCTGAATTGGAATGTGATTTTGTTTATTTATTCAGCCTACAAGCAACCCCTTCTGTACAACCTTGCTGTAGCTCGGGAGCTCGCGAAGCAGGTCTACGTCGCTGAACGCCTCCAACCACCCACGCTCGACGCTGTCAAGGCTGCCTACAAGTCGCTGTGGTCGCAAGTCAGCTCACCGGCTGCTATCCGGCAATTCGCAGCGAGCGGCCAGGTTGCTCAAGTCGGAGTATACGGATTGCAGGCTTACACCATCTTCAAAGTGCGTCCCTGTCCTTCTTATCGTTCATGACATTGTTTGAACCCACCCGTGTCTTCTGTTGCAGATTGGCGAAATCCTCGGACGACGCAGTCTTGTCGGCTACAACATTCAATAGACCATAGGCATCACTTCCGAGTTTCCTTAGATTCGGGAATTCTAATTCATCGACGCTCTTTTTCTTTGCTTCCTTGTCTCGTTTTGTGCTTTTAATTTCAGAGACGCTTTGCGTGTTTTCTTGGTGATACCCCCGGCGATGGCACACACGACTGCAAATTTGGTCAGGGCTGCGAACGTGCTCGTATGACCACTAGGAAGTTGGTCCAACGCGAGCGAGCATCAGCCTTCCCACCTCGTTCTCTCATCGGCTTGTCATCATGGGGTAGGATGGCCATTCCAGTCCTTACCTGCGCTGGTCAAATCACAGTGAACCGTACACTTGCTGGCACCCGTGGCTGTCCTCAACCTCGTCTGCGACCTCCGTTCTTTCGTCGCCCACCTCTAACCCTGAGGTCTGCAGACCTACCAGCGGACTCCCGAGTCCCTCTAGACCCTCTGAATTCGACTTTCGACCAGCGGAACGGAGGCAGCGGCAGGCAGCGGCGCCGGAGGTCCTGTTTCGGATGGATCACGTGGTGATACTCATCAAGCGCGTGACCTCGGGCTCGCGTCGCGTTGACCGAGGTGCTGCCTGAAGTCGCGACTCGAAAGGGTCTTGGGAGGCACACAAAGGGCCCTCAGGGCACTGGCGCTGATCAAGCATATTGATGCGCATACATACGACCTCCGGCCCTGAAATGCTAAGTACCGGGTCCGGATCGTATGATATTCTGCGCTTTCAAAATCCCATAAGTATGTCTGTCGCGTCGCTCTTTCATGTTCCTCAGGCTCCTCACCCGCTCTCTTGACTTGGCCCCGTTGTTGTCCTGCAGCGATGGCACCATCTGACTCGCCGACTTCTACCTCCACACAGGCGCCGGTTGTGCGTCAAGGCTCTTGTCTCTGTAAAGGCGTGCAATATGCGCTCAAGGGAGAGCCATTGGAGATACGCGTCTGCCATTGTGTCAATTGTAGGAAAGCGACGGGATCTGCGTTTATGGTTAACTCGTTTTGGTTTACTCAGGTGAGCGTTTTTTTCGTTCTTGTTTTGTCTTTCTCTGTGGTCTTGCGATACAATTTACTTCTATGACCTCGTTCTATGGTTCCCATCTCCGCTCCGATCTTTTCGAAGTCGCCATTATGACATGCGCGCATGGTGGTACTCTATGGAGCTTAGTTCGGTGGAGTACCATGGGAGAGTGACGATGATTTCGTCGAGTTAATGCGTGCCACTGGGAGGAGAGGGTTATTCCTGGCGTTGGGGTATTGGGTTCTGTTGGACGTGGATACCAACCACCTTACCACCTTTCGTACACGAACATTTTCCTTGCAGGGCCCCCACTCTCGCTACATCTTGCCTTAGAGGATCCACCTTCCTACGAAGAGCCGTTGCTAGGTGCTAAATAGGCGCGTCGACCCTCGCACGAGCGCTATCTTTGGCGTCCTCGATACTCGCGGCGTTCACTTCCTATACATTCGGTATTTTCGTTCGCTTTGATCGTACCGCCAGATTGATTCCCCATCCCATTTTCCCTCTTTCTCTTGTTCTTCTTCACCAATTCTTTTACCTATGAAGAGGTCCTTGTACCTCTCACTAACTGAATGCATATGTGCTCATTGAATGCACCCGTACTAACTATTCGCAACATAGAACTTCGAAATAACAAACGGCCAAGACCTCATACGCTCCTTCAAAGATAAAGGCACGGCGAGCGGGATTCTTATTAATAGGTTCTTCTGCTCGGTGTGTGGGTCGAATGTGTACCTCGCCTCGACGCATCCGAAGAATAAGTTTGTGGTTGTGGGGCTTGGGACTTTGGATGATGAGCATGTGGGTTGGGGTGCGTTCGTTTTCTTCTTTCGGAAGGCCGAGTTGATCCTTGACATTGGCGCTGACATACTGCCCTCCTTTCCTCTACTGTGTACCTTTATTTTTTGACAGTCCCAGATAAAGAATGGTTCGACGAACAGAGGAGGCCGTGGATTGAGGGGATACAACTGCGGGAATCGAAGTCGTCGAAAGGATCGTCACTGTTGACTTTGGGCTTGCCAGTGGGCGGTGGTGTGGAGGAAGGTGGTAACTCAGAGAAGGCCACGTCCAGGTTGTAGTTTGATTCTAGGACTGGCTATGTCTCTACATTCTCAATCTTCTACGCGTATGGAGGGACATGTCAACTTCTACGAGTTTGAGGGACCCATCTTGACCTCTGTTGCATTTGAGGGTATGTCAACTTAACCTCTATGTACTTTAAGAGGGTAAGAACGGCCCTTTCAGGATGAAGAAGTGAATGGAATCGAGGGTGCCGGTGATTCTGAGCGCGATGATAGGCGTAGTGGTGCTCTCTGGCAAGGCGAACAGGGGAGGCCGTGGATTTTGGGTATGCGACTGAAAACATCGCGTGGACAAGTCACAATACGGTGGTGATTCCTAAAGGAAGTCGAACTCAGAGAAGCCAAGATTTAGCGTGTGGTATGGACTGGATGTGTTCGAGGGCTTCGGACGTGTCAACTTCTGCGTATCCAAGGGAGCAAACGCCCTTTTCCAGAGGCTTGAGCGGATGAATGAGGCCTAGTGAATGGAATCAACTTGGACGGTGGATCTGAGTGCGATGATAGGCGTTCGTTCCAGTGGTAGGGTTGGTCCCTGTAATGTTGGAGAAAGAGTTCGATAAATCTTGGCGGTTGGATATACATCTCTTCTTGTTGTTCTAGGGACGTACTCTCCAAGTTGTTGGATCTCCATAGTAGGTTTATAGAGCTGAGCCTCTTCAATTCCCTGCTGCGCATGCATATGCATACAAGGGGACGAGTTTGAATCAATAGTTCGGTGATGATCCTTGGACATATGTGTCAACCCCAGGAATGCTACGCAGTTTATACACTTCCATTAGAAGCCACTGCGACATATGTATACCCTATCTCTTCTGCGCCCCTCTTCCTTCCGCGCCATTCGCCCTCACTCTGAACAAGACGTTCCCGTTCCTGGAGGATTTCCATGGACCCCATGTCATCTTCTGCTTCTTTCCGTTTATCAGAGTATTCTCCGAGGACAGAAGTGGGGGGTATTTACGGGGCAGACGTGTTGAAAGAGAACCTTGTTCTATCTCATGGGCTCAAGTATCACGCTCGGACCTAACGTCGTCTTCTAAAGTCTCCTTCGATATGTACAGTAACATAGATGACAAGTAGTATACCCCGCTGGAATCAATAGGCGCATAATGTCCGACGGGTTGTGATGACTTGCGAGGTTCTCATTACATCGGTGCGAACGTGCATTGCTCATGCTTGTGGTCTGGTTCTGGTATACGGCGGGGTCTGGGAGTTAGATACGAACCCAGGTTGGGATTGGGTCTAGGTATGAGGTCGATATCGCGGTCCGATCCTGAGCCTCTAGAGCTTCCCTTCTGCTCCGCTATGACCAGGAAACCGCCCTGACCTGACCAGAAGTTTCGCGCTCCCCTATGTACCTCGCCCATTGGAGTCGAATTCGCACAGTGGAAATCCAACCAACTCTGAGTCAGAGGTCAGAGTCACACATGAGTCCGCCCAAAGTGATTTTTGATCGTCGCTACCTGAGCACCAAATAAGAAGTCTTCCTCGTCGTCCCGTCGGGCTTCGTGTGTCTGGTTTGATGTTGAAACTCGAAAACTCGGAGAATCAGGGTGAAAAAATAAAACAAATCCTCAAAGTCCATCTATCCCAACAAGTCGAACAATAGGTTTTCTATTCAACTTGATTTTTCTATTCAACTCTCGAACGGGATGAGGGGCTTGATCTGGCTTGATACTGTAACTATGTACCTACCAAGGATGCCTCTATGCCCACTCATCCCCAAGTGTAGTCGAACGTGCATCAACGTAGTTTATCGGAAAGTGTAGTACCTACTTATGTTTTACGATCCACCGTCGATCTACCATAGCACCCATAACACTACAATGACACAGACCCTGACATTATCTAGATAGACTTGGGGCTTGGTGACTAGGGCGCTACTGAGAGACCGTTCGATCAGTATTATTCGATCTGCACCGCCACGACTGGGCATGGGAACAGCGGCGGGCGCAAGCACCGCGCATCGCTCCGTCCCCGCTCCTCACCGTCGCTTACGGTGACGCTTGAGATGGGTGCTGAGTGAGACCATCAGAGTCCAGATATCGCTCTCCCTCGGGCTCTAAGTACTAGTTTCGTGTGTGTGTGTGTGTGATATAAGAACAGTCGGTGACGAAGGCAACCAGGATAAATAGGTGTATATCTCGAATATCTATGATTATCCAACCATCCCCCCTAGTGCGGAATCCAAGCAGTGCAGGCTTTGGTTGTACGTGCCTGCCCTAACGTGCCGTAGTTAAGCGCCCATCGTGCGAGAAAGCCAGAGGCTGCCCCGTGCTCTGGCATGCTGATGCGATGCTACTCATCTGAACCAATCTAGAACTTATCAGCGCACCGTGGATGGTAGCGGATGGTATATTCGGTACACTACGCAAGTAATTGACATTATTTTGGACTCAAAGCGAAGCGACGGCGATTTGCATCAGTAGTCGGTCGTTGCTCTGGATCATCCGATCAAACGGCGGGCTAGGCGTCCTTGCCCTCTCCCGCGCCCAGCCGTTCCTAAATCGAATAATACTGATCGTAGTATGACTCGGCGCTACTGCGCAACGTCAAGGCTCAACATTTCAGGGTACCGAACTCACCCGGCCCACGTCCCGAACTTGCCACGTTCGAACTCGTACATCCTCCCCCAGGTCTAAAGTCCAAAGTCCTTGGTCCGCCGACCAGGTCCCAAATTCCCAGCGCTTCACTCGGGGATGTCCAACTGGGACCAATGCAAGCCAAGTTAGCCCCAAGTCAAGTGACAGAAGACTCAAGAGCAATGACAGTTTCTTGATGGCAGAATATTCAATAGACGCATCTGCCGCTAATTCTAACCTTGGAAAACTTGGAATAAGTATCTTGTTTGGACGCTGGAAGTCCGAAGGGGCCCGTCCTGAGGCGCGAGCGCGGTAGCGCTGCGAGTTGGCTGTCAATGGTGAAAAGTCAACGTAAAGGTGTTGTACATTTGCCGACTCTTGGACTGTATAGTCTAGGTACCGAACGTCTGGATGGAATATTGGCTTCTTTATATGTGGTTTACCGTAGATTTCGTAGGTTTGGTGGAGATGCTTTGGTGGAGGCGTGGGTTTTCAATTGTCGTTGAAGCGATGTCATGACTCACGGCTCCGTTGTTAAAATTGGGCATGGGAGGTCTCCGAGACTGAGGGACGAGGCGAGCGTCGACGAACATGGAAGTCGGGGTTTTGTCAGTGCGGGTTGACTCCGAGCTCGCTAAAGGTCGTCCGTTGTTGGTTGACTCGACGGACGCTGGATGTCGGGACGAGCTCTCCGACCTGGTAGCCACCGTTTAAGCGAATCTCGAGTCTAAGTATCTTGACTCGAATGTGTTTCGACTTTCACGTTGCCGAATCATTGAGACTATCATAGTGATTCATTCCAAGCGTGACTACCTTAAATTAAGTCTCCATTTAACTTCAAACATTCAACCAACGAGGCGAGCGTTCTGATGATTGGAAATGATTTGATTCGTCGAGTCGATGTTGATACAACTACATACAAGGGTCGTTGGTACAAGGGAACAGTCATTCTTTTGAAGGAGGGGAAAACAAGGAAGGGGATGTAGGGAGAAGAAATTCCATTTTAATCAAGGAATATTCCGTCATTCGGTATTCTGAATCCACCATCCGAACCCAACTCCAGTACAGGGAAAGGCGAGGGAGCGATGAGCAGGCGTGCACTCGAGGTGCTGTCTGCTCTCGCTGACAATGTCTATAAGTCGTGAAACCAAGAAATGGGAAAGAGAGCGATAGATAGCGGAAAGATAGAGAAAGGAAAGGCATAAACGAGTGAAGGAATCATAAAACGTGACAGGCATAAGCGAGTAAGAGAGTACATACATACGAGACACAGAGCTGGAACAAACCAGAAACGCAGCAGCGGAAACGACATCCAGGGTATCCGCGGGATCGGAGAGGAAAGAGAAACCGTCCAAAGAGAAGAATCCCCATCCGCCAATGCCGCTAAGGCAAAGAAAACTAGTGTTACATAAAACCACAACAAAAATCCGCAGAATAGTACACAGTTTTTTTAAACAAGAAAACGGGTGACGCTTTGTGGCCACGCCGTAGTACAAGTGCAACACACGGCAGTCAATTGGCCTGTGCTTCAAATCGGATATCGATGATCCGAAGTTCCAATAGATGAAGTATAAACAAGAAGGGAAGACGAAGGAGCGGATGGGATCATGGATGGACGGATACAGTGCGCGTTACTCTGACGATCGCACATTCTACAACAATAGATAGTCCGAGAGAGATGAAGGGAAAGAAGGAAATGAATGGAGGTGTGTGATAACATGTGGAGAATGGGGTCGTCAGAAGGGGGGCAAATAAATCGAAGGAATACCTCAGAAGACGTATTGGGGGACCTCATTCATGAACGAGAAGTCCATGCCGACGCCGAGAGGGTTAACAGGGTTGATCATGTGCGAAAAGTCGTCGCCACCGACACCGAGGAATCCGTCGCCACAGAGAGAGCCGAGGGGTTGTTGTTGGTATGTGGGGAACATCGGATTGAATTCATTGAAGCTCTTCATCGAGTCGAATGGATCGACGGTGGGTGCGAACGATGGCGATCCAATGGGGGTAGCGAGGAAGTCGGTGGATGCCTCTGGGGTGACGGGGGACGAGCACTGACTCCACTGCTCCATGAAGTTGGTGTTGATGGTGAGGTTGGGGTTGAACGAGGGCTCGCCGGTGAATGTGGTCGGGGCAGCTTGCTCGGCAATGGGGTCGCAAGGGAAAGGGGATGCGGGGGATGCTGCGGTCTCGAACGAGAAGGTGGAGAAGTCCTAAATAAACGTAAGTAACAGCCGAAAGGAAGTGGACAGCTGGACTCACGAAGCTCGGTTCCTGCTTCATTGGTGCAGGTTGTGTCTGTTGGGGCTCGACTTGCTGCACTGGGGTCGCACACCGCGTGGGTTGGGCGCTTGTCGAGCGTACCTTGCGTGGTTTCGCGGCGGGGGACTTGGGCAGGAAGCTCTTGTTCGCGGCAGTGACCTCCGTATCGGGGATAGGCGCGGATGAGGAACGTTGGAAGGTGCGTTCGGTGATTGGCGCTTCGAACCGCGTTATTATCTGGGGGACGTGGTGCTTGTCGAATTCTTCGATCTCAGCCTTCAAGTCATCCCCCTTCTTCCCCTGCACCAGCAGCTCCGCTATCTTCTTACACCTTGTTAAGTCCTTCGGTTCCACCTCCCTGACCTTCCGTTTCTCCGTCGTCCCCCCTTTGCTCTTCGTTTGCTGTGGCCGGAAAGCGTACTTGGGGAACTTACGGCGATGCTCCTCCTGCGCGACCTTGGCCTTTGCGTGCCACACCTGACGTTCGGCTTCCGACAGATTTTTCCAAGTCATACCGATGATCTTGGAGAGCGTAGAATGGTTGGTCTCGACCGACGTGGACACGTGCTGACTCTTGATGAAGGATGAGCGGAAGAGGATGAAGGCGTTAGGTGGGCGGGGGATGTGGTTCTCGGGCTTCTTTTTGCTATGCGGCGTCTTACGGGCAGGTGCCTTCTCTTCAGCCGGTGGGAATAAGATGAATTCGCCTGGGGGAGGGTAGGGTGGAGCGTCAACGAGAGGCGGGGGACCGTCGTCGAAGTCGACCTCAGTGATAAACGCTGTGGGTTCGCTCGACGGTGTGGGTGCAACCGGCGCCGTCCACACAAGCTGATTGCCTATGGGGAAGAGTCGGGTATTTTAACTACCGTCGATCGGCGAGAAGCGCGCAACACTTACAAGACGACGACGACTCTGGCATCTTCCAGCTCTTAACAGTCCTTTCAACGGGCATCCTTCGAGATATTGCGCGGGGACGACGGCGGGGAGCGCTTAAAGGTGAGGGATCGCGAGGAGAAAAACGGGCGTTTAAGGGGGGCGAAAAAGTGAGGGCCAGAGTGAGCTTCAGTTTTGAGAGGGCATCTATAAGCACGAGGCCCTTTGCCCACTTCAGGAAGGCATCGAGAGGTGATTGCAGCCGAATGTCATAAGCCCAAGATCGGGAAGAGATCTCACCGAGACCCGAAATGGACATGTGAGAACTGGAAGACAACCTCTGTTTGATTGAGCTTCGCACACCGTTCCCAGAAGGACCCATTATCCTTCGTTATACGGTGTACATGTAATACTCTATAATCCTGAGTTATTTTCATGAATCGAGCTGAAGTCTTTCAGTCGTGCAATTTGCTTCCGCACGGAGGACATCGGTGATGCCTTGATCTGGGTCCGGCGCGCAAGCGAGAGGGGCGGGAACGGCGGTGACAGTGTCAAGGAACATCGGAATCTAATCGCGCTGTCCCGAATAGGCTAAGATTCCGGGACTCTTCAGCGGCCTCAGCGAGAACGATAGTCTGATTCACGTTGTAAACTGCAAATCGTCTGATCTAGTTCAGTGCTCGCCCGCCGCAAGGCTCATGCCTCAAACATGAGGCCCCAGAACCGTCACTCTATTACCCTGCAACAGGCCTCCGGGGGACACGCTGTCGGACACGAGTCTCTGAACCATGTTCAGCTTAACTAAAATGGTGCGTGTTGTGCGATTCGAAACCCCGTAGTGGTTAGAGCCCGCCACCTATTCAAATCAAATCCTTAACAAAATCCTAACGCAGAGTTCACGTCAAGTTCTGAATGATATGGAACGAGGACGGGGGGCCACCGCCCATGCGACGAGGGTATACAACATTCGTCGTCTGGCAGGGTCTATACCCCTAGTTCCCGCCCGCCCTCAGCATTATGGGGTCAAATGATAGTTCTGCGCAAAGGACCTTTTGACCTCTTGATCACACCACATGGGCTTCAGACTTCGCCTGAGATTCCCACTCTCGCCGGACGTTCCCTGAATAGCAGTCTAGATTATCGCCCATCAAGAATCCTTCCCCATGTGCGTTATCTGCCACTGTATCCGAATCTCACGAATGACGCACTGATCAATCTCGCTCTTTCGGCGCGAGTTGGCTCTTTATAATTGATTAAAAACAAGAGCGCTAAAATACAAGGTATGCTTTTATTGCTGCAATCTACGTTGCTAGACTGGCAAGGGCAGCTATTGTCAGCAGCATGTGCAGCTCAAGAACTCAGAATTTGAGGCCAAGACCCGGATCCTGCAGCCAAATTGTGAAAAACGAATGGTTCTGCACACTTGGCTACAGGCCGCCTCCCCCGCAAGGGGCGACACTGATCCTGTAGTATGTCTCGTGATACAGTCTCCTCTGTCTCCCGGGCGATGAAGGGACCGTGCCATGATGACGCGCCCAATTACGAGCAGCAGCTTGGGATGCATAGCGCTCGCCCAAATCTCTGACGCCCTCTACCCAAAGATCGCTTCCAAAGCTGATTGACAACCGTGGTGGGTGAAGGAAATTATTGGAGCTTACCGTCCGAATGGTTTGGCATGCGAACACTCGGGCTTGGGGGATTACGGCCTGAATCTCCACGGATTCTCATGGCGAACGATCCCATGGACAGGGTTGCCGTAAACTCCTGTCCGCCGGCGTTTCGCCATTCTGATTGAGTTGGGCGCCTCTACATCCAAGTAGCTTCTGTATGTCTTTTTGAAATGAAGGGGGATCCACGGTTTAATGGCCGTGTACACTCGTTTCTACGATAGAGATGAAGCGCCTTGTAGATGAAAGGGAAGGAGAGATAAGATCCCTAGAGGAATACTGGTTAGACAGAGAGCGACCTGAATAGAATCATGGAATATTCTTTTCGGAAATGGGCGAGGGGTCATCTACAAGAGCACCGATATCTCAGGAAACATCAACCCTTTTACAACGGAGTATATACATTGGAAGTCGAAGGATTAGATTCGGCTTGATTAAAGAGCGGTGAAGATAAAAACGTTCAAAAGATGGCAAGGGCTCTAGAAGTGTCCATGGTAGCTAGGTACGTTCGTTCACACCGAGTCCAGCCGTTTCAGATATTTTAAAAGTATGGGCAGAGTGGGAAATCTGTCGATTTAGTGGGCTACGCAGGGGATCTTAAGCTGTAGTGACTCTCATCCAATCGAACGGTAAAACGATAACGAATGAGGAACAAGAGAGTGAATTGTAACGGCATTAGAGTCGTCATTGAGGAGGTGGTGGCGGATGGCTCTGAAGGTGTGTGTGAGTCAGCTGGGCCGCTCAACCCTTCTTTGGGGACAATAAGAGTTGAGTGAGTAGTATGCCAATCCTTTCCCCGTAGATTTCTTATTACACATTCACCAGGGGCAGTCTGTCAGTGCAGCTCTACGTTAATGAACAGCGGGGCTCTCAAATCAGCAATCAGACAAGATGGTGCCTCGCGCATCCGGAGTTGCACTGTTTCTGGAAGCAATTTAACGCGCCTCTGGCACCGTCCCTTCACCCCTGATAAGTGGGAATTGCACCATCGCCGTCATCTTCACGATTCTTTTTATCTATCTGATAAAGAAGACCATTTAGCGCGATTGAAGGAAGGCAGCAGGAGGCACCCTGGTCAGGTAGAAGGCTCTACCAGGACCAAGAGCTCCATCACTTGGCACTGAGCCAAGATCACCGTTGCGGACAGACGAGTCCGCGAGCGCTTCCCGCCCCCCTGGTCTTGTCGCACCATTTCCTCCTTCATGGCTTGTGGAACGAGTCCAAGCATGGCCCCAATTCACTCAGAAGCAAAGGCAGGCAGGCTTGGGGGCTTGATGTTTCATTGTGGAGGCCAAGAAAACAGATCATCAGTTCCAGCACTACGGAAATTTCATTTAATTCTCGGTGAATGGCTGGAGGCGTTTCCGACGATGCCCACCGAGCCCGGCCCGTCGGTCAATGTCCCTCTGGACTAGGGGCCCGTCGCACCACCGTCGCTCAACCCATACGGCTCATGTTCCATTCCGAGCGTTGCAATCAGAAGGGAGACTTCACACTAGAAGGTTTGATTAATCGGATAAGATAGTTGCTCGGCAAACTATACAAGACACTGAGGTGACAACGTCACCCAGAAAAAGAAAGTTGAAAGCGAAAGGAAAGTTACTTAGAAGTTTGAGGAACCAGGATGGCTTGACTTGACGGTGGTGGACTGCGAATTCCAGTCAAACAGGCGCCACCCACCCAAAATGAGCACCCTACGAGCCTCGTGTGAGGCGTTCGAGGGCGTCCGCATCGTCAGGGCCGGGGCTGAGGTTTGGATTGTCCGTGGGCACCAGGTGGGCACCGATCGTTGAATATCCTAGAATGGTGGTGGTAACGCCGACAGACCGAATGAATGGACTCCGATGAAGTCTGATGGGGATGAAGAGAGACGCCTACAGTGCACCCACCATGCAGCCAGGAAAGACAAACCACCACCCAAAAGAGAGTTGCGAGCCTCGTGTCAGCTGAGCGTCTAAATACCAGTTGGTGTCGTCGTCCTCGTCAACAAAGAACGTTAGGCCCCCCATAGCTTTCGTTTGAATTCCAGCATCCAAGGCCATGCAGTACGCTGAAGCGACAAGTGATTCGTTAGGCGCTGAAAGATAATCACGGAGGAACTGCCATGGAAATCAAGGATAACGTGAGTTCTGCCGAGTCCAGGCGTTCGGCTTTTCGTCGATTCAGCAGCGTTTCGGGAGGATGATTGTTGGGCAGAGGACAGGCAGTGTGTTTCCCCGTCATCAGGGAGTTGGAGTAAAGCCGAACAGGTGAGTGGTTCGAGGGCCAGAAAACACCAGGCGTTCCATTTCGACTTCAACTTGGGCCCGAACAACAAAACGATAAGATCCGCTACGCGTACAGGTCAGACGCTGTCAGGCGGCTCCGACTCAGCTGTGATCCTGCATCGCAGTCGTCGCGTCGCATCATTCAAGGGGTGCAATGCGCGCACACAGCGAGCATCCACAGTGACAGGCGAGCGGAATATTCGCTGATCATTACTTAGCACAGTTGATCCAGTCGAATGACTCCAGCAAATCAGAAATCCATCCAATCGTCATCAGATGTGGGTCCACCCCGGAGTACCTGGGGTGCGATCGCTGAGTTGTTTGCTCAGTGGAAGCGTTCCAGAAGGGTGATTGGGCGCGTTGCCCTCAACCCAGGAAGCGCCCAATACGATATCAGCACCATCAGATGCGCGTCGATGCGTTGCGTCTTCTCTGAGTGGGCGTAATTTGAAGGCGGTGAGAGCGAGACCAAGTTTTGGGTGGGTTATTTTTATCCAGAGCGCGAAACGAGGTCCCAGCAAACGGCTATCGCGGGGACGCCCTCTAGTTGTTGTGTATGCATTCCGCAGGACCATCTCAAATGAGACCGAATGAAGCCCAAGGGAAGATCCGTTCAGAGCCTACAGATGTTGTAACGCCTGTCGCTGGTGGGGCAGTGAAGAACCAGAACCAGAACCAAAAGTCGATGGCAGTGGAGTTTGTCTGAGTAAGAGCGAAGTAAATCCTGGCGTATCGTTCTTGTAATTTGTGTAGACGCTGGATCCACACTGTGGGGTGCGATTCATTACAAGAATCCCTGAAAACGCAGAGCGCCAGAGGCGTAAGCGTAAGCCTCCAGAGTGGCAGTACTTTAACCCAAAATTGACGATTCAGCTGGCAGTGGCAGAAGAATCAATCGAGAAAGACGTCCTCGAGATAGTCTCTCGAGCTCTTCTAATGAGCGCGTGTCCACTGAGAAGTCCAAGAGAACAATTAGAGTGCAGCCATCGAGGGAAGAAGGAGAAGACGAAGGGGGTGAAGGCAAGCCACCGCCAAGCGGTGGCAAGAGCCACAAGCCATCGTGCCGATCACCATGTTGGCCCTGCTTGTCGCCGCTTGGATAAACACTCGAAGCCAAATAAAGCCAAGCCCACCATCCGAATCGGGAACCTTGAAAGAGACGGGTAGCCGAAAGCTTAATCTTCCATCGGAGAAGGGCAGGTCTGTAAAGTCGTGAAGGACGGATGCTCCGGTGGGATATTATGAAGCCTTTCTACTCCCCCCGTGGCCTTAATCCCACACTATCACAGCGTCTTTGTGCAGCATGAGGAATAAAGTCCACGGATCTTTCGAGGGATGAGTGGATGCTCGGGAAGTTTGATGGAACACCACCACTGCTGCATGACCCAATACCCGGCTCTACCTGTGTGCTAGTGCACCGGAGATCAAGGGTAAGCTACCCTTGAGAGCTGGTCATCTCGGTGAACCGTCCATGCCAATCTCGGTCAAGTGCATCAACGTCCTCACTTGCGACAATCAACTGGGACGTCGATGGCTTCCCTGCAAAAACGAGGGAGTTGGAAGTGTAGCCTATGGTTCGGAGGATGGATAATTCTTCAGGGTAGAGGGTTTTTAGCGATCCGTGTCTACTGGAGTCTTCAATGATTAGCTTTTCCCGGATCGCGCTCAGGCCAGGGCGCGTGTACCGAGCGTCTCGGGCTTCCCTGCGGATGATATACTTCATGCATACGAATCGAGTCTATGCGAGACTATAGGACCTGGAGTACATATACGATCCTCCTGCTCCCTGATATCACGGATAACACGCAACCAGGCCGCGGTCCGCACCCGCTAGGTATGTACAAGCAACAGTGCACGTACTTACCGGAATACAAGCACCCGTGTCCCAACCACTACCTTTATTTCGAGAAGCACTCCAATAAGCTCATATAAATTCAATCTTATCTCAATGCATGCCCCCAACCCCAACTCTATTCGGATCTACGGCTACAACGTGTTTCTCCCTTCGCCACTCAAACTACTTACCATTCGGCTCGCCGCCCCATGGCCAAACGCCGCCTTCGATGCCTAATAACAACATGCGATGCCTAATAACGACACACACTGCCTGGCCTGGGACGGAGGAGAACAAGCCACACCCGCACTACAAGGTCCACAAATTAAGCGGACCTCGATTGGCAGTCGCGTTAGCTGCTGTATGGCGTTCATATAGGCGTACAGTGTGCTCAGCTCCGTGGTATAGACGGAGGAGAACAAGGCAGTCAGTTTCGACGTTGTATCCGCTGCGTCCGTGACAGTAGCTTAGCACGAGGGCAGTCAACTACGCTCGGCCATAGGCCAGGGATAGGAACTTAGGGATCCGTTGTAAGAGATTCTAGGAGAGGCGTGTGCAGTTGCACTAGTCCATACTGCCGTAGGCTGTGGGTGCACTCTGATCACACAAGCAAAATCCGACTATCTGAATTCCTATCTTCGAATGTCCACAGATGCACATATCCAAAGACAGCATTTCATTTCGAGTCGCCATGGCTTTCTCTCGAAATTCCATCTCAGTTTCTCGCTTCTCCACTTCGTAAGGAATCCCCAGGGATGCGTCGACGGTAGTAAGGTTATAGACTTAAATCACGAGAGACTTTAACTGCAACCCCATCCAAGTCAAACTTGAACCTGTCCATACGTCTTTGAAATTTCGAAACACCTCGTGTTCACCCCATTCCGTAATCCGTATTTCATTTCCAACGCTAATAAGCAAAATCCAGACCCACCCTGAGGTCCATGTCGTCAAGAGAACCCAAAAATGAACGCTGCTCTCCCTACAGAAGTCTTCCGCCGACTCACGTTCATAATATAGCTATAGTACCATATGGCACCGGTCGACTCACGCTCATAGTATAGCATATGACCTCGAGTATACTGCAACGTGAGGATACAGTATACTATAAGAGCGTCTACGTTACCGATAAATGAATCAGAAAACCCTCTACAGGTCATCACCATCCATTTGCAGATTCATAAACCCCAGAAAACTGTCACCGATAGTCAAGTGATAGGTAGTGATAAGATAAAGAAGGACCTTCCGTCTTGTGCGTATGCCGTGAAGGGATCCGGGTGTCGCCCTCGACAAGAATACAAACCGCCATCCTTTCAGGAACATATGCCACTTACTAGGGCGCACATGCGTATCTCGACGTCCAGACTCGACTACATGTCGTAACGACCCCACCCTTATCGCTTCAAATCATCCCTCCCCTGCATAATTACATCCAGCAGATCCCCAACGTCGCACACAGCAACAAAACCCACAAGCCCTTCCTATTTCCCCACCCGTTTCGGAACCCGGATTCCCTCTCGTCAGCGCATTTCGTCACAAGTTGCAACTCATAGAGTCAATGAACCCGACCCCTCAACGAACCCTGACATCCAGTGAGAAAAAAACACCCTCCACCGACTCCCGAGAATCCAGAACGTGCAACGAGGCAAAGGTTTCCCTAGTCTCGGCACTTGAGCCTAATGTTTCCCTGCCTCGTGTCGCAATTCATTTATTCTCAATATGTCAAAAAGCAGAATTAGACTCTGAAGTTCGAAGTTCGGAGGGAGTGTACCGTGTACCGTATGGACAGGCGGGAACAACCTCGCTCGAGAAGGTACCTACTTAGTCCAGAAGAAGTCATTGTGTAGACAGTGTAGCACAAGGACCAAGGTGTGTTAAGTATTAGCATAAGGTGCGGAAGGTCGAGAAAGTCGTTAGATAACGAATGGCGATTATAGGTAGATAGATGGATACATGGCCAGCGAAGAAGGATTTTTGTTCTATTGCTGTGAAGGTGAAGCTGAAGTGAATAAGAACAGGAAGAGAGAAGCCGCGGAGGTCCTCAAGAAACGAAGTAAAAACGCTCCTCGAAAGATGTCGATGTCGATATGATCCAATACATACTTGCTTCCCCGGAGAAATGTCGAGTATTTGGAATCCTGGTCGAATCCGGGTGAGACGCAAGGAATCCAAAAGACTCAATCAGAAAGTTCACCTCCTTCCATCCACTTTCTCATTTCCTTCTGGAGTACAAGCGAAGCGAAGCAAAACGAAACGAAAAGGCCGGGGTTGTACTTGTTCCACCACCGACGGAAATCCTTCCAAGATGGCCATGTGTTGATGCGGTATGAGACCAAGTGCCTCGAGGCAAAGGTTTGACGTTCCACGCAGCGCAGGGAAGTACGAAATATAATTTCGCTTTGACAGTATACCCGGGGGATGGTTCGAGTTCGAGAAAAGGCAGTCGGCGGAGGTGGGATAAGCGTAGTTGGAAGGGGCGGGGTACAGGCCTAGGGCGGGAGTGATTAAGACGTCAGATTTCGGGAGAGGCGAAACGTGTTGCAAGGGATCTGAGGTGCGGGTGTTTGTCACGCCGTGCTGGGGGATGAGAATTAATGACACTCCCTCATCCAAAGGGCGAAATTCTCACCTAGGCTCCAGCCAAATCGGCGCACTCCCTCGCACGTCGCTCGTTCTCCTTCATCACTACCCGCTCCCTCGCCAATCCCTCCTCGCTGGCCTTCACCTCTTCCCTCCACAAATCCCCGCTCTTCAGCTTCACGCCTATCTTCCTCTTCATCCTGCCCGTATACCCACCCTCACTCGGCATCCTCACGAGCCTATCCATCGCCTTCTGCTTCTCCGTCATCTTGCACAGAACGTGGGCTGGGGGTCCTTGGCGCATCCGTTTGAGGGTATAGGGGATGATGAGGCCTTTACGCTGCTGCTCCTTCAGATAGGTGAAATTCGCGACCTTGAACGCGCGCGCTTTCGCAGCGGTGGCTACGATCTCCGGTGTGATGGGCGCCTTGAGACGGGCTTCATCCCTATAGAACGACACCTCGATCTCCTTCAGCGTCGTTCGGAGAGGGGCTTGCCACTCGCCGCTGGCGTCCCTTCCAAAGACGGTTGGAACAGCGGCTGGACCAGCCTCTCGCTGTAGACCTTCCTCGAACCTGGCTTCTCGCGCGAGATCCTGTAGTTCCTCGGAATGGCGGCGCTGGCGCGCGAGACGGAGTTCACGCTTGCGTCTGCGTTTAATGAACATGGAGGCGAACTGTTTGGGCTGGGGGTAGAGGCGGGGGAGGGGTCGGTTGTCGCGCGAGGCGCGTTGGATCGAGCCGGTGAGAATCGGTTTCGTTCGGAGGCGCTCTAACCATTCCTACGAGGTATCCATCTCAGGAGAGCTGTAGGATGAGGACAAGATGGTGACGCACCACTTCTTCGCGCAACACCTGCTTCCAGTGCTCCTTCTCCCGTTTTGCCTCGATTAACCGGCTGTAGCGCGTAAGGACCTCCTTGAGTTTGGTGTCGCCTTGAGACGCCCGTTTGAACGTTTCTAACCACTGGGCACTGGTTAGCGGGGCTCATGCATGATATACACGGATGTAGATTCACTTTATAGCCCTGTTTCAAACACTCTATCGTCTTCTGTGACCCAGTCTGGTGTCGGTGTTTCTCGAATAGCTTCCTTATCCTCCATCGAATCTAGAGACAAGGAAAAAGGTCATTTCGCAGTTTACCTATGACCTAGATCTGTACTCACCTGTTTATCGTCAGCATATTTTCTCAACCCTCTATACAACCCCCAAAGCGTCGGTATTCGATGCGCGGCGAGTTGCCAGAACGGTACCCTGGGTTTGACGCGTCGTAAGGGCGAAATGAGCTGAGCGATACGCGCTCTATGTTGCAGTGATTGAGGAGACGGTTCTAGTGGGTTATGACATTGTTGCATGGTATGTGAACATGGTATTTGGAATCTGGACGGAGTGAGTTGGCGGTTAACAAATTGATCGTGGTGGGAAGTTGGCGCTTGGCGTTCGCCGTCGCTTGCTGCGAGTCGGCGAACTTCGAAGCGGTATTTTCAAGCTGAGCTCAAATTCCGACGAATTCCGACGGCTTCATACTGTCTTTCTCTTTTCTCCAATACTGTCGACCATTGAAAAACGCTACTCCCCCGCCGTGGGCCCTATGAGTTATGTGTGACGGGGGAAAGCAGGTGGTAGCCTTGGCCGTCAAGAGATTGGTGGTTTAACAATAGAGCGGCACTTCTAAGTTGCGAGTTGGTGTCCCATGTTACGAACCGTCGGCATTGGCGACTGTCAGCCTATCTCGCTCTAGTTTCTATTGCACTGGGTTTGGGGCACATGAGAGTGACAATAGCCAATAAAATTTCTGTCAGGTTCGTGTTTTGATGCTTAGGTCGCGGTCGAATGTAATCGCTATAGACGTCCATCGAGCGCTCCTGCTGAGATAATAGATCGCGGACCAGTTCCTCTTCCACAACTTCCTCTAGTAGACACTAGCCGTTTGGGGCCTTTGTGTTCTACTTGTTGCGGATGCGTACGAGGGTTACGATGGATCGAGTCGTGATATGGCTTGACACGACGCCAGTTTCGAGGGGCTATATGTCGATGCCGGTTCTCGCGACTGTCCATCCGGGATGTCCGTGGTACCCGCCATCAGCTTCTGTTCCAGTAATAGACATACTCTACTTGCCATTATTCCCACTACCATTGCGACCACTGCCATCAACTGGGTGATGGGACCATGGTTCTCTGAACCCCACCTGAAATACCACCTCAGATGAGCTGAGCACAACAACCTCAGTCTCTGCAGTTCCAAGATGTCCTCGCGCCCTGGATGGGCTGCAACACTCTTTATCGTCTTTCTTTCATCCCTTGCACTAGCCACGGAATGCAGGGCATTCCTGGTCAATGTCACTATCGACGACAGTCTCCCAGACCCAGTTACAGGCGCTGTATTCCGTTACTCACCGGAAGGAGGGTGGCTGGATGGAAGGGAACCGTGCAACGGCTGTACCACACGGCCAGACCCCGCTCTTCTACACAATCGAACATGGCACGATAGCACAGTGAGCGTTATATCGTCTCATTGTTACCCTGCCGGTGTTAAGATACACCTTGTCGGTAGTTTAATCCTCGAGTGGGCGGTGCTGGCTTTCCTCCCAACACGCCCCGTTTTGCCTCAGTCAAGTTCACCGGTGCGCCTCCCATCCGATCCGCCTGCAGTCCTTGACCAAAACCCCCTTTCCTGAATATGTGTATATCATGTACAGGCACTGCGATCTACGTCTACTGCGTCCTAGCACGAACAATCAGCGGCCCAACCGGATTCAGCGACATGACATTCTTCATCGACGCTCAGCCTGTGGGTTGATTCGTGAACAATCCACCAGGGACTCAGGGATACGACTACGACGTCCTCGTCTACCATAATACTTCCCTTCCCCCTGGAGAACATGAGTTTATACTCCAGAACGGAAACATCGATGGTCCGAAGGCTCTGACCCTGTTTGATCGTATAGTATACACGTACGTCCGAGTCCCATCCAGACTGTAATCTACACATTCCAAGTACCATGATCCTGACGCATTTGGTGTAGATACGACAATGGACTCAAAACCGAAGCCCAACGCAAGTCAGAACTCGCAGCTATTTTGGGAGGGACGCTTGGAGGTCTGGCGGTGCTCTGCATTCTGGCCGTAGGGTTTGCCATCTGGTTCTTCCAGATCCGAAAGAGAAGTCGTAGAAAGACGCAACCCCCGAACCTACTACTAGACACCTCGGACTGGGTGAACCCTCCTCCTCATCATCACGACCGACTCGGAGAACCTGGCCCGCCTTCGACCACGTACCACAGTTCTTCCCTAGCGGGAGCGCATGTGATGACTGCAGTTAACGTTGGTACTGGTGCTCCGAGTGAGCGATGACATTCCCTTCCTTAAATTCATTCATTGCAATGTTTTATTTAGCCAACGGGGCCTCTGGTGAACCTCCCAGCTACTACAACGACTGGATGCAACCAATGACAGTTGCCAGCAAAGGAAGATATGGCTCCGGTGTCATGAATCGTATCTGACGTATACGTATACGTGGGCGATGGAGAACATACCGTTCGAAGGGAGTCATGGCTATGCCAACAGCGAACTTTCTCGTTCTCTGCGGAAAGTTGATCATTGTAAACGACAGTCGAATGAACATGGCACAGAAAAAAAGGATTGGTTTAAGTAGACGGTGCAGTAAGGCGCCAATTGTCGTTTAGGATGTTGGAGAATAGAGCACAAAAGAGTCGATTCTGAATGTGGTTGGACGCGCCTTCGACGCTTCGCTTTTATAAGTACTGACAATCCTTTAGATATCCTTTAGATTTTGCGTACGCTGGTATGGAACTCGAATACGAATCCTCAGCAAATTGGACCTTCAATGAATATCGTCGATGTCAGCGACCCGCTGTATGCGTGTATGATAAAACTCTCACCATCAAACCCGCATTGCCCAATTGTTTCGCACCTCAATGGTCATTCCTCGCGCACGAAGTGTATCGATTTCGGCTTCAGGAAGCTCGCCAACCAGCATATCCTTCCCGACAACAACCTCCTCCAAAGGCAGGCTCGCACTGCCTCCAGCTCCATGCTGGACTCCATCAAAACCTGTGTCCTTGCACCGTCTCCCCAGAAACTTCAGGAACGACTCCATACGTCGTTGCTTAAGGTCGTTAGAGGCAAAGCGTCCGACTCCCCAAATCGTTAGCTTGCAAATGCTGGGCAAAAGGGTTTGTGGAGGGTTGTCGAGATCGATATACGGCCAAATATCCAACTCGAGCGCGGAGGCTTTGGTTTCCGTACTTGCTTCTAGCACCGCTGCCATCGCGGGAGGCACAAGTCCCACCAGAGACATCCGCTCTAGTTTAGACGACCCGTTAATGAACCGGACGATACCCATATGCCAGGAATCTTCTCCAGTAAAACTGCGGTGATTGCTGGATATCATAAGAGTGAAAGCCCGTAAATCCGGGCAATGAACCCTGTTTAAGAAGTCGATGACGATGCTACTGCCGGCGAGTTCCAGAATTTGGAGGGACAAAAGATGCAGAGGCCCCATCGTCTGGTTAGACGCGACGCCACCGTTGTCTGACGTGGGACACCATATTCGAAGACGAGTGAGGTTGGGGAAGGAGGTAGCGACCGTCATGGCATCCGAGCACGTCATCGTGAGTGCCAATCGCTCAACGTTGGGGCAGGCCGAGGGTGCTTGTATCATGCCGTTAAGGCCTTTTTGAATGTTCAGAGTGCGAAGGGATGGCATGCGATCCAGGAGGGGGAGGTCGAAATGAATACTCCTTTGGGAGGGTACGTTGAAGGACAGCGAGTCTAGCCGTGACCAGTCGCCCGTCTGACAAGGATTGCGCAAGATAGCGGTGTATGCCTCGTCGTATAACAACAAGTTCAGCGTTTTCCAACGCGACCTATAATTCCCTATCCATTCTGACAGGCTTTTCAACTCTAGCGGGCGAATTGACCGCGAAGCAAGCCTTAGCGTCAGTTCCAATGGAATGCCATCGCCTGCTCTGGAGAACCATCCTTGCATCCTGGCGCTGTAGTCACCTCTCTGCGAATTATCGACCTTGGGATGGAGGGTGCGGTTCGAAAGGTCGACGAAGAGTGATGACCATAGATCGGGCGTAGAGAATGCGAGATTACGCCAAAGAGAGCAGATACAACGGAGAAGTTGAAACTGCTTCCTTCCTGGTCGGTCCAGTGGTAGTGGGAGGCAAGTTCGTAGCACCTGGATCACGAGTTCTGGTGGCAGGATGTCGATTCCTTTGGAAATCCAGCCGTCCTGGATCGAACGGTCGACAGGGATGCCTTCTTCAGTCATAGCAGCGATCCCTAGAATATGTTAACCACGTAGTTAGTATTAAAAGCACAAATTCACGCACTAGAGTCTCGTTGCCGTGCACGTAGGATGTCAATGCTCGGGAATCACAGCGCTCACCGCTCGGAATGAACTGCGGAGATTGTCCCAGCTTGGCCTTGTTAGGCTGGCGCGGACGTGCCAAACACATCTCCGCTTTCCAGCCGCCACTTTCTTCGTTGAACGAGATGTATATCAGCCGTCTTACGGTGGCATTGCTATGAGAGTGAATTATAGTTGAATTCCTGTCACTTGTCTATGGTTCCTTCAACACTTTTACTCCTCTCCAATCTGTGCAACGACGTCGATTTCGATCCTCATCTCCTTCAAGGCCAGCTCCTTCACCCCCAGCACGGTATTGACGGGTTTATGATCGGGCAACCACTTTTTAAAGGCATCGACCAACGGGTCCATTCCCTCGTTTTGAATGACGTCGACCAGGTAGACAGTGACCTTGTATATTTGGGACCAACCCTTTCCGCCGGCTGCTTTGAGCGCTAGATCGACGTTCGCGAAGGCGTTATCGATTTCCTGTTTCAGATCGGTGGGGATTTTGCCATTGGAGTCCCATCCACCTAGCAGAGGGGATCAGTCGTCAGGATATGATGACTGTGTATAGCTGACACACCTTGACCGGCAGTTTTATCATGAACGAGGATGCCCGGCGCAAGTTCGCCTATGGGGTACGTTTGGCTGCTTCCTGGTCGTTACGTGGAACTGATCGCGAGCTTAGATCACTGTGGAGAACGACTATGCCTCCCTCTGGCATTTTCATCCGTCTAGCCCCGTCAAATCGACCGCGTTTAGTATACTACAGGTGCGTATTCCGCGTTATCCCCAAGTCATTGGCGCTCAATCCGTTATAGCACCCCGATTTGCTAGCACTGGTCAGCTTGTTTCTTGCAACAAGCGAACAACTGGGCTACGACCCTCATGTCACGCTACTCCCTGATATGAGCTACGTCTACCAGATCCCTGCCGATCCACGGAGCGACGTTCCTCTCTACTTCAAAACCGTCGATCTCATTTCCCAGTATCGGTCCTCGTCCCTCACTGGCCGCTGTTCGCGCGTTTGGACGGTTAAGCAAGTCATCTCCATGACCGACCGCCGAAGAGTGGCAGGAACACAACTCAGGGTACTGAAAGACGTGACGCTGGATGCCCACCGGAAGACAGAAGCAGAAATCCAGGACGAGCTCTTCCGCGACATTGCCGCTTTTGCAAATCACGGAAAATGGCGCACCAGCCCCATTGTGAAGCGCTTCAAGGAGCCGGATTTCGACTCTCTCGCCGAAGCGCTGGAAGGCGACAACTTTAAGAGGTTTTTCTCTGGTATTATTGCCAGGCATCTCGACAGCGACTCAGTCACTCTCCCGACACGATCGAGTGGGCATATTCCACCCCCTAATGGTCCAGAAGTTGTGCGAAACCCCGTTTCAAAACGTCGGTGCTTCTTCGTATACGAGCATGTTTGTACATCGCTCTATGACATTCCAACCATGGGTGAAGCCATCGACGTCGCCAAGGGCTGCCTGACAGGTACGTGATAGCCTTCGTTGTTTCGAAGCAGCACTGATTCCTACTTGTCTGTAGCACTTCGACTCATGTCGTGTGCTGGCTGGGTCCACCGCGATATCAGTCCGGGAAATATTCGATCGTCCTCAGACCATACGTGGCAGGTTAAGTTGTCCGACCTCGAATTCGCCAAGAGATTCCCCGATTCCCCCGATCATGTTACAGAGCAGATGACGGTACGTACCTCCTCGACAATTTCTCCAAAATCTCCAACCACTGACAACCCGTACAGGGAACGCCAGCTTTCATGCCGTGCGAAGTACAGAGTTCGGGGTTGATAATGCCGCAGGCTGAATATCGGGACAGGGAACTTGACGAGGATGACGATGATGGCGAGATGGGGGACGTCGAGCAAGTCGAGGACGAAGACGAGGAGCCGATACCGATAATACCCCCCGTTCCAGTGGTATACAACTAGCAACACGATGTCGAATCCCTCTGGTGGGTACTACTCTGGCTGTCGACCATGAGAGTCAAGCAAGACCTCCCGAGAACATTCGGCGAAACCTTCTTTCACCATGAAGTCGACCACACATTTGCGATGGCACGCACACGGCTTCTTTCGTACCCCCTCTCCCACCTCCACATGTTTAAGGAGTCCCTTCCTCCACCGCTGACCCCTTTCATCATCGCCTTCGAATCCCTCCGCAAGCGCCTCTACCTCGGATACACCTCTCGCAATCGGGATGGCACCCGAGCCGACATTGCTAGCTACCCATCTATCATCGGCGAGACCTTTGGCAAGTTCTTTGCCACTGTTGAGAAGACTCGACAAAGGTGGCAATCGGTGGAGCTGATAGTTGAGCGCGAGGATCGCGGACTTCAAAAGTCCAGCGCAAAAAGCGAGACTGGTGAAACCGTGGCGCCTATCCTGCGCAACGCTTATCATGAGCGAGTCTCGAGGAAGCGGAAGAATGAAATGACCGATGACGCACAGCAGCGCCCTCGAAGGGCTCGTAGAATTGGGGGTCCAGGATCCCAGGGTTGAGAGGGATCCATCCTAAGTAGAATCGCAGACGTGAAAATATATCCTATACTGACAACTACCAGCATAAACTCCAGTTCTTCTGTTTCCCCCTTGCAACATCCAACTGGTGTGGAGTCGGAGTGCGCTACCGGGGCGTCAGGGATTGACGTTGCGCGGTAGTTTCCTGTCTTCGAGTCCCCAGAATCCCGTCGGGTGCTGTGTAGCGTATACTGTCGTCACGGCGAGTCGTTTTTCTGCAAGTAGGTCAATCACATACCTCCTAAGTGTCCTGTATGTATACGAGTCATCGAGCGACGGGATCTTGTCAACATTGGCACGTCTCGACCACGTCTACCTCTATGATAAGTAGCCGACCTCAAAAACAAGAAATACAATCTGATATTGCCGTAGTCTTGACGCCAGGGGAAAGACATAAAGTAATCAAGGAAAGCGATAGCCAATCAGTGCACTATGGACGAATCAGGACGAGTAGGCAGTCCGCCTTTTAGTTTTTTCAACCCAGGCTGAAGCGCTGAAGTCTCACCTGGCGCCAGCTTAACTCTTCGGACCACTGACTGCGTAACATATTCATGTCGAGCACGACATCAGAGACGAGATTGGCATTCAGGGTTGTTCATGACAGATTCCTCGGTTACTGCTACTGTCCATGAGGCAGAGCATCGCCTTGGGCTGATTTCAGAAAGAGTGCGTTTTTGAAGGCTTGAATCAACAGATTCAACCCCACGAGGCGTCTAGGATCATGGCCAGAACGTCGTACTTTAGCTCTATTCAACATCTCGCTTGTTGAAACCTCGAGCCGTGTCACAGCGTTTGCCTCGCTTAGGCGGGTTTAAAAAGCATTAGTCCACCATGTCATTTCAGGACCCTGTCAGCTTTCTGTCTACTACTCTATCTGAACCAACACCCCACACAGAAGCAACCCAAGTGCGGCAGTTTTTATATCTTCTCCTTACCTAGCTCACTCTTCCCGACTCATAGACGACATATGGACTACCACCGTCAACCGCCTCAGCCACTCACCTTCGACCGTGTATACCCGCCTTTCCAGGCCACCTCTGTTTCCGCTACCCCCCACTCCTCTTCCCATGATGCGAATGCTCAGTCCCTACCATTCTTCCATCGCCTTCCGGTTGAGCTCCTCCCTCGGCTGCTTTTGCACTGGTCGTCTGAGGACCTTGCCAATATCGCCTTGGTTGACAGGCCGTGTAGACAGCTGGCAAGGTCGAAACAGTTCGTCGAGGTTAACCTTGGCATGCCACTGCCGGACTATCTTAGCGGATCTCCAGGAAACGACAGTATCCCCACCGGTGCGAAGCGAAACAGCGGGCCCTCCTTGTTGGACAGTTTGATGGTGGAAGTTCAACGAGGGTTCAACACGACCCCATCCATTGCCGTGTGCATCAGGAGAGTGAACGTTGTCATGCTTCCCCCAGGGTTGATTGATTGTGTCCACAAAGAGACACTGAAAGCCTTCCTGGACAGGGTGTCTTCGCTCTTGCCACAACTTCCGCACGTCTGCTCCCTGTCGTGGGTCACGCCTGGCCGGACGCTCACACGGTACCAACTCGATTGTCTCAAGGCGATGAAGGTCCTGAAGAACCTCGAATTATTCTGTCAGGAAACTGAACACTCGGACGGGGAGGGAACACTTGCTCCGTGGCCGTTGGAGTCCCTCCACATAACAGGTCAGGGTCCCGGGTTCTCGCTATCCGAACGCCTCCCTTCGGGTATTTTGAAGGCCCCTCACACACTAATACAGAGTTTGACGCTGGGCATCAGCGGCCGTGGAATACGTGACGACCCACCTCCTGTCGAGGTCTGGTCTATGGAACACCTTCGCCGACTCGAAATCCATGACTCTTCATTCCCCCTCGACCTCCCATCCGGCGCACCGACCTGTCCTCTACCCAGATTGACAGCCCTAACTGTTGCCTCTTTCCATTCTTCCTTTCGACCCACGTCGGAAGAAGCCATATCCCATCGGACTGTTCACTTCCCCGGCCTCCGTCGACTCAAATATACATCTTCAATCGCATCCTCCGACGTCCAAGCTCAGAGTGACATAATCGCATTTTTGAGTAGACACACCGATCTTGTCAGTATCGAATTCGAGGAACCCGTCGCGCCTGAATGGATCGATCAGGTACTGCTCCCTCTCCTAACCTCCACCTCCGCCCCTACTCGAACACGACCGACTTTCAGTGAGCTTCGCTCGCTAAGGCTCGTTTTCGGTGCATTATCTATTTCAATCGATACACTGAAGCAGCTGGGCTCACTCGGAAACCTCGAGCACCTCTGGATATCCTCCCGCCTGCTTACTTCGGGTCTTCCCCTGCAGGAGCAGCCATGGCGTCGGCGTAGCGGTCACTACTCGGAATGGTTCGTCGACCATCCGGCGATGCTCGAGTCCTTGCAGGCACTTTGGCCCTCACTTCGGACCCTCGTCCTTTCCGGTGATACCTATGGCGAGCGGGAAGCAGTTCATCCATTGATGAACCCAAGGTTCCATCGGGGGGACTATTATGAATCTCGAACATTGCCAAGTGACGTATCTCACGAGCTGTTCTTGACCCCAGAGGAGCGGGAGACATTGAGCAGACCTATCTACCACACCTACCCTTGGGAATATTCCAGTCAACACCGGCGACTCGATTTTGAAGCTTTGCAGCGGATGGCTCGTCGTTTTCATTTGATCGCGTGGGAGAGGTGGCATGTCTCGGCCATGCGAGATTTTGCTGGTCGGTACTTTGAGAGGTTTGGGAAATTGGAGGTGTGTTACGTCGGGAGGATCATGGTCGAAAGAGGGGGGAATCGGGAGTCGAGGATGGATGATTTGCCGGCAGAGAGGGAGAGGGTTGAGAAAGAACTTTGGGAGGAACGAATTGTCTCGTAGATTACATACTAGAGGATCATGAATCTCCCTTTACTGCGCTACCAATGTTGCTGTCTACTCTGGCCGATTGCTGTTGGGCGAAGTTATCACTGATTGCAATTTGTAAATGTTTGATCCAGACGGTGACGGCGTCGTCAATCTAGTCAGATCATTGATCAAGTCCAATTTTCTTTCACTTTCATCCAACTTTCATCCCGACACACTCGGCTCTGCCCACCACTCGTCAAAGGTTAAAGCGGAGCAATAGAATCGGCCTGTATGCCGCAATTGGAAATCACCCTGGCACCATATCTCTCTCAGCCCACGCGCTCACATGTCCGAATCCCTCATCGAACTTCCGACTGGCATCGACTCTGGAATCCTGATGACATGGAATAGAAACACTGAAACCTGGCACTAGTCATCTGCTCCATTGAGACACTGCTACTCCTAAATAGACACGCCTCTGTAGCCGACGGAATGCTTGCCGATTTCGAAGTTGGAACGGATCGGTCCCCGCTCGCGCCATACCATGGTCTGAACGCGCCATTTTGCCCCTTGTCGCAATGCGTAGACGTTTCACTTGTATCGTCGACAAATGGCGCCCGCCTTCAATCTCGTTCAATTGCGTGCTACAACTATCACAGACTTATAAACTCGTGGAACGAACCTAGCAACTGACAATTCAATCCGTTTTCCACTTTCGCATCATGGCTCCCTCCGTTGCCGAACTCAACCCAGACCAAGCTAAACCGAATGGCAAAGAAGTCACCAAGCTCGCTCTGAAGGGCAGCTCCGCAACGCCTACCTACATCTCGGTACGTTAGATCATTGCTTCAATGTACTTCCGTTGGCTAATTGAAGATAGTCTCTTCCTTATCCCGAGTATTATCTTCCTCACGAGCAACCTTTTGGGAAAGAGCCTCCCCTTACGCCCTTCGGTATTTCTCCACGATTTTCTGGCGTCTCATCGTCGATTTCTCATGGTGTCAATATAGAACACGACGACCCAGGTCACCGCGCCGACCCTGCGAAGCCCAACCTCTTGAACCCCGATGCTAAACTGCGTCACCTAAACCCCTATCTTGGCACCGAAGTCCGTGGTGTTCAACTGTCTCAACTTTCGAACGAGGGTTTGGATGAGCTGGCGCTGTTCGTGGCAGAGCGGAAGGTCGTTGTGTTCAGGGAACAGGATCTGAAGGATCAGCCCCCTGAAAAGCAGCTGAAGTTCTCGAGGTACGTTAGGCTGGACCTCTGGAGCGGCGATTGAGAACACTTACGCTGCAATTTGAAGCTATTTTGGTCGTTCGCATGTCCATCCGTTATCGGTTAACGTGAAGGATTACCCTGAGCTTGCGGTCATCTACCGCGATCCTGAGAACCCTGGCTTCTTGGACGAGCTGGTGAAACCTCGTATCAACCATACGAATTGGCACTCGGACGTGTCGTATGAGAAGCAACCTCCCGGTACAACCGCCTTTTACATTCTCGACGGTGTATGTATCTCTTGACGTATTTCCTATCGTTCTTCCTCGCTGACTTGGCTCTCCTCGTAGCCCGACGTGGGAGGAGATACCCTGTTCCTGTCTCAAGTCGAAGCATATAACCGACTTTCTCCAGCTTTCCGCGAGCGTCTAATCGGTCTCAAGGCGGTGCACACCGGCATTCCTCAAGCTGAAGGAGCGAAGAAGAGAGGTGTTCATGTCAGAAGAGAGCCGGTCGAATCTGAGGTTCGTACTGAATACCCGACCCTCCCGAGATCTAAGTTCACTAAACGGTTGCTGTTTAGCACCCTGTCGTTCGTGTGCATCCAGTGACCAAAGAGAAAGCACTCTATGTCAATCCAGGGTTCACGACTAGGATCGTGGGGTTCAAGAAAGAGGAGAGCGATGCACTACTTGGTATGAACAAATCTTCCCCAAGACAGCATGGTACTGAGTGTGTTTTGCGCAGGCTTTTTGTTCGATCATATCACCAAAGGTGCAGACTTCCACGTTCGAGCAAGTTATGAACCAGGAACGGTTGTAATCTGGGTGAGTGGTCTTAGAATGCCTTGAAAAGTCAACTAACACGACATCTCTGTTCAGGACAATCGAGTCACGGTTCACTCTGCGATTCCAGATTTTGACCGCTCCCTTCGAAGACACCACATTCGATTGACACCTCAAGCTGAGGTTCCTATCGCTGCCACGGAGCCTTGAAAGTCGCACGTAATTGTATATTTCAGACGTGCTGTACTTATGTCTCGAGCTACGTAACTGGATATATATTGATGTGGCACATGGGCCCCGAATTCTCCAGATGACGTATCCGCCCACTTTCTTTCCTCCCCAACTTCAACGCAAATGTGAATTCCACCGTACGTATAATTCTAGGGCAAGGTAAGGAGAGATTCACGACAGAGCCATCTCATTGTTCAAAACACGAGGTGGTCGACATACCTTGGCAGTGTAGCGAACACCGTTGGATCAGGGGAAACTGTGCTGGCCGACAATATGGGAGGTCTGGGACGTTAGCCAGAGCCTAAGGCCTGATATCTTATGTACATTAACATTCAAACGCTGCAACGATGAAGTTTGCAAATTGCGGGTCCACTTCGTACGGCGTTGCGCATTTATTCCGTAACTCTGATGTCCTCTCTGGTTGTTGTAGTGTGACCATAAGAATAGCTAGGTCTTTAAATAACTTTCCTCACATCTTACTAATGTCTATGTATTTCTTTTGCACTCGCCCGCAAGCTACAAAACCTATGTCTCAGTAACGACTTCACGACTGAATCCACGACCGCTCGACTCTAACGATGTTTGGTCTTATCCTTTAAACCTTCACCCTCGAATGCGCTCGAAAGGTTTAGAACATCGTAGATAGTTCTGTACTAACCTGGAAAGTAGTGTGCAATCAATATAAATGGGTCGCCTTTTTGTTTGAAGGACGACCCCCCTCTTCTGACCCAAAAAACTTGACTTACCTACACGTGAGAACACCGTACAGCTTCGCACTACGGCTTACCACTGCGTAAGAATATCGTACAGCTTCGCGCTACGACCCTCGAGTTTGTATTCAGAATCCCACCTGAGTTCAGCCTGATACGTTAAGACTAGGGATAATTCTATTGAGAAACCCCCCATGAGGGGTTTCTCTATAGGAAACCCGGTATGCGAGGGTTCCTCGAGTACGGCCAGCCGACCGAAGCCTCCGTGCGTGCCGGGAATTTCGGTATGAGACTACGAGCATCCGCCGAAGGCCCCTAAAGTAGCTAAGCGCCCATATATTCATGGAGTGGCCATTCATACACGCTAGCAATACTATGTAGCACGCCTATAATCAATTTAAAGTCCATGAAACTGTACTTATAACCAACTAAGGATGGTAAATGTTCTGAATCATGTCTGTCCTAAAGCAATCGGACAACGGGTCCGATTGTGACCTTGTTCCCGGCATATACCGCATCGTCTGCCTCCTAACGCGGTCTCCTGCTCGGAAGGTACATCCGCATTGCGAGTTGTCGTGTTCTGGGCTACTCGCAATCGCGTAACCGGCCCACCACCCCGTGCGCGACCCTCGAGCGCACCTGTAATTCTTGATGTTCTGGGTCGACCTTTGGGATTCAATACCGGCGGATCTACCACTTGTCCTTCACTTTCAGCTTCAAGTCGAACTCGTCTGTGAAGAATTGAGAAAGGCGACGGCAATGATTAGGCAATATTTACCTGAGATTTCGAAGGTCATTGAGAACATCGTCCAACTGCTCTTGTGTCTGAACGTGGGCTAGAATCGGTCTGAGCAGGGCATGGGCTTCGTGGTTTACGGCGCGAGCGCCCACAGTCTGTGTCGGAGGTGGAGGACTGGCTATCTGGGCGACAGTTCGTCGCTCAAGGGGGTTGGAAAGTAAGGCGGATGGAATGGGCAGTGCCTTTGATTCTGGAAGCTCCTCCCGGGTGCCGGCTGCATGGTCAAAGATCAAAGTAGGGAGGGCTGACACGTCCAAATTTGCGTTCTTGAACCATCTAGATACGAAGCGTTTTCAGTAACAGTGTTTTTTGTGGAAGTAATGCACGCTACCTAGCCCGAACGAGCCCCATATGAAACCCAAGACCATGAACAACAGTCCAGGCCTTCAGATAATGCCGGCAAGGAACACCCAGATTAACGCCCATGCAGCAATCGCACATATAGCGATTATCTGGAAGGATAGCAAGGTAGTGATACGACCTTGTAGCCATATGCGATACCTTGAGTATATGTGAAGGATGGAGCTGTCGCCTGTGAAGCAAACGAAGAATCCACCTCATGGAGACATATGCCTCGTCGTTCTCGAAGCTATTTATCATTTTCTGAATTATTATGGTGAGCTTTGGTTTGCTACATCTGACACGATCGGACTCACCAATTCCTCGTTGCTTGACCATGAAAAGGCCGGAGTATCTGTCAGGAGGAAGGCTGAATCTGTCTGGAATATTTTATGAGTACATTAGCCTCGCCACCAGCGCTTATTGCATCATATAGCACACTCACCCAGCTTTTCATCCCTGGGGGAAGCTGAATAATTTCCACATTATAAAATACGCTTTTCTTCATCTCTTTGAACGTCGAGTGGAGCGCAAAAGGTCCTGCATATTGTCTGAGCAGTCTGAGTGGTCCGGAGAACACTAACTCGATAGGCTGGTCATGCTGCCTTCGAGAAGACTAAAGAACCCGTTTTGAGTATCTCTATAACTTCGAAAAATGTTGAATGACATACCTTTCGTATTTCTGTCATTTCGTTGACATTTTGAGCTGAGCTTCGGTCGTTGAGGGCAAGAAACACTTGGAAGAACGTCGATTTGGGACCTGTTATGGTCTTGGTGATTCGATTTTCCACCTCAACACGGCCGTTGGTGCGTATACCGCCTGTAAACACCGTCCCAATCCAGGCCCAAGCCCAGCGTTCCCTACACTGATACAAGTCCGCCAGGTAGCCCTTTGCAGATGGGTACTTGGATTGAAGAGCACTCCATCCCTCTTCGAAGCACTCCGGAGATGGGGAACGATAAACCTTCCAAAAGTCTGAACTGAAGTCAGACCATTTAGCGCCAACTGCCGGTCGTAGGTTGGTTGCAAGGTTACCATTGAGATGGTGGAGGCAGAATGCGTGGAAAGTGAAGGGCATGGTGATTTCGCAGGCACGAATGATGGAGCCATGCCTGTCAGAGAAGAGTACCTCCGGTGGAGAAGATGTCGTGCGAAGATGGTTCTGAAAAATCCAAGTGTACGTCTCGATCTCTTCTGTTTCGTGCACGCAGAACCAAAGGATGCGCGAGTGGCCAAAGCTGTCGATACAGAGTCCCAGATTCAAGGGGTAGCCGTATTGGTTACGACTATAGGTGTCATCGGTTAAGATCAAGTCAGGAAACCGGCGAGAGAGCGCCACCTGCTCTGGAGACTGCCACCACAGCCCCACTAGGCGCTGCTGCGAGTCTAGTCGAATCTCAAACTGCCAGTTAGGATCCTCGGCCCTCAGCTCTTGTAAGCGTGCGAGAATGGTTGCAACATCGCCTCCCAACCGTTCTACCTCCGCTCGAGCCTCTCTTTTTGCATCGTTGATCAGGTTGGACACCTGTCGGGGCTCAAGTGGATGAGAGGGATATTGGTGTGAGAGTATCCCAGAAATATGGGTGCGATTAAAGGCGGATCCAGGGTTGGAGACGAGCTGCTTAACGGTGTCGCGTTGATCAGAAGTCGGGGGATGTGGCATGCGCCCGTTGTTGGCAAGAACCCGATTATGGTTGTGGCTGAAGTCGACAAGTGTGATGTTCCATTGGCCGGATGCAATGCGATTGAGATTAACTCGTGCTGTGCACCCAGTCTTGATGGATTTCCCTTCCCGGTGATCAGATGGGTCGATAGAATTGAGGTGAATGGGAGTGTGAGTACCATAGCACCGACAGCGGAGGGTGACTTTCTTCCGTGTGCCGTTGGATGCCCTCTTCGACTGAGCCATCCGCCACATGAATCCCAGCCTCTCCTCAACCGTATAGATCGCAGTTTTGGCCTCCTCTAATGAGTGATACACCGTCCCAACCTCGATTGTGGTTTTCAGCGCTTCAATAGTCCTTTGCTGCTTTGAATTGGCATGGACATCCGAGTCGGACTCAACCGACTCAGCGATGGACGTGTCACGCTTCCGTTTTGTGCTTGAGGGCTTCGACTCTGGGGACGGCGAAGGAGTCGGTGTTGTGAGGTCGATGACTGGTCCAGAATTAAGTCTCGAGAGACGTGGAGGTGGTACTGTTAGATCAAGGACTAGATCCTGCTCGATTTTAACAGCAGGGGGAGGCGAGGGAGTTGTCAGGTCAATGATTCTGGTAGTAGCTGATGTTACAGTATCCAGCTTTGCGGGTGGTGACGACTCAAGTTTTGCGGAGCGTTTGAGTGTGAATAGGAGGGAAGGAGGAGGGGTGAATAATTCGATGTCGCTATCATTGATTTCGTCCTTGATCCTAACAACCGACACGCCGTGGCTTTGAACACTAGCTGAACCTTGGTTCTCAGGCGTGTCATGACAATTTGTCTAAGCAAAGCGTCTCATATCGTCAAGTTATCATTCTTATTAAATAGACATGATACTCACAATCTCCTGGAACGGTTCAAAGGGGAGAACTTGGAGAAATGCATGAATCGGGTGACAGTTCTAAGAGTAATCAAGTAAGCCTCTTGTAACGGGTAGCCTAAATAATGAATACGCACGGTTGGTAACTGAAGATTGAAATCCTTATAGCCAGACGCCCAAGGATTCTCTGCAGTAGCCTTGGCTGGTGCTGAAGCATAAAGACGATCAATTGACCACGTCTCTTTGTCCTATAAAGGTGCGTCAGATTGAAGACTGTTTAACGAGTGAAATAATTAAGACTTACGTGTATATGATCCATGGATACAAGATGATACAACGCCAAGTTGCGCAATGCCACATTACGGTGGTAGGTTGAGCTGGAATCGGTCCATTGGTAGGCTTTGGGACTAATTTGACGCTCGACGAAGTTTAAAGCCGCTACCCCGCAGCTCCCATGAGAATGGACTTGGACAGGAACAGCTACGGGTGTTACTTTCATTGGTTCAGGGAGCCCTAGGCCCTTCACCACGGTTTTGAAGACAGTCAGGGAATGCGATGGGGCATCTCGATGCATAGAGTCGCGATGCTCTAGGCGCCCAGTGTCCGTGTGGTAGGTTTGGACAGAGAAATGATTTTCGTCACAGGAAACGAGGTGAATATGGCGGGACTGGGTGGTTTTAAGCTGGCTGCGGAGAGCAACAAGGTTTTGATTGAAAGGGATGGAATCGTGACGATGTGCTGCAGGAGACGACGCAGAAAGCAGGTACTTCGCCTCATTCCCAAAAAGAGTCGGCAAGATAATGTCAGGGCAGAAGTTCGCGTCCCTGGACAGAGGAACATGATTCTTGAGGTATAGCAGCTCGAGTAGGGCGTTGAGCACGTCCTCCTCAAGCCAGTCTTCACCAATGAGTCGCCCAAGCTTGAAAAGCGGGAACTGAGTAATTTCGAGGCCGGAGATTGGTGAGTGAATTGGGCATCGCGCGAGCTTTTCGATCCAAGCGTTGGTGAGCATGCCACAAGAGCTGAGCCTCTGGAATGCTTGTTTGGCGAGGTGGATATAGGTGGAATTGTTGTTGATGAGAATGAATAGACGGATCTAATGAGTGTAGAATAGTGTCTGTCAGTGTCGTGTATAAGGGAAGACGTACAACGGAAAGCTTACCTTCATGAAATGCCACTGTTGTGATACTGCTTCTCCAGATATTTTCATTGTTGCAATGACCGAACGCTTTCCTTCATTGAAAGCATCTTCAGCAGCCTTGGTAATCGGAAGAAGGTCCTCAAGCGAGGGGATCACCTCGTCTTCGTCGACAGAAATGGCGGAAGCGACTTTGGGAACACTGACATCGAAGGTCCAGGCTGAGAGGGTCCCAGGAGGCGCGATAGTGGGCAAGACCATGTCACTTGCCATCCTGAAGTCCAAGCGTTCGAAGAATCGCGGGGAATAGAGAAGGTTGGGTACGGGAGTTTGATAGGCGTCGAAAGGGGACATTATGTTGGACGCAGAGAACGATAAATGAGAGGAGACTTGTTCAAAGTTTGGATGGACCGACTTTGCTGCCTGCCAGTCGTTGGGTTTTTATATGCCGTCTCATTCCTGGTCACGGTTGTGCAATTTGGGATGCCGCGCATGCAATTTTTTTTTCTTTCATTTGGATACCACTCACCACACGTTTTCTCTCCACTTCAATTCAGAGATAAATTTTAATCTTTTACGAATCATTCCATCTCTGCTGGTGACAAGGAAAATAATCTTTCACTCCACTGATTGAGGCTGTGTTTAATATTGAAAAACGGCGCCTGAACTCCCAAGGTTCGCTTCAGAAAGCAAGAAAGGACAAAGTTAACCTTCAACGCAGGGTACTGATACAGTGGTTATACACAGTTCAGAGACATGCCCATGGCACCGACGCTCCCAGAATATTGCATTAGACGTGATGTAAGCGCCCAACATCCTGATATGGAATAAGGACAGCCCATATTGGTAAACTCCTGAGTGGAGTTGTATCCACGACATCTAACGCCCACTCACTGCCTTTCACACATGTCCACCGCCGAAACGCCGACACACCAGGCACGCACCATATGGACCAAATTGTCGGCCCCACGCCATGCTCCCGGCCACCATTCATCCGTCGCGGAAGAGCCATCGGGCATCTGGTGATAAGGGCTCCGGTGGGTAAAAGTCATTGGCACCCCAGGGTATCCAGTAGACCCGGGTTTCTAGCCTCATACCGGGTTTCTCAATAGAATAATCCTAAGACTAGTATCACAACTGTAAACTAAGTAAGGTTCTACTCTATTGCTCTAAATCCTCGGTTGTCTTCACCCCGAAGACACTTGGTTTGTGGGCCAAGTCGCAGGCTCCTGGCAGGTTACGAGTCCGTCTTTGGATATCATAGGACTAAGTATCAGTGCTTGAAGTAGGTGCAGTGATTTGCGGGCACAAGAGTCACTAATAATCTAAAAGATGCTGGACACGGCAGTGGTTATTGCCTCAAGGAATACGCCACATTGCACGCATACCTGTCTGCACAAGTGGCTAGACGCGTGTCGTCCCAAGAGTCGATATCCCCCTCGCAAATGAACCGCCGGCCAGTACCAATTCCATCGTGGTACCAAATCTTTCCCTGAGATATAATCCTACATACAAAGTGTTCCTGTGAGTAATAGACCACGCCTTCAAGATCGTATGTTACGCTATTTCCTGTCGGCGAACGTACGCGGAGAATTTTGTCAATGCGCACTGCTGAATTGTTGGGTAAATGAACCATCAGTAGCCTGGCCGGGTCTTCTAAACTATGCTTAATGAACATCTGGGCGCCGCAATTGCCACACCTTCTCGATACTCGTGAGAGGCAATACCTGTCCATACCTTCTTGAGTTGAAGGGGCCAGTCGATTGAAGGGAATACCGCAGTTGTTAATGCTATGGACTGGTATGTCTTGTTCATGACAAGATCTACACTCATATGCTACTGAGAATACAGCGCTAGAACGGTTTAAAACCTCATCTGTGATGTACATCACGCAAGTATAGCTACCCATAGCAAATACGTCCGGTACATTCACGGACATAGCAGTGCGCCATTTATCTCGCACATTGTCCAGCGTTGTGCGACGGAGCGCGACAGAACGAAAGCCGGAATGAAGTAACTCCCCATAGGTGTTATCTAACGAAGACAAAAAATCACCCCACCCCGATCTGTTCTTCGACCAAGCAGAGAATAATATTACGATGAACACATCGTACGCGCAGCTATTATTAGACCATTCCGTCCCAGACATCAGTCCGGTTGCACCAGTAGTAGTCGACGAAGATGTCGCGTCCAGTTTAGCACGCTTCCTTGGATCGCATTCGATCGGTAATCCTCTCTTTACCGCAGCCCTTTCTAACATGAAGGGGTTAGTGTCACTGGTGGTTACCGCTTTGGAACCCTCGGCCGAAACATAATTAGCAAATTTCTGTACCACTGGCTCCTTGTTCCGGGCGGAAGTGGCAGTAATATCGTCTTCATACACAGCCCACTCAAGTTGAATATGGTCATCTTCTTTCCAAGGACGGGTCTCACTCCATTTGATGGCACTATGCACACCCTCCGGTACGTAGTTTTCTCCTTTCCACTTTCTGAACTGTGCGATTAACTCTCGTCGATGAGACCCGTCAATCGTACGCGGAAGAAGGTTGTTGTATTTGAGGTCGGTTATCACGCTTAAAACTTCTAAGGATCTAAACTCATCCCGCATCGAGCCATTAATGCCCCCAGTTATAGCATGGGTGGAAAACTCCTGTACAATGACCGTGCCTTGTGCAGATACACCCCTCGAAAGCGCCGTATAGAATGACTGGTGAGTTTTACACGGGCTCAAATCAACAACATTGTATTCTCTGGTCTTGCCCTGGGACGCGAAGTCAGTCATCGAAAATAGTGAAGGACACGGGTAACCCGCGGGTAAATTTACCCCTACCCGTACCCGTACCCGCGCTTACCCGTACCCGCAACCCGACGGGTATTCTGCACAAAACGAGCCCAAGAACGTCCAAAACGGACCAAAAATGAGCGAGATATACTCAATTTACTTAAATCAAGCGTAACCCGCCCATTTTATGGCCGTTTTGGACGTTTTTGGGCTCGTTTTGAAGGGCGCGGGTATGGCAACCCTTACCCGTACCCGCACCCGCGCCTACCCGTACCCGTAACCCGCCGGGTATCGAAAACCCGTGTCCATCACTAATCGAAAAGTTGGGTAATACCTCTACTTGCTTCCGGGTTATCAGGACTTTCTCGTCGGTCGGCAAAGAGCACAACACGCGACTAACGGTGGACGGGAGTATAGGCACAACATTCAAAGGGAGGCCTTCGAACTGGACAGGCGCGGGCGGACGGAGCAGCTCGACAAACAGAGTTTCTAATATAGGCTGATTCTTAGACCCGACACCGCCTTGCCAAGCGTACACGACTCCCTCCTGACCTTTTGTTATGCATAACTCCGTCGCGTTATTGTTTCGCAGCATAACAGGCAATCCGACGCATACACCGATCCTACCTGGTACCAGTTTGTCAGTCGTACAGCAAGGCTGCTCCCACAGCGCTTTCTGCAATCTCGGTGCAATTTCGGCGTCGTATACCAGATTGCGGACCCTGTCGCGATCGGTGCTATCTATTTGTTGGGCAAATGTGTCCTCAGAATAAAAATAACGTAGACGCTGGCCAGTTTCTTCGGCGAACCTTGCGGAACCCAGTCCATTAATGGTATCCTTCAATACATTTAGCGTCGTGATGACAGACACATTCCGGAACTCTGGATCTTTGATAGACGGCTTCCCAGGCAAGACGGACGAAATTCGAGATCGAAGGAAATTGATATCAGCTGGCGTACACGCCTTATACCGCATGTTCTCCAGAGCCGTTCGAAGTTTGGCATCCTCCCCGGATTGCGCGGTCTGCCTCATGTTCTGCTTCAGTATCACTACAGTGGTTACCTCATGCCAAATGGACTTCCCTATAGACGCCTTTTGTTTACGAGATGTAACACCGGACAACCCTATATGCCTCCCGTACAATGAAGCCATTTCCCCCCCCATCGGAGGCGGTAGCTGCGCGAAATCACCGGCGAATATCATGCTTAACCCCCCGAATGACGTATCAGGGGTGTTCAGTATTCCGGCAAAGCCTGGCACTGATGCGATACAGCTCGTAAGCGGACACCATGGATATCTCGTCAAAAAACACGTAATCTACTCCCAGCAATTTGGATTTAACTGCAGCCATACCGGGCCCCGATCGGTCATTGATGCCAAAGGCCGAATGATAGGTCATCCCACCGAGCAACGCGGCCGCAGAACCAGTAGGCGCGACCACGATCAGTCTATATGACTCTCCGCGGCTCTTGAAGAACTCCATCAGTGCCTTTAGTACCTGGGACTTACCAGTGCCACCCATACCCCCAATATACATGTTCAATCTTTCAGAGTAATCGTCTGACGCGTGATTGGCGACGATACGAAACACTTTCTCTTGTTCGTAATTCAACCCGAAACTCGCCACGACATCATCAATTTTGCGTTGGATCACAGGATTATACAAAGGATCTTTGGTCAGGTACTTTTTTCCAGCCACAAAAACCGCGTTAGTCGGTAATCGTCTGCGTCCGTCGGGTGTGTCCTTAACGGACGGAGGAATCGCCTTGGAGCGCGAGTCGAGGACTTCCTGTCGCTTTCGCAATACTTGCGCTCTCCAGTCCGAAGCGAGTAAAAAGGGAACGGAGGCGTCGTTACCCAAAGACACGTTCTGCTTAATACGCGCAGGTAATGTCCAACCCGAGTTCTCCAATATTGACGCCATACGTTTCATCGTTGCCAAGCGATCCCCATAGCATTTGCCCAACTCATCGCCAGCGTCTATGCCGTCACGATAAGCGCCGTCGACAATGTGATTGGACCCGATCGGCGAGGCTTCTTGATCATCAGACGGAGCGTCAAACTCGTGATCGGGATCGAACCAGCTACTGTTGGGCAAAGAAATGCCTGCACCTGCTTTGAGTTGCGCTCTGAAATCATCTCTCGCGTCTAGACACTCGTATTTCAAATTGATGTTCTTCATTATTGTTTCATATCGGGGGCTTACAGCGGTCCGATTCCAAGCGGCCGACCAGTCTTCCCCAGGAGCTCGCAGGTCGGTACCCGATCTCCACGGAACGAACAGAGCTAGCATCGCAACGCCGTATTCGTTCTCGCTCCCTACTCCTGGCCTCGGGAGCGTGCCACCCAATAAGTTAGGGACGACATATTCCATAGCCTTAGTATTAACTCTTAATCCATGGGAATCGGCCAAGGGGTGATCAGGTCCGAAAGCGAAGGTTCCCCGAGGTAGGGTACGCTTATCGCGGTGAACCGAGGACACCTGCACGCGCTTGCAGCAACGTACAAAGTCATAAACGGGCAAGGACTCCACAACGGAAGGACGGTAGACATAGTCAAACGTGCAAGAAAGCTGAACATACCTTCCTTGTTGCTTGATAACTGCTACTTTGTCGTGTCCAACCATCCGATCTTGTTCGTCCGGGAAAGCGCTCTTAACTTGGTTAACATAACTAGTCCAGTACAACGGAACAAAAGTGTGGTCGGTATAGTGATCCGGGTTACCCATAAGGTACAAAGCAATCATAGGCGCACCGAGTTCCATCTTAGCGGATACTAAATTCACGATCTTAGTCATGAGGCGCCTCGCGATATCCTTCGCTTTGATGTCACCCCACATTATGTTGGTATCTCTTGTAATGACAGTCCGTATCGCGTCGAACACCACGTGCGTTTTCAACCCCGGCTTAGTAATATAATCCGTTACATAGACGATGACCGCTTTGACGGCTGTTCCGGAGAGCAGACTTGTAACATCCGTGTTACATCCCATGATATAAGTAAGTAAAGGTGTCATGGTGTTGATCCACGCCTCTCCTTTCTTGAGTGCAAGAGCGCCGGTCGCAGGGTCGACTCTAGTAGTCTCGTGGAGTTCTCGAGGGAACCGCGCTCGACATCGCTTAAACTTGTTATCCCGGCAGTTGACATAGGTCTGCTTCTTGCTGAACGTGCCATCTTTGTTCCCTATTTCTGTCACAGTCATGTACGTTGGATTTCAGGAAGAGGTCATCGACCGTTTCGCGGAAGTATTCCCACCAAGACCTAGTTCGGCTACAGGAGGAGCATCCATCAGCATGCTCGACTGAGCATCCCCTTAAAGGAGGAGAAACAGGAAGAACCATAGTAGGATCGACATAAAGATCGGACTCCGACTTTTCATCGACGTTCCGTTTGACATCTTGAAGAGAACCGGTGAGGAATTCGCCTACGTGAGCTGCTTCTAACCATTCTACTATTTTGCCCTGCCAGTTCAAGTCATTAAGGATCCTGTCGCGGATCACTTGGGGACTGACGCTGCCTGAAATCCATATAAGCATATGGAGATGAAGAGTGAGTCTTCCCTGCTGCTCGACGGTGCCGTAATAAGCGCTTGTGGGTCCGTAGGCTCCCGGCTCACGCCGAGCCTTCACACCAAGGACCTCCGTTATAAATAAATCGACGAGGAAATGAAAGAATCTAGCCGCTGCGACGGGATTTCGACAAATCAAACGCAGTCGGCGGTCATACGGAAGTATATCGGGATAGAATTTCTCACTCGTGCCGGCGAAGTACAAGCACAGGGGGTGTTGAATATCCGCAGGGGAAAGCGTTATGTACCAGGAAGGGCTTCCACGTAGCGCCACAAGTGACCATACCTCATTCCGCATGTACTTTTTATTCGTGATCGAGCCATTCACCTTCCCCATGATATGATCAAGATCGTGAAAAACCCTCCAACATTGCTTCTCCATTTCAGTCTCTGCTCGCACAGTTTCGCCATTGGCCATTCGATTGATTAGGTTCTGAAGAACATTCGGATCGACGGACAACAAACGAGAAGATACATCGTTGAACTGGGAGCGATCCACGATAAGGTGGCCCTGATTTTGGGCCAAGGACATTTGTTCGTGACTGAACGCGACAAAGCAGAAGGTCGGGTCTAACTGGAACCGCTTGTCGTGATAAAAGAGTAAATGCCGTTTATGAGCCTTCTGCGACGTCCCAGGAACAGACCCGACGCCGCCAAGACCGTAGGGAAACAACCACGGGAACATTTGTGGATAGATGTTGGGGCTGTTCCATAAACTAAGGGGCTCTGATTCGTGACCTACCACAAGGAATTTCCCCCGATTATTGAGATGCCTGAATGCCCGTGCTTTGAGGGTTTTTACAGACATATTCTCCAGCTTGTCACCTGTTATGCCGTGAACGGTAAACAAGCAGTCCCCTTCACTAGTACCATCCTCTTGATCTTTGTCGAACACGCTCGAATTCTCGGGAGATTTATTTGTGGTCGAATGAACATATTCTACCGCCACGGGAGGAGCGTCTTCGGGATACGAAGCGAGGTTCTGCGTCGATATGCTTACGTCCGCATAATCGCAGTGATTGAGAATAAGCCACTCCAGAGCCCTACGGACCTCGTTGCGTCTGACGAGAAACGGCGTCCTTTTCATATCTTCTTCAGTAGGAGGTTTGGGGCCCGTAAAGAAAATGGCCAGCACTTCCTGAATGTCGTCTCTGGGAGGGGGCAGCATGTCGTACACCCTCGGTACAGGCACCTCGAAGCATATCACGTTTGTTTTCATTTTGCGCATCCCGGTAGATATTTTCGCCCAGCACACAGAGTGTCGCACTCTTGCGACCAAGAGGCGCTCTGCATAACGAAGGCAAGCCAGTTCTGGTGGGACGGCACCAATCCAAAACCCCCGCGCCAGCGCCATGTTAGGTATCCGGTTTTTTCACAATATTACATAGACTGTGTATCATGTGTGATGTACCAGAGTGAATTCAAAATACCCTATTCCGATGCTCTAGCGGGACCAGCTGGATTTAATAAAAACATTGTATCCATGTCGCAGCTGCCTACCCACACAATGTACTGTTTTGATGTCCCAGCCGGGCTGCCCACGGCGATGTGGAATACCCAGAAGTTGTTTGCTGCCCAAGCTCTCCGCCCAGCTGGAACATTGGGTTAATCCACTGGTGCCAACATTGAACTCGCAGGAATAGGTTTGTTGTTCGAATTCCCTGGAGTTCGTTGCTGCCCACGCTCGCCCCCCAGCTGGAACATCGAGTTAATCCGCAGGTGCCAACGTTAAACTCCCAGGAATATGTTTGTTGTTCAAGCTCAAAGCCCAACTGGAACATTGCATTTGCGCTGGTAGATCACGCGTATGACCAATGTCCCAGCTGGGTAGTCCTAGAAATTTGGACTACACAGCTGGGACATTTGACATGGGTTAATAAATGCACTATATCCATGTCCCAGCTGGGTAGTCCTAGAATTTTGGACTACACAGCTGGGACATTTGACATGGGTTAATAAATGCACTATATCCATGTCCCAGCTGGGTAGTCCTAGAAATTTGGACTACACAGCTGGGACATTTGACATGGGTTAATAAATGCACTATATCCATGTCCCAGCTGCCTAGCACCCAATATGTACAGTTTTGATGTCCCAGCGGGATAGCCCATGCCAACGGGACCCCCTAGGATTTGTAGCTTGTGAAGCTCAAGACCCGTAACCTTGAACTTGAAATCTAGAGGCGACGCGAAGCATGTAATGGCTGTAAATGCTAAGTTCAAGCAGCAGGTCGGCAATGACGACTTCGGCTGAGCATCCTCAGCAAGGGACAGTGAGTGTTGCAGTAATACAGGGTAGGGGGAAATGGGACAGCCCCAGCTGGGACATTATGCAACCTTGGGTAAGTTCCGGGCATTCAGCATCTCATAATCGAGCGTAGAGTCTGACAGAGAGGGATTGATTTAGATACGGTGTCCCAGGTTGGGAGATCACACACATGTCGCATGTCCCAGCTGGGGAGCCTCAAAAATTGAACAAACCCAGCTGGAACATGCGACTTGTGCTTGACATCCCAAGGTCGCATGTTCCAGCTGGGGAGCCTCAATAATTGAACTAGCCCAATAAGTTCATCCTAATTTCAACATCAAACTCTCCCTTTTCTTCGACATCGTCATAGACGAAACAGCACTGCATATTCTTCGACTTGACAATTTCGCGTCGTCGCCACCCGCAGTAAATCACCGCATGGACGCAGCAGACAGGGCGCTCCCGCTACGACGAATCCTCCTTCGACGCTGGAACATTCGACCTGTGCGTGATCTCCCAAGGTCGCATGTTCCAGCTGGGGAGCCTCAAAAATTGAACGAGCCCAGCTGGAACATTCAACCTGTGCGTGATCTCCCAAGGTCGCATGTTCCAGCTGGGGAGCCTCAAAAATTGAACGAGCCCAGCTGGAACATTCAACCTGTGCGTGATCTCCCAAGGTCGCATGTTCCCAGCTGGGGAGCCTCAAAAATTGAACGAGCCCAGCTGGAACATGTGGGCTCACCCTCAAAATTTGGAAGCCTCGACCTTGGGACATCAGGCAAGAGGCGACGCGAGGTATGTAATGGTTTAATCATCATTGTTATTCATCATTGTACTCAATACCCAATTGAGGTATCTTTATGCGCGGTAAACACTGACCAAGTTCAAGCAATGTGTCTCCCAGCTGGGACATCGGTGGCGGGAAGGTCGCACAGGCCTTATGTCCCAGCTGAGCGAGCTTGAATCTACAGGTACCTCCGCTGGGATATGAGGGATGGAACTTAACCGGTCTCACCTCACCCAACTTACGCCCACACGTACATACATGATCCAATTCGACCTGCCCAAGCCTAATCCTGGTACATACATGATCCAATCCGACGTATAGTTTGTCTACCCATCAGGCCAGACCATGATTACAGGAAGGAAGGAGAAATGAGCAGGGAAGGGGATGGAAGCCTGGTTTTATAGATACCAAAAAGGAAAAAAAAGGAGACCACTTGTAAAAGTACCAAGAGCAAGAACATGCAGACGCGGAAATGTGCTCTTGCAGAACATATGTCCATGTCCCCAGGCTATTCCTTCCAAGCCCTCGTCAAAGCCAGGTGGTGAAATCGGATCTCCAAGTCCGCGACGGCATTCTCTAATCGGAGAATTTCTTCTTGAAGGTGAAGGAAGGCCTCTGCGTCACATTCACAAGCAAGGGCGTAGAGCGCATAAGATTCGCAATAAGCCCGATGCCACAGGGACGCTGCCTTCTCGCCTGGCTGTATGCGACCCTCAAGGGTCTTGAGCCGACTGGACACCATCGAGATACGCGACTGAAGAGAGCGGAACTGGTCCTGGCGAGCTTCATCACTGATGGTTGCCAGAGGCTGGGGGGGGTCGTACGGCAAGAGGTCAAAGACATAGTGTATGTTGGGGTTGTATTCGGAACGGGGGCGGCTTTGACCACCCATGTCAAACTTCTCGCAACATTTCTCGAGGAAGGAGGAGATGACATTGGCTCTCCTCTCCGCCGTCATGCTGAGGGTTCCGAGATTGACTATTTGCGCCAGCGGAGAGGAACTGGAAAAGCCGAGGAAGGAGACAAACATTGGTAGAGTATATTCTCTATTTTTTTTTCGAAACAGAGGAGGTCAATCTCAAATCCCAGAGCGCTTGCATTGATGCTCACCTTGGATGTTGAAGGAAGGTATTGGGGTTGCCCTTGGGGATTCCAACGTCAATCAGCGCTCTAGTCCGGGTTCGGCGATCATCGGCGATCATACGACTCGGTTTCGGTCCGGGTTCGGTGACTTGCGGGGAGCGGACGCGAAGGTCCTCGCCAGAAGCCCCCTGTGCTTCCGAACTTCTTGGCTGCCTCACGGTGATGTCATTGTCTCACCTCCATTGCCTGTCATATACAGCATACAACAAGCACAACCACATCGTCCTCCTCGTGCTCCAACTCAACGCTACTCCTGTTTACAAGGGTAATAATGCCCCCCTGAACATGTAGAGCACACTCTGAATGAGGAAGGAAAACGAGGAAGTCACGTCGGGTTCCCTGTTACAAAAGAACGCGTTCCACATGCATAGATTTCAGTTCTGGCGCAGTTGTGTTCCGCAACTAAGCCAACAATGTGCTATCTATATTGAAACTATCCCACTCTGAGCGAAGCCTTGAGACGGCAGTCGAAAGTTGTTCGGAAACGTGATGAGTGTCAAATGGTTGACCTCCCTTGACCTGATCCAAAATCTCCTTCATGTCATTATCCAGCACCCGCATCATGTCGTCTCGGCACATCATCTTCCTTTCATCCCGCGACTCTCCTAGAAAGCCCATCGACCAGTGCGGACCCGTTAGCCGAAGCCCACAATGCCTCCCCCCCCCGACTGACCCATCCCCTTCCGAATCCCACATCCTGCCTATGATAGCAGGCATTCGATTCCCCAAGCCAGCGCGGGTGGATGCAATGACAGACAAGCTTGCGGCCAGCTCAGTAGCTCCAGCCATGTTGACTGAATTTTGATGCTTCAGGCTTGAGAGGGCGACATCCATATCGCGACAGTCAACAGATCCCCGAAGCGCATTGAGTTGGCTGTCTATCTCGCTTAAACGCTGACGCTCTTGTTCCCTGAAAGAAGGTCAATATGAGAGGCTACCAAGACTTGGTGAGAAACCCCCAAACCATAGCTTCAGGCGCGACAGCAACGAAATGATCCTCTCTACCTCGAGGCAGAGGCGGTAATCTTCAAGGTGCGCGTCCATCAGGGGAACATCGGGCATGTGCATGGCGGGTTGCGGATCTATGGCGGGAGGGAGCTCAGGATCCATGGACGTTGATGGCATGTGCATGGCGGGTTGCGGATCTATGGCGGGAGGGAGCTCAGGATCCATGGACGTTGATGGGAAACGATGGAACAGACTGGAGAGGCGGCTAGTATGAGCTATGGAATTATATTGGTCATTCGTGGGAATATCCCAGATCCAGACGCTAGTGAGATTTAAACTGACCACATCTTATCCAGCATTTCGTTTTATCCACACTGCACATGGAGGCTCTACTTTCCACCAAGTACTCTGGCCACGAGGGCATTCGGAGGGCGTTTGAAACTGAAGCAGATCTTGGGCTTTGGCGGGAGTGGGCAAGTTTGGACCGGACTGGCAGTATCAGGGATGACTGCAACGACTGTGAAGAAGGCCCTCGAGGGAATCCATTGCACGACTACCCAGCGTGCAACTCTTGCTTTAACAGCGATTTTGGCATGGATTTCTGCAGTTTCCACAGCCATTACCTCGAGCATATGTTGATGAGCCAGTTCTACACCCCTGTTCACGAGATTCCCTTGGTGCTCGCGGAATACAGTCGGTTGAACGCCCACCTTGCGGAATTGGAAGACGCCTCTCCGGGAACGGCTGGTCTCGATGGGAAGCTTTGGGAGGGTGAGGCATCCTGATCTCGATTACCACAAAACACTAACTCTTGATACCATCAGGTCTTAAGCAAGCCAGAGCTCTCGTTGAGAAAGTCCAAACCAACGGAGAAAGGAACACTTCCACCCTTAATGAGCTCGACAAAACGTTGGTCAAATTGCAAGCAGAGAACCTTCGAGTCATGGCTGGTGAGTACATCCCTCTCCCAGCCGGTCTGCACTAACATTTGCCACCAGAGGCTGTCAGGACAAGAAAAAGGTGGATGGCTATGTCGCGAATTGTGAAGATGGCAGAAAGCGAACTTCGGACCAGATTGGTGGACGATGATTCAGCGCAGTCCAGCGCTCTCAGAACCCTTGGCCGATGTAGCAAATTAGGGCTACTGTATCCCTCATAATTGTACCTATAGAGGACTCTTGTAGCGTTCAAGTAGCTCTTACTTTGGCAAGGTCAAAAGTGTGCCCAGGGTCCGCGCGTTTGAGGTACCATGATCATTGATCACGCTCTGTCACTGTCAACATTTCCACCGTGACCTTGGCAGGGTCCCTCGACTACAAATTGCTAGCAGCCTGTATTCCCCATAATCTTCGTCTCTACTCAATCCAATGACAGGTAAGGACTGATCTCGCCACCTGACAAACCCATCTAACTGATATTGCGCGCTCTCGACAAGATACTCTACTAATTCGAGAGGAGATGGAGGTTGTGTTCGGCATGTTCAAAGTCCTTCTGGGTGAGTACGCAATTATGTGAATACGGCCCCATTGTTCTTATACCACATTAGCCATGCAGGAGCAGGTCGATGGAGCACGAAGGCTCGTAGAAGGGCGGAGAGAAGCGCTGGAAGCTTGTCACAGACAAAATGCTAGAATGGAACAGGCTCTGAGAGCCAGCGAGCGGATTGAACGAGGTGCCGCGGAGGGGAGGAGGAGGATGATTAACGATATAGCGGACCGTATTCACGAAATCGCTAAGAGCATCACCATGGACGACGAGATACATTCAGCTGTAAGCAATAACACAATGTAGTTCTCGTTGAATAATGCAAAGCATCTTGAATTAAGAGATAGTAGATCAGCCAGGATTTTTTCATGCCCTTCTCTGGACTTAATTTACGTCTTTCTTTGTAAGGGCCGGGGGGACCAATGTAATAGAAAGCAATAACATTGACATATCTACCAACTTTTACTTTGGGAGGGTGCGCAGGTGGTCTAGCTCGGCTTTCATATCATCCCTCAACGCAACAAGGGTGCCCCGCATCATGGCCTGTTCTTGCTGGATCCATTTGAGGGCGCGCACTTGCTTCTGAATCTTCTGCTGCAGAAGGCGTGTGAAGTTGACCGAAATGCGAACCTGTGGATGTTTCTCAGGCCTAGAAAGAGAACTGGTGACGTTGGAATCGGTCGTGTCGATTTGTTGCGGGCCCCCTGAGACGTCGCCGTTCTCGGTACTGCTTTCATTATGACCAACATCAGAGGTGCCGTCGCCTGAGTCCGGGTGGTTGGAACCCTCGTGGTGGTCAGGAACAATTGCGCCGTCACCCTCGAACTGGCTAGCACCATCGTCATCTTCAGCAGCTGGCTGGCTCGTGACATCCGCGTCGCCCTCCCACGCGGGCTGCCGCACGACACCCTCATCCTCCTCCCCCTCCTCCCCATCATCGCCACCCTCATGTTTGAACTTTTTCAACTCCATTGGCGCGTCCTCTGTGCGGCCCCACCTCCGTTTTCGATCCAAGTTAGCTGCAAAACATGCCGGACGTGAGTCGCCAGACGACCCAATTTCGATGCAAGCACGTACTTGTAAGCCCAGACCTTTTGTTGATGCTGCTCTCCTCGGCTAAAGGATGACATCGTCAGGCGAGTAGTCAGATGATGACTTCCCTCTTACCGTTTTCCCAGCCCCTCGCATGCTCCTTATCGGCTAACCCCTTTGAGGCAGGAACCGCCGAAGGCACCGGTGCCATGGGACCCACGGTCGATCCAGGATCATCCGAGTCCGACTCGAACAGCACATTCCGAAATTTTGCGAGCGATAACGCTCGAGTCTTCGCTGGGGGTCTTGCTCTGGATTCTGGATGGTCCAAAGGTTTTAACAACAATAATTTCGGAGACTAAGAAACATCAGTTGAAGGTACGCACTTGGCTTTGATGCCTCTTTGCCAGAGAAATCGTCCATTTCCTGTAAAATTCCGTAGGTGCAATATCGCGGGGGATGATTGAGTCGTCAGGCAATCCAGAACCGATCCTCGATAATACTTAAACGAATTTTGAGCTCTTGCGCGGTGATGGCATCACGTGTATCATTTAATCGCGGTAAGAGATCTTAAAAGTCGCGTTGGCCGCGCGGGGCGCTCTCGTCGACCTTCGTTGCCCAACCTCTCAGTCTCTCTCGGCGTACAGCCAGCGTACCGATGTCGAATAAAGACGCAAAAACCAAAGCGTTAGCCCCTTCCAACAATGAAGCTCGCTCTAGAGAACGAAAGGCTACGCCGCCGCCGGATATTGTTGCTGGTATAGAACGGTTGACCGCATTGGTGGAGGAGGCAAGCGCTTGGAGGAGAGGAAGACAAGACGTAACAAAAAAGCAGGAGTTGCTGGACCTCACGGTACGTCGTGACCATTCCATTGCCAGCTGATGGTAGAGTCTTCTTATATTCACAGGAAAAAGTGTTTGAGTCTTGGAACCGGCTCGGCTGGAGCAAGGAGGCGCTACCTTCTGCGATACGGGAATGGTTTAAACACATCGCCTCCCCCGCTGTCGCAGATTGGGATGGATTACCCGAAACACTCGACCTAACCTTTTTCCGAAAATTGAAAGCCGACACCCATGGCGATAACCTGAAGAAAAAGTCCTCGAAGCGCAAGGTAGGTGGATTTCTGTAGGCGTTAGGGGAAAACAGACTGACAAACGCAAAGGTGGCATTCGAGGGGCAGCCTCAGACAACGAAGAAGAAGAAAAGCGAAATTGACAGTTTGGAGGCGCGACAGGGACAGGGCGAAGGGGAAAGGGGAAAGGCGGCGACAGTGAAGGGGGAGAAAGCTGCAGAGAAGCTCGAGAAACCACAGGCGAAGGGTGGAGATGGCCCTCCCAAGCCCAGACCACGACCGAGACCAACAACGACAGTGAAGACGAATGGCCTAACTTCGCAGCCCAGCGCTGAGTCTGATCAAAGCCGCGAGTTCATGATGGTTGTTGCAGGGCTGAATGAGGGGAAGGGAAGGACTGGTCAAATTGGACAGAGCATCACCACCAACCCTTATTCCTCGGACAGTGGCTCTGAATCGAGCACCTCAAGTGACTCTGGAGATCGCGTCAAAGCCCGAAAAGCAAAGCGGAAAGCGACCCCCCCTACGGTGAGATTGTCCCAAAATCTGCGCGCGCGCCCACTCACCTTTGTCTAAGGCCCTCGTAAATTCCGTCCAGACATTGCCAACGATTGCCAAACTGACGGCAGTGACGACCGCACCTGTCTCTAGACACATCGAGGCCAAACCGACGGCAGTGACGACCGCACCTGTCTCTAGACACATCGAGGCCAAACCGACGGCAGTGACGACCGCGCCGCCTCCATCCCAGAACAGCACTGTCTCTAGACAAATCGATGCCGCAGTTACCGTCGCCAATGCCCCCGCGTCGACCGTCTTCAAACCAGCGGCCGATCCACCCGCCAAGAACGCTGTGCCCAAACGACCATTCCCATCTCACTCCACCCAAGAGCACCATCACGCCACTGGAACAGCTCCCAACCGCGGACAGTTCCTCGACAGAGACAATGACGATGACGCGTCGTATCAGCCGAGCAACTCCAGCGACGACGAGGGGTTGGGGAGTCGTGCAGTTGGGAAGGTTGGTGACTTCGCATCAGCTTCACTGACACGATGACACTGATGGTTCGACCAGAACACTCAACAAGGATCGAAAAAAACATCATCTAACAAACAGACTTCAAAGGTGAGGATAGACTCAGAAATTTCCAAGATGAGATACTCACCTGGTCTCAGAAAACCGCTGCTAATGCTGCGCAAGCTTCTTCTGGCTCATCTAATGACGAACGCTGGTCAAGGGTGGCGCCTTTCTCAGCATCTGAACTTACCCAGACTTCCGTCGCTGAAACCCTGCACGCATTGACGGTCAAATCTCACCTACAAGGCGCGACGATCCGCCAATTGGAATCCAAGGTTTCGACCATTACGCGAGCATTCGAGCGCAACCAAAACACCGAGAAGGCGGTTCCAGTCCTGGAGAAGCGCTTGAACGAAGCAATCCGGTCTCTCGACGAGCTACGTCAAGATCTGAAGGCTGAACAGCAGAAGACGGCGGAGCTGGAGGCCCGGGAGAGAGAGCGTGAGAAGAAGCTTGAGGACTACCGATCAAACCTCAAACTTCTGAACGGCGTCGTTGAAAGGCTGCTGGAGGTTCATGGACTTCGACGAATCCCAGATTCGACCCTGTTAGTTCCCCTACCGCCTACAGTAGTGGGATCAACCCAGGTTCAGCAAGGTGCAGAACAGTCTACAACCACCCTTCGTCAGCAAGCCCCACACCCAGCCCTCTCAGATACCCAGCCTCCCAACAGTTATCCCAGATCGACCTCCCTCAGCGTCAATTTTACGAGGGCAGCGCCCTCAACAGGTTTGCGAATGGCCTCGATGTCGATGCCAGCCTCGACAGCGAGCTCGATAAACAGCTATGTCTCCCAGGGTCAGACTCCAAACTCCAGTGCCATGAGCTTCCACCATCGGAATTTCACTCATCCCGACCAAACGTTCCATTCAGATCGCTCCGCCAACGCAGATATCAACCCCCTCCAACCCATCATCTCCGAGGTGCATCGCACCCAAATGGATCTTCCCCATGAGCTCCAACCATCCCCAGTTCAACGTGCAAGTTTTATCGAAATGATAGCCCACTCCTCCGTCGGCACTACCCCAGATATGATCCACCAGATGCAAATGCTCGATGACCGAGGCTCGAGGGGTGGAAGGTCGTCGACGAGTGCTGCCGATGGCGAGAGTCTGTCTGACTGGGGAAACATCAGCGGCGGCAAGTTTAAGTATCACCCACAAAACCACATTCAACAACCTACTTTGGAGCTGACTCGAAACACACCCAATGATCGGAGTGCTTACAACGGGGGGGTCAACGCAGTCGGGGGACTCACGATCAGCAGCAACAAATTCCAACAACCTCACCAAGGTTCAACCACGGGCGTTCGGGGCGAGTTCCATCCCATTGGGAGTCTCACAATTGCTCAGGATCAGGAAGAGCGCAATACCCAAAATCAGTAGCGCGTGATGTATATCAGTTACTAATATTAATCAATCATGTTTACACAAACGATACGAGTTCTTCACACTCATCGACGTCCAGGGACCCTCTTCTTGGGCAATGCACCATCTTTCCTTCCATTTACAGCAGCCTTTCTCTGAGGAGTCCGAGGAAGGGGTGCGGCCTTCTTGTTTGTCGGAGCTGGTTTCTTGGGACTTGATGACCTTGACTGAGCGGAGGGTTCAAGCCGCCTGCGCTTCGATGGGCTCCCTGATGCGACTGGTTGATCAGCCTTCCTCTTGCCGACAGGTTTCGAATTATCTGGGTTAGCAGCAGCCCGTCGATTCCTGGTCGTCCGCAACCCTTCTTCTGCAGAGATTGACTTAGGATCCATGCCCTCGCGGCGCTGACGTCTGGTTCTGACGCCTTTGAAGCTAGACGGCTGATCTTCATCGCCCTCGCTTGCGCCTTCCTCCAACAGGTCTCGAGCCCGTGATCTCGAGCGAGTACGTCTACCCTGGTAGTCGTCCTCCAATTGGTCGATATCTCGGCCCCCACCGGTGTCAGAGTCGTCCTCTTCATCATGATCCCCATCTCCACCAAGATCATCATCATGATCCTGATCTGGATCATCCGACCCCATGCCACCATCTTCCGGCTCGTCACGATCCCCTTCACCACCAAAGTCGTCATCACGATCCTGCTCTGGATCATCCGACCCCATGCCACCATCTTCCGGCTCGTCACGATCCCCTTCGCCGCCAAAGTCGTCATCACGATCCTGATCTGGATCATCCGACCCCATGCCACCATCTTCCGGCTCATCACGATCCCCTTCACCGCCAAACTCATCATCATCATCATCGTCATCATCCGACCTCAACCAGCCATCGCCTGGAACCCCCCCATTGTGTCCGTCATTCCGATCCCCATCTCCGCCGTTGACACTTTCATGGTCGTTCCACCTCGCAAATCTAAGTTGGAACGGGGTTTTGGCAGTTGAAGGCTGCCCCTCATTGATCGGGCGAGACTGGGCAGGCTTCTTCGTTCCCGGATCGGAATCCTGACTTCGATCATGTCGAACACCGCTCTTGCCCTTCCTAGGTCCCTGCATTGTCCGTTCTCCTTCTCTTCTCCCTGCCGTTGAGTCCTCCTTTTGCATCCTGTTGATGAAGAGCTCCAACTCCAGGTCACTGTTATTAGGATCAGTTTCATTGGCTTTTTTTTTCCTAGGCGCCCTGGTCTGAAGCTCGCCCCATCTGTCGACATATGCAGATATCTCGAAAGTCTGTTGGTTCGCTTTGGATGGGACCTCCCTTGCCTCCCGCTGACGCTCATAAAGATAATCAAAAACCTGGACTCGGGCGGAAACCTTCATGTCCGAAGGCTCCTTGAGCAAATCCAGATAGTTGTCGGGCATGAACCCAGGCTTGATGAAGGCCCTCTTGTTCTCTTCGAGTTTGGACCAGGGGAAACGTACGTGATCAGGGCTGATGTTCGAGGAACACGCTACATTCCTCTTGATTAGACACTGTTCAGTCGAGGGGGTGAAGCACTCACCATAGTGGTAGATGAAGAAGGATCGCAAGGCATGACCGTACCAATCCCCCCGTTGCTCGCCGACTTTCCTGGTATTGGGGTTGGGAAGGAAGGGCTCCCCGTAATCGTTGGTTTTCATCACCATGATGGGCTTCTTGATGTTCTTAGTTTTGACCCAATCGTCTTCCTCCGCGTCGCTGTCGTCGTTATACAGCTTCCAGACATGCGCCTTGAAGTCTCTGAACAATGCCTCGATCTTCTTTTGATGGACGTCGATGAAATTGGGGCCCCTGCCCAGCTCCTCTGTGAACTCCACTTTGACGGCGGTAGGCTTGCCATCTTCACCTCTCCAACCTAGCAACATGACCGCCACACCATTGAGCTGTTTATCCACAAACTTCGCAAAAGAGTAGGCCTTCTTTGTCGCCGCCTTATCTGCCAGTCTGTCACAGCATGAGCTTTGAAATGGACGATGGACGAGGTACTTACTTGCTCTGTTGCTCTTCTGGAGGTCCTTGCTTCTTCCACTTCTCTGCAACTGCAGCGTAGTGGGCTTTCTCTTTCTCGGAGAGTCCATTGATAAGGAGGCTTGCTGCTGCCTGATAATGGTTGAAAAACCAGTCGTCTTCACCTCCCTTCTTTCCTTTCGTCTTGGGGTTTCTACCTTTCCCATGCTCCCCATCGAAATCATCTACCTCCCCTCTGTCCCAGTCGTCCAAGAATTGGTCAACATCCACCTCTCCGCCGACCATGCGATGAGCCAAAGCCTTTATCTTGGCCGCGTTTAGCCTCATGAAGACTAATCGTGAGTTCCAACGGCAATCCCATACTTCTTTGAGTTTCTTCTGAGGACCTGAATGATGTTGAAACCAAAGGCGAACAGCCTGGGGGTACGCGTTGAGTATTTTCCTTGGCCAATTGATGTCATAATGGACCTTCCACTTGCCTCTTTCAATCTACGAAACTCATCTTGCGTCATCTCGTTTCCCGACGACTCCTCTATCTCCTTCTGCAAATGATTGGCCACCTTCTTCACGTACTTGCTACGTTTTTTCTTCTCCGCCCCAACATATCCGTCGAGCTTCTCGCGGAGGAACGATTGCTGGGAGGGTTTAAAGGTGTAGCCTGATTGCTGAACCTGCTCTTCGTCTGAGCTCGAATGATAAGTCGACATGGCTCGGGAATAATCAATGAGTGCAAACTGGGGTACTGGGGTGCCCGCGCCCATCCCCATAACAATCCCTTTATATGTTTCCCAACCAGACTTACGTTACTTTGCCAGTGTCTCAGCGGGGAGTTCCGCTTGAGCATCTTAGCATACATGGCTGGTATCCCAATTTGAATAAACCCACCGAGGTTCGATTCCATTCCTCGAGTGTTTAACTATTTTGGTCTGCTCCGAAAAGGTCGGAAAGGTCAAGGGAGTGTCTAGCACGGTGGTGTTGTAGAGGAATGGGCCTCTATAGCCCACACTTGAGTTGAACAACGTACCAGAGACCTCAAGGTATGCGTTTCGAAAGTATAGTATGCTTTTCGAAAGTATCTTCTCCCAACATATCGAAGGGGAGGCAAGAAAAGAGTTTTGGTCTGAAACGGAATTTTTATCAAAAACCATAAATGTGAATCATACGCGCACTATGGCTCGCCGCTTCGCGCCCCCTTCCCTCCTGCCATTCCCTATATACCGCTGTCACTCTTGGAGCCCCTCTCTCAATGGCGCGTCCAAGTAAATACGCGACCGAAAGTGAACGCCAGGAGGCCAAGCGACTAAAAAATAGAGAGTATTATCAACGGTACAGTTGCTTGAGAGTCACAAAGCTTTCAATTATTGATTCTCTATTAATTTCCATCTAGTAACCGCCACAAAATCCTTGCTAGCAGAACATCGAAGAAGAAAGACCCAGATCTTCTATTAGCTGCCGGTAGACCGCGAAAATACCACACTAAAGAAGAGGTACAGGAAGCGAAACGACGCGCCTCGAGGCAGTATTACCATCGGTGGGCGGAAGTTCATAACATGGTGTGGACTGCCTCTCATGTTGTCAACTTTCAGAAACCGAAAGGGTCCCATTTGGGTTCTCAGTGGAAGACCAGAGGTCCCACCTCTTCGTGACATAAGTCGAAAGTCCCTTCCGGATTGGCTGGCACCTCAACTGGTACCCCAATATCGCAAGCTACAGGATCTTCAAACGAAATTCCGGTTGATGACGTCGGCAAATCGGTTCCAGGAGCTCAGGAATATCTCAATTCAGTATCTTAAGTCCCGGCGAATTCAAGACATCGACTCAGAGGTCGAAAAATACAACAGCATGTACAACTTGGCGCAAGAACAGGAAGACATAATTTTAAGCGCCGAAGGAAGCGCTCGAGGTCCTCTGTACGTTAAGGCTCGGGAAATGACGGCCGAGATTCGGGGGCATGTCCATCTGATTGAAGATATGCTCTCATATGCGTTAGTCGGGTACTCCACCTTTTCGCGCAAGTATTTTCGGGAGGAACTTGATTTCCAGAAGGAATGGCGTCAGCAAGACCCCACTGCCTATGTGCAGTCAGGCCCTGCACGAACCACCGAGGACTCAAGAACCATGACAACTCCATACCCATACGGAGTTGTGTACAACAGATAGGCGGCTATATAAGGCTGATAGATTTCTTCTTGTCTGGTATCGTCACATCCCTCTCTAAAATGCCACCTAAAGGGTACAGCAAGCGACATGTCTGCGAGCGCGATGACCCAGTCAAGTCGTTCAGGGTAAAAATTCATCGCAAGGGCCCTGGTACACCGAAGCTAATCCTAGTTCCTGACAAGAACCGAACCCCATCGTCCAAAAGGTCAGGAGGGTCAAGATCAAAGTCGGAGTCAAAACGACGCAAAATGGCGCACCTGGGGGATCTGTTGATGGATACTTCACCAACGGATGACTGGGTAGATGAGGACCTCTTCATACCATTTGATGTGGCACAGCTTGAGACAAAGACTGTCAATGTAAGTGTAGACCATTGTCTTTCAACGACGACTCACAGTCTCTAATGACAGTCGCCCAACGATTACATGCGATACTGGCTGGAGCACAAGCAAACCCTTTATTTGGACGAAATTGTGTCGGGAGAGTTCTGCGACCTGGTTTGTGCAGTATGCGGGGCGGACAAGGGGGATATCTGGCGATGCAAAGATTGTCTGGGAAGGCCTGCCCTCTGTGGGTCTTGTTGCAGAACCCAACATTGGTCCAATCCCTTTCACCGGGTCGAGATATGGAAAGGCGAACACTTCAGCCCATCTTGGCTTTGGAAAACAGGCCTTCAAGTCTCTCTCTGTCCCAATAGATTGTGCTCTAGCATGGCCACCGAAGGCTCAAGCCCACCACCATCGACCAGCGGCAGCGACGACGATTGCACCTTCGGGGCCAAGCCGGAGGGATCCCACCTCGGAGACTCAAAGACCTTGGTTGTGGTTCACACAAATGGAATCCACCAAATTCCATTTGTGTTCTGTGACTGCGAGAACTCCCCCGACGATGACATCCAGTTGCTGCGAATGGGGTTTTATCCTGCGACGCAGAAGGACGTCAGAACAGTATTCACCTTCTCAGTGATGGACACATACCTCCTAGAGAACCTTGAATGCTATACATCAGCATTTCATTTTTATTCCAAACTTCGCCGACTCACCAACGAAGTCTTTCCAAAGCAAGCGCCGGTAAGCTTCAGTGGACTGTTTCAGTGTCATGTCATTGCTAAGAGCCGTCAAAGAATCGATACAGGGAGGGCCTACGATGTGGTCGCCAATGGAGAAAGCTGAAGGAGATGAAGAGATATGGCCTTGCCCACACTCAAGCTACCCCTCAGGAGGGAGGAATGGCGCTGTTCTGCGCAGCATGCCCGCAGCCTGGGAAGAATCTCCCTGAGGGATGGGAGGAAGATGAAGAACAGTGGAAGTACGGGATAACTCTCGCAGCCGATGGGAACTTCAGTCTCCTTCATCGGGAACAAAAGAATGCTGACGACGTTTGGTTCAAGAATGGGGAGGGCTATCTGGTTGAACGCACGCGCTATGAGAAGCACCTTAGGGTCACAAGCGAGGAGAAGGAGGTACGTCATAACATCGACTATTCACCTGTGGTCTGCTACCTACCTATGGGCCTAGATTCCAACATGTCATGAGCATAGAGCAGTTGAGGACAAATCAAAAACCACTAAAGGCTGCGATGTCACCGGCGTTGGGGCGTTTGCTTGCTCGAGACATGGATGCTTCGTTCCAGCAAGCGTGGTGAACTTCCACCGAGGGGAGCGGTAAGTACCTTCCAACCTTCCATGATGCAACCCTTGGTAAACTTACCCCCAATTTCCGCATAGACAAATGTATATGGACTATGGATTAAGCAACAGCATCAAGACCACAAGCGCGGACAAAATGAAGAGGTTGATCCTCCTTTATGACATTAACTGCCAGTACTGTCGCAATCTCAAAAAGCGATTCGAGGCTGGCCCGTACCTCACCCTTCCCTCAGACCTCGTCGTCACCTTTGGAATTGGCCAGTTTCATGTGCACGGTCATCAAGAGAAATGTTACGCTAGATACTCCCCCATGTTCATCAAGGGCATTGGTTACACATCGGGGGAGATCCTTGAAGCTCTTTGGTCCGTGTTGAACGAGGCCTCTAGACCCACTCAGACCATGTCCCTAGCCCATCGAACGGAGGTGCTAGATGCTTTCATTGCTGATAGTAACTGGAAGAAAATGCTCAATCTAAGTAAGTTACATCAGATCCCTGAGACCACTGTAGACGCTGACCTCTTCAAGTGGTTTCCATCCCCGCCATGTTTGCGAGATCAGTCCGCGAAATTGCAAAGGCAAGAGAAGCCTTCGAGCTCCTCGACCAGACAGCATCTTCGTCTCAAAGAGCAATCTGGCAACATGCGCTGGATAAGGCTCACAGTAAACGAGTTCATGATGTGGAGGAGATGGATATATTGAACGTTTCGTTGGACAAACGTAGGTTTATTTGTACAAACTTGAAGCCATCTTACCTCGAGCTCATGCCAAATGTCTCAGCTCCCTCACGAGCAAAGGTCCAGCACAAACTCATGGTCAAGGAGCAAAATCAGAACACTGGGGTGGGGGTTACCTCCTGGTTAACAACCGGTTTCAAGATTCAAGAATCTCAGTTGAGTGTCCTCATATCATGTCTAGAAATGCGGGTCCCTAATCTGTCTTGTCCAGACTGCAACTCAAAGCTTTCCGTCGATCCCTTCCGCGTGAAAGCCTTCGCACCGCCACTCAGGAGCTGGAGTTGGCAAAGAAGAGGGAAGCTCTACATTCAGAGATATCCTCATTCTGCACCTCCACCCAAATCCTCTTTCCAGATGTTAATCTCGACCAGTATCGGTATCTCAACCCCCCCGAGATCACGGCGGACATTGACGACGAGGATCAAGATTGCGAGTCCATCCTCTTGGAAGATGATGAAGACAATCCGTTTACAGATGTGCCCGACCCGGAGGATCTGGATATCCCCCTGCCTTCATCGTTTGATCGCCTCCCTGCCTTGATGAAGAGCGCTAGCCGAAAGGAAATCAAACTGAGGGTTGCCCAAGCCAATGATGCTCTGGAAGCCATTCGAACGGAAATAGGTCACAAGTCCTACCTTTACCGCTCAAACATCCGACTGGCAGATGGGAAGAAGCAGAAAACTAGAGGGTATGCCGCCGTTAAAGCCGCCAACCAAGCAATTCGATTGTCTATACGTGTCTACGAACAGGCTCGCTGGGCTTTACAAAGGCTTGGGGCGACCACCGATACTCTTGCACGATTTAAGCCCATCGTCAAGGAGGACACCCGCGCTATAACGGCAATCTACCGACCCAACGAGCCCGGGCAGACGAAGAGCCGCTTGTCGTGGATCTGGGGAGTCGATGTTCAGGGAGACTCTTCAAATTCGCCATATCTCGAGGAACGTAAGTGCCTTCATGGTCTCAATTTAAGAACATGACTGACGATGGGGGTAGTGTATCGCGTGAACTGGTTACGTTCCCGCAGTAGACTCGACAGATGGGAGGAAGAATACGTGCTGTTGAAGGCGGAGATGGATTGGGTGTGTCGGTTCTTTGATTTTAAAGCTGACGTCTGCCTTGGTTGGGCCCAAATGACAGAAGGAATGCCGGGCCATCGAGCATATGCTCACAGGCAAGCTGAAACATGGAGGCTATTAGCAGCTGAAGCCCGCTCAGCCTTCGAAAAGTCACGAACAGAGGTTGAGAATCTTGTTTCAGGAGATGTCGACAACTTCTCATAATTAATTGCATCTCTCACTTCCTGTTGTTATTAATGCTACCCTGTGAAGCGCATTCATCGACCTCGTTTCTCGATCGTGCGCGCAATCCGTTTCGCGAGGTTACATACAATCCAGGACTTTCACCTATTCCCACGACCGTGTGAAGTCCTCACATTGCAGCCGATGTTGAACGTTGAATCACAAGCTCGGTAGCAATAGTTTCCTTTGCTCGGCTCGATCTAGGGCTGCGCATGATGCATGATGCCGCGAGGTGGTCCTCATCCGCACGACCGTTATCCATTGCCATGATGCGTCCCGACCTTAAGACCGCTGGGTCGCGTTGATGTTAGAGGATTGATAACCCTCCATCTTGCGCGCCTTCATTTCCATCATGTCCCCACCAGGCTCAAAACTCCTGTTTCCATTCTCCTCTCTCATACAGAACCTTTCGTCGGATGACTTTCGTTCTGCTTTGGAGTATCTTTCAAAGCGGGTGTTATGCTCAATTCACGCGTTCGTCCGCCGCCGAGCTGGGATGTCAACTCAAGAGGCAGGTCACTTCAGTAAATGTATCTCGAACGAGCTGGTAGGGTATTTCCTCCTGGAATTTGATATTCTCCTACTCACGAAAGGGGAGCTCTGTAGACGCAATCCGTCGTCCTCATAGGCTGCGCTGCATTGCGATTTCCATCGCTTGACCTTGCTCCGCGCTCGCTGTATAGGGTGCTTGCCCTCTTTCTGCATTTCAACGACCCTGATGTAGATCAGTTGGACGCCTGTCTGGTTGACTGGGATCCAGACATGGAAGACCTTGTAGGGAATGACGTCAGGTCGTGGTGGGTGGATGGTCAACGCCCGCGCATGATCTTGTTGGAAGATCTTTTGGGATCTTGGATGGATTCCAAGCGCTCTCAACCCCCCCCCCTCAACCTCTCGAAGTCGAGGATCGTGCGCTGTTCTTGACGCCATCACAACTATCCACGCTCGAGTCCCAAATCCAGCGCTTCCTGGACTGTGTGGATGCCGAGCTGGAGGCTCAAGATCGGGAGACTGAGCGCATTTCAGCGCTGAACGGTTTGGTTGACAGTAGTTGGCTTCCTCACGAAATTGACGGTGGGTGTGACCAACGGGATTATGCAGATGACCGCTTATGAAGAGAATAGTTAGTTCCAACCCACACCCAAGAAACCTGAATTCAGCCATGATGGACATCTCGGCTCCAAGCGCCGAGGTCTTGCCGCGAATGCTAGCTTACATCGTTGAGCGCGTGCGGAATTCTTTGAATTGGGCATGTAGTGTCCAACTACCCGACGAGCAGCGGGTGCTGGTTTCGAGTTGCTTGCGACTGGAAGTGGTAAAGTTTAATTTTACCCTTCGTTCTTTTTTTCTTTCCTCGCCGCTGATTACGATGATTATTTAGGAAGAGATGCTACGCGTGGTTGCAATCATGGACACGTCTTCATGCCTGCCCTGGAGCCCTGGCCTCTTTGAAGCCATTGCGAAGTTGGTCTTCTCATCGAACATCACATGCAACATGGTCTTTGATGGTTCTCTTCGACTGGCTTTGGGGCCCGCACATCATGCACTTCAACCGCCGTGGGTGCCGTCCGTGCTGAAGTGCGAAACACCGGAAGGAATGAGGCTGGACCTTTTAGGCGCCAAACAGATTTTGGAATCCTGGTTTCCGGCTAGGGAATGGTCTTACGCAATGCGCAGGCTCCACCGGAACAAGTTATCTCACCGCAGAAACATCTTTGACGAGGTAATCGCGGGGATGGATGATGACTTGGTAGCCCGGCGGAAAAGGATAGACACTCTCACCGCCGTTGCTACTGAAATGGGCAGGCTCTTCTCTAATCAAATGGAGAATTAGATAAGACTTCATTTTGGCATAAATTCCATGGGTTTTTGACCTTACGCGGATAGTTTCTGAGACGCTCGTCCCTCGGAGTCATCACTTACTGCTTTCGTGGCCAAATGAACTTCGACAAACCTCCTCTCCCCGCTGGCGCCAACAAGCTGCTCTTTCCCCTAGCACTCTATCTTCAAGATCTCCTACGTTTCAAAAACGACCCCAACGCGCCTAAACCAATTCCTCCAAAGGAGCTTGACCTCAAGCTGCAAACCGAATGCGAACTAATTGCCGACGTAACGTTCGCGGCTTTTAGGAATCCCAGTACGCCAATCTTTGGCTCTAGTAGCCCTAATGCTAACTTTGGTCAACTCAGAGCAAGTGAAATGGTCGCTCAGCGAGTACACAAAGGCTTCCAAGGGGGGGAAGAAATTAGTCGCTGCTGACCGGGAAAAAGCTCTTCGTGACAAAATGCCAGGAATTTCAAGTACCAAGCCTGACGGCAACTTGGAAATCACGGACGAACCTTTCTGCGTACGCGACGCCAAAGAGGTTGTTTTGGCATGGTATCTCCCGGGTGTTATTTCAGTCGACCGACAGGTTTCTCAGCCTCTGATTTGCCTGTAACTAGTCGATACTTATTTTTTTACTTAGGATGAGATATCTTACGCTATCGAGTGGCTTTCGACTGCTCCAGACCCGCCGGCACTTGTGATTGACCCCGATACAAATCAAAAGAACTTTCGGGCACACCCTTCACTCTTCTCCGAATCTCAGTCGGGGACCTTCAGGAGCGGCGTAGCAACGTACGCCTCCGCGTGGCCCATGCAAGGACATCTCGTGAGTGAATGTGAACTTCTGCAATTCCCATCCTGACCCTGAATAGGACGGTCCGTTCGACCCATCGGCCAGTTTCAAAAATCCAAAGCAAGGGGGCCTTGACTTCATCAAACTGATGTCTGAGAGCCTAGCCGTTTTGGGCGGCATCTTAGCGTTGGTACACCCTGCGCTGTTCCAGGCAGGTTTGGACGCTCTCGCCAACCTTGGATCAGGTCACATCGACAATGTGGAAAATCGCAAGTTATTGAAATCAGTCCTCAGGCATTGGAGCACACCCTTTACCGCCATATCGGTCATCGTCAATCGCGAATCTCCCTTCCATACCGATGCGGGAAGTCATCCAAGCAGTTATGACTTGCTGTATGCTGGGGGATCGTACCGCGGCGGGGTCTTGGAGATTAAGGGTATTGACGTGCGGGTGATGTATGAGCCAGGGACTGTCGTGCTCTTCCCAGCTGGGATATTTCCCCACGGCGTTCCTTCAGTGCATGGGGATCGCTTCTGTATTGCCCACTTCTTTCGGCATAGTGTACTGGAGCAGGTTCCCTACTTTAGGCCTCCTGCCCTTCCGAAGTTTGTTCACCTCAGTGATATCTACTTTAATGGGTTCGCCGACGTCTCCTCAAAATAGATGGGGCGTGTCAACGTCTTGTATTGGGGACCGTTTTTGACATAAAAGAGAGTCTGCTCCTGAGTGACCCAATAAGTGCACCCCAACCAAATCAAGCCCCGCCAATGGAAGTAGAAAAAACAAGAGTGTACAGAGAGCTCCGCGCAGGTAGGATGGTTAGCTCCCTATAGTACTTCCACCCATGCCTCCCTTGCTGAACTCGTTCCAGAGCATCGATCAAAGTCTTTCAATCTTCGCCTGGCATTCTACGAAGCAGACGACCTGAGAAGACGTCTGGACGATGTGGCATCAGAGGCGATGGACCCAGATGACTCCGACAGTATAAGGGAGCTGATTCCGAACGTGGAGAAGTTGATCAACATCCTTCTCGCCATTCAAGACAGTAATCGACGTTGCAAGCGTCAATTTAGAACCATTCAGAAAGCCCTTTAATTTGTTGTTGTAGTCTTCCCAGGAGAAAAAGAGATGAACGCGCTCGGCCACACTTCGTAATGCACCGCTGACCCCTCAAGGTAAAGGCCAAGACAATTGCATCAGCAATTAGGATTCAGGAAGCGCCCACAACTATCGGAGTTTGAATCATTTATACAAAAGCGAGCAGGGCTGGTCGTGTTGATGTATCATCTGCCTGCTGTCCCATCCATCACGACCGACCCCATCTCAGGTAAAAGGCTTTGGAACTGGAAATATGATATCCAATTAGTGCTGACGTTTCGGAAGCCATTATGCTCAAGCGATCTAGGCAGCAAAGCGACGCGGCAGTGACAACCGTCACAACGCACAACAAGGTCCGCGTTGTGGTGCGCACAGAGATTGAGTACCCCCAAAATACCGCTGGCAGCGGGACAAATGACCTTTGCAAGCGCATACTCGATGTCATAGCAGTTGGTAAGAGGCAGACTTTGGGAAGCTAAGCAGAACTGACCTCAATGCAGATCAGAAAAGGCTGGAAAGGGAGATGGACAAGGCAGTGTCTGCCTTGGTGCAGCTGGACGAGGCCTGGTGCGAGTTGGAGGATAAGTTAGAGGAGGTCCATGGAGATACATTTGTCGAACGACTGGCATCCTATCCCATGCACATGGATGAGGCCGTTACGGCATTGAAGGATGCGGTCCAACGTCTTAAACAGGTGGTCAGGACAAACGGAGAGTGGATAGCCCTTAGCCGGGATCGCGTGGACACGCAGAGGGAGAGGGATGGGAACGGCAACGAAGCTGCGGAGTCGGACGACGATCAAGACGATGGATGATGCCGTATTTACTCGCGTTTGGGGCGCAGAGCCGCCTTCGGCTGTTTTTGAGTGTCGATCATATTTTCACACAGTTTCCATGTCATGGTGAGAGCCTTAAGCCCATTTGGCATGCGCCATTTACTACAAAGACTAGAGCAAAAGGGAGTCCGTCCATACTGTTCCCTCACTAGATCCCTCCCTTGATCTCTCATTTGATCTCTCACTTCCATGAGTGGGTCCCTTCTCTGTTTCTATTCCTAACGCCGATGACAGATGAGCAAGGTGCAGGTTCTGGAAAGCGTCAAGCGCCCCGCCCATTCTACGATTACAGCTGCGACGACGCGCAATCAGACCACAGTGAGACTCCGATTTCGCTTCGAAGGGCAAGAAGTTCGGCCGGTGGGTATCTGAATACAGCTCCTCTACCGCAACTCCGTTGACATGAATGTCTAGTCCCTGCCAAAAGGCGTCGAGTCGCCGTCTCAGAGAGACTGACGGCTCCCAGACGAAATGTTGATGTAGCCCTGATGGAGCGAATTCACAATCGATTAGCCAAAGGTGAGATCACGATGCTGGTCCGGGAATAGGTGGCCCCATTTACGCGTCAATATGTCTCAGATCAGAAACGTAGTGTTGATCGTGTTGAGGAGGCGTCGCTGGCATGTGCGCTCCTTTGGGCATACTGGGCATCTCTAGAAAAAGACCTGAAGACCAAATTTGGCGCAAAATCTGTCTCGGAGACGTCTCTGCCTGTTGTTAAGGAGCAGGTGGAGAAACTGAGGGGGCTCCTGGCCGACCTTCGCTCTAGCGTAGGCAAGGCGTCAGCTTGGATTGATCTCGCTCAGGAGTCCGCAGCCGCCTTGGCCGACGATGATGACGGCCTGGAATATGTAGACCCGTAGTTGGTATATGTCTGTAAGGTGAACCAATTGGACCGAGTTTATAAATTCCCTATGTGACTTGAGCTTTTTCTCTATCTTGATGTCATCCTTCCAAGCTCTCAGTTCCAGGAGTCCACAACAATGGCTGATGACATAGGTCATTGGTGTAGGTGTGTATCTATTTTAAGGAGCTCAAGTGCAGCCTTGAGCCTGCGAGCCATGGGTTCTGTGTCAATGGCCCTGTGTTCGTCGCGATGGATTAACCCAGCCCCAAGTCCTTCAATAGCCATCAGAATCTCAGCTGTAACCCATTCTCGACTTTCAAGTTCTGACCCCAATCCCTCCAGCTGCGGTATCCAGGCTTCGACTTCCTGTCGAGAGACGCTGTACTGAGCCATGGCGCGTGTGATGGCCTCTTCTCGCCGTTGTGAGAACAAAGGTAATAGGCCGCTTAAAACTCTGATCTTCCCCACTCGCAATGAAACGGTGGATGAAAGTGATTGAACGAGATTGACGTGGACTTGTATGCTCCTACGAGCTTCAGAGACCAGCTCCATGGCTTCTCTTGTTAGCTGATTATCGTCGTTATCTAGTTCCCCATCCTCGAGGAAAACTAGAAACTTTGTATATTTCGCAATGCCTTTTTCCAAATCTTTGGTCATTCAGTATTGGGCATTCGGCTATGATTAGATGTACACACCTTGAATGGTGGAGAGGGCCTCAACAATTTTCGTCAGTTCTTGAGCAACTGTAACGTACTCTGCGCAAATAGGCGGTAGCATTGTTGAAGGGCTGACGTTCAACTGTTTTGCTATGCTGGGACTGCGAGGGGTGGTGGGGTTGATGGGGGTGAGTTTTGGGCGGAAATTCAGCCCATCTCCCATATATAATACCCACCGTCTGGGGTCAAACATTCGCTAGTGATTATTGGGGAGATCTTGTGTTCGCGCGATCTGGATCGCTACAGAGCGTCATGATGGCGGATGAGATGCTTCATCCCCGAAGAGCCTAATGTTCATTGGAAGTGGGATGGATGGACAACAGAGAAATTCAATCAACTAGCTCTACGCGATCAAGCTGCTCAATCACCTCCTCCTCATCCATGCGGTCAACGGTATCTTCCGGGGCTGCTTGGAACGTGGATCCTTCAGGGGAGAAAGAATGAGATGATTCCAGAGAGTGAAAGTGTGATAGGACTTACCGCTGTTGTCCCAGCTGCTCGTCATCGGACCCAACGGTGATCCCCAACCGGTTCCTGGACCCCAAGGAGACTTTGGCGATTGAGGAGGAGTTCGGACCAGCTTACGCCTGAGACCCTCTGGGAGTCGATCGCAAGAGGACTTGAAGACGTCCATGGCCTCCATCGCGCTCCTCATTTCTGTCTCGGCCGACAACATCCTTTCCTCCATAATCTTGTAGGACTCTACGAAGGGTAGCATCCTTTGGTCGTCCCACGGATGGATGGCAATCTTGTGAAAATGCCATGGGGCCCAGAGCTCCTGATCTTCGTGAGACCAGGCGTCGAGGAGGTCTGAAACAGAGAGGTTCTGGGGTGCAATGGTTCCTTCGCCGGGGATCCACCAGGTAGCGATTTGAGGAGTAGGGGAGTCTTTGGGGGGTGGGTACTGGGGAGAAGCCTTCCAGCGCTACATCTGGAATGGAGTCAATTCTTCCTTCCAGAAGAAGGCGATTACATTGGAGGAGGAAGGTGGGGGGGATCAGATCGTCAGGGAGGCGCAATGACAGAGAGCCGTAGAGAATAAGGGCTTGATTCTACGCCAATTATCAGTGACCAATTCTCAACGACATTGCTCAAACTCACCAAGTCGACCTTAAACTGCCGCCAACAGGCTTCAAACAAGCCATCTACGCGATCGATTTCTTCACGGCAAGCATCGAGGCAGAAAGCACACGAGCGCAGGCGCGAGGAAATGTAGTTGAGGAGACGCTGAGCCTGGGGGATAGAAAGGTCTTTGAGAACCGTAATGGGAGCGGATTCCAGGAGCATTTGGGGAGGCAGCTGCGTTGGTCAGTAGGGGTATGATTGCGATGACTTCCAACTGTCCTTGACATTTGTATAAGGCTCGTAATCCCATTTGGTAAATCCCGCCTGCGTCGGCTCGCGGAAGTAGTCTGTGCAGGGAAATGGCGGAGATGATGAAGGCGATGATTTACTATCACTAACGATGGTGGTTAATGATGTTGTAGAGATGCTCCATGTCCCTTGTTCAAATTGCTCACCTGAAGCGCTCATCTGCGATGTGACATGATGTTGTGAGGACCTGGTCAGTGGGTATGGTTGGGTTCAACCGCATCGTCCCTCATGTGTCACGCGCCGCCGCGGTTCTAGATTATCTTTTTTTTTTTTTTTTTCTTACAGCTGGGACATGAGGCGAGGCTCAGCGCTCGCCGCTCATGGGTGGATGGAAAAGGGGTACGCATCACATGGGATTCAACATCTAGCAACAAAAAATACATTATACATTGGGGACCTCCTAGTCACTGTCAGATGGGATCCCGCCCAGAGAAGCGCAGTCGGAATCGGCGGAATCCCACAGGCATTCGCCTCCAATCTCCTGTTCGACAACCTTGATGGCATCGTTGACCTTGTCCGAGTTGTCGCGATCGTCGGCGTTGAGGATGTCGTCGATAGTGAAGAGGGTGTTGCTGAGTTGTTGGAGGCGACTGACAACGCTCCTGTATTTCAAGCGGGCGATAGCGGCATCTAGAAGACAATAGTAAACAAAGTAAGAAACAGCGAATGTAAAGAAAAGTAGGTTACTCACGTCCAGCAGCGCGAGCCGCAAGTTGGCGGTCTCGGCGTCGTTGCTCGATCATTGGAAAGACTGCGCAATCCCATTAGAATAATTTCCGGGCGGTAGTTAATCTGGTACTTACGGCTGCGGTGAATGGTCGCTTGTTTCTTGGATGGTTTCAATGAGGTCTTCGATCGCGGTCCAGGACGGGGGAGACGGGTGGGTGCCTTCCCAGCGGTGCTTTTGGATCGTGGTGCTGGGCGGGGGAGATCGGTGGAAGGAGATGGGCTGCCCGCGTCAGACTGAGGTGAGACCTTGAGGACAGAGTTAGTGGTGAATGGATGCATAGCCGTGGCGTACAAACCTCGATCTTGTCTTCGTCTGCAGGAATGTGGCCAACACGATCACTGGCCAACGTTGCGCTTCTTTCGACCTGCCAAAAAAGATGAGTTATGTGTGATCGAGTGATATGAGCCAACGTACCTCGTGTGGATCTAGGTAGAGCACTGGGTCGGGGGTCTGGGATGTTTTGGTGGTCATTTCGATTTTTTGGGATGAAGAAAAAATGAAGAAGAGAGGTTTAGACAAGTGGCCGCGTCAGCAGTTCAAATTTATATTCACTTCGCAGTTGAGACGTAATATTATCATTTGTTGACTAATGAGATGAAAAGTGGCACGGGTATTTCCTACGAGCGCCTAAATTACGCCCAAGGCACATGTCCCAGCTGGGTGGGCCCAGAAATTTGGACTACCCAGCTGGGACATTTGTCTTTTGTAGATTGCGCCCATGTCGAGTGTCCCAGCCGGGTGTGATCTACAAATGATGAGCTACCCAGATGGGACACGAGCCTTGGGAGTGATCTACAAATGATGAATTGCAGTGGGCGTAAATCAGCTTCGTAGCGGATCAGATGTAGATTACACACGGCGGAGACACTCGACATGGACGTGATCCACCAATGACAAATGTCCCAGCTGAGTAGCCTAGAAATTTGGACTACCCAGCTGGGACATTTGTCATTGGTGGATCACGTCCATGTCGAGTGTCCCAGCCGGGTGTGATCTACAAATGATGAGCTACCCAGCTGGGACACGCGCCTTGGGCGTGATCTACAAATGATGAATTGCCGTGGGCCTAATCCGGTTCCTCATGGGCATGATCCGGACTGCCCAGCTGGGACATATGACTTGAGCGTAATCCATGTCCATGTCGGATGTCCCAGCTGAGTAGCCTAGAAATTTGGACTACCCAGCTGGGACATTGCGCCTTGGGCATGATCTACAAATGATGAATGTCCCAGCTGGGTAGTCCAAATTTCTGGACTACCCAGCTGGGACATCGGTCATACACGGACATTGGTCATACACGTGATCTACCAGCCCAAATACAATGTTCCAGTTGGCCTGTGAGCTTGAACAACTAACCTATTCCTGCAAGTTCAGCATTGGCACCAGTGGATTAACCCAATGTTCCAGCTGGGCGGCAAGCTTGGGCAACAACCAACTTCTGGGAGTTCCACATTGTTTGGGCAGCCCGGCTGGGACATCAAAACAGTACATTATGTGGTAGGCAGCTGCGACATGGATACAATGTTTTTATTAAATCCAGCTGGTCCCGCTAGAGCATCGGAATAGGGTATTTTGAATTCACTCTGGTACATCTCTATTATCTCCTAGGTACTGAGTGCCCTGGTTTTTTCGAATACTTGTCCGACAAGGAGTACATACCTTGTCGCACCTTGGGTCTAAAACGGGCCCTTTACACGGCGCAATAGCTTCTTCGGCGCTACGTCTTTCCCTTCGTGTAACTCCTGGGCAGTCCAAAAGAAGAAGCGTGTTGCGAATGCTTGTTATTGATTGCATGGAGCTCGCGGGATGTAGAATACCGCATACGGCGCACCCCGACTCCTCGAACGCTGACGGACGAAGTTTAGCACAGGCACCACGTACTATGCGTTCGGTAGTTAAATCGTCGAGGGGCGGCGGGGGAAACTTGACATCAGTGCCGTCATCGAGTATCTGCGTGGAGGCGAAGGTGTCGAATCGATTCTTGTTCAACTGCTTCTTGACTAACCCTTTACCGGGTACCACCTCAAGTATCGTGACGTAGCTTACGCACTTAGTACAGTCGTGATCAAATAAAACAGATTCTATACCAGACCTGTTACGGCGACCCAACGAGATACCATGAAGAGTAGCCACCTCCTTCATCTTGGGGATAGTCAGGAAGCAGAACAGCCTATACAACGACAGCTGAGCTGTCACCATTACTTTGTCTGTCGGCTCGAGAACAGTCGAGGATTTTAAAGCGTAGGACAGGAACCGCAGACGACACCCAGGGAAATCGCGTGATTTATGTCCAGAGGTTATCAGCTTATCGAAGTCTTGTGTAAAGGGGATATGTTTAGAAGCCCCTCCCAAAGCGGGTTCGTAGTATAGGTCGTCGGACTCGCGGCCACACAAACCCAGCTCGGGATCGTCAGGGTGGATGTACGCACGAGTTCGATGAAGCAGCGCTACCCCCGCAGAATCCCTCCAACAAATTTCGGTTACATCAGACGCGCATATACCAGCCGAGACGCATCCAACAGTCGTCCAAGACAACCATAGTAGAAGGTACCCTGTGCCGGGCGACGGGACGTGATACCCCATATAGGGCGAGGCGCAAGCCGCGAACCACCAGCAATGGCAGATGTAGGAAGAGAACTCGATAACATTGAGGAGCACAGAACAAACCCAAAGAAAAAGCATAGAGGAACCTGTTCAACCAAGGAGACAGGAAGAAGGAAAAGGGTGCCAGCAGTAAGTAAAGGTAATTATATACGAGTCGTTGCGACGTGTGTGCTGCTGTTGTGAGCCAGATCCATTCCGACCAAACAATACTCGGAAGTCCGCGCCGATTTAGTTCGCGAGCCATAAAGACAAACAGATATAAGCAAACTGAAACGGTAAAGGCAAACAGAATCCGCGGTCGAACAGACGAAGCCATCGGCACGGTCTTCCGCGACTCCGTTTGGTTAGCGCGGGTTATGTTCAGTTCTGTTTGCCTTTGGCCTCTGTTCCAATTTGTTTGTCCTGAAGACTCAACCAACCAGTTCCGGGCGATTTTTCGCGTCCAAATTAGCCCGACCCGTGTATGACGGCCCCCGCCGATTTGCAGTACAGAACACGACACCTTATAGCATGGCGCTTTCGTGCCAATTAATCGACGCTAGATTTGGACTTCCCTCGTAAACATCGAAACCGCGAGTCCCTGAACTCTTGTCGCCAGCAAGCGTACCACGGGTGATGCCTGGTTTTCGCGAGGCGTCCGACGTCCAATTTGTACAATTGGATACTCTGCCAGCGATGCGACATGAGCACCGAAAACGCGTAAAAGTAGAAAAACTGTAAAGTAAGTGCCTTGAATCCTTCGGACCCGATGATAGACATTCCTTCCAGCCTTTTACCAGAAAGTCAAAAGAACAGTCGTCGAGACTTGATCTGAGCCTGAAGTCATGGCACACCGCTCAATCCGTAACACGACACGACTGACCCAAAACTCTATACTCCACTGGGATCGAAGTGCGTCACAAAATGCATCGAGGTCGGACGGGGCAGGACGAACAGAGACGTCACAGAGCGCAAACGATTTCGATCGAAACCAGGGGGGCGCGCAAGGAAGCAGTCCAGAAAGAGTCGTGGTGTCTAGGGTGCGTCGTCTAAGAGTCAGTTAACATTATCCATATTGATCCGGTTTTGTTAAGGCGCGTTCTACACAACTATCAGAGCCAATTCGCGTGCACGCATACACATCAGCCGCGTTCTTTGCGCTTCGATTTGAATATCTCGATCGACCAAGAGGACTACGCTCGCAGCCCCACACGATGGTCAGGCCTAACCAGGCCGACTGCGTATACAGCAATCGCAAACTCTCCGCGCGTTAAGGAGGGTAAGTAACGCGACCGAGAAATCGACGACCGGTATCGCCAGGACCCAGGCCAAACCACAACATTCGTCGCACCGTCCAGGATCCTCATAAAAGGTGTGCCCTGTCCCTTTCACGCTCGTCGAGTCGCTGTTCTCTGCACCGTTGACTCGAGCTACCGAGCGCGTCGCACTTCCAACTACCATGAACAATCCTCCCGTCGACTTATCTGACCCGCCCAACTCTTTACCAGTATTCACTCATCCGAACCGAGGTCCCGATGTCGCCGAGGTCATCAGCTTGACCACCCACCCTCTTGTACCTGGTCGAGAAGGGAACATTTACCTGCTATGCGGTAGGGGTGATGCCGCTACCATGCAGAAAGTTCTCGACAGGGCCGTTCGATCGCAATGCCCTTCCACCGCGGCAAACGCAACAGCAGAAGGTGAGTACGACGATCGACGGCTCTATCACCCGGAATCGTAACTGACAGTAGGAGTACAGGCTATTTCATGGTGAAGGCACGCGACGAGCCAAGATTTCTATGGAGGAACATGGACGGGGACCAGGATCCCATGAAAGATGTATTGGTGCTGTGGAGCAAAGCGGGGTAAGCGACGTCTTCGTACGCACAAGAGGCTAGCGCTCACCGTCACTTCCAGGGACAAGCACGACGCAGAAACCCTCAAGCTCCTCAGAGACGCAAGAGACAGACTTCATGGCGATCTCGATGCCACTACCGCAGACAAACCAACATTCGATGCTGCGACCAAATCGTATTCGGGAGGTCTGGCTTTCGAACGTAACACTGCCGCGGTACCCTTGGACGACATGAAACGGGCATATCCCCTCACCATTTCTCATCAAATCGCGCGCGACATGGACGCGCCCCACAAAGCCAGGAAAACGGACGGAAAGACTCTCGATGATCACGCTCGCCTGGTTCGCGATATCGTCCGAGTAGGTGGAACAGAACTGTCAGAACGAAGTTTGCAGCTGACACCGCACAAGGCGGGCGTACTAGCGGGTATCGGAGGCCTCGAAGACGGTTCGAAGGATCTGGCGAACGCGATAGCAGCCAGAAGCGACTACCTCAATGTCCCTCGAATCGGCGATTACCGTAACGCCTACTTCCCTGCCGTCCAACTCAATATATCCACGGCGGTGTCAGCGGACGACAGTGCGTGTTTCCATAATCATGACAGACTCGGACACTTATAACTTTGTTTCCAAATACCGAATCAATCGACGTCTTGTTATTCTTCTCTCCGGCATCCTTGGCCATGTCTTTCCACCTCCCGTCCCACCCCATCCCGATGGTATCGAAACGACACGGCGGTCGCAATCAGCCACCAGCCTCCGGGACGTACTTGGCCCGTTCGGAGGCAACCACGTCGATTGCGGCGATTCGGCTGGAGGCATTACAGCTATGACCAATATGAGTTTCCCTCACCCGGACGTCGAGCCCGAAATCATGTACTTCGGAGACTACAAGGTGGCGATCGTCATGGAGGAATTCGACACCAACCTTTTTAACGGACTTCACTGTCATGGCGCGGTCATTTCTCGATACAACACCACCCGGACCCTCCTTCGCCCCTATCATCGGAACATGATCATTTGCTACTCCCCCAGCAAGTCGTTCGATGTTCCAGGCTCTTCTGCGCAGGGTTCTCTCCCGACCGCGATAGGGAAGGAGCGAGTTTGGCAAATCGCGAGTGAAATGAAAGATTGGGGGTACGTATTCCTCGTGGTCCTCTACTCATCGTATTCCACGCTGACCCCGTATTCCTTAAGAATCGTACCAGCGATCGGCAAGCACGCGTCGGGACAAGCATCATTCGGAATCGACGGCGAGGCTGGACTCTCGGGCGAGGCACACTTTGAACATTTCGTCCGCGCCATGTTACAGTTCAACGCCTACATCGTCAATCAGTTTCCATCGCACTATCTCATGCGAATCGACAAAGACAAGTTTCTGAGCGCGTTCTCGTTCGTTAACGATGAAGGCATTCGAACTGGCTGTAAACCGTGGAATCTGGGACCAGGGTGGACAGGGGCGGACACGACCATTGGAACCAAATACACCCAAGACCTCCGTAACATGCCAGCCGACCAACTCCTTCGACTACACAATTCAGACACCATCACAAACACTCGATACGGCAATACGCAAGTCGCTCAGCACGTTGCGGCGTGGAACCGTCACCTTAAAGCCCAGAGCATCACGATCCCACTCTGCGTTGCCTCAGATCTGTCTGGAATCAATGACGCCCAACCGAACCCGACCCTTCGAAGAAGTGAGGTTCGAATCGTACATTACCAGACCCCCTTTCTGACCATTGTTTGATTATCTCCATAGATGTCACCAAGTCCATTCGCAAAACAGCGGCAACGCATTCAACCGTCGTCGTGTCCCAGGCTCCAGCTGGAAGCAGCGCGTCCGGCGGGCACAGTGGTACTAATGACGACGGGAAAACGGATGGAAGGACGAGCGACGGTCGATCGGCCAGGGCCGGACAGGAAGCATCGAGTGACGAAGTGAGGAAGAACAAGAAGAATAAGAAAGGGGAAAAGGAGAAGAAAGATGGCGATCGGACCGGGAAAGGGAAGGGAAAGGGGAAAAGGGCAGCGGCTTGGGATGCGTATACCACGAGTGACGCGGAAGAGGACGCGGACTCGTCAGAGGAGGTGATCCGCCCCAAGCGTATAAGACAACACCGTAAGTAGTTAGGAGAACGCTGATATAACACCACGTCCTGACCGATATACAGGGAACACGGCAACAGCTGTCAGCCAAGAGGCGCACCGTCCATCCGCCAACGACGAACGCGAGGGCGGCGAACGCCATCCAGTGGGAGACGAATGTGGTCGGAGCGAGAGAGACGGCCCGCAAGACGTAGCCGCGATTGCTGGGAGGATATGCAACAGGAACCTCGTCGAGAACGCCAACGTCGAGATCGAGCTATGCATACAGGAACGCAAGGACACCTCTGGAACGCTTTCTCTCGTCGAAGAACTATTGACGGACCTTTGCCAGCTGCTACGCACGAACGATATCCTGGGGGTTTGGAGATTGCACTCGCGACTCGGTGCCAAGCAGCGATTGTTCGACGTCAGCGCCGTTTGCCACAGAGGGCTCGCTCTTATGGTCAACATGGTGTCATGGCAGTGGCTACGTCGATCGATGGAGAAGGAGTACGCAGCATTCCGGAACAAAGAGGACACCTGGATGGCAGCCTTTATCTCAAAGCTCGACACGTTTGTTTCGAACCCGAAGAAGGAGCTCAAGTTGCACGCGAAGGAGTTGTTTCCGAACATGGTTCACTCGGACAAGACACACGTCCTCGCACCACTCAAGCGGAGAGTGTTCATCACGGAGAGCCTGGACGACTACATTCTACTCATGGAACCCATCTTATTGGACTGGTTCGAGTTCCCCCAATCCCCCACTAATCGGGTGAGGGCCGAATTCTGCGAGGTGGTGGTGGAACAGTTGGGCGCATGGGCGCTTTTCCTTCCCGAAATAGGGTCTATTTGCCACGATATCAAGACCATCACAGCAGGGAAAACCGGTCGGTTCCCGTCCCAGAAAGTGAACACTTGGGTTCAGAGTCTTCGCCCGGCACTGCAGGCGATCGCCACCCCAGAGACAAAGGACTCGATAGAGGAGTTTGGGGGGTTATTGGAGACGTTTTCCCTGGGCCACCTGTCAGCGAGCGTGTTGGACCAGGTGTATGCTAGTGCAGCGCCTGACCGAACGGCACTCGATAACCGTGGAGGTATGTCCGCTTATATACTCCCCAACACATACAGAAACTCGAACTAATACACCGAGATTTCAAGGTGTCGACAAAGAAGCCGTATTCCACTTCCTTCGACAAATCGAGTTGTTGCTACCCCTTATCGACCGTCCTCACGACGCCGCACCCCCGTCACTCGAGGACGGAGACAGCCAGGGAGGAAGTTCCATCACTAAATACGTGAAACACGTGCGCGACAACGGAGACAAGAAACTGCCATTCCGAGACCTGGCGCCATCCAGGCGACGTGTACTCGAAGGAGACGGACCGTTCTCAACCAGCCATCTTCGAACGAGGGCCGGACTGTTTAGCGCAGCGATACACAGAGGGGTGACCCATAACACCCCTTTTTTGATCGAACACTCGGAGATATATTTCGAAGACGCCACCCACTTTCGCGCACGAATCCAGGCATATCCAGACCGACCACGCTCGTTCTTTTGCAACCCATCCGCGTACGGCGCCAGAGCAAATCGGACAGTCGATGTGGCCGAGTCGCTGTGGGACGCAACTGGCGAGAGTGCGTGTAATAGTTGGTTGCTCGGAGGACCCTCCGACACCGTCACCTTCCAAACGTTGTGGGGACTGTTCAGCACCGCCAAATTTCCGACTTTCGGACCCTTGACAGCATACCTGCTCGCAGGAGACTACGCGATCGCCGGCATCGTACCCATGCCATCTTTTGAGGAAATGGCGGCTACCGTCATCTCCCTCAACAAAGGCGCTTTAAAAGGACTTCGCTCACTCGGGTATAGCTGCACCGACCAGCCATCCACGTCGTCGGCTCTTCAGGAAGTTGACGCAGAGATTATTCGCGCATTCAGCGCAGAGGTTCGGGAAAAGATGAAGTACAACATATTCGTACTGGAACATATGCTCTGCAAATATGGTAGATTGTCAACTAGGATGTACAGCGCCACCATGTAACCAGATCCACACCAATTCGTACCGTTTGATGCACGACTTAGTGCCGGATAACGAGCGAGGGCGTAGCGCGCGAGGTATATCAAGACACAAAAGCATATATTAGAGGCACGTCTATATCAAAACGTCGAAGCTCGTTCTATATGTTCTAGGTACCAGTACAGCATGCAGGGCCAACAGAAGAACAATAGAAACTCTACGCGGACACAGGATCGCTGTGGACAACGACAAACTGCAAATTAAGGGACAAGTACGGTGAGCCAGCATTGGCAGAATAGTTAGTGGATATAAGGTAAGTATTCGCAGTGTATCCTACGGACACCAAGCAATACGGAGGGACCTCGTCGCGCGTCCAGATCGGGAATCTGTGAAGATCATCCCAATCGCTGTCGTTGAAAACTTTGTCTTTTCGACGAGCATCGAAGACCGGAACTACAACGAAACAAAAGTGAGGAACCGACGCGACCCAGAATCAAGACGACTGTCACCTACCTTTATCATCGAAAGCTAGCGGCAGCGGGTAATGTTTCCGTTTGATGTTAGAGAGCAATGGATTCGACCCTGTGGGCTGAGACGGAATTCCTTTACCGAATAAACCGGCCTTTTTCGGGGTCGCGACGATGTTTCCGCGGTCTTCGTCTCCAGCTGACACAAAGCGGGTGAACATGGAAATTTCGGACCTCAGTGTAAGTCGAGCCCACCTTTGACACGAGTGGTGAAAGGAATCACTCCTCCGTGGAAAGCATAAATAAGGGAGGTCTTGCCAGCCAAATTGCCAAAAAGAGTCATGGCACGTTGGAATTCCCCGTCGAAAGGGTAGAGACCAATACGATGATCAGTCGTGGTCTTGTATGAAGTAGCGTTGACGGCATCTTCGGTGAGATAGGAGTAAGCCACAGTTCCTGTCATGACGAAACAGACGTTGTTGGACAGGGACCGCTCAGTAGGGCGGTACATCCTAGGCGATGCGTTGAAGAACGTGCTCGTTCCAGTCGACGACGGCTTGATTAACGACGGATCTATCCTGGAGGCATTGGCGTACAGCTTATAGTGTTTCATGGTCAACAGCCTAAATAGACGGCTACGTCGTTACACGAGGTGAGACGAGGTTTGCACAACCGAACGCTACAAAGTGGTAAGAGAGACGCACCTCTGAAGATGATCGGGGCCGCTCCTGTCAATGCAGTCCTTGATCCTCGCCGGGGACAGCAAACTATCATCCGATCGCTCTTTCTGATTCTTAGACGTCTTCTCAAGTAAGACATATCTATCGGCAAAACGTCAGTTCATTCATACATGACATGATACGAAGAGCAATATGGTATAGATCCTACTTCAACTTCGGCAATCCTTTGTAAGTCGGGCGAAGCCAGTCATCGTCGGGCATGGGAACGTCGTCATCGTGTTCGTATTGTTCCTCGTTTTGCTCAATCTCGACGCCTTCGCCGCCATCCTTTTTAATGACAGCAGCAGAGGAATCCGCTGAATCCCCTTTGGAAGACAAGCAGACGGGTTCTTTGCGGCGGCCGTTGGAATAGGCTGAATGTTCCGCAGAGGAGTCGTTTTCCTCTTCAGAAGGCCGCGGGCGCTCTTTGAGAGACACTGAACGATCGGATATAGCAAGGTCTGTTGAAATCGATGCCGTGACTCTACCCTGGTACTCAGGATTAGACGTTTTCGACGAGGGCGTGGTACCCGCAGCTCGAGGTCTGGGTCGCGGGCGGTGAGAATCGGGAACCGACTGCTGGAAAGACCCTGCAATAACGATGTAATAAATTCGATGCAGAGACTAGGGAGTGAACCGTACCACGAGAGGGCGAAGGTCGAATACAAGCACCCGAGCCGGACCTAGGAACAATGGACGCTCTCGCATCGTCAGCTCGGCGTCTGGCGCGATCACCGTGCTCTCGTTTCTTGGTCGGCACGGGGGAGGGACTTCGGCGACAACACGATCCATAAACACGGATACGACGGACTGAAGAACGTTAAACGCATACCTCGCCGCCAAGAACAGGGGCGACCCAAGCCTAGGGCGCTTGCGTCGACCATCCCCGTCGGAATCCGCGTCGAGCTCATTCGCAAGCTGTGGGCCGAGAAATGGCGTCGAGACGGATCGACTGTGGACAGATACATGTCAGGAACGAGCTACAGGACAAGGTATCGACCCACTCATCGATGAAATCGCTCTCATACCGATCTTGGTCCTCTTCGATTTCAGACGGGTCGCCTGCTGACTCCACGGCTTCGTCGTCCACGAAAGGATTGCCGCGCCTCGAAGGAACGCCCTTTACAGAATCGCTGTCGTGCACCGATATAACGTCTCCAGGAGATGCCGCTCGTCTGCGCCGCGGTGTTACGCCAGACGGCGGGTACGGAGTAGTCGCTCGCCTAGAGGCTGTGGGATGATTACCACCTCGACCTTGTTAGCTCTCCTAGAAAGCCGATGAACAAGACACTCGCGACAAAAGTCCAGTTCGCATACCTCCGAGGCAACGAAAAAGAAAGTCCAGTCTTGCTGGGCAATCGATTATCGAAACGACTAGTAAGGTTACGGGAAAGGGAAGAAACTGTAAGCTAACGTAAACGGCGCGCCTTGAGAAAGTAAAGCTCACCCTGGTTTCATAGCATTGACGCATACGTCGTCGTCTTCGTCAGTCAGCACTTCCTCGGGTATATCTTGCATTTCCAAGGCTTTTGAGGAAGGCTTGCGACTGGGAAGAGAAACTCAACGCAACGAAAGGACGATACAATGGCAATTACCAACATTCGTTTACTGCTTCTTACTGGAGTCTCTGACCCCACGTTAGTCTCGTCCTGAAGAACAGGTGAGTGTTCGAAACGAAACATACGTATCTGAAAGTCCCTACATCTAACACAGCGGTCAAACGCGATCTGTCCTCACTAGTTTGTATCGCCTTAGTCCAGGTTGTCTGGTTACAACAATGTATCCGACCTACCCTTCATCTACATCATCACGACGGGGTTTAGAAAGTTTCGAGCTGTTACGGGACGCGGAACTCATTGTGAAGGCGCAGGATTGAAGCTACGCAGGAAGGAACCCGACGAGCGACAGCAAAGGTAGCTGCACTTTCAATTGCCTCCTAGGGGCCCTTTATACCTTCGGGATTGTACGCACGGACCTAACCACAAAGGAAGGCAAATACGACTAGAGCAAATTCCCATCCGTGCCGAGGACCTTGAAAACAGCGAGTATTTCGGATCGAGACGCAGATATACGGATACTCGGAGCGAGTGCCCGTCGATCAACCAAACGCAGTTTAATCTCTAGAAGCGCAACGAGAGGACGCAATTTTAACCATCTTTCAGCAACCATCTTCACATTAGACAGGTATCAAGATTCAAAAGAGACACGTCGGATGTAATCAGAGCGCACGCGGTCTCTTCAAAAAGGCACAGCGAGCCTTTCACGGAACCAAGAACATCGAGGCTTCACTACAATTTCAAACACCGGATTCGCGGTAATAAGCGGGGTGCACGCAATAAATATGCCACTTGTCCACCTTCGCCGCTTACAAATTTCTTACCGTGAATTGGCGTATGGAAACTGCAGCATCAAATCAAGCGCCAAAATCTGTACAATCTAAAGACACCCGACCGATGTGCGGTAATAACATTCTCAAGTAAGCACGCCGTCATGTACTCGAGACTCTCGCCCGTCGGCCACGGTAGCCGAACCATACCCGCTACACTCAATCGGCGCTATCCACATTAGTGCGATGGAAACCCCCGTCTCCCTCCGAGCCCATGGACGACATTTGCGAGGACACTGTGATGCTGCTGACGCTGGAGATCGAAGGACTGATCGATTGCTGGACGGATGGAGCCGCCTCGTCGGTTTCACCTGGCCGAGACTTGAGCTTTTTCTCTCTGGCGATCTCCCTGAATGTTCGCAAGTGCGGTGGCCTCCCGACTACTACAGAACCAGCGCTTAGCGGAGACGACGCTGAAGAGATCGCTACCCTGGTATAGTCGACACCGACGCAAGCCGGATCATCTCTCGCTGAACCTCGATCGAGATCTGCACGGACGGGGATGAACGTCGTACTGCCGTTAATCGACTCGATAGCGGGGACGAAGGCACCGGATCTTCTTTCTGCGTTCTTGTTTCCACTGGTACGAACTAGATCGCTTTCCGGAGGGGCCTGCGCCAACCTGCGTATATGCCCGCTGCTCGCACGCTCCATATAAAGGGCCACCGCTTCTTGCTTGCTCCGGACCTTATCGTGAACAGCATGAGGTATTCCCTGCACCTGCGGACCAGCATCGATCCTGCCATGTTTTCAGTCATCGACGAACGAGCTGGAGCAAACACGCTGACACTCACCAAGTCGGATATATACCCGGAACTAGGCCCACTGATACGACGTACCACCAATTCGTCACCACATTATGGCCCCAAGGACCATGGATTGGATCCCAAGTTACGTGGTTCGGGAAGGTCGCCGACATCGCGTCAAAGTCGTTGCTGTGGACCACTTGAACGAATCCTTTCCTCAAGGCCGCCCGGTAAACATCGTCTGCGTCTGTCTTCGAATCAAACGACGCATACACGCTGACCCGGTTCAAACCCTGGACGAGCGGTTCCGCTCTCGACCTGGAGTAACGTCAGGCTATTCGTGATGATGCGCTCAAAGGAACCACGTTCTACAGACCATGTGTTGAAGACCCCCGTGTCTCTACCACGGACTACTACGCACCAGCGATCCATATGTAGTCTTTGCAATGGAATTCACGATCTAACCTTCCCCAGACGAATCACGACGGGTGTATCCGGCACTAAGGTTGTGGGCCAAACTAGGCGGAACTTGATTGCTTGATCGATGGCGGTTTACTGAAGAGAAACGACAACCTCGCACTCGACGACCCTTCTGATTCCCACCCTAACCTTATACTAAGTGGCTATACGAATACGACTCGCTAAATTTAGACGCCCGGGCTTCAGATAGTGGTCAAGAACATCGAAAGCTTACGTCATTAACGATGTTTTCCCAAGACCCGTAACGATTTGATAGAATCGTACTGGCCCTACGGACACACATACTGTACGTGAGAGGACGTGGTCGAGCCAGCGCATTACAGACCGTAGCCGGGAGCACCTTTTTTTTCCATTAAGATTCAGCAACATATAACGAAGTGCACGGCTACTACATCAAGCTCGAGCGCAAAAACGACGGCGCGTATCTCAACAATTTATCTAATACTGCTTGTACGGGACATTCAGCCTAGTGAACCCTACACCCCTGATAAGTTGGCTTGCTGTGAGGAGCATGGCACTGCGAGGTAAGACTAAGAGCGGATAAAGTGGACGTATGCAACTATGACACACCTACAAAGAGCGTCACATACAGCCGGGACGTCGTCCTCAGCGGCATCCACCGCCATGCCACGTCCATCGAACAACATCGCCAGAACTGACCCATTGGCACCGATTAACGAGCACATTTCCTGCCCCAGCATCCTGGAAAACGACGGATTCAAAGGGTTCTAGTGCACGGAGGGGGGACAATGCATCGACGTTGTTACCGCGTCCATCAATAATCAATAAAGAAACCGACGCACACTCGTCGAGGGGCGAAAGAACACGGCGCCCCCTACTGCTCCGTTGACGCTTGGATTTGGAAGTGGGAACCAACGCAAAGGAAAGTCTCTTATGGGGAGGTCAGGGTCCAGTACCTCCACGTGGAGGATCATGCGACCTCCACTCGTCGATGGGCCAGCAAGCACAGAAGACGCGACGGGCAGAAGGGCGGGGGACTCGGTGTCGGAGGCCCAGAGTACACCAACATAGTTAGTTGTCGGGAAGTTCTAGAACGTGTGGAGGTAACAGACGCAGCGAGGGAGATGCGCGCCCTTGCTCACCTCGTTATACAACTTGGTAAGGGCTTTAATGGCGTCCCCATGAGGAGACAAAGTGAAATCGTGTTTCATTATTGCTTTGGGTTGAGCAAGGACACAGATAAAGGGGAGGGGGTCAACCCTCGATCCACCAACCGCATCTTATATAGAGTAAAGAGCAAGACAAACAACGATGCAAACACCCCAGACCTGTCGAATTACACCTGGTAGACTGTTTACTAACAAGCATCGAGATTCAGCACAATGCCATACGAGGATTCGGGCTATATACCTATCTAATCACACGAGGACAAGTTCGATGGAATCGGAAGCCACTGTCAAAGGGAAATATTTGACCAGGAAGTCTTCCTCTACAAATACAACCATCTCATCGTAATAGACGGGGTCCCAACTCGGAATATTGAAACTACTGCTATAAACGAAATCGAGCTCGACTCGTATCCTACCATATTTTCCCAAGCGGGCTAATTCCGCGTCTAGCACGTGCCATCGCAAGGTATAGATGTACCTCCTCCGAAGCAGAGCCCCGAACACGCACTCCAGATGTAGCACTCTAAGGCGAGGGCAGTCCAACAACCCAACGAAAAGCGCGAAAGCGGATGGGGGGCAATCATCCACGCGGATGTAATGGTAATGCGTGGTCAGCACCAAGTGAACCTCTCGTACTTCAGGTAACATCGGCAACACAGGATCCACACCGGGGCGAGTACGATTTCCTGTGAGAAACACAGAACCAAAGTGGTGAGCGCTGATAATATGGAAGGGGTTACGCAACAAGAGTTACATACTATGGAAGCTCGAAACCTCCAATTCCAACTTCTCTAACGACGTCTGGGCAGCAGCGGTGGCATGATTAAGCACGCGCACGTCGCGGTACCAGGAGAGCCGAACCACTAGCAAGCGTAGCTGGCTCCAATCGAGGATAGAGACGATGGGATCCGGCGAATGGTCGACATTTGCAAGGGCTATACCAGACGAATGCGAATAACGAAAGGCGGTCAAGGAGGGGCGATGGTTCGGATCGGGTCCAGAATCAATCATACGAAGGCCGTCCACGTTCAAGTCCTGCAGGTTGACACAGGATTCGAGGACGGCCTTCGGAACATCCAGTACATGTACGACCCTGAGTCGGATCAAGCTCGACCCAGAGACGCGCAGTATACCGCGGAGGGTGAACCCCAAAGACTCTTCAACGCCCAAGCGAGCGATAGAGAGCTCTGTCGCCCCTCCACCCTCGCACAGGACCGTCAACGCCCTTTTCAGCGCGTCGGAGCGTAACCAACCGCTGTCCGCTCCCCACGAGGAAAGGCATACCCGCTTGACAAGTGGTGCCAAGGATGGCGTGGAGCGAACCAAATCGGCTAAGGCGTCTATCCTCGACAGCAACAAGCGCCCGTCGATGACGTCAAAGTGACCATGAAGGGTTACCCTTTCAAGGAGCAGGCGACGACCAACAATCGACGGGATACGCCCGGACAGCCTGAACGCCGCTATATCGCGAAGCGACCAGCGCGAATGACTGGCTATATGCTCGATGAGCTCGGGTACTTCGAAAGGCTCGCGAGACATTAGAGCGAGGGATAAAACAGCTGTGCCAGGCCAAACGAGGTTATAAAGGCCTCGTCATGGCGGGAAAATAAGAACTCCAGCCTTGGAGCGGGAAGCCGGTGCATGATTCAATCAGTAAACGAACCACAGCTACATACAAGAGTTCATACAAGCAGAAGAGAAGACAGGGATACAGTAGACATTGCCGCGGTGAACTGGTATTCGGGAAGCTCTTGGAATTCCGTAAAGAAGGCTATCGGAACGTCGAGCTTGTCGAAAGCGAGCATGGATTGGATGTCGGCACGGCGGGTTAAAAGTGCACTGAGGATCATTAGACGATCATTCACCGTTAATCACCGCCGACACGTACCGAGCAACACCAATGCAGATAGGTCTGATATCGGCATGAGTAGCGTCCACTTGAAACCCGTTATCGTCTAGCAAAACCACGAGCACATGGCCCTTAACACCTGAATCGGGCGCCATCTTCGAAATCATTGGATTCAAGTTTTCCTAATTGCGACGGAAGCACCGTCAGCCTGCTGGACTCACTGCGACGACAACCCAGTATGGCCACTTACAGTCTCTTTCGAAAGCTCGTAAATGTAACCCGTCCGACCATAGGAGTTAGGGAACTCTCCCTCTCCTCCCATCCTAAAGGTCAGCAGACTAGAAGACGCCGGAGTTTGGTCAAGATAACTGGTCATGTTGATCCCAGCCAAACCGACACGCGCAGGATTGGTACTCGCAATCGGAATCGGCGCCAGCATCGGATACGCCTTGTCTATCGGAAATGCCACCGCATTCACGTAGGGACATCCGGTGGTCTATCAAGGACGATAAATTCAAACTCAACAGTGTGATAACAAAAGGAAAAATTCAAACCACTCGATTGGCGAGGAGGAGGAAAGGAAACAGCAGATTGATGCTTACCGCTATTACATGGGACGCGAACCTGAACGCGGCGTCAAAAGGCGGCGGAACCATTCTACTCGTTCAATCGAGTCGCAAAGAGGAGATGCCAGAACTGACGTCCGAGTTGAAGGCGCTAGCGAGCTATTTAACACAAGGCGCTGCAAAAAAGGACCAATAAAAGAAAGGGTACTTTAGACAGGGGAAGGGGGGGGGGGAGAGGGGACGCGAAAAGAAAATCTGTCGGAAACGATCGCCGACACCCATAGGAACGCAGATCAGAAAGAAACACGCACATCCATCCAAGAAGGAGTGGAAGAGAGGAGGAGGAGGGGGGGGGGAGAGAGGGGGACGGTAACAAGCGATCTAAGGAATAAGGAAGAGAGATAGTGTAACGAGCTGCGTTCAAAAGACCGATCGAGAATACAACCACTGGACACAAACACGTAAAGCGGTTAAAATATGCGTCGGTGAAAAAATTAAAAAATGAAAATAAAAAAGACAAAAAAAGGGAAAGACGAAGAAGAAGAAGACGAAGACAAGAAAAGCCCGTGCCTGTGTCTAGTTGATAGGAAGCAAGTATCAAGTAATTACATCGATACCTACGCCGTTAAGGTCCGATATCCGTGGCACGACGATGGACGTAAACATACAACTAAGAGACAGGAAGGAACTAAGGAAAAGACAGGCGCAATCGAAAGAGGGACAGGGAGTAAAAGAAACAAGAAGCGACACAGAGAGAGAGGACTCGAGCACAAGCGAGGATGTATAGCCAAAAGCGGACACGGTCTGTTCGGGCCGTAGGACGGCAGGGCACATCTAGCGTTTCTACACACGCTCCGCGTGTCCATTCCCCTGCACGTATCCACCTCGAGCACAGATCGTCGATGACCATCAAACGGTGTTAGCTGTCGCCCAACACCGTCAAACTCGAATAGCCGGGACTACAAATGTGCAAGGACTGTTCGAGCACTGCTCCAAGCGCTTCACCATGAACGTCCACTATCAGACTGCATCCGCAGCTGCAGAATTGGAGCAGCTTGCCCTAGAGCGAACAGGTCATCGCCTGGCAGGCCAGCAGCTGGCCACACTGGATCATGTAAGGGCCAGAGGTCCTCCGGGCGAACACACACTGACAAATTCGCCATCAGAAGCGCGTACACTCCGAACTAACGACGTCGTATTTCGCCAACGACAGAACGTGGAGAATGATCCAAAGGTCAGACGAAGGACCGACTACGAGCGAGATGGTATGGCACCTCCAAGGAATACTTATGAAGAAAGACTTGCCGCCTTTCGACGCGGCCATCAGGTACGTAAGAAAAAAGAGCTCTGGGAAAAGAGAACGAAACCGACGCCTATGATAACGCAGGCCCAACATGAAAGCCAAAGCGAGGTACCTTCGACAAGGCGTAACGATTGGCGGATTCAGCACGCCCACCTTCTCGCGTGCTGCAGAGAACATATCGGAAATATACTCCGTTTTCAGCAGATGCGTCAAGGAGGGTAGTCTCGCGCCTTCCGACGTCGTAACAACCAGTCCCAACGGGGTCAGCATATCGGCTTCCAATCGATACTTCACGTCGAGGTCGGATGATCCCCAAGGACAAGCGTATACCATCGGGTTCGACATAGACCCCAACGGGACACTAACGCAAGTCGCCGGGGACAGGTACTTCTACGGAGAAGACAACATAGTATATTACCTGGAGAAAATAGAGAACACGGAGACAGGAACAGGGAATGCTAGGTAAGGCCACCCTCGCCGACTAACGAGACGGGAGCTAATGCAAACTACAGTCTTCAAAGCAAAAGCATTGGCCCAGTAAAGATCAGGGAAGGGGACATCGTCGAGATCCAAGTAACATTCATGCTCGTACCGATGAAGGGAAACAAGTGGAGAATGAACGCCGTGCTTCGCTGTATTACAATACTCGACGCGTCTTTTGCCCTCGTAGGTACAGAGTGTCTTCTCTTCTACTCAAGGTGATAATACCCGGAATAGGAAGCCACCAGACGGTTATCGACCAACGCTCCCCTCGAGGTTCTGGAGCCACAAGTACGATTGAAGCGACGAATAGGGAAGGACATAGAAGACGAACAACAGGAAGACGCGCGTTCCAACAAATTTCAAAGAATGAACGTAGACGGATGAGAATCAAATCTAGAAGGGCTCTGCACCAACAAGCCGACGAGCTGACAGATAAGCTATCTCGCAGTTAAGCTATATACTACGGAAGAATACACGTGTAGTATACATAGAACTCTCGCGAGCATTACATCGAGCAGAAGAATACACGTGCGGATAACGCAGAACTCGCGCGAGTATTACATCGAGAACGAGACGAAGACGAAGAAAAAGGAAAAAGGAAAAAAAAAAAAGAAAGAACGAAAGTAAAAGGTCAAAATAAGGGAGGGGGGTTGACAAATAAGCCGAAATCCAGAAAGATCGAAGAGGCGGTAATAGGGCAGATAAAGCAGCAGATTATCCCAATGCAACTTCGAGGAAACCGGGAACAGAGGGCGGAGGACCTTCCAACACCTTCCAACAGGAGAGAGACAGGGTGGACCGCGATCGTCGCGCTACCTGTCCTTGCTGACCTTGATTCCGTCCACTAGTCGAACACATAGGAAAGCAGCACGCAGAAGGCACAATAAATCGGTACAATGAATCGCGATGTCACCTGGACTCCCACTCGCACTGTCTCCAGGGCGAGCTCGTCTGGAATGCAGCGGCAAGGCAGCGGATAGCGGAATTAATAAAGTCGGGGACTTTAAAATTAACACACTATATATTCAGGCGCCCGACCCCGAACGAAAGATCGTATACTCAATGACTACTGAGCTGAATTCTAGAATTAACGGATGACGGGAGAAACCCGCTCAACAAGCCCAGGAGACTCGACTCTGACTGGAAGGGACGCTCAGAGGAGAACCAAATACTGGACTGCTTGCGATTGATGCCATCAAACGACGAAGCAAAGCGAAGGGAAGGACACAGTACACAGCAAAGGTTTGGCCCCCCCGCCAACGCGCTGGAAGTACCTGGAGGGACGAAACAGGAACTCAGGAACCACATATAACTGCCCAATTATCATGATTACAGTTGACTATCACGTATTCACGTCGACTCGCGGGGTGGCGAGCAACGGGAAACTAGATTTAAGCGCCCGCAGTAGTCGGAGGACCGGTGCGTCCCACTCGAAATCCTCGAAATTGTAAGACAGTAGAAAAAACCGTCAGAAAGGCCCCTCACGGCAGTGAAAAATACACGGACGAGACAGGGGGGCAAAAGTCAAATTGACAGCGAAACGAACAAAGTCGAAACCCGCTCTGAGTGCCTTTAAAAAGCCCAATGGAATAGCAAACACAATAGACAAGGTACCCACCCGATCATGCCTACCATCCCCAAAAGACTCCCGGCCCCCCTCTTCCGTCACATCGAGCCACTGGAGGCGGCCATCGCCCTTAGGGTGCTACTCACACAACTCAGACCTAACGAAAACTCTCCAGAATTGATAGAAGCGAAACTCACCGCAATCCGGGACAGCGCACCGGATTTAGATATGAGGAAAGCAGCAGCAGCCTTATTTCCAGGAGAAATCGGTAAGAAAAGGACGCCTAATCTAAAGTTAGTCAAGCGCGCGAACTGATCCACCGCGTAGACGAGATCGCCTCCCAGCTAGTAACCGCCGATAATCCGGAGGAAAGAGCTCGCCTGGAGGGTATCATCGAGTCGAGGGTCTGGTTCAGGCGGTGGATGGACGCCGCACGAATTCACAGGAAGACGGCACCACACTCAGATCCAATCGCTGCCCAGACGGTGAACCGATTTGCCACTTCCAAGCTGAAAAAGATAGAAGAAATGCTCGCCAACGTAACCAAAGAAGACGAAGCATTACAAGCGGCGAAGGTCACATTGGAGACAGTCATAGATCTTGGGGAACAATCGTAGAAAGGACTGCGTCTACTACCTATCCGTTGTAATGTAAACGTGCCGAGTGCATGTATTGGACGAGTTCGTGCTTAACGCGTCAAGGAATACCATCGCATCGTACATAATAGTGCGCAGGATGCCAGCCTTGAAACAACCCGTGCTCAGGATGCCAGAGAAGTTCAAGAACCCGGGCGAAAACTAATCAGCCGCACCCTTCCACCCTGCGTGACCACCGGTCCATACGAACACACTGTCACTGAGAGTGAGTCTCAAAGCAGGCTTCTGCACAAGAAACACAGCGTGAGTCGGTAAAAAGGAACACTGAGCCGGCACATCGGACCTAGGTGCACTCAAACAGGCAAGCAACGACGTTATGGCAGGGGAGGGGGCGGGGAAGGAAAGACTCGCATTAACCAAACAGGATACGACAAGACACGGGGGCGCACGCATTAAGGAACAACTCCAGGTTCGCTAGTGTACGTCAAGTGAAGCCAAACAGCGTGCCATATATATCATAAGAGTCCACAGGCTATAAAAAACGACAGCGATAACGCACGGATTCCATACTTCAAGAACCTGCCCGTTCCCTGACCCCAAGACCCGTCGCGTTTCCAAGCACCAGTACTATTTCAAGTAGCCGCCATGCCCAACAGAAAAGCGAAGAAAAACAAGGGCAAAAAAGGGACAGGTCGTCGCCAAGACAAAGCGTCTGATGCATGTGAGCCCAAAACGTTTGACCTCTCTATCCCGAACGAAGTAGCTCACAAACCGCTGACATAGTCTGCTGGGCGAACTTACCCCTCGAATTAAAGGAAGAGATATTGAAGTACCTGGATATCAATCAACTCCTCAAGCTCGAAGCCGCAATGGGCCTGGAAGACACGCCAGCCGCCAGCTACCCGCCAACCGAAGCAGCCCCTCCCAAAGAGATGTTTCGTCGGATCGCTCACGCTCTCATGTTATTCGACCTCGACATTCATCCCATGATGGATCTGATGCGCCGTTACGACGCCATCATATCGGGATCCTGCGCCCTTGCAGTCATACTAGACAGCGACTTCGTGCCCAACGACATCGACGCATACGTGAAGACAGAGAGCGCGTCACCCTTTGTCGACGGCCTGGTCAGAAAAACCAAGTACGAACGCTCGTCCCACCCGAAAGACACCAAGATATACAAGGGCCAACGCAACGGGATCGTCAAGAGCTATAACCTCGTACACGCGGTCACCGGAAAGAAGATCAACATAATCGAAACTGGAGTCTGCCCCATCTCAACGGTATTCGCGTTTCATAACACAGTGCTGATGAACTTCATCGCCTACTGGGGCGTAGTGTGCAGCTATGGCACCCTCACATGCCGAAGGATAGGCCTAGTAAACAGCACCAGTTTCAACGAGGGGAGTAGCAAGACGATGGCGCCAGCGACAGAGGAAAGTCGACAAAAGTACAAGGCCAGGGGAGTGAAGATGATCTGGAACTACCGAGGGAGGGAAGACGTGCGTAAATCATGGGCCGACATCAGAAACCACGTATGTGGAGAATGGGAGTACTGCCCCAAGACCAGCCGAAACCTGAACGACTCCGGAGTGGCGTGTCTTGTATTTCCTGAATGGAGAGACAAGGAAATAGAGATCACAATGGTCCATTGGCGCCTAGCATCGGAAGGCAGGTGCAAAATCGATTTCGGGATGAAATTAGGATGGGTACACAGTTCCGAAGGCCAATGCATCTGTACGTCGGTGTCGTATTCTGGCCCCACGTACGTTACTGACGACATCTCAGGGTTGTTATAGAGGAGTCAGCAGATCCGCAGTCCCTAATAAACAGCTTGTAACAGTTTTCTTGATTTCAACGATAGAGCTCCACACCGTGTTCGATCTGTTCCCCAAACGTGTATTGTATTCGTGCGAATAGAACAAGCCATACACGAGTTCGACGGGCGTAGGCTTGTGAGAGAGTCCAGACAACAAACAGACATGCATGCATGCCAACGGACCTAGAAACCAGTCACAATACCTGCGAGGCAGGAGAGGTAAGTAAGCAATCCCGAACAAGGTAAAAAGAGGGGAAACGACCCACTAGCACGGCGACCGTCCACGTCTTCGAGCCAGCCCGGGCACGGAGCCAGCTCTCGACAGCACTCTCCATCATGGGCCAGCTTCCACGAAACCGAAGGGACACCTTGCAGCATATCGTCCGATGTATATCCTGGGAAAGGCACCCACAGCATACCTGGATCCAAAGAATCCCTGGTAGTCTGAGGACAATACGCCCACGTACCGCAATGGTGTTGCGATAACGCCGGAGTCGACGTCACCGCGCGATCTTGAGACGCAAAAACATCAACAAGGTTCGCATAAAGACGAAAGCCCCGCCGTCGATACTTGTCCAAAGCTTGCACCAATGCGGGCCTTCGTACCATCCTTCCCCGGACACAATTGATTACCCCCACACCCTCCAACGCGTGGCGGGGATAGGCAGACCCGACCCCAGAATGCAGCACTACATTCATGACGAGGGTGCTATGAAACCCCCATACCACCGAAAGGGGCGATCGGGTGCTGGCCTCCACGACGTTCAGCGACCGTCCCGACAAAGGATCCTCCAAAAGGCGGACCGTGAGCATGGCGGTTCCGCCAACAAGGACGGAATACGCGACATCGGGACCTCGTGCACGAGTGAGGACGGTTTCCTTGGTGTACGGTGTCCGGGTAAGGATATACTTGAGAAGGCCAGATAGGCCGCTGGAATTAACGTAGATGTCGATGTCGTTCGGAACGAACGACGAAGGTCGAGGCAGGATAACGGCGAGGGCCGCAGAGCCGGAAACCACCGCGCCGTGCGTCATCATACACGCCCGGAAGTCCTTGGGATCCAAGGAGAACCGGACTAACAACGCTGTAAATCGAAGGAGGAGCTCCTTGGGCGCTACGCGACACCCAGCCTGCGCCATCACGTTCAGTTCCTCCGCGTTCAAATGCCCTAGTATTTCGTATCGAAGGTCCGGATGCAAGGTCGAATACAGAACTGCGAGAGCAAGGACAGGTACACAATCAACACACGATAAAAATCGCCAGACTAAGGAGTCAGCGAAGGAAAGGAGACTCACATGGGGTTGCCTCCATCTAGGACAAGCGCGACAGTAGCCACCCTGACCGACGAGAAGACTTTATACCCTGCAATGAAACGCACGGACCACATAGAAGACGCCATCCAAAACAAAGCGCCAGAAGAACGAGTTGGACGACGACCATGCTCCCGTTAATTGCAACACGGACCGACCAAGGATGTAAGTCATCAACATGTGTGTGTGTGTGTGCCATCGATCAACAGCGCACAAACGCGCGGGAAAGGCGATGTCGACGGGGAAAGCCGATCAATGACGTATGAATTCGTGTTCCCCTACTTAGCGACAACCACATAACATGACGTACAGCAACACGGCGCTTATTACGACACGAGCGCCGACGAAACAAGGTGAGACCGCTTCAACAAAGAAACCCGTCCGGCCCGCACAAACGCGACTAGAGAAACCTATCTCGATCTACTCGCCTATCCCACGCTAGCTGGGTCCTCAAATAGGCCCGTTGATAACCTCTGGCAGTCTCTCCAGCGGTCACAGTCCCCCCCCCCCCCCTCATCGCATCATCGAGACCAAATGGCATCCAGAGTGCCCGTCAGCGGATTAGAGTTCGACCTCCTTCGCCCTGAGCTCTTTCATTCCCAATGGGTCCGGATAACGTTTAGAAACCAACTGAGGATCGGGGGTCCGTTTGGAACCTGCTCGAGGTGTGAAACGACGTTCCAACGTTGCGAGGTCCTGATGAATATCATGGGTAAAAGGGCAGCATTGCACGCAAATAAAACGAATTTTCTGACGCGTCAGTAACAGGGTGCAAAGCGTGTATTCTCGCGGGCGATCGATGCTCTCACATCGACGAAGCCGCCGTCCGCTCGATGATGGAAAGACTGAAGTGTTCCCGAGAACTAGCAACTTGGTACATAGGAGAGTTCAACCGCCGAAGAAAGAATGCCGAGAACGACGCCTTCCAACAAGGAAATGTAGCCATCGGCCTCAAACACGGTACGACACGCCATATACCCAGCGCGACTGACATTGGAACTGAGGAACACGGTATCAACAGAGCTAGAAAGGTTCAGAGAACATCTCGAGGAGAGGATGGATCTGCGATTTCCCGTCACAAGGAAGGATAGAGCGGCGGCCAGGCACTTCATGCTGCTCGACCACCTGACCTTCGTTTCCGCTGCGAGTAGGTGACCATTACCATATGCGGCGTGTCATCCCAGCTAACCGAGTATCCAACAAGGTCATCAAGTAAAAGAACGCGAAATAGCTATGCTAAGAGGAGACCTTGCGCGGGTAACAGACATCGTGAAACACGCCGTGTGTGATCCCAGCAAACCGGCTCACGAAGCCGTGACAGAGCTGCAAGCCATTCTACGCGAAACCACAGACGATCCTAGACTGTATGTGGGATGGACCTATCAAGGATCGATGGGACACGGCGCCACTTGCTGAAAGATCCGTACTACCACCTTCTTACTGCCGGTGGGAGGGAGACATATAATAGAGAATATATATAGCAACCAGTGTGAAGGCGAGGAGTCCAACACCGATCCATGGCTAAATAGGCTATTCGTATTGAGACCGAAACACGACTGATACATGGCCTCTAATTTGCAACGCCGCCGCCGGCATTCATACCGTCCAAAACCCGGCTGTACAGAGCCTGTAAGGTGGTGCCTGCACCTCCGTAGGCTGATTGAAATCTGTCCTTATAAAGCGAGAATACAACGCTCGCGAGTATCCAATGATTCGATAAGTCTTCGTCCTGGTCAGGGTCCCGCTCTTCTAAAGCGGCATCTTCGACCTGGCGAAACAAATGCACTGCAATCGCCAACAAGTCGTACAAGACCTTGCTATCTAAGTTTAAAAGTATGAGCACGACTATCCAAGCAGCAAACGTTCACAGAAGAAAAAGATGAAAGAGACGGCATCGGATTACCTTGTTCAACTATATCCAATTCCTCATTCAAATGGCGGATGATAGCCCGCAATTCAGCAGCCTCGGCCACGAGCGACGTCGGTCCTAAAAGCCAGAGCACAGGTCGACGGCGCACAGCGGAGAAACCAAAATAAGGCAGCGCACCATCCACTGCGTCCACAGCGACTGAAAAGGCGGGCACCATGGACGATTCACTATCCGTCAAATGCGAGGAGGTCGGGACCCCGTCTTCGCACCGCGCGAGGGAACCAGAACCAGACATGGCGAAATAGTAGCAAAGGAGACACAGAACAGCAAGAACGCACCCCCGCTTAAATAGTGAAACAAGTCCTTCTAGTCGACGACCACGGTTCGAACAAGACAGTCCACACGCGGATCAAGGGACACCAATAAAGTCAAGACTGGGTAAAAGTCGAGATCGACAATACACTGTAATACGGAAACCAAGGGACTATAGACCGTAACGCGAAACCGGCGACAACGAGCCGGAATCGGGTATACAACCGAACGCGGGCATCGAAACGCTAAACAGAAAGGGCAATCACAACACAAGAGAGGCGCTGGAACGACAAGTGCATCTATTACTCCTTCACATTCCCTATTCCTCGCTACCAAGCAACGTATTTAGCCGGATATCAAAACGACAAGCAACAAGCTAGGTCCACGAAAAATCGATCCGCGACCGAGCAGACGGCATTGAAAAAAGAGAAGGAAGCATGCGCGCGATCTGGGACAACGTCAACACCCCGTACCGAAGTTCGCCGACATTCCTGGAGGTCTGGATGTACTGGTGAATCAAGAAGGCTCGGGCACGCTCTCCTTGGCCCCAGAGCATAGTCTGCGAACGCCCGAAGTTGCGAAATTCCAAAGCGATCCGGAGACTCGGGAAGATGTGCATCCGAGCTCGAAGCGCGCTGTCCAAAACCTCCCAGTCGGATGACGCTGCGAGGAATCGCATGAAATCCACCTTCCAGTAGCTCCTGTAAACGATGCGGACTATCAAGCGCTCCAACAACGGCGTATTCAACGAATTCAAGGCGAAGACAAGCCCCTTCCAAGGATGCTCCCGAACAGGGTGATCGCTGGAGTAAGTGACGACCAGGGCGAGATCCGTGAGCGCGTGGAGCGCAGGAAATTGGGTGGAACGAGGGTATTGGCGAAAATAACCTAGGGAGTCAAACGAGTCAGGCGAAGGTAAAAAATTAAAAAAATTAAAAATAAAAAGTAAAAACAAGATATAACGTACGATCAATGGTAATACCCGTCACGTCCAAAGTCAGAACACGAAGGCTACCAGCAGCCTGCTGCAGGACAGCAAACAGCATACTGTAGTCATCGGCGTGATCGGTGCGAAAACTGCCCTCCACGAGCTGACCCAATTGAACGTACTGTCCGACCACCTCGCAAGGGCTACCATAGTACGTATCCGCCTGAACCACCTGCCGCGAGTACTCCAAATGCCGGACGACTGGACGCCTCCCAACGGGAGCAGGAGGAACCGCCTGAACAAGACTGGATACGGTGCGACATCCGATGGCGTGGCAGAAGACATTGGTGAACCGAAGCTGGGAAACATGCGATAATGCGTAAAACACGCGAGGAGATAAGAAGCGAATGTTGGAGAGGGTAACTGAAAGGACAGTCGGGGGAAGCGATGCGAAAATGGTTGTGTGGAAAAGGCGACCGTCAAGACCAGTTCGCCCGTGTCCGACGACAGAAACGCTGGTCAAGTTGGTCGCGAAGGTGTCGTCCCTGCGAAACAAGTAGGAGACCAGCGCAATCATCGTTTCGTTGGTCAACCACCAAGTGTCACGGCAGGATGAATGGATGAAGATGGATCGGATGTAGGTTTTCAGCACTGGGCGTCGCTGGAGCAGTGCCAGCAGGACTACTTTGCGCCTTTCAATTTCCGCGCGTTTGCGATTACGATTGTTGCTTCGCCGTATAACCACGTCCCTGTAAAGGAACGGCTGAGCGATGGCGGCGCCGAACTTGGACGTGGCGGCGAAACACGCCAGAGACACGAATTCCTCGCTTTCAAACATCAAACGGACGACAGACAGCCATATCTCCGAGGGAATCGCCGTCATCCGCGAGGGACGCTGCACGCCGGAGGGCGGTCGAGGGAAGGTCGGATAATGAGAAGGAAGACATGATGCAACGAGCGAAGACGTCTGGTCAGATGTCATTGAGGGAGAGAGGGGGGTTAGGAGGGAGGGAGAAAACGATCGAGTGCGAGCTTTTTAAATACAGGAGCTCTATCCGGACGCAGACAAGCCACAAAAGAAAAAGGGAGGAAAAAAAGAAAATAATAATAATAATAATAATAATAACAAAGGGGCAATGGGAAACTCACAGAAGACAAACCGAAGCGCCATTATCAGAAACGAGACAACGCAGAGTACCATCCCATCTAGAAACCGAGCTTCATGCGCGGCAAAACCAGAGGATTCGATTTCCAGTCTCGCCGAGTCAGAACGCGACGCAGTGGCGGCAACTCGGGAGACACCGCAGCAAGGACACCTGAAAACGGCAGAAGCGGAAGACAGGAGAGCTACAAACGGGAGAAGCAGCCACGATTTTCCAGCAACAACTCCGAGAGCAATAAGGGTAATCGACAAAGAAGGAAAGTGGACAGCAGATCACGATGACGTCGGACGAGAGCTCGCACCACGCAGCAGCAACGTCGGTACGAAGGAACGCAGCACTGGAACACGGTGCAACCCAGATGTAGCAAGAAGGAACAGGCGGGCGACACACTGCATCGCTGGCACGGATAAATAAGCAAGTGTCACATTAGTAAGCACTTATCCAGTTAACTTCAACGCGGAAATTAGACAATGGAACGCAGTAAACCCCGCAGCCCATATTCGCAGTGGCAAAAAGGAACAAGCGGATAACACACGTCGCGGCAGATACAGATAAGCAAATGCCACGTTAATAAGCGATTAATAATTCATTTTAGACCAAAGCAGCAATACTGCGCACCAACGAACCCTATTAGCAAAACGATCCGTTCACCAAGGTGGTAATTGTAGGCACACCAGATAAACGTAACGCAGACCGGCACGAACGAGGAGATGGATCGAAACCACCTCACTCGATAGAACGAAGATATCCGCGCAAAAATAAAGGCGGAAAGGAGTGCATCAGATGGACGCGGAGGGACAACTTACGAACCCGTAACCGCTATAGCCCGCGAGGCGGAACGCACCTTCGGCGGTGCTGCCGTGATGCTCGACCTCAACAAAAGGAAAGAACAAAAGGAAAGAACGGCAGGGGACCATACATCTAGGGCCACGAAATCACCCACGAGAATGACGGCAACTCGCAAGGAGCGACGTCACAAGGAGCGAGAGAAACGAGCGATTCGCAGCCAGGGAACAGGGACAGAACGCAGAGAGAGCAGCCGTTAGAAAAACAATTAAAGCAATTTTATAGAGGCAATCGGCGCGCACATCCGTCCATATCACGGAAGAGGAGTACTCCATCCGGCAAGACCGTTAAGGGAGGATGCAAAGAGCAACACGGTAACCAAAAAAGGTAAGAATGTGCTGTACCCAGGGTGGAGATGCGATATATAAGCCTTCAATAATGTCGTGCTCAGTACTTCCTTCGTCTACCAGACGCAGGACCAACACAAGAGAAAGAAAAGAAAAAAAAAGAAACATCGGACCAAAGAGATGATCACGCCAAGCGGTTCAAAGCATCCAGGAAGAGCCGAGCTCAATACTCCGTGTAAGCGGCTGGCCGCCCAGAACACACCGACCACCGCTGACTTCCAATAACGCGCAGTTAAATGGACCGATCTCCCTCCCGAAATCAGGCTTGAAACGACGTCACACATGGACTTAAACCAATTGATCAACCTCCACCGGGTCGACCAAAACAGGGAGGAGGCTGAATTGGAACTGCATAAACGGGTTTCCTCGCTGTTCTCCAGTTTCGGACTAGATACCACAAAGACCCTCAATATGATGAAAAGACACTCAGCACTGGTATCCGGTTCCGCTGCTCTCGCGGTCGTCATACCGGGTAGTATAGAGCCCAACAACATCGACATATACGTATCAACCCACAGCAAGAACGATATCATCGAAGAGCTCGCACGGGATACAAGGTACCAAGAAGTCACCCAGGAAATCGGTAGAGCCAAAGGAATCGCGCACTCCAGATACATCCTCGCCTCGAAAGGAGTCCTATCCAGCACCTACATGACAAACACGCAAACAGGCCAACAAATCAACGTAATGGAAACCTTGTACGAACCTTGGACAGCAATACTCGCCTTCCACTCCACTGCACTTATGAACGCCATCACCTACCAGGGTGTGGTGTCTACATACGGAGAGCTAACCTGTAGATCAATCAGCGTATATAACAGCTCCGGGATCGCCGAAAGAACCGAAAGAGGACCTCTTCCACACGTGCAAGCGATATGGAAGAAATACGCGGAAAGGGGGCTGGCGACAGTGTGGAGTTTGAAAGACAAAGAGGTATCCAACAGATGGAAAGCAGCACGCCGACACACGTGCAAAGAATGGTCGTACTGTCCGCACACGAATCGCACCACCATGGACGAGGGAGTGATATACTTGAACTTTCCAGAGTGGAAGGGACAAGGAGTCGACCTACCTTTCATCGAGTGGAACCTAGCATCCAGCAAGAGATGCGACGGACGGGAATGCATAATACTGGGCGTCGTCCGAAGCAAGCACGGCCAGTCGATCCGTGAGTTCCGCAGCAGCTCGTCGTTCAACATTCACGGCACTGACAGGGGAAGGGGCGTCATTACGCAGTGTTCACCTAGAAAGCCAAACTTTGCCGATACACGTAAATGTAATAGACAAAAGAAAAATTGAAAAATGAAACTCCTCACGTCCGATAGAGGCCAATCGCCCACAACACGAGTCGAACTCGTCCCCGCCGTTTACCCAGACACAGCGACAGGCACGATCCGAGCACCCGATCAAACGGCAACCCGGAAGCAAAGAAGAAAGGACCACGCGAGCGCAAACCCGAGGCCCGAGGATCGAGGATCGACACGAAGCGCAAGTCAAACAACGACGCACGGATGATCGGAGCGAAAAACCCAAAACCAAAAAGAGCTTGACGAGCACTAAATACCCACAAACTCGCGGCCTGGACAAACACAGCCGAAGTATAAAGAGGCAGCGCTACTAAGAGAGTCGACTGGGTCGCTTCCACGCCTCCTCTCTTTCCTTGTATCCAACCCTCGGAGTCTACCAAACCATCGACGCCGACGACAATGAACGATCCCGCACTCAAGAAAACCACAATTAGAATAACTGGCAGGCAACTGGTTGCGCTCCTCCAGCAATTAGGAGCAAAGATTGAGACCCCCACCGACGCCGGTCCACCCGAAAGCATCGAACGAGTCAAAGAAGAACCGGATCGCACAATGGGAACCGGCTCAGGGACTCCGGATAGCTACCCCGACATTCGAGAATGGACGGAGGACACAATCCAGTCCATCGGTGACGCCCTTCACCACCAGCGAGAGTGGAAAACCGAATTCTCAGACGAAGAACCCGAACCAGACATGGGGGACGCCAACTCGCCCACGACAATGATCGGGCCAATGACGGGTAAGCCCTAAACACACAAAAGACGCACTAACCGACGGGCACAACAGAACTCGGAAAGAGGTTGCGCAGCTTCCCAGCCGAGCACCACGTTGAACCGCCCTGCAACCAAGAGAATGTCGCTCCGCCGCAACAGGACGTCGACTGGAAGAAGATGGTATTCGTCTGCGCATTCTGCAAAGGGAACAATGTAGTTCGCAGCGCGGCCGAAACATGGTACTGCATCACGAAAGGGAGAGAAGTGGGGATATTCAAAGGATGGCGAGTACTAACAACTTCCGAACCAAACGGCTATACACAGACGACGAACTAACAACAAAAAATAAACAGGGAAACAGCGGCCAAGTACTTGCAGGGCTTTCCTCCCGGCGCAGTTCGATACCAGACATTCGCGGAAGAAACGGAAGCCCGACGCGAATTCGGCAGAGCACTTAGGGAAGAGGATGTCATTCTATTGGCATAACGGACTACGCAACACATCATAGTCGTGATAAAGAATAAATAGTCTACGCCCAATTTGTACATACCTACGTTACGAACATGATCGCGTTAGTGCCCGCACGTATCCAAGCCATAAGCGTACGAGTGCGACGAGTGTATCCTAAGCGGAAAACACGGCAACGCGAAACCATCGCGAGGAAAAAGGAAAGACAACAGAAAATAACAAACGAAGGAGGCCAAGGGTGCACAAAGCGACAAGCAAAAACCACGACAATACGAGCCTATTTGCCCCAAGTAAAAATAAAAGACAAAAAACGAAAAACCGAGCGACACACACCTCCCAACACGAGCGCAGTGCAACCAATGGAGACGGAGGAGACATCAATCAATCAAATGATCGAATCAATTAAAAAAACATCAAGAGAGTAAAAGTCAAAAGACTCGATCAAAAGAACACGAACTGAAACTTCAAACGAAAACAAAATGAATCAAAGGCAGAAAGGGGCAATCAAAAGTGAATCAAAAAGCAAAAAGGGGCAATCAAAATAAAAATACCGCGAACTGAAACCTGAAATGAAAACGAAATGAAAGGGAAGATGAAAAGAAGCGATCAAAAATGTCCATCAAAACCTCGAAATTAAGGCCTAAATGAAGTCTCGTTTTCGAGCCGCATAGAAACGACTCCTAACGGACTCGTAACCAACGTTTCGACATCTCTCAACACTGGTGTCCCTGCGCCTAATTGAAGCCGAGAGCACCACACCTAGATTACTGGGCTGGTGGAGTTTTATAGGGGGTCCCTCCGAGAGCACCCTGGGGGTTCATGATAATGGCCGGCGAGTCTCAACGAGCCCTTGTGAGTGCCGTTTAATTAAGGCCTCTAGCTAACCTCATATCATTGATCACCTCAGTTTTCCCCTGCCAATCAAGGCGGTAGCTACACTGCCAAGGGAGGTTCACCCTCGCCTTTTGAACAACCAGGTTTGTCCTTTTCGTGGGCCGTATTCTCGGGACTAGCTGTCGTGAATCCCTTCTACCCAGAAATACGCACACCATCACGATGTGACTTGTAAGTTTAACAAGTAATCCTATGGGGGCATCACAAAGGGAGTTTGAACCGACTTCAATGAGTTGATGCTAGTACACAGATGACGGGTTTATGAATTCAGGCATTGATAGCAGATCTTATTTACATCGAAGGCGAGTAGTAGTAAAATTGGCCAAGTATCTCGAGAAAGCGTTATATGGCAGTGAGGTAAATGGAATGTTACAATGGAGAATTGGGGGAGAGAGAGTACAATAGGAGCAATTACATATGAAAGGGCTCTATCGGCGTTCAACGTTGACAACTGTCAACACCAGTTGCAGGTGCATGCCTCCAAGGTCACAGAACGGATGCCAGCAAGGACGTTGGACTGACGGAGGTGTTGGGAGACACCGTACGAGCCGTATCCAGAGATGATGAGCTCTTCCAACGGAGAGTCGAGCTGTTCCAGATACTCGACTAATGCCTCATAAACCACCTTATCCAGGTAAGGGCTTTCAAAACCAAATACACAGTACCGTCCGCCAATGTGAAGATGAAGCGACCTCATGGAGGGACACCTGAGGTGCGGCTCTTGGAGCGAAATTCCGAGAGTCTCCAGTCTGGAGTGCAGGCGGAGCGTGGTGATCCTCTCCAAATGGATGCCAGCCGTGTCCGGATCACTGTTTTCGTCGGCGGTGTCACCGTGACTGAAAGCGTCATGGAACCTGATGAAGAGCGTTCGCAGTGACTCCATCTTGTTGATCAAGGCGATGTCAGCGGGAAGTAGCACCTCCATGTTCTTCAGCTCGAGCTCGGTAAGGGACGACGTGAGGATTCGATCGTCGGTGAGCCATGGTTTCAGGGATGGGACTGTCAGTTTTTGGAGAGAGGGGATGTTGCGCAGATTGGCGAGTGCGAGTTCCAGTTGTCGTTGTTCTTTTTCTCCTTTAATCTGTTCGTTGAATTTCTCAGAAGTGAGGAGCTTCGGGGGACCTCTGAATGAGCGGAGGATGGTGAACTTGTCGAGCTGGAGGTGGCGCATCATCCCGTAGAAGGCAAACTCGCACAGGTTGAAATCGAGGGACTCAATACGGGACGCGTATGCATTTAGAGCAGCTTCAATGCCAGCAAGCGAGCCTTTGTGTGGTGGGAAGCTGGTCCGGTCACATCTAAGGTCACAGAAACATTTATGAGGGGCAATCACAAGACCCTCTTCGTGGCAATGGTACACCGTGCTGATACGAAGCGACAGAGGACGCGAGCTCCCAGAGTGGCTGAACCAAGATATAATCTTGCTCCCGAGTTTTTCAAGGGGAATGAGGCATTGTAGGTCGCGGTAGAGGGCGGTAGGGTCGGAGGTCTCGACGGAGAGCGACGTCCAAAGCTCAGGGATGTTGAAACAGGCGGAGCGCCAGGAGCGACAAACTTGACGAATGACGAGGAAAGCTGCGCGGCCTTTAAAATCCATGACTGTGGGCAAAGCGAAGGCGAAGATCATCGCCATGATTTCGAGGGGGAGTGTGGCTGCCAGCGCTGTGCTATTGGTCGAGAGTTCCAATCCCTTTCGGCGCGAGGCCATTTGTTTCCTTTGAGCTGAGAGGTGTTTGGTTCTACGTTTAGTCATTCTGCAACCTATCGAAGCGTAAGTATTAGAGGACCTTTCTCGTAGCTGCTGTCAACGCGATGTGGACGTACTCTAGGAGATTGGACTTCAGGCTAGTAGTCGCGATTGAATATTGAATGCCAATGTACAGCAATTTCAGGCGGTCGAATGATGATTTGGTTGTCGTGGACGCGTCTTATAAGATATAGATGGTTGTGGTTGCGGTTCAAGTTGTGTTGGAGTCGATCAAGCGCGTGGTGGTTGAATTTAAGAGAATGGTGGTGCGTCCATTGTCCGTCGTCGTCGAGTTGGGACTTTTGACTGATGCGATCACTTATTCTCTGATTTTCCATCAATTTGACCAAGTGCCGGTCGCCAGCCGCGTCGAACAGTGGTTGGAACTTGTGAGCGTTTTTCAAATGGTAATGAAGGAAGACAAGACGATATGAGATAGGACAGGTAGAACCCGTCAATGAATCTCTGTAGTCGAACCAATTATTGTTGAGGACCGATTTCATCGCCACTGAGTCTAAGGATTACGAAGCATCCATTGAGCAACCGACATCTGAGTGGCACTCGGACGGTTAAAATGCCCGTTCGAGGACAAAGACACTGTCGGTGGCTAACCTTCATTCAAAACATAGAGTCGCCGACATTTCATTTGCATTGACACTACTACTCACCAAGCTCCCGAACTTCGAAACAAGGGCGAACGTGAAGAAATCCGAACTTGGTGCACAAGACTGCAAGTTGGCGTGTAAAACTGGGAAATCGTATGTCATAACTCGTGCGTCATAACAATATCAAGCATGAACTTAAAGTCGTGTGTAGGTAAACTACCGACAACTCGAACCAAAGTGAACTGTAGAGAGTGTTACTTGGTACGAACAACTCTGCCTCACAGAGACAACACACGGTGCCGAGCGCGCTCTGTCCAGGCTTTTTGTTCAATCATATGACCGAAGGAGCGGACTTCCATGTTCGAGCAATTGCGCAAGCTTTGAACCAGGAACAGTTGTCATCTGGGTAAGATATCTTGGTAAACCCTGAGAATACAACTAACACGACATCTCTGTTCAGGAGTCAGGACAATCGAGTCATGGGGTTCACTCTGCGATCCCGGACTTCGAAGACACCGCATTCGATTGACACATCAAGCTGAGGTACAGGCTATCGCTGGCCACGGAGCCATGAGGCAGGCTTGAAAGTGAAACATAATCGTAGATGGTTTAGGGTTAGCTAGAGGCCTTAGTTAACATCCAAACGAGCCTTGCTAGGCGAAACTTGCCGGCAATGGTGAAGCTCCCGCCACGGCATGTGACCGGCATTGAGGTAAATTGATGGAGAGAGTGATGGCATCAGTTAAATGTCCCAACTCGACGACGACGGACAATGGACAGACCACCGCTCTCTTAAATTCACCCACCACGTGCTTGAGCGACTCCAACACAACTTGAAACGCAACCACAACCATCTGTCTCTTTTACGACGCATCCACACCAACCAAATCATCAATCCCACCGCCCTGTAATCGGTATACATCGGTAATCAATCTCGACCACGAAGGCCAATCCTAGAGTACGTCCTCATCGCGTTGTTGGTCTCTTCAAACGAGCGTTGCCTAACAGTTACCCACACCACTAGGTGAAAGAATGGCGAAACGCAGAACCAAAAAACCCTCAGCTCAACGGAAGCAAACGGCCTCGCGCCGACCCAACAACACAGCGGTGGCAGCCACACTCTCACTCGAAATCATGGCGACGATCTTCGCGTTCGCTTTACCCATCATGGACGCTCAAGGTCGCGCGACCTTCCTCGCCATTCGCAAAGTCTGCCACGCATGGCGCACCGCTTGCTTCAGAATCCACGATCTTTGGACCTCGCTCACGATCGAGACGTTCAAGGTCGACAATAATGGGCGTCGATCGAGCGTCCTTCACCTCAACAAGTTCGCGGAAAAGATCGTAGCTTGGTTCAGTCGCGCTGGGAACTCGCGTCTTCTGTCGCTCCGTATCAACGCCGTGCCACTCAGTCCTTTCGAAGAAGGCGATAGTGCTTTTGTTCGCTATGGGGACAGCGGTTGCCTCTGCGGCCTGCGTCAAAGTTATGACCGCAACTACTTTCCCCCGCGCAAAGACTCGTTTGCTGGTATCGAAGCTGCCATCAACACATACGCGTCCCGTATCAAGTCCCTCGAGTTTAACGTGTGCTCGATCACCTTCTTTGGGATGATGCGCCACCTCCCCCTCGACAAGTTCACCAACCTTCGCTCCTTCAAGGGCCTACCTTACAGAGATCCCAGCATGAAAATCTACAAAGACGGCACCAGAGGCAAAAACCAACAGCGCCAACTTGAGCTCGCGATCGACAACCTTCGCAACGCGACCTCTATCCCGACAATTGGTCGTCCCATCTTTGGAGCCCTGGATAACTGAAGATCGGTTCGCCGTGTCGTCTCTTACCGAACTCGATGTTCTTGAAGGGTTAGCTCTAAGCCCAGAGCACGTCGCTCTCTTCAACAGCATGGAGTCTCTCCGAACTCTCAAGATCACGCTCCATCGCCTCGTTTCTCCACGACCTCAGGGCGCCGGCCAACAGCCCAGTGGAACGATTCAGCTGGAGAGGATCACGACGCTTTATCTGCGCTCCAGTCTCCGGACACTCGGCGAGTGGCTCAGAGTCCCACATATCAAGTGTCCCACCCTCACCTCGCTCCACCTACACATTACCGCCCATCTCTGCGAGTTTACAATCTCTGACGACCCGGAGCGGGATATGAACGTCTACGAGGCACTCACCGAGTATATCCGCAACATGGACTCTTCTCAGTTGAAGGCGCTCACCCTGTCTGGCCGCGGTTCGTACGGCGTCTCCCAACTCTTCCGCGAGTCTGGCGGCATTCTTGAAGGAATCGCTTCGGTTAGTTTGGAAGAAACACCTGAAGACGATGATGAGTTGGTCATCCCGGATACGGACTATCTCCAGCCTGGTCTACCCGATGTAGTACAGAGCCCACCCGACGAATCTGAAGGCGAATCGGAGCCGGTAGGCTTCGGCCAGGCCAGTATCGATTTTCCCCTCAATTGGGAATGGCCGCTCGATCCTCTCACCATCTTTTTGGATGAGGAGACCGACTAGTAGTAAGAACCAGTGTCAGAAGACCAAAGAAGCAGTTGAATTGGAAAGAAGATAGATAGCACAGTGTTGCTGCTGACACGTCTGGTTAAAATGTTTCGATTTCTTGCATTTTATTTTTAGTCTTTTCTTGCCTGGGAATGGCTCCCGACTGTGTTGATTTCCCTTTGTAAAAAATTGCATGCATTGTGTAAAGACTGGTAGTACACAGAGTGTGCCAGTAGCCTCAGCTTCGCTTCATTTCTTCCCAATGTACGACTCGTATTGTTTATGTTCTTCTCTCGATGCCCAATATAGTCCTATCAGTTCAGTGATATTAATGCCTACCCCCGCAGTCCCATACGAGTTCTGATTCAGAATCCCGAGACTGGGCGCTTATTCCCCTCCCACGCAAGTGCCCCGCTCTGATTGATCATGGATCATGATCGCCCTCTTTATCAAGCATGCAGCGCCGAAGATCCCTCGATAGTTTAGTATACAACATCGCCATTCTTAACTTGCATCGACTACCTACCACTACAACATCGACAGTTTCAACTTGCATCCTCACCCGACATTAAGGACTTGCCACTGCTCCAAGGACTTGCCGCGACCCTCACAGGACGACGACTCTGAATCGGAGGTCCGGGTCCGCTAAACTCGATGTCAGAATGCCAGTGCTCCCGGGCGGCCTGAGCGGACTTACTCGCTCCCTTTCACATTTACATCTCTCTCCGCCCATGCCTCATTCCATGCCACCGGCTCTCAACCATCCATGATCCAACCCGGATACACCAGACAAACCCCCAACACAAGGCAACCTCCCAACACAAGACAAACTCCCAACAAAAGGCATCCGCTTCTCCCGCCAAGCAATGCTGGGCGCACCATCGTCTTCCTCACCCTCTTCCTCAGCGTGCGCTACCTCGTTGAGCGGTACCAAAAGAAGAGGGGGAAGGAGGAGGCGGTGAGAGCTGGATGGTTGGATGGGCCACTGTTAATGCCGTTGCCTGAGGAACCTCGGGAGGAGGGAGGAGTGTCAATGAGGCTGTCCTCGCGCGAGGGGACCCGAATTCCCGCTCCTAGAGTACGGCGAGTAATGAAAGAAGAATAAGATGGTCACAGTAGCGTTTCATCATGATGTACCCTCAACGTCTCATCGATGAATATACTTGGCGCAGTACACAATTAACACCATAAATTTGAATTTCAGAAGACAAGTTCAGGATTGAAGATTCACGAAGGCTAACAGGATTTTACGAGAGCTAAGGGCACACGGAAAGCGAGGGGACATGATAGCAAAAACGCGAAGACGATGGATACGAGGGGGTCGAGGAAAGATGATGGACGCGAAAAGTCAAGGGGAGGACGATGGATACGAAAGGGTGTAGGACGACGATGGATACAAAAAAGGCGATGAAAGACGACGGATGCCAAAACTCAATGTAACAGTCCAAAAAAGCGACAGCTAGACAACAAGTGACCGATAACCACCACCACCACCACCACCCTCACCCTCCTCACCCAACATACCAAACAGCAACATCATCAACGAAAACCCAACTCGGCGCCCGCCCTCCCCTCAGCTGCAACCGATCCCCAGGGCCCTTAACCCCAAACCCAAGCGCCTCAACCTCAACCCACACATAGCCCCACTTGACATACCCCGGCTCCACCCGCTTAACCACCTCCCCATTCCAGAGTACCTCGAGATACGCCTTCTCAGCGTACTGCTCCCCTCCAAACGTCGTATCCACCCACACCGCAATAAGGTACTTCCCACCAGCCTTCGTTCGAACCGGATGCGCATAAGATAGGGTCCCGGGGTTGGAGTCGGCGCCGGTCGCACTCCCCAACAACCCAACCGCGCTCCCACTCCTCGCGTACGGCGCGTAATAAAAGATCGTAGCGTCCATGTACCCCCCGTTCGAAGACGTCCCGATCCAGTGTTCGTAGGATTCTTGGAAGCAGAAGGAGGAGGGGCAGGTGAAGGATTGGAAGGAGCCGTCGGTTAGGTGGTTTGTGCGGGTGTACCCCCTGGAGTGGGTGATGCTGATTCCGTCGGTGTGCCCGGTGTAGGTGGCGGTTGATTCGTCTGTGGGGAGGGTGTACTGTTTTCAAGAGAGAGGGGGGTTAGTTATAGGATGAGCGACAAAGGAAGGATGGATCGGGGAAGGAAAGGGACTTGCCAATTCACAAGTATACCCAGCAGGCACACCATCGATCAACGCCCTCCAAATATTAAAGAACTGACACGCCCCTCCCGGTCCATCGGGATCATGCTGGCTGCACCTCTCAGCGCACGCTTCGACGTCGTACTTGTCCAGGAGGGAGAATCCGATGTACTACACGCCAAATCGTTCGTTACACGTCGTCGTTGGGTTGGGCGACGGAGGAAGAGGGTGGGGTTAGAGTGAGAATTAGAGAAACGGTAGAGAAGTAGAGAGACGTACACCGTCGGCGTCGTTGGCAGCTTCGACAGGTCCAAACGTCAATTCATACCCTTCAGGGGTAACGGGGTCGATACCAGGTTCGTCGCACCCATCTCCATCTCCACCGTCTCCACCTTCCCCACCATCTCCCCCTTCACCTCCCTCACCACCATCGCCTCCATCCCCACCGCCCTCGCCCTTAATCTTCACCCACCCCGAACTCTCCTGAATAACAACCAACGGCGCCGGATACGGATAACTCTGCTGACCTCCCCAATTCGTTTTTTCTTCCTCGGTGTGCACGTCCCCGTAGACCGCGCACTTGAGGTTCGAAGGTGATGAGAGGTGAGAGGGCAGGTGCGGGTTGAAGTCGAGGCCGTGGTTGTTTAGTTCGTAGTAGAGGTTTGCGAAGACTAGATACGAGGGTCGGAGATTAGTTACGACGTTGGAGATTGGTTATGACTCGGAGGTGTGGGATCGGGCAGAGAGGGGGTAGGACGAAAGAGATAGAGGGAAGAGAGAGAAGAGGACTCACCGCACCCCTCAACGCCCCTACAAAACGCCAAACACTCCTCGACGTTGTACGTGGCGTTGTTGACGAGGGTGTAGGTGAGGTAGGCTGTCCCCTGGATCGAGGCGTCGCGGTCGTCGGGGTTGGTACCCGTGCCTTCGAAGACCTGGCGGAAGGTGTACTCTTCGTCCTCGTCCTCATCGTCCTCATCGTCAGAGGTGTCGTCTTCAGAGGTGTCGTCTTCGTCGGATGATTCTTCGTCGGAGGTGTCTTCATCAGAGGATTCAGAGGTGTCGTCTTCGGAAGCGTCGTCGTCACCAGCGCCGGTAGTGACAGAATCGTCGGTAGGTTCGTCACCCAAGACGCTAACTTCGCCTTCAGCACCATCGAGGGAAGGCTCGACTTCCCCTTCGACGTCGTCGTCGATCACAGACTCGGGAGTGTCAACGCCATCGTCTTCCACACCCGCCTCGCCGTCGATGTCGCCTTCGCCAACAGCCTCATCGCCGACGCCCCCTTCAACAGCATCAGTATCATCACCCTCGACAGCATCCTCTCCACCGACTCCACCTTCCTCAACCTGGCCATCTTCGACATCGCTTTCAAAGCCATCATCCTCGTCAGCCTGTCTCTTACTCACACGACGAACAACGCCCTTCCCCCTCCCACCAAACACCTTCCTCCCACTCCTAACCTCCTTCCCATTTACCAAAACCTTCGTACCCTGCACACCTCCACCTCCCCCAAGGACACCCGGAGTCTCGTTAATCCCAGGCCCGCTCTTCAACTTCGCCCCCGCCGAGCGGAGGGCGTTCGCCACTGCGACGTGGTCCGGGTGCTCGGTGTTGGACCGGAGAGTACGGACGGCGTCGAGGGTGCCTAGAGCCTCAGCTGGTGAGAGCGGTCGATTCCCGCTATCGTCGAGAGAGGCGGGCTGTGGCTGGCCGCGCTCAGCTGGTGGAACGATCCGGGCGGCGACGGTGGTGTCGGCTGCGGTGGCGGCGGGGGAGCCTGGCGAAGGAGGGGCGGGTACAGCGGCGCCTACACGTCAAGCGAGGTTAGCAAACGACGACAATAGGAACGAGGTGAAGGAAGCAAGGAGGGGGGTTGAACGCACCGGAAACGACAACCGCCAAACTGGACAACGCCAACAACCTACAAAACGCGCGCATCTTCTTTTTCTTTCGAGGTTATTGTATTCACAATCTTTGCTGAGTAGCTTCTCGTCTTCGTCCTTGTTGAGTTGGGTCGCGGAGTGTGACCTGCGGAGGGACGAGGAAAGCAAGGGAAAACCAAAACCTCGAAGACGGTGAGGTTTATAAACCAAGTCTAAATCCTGAATAATTCTCTTGTGGCGGGGGATGTGTCAAAAGAAGCCCCTCGAGGCGCAAGTCCGACGATAATCGAAGCCACACCCGAGGGTCAAAGCCACCCAAGGTCGAATCCAGACGATAAATCGAAGCCCACTCGGAGGTTTCGTTCCAAAAGAGCTTTCTGCGATCGAAGCCCCAACCCATTACGCTGTATTCGAGCCACGTATTAGTCCAACTTTCGAGGTTGCCCTTGAGGCCTGAGGTCAATCCGGCCTCGAGTTGTTGGTAGCCTCCGAGTCGAGAGTTGATAAATAGCCCCGTAGACTCGCAGGGATTCGCAGCCGAGTTCCACCGGCTGCGTACACAAATCCATAGTTACCCGCGCATGCGTTTTCCAGAAGTACCCAAGGCTTGCATGAAGTACACCTCGCGAAGTGGTCAAAGGAGAAAAGGTGTCTGTCGGTTGGTTTGCAACCGCGGCTGTTGCTGAGAACAGAGAGAAGGAGAGAGAGAGAACTCGGAATTGGAAAAGACGAGGGCGAGGGGTGAGGGTTGAGATGCGTGAATCATGAATCATGTAAATGTTCGGAGAACGAGGATCGAATCAAATCGAATCGAGAAGCGTCGGCGAGCGGAGAGCGGGGAACTCTCTGAATACATGTATGTACAGTCCCGCTGGTCACTGGCCACCATGGGCCAAAGCGAATAAAGCGATCCCAAGGGCCTGTAGCGGCCCAATCCGTAAACCAGACTAGAGGAGAGAAGGTAATACCCCGAGGACCAACAGAAAGCATAACCATGTCGAGTTCGATCGGTAGCATGGCCAGGTTGATAATACGTACCAGTTTAATAATACGTCCCATGTCCAGAGGAATACGTCAACCCGCCACTAACATCGACATCTTGACGTATTCACCAGTATGCAAGTATGCAGAACCTACATACACCTAGAATTCCTCCAAGGAGTGCTGTGCACGCGAAGATGTCCGTGTCATCGATCGCGAGAGAACGACCGTCTACCGATGATGTCATCGAGAACGAGCCCCAACCGAGGATGTCATCCCAGAACCCCAGAACCAGAACCAGAACCCAAGCAAGCAAGTAGCAAACCCCTTCTCAAGCGTACATTCGTTGATTCCGTTCGAATCTTCATCGGACCCCCTTCGAAAGGAAATGCTACACGCATTCGACGCCGAAAGTCCATTATGACGACGATGACGATAACCGATGACGGCGACGACGAACGAGAATCCTCTCCCTCAGAAACGCCTGAAAACAGACTCGTGCCCCATGGCAGTGCGACAGTGCCACCCTTCCCGCTACGACACCCAGTGGCATGAGGTGGCGAAAAAGAAAAAAAGACGATTCCATCGCATCCCCTGCGTTTGGAGCCGAGCCTGGGACAGAGGCGATGAACGAGCCGTGAGACTGAGGCGAAGAACAAGTCGAGAGGACTTCCAAGGGAGGCGCAGCGGAAGAACGCACCCAACAGGAGATATGCAGCGAGCAGAACAGAACCAGGGTGCCACCTCGACAGCAGTGTCGACCGTCGAACGCCGAACGTCAGACTTCCAGAACTCCAAGCTCCAACTCGAAACTCCACCGGAACCTTCCCCTATCTGAGTGAGAATCTTGATTCTTCATAGCGTCCTGGTCTTGAGACGGAGGCCATGGAGTCCGTGTAGTAGGGCAACCAAGCAGAGCAAACGAAGAAGAGCGAACGGAGAATACCACCCCAGAGGCGCATAGAGTACACGATCGGAATAGAAAAATCCACGACAGCTCTGCGGAACACCAGGATCTCCCCCGTCCTCGTCGGTCGTACCCCCTCCGGCGTTTTCATGAGACTCTGAGTGGCATGGAAGGGATGATCATGAAGTCACTAGCGGATATACGAGGCGTTAGAACCCAACCCATGCCAAGAAATGCTGTTTAGACAATTACTTACTCGCAACCGTTGGTCAACACCTAGGATGGTCATGATGAAGGAATTTTTAATAAAGGCCAAGTGACGGTGATAAAGGAGCAATAGAGGTACGAGTGACGATGATAACCTTGTAGCGATAGGCAACCTGAATGAAGATGATGATGGAGTCACAACGTCCAAGTGAAAAGCTAAAGAAACGATAGAGACGAGTGGTGGACGTCATACCTTCCCTTCCCTTCCCTTCCCTGAAGCGAGCTTTTTCGCGTTTCCGAGACCGGACCATCGAACATGCAAGCCACAAAGAGTCATGATATAGCCAGTCGACAGAGGCGGTGATATCAAGCAATGAGTATCCCTCCATCCATAAGTATATATGTCCGTCCGTTCGTCCGTCCATTCTTTTCATTCAAGAGAACCTCGAGGATAAATAGTGTCCGGGTCGTACAACCCAAAGAGCGTAATCCCAACGGAGAGGAATGTGTAACCACGAGCAAGATCAGAAAATAGCACGAACAAGTCCACCTCCAATCGCCGCACCTAAACGATACAAAACAGGGATTAGCATCAGACCGCACAGGCCGGGCAAGAAAATGGAACATAAATGATTTAATGCATAACGGGGCGAAGGAGGACGGAAAAAAGGGGGCACTCAGAAGGAAAGAGCGCAACATCGAAAGAAGGGACCGCGCATCCTCGAAGGATGAAGATGAGTAAAACAAGAGTGCAACACGCTACGGTCCACCACCCCCAAATTCCACGCAAAAAACAGACCTCATCCCCTCGCTCCCCTCCCATCTCCATCGAAACCGAAAACAACTGAAAGTTAAACTGAAAACAACACCCAGATAAAACACTCACCAGCACCAAACCCAACACCCCCAGCCGCCGAATGCGCCAGCGTACTCTTATACTTCCCGAACCCCTTCTTCTTCTCTTCTTGGTCGCCTGTGTCTTGCAACCCGACGTGGTTGACGCCTGTGGGCGGGGGTAAGGGGAGGTTAGTGCGATTGTTCGTGGTAGGGGGAGGTTAGTGCAATCGTTCGTAGTAGGGGGAGGTTAGTGCGAGTTGTTCGTGCTCAGCGCTCGTGGGGGAGAGATAGAGGAAAAGGGACGCACCTTGGCCTGGGGGCGGCGGCTGACTTCCATACTGCGGTTGGTTTCCATACTGCGCTTGAGGAGGCTGCGGCTGCTCAACACCGTGGAACGCCGCGCCGAAGGGTTTATACGGCCTTCCCGTACCTGTGGTCGCCCAGTGTCATGAGCATCGCGTCGTCCGGTCCCGCTTATCACGATCCAATCAAAGAAACCCAAACCCCACGTACCTTGAGGCGCAGGCGCAGGAGCGGGTGGTGGTGGTGGTGGAGAACGAAGTTTCTCAACATAGTTCGCAGGCAGGAGCCCCTCCTTGCCGTTAAACCTCCCCTTCCACCAATCGGCGTTGGTCTCTTCGATGATGTCAATTATGTCGCCGGCGGAGAATTGGAGGTCGTTGGGGTCCTGTGGGTGTGGCGTGTGTTTGGGGAGAGAGAGAGAGAGAGAGAGAGAGAGAGTTAGATTGGTTCGATGAGGGTCGAGAAACACGGAAGTGAAAATGGAACTGGAACTTGAGGTGGAGGCGGAGGTTGGAAGGGTCAAGTAGCCGGTGGTAAACGAGAAAAGGGAAGGGAAGGGGGGAAGGGAGGAACCAGAAGGAGAATTCACAGAAACAGAAGAATAGGCGTCGACGTACAGATCCATCCTCGTTGTACCCCCACAACGCCCTCGCCTGCTGCACCTTGGGCGCGGCGGGCTTCATCATACCCGAGAACTTGTTCCCCAAATTCGAGATGGCGGAGGAGGTTTTGGAGCTTAGATCCCTCGTCGCTGTTGTCGTCGAAGGTGTGTGGGTTGATGCTGCTGCGAGATTGGTATTGGGGTTGGAGTTGGGATTGGAGTTGGGATTGGGGTTAGAGGGCGGGCGGGATTCATGGTGACGAGTATCGGGTCGGAGGGGATGGATGGATGGTGGGCCAGTCATGGAGTCAAGGCGGACATCAAGGGACAATGAAAACAACAACACGTCGCTCATTAGCTTCGAATCCCAAAGGCAATACGATACTAGGTATTAAATGCGCACCTTCAGCATTCGGCAACCTCCCCAGAATCACACCCGCGTCCTCCTGGGAGATGTACCCCTGCCCAGCCAAGAACTGGACGTTCTGCTCGATTTGGGAGACGAGGAGGGCGAGGAGGGCGGTCGATTGGGCAGAGTCGGGGGCTACAGTCATCTTGTTGAAGTTGCGTTGTTCTGCGTCGTTGGTTTATGGTGTACGGAGAGGCGGGTTAATTAGGTCCTAGGAGCTGTCCGGAAAAAAAGGGTAGAATCTGGAGAAATATGTACGACCTCCTGTTCGAATTAGTGGTCGTGGTGGTTGTAGTGGGAGGAAGCAGGCGGTGCACAACTTCCATCCCTGCCGACCAAACGCATCGACTCACATCCAGAGCGCGGCGGCGGACCCTGGACGGTCGACTCGGCAACGACCAATACATGATGACAAGGGTTTGATGGCCGTGATTGTGTGTGCCGGCCGAGGGGGGTTCTCACGGTGTTATCTCCGGGGTGCGAGTTGTTCTTGCTTCTGGACTACGACGAGGACGAACATACCCTCTCTCCCTCGTTGATTCGTTCTTCCATCGCTTGGTCGAATACGTGCAGCCTGTCATGAAAACACCACCATCATCGACCTCCAGGCGAAACGAGGCGAAGCAGTGCTATTGTTCTACTCGTTCTTGGCGAGTGTTTTTTCTTACATACAGAGGACAATAGGGTTCTTTGTTTTCGTGCATTTGGGGGACGATCTCTTTCGCCTCGTTGTGCTTGTTCACGCCGCCATGGTGGTTCCAAGCCTCATTTCGTGTGTTAGGCGGTGGAGAGTGACGGAGGATGACTTGTCTATGGACCTTCCAAGCCCCGTCGTTGGTCGCTACGCATCACAACAGACCAAGGATATTGTTCTGCGATTATTTGGTTTCCATTTCGAATGGGTTGTCTATTTGGTGGATGCGTTGAACGTGTGCAGCGTGGAGCGGAGCGATACTTAGATGGAATGCGTGGGCGCGGTGAAGGATGGGAAGGAGGGTGGAAGAGGGGCCACATGTGTGCATGATAGAAGACGAGATTGGGATGGCAATGTACACGATGATGGAATCGAAAAGGGACGATGGATGAGGCCAGGGATGCCGATGAATAGACGCGATCCGTCGTACCTTCCAACATTTGTTCGCCGATGGCATTGTTGCAACACAAACCCCCATGTCACCCGCCTCACCACGCGGTGGAAAACCATTTGTTAGATCCCATTCGGTCGTCAAACGGGGCAGAAGAATAGAAACTCAAGAAGCCTTGGCACGACTCGAGTACTGATGTATGATGCATGATGACAATCAATTGTCGGCGAGGAGGTTATAACCAACACACTCTTCCGCCAACCGTGTCTCCTTGTTCCTCACCTTTACCTCGCCGTTCTCCCAGTTCCGGTTTCCTTTTCTCCCTTCATACCTCTTTTCCTCTTCCTCTTTCTCTTACGAGCCCGGCGTCAAATAGGTCATTGACTGACCTCATTTCTACAACCCTTCTTCCCTTCATTCATTCAATTTTCGCATCTACGGTCGATCCGTACGATTGAGTTCTTGAACCCTGAAGCTATTCGGTTGAACCCTAACGTCACCTATTCACTCCCGCTCGCTAATCGCGTCAAGGACTGTTACGCAGCCTCGCTAAGCGACCGACCTTAGTCTAGCCCCGACACCCGACACTTAGCCCCCGCCACACAGTCCTCAAAAGGGCCTCCCGAGCTTCTCACCCACCCCACCTTACATCCCATTTCCTTCCTCCCTTTCCGGACTCCTACCTCACCCTCGTCTACGACGACTCCGTCCAACTCGCTGGCAACAAAAATGGCCAACTATTCATTCCTTACTTTCTTTTCCTTCCTTTCCGTCCTCTTGGCTTCCTCCTCTCTACTCGCCAATGCATCACCGATCAGTGGTCTTGACCTGGGCCTACCTGAAGATTGTGAGGCGCAGGTGTTGACCAAGTGTACTGTGCCGAATACTGTTGCGTTGACTTTTGTACGTCTCCCGCTCTCTCTATCTTTTTGCATTCTCTGCGTGTACCCCTTTTTTGGTTTTTGCGCTGGGAGTTGGATGTCGAGGATTGTGTACTAACGACACAACGTTCGATTGGGAAAACCTATAGGACGACGGACCCTACGTCTACTTGAAGCAGGTGCTAGACACGCTCAATGAAGAGGGTATTAAGGGGACTTTCTTCTTCAGTGCGTCATTTCTCTTCTGTTTGTGGTTTTGCGTGCTGACGGTTGTCGACTCGTCCGTTCCTCCTCGAACCCACTCACGCTGGATGTACTCCCTTGCCGAACACCTCCCCACGCCGCTGCTCGACCCACAACCAACTCGACCTCCCTTCACCAACGCGCCTCACCTCTCTAACCAACGCGCCTCACCTCCCTACACCCTCACCTCACCTCGCCTCACCTCTCCGCTCCGAACAGACGGCAACAACTTTGCCTGCATCTACAGCGAAGAAATCGTGCCCGCCGTCAAGTACGCGTTCGAGACGGGCCACGAGATCGCCAGTCATACCTGGGGTCATAAGAATTTGAGTACTTTGAGCTGGGATGAGAGTACGTTTTTTTCTTCTTTTGTTTGTTGTTTCCCTTCCACGTGCATCGTTCGTGTCCTGCGTCATTGGTCGCCGGTATCGTTGGCGTCCTGCATCATCCCTCCGTCGAGAGTCATTCTCTCGCGCAGCTTCATCGGCGTCCTGCTTCACCGCCGCTATTGCGTCTTGTATCGCATCGGCCCTGCTTCATCGCTGCTTCATGCGTCATCCACGCTTCCTGCTTCACTCGCTCTTTCTCTCGCTTCATCCCTGTTTCATGCTTCATCTTGCTTCCTGCATCACTCCGGCGTCCGGCACCACTCTTCCCTTCTTTTCCCCCTTCCTTCAATTATCCACTGTACCCACGTCGGCTAGAATCTGAATATTAACCACCGTCCCCTTCACACAGTCCACCACGAGATGTTCCTAGTCGAACGCGCACTCGAGAAGATCGTCGGTGTTACTCCTGCGCTTATGCGGCCTCGTGCGTCCCCCCTCCTTTTTTATTTCGTGGTCTTGGTCATTGATGATGTGTGATGGGTACAGCCTTTGGCGAGCACAACCTCCTCGTGCGGCAGGCATCCAAACTCCGTGGGCAGACGATTGTTAACTGGGACTTTGAGTGCGTACCTTTCCCTCTCATTCCGTCCCCATTCCCTGCGTCTTCCTAGCGACTATCCAAAGTCGTGACACCTAAAGTTCATTACAACTATCCGTGTTCATGACGCCTATCCGTGTACATGGCGGCTACCCACTTTCGCTATCCACTTTCATGACGACTGTCTAAACCCATGACGACTAACGTGCTTACCTTTACTTCAGCTCGGAAGACGCCCGCGCCGCCTCGGTCGAAGAGCAGAAAGCGCTGTACGATGAAGTCGTCGCGCGCCGCCCGGAGAGTATCTTGTCGTTGCAGCATGAAGTGCACGAGAGCTCTGTGTATGTCCCTTCTCGTTTCGTCTTCGTAGGGTTGGGGTGTGCTGATTCTGTTCTTTCTGTCGCTTTCGTCGCCTCGTCTTGTGTCGATTCTCGATCGTGCTTGTTCGTCCCGGGACGCCTTCCGTTCCTTCAACTACCCCTCGACATACACAACCGCTCCTCACCATACTCGACCGCTCCTCACCATACTCGACCGCTCCTCGACACACCCGACACTCAAACTCCCAACCGCGATAAACAGCTTCGAAGTCCTCCCCTACGCGATCAAAGTCCTCAAAGAAGCCGGCTACAACTTTGTCACTGTCTCTGAATGCCTTGGTGGGATCCAGCCTTACCAGAGGGTGATGGAGCCTAGTGAGAGGGATGAGACTTGGGTTTGCGAGTAAATGCGAAGCTATTTGATTTGATCGATTTGGGTCGTGTTTATTGCTTTCCTTTCGTCTTGTTCTGCTCCTCTTTCTCTCGTCTAGTTTGTTTGTTCTTTTTGTTCCATTCTTCTGGATCTGGGCTTTCCGTGTTACCCATCCTGGCGCTTCTCCTCCCTCTTCTTCACTCCGGCTACCCCACCCCGTCCACCTCAACCGCAACATCTGATTCGTCGCATCATCGTCATCGTATACCATGGACTTCTTACAACATCTATATCTCGGGTTTTCCAGTTCACGCATTGCGTTGCATGGTTTAGAGGATGGACACCCTTTTGCATTTATTTCTACACATACATACGTACATAAGGCGACGGATGCTCATTCTATAGCTCTACATACATACACCAGTGACTAATTCAGGGAAATGACATCGTGTTTTTTCAAGTGGGATTGTTTCGTTGTTCGAATGCGTTCGTTCGTTGAGTAACATTGCTTCTAGCGCTTTGTGCTACCTACACACATGCATACACAGTAGAGGTCATTCCGGCAGCTGAATTGTTACATTGGCGCTCCCAGACCACGCTTTATCCGCGGCCCGTGGGCCATACGCTGTCCTATCTTCCAGGTTCAGTCCATCCTGGCGGTCTACCATGCAAGCGGCTAGCAGCTACTAGTTAGCTGCTCGTGATGGAGGCCGACTCCCATACTGCTGTCGACTGGGATCGTCTTTGTCGAGATTATCCTCCCTCTCTGGCCTCAGCTATGAGCGCTGAGTGGACGTACGTCGGTATTTGCGGGGGCGTTGTGACTTGTGTGAGGAGAACGAATTCGAGGGCTTGCGAGCTCTCCAGCTAAGAGCTTCAATTCTCTGGTCCCTTCGAATCGAGATTTGTAAGGTGTAATGAGGTGCGCTGGATCTGTAATAGTAAGGCGAGGAGGCTGTTATCGACGATCGAGTGCGCTCGAGTGCTGTGCGGTGGTGGGATGAGATCCTTGGCACGAACGTGGTAGGGAGGGAAGGAGGGAATGCTGAATCTCGAAATAGGCCATACGGCCTCTACACATAAGCCCACGATCGTCCTCCCTTCTTCTACCCCCCTCCCTCTATCCCCATCCTCGCCCTTAACAATTAGAAGGACTTACGGGACAGCGTTAACAGTGACCCGCCCAGCCCTCACGGGACAGCATTAACAGTGACCCGCCCAGCTCTGACCGCCTCCTCCTTCCTCCTCTTCTGATACCGCTCAACGAGGTAGCGCACGCTGACGAAGAGGGTGAGGAAGACGATGAGAGCGCCCAGCCCTGCAAGGCCGTGGATTGCCTGGCGGGAGAAGCGGATCCCTTTTGTTGGGAGTTTGTCTTGTGTTGGGAGTTTGTCTGGTATATTTGGGTTGGATGGTTGAGAGCCGGTGGAATGGGATGAGGCACGGGCGGAGAGGGATGTAAGTGTGAAAGGGAGCGAGTAGGTTAGGCCGCCTGGGAGGACTGGCATTCTGACATCGAGTTTAGTGGACCTCCGAGGTCGTCGTCCTGTGGGCGTGCCGTCAAGTCCTTGGAGCAGTTGGAAATCCTTAATGTCGTTTGAGGGCCGTCGTCGATGCAAGTTGAAAATAGTCGATGTTGTAGAGGTAGGTTCAAGGTATGATTCGTCTCGGTAGCAAGGATAGATGTTATTGTTTATAAGTCACGGTCGTGAGGAGAAAGGGTGTAGCATAGCCTCTTTGATGCGCCCATATGCATTCGATACCTCGACCACCTCACAGGTGGAGTTTGATCACGTATCACGAACCTAAAGGAACGTTCGTTGACGCGTGTTTAACTGTCCAGGGATCTGGGCGCTTCAACCTTGATAACAAAGTCTGATCATGATCGCTTGCATGGGAGGGGAATAAGCGCCCAGTGTCCAGATTCTGAATCAGAACTTGTAAGGGACTGCGGGATTCGAAACTCTTTTCGTCCGCGCTGAGAGATTCGATATCGCTCTTTGAGCCGTGGGCCATGAGAGACATTGATCAGATCGAACTGGTTTCGAGGAATGATAGCACAGAACTGATAGGGTTATATTGGGCATCGAGAGAAGAACATAAACAATACAAATCGTACATTGGGCTAAGTAATGAAGTGATGCTGAGGGTACTGGAACGCTATGCGTACTGTACAATTCTTTACACAATGCACGCAATTTTTACAAAGGGAAGTCAAAACAGTCGGGAGTTATTTCCTGGCAACAAAAGACTAAAAATAAAATGCAAGAAATCGAAATGTTTGAACCAGACGTGTCAGCAGTTGTAGATAGTACTAGAGGCCTCTCCAACACTGTACCATCTTCTTTCCAATTCAACTGCTTCTTTGGTCTTCTGACACTGGTTCTTACTACTAGTCGGTCTCCTCATCCAAAAAGATGGTGAGAGGATCGAGCGGCCATTCCCAATTGAGGGGAAAATCGATACTGGCCTGGCCGAAGCCTACCGGCTCCGATTCGCCTTCAGATTCGCCGGGTGGGCTCTGTACTACATCGGGTAGACCAGGCTGGAGATAGTCCGTATCCGGGATGACCAACTCATCATCGTCTTCAGGTGTTTCTTCCAAACTAACCGAAGCGATTCCTTCAAGAATGCCGCCAGACTCGCGGAGGAGTTGGGAGACGCCGTACGAACCGCGGCCAGACAGGGTGAGCGCCTTCAACTGAGAAGAGTCCATGTTGCGGATATACTCGGTGAGTGCCTCGTAGACGTTCATATCCCGCTCCGGGTCGTCAGAGATTGTAAACTCGCAGAGATGAGCGGTAATGTGTAGGTGGAGCGAAGTGAGGGTGGGACACTTGATATGTGGGACTCTGAGCCACTCGCCGAGTGTCCGGAGACTGGAGCGCAGATAAAGCGTCGTGATCCTCTCCAGCTGAATCGTTCCACTGGGCTGTTGGCCGGCGCCCTGAGGTCGTGGAGAAACGAGGCGATGGAGCGTGATCTTGAGAGTTCGGAGAGACTCCATGCTGTTGACGAGAGCGACGTGCTCTGGGCTTAGAGCTAACCCTTCAAGAACATCGAGTTCGGTAAGAGACGACATGGCGAACCGACCTTCAGTTATCCAGGGCTCGAAAGATGGGACGACCAATTCTCGGATAGAGGTCGCGTTGCGAAGGTTGTCGATCGCGAGCTCAAGTTGGCGCTGTTGGTTTTTGCCTCTGGTGCCGTCTTTGTAGATTTTCATGCTGGGATCTCTGTAAGGTAGGCCCTTGAAGGAGCGAAGGTTGGTGAACTTGTCGAGGGGGAGGTGGCGCATCATTCCAAAGAAGGTGATCGAGCACACGTTAAACTCCAGGGACTCGATACGGGACGCGTATGTGTTGATGGCAGCTTCGATACCAGCAAACGAGTCTTTGCGCGGGGGAAAGTAGTTGCGGTCATAACTTTGACGCAGGCCGCAGAGGCAACCGCTGTCCCCATAGCGAACAAAAGCACTATCGCCTTCTTCGAAAGGACTGAGTGGCACGGCGTTGATACGGAGCGATAGAAGACGCGAGTTCCCAGCGCGACTGAACCAAGCTACGATCTTGTCCGCGAACTTGTTGAGGTGAAGGACGCTCGATCGACGCCCATTATTGTCGACCTTGAACGTCTCGATCGTGAGCGAGGTCCAAAGATCGTGGATTCTGAAGCAAGCGGTGCGCCATGCGTGGCAGACTTGGCGAATGGCGAGGAAGGTCGCGCGACCTTGAGCGTCCATGACGGGTAAAGCGAACGCGAAAATCGTCGCCATGATTTCGAGTGAAAGTGTGGCTGCCACCGCTGTGTTGTTGGGTCGGCGCGAGGCCATTTGTTTCCGTTGAGCTGAGGGTTTTTTGGTTCTGCGTTTCGCCATTCTTTTACCTAGCGGGTTGGGTAACTGTTAGGCAACGCTCGTTTGAAGAGACCAACAATGCAATGAGGACGTACTCTAGGATTGGTCTTCCTGGTCGAGATTGAGATTACCGATGTATACCGATTACAGGTGGTCGGACGACGATTTAGTTGGTATGGGCGCGTCGTATGAGAGACAGAAGGTTGCGGTTTTGGTTTAAGTTGTGTTGGAGTCGCTCAAGCACATGGTGGTTGAATTTAAGAGAGCGGTGGTCTGTCCATTGTCCGTCGTCGTCGAGTTGGGACATTTAACCGATGCCATCACTCTCCCCATCAATTTACCTTAATGCCGGTCACATGCCGTGGTGGGATCTTCACCACCGGCAAGTTTCCCCTGGCAACTTGCAAGACTCGTTTGGATGTAAAAAAGCCGAGGGTGAACCTCCCTTGGCAGTGTAGCTACCGCCTTGATCAGGGGAAAACTGAGGTGATCAACGATATGGGAGGTCTAGGGTTAGCTAGAGGCCTTAATTAAACGGCACTCACAAGGGCTCGTTGAGACTCGCCGCCAATGATCACGAACCCCCAGGGTGATCTCGGAGGGACCCCCTATAAAACTCCACCAGCCCAGTAATTTAGGTGTGGTGCTCTCGGATAGGTCCCAGGCTTCAAGTTAGGCGCGCATTCGGCACTGTCCCGGCATGTCGGAAGTGAATCGCTTTCCCACCCTTCGCTCAGGCCTGCCGAGAGGTTTCCTCCCCAACGACGTCATCTCTTCCCAAGGGTTTCCCAAGTTCCACGTCTGCAATTGGAAAACTCCTCAATATCGCCACGACCATGCAAGCCAAGGTCGCAGTTCACGTTCACAAGTTTGAGACAGATCTTTTGTTTTTTCTTTATCGCCCTTATCGTCCACTGTTGTTCGTTGAACATTGAACGTTGAACGCGGCGACGAGGGCTTCTTGTGTACCTCGAACATCTCTACGTCGGGCTTCTTGTTTTTCGACATCTCTCCTTGATATACGCCTTCTTCAACACATCCTCGTTCCAGGGTCACCTCAACTCACTTCGGAGCGCCAACCACTATCCCTGCGACCAAATTCAACGAGATGCGCCGATTTTTCCAAGGATTCAAGAGCGACGTTGATAAATTCAAGGACCAAGTGCAAGAACACGTTGCCCAGTTCAGTCCAGGAGATGTATCCTCCCCCGGGGTAGAAGATTTCGACGAGCACGAATCGGAACACACCAAGATCTTCCCCGTCCGACAAGAGGATTTGTTGAAGTACCGGAAACATCGTGGAGTAAACCTCGGTGCGTCGTCTTGATCGTCTTGCCATGAACATGCACCCAACTCTCCTCATTCTCCTCCCTATGGACGTGCAGGCTCGTGGTTCGTCCTCGAACGCTGGATAACAGATTCACCCTTCCGCGAAGCAGCAGCACCCGCAGCGAGCGATCTGGACGTCGCGAAAGGCCGAAACGCCAAATCCATTTTGGAACGACATTGGGATACGTGGATCCAACCGGCGGACTGGGACTGGATTGCTGCGAGGGGTATTAATTCTGTCCGGATTCCTGTACGTGGCTTCTCTTTGTCTGTGGTGACCTCGGTCTGTTCGTATGCTAACTGATGAAATGAGTAGATTGGGTATTATCATGTATGCGGAGCGGATAGGAGTATACTCGACGGGACGGACTTTTGGCCGTTTTATGATGTGTACCAGGGCGCGTGGAGGAGGATTACGAATGCCATCCTCGAGGCGAACAAGCGCGGTATAACCGTCCAACTCGGTACGTTCCCCATCCCATCCCATCCCTCCCTCCCTTCCCTCCTGACAAGACTGGACTCCAGACATGCACGCAGCCCCAGGAAAACAAAACGCCGACCCGCACTCCGGCACCTCCAACCCCGCCAACTTCTTCCACGACCCGCACAACCTCCGTCGGGGCCTCTACGCTCTGCAGTCCCTCTCCATGCACCTCACGTCTTTCCTCAACAGCCACGACCCGCCCCTCTCCAACGTCGTCTCCATCGAATTGGTCAACGAACCTGCACCGCCTAACGATGGTGTGCTGAAGCGGTGGTACGACGATGCGATAAGGGTTGTGCAGAGGGGTGCGCGTGGCGTGCCGGTATATATTGGGGAGTGTTGGAGGCCGGAGGTGTATGCTGAGTATGTGGCGAGGGAGCTGAAGCAGGAGGATCCAGAAGGCCTAGTAGTACTAGACCACCACCTCTACCGTTGCTTCACCCAAGAAGACATCAACACATCCGTCTACGACCACACCGGGCGGCTGCGCGACCACAACGGCATACTCTCGACCTTTACGCGCGTCGCTGAGCTCGTGGGTCGAGCCGGCGGGGCGCTATCCGTGTGCGAGTGGTCTGGCGGTCTCAATGAGGGGAGTTTGAAGCATGTGCGTGGGGAGGACCAACGGAGGAATGCGAGACGTGATTTTTTGAGAGCGCAGTTGGAGTTGTATGAGCGGACGTGTGCGGGGTGGTATTTTTGGACGTATAAGAAGGAGTATAGGGGTGATGTGGGGTGGTCGTTTAGGGAGGCGGTGGAGGAGGGGGTGTTTCCTATGAAGAGTGCGTAGTCACGTTTCTGCTTTGTGGTGTTAGAACTGATGGACCTGGGTCGTGCAGATGGACGAATTGACGCTGGTATTTTGGTGAGGAAGAAGAGGTGGACGGATGCGGATGTGGAAAGGGAATGTGTGCGTAGGGTGGGGAAGATGGAGGAGGAGAGGAAGAAGGCGTATGGTAAGTCGTCTTGCGTGTTAGTTGTCATTCGCGTTTGTCCTTTCATATTTGTCCATCCACGTTTGTCCCTTCACTTCTGTCCTTCACTTTGACCATTCACGCTTGCCCTTCACGCCATCCATCCATACCATCCAATACCCCCAACTAACTAATTCGTCCCTCGTCCCTTCACCCCACAGATGCACATAGATCCTACTGGTCCCGCATCCCGGGGCGCTACGAGCACCGCAGGTTCTGGTATGGTTTTACAGCTGGGTGGAATATGGCGTGGAGGTTTTATGATTCTATCGAACCGGATGGTGAGTAACGATGAACGTTTCGCTTTTGTCTTGGTCGGTTTTTTTGCGTATATGTACACTATGTGGCTCCTCTCGCGCTCGAGCTGCTCGCCAATTGGGTCGTTCCTTCGTCCCTCATCGTTCTTTCCTTACTCTCATCGTTCATCCCCGTCGTTCTCTCCCTCGTTATTCTTTCTCCCATCCTCCCCCTTCCCTATCCTCCTCCTGACGATCCATCATTCTGACCGTTGTTTTACCCAACCCCTCCTCCCTTTCTTTCTTTCTTTCTCCCCCTCGGACTCGTATAGGCATAGGCAACCCAGTAAGCGAACCAGGCCCGCTACACGCCCTCGCGCGGAGAAGTTCGGTGTACCCCGTTGAGGGCCCGCATTATTGGGAGTATGAGCATGGGTTTTTGCAGGGTGTGGGGAGTGCTAGAGGGGATTTTGAGGGGGAGTTTTGCTAAGGGGTATTCAGGAGAGAGTTTTTGTTGGTAGTGGGCGGGGTGGTGGGGAGGGAGGTTTGTGAGGTTTGTAATTGGGAAGGGGTTTGTTAGCGGGCGGGGTTGGGGAGGGAGGTTTGGTAGCGGGCTGGTTGTTGGGGAGGGGGCGTAGGTTATCTAGGCGTTGTGGGAGGGTACGTTATCTAGGAGTTGTGGGAGGGGAGGAAAGCCAGTAGAAAGAGTGAAATTTGCTTTATTTTTTTGTAGCGTAGCGTAAGCAACAAGTGGAAAGTTGGAGAGTCGCAGTTGCGTCTGGTGGTACTAGTAGGCTACTCTGGGTATATCGTATTATGTATACTAAAGAGCGTGGACGAGGAAAGGGATGATTGTGGACTGGTAGTAGTAAGGTAGATGGAAAAAATGGATCTCCGTTCCTGCAGATGCAGAAGGGTTTGATTATTGGAGGTTACGTCGAGTTTGTGTGCACATTGAGCGTTGTTTGGTTATTGAACGCAATGTTCGAAATTGTGAGATACTTAAGCGCCCGTTGAGGCGCGGTTTCATGATCGATATCGGCTAGCCTTCAGCGCCCGTTGTCTTCAGAATTTTTTGTTCGTGCTGGGCAATGCAAATACGTGAATGGAGAACTCAAATCATCGTTATTATTACATACTAGTAGTGCTTTGCTATAGTTGTCGATGTCATTAGACAGGTCATGGGTGACCTGGGTGTCGTTGATGAAGCTCGGAGAACCGGAGAAATGCATTCCATGATTGGTACATTATCCATTTGGGAGTTCCGACTATACTTAGTACTGTTTGACGCTCCGGTAATACATACCCTCGGGGGAAGCGATGACGTGCTGAGAAAACTCCTTCAGCTCTGAACAGGGGCTGGCGTTTAAAAGCGCACTCGACGCTATCAACCTCTAGATCTCTAGTAGTACAGCAATCAGTATGCATCTAGAGCCTGTCCAATTGGGCACGATTCATTGGACGTTGCAGCAATCTTTGCCCTTTCGATTTCGTCATTGGGGTTCAATCGTAAATGAATGAAAAAGATCATAACTTATGTCCGTTAATTGAATGGATTCAACGCTAAAAATACCATAAGTGTACTTCTTCGAAGCCTTCATATCCTCGAAATCACCCCGATGCAAAGTTGAACTAGTGGGCCCACCCAGCAATAAACTCGGCTATAAGATCCAGTGCGGCGGCATCGGGCCACTGACGCCGAGGTTTTGGCTTCGAGGAAACCTTGGGAAAAGAAAAGCTGGAGGGATGTAGGTCTTCTTGGCCTTATCTACACTACTAGTGACTACATGTTGCGCCCAAGCCTTACAAGGCTCGCCGTATTCACGCGCTACAGTTACTGGCTTGGCATTTCTTGGGATGCGCCTCGGTGTGGATAAGCGCTCAGGAGCGCTTAGGTGATAGGGGCTTTTGCGGTGGCAAAGTCGCCAGAGGGTGGTGTCACATAGGTGATTATTTCTGCACGGATTATGCTACCCAGCGGCATCAGTATGTCATTTGGATGCACGACATGGGATGTAGAGTCGGGTCAAGCGCCGCCATCTGATGCGCCCTTTTGACACGCCTCATCTGAAAAGGAAAGATATTCCCTTGGCGACTTCGAATTGATCCATGATCGTTTGATTTTCCTCTGCTTCTTTTCATACCACGATGATCATATGCTTGGGGAGGACGATAGGAACGGGCTCACCTCTTTCCTATAACTTGCTCGCCATTCCCAATGTTCTCGGCCGCCATTCTCTCGCGAATTTCTCGGGGCTTCAAAGCGTAATCGAACACCACCCAACGCGTTGACTTGCAATTTATCAGCGTGTGTTTCCTCGGGATGTCGCGTCGAACGAAGGACAGTTGACGAGTTCTCGCATGTTTGTTTGGCTACAGTCTCCATCGAGCATCACTTCTATAGGGAAACCGAGTCGAGTGCACGTTCAGCACCCGACGCAGCCTCGATCCACCTCGCGGTAGGTCGTCCTCGCAGCATGTTCCGTGGATAACCCGGACTCATTAGCCTTTACCTTTCGAAAAGCTATGACAGAAACACCCTGGGATGGGCGTATATAAGACACGCAGGGCAACCTAGATTCCCTAGGATCCATCCTCTCGCCAAACATGAAGTACCTCAACCTCCTCGCAGCTCTCCTCGCCGTCGCTCCTCTCTCCCTCGCTGCACCCAGCATCGAGGCCAGACAGTCGAACGTCAACCCATACATCGGCAAGAGCCCGCTCGTTATTAGGTCGTACGCCCAAAAGCTTGAGGAGACCGTCAGGACCTTCCAGCAACGTGGCGACCAGCTCAACGCTGCGAGGACAAGGACGGTGCAGAACGTCGCGACTTTCGCCTGGATCTCGGATACCAATGGTGTACGTTTGCTTGTCCATTGTTTCTTCAAGAGTAGGGACTGACAAGACTCGTAGATTGGAGCCATTCGACCTCTCATCCAAGACGCTCTCGCCCAGCAGGCTCGCACTGGACAGAAGGTCATCGTCCAAATCGTTGTTTACAACCTCCCCGATCGCGACTGCTCTGCCAACGCCTCGACTGGAGAATTCACCGTAGGAAACGACGGCCTCAATCGATACAAGAACTTTGTCAACAGTACGTCCACGTCGCTTCTTTCCAATCCTTTGAGGGTGGTTAGCTGACGGGCACATTTGCAGCCATCGCCCGCGAGCTCTCGACTGCTGACGCTGACAAGCTCCACTTTGCCCTCCTCCTCGAACCCGACGCACTTGCCAACCTCGTCACCAACGCGAATGCCCCCAGGTGCCGAATCGCCGCTCCCGCTTACAAGGAGGGTATCGCCTACGTACGTTCTCTTCGTCTGTCTCTCCTTACCCAAGGTTTAAGTCTCATCAACCCTTTCCAGACCCTCGCCACCTTGTCCAAGCCCAACGTCGACGTCTACATCGACGCCGCCAACGGTGGCTGGCTCGGCTGGAACGACAACCTCCGCCCCTCCGCCGAACTCTTCAAGGAAGTCTACGACCTCGCCCGCCGCATCAACCCCAACGCCAAAGTCCGCGGCCTCGCCGTCAACGTCTCCAACTACAACCAGTACCGCGCTGAGGTCCGCGAGCCCTTCACCGAGTGGAACGACGCCTGGGACGAGAGCCGCTACGTCAACGTCCTCACCCCGCACCTCAACGCCGTCGGCTTCCCCGCGCACTTCATCGTTGACCAGGGACGCGGTGGCAAGGGCGGTATCAGGACGGAGTGGGGCCAGTGGTGCAACGTTAGGAACGCTGGGTTCGGTATCAGGCCTACTGCGGATCAGGGCGTGCTCCAGAACCCGAATGTGGATGCGATTGTGTGGGTTAAGCCGGGTGGAGAGTCGGATGGCACGAGTGATTTGAACTCGAACAGGTATGATCCTACGTGCAGGAGTCCGGTGGCGCATGTTCCCGCTCCTGAGGCTGGCCAGTGGTTCAACGAGTATGTTGTTAACCTCGTTTTGAACGCGAACCCCCCTCTTGAGCCTACCTGGTAAGCGCCCGTGTGATATGTGGTCGCGGTATCTTTATTGTGTAGTCGTATTGTTTTGGCCATTTTGTATACTAAAAGCACGCTGTTTTGATCGCAATTTCTCTACACTTTATTCCCATTGGTTTGAAACCTTCGATGAGGTGCCCGTACAAAGGCCATGGAGCCTTTACACCACCAATTTGAAGAAGGTCGTACTGCGACAGCCTCAATTCAAATCCCTCTTGAACTTCGGCCTGCATTCTGATCGTCTTTTAAGCGAGCTGGGTGTTTCAACCTAAAATGTCTGCTCGCTAAGTACACCAAGGAACATTGAATTGTGAACTTCAGAAATATTCTCCGCAGAAAAGGTCCCTCCTATCGTCGCTCCGTTACTCTGACCCAGTGCGTTGCATCGAAGCACAAAGGAAGACAATGGTCTGCCTCAAGTTCGCGAAGCCAGAGTTTTGTCGGAGTCTAGCACGGGAAGCATGGTTCTACGAACAGCTCGAGTCATGCTAAGGCGCCTCTATCCCAAATTTCTACGGCTTCTTTTCATCGTCCGTGGCAGAGCAACCATGTTCACCGAACCTCAGATTCACCCCGTGGACCACGAGGAAACATAAATTCGACACAGACTCGCTTCCCCGCAAGCTGACCAATGCCCGTCTCTGGACTGGCTACCTGACGACATACCGCCAAACCGGAGGCGCAAATCAGTTAACGAAGACCTGTCTGGCTACCAGCAAAACTCGTCGTGGCAGAGATGGAAGCGCAATGAAGACAATCCAATGATCAGCTCAGCGTCCTTCAAGTTGTCCTCGAGCGCTTGGGCGAGTCTTGTACTGGTGAAAAGGGACCCGATGCAAAGTGAGACTTCACGACTGATTCCGAACGCTCGCTGACGAAACGACTACAGAGAGGCGATCCTGGAGGTGTTGGACGACATTGCGACACGGGGAGTCATTCATGGAAACGTTTCGGCATGGAACGTCTTATCCATTCGCGACCCATTTACTAATAGCCGTACCTGCCCACGACACAACGTTGTTCACCCTTGGAGAGTCATTGATTTTGGCCGGTGTGGGATGGTTGGCATCGAGAACCAGGGCATGGACGGAATCAGATTCCTTCTCCTGCTCGACGAGTAAGGTTAATTCAGTTTTCGAGCGAGCACCTAAAAGTGACCAAGGTTTTGATAGGTTTAATTAATAGCATCTATCAATAACTTCCTGGTATCAACGCCTAGATGGACCCCACCATGGTTCAACAGGTGTTCACAGCAATCGTCGAGCTCCTTCAAAAGACCACGCCTATAGCTTTTCAGCGGGTTTACCAAATCATCGGAGGAGTGAGATGTCAATATAGCTAGCCGCCGAGATGGATTCCCGCTACACTGTTTTGATCGCAATTTCTTCGCGCTTTATTCTTCTCATTCGTTCGAAACCTTCGAGCTCGAAGGCCAAGGAGCCTTTACACCATCACTTCGAAGAAGGGTTGTACAACGGCCCTCAATTCAAATCCCTCTTGAACCTCGGGTATTCGTGGCTACCATGGTCTTCTCGCAGAGATGGAAGCGTTGTTCGTTACTGACTAGGTATATGATTGGTCGAAGTCAAGTCTTCGACTGCGTTCGTCTCTCTCGTGAACTATTTGCCGTATCTTCTAATCATCCAAAGGTATTTAGTAGTATTAATAAATGCCTTTCCCTCTGGACATCGCCTCAAGCATGTCGTGGTTAACGTTGATAACGATTGGCTTTTCCCTGCCCTCAGTACAGGCTCTTTTCGATCCGTACGCCTCACTTTATCTTCCTCATTGCTTTACTTGTCATCTCGATTCTTTCAAGGCTCGTCACCCCTGGAGAAGTGTCGCCCCATGTTCACCAAATCATCGGAGGGGTGAGCTATCATTATATCTAGACGTCGACGATGAGATGGATTACCCTTAACACCCACTTAGAATGCGTTCAACCTCACGATGCATCCAGACCTCGACATCCCGAATGTCGCGACGTGCACTACATGTCGGTTCAAAGAGAACAAATCGAACTACTGGACTGCTGTGATGTATTTCAAGCATCCCAACGGGAGTTTCGCGAGAGTACGTTGGGGCTCTGGTGGAGATTATTGTTGAATTGGTATGGTTAGGGCTGATGAGATTGGGATCGCTTTTAGGTCCCTCAAATTCCCAACCACTTCACTGGGAACTATAACGGAGGAATGACAGTGTATTATAGCCAAGCTCCAAGTGGTAGCCCCCGAGTTACTGCATTCCCAAAGGTAAAGCCCTCTCTCTCACCGGAAACCACCTCACCAAACTTGGTCTTCTAATGCACCATCTACGTTGTAGGGCTTCCGAATGATCACAGGAAACCCAATGCACCGCAGGAACCAGAACTACCCCACCACACGCGGAGAAGCCTGGGCGCTTAGCTTCAGGTGCTGGCAGACGACGGGTCCGTTCGATTACTCAAACAGCCATGCGATTGGTCCTGGCCCGTTTGATACCATTAATCTTCCGGATAGGCCGTGTCCTGGAGGGATTAGGAGTAATACTTTCTTCCCGACGTAAGTTTTCTCCTGTTTGATTTAGTCGGTGTTAGGTTTGACCAATGGTGGGCCTTGACGGTGTAGGTGCTGGGATGGCGTGAACACGGATAGTCCTGATCATTCTGTGCGTTCTTTCCCAATACTAGTATTAGATGATATTGTTGATAATGATCCTTTCTCAGAGTCACGTCTCGTTCTTTGAGTCACCCGCCGACCCTCGCGTGGGCCTCTTCGTTCAAATGAACGGAAAGTGTCCCGACACCCACCCTGTTCATATCCCGCAGCTATTCTTCGAGACGGTGTGGGATACGCGTCCGTTCAATACTATGTGGCCTGAGGATGGGAGTCAGCCTTTCGTTCTGAGTATGGGTGATCCGTGAGTGTTTGGGTTCAATATCTCGTACTATTACGAGAGTCGAAGAGGGGTATACTGATTGAAAAACCTTGGAATCTGTGTAGGACCGGGTACGGCCATCATGGCGACTACCTTTTCGGATGGGAAGACGGTGCGCTTCAGCGAGCGATGGATAACTGCTTGGATATTTTCGGAAGACCTGAGGACTGTACAGAGTTGACCCTCCAGACTGACGAAGAAATGAACGCGTGTACTCTACCTTCTCAAGTGGACGAACAAGTCGAGGGTGGATGTACGTCTTTATATTTCTAACTCCTATTATACTAACCATGATTTCTGATTATTTCATGCGATTTTGATAGATCTCCCTGAGTTACCTGGGTGCAACCCAGTTCAGCATGGGCCTGATCCTGCCACTATGGTTCCGGATTGTACAGCGATTTCGACGACTGGAGTAGCTGCTGCTGCACGAGCTACCCCTCCGCCTACTTAGGCATGTAATGTGTACATAGGTTTATGCTTTTTCACTATCACTACTATAGCTCGTTGGCATTCAACGCAACTGTCTTTCCTGTTATGAATTCGAGGTCCATCGTTCGGTATGTGTCTTGGCTCAGCAGCCTCGGATGATACATGCCGAATAGTCGGCCGCTGACCATCAGGAATTCGACTGATGGATTGATAAAGGATCAACGGCATCCAGGAGAAGCGCCTAATCCAAATGTCCCCTTCTGAATGCAAAGGATCGTCTAGGATCGTCGAGGATCGGCTCCAATCTCAACTTATTTAATTGTCAGGTACACATCGACCACCTATTTCTCCACATTCAACGCGCCACACTGTGTACGTGTCCGGCGCGGATGTCCCGATTCAATGATAGTAGACGCCGTTGTACATAGCCAAGCCGGGCTCCTCGCAAGCAAAGAAATGATGCAGAAAATAGTCGATACTGATACAAATTGATTCAATGCAGTTGTACAGAGAGGGAACTATTAAACACCTCCCCGACGCGCTTAAAGACCGAAGAAGTTGATCGCCGTCGCCTCCGTTCCGCTCTCAGGCAAACCGTGTCCAGCACCCTGTCCGTTGAACGCCTCAACCTGTCCGCTACCATACGACGTCTTCGTCCAGCTCTGTCGGGGCGTGCCAGGGCTCGTGCTGGCGGGGGTCTGTGAGATACCATGCACATCAGTCCACTGCTCGACCTGCTCCTGGAAGTTGTTGATGTTGAGAATGGGGTCAGCAGTTCCGTGCCAGATCTGCATGCGCGGGTAGGGACCGGTGTAGCCGGGGTACGCGGCGCGGACGAGGTCGCCCCATTGCTTGGGGGTGAGGTTGCGGTTGCCGGCGGCGCATGGGTCGGGCGGGAAGGCGGGGGTGTTGCCAGTCTGCAGGCATCCGAGACCAACGCCCGCGAAGACGGCACCGGCCTTGAAGAGCTCGGGGTAGACGCCGGCCATGACGTTCGTCATCATCGCGCCGGAGGAGGTACCGGTGACGAAGACCTTGTTGGGGTCGATGCCCCAGGTGCGGATGGCGTAGCGGACGGCGTTGGCGATGCCGAGAGAGTCGGAGCCGCCGTCGTGGCGGAGCGTCGCGCTGGAAGTGACATCCCAGCAGTTCTGGGGCTGGGTGGTCTGGCCGTAGAAGACGAGGAAGCCGCGTTGGTCGGCTTGAGCGCGCCAGCCGAAGCCCGAGAAGTATTGCTAAGAAAGGAAGGAGTGTTAACGGTTTAAGAAATAGCCACGTGGGGATGGGGCGCTTACTTGAGCGGTTCCACCGCAGGGGTGCAACGCGACGAGGAGACCAGCGCCTGCCTTGATGCTAGAGGGCTTGTAGACGTGGATTTGGACGTTGCTGGGGTTGGAGCCGAAGTTTTGGAGGCGGGTGAGCTGACCAGCTGGAATTTCTTGGGCGGGAGGAGTTGTGGCAGGTGGAGGAGGCTGAGGAGTGGTGACAGGGGGAGCGGGGGTGGTGACAGGAGGGGCAGGGGTCGTCACCGGAGGAGCGGGGGTGGTAACCGGTGGCTGAGGTTGTCCAGAGCCCTGTTGGCATTGGGAGTACCCTGGAGTACAAGATGAGCTACGTTTAGATCGATGTGGAACGTGGAGGACTCACAGTCGTTGAGACGAACGCAAATGAGACCAGCATCACACTGAGTCGAGCCAGTGTATCCGTTGCCGCCACCTAAAGGAGCTTGTTAGGGAGACGAGACATGAGAAGTAAATGAAACTGACATTGTCCCCAAAGAGGAACAGCGTTGACGGAAGTCAAAGCGAGAGCGACGACTGAGAGAAGAGTGGTGAACTTTGCCATTGCTGCTGCTGAGGTTGTGAGGCTTCAGGTGTTTTCGAGTTGGTTTTATACTTGGTCGTTGCACCGAGCTGATTCCGAGAACCTGTCACTGTAGGGGCGAAAAATTCCGTCGCGGTGCGGTGCCGATCCTCGCGCTCGAGATGTCTGCAGGGTGTGAAGAACCTATGGGCGTGTCTACTGTTCATTAAGCACGGACTTTAGACGACACATCCGTTGCGTGCGTACCACTAATGCTCTCTAGGGCCTTCAGATCGTCTGAAGACAGCGTTCAAGGCATTTGAAGCTGTCATCGCGCGTCGATGGATCCTTCAACTTGGCGCGACGGGAGCGGGTCAGTTCCCACAAATTCTCTCTACCCCACCAAGCCTATTGGAGAACAATCACTTATTTGGCTTTGAGACTTCCTCTCAGATGGTAGGACTGATCGCAGACGTACCTGTTGTATGCCATCTTCCTCCACCTCCTTCGGCACCGGCTGTACAATCATAAAGTCCTTGGACACATGGTCTGGACATATCGGTGCCGAATCAATTACCAATGGAAGAGGAAGACATGAGAGGTGACGTTGTGGATCGACGGCGAGGGTCTTTTGGTCGTACGAGGGCGGGACTGTAATTCGGAATATGCAGCAGTAGCGTCGAGCATGTTGGAGTCTCTACCGTTTCAGAGTGAGTGGTGCGAAGAAAACAGGCATACAGAGGGAACTATCTCACCATGCATGCGTCATGAGAGCCAAGTCGCGACCGTCGTCGTGTGTTGGACGAAGCCAAAGCCCAAAGAGCTTGTCCCACGAGCTAACCATAATCTAGGGTTATCGGGAATCTCCCACACTCAATGATGGCGCACAGATTGGCGGCACGACCGCTCTTGTCGTTTTCCTCCACCATCCCTGGAAGCTCCTCGGGCAAACTGTGTCTCCCTGTACCTTTCTCAAAAGCTCTGGTAGTTCTGGAAGGGCTGAACTGTTCATGCGTACGATATTGAAGGCTTTCGCGGGCCGCCTCTACCCGTCGTAGATTCGCCGACATCTTGGTGTGCTTCTTCCATCCCACAAACAACGCCGATCTGCTTGTTCCGTGCGCGCGTGGCTAGCTTCTTCACAGCTTCTTCCCAGAGTCAACACGGAGCTTCAGCCATGTGGTCTTGCTTCTTTCCTAAAATCGAAGATGATCAGTCTGGGGTGCACTGAATTGGGAAGCCACGCCTCTCGAGTTTTTCCTTAACTTCGGAAAGAAGAGCTGAAACCCGATTGGACGTTACCGAGGACTTCTGTACCAAGACTACTAGGACTGATGCAAGTGCGCCAATTATTCCGCTAGCCATTCGTGATAAAAGGGAAAGCTTATTCCTTTCATCCGACGGATAGGTATTCGCCTAGACCAATTCCAAGAAATGGATCTCTTGAATTCATCTTTGAATGTGCCTTGGCCTTTGGGATTGTCGACAATGTCCTCGAAGCGGGTTCTATCTTTTGTCTGTCCTGTAAAACGAGGCATTTAACTAGAACCTTCAGATTTTCATCTCGATAACTAACAAGGTTCAGGAAGCCTCCACCTAGAAGCGCTCCATGCTACTCGTTTATCCTCAACTTCGGAAAATGGGATCTCTATCTCTTCCTCCCCAGTCTAACTTTAGGTTTGACGAAGAGATGGACGTCACGACTCCTCTATCTCGCAAGAACCGGCGCTCCTCTGGCTGTGCCTGTGCGCTATCGTACGCTATCCTGGTATTCTGTATTGGCTATACATTGGAAAATGCAGCTATTTGGCCTTCTTTGACCAAAACTAGGTTATGCCTAGGGGCGTATATATAGCTAGATTTGGGCCATGAGACCTCTTACCTGTCGCTAACTTCGTTCATCGACGACGCCATGAACTGGAAGGCTCTGTTGACAACTGTCGGCGTCGCCGCTACCGGCGCGCACGCCCTCATCCGATTCCCATGCGCTCAATTGGTCACGGAGCGTCTTGACCCGTCTGTCTACCCCACTTTTCTTTCGGAGATACTCCTCTAATGGGTTCCCCCGCCTTAGCCTCGTCACCCCCGGCCAAGTATCCCCCCACGTCCACCAAGTTATCGGAGGAGTGAGTCTTGGATCTCTTGTCTATCGTAGCCAAGGATCTGACATCCGACTCGCACATCGCCTAGAATGCGTTCAACATCACCATGGACCCCTCCATCGAGTACGCCAGGACGGCGACTTGCACCTCCTGCAAGTTCAAGGAGAACAAGTCCAACTATTGGACCGCCGTCATGTACTTCAAACACTCAAATGGCTCTTTCATTCGAGTGCGTTCACTCATGCACTCGCCTCGATAACTCGCTCCTTAATTTCTGCGATAGGTCCCTCAATTCCCCAACCACTTGACGGGTAATCCTAATGGTGGTATGACGGTCTACTACATTCAGCCTACCAACCGTCAAAGGAAGGTCACCGCCTTCCCCAAGGTGTGTGGATCTCATCTTGTCCTTCTTGGCGACTCGAATCCCATCTGACTCGGATAATTCTTTTAGGGCTTCCGTATGATCTCTGGTAACCCAATGCTCCGAGCGAGGAAGGCCGGACTCGACCCCAACAGTCCCGAGGCTTGGTCCTCCTCGTTCCGATGCTGGGAGACCTCTGGCTTCACCGACCCCTCGAACAGCTCTCCCCCCGGTGCTGGCCGCTACGACACCGTCGAGCTCCCCAACAAGCGATGCCCCGCTGGTATCCGTGCTAACTTGTTCTTCCCCGCGTACGTCCTACTCTCTTTTACTTTTCGAACAAGGTCGACGATATTGACGTTGAGGTTTCGTGGTTTGTAGTTGCTGGGACGGGAAGAACCTCGACTCACCTGACCACGCGAGCCACGTCGCGTTCTTCCAGGGTCGTGTTGACCCCAATGCTGGTATGATTTTGATGGAGGGTACTTGCCCATCGACCCACCCCGTCCGTCTCCCCTTGCTCTTCTTCGAGACCGCTTGGGATACCCGTCAATTCAACAACATGTGGCCCAGCGACGGTAGCCAGCCCTTCGTCCTTTCTCATGGTGACCCGTAAGTGGTCTTGTTTGCCCTGGATTCAGAAGTGAAGAGGAATTAACGGCGTATAGAACTGGCTACGGACATCACGGTGACTACGTCTTTGGATGGGAAGAGGGTGCTCTCCAGCGTGCTATGGACAACTGCTTCGACATCCTCGGTCTCCCCGATTCGTGCCGACAGCTCACTCAACAATCCGATGCCGAGATGAACCAGTGTGTCCAACAGACCCGCATTAACGAGCGTGTTGAGGGTGTCTGTACGTCCTTTTCCCGCTTCTCTATAACCCATTCCCTTCTCGCCGTTGTCTAACTAACACTTTCCTTGCGCGTACTCTTTCCGACCTTCGATTTCGATAGACCTCCCTGAACTCCCAGGATGCAACCCCGTCCAGAAAGGTCCCGGTATGGCCACCATGGTCCCCAACTGCCGTGCCATCTCCACCACCATCGGTGCTCCCCCCGTCGTCACCAACCCCCCTCCCGTCACCAATCCTCCCGTCGTCAACCCTCCTCCTCCCGTCACCAACCCCGGTGCTCCTCTCCAGACCCGCTTCGGCCAGTGCGGAGGGTGCGTTACCTTTCTTCTTCTCCTTTTTCATTGACCGGTTATAAATTGTGTTACTAACGTATTGTGGTTTTGGTTTCTAGTCAAGGATGGACTGGTCCCACTCAGTGCCAGCCCCCCTACGCTTGCCAGGTTTCGAACCAGTGGTACTCGCAGTGCATCTAAACCCCTCGTTCGGACCGTTTTACGGTACTTGGTCTACGGCGCTACCTCGCGTACCTTGGCACGCCGCTCTTGGAACGACGATTTGAGTAATTGAGGAGGATGTTAATAATTTCATTTCTTTATCATCGATGTATGTTCTTTCTCTCTTATCGTTTGAATTTAAAATGCTTCCACTTGTCTTCCATTCTTCATTGAAGAGGAACCTCCGCGCTCCGTTCCGCGGTAATTCCTTTCTAATGGAAACGATGATAAGACGGGGTATTGGCAGGTATGGAGACGAGTCACGATCGGTGCTGGTGAATTCGAGTGTCCTCCAGAAGGAACGAGTGTGGGTCCGCTCAGCCGCGCGCGGCCATCAGAGGTTTGATCTTGTTTGTCTGGACCTTCCAGTACGTTCTCGCCCTCCTCGACGAGCGCAAGGGACTACCCACTGGACAGCAGTCGCCTGGAAATTACCCCTCCACCCAGACTACTTACCCATAGGTATGTCGTGCGAAAGACACCATGGGACATACGTCCATTGAATGGTGGGTTTGGATTGATGGTAGCCAACCTGTCGCAGTGTTGTCTCAGGACGATCCGTAAGCGTGAGTGAACGAAGTGTGCATAGTCCTACTAATAGGCTCTACGATACCTCTATATAGCTATAGGAAGAACGGCTACTGTATTAGAGGATGTGATGAACAGGTTACTCAACCTTTGCGTATCTAGAGGTGTAGTAAGTCCCCCGACATATTGCGACGAAATGGATCACTACACCGAGAGAATCGGCGCTTACCAGGAGCTACAAAATCCTTTACAGGACGGCAGACGAGCTCCACAAGCTCTCATGGCTCAGCTACATTGGGAAGTACATTCCGAATGTAAGTCAGCTGTGGATAACCACGGTCCCTGTAAGCTTTGAAGTCCCATACACCTCGCCACCGAGCCGTAAAGCACTCTGATCGGATGGTGTTCATGAATGCAGTTAATTGCAGTATGGTCTCACGAGCTCGCCGACGAGGGAGGCGGCTTCTCACTCAATTGATCCATTTTTCTTTCTGACAACGTGCAGCTGAATGGAGGCATACCTCGCCTCTCCCGATACAATGTCTATTGGACTAAAGCTGGAGGATAAAGGGATGTTCCGTTGCAAGTGAGCTAGCCATAAGGTCAATAGCTCGCTGACACAGATACGTCACGAAATACACAACATGTCTACCTTGACGTGCAGAGTTGGGATGCGCTTTTATGGGATATTTCCCGATGCGAATCCGAAGATGGCACTCAGGTGATCGTCTCCCACATGGCTTTCTATCCTCGGGGACCTTTACCACACTAGATCATGTTCGTCGAGCCGTTGCAGTCCCCAAATCCAGGGTCAATTATCAAGCAAGTGCGCTCCTCGATACAAAGCTGTTAAGTTTTTGTGAGCGAAGCAAGGGCCCACCCCTTCGTTGAAAAATATGGGGTTCTTCGGACCCGAGAATGACGTCGAATTGTTACCAATCTCCACGCGCGCAGAATCTTCGCTATTCCATGAAATTTCTAGAGATGTCTTTGGAAGCCATGTTAGGGTAGCTCGCTCCGTTGGCCAGGAGCTCCAAGGTACCCAAGCCTCGACGATGAATTCATCTTCTCCCTTGGCAAAGCGGAGCCACCCCTTCTTTCCCCGCACTTTGGGCCCTTGGGAACGTGGACATGTGTGAATGTGGATGGTTGATGTTGATCATTCTGTGTAGGATAGGCGCCCGGCGCGCTGCTCAAGTCTCACAAGGACCAGCGAATTGTGTGGACCTCACCTCAGCTACCTGGCCTCTGCAAGAATAACTGAGTATACCTGCGCTTCGCAGACCATTCTCTTCCGCTTCTGTGAGCCAAGTTAGCTTTTTCACTCCCTTCTTGGTGCTAGCTTCGAATTCTCTCGTCACAGCCCCGCATCCACGTTCTGAAAACCACGTTTTGATTGTATTCATCTCGCGTGGCATCTCACGTAAAAAGCCTCATTCTAAGAAGCATCTGCTTCTCCTGGTTTATCCTCAACCTCGGAAATATGCAAAGAACGCTCTATGTACGCTCAGGCCAGGTCACGAGAACCGAGTCGGAGCTTCTAATCAAGCACGATCTCGCTCCTTTCTAAGTATGTCCACCCGGAATGTTGCTATTCTGAATCGGTTTGACTGAGAACATTTTCAGAAAAGCGCGGGTTCTATTTTGGGCTTGGTATTTTCAGTACAGTATAAAAGGTGCAACTGGACTCTCGTTCCGGTTCCTCGTAGTCCACTCTTTCCTTGAGATCGATATGAACTGGAAAGCTCTCTTGGCATCCATTGGCCTCGCCGCCACTGGCGCGCACGCCCTCATCCGTTTCCCTTGCGCTCAGTTGGTCACTGAGCGTCTTGACCCGTACGTCCCGTCCTCCCTTCCCAAGTGTTGAGCCATGTCACCAATCTCCAACTCATAGCCTGGTCACTCCCGGAGAGGTTTCCCCTCACGTCCACCAGATCATCGGAGGAGTGAGTAGATTTCTTCTTCCATTCTATATCCTAGAGCTGACAGTCGCGTAGAATGCCTTCAACATCACCATGGACCCCGCCATCGAGTACGCCAGGACTGCGACTTGCACGACTTGCAAGTTCAGGGAGAACAAGTCCAACTACTGGACTGCTGTGATGTACTTCAGGCACCAGAACGGTTCCTACATCCGAGTATGTGTCCTCCTCTTTCCTTTCGTTGACCGTGTATTCACATCGCCCGTGACGGATAGGTCCCTCAAATGCCCAACCACTTGACTGGCAACCCCGACGGCGGTATGACCGTTTACTATATCCAACCCACCAACCGTAACGTCAAGGTTACTGCTTTCCCTAAGGTACGTAGCCTCATTCGACTTCGGTCGAAGTCAAATGAATGACATATTGTGTCTAGGGTTTCCGTATGATCTCGGGTAACCCCATGCGTCGCGCTCGAAGGCAAGGGCTCGACCCTAACAGCCCTGAGGCGTACTCTTCGAGCTTCCGATGCTGGGAAGGCACTGGCTTCGGCGACCCATCCAACTCCTTCCCTCCTGGTGCTGGCCGCTACGATACCGTTGAGCTCCCCAAGAAGCCCTGCCCGGGCGGTATCCGTGCCAACCTCTTCTTCCCTTCGTACGTTCTTCATCTTGTCTTTTACATTGCCATGATCTGACGCTTCTTCTCAAAATAGCTGCTGGGACGGCAAGAACCTCGACACCCCCGACCACTCCAGCCACGTCGCCTTCATCCAAGGTCGTGTTGATCCTAACCAGGGTATGATCTTGATGGAGGGTACCTGCCCATCGACCCACCCCGTTCGCCTTCCTCTCCTCTTCTTCGAGACTGCCTGGGACACTCGCCCATTCAACAACATGTGGCCCAGCGACGGTACCCAGCCCTTCGTTCTCTCGTACGGTGACCGGTAAGCATTTCTTTCCCCCCTTCAGACCTGTGACACGGGCTGAGCATTGTCTCCTTGTGTAGAATTGGCTACGGGCACCACGGTGACTACGTCTTCGGATGGGATGAGGGTGCTCTCCAGCGTGCTATGGACAACTGCCACGATCTCCTTGGTCTCCCGGACTCGTGCCGCGAACTTACTCAGCAATCCGATGCCGAGATGAACCAGTGCAAGCAGCAGACTCGAGTCGCCGAGGTCGTCGAGGGTTCCTGTACGTGACACTTCTTCTTGCTTTCCTCATAACGTCCACTCACTGAACACTGTTTCGAACTAGACCTCCCCGAGCTCCCAGGATGCAACCCTATCCAGGATGGTCCCCAGTCGGCCACGATGGTCCCCAACTGCCGTGCCATCTCCACCACCATCGGTGCTCCCCCCGTCGTCACCAACCCGCCTGTCGTCACCAACCCTCCCGTCGTCAACCCTCCTCCCGTCACCAACCCCGGTGCTCCTCAGCAGACTCGATTCGGCCAGTGCGGAGGGTGAGTGGATCTTCATATCTTCGTCTGCGACTCACACATTGATCTCTCTTCCCTGCATACAGTCAAGGATGGACCGGCCCTACCCAGTGCCAGCCTCCCTACTCTTGCCAAGTCTCCAACCAATGGTACTCGCAATGCCTCTAAAGGGGCCACGATTTCCTTGGTTCGTGCTCTGGTATTGGCTCGTAGCTCGACGGATATGTAGATAAATGTCTTATATGTATCGTCTTCATTAAAATCTAGCATTCCATTTCCCTCTCTCTCTCTCAACGTGGATGCGTAGTTGGATGCTTTTCAAACTGTTTAGTTGTCTGATATCCGATGACGACACTGGCCTCGAAATAGAAGGGAACAATCCAGGACGTTCCTCGGATCGCGACTGCACAGCTCAAGCAGTCTGGTGTATGCACTGAGTCGCCGTTACACGATGTCATCTCACCCCGTCGTGAATGCACATTGCAGTCTTCTCGAGTCTTCTGACCTAGCATGAGACAAACGTTTCACGAGCGCGCTTCTATAAGACCAATTGACCTATTCTACATGGGGCGATAATCAAAATCCCATCCAGGGACCTCAACCATGAAGCTCTCCTTTTTTGCATTGACTTGTGCCGTCGCCTCTATTTTGGCCAATCCGTCGCCTTCCAGCGCTCAAACGAGCTCGTCCAACGTTGGGACTCCAAATTCCGAAGGCCAACACGATGGATTTTTCTACTCGTGGTGGTCAGATACGGGAGCTACAGCCCAATTGGACTTCAAACGGTGAAAGGCCCGTGGACATGTTGACTGTGTTCATAAGCGAGAATCTAACGAGAGGGAGCTTTGAGACCCAGTCCTTTTGGTGACGATCGACGTGAAAACGGAGAGCTTGAATAACAGATTTGTTCGTTAGTTCGCTACTGCCATCAGTTTCCGGGTGGAAGCTAGAGGAGATGGCTAATTTGACGTTGGTGAGTTGATGGAGTTTTGACCAAAATTCAGACAGCCATTTACTGTCTCTATCGGAAACGATCTCGAATCACAGAGCCTAGAGGACATCACATCTAAGCAGCTAACGGTGCTATAGTATTCTGAGCATAGTTGTAGCACGCAGACATCTACAGGACAGGACAAGGAAAGGTATCGGAGGAAGAGTTGGTAAACGAGATAACAGCAAAGTTCAAACCGGGGATATTCACCATTAGGCACCACCACCGCCTACACGATTACGGATCGGCCGAGTACGATGAACTCGACCTTCGCCGGGAGCAGCTTGCTGCGCCTGCTGAGCCTGTGGCGCTTGTGGCGCCTGTTGAGGCTGTTGAAGCGGTTGCGCCTGCTGAGCCTGTTGTAAATAGAGGAATAAAACGATAGATTTTCGTGTTCTACAGAACAGTATTTATAGTAGCTACGAGACGTGATTGGTAAGTCATTGGAGCGCTCGATAAGCGCGTGTATAAGCGCTCGGGGAATTTCTAATAAAGTGGAAACATAAGAATGCAATAACTAATCTAACTAGTAACGAGTCAGCGTGTATCGACGAGAACACTCTCAACACTCCCCCTTTCTCGAGATAACACCGATTTCGTAGGTAAGGTCTTGATGACGTGACCTAGGTAGTCCTTTGGTGAACAAGTCGGCAAGATTCAGGTCGGTGCGAACGTAAACAATCTCGAGGGTGTTGTTGGCGACAAGATCGCGTAGGAAATGATATGCGAGGTCGATGTGCTTCGTTCTTGGATGAAATTCAGGGTGTCGACTGATCGCAATAGCGGCCTGATTGTCGCTGAAGATGGTCGATGTTTCGGGGGGAAAAAATTCCAATTCTTCGAGTAAGTGTCGATGCCACAGGACTTGCTTTGCGGCGTGCGTAGTGGCGACGTATTCGGCTTCTGCAGTCGATAGAGCCACGGTATTCTGCTTCTTCGAGCTCCAAGCTATTGCTCCACCTGCCAAGGTGATAACATAGCCGGAAATCGATTTTCTGTCCGGTCCATTCGCCCAGTCGGCATCGGTGTAGATGTGGAGGTCTTCCGTCATTTCTTCGTCATCTAATCCTCCAAATGTGAGTGCGAAATGCTTGGTACCCTTCAGGTAACGAAAGATGCGCTTGAGGGCAGTGAAATGGACGGCTCTGGGGCGAGATGTGTATTGGGCGAGTCGGTTGACCGCATAGCAGATCTCTGGACGCGTTCCAAGCGCCAGATACATCAGAGAACCAATCATCGTCGCATATCCCGACGAAATTCGGGGGTCTACCTCCTCTCCGAGCGAGTTTCCGTCCTTGCTGTCGAATGCGTCGAGTTTGACGTTAGGATCGATGGGTGTTGATACTGGGTTCGCATTTTCTAGCCCAAATCGCTTTAAGAGTGTGTCGATGTAATGGGATTGTGAAAGCGAGATGTAGTGGTCGTCCTGCTGAATTTGGAGACCCAGGATAAGTGAGGGTTGTCCTAGTGACTTGATTTCGAAGTGCTGTGCGAGTTCTGACTCTATCTGGTCGTTTAAGGCGTCTGTAGTCGAAGCTGCGATGATATCGTCGACCCATACGAGGAGAATAGTCAAGTCGTCGTCCTGGTATCGAATATAGCAGCAGTAATCGCTCTTGAGTTGTTTGAAGTCGAAATCCTCGAGTTTGGAGTGTGAGTTCGTGGTTCCAGACGTTGCCAGCCTGCTTCAGGCCGTAAAGGGAACGTTTGAGGACGCATACTCGACCAGTACCGTCGTCAAATCCAGGGGGCTGGCGCATGAAGATCGATTCCTTCAATCTTCCGTGTAAATAGGCGCCCTTGACGTCAAATTGACGAAGTTTGAGGTTTCGGATGGCAGACGTACCCAGGACAGTCCGAAGCGTCTCGAATCGCATTACTGGTGCGAAGGTGCCGTCGTACTGATAGTCCTGGCCGGGTTTCTGAGAGAAACCTTGAGCTACAAGTCTCGCCTTGTGCTTTGTGACCTCCCCCTTCTCGTTCCTCTTCTTTGTGAACACCCACTTGCTCCCAACCGTTGTTCGCCCCTCTGGAAGCTCTCCCAGCTCCCAAGTACCCATTTCCTTCAATGTTTTCAATTCTTCGTCCATAGCTTCCTTCCATCGTCCCGATTCTGGTCCCTGCAACGCTTCTTCGACGTTTTGAGGTAAATCCGGCTCTGAAAATTGCGAAATAAAAGCGGTTTCCCTTTCGAATGGTTCGCCAATTGCTTCTAGTGCGATGTTGCCCATTTCCTTCGACTTTGCCTTCGCTTTTGACGATTCTGTAGGCCTGGAGATGGTAGGGGATGGAGAGACCGATCGCATAGGCGTAGGAGTGAATCGCAGTCCTGGAGTGCGTGCGTCCGGGTTCCCAAGTTTCTTGTAGTCTGTTTCGTTCCTTCTAGCACGTAATGGGCGTCTAATCGTCTTGTCTTCGTCGTCTGTCGTGTTTGCACTGCCCGAGATCGAAGGAGATGGTGTTGTTTCGATGAGAGGTAAGATAGGGCTCGATGGTTCAGTTTTGGGTTGCTCCTGGGTTTGCGAGACTGGAGAATCCGATGTGCTCTCCCCCTCAGTCCGCATACCCGGGATTTCTACCACTTCGAGCTCCTTTAGCTCGTCGTTTTCGTTGAATGCGAAATTTCTTGACACTTTGACGTTCCTCTTTTGCGGGTCGTAATAGCGGATCGATTTTGAACCGTCGTTAAAGCCAACCAGCTTCATCTGCTTCGATTTTGGTGCTAATTTTGGTCTATTCTCTGATTCATCCAATACCCAAACATTACATCCAAATGGCCGTAAATGGGCGACTCCGGGCTTCTTTCCATGCCATGCTTCGTAAGGGGTCATGTCATTGAGTGCGCGAGTTGGGGATCGATTTCGGAGGTAGGTGGCGTGAGCTACAGCTTCATCCCAAAGGAAAGCAGGCAGTTCGGAGTCTATGAGCATAGCTCGTGCTAGCTCCAACACAGTCCGATTGAATCTCTCTGCAACTCCATTCTGGGATGACGAATATGGTGCTGTTGGCTCGATTTCGATTCCCTCCTCTCGACAGAGTGCCTCCAACTTCGAGTTAATCAGGTCCTTTGCATTATCGAACCTGACAAATCGTGGGGAACGGCCCATCTTCTTCAGCCATGCAATGTGCCCTTTGATTCGATCAAATGCCTCCGATTTTTCGCGTATAAATAGCGTAGTCGTATAGCGTGTTGCGTCATCCGTGAAGGCGATATAGTATTTGAATTTTCCTGCCGAAAATCGTTCGCGCTGGGCCCCAAATATCCCCCATAAAGCGTTCTCCGGGTATCTTGGATCTGTGCTCAGCCTCTTTTGGAAAAGGCTTGTGATTCTGCTTGGCTTCGATGCAAGTTTCACATGAGCGTGATGGAATTGATGCTCCATCTATATCCAGACCGTGTACGAGCTGTTCCCGGTTTAGGCGTTCGAGTGCTGTGACAGAGATATGGCCGTAACGTCGATGCCATTGATCCCAAGTGAGTTTTGGGGCTGATGCGAGGTGGGCCTTTCCTTTCCTGGATTCTTCGGCGCGGGCTTTCAGCTTGTATAGTCCATTCTCCTTTACCCCAAATCCGATGATCCTTCCATCCTTATTCCGCATGGTACATTTCCCTCCTCCTATCTCGACAGTTCCTCCAGCTGCATCTAAGCGAGTAGCCGAGAGTAGACAGTTAGGCGCTTGTGGCACATACAGCACATTACTAAGCTGATGGCGCATCAAGCCTCCGTCTAACTCGAAATTCAGGGCAATAGTTCCGCGCCCTTCGACGATTGCTGGGGTAGGTCCTACGCCATCGAGAGTGGCATTGGTGAGGGGTTGATAATCGATAAAGGCGTTTCGGATGGTGCATATGTGTGAGGTAGTGCCGGAATCGAGGTACCAGTCTGATTTGGAGAAGTCCCTGGAGCTTAAAGCTCTAAATTGGGCAATGTACGCGACTTCGTTAAGCGTGCTGTTGATTTCCGATGCTTGATTTGCCCGGTTTGGACCTCGTCGACCCCTTGGACCTTGTCCTTCCCTTCCGCCTCCTTTAGCCCAACATTCCGACTTGATGTGGCCCTTCTTCTTGCAGTTGTAACATTCCTTATCTGACTTCCCGGCTTTTCCATTTCCGCCACGACCTCTCCCAGCCTGGAGAGTCGTACCCACACCATCATTCCTTCCTTTCCTTCTTCGTTCTTCTTCAATCAAGATAGCAACGAGCTCGAAAGAGGAAATGGTTGGCGAGTTTCCGTTAGCGCCCAAATAGGCAGATGTGTAAGAATCCCAGGATTCCGGCAGTGATGTGATCAGAATCATGAGGAAATCGTCGTCCGAGATGAGGTTTCCGAGGTTGTGGAGTTGAGCCTGTAGCTGTCGAAGATGGGAGACGTGCTCCACCATATCAAAACCCTTCTTCCGCCATCGCTCGAAATAGTTGCCGTCGTAAGGCCAGAATTCCAATCTTCCCTTTGGATTCCTTGACTTGGGTGAGTTGTTTCCACATTTGGCGTGCCGATGTTGCTCCACTGATATGAATCATTTCGCTGTCTCCCACAGCGAGCTCGATCCTTGTCCTAGCCTTGGCATCGCCTTGCTCCCATGCAGTTCTCGACACTCGCTCCTCCGTCGTGAGTTCGTCCGATTTCCCAGCTGCTACCTTCTCTGATCCCGGAGCGTCTTCCAAGACGTACTTCTCCAGTCCAAGGTCACGCAATACCGCAAGCATCCGTTGCTTCCACGGTAGCCAATTGCTGGCCTTCAGAAGCTCCATTCGATAGCCGCCCGTGTATTCTTCTGGCATGGTGTCGGTGTCGATGGATTAGTTAAATGTGGGTAGTTGGAGTGCGAGTCGAGCGAGTTTAAACGAGTGTAAGAGTGATGGTTTAAGCCCAGTAGGCGGGGCTCATAACCTGTTGTAAATAGAGGAATAAAACGATAGATTTTCGTGTTCTACAGAACAGTATTTATAGTAGCTACGAGACGTGATTGGTAAGTCATTGGAGCGCTCGATAAGCGCGTGTATAAGCGCTCGGGGAATTTCTAATAAAGTGGAAACATAAGAATGCAATAACTAATCTAACTAGTAACGAGTCAGCGTGTATCGACGAGAACACTCTCAACAGAGCCTGCAGCTCCTCTTCGTGTTCAGACAGAACTGATGCCCCGGTCAGAGTGAGCTTGAAGCATTCCTTCTTCGGTGCTAGGGTCTCTTTTATATAGTTCCACTCGTCATCTTCACCCTTCCTATAAGCATCAATGGCAACGTAGGTCATGGCCACAAAGCAAGTCAAAAGGCGCTTGTCGGTAAATTTCATGAGAGGCGAAACGATGAGACGACCTTTCTGGTCTGGTCTGGGATCGCGAAGTAGGAACATGACGTAGTGCATGTTGGTAACGAAGCCGACCCTTGGGCCCAAAAAGTGGAATTGGCCCCAGAGCTGCATGGCGTAATGTCGGTTAACTGGCAACATCAAATTTGATCAAAACCTACACAAATGGAAACACACCTGTTGGAAGAGGAGGCACATGGAGTCTGCGGCAGAATCACTGGGCAGAAATTGGCCATCTACGTCAAGGAATTCTGGGCTGGTGAAGATGTTCTCGAACTCGTCTGCAGGATAGGCCCAAAAAATCTTCCCTTCACCGAGGCAAACGCTGAAGCGACGGAAGCGGGCGCCGGGAAGGAACGGCGGGTTGATTCGAGGGGTGACAAGATCCACAGCCAGCACCCTGTCGGCAAAGCCACTGGCTGTGATTTTGGGGTTGCGGTTATCATCTCTGACAGGGGTAACCCAAGCAGGGGCATGGATATCTGTCTGAAGGAGGTCGCCGTTCTTGATGGCTGTCCCGTCGGAGTTTATGAACTGCGACGCTTCATCAAGGTCCAAGGCATCGGCGTTGGGCAGAATCGAGTTCTCGTAACGCAGCTGAGATGTGCAAAAGGGTGTCAATATGAAGGAAGTTTACATGCGAAATCGATATACTCACTCTAAGGTAATGGTTGGAAATGGTGTAGACATGTCTGTTCAGGCCTTCGCGGACGTCCTCGTTACATTTGACATGAATCCTTTTTCGTTCGGCTGAGAGCTCGGAAAAGATATCCGCACGGGCCTGCTCAAAGCCCCTGGGCGGCCCCTCACCTCGTTCTGCCACCCGGTCCTTCGCCCGAGCAAACGGGGTCAGGGGATCGAGATATGGCGAGGGGACTGCCGAAAATGAGGTATCGGCGACATAGGCCCAGAGTCGGTGCAGCATACATTTTGAGGTATAAATGCGATGGAGGCCCCGAGAGCCGTGTGATTCTACCACGCCTTTCGTCGTGTCGGCTGGCTGCGTCTTCGAGTTCTCGGTGGTTGAGATCACAGACTTGACTGTGCTGGGAAGGGATATTGTTGGCAGGGGAAAATTCTCGATCCACTCACCTGGCGGAGGGTCCGCCGCGATAGCCCAATCTGGTGGTGGAACTCTCTCAGCGGCCATTGGGATGATGAGGCGAGGAAGTGCTTATGGCTCGAGTGTATCTTGGAGGCTGAGCTATATATACACAAAATATCTGGCCTACAGAACTTTTAAACCGGTCCCCGGCAATACAAGAGCGCTGAGAAGATACAGATAATTCTCCGTGTAAGAACAAAAGACACAAAGGCGACATACAAGTGAACGCGGAAGTGCAACAGTCCATGTTGTCATCCCATTGTCATCCGTAGGCATAGCCGTTTGAATTGGTCAGGACTTGAACAAGAAGTCCGAATTTGTGGGCTATTGTATGTCGTAATTCTCGATGAACGTGTAGGACTGTGTAGGAGCGAAGCAAGAGTTCGAAGCAACGCTCGTTGCCCTTCGTAACGCGTTGACAGAGTTAGAAAGGGAGACTATTGTCTCATCATAGCAAGTACTCTTCCGACAAATGACCGGGCGGGGAAGTTGCCGTTCTGCCGTTGTTGGCGGAGTTTGTAATGCATTCCAAACACGGGCCCAAGTTGAACTTGAGCGGCAAACGCCACTTGCACGTCAACTACCATCTCGCTACACCAGACACAGCAAATGTTCTCGACATTAGTGATTCACGACTGTGGAACTGTTGACGGGGAGCTGATAACGGTCACTCTCAAAGCTTCGCCCTCGTTCCCTGGTGCTGTCTGGTATCAGGAAGACTGGGATCAGCCTGTTCCTGCCACATGGGGACCGAAGGACGTCTCCGCTTTTGACGAGACCCTCGAGCTCAGGCTTGTAGGCCGAATCTCAGAGGGCCGAATCGGTGTAGCTTACATCGCAAAGGTCGTCTCTGCAACGCGCAATGGCGCCGACGTCAGGACAACACTCCCGCCCACCCTGTGCCTCAAATTCGCAAAGCCCGAATTCAGTCGTAGCCTCGCGAGGGAGGCGTGGGTCTACGAACAGCTGGAGTCTCTTCAGGGTACCTCTGTGCCCAGTTCCTTTGGGTTCTACGCGTCCACTGCAGCAGAACAGCCCTCTTTCCCCAACCTCGAATTTGAGCCGTGGAGGAACAGGGAGGTGTTGTTCGAGGACACAGACAAGGTCCCGAGTAACATCGACGAATATGCATCCCCGGACTGGCTGACCGACGATGTGCCCGAGTATTACGACGAAGGGACGTTTGGCGACCCGCTCTACAAGTTGAATTCGCCCTGGTTCGAGTGGGCTCGCCTTCCCGACAACCCAACCATCTCGGTACTTGTCCTCGAGCTGCTTGGGGAAGCCTGTACTGGGGTAAAAACCGCTGCCGACAAGTGAGTGAACTATGCACCTTATTATGATTGCTCGTACTCAACGTAACATCCCAGGCAGGCTATCAAGGAAGTAATGGACGACTTGGCGGAAGCTGGCGTGCTGCATGACAACATCACCCCGTGGAACACGCTCGCATTCAAACCCTCGTCGCACGGTGAGGCTCGCCTATGCCCTCGACACAATGTCGTCCATCCCTGGAGGATAATCGACTTTGATCGTTCAAGGATGGTAAATCCCAAAAACCTGGGCGAGCTTGGCAAACGTCGCATTGCGAATACCGAGCGCAGACTGAACCGTGCAGTGGCCTTCCAGTTTTGGTGCTGGAATTAACCAACCACTCGGTGAGTTTCCTTCCACTTGAAGCCCGTGCATTTGCACAAGTCATTCTTCGCTCCTCGCTCATCCCCACTCAACGACAGTAATCGACTTCAGTCCAACCAATGCAACCACGCCCACCGCCAGAGCCACTGCAGGCCAACACCCGCCCAAGCCACCTGGGCGTTCGCCCTTTTTCCATCTATAGGCCTTGATTCGCCCGCCATCGCGGCTCGCCAATCCGATTCATTGAACGTTCTTTAAAGCCTCCATGACCCAGAATCTGTACCCGTATCGATACCTATTGTAAACCTTGGATTCTTCTGTCATATGTTTTCGTTTGTGCTGTTACGTATACCAAGTGCTGTTGTCCATAGCTATCTATTAATTGTTTTCTTCTTCCTCCTAATGAGACCTGTTCGCTCGTCTTTTGTTCTGCCTGCCCAGCAAAATGGCTCCTTCTCGGGGTGTGGTGAATGAAGCCTCGCCATTGGTAAATGCTAAGACCGCCCTCAGCTGGCTATTATGTGCGTGTCAATTGGCGGCGCTGTTTGTGTAGGTGAACGTCTGGATCTCGAGGCCCCTCTCGGAGTCCGATGGTCGTGCGTCGAAGCCCACGTCAGTCGCGTTGCGGGTGGCTTAGAGGCGCACTCACGCTGACACCTTAAAAGACAAAATTACGACAATGTATTTTCTGTGGGCGCTTAGTACTTCTGTGGGCCGTTCTCAGTGCAAATTGAGAGCATTCCGACCACCAAGCGCACAGAGGCAAAGGAATGATATAGATCTACGAAACATATAAAACGCCACTCGAGTCTGGCTTGACGCCCCGAACGATTACTCTCTTATGCGACGTACCTAGTCAACACCTCGCATGCCTTCCACCCACCCTGCGAGCCGAAACATCCTCCCAGAACCCAACTATCATTACCATCACCCATCCATACGCAACGGCGGCCATCGGGATGAGATGGGAATACCAAATCTCATCCAACCTCGCCTAGCCTCCTCCTCATTCCAATCTGTCGCCCCAACCTGACGAAAATTCCGTTTACACTGAGTCGTTCGAGGAGGATCCAGATAGCAGCCGCAAATACGAAGAGTAGGATCGCAGTAGCTTCAAGTGCTATCCCCACCATCAAGACGAGGAATTGGCGGCAGACAGACGGGTCGTTCCTTCGCCGAATCACTTTGATGACGCCTATGATTCGGAGGTACGTGTGACGCGAGATAAGTCGCGGCACACCAGAGCCTCAGACAAACACGGTGGCTTGAGTGGATTAAAGCGTCGTATTGAAAGAGACTAGCTACGTACAACGGGGGTTGAACCCTTTATATACTAGACTACCTACTTATGTAATCTAGAACTATCTAGGTACGACGAGGAGAAAGGACTGACAGGTGGCTACTACCCAGAGCACTCATACAATTGATAGGCCCCTTTCTTTCGGCATGCTCGTGCGACCATCTCGGTCGAGGTCCAACGCCATGGTGCCTATTGGTCCATGAACACTACGAACCAATCGCGAAAAAGAGGACGAAAACACTCGACCAAACGTCCACGGTCTCGTCGGCGACTCAGCATTCACAAAACAAAAAACGAAACACAGCCGCAACCACAATCATTCAAAGTCATCCTTCATCCCGAGAGAACTTCACAATACGATAAACAACTAAGCGATAGTATTCGTCAAAGGACGTGCGTAATGTAAAATAATAAACTCGTAAGAAAGCAAAGACATTGCCATGATAATAGGTTAGCTTTTTGGATGGATCCACAGACACAAGAGGGCGAAACGAGCGGTGAATGAAAGGAGAGACGAGCGGTGAAGAAAACGAGAGACGAGCGTGACTGAACAAAAGATCGGATAGAGTAAGGAGGCTGAACGCTCTCGGGAGAGAAGTCGTAAGCAACAACAACGCGGACGGAAACAAACGACCGAAGAGCCCTAAACGAGACAGTGGGTCAACAAACTCGTTCCAAAATACAGATATCGAAAGCCTGAGACAAGCGTGAAACTCGCAACCAACGGGACCAAAACGCCCTGACAATAGAAAAAAAGAAAAACGACCATATGAATTGGAATCAGAAACAATGAGACCGGGTATCCAGAGAGAGAGAGTGGAGAAAACTACAACATAAAGGTGCCGTCAAGTCTATGAGTGTCATTAAGAGTGCAAAAGGAGAAGAGAAAACAGTCGCCACCACCCACCACCCGCCCTCGCACGTCGAGCAACCACCTACCCCTCCACCACCACTACCGCCCAACCAACCCCTTCCTCGCCTCCTCCCCCGCCCTCCTCGCATTAAGCAAACTAGCCCTCGACCCCGCATCAACCATCTCAGCCAGAACCGGCCCACCACCATTCATCGAACTAGCAGGCGTCGTCCCAACCGTACTCGCACTCGTCGCTCCCCCATTCACCACACCTTCATTCGCCGTATCCGCCCCCGACCCAGAAGCAGACGAACCCGACGAACTAGCCGAACTAGACGCCGCCTTCCTTGTGATATTATTCGCAGCCGCCATCGTCCTCAGCAAATTGCCCGTACTAGGCCTCTTCTTCGTCGTCGCCGTCAGGCGCATCGAACCCCCACCATCTCGTTCCTTTGTCTCCCTCCCTACACCGTTCATCCCAACGCCATTCACCTCCCTCTCCCGCTCCCTAGACCCCAAAACCGGCATCGTCGCACTCCTCTCAATCCTCTTCAAAAACGGACTCGGTAAATTCTCCTCATCCGCCAAATCATACTTGGGCGGCGGGGGTAACGGCACCGAACTCTTCGAATTCATCGTACCCTTCGAACCCATCGCACTACCCTTCACCGACGACGACGACGACGATGAACCCGCCTTTGACGACACCGTACCCGTTTTCGAAGCTTGCTGCACGGACGCCGACGACGATGACGAGGCCTTCGTTTGAGATGCTGGACCCTTGGGGGGAAGCGGCGCCGCCCTCGTCGAATTCAAGTGCGGATGCGGGAGCGGTTTAGGCTGGAACCCACCCGCCGAACCACCCGACGACGACGACGACGACGAAGACGCCACCGAATCACCCGACGCCGAAGGCGTAATCACCAACGACCTCCGATTCGAAGCCGACGTAGGCATAGGGAGGGGCAACCCACCCGAGGTAGACGTCCTCCTAATCGAAGGGCGTCGTATCCTCGTCGGGGGAGCAGCGGTCGCCGTCGAGCTGGAGCTCGAAGCTACTGACGCCTGTGTCGGTGTCGATACCGATGCGCCATTGGTGGCAGACCCAAGGTTCATCGCAATCGTAACAGTCGCATCCTCCCCTCCTCCCAAACTACTCCGACTCTCCGCTCTCTCCCTCAACTCCCTCTCCTTCCTCGTCGTCGGACTCGGCGGGGCATCGTCCTCGTCGCTCTCGCTGCCCGCTCCATTCGGGAACTGCACTCCTCCATTCACCCCCGACGCACCCACGCCGTTCAAACCCGAGCCAGCACCGCCGAGAGATAGTCGCGTGGTCGTGTTGGTAGGACTCGTCACATCGTCGTCGCCCTCGCCAAAATCGAAGATCTTGCCAAAGTTAAGGCCAACTTTGGGCGAAGCGTTGAATAACGTAGCGAGTTCGTTGGGCGAGGGCGTGGCGAGCGTTTCGCCAGTCGAGGTGAGTACGACTCCCTTCATCGCCGAAGGGAGGTAGTCGGTGTACGAGGGCCGGGTGATGGGTGTTTCGAGTGCAGCGGGAAACATCTGTTTCGTCGTCGCTCTCGGCGTCGAGTCGACTCGGTTTCGTTTAATAGTCGATGGCGGTGGATCGTAATTCCGTCGTTGCGGCGTTGGCTCCATCGTATTCCTAATCTCTTCTAACGGCGACTTCGTCCGTCCTACACAAAGGTCAGCAACATTCTCAACCGACGATGAACACCACAGACCTTTCTTATTAGCCAACTCCTCAACCCTCTTCTCCCTAACCTCCAACTCCTCTCTAAGCGCCTCAAGCCTCTCCTCCTCCTCTATAAGCTCCGCCTCCTTCTCCGATATCCACTGTATCCTCTCCTCCACCGCCTTAATCGACACCTCCACCTCCTGCCTAACCTCAGCCTCCCTCTTCGCCCACGCCTCACACACCTCCGCCTCCCTCCTCCTCACAGCCTCCATAATCTCCTCCTCGCGTTTCGCCATCGCAGCCGCCACCTCCTCTTCCCTCTTCTGCACCAATATCCTCAACTCCTGTTCGCGCCGCGCCACCGCGTGTTTCGTCGCCACCTCGAGGTCGTGCTGGGTAATACGCGGCTCGCTCTGGATGGTATGGATCTGGGCTTGAAGCTGCGAGACGACGCGCTGGAGGTGGGCGATTTCCGAGTCCTTTTGGGAGAAGAGGTGTTGGAGGTGCTGCTCCTTCTCAGCGATGATCTGTTCCCGTGCGAGGACTTCGCGCTCTCGAGCGACCATGGCGTTCTTGTGTGCTTTGACAGTTGATAGCCTAATGATAGATCAGATATGGGCGAATGGATCGATAGGGGAATACACGCACATTTTCTCGGTCTCCGCCACTTTGAATACCAACTCTAACCGCTCATGTTGAAGAAGTTGCGCAGCGGAAGGTCTCATAGCCGGCTATTAACCACATCAGCAAACCATCACAGGGTCCACAATCCCCACACAAAGCAACGTACATTGAGATTCAACATGGCCTTGATGACCCCAAACAACGCCTGCGAGTACCCACGAGGCAGCGGCGGTATGCGTCCATTCCTATCATCGACGGTGAATCCTCGTCTCTGAACCAGAGTAAGAAAATGAACCAAACGTACCTAATAAGGATGGATAGTTCGTTATGTGTTTTGGCTTCGTGGAATGGTGGTTTTAGAGCGCAGAGTTCGTAGATGAGGCAGCCTAACGACCAAATGTCCGATTTGGAGTCGTAGGCTTTCTCCTGCATCAATTCCGGGGACATGTAGTACGGCGTCTGGGAAAGAGATTAGATGGGGCTGGGATGGGGTATGGGAAGGCATACCCCGACGTAGGTATTCGCGAACGAGGCTTGGTTCAGTGCTTTCGACAGCCCGAAATCGCCCAGCTTGACATTGTTGTTTTCGTCCAGGAAAACTAGTCCCTCGTCAGCCCCAAGCGCTCGCCATAACCCAACACCACGCACCATTATCCGGTTTCAAATCTCGATGCAAAATCTGGGGTCTCCTCGAGCTGCCACCGCCCTCTCCCTCCGTCAAAGCACTCCCCGACCCACTTCCGCTCCTGCCGTGTCCATTCGGGTGGTGGCAATGATGCAGCGCCAGCAAAATCTGCATGAAATAATTCCAAATGAGGTCCTCCGAAATAGGCCTATTATGCTTCGCCGCCTGCTTGATGACCGTCGACAAATCGCCACCCCCGCAGTACTCCATAATAATATACAAAATACCCGCATCCCGGTCGACGTGTCGGTCGTGATATCGTACAATATGTTCGTGGTGGAGGTCTTTAAGGATATTCCTATAATTGTGGAATATATTCCATGAATAGATTGCTCGTCGTTAAAAATTTCGCACAACGTACACTTCAGCGACGATTTGCTTGCGGTCGCGCTCGCTCATCCGTTCAAAGTTGAGTTCCTTCCTCGCAAAAATCTACATCTCATCAGCCTAACTCCAGGATAGAAAAGAGTGGCACAACGCACCAACCCATCGCTCTTCCTCCTAACCTTCCTAATAATCCCAAAGCTCCCGTTCCCAATCACATCCAGCGGCTCATACTGCTCCAAAAACGCCGACATCCTAGTACTAGCCCTCCTATCGTCCCTTCCAAATCCACAACACTATCGTCAATCGTCGAGTCTTGAAAAGCGAAGGGAACGAGCAGGAGCAACGACCGCGCGGCGTGAATGGAGATGGATGGAGTGAATGACCGAATGAATGTAAAACCCCGTTTCCCGCTGCTGCATGTTCAACTTGATCCCCATCACGTGGTCGCGCGCCAAAACGCGATCACGCGCCGAAAATCGACGAAATTGGGGAAAAACGCTCGATGCGTCAGTGGACGGATCATTGACAGTATGATGAGAACAAGAGTGGTGGGGTCGATGGGAGAATGACGTTCTCGAGAACAATAACGACACGTGTAGTGTATGCGTGGTATGTTCGACTTGAGGTTCGATTTTGCCTCGACAACACAGGTGAACCTTGACGACACCGGAGAAAACGCCGCAGTTTATTTACCGGTGGAGTTTAGAACAGAAAAGGAAGGTAAGATAAGAAGGTGTGACGGGAGGCATGACGCTGATAAGCAAGTAGACCTATATAGAGTTGAAGACGCTGGACGCCATCGGCGAACGAGAGAATTGTTGCACTTGGTGGACTTGTCTTACCCATTCACCGTGGACGAAAACGAGAACCACAAGGCGGGTATTGGACGGCAATTGACCATCCTTACCCCGATCGCTCACTCTTTCCACTTCGCACGATAAACACATTCGAAAGATTTCCTATGCTCAACTTTTGACGGGTACTGGTACCTGTGACCCCCAAGCAACGCTCACAGCAACCCCAAACTCTTGTCATCCTCACCAATCATCACAACCAATCTCCCAACCCGCCCGCCAGCTATGTCTCACACCGCCACTCAGTCATCGTCCAACCGCTAGACCGACCATCACAATACATCCTCGCAGTCCGACCAACATGTCTAGCCCGTCAGGAACGACCAAGTCGCCCAACCCAACCAATCCTGAGACACCCAGCCCTCGCCTAGCCCCCTCACTCACAACGCATCTCTCCAGTCTAGTCAGCCCAGCATATAAAAACCCCACCTCATCCCAACCGAGCTTCTCTCTACACCTCGAGCGCCTCTCCTCTCTCTATACCCAGAGTCATACCCTCTGCGCCTCGGAACGCATACCCCCTCCGGGCCCACCTCGACTAGAAGATGAAGCTATTTGGCCTCTCAGTCCTCGTCCTCCTCCTCCCATGCATTCTCGCAGCGCCTACGACTGAGGAGGCTATAGGCGGCGTCGGAGACAGCGACGAAAACTCTCTCGTCGATCGTTCTCTCGTAGCTCGCGCTGAATCGGATGGTAAGTACATCTATCAACCCTAGTCCGCCTCCTCCCATCCTCACCCCATTCCCCTCACCCCATTCCCATTGAACCCATTCCCATCTCACCCGTTCCCACTGAACCCAAACTAACAACCCCCAACCCCTCCCAGACGTCCGAATCCTAAACTTCGCGCTCAGCTTCGAATACCTCGCCACCGCATTCTACGAAAAATCCCTCCCCCTCTTCTCCGACGCCGACTTTGCCAACAACGGTGTCGCCAAAGACGGATCTAGTAACGGCAACGATGGGTACGCTAACGGATACGGAGGCGCTATGAAAGGCTTCTACGAACAAATCTACCAACACCGTCAAGGCTACGTCTCCTTCCTCGAGAACGCCATCACTGCCACTGGGAATGCGTACATCACGCCTTGTACATACGATTTTACGTAGGTTTTCCTTCTATTCGTCTCCTCGTTCACTCTCCCTCGTTGAATCCTGGCTCACCTTTAACCCCATAGCAACTTCACCAAAACCCTCACCGATTTCGTCAACCTCAGCGAATGGTTCGAAACCGCCAGCACCTCAATGTACAACGGCGCTCTCGCTCACATCAACGATAAGGTCAGGCCTCTCCTTCATCTACTAATCTCCTCTCGTCTCAACAATCGAACCGAAACTAACCACCGATCCTTCTTTCCCTTTCCAACCCCGTTCTTCGACTACACTACAGACCTACGCCGCCCAACTAGGCTCCATCCTCGGCGTGCAAGCCCGGCACTCCGCCTGGATCCACAGCGCAGTCCAACACAGAAACCCATGGAACACAATGTTCGAGGTTCGTCTCTCCCTCCTCCTCCTCCTCCTTCTCCCTCCTCCCTCCTTATCACACCATCAACGCCCACCATCTGATACCCACCTTCCTAATCCCAGACCCCTCTCCTCCTCAACCAAACCTGGTCCCTCGGCAACCCCTTCTACGCCTCCTGCCCAACCTCCGGTCCAGGCATGGACGTCCTCCCACCCTCCCTAACCGACTACCCCACCTTCTCCATCTCCCCAAAATCCATCTCCCCCTCCTCCTCCATCACCCTCGACCTCTCCGCCGCCTACACCGCCGACCCCACCTCCCTCCCCTCCTCCAAAAGCTCCCAAAACCTCTACGCCTACTTCGGTCTTGGAACCACATCCTACCTCGCACCCCTCAAACTAACCGACGCGAAGAACCAAAAATACAGTATGACCGTTCCCGCCGAGTTGGCGAGTACGGGTGTAGTCTACGTCTCGATCCTCAAAGCTTCTGCTAGCGAGGCTGCGAAAGCTGGGTTTGGGGTGACGGACGAGAATATGGTCGCTGGACCTAAACTCTGGATGTTCGCGTTCGGCGCTGATGGGTCTGGGGATGTTGGATACGAGTTGTTCAGCGCTTCGTAAATTCGAGTCGTAGGGACTTGGTGGCTCGATAGGGTTTTGGCAGTTCGATAGCGTTTAACGAAGGTTAGGTGATAGTGATACCCCCCAAAAAATGTCTACTATGTTGTAGATCGACTTTCTGTTGCTTTTATTATAGGTTACTTTGTATCGTTGCTGGTAGGGGTTGTAAACGATTAGAAATACGAATAATGGATTATAATGCGCTCAAATCTTACGTTCTTTGCGTGAACGGAATGCATTTTCCTCGCCAGATCTGTCCTATTACAATCACACATACGACGGAGGGTACATACTACACCCTCCAAAGTATCCTTTCCACCACCACGTCCACGACCACCGTCACCGTTAAATTACACAACCTCAAAACTCGCCCGCCCCCGACTAAAATGCCCCTCAACCGCCATAATCTGCCACACCTGCTCTCCCATCTCCATCCCCAAACTCCTCCACGCCTCCCCAAAACACCCAAACTCAATCCTTCCCCTCATCTCACCAGGTACCCTCCTCGGTATCCTCACAGCCCAAAACTGCTGGAACGTCGTCACCTCCCCGTCGATAGACGGTTGGTTATACCGCCACGTGTGCGATACATCGTATCTAGCGCCGTTACACGTCACTTCGCCCCTCCGGAGCGCGTGCGATGCGGGGTTGAGGACTCCAAACGACTCGACGATGTAGTATTGCACCAAGGGGTTGCGCGTCCATCCTGTGAAGGTGACGAGGCTGTGTCCGCTGGGCTCGTATGTTCCAGTATAGTTGAACGCTCTACAAGGGAATTCGGAGCGAGTGAGATCGATGAGGATTGAGGTAAGGGTTGAGATTACGATGGTACTAGTAGGACGCTAGCACTCACCTATCAGGGCTACCCGGTTTCCACCCCTTCCCTCCTAAGAACGCCCCATTGACCCACCAATCAATGGTATACCGTCCCCCAGCCTCGTTGGTGTAGTTCGCCGTAGCGCCCGTATCCGACCACCAATGATAAAAGTACCCATCATGTTCACCCTCTGAATTCGGTGTCCCCACGTTCGCAGAATTGATTCGAGAGTTCGAAGACGCAATATGAGAGCTAGAACTTGGGGATGGATCCGTGGCCAAAGCACAGGTGACGACGCTGGCAAACACGACGAAAGAGAACTTCATCGTTCACCGTCTCTCGAGGCGGATATGTAAACTCCACTGGCAGTGGTTATCGCCACACCTGTATCCCTGCCACTATATGAATACCCGTCCAGCCCGAACGATATCTGTTTCATCCTAGGTCAGAAGACCTAATAGGGGTAGCTCAGCAATGAGCGCCTATAAAAGAACACTCAACCTATGTACTCGCGATCCGAAGAACGTCCTGGGTTGTTCCCTCTCCTACTGCTACGGTTACAGAGGAACGATCGAGCTTTGATTTGCGAGCGAGTCGGGGACGGACGACTCTCGGGCATCACGGATGAGCAGCGAGGATTTGGTCTGCGACACGAGTGAACTACTAAACGGCCGTTACAAAGAACACTAATCACTACATAATCTCCACAGTCGCACGACCAGCCCCCAGATACCCGTCAATCGCCATAATCTGCCAAAGGTGCGCACCCAACTCCATGCCAAAAACCTTCCACCCCTCAACGTGGCAAGAAAAGTCAATCCTACGAATCCACCACAATGTAACCG